TAGCTCTGCATCTTGTCGCCGCTGCCGCTGCAAACGTCATACTCTTCTCATGTATGCACTCCGCAGGTTCCTGCCTGAGTCAGGCGGGCGGTGGTGGGAATGAAGAGCAAACGGCTGAATGGCAAATGAACGGACGAATCGAATGAATGAGCGATTGGATGGAATGAAAGACTGGCTGGCGCCAATGCGGGTAAGACGTAGGGGCCGCGAACAGACTAGTCTGTTTGATCGTGTTCATTTTGCGCAGCGCGCCGGGAGTAAGCGAAGAGCGAGGGTGCTCCGGCCGCACCTTTGTCGTCCGTCTCGTGCTCGTGGTGCAATTACTATTGCTGCTACTGCTGACGATCGCGGTGCTGGTGAGGGAGGACAGGACATTAATTTAGATGGTTCATCATGTCGAGCAGAAGCAATTGATTATTATATTTTGAGATTCTGGAAGTTTTCACTTGTAAACAGCCTGGGATCATGAATACTACATAGCTGAGCGACGTCATAGATAGTGATCTGATCCGGCCGGTAATCGAGTGCTACACTTCTACATCCGCGACCGCAAAAGTGACAGAAATTATCGGATGCGCTGGTTTTCGCTTTATCATTATCATTATCGCCTATCGTTATCCGTCCACTTGGCTGATACCGATATTCTCCACTGTTTTATTATAATTTTCCTTGTCCATCTGACTGGCGGCGGGGACCCCCAGCAGAATAAGATTTCTCTGCTGTGTCGTGTGCGTGTGTCATCAGGAGCAAAAGCGGGCCCGACATTTTTTTTAGCGCGTTCTTATCAGACAGACGGGGCGTATCGATAGCGGGTAGTTCCCAAACCCTTATCTTAGTGACATGAGATGCTTCGCTGCATTCCCACACACACAGTGGGTTCTCTCTCTTGTGTGCGTGTTTCCTGTCCTATCCTAGTCGTCTCCGGTTATGATTGAGACGGATAAGAGACGTTTAGAATTTGTGTGCTTGAGCTGGCTCAGGCGCTGGAGGAGTTATTTGAAAGCAGGTACGCCGATACGGAGGAGGATCAAGGATGATCACGTCTGATCCCTAGGCCTGGGAATAAAAAAATAAAACAGCAGACAATGTAGATGTTGCTCGTATCCGATATATGGAATCAGAAGAGGATGACTGTGATAGATCATCATCCAGACCACGAGCGGGACAACGGACGACCGGAATACGGTAAAAAAACTAAAACGAGAAAGAGCTGGAGCCCTCCGGTGGATTGTTGAAACCTTAGAGCGCGCGAGAGTGGGGAGGGCGAGTGGGAGAGAGCGAAGAGAAGGTTTAGTGAAAGGCAGCTAGGCCATCGAGTGAACGGAGATTGAGAGATGGGGCCTTGCAACCCTATTCAGCAGTCGGTAGCGGGATGGCCGTGGAAGTAGAGCAAGCGAGTATGGCGATATAGAAACCCAATCAATTGGATCGTAGGATGAGTATTTATTTTATATAGTGAATATAGAGAGCATATATCGTACGATTAGAAGCTATTGAACCGATGCGATGCGATCAATTACATTGCGAATTGGCAACAGCTCGCGCGGGATCATGGACAGGTCCTGGGCAGCGGGCGACTAATTAGGGATCAGTGAGAATGGAGAGCAAGAGTCTGTCTGTGTGGCGAGAGCGCTGTGGGACATATAGATGGACCAAGCGCGGAGCGGCCTATTCAGAGAGCACAATCATCCTATTTGGTCTGCTGGTGATTGGTCCAAGAGCACGACGGGCTATCGGGCGCGCGATTGCGTGCGCAGACTGCTGGTTAGTGGTGTCAATTGAAGAGCAATCGACTGCTTGCCTGTCCACTCTGCGAAACACGAACAGACAGCGAAGGGCGATGGCGAGATCAACGACGGAATAGATCAGAGGCGAGGACAGCGAACCGGCGGAGAAGCCGACGAGGCAGACCGATATCGAAGCTAAATGATAGGTAGAAGGCGACAAAAACTATAGAGAATGAAAAGAACGAGGGAATCTAGCCGCACAGCGCGAGATAGTCAGAGGTTACGTGAAGAGCGCGCCTCAGCACAGATCTCACCGCCGGCTTGAGTTTCTAGAAGAGGCAATTTTTGTCTTTTGTGCCCGCGAACTTTAGGGTTCCCGAGTTCTCAATCGATTCGACACAGGCTCATTGCTCCTTTGACTTTGGCTTTGACTTTGCGAATCGGCAGCGCGCTGTGATTTTTCGAGTTTTGACGTCTGTTGCATAATAAGCAAGAACGGCGTGCCTCGGGTCAGAGTCGCTCGCTCGCTGTCGTTCTTTAATGAAAGCAATCTGTATTATTGCCGTCTGCCTTAATTGTCTGTCTCTGCTTTTCTAGCCCGGCTTATCAGCAATCTATAGTTCTCTTTACAGCGACTTACGCCGAGATCAATCGCAGCAGCAGAAAATAGCCAACAAATCCGAAACTGCGAAACCGCGTGTGTGTGGTTTGTGGGGTTCGTTTTCGTCGTTTCTCGCACCCGCCCCCGATCCTCTCCTTACAGCGATTCCCAACCCAGGTCCAGGTAACTGAATATAAAAGCCGACACCCCCGATGACGTCGCTACTCGTTTCATGATGGCCTCGCTATGGCAGCGGCAGCGGCAGCAGGGCTTCGGACCATTCATTGCGTTGTTATTCGGCAAACGTCAAATGCGGACGGAACCAAGCCCGCTCGAGCTGTACTGTAGATACGGACAAGACGCGAATGCTGAGCGACTGCTTGTAGATCAAGGATCGCTGATGATGGTAATCGACGAATAGCCGGGATAGGTGCCTGATGATCAGAGCCCCGTCCCTTTCTTATTCCGCGTCTTCTCGACTGTTTGCTTGTTATTATTGATATTTAATTATTATCTTCCGTCAAGAGAACGATCTCCTGCTTCTCAACGGCTTCCAGGAGACCCACCAGCAGATCATCCACGCCCCTAGACGAGCGACATGAGGCGGCAGTGGCAGCCAGATCCAAGACGGCCAGACAACAGAAATATTATTATTATATCCACCCTGCCCGCTCGCCGTATCTTTCTGTAACAGCCGATGGCGAGGACGGACGGCGATGTGACGATACCGGTTGATCTCGAGACAAGACAGCTATTGTGCGTTGCCAGCACGACGGCGGCTACGCAATGCTCGTGCGAGAAGATATGGGATAATACGCAGATGATGCTCTGAATACGCAGCATCGGACAACAAACCAGTTTAGATTGCACTGCACTACAACATGCAACAGCATATTACAAAATATACAGGATATACAGACTATACAGCATAGCATATAGGGAGCATTACGTAACTAGTCGGATGTAAAGAAACTCTGTGGTGTCCGGAAAAGCCGCTTTCAAGAATTTTTATTTTTCTGCGGCGCGGAATGGCCAAGAGCTGATCTGACCTGTCTACCGCTTACTCAATGCTGCGGACGGAGGGGAATAAAGTGCGCAGGTGGCAGGTGAGCCCGCAAGGAGTGCGAAGCGATCCGGGAGGAGCTGGAAATGGTGAGTGAGGAAGGGGAGGAGGAATCAGGTCTGTTACTGACATTCCTCAGCTGCTGGCAGATTGCGAGCTGCAGTGCTCCCCTGGCTCTTGCTATCAGCCTTGATCCCGACAGCCCGACAGCTCTGATAGCGAGCACGACTACTGCCACCCCGCCAGCGCGAGCAGAGCACACACAAGCACCAGATCAATGCTCTCTCTCTCGCCGGAAGGGAAAAGAGGTCCCAAGCGGAAGCACAAAACCCGGCGAGCGCGAAGATGGTCGCGGCTAAAAGGCAAAGCCAAAATTAGAATTTACGGTTCCTGACTGGGCATTAGTGCGATGATGATGGCGGCCCGCGAATAACGCTCTAAACTGCACTCAATGCTGCCGCTGCTGCCGCTGCCTGCTGCTCGCTGCTCGAATTCATCTTAATCGGCACGCGTTATCTATCGGAAAGCAATTGCTCTCGCGCAGGCCGCGCTGAGCATCGCAGACCGGCGTGCGTTATCGTCTTCTAGAATCCGCGTCTGCTCGCTCCCGATCCTGCTCGCCACAGCGGATCAAGAGACTATGTGAGAGAGCCCGGAGGATCAAAGCCATGCATGCTATTAAGGAAATCCAATACGAAATCAAATCATAACCCGAACGAAATATGACGTAAAACTAGAAATCGTCGGGCATCTCGAAAGTCGAAAGCGAAAGCGTAGGAGCGAGTGGGTCGGGGAGTCTGATCCGAGGCATCGGCGTTGAAGGTTTGGCTGGGTGAGTGCGCGAGCGACGACTGCTTCGCGGTGCGTTCCTGTCCAGGACCGGGCACTACGTGCGCATATCGGCGCGGCCTTTGACGCTGATTATGATCCTCAGTAGACTGTTTGCTCCAGCTCAATGCTGTTGGGGAGGGCGGGATCAAATCAACGACAGCTGGGGAATTGGCAGAATGTGGTCTTGTTTCCGCCCTGCTGAGATAGTCGGATGGCGTTCTCGCCGCCAGCCCTGGCCATTGTCGGTTGTCGAGGAGTTGAGTTGAGTAAGTCCGGGCGCGACATGGATTGTATTCTATTCTGATCCTGATCCTGATCCTGTTGCTGGTGCTGGTGCTGGTGCTGGTGCTGTTGTTGCTGTTGTTCCTGCTATAACTGATAGATAATCACTTGATCTTTGATCCTCAATGATGACTATCCTTACTATTACTACTATCATTTCTAACATCACTAGACAATTGCAACAGCACTGCAAAAACATCTCCTATCGCCACCGGACCCGGTCCTCCGCTCCCGGTGGCGGGTCGACACAGACGGCGGCCGACGCGCTGTCGAGCGTTTATTCTTGCTGGTACCGGCGGCCACCGGGCTAGGGCTTTGCTTGCCAATTGCGTGCCGACGATTTCAATCAAATCTCTCGCTCTGCAAAAGCCAAAAAACCCAAAAGCCAAATCCCAGCCCGCAGCAGCTCGCGCGCCTAAGCTCATCGCGAGTACGGACGCCCTCCGTTGTCCACCACCCCGCTAGCCGTTTATTGTCCAGCGCGGTGGCCAAACAGGCCAACCGCAATCAAACCTTCGTCCCAGTCGCGTCCCCGGCCGGTGTCCAAAGTACATATACCCTCCCGCCCGCTCGCCGCGCCATGGTCCACCAGCCACCATCATCATCTGCTTCGTCGCGTGCCCTGCTTCTTCCCAGCCCTCCCTCTACTCTGCCTGATCCGCCTCCACTCGCCCTTGATCATGAGTCTCATCGAGAGCTCCGGCCTGCCCTCGCCCAACCCCTCCGTCGACAGCTGTTTCGCGCCCCCGGAGGACGACAACTTCGATCGCGCCTTCCAGCGTATCCTGGAGGACCGCTGCTCAAACATCTACGAGCAGCGCGCGGCAAAGATCGTCAACCCCCTGCCCACCCCCAACAGCGAGGCCTGTCTCTCCAGCGACGAGTGCGAGGACGCCTCGTCGTCGTCCTCCTCCTCCCAGCTCGCGGATCACGCCGACTGCAAGGCCGCCCTCGCCGTCTCGCGTGCGCGCGACGAGTTCCCGTTCCCCCAGGTTGATCTCAGCCTTTTCTACCCCGACACCGCCCCGCGCCAGTCATGGAGACCCCAGATCGAGACCTGGATCAGACGGAATCATTCCTACAAGTTTGACCGTATCGCCTCCAAGCCATACACCCTTCCCTCTCCCCAGCGCACCAAGTCTGCCTCCAGCACCTCTTCCTCCTCTTCCTCCTCCTCTTCCTCCCACAAGTCTCATTCCCACCCCAAGACTCCCAAAGTGACTTCCTTCTCCTCCGCCTCCTCCTCCGCCGCTGCCCACTCCACCTCGCACTCCAGCAGTCATGCGCAATCGCTCAAGAAATTCGATCACGACAAGTCCGACGCCGACTCTGGCCTGATCAGCCCTTCGCCCTCGCCCAAGCCCTCGGCCGCGACCCTGCACAGCAGTCATAGCGGTCGCAAGTGCATTTCCTGCGGATCGGATCAGTCCCCGTGCTGGCGCCCAAGTTGGTCCGTAGAGGCTGGCCAGCTGTGTAATTCCTGTGGTCTGAGGTGTGTCTTTTTCTTACTCTTCTGTCTGCTTTTATATTGCTCTGTCTTCTCTTTCGGTTTGCTAAATCATTTTCTTAATTGCCTCTACAGGTACAAAAAGACCGGTGCTCGCTGTCTTTCTTCCTCCTGCGGTCGCATCCCGGCCAAAGGCGAGTGGGTTACCATGCGCTCCTCTCAGCCCTCGGGCCGATATTCGTGCTTGTACTGCGGTGGCGGTGTCGCTGTCGGCGAGAACTCAAAGCGCTGAGGATGATTTTGCGTGAGCGCGCAATCGTCTTTTTCTGTTTATGCGGTTTTCTGGTGTTTCTGCTCTGCTACTGGGTTTTTTACTTGTGTTTTTCTCGTTCACGGATCGCAACGGTTTTCTTTTTTGTAATTTTTTTTTGATTTCTTCGGTGATCTCCTTTGATGATCTGGAGATCAAACTTTTCTCACGACTCTGGTTTTCCTCCTCCTCCTCATCTCCTCATCTCATCGCCCCACAAGAGCAGACCAAAGACATTGGAAGCAATCTTATTTTAAAGTTTTGGGTTTCAAAGCATCAATCCGCACGAATGCGACGGCAATGACAAAAGGTAATTGTGATTCGCTATATTGAATTTTTTGCTTTGTTTCCAGCCTGCTGACATTCAGGAATTGAAGTTACTATAGGAAGAAACGAGATTTCCATCTCTTGAAGTCTTTGCATTGCTCGATCATCAGCCTCCTCAGATCTCGCTGGAATCAAGGAAAAAGTTGTTTCTTCAAAAGTCTTGTTTTGTGTTTTTGCAAGTGTTTGGATTTGTTTTCTTGTTTGGATTTCAAACGATTCACGGCCGATTCCACGAGATCTACCTGAAGAGAGGAGGCGATGAGGGAAAGAAGACTATGCTTTTTAATAACTGGTTACGGATTATCGGGCTTGGCTGCACTGCTACGAATGCAGAATGAGAGTGGAGAGAGATGCGTTATTTTGGCCTGCGCAATGCAATGCAAGAGAGAATTCTGCTTCTGCATTCAACTAATTGGTAATTTTGGAGTCTGTTTTTCTTTTAATTTTTTTTATTCTATTATATGGTTTTTTGTTTCTGGAAATAACTTGGGAATTTGGGCGTCTCTCTATATGACGGGGAAAGAGGCAGCTGATAGCTCTTAATTGGGGGAAGTAGAAATGTGCTATTATTATCTTTATATCTACTATTTAAGTATGAGTGTGAACTATATGGCGTTGATATTCTGTCTGATTTTGATTCCGTTTTTTTGTTTAATCGAATGTTATTCTTATGCTTCGCTCGCGTTGAGTAGTCTGGGTAATTCTGTCTGTTTTGATCTGTGTCTTTTGTTATTAATGACGATTATATTCGTACTATACATCTATCTACTAATAGGGCATCATTTTTAGGTTGGTAAGTTTGCGAGCAGAAGAGGAGAAGAGGGTCGGGGATGGAACCGACCGACCGACCGAGCTCGGCACCCGAAATGTATCATGTATCTGCAAAGCGGTTCTTTGCAGGTTTTTCAAAGTTTGGCCGAATATAGCTGTGATGTCAGAAACGGCGACGATGTTTTATGAACTGTTTACGTCACCGCGAATAGATATTTCTTGCTACAGTTTTATTTGATTTTATTTTATGTTGAGTGATCTGCTGCGGTCGCGAGGCAAATAGAGGTCGAATCCGAAAATCGGATTGGACGGGATCGGCTGTCCAATCAAAGCAGGAACGGAAACTCTACGACCGTTGCATGCTACGTCGATGAGAGATAGATACGAGGTCGTGTGCTTCGCGCGCAGGGCAGGACGGCAATGGTCCGAGGTAACTTCGTGTGTGTGTGTAGGAAAGAGGAAAGGGTAGGCAAGTAGGAGCCGATGCCAGCGACCGGATCATAGCTGCACGGACCCCGGCCGATACTGCAAGCAGACAGAGAGCAGCGGCAGCAGCAGCAGCAGCGCAGCGCAGACGCAGCCATCACTAAGGTTCGCTGGAAGTAGAGTTCACTGCGAACCCAACCCCCATCAAAGAAAGACTTGTCGCAGCTAACGGACGTGTCTCGAGCGTTCTCTGCTGTGGAGCTGCTGAATCTCCAGAGCCGGACCGATTCCTGGATTTGGGTGGGTTTTGTTGTTCAATTGCAGTGCACGCCATTGGCTTATGCAGTGAGACATTGATCCCGTAGCAGGACGGCAATCGTTTCTGATTTTGATTCTAGATGATGCAGCATTATTGATAACTCCGATCGCTATTTCTTCTCCAGCGATGATGTAGGAGAGCTCCCGGCGTTCGGACTACGAGCACAGAGACAGAGATACCTGAAACTGTGATATTCTCGACCGGTAAATTCGAGACTCGAGAGCTGGCTTGATCCGGATAACCGGTTGTTCTCGTTCTCTTTGCATCATCTGAATAATGTTTGCTTCTAGTTGTCGGTGGGGTGGTATGAGCAGATCAATAGAGCTAGGAAAGACCACAAAGATCACAATTCGGTCACAAAAGTCCTGAAAAATTCCCATTTCCTCATTCGGTCCTCCGCTCGGCTCGCGCTCCTGCACAAGAGGTCTCGGCTCTGCCCAGGTCATCGACAGAAAGCAGCAAGGGTTGCCGATCTGGGAAGTATAATATACAACACAAACGAGATGGTCAACTCATCACGCATGACGACGTTCTTTTTTCTAATAGAGATTTATGATCGCTGTTCTGGCGCCGAATCTGAGTGCATCTCGAAGTTCTCGCCCGCTGCGTGAACGCGCGCTAGGCTGTCTGAACCTCCAGAAGCCGGGCGGCCAAAAAGCAGTCACACCAAACCCCAAACTCAACTGTTCTGCCTCTGCCCAAAGCATCCCCACTGCAGGACTCAAGTTAAATGAAAGTCTACTGTGCTCATTGACAGGAATGCTACAAATCTCTCATCCCTCATCCATCAGTCTGGCTCTCGGTCTGTTTTCTGTCGTTAGTGATTGTTAGATAGCCCGGACTGCTCGATTCGTAATACTAGCAGGGAAAATAACTGGGTTGCTATCCGTCGTCGTCGAGTACGAGCACGGGGGCGTGTGGGTGCTGACCGAGAGGTGGCATCAAAAAAGCACAGACTGATACGCAAGCAGGTTGCCTATACTCTGCGATTATCGAGCGCGCTTTACTCTCCTTGCGGTTTATCCGTAGCTAAGGATCCCGGACGCCACTAATTCGTGGGTTGGTGGTATATCATTATCAGTTCCAGTAAGCAGCATAGCAAAGCCAACGAGCGGGCAGCGTAGATTTGTCATTTCATTTCCCTATTGATCTCGTCAGGAACGCGAATCTCGTCTTCCGTCTCCCTTCTTTCTTTCTTTTTTTGCTGCTTCTTTCTTTTTTCTTTTTTCTTTTTTCTTTTTTCTTTTTTCTGTTTCTTGTCAGTCCGCTAATCTTGCTCCTGCGTTGACTGCGCTAATCAACTAACGAAACTAGTCGCTACTCACTCCTCACTAGCCCCGTATCTCTCCCTGGCTTTGCTTTTGCTACCGGCAAGGGCGCGGGCGCGGACAGGGCAGCAACTAACCGCTGCTGCATGTGCACGCACTATTAAAGCAAAATATGAAATATGAAGATGAAGCAAAAAGCAAGCAAGAGATGAAATTGTGGCCTGATTTTTTTTTCGTCCTTGTCATTGTTGCTTTGGCTCTACGCCCACGCAGTAGATTTGTAATTATCTCTTACCTCTCTTGATCTATTGATCGTGGAGGATCGTCTACAAGAGAACTTGCAGATAAACGACAATCGCCTACACTCCGCTCCACTCCCTATCCAGCAGCCCACCAAGTCACGTACGCATCAGCAGCATCGTCAGAAACATCGCAGTAACTCCGCTACCTCAAAACCTTCTCCCAAACCTTCTTCCAAACCCCAACCTAAACGCCACACAGTTCCTCCGTCCTCGCTCTTCGCTTTCTCGATATGCCCTGCTGCTCCCGCGAAATCAGCGTGCGGCTCTCCTCGCTCGCCAGGAATGAGAGCTGATGTAATTGTAAGCTTCTGGGGCTTGTACTGGTAATTGATCTGTAGTCGAGGTAGAGAAAAAGAAAGGACTGGGTATCGATTGATCTGGTTCTGGATATCCCTTCATACCTGCCATACCAGTCTAGATCCAGGAAACCGATTCACATCCAGGTCACCACCTCTCCGACTCACACACACAACATGCCGAAGCAGCGACGAAACATGGAAGACCTGCTCCGCGGCGTCGTCGAGCCCGGCACCGAGGGCGGCAGCAGCGTGAGCTCATGGCGGCAGTTGCAGCGTAAGAAGAAGGACGAGAGTATATGGTTGAAAGCACTGGGGCGGAATAAGAAGGTGAGTGAGTGTCTGATTGAATGTGGGTTGGAATTGTGCTGATTTGATATATTTCGGGGTGAAGGTTTACGCGTTTCCGTTGATTTCGATCGCGCTGGTGAGTTCTTGATCTTGCCTTCTTTCTACGCTTGAGATGATTGATCTGACATGATACTACATAGACCCTCGGTTTCGTCGCCTACGTCTTCACGATGCCGCCAATCTCCAAAGAAGAAGCAATCCAGAAAGAGGTATCTAATCTTCCCTCACCACCTCCACCACTTTACCTCACCACGAACTAACCCGTCATGCGCGCTGTAGATCGACTTGCGCTACGCAGGCAAGAACCTGACAGAAGAGCAAAAGATCCGGCTTGCATTGGTGAAGAATGCCGAGCTTGACATGTCGCGACACTTGCCGCCGACGCGGGAGTGAATCTTGAAGTCCGCTGCTGAATTTGCGATATCATTGCTTGTCAAAGGGCGGGCGGTTCCGAGGGCGAGAAATGCGGACTGTGTATTCTGCGTCGTGATCTGCGATTGTAATAGGCGCATGCGAATCACTCGAGCAAGATGTTTCCACCCGAGCAAGATGAGAGAGGGCGATGCAACACCGGCCGACATGGGCAATAAGAGTTGGAAGGGCCGATGCGCTCACGGATACTGCTTTATACCGCACAAAATTGTCTTCGTCCATCCTCTGACGCACTGCCCGAAACTACGGATCATACGCGGGCAACAGTATCTGGTCTACTGAAGAGTCTACAACCTAGTCTCCGTCGTTTAGTCCAGGTCAGGAGTCTACTATCAAAACCTGATTTCCTTCTCCAAGAAAAATTTATCACGAGCTATATTGATAACTCCATCTATACCACATCACCCAGACCCTTTAACAAAAGAGTTACAAAAGAGTTACAAAAGAGTTGCAAAAAAAAAGACCCTTACAAAGCAGAAACGAGGCAGGCCGGATTCCAAACACAAACAAACAAAGAACAGTAGTGAAAAGAAGCAGAGGCGAGATGTACATACATGCACATATGCATATAAGGTATATCTAGAACATGAAACGAGTAGAAAGAATAGGAAGGATGGGATTGCTCTATCGCAATGAGTCCGGGTCTGACAATCTCTTATCCTCGAGAACATATCGTGTGCATCGACGGAGGTGAGATATATCTGGAAAAAAAGTCGCTTGCGGGAAACAGGCTCATTTCAAGAGGAAAAAACAAATGCATGAAAAATGAAAACCGGAAAGAATAGAAAAAAGGCCCCGATCCGAAATGATCTGTACGATCAAATGAAAACCAAAATAGATAATAAGAGAAAAGAGAATACGAATGATGAGATGATGCGGAATGAGGATGAAAAAGACAGGATAAGCTATGACGGAGAGGCTCTACACCTGCAAAGCACTCTCCTCTTGCAACCTCCGCTTGCGCTGCTCTCGCAGCGTGCTGAACCTATCCACCAAAAGCTCGTACGTGATCAACGTGACCGCGCTCGCCGGCACAGTGCGCACCATATTCGTGCCCAGCCCCGAGTAAAACACGCGCCAGCCTTCGTCCTTCAGCAGGGTCGTGACCGTCTTTATGACGCCGTTGTAGTTCGTCTGGTGCTCGCGCGGGAGACCGCGCTGGATCTGCATGCGCGTGCGAACGACTTCGTGCGGGTACGTCACGATCGAGGCGAGCATTTTTGACAGACTCGACGCGAAGATAATCCCGCTCACCTTCCGGAGCTCGGACGGGTGAGTGTCTGGCGCGGGGACAAACATCAGCTTGAATTTCTCGTACAGTGGGAATTGGACCGCGACGTGGAGCAGGCCGAGAAGGGCGGGAAGCAGGCCGGCGTAGAACGAGATCAGGCCTTCGTTTTTGTACATGCAGCGGAAGGCGTCGATCGTGCCTTTGTAGTGCCACGCCGTGTCGGCGCTCTGGGTCATCAGTCGCGTTTTGACGACCCAGATCGGGTTTGTTATTGTTGTCGACGAGCCACCCGCGCATAACGCTGATACTAAGTGGACAACCGTCGGTTGATTTTCCAGGCCTGCGATCTGTTAGTTGTGTACTGACGTGCGAGGAGGGTGTGGATACGGACCTAATAATGCGGGAAGCTTTTCTTTGCAGCGTTCGTACACGCTAAAGTAGATCATCCATGTCGGCAGATACCCGAATGTGATAGGTACCACACCTCTGTAAAACCCTTTAACTCCTTCTGTTTTCCAAATCGTGCGTATCGTGCCTATAAACGTATCGAATTAGACAAGCCTTCTCCCTTGCATTACGCAGCAGATCATACCTATAAATCCGTTATACCGCTGAACGTCGACGACGCTGTTTTTTAAAAATCCTCCCTGGGCTTGTAATTTCGTTTTCACCACATCGAGCGGACACACTGCCACTCCCGATATAAGACCGGCGGTAGCGCCCGCGATCGCGTACGATGATTCGCCGCTTATCCGGCCCAGCTGGTCAGCGATCCAGAGTTTATATGGAGACGGCGACATTGTTGATGATGGTGATGTTGCTGATGACGATGATGATGATGGCTCTGACTTTGCAATTGATCCTTGTGTCGGTTGTTGGTTCATTTGTGTGATGAAGAGGTTTTCAGCCGGCTTCGTGGCCGGGCTTATATCTGATTCTGTACCCCCCATAGCTTATCTTTCTTCTGCACGCTTATGCTTCCTTGATCTTGTATATCCTACTCTGAATGTGTGTATTCACTGCCACTTCAAAGAGACGGTGCCGGGATCGATAGCAGCCAGTCGTGTGATCAAGTTCGGTACCCGAGTTGTCGAAATCACTAGCGCGCTATGTGGATTAGAAGCAACGGATATCAATGCCGTTTGTGGACTCGACTGCATTGCTTTTCCCGCGGAGGGAAATCTGTTGCTGTTTGCTGGATAGTAAATCCGTGTATTTGAAAGTAGTGTGTAGCGTATCGTCGATAATAACGCGAGCAACAACTTCCGCTCGAGAACTGTGATGTTGCTTCGACCCCGTCGGTCTGTAATCCCCAAAAAGCGGCACGAGACCAAACTCCACGTCTTCAAACAGACCCAAAAGATCAGAATCCGCACCTGATCTAAAGTCTGCTCCGATTCCGCAGCTGCCAAAACCGCGCTCGTGAATCAAAATCGGTCAGTCCCGAAATCTCGCGACGGCAAGCGTACACCCCGAGCTAACGTCCAAACTCCGTCGAACGCAATCAACAAAAATTCGCCAACGCACTCCTTTCTGCCTTTTTCTCACAAAAAAAAAACAGCGCAACAGCGGACTAATCACTGTCCGGTTGAGTGGGGGTGGCGGCAGAGACGGGAGCGGGTGGTGGAGCGCGGATTGATAACAAACGTGGGGTGGAGCCGATTTCGATTTTTTTGGGCTCAAAAGACGAGAGCGGAGCAAAACGCGGGCGTGGGCAGGGAGGGCGAGGGGGAACCCGGCTTTAGGGACAAAAGGTGGTTTTAGTGAGCGCGCTGCTCTTAAACCAACTAATTTGATTTGAACTTGCCTCGGTTTTTATGTTTATGTTGATTAGAGTACTTTGATTCTGTCCCGATATCTTTATTTTCAGATCCGATATTGGTTGTATTTGCTGTATGTTGTATTCTCAAATCGACACAATGTCCAGCGCATGCACGACAGCTCTCAACGGGCAGTCCACCAGACCAAACATCTCCGCTCGCTCTCTCTTTCCTATCTCTTCCTGCTCCTCAATTCCTAATTAACACCTCATCTCTACCTGTCTTTTCTCAATCCTTAAACTCTTCCTATGATACCTGCAACCTATCCAGACATTCGCAGACGTACACCGAGACCTTGCGCTTATGCACCAGATCATGACCACATGCCCTCTCTACTATCTCATCTCTACTATGATCCACTCTCGCTAAATACAGTCTGCCCCGGCAAACACAGGCACAAACCCCGTCGTAATCTATCTCCATTCGGAAAACCTGCCGAGGCATCCGTGTCCTGACCGACCCTTCTCTTCACGAGCTGGTACCAAATGCATCTGTAATTCTTCACTGACGAGCTCACGCCTGTTATTTCAATTGAACTCAATGCAGCTGGTTTAGAGTCATTTGGTATTCTTCTTATATATTTAAATCCTACGGACCATGCAATAAGACGCAACGTCCAGATCAAAAGTCCACAAACGCAGAGTCTAGGTTCGCAGTCCCGTCGGATAGCAGCCCAACGCGGCAGAAACTCCACCGTCCTCCGTTCCGACGGCCGCTACCGCAACTTTCGACCTCCATCTACACTTCCCATCACGAGCAATTGGCGCAAAATCAGTTATATTCGTAGATAACAATGAAAACAACACAGTCAAAGTCAATTGCGCTCAGAGCACATACGTATCGTTCAAGTCGTTGGCTCTTACACATGAAATCCAAAACACTTGCGCCAGCCGCCAACATACAGCGACACAATCATATCAAGAAAGCAGAAAAATTCATACCAGATATACGGGAAATTAAAAAGAAACAAATAACTACAGTCAACTCCTATAGACCCAAAAAAGTAATCCTCATGTCAAGTTAAGCAAAGCAGTCGCAGTTCAGTGCTTGTCCTCCGTCAGCTTTCCGAGGCCGAACCACGCGAGCGTGCCGGCAAGCAAAGACGTGAGCACGAGCTTGTCACGCGACTGGAGCTCATTGGGATCATGAGTATACTCGTTCGAGTCAGCCTCGGCGACGCTGTAGTTATCGAGCGCATCCTGGATCGGCTGCGCAACATTGTCGCCGCTGACGTGGTGGATCTCAGGTCGGCTCGAGGCAACGTCCACGGCAGGAGTGGTGGCCTGCACGCTGAGGTTTCCAGGAATCACAGGCTGCAAAAAAGCAGAAGTTAGACAACTGAATGAAAACAGGCAAAGAGCGTTGAGACAACATACAATGAAAACGGCCGCCAGAGGCTCTTTTACGACCGAGACCTTCGGCATATGATAGAAATCAATCGTAGAATCATCGTCCTTGGCCTTGGTGAACTGGGTAGCGTGGAACGTACGCACAGCCTCCTGCTGGACCTTCTTCATCGGGCTTGCTTTCTCGACTTTGACCGCCTCAAGAGGTGTCTTGGGCAAGGCAACTGTCGAGATGTTTTTCGGCTGGGGAGTCAAAGGCATTCTCGGAGCTTTGCTCTTGGCCTTTGCAGGAGGAGAGGCTAAGGTAGAGAACGAAGAGGACGAGTCATCGATAGCGAGACGATCAATGAGCTGGAATTGAGAGTTAGAACACTACAAATAGTCATGCATGCTATGATTGCACCAAAAGAGCAGCAGCACACAACACTCACATGTTTTTTGTTTCCGCTAACTTTGAGGCCCCGCTTGCGGCACTCAGCCTTGAGGTTATCGACAGTCAAGTTCTTGTACGCGGTACCAGTCTTGTTGAAGATATGTGAAGGCGTAGGAGTCGACGCGGACGAATGGAGATACTGCGCCCGGAGGGACGACGGAGCGGATCGGACGCTTCGGAGAGAACGCTGCATGGTGTAGCCGGAAGAGAAGGATCTTGAGAGACGGGGAGTAAAGACGATCTTCTGTCCAGAGAGACGCAAAAAGGCTCGCATCTAGTGCGAGAAAGGAGATCGGAGTGGAGAAGAGGGAGGTGTGAAGAGAACGGAGGCGATCCACAAAAGTAAACAAACAGCTTTGTGCGGGTTTTTGTATCCTCGGGAGCGCCGCCTATTCAGAGTCTGACGTCGGCTGTTTGTTTACAATATTCAATCGATCTAGTCCTGAATAGGAATGTTACCCTGCTCTTGCACGTGAGCCGCATAAATAAACCCTATTTGAGCATAACTGAGCAGCACAGTGTGCATTGGCTGGCAGCCAATCAGCGCCGGTGAAATGCAAAGAGACGACGAGAGTCGCGCACGCCTCGGAAGCTCGAGAGCGAAAGAGCGGCGCCTCAGAAAAACGAAGAGCTTCACCACATCTCTTTTCTTGTCTTCTCTCTGCACATCTCATCTGCAGGTTTATCTCTCTGTTTACAGACACATTTTAATTCAGCTACAATGTCAGGTTTTTTGCGGTCGTTTGGCCTGGCCAACATGGTCACGTCCAAGTCGCAGGGTCTTGCGAAGCTCGTCGTTCCCCTTGCTGGATTCCTTGAAGAGATCAACGGATACCGGAAGCTTGGATTGAGGTATGGGCTGATTGAATACTTTTATAATTGAATGGATTTTGATTTCGGAGAGTGGGGATGGGATTAGAAGATGGATTGGCGGTTATGGTGTGGTCTAGTTTCGATATTGAAGTCATTATATCCGGCATCCATTTCTTCTTCCATCTCGCTCCACAATCTCTACTCCTACGCAGTATCGGATTAGTGTCTAACCATTCTTTTTTTAACCGGCAGATACGACGATCTGATCGCCGAGGAATCCCCCGTTGTCCAGAAGGCCATCAACAGACTGCCGCCCAAGGAGTACTACGACCGAGTTTTCCGAATCCGACGTGCTCACCAGCTCTCGCTCATGCACCAGCTCTTGCCCAAGGAGGAGTACCTCAAGCCCGAGGACGACATCAGATACCTCACTCCCTACATCCTCGAGGCCGAGGCTGAGGCGAAGGAGCGCGAGTACTTCGACAGCGCGACCGTCGTCATCAAGAAATAAATTTCCGGACCCCGAGCTGCATGTTCGAGACTTCAATCACGGCTCTATGTCTCTTCTTTCTCCAAAGGACGAGTCTGGGATGAACAAACGAACGAACCAAATTGACAAATAGAAGCATTAAAAAATCAAATATTGGGATATTGGCGTATGGCAGTATGAACTGCGCATGTTTTTAGTTTACAATTTATTTGATGTGTTACATCTCATAATAGCAAGAAGATGAATTCTCCAACAATATACATGCAAACTTTTTCATCATAGCAGATCAGATCTAAGCGATTGGTTTTCGAATTTGAGAGTAAAGAGTCCGCTACAAAGTCAGAGCCTTCTTTGCCATGAGCAAAGCACCCTCGCGTGTCTGGTTTCCTCCGATAAATCCTATTCAAAAGCCATATTAGTAGAGCTCGATTTAGTTCTTCATATACACATTCCAACATACCACTTGCGTGAACAAACACTCCGCCATCGATACCAGTAAGATCGCTCAAAGCCTGATCTCTGACTCCTCTCCACGCCTCAGGCAGGGCCTTTCGGGAGGCAAAGCTATCCGGCGAAACCGGGACCGCCTGTATGCGCCAGCCCTTGCCGTCGCTGTAAAGAACGTAGTACGTCTGTCCTGAGATTCCGAGTTCTTTCTCAATTGTGAAAAGATGGTCTTTCCAGGCCACAAACTGGTCAAACACAACGATCCGTCCGTCAGAGTCGTATTCGGACGCCTTGGCAATGGCCTCCTTCACAATCTCACGGGCGGGCAACCATGATTTTCCGTAGTACTTGACCAAATCGACAAACACTCCTCCCATGAGCTCACTCGCTTTGGTGAACTTGGTATCGAGGATCGCGTCGCTGAACTCCTCGTTCCAGGCAGGATTGAGCGCGCCGACCATTCCGGGAAGCGTTATCGACTTTGTGCTGTACGCAGGCTTGATGTCGTCAGGATACGCGCTCTCGCCGTTGTCGTTGCCGTCGATGGCTTCCACCATCTCCGCGTAGATCTTGTCGTAGAGTAGAGGAATATGGGCGTGGTCGGCGGGTATGTTGAGTTGATTGGAAAGGATATCCTTGCCAAAATGCCTACATTGTAAAAGACAGTAATTAGTTTTCCGTAGGTTGTAGATGTCAAGCTAGAGGTACTAACTTGTATATCAAACCGGCAGAGCTGAGCTTGGTCTTGAAGAACGGAGAGAACGTCTCGGTGAAACCGCGCTGGTGATGATCAAAGTGCTTGACACCATCATATTGTCCCTAGCAAGGTAGGTCAGTAACACCGCTATCAACATATTCGTGCGCGGTAGGCAGTTACCTGAACATCGACGATGATATCGCACGCCTCCAGAATATCTGGGGTGCGTGATCTAATGACAGCTGTTCGAGATATATGTGAGCAAAACCGTTCACCACGGCCGCAAAAAAATACAAACGTGTAAACGTACTAGCATCCTTGTACTGAGGCAACAGCTTCAACATAAACACCGCCAAAGCCTCGTCGGCATGGAACGTTCCGCTGGTAAACGATATAGCGCGTCAGTACAAACACATGGACCGTGATTGGTCGTGGAAAGATCAAGATCGGTGACGAGAGACGACCGAAGGTGGAACTTACCTGTGAGTTCCAATTTTCATTTCTACTTTCTGTCTCTTTGCTTCTGGCTCGTTTGTCATAGATTCAGGGTTAGAAACAACAATAGAGTATCAAAGGAGTAGGAAATACGGTCTCTAATTTTTTTCATGAATTCATATTCATTTCTCCCAATCGCGCGCCTCAACCCCCTCAAACAACCCCCCTAATACTACTCCTGATTATCAGGTAGAGTTAACAATCCCCATAGTCTAGATTCAATACAACCTAACCTGCAAGACGCAATTGCTGATTCTATTGTCCATATCCGCAATTTACGCCAGCGCATCAGACGAGAGACTGGTACAGTAGCCTCTGCACTACTTTTATCGTCATTGTCAACATAACTAGGACAATATTCCGGCTCGCCTGCTCGCGCGTCCGAGCGACGGTCAACCAGCATCTTTGGTACACAGAAAATACTACCGAGTGGCACGTTTGCTCGCGTACTTATAGAAGACGACTATACAGCATGACGTATAAGAGCACTGATTACTATCGTGCACAATTGGAGGCTTTGAGGGAGAATCAGGATGGATTTCGAGTTGTTTATAGATCAAATTCGGATTTTTTGGCCAGTCAAGATGCAAAGCTGAGGTCCTTGATCGGTATGCGCTCCACGCGAGTAGTCTGCGAGGATTACTCTCTTTACTTGATTCAATTGCTGATATTGTTGATTTTGGGCAATTGCTGATTCTGGTTTGGCAGTGTTCGATTCGTCTTTTAATCCGCCGACTATTGCCCATCTTGCACTTGTCAACGATACGATCAAGCTTCTTCAATCAGCATCTCATGCGACAGACAATGACGAGTTTGGAATAGTTCTACTACTAGCAGTGCAAAATGCAGACAAGCCCGTGGTTCCAGCACCACTTGAGCACCGCCTTGCGATGATGGAACGATTTAGCGCGTCAATCAGCAAAATTGCAGAGACCAGTGGGGGCGGCATCGGTAGTTCTGCCGCTGACAATGGCGGTCTCGGTCCGAAAGTGAATGTGGCCATTGGCATCACACCTTTTCCCAAGTTTGTTGATAAAGCTGACGCGATACAAACATCGTTCCCTGGAGTTGGCGAGCAAATCTACATCACTGGCTACGACACGCTGATTAGACTGTTTGATGCCAAGTAAGTACGTGTTGATATTGTGCTTTCAAGTGCCCTGTCTCACCTCTTCACATCTGCAGGTATTACGGAGGAAAGACTGTTGCAGAAGCACTGGGTGAGTTTATGGCACGCAGCAGGATCATGTGCTTCATTCGCGACAATCCACAGTGGGGTACCGCAGCAGATCAGATGCAGTATATCGAAGACGTGCGGAACGGCCGCTACCGAGATAATATTCCTCCCTCGTGGGCGGAACGGATCTCCCTGCATCCGTACTTGACGGGCCAAGATCCAAAGCAGCAGATCAATGCCGACTCAGAACAGGGCTCTGGTACGTGTCACCCATAGCGTGAAAAGAAATTCCTGCGCGCCCCGGACTCTCGGGATTTTCCCCGAGCAGCGCGAGGTGCTCATCCCTGCCAGGTGACTTGTCCCCTAGAAGCGCTAACAAGTCCGATATCACAGGCCACAGCGAGAATTATAGAGACCAGAATAACGCACGCGGGGATGTTGTTGATCTCGCGACGGTCAGTTCTACAGCGGCCCGAGCTGCAGCTAAAACAGGCAAGGTTCGTCATTATCTGGTCCCTCTGATTTTTGAGAATACTTTTTTACAATCAGCTTTCGATCTTCTTCTCGATCTTCTTTTTTTTTACTTTTGCCTTTTTTTTTTCCCGGGGCTGAAACAAAAAGAAAAAAGTGCGGTCGAGAGCCGGCGGTGGAATCCCAATGGTCAGGGTCGCTGGGAAAGCTTCTACTTCGAGATGCCGATCAGAGCCCCACAGTCAGCCTTTTTCCTCCTCCGCATGGGGCCACAGATTCGTAGACCGTGCCCGCCCTGCACGTGTGTTTGTCTGTGCCTGACTTGTTCAGGCAAAAACCCTGGAGGAGGGCATTGCACTGACGTAAGGGGGGACGATACAAACGCGTGCGGTGACGAACGATGTGGAATAGTTCGGTGATGTCAGTGATGACTTTACCAAGATCCCGAAAACCGGGGATTTGGACTGGCCGAGGATGTCCTCTGTAGCCGCCGCCTGTCCCCGCTTACGGCCGTTTTTCTTTCGGCTCTTGCTCAGTTTTGAAGATTTGAAGAGAGGAAAAGCAAAAAAACCAGACGACAGGAGAAAGCGAGAGATTAAATGCTAACGTTTTTTCTTTCACCAGAGCGCGGAAGGCCTGACTCTTGAACAAATTGTCTCGGACGCTGTGACGACATACCTACGCGAAAACCATACTTATTAGTCCCGAGGGTCTGGAATAGCAGCGCTAGTTGTTCAATCACCGACATTCAGGTTCTGTCCCGAGCGATCAGAGAACGGAGGGGTGGATGAGGGGGTGTGCGTGAGATTTCGTTTGCGTTGCATTGACGCACTGCTGATGCACCACCACCTGCGTCGGTGATGATCATCCTGCCACATTTGTTCGTTTCTCCCAACGGCCGTCCGCGGCGACCTTATGCCGATGTGATCAACGCTTAGCGGCAAAACCGCGATGGGGAGCTGAACACCGGATCCCCCAGTATGCAGTAATATAAAGTGACAGCAATCTATTATAGTTTTGCATAACTTATTTATTTTTGAATCCATGTAGCACACGGATGTACGCGTAATCTTTCTTAGCACCGAACGGACCACGCTGGAGAACCAGGTAAGACAGGCACAGACACCCCAGAGTTTTCGACGAGTAATTAGGTATTGTGCAACTTGATTAGATATAATTACAAAAAGTGAAAAAACAGCAAACACCTATCCCAAGCATCCTAGAACAAATGTTTAGACAAAACTCGAGAGCAGAATGACCCTCACCAAAAACCCAGACAATTATAATAAAAGAAATGCGCACTTGACTTGCAGTCACCGAAAACAAAGACGACCAAATACATGTATATAGAAGCAGAAGAAAGAAAAAAAAACGTAGATACATACTAGAAACTGAACAAATCGCCAATATCAAAACTTAAAGACAATATTATACACCTACTATACAACCCTTTGACAAAACAATAACATTTCACCGCGAACCCTCGGCCACCTGAGGTTGCGCCACTACCTGATGCGGATAAGGCTGCTGGTAATGCGGGACCATTATCGGCGACTGATAGTAGTACACGGGAGCGGCATCCATGACAGGGTATGCCGACGGATGGTGAGGAGGAGCTTGGAGAGGATAAGGAGAGCCGTTTGCCAGCTGCCGAGGCGGCAGATGTCTTGGCTGAGGTAGAGGTTGAGCGGGAGCGTTGCCGGCAGGGATCATATGAGAAGGCTGCATTGCCAGGTTTGAGGGTCGTGTTTGTGAGGGGTGGGGAGGAGGCGGTGGAGGTGGTGGTGAGGCATGAACATACATATGTGCGTGTTGTTGCTGTGGTTGTTGCTGCTGGTGTTGATGTTGGTGCTGCGGCAGAGTATTAGGAAGGATATGCTGGGGAGGTTGAGTAACGCGTTGGGGCATAGGCTGCTGCATCGGCTGCAACATAGGTGCCTGCATCGGCTGCTGCTGCTGCTGTCCGTGGACCATCTGTGGTTGGTAGGGTGATCGGGGCTCGTTCATCTGCGGAGGGGGAGGAAATGATCTGGGCTGAGATTGTGGTTGAGGGCTGAAGGATGTAGCTGGAGAATTGCTGCCGCTGTTGGTCGAAGTAGCAGTGTTGGCGGTAGTATTGACCGAGGCGGAAGAGACTGTACTTCCGTTTCTACTACTGCATTTCAGGCTAGCAAGTTCTGATTCAAGCGAAGCAATGTACAGAACAGCCTTCCGTAGAATGACAGCTTTCGAGTCTTGACTGCCGCGACATTGAGGAATACTGCTTTTCAGCTCGAGAAACCCTCCGTTGATATTCTCGCGACGTCGCTGTTCTGACAGAATATGTGCAAACCGTCGGTTCGAGCTCGGATGCTTTGATGGCGGGGACGCAGGCGCGGCCTTGGAATCAGGCAGCTCGATGTCGTCGTCGGCAGACTCCGACACTGGCTGAGAGGAAGACGACGCGTCTGAAGCGCTCCTGTCAGGCTTAGCGGTCGTGTATTCTGAGTATTCGCCAGGTCGCGGGGAAAGCTGGGGAGATGGGAGAGCAGAAACGCCGGTGGTCGCTGCTGGCGAGGTTGGAGAGGACGAGGACGAGGCCGTGTATACGGCAGACATGGCAGTTGATGAACGATAGATCGGCTCACTCATTCTCCGAAGGCCGCCCACATCTCTATAAGCAGCGAAACGAAAGAGAATTTAGCAAGAGAACTAGGAGAGTACTCTATAGCAGAGAGAAGCAAGGTATGGGGGTATCAGGTAAACATACGGGCATACTATGGATTTGATATCCATGGAGGGGAAGATGGAGAGCGTGTGTGGGTAGATGAGGAGAAGACAGAGTCCCCAGGGAGAGCGGATTACTAAATAGAAACAGATCTTGGTGGGCGCGGAGCGGGCTGCGAGCAAACAGCTCCACAGAACCTTCAAGCCTAGCAGGCAGCAGCACCGTTTCCGTACATCCCATCCCAACAGGCAGAAACGCGATGGCCGGACCGTGGGTTTTTTTCCTTTTGACCTGCGGCTTAACCTTGGGAATGACCTGGCACCGACGGATGGCACACTAAAGCGATTTTAGCTTTGTGCTCCAGAAGCGGTACCGGGCGTGCCTGCGCGCTTACGGTAACCTGCAGTGCACACATGGAACTAGGCTAGCAGAGTAGGTACGCAATCGTACCCTGCCACTTCACGTGGCTCAATTCGTCCGCTAGCCGTAACTGGAGAATTGTGCGACAAAAACACTCAGCCTTGTCTCTTCTCCGCAGTAGTCCAGAAAGTCGAGCAATCGTCTCCTCTTCTTACAGTTCTGCTATTACTTAGCGCTGGTCGGGCGACCGGTCCGCGATATCCTGGCTGTATAGCTCAGAGAGAAGATGCGAGAATATCCCTTGCGCGCTGGTCTGTCTAAAACCTCGCTGGTTATCTTCTGGGACCTAGCCGAAGCCCAGACGGCTCGCCGCAGCGATAGAGAAAAAGGGTTCTCTCGATCGGCAGACGCAACCGGGCCGGTGGCAATAAATATCAAGGGAGAGACAAGCATTACATCTCTGAGAGAGGTCTGAGGTGAGACAGGTAGCAGCTGATCAGTAAAATATATCGACTGGGCAAGTACCTGACATGCCTTTTGCTACCAACAATTACTGGCAGCGGCCAAGGAGGGTTTGAGCACGCGCACATGCGCTCTGAGGTTTGATACCCGATCGAACTTACGATACACTCTCTGCTTGCTTAAATTTTGACGAGGTACCTCCTGTCTGCACCATCCACCGCTAAGGAGAATGAACCGTATACGCCTCCTCCCCGTCATCCCTCACACAAACCCAATAGCTACCGCTAGTCTGGCTTTATATTTTCGCATCCTGGACCAGAACCACTAACTATATAATTGATTTCTCTCTTTTTCTGACCGCTGCAAAGACAGCGAGAAATGACCCTTGTTCATATCAACGCGCGGCTACACCCTCCCCTCTGTGTGGTCAAAAATCGACTAGTAGGCTCCGGTAACGATAAAAAACGTCAGTGTGTGTTGCGGGTCCAACGGTGCAAAAAACTTAGCAAAATTGAAATGAAGCGCTCTCTTTCTTCTTCCGGCCCATGCGAAGCGCACGATGCAAGATGTCTGGTATGCTTCCAAGCGGAGGAGTCTCAGGTTTAGAATTTTCTTTTACTCGACCGCAGAGACATGCAGGCACCGCTTATTTATTCTGATAAAGTGGAACGGAATACAAAAAGCAAAAAGAATACAGGATTCCGCGTTATTCTTGCCATCTTGCGAGACGCTGCAGCATCCGCAGACAAGACGCAAGCGATAGGCGGAGAGACGTGGGGGAAAATAAAGATACAGAAAAGAAGAGAGAGCTAGTTCCGAAGTCTGTCGTCGCACAGTCTTTCTTACCCAGCAGTTGGGTTTTCTCGCGTCATCATTATAAGCCTCGTTAGCGGTCAGAAAAGTAAACAAGCGGTCAGTTCTCCCAGAACACGATTTTTTCTCGATCTTTGCAGATCAGTAGATTGGAAAGCATTGAATTCGCTCAAACGGCTGCGTATTTCATGCTACTCTATGCGCAGTATTATGAAGTCTGTGACGGAATAAGTAGAAAAAAGCAGGACAACGGGCAGAAAAAATTAGCCTCTACGAAGGAACGATATAGCCGTTGCGTTGCTATTCATATCCTTCATTCGCTAATCTCTCAACGGCCCGAACGCCGGCTCAACTGCCTACCAACTAACCCGCCCGAACCACGTATTAGTCTTCAAGCCTGAGCCCAATCGATTCACGCGGTACCGGGGTTGCTATCAAACTGGAACACAAAATACTCGGAAAAGCTAAACAGCCTCTGTGAATCTTCCTTATATCCTCTTTAGTGATTATATTCGGTTGTTGATAAAAATTGATTATCTTGATGCGGAAACCGGTTGATAAACCGTTTAGTGATGTATAAACGTTTGGTGATAAACTAGGCAAACGAGAACGTTGCAGAGTGATGCGTTTTCGATTCGCGTTTCTTTTCCACCGATACGATTGACGGTAAGTGTACAGCGGGGAAGGGGTTCTCTCTGGAGAACCCAACGAGTTTCTGTGAAGATCATCAAACGCCCTTATTTCATAACAGGAGTAACGGGACAGGAGCAGACGCGCACGCAGTAGCCCATCATCGTGCGCAATATGCGACTTGTCAGTTTCTCGAGGCAGCAGCCACCTCGCATGCACACCAAGGCAATTCCGCACTGTGCCGGATAATCAATCGCTCCCAGTAAAGCTTCCTGGCTGACGAAACACTCGATTCTTCCAGCTTGTGCATTTCACTTCTCACTACTCACTATAATACACAGCTAGGGAGTGAACTTCCAGGCAGTAAACAGGGGAGAGCCAGAAGTACGCGCGCATCAACGCGCGGAGAGCGAGCCGACTGACAGTAAATTTCGGCTGAGTCAAAGACCCAGTCATGACGCCGTGCGCTAAAGGAGTTTGACGTAGAAGTGGTGCCACTTCCTTGCTCCGGGAAAGAAGGAAAGACCCGTAGTGGCGGGCGAGCAGGTAGCAGGTGCTGCAGACAGGCCTAGACAAAGTTGTGGTTGGCGTCACACTAGCAGGAAAAGCAACGAGAGCTCAAAGACCTAGTGGATGCTGGCGGGTGGGCAGGACGTTGAAGCTGGGGATGATTATGTTTAATCAATAGGGTTTTGCTCTAAAGAGGTAGCTCGCAGAGCACGGAGAGAGAGCATCGAACTGTACCGAAAGAAATTCCAACGGATCGGGAATATCGGGATAGTGGTTAGCTAGCTGCCTGTCTGCCTGTCTGTTGGTGGACAGGAAAGCAAAAAAGACCGGTCAGAACCGGAACTGACGCAAAATCTGAATGTCAAAGTGTGCGCACGTGCCACAGATATCAAGCAGGACCAGCGAGGCCTCGCCGCCCAGGTCCGTTCTTTCTCCCGCTGCTGTTCTAAATGGCTGCAAGTTCCTGACGAACTTGACTGTCTTGAGTCTAGAAAGAACGCCACTGCCCTGTCCATTGGCTCGAAAGGATTGAATATAGTACGCTCGCCCGTGCCTTCTCTGCCAAAGTATCCGTAGCCGCAGTCACTAATGAGCTGCAGGTTTTTTGCTTTTTTAAATTTTGGAACTAGAAAGAATGCAATTTGAGAGCTGATGCTGCGTAGCATGGATGGGAGCAACGTGTGGGCCCCATAACCCTTCTCAGAATGCTAGCCTGCCGTTGTTCGTTTGTCTTAATCTAAGCGTTGAAGTCCCGGTCCCCCGAGATCCAAAGTGGGACCGATCATCTGGACGGTTCTTCGCTTGATCTTATCGGAGAGCGGCTTCCTAAACAAGATCTCGTAAGTCTCACTGATGTGATGTAAGCGGAAGTCAGCGAGCGAGTAGCAACAGGTAGCAGCCATAACAACAATACCGGTGGGTGGGCGGCAACGGTGGCGGCCGCAGAAGTAATACTTCGGACATGGCTCAAGCGCAGGAAAAGCCTACGAGATTTGAGATCTGCCAGTGAGGATGGGAAAAAGGAAAATCGAAATCATTATTGACGCATTGCCTTCGCGTATCAGGTGATATTATTGTTCGCGGACAACCGGCTTTCCGCTTTGCCGGCAGTGCTTACCTCGAATCAAGTTTCATTTTTTCTGTCCTGCATCGCAGCCGTGAAACACTTGCTCTCTTGCAAGTTTCTGAGCTCCGTAGATCTTTCGAATGTCCTTTGGGATCTCTAGAAACACGAAACCTGAACTCGACAGCTGTTGTTTTGATCTCATGTTGGGTTTCAATGTGAAAATTGACGCAGACTGAAACTTTGGGTAGCGACAGCTCTTGGAGGTGGTAGCTGCTCGAGTTTTTAGCACGCAAAATACCGCTCAAACCCTTTTGCGCGTCCAGTACACAATCTGTTTGGTAATTTGTTATTATCATCAATAATAATATTATAGATTCCGTCGTTATCGTGAAGCGGACTTACGCGATTGTGCATTGTGGGCCAGGCAGCGCACCATTAAGGCGGGAATCTTAGCGGCCTTGGCAAAGGTCCTTCCCAAAACTTTTCCCGGGCAGCATTAAAATGAGGATTTCATTTTATTATCCGTCATATTTTGTTCCCTCAAGACAGAAACTAGGCCTTCTAGGTCCCCTTCCCCTCTTCCCCAATTGTCCCGTCAACGGCTTCACAGCTGACACTAAGCCAGACTTGAGACAAATCCGCATATTTACCGCGTGCGTACGAAAAGACGCACGCCTTTCTCTGTGTCTTTCCGTATATTCCGTAATTGACTTATTTTTGAGAAAGAGGAGTGTGTATTCTGTACGCATTGCAATCATACCAAAAAGAGATCGATTTAGATTAAGCCTAAAGAGAGCGAGACTCGCGCTTTCAGAGCCTCCAGATCCGTATCGCTGCCTAGCCGCAGCTCCCAAGATTCTCCCGCGAGATCAGATCAGGCAACACAGAGTTAGTCCCCTACCAAATACGCAAGCTAGTCGCCGCAGCCTTGCTGCTAAATTCCGACTTCCGGTTCCCCTCTCTGCGCGCCTTCCAAAAAACCTGTCTACTCTGCTATTTACCATTTTTTGCAATTTTTCTCATCCTCGTGTTCTCGTGGGCTTTCCCTTTTCTTTTTATTCATTTGGTCTGGCATTCGTAATTATTTTGAGTCATCGTGCTCCGACAGGCTTGTTGGGCAACTGGAGAAGGCATGCGGTTCGCCTGTATCTCTCGATTGATGATGATGATAAATCTCTGTTTTAAGTCCGTTGCAACAACTAGGTTATGACAGATGTATCTCTCGATTTCAAACAAGAAGCCGAAGGTTTAATTCTTCAGCTCGATATTCGTGTACTGCAGACTGCTTTGCTTACATTCTCTGACTTAGATCTGCGACTTGTTTATAGAAAATTCGATAATGATAGCAAACTGTTTGTCTCAAGTTACTCAATGTTGTCGTTTGTTTGCTGCATCCGTTTACAAAAACCGTTTCGTCAAATTACGCATCAGCTGCACAGCGGTCATGACAGAAATCTGCTACAACCATCCGCTTGTTCAAATACTCTTTCATATGACGACTAGTCACCGCGCCTCTTTCTGCTAGTGCACGGCGCCAGTATAAAATTCCCGACCGCTTGTAAGCAAACTCTTTTGGATGATGGTTTTGATATCGCATTCATCATATCTTTTGACGGTCTGTAGCGTCGCCTCGCTTTTTCTCGTTATTTCAATTTCATTGCATAGTTTGCAGCCACGCGTTCTTTGCTGCTGCTGTCTTCTTGGCTGCCTTCTTCCCCTTCGGAGCTTTCCGCTTTTCCCCAGCCCCGTGCCGACGTGTGGGAAACTGTATGTATTGTATCCGCCCAGCCCGCTTGCGTCAATCGGTTCTGATATCGCTTTTCCGTGACACCCCTCAATTTACTTTAGAGATTCGTTTAAAGGCGTCTGTTCTTTCCAATTCTGGTAAACTGTCTAGTCACTCCCTGTACTAAGCCATGACAACATAAACTGACTTTCGCTGTTCTTCCACCTTAATGCTGCTGCTAAACGAGAAACAGAAATCGTGTACCAGCAGTTTAATCTAGTCTCCTAATATCTAGTCTACTGTTTCTAAAGCTCCGCTTGCATCCGGCGCGGCTTTGCTGGCTGCCTGTGCGTTCTGTTGGTCATCGGACAAACAATCGCCGACAATGGCCGAGTACGTTCATCATTTTAATTGGTGATCTCTACAAATGAGTCGAGATCTTATTCACCAAATCGCAGACTATACTATTGAAATCAAATGATGAGACGTAGTGCTGTTTTCTGTCTTTAGTCTCATCTGCTTTAGAGAAGGGGAGGTAGCTGTGCTGTTGCTGCTGCTTTTGTCATATATATCCAGAGCTCTTGGGGTGGCCTCGGAGCGACAGCTCCGATCCTCCTAAGTTATTTTCCTAAATTTCTTTGGATCTCCGACATGCGATACCTTTCCCATTAATACAGTGTCTTGACAGCGGCGCCCCTTGCATACGTGTTGCGAACTTACATCAATGAAGCTCAGTTTCCTGCCGCGACTGGTATATGTGTTGCCCTGACAATAAGCCTAGCTGGTTTGAGTGACAAGATTAGCTTTGAATCTGAGGGATTCTTGGAGGACGGTCTTTTGTTATCAAATTACGTCTCCTTCAATAGTTTGTGGAGACTCTCATTGGGCTTGCTCGCGTGGGTGAAGCAAATCCCTCTGCAGATGGGAGAAACATTGTCTTCGCCTTTCACTCAGCAATTGGTGGTCTCTCAATGCTCAGCCATCTTCCGATAGCTAAGCGGTATAAGGACAGTACAGGGATTGCGCCTAGACCATGTTAAGGTAGCTCGTATAGCGTGTATAACGAAGGCGAGAATGAACGCGGGCTTCATACTGTGAAGTTCAGTTACCTTCCATGCTGCTTCGGATTAGACCCGACGGTCAATCTGCGCTGCTCTCGACTCTTTGAAAGTCAAAGCGCGATCTGGGCATGAACCACAAGACCTATTTCGGGCAGCTTACGTTTGATAGCGCCTGCCAGTCGCTCGTTTACTTCCGCTTGAGTTTACTCACGCATCTACCGGCTCTGAGCGAAATAGCACAAACTGTTCTATCTCCTTCATCACAAGACCCCAAGAAGTCCGACCAAACATACTGGTATTATAAAACGCTGCTAAATGCTCAATAGGCGATAACACAATGCCGATTCCGGCGATGTATGCGTGCTCAATGCTCGGTAACAGTTGTAGTTGTTACTTGCTTACACGTGTCGCTTTGACTCGCTCATGAACTTCGCAACACTGACCTCTGCGCTGCGTCAAAGATGCACATCCTGCAGCATTCCAATTATTCTGCAGGAAACGCATGCGCCATAACTAATAAAAAGCGCCTGTTCTGCACTCTTGATGTATAAAACACTGCCTGCTGTGCTGTAGCAACTGCTATAAGACATGCATTAAGTTCCAGTTATCTAATGAAAGCTGCCACGTTGCGGCGCTCGAGCCCTCTGACCTCGTGGGCACCCGGGTAGCTGACTGAACTCTAAATGCGTGCGAGACACGAGTTTCGGGGAGTTTGACTGGGCGAGTTCTCCTTCCGGATCCGGTCCTGCAAGTATTTTGTAGAGGTATGAAACCCTTTCAATTTTTCGATAAACAGACAATTCAACCTAGATGTCTAGCAATGAAAAGTCAATTGGTTTTGTTTCTCTCTTCATCTCGCTCGCGGCTTCGGGCTAGTTGTAGTTGTATTAATTAGATAAACGGACGGCTGCGAGATCTCAGCAGCCAAAGACCTCAAATTTCGCGCATGGCGCGTCGGCTTCAGATTACATTTATGAATACTATCGTCAGCTGCAGAAAAACAAAAGATACGGGCCTCGCCGAACGGCAATCTCGCTCTCGTCAAGCAGCTGGTACAGTCATGCCGCTTTCGGCCCTCTGAAAGACAGGGACACTGCGCTGTGCCTTGCGCCGATAAGCTGCGCGACTATGACTTACTGTACATGCCGCTACTTTCCGCTGTGCCTTTGCCTACATATATGCATGCTCCTCTTGTGTCTTTTTTGCAAACATCAAGCCACTGGACTAATTTGCAGCAGAATCGATTGCAGACAGCTCTTTCATTTGAAAGGAGAGCACGCGGAGGGTGTGTGCAGCCCTTACTGCCCACCTATCTAAGGCGCATGGACCCTTTTTTCTTCATTCTTCATTATTCTGCTTGTAAAAGGCACGTGGAGCTGATAAACCACTCTCGGTCATTTTGGTCAGCTACACGAGCCGACAATAATCATTTTTGCGTAATCATTAGTTTTGAAGCACTAAAAATGCTATAGAAGTAGAAAAAAAATTGTTATGGCAGGAATCCGAAAGATGCCCTAATAGATTCGACACCGAGTCGCGGTTTTTGATTTTCGGTCTCGTTTAAAGTCAATAGATAAACTCTATTGGCGCCACTCGAGGCCAGGTAGTTGGGTTACACTTTTTTCGCGCACCCGCAACATAGGCAGCGCCTACACCTAAACAACACGGGAGTTTTTAACTGTTCGTCTTGTCTTCTGTGCTGAAAAATGGACCCTTTTAGAGTCAGTTATTAGAGCTGAGAATTTAAGAACTCTGTTTGAGGTAGTGTTGATGGCTAACGGTCATGCTTGCTGCAGACGTTTTAGCGAGCCCAGACGCCGGCGCGGGGACTTCCCCAAAAACGGCCAGTCAAAGTCTGTGTGCTGTACAGTTAACTGACCTCGGCACAACTTGATATCAATAACGCTCCGAAAAAGTAAACATGCGCGCCCAGATCTAAGTCCGATCGGCAACTGCTGCTCGAGATAATGATTGCGCTGTCGATTGATTAAGTGGGGTTTGCGATTGAGCTCTCAATCTTTATCTATAGAATGACTGCCCCCTTGCCGGGCTTCTCAGAACCCCGCATGAAGTACCGGGTGCCGGTTTAGTCAATACATTAGTGGAGATAGGCTCAGATTTTTTCCTATCGGCAGGTGGCTCATATCGAGCAGTCCAGGTGCTCTCATGTAGGCGCGCATTTCAGCCATGCATGGCAGCAGCTCATCCACCTTGACTCCCTTCCAGCGACTCACGATGCACCTATGCCTCCGAGCCTTCCGTTCTATAGCATGCCTTGTTTTAAATGCTTTATGCTGAAACATTTTCTGGTAAATTCCACCTCGGACTTTTGCAATTCGACGTCAGGTTTCCGCTGCTGTGGTCTATCATCTGAGAAGGCCTTTGCCGGAGCAGATAGTCCGACTGACTGGTGACGATGCTGTGACAACCAATGAGAGCAGAGAGTGACTCACCTTCTTGACAATCGAATCACTTCCAAAACGAAATCTTTCCTCTTATAATCGTTCTTTCCAGTGTTGATCCCGAAGATGTTTGTTCTTTCCGTACTGCAGATTTCTTTGGATCTCTTCTGTCCTGAGCACAGCCTAAGTGTCGAGCAGCGGCCACACCACTTGCACCAATCTGCTCAGTCGCCTTCTTTGCTATTGGGACTCGGCTACTATACTACTCTAACAGCCAGGCTAATTGGTTTGAGAAGGAATCATAGATAAGAGATACGCCTGGTTACTGACTTAGATATGAGGTTGCGCAAGACATTTCATACCATCGTCCGCGATTGTTTCTCCAGCACAGTGTACAAAAACAACGGCGCCTGGTAATTTACAAAAGGAGTGTTTATGCTAACTTGTCTTTTTTGCAATTGCCGAGTATGATAATTATATGAGATTGTCGTATACGGATTCGAATGAAATAATTTCCAAGCTGAGCTTGCGCGAAGAGCACATCCCACACCAGCTCAGTGTCTCAATTGAGACTCCAATTTTACGCAGAAAATGACAGCAACCAGTCTCTCAACAAACTGATAAATGAAGCTGACTATATCATTTTACATTCAGCAGAAACGTTGGGTATTCTGGTGCCTATTGGGTTGGATTTCAGGGCGTGTCTGCGAGAACCACCAATCTAAACATGGGTTTGCGCTTCATCTGGCCAAAACGTTCTCTTGGATAGCTGCAACGCTCTATAGCAATAATGGATGGTTCTACAAAGGCAATACTGATAATCACACTTTAGCTGACAAGAAAATATATATAGAAGCGTCTCTATTGAGCGGTGTGAGGTTTATGGCCTCTAGCGCGTCGTGTTTTGGGAGAGCTCATTAGCGAAATCAAGTCTGCCCTGCACTTAGCCATCGACATTTTTCGGCACCCATGATATACACTACTTCCAATACTCATGGAGAATTCAGAAAAGCGCATATACTTTTTACAGTTACCACAAGATTCAAGAATCGGAGTTTGGAAGGTACTTTTCTGGGAGATGTCGAACTGACGGAAGCCAATGGCATCGTGACGAGCCGAACAAACTTGAGTCCCTTCGTTTACGATAGGACAAGCTGTCGTTGAGCAAAATATTACGTTGAGGCTTTGCTACCGAGAGCGAGATTACAAATTGGCCGAGGCAGTTTGGTGGATTTGCCCTCCGCTCCCTTGGAGTGCTTCGGTATCACGACTAGACCTTCCCGCTCTACGCTTCGCTCACCCTTGACTGTGTCATTTGAGCAAACTCGACGACAAATATATGCTATACAAAATGTTCGGTATCTTGAACAGCAGGTTTCAGAATCTGGTGTTGCGCTATCATTCTTGTCATATTCTCAAGTTCGTTCTCTGTTCGCTACCTTTCCACAAACGAGTTTTTGCTTCACTAAGCGACGCCCACTTTCGATGCGCATATCATTAATCGCCATAGTTGTCTCACAACTATACGAGATACACTGAAACAGTGATTCTTACGTATCTTGAGCGCAAAAAAATAATATGAACTAATGTCTCACGGCTGATGTGTTTTATTAATATCTAAAACTTCGTATTTGGCAAGACATGCGCCTTCTCAGGGCGAATGTGACGTGGTGCTCGCTCGTAAGTCTCTCGTTCCCGCGAACAACAGCAAACTCTGAGCAGCGTTTCCTAAATTTTCTTGGTTGCCTAACTTTAAAAAACGCTTTTCCTGAACAGACGAATTGCTTATGAGGAGTAAGATACATGTACTCCTTAGCGTTCTCGACGGCGGCCTGCCTTTCTTGGACTGTGACAAGCTGGGTCTTCGGCTCGCCTACGCCTACGCGTTGGAACTACCCCTCCCATTTATTAACTGAGCTCTTGATAACAGCGACACTATTTTTGCTTGATCAGTGCTGATAACTCTAGAAGTCTCTGTATTGACCACACTGAGAATACTACTGATGACAACTTTTACGATTTTTCATCGGCAGTCGCGGTTTGGAAGTGCTTGTAGCTCGGTAAACCTGCCCGTATAAATAGGTTTGCGGACCTAGTGGCGGATTAGCTGCACTGACGGTATTGAATCAGTCGCCACTCCGCTCCATCCCCTGCGATGTTGCATTACATTAAGTGGTGGAATAAGGTGCTGCATTTTATTCTTCAGGAAATAGAGGGAAATGCAGAATCAGCAGCCGTGCCGTACTTGACCGTACCTCTATCCTCTTCTCCTGCATTCTGCTATATTTCTTTTTGACTGCTATATCGGCCTGCAGTCTAAAAAAAAGGCTGCGTCTAGCGTTGGATTTAGCATTCCCTGCCGGGCGGGCAACTGCCGGGACCTGGAAGCAGCGGATGCTACGTGCCGCAATGAGATGCAGACAGACAGAACTTGTCAAGTGACAAATGAAACGAACGATGAAAGCACATATAATATTCAGTTAATGAAATTAATAAAGAAGTAATATGAGAAATATGCGATGAAGTATTTGCTCAATCTCGTTATTCGCGTTGTCTCTGTTCTTTTCGAGTGAGAAATGCGAAAATTTGCTCGACCAACCTGTTACAGGCTCGAATATCCGTATAGTGCATTCAACGAGCTAGCGGACGAGCGTGGTTCCTGGCCTATGACGCGCTAAGCAAACTTTCAACTAGGATTGGGACCAGAAAACGCAAAACCCAAACAAAAAAGAAAAAAAGAAGAGGATTGCCACCACCGGGCACATGCAACAGTGATTAGTTTAATTGCTGCACCAACCTTGCTGCACCAACCTGTCTTGGAAGGTGTCAGGCGGTACACTCTTCACGTAACCGTCCCGCTCGTACGTGCATCTCCGGCATTCTTAGCTGCCGCTTCCGGAAGCTGCGGTTTTATTTCTTTGTTTTTTGCTGTATTGCCAGTTAATATACTGTCGTCTGTGACGGTCGATTTGGACAGCTGCCCTTGATTATAGCGAAGCGAGAACTTGACCTTCAGCGATGATATTACCTTGTTCGCTGCGCGAGCTTTGCGATTGAACGCTTGTTCGAACATTGGTCTGCCCTTGAAATTTTATAATCTAGATCGAATAGACCTTATTTGTCGGATTTCAGAAGCATTGAGACCTCATTTGGAATACTGAGTGTAGAGCAGAGTCTCTGATTACTGACTTTTGAGCGCCTCTGTAGCTGCTGCAACTGAAAGGACGCGGCGAAAAAGTTTAGTAGCAGGATTAAGCAGCAGCAGGAGGTGCAACGAGGACTTTAGCTGACTTCTCGACTAGCTCGTATGCGCGTACATGCACAAAGAGTTTTTCATGCGCTGAGCGAGCTTGTTTTCACTAGTGTTGGCTAAGAAGCGTCATCCCGCCTCAGCAGCGATAAATCATATTTTAGTTATCGTGTCATATTCGTTATCGTTCCGTCGACGAGCAAAGTCCGCGCTGTGCCCAGACCACTCGAGACTGTGCAGGAAATTAAAATCAGGAGGATTGAGCGTGAAGGAAATCAGATAGACGAGGGCGTAGAAAGAAAGAATATAGATAATTTCAGCGGCACAGCGCATTGACGAGTCTGTGATTGCCCTAATCAAAAACCTCTCAGTGAACATCAATCCCACCAACGGTTGCCAAACCCATCAGCTAATTTGTCTCTCCTTCGCTATTTCTCTGCTTTTTATCTTCTCGTTTGTCTTAAACTAGTTTTCATAAGTAATCGACCGGTATCTCTCGTCGCAACGTCAGCACGGGGGTCATCCTCCTCTGCTATTCCTATCGTTATACTTTATTACTACTGCACCGCGCTTGCTAAGGGACGTTCACTAATTTAGTGTAGAACCTGAAGTCTGAGCTAACTGACCGCCGTGGGTACCCGTCTCTCAGGCAGCACCCACGCAACGTATAATCTATTTCGTTTACTTAAATTCAGGTACTTTCGGGATTTGAAGCAAGCTAGGCTCTATTCCTCGTTCAAGGGAGCATCACTATAACCATCAACGCCAATACACTCGACCGCGAAACCACCAAAAGTGGTTAAAAAAAAGAAAAAACTTTTCAGCATTTACCACGACAAATAAAAAAATGACAAAAAAAATGATTCGACCCAGGATCGAACTGGGGACGTTCTGCGTGTTAAGCAGATGCCATAACCGACTAGACCATCGAACCATTTCTTAACAAAAAAATTTATCCGGTCCACCCCACTTTCAAAACGGGGTTAGGGTGATTATTAGGGGGATTGATAGGTTTCTAGCGTGAAGAGACGGCGGAGGTTGCTGCTGTCGCATTATTGGGAGGTGGTTGTAAATTATTTATTTTTCGGGATATTTTTAGTATTTGCTGGGTATATATTGAGCGATATAAGAGGCATGGTGGGCGACAAAACGGGGATATAATTACCACTACGCGCGATGACTTTCGAGACACGAGTTAGCTCTTAGAGTAAACTCCCAACCAACCGCCGCCTCCTGGCCAGACATTTACTAACCAAGACTGTACGAGGGCTTAGGTAAGGGATTAGGCAACACGTGCTAACACCACCCATGGCAGCTTGATTTCTTTAAGCCACCCTACACAGCTTGATTTCTATTCTATATTCTTTTTTAATCATGTCTGATTATCTTGATTCAAGGTTTTCATTGCTATAAATGAATCCGCTCTACTTTCTTAAAATATATTTCTACAAATCGCTAAATGTTTCGAGCCGACAGCTTATATAAAGATTGTTTTTTGTAGGAATCAATATGCGTTGTAGTTGAAGACATTCTATGGCAGGGTTAGGTTGAAGCCTCGCAAAATGGGTTCTGGCCCGAATTGTCCTGATCTCCCAACCCATCAGCAACTACTCTCCCTGATGAGTCGAATATCTATCCAAGTTCCATTACCTCCTCTATACCAAATACGACTAATTTCACTCGAAAGGAGACGTTTAGATTCTTTGAATTTCAATGCAAGGTGAGAGATTCTAGATATACTGAGACTATGATGATAAGGACGCGTGGATTAACAGTTCGTGCAATAGGATACAATAAATATTATCCACCAGACTACGGTATGATTTCTCAACTGTTTACCTAACTCTTATCAGATTCCGCCAAAATATCACCGCAATACTAACGCTTACCAATAAAAGATGGTAAATCATCACTCAACAAACTTGCCGGCAAACACAGCCTAGGCGACCGCGCCCGCAAAATCAAGCAAGGAATCCTGATCGTCCGCTTCGAGCTTCCATTCGACATTGTCTGTCTCCGATGCGAAAACTATCTGGCACAGGGCACGAGGTTCAACGCCGAGAAGAAAAAAGTGGGCGCGTATTATACGACGCCGATATTCTCGTTCCGGTTTAAGTGCCAGAAGTGCAGGCCTACGAGCGTTCATGGGCAGGCGCATTATGTTGAGATTGAGACCGATCCGGCTAATACGGAGTACAAAGTTGTTGAAGGTGCGCGAAGGAGTAATAATGACGGTAGTGGATATGATCAAGCAGCAAATGACGGCAGTGAAAATGATGCAAAGACAGAAATCGAAGAAACAGACGACGTATTTGCAAAAGTCGAAAAACAAGCAGCCGAAACTCTACAGCGAAGAAGAGCAAGCAAGCGAATACAAGAATTATACGAAGACAGCACACGACGATGGGGGGATCCATATACAAAGAACCAAGAACTGCGGCGGATATTCAGAGGAAAGAAAAAGGAGACAGAGAAGCAGAATAAGGCGAGCGACTCGTTGGCTTGGAGAGTGGCAAAGGTTTCCCAGCACCGCAAACAGATTACTAGTGGGAGCACGACGGCGTCGTCAGGCGAGAAGAAGAGCGCTAAGCAGCTGTTAATGGAGGCCGTCACTAAGAACAAAAAGAAATAACTTCTCGTTTGACAGTGATGGAGTGCATGATTTGGGATATAATGGCGTTAAATGGGTTCTATATGGGTTTTTACGGATAGAGGAAATATAGCATCGATTCTCTAATATACAACAACAGAAGTAATATACACAATCTCGCCCAAACGGATTCAAGAATTACTGCTCCCATGCGCGCTAACCGTAGCATTAGCCACCGACGGCGTAGAAACAGGAGGCTTGAAATTTGTAGCTCTGCCTTCATTGTAAATCTCGTTGAGGATATTCTCAAACGCAGATGGCCCGCCTTGCTCGTTGATCTCGAGATATTTCTGGTACAGGAATAGCGCAGTCTTGGCGTCCTCGATGGAGTCGTGGGTCTCGGTTTGGATGTTGTGTTGGAGTAGATACCAGGCCAGGAAACGAAGCGAGAGTTTTCTACATAACCGTTAGCTCTGGTGATCAGAAGGATCACAAAAACAGAGAATTGGATTGCATACCGCTGTCTTGATTTGATGTAGTAGATATCAACGGTATCGATAACCTGATCCTTGGGAACTTGAATATCTAGAGATCGAATTAGGTAATTAGCTTCCCAAAGGTTCCCGAAACGCTAATAAAATGAAGAGGAAAACCCACTAATTGTTCTGAAATCGTTAATAAGTCCATGACCAACGAATATACAGCCCAAATTTAACAACAGCCAAAGTTTTTTGTACGCGACCTTGAGCGGCACCAGCGACTTTTTCGATCGCGAAGGATCCAAATCTCCAAGCTCGATACCTGAAAACTCAGTCAAGTAGTTTATGATATCATCCGTCGTCGAGATGTAATCGTCGATGAACGCGACTCCCGCCTTCGGTCCCTGTCCCCGTACCACGGACACACGAGCAAGACTCAAGCGGCTGGGACGCACGAGCAGACGTGTACCGTCGCTACGGATTTCTGTGACTTCCTGCTGAAGTTGGACGAATTCGGCGTCGATGGCGACTAGCATGCCCGGCTTTGGTGCTTCCTCCTTTGCCAGACATTCAAACTCGAACCGTAGGCCTTCGCGGCTAGAGGTGAGGGAGGCTTCAATCGTCAGGAGCGAGACGTCCATATGCTGTTTCCACAAATCATAGTACTTCAAGTTCGGTTCCCGACAACTCTGATAGCTCACCACGGTCGGCGTCTTCCACACATAATCAAATTTGAGCGCTTCAGCAGCCGGGAACGGAGTTACCAAGAAGTCATTGAACAAATACCATTGACGCGTGCCATCTTCTTGAGGGATTCGAATGAGCGACACGGTATGATTGTCAGACTGGCCGAAACTCACTTCGAAAGCAATTCCAATCAAGTCATAAGTCTCTGACTTTCCTTCTTCAGCAACAGGAGGTATCGGGTCATTCTCACCCAGAGCTCGCACTTCGAGACCAGAGCTCGTTAGGTCTGCACGTATACGCATCGGCAAAAATCCTTTTTGATTCCAGATCTGTCGGGATGCATGTGAATCAATAGCAGCGTTGAGAGAAAGCACTGGCGGAAGCGAGTTTGAGATCCGCTTCGTGGTCGTCAGCATCTGATAGCGACGGCATTTTTCACCGCACCAGCCTCGGGTTTGTGTTCGAGTCTCCAGACTGTTTTGCAAAATCGAGCAAAACATGAGTGAAGACGCGGACGCTGACGATGCAGAACCTGCTGATTTCCGGTCTAGTCCTGAGCGAGAAAGTACCTGAGCGCCAGCAGTAGCGGTTGTAGCCGACATATCGGTAGATTTGGGATACACGAGATCAGCTACATATGACGTTGTACGGCGATGACTTTCAGAGCCACAGCTTCCACATTTGACCGAGATCAAGGTATGAATTCCTGCGATAGAGTCAAGCTGAGTCAAAGAATTTGGCTGTTGAGAAGGTTCCTGCAGAATACTCTCGCGAGTTCGGTTCTCCAAAGCGATTCGCTCGAGCAAAAACCGATTGAATGACTGTAACATCGAGCCGAGCGGATGTCTGTTACTACCGCTTTCTTCATCAATTAGTCCCAAAGCCGAAGCCTGCGGAATGGCGCTCAGCGTTCGCACAAAGTTGTATGCGCGACAGTGTTGGCCCTCAGCCTTTGTGAGCATGTCTAGCAAAAACCCAAGCTCGCAAAGAAGACAATTCTCGAGCCTGCACGGTCCTGCAACATGATTCAGTGCAAAATTGTAAATCAAAGGTGTGAACTTGTAAATCTGAAGCAATGCGTTTGTGTAAGAGTTTTGAATGTGTGCTTCCAAACCAGCATACCGCGTTCGATTATAGAACTCAAAGTCAAAATCCTCGACTCCAAATCGACTGTACTTGATATCGACTTTCTTGAAGGATTCAACCGGATCTGTCGTTGCCTCCGCAGTCTGCTTTGCGGCCGCTGCCGCTGCTCCGTTCTGCGCAATCAACTTATCAAGCTGACTCCTGAACATTGGAGTCTTTGAATTTGTCCTGTTCGTCGTGTTGGTAGGTAATGGCTCGGTAACATATCTCCGCAGCCTCTTGGGGAAGGGCGCGTATCCGACAAAGTCAACTGTCTTCATTGTAGCCAGAATCTCAGGATCGATAGGCGATGAAGTTCGTCCGCAGTCGAAAATCATGTCGCCAGGCCAGGCTGAAAGAAGCTTTTCTCTGTAGTACGGCATTCCCACGCTGTTCAAAGGAACGTCTTCGTCTTCAAGCTTTATACTTGGACCGGTATCGAGGGGAGGATCAGCCCATTCAATAGGTCTACCGAATTCTGTGAAGGTCGAGGCTTCTGGAGTTCCCCACACTTGGACAGTCCCAGAACTTCCCGCCAGAGCAAAATAATCACCCGACGAGGAGAAATCAAGAGCAGAAACATATGGGATGTTTGCCTGATATAGGAACGCCATGGCGGGATTTACAAAATCGAGCATCTGAAGCTGTCCAGAGACGGAGGAGACAAGGCACGTTGTCGACATCTTGGGATGCAAACGAACAAATGCTGCACCGGCAGGGAACGGTACTGGAGGCTGCGGTCTGAACGTTCTTAGGTCGTAGATATTGAGAAGAGGGTCGAGCAGGTATGAGCTTCCACGATAAGTGTGGCCACAAGTCAAGAGAACGTTATCGCGCGAATCAAGATCGACCAGGCCACCGGAGTGCGCGGGGATCTTGCGCACGACCTGCAGGGAAACTGGATCAATCAGTACGACGTCGCCCTTGGTTGAGCCGGCGCAGATCAGTCGTCCACCGCGGCGCATCACTGAGAAGCCGTCTTCGGTTGGAAGCTCGGCGACGATGCTACCGCGATCCACGTTGACGCGAAGAAGACCGGGTTTTGACTTTCCTACAACAACTTCAGAGGTTCCGCGAGATGTGTAACTCATACACGACAGATCTTTTAACCGCTCATCATCACTATTACCCAAAATCAGTATCAGCATCAGCCACGGGTCAACAAAAAGAAAAACGGGACAAACCTCAGGTTGAAACGAACTAGGCCGCGGCGCTGGGTCATTCGCAAATTATCGCTTCCCAGAGAAAGCACGCCTCGATCATTGACCAAAATCTGAGATACGCTTGATCGATGCCCAATAAAACTAGTGTATTTGCGTAGTGATGTGCCGGCAAAAGAAGCAATACGGCCCTAGCATGAAAAACGTTAGAATAATCCGACTCCATGCCAGAGCATGATCATCCATCACTTTGCAGAACAGGAAGCAAAGCCAGCAAGACGACACCGGATAGAACCAACGAGAACAAAGCAATTACATTTTCATCGCCAGTCCAAAGGATTTCCTGACTGGTATCAAAGACTGTGGCCGTAATTGGCGCGATCGTGCCAAATGGCTGAGCAGTGACTTGGTAGATCTAGACGCGAGAGCATTAGCAGGAGCCCTCCGCGTACGCGCTCAGTCGATGCAGAGATAATCCAAGACAAACCTCTTGCCAGCCTTCCATAGTCGCTGAGAGAAAGTTCGATCACAGGCGCATGAAATATCAGGTTTTGGAGATCACTGGCTCATGACGCGTAAACAAATTACTGCTGCGTTCTTGATACTTGCTACGGTTTCGGTTGAGCAGGAGGAACTCGCACAGATTCGATGACCCCGGCACTCACGTGACTCGTGAGGCTGACCGACGACTGACCCACAAAATTAGTGTGGACAATGAATGCCGGATAGAGGAGATGGATGAATTCAAGACAGAGAAATAGACAATGCTTCTATGTTTCTGATAAGTCACGGTCTTTGATAATCAACGTACGCTACTACAGCTGCACGAGGTCGTTTGCTGTACCGCAGACCGAAGAGGACTAGATATAGCCCAGCAGAGAGTAATTAATTAGGCGTTGAAAATGAAGCCGTGCTAGTAACTAACTTACTGAAGGAGTCAATGACAATAGAGAGACCCACAGCCTGGAGTCAGACAGCAGCGAGCGGCTACAATGGATGGAGACGGGATCTTCTGCATCCGCGCTAATTATGGAGCACCTGGAGATCTACGTAGTACAGCCCACAGATGCGTACAACGATCTGCCTCTAGCGAGACTACTCCGCTACTTCATACGCAGATCTCAAAAAGAAGCTGCAACTGTCGTTGCTGATAACAATGCTGATAACAAGATGGTAATTTTAGCTTCTCGAGGCCCGTAGAAACTTTTGCTGCAGATAGTTCAGCCGCTAGCGGATTTCCTTTCCTTCCACTGTCCCAAATCCCACCTGCTGAGATCCGCAACCAGCGCGGCTCGTGACAAATATCGACCCAAATCATCTGCGTCTGAACTCCACAACAGCTACTAGTACCCCAGCACAATGGACTGGTCTCTCTTCCGGCCGAGGACGAGGTCCTTGTCGATGATAAGCACACAATCGTCTGCCGTCTCAGCTGCAGGCGTGTACGCAGAGCCGCCGCGTCGGGGAAGCATACTTTTCGAGGACCACAACAACCCAGGGGAAAATGAAGCTGAAGCCGAGCCGGCGGACGAAACGGACGTGAATCGTTCGAGCTCAGGCTTTTTCGGCCGACCGCACGATCCCGATCGGAGTAGAAAACAAAGGGCTTCCCGCAATAACCACCACAAGCACAACGTCTCAATGAACTCAGCTTCCTCCGCAACTTCTCGAGGCACAGACTCCAAGGACATGTGGGACGACAAATCCTCGCACGCTCCGACAGCAAAGACCACGTCCCCAGAATCGAGTGAATCAGCAGAAGCAGAGACTCCTACCAAGCGCAAGAGAATGAACAGACTCAACAGCCGAAGGATAAAATCCGGATTCAAGAAGCTTCTTCTCGAAGACGAAATCAACGAGTTCCTCAACTCAAAGGTTCACGATGACCCCTTTGCGCGTTCCTCTTTACCTTACGCTCTCCGCTTCCGCGGTGGTATTTTCTGGAGCTTGGTTCCCCAGATGTGCATCGTGACCGGATGGGCGACCTTGATTGTCTGCATCTCGATCCTGAAACACAGCCTGGGAATCGCGTCGGTACTCATCACCATGCTCGGTTTCGTCACCGGTCTCGCCCTGTCTTTCCGCGTCAACACAGCCTACGAACGATATAACGAAGGACGAAAGTACTGGGCACAGCTTACAATGACTGTTCGCAACTTCTCGCGTTTCGTGTGGATCCAGGTACCCCTGCGTAAGGGGCACGAAGAGTCTGATTTCCTGATGAAGGTCGTCGCATTAAAGCTCATGGTGGCCTTCTCTATCGCGCTCAAGCATCACCTCCGAGAAGAGTTGGGCACTGATTACGATGATCTACGTCCTTTCGTCGATTATCTCCCTACCTATGCTCAAAAGCGTGCCACGGTGGCTACACTCGAGAAGGTCCACAATGAGCAGGAAAGAAAGTCAAAGGATATGGACGCGGAGAAATTCGCGACAGAGGCGGAGGTTCAGCGGTCATTTGCTGCTGCTTCTGAAAGTAACGCTTCACCGACTGATCCAGTTATGCCATCTATCCGTCGGACAATGTCGGTATCCTCCGCATTCAACAACTTCCGTCGCAGTGCGATGGGACGACACGCTGAGAGCGGAGACGAGGCCCACAATATGTTTGGCCGCGGCCTGCATCAATGGTTACCGGAGCATCCTAAGATTTCCGAATATCTCGTTGATCGCGATGACCGCATCTCCCGCGCTACCGTCGTCCATGGAAATCTTCCGCTCGAGATCTTGAACTTTCTGGCACTCTACTGCAGGGAGTTACAGCACGAGCAGGGTGCTCTTGTTGGCCCGGAAGGTACATTCTTTTTCACATTTTACAACACTCTTTCGGAAATCATGACTGGGTGAGTACATCAATCAAGTTTTTGTTTTTAGTTGAACTCTACTGACAGAAGATGTTAAAGCACTGAGAGAATTCTGCGTACACCGCTACCGCTGGCTTACAACATTCTCTGTAACCAGCTCGCCTGGATCTTCGTCCTGATCCTGCCCTTCCAGCTCGTCAGTGTACTCGAGTGGGTAGCTATCCCCGCAACCGTTGTGGCCGGATACGTTATTCTCGGATTAGCAGCGATCGGACTCGAGATTGAGAATCCCTTTGGATTTGATGCCAACGACTTGGACCTGGATCGGTACTGCCAGAATATCAGTGTCGAGGTGGCGATGATGATGTCGAATGTGCCGTACTCCAAGCCTACAGAGTGGATGCACGACAGTCAGAATCGGCCGCTTGCTCCGGTGTTCAACGGCAGCTTTGATACGTGTTTGAATTCACTCGAGCTCGAAGACATGCAGAGAATTCTCCAGCAGACGATTGAAGATCCATCAGTTCGTTTCCATCTCAAGAAGAAGGGGCATAGCCGGCCGCGACGCAGCACCGACTCGGACCGTTCGCAGAAGAGCAACAAGAGCGCAAAGAAGGACAAGCTGCGCTCCCCGAGCACGGACTCGCCCGTGGCGAATGGCGACGCTCATCATCAGGCTCCGGCGCCTGTGGCGAGTAAGAAGCAGACGGCAACGGTGGCGGCCCGCCAGTTGAAGAAAGGACAGTGGAAACAGAGCGTGATTCTTGAAGAAGAAGTCGATGAGGCTGATGCGGCGCCTTCAACACCGTTATCTGCGGGTCCTGTGGTGAAGGATGTACCCCGCCGACCGAGTGCTTTGAGGGTAAACACCGGGGGTTCAGCGATCCCGAGTGAACTGAGAACTCCGCCGACGATCGTCCATACTCCTGTTGATTCAGCTGCTCCGGACTACGACGTTGAAATTGACGACGATAGCGACGATGCCGAAGCGGAGGAAGATCCTTTGCGGAAAGCCGAGAAGAATCTACCCAGACTGGCGACGTCTGTGATGGAGAACGAAGTCAACGAGCTAGTTCCGACGTCCTCGAACGCGTCCCGGGGTAGTCGCTCGAGCGCTCAGAGCTCTAACACGAATGCGCCTAGGGAGAGACTGACTGTTCCTGGGCAAGAGGAGGAAGCGGAGGAGGATGATGTTCTTGAAGTTGTCGAGGAGCCGCGGGCGTATGACTTGGATGACGAGGAGGACGCGCAGAAGATTTTCAAGGAGCTGAAGCCTTGAATATGTGTGCCATCTGAACACAATATCTGACAACGAATATATAAATAACAACTATTAGTATTTACGATATATATCTACAGCAATAGATCAATAAACTAGTTACAACAACAAAAATAGAAGCCGTTACTAATCAAGTCACGTGCGAATCTGCATCGCGTTAATTAATCTCGTCTGTTTGGTTACCCGACAAAGAGAGCTCGGGCAGGAAAGGGACCACAGGGCCGATGACGTCAGGGCCAGCCCTGCGCTAGTCCGAACACGGGTTAGCGTATCTCGCCTGGGTCGGCGTAGCTCCTCGGTTCTCTGCCGCTTTGTGTTCAGCTCTTCCTGTTCTCTCGTCCGCCTCTCTTCCGCACCGCTGCCCGCTCCTCCTCCCTCCGCACACACCCACAATGCTGTGCTCCGAACGACACGTCTCGACCACCCGCATCGAAGCCGTGCACGCCGCCAGGCAGCAGCAGCTCGCGCTCTACCCGCCCTCGCCCCCGGCCTCCGTCGCAAACTCCTTCGACAGCTCCATGGACGACATCACCCACGCCCGCAGCTCCACCCGCCGGCCGCCCGTCCGTCCTGCTCTCGAGCATCTTCCGCCCGAGGTTCTTGATATCATCTTCTCACATCTCTCTACCGATCCCCACGGCGGCCGGTGGAGCCAGGTTCTGGCGTTAGGGAGGACCTGTTCAAAACTATGCGATGAAGTATGCCTTCTCTTTTTGGTTTGTGGATGCAACTTTTTTCGTCGGCTTTCTCTCTTACACTCCTCTTCTTCAAGGTAAACCGCTATCTCTATTCCAACATCCGGCTGGAGTCGCCGCGCGCGTTCGACAAGCTTGTCTCCACACTGCTCACCTGTGCTGGCACAATCGCTCCTCTCGTCCAGTCCTTCACATACGTCGCCCCAGGCGAGTTCACTCCGCGCGCTCCGTCGGGCTATCTGCCCTCCGACCTCACACCTGTCCTCACACATCTCCCGACCATCCTCCATCTCTGCCCAAACATCGAGACGCTCGTGCTCGAAAATATCAACGACATCACACTCAAAGACTGGCAGCACCTTTTCCCTGCCTCCGCCGTCGCCCTCAAGCGCATCCGGTTTTTCAAATGGTCCTACTACTCCGGCTGGCGCCGCGGCCGCAACTTCTCGAGAGCATGGTTCCCAGTCCTGGCGAGCTTCAAAGCGCTGCACGAGCTCAGCCTGGCGAACTGCGTTATCGACTCTGAAGCGACATCCGGTGTCTCCGTGGCGGCGTTTTTGGGCGTGCAGAAGCTCGAGCTGGAAAACATTTGCTGGTCAATGTCTGACATGCAGAGCTTTGCGCCACTGCTGCCAAACGTTGAGTGTCTTGATATGAAGACGATAAAGGTCTTTCCGTACCCGACTACGGCTTATCATCCGCTGCCGCCGATGTTTACGAAGCTGCGTGCGCTCTCTGTTGATTGTGCGTCGCGCATCCTGTCACCCAAACATCACATTTGCAATTTCCTTGCCCCGAGTCTAAGAACATCTCTGGAGTATCTATCTTTATCAGGCGGATGCTCACTATGCCCTGCATTTTTCAAAAACCTGAGTATACCTACGTTGTACATCCACCTATCGCAGCTGCGAGTCTGTGGCGGGTTTGAAAGCACACGGGATCTCAACGACGTCATCGTGAGCTACGTCGACAACTGCCCCAACATCGAGCGCGTCGACATCGAAGCCCCCAGCATGGCGATCGTCGACAAAGACGGCCACAATCTTGGCGGCGAGACAGACATCGGACGACGAGGGTCCTGGGTTTTTGTAGACATTGACTTTCGGCTTACAGAGAAGGAGAAGATTCTGAAGGCGGCGAGGGAAGGTGAACATTCCGAGCGCAGCGGGTTGCATTCGGAAGAGGACGAAATTAACCGGCCTATGGCGAGAACTGGGAGTATGCGAAAGCATATTATCGGTATCCCAGAGGCGCGACTAAGGGAGCTAGAGCATGTATATGATGATCACCGGCGCCGGGAGGAAGAATCCGAGGCGAGCTGAGGTGCTCACTCTTTCAAGTTCTGGTCTACTGCATTTTTGGCATATTGTAATTATTTCCTTTATCTTTTTCTGTATTTCCCTTTTCTCTGTTTTGCTTTCTCATCATCTTTCTGCGTTCACGGCGTATCAACATTTTGTCACTCTTTTGTCACTCTTCTTTCGCACGCACATTCAATTGGTTATCAGTGCTGCCCGTCATCACTATCTCCTACTTTTTATTATATGTTTCGGTTGAATTTTTTTTCTGTTGGTATAGAGAAGGCGAATAATTCAGGTACCGAGATTTTGGTACGGTGTAAGTTAATGAAAAGAGGAGAAGGGAGTAATGCTTAATAATAATGATTCTATTGATATTTTTGTCCTAGCTTGTGTCGGAGCTGTCGATCTGCTGAAGAGGATGGAGATGGAGGACGAATGGTGTATCAGATTCGTCCGGGGATGGAATCCGAGTGACTTACAAGTGAGCTGTTCACCAACTCTTCTCACATATCCAAGGAACAGCACGACAGCCAATCCAGCACATTGGACAGACCACTGACTGGTCTTCTAAACTCCGCAAGGGCTCAAAAAATCGCGCTCTTGCATACGTCAAAAAGATAGCAGCCGTCATCGTCATTGCTGCTTCCTGAATTAAATACGCAGAGGCATTATGACGTAGAGGAGGGAAACATGGTTTACTGCTTGGCTCCGGGTCACAGATTCGAAACGGCCGAGTCCATGGCCTCGACCCCCGATTCACTGCTCTTCCAGCAGGGATTTCGGGCTATGTGATTCGAGATGCAAACCGAACGCGAGTTGTTGTAACTGGAGCAGGTGCGGAGGACGATGACGTTGTTGGCGTTGATCTCAGCGGCGCAGCTTGGCTGTCGCGGGGGCGTACGCACGGCTGACGAGATCTTGCGCAGCACCTTCCGGTTCCGGGGACTGAGAGAAGGCGTTCGTCAACATTGCTTTTCTTGATGTGTTCTTACATGCCGAAAGGGATTATCGGAACATCTGGACTTTTTCAGAGGGCTTTGTTTTGAGCTGTTTATTACCTCCGCAGGTCGAATGACGAGTGGGAGAACGGCGTGGGGAAGTCGATGCTGTAGTTGCGATTACATCTTCACGCGATGCTCGCTACCATATCACGACAAATCTCTAAGCAGATATGCAGCGAATTCAAGCACTTTGCTTTACACTTACTGACATATGTAGTAAAGAGGTTTCAATTACTCCCAGGCATTCGTAAGACCGGCCAGTAGTAATTACTAGTTACCGACGAGTTAAGCACTATCGCTGCAGGGTAACTACTTTACTGATTAGGGTCTGATATTCCGGATTCGTTAAACACCATCTCGCCTCTGTCATATCTCATCTCGATCCTGCCAATTGAATCAACAGCACGCATCAGCGTCCTGTTCTGTAATCTTTCCAGCGAGACGATTCAGACCATCATCAACACCGCCCACCGTATCCTCTTCGGCAAACTCGCACACGCCCGGCTCGCCATGAAATCAAAGCTCAAATTCCCGATGCCGTCAAACGGCAAACCCGACCTATCGACAATGGCAGACTACATAACCAAAGGCGGCGTGTCCTCGGTCGTGGTTATGGTCGGTGCCGGGATCTCAACCGCGGCGGGCATCCCGGACTTTCGGTCGCCGAAAACCGGGCTCTATCATAACCTGTCGCGGCTAAAACTGCCGTACGCTGAGGCGGTTTTCGATATTGATTATTTCAGAAAACAGCCGGAAGCGTTCTACACGCTCGCGCAGGAACTGTACCCGGGAAAATTTAAGCCGACTTTGTTTCATTCGTTTCTAAAAGTGCTGGAGGAGAAGGGAATCCTGCGACGCGTCTACACGCAAAACATCGACACGCTCGAAGAGATCGCGGGCGTCGAGGCAGACAAAGTGGTGTATGCGCATGGCTCATTTGCAGAGAACCACTGCATCGACTGTCATGCGGAGATGAGCAAAGAGGATCTGAGAGAAATCATGGAGAAGGATGATATTCCGCGGTGCAAAAAATGCAAGGGTTTAGTGAAGCCTGATATTGGTAAGTACCTCTCACTGTATAGCTTCTCACTAGCCAGTACTAACGCAATATCTCATCTAGTGTTCTTTGGCGAAAACCTTCCCGCGCGATTTTTCAAACTCCTCGACAACGACCTCAGCGCAGCCGACCTCGTTATCGTCGCCGGCACATCTCTACAGGTGCACCCGTTCGCAAGTCTCCCCTCACAAGTCTCCTGCCCGCGCATTCTCTTCAATCTCGAGGCCGTCGGCGACTTTGGTCGGCGCAAGACCGACGTCATTCGCTTGGGTGCTTGTGATGAAGGGATTAGGGATTTGGCGGATCAATGCGGATGGGGAAAGAGGCTGACTGAGCTGTGGGAGAGTAAATCCAAGAAGTGGAAGAGCGTGGAGGAGGAGGAGGAAGCTGGGGCAAAGACTCAGAAGGAGGTGTTGAAGGCTGTTAACCAAGAAGCGAAAGAGGAGAAGATAGATGGAGAGGATAAAGAAAGTAAGGAGGTAGAAAAGATCACCGAACAGATTAGCGGGATCGAGATAGCAGACGAGACAAGCAGCAAGGAGACAAGCAGCAAGTCAAAGGTATAATCTAGCGCGAGATATAACAATTAATTTTATTTACATTCTAAACCAAGCTAAACATATAACAAGCAATTTTCCCTGCACTCAGCAAACGATCGTAGCTCAGTGCTTTTTCATATCAAGCTCCTCGACCTCTTCATCGTCGTCGTCAGCGTCAATCACCGCCGAGACCTTGGCTTCTGTAGTCGGTCGCGGGGCAGCTTTCTCTGCGGTCTTGCTCTTCTTCTTTGGCTTCTTCTCTTCGTTCCAGGCATACAACGGCTTAAAACTGTCAAAGAAACCGACGTCCTCAAACAGATTCGGGAAAATCCACAAGCCGGGGCTTACGACGAAGTACGTGATTCCGAATAATATCAGTCTGAAGATCGCCATTGCGAAAAACAGGCCCAGCAAACCCAGCGCGCCGACCGAGAGGTACCACACACCAAGTCTGAGAATAGGTGGCCACAGCGGGAACAGTACGACCGCAAAGATAACGGCCGCGATCAGACCGGCGTAGAGGTATGTCGTCAGCGGCACTTTTTCCCATAGCCAGACGTAGTAGATCGAGTCGTCGGTCGAGACGACTTGTTCGCGCACAAACGCGAGCGTAGGCACGCCTTTTGTCTTTGACAGCGCAGCAATAGGCGGCACCTGCGCTTTCGGATCTTTTGCGAGCTTCGCGGCCACGGTCTTGCGCGTGAGCTTCTCGACGCGGATAGCGAGCTGGCTCATAGGCAGCAGACGAAAGGCTTCCATGGCCTGCAACTCAGTCTCGATCTTTGGCAGCGCAGACCCGGCCTTCCGCTGCGCCTTGACGTATTTCTCGGATTGCAGCGCGCGCAGGGCGCGTTTGACGCGGAAGAAATCGGCGCGCTTGCCGTTGAGCACGCCTTGTCGCATCTTTAGATCGTTGTTATGGCGCAGAAAGCTGGCGACCGCGAGCGCGGCCGGATTCGGCGGCGGAGGGCCTTGTTGTGGTTTTGCGGGGCCGCCACTCATTCTTGTGATTGATTGAGAGTTTTGAGTGAATGTGGGTGTGGTGGGGATGTGGGGTTCGAGAGAGAGGAAGCCGGATAGAAAGCGAGGGGCGGCCGCTACGATGAGGATGCCAGGTGTCTCTGGGAAAATAAGGTTTCCAAGTATACCAAAAAGAGTCGAAGTCAACACCAACTCCCAGCAACATCGTTCACCATCCCTTCTTCGCAGTCCAAACCGTCACCGCTCCTTTGTCGATCTCAACCTGTGGTGACTATATCTGAGCGCGATGTACTGTCTGCGGTACTTTTTGCTTTTGCTGCTTATGCCCACGACGGGCGCGTCACCGCATTTCCTCGCGGTTATGCTGCTCCTGCTGTTTGTTTTACACCGGCCATGGTACTTTTTTCCCTTGCTACGATCCATCTATATCCACCTGTTCCTTCCTGCATCTGCCTACTGACACGTCTACTTCTTTTTCAGCGTTTACTGCTCTTTGATTCTCATTGCTCTCTTCTCTTCAACGTGCTACTTTGCCGATCACTGCTTCATCGACACAAACCACGGCAACCTCTTCCTCCCGCGCGTCTTCCTTCCCGCAGACCTTGCCTCGAAGCCCTCGGCCGTCTTTGACGCGCTGGCCGAGCACGCCGCGATAAACGCGTTGGCGCGACCGCTGCTCCGCAAGTCGATCAACGCGACAGCTACATTGTTCAACGTATCCGTCAACGCGAGCGCGGTAGTGCAAGCAGTTAGGGAATTTAAGCTCCCGTGCGTGGCCGTGAAGGTCAGGCTATAGTCGCCTCTTGTCGAGAAGCTACCGAAAGAAAGTGTGGATCATGAAGGCAATTTACAGTACGAACATACAGGCAGAAATAGCTGCGAGTAAGGAGTCGATCAGCAGAGAATACCTCCGCGCACGAGACAGCCGCTCGATTCAGCATCATCACCATCAACATCCATCATTCATCTTCTTGCTCCAGACCGCGCAGCCCTCTTATACACTCCACAGACTCTCTCGGTTAGGAGCAATCCTAGCCTAGCTTCCCTTCGGCGCGTTTGCATCTACAACACCTCTCACCACGAAGCCTTGTTCTCCCACCACGAGAAGCTCCACACCCACCTCTCTCTCCAACCCACAGAATCCCTTTCTTACGAGTATTTTTTAGTTTCAGAAACTAATCCCAAGACCTTGTATATTTACATCAACGTGACGCGTTCTATTTGTGCATCCCATACGCATTCATTGCTTCGGTGTCTTTTGTTTTCGTTTGTGTTTTGGATCCGTTGGTTTTTTTCCATCAATGATATGATCTCATTTTCTTTTCTTCGTTGTGCAGCTAGTTCTCTATAAAGTTTTTCATGCTGATATCTCTTATTCCGTACAAATCATATTTGATTAGAAATCTGAGTCTTTTCATCCAGCCCTTCAACGACCAGTTTCCGATTCGATCTATCTGGTGGTGGTGTTACTTGCCCCTAATCACAATCACTTCTCTTCTTTACAGTCTATGAGAGGCAAACCATAAGAAAAGAAAATCAAACTGAATTTTACACCCACCACAATGCTAAACTAAACCAACACCACCTTTCCCCGTCTAGCAAGCTTTTCTGTCTGCCTTTTTTTGTTTCTAATAATATCCAATCACTCTTTGAGATTGGAAGACTGTCTCCCTTGATTGCTGTGGTGCGGTGGATCTTCGTACATCGACGAATAACTATACTCTAATATAAAAAAAAAACCTGTAGAAAAAGAAAACCGTCTACTCTCGCTGCACTGTTTAGGCTAGCTCACGCAACAATCTGTCGCGTGATATCCCCCTGCTTATACATCTCCTCGATCGTACTCCTAAACACCGTCACCGCGCTCGCGCGCTTCAACTTCAACGTCGGTGTCAGCACATCGTTCTCGATCGTGAACGGATCGACAAAGAGCCTCAGGTTGCGCACGCGCTCGTAGCCCTGAAACTTCGCCTCCTTTGCCGCTTTCTCAAGCTGCGCGAGCACGGCAAGACGCACGCGTTCGTCGGCGCACGCGCGCTCGAGCGCAGATTCGTCGGTGGGACTGACTTCGGTGCCGAGAATTTCGCTCGCAAACGGCGCGAAGGAAAGCGGCTGGATGGCGGCGATGGCGACAAGGTACGGCTGCACGGAGTCGCCGTGGACAAAGAGCGTCTGGACGAGCGGGCAGCCTGCGAGGTAGCGGTTCTCAATCAGCTCGGGCGCGACGTACTCGCCTTGCGAGAGCTTGAAGAAGTTCTTGACGCGGTCGATGATGGCGATGCGGCCCATGTCGTCGATCTGCGCGACGTCGCCGGTGTGGAACCAGCCGTCGGCGTCGATGGCTTGCGACGTGCGCTCGGGGTCCTTGTAGTATTCCCTGAACAGCGTCGTGCTGCGGATCAGAAGCTCGCCGCGCGGGAACGGCTTGTCGGTCGACAAGTAGTTGAGATCAGGAACGTCGCGCAGGCACACCTCAGCTGTGGCAGCTGGAGGACCACAGTTCTCGGTACTATAATCCCCGGCCTGCTGAACGCAGCACGCAGCATGCGTCTCTGAAAGTCCGTAGCCTTGCACCACCGTAAGCCCAAACGCCGCTCTCAAAAACTGATGCGTGTCATGCGTGAGCGGCGCCGAACCAGACACGATACTCCCAACCCGCTCCAACCCCGCGTTCGCCCTCACTTTCTTTGAAATCAACCGATCCCAAAGCGCGTGGTTAGGACCAAGCCCGTCCTCGAGCTGCTTGAGCTTGACCGCCAATCCGTAGCGAGCAATATTAGACCTCCACCCGGTCGCATGCACAGTCTTCTCCTTGATCCCGGTCTCGAACCGCGTGAGCATGCGCGGCACGGAGGTGAACGTCGTCGGGTGCGCCTCGCGCAGGTCTTCGAGAATACGCTGCACGTTGCCGCGGAAAAACGCAATCTGACCGCCGGCGCACATACCGATTCCGAGCGTCGCGCGCTCGTAGATGTGGGCTAGCGGGAGATACGAGAGCACGGTGTCGATGATTTCCATGCCTGATCTGGGAAGATGCATGAAGCCCAGCGCGAGCGCGCCGACGAAGTTGGCGTGAGTTAGAACGACTCCCTAAAGATGATGACTGTTAGCTATATACTGGCAGCAGTACATTAAATGAGCCTTATATCCCCACCTTTGGAGCAGAAGTCGTGCCCGACGTATAATTAATTGTCAGAATATCCGACGGCACAGGCGGGCTATGCGCACGGGGAAACTTTTTTCCGAGCTCCTCGACCTCGGCCATCGTGTAAAGCGCGACGCCTTTTTCGGCCGCCCAGGCGCGTAGTATATCGTCCTTGCTTTGTTTGGGGAGATCGGTCTCGGATTTGAGGTCGTCCATCGAGATGATGACTTTTAGATGTGGGAGCTTGTGGGAAATTGCGAGGATCTTTGGGAGGTGCTGTAATTATGCGGCAAGAGATTAGTATGAAATGATGGTCCGAGAAGGCTATGGTTAGGTCTTACCTCCAACGATGCTACCAGAATCGGAGACTCGACAGAGTTGATGATAAACTCACTCGAATCAGGGCCAAGACTAAATAATTAATGCATTAGCACAAAATAAAAATCAACTACCCAAACAAAGCCAAGAGAAGGCAACATACTTGTCATATAAAGGCACGACGATAAGGTTATACGCGTGGCACGCCAAATCAGTGATAATCCACTCCGGTCTGTTCTGCGAGAAGAGCGTGAGCGCGTACTGCGTGTCCTTTGCGTTTTTCGCAACGTGTTCGTTCAGATAACACAGGCCCGAGCCACAATTTGTTCTGCGCTCGGCGATGGTGTCGTATGTCTGCCAGATGTACGGCGACCACAGGTCGCGCGCAGGATCAACGAGCACGCGATGGCCGAGCATGTTGCGGGAGCCAAAGTGGGAGACGGAGTATTGGAAGGCGTCATACTGCGTACGGATCTGGGTTTCAAAGTTAGCACGATAAGGTCTCCGGAAAATGTAGTTATGTATCGATCCACGCGTCTTACATCTGGGTGCGGAGTCTGAATCAACCTGTCGACAAAGGCAGCATTGCGATAGACTGAACTATACCCAGGCCTTGCGCTATCAGGCAACGGCACGCCTTGAGGCTGACCAGGCGGCGACACAATCACCGTCACGCTGTCCTTGTTAAAATCCTCCAAAGATCCCCCTTCTACCGGTGCCTCGAGCTTATCAGTCGGCGAGGGCTCCCGTGGGCGCGGAGGGATGCCGGACATTGGGTTGGATTAATCAGAAGATCGATAAGTTTCTCGAAGGAGGAAGTGTAATTGCCGCACAGCCACTGAGCGATAGATCAGTGCACAAAAGAAATATAATCCAAGCACAAAGCCAAACCCAAGCGCACAAGCAAAAATGCGGTCGGATAAAAGACGACTGTCGAGGAAATAATGACGAGAGATCAAAGCACGCCGAGAGGTGCAGCCAGGCCGAACAGGAAGAAACAGGGACCAGCTACCTTAAGCGGCTGCCTTCGCTATTTGGGAGCGGTGCGGCGCCTGAGGCTCGAGGGCCGCTCAACCTCGGCAATCCGAGCGCAGAGATATCGGAGAAGAATCCAGAGTCTGAGTCTGTCTTACTGATCTAGAAATTTCTGATGCTGTCTGCACAATCTTATTCTGCACAATACAGGAAGCTTTACTGTGGCAATTTGTAGAGGGTTTATGGGTTCCGTGCAAGTCCGAGAGGTCGAGCCAACTGCGAATCAGTAAATACGCTCAGAGATGAGATAAGAAGTTTCTCTGAAATTACAGAACCACACAACGTCTGTCAGAGATGCATCAAGAAAAATTACGGCTAGGCTTGGAGCAGTCCTCAGACATCAAATGGTTTGAAGATGAGCCTGCAGTATACATGCAGGGTGTCGTGGCTCGTCAGGTCCGACAATCAACGTTCGCAAAATTGACAAGTATGCGAGTCTGGAATAGAGGAGTTAGTGCAGATCTGCTACAGCGGAGTCATTTCCAAATATCTAATAGACTGAAACAAGAGCAAGTGGCTGTTTATGGGAAGTGAGTATTAGAAAATAAGAAAAGGAAGTATAGATGGGACGCGGAGATAGCGTGTTCATTTCGTGTGACTTCGCGGCTACGTAAACAGCTTTGTTGCGGTCGGAGAGGTTTCTTTATGCCACAGAGTAGGAACGGGTATTAGTGTACTTGAGTGGTAAGTACACAGAAACCGGGAAAAATAAACGTAAATGGATATCTTGTACGTGTGCGGATCTCAGACCACAGTGACAGCGACGGAGGTGGTCATGTGTGCATCTGAACGGAGCGGTCGGAAATTTGTCATAGAGAATCAAGTAGTATTTACGTATGGCTACAGTGCTATGTATTTAGATGTAGATTTGACACGTAAGTGGAATCAATGCACTTGAGGACTCAAGACCATGTTGCCAGCGAGATATGCGATTTTGTGAATATCGGGATGATGCATTCGAAAATTTTCCGTAGAAACTTTGAGCAAAGCCTACGTGTATTTAAAGAAGCTATCTAGCATTGGAATACTTGGATTTGACACGTAAGTGGTAACTTTGTACCTGTTGGTTGTCGGACTACGGAAAGCGAGGATACTAGTCATGAGGATATCGGAATCAGCGGAGATGATGTTTTATCACAGAAAAAATTAGAGAGAGTCTATCAAATCTCAAGACTCACTTAAATGATGCAAAACTGAATAGCATAATTGGTATTATTGTGCTTGTGGGTCATCAGACCACGGCGCCAGCGAGCAAGGTGGTTTTGCGCATAGTAGGGCATGCACGGACAGATGCTCGCCACAGAAGAAAAGACAAGTGTTCTTTATGAACCTTCAGGAGTTTTTCTGCAAGTTGGAAAGTGGATATGACACGTAAGTGGTATTATGTGCTTGTGGGTCGTCAGGCCTCGAGGACAGCGAGAAAGGTGGTGTTGCGCATAGTAGAACTTGCGCGGTCAGATTATTGCCACAGACAAAATTTGAGCAGTGCCTACGCAAAACCGCAAGTGCTGTTTTAAGATTGAGCAGGCAAGAAGACTGAATGTATAAGCTCGTAGAAGTATTGTATATCTGATGTCGCTGCAGTACTCATACACGCGTCGCATAGACCACGGCGACCGCGTCTGGGTATACGCAATCCAGGTTGATATTTCAGTAGGGCGATTTCGTAGTTCATCTGAGTAATTGCACCAAACGTAAGCTAACATCTGAGACTTGAGAACGACACGTAAATGATATTCTCGAGCAAGTGGCCTTTTCGCCCCGTCGCGAGCCATAACGGCAGCTTTCTACCGCGACGGGGCCCACGAACAGGACAGAAGTGGAGAAATAACTCAAGTACCTGCTTACTGACATTGAAAAAGTAGTACAACTTACTGTGGCAAAAAACAAGAGCGTGTCGGGGCGTATAGACCGCGTGGATATCATCCAAGTTTCGCGAATAGTACCGAGATTGAGTCCAGGGCCCCCCCGCGCTGCTTTGTTCGAGCGCCACTGAGCCTCCAGGACTCCGCCTACCGGGATGATTTGACTTGGCAGATCGGCAAGCGAGAGCTGTTCGAACGACAGCGCCGTCTTCTGCAAAGTTCGCCGGCGGTCGTTACTCTTGCCATCCTTGTCGAGACCTCGAGGATGCGGTGCGCAATCGCACTCTGCGATCCGAGGATCAATAAACCTGCTACACTTATTAACGCATGACGTAATAACAGAGTTTTGCATCCCGAAGCGGAAATGGTCAGAACTCTATCGAACATTAACATTAAACGCTCTGAACAACCCACGCGGCGCCGTCGAAACCCAAAGAGGCAGTGTGTTTTGGCCTGGCCTTCGCCTCTGTTCTGCGGCGCCATATCGCGGTCCTCGGAAGTTACGGATCACCTTTTTTTTTCCGTGGGGTTCTCCCTCCTTTCTCCTGACGTATACCGTACACACTGTATTTTTAGAGTCAGATGATCGCCCTCTTGCGTCAGCATACGGCTCTTCTGTTTTGCCACAGAGCCTGGAGGGAGTTTTCGGTCACGAATAGCAGCGGTACCGCACGTGCGGCAGATAGCTGCAGCAGCGGCCGGTGGTTCGTCCGTCTAGTCCGGATCGAGGCGGCCGGGGAGAACAACAAGTGATACAAGCCACAACATCGCAACATTGTAGGAAATAACTTTTAGACTAAAGAACGGTCTAAGAAAAAGAGACTTTCCTTGCATACGTCGTCGTATAGATAGCCGATTTTCTCGAGAGCTTTTACCTCCTGTCTGTGTGGTTTTGTTTCCCACTAACCCGCTACGATATAACCTGGCACGTTTAACTTTATCATGCGTAAAATTGCGAACTTGTCAAACTGCTCACATTGGAGCCGTGCACAAATGTACAGGTGGCTTGTGGCGAAAACTGAGCTTGTAGTTACCAAAACCCGTCGTGACAAGCCTTCTGAACAGCAGCGACCATAGCGATTCAATTAAAAAAAAATAAAACTCATCTATATCGCATCGCCCGGTACAGCGATTTACCTATCCTGAAAGCTACGTAAGCTGCAAGCGAGAACCGCACAGACGCTGCGATTCCGATCGCGGTCTTGAACACCGTGAAATAGCGGTCACGCACATAGCCGACAAAAACTTTCTGTGGACCAGTCGCGGAACAAAGGTCCGATGCAGGGATGCTCTGCGCAGAAGTAGCAGGCGCTCCACCGGTGCTCTGCGCAGAAGTAGCAGGCGCTCCACCGGTGCTCTGCGGAGAGGCTGCTGCATTTTTGTCGGCCACGATTGGTGTCCAAACGGCTTTATCAGCACGCATACCACCGGAAGCGCTAATCTCGAAATACTTACGGCCCAGAAGCTCCGTGATCAACCACGTATCCAGCTGAGAGGACACTGGCAGCTGAGGCCACGTTCCTTTTCTATCTGGGTAGATTATATCAAAGAGGTCGAGCATGATGCTATGCGTGAGACCCCACATGATCATCTCGGGGTACGCATCCGGATCATCCAGACAGGATTTTGGAATTTTAATCCCAGCAAACTCCAGATTGCCAATGACAGACGAGATGTATGATTGAAGCAAGCGGGGGATCCTGCCGAGATGCGCCGTTTTGCCTACCGGCCGCGAAAAGCGACATTGAGCCTCGCGAGAGGCTAGTGCAGTCAACGGGCACCAGAAAGCGAGTGCGACCTCAGATTCCTGCAAAGTGAGTTCAATTGGCTCGGGCGTATTGACGAAAAAAACTAAAAGGTAATAAAATTTGTTGTTAGACGGGGTGGTGGTGGTGAGCGCGCGCAGCGGTGAAAGAGTCAGAACAGAAATGCAGTGGTACCATAAGTGCACATGAGCATGATACTGGGGTGGAAGTTAGCACACTCACGAACAAAAGACAAGGAAAAGTTTTATAAGAAGGAGCACGGGAAATGAGCGTACATTTTGCCGCCCCAGTAAGCAGTCACATAGCGCTGCTTGAGCGGACCGACGTAGAGGGCGCATTTGTCGAGATCGATGCCGACTTCCTCGAGGGCCTCGCGCTTTGCGGTCGCGAGGTCGGAATCGTCCTCGGGATCTCTTCTCCCGCCACTGTAGACAATGTGTTAGATACAGACAGGTAAAGTCGCAAGCTGGGAGGGTACGGACGGGAGAGCGACGTGGCCAGACCAGCGATCAGAATCTCTGGTGGAGCGTTTGATGAGCAGTACCTCAGTGGTAGAGTCGTGTACGTGGCGCAGGAGAGCGTCGAGGGAGTTTACGCGTTCCGAGAGGTCCCGGGACCGAAGCACCAGCGCGACAGCACAGTGGCGGATTGCACCAGAAGACACAGGCGCGGCCGGATCGCCAGGCGGGACCTCGAGGGCGAGCTCGCGGGCAGCGGAGATGGTGGAGAGATTCATAGGGCGGGAAGAGGAGCGAGTTCGGCGAGTTGGGAGGAAGGTCGCTGATGAACCGAGATTGATTAGTAACGATGTCTGAGGTGATTCAGGATGACTAAGGGATGACTACAGACATGGCCGATGATTACTCATGAATACTACGGAACATTAATGTCGAAGAAGCGAAGCAGAGGAACGAAATAGGCTTCTTCTTTCTTCTTTTCTTTTTCTTTTGCTCTCTTCAATCGTCATCTCCAGCATTCGTCTGTTTCACCTGTTCTCCTCCGCAGCAGCGGGCAATCGCGTTGACAAACAATCACTAATACGCAGGTTCAGTGATCACGTCGGTGAGCTGTCGGGTTGAAACCATGCGCCACCGGGGCTCGCCGATTCGGGCAATTTCTTCGATGACGACACAGAATTTCCTCTTTCGCCGAGAACTTGCCAGAAACGAACGCTGTTCACGGGGTGCGTGCTTTTTCCATCATGTGACTTTGCCTGCCTGATCGGGTCGCCGGCAGAAGGTTTCAGGGGCGGGCTCAGAGCAGAGTACGGCGAGACAGAAGTCTCCTGTTCAACTCCCAGCGGCCGCCCGATGCCTCGATCCACCACCGGAAGCACCTGGACGTCTCGGACGGCCTCGCCAGCGCGGACTGTGGGTTCAGCGCGGGCGGCCGAGGGCGGTGAAGCGACACCGGTGGCGGTCCGGCAGCAGGCCACTGGCGCAGGCTTTGCCGGGGACGAGGGCAGCGCCTTCCGTCGTGGGGCGCACCTGCCGTGCCCAATATATAATTTTGTGCCACCGCCAGAAAATCCTATTTCAACCCTCTCCTGCCCTCCTCGCTACGTCCGCCCTCTCTCTTCCTCCCGCTTTCCCTTGCATGCCTTCCCCCGCGGCTCCTCTCTGACTCACGTCGACCCGGCTTAGCTCAATTACTTCCCAGCGCATTCTCCTGGCAGATTTTGTCATACCCGTCTCTATTTTGTCTTATCTTCCGCTCTGCGACCCATGCAGGTCAGAAAAGCTCGAGCGTACACCCACCCGCCGCCGCTGCAGTCCTCCCGCTCCCCGCCCGCGAACGATGTCTTTCAGAGCGTGGCACCCCTGCTGCTTCCGGACTATTCCTTCAACACTCCGCCGCCGCCCTCCGCGGCCGGCTCCGACCGCCAGTTCTCGCCCTCATTCCTCGCCCTCTACAGCAAGTTTTCGCCACAGGAGGGGATGATCGACGTTGGCGGCGCCGGTACCCAGCAGCAGTCTCAGCAGCCGGTGTTCTACCATGACGCGCCTTTCAGTCTGCAGTATGACACCGGCGAGCAGGACCAGCAGCAGCAGCAGCAGCAACAGCAGCAGCAGCAACAGCAGCAACAGCAGCAGCAGCAGTTTCAGTTCCAACTGCAACAGCAGCAGCAGCGACTCTCTAGTTTTACTTTCCCTAGCGCCTCACAGCAGTACAACCCCCTGCTGCCCGTCTCAGAGCAGGCACCCACCGCTACGCTCTACGACCAATACCAGCAGCAACCCGCCAGCGGCCGCAGGCCGCCCCCGGAAAGACGCGACTCTAAATGGAAGGGCTCTTCTTCGTCCTCTACCGCCGTCGATATGTCAACCGCGCCTGCTGTCGCCGCCCGCGGCGCACGCAGCTACAGACAGTCCTCGACGTCCAACTCGGCTTCCGGATCGCTTGCCACCGCCGGCCAGGGAATTTTCCATGCCAATCCAGAACTCGACCGTCGCGTGGTCTCCCCGGCCGTCACCAGAGCGAATACATACGACGCTCCGTTCATTCCTTCCGACCGGACGCTGCCCACGCCTCTGTCCTCGCTCTCGACAGTATCACTACAAGAGCTCGAAGACGCGTACGTGCAGTTCATTCTCTACTGCAATCCTACTCTCAGTCTAGACGCAAACACGGAAGACCTCCGTCGGGCGTTCAGAACCGTGCCCAAGAGTGACGGAAAAGCATTTGCCATCACGACTTTGCTCGCACTGCTCAAGCAGTTCGAGACCGGCGAAATCAAGACTTGGACCCGGCTCGTTACCGAACTCGGCGTCGAGCGCACTCCTGAGCAGAGCGCTCAGAAAGCTCAGCAATACGCTGTTCGTTTAAAGGTTAGTACATATTTCCCTTTTTTTTGAGTTCAGCGAAAGACTTCAAGACACACCCAGGTCTTATTTCCGTTTTCACATTACTAACTTCTCATCTACCCTACAGAGATGGATGCGCGCAATGCACATCGACTCCTTCTTCGAGTTTTGCCTCGGCAAGCAGCATTCGTACTTTACACGCATTCCGAAGCCATCCGATGCGTTGAACGACATCCGTGACGGCGTGCCCGCAGAAGAGGACTTTGCGCTTCGCGCGATGATACCAGAGCTGCGGCACCGCAGAGTTCGCTCTCAGGTGCAAACGGCTCCGTCGTCGTCTTCGGCGTCACCTGCTAGCGCTAGCGTTGGCGGTAGCTCGTCGTCTGCCTCATCATTGTCTGCTGCGCAGTCGTCGACTCCGTCGCTGCCTTATTCGCCTTATGGTAATCTAACCCATGACAGGCCTCAGCAGCAGCAATCGCAACAGCATCAATCGCAGTTGTCGCAGGAGCAGCAGTTGCAGCAGAAGACCTCTGACACTGCAAACCAGTTCCAGGTGTGGCATCCGTTCTCGTCATTCTACGTCAACAGACCTGCCGAGTCCAGCGCTGCTCCCGCCGCTGCTCCGGTTCGAGATGAGCCCGCACAACCTAAGCAAAAGCAGTCTCAAAAGCAGAAGCGGCAGCAGCAACAGCAGCAACAGCAACAGCAGCCGCAAACGAAGCAGCAGTCAGAGCCGCCCCAGCAGCAGCAGGACCGTCATCGCAAAGCTATAGAGCTCGACGATTCCGGTTCGGGTACATCTGGCGACCAATCCTCTTCTCCACAAGACGGCCTCTCACAGCAATCCTCCGAGCAGAAATCCTCTAGCGGTGGCGATGCCGACGGTTTGGACGAGACGAAAACCCGGCAGCGCTCAAAGTCGCGCAAGTCACGGCGCAAGAAACGCAACCGCCGCAAGAAACAGAAAGCAAACACTAGCTCGGGATCTGGCAGCAATGAGTCGCCTCCACAGGCGAACTCGGCCGCAGCCACGACTTCGTCGTCCACTACGCCTCAGGACCAGGATCGATCGGCATCGGCATCTACGCAGGCTTCGTCGCCCAAGAAATCAGACACGTCTCCCAAGGAAGAAGAAGGAACTGAGGAGCAGCAGTTGCTGTCTTCTCGTAGCGGCGATCCCGGCGGTGTGACCGCGATCAACATCAAAGACGGCTCGCTTGGCACAAACGTCAGCTGGGACCCGTTCCTTGGACAGCACCAGATGCTCGATCAGCAACTTGCATATCTGAACGAGTGGCCCGATCTCGACATGGCTTCGTCTGCCGCGTCGTCGAACAAGCGCCGAGAGAAGCAGAAAGCCGATCTTGCGGAACGCGTCGCCGCCGGCAATGCGGGACACGACGTGCCCGACGAAGAGTCGCCGTTCGATTTGAACGTCTACGACGAGAACGACGGAGAATTTGATATGTTTGAGCGCGACAACGACGACGACAGCGATGCGCGCGTGTCGATGGACAGCATCGAGCTCGTGGCAGAGTTAACAACGAGCATCTTGCAGCCACCCGGCGGCGCCGCGCTACTCGCGCAGCGGGCCGTGGCGGACGAACTAGATGATACTGGCGTCGAAGCCACCATGCCGGCGTCGCACTCATCCTCGTCGTCTTCTCAGGTGGGTGACACTGGCAAGCGCAGAAAGCGCCATGGTCCGGCAGTATCGTCTGGATGGATCTCTGGCGACCCTGTCGGCCGCGGACGTCCCCCGACCGGTCGGCCCAAGGCGGCAGCCGTCGCGGCCGCGCAGCAGCAGCAGATGCAACAGATGCAGCGCATCGGCGACGACGCCGAGACCTATCTCTCTGCCACTCTGGAGCGCAAGTTCATCACCAGGATGCCAGCCTCGCACGCCCACAAAGTCGCGATCCAACTCGTACGCAGTCTACGCTCGTCTCTTTCGCGCTCGTCGTCGTTCGGCGGTTCAAGCGGCGACGCCGCGTTTGCATGGGTGTTTGGCGGCACGGAGGGCCATGCCGAGGATATCGAGTACTCTGTGACTAAAGTTCACGGGTCGCCGCCCACGAACGCAGCGATGACGACGTACTGCATCGAGTGGGAAGCCGGCATCGACGGCATCTCGGCCAAGTTCAGCAAGCGCGCGATTGTCGACACTGCCGAGTCTGATCGGTCTTCGAGCAATGAACAGTCTTCGATTGATTCCGAGGGATACACGACAAAGTACAAGATCGAATCGTGATCCGAACTTTCATTTGATTATTTCGTTTTGCTTTGTTTTTCGTTGTCATTATATTGTACTTCTTCTTCTTCTTCAAAATGTTTTCATATTTTGTCTTTTTGCTCACCATTGTTACATTCTTTCATTTGATTATTTCGTTTTGCTTTGTTTTTCGTTGTCATTATATTGTACTTCTTCTTCTTCTTCAAAATGTTTTCATATTTTGTCTTTTTGCTCACCATTGTTACATTCATGTCATTTGCATATCTCATTCGTTTATCATCACATTGTATTTTAAAACCTTGTCACTCTTGTATTACATTCTAAAACTTGTTTACATTTTTTCTTTTCTTTCTTTCTTTTACATTATCTTATGAGGTCAAAGTCCTTCTTTATATCGGTGGCTGTCAATTCTTTTCGCTATCTTGTAGATAGCAAACTCCACCACCCTCTTCATTCAGAATGATGCAGTGCGCGAATTCGAGCTCTTGAAGATGTTGTTTTTTTACTGCTACTACTATCATGATTATTATTATTTATATTTCTTATCTTTTATGTAGTCTACTCCCACGCTCTTGTATAACAGGAAGAAAAGTAAGAAAGATGGTGGATGTATATGGGAAAAGAGTAAATAACGGGTGGGTGTAGGGAAAACTTGTGCCATAAATTTGATTTTAATGTAATAACCTTAGCATTATTATACAACTTGGGTATATAATACAATCTCCGAAAAGCGTCATTATAAACAATCAACATTTATCAGTCAATCAAACGATAAATCAGCAAACAGCCGGCTCAGAAACCCGTCCAGATTCGGTCGTGCCCGCACTGAAACACGCTAACAAAGTCAACAGTCGCTAGCAGTCCAATTTTCCCAATTCCCGGTTTCCACTGCTGTGGGTGAGTGGGGTTTGGTGGCTGGTTGGACCAACTTTGCTCAATGAGGTGATTGCGGTGAAGGGGGCGGTGCAGGGTGGTGATTTGATGAGAGGAGTTGGCCTGTTTCTGTCTGTTTATTAACCGGGCGGTGTCTGTCGATGGCTGCCGTCGATGTCTGGCGGGATGTCAGCGGTGATGTCTGTTCATGTCATGTCAAGCCAATTGCGATTCCATGGCCCATGTGATGCGCTCACAGCATACAGCCAGCAGCCTCGCTTACGATGAAGAAAACGGTAGATAACGAAATCTGCACGGTCTAAGTCTACGATTGAGATCAGATTGCATCTGGCTGCTCACAAGATCAATCGAGAAACCGATTATGCTTCTTCTGTCTACGCTTTGCTCACCGCCGCGCGTGCTGCCCGCCGGATCCCACGCTCGCAGAGCTACAAATAGCCTCGCTATACCTCGCTACATAGCCTCGCTGTCACTTTGATCCAGAGAAAGTATTTAACATGCGAGAACTCTTGATATAGGAAAATAGCCTTGTAGGACATAATGGGGAAAAAACGTGACCCATGTCGCTTGGCCATGTGCGCGAGGCAACTTCTCCACGCTCGTTGTGATAATCAAGGGCTATATATGGATCTGATCTGCCCTCCAGTTCTGATTTTTTTCTTTGTTTTCTTTGTTTATATATTTGCTTGCTTAATTCTGGGAAAGAACAGGACTAAACACCAGCAGCATGCGCTCATATTCACTCCTTACGCTTGTCGCCGCCTTGTTCGCGGCGTGCATGGCAGTCGTCGACGCGTATCCCTCGCCGTTCCTCACTCGCCGTCCAGCACAATCCTCCTGGTCCGCACCTCCACCTTCGAGTCTCGATCTGACCGACTCGATTGACGCCCGTCTTCTGCACACATGCCGCCAAGTAAGAGACGAGCTGCTCGCCTCTTTAGGCCGCCAAGACTCTTCCCACGGCTCGCCTTCGTCGCACTCCCCGCCGGCGATCAAAACCACGTTCGTGGGCGATGAGTATGATCCAGAGCTAGGCCTCAATGTGCAAATTGCGGACGCAATGAACGAAGCGTATGCGTCTGAGGAGGAGCGCGAGTGGGCGTATAACGATGGAGAGAGTAGGCGGAATCAGGTTTATTGCTATCGGCTCGAGTTTACTTGCATATGCTGGGCCGCCATATAGTCATACTCGCCAAGTTGCGGCCACTTTCCAATCACCTCTTATCAATTAATCTATATGTATACTAGCTGGACGCAAAATATATTATGGGATACCAAAAAAACAATAAGACATTGTTTGCGTAGAACAGACGTAAGATGGATTTTTGCGGGGAAGAAGGCGGACGGGCAGCAAGGACTCGGTTTAAGCTTTCGCGATGCGGCGGACTGCGCTCGTTTGGTTCCCACCTCGGCTCACTAACGCGCCAGATCCCCTCCTGAACCGATATTTTCTCTTCCTCTCGCGCTCTCTTCTCTGCCCCCCACCGTTTCTCTTGCTGCTATTTGATTCACATCTACACAACAAAATCTAGCAATGACCGACGTCGATCCGGCAGAGACACCGGCAGACAGCGGCGCTGCAGATCACCAGCAGCCGGCCCAGCATGCGACCACCCCGCCTTCCTCGGCTTCAGAACCCCGGTCGCCGACGCCGTTCTCGTCTTCGAGCTCGACGTCGTCAAAGGAAGATGTGGAGGGTGTTAGCGAGTTTAGTTTAGCTGATGATGCGGTGCCGAAAAAGCATGTCACGCTTGAGGATGCGCAGGAGGAAAAGGAGGTGGTCACAGAGGAGAAGACAGGACTTGAGAGCACGGACGATGTTCCCGTCGAAGGTGTCGCTGATTTCAAGAGTGGGAAACTACGAACGAACGTGGAAGATCCTCGTCCGGATATATCAGAGACTGCCGGAGCATCCGATAGCGATCACAAGAAGGCGTTCGGCTGGCTATCGTCCTACGAGACATTCATGCTCAAGAACGCAAACCAGATCGTCTCGCTCGAGTCGACACTGCAACATATAACCTACATCGTGCCCGGGAAATTTAAAGACGTCGAACTCGCGACTGAAACTATCTACTCGGCGCTCAACATCCTCGGACTGTACCACGACACGATCCTGCTGCGCGCCGCGACTTCAACCTCGGACCGCTACCAGCCCTCGATGCATACGCGCTACACGCACCACTACACCACACAAAAGGGCAGCAAGTACAAGCGTCTGGCGTATATCCTGACCGTTTTGCAGAAAGTGCAACTGCTGCTCGAAGTCCTGGCGCGCAAGTACGGTCGCAACGGCGGCGAGCGCGCGCAGCACTCTACCGTGCTTGCGCTCGAGAGCGTCAAGGCACTGCTGCGGATCATGCTCCTGCGCGCTACGGGATCACGGATGCTGCCGAATCCGGTCGTGCCGGGACGGGACTTCGATTCTGCGATCCTAGAGGAAGACGAGGACGAGAACGCGAAGGAGATGCCGACGGAGGAAGAGGCAGGCGAGATTGAGAAGTTTTGGACGATGCCGCGGACAGGCCGGCGGTTACCTGTGCCGAAGGCGTCGTCAGGCCGGAGTCAACAGAGCGAGAAGAAGGGGGTGGGTGAAGACGGGGTGGCGCGCTATCTGATCAAGAGGGTACTACATCCAGACGACGTCGCGCCGGGTCCGCGACTGATGCACCGGCTGAGCGGTGACGGACAGGTAAAGGAGATTCTGTATCTTCTACGACCACTAATCTACGCTATTCTTGCCTACAGCGCCGTGCGCATGCGAGCCGGCAGCAGTAGCCACAACAGTAGGAAAAAAGAGCTGCTAGAGTGGGCGCCGTGGGTAGTCGGAGTCGCGATCGAGTGGGCGTGCAAGGACGGCGTGATCGACTCACTTGCGGGCGAGTACGGAGGAATCCGGAACGCGCGGGCGAAGTTGACGGGATTAGAGAAGGAGGAGTTGAAGAAGCGGGGGAATGATATGTGGTGGTGGGCTCTGCGAGGGAAGTTTTACGAGTCGGTCACAAAGTGAGTAGGGATGGTTTTTTGAATTTGAGATGATGGAGGATGCTAACGAGAGATTGCCACGAATCTAGGCCGATACTGGATAAGGTGATTCAGAAGACGGAGAACGTGCCTATACTGAATCTGGTGGGTCTTTACGTGGGCGATTATCAGTATCTGTTGGAGACATATCACTTTGCTAGTAAGTACAGTTTTGGTTTGAGAAAGAGCGAGTAGAGCGGTGCTAACTTTTACATGTGCAGGCTCGACCTTGTGAACAGGAAGTACAGCCAGCGAGCGGCATTAAAAAGCAAGCCATTATCTGTATATTTCTAGGTTATAGTACACTACAATTTAATCAGAGCCATATAACAAGAATAGTCGGTAAACAAGGCAGATCAGAAGCGTCGGTGCGCTCGTGTGCTGGGCGCGAGAAGCCGCACGTGATTGCCAGATCAGACGAAGGCTGGACCGAGGCTGATGGTGGGAGGCCCGGCACGGATCAACCCTCGGATCGCAAGTAGCGGAGCTGGACGAGGGGGGTCTGTGGGGAATACGATAAAGAGAATAAGAAGACGGAGCATTAAACTACGTAAAAGAGCAATCACAGGCTGCTGTGATGTCGGGACAAGGACTGGCTGGCTGGCAACAAGGCACAGGCCGAGGAAGCCAGACTTTTGGGAGCGGCTAGCGATCAGCTTCTGCGCTCAGGTCGAGGCGGGGCTGCTCCTCTCATCCTCCTCCTCCAACGACCCCACCTTTTAAACCTCTACTCCTCCTCTTCCACTCTTCTCTTCCTCTTCCTGCTCCCTTGCTCAGCCAGCTCCTAATCTTCCTCACTCCTCCCCTTCTCCCCGTCTCCCACAATGTCCCTCTCAGAGTTCGTCCCCAGCCAGTCCACACCCGTCGTCTCCTACTTCCCTGCAGACCACCCCATTCCCACCCGACAGGACATCGTAACTTTCCGCACCCCCAAGGGTAAGCCCCAAGGAATTGCTCTCCCCGGCACCAAGAAACCCGGCTACTCCGCAATCTACCGCAACGCGCACCATCCGGACGCTCTCATCGAGACCCTGCACCCGGCATTTCGCACCCTCTACGACTGCTTCGAAAACGCCGTCCGCCTCTACGCCGACAGAGACTTCCTCGGCCGTCGCGAGTACGTCCCAAAGTACGGCACCTGGTCGCCGTTTATCTGGGAGTCCTACGGCCGCGTTGCCGAGCGCCGCACTGACTTGGGCTCTGGCCTGCTCCGAGTCGCCAAAGACGTCGGCGTCCAGCAGCGCGACAAGTTCGGCGTCGCCATCTTCTCTCCAAACAGACCCGAGTGGGCAATCACTGATCTCGCTTTGCATGCGTATAACCTCTATGGTGTCACGCTCTACGACTCGCTCGGTCCCGAGGCGTCCGAGTTTATCCTCAACCTGACCGAGTGCCCGATCCTCGTCGCCTCCCTCAACGTATGTATCCCCGCGCCGAGCAAGGCTCGCTGGACCACAGCTTACTGACGTATTCTATACAGAACATCCCCGAGATCCTCACTTTGAAGCCTAAGCTCCCCCACCTGAAAGCCATTGTGTCGATGGACGAGCTCGAGGCGCCCCACGACACTCCCGGCAACACCCGCCGCGCGCTCCTCAAGACCTGGACGCAATCGCAGGGCGTGCAGCTCTACTCCTTCACCGAGGTCGAGCGTCTCGGCCGCGAGGCCCTTGTTCCCCACAATCCACCCACCGCAGAAGACATCCTGACCATCAACTTCACCTCCGGCACTACCGGAATGCCAAAGGGTGTGGTCTTAACCCACAAGAACGCGATCGCGGCATTGTCAGGATCGTGCTTGCATGTCGCTATTTCAGGCAAGGATAACGATGCTTTGCTTAGCTATCTGCCCCTTGCGCATATCTACGAGCGATTGGCCTTCTGCCAGGCCTTCTCCTTCGGCGTCAACTACGGCTTCTTGCACGGATCTGTGCTCGAGGTGCTCGACGACATCAAGATGGTGCATCCTACCATGTTCCCCTCGGTCCCGCGTCTGCTCAACCGCATTGAAGAAGCCGTCCGCGCAAAGACCGTCAACGCACCCGGCGTCGCCGGTGCGATCTCCCGTCGCGCGCTGGCCGCCAAGCTTGAGGACATGAAGAACGGTGGCACCGGCAATCTCAGGCTCTGGGACGCATTGTGGTCGCGTAAGATCCGCAAGAATGCAGGACTTGACCGGCTTTACACCGTAGTCTCCGGATCGGCTCCGATCGCGGACGACACGCTCCAGTTCTTGCGCGCGGCGCTCGCGTGCAACGTCGTGCAGGGCTACGGACTGACTGAAAGCTTTGCGTTTGGACTTGTCTCTGAGCCCGGTGACTCGACGACCGGACATTGTGGTCCTCCTGCGGTTGCCGTCGAGATGAAGCTCAAGGATGTGCCCGAGATGAACTACACTGCTGATGATCTACCGAACCCGCGCGGCGAGCTGCTGATCCGTGGACCGGTGATCTTCTCAGGATACTACAAAGATCCTGTCAAGACTGCCGAAGCGCTCGACGAAGAAGGCTGGCTACATACCGGTGACGTTGCTGAGTTTGACTCGCTCGGTCGCGTGCGCATCATCGACCGCGTCAAGAACTTCTTCAAGCTCGCGCAGGGCGAGTACGTTGCGCCCGAGCGCATCGAGAACCAGTACCTGGCGGCGTGCGACCTGGTGTCGACCGTGTTTGTGCACGGCGACTCTGTGCAGACGTTCTTGATTGGTGTGCTCGGCATCAACCCGGAGACGTTTGCGCCGTTTGCGTCCGGAATCCTCAAGCGGCAGATCGACCCCATGGACTTGCATCAGCTCGCAGCCGCGTGCGAGGAGCGCGAGGTGCGCGTTGCGGTTCTCAAAGAATTTGAGCTGATTGCAGCAAAGGCGAAACTACAGGGTTTCGAGAAGGTCAAGAACCTGATTTTGCGGATCGAGCCGTTCACGATTGAAAACGATCTTCTGACGCCGACGATGAAGGTCAAGCGGCCACAGGCGGTCGCGTATTTCCGATCTGAGATCGACAAGTTGTACGCTGAGGGCGAGTTGCTCAAGTCTGCACCTAAGGCATTGAAGGCCAAGCTGTAATCTTTTTTCTCTATACTTTTGTCGTATACGATAAATCTAAACGGAAAAGAGAGATGCCTGATTTTACTGTACATTGATTGAGCTGGCATGATCAAATGATAGAACATTCTGTTGTGTTTCGTGCGCGCGTACTTGTTATGAATTGTTTCTTAGTTAAGCTGCTGATGAAGTGCACCAAAATATCTGTTTTTTATCTGAGGAGAATCATGTGAAAGTAGTGAAACATTTGTAGAAGCCAAACCTGTCCGATGACGTCACCCCGCCTGTGTATGCACACAAATCACACGCGCTCCCGCCATCACTGCACATGCGTCTGCGCGATCACGCGTCCACGCAGCGGTTCGGCAAGCAACCCCTTTGCTTTCCAAAGAGGAAGCACACACGTTAACCTTTTTCCAGATTCCTTTTGGCCACGCAAGCAGTCCAGGTTTCTTGTGTATTTCCGCATTACAACAGGTCAATTATCAAAGTGAATCGATAATTTGGTGAGTTTTCTCTTTGGTTGAGAAGCAGGATGAGCGGACGACGAGGGATCAGTGCGGGTTTTCTTTCTTCTTCGGCCCCTTTGTGGCCACGTTCGTCCTGTTCATCTTTCTCTGCTTGATGGAGTAGCGACTACTCAGCTTGGTTCAGACAACTAACAATTGTATCGCGAGAGTGTAGGTGGCATACCTCCTGTCTGTACTGAAATCTGCTGGAAGAGGTTTTTTCCAATTGTTGGTTGATTGTTGAAGGTACGTTCAGTGATTGATCTATATTTGGCGCGCTCAAAGAGAAGAGACCATGCGATCGACATCCGGTTTCTCCAAAATTGCTTCAAATCCAATTGTCTGATGCAACGAGCCAAAGTATGAAAGAATCAGGAAGAACTGACTTGTTTGATTTTTAGAACGAGATCGCTCGGTTTATTTGATACAGAATGTCGAGTACGGGCGTCAACGGTGGAGCGACGAAGCCTAGACAGAGAAAGGCAACCAAGGAAGCCGTGCCGGTTGAGCAGGTTGAGGAGGTCAAGGTCCACTCTTCCACGACAGGCGAGGATGAGGTATGCTTTGGCTTTCTCTTTTAGATATAGGCGATTGTGATACTGACCATAATCAGCCCTCGTTAGAGACGTTAGAGAAAATCTTTGCCCCGCTGCTGTTCACGGTCCTCGCGTTCATGACCCGGATGTACAAGATCGGCGTGTCTGACATTGTAACCTGGGACGAGGCCCATTTTGGCAAATTCGGTTCGCATTATCTCAAGCGCGAGTTCTACTTTGACGTGCACCCTCCGCTCGGCAAGATGCTTGTCGGCCTCTCTGGATATCTGTGTGGGTACAACGGATCCTTTGAGTTCAAGTCTGGCGAGAAGTACCCAGAAGAGGTGAATTATACGTTCATGCGGGTGTTCAACGCGACGTTTGGAGCGCTGTGTGTGCCGATTGCGTATTACACCGCCAAGAGCTTGCGGTTCTCGACCGCGGCGACCTGGCTCGTGACGCTGATGGTTCTGTGCGAAAACTCGTACGCGACGATCTCGCGGTTCATCCTGCTGGACTCGATGCTCATGTTTTTCACCTTCACGACGTTTCTCGGGCTCGCCAAGCTGCACACGTACCGGAACCAGCAGTTTTCGAAAGGGTGGTACTTTTGGATGACGTTCACTGGCGTGAACATTGGGTGCGTGACTAGTGTGAAGTGGGTTGGTATGCTGACTACGGCTTTGGTGGGAATCTACACGATCCAGGAGCTGTGGGAGAAGTTTGGAGATCTCAGGATGCCGTTTACTACGTACATGAAGCACTGGGCAGTTCGGGTTGTGTGCCTGATTGTGATTCCCATGGCGATCTACATGCTGTCGTTCAAAGTGCACTTTTTGATTCTGGAAAACAGCGGACCGGGAGATGCGCAGATGTCGTCGCTGTTCCAGGCTAACTTGAAGAACTCGCCGTTGACAAAGGGACCGCTGGACGTGGCGATGGGGTCGAAGGTTACTATTAAGAATATGGGATACGGCGGTGGATTGCTGCACTCGCACGTGCAGACATATCCCGAGGGATCTGAGCAGCAGCAGGTTACGTGCTACCACCACAAGGACACGAACAATGACTGGGTGTTTATTCCGATTCGGACCGATCCGCCGTACGACCACAAGGGTGATATCCGGTACGTCAGCTCAGGAGACCGCGTGCGGTTGATCCACGACATGACGGGTCGGAATCTGCACACGCACAAGATTGCGGCGCCGGTGACGAAGCACCAGTGGGAGGTGTCGTGCTACGGAAACGACACGATTGGCGACGAGAAGGATAACTGGATTGTGGAGGTTGTGAAGGACACGCACAAGGACGGCAAAGTGCACACGCTGACGTCGACGCTGCGGTTCCGGAACGAGCCGCTGGGATGCTATCTGCGGGCGGCGAACGTGGCGCTGCCGCAGTGGGGATTCAAGCAGGTTGAGGTGACGTGCGCGCCGGACACGGTTGTGTGGGACCGCTTCACGCACTGGAATATCGAGCAGCACACGAACGACCGGCTGCCGCCTGCGGACACGCGGTCGTACCGGTCGCCGTTTTTGAGAGATTTCGTGCACTTGAACGTGGCGATGATGACGTCGAACAACGCGCTTGTGCCGGATCCCGACAAGCGGGACGATCTGGCGTCGCGGCCGTGGCAGTGGCCGCTGCTGAACGTGGGGCTGCGGATGTGCGGCTGGGGCGACGAGTCTGTGAAGTACTATCTGCTGGGTAACCCGGTTGTGGTGTGGGGTTCGACGCTGTCGGTGGTGGTGCTTGCGTTGCTGACGTTTGTGTATATTTGCCGATGGCGACGGCAGTATAAGGACATGACGGGTGAGCAGGTGGAGTATTATGTGTACTCGGGGATCTACCCCGCGCTCGGGTGGGCGCTGCACTACTTCCCGTTCATTCTGATGGCACGCGTGACGTACGTGCACCATTACCTGCCGGCGCTGTACTTTGCGATCATGACGTTCGGGTTTGTATTTGACTACGTGACGAGCACGTTGATGAGTGGGCGGGCGAAGAAGTACGGCCGGCCGGTCGCGTACCTGGCGATGTACGCGGTTGTGGTGGGGCTGTTTTGGGAGTTTTCACCAATTTCGTTTGGGATGACTGGAAGTCACGAGCAGTACGGATACTTGAATTGGTTGAGTACGTGGACGATCTAGTAGGTGAAGAAGAAGAAGAACAAAAAGAGGGAATGTAAATGTGCAGAGTAGTCGTTAGAATTGCAAGTATGTTTTTTAAAATAAGGATAGCGAGGAATGCAGGGTGACGCGTAAGTAGGCGAGTCAGCAGGAAAGATAGGAACGGTAGGGTTGCGTTAGTGGCGAGCTGCCGCTATCCGAGATTGGTACCCGGAAGACAGCAGAGCACGACTACGGCCTTAGCGGGGAGGAGGAGAGTCAAGGAAGGGGCCGAGGCGGACGATGAAGCGGCTGGGAGGTGAATCCGAGGAGCTGAAGGCAGAGAACGGGGGTGAGGTGGATGGGAAGTGGTGAGGAAGGGATTAGTATTGTGGCGAGGAACAGACAATTGACATTAAAGTGGCAAAGGGTCGCATGCGTGTACCCTGCATCTAGACTAATTACCGCTTACTTGCCCGAGTCGAGTTGTATACGATATAATCTTCTATTCCGCTCGCATTTGAGATATTGTGATTGTTTATAGCTTGTTGTGGTCGTTGTTATTGTCTGTAATTTGCTTATAGGGGACGCTGACGTCGATGGAGCTGGCTCCGAAACGCCGAGAACAGGAACGTGAAGATCGTCAGAGATCTACAGGTGCACATCCCTCTCGTCACCAAACCGTCCGTCTCGTGCTCGGCACCACTGGCCGTGCTTGAGCAATGCTTTGATGGTGCTGGTGGTCACTTCTGGTGATGATTCCAAGGACGACAGACAGATGCAGGGCGGCTACCAGAAAAACAGCGAAGGGCCCGAGGTCTTTGATTGCGGAAAGTTTAGTTGTGGCCGGGTCAGACGGCGGTTATCTTCTGATAATTTTGTGAAGTTGAAGTCGGGGAGTTGGTTGTTGATGTAGTGGCAACGCGATGATTATTAGTTAGCAGCTAGTTATCAAACGTCTTCATTCATTCATTCCTTCTTTGCCTCTGAATGCTGTTTGAACGTCAAGAGTAGATAGTGAAGACCACGGGTGTGTGGAGTGTGTTGAGTCAGGCTCATGTCCCAGCTTTACCTCTGCCAACCACTTCCGCCGTACCTATTCAATAAACTAATCATATACTGATCAACCAAGAGTAAACAACCACTCTTTTGCCTTTCAGCATCCAACCCTCCAGTCCTCCCTATCTATCGCTCTATCTCGTGAGTCCAAGCGCTCCTCCGCCGGGTAAAGCCCATGCAAAGCACCAGCCAAGCCAGGGAGCACTGAACGACCAACCACGAAGCGAGCATTAGCAACTCTATAGAACGCGGAGGCGTCGGAGATCTTAGGCAAGAACGCCCTGGTTCTGTTTTGGTTAGTCGCAAGGAGGTCGAGATGAGGGAGGAGGAGGATGGAGCGGGCGCTGCGATAAAGGTTTGGATGTCGAGTCAGTCGCTTATGCAGATATCACGGTTGCTTCTGCCTGCGATTTCTCTCTTTTAGTGAGTCGGTGTTGATTCAGTGATGTAATATATTATAATCTTCTTCTGTCTGTCTACATATCATACACTTACTTCAACAAATATCTATGGAGCAGCAAGAAGAACACAGGCATAGACAGTAGATGACGTAGCTTATCGGCCCGAAACAGTAGCGGGTCGTGTGCACATTTGATTCCGGAACCGGACCGGGTCAGAGTTCTCGAGAGGCTCGGGTTATCCGATTTCCGTCCTGAACACAGACACACGACCAGGTCGGAGCCCGGCCACCGCCGTCTCTTTTGCCCATCGTCTAATCTCCGGCTTTCCCTTCTTCCTCTTTTATTCTTTTGTTATTCTTCTCTTCTTCGTCTTATTCTTCTCTGTATCATTATTTCTTCCAGCCATGCTTCACCGCCGCTCCTTCATCCTCTCCTTGGCGGCGTTCGTCCTCACAATTACGGGCTTTACAACCCTGCTATCTGCATATCTCAACTACGACTCCAGCGCGGATGGCCCCCCTGCAATGTCAATCAACCACGAGCTTTTCTACATCGCTCCCCCGCTCAACCCCATCAAGCCCCCTCCTAAATACTATGCCGAGCCCTCAGTCAGAGACCCCGGCAAAAAGAACTTCCACGACCTGCACTACGACAAGCGCTTCTTCCAACGTGAGCTCTCCGTCCAAGACCGCGAGCACTACATCCGCGAAATGCTCGGCGCCTGGTTCCAGTTCAACGAAGACAACAACCTGCAGTCCTGGATTGCTCACGGCACTCTTCTCGGCTGGTGGTGGAATTCCGAACCTCTTCCCTGGTATGTTCTTCTCCCCTCGACTCTTTCTTTCTGACTCTTGGTTTTTAACGCGCGTCCAGGGATGTCGACGTCGACATCCAAATGTTTGTCCGTTCAATGCAGCAGCTCGCAAATGGCTTCAACGACACCGTCTACACATTCACGAACGAGACCGGACACACCCTCAAATACTACATCGACGTTAACCCTTACTACGTCTACCGTTCGCGTTCGAACGGCATGAACGTCATCGACGGCCGCTTCATCGACATGCAAACCGGTCTCTACATCGACATGACCGCGCTCGCCGAGGCTGACCCCATCCGACACCCCAACATCGTGTCCTGCAAGAACAACCACAAGTATCTGATTGACGACCTCGTGCCCCTTCGCCGTACTGTCTTTATCGGCAAACCCGTCTACATCCCCTACGAATACGAAAAAGTACTCCAGAAAGAGTACTCCCGTCGCGCGCTCACGAACGGCAGGTTCCAGAAATACGTGTTTTCTGTCGGGCTCCAGAAATGGATTCCCGAGGCTCAATTTAATAAGGAGCACCGGCCCTGGAACGACATCGGACGCGGCCCCGCGACCGCGCCCAGCGAAAGAATGAGCTCCGCCCCGGTAAAGGTCGCAGCCAATTCTCCCGGCAAAGTGATCCCCGGAGCACATGCCCGAGCTTCAAGTAAGACAGAAGAAGACACAGCAGAGACTGTGTTCAAGGAAGTGAGCATCAAGATGAAACCGCGCAAGCGCATGAGTAGCCTCTCTTTCGGCTCGCTATCAGACGGTAGCTGGAAACGTGACGTGCGGATAGAGAAGGACGCTTAATTGTCCATTGTCTATATGCGTTTATTGTTTTAACTTATGACTTTCTTGTGGTTTTGGAATATAGCATTGTTTCCTGCTGGTATTCTCTCATTGTTGTGATTTTGATTTATGCCTTTTTGTCTTATCTATTGACTACATACATAGCTTGGTTGGTTCTATGTTTATATCACCGTTTGTGTGTCTTTTTGGAAAATACGTGCACTCACAGCTGGAATACGCGGCGTCTTCATTTCAGCAGACTGCTTTGATGACCAGAGTTTCCTTTTTTTTGGGTTGTGTTGCGAATGTCGAAATGTGAATGGGTTAGCGACGACAGCGACAGCGACGTTTGGGATTTCGTTCTTGCTTTCTCTATTCCTGTCATTTACCTCATTATGTCTTATAACTTTGACTATTGTATATACTTTCTTCTCTTTTATTTGGGTAATTTCAATTTGGATATACAACGAACCTGTCTCGCTTCTCTTCAAGTAGGAAAAACGCAATCAAAGCTAAAGGTCGACTACAAAAAGCTTCAGGTGGACGCGTAAGCTCGCGCCAGGCTCTCCAGCAACGACTCATCTGCCTCCTGCCGCGTCCTCATCCAGTCCCGCATTTCCCTTTTCTTTCTCCTGCTACACCAGTGCCTCTTAAGCCGTAAGCTGGTGAAGACTCCTCCTTTCTTTCACAAAACCCGGAATATTCGCACGCGACCACATCCGCCTGTGACGCGTCACTATCTTTTGTCCTCGCCCAGGAAATTTATTATAAACTTTATTTGTGGGACTTTTGTGCGAGCCGCGTCATATTATGTCATAAATTAAGTAAAATAGGTTTGGTGGCGAACGCAACACAAAACCCTTCAAAAGTATCGCGATAGGAATTTCAGACTAATATTTTATATAATCATATTGCATACCATGACTAATATACGAAGTGAATGATGTAGATGGCAGGATTCTGCATTTATTGCAACAAATCTCGTAGAATTGATCTATTACATGCCACCGAAAGCACAAGAACAGTATATCTGTAGTTATTGGCTGGCGTAATAGCATACTGGCGTAATACTCTTCTTCGCTCTCAGAACAAGCAGCAGCCGTGCAACCTCAAACTCTGCGTTCGCTTCCTCCAAACCTGTACAACCGCATCTCGTCACCAGCCCCTCCACCTGCTCTCCTTTTTTTTAGCAAGACCGCCCCCAAGCGCCTTCACAGGTGCTCTGATATCTTGCACAGAGAGCGGGCAGCTATATTCTGCAGCGTCCAAGTTTGACTAAGGGTGCTGGGTGTTTTTTGAAGTTCTGTGATCTTGTTGATTCGTTCAGGTATATATCCGTTCTTGTTATACCTGTGCCGCGATGTTGGAAATAGGACGCGTGTTGTTCGCTCTTACCGCTTCTGCTTGCTACTTCAGCAAATATCTGTGACTGTTTGTATTCTAATACGGTTAATATTTCTCTCCATCTAGCTCTCTCATACTTATCTCTCAACATCAACTACGATCTACGCGACTGATCTTACAATCTTTACTAAATATCTGACTACTACCACCCCGGGTTTCAACCTACTTCCTGTACCCACCTAATAATCTCAAATGACAACGCGTTATCACAATCAATAACCGTATGAGTGGATACCAGCAAGTTCCAGGGCCAAATCAGTATGCCGTGCCTAGCGACACCGACGTCGTCCTCATAGGCAGCGGCGGCGGCAATGGGAATCCCACGCAATCTATGCCACTGCCGGAGAATATGATGCAAGAGCTGCAGAGGCAACAGCAACGGCTCTATCGATGGCAGCAGGTACTGCAGCAACAGCAACAATTTCAGCAGCAGCAGCAGAAGCAGCTCGAAGACTGGGAGAAACTGCTGATGCAGCAGCAGCAGCAGCAAGAAGACCGGCATAAACTGCTGATACAGCAACAGAAGCAGCATGAAGAGCGAGAGGCTTTGGCTTTGCGGGAGTATGAACAGCAGCAGCAGCGGAATCGACTACATCAGCAGCAAGTGCAACAGCACAAACAGCAGGTGCATGAGCTACGGCAACAGCAAAATCAGGTACAACAGCTACAGCAGCAGCTACAACAACAGCGACATGAATTACAGCAGCAGGAGCTACTACTGAAACGAGCACAGCTCGAAATGCAGCTGCAACAACAGCAGCAACAGTTACAGCAAGCCCAACAGTCACAACAATCCCAACAGCGGCAGCAGCAACATGAACATAAATCCCACTCTCGCTCAGTCGACTTGATTACACGCTCCCGCTTTGCGCAGCTCTCGTTGGAATCCAAACGCAAGTTCATCAGCCAGAATCTCAGCATTCTCGACTACCAGCTCTCGTTCTTGCGCGAGCTCGATCCCGTCGTCTGCAACGAGCAGATCCAGGAGTGGAACAAACAGTTAAAGAGACCCGGGCACACGCACACCTCTGCGTGGAAGAAGCCTGCTGACGACGAGGACTTTCAGCACTGGTACGCTAGGGCTGCGCATTCGGAGGCGGCGAATATGTCGAATGTGTCGGTGGGTGAGAAGCAGGTTGCCGGTCTGTTGACGCGGGATCCTACTCAACTGCGTACAATGGCGCAAAAGGAGCAGGAACGGCAACAAGCACTTTTCGGGCAGCAGCCTATACCACAGCAGCAAAATTCTTTGCAGTTGCAGCAGCCTCAACAACCACAGCAGTCGGGCGCACGGATAGACGATGCGGGCGTCTGGCTGGGCCCCAATCGACCTGAAGAAACACATACGGCTCGCAGATTGCCTGTGTACCCACCGCCGTCGTCTTTTCAGTCTCCACAACTGCAACAGCAAACTCTACCACTACCGCAGCAACAGCAGCAACAGCAGCCAAAGAATTTTCTCAAGTTCCCAGTACAGAGCATTATGCTGCCGTCTCATCCAGAACAGCAACGACAAATAGGTCAACAGCAACAGCAGTTATCAAGAGTCCAGAGCACTGCGGATCCTTTGGCGATTCAGAGTCAGCCACTCAGCTCACCGTCTTTGTCTGGTGGGCCGCAGTCTGCGCAGCCGGAGCAATTACATGTTTTGGCACCGGAACAGGAAAAACAACTTGTTCAACCACAGCAGGATCCGCAACAATTGCAGGAACAGCAGAAGAGAGTGGAAGATGTCAGTAATCATCCACCTCTACCTCCACCTCTACCAGCACCACAACCGCTAGCACAAACGCAGGCACAAACGCAGGCTCAACCGCAGGCTCAACCGCAGGCTCAACCGCAGGCTCAACCGCACGCATCAGTCGGAAGTACGAGCTCGGCTGCTCCACCAGTATCTGTGCCTCCACCGGTCGCGACTGATTCGACGCCGGCGCGGGCTAGTTCCGCCCCTACTCCGGCTCTACCACCGTCTTCAGCAGTTCCTGCAGAGAAGCCCGAGCCAAGCCCGAATTCGCAACCCCAAATCGCTGCACAACCTCAAAAGATCCCGCTTCCGAATATCCCTCTTGGACTGGACCACTACCCTACTCTCATGAACAAAACCAACATTGCAAGCGAAGTCTTACGAGTTCTTGGTCTATCTCCCGATAAGAAACCTCTGAATTACGATCTCCTGCCGTTGCAGAAGACGAATCCGTTCTTTCTTGATAGAAATGCGGATTTGAAGTTTTTATTCGAAAAGAATGTGGACTTTTGGGATAAGTTAGATCCGCCGGGCGAGAGAATTGCGGAAAAGGTTGCTCCGGAGGCCCTGGAGAAGGCAGCAGAGAATGAGGCTCCAAAGGCGGCAGAGAAAGAGGCTCCAAAGGCGGCGGAGAGAGAGGCTCCGAAGGCGGCGGATAAGGCGGCTCCGTTTATTATCAATCTGGACTCCGATTCAGATGACGATAAGAATGACCGGGAAGCATCACAGAAAGCCCTGGCACCAACATCAGCAGCAGCACCTTCTCTTCCTCCTGTTCCTGTGAAGGACACTGAGAAACTTCCTCCTCAGCCTACCCTTCCTGTGGATAACGCGGAGAAACGTCCTTCTCAACCCTCTCTTCCTCGTCCTCCCGCAAACAATGCGAATCAGCGTCCTTCTTATTTTCCACTTGCTGCGAAGATCACTGAGAGACGCCCGACTGTTCCTGTGAATAATGCGGAAAGAAGGGTGCGCCAGGGTCAATTACGGATTGCTGTTCCAAAACGGCCTCCTTTTGATAATCGGTTCAGAGACACGCGTGATCTTATCATTAAGTTCGAGTCCGAGTCTGAAAGTGAGGATGATGATCCACCCCCATCACAACCGCCACCTTCCGGTAAAACGTCTTCAGGAACAAGTGCAACGGCCAGTGTACAGCCTATTCAGTCTACTCAGCCTGCTGCTTTAGCTAACTTGCCTGTTACGCTGCCTCGTCAAGCCGAACAAGCGGTGAAGCCAAGTGCGCCTGCGACATCATCTGCAGCCGTCAGTACGCCGGCGAAGGTCACATCTGCACCTCCTCGACCTCTTCCGCGCACACCATCTTCTTCAGAATCCATTACGAAGACCAGTGATGTATCTGCACAGCCTAAAGCTCCAGCAGGACCGCCCTCTGTAACGACACAGAAAGCACAGGAGCCAGCGACCAAGGCAAACACGACTGCAGCACCATCAGATTCCGGAAGTACGCGTGTGGAAGCACCGCGACCGCAACCCCCCACGTCTGTCTCTCAGCCAAAAACAGATGCTCGTGCTCCTGCAACACCTCTACGAGGTGTTCACAATACTTCCGCTACACCCTCTGACGCCCAGCATGTACAACGGCAGCCAAGTGAGTTTCCGCGTGGCATAGTATATCTATTGCTGGGAATAGGGCTAACTTCGATATCGCAGCGACGACAACAGCTTCTTCTTCCCCTCAACTTCCACCGGCATCACAGAAGTCCACGCCTACGCAAACGTCAGCCAACAACGCGACGTTCCGTAAACCCGCGATCCCCACACCGCAGTCTGCAAAGACACCGAATGAGTCTCCGCGTCGTATGTTTCTCTTCTTGTGTGGTATGAGTATCCGCGAAATTAACTCCTATTCTGTGACTCTAGTTTTGCCTTATGGGAAGCCCGCATCTCAGATTGCACCGCCGCCTCCACCACCTCATCCAACCCCCAACACCACGCCCTCATCCAAACTTGGTGCGAATGAAAACAATCGGCCTTCTAATCCCAACGCTTTAGATCATCTATCTGACGAGGCTCTATTTGCAGCTTTGAGAAATGCGATAAAGATTGGCGGACCTGTGAGATCGCCTAGTGTCAACGGTACGCCGTCGAGATCAACAAATCATCCAGCGCATTCGTCATCGCCTTCTACGACTAGTGCTCAGCAAAGAACAGCTGCTTCGAGCGCTAAGGAGCACGCAGACGGTAAATCACAGTCTCAGCAGAGTAAGTTCTATTGCATTTTTCTAAACAAGAGTAAAGCTGACATCCGTCCGATAGCAACGTCAAAAGCTGAGTCCCCTCGACTTCCGCCAGCTTCACAGAAATCTCCAGCAGGACCTGCTCCGTTTAGGAATGCGTCAGAGAAGTCTGGCTCCAGTGAGCTTTCGTCGTCTAGAGCGCAGGCTGCAAAGGTGCAAGAGCTTTCGCGTCGTATGTTTTGCCCTATCATTTGACTACCATCGAATCTATATTAGGAAGTACTGACAACGTGATCACTAGCCGCGGTCTATACGAAGCCTGCTAACTCGATACCACCACCGCCACCGGGTCCTCCTCCACCTCCCGCATCAAACGTCGACTCACCTCTACCAATTTCCGGTTTCTTGAAGCGAAAGACATCGCAAGTGAAATCCGGTACGCCAAAACGAGTGCGGATTCTCGAGCCAACTTCATCAACTTCATCGGCTTCGCCGGTTGGTAACGATCATAGGTCCGATGCGATTCACCGATCGTTTGCTATACCTGCATCGATTTCATCGACTCCTGTACATCCATCGGTTGCTTTTCCCCCGTCGAGTCATTTGCCTCGGACTGACGGTAAACCGGCTGAAGCAGCAGTGAAGGAGGCGAAGACGGCAGAGCCTGCAGCTGTTCCATCCGGTCGCCCAGACGAAAAAGTATCCAGCGCGACGCGACGCCTGAAGAGCTTGACGATCGAATCTCCTCTGCGCCCGACAGGCATGCGTCCATCGGTGCATCCAACACCACGCACTGCTGCTGTGCCTAAGCGTTCGTATTCGGGGGAGCCTTACGAGGCTTCAGACGGTGATGGTCTCATTGAATTAGGGAGAAAACGGCCAAAGGTAACGCCACTTGGTACTCTCAGGAATCCGTCGTCGTCGTCGTCAGTGCCGACGCTTAGTCCAGGCGCCAAGGACCCCGACAGGTCCAGGTCGTTTGAGTGCAAATGGCCTGGATGTGGTGCGCGCGAAGTAACGGCTAGCGATGCACACACGGGCGCGACGTGGCGGCGAATGGTGAAAGGCTCGCCGGTGCTGCTTCACTCGGCGGGAACTTTTCTGCGACACTTTATCCAGATGCACACGAAACCCGAGTCCTCAGACGCTCCCGTCGAATGTCTCTGGCCCGGGTGCAAGTCCGACGACTCTGGCGGGAACCCGCAGCACGAGGAAAGGAAGAAATTCGACAACAATATGGATTTGATTTCACACGTGCGCTCGGTACACCTGCGGCAGATGGTCGGCGATAACGGCGGAAGTCGCGGGCCAGATATCGAGAGCGCGGTCGCACATTCGCGGAAGCGGATGAAGGCAATTGAAGATTCGCTTATCACGCCGCTGGCGTACCCCGCGCTCGACGAGAGCGTGTTTGATGCGCTAGCGCAGCGGCAGCAGGCGCAGCAGTTTGAGCCGGAGGAGGAGCTGCGGTATGTGGATAATGCGGATGTGTTGAAGTCGAATAAGTTGCTGTGGAAGGAGTATGTCAGTATGGCGCATATAGGCGCGGGATGGGATAGTGAGGTTGAGGATGATGTGGTGGTTTGAGCTTTTTTCTTTTCTTTCGGATTGTGTATTTGTATATGTATTCATTCATGGTTTAGTGTATATCATGGCAGTCAACTTTTAGTAATACTTCTAATAATAATCATATACATATATAAAAAAATCATTCTTCACTAGATATAGATCTTACTTCCAAGATACATCAGATTCATCTTCGGCACCTTCTCGCGACCAGACTCGTCGTCATCATCATCGATGCGGACATAATTTCGATGTCCCAGCACACGGTCTATCGGACTAAACACCCATTCGATAGCACCCGCTCTCGTCGCCATCCACGCACGGCGGAGGAGCGCGATAGGAAACGACGAGGTGGAGGACGATGGACGCTTAGCGCAGACGTCCTCGTTTTCAATCACATGGTACACCGTTGTCACTGCACTTTTCGCTGGCGAAGAGGCATCGGCTGAGGACGACGACGAGGGAAGCTTTGCGATGATCTGCGCGATGAGCGCGTCGTCGATCGCGACGTGGTCCATGAATCCGAAACGCACGATGCAGCGGTGGAATCTTGGGATCTTGCGATACGGTCTGAGCGCGATGCGTCCTGCCTCTGCGTCGACGAATGGCGCGTCGACGATCCGCACGCCGAGGAAGATGACGTGCTCTGGAAGCGCGGGGCAGAGGTTCAGTAGCTGGACCATGATGGCGGGGATCGTGTGCGGCGAGTGGAGTGTGTGGGTTGCGTTGGTGTGCACTATCGCGGCGGTGTTGGGCATCATGCCTAAATCGATTGGCGGGTTGGTGTTGCCTGGTTTGCTGCCGCGCGGTATAAGACGCAGCGGCTTGGATTGCTGGAGAGAGTCTGCGGCGTCGTCCTCCTCGAAGACAGGTAAGTCCTCCGCTAACCTGTGTGTGGGGACAAAGTACACAGCATCGCGTAGGCCGATCGTGTTGTCATCCCGGTTAGGGATATGGTTAAGCGGCCGAACGCTGCCAGCGCCCTTTGTCGATGAGGCAGAGGAGACAATGAGCTCCTGTCTTTCCTGTCTGACGGGATCGATGCCTTCAAACACCTCGCCGACTCGTATCCGCCGGCTATACTCGTTATCGACCTTGAGCGCGCGCGCCCACCGCCAAAAGGAGATGAAGCACGTGAAGAGGATTGCTACCGCGAGCGGGAACCATGCACCGTGAGGGATCTTCTTGATGTTTGCAATCACGAAGCACATATCGAACGCACCGAAAGCGAGGCAGAACGCGGCTGTGATGTAGAACGGGAAACGGAAGACGTAGATCATGCAGAACGTGATGAGCGTCGTGGTCACGATGAAGTCAAGCGAAACACCAAGACCGTAAGCTGCTGTCACATTGTTGCTTGTTCGGAATCCGACAGTGGTGAGGATGACGCCGACCATTAGTATGTAGTTGACTGCAGGGATGTAGACTTGTCCAGCGGTGGTCCTCGAGGTGTGGATGACCTTGAACGGAGGGAAGCAGTCGATATGGATCATCTGCCGCAGAATGCTAAACACACCCAAGATGAGGGCTTGCGAGGCAATCACGGTCGCAAGCGTGGCGAGCACAAACATGATCCAGTACTGCGGAGTGTTGGTGCCGCCCGGGATCGAGAGATAGAACGAGTTTGCGGTCGCAGACGGATCGCGGATGATGAACGCGGCCTGGCCAAAGTATTGGAGCATCAGACAAGGCCATACAATGCACGAGAGCGAGAGCTGTACGGATTCTCTTCCGAAGTGACCAACGTCCCTGTATTAAATGTTAGAAAACAGGGTCAAACTACTGCAACACAGATGGAAATGATACATACGCAAACATGGCCTCGACTCCGGTAACAGAGAGCATGACCGCACCAAGCAAATCAATACCGCCGTCATCGCGCAAGAAATCGATAGCAAATTTCGGGCTGAGAGCTTTCATGACCGAGGGATACTTGGCGATGTTGATGATACCCGTGACCGCGATAGCGACGAACCAGATTAAGACGATGGGAGCGAAGATGATTGACAGGCGGCCGGCGCCCGAACTTTCGGATAGAAAGAGAAGGAGGAGGATGATCACGGAGATTGGCATCACGAGATTGCTGATTGAGGGGACGGGGATTTCGATACCGCCGACTGCAGTGAGCACTGTCAAGTTGTCAATAAGTGTAACAAAGTAGCTCACTCGATAAAACTTACCTGAAGTGGTAGGCGTCAAAAGACCATCCGAGATCACCAAACTGCATCCAATAAAGCACAACATAAGTAGAAGCTTAGGAAACACAACCTCGTGAAACCATCCGGTCATGCGCAAGCGGAGCCTGCTCATCTGCGAGTCTCGCGTGAGACTCTTGCTGAGCTCGAGATACATATCCGGCTCCATCTCGCCCGGGAGCACCACTCCACGGGGTCCGACATGCAGTGTGCGCGCAAGCTTGGCGTAGATAGCTACCTGTCCACCCTCGCCGTTGTTGGGTCCAAGTAAGAGGACGATGAGGCAGTACTTGACCATGACGACGATGGTGAAGGTCCAGAAGATGCAGGAGGCTGCGCCCATAGATTGGCGCTCGGTGGGCTCGGAGTGGGGGAAGATACTGGAGTAGACGTATAGAGGACTCGTTCCAATATCTCCGTAGATGGCACCCAAGCTCTGGAATGCCATCCAACAGACTTGAAGTTTTCTGTTTCGGCCTGTAGATGAGTGCGCTCCAGCAGCAGCAGCAGGATCAGCCGCCTCGAGGTCGGTCGAGGGCAATGTTTGCAACTCAGTCGGCTCGTCAGAAACAGTCATCTTGGCGGTCATAGGCGTGATAGAAGACGTGGGAGCAATGAGACGAAAGAGGAAGGATGAGACCAGAAACAAAACAGCAGAAACAGCGGGACGGAGGCCCAGGTTTTATAGAGGTGATATCTCGCATCTCGTTAGGTCAGACAGATTAGAATGCACAGGGCGGTAGTGAGGTCAGCGACAGAAGAAATTTTGGTTACAGAGGGTGGTGGAATATCGGCGGACGGGCAAAACAGAAAGGTATCAGGCAGGTAGTAAAATTGCGGTACCGTCCAGAAAGAGGAATCAGCGACGGCGCATATCGTAGTATGGTTACGAACAACAAAGAATTGGGCAGTGCAAGAACGCAGCGAAAGAGAGCAAAATGACAGAGCAGATCGCCCAGATTAGGCCATGCCGACGGCAAAGTACGCAGTGCAAAGCGCAGCCACGAAGGTACCCGGCCGATGGTTAGTTTTGGCCAGAGAGGAGGAGGAGAGGAGCCAGGTGAGGGCAGAGGGTTTTCGTCGAACTGTTCTCTAAATGGACTGAAATTCGGACATTTGAGGCCCGCAAAACTCAGATTTGGTCGCGGTCAAAGAGAGCAGAGGTTTAAATGGCAGACGAGGCAGAACGGCTGGTTAGTCGAGCGCGTAGAGCAGAAATCCCGCGCAGAGCTATGGCAGCGGCGGGATAGAGTTGGATGCTCGCAAACGCCTATTGTGTTTATATCCTGAACCGTTTCATCTTCTGCCTGCGTTTCTTTGGTCCTGCCTGAGATTTTTATGGCACGCGGCGGAGAAGTTTGCTCTTTGTTGCCTGGTTTGTTTGTTGATGCTTCGCCATCGCCGTTACGAGCACTGCAAGCGAACGAGACGTAGCAGATCATCATCAGACTCGAAGAACAATTTCAAAACTGAAGATAACAGCAAATGTAATTCATTCATTCATTTAGCAGTCACGTCTCTGCTCTAGACCCACGTCCATGAACATACGCACAACAAAAATAGACAATCACATGCCGCTCAACTTCCCGTCTCATTTGTACGACACACAACACACAATAGGAACAAAATAAATAAAGCAAATTTTCAGTCAATCAGTTTCTAACAAACAAATTAGTCAGCATTCGCGCGTCATTTACGTGTCGTAGTGCGGCTCATGCTCCCAACGTTCCTTACGCGCCGCGGCGCGTTCTGCTCTGCTTCAATCCATTCTGCCTGCTCCAACTCTTCCAGCCGGTGTCTGATTCAACAGCAATGCTACCAGGGACTCCATCTGATGTTAGTAGCGGAAAGAAGCGATCCTCTGCGAGTAGAAGGTCGTTCAGCCAAACCACTCTCTTCTCCTCGCGGCCTTCCTCCTCAAGATCGACGAAGCAGCAGCAGTTTCTATCTTCCCCACCTCTCCAAGACATCACCCAGAGTCCGTCTCTGAACTCAGCCTTCTACTCTACTTTTCCGTCATGCTCCACATCACAAGCAGCTTCAAACAGACCTTCCAGCATCGGTCTTTCTACACCAGATTCCTCTCCCTGCCCGAAACGCATAAAAAGCTCATCCTACCACGATCCGACCCCCGCGCGCCATGCATCCCCGCGACAATCTCTCATCAGCAGCCTTCGCCAGGAAGAACCGCTCCGTCTGCCACGACGGCTGTTTATGCGCGAACTAGCTTGCGACAGGCGTTCGTCCGCCGCTGCGTTTTACTCAAGAGCGGATTTCAACCGCTTCGAGTTGCGGAATTTCATGTCGACTGCCGAAGACGTGTACAGTATCGGCAATACGCGTATGCGTGTATTGGCTAATGATTTGCAGAGTATTCCGTTTTCTGTCACTAGTTGCGCGAGGCACCCTATCAGCGTGGTTGGCGATGAGGGCGGCCTTGTACATATGCTTGATACCGAAAACCGCACCATCAGTACGCATCTCTCTCTTCAAACTTCGGTCCCTCTTCTGTATAGTTATTAACTGGTTTCCTAGAATCACCACTGGTCACACTAGCATGTCACGAAAGCGCAATCTTTGACCTCGCGTTCTCCCCTGACGACGTGCTCCTCGGCACCGCCTCCGGCGACCAAACCGCGCGGATCTTCGACGTCCAAAAGCAAATCTGCACAGACATTCTTTACCCAGACGGCACCCACTCCCTCAAGCAGATCCGCTTTTGTCCGACCAACAACGACGTGCTGATAGCCTCCACCCGCGGCGGCACGATCGCGCTCTTTGACCGACGCACGGCGACCACGATCGGCCGCTCGCACGACGGCATATCGCGCAGGATACCGTGCGGTCTTCTCGCGCGGGCGCAGAATCCAGAGAAAGGAAGGCGGGCGAAAAACAGTCATGCGCGAAGTGTGACTTCGGTTGAGTTTCTCGACGACTACAGTATCGTCAGCGCGGGCGAGGAGTCCAGCGCGCTGCGCGTGTGGGATATCAGAAAACTCGATCTGACAAAACGGTATCTGCAACCGGTTATGGAGTCCCCTAATACGACAAACAGTCGTTATGGCGTCACCTCGCTCGGTATCGACCGCGCGAATGCCCGCATATGGGCGCTGGGGAGGGATAATTGCCTGTACGCCTACCCGCTCCTGGACGGGCCGCGAATTACCCAACCGCTGGAAATTCTCCGCCACGAAAAGCTCAAAGTGGATTCGTTCTACGTCAAGCTGAGCGTACTTTCTGATCCCGCGGCCATTGCGGCCGGGAACCTGAGCAGCGGGTACGTAGCCTGTGGAAGCTCGACTAATTCTGTCGTCGTGTTTCCTTCGTCTTCGCGCGGCGTCGGCGGCGGCATCGCGAATATGAGGCAGGATGGGGAGAGTACTCGGAAAGCTGGAACGGCGCTCGTACATGGCCATACGGCGGAGATTACAGGCTTGTCATGGAACAGCAACGGTGCGCTTATGAGTATCAGCGATGACAGAACCAGTCGCCGGTGGACTTTCAATCGTGATGGTGCAGCAGTGGATGAGATCCGGCAGCGGTGGAAGCCGTATGAAGACGAGCAGTTTGTCTGGAATAGAGAGGGATATGCAGAGGCATAACTTTTCACAATTAATAAGCGGTGTATATATACAAATCTATTAAATCATATCTACATAATCTACAACCCATAAACCCGTCTCGCGTTCTCAGTCGTGATCCTCAACACGTCCTCAACCGTTACCCCATCCTCGCCTCCCTCGCGCAAGCACTCGACAATCTTCTCCGCCGTCGCGGGGATCATGCCCGAGTGCGAGACCGCATAAATGCCCATCTTTGCTCTATTCGCGTTCTTCATCAGCGAATTCGGCACCATGAACGGCGCATCGGTTTCGAGCACGAGACGGTCGAGAACCCGCAGGCCGCCGGAGCGGATTAGTCCCGTCGTCGTCAGCAGAGAGGCAAAGGTGATCACTCCCGTGATTCCAATCACGGCGTTGGGGAAGTGCTCGAGGATCTCGAGACCCATTTCGGCAGAGTCGGTGAAGCAGTGCACGTGCAGACGGTGGTTCCGCGGAAGATGCGTCTTGAGGATACGGAGCGTGTCGGCCTCGGCTTCGCGCGTGTGGACGACGAGGGTTTTATTAAAGACCTTTGACGCGATCTCGATTTGGCGGATGAATACTTCCTCCTGCTCTTTCTGCGTTGATTGATTCTTCTTATAGTCCTGGGAGAAGATACAACGTCAGTATGCGTCACCGTCATTCAACCCATCTTCTAGAGGCTCACTTACCAATCCACACTCCCCCACCGCAACACACCGTGGATGCGACCACGCCTGCATCATCTGTGCCTCGACATCGGGCCCATACAGCCTCGCGCTATGCGGATGACAACCCATCGTGAAATAATATTCCCCGCCCCACTGCCTTCCCTCGCCTGAAATCCACCTCGTCTGACTGCCCAAGTCCTTCCACGCATCGCTCACGGGTATATCGCAAAACACGTCGACAACAGCTCTCAACTCCGACGTGAAAAGCATGTTTGCAAGGTCGACCTCGTTCTTCACGTCCTCATCCGAGCTTCCTTTCTGCTTCAACATCGCCAGCGTAGTATCGAGATGGCAATGCGTGTCGATATACGCCGCTCCGGGGTACATAGTCGGCACCAAGTGATCTCTCAGCGCCATGAACTTCTTCTTCTCCCTCTTTTCTCCTGTACGGCCACCCTTCTTGTAGTTACTGCTGGCTCTATCAGATTTCGACATGCCCGCGTATGTAGCCAACGTCCTCCTTCCAAAGTCGTTATCAAGGATCCCGCTCTTTATCGGTATCCGCAGCGGACAAGTATTTGAGTAGCTTTTCAACAGAGCACAGCGCTGTAAATAGCTTCTCTGCATATTATTTCCGTCCTCGGCCCGAGTTCTAGTTTCGTCGACACTTTCACTGTCCGTTTAGTCACTCATACGTGAACTCCTAGTCAACTCTTTCTCGAATGCTCAAAACCTGTTCGGATGAGCTCGAGCTCAGTTTTGCAGTACTTTAAAAGTTCATTATACGTTTGAGGTTAGGGTATTGATGGATTGCAGACAGAAGACATTTGACGCGTCTCTTCACTCTTCACCGAGCTCGACGCGTGACGGCGTTGATGCAGGTGCGCCGCCAAGATCGATTAATTCACTTTTCTGCAATGGAAGGGCTTCACTCAACTACCATGTTTTTTACAACCTATTATCGGATGCCTCGCGACGAAAGCTCAATGGCGCTAGCCCTATGAACGCCGCGGTCGATTATTTGCTGATATCATTGCTAATGATATGTCTTCTTCTTTCAATGTAATGGTTCAAACCGTACAGATCCAACAACAACGCAAACATCGTGATCAGCGAGAAAACATAGGGGTTACTGATATAATGGCAAACACAACGGCAAGCACAAACCGAGCCGAAATCATACTTAGTGTGCTCCATGTCCATGAACTCGACAAAAACACACCCCACCGAGGACAAGACGTAGACGATGAACATTGTAAGAACGCTTGGTTGTAAGAGAACACGAGAATGAGAGCAAGAGTGAGTACATTAGTAGTAAAGCAGTCTTTGAGCTATTGAGCTCTTGGAAAGACATCGAGGAGAGAGGAGTGCTCTGGTCTGCCTCGTTTGCGGAACAGATAGATCGAAAAGGACAAGTGAGATGGAATCAGCTTCAAAATTATTGACATGAGAGTTAAGATAACTAAATAGTAATAGTAATATAATAGATAGTAATAATAATAACTAGTAATAATAAATATAGTAATAAGCAAACCGTAGAATTCAAAAGATTTAATATCAGAAATAAGTAGATAAATACAGAATGAATTAATAAACAACAAAATTAACAAAAGAAGAAAAAATTCACTTTTCCAGCTCTCAATCTTTCCTTCCAAAAAAAGAGAAAGAAATAAGAGAACAAAAAAGGGAGAAAACGCTATCAAGCTATATTATGCAGATGTCTCAAGAAAGCTGATGAATAATAGCGCGAAATGTAACAAACGAAGAACGCAAACGAGAAACAGAGAAAAGAGAAAAAGAGAAAAGAGAGAGAAAGCAGGAATACACCAGGGAGGATTAGAGGATGGGAGGAGAGGGAAAAACTGTATGATCTCAAGCCTCGTGTAAAAGCAAAACATATAATCAAAAGACATAAAAACAACCGGTTTCCGTAGTTTATATAAAAGACAATTTATAAAAAAAGGGAGATGTATAACGAAAGAAAAGCAAATGCAGTGCCGCAATGCCCCCTTTCCCTTTTTTCGTGTCTTTTCCTTTGAACCTGTATCTGCTCTCCAGATGATATTTCTCATTTTTCGTCATGCAGCAAACGTCGGCAAGGCGATTTAAACATAGTTTTCGTTCTTTTCATACACAGTGAACCAAAGGATGAAAAAAGAGACCGCTTACCACTCCCAAGTCCAGCCGGCCTTGACGACCTCGTCGCCGGTTCTCTTGACAGTGTAGCTGATCTCCTTGCACCACGTGAGCGCCTTTCCAATGTTTTCCTGGACAACCTCCTTATTCCGCTGGCGTGTTCGGGCCTTCTGCTCCTCGATCTTGCCCTCGGGAAGCTCGAGGATTCTCTCGATAACGTCGAGATCGGCCTCGTTGTCGTTCTGGAGCCAGATGGAGTCCTCGGTAAGGTAATCGTAGGTCTTTAGCAGACGCTTCTTACCAACGATCGGAACACCGGCAATCAAACTAGCAGGAACGGAACTCGACGCCTTTCTGTCATAGTATTCGTCGTTGGCGAAAGCAGGAAGCAAAGCAAACGAGTCGGACAAAATCTTGTAGAACTCGGCAAACTCGAGACCCTCGTTGAACTCGACACGGCTCTTGATCGAAGCCGGGACCTCGGGATGCTTGCCGTGACCAATCAAGTGCATACGCAACTGCTGCAGACGCTCGTTCTCGGGGTTCTTCTTGCCGAACGACTCGAACTGAGTGAAGATAGACTTGTAGTCGCGACGCTCAGACTCGTAGTTACCCTGCAGACTGAACGACAACTCCTTCTTGGTGTGGATAGGAACGGGGAAGACAGGGACAAAGACTCTGAAGTTGTCCTTGATGAACTGATGCTCGGGGGCCCACGAGGGGATGACCTTGTCCTCCATGAAGCGCTTAGTGTGGCCAGACAGGAAGATGAAGGTGATCTGCTTCGACTCAATCCAGGGAATGATGTCAGTGTAGAAGTGGTAGAACGAGTCCTTGTGCCATCTGTCACCGTGGTGGACGGTGCAGAAAAGGTACGAGCCAGCATCGCGCATGGTGGTGAACTGGTTCTTCAAGCGACGGATATCAAACTCGCAAGTGGTTCCGAGAATGACGTCGGGAATGGGGTTCATCGCATCGAACTTCATCGAAGTAGATCCTCGGGGCTTGGCCAAGTTGGTAAGGCCAAAGGTCTTGAGAACGGCGAAAATGTTGAATCGGGGTCGGAAAAGGTATTCGTAAATGTACGAGTTGGGGAGCTGAGCGAAAGCGTAGATCAAGGCAGCGAAAACCTCCTCGTGAGATCCACCGTTCTCGGTCAAGAAGATACGGAGAGGGTTGGGCAAGTCGCCCTTCTTGATGGCAGGCAAGAACTCTGTAAAATTAATCGAACGTTAGCAAGCAATCACAAACAGTCTACTGATATCAAAAAGAGGAAAACTCACTGGGCTCCGCAGGCTTCTCTTCGACAACCTTGGCCTCAGCAGCCTTGGCCGCGGCCTTCTCCTTCTTAGCCTTCTCGACAGCAGCGGTGTAAGCAGCAAGGGCAGCCTTCTCCTTCTTTGCGCGCTCGGCAGCAGCAACATACGCGGCGAGGGCATCAGCCTGCTTCTTCGCCTGGGCCTTCTTCTGCGCATCGGCCTCAGCCTTCTGTTCGGCCTCGGTCTTAGCGGGATCAGCGACAGGGGCGGGCGAGTTGGACTTCTCGACCTCCTCAAGAGCAACTTCGGCAGCAGCCTCAGCCTCGGCCTCGGCCTCCTTGGTCTCCTCAGCAAGCTTCTTGCCAGCGGCCTCAGCGACGGTCTCCGTCTCGCCCTCCTCCTTGGAGGTAGCGACGGTCTCAGCAGCATCGCTCTTGGGGGCACCCTCGGTGGCAGCAGCAGCCTGCTTAGCAGCCTGCTTCAAGACAGCATCCTCATGGGCCGACTCAGCAGCCTCCTCAGGGGTAGGAGCCTCAGCAACGACAGCAGCCTCAGCAGGGGAGCCATCGGCGGGCACGGCCTCGGAGGGCTCGACGTCGGAGTCGCCAGCATCGGCAGCAGTCTCAGCAGGAGCAGCGTCGGGCGACTTCTGGTCAGCAACAGCGACGGCGGGAGCACCAGCGGCAGCACCAGCGGCTCCAGCGATGGGAGCAGCGACCGGAGCCTCAGGAGCCGCATCGGCAACAGGTGCAGCGGGAGCGGCCTCAACAGGAGCAGCATCACCGTTCTCCTCAGGGGCCTGCTGACCAGCAGCATAAGCAGGGGCAGATGTCGTGACTCCAGAGATCGGCGCGGCGACGGCGGCGCCGGCGGCAGCGTTGGCAACAGGCTCAGCTAGCTTCTCCTCAGCGCCAGCATAGTGGTTAGCAGCAGCGGCAGGCTGAGCGAGGACTAGAGATTAAAAAAGTGATTGTTAGATTCTGTACGAGTGGAGAATTGATTAGCTTTCATCGCAAGATCTCGCCAGTCGCGCTGCTGAGACTGAGGCGCGACCCAAATTAGATCACAGTGGCTAGACGCGCCACTGAGGAAGAGAGAAGGGACTGTGCACGCAGTGGCGAATACGCGGTCACCCAAAGTGTAGAAGGTGGTATTGAGTAGTGATATAATAGAGACAGTTTGATTGAGCAGACAGAGGAGCGGATGGTGGAGGAGTGGTGGGTGGCCAAGCATCCAGAGGAAAAAGGCTAATTTTGAATCAGATGGCAAAAAAGAAGCTGTGCGCCTGTCTGTAGCCAGCAATGGCGAAGGAAGGATTTGCAAGCTCAGTGAGGCCGTGGGATTGAAGTAGAGGAAGAGATGGCGAGGAAGAAAGAAAGAAGAGAGATTGTGAAGAGTTGAGGAGGTGATAGCTGCGCAGGGCGAAAATGGGCGAAGGAGACGAAAAAAGCGCCCCAGAGAATACAGGGAGAAGAGACGCGTATACGCGGACGAGATCAAGCAAATGAAGAACCAAAAACAAAAAGAAGAATAGAGAAAACACATACCAGACTCCTGGACGTTCTGGGCGAAACCGGGAGCAGCATTGGGCACAGCGAAAGGGACGACGGACTGGGAAGGCTCACGCGCGTTGTAGAGGATGGAGACACCGAGGAAGATGATTACGGCTGTGAAGAGCGCGATGAGGGTGTTGAAAGGCCGCAGCAGCATGGCTAAGGCAGGAGCAGCAGACTAATACGCGACGGACAGAGGGAAGAGAGCGGCGGATGGGAGGAGGAGAGAAAAGAAGGGCTGGAGCGGGAGCGGGAGAGGATTGAAAAAGCTGGTGAAGACCGAGAAAAAGGCGACGCAGCACTGCGCGTGCAGCACGGCGGCCTCTGCGCAGCACAAACCGCGCCGCTCGCACCGCCACGATGCACCGCCGCATGCCGCCACGTGCCGCCACACCTCCGTCCAGGGTCGCAGGCCGGTTAGGGGCCCTGTGGCGATCTGCCGGGTGCTGCTGGCCACGAGGAGGGGGGACGGCTGTTGCTGCTGGTTGTAGATGTCTGTAGCAGTGCAGATTATCAGCAAAAGGCCTGCTCCACGATACTCACACGATTATGGCCCTGTCGGACTTGCGCTCGTCGGTTCGTCTCCGGCGCCCCGCCCAGCGTGCGGCTCGGCCCTGCTGCATCCGGCTCTTCGCCCAACGGGAAGCAGCCAGAGAATGAGCATTCATTGACTGCTGCTCTGGCTGCCTGTCTGTCTGTCCCTGTCTCTGTCTGATCTTGCTGTCATTCACGTCGCATTGCAGTCGTGGTCTGTCTCAATGCCACGTAGTCAATACCTCTTGTGATCCGCTGTGTGTGCAGTCACTATTAACTCCAACTCTCTCGGTGGCCAAAACCGTTGCAGAGCAATAGCTTTCATTCACCACCACCAGCCAAGTCTTATTGCTCTATTTCCTCTTCTCTCAATTCTATTCTCTATACTTCATTCACCATCTCTTTCATTGTCTGTCCAATCCTAACAAGCTTGCCAGGCATCCTCGTCGCAGCACAGCTAGGGCTGCATTCTGGGGGCTTTCTCCATCGTACATAGTGCCTTTTTTATGGCCCGTGGATAAAGCAGCGTTAAACAGCCATTATGTCTTTATACTAACACCGTTTCGATGCAAGCCACGTACTACCGCTGCACGTCTTCAGCACCGTCTGCATTTAACCAGACTACCAACGATAATCTCTGTAAAGTTATTACTCCAATGCCCGCCTATCAGATGCTGTTCTTCGTGTTTTGGCGTTACCGCGCGACGAACGCGTACGCATCTCTTTCATCGTCTGTCCAAATGTCATTATCTCCACTTTCTTCCTATCCTAACAAGCTTGCCATGCATCCTCGTCGCAGCACAGCTAGGGCTGCATCCTGGGGGCTTTCTCCATCGTACATAGTGCCTTTTTTATGGCCCGTGGATAAAGCAGCGTTAAACAGCCATTATGTCTTTATACTAACACCGTTTCGATGCAAGCCACGTACTACCGCTGCACGTCTTCAGCACCGTCTGCATTTAACCAGACTACCAACGATAATCTCTGTAAAGTTATTACTCCAATGCCCGCCTATCAGATGCTGTTCTTCGCGTTTTGGCGTTACCGCGCGACGAACGCGTACGAGGCATGGGCCGCGTTTGGTATGGCCCTTCATGCACGTTTTCGGCTGCCTGTAGCGCGTCGCGTAACCCACCAACCAGTCTGCAGGTCATTCCTGCCGGCTTGGCCAGGAGAGTACTGTCGCGTAACTGCTCGTTTAAGAGAATGATATGTCTGGTCGTCGTCTGCTTCTACTTCCAGCGCCAGAGACAGACTGCGGCGCGTAGTTCTACATCATTCAGCAATTTCCGACCTGAGCCCGGAAAACTCAAGACCTTAAGATCAACAAACATACTTCCATATCATAGCTCTACGTGCAGCCTATTGGTGCGTGCACGAACGCTGACTAGTGTCTTCAAACCAGAATATGCTCGTCGCGTACTCTTCAATCTCAGACCGACTAAGTCCATTCGCTGCTGTGGTCTTCCTATAATGCAGAAAACAAAAACATAACGGCGCCTTCAAAACCCAAAGCTTCGACTCGGAATTTGCCTTATCCCGGCTTCGGCTCTCTCCATCGCACGCTACCGTTTGTCTTCTGTTTCTGTCTACATCGCCGGCTGTCCCAAGTTCGTCCGACTGTCCAGATCCAAATCTCGATGGGTTTCTTAACAACAGCAGCAACAGTTTTACAATGCCCACCGCTCCTTCGCTTCAATTCGAAAATACCCACGTATGCGTTTATCCTGCACAACTTGACCTCGGGGTGCGATTATAACTCCATTCTGCTGCCTAGCCGAAAGCTTCCGCTCCCAAGAGGGCTCACCAGAACTAGCCTATAGAGTCAACCGACCAGAGTCATCCGACCGGAGTCAACCAACCTGGGACCGTCCGTAACTGCGTCTCTGTGCTGCGTCTCGAAAAACACCTCAAACCTCTCGAGGAGGCTCTGGCCTGTTTATACCTCTGACAAGATTCCATCTGCCGTTCTCTGAAGACAGCCAGATGCCTTCTCTGGATAGCAATTCCCAAAAGGGCTTAGCGATGAACTCTAATTGTCGTGCATCTAGATTGCTCGTAACTCGGTCCCTGGCATTTTGTTATCTGCTGCCTGCTCACTACAGACATCTATTTTATATCTGAAGAGGTCAGAGAAACCAGCTATATTCTGTTTTGAAGCCGCTGCTTCAATCCGCCTTCTCCTCCCGTTCATACATCTGACTCAAAGGCGTACTCGCTTAAGTCATGGCTGACTGCGCATCGCCATCTTCTTGATAAGCAAAAGTTATCGATTCTATTACAGATATCGGTAAGCCCTGGCCAGGAGCAATGCCGGGAATAGACCTCCCTCCATACATCTTCATGCAAATAAACCCGTAATCAAGCACCCGTCGCGCGCATATATTCTGGCTGGCGATGTGCCGTGACTCCTGCGCTGGCCGTAGATCAGCTCAAAGTGGTCAAGAGACCCCGATACTATCTAAGCTCGGACCCTGTCCCGCGACTATCGCACTCGTGAACCCGCTGCGGCCGCTCTCGCGATATATAGTTGATTATACCGACACTTTTCTAGGGATTGTCTCTCAGAACACTCTTCCAGTTTTCAAAGTGAGAGTCGGGTCAATATGGTCAAATCTGAATTCTCGTCCGGATACTCTACGCGCGTAAACAGCGATGGCGACGAGGACTACAACATCGCCAACACCGCGGTCTACAAGTCTGAATCTGCCGCGGACGAGAACACCGCGCTTCTGAGCTCGGAGAAGAACGATGGTCTTGAGGCTCTTGATGTGAGCAGAGGTGCTTGGATGTCCCTTATCGGATCTACCTCTGGCATGCTCACCACGTTTGGATATGTTGTTGTTATCGGTATGTCGCGCCCACCTTTACTTCCACTGCCGCGCCATATATTAACAGCTCCATACAGGAATTTTCCAGGAATACTACCAGTCAAATCAGCTCATGAATTATAGTCCCTCTGAAATCTCATGGATTACCTCCATGGAAATCTTCCTCACAATCTTCATGGCCGCCTTCGTCGGTGCCGCCTACGATGTCATCGGCCCCAAGCCCCTCATCATCCCCGGCACAATCCTCATGACTGTCGGCATCATGCTGACCTCGATCAGCACACAATACTACCAGATCATGCTTTCCCAGGGTGTCTTGACCGCCATCGGCGGAGCCATGATCTTCCACGCTTGCGCTCCCGCCATCTCGTCCTGGTTCGACAAGTACCGCGCGACCGCGCTCGGAATCGGTAATGCGGGTTCAGCGCTCGGCGGTGTCTTTATTCCCGTCATCTTCCGCCAGGTGGTTGACTACGCTGGCTTTGGATGGGCTGTGCGCGCTATCGGCTTCGTGCTCTTGTTCGTCTCCTCGATTTCGTGCCTCCTCACCACCTCCAGAGTTCCCCCTCCCGGTCCCCAGAAGATCGACCTGTACAAGACCTACATCGTCCCCTTCAAGTACCTTCCTTTCACCTTCACTGCTGTCGGTGTCTTTATCGTCTACTGGGGTGTCTTTATCCCGCAAAACTACATCCCCAGCCACGCCGTCGCCCACGGCGTCTCCCCGGGCCTCGCAAACTACCTCATCTCGATCCTGAACGCCGTCTCCATCTTCGGTCGCATCCTCCCCGGAATGTTTGCCGACAAATTCGGCCGCTTCAACTCTTACTTCCTCTGCTGCTTCATGGCCGGCCTGCTCACCCTCGCCATCTGGATCCCCGCCCAAAGCGTCGGCGTCATCATCCTCTACGCCGCCTCCTACGGCTTCTTCTCCGGCGCGGCCACCTCGGTCTGGCACTCCGTCATCGCCGACATCTCGCCCTCTGAGGAAATTGGTGCTCGGCTGGGAACCGTCAACTCGTTCATGTCGTTCGCGACTCTGTCTGGCGGTCCCATCGCGGGTGCCATCATCACCAGCAACGGCGGCGAGTATTACGGTGCCGCGACGTTTGCGGGCGTCGTCATGATTGTTGGCTCGTTTTTCATCTTGGCCGGTAAGGTTGCTCATACTGGTGACATCTGGTCGCGCAAGTAACCGCGCCCCTTCCTCTCTTCCTCATCCTCCTTCCTTTCCTTATTTATCGGTCACTGCTTCATCAAGATAAATCAAGATACTCGAGGCACAACTCCTCCACTATCTTGAGATAAAACTACAAATCTCTACTCCTCTACACATAGCGCGGTTCCTAGACGGTTTTCCAAGAGGGACCTCGCTTCTCTGTACGAATAGTGTCAATACTGATTGCACACAGCATTATAACTTTTCACATCTTTCATTGGTTTCTGTTTTCATATTATTTCTCTCTTTTCTTTCTTATGATGCTTTTCACAGGCGGGACTCTGTCATGCTTAGATTGCCTATCAGGGAAAAGAAGGATTTTTTGGTTGGTGGGTGCATAAGGGCGGAAAAATTGGTACATAATCGTGTTCGTTTAGGTGGGGTTATATACAACTAATAATAATATTCATAATAAGATCACAACTACTCTGGAATTTTTAAAGTCTTTCAATCACCATATATTAATCCCTAATTATAATCACCAACAGCTTCATCTAAACACGAGGATACAAATACAGGATGAACCAGTAGTGACTAGCTATGATACAAAAGAAATGCAGCAGACTTGCGACCGACAACACAGTAATAATTTCAAACCAAATCAAACTCTCCCCGTCTGATCTTCTCCCGCAAGGCAATAAGCACCGCGCGCTGCGCATCCGGCAGATTCGCAATCTGCTCGTCGCTCAACTCTATAACCTGTTTGATCAGCGCCGCCTTCTGCGGGTCGATGTGAGATGGGATCGCGATGCCCGGAGCCGGGCTGTTTGTTGATCTGGCGGGTGCGGCGGCGTACTCTGGTTGTATCTGTTGCTGCTGCTGTTGTTGGAGTAGTCGTTGCTGTTGCTGCTGTTTCTGCGCAGCAAGTTGCGTAGCGTCGACCGCCGATGCGACCGCGCTCGCGTCCACGAGGCCCATGAGCAACATGCTCTGCACGACCGCGTACGAAAGTTGTGGTGACGACTTTAGCAGCTCGCGCAGCTTAGCGGGGTTCTGTGTGGCAGCGCTCTTGAGCTCTTGCAGGATGTTGAGCATCTGAGGGGGTGTGAATGCTGAGAGAGTCTGCGAGATGGCGTCGGGAGTTGAAAGGTTTGGAGGTGGTGGTGTTCCAGTTGGCAGAGAGGAAATTAATGATTCTACACACATAACTTGTCAGCTAGATGTTTGAAAGTGAAAATGAGCTTGCTCGAGGAAGGAGATAATACCTTTGTTTCCGCTTGTGAGAACATTGGGTCCAATCGATGTTTCGTGTGAAAAGTCGACACGAAGGGCTCGATTGTTCAGTTCGTAGTTGTTTAGATTCCGGACAGCTGATGCAGCAGTTTCACTGTCTGAATCATCAATTTGATATTAGCAAAAGCTCCCCAACCTCCAAGCACTTTCTCTCGGGCAGAAAAAGATGGCATCGACTGACCATGATATTCAACAAATCCAAACCCTTTTGGCCGCCCAGTCTCTTTATCAAACACGAATCTGAAGTTTGCAACAGGACCAACCGACTGGAACACATCTGTACAAATTTTGAAGAAGTTATTAGTCTGCTGATGCACTCGTCAGAGTATCAATACGAAGCAAGTGAAGACGTACCCATGATCTGCTCCTCTGATTGATCGTAGGGAATGTTCCCTACGAAGACGACTTTTCCAGCTCCTTTGTCTGCCATACTTCCACCAGATTTTATAAAATGCAGATAACTTTTTGTTTCTTTCCGGGAATATTCAGGGAATAGTAACAGCTAACGCGGTATTGTTGAATCTCTGATCTGAATCAATCGAGAGCAAAAGGAAGATGCGTCAATGTGGTTCTCACCATGCAAATAAGGTTTCAGGGTGACTATTTAGCCACCACTATAATAAGGGAACGTGCGTAAGATCGATGGTAATTTAAGCCTATCAGGTAGCCAGTCCGTCAGTCCGTCTGCGAACCTCCCCTCCCCCCACCACACCTTCAGTCGAGGAGCAAGAGCACCCCACGCGCCCGCCTTGATATTTTGAACGATCGACTACGAGGTGCTGCTCTGATGGAGCACATTGTTGTTCCGCCTAATGTACCGAGAGTGCTCCTTCGTCGACGGAGTTCGGGAAGTAGTCATGCTGGAAGTGATCACGAGCGCAGCCCCGAGGTTCCGACGGTAGATGTTATTCTGGACAACAGGTGTGTTTATATGAATGGCTATGCGAATCCAGTGGATGTGCCGTGCTAACTCGATACAGTCTGCCGGCAGAGCAGCTTAAACGCGAGGTGTTGATGCTCATTCTGCGACTCAAGTTGCCAAGATGGCGGTCGTTGCCCATCTCTGAATATCCGTTCATTAAGATATCGCGGATATCAGGTGCTCTCACAAACGCCGTACGTACAGGTTACTGCTTTATTACGTGGATATTGTTGCTGGAGTGACTAACAGACGACACGCGCAGGTATATTGCGTCAGCCCGCCCGCGCAGTATATGCATCCTTCCCACAGAGCTCACCACACGGAGCCACATACTCCAGCCGACTCTGGCAGCTCGCAGAAATTACCACGTCCCAAGAGCGCTACGTCTCTAGTTCACATTGGTCATATTCCCCAGCTGCTTCTCCGCGTCTACGGGCCCAATACGTCGCAGATCATCGATCGGGCCACCGAGCTCGCGGTGCTCAAGCGCCTCGCGGCTCGCAACATCGGTCCTCGGATCCTAGGCATTTTCACCAACGGCCGCTTCGAGCAATTCCTCAAAGCTACGACGCTGACGAAGGAAGATATCCGCAAGCCTGAGGTCAGTCGTGGTATCGCCAAGCGGATGCGTGAGTTACACGACGGCGTTGATTTGACGATGGACGAGCGGCTGGGTGGACCTGGTCTATGGAAGAATTTTGCAAAGTGGAGCATGGATGCGAAGGAAGCACTTGATCGGCTTGATAAGTTGGTTCCTGAGGATCAAGATCCGAATGCGAATCCGTGCGGGCCACCTTGGACTACGAAGAAAGTGTTGATGGCGGATTGGCCTACGTTCATGGAGGGCGCGAGGAGATATAAGGAATGGCTGGAGGCTGCTTATGGTGGAGAAGAGGCGGTGAACAAGGGCCTAGTGTTTGCCCACAACGACGTAAGTTTGGGTCTGCTTCTATAAAGCCAGAGGACAAGTCAAGCTAACGCTTTATAGGCTCAATACGGAAATCTACTGCGAGTAGAGCTGCCGCTAGGATCTCCGCTCCTGCAGCCTGCTCATGAGCACAGAGCACTGGTTGTCATAGACTTTGAGTACGCGAGTCCTAATACGCGAGGCTATGACATTGCGAATCATTTTGTGAGCCACTTACATGTTTTCTGATTTACTTGGCTTGGACTGACACAGTTTGTTCAGAGTGAATGGATGGCGGACTATCACCATCCTACGCGGCCGCAGGATCTACATTCCGAAAAATTCCCAAATCTTGAGGAACGTTCCCGATTTATTGAGAGCTACGTCACGCACACGTTCGAGGACTTTGATGAGCTTGAGACGATCGACAAGATGATTGCGGTCCTACATAGCGAGGCGACCAAATGGAATGCGGCATGCCAGCTCGGCTGGTGCGTTTGGGGAATTATCTCTGCAAAGATAGATGCTGAGCCGGAGGAAGACGAGGAAGGGTTTGTCGACGTGGTTGAGAGCAATCAGGAGACGGCTAAGGAAACGCTCGAGGCGGATCCGTTCGATTACCTCGATCATGCTTCTCAGAGAGCTGCTCTGTTCTGGGGCGAGCTGGCGGTGCGCGGGATCCCTATCCCGGAAGGAGTAGATATGACTAGGGCGATGTACTTGGAGAAGCCCAGAGACAAAGGACTAGTTACTGAAAAGAGCGAATAGACTGTGTGTCTTTTCGTAGCTATGAGCTCTGTATTATGATCACTATAGTAAATACAATAAAGTAGTGTATGAGCATAAGGTTTATCGACAGATAACTGACCGGAGGTGGATCCCCGATGGATTCGTTGATTGGGAGTTTAAGGTTTCCAGCCTATCGGGCTCCGGGTTGCGTAGGCCTCAGGGCACTGCTGACTTGGATATCAAGAGCCCTCTGGAGTTCTTCTGTTGTATCCTACTTCTTCTTCTTTTTCATTCTGTGCTGAAAGAACTGAGGCTGTGTAGGTAGGTTTTGATAGTGTTATCTGCGTCTTGTTCTTTCGAGCTGGAGACTTGACCATCTGTTGGCTGACTCCCGCTTTGCATTAGATATCCTTGGAAGAGCATCATGGTCAGCAGTCCGCAACCATCTTCCTCCCTCGCATCCGGCAGCGCTACTGATGTCTACATTGCAGGCGTCAGTGCTCCCATCCGTGTTGAGCGCGAGAAGTACAACTCGACCGTAAAGAATACCGGTGCTCCGCTATACTACATCGACGAGGACGGAGATCAGATCACTGTAAGTCATAGATTGACGAGTGACGTGGCCGGCTCTCGTATTTCTCTTTGCTGACAGCGTGTTTTTATTTCCAAAGGTCGGATCTTTTAGCGAGCTGGACGATCGTATCCGAGAGCTGAAGCTCAAGAACAAGCTTGCGGTCTTCTCTCTGACTCCGAAAGCTGGTCCCGACTGGCGGAATCTCGTCGATTCCAGCTCTTCTGTGGCTAGCAGTCGCCATTCAAATACGTCTGCTGCCGAATCGCTGGCTACGCCTCAGCTGTCCTCTCTCTCGGCTCTAGCTGAGACTGACATCCCAACGCCTGATGAACAGATGTCCACCGCGACCACAGTCACCGGCACCGGATTAGCGACGCCCGAATCAGGGCTCGCGAGCGCCGCTAGTGACGAGTTTTCTGATCAGTTGGTGGCTGCCTTTGAGAGCATGCTGAACGATGTCGAGACGCTTTCTCGCCAATCATCGCCTGCTCCGCTGTTTACGACCGAAGACGATCAGCTCTACTCTGAGACGACTTCGGCTTTCGGCGACAGTACTATCCGCACCACTGCTCAGGTTCCAAATCCGGGATTTACGAGTGCGCTCCAAAGCAGTGTTTCCGGAGCTGCATCATCGTCTACTGCGAGCAGCGCAAGCTGGGTCGACAACGTGGCCGATAGCGTCAGACGCGCGATCCAGCAGCTTCAAGATGCAGCCAACGGCATCGACTCGGTAGCAAGCTCCAAAGTTTTCGAAATGGATCCCGATCTTCCTGACCACGTTGCCGCCCTCGTTCGTAAGATCGTTCGCCAGGTGAGCGAGAACGTGAAGCAAGCCGATCGGGTGTTCCCCATCCCGGCTGACTTCACGCGTGAAACCGTCGACCGCACAATCAGCAGCTTCCAGGACTTTGCGGTGCAAATCGGTCAGGTTGCGCGCCTGAGTGGATACCAAGCCGCTGCAGCTTCGCGAGACGCAGCCGGTGCAGGATTGCAGGTGACGCGGGACGCGATTAGGTCGGCGCGCGAGAACACGCAGATTGCGACTACGCAGCTGCGGAGCTGTCTGCATGATCTCTCGGTTCAGTTCAACGATTTCCAGAATGAGCGTCTCAGGTCATCCGTCGGTCAGAGTAGGGATTTGTCCAGTGATGAGCTTGCTTCGCAGATCAGCGCTATGTGGGAGTCTTCGCAACTTGCACAGTCTGATAGCGTCCAGACCCCGCTCGATACCAATACCGAAACGGAGTTTGGACGGTCCCCGTCTCAGTGGTCAGGTCCGAGTGTAGCGACTCAGCCGTTTTTGGACTCTGAGTCGGAGTTTGACTTTATTGGACGCTCGGCTTCTCAGGTCGGTGAATCTGTGCAGGGCGAGAGTGTTATTACTCCTATGTATACAAACACTGAGACCGAATTCGGCAGCGACCTGCTCTACGGCCCGGATAGTGACAATGAGACAATCAGAGGTGCTCCCCTCAGCTCCTCGGCACCCGCTCCTGATCTTCCCAAAAAGATCCCGATCCAGGCTGGTGCTGTCCATACCCCAAGATTCGGATCCTCAGATGGCCTATCCCGACCTGAACTCGGTCGTACTGCCTCGCTCCCTTCGCAACCAATGCAGATCGGATCTGCGCCGTCAGTTCTCAAGCATACTGCCTCAGACTCGTTTCCGAGCGCGCCTAGCCTTGAAGAGTTTTACAAAGCAGGCGGTAATGACGGCCTCGCGGCGGCGCCCCCGGCACTCCCGCCTCTGCCAACAAGCTTGCGCATGCAGCCTTCTGCGCCCCGGTTTTTGACTGGCCAGACCGTTCCCTTGGCCGTCGGCACTTTCCATGCTGGAGGTATGAGAGTGCCGTATCCTGTGGCGTATCGCGTGCCGAGGATGTCTGTGTACAATGATCTCGGTGGCTCGTTTGGAAGCGACGGACCGCTTTCTCCAGAAGCTACTGGTGTCTCGGCGCCGCAAGCAGTGGAGGTCCAGACTTCTGAAGCAGAGGCTGTATCTGCGCAGACGACACTCGTTCCTTCTGCCCCGTCCGCTGATGATTATCTAGGTGATGATGCGGCTGTGTGGGAGGATGTAGCTACCAAGATTCACGGGAGCCCGGTCGCGGAAATCGAAGGGGCGATTCGCGAACTGAAGATGGAAGAAGAAGTCATCGAATCCGAGAAAACCCAGATGGAAGACGAGATCCGTATTGCGCGAGCCACTAGTCCGCGGCGCGTTCCGGTTGCAGGCGATGATATCCCTACCGCATCTTCGGCCGCAAACCCGTGGAATAATCTCAAGTCGGATGAGCGCCGAATGCGGACCGCCAGCCAAGAACGTGCAGGTCGTTACACGGCTCACCATACTCGCGGGCTGATTGAGATCCAGGACGTGGCACCGGCTCAGGATCCTCTGGCGCCGACATTGGTGAGAGGTCCAAGCTACTCTGATGCTCCGGGAATGCCACCCTCGCCGCAGGTGATTCTTCGTGAGAGCGCTGCTGCGATTGCTGCGGAGGCGCAACGAGCAGGGCGGTCTGCTGCATCCGTCGTTTCTGGATACAGCTCTGCTCCGACGTACCAATCTGCTCCGCCGTCGCAGGTAGGCGATCGCAGAGGTGCCTCCCGTCATCCACAGTTCCTGGGCCAGGATACGCAGACCTTGACGGGCAGAATCCGTGCTGCTAGAACCGCTCACGGGGTATCAGCCGATGGGTCGCGTCGACCTCGGATGCCCAGTCGCACGTACAACTATATTGAGATGCGCCAGCTCAGTCCTGAGGCTCAGGACAGAGCCGACATCAATCGTCTCGGACTCGAGAATCAGGCTAACGAGGCTGAGCGTGAGTGTGCGCGCGCGTTGGTTGAGCTGGAGCTCATCAGCTCGGATAATATGGCTTTGGCTATCTACTATGCGCAGCAAGCAAAGGGTGATGTCGTTGATGCTATCGATCTGCTCGAGGAAGATCTCAAGCAGTCCGAGACCTATGAGCGCCAGAACGCACCGCCTGCGAATCCGGACGACCCGCTCGAGAGCGAGCCTCCCGAATGACTCGTGGCGGGCGCTGCAGCGGATGAAGAGTGCGACTGCTGTTGTTGCGATCTCTGCTGTGGTTGCCCAGATGAAATCTCAGTCGGGTCTGGACAGGTGGTTGTCTCGGTGCCGGGACCTAGCGATTACGATCTACATGTGAGGGTCGTGACTTCGCCATCGCCTTGTTTTTACTACCCCGCCTATAGCCAGAGCTATATTGTTATCTGATCCGAGTTTCAGACGATCCAAGAGTCTGTCGAGGGTATCTTCACTCTACTGAAACTTTCCCGCTTATCCGTAGATGAGGGAATTATGGTGCCGCTAATTTAGCGGTGAAATCTGGTCTCCTGAAGATGTGAATTTTTGCATCCTCAGTTATATCAAGAGCGTTTGATTGTTTGAATTAGGCCGGGTTCCAGTTGATATTCAATCGACAGTCTCGATTGATATTGTAGAGATGGAATCGACGATGACTTTGGTACTCAATGAGTCAATTTTTGTTATTTTACTTTCTATGTTGTTGTCTTAGGACATGTGTTTGCGTTCTATTGCTCCATTGTGACATAATTTATTCAGGAAATCTCAATACATGACTCACGTATGTTTTAACCAACAACAGAGCACACAAGCCAGAAAGCTGAAGGAGAAAGGAAGAGTGGCGGGGGTGGGGAAACCAGCAAAAGTAATTTCAAGGCGCCACAATGCAAGCCATCGAAGCCATCGCGAATTTAAAAACGCCGCTGCTCGCTCTTTTTTTCTTCTTTCTCTCCATCCATCTTCCCTCTCTTTTTCTTCACCACCCACTTTGCTACTATTCGCGCCTGATAAATATTTTATATATTCAACAATGGGTTATATCTCTCTACGGGCAGCGAATGCATGCGTATATACCACATACGGAGTTTTTCTGTAAGGACACAAGCATCGTCGGCATACAGCCATCCGATATTATGCACCTTTAGCTGACATTTGTTTCTGCTTTCAAGAGTTCTTGGACTATATGTCGCCTGGAGATTTCGTGGGAGAAAGGAATTCCTTGCCGCGTTGAGGTCTCAGCCTCGTACGTTTCACTAAATTGTTGACTACATCTTTGTTGAGTGTTCTAACAGCTCTCGTGATATTAGCAATTCCTCTGGCGTTCAACTTCCTGGCTTCTGGTGAGTTTTTCTGGATTACCTGTCATTTTACTGAACTTGAGACTAGTTACTTTGGGGACTTTCTGCGTCTGCTATATGCATGGCTCCCACGCTTGTATAACTTAACATCAATGTTTCTTGCTGTTCTGCTGTTCTACATATCTCCTGCACTATTCCCCAACCGTCCGTTTCATGCACGATTGAAATGAGCAGTTGCTTAGCAAGGAGTGATCTGAGAAGCCGTGAGTATTCTCCACCTCTCCATATATTGTTGCGTCCAGACTATACTAACACAACGCTTCAAATCTAGCTAGCATCCTATCATATCCTTGTAATCACCTGTAAATTTCTCTGTGTTGTGTTTAAACGTGGCCACTGCGGGTGCTTGATGATCAGATTCGGCGTTGTTGCTTCGAATCGCGAGTCAGGCTGAGATAAAAACCGTTAGAACTCGAACAAGTTAATACTTGCGTGAGGAATGTGCTTGCTACGTTAGAAAGTTTGGAACACTTCTACTTCTTTCCCTTTTCCTATGTTTTGCGTGAAAAGGGGAAAGACGAGAAGTGCCCAAATATCTCTTTCTCTGTTCTTTTTGGTTGTACTGTCCCATATTCTGACTGTCGCAAAGCTATGGGATGCGGTATCCTATTGACGTACCCTCAGATCGGAATCGTTGCCGGTATCCAAGGTGTGCTCGTCTATGCTCTGAGCTCGTCGTTGCCGATCATGCTCTTTGCGTTTGTCGGGCCTCTGGTGAGAAAACGGTGTCCCGAGGGGTTTGTCTTGACTGAATGGGTTTTCCAGCGGTTTGGATATCTTGCTGGTTTATACCTCGGCGTCTTGACCATCTTGACTATGGTAGGAATGCGCTCTGAATTGTCGTATCGTTTGATTAGGATGAATTGTGTTGACAGTTTATAGTTTTTATACATGGCTTCGGAGTTGACCTCGATCCAGTACATGGTCGAGTACCTGACGGGTGTCAACGGATTGGCTGTGATGATTGTTGAGTGCGTTGTGACGACTATTTACACCACTTTTGGTGGGTTCCACACCTCCTTTTTCACCGACAACATCCAGGGTGTCATGATGACTTTGCTTCTCATCATTGTCTCTATTGCCATGGGCACTCAGATCGACATCGATACCTCGTACATCAAGGAGTCTGGTCTGACAGGCTCCACGAAGCTCGGCTGGCAACTAATCTATATCCTGCCAATCGCAATCGCCTCGAACGACTGCTTCCTCTCTGGGTTTTGGCTGCGAACATTTGCGTCCCGAAACGATAAAGAACTCTACATCTCCACCGGAATCGCTACTTTCCTGATCTTTGTGTATCTCACGCTCACCGGCTTCACCGGCATCATCGCGGACTGGGCGCATATCTGGCCCGGCTCGGACGACGAGGACTCGTCGCTGGCGTTTTTCATGCTGGTCGAGACACTTCCCGGCTGGGTCTGCGGCTTCGTCCTCGTGTTTGGCGTCGCGTTGTCGACCGCCGTTCTAGACAGTCTGCAGTCGGCGATGGTATCCTCTGTCTCGAACGATATCTTCCGCAACAAACTCAGCAGTATCTACGTGCGAGCGATGGTCGTCGTCGTCATGATCCCCGCCGTCTTCGTCGCCACCAAAGCCCCTAACGTCCTCTCGATCTTCCTCATCGCCGACCTGATCTCCGCAGCAGTCATGCCAAGCATCCTCCTCGGCCTCGTGCCCCATCTCTACTTCATGAACGGCTTCGACGTCATCGTCTCCGGCTGCGGCGGCGTCCTCACCGTCTTCCTCTTCGGCCTCGTCTACTACGACGGCGACGTCAACAGCGCCGGCGGCCTGCTCCTGCTCAAAGACGGTCTCTACAACGACGACTGGAGCGCGTTCGGCGCCTTTGTCGCCGCGCCCGTGGGCGCGCTGCTCTGGCTTGTCGGCGCGGTCGTCGTCCGCGCGGCCGCGATGTGGGTGTATTCCAAGGTCGCGGGGGTGCCGTACAAGGTGTTTGATAAGCCTGCTCCGTCGCCGACGGAGCTTGTCGACGTTGGCGGGGCTAATCTTCGCGGCGAGGTGGATGAGGACGATGTCTCTGGATTTGAGAGAATTTATCAGCCAGAGCAGGAGACTATTAGTTCTTTATCGGGCAAAGATGTTAAGATTGTGTAGAAGTCTTTACAGAAACGAGATACTGAGATCAAAGAAGACTATGAGTTTAAAAATTAAAGATTTGTGTAGTGTGACTGTGTTATCAATTTGATGGTGCTGCGTTTTGTTATTCCGATGTGACGAATAAGAAAATAACTAGTAATACAACATAACATCTGACAAAAAGAAATGCGAGAGAGAAAATCAAACGCCAATCAACTGGCATCGTTGAAGTACATGACAATAGCGAAAACATGATGAATCACAGCACGCATACACGCAGATTAGGAATGTCGCGGTACCCTAAGAACGAACAATAATGACAATAAGTAACAAGACCACAAGAGACAAAGATATAGAGGCCAAAACAAAAGAGGGAAGAATAAAACTCCAAAATAACATTTCTCATAAACCGTAATCAACCAAACCCGTAAACCAACCAACAAAAAAAAACCAAAAAGAAAGAGCAAGTTAGATCAGACGCAACGACATCAAAAAGAAAATTTAACCACGTTCTTTCCGAAGAGCTAGCTTTTTGAGACCCGGCGTGAGATATTATTTAAATAGCATCATTAAGCAAAAATATAGACATCGAAGTGAAGACGTGCACAGGTTCCAAGAAATAAAGCAAATCATTTCCTCAAAAGTGGCTTTCCAACTTCAGAAGAAGAACAGGTAGGATCAGCATTGGGTGGCGAGACGGAGTTCGTATTTTGCTCTGATGTATGCACAGAAAAGGATCTGCTTGAACTGCAGCAGGTCGTCTTTCTTCTTCACGCGCGCGAGGTTGCGGGTTTCATGCATAACTTTGAATGAGCGGTCCAGATTTTCTTTGCGAGCGGTGGTTAGTTATATAGTTAATGGTAAAAAGAGAAGAAGATAGGGGGGGGGGAGATACCGGGTGAGACAAAGTCGATGGCAGCTTTGACGCAAGAAGATAGATTGCAAACCTGGTGCGCGCATCCGGCGGGGACAAACACCGCGTCGCCCACCTTTTGCCAGATCCGAAATGGCACGACGCCGTATCGCTTGCGCAGCAAAATCAGCTCCGGGTCGGTCAGATAAAAGATCTGTCGGTGGATCGGATCGTCTGTCGCGGTCTTGGGCGCGGACTTGCCGGACTTGGACGTCGGCAGCTGCGGGTTGTGGTACAGGTCGGGATCTTCCTGTTCGCGCTCGAGGATGAATTGCCGGATCTTGTCGCTGTCTTCGGCGCGGAAGATGTCCCAGACCGCGCCGATCACGGCGGGAGGAGACTGTTGTGCGTCTGTGTCTGTGTCTGCGCCGGGCACGTTGTCGAGCGAGTCCGGACTGCCGTTGGCGACGGAGTAGCACATGATGTTGCACGCGTCGGTGACGTCCATGTGCAGCGTGGTACTGCCGCGGCCCTTGGCAGCGTGCGAGGAGGCGTATGCGGTGTAGAGTTTGGGTCCTAGATCGGGCTTGTTGGCTTCGACGGGGAACATCGATGCCAGGTTCATGAATCCGAGGTGTCGCGTGTAGATGGGAAACGGGAGTGCGTTGTCAAAGTCGACAAAGAGGTCAGGATAAACTTGCTCGAACGAGGCATGAACAGGCCAATCCTTCAGTCTCATTCCCGGCAGCAGCCCACGAAACAAACCAGTCTTGAACCCCTCAAAAAACTCGCGAACGGTAGAGTCGTAGAGCGCGCCGGTCTCGTTCAATAAAGTACAGTGGTCGCCACTCTTGGGGTGCAGGAGGAAGGCGTCGTCGGACCAGTCGTACTTGAGCGCACTGCCGGCGCCGTGGATGACAAGTGGCATGCCCTCGCTCCATTTTTCGCGGAACTGGTCGATCGAGAGCTCGCCGCTGCCGAAATCGATGCGTTTTGGATGCGAGAGAACTTTGTCTACGTCAAGCAGCGGTTGCGCGATCGGCGGCAGCGGCGCGGTTTCGCGCTTGAGGTGTGTGCTTGCCGCGAGTTCGGCCGCACCAAGCGCGATGCGCGCACTCACGTCGTCGTAAACCGCCTGCAAGTCTCCCGGGAGCATGCGCGTGACGGGCACGAGCGAGGAGCGATCATGCCGGTTCCCGTACGCGCAAAACTCAAAGACAAACTGCTGCGTGTTGCGCGCCAGCTTGCGGTCCGGCGGATTCGAGCCCAGGTTGCGCCAGTCGTCGAAGCAGTCGATGCACATCTCGAGGCCGCAGAAGTAGCACATGAATCTGCCGGAGAAGATGGAGGTGCCGCAGATGTCGCACAGCGAGCGGTAGTCGGCGTCCTTTGGGATCACGCGCAGGAGGTTTTCGCGGCTTTCGAGCACGAGCTCTTGGGCGAGAAAATCTTGTAGAGTGACGCTCACGAGGTCGAGCACGTAGGTGATGTCGGCGAGCGATGTCGGCGGGGCGGTGAAGGTAGTCGCAGAGAGAAAAGGGGACGACCAGATGCGCGCATCGGGTCCGGTCGAAGGCGCGGCTTCATCAATTTTGATCGTGCTGAGAAAATTGCGGAAGCCGTAGTCGGGATCCTCGCCGTCGTAGTACGGGCCCGAGACGTCTTCTTTGAACACACGGACGGTGATGAATCTGCATGCGCCGACGCCAGATTTGCGACGCGTGCAAGCGCGGCAGCGCCGGACGCCGACGTTCATGCTCTGGCAGTTTTTGCTCTGGGTGTACCAGTATTCTGAGGGACTGGGGTTGACGACGACGGGTTTGTCGTTGGCGAAGGGTCTGCAGGGTGAGTTGGGTTAATGAAAAGAAGGAGGTGGAGAAGTAAACAAGGGGACATACGGGCGGACTTGGGCTGACTTGAGTTTCTTGGGTTGCGGAGATTGCCGTGGTGGGGGATCAAATAAAAAGTCGTTTGTCTCTTCTATGGCAGCGTAGTCGATAGGAGGACGCTTTCGCCTTGCACCGCGCCGGCTGAGGTCGTCCTGGTCTGCAGGAGCATAGTCAAAGGGATGGCCGTTTGCGGAGGGATTTGCGAGCGGGGACATCGAGGGGACAAAGTCGGACTGGAGGTTAAAATGATTCAGAGACGGGGAAGAACCGTAGGCGGCGGCCTGGAAAAGGTTTGATGTCGAGGGAGCAGGCTGAGCGGACGAGGGATTGACGACGGACTGGTGGAGCCAGTGCGGGGGCGGGGGCGGGGGCGGGGGCTGTTGCGGGGCGGCGGCGTAGGCAGAGGCAGAAGAGGCAGAGGAAGGGAAGGAGTCGAAGAAGAGCTGGTCGGCGAGCAGATCGGACTGGGCGACGGCGGAGTGGGCAGCAGCAGATGGCGAGGGAGGTTGCTGGGGTTGGAGGTGGTGAAGTTGAAGATGTTGGTGGTGCGGCAACAGACGACGCGGGTCCGTGCCATTAGAGGCGCCATTGGTTGGACTTGCAGCAGCCGCGAAGAGGTCGTCTGGACCGATGGCTGCGCGAAAAGGATCCGCCATTTGAGGAGAGGAGAAGGTGATTGCGATTAGTAGAAGAAGCAGCAGAAGAAGAATAAAAGAAGAAGAACATTTGGTGACAAAAGCTGCTGTGGTTATTTTCATGGCGATCGCCGCAGTTTGTTACTTTTACTGAGTTTTGATTACATGAGCCGCAGACCGATGACCTCATCGACGATCTTTGTTCTTATTGTAATATTCCTGCTTTTCTATCTCCTGTCTTTATACCGCTATTCCGTAGACCTTCTTGGCTGCAAAGTAGCAGCCGAGGCCGAAGATAATCAGGCCCAAGGTGACTGTTTGTAGATCCTGTTAGCGCACTGACTCGTTCTTCAAAACACTCCTCCTGCACTTACTCGAGTAGAACCAGCTCAGCCCTTCCGCCTCCTGTCCAGGAACAAGCACGTTCATGCCCCATAGACCTGTAATAATATTCATCGGCAGCACAATCGTTCCCTAAATCATCATACTCATTAGCTCTCTTCACTTTTCACTCACACACACACACTCTCTGCACTCACCAGAATAGTCAACCGCCCGAGCACGTCGTTCGTCTCGTTGTTCACCGCCGTCATCTCAATATTTATCTGCGCCAAATAATTCGAGTGACTCCGCGCAAGCAACTTCTCGTAATGCGTCAGGTTCTGCACCATCGTGATGATATGGTCCTGGATATCTCCCAGATACAACCCGATCTCACTCCGCGGCGCAACCTCCCACTGCTCATTACACCGCTTCGCAAAGCCCTTGATCACATCCGCCTTGAACCCCAGCAGGCGCATGATACTCATCACCTGCTTTCGGCACTCGCCAATCCGTCGCAGCATGTCTCCCCGGTTTTTCACATCGTACTTTATCCGCGTCGACCGCGACGAGAATATACTTGACGTCTCGCTACCCTCTTGCCCGCGCCTGCGCATCCGCTGCTTGCGGTTCAGCTCGGACCTATAGTCATCCACACCCTCCCCTCCCTCTCCATCTCCATCTCCGTATTCGTCGCTGTCATACCCATCCTCATCCGACAGCTCACCCGAATGCATCTCTAAAATCTCCGTATCAATCGCCTGCACCTCGTCCTCGATCTCACTGATCAGCGGCGCAAACGCATCCGTCACATTGTCAATGATCGCATACGAGATCCAGTCCGCAGACACACTCACATAGTCCCGCAGCTGCCTGATCCGCCGGCGCACGTTCGCCGGGTGCGGCGTCGGTTGGAAATGGAAACTCAGCACGCCGTCGCGGAACACAACCAAGTACATATTCACCGGCACAAGATCGCCCTTGCGCCCGAAATTGCTTCGCCGTCGCGCTGCCTCGCTTCCCTGCCGCGTCCGTCGTTCGCGCGCGCTCATGTGCGGCTGGATCGCAAAGCTTCGGAAACAGACAAGGTAATACGTCCGAAACAGCTCGACTTTCTCGCGCGTTTCCTCCATACAGATGTCCTCCGTCGTCAGCGGATGAATCCCAAACGCCTTGCTGATGACCTTCATCTCCTGATCCGTTGGATCAAGAATATCAAGGAAGAACGGATACGGCCGGTTCTCTGCGACCGACGTAGCCCGCGACGACGACGCCGCCGCCGCGCCTGCAGCTGCCTGCAGCGACGATATCGCCCCGGCAGACGGGAAATAACTCGACCCTGCACGAGACTTTATCGACCGCGCAGAATCAAATTTACCTCCCATCCCGCCTTTCAGCGTAGACTGTGGCGGCTGGGGCTCGGGCATGCTCGCAGGCATCGTATTCTCGGGCTTGAGCGTCTCCCCTTTCTCGTCCGCGACAACAATCGGGACCTCTTCGTTCACAGGCGACGGCATCGCCGTAGCCAGTGTCGAAGGTACAACATCGTTGCTCACCGGGAATAGCTCCGAAAACGACATACCGTGACCCAATAGTCCAGAGATATCCTGCGAGTGAATCGTCTTCTCCACGTCCTCTCGAAAATACGTAAACCGGAAAGGGTAACCAAGCCTCTCCGCCGGGTTCCGCGACGGCTCCCGCTGCTGGCCCGGCGGCCGCCGTCCTTTGAACTGTGCGGTGTTGTCTTCGAGGTAATACGACGGTCCCTCCCGATACCGCGGCCGCCCGTCGACCATCACCAACTCGGGCCCGCTGTTCGCAGCCGCATTCTCAGTCGTCACCCACTCCTCCAGCGCGGACACGTCTGGCCAGCACCGCTGCTTGTTCGAGTCTGGATCATAAACCTCCGACTCGAGAGGCACGCACACGTCGCCCAGCGATGCTGTCGACATGTTTCGTGAGAAATCATCAAGACCGTCGTGATCTGCCCTGCCCACAGACCCTACCTCCGACGACACATCGTTGTACGAATTCGCCAGCTCGTTCATATCCAGATGATACTCATTCTCCGCCGCAGCCTGCTGCTGCTGCTGCTGCTGATGACCAGCCGACGTCGAGCCAGCCGCAGGAACTGCAGCGGTATCGCTGTTCGCCCTGCGCTGCATGAACAGCTCGTGCTCGCGCGCAATGCTCCCCGTTCGCCGCATCCGCTGCTTATTCCGCTTATCCAGCGTGGCAGCCGGTTCATGTCCGACAAGGAGCGGCATGCTTTCCGACCCGACTGTTACGCTGTCGTCCTCGTCGTCTGTGCCGGACAGCGCCGCCGCGGCTGCTGCTGCTGCCGCCGCCGCTGACGACGAGGAAGAAGCGGATTGACCTGACCCTGCGCCAGTACCACTCGACCCTTGCATCGTAGACAACCTGCGTGTCGGCGGTCCGTAGTTTGGCGAAGGGTACCCGCGGTGATCGAGCAGCGAGGTCGAGTTCACCGACGACGCTGCGGACGAGCTGAGTTGGATGGGGAACGAGGCCGCGCTCTCGCCCCTGGATTGCGTAGGCGAACCCGAGACGGCAACTGGCTGCGTCGCGGTCGGGGACGTGGGACTTTGTTGCTGTTGCTGGGCGAGCAGACGGGGATCTGGGATCACCTCTGCGTTGAAGATTGAAGGCCGCCTTGCTCTGGGAGGCGACATTGACTCTTGGACTGATTCAGAGGGAATGCGCGTGAAACGAGAGACTGACTAAAGAACGAACTTCAGTTGTAGTTACTGCTCGGACAAGCAGCTATTCAAGAGTTATTCACACGACGAAGCAGCAATGAAGTAGTAGCAGCCTTGATGGTTCTGAACGCTGACGGCCAAAATAATAGCAAAGCTCGAAGGACGATGACGCAGATACCCGCGCACGTCCTCACCTAACCCGCTTTGCCCGGATGAGGTAATCAGGCCTCTTCTACAGTTAACCGACTACACTGAAGCAAAAATGACATTGAAGGTAGTATGTTACAATCAACAACTCCGTACCAAAAACTGAAATGAAATGTGATAAGGACAACAAAAGCCGTTACTAATAGATTCAAATAACACAAAAGAGACCAACAGAAAGGAAACGAGACAAAACAGTATGATCTGCTCATCTTCATGCGTTTAATAAACAACACAAACAGTAGCAAAATATTACAGTATTAATAAAAGGCAGTAAACAACGACGTCAAGAGATCTGGTGCTATATGAGAATGACATTGTATCCCTTAAACCGCGCCATCTAACAGCGCTTCGACCGCTCCCTGGACGTTTCCTCCGCTTCTCCGCAGAGCACGAACGTTCCGGTCAAAGTCGAAGAATCCCTATACGATTTTGATCAGTCAGTCACTATTCACACAAAAACTCACAAGAGTAAACATACCAGCTCATTCAGCTGTCGCAGCTGGCTTTCATATCGCTCCTCAGGCGGTCTAGTATCTTCAGGCTGCGAATTCGCAGCACCACCACCCAAACCCGCCGCCATAAGATTCATCATTTCTGGCGACCACAGCGGGTTAGTTCCCGCCGCAGGTGCACCTCCGGCCGCAGCCTGTCCGCTGTTCGCCGCAGGGTTTCCAAACAGAGCGCCGAACGGGTTTCCAGCCGCGGGAGCATTTCCGCCTGCACCAGCAAAGAGATTCGCAAAGAGGTTAGGGGCAGCGGCAGCGGGAGCAGCTCCAGTCGCAGGAGCATTCGTAGCATTTGCGTCCGTCGATGCAGGCGTGGTCGTGTTTTCCGTCCGGCCGGGCTCAGGGAACGAGTTGTTTGCCGCGCCTCCAAAGCCTCCCAGTCCAGGGAAGCCGGCACCGCCCATCATGCGGTTCATGTTCATCATCTGACGCATCATCTCGGGGTTGGTCATCATCTGTCTGAATTGCTCGCTCTGCATCATTTCCCGGACTTGGGGACCCATGCCTTGCAGATTGGGAGAAGAGTTGATGATATATTCGAGCATTTGCGGGTTCTGCAGCATTTGGTTCATCGACTGCTGCACCATCGGGTTCGACATCGCATCAATGAGTTGCTCTTCGGAGGGGGGAGGTCCCATCTAAACGAGATTGTTAGTAAAATTGTATATGAGTGGTGTAAATATTATAATTCAGAAACGTACCCCTCCGTCAGGTCCAAACATACTAGCGCTAGGCAACTGCGCCAGACCAGCATATCGCGCACCGGTAAGTCCAGCGAGCGGGTTACCTGCGCCCTGACCGGCTGCGATGTTCTGCGGTACGGCAGGAGTCGCGGCAGCGGCAGCGCCAGATCCTGATGTGGCCGAGGACGCGGCAGGCGCAGCGCTCTTGACGAGGTGGATCGTGTGGCCGGTCTGTATTTTATATGAAGCAAGGGTCTCGGCGTCCTTGAGCACGCGTCCGGAGTAGATGAGACGCTGGCGCTCCTTTGGGATAGAACTCAGAGGCTCGAGAAGCTGCTTGAAGTCGGAGACGAGGATCGAGGGCGAGACATCCATGGGATATTTGGCGTCGGCCGAGGATCTAGATAAGACGACAGATGTTAGCTCACGGGTGATTGGGTAAAGCGTAGACTAATGCGAGGCCAATTGAGGAGACTCGAGTCGAGTGAACTGGCTACGGACGCGATATATCAGAACAGGCGACGTACTTGACGGTGATTTTGATAGTCTCCGCGGCGGCGGGGGGGGCCGAGGCCTGATCGGTAGAGGCAGAGTCCGACATTTGGATGGGGTCGGCAGGAAGCAGAGCACAGAAGGCTTTCGAGCAGGATCAGGACGAGGACGGTCGCTACAATTGCGGATCAGAAGGCGCAGGTGCTGATGGTGGTCAGAACTGAGCTGGGTTTGATAGAGAGCCGGCTTACAGAAGACGGTAGAAGTGGTCAGGTGGGATTTACGACTAGTAAGCTATTATGTGATACTGCAAAGAGTGATTAGGTAATATTTAGAATCAACACTTTCTGCTTGCTACTTCTGCTATTCTGTTTATTCTCTTTTATTGTATTATAACACCTCTAATCAACCTCCACAACCCATCCCAGCTTTACCATAATCACTTAACTCCCTCCTCGATCCTCACCTGTCCTGCCCAATTGGGCGCTGTGGGCTGGTCCTGTGGCTGCTCTCGCGGTCATCTGCCACGCCACCGCTGCCCTCCCGTGATCCAACTCACATCCTCAGTCACAGGTCACACCACGCAGCCACCTCTTTATACGCGCCTCGCCGCCCGCCGACCGCATCTCAGCTCCACCACCCACAACATCATCGCCATCTGCCTGCTCTCAAAGCCCCGTCTGCGTCTGCAATTCACACTGTTTTAGTCTGCAATGAGCTACTCTTACCACCACTACCCCCAGCAGCCTAATCTGGCAACGCTGCCGAACGGTATGTCTCCTTGTTGCTCGCCGTTGTCGGCCTCGGCCTCGCTCTCATCACAGTCTTCGCCGGCGTCGACAGTCCCTGCCTCGATCGTCTCATGCTAACCTCCCTCCCTCCTACAGTCAGCCAGGCCCGCGCCAAGTTCGACGCCGGCCGCGCCTTCGACCTCGAGGACGACCTCGAGTTCTGCCCCTCGCTGCTCTCCGAGGAAGAGCTCCAGTCGGCTACTTCCTACTCCTCCGACCGCTCCTCGACCTCCGGTTCCCCGGAGTCGTCCCCCATGCAGCATCAGATCCGCCCATCCGTCATGCTCGGCCAACTATCACCAGGCATGTCTCCCGGCCGACCCTCCGCCAACCGCGTCCGCCGCGCAATCGAAATCGTTGACCCGGCAACCGGAATGCGGGTGGCCTCGCCCCCTCTTTCCTCGCCCGCTAAGCCGCTCTCGTTTCATCCCAATCATGTCCCTGCCACTGCCTCGAATCGTCGGACGGCCTGGTAGACCTTTGGAGATCTCTTGCCTGGCATTCGTGCGCGCAGCAATTCTTTAATTCATATATTCTTTGTACTTTTATGATACAGTATAGCCTTGGGATTTTCTTTTTACTACTGCACGGATGTTTTCTTATGGCGATCTTCTTTTCCTAGGTCTATCTTGACATTTGGTCTCCTCGGAGCTTTGCATATACTAGTCTTACGATCTTTGTTTTTTTATCTCTCTTGGGTTGCCCTTTTTTTTATATTATCGTTGTCCTGTGATTGGGTGTTTTGCTTTGTTATTGTGAAATTTGGTTTGGGTTCGTGCGCAAAGGCTGGAAGTGTTTGGATTGCCTGTTTTGGCTATTCATGAATGTTTCCCAGCCGTCCTCTTCCGTCGATGAGTTTATACTCTTGATGGACTGGATGGTTGTTCAGCATTTGTGTTCAGCCTGCAGCTTTCGCACTTCCCTGCTCTTTGTTTTTCTGTATGTTCGGGTCACAGGCGAGGCGCTATCGATTTTCGCAAATCATCTGCTTGGGTCTTCTATATCGTCGGATGCATCTATATAATAATATCCCTTTTTATCCGGGTTGGTCTTTGTCTGGATTGCCATCCTTGCAGTCTCTTCAGCAGACAAAGCCTCCATGATTCACAAAGGATCTTCTTTCTTTCTTTTGCTTTTGCTGCTTCCGGAATTTGATCTATCTATTTTATAGTGCTGTACATCTTAGGTTTTGTCTTTCTTCTTTTTTTCTCGTGAAGCGCTGTTATTACTATAATTTTTTATCATTATATTGTGTTGTCGTGCTCTCAAGCACGGCACATGTGTATATTGTATTACTTTTGCTTTTGTGAATCTATAGGGATATATTTGGGATGCGAAATTATTTGGTGCTTTTGCCGTTCTATATTGTATATATATCCGTATCAATCTACACTATTATCTATTTACTTTACTTTCTTGTATATGTCAGTCTCAGCCAGCTCTAGGGTGGAATAGGTCTGAGCAACTGGACAATCATCTGGTGTCTTTAACTATATATCGCCCTCAATTGAAACTATAATATGGAGAAATCTCGGAATGAAAAAGAAAACTATGAAGATAATAAGAAAACAGAAATTGAAATCCAAAGCCGCCATCCTAGACTTAACACAGCAGAAAAACACACAACCTAAAACACTAAAGTACGCATACAACAGTATAAAAATAAAAGTAAGGATGAAGACAGATAAAGTAGAAAGAGAATTTGTAACCTGAGAACGAAAATATATCCAACCCGAACCAGCACAAGCAAAATGTTGAAAATGTATGTATGTAGGATGAAGAAAGAATAAGAGAGAGAAAACCGCTTTGTTGGCCTGTTCCAAAACTGCAATGATCGGGTGATCTCTGTTGATTGAATTTGGTGTTAGTCGCGGATACTAATAAAATCAGAAAATAACTCAGACAGACTTACACTTGAGAATGATGATGAGGATGAGCAAGATGATGATGAGAATGACAATCGTAAACACTGATCCGTTTTCCTTCATCTTTCTTGATACATGATCCAATCGCTTCCGCGCGCCGTCGAGCCTATGTTGACTCCAATCCACCAACCGATCGACATCACTCAGCAGCTCGACATGCTGGTCCAGTTCGTCGCCGATCTGTATACTGAGCTCGCGTTGCCGTGATATCGATTCCGACAGCCGGTCGAGCGAGTCGTCCTGCTCTCGCATGATCCGTTGCTGCTGCATCATCGCTTCGGTATTTGTCACACTGTTCCTTGCTTCTTCGGCAGCCAGACTCAGCGGATCGGGCGTCGCGGACGAGACATCAATCAGGTTATCGCTAAATCGCACCGTTTTGGCTTTCCGGGGCCCGTTCCTTCTAAACAACGACAATCATCCTCGTTAGCAATTACAGTTCTATATATCCTCATCCAAAATCAACACAGAAAAATAAACAAACCTGGGAGATCCCAATTCATCCTGGCCATTTGAATTACCGTATATGAGCGACGGTCGTTTGGGCGCGGTTATCTTGGCAATCAACTGCTCACCGCCACCTTCTTGAAGCAGAGAGAGCAGTTTATCGAACTGCATCTGCAGTCGTATCAGAGTGTCCTCTTTTGCTCGTAGGGTCCGGGATGGGCTACATGATTGTCAGTAAACAAGGAATCAAGGCGAGGGCTTCAATTGAGAAAGCAGACAAGACATGCTCTGTCTTACTGACGTACATTCCCTGGTCAGACTCCGCGACTGACTGTTCTCTCTCAAGCTGCGAGATCCCATCGCGCAGTGTCTGCAGATTCCGCTGGATCTCTGCCTCCTCTGATGCCGAAGGCTCGAGATCTAGTGACTTTAGCCGATTCCGCTCTAGCACTGAGACCAGAGTGTTATCAGCGAGCAGTAGTAGCCGGTTCGCAGTCGGCGTAGCTGAGCCCGCATCCATTATTGTTCACAGGCACGATCAAAAAGACTGGTGATGATGAGAAACGATTGTAGACTGCTGCTCGTGTGGGTTCTGTTGTGAGCTCTGTTAAGGCAAGATTAGACGCAATTAGACGGGATTGGAGACGAGCTGCGCGCCAATAAATTGAGGTCGAGATTACCAGATACAACAGCAGCTCCAGATGCAGAAAAGACCAGATCAACAAACAATGAGCTTCTGCGAGACCAAACAGGTGAGTCCTCGAGCTCGTCCAGGATTCCGAGTGCGCGAAGCAGTTGAGTATGTGTAGAACTGGATATCCACCGTCTATGTACGTAATGCCAATATCTACCGCAGTGGGACCCGGCCGCTGCTTTATCGCCAACCCGCGAGCTTTATGCCACAAAGCTGTCCAATAACCGCCACAATTATGCAGTGACCACGTGACCTGCTAACTCCCAACCGAGCCTGCCTACGTCCGAGTTGTCTCCGCACTCGAAGCCCGCGCTCACCTTGCTCGCTCCTGCTCCCCCGAACAACCATGGACGACTCTCGCGGCGAAAGCTCTGCGAAGGCCGCAATCGGCGACATTGACTTTAGTGCTCTGACCTACGTTGCGCTCAACGACAATCTCGTGTGCCCGATCTGCCGGTGTGCGCTCGTCGACCCTTGCTATACAAAATGCGGGTGAGTTTGCGAATATTTGGACAATGTCCGCTGGTCCGAAGGCTGTGATGGAAACTGACGAGCTGGTCTCGCTCTAGACACACATTCTGTACGATATGCTTGTATAAAGCTCTGGCGCAGAGCCAGAAATGTCCAGTCGATCGCTCGTCGCTCTCAGACGCGGATATATTCCCGCCGCCAAAAATATTATCAAACATGGTCAACGAGCTCCTGGTCTACTGTCCGAACGAGGAAAAGGGCTGCAAGCGCATCGTCCAGCGGAGTCTGCTGAGGCATCATCTACAGGACAGCTGCGAGTACGCGCTGGTGCCGTGTCCGGGCGAGGCGTGCGAAAAATTGATCGAGCGAAGGCACACCATTAACTCCGACGACGACAGCGACAGCAGTCGATGCCTGCACGTCCTGGTGCCATGTCGGGGATGCGACCTACCTGTCGCAAAGATCGATCTTGCAGCTCATGAAGCTACCTGTACTGCGCGTGCGGTGAAATGCCCGGACTGCGGCGAGGAATTCACAATGGCGGATATGACTGGTCACGCAGACGAATGTCCGCTCGCCGCGGTCTCGTGTCCGGCTCTGTCGATTGGTTGTAAATGGACCGGAGTTCGGGAGAAATCTCTGGCGCATACGTCTAGCTGCTCGTTATTAGCTCTGCTGCCATACATGGAGAAACAAGAGAATAGGATATCGATGCTCGAGCTGGAAAACAAGGGCCTGCGCAGTCAAATCTCGCTCTCTGGATCCTCGACCGCCGTGGGCGACAACGACGCCTTCCACATCTTCACCGAGCACGAACGATTCAGATCCGAGCTCGAAAAAATGTCCGAGCAGCTCGGCGAGCTCGAAATCAGACACGGAGTTCTAATCATGAACCAGAGCGTGCGTTTGAAGGAGGAAGTGCAAAGCATGCGAAACGCAATGCAGGGGATAAGACATCAGATGCACTTCCTGTTGATGGAGCACCGCAACTGGGCACTCCAGAACCTCAACAGCTCGATGATGCAGTCTTCGTCAACAATCTCGATGGCTCAGGGGGTTAATAACACGAACAACCAGCCGTCTGCATCCGGGTCGCATGCGGCCGCGGAGTCGAGCTCAAGAGGTCCGCGGCGTGAGACCGAGCCGTTCAGGCAGGATGTGAAATTGTAAATTAGCTTGGGCGTGCACTCTTGTTTCAATTTTTTTGTGGTTCTGGTAGTGTATTTCGGCGTTTTATCTTTATTCTGGGTTTCGTCGCTGGTGTTCTACGGCTCAAGTATTGTGCTAGGTTGTGCTAGGTTGTGCAAATTGTATGTTATTCTTAATTGAAGTATCTTAATCTAAGAACTCTTGATTGATTTTAAAAAGATTAATGCATTTGTGATGTACATGACTGCAAAGATTCAGAATAAAAAAGGGAAAAAGAAAATTAGTAACTTCTTCCAAACATACACCACTCAACCGCATCCTTTCCGCAAGCAGCGCACTTGGTCTCGCCCTTGACGATGCCCTCAGGCTGGTCGAAAGGAATACACAAGCTCTTGGCACCCATCGAAGGCGCGCGCTCGTCCTCGGCCTCGGTGGACTCCTGTCTCGCAGACTTCTCCTTGATCTCCTCCTCGCACTGCATCACACCGCACCACGGGATCTGAACCAAGTTCTTGGCGTTGAGCGCGGGAATAAAGTCCTCCCACTTGGTGACCCGGATGACGTGCGAGTCGAACTGGTCCTTGGCCTTCTGGTACATCTCGGCGTGGATGGCCTCGAGGGTCTCAGGGATCGCGGTCTCGATGGCAGAGAGGTCGATGGACTCCTTCGCGCCGGTCGTACGGCGGACGGTGGTAACCTGCTGCTTCTGGAAATCCTTGGGGCCGAACTCGACGCGGAGAGGCACACCTCGGAGTTCCCAGTCGGAGAACTTCCAGCCGGGGGAGTAGTTGTCTCTGGTATCGGCGACGACGCGGACACCGGCCTTCTTCAATCTCGCGGCGATATCCTCGACTCCGTTGTTGATGTTTGCCTTGTCTTCCTCGGTTGTCTTTGCAGTGATTCCGCAGGGGATGACGACGACCTGGTACTGCGCGACGCGGGGAGGCATGACCAAGCCCTTATCGTCACCGTGGACCATGACCATGACACCGATGCTACGGGTGGAAAGACCCCAACTGTTTTGCCAGACGTTGATTTTCTCGCCAGTCTTGTTGGGGTCCTCGACAGTGATACCAAACATCTTTGAGAAGTTCTGGCCCAAGCAGTGCGAGGTCGCGCCCTGGATTCCACGGCCGGTGGCAGGGATGTATCCCTCGGTGGTGGTGGTGAAGAAACCACCGGCGAACTTCTCCTTCTCGGTCTTGCGGCCCTTGATGACGGGCACAGCGAGAAGCTCCTCGTACACACGAGCGTACAAGTCGAGGATCTGGAGAACCTCCTTCTCGGCCTCTTCGCGGGTCAAGAAAGCGGTGTGGCCTTCCTGCCACAAGAACTCACGAGTACGAATGAAAGGCTGGGGGTGCTTGAACTCCCATCGGACGACTGCAATTGCTCTGGTCAGTATGTGAAAGATGTCGATGTTGAAAAAGTACTCGGCGGTTACGTACCGGAGTTCCACTGGTTGAGCTTCAGGGGCAGATCGCGATGACTGCGGATCCACTTTGCGTAGTAGGGGTACATGACGGTCTCTGAGGTAGGACGGATAGCGATGGGCTCCTCGAGATCAGTTTCTCCGCTGCATTGAGAATAAAACTGTTAGTTTCTTTGCGATTTGCCACCGCTTCACGCAGTGCTAGGTCTTCAGCTCATAAAGTGGGGGATGCATACGCCTTGGTGACCCAGGCAACTTCGGGGGCGAAGCCTTCAACGTGATCCTTCTCCTTCTCCAAAACTCGCGAGGAGACAAACATAGGAAAGTAAGCATTCTGGACGCCGAGCTCCTTGATCTGTCCGTCGAACCAGCCTGGAAGAACATAACGTAAGCCTCAATTGCTGCAAATATCAGAAAAAAGGTCGGGGTTGTCGATTCATACTTTGGATCTTCTCCCAGACAGAGTAGGAGCCGGGTTTCATGATGTAGCAGCCAGAGACATCGTAGTACTCGAGCATCTCACCCTTGGTGAGGACCTGCTGGTACCAGGAGGGGAAGTCCTCCTCCTTAGGAGCGGTAATACTGATCAGAGGTGCCTTGGAAGCTGTAGAAGGAACGGTTAGGTATTTGCAATTTCGAAAGAGAAGAAGAAAGTAGGCAAAAAACAGTTGAATTACCATCAGCTTTGTCTTTCTTGGGGGCCATTGTTTAGAATGTAGTTGATATCGCGAAGCAGAAGACGGTAGAAACACAATTGGATCAGATATTGATGGATTTATAAACCGTTTAGGTTCCAATTTTTTTTGTGAAGAGTTGAAGACGCCGGCGTAGAACGAGGACCGCGCGCAGTAGCGCTGATCACGGCGAAAGCGCGTCGCCGAGGGCTTCGTACTTTGAATTGTTCTTCACGCGCCCACAGAGAAAAAATAAGAAGTTTACGCGTTCAGGCAACATCCTTCGGTTTATCTCCTCTTTGCTGCCCTTTCTCCCTATTATAAATCTTCATTGCCTTCAGGATGTCGCAGATGTACCGTAATGCTGCGTCGGATACGCTGTGTATGTGTTGAGCCGTGCAGGGCGTGATTTTTGATTCGAGACAAGATCGTGGGCTAACATACAGGGGCTGTTTAGTTCTCAATGGACAGAAATTGAGTGGAAACGACATCAGAGACCAGAATGGTATGATGAGAGAATTATGATTGATTGATCTCGCTGTTGAGCGAGAAGGATAGATTGCTGATTGACGTGTGAAATGTAGTTGTTGCGACACAAGCAATTGCGAATGTGGTCAAGTCATCCCTGGGACCTGTCGGTCTCGACAAGATGCTTGTGGATGATATTGGTGTAAGTGATTGTGGTTGATGTGGTGCAGTGGATAGTTGCTGACGATTTCTGAAGGATGTCACTGTCACAAACGATGGTGCCACGATCTTGAGTCTACTCGATGTCGAGCACCCCGCTGGAAAGATTCTAGTCGAGCTTGCTCAGCAGCAGGACCGTGAGGTCGGTGATGGTACGTGATCTTGAATGCTCGAGCTGTAGTGACTTTTTGAGGGTTTATTGCTAATTGCTTTTCTGTATTCAGGAACTACCTCTGTTGTCATCATCGCCTCAGAGTTACTGCGTCGTGCTAATGATCTCGTCAAGAACAAGATCCACCCCACGACAATCATCACTGGTTACAGACTTGCTCTGCGAGAGGCTACAAAATACTTGACCGAGGTCATGAGCGTAAAGACTGATACTTTGGGAAAGGATGTTTTGATCAATATTGCAAAGACCAGCATGTCTAGTAAGATCATTGGAAGGTGTGTACCACTTTGTTTTTGAGGTTTGCATCAATTCTAACGAATATGAAAAATAGTGACTCTGATTTCTTTGCGTCTCTTGTTGTCGATTCACTTCTTGCTGTCAAATCTACCAACAACCGTGGCGAGGTCAAGTACCCGGTCAAGGCGGTCAACATTCTCAAGGCTCACGGCAAGTCCAGTCTCGAGTCTGTGCTCGTGAAGGGCTATGCGCTCAACTGTACTGTTGCCAGTCAGGCTATGAAGACCAGCATCACTGGAGCAAAGATTGCCTGCCTTGATATCAACTTGCAGAAGGTGCGAATGCCGCTCGGTGTCAGTATCACTATCGAAGATCCCGACGAGCTGGAGCAGATCAGAAAGAAAGAAAACACGATTGTCTTGGAGCGTGTGCAGAAGATCATCAATGCTGGCGCCAATGTTGTTTTGACAACCAAGGGAATCGACGATCTGTGCCTCAAGTCGTTCATCGAGGCTGGCGTCATGGCCGTTCGACGATGCAAGCGTGAGGATCTGCGGAGAATCGCACATGCCACTGGTGCTACATTGATCAACAGCATGTCAAACTTGGAGGGCGACGAGGTTTTCGAGCCTTCTTATCTTGGGTTTGCAGAGGAGGTTGCGCAGGAACGTATTTCGGACGACGAGTGCATTCTTGTCAAGGGAACCAAGGCTTATAGCTCCAGCTCTATCATTTTGCGGGGTTCCAACGGTGGGTTATTTCTTTCTCTTACTTTTTGATGCTAAGGACAGCTGAGAACAAAAGCTAATGTGAGATGAGCGTGTAGACTTCCAATTGGATGAGATGGAGAGATCGGTGCATGACTCGCTTTCTGTGGTGAAGCGTGCTCTCGAGAGCGGAAGCGTTGTTCCTGGCGGTGGTGCGGTTGAGACTGCGCTGAGTATCTATCTCGAGAACTTTGCTACGACTTTGGTATGTACAGGCGTGCTATTAAATGGTCATGAAGAGGAGTGGTGTTAACAGAATTGTAATCTACAGGGAAGCCGAGAGCAGCTGGCTATTGCCGAGTTTGCTTCTGCGCTGCTGGTGATTCCGAAGACGCTGGCGGTGAACGCTGCCAAGGACTCGTCAGACCTTGTTGCGAAACTGCGATCGTACCACGCGGCGAGCCAGAGCGCTCCGTCTACTGATCTGAAGAGAAAGGGATACAAGAACTACGGATTGAATCTCTGGGACGGCAAGGTCACGGATGAGATGAAGGCCGGTGTTCTTGAGCCGAGCATGAGCAAGATCAAGTCGCTGAAGAGTGGTGCGTATTGTGAAGATGATTTAAAGCGAGTCTGATGTTCTGATTTACTGACATGTTTGTGTATAGCTCTGGAAGCGTGTGTCGCGATTCTCAGAATCGACACGATGATCACTGTGCAGCCCGAGCAACGGGAGGAGGACCCGCACGGGCACTAAGAGACAAGAGACACGGAGACGAGAGAACAAGTTGCAGAAAAAGGCATTGTAAATATATATGAGATGTGTTTTTTGTAGTTAGTCAATAGTATACGATATATTGCGCCTATCGCGGTCACATTCAATCACAATTCTGTGATCCTCCTGTGAGCAGCAGCCAGACAGCGGGCAGCAGCAAAACACAGCTAAGGGTTCGGGCACATTGGCCGCGATAACGAACTGCCGGCCAATCATGCACCGGGTATGCGAGTAGAGTTTGGCTAAGGAAGTTAAATGCTGGTTTACTATGGGAAAAGCAGTAATCAGAGTTTCTAGTCATCCCAATCCAGCCTAGCCCAAACTCTCTTCCTGCGTTTGATAACCAGGCTCTCCTCAGCGCTCTCAGCAGTCCACAATCACCAAAAGTCTTTCTTTCTGCAGCCATCCCTTCCCACTCCAACAACCGCTCTCTCTTCCTCTTCCCACTCCTCGCTTCGGTCTCAAATCGCTTCAACAATGGGTGCTCCTGCTGTTATTGGTTCTATCGCCCTCCTCGGCGCCTTCGTCGTCGGTGGCTGTATGTTCTCGCCGTGTTTCAGTCCTTCGCAGCTCAGGTTTTTCTTCCGTCGCTGTCCTCTGCCCGCGCCCGCCCCCCTATCGCCGTCTCTTCCACAACCCTCTGCACTCCGGTTTATCGCATTCAGAGCGCCGGTTTTTGTATTATTCGATTGGACTGCTGTCTATCGGATTGGATTGTCGCGTCTTCAGCACCAGATTGCCGCGCAACTACGCTGCCTCTCAACCGCTGCTCAACCGCTTACGCTACAACCCGACCAAACACGCTCGCGCAGATAACGACTCGTCAACTTCAAATTCTCCTCAATTCGGGCCAAGGACAGCGCGCAGAGAAAAACTTGTCGTATCTTCAAGATCCAATGCTGACTATTCTCAATTATAGACATGCTCTTCACCGGCTCCGGTGAGGACTTCAACGTCGGAAACTTCCTTACCACCACCTCCCCTTACACCTGGGCTTCCCTCGGAATCTCCCTCTGCATCGGTCTGAGTGTCGTCGGTGCCGCCTGGTGAGTCTTCGTGCATCTGAATATTTGAAAATCCCGGTTATCGGTACCGTGCCTGGTCCTCAAACGATCTCCAATCGATAGCGGAAGCGCTATCATTACTATCGTCCAGGACAGTCATCAACCGCAGCTCAAAGGACATCAACTAACTCTCATCTAGGGGTATCTTCGTTACCGGTACCTCCATCGTCGGTGGTGGTGTCAAGGCTCCTCGTATCCGAACCAAGAACTTGATCTCCATCATTTTCTGCGAGGTCGTCGCTATCTACGGTGTTATCATGTCCATCGTCTTCTCGGCCAAGCTTGCCGCCGTCGTCGGACCTGACCTCTATACCCCCGAGAACTACTTCACCGGCTACGCCCTCTTCTGGGGTGGTCTCACCGTCGGTTTCTGCAACCTTGTTTGCGGTGTTGCCGTCGGTGTGACTGGTTCGACCGCTGCCATCGCCGATGCCGCTGACCCGTCGCTCTTCGTCAAGATCCTTGTCATTGAGATTTTCGGATCCGTCCTCGGACTTTTCGGTCTTATCGTCGGTCTGCTGATGACCGGCAAGGCCCAGGAGTTCCAGTAAATCACACGCCAAATCGGATGAGGAATAGAAAGACAGGAGGAGGTATATATATTTATTATTGGCGGAAGGTTAACTCTGGTGTTATAAACGAATGCAGTGCGTGAAGGATGAATTGATCAGAAGGGGAAGCTGATATCAAGCCACGAAAGCATTACATTTTCCAAATCATTCAATTCAAAAGACTGGCACTCATTGTTTTTCTTTCAAACGAGGTATACATAACTGGATGAAAAAACATGATGCTTGGTTTCCCTGACTTTTTTTCTTTAATCTTTTTTTATTTTATCAAGCCTTCATTCTCATTTTGATTTTTTTATCTTTTTATATTTACTTGATTTTGGCAGATGGCTGGTGTTTTACTTTTCTTTTTCCATTGTGTGTTTTGTAAGTCATATATTGGGTTGCGGGGCGAAACAGTTGTGGGTTTATTTATAGACGAAAATAACGTTTAAACAAATTTATGAAAGTCTTCTCCGACTCGTTTATCATCGTAGTTTGTAGAATATCTCGTAGATGAGGGCGTTTTATCTATTGTACAACTTCCGTCAAGCACGGTTGCAAAACTCGTCAGCCAGTCTCGAGAGATAAAACTCGCGAACATGCTCAGGTACTTCCTTAAACGACTGCTTGATCTTACTGATCAGCGCCCTGCTCTCCTCATACGCTTTCAAGTCCCGGTTCCCATAGACGTCGCGTCCGGGGGAGTACACCTTTGGATCTAAATCCTTCCAGAACGTGTTTATCGAGATACTCGGTTCCAGCGGGACCGTCGCATGAAGCCACATAGCCGGGATGAATATGATGTCCCCGGGCTCCATCGTGGTTTCTATCGGATGCGTGCCGGGGATGGGCGCGGTCTCGAAAATGTTTGGGATCGTGGAGGAGGAGGCGCCGGCTGGGAAGGAGAGCTTGGTGACGTCTGATGGGGGATACATTCGCACGCGCTTGGTGCCTTTGACTTGGACCAGGACATTCGCAGTTACCTTAAGCAGAAGAGTTAGTCGCAAGGCAGTAAAAAAATAGAGAAGAGGAGAAATTTTAAGCATACATCATAATGGAGCCACATTCCCACGCCGGCACTAGATATCCTCAGCGGGGTGGAGAACTCCTTGTCGCCAATGTACTCTGCCAGACTTGCAGGTAATCTAAAATCCGGCGCCAGCTCCGGAAAATCCTCTTTGAAATTCGCCGGCTTCGCGGTTGGTTTCGACGATGACAGCGACCGCAAGTAAAACAGCTCTTTGACAGAATCGGCGGTGGTAGCTGCGTACACGTGGTCAATGAATTTCGTGAACGACATGTTTTCGTAGCGAAAGTTCTTTTTCTGAAAATTCATCGATCTCGCGGAACTCACATGCGCCGTAATCTCACGGCCAGAGCCGACTTTGGTTCGTAAGTACTCGGACGTCCAGAGCGCGGTGCATGGCCCTATGTCTGCCTTCTTCACGAGGACTGGTGTCTGTTTTGAATATATCTCTTGCCAGTCATGCACCGAGACTGGATTCTGGACTGCGACGGGACGAGGAGCTGTACTGCAGTCTCCTGAATCTGCTTCTGGAAGGCTGGCGGCTGGTTCCACTGTACTGCTAGCCGGAGCAGTCTCTTCAATCGCAGTCCATTCCGCGCTATAGCTCTGCTCACCGCTGTTGAGAACCACCAGCTTATTCCAGCAAGCACCAAAGGAGAAGCACACCGCTCCACCACCGACTATCATGAATTCACCGCCGGGAATGACCTCGAGATTGAACCCCACAAGCATCGGGAAATTGTCTGCTCTGTTTGGAACATTGACGTTGGTGACAGCCATACTGGTCAAATCAATGATTTGGAAAGACTCGTCCATTTTCAGGAGTCCAGTCTTCACAATACCGCCCGCAAGCAAAACCGAGCTGTCACTCCATTTGATCAAAACAGATCCAGCGCGAGCAAAGATGTTTGGGGATAGCTCCTTCAGAACAACTTTGTTTCCCCGGACTTCCCATCTGTAGGCATCCTGGTACACGTCTCCAAAGCGGTTAAAGCCTCCGGCTACTATTCCATACTCGCCAAGCCAGCAGAAATTAGGAGAGAGTCGTAGTCCCAGCGGGCTCTCACATTCGAGGATGCTCCAATGGTCCGAGATGCTATCGTATAGCATCCACTCAGCGCTTGAGGCCTCATCGCGATAGCCACCGAATACGACTACAGTGCCCGAGTCAATGCGAGCCATAGAATGTCTGTAGCGAGGTTCAGGGAGAGAAGCGACCTTGCTCCATTTGTGAGACTTTGAATCCAGTATCCAGCTGTCTGAGAAAGGAGACACAGGAGACGAACGGCCACCGGTTACTAAAATTCTATCGTCACCCAGAGAGACCGAAGCATGACACATTCTAGGCGATGGACCCGAGGAATTGTCTACCTCGAATGCTGCAGTCGCGTCATTTGTTATCAGAGCAGAAGTAGAAAGTCGGGATGACGATCCCAGTCCACCAAAGCATACGTATCCCTCACTAGTGGGTGCAGTTGCCGCCCATCGCCGCTTAAAGGTATGCCCGGATGTATTCTCAAGCGTGAATGTAGTCGTGTCGTAAGCCGTCGCCGATGAACTCTCAGCCGGCACTTGCTCTGTCGCCTCAGCAGTGTCGGCCACGAGAAAGACATAGTGCTGACAGAATAAGAAAAACTCCTCCCACTCATCAAACGCCTCGATAGCTTCGATTCTGAGTTTGTCCTCGACAGCGATCTCGTGTTGCCAAAACTGGTAAAGATCCCGAGATCGAACTGATTGCCATCCTCTGTCCGTGAACCGCTTGGCCTGCGCTCCGGTGGTCGGATACTGGGATATGGATTTCAGCGGTGTCGCAAGCCGGTTGAAGTGTCGGATCATGGTCTGAGCAAAAGGATGAGAGACGCCGTCTGGGATGAGTTGTTCGAGAAGTGCGAATCGAGAACGGCCTTTCGATGCTGAGGATGCCCATTCTATAACTTTATCTGCGGCTTCTGTATCCATGTATGTCAGAGAGACTTCTGCTATATACAAGAGGTCACAGTCTTCCCCCAAGATTCCTAGTAGCTGAAGTGTCTCTGTCAAGCCAGACAATTGAGATAAATCGCAAGCGAGGGCGACATATGTCTGGCTCGCAAGTTTGACGGACGTTGTGGGGAGGTCTGTTCGTAAAGGTCCGATAACTTTTAGCAGGTCCTCTGATTCTCTGATTACAGAGGCCTTAATCGACATGAGATCTGGGTAGTCGACATCGATGAAGAGGGTGTTTTCCTGATTCGTTGTTGATTTTGCAAGGTACTGGAATGGTAGAGGGTCGCTATCGTCAACTGCGTTAGAGCACTGCAGCAGAAAATTTATAAAGTAGGAATACGTACTATCCGCATCCAAGATTTATGACGACTTTCTTCAGAGACTGAGACTCAGCTAGGAACTAACACACAAAAATATCAGCAAATCTGCAATGACCGCTATCGAGCTCAATTCCACCCACCTGTTTCACTATAGTGTGTATAGCCTCCATTCGGATCCAGTATCCCCGGTTTATCAGCGGCGCCCTCCGCTGCGGCTTTCTCACAAAATATCGAAAGAAGTGGGCATCTTCCAGAGGGTGCGAATTACTCCTGTCTGAAGAGTGCGTCGGCTGGGGATAGTATAGTCTCTCGACTGATCTTTTCGACACGATCGACGACCCATTTGTCTCCTGAATCGCCTTGTCGCTGTTCAGTCTCGCCTGCAGCTTGCTGCCTTTCCCGCTCTTCACTGCGTCTTTCTTCTGGGCTGCCATCTTTGAGCGATGGTCTTTGGTCTCGATATATCAGAGATCTCGTTCGAGATGGTTGGATTTTTTTGTCCGTTTAAGGTTTCAATACTTGGATGTGTGGCTCGGTTCGCTGGCAGCTGACGTTCTGTTGGACGAGATCCCGGCTGAGTATTTTTCTCGTCAGTATTTATAAGTTTGGTGTGAGATATTATCTGCAGAGTATACACATTTGGTAATACAAATATTAGTCAGAACAGTTATCTTTGAGTGTTTTGCCCGAATCTCATCTAAACAGAGACCGGGCGTGGCGCGGCTGGTTAGCGCGCCACACTCGCATTAGTTAGAAGTATTCTGTACCCCAGTTTTATATATACAGTACTAAATACCTCAGTTTTATACTAATCTGGGTAACAGACCCCGACCTGTCAACCTTTTATCCGCAACTAGCAGAGCCTTGAATTCTCCCACTCCGCCGTCGACGATCACCAACCAGGCTTTCTCCGCTATCAACAGTCGGGAAGAACACGACGAATCCAAGTTATTGTCTTTTGATCAAGCGACCGTACCGGACTTAGCAGTGCTGTGACTTGATCACGATGGAGTCTCCAGCTGAGAGTCCGCAGGCAAACAACCATGACGACACACTCAAGTTTATCAACTTCAACCAGGATTTTAGCTGCATATCGGTCGGTACGAATCGGGGATATAAAATTTACAACTGTGATCCGTTTGGGAAATGTTTCATAAAATGTATGTTTGATCTTCTACTGTGCTGGAGGTCTTTGACCTGTTCTACACATGCTGTTTGTGTCTGGGCTGTGCCGAGGCTTTGAGTATTTGCTAATGGGACCTTCTTCATCTAGCCGACGGAGGAATAGGTGCGCTCGTTCAGAATCATAAAGTTGTTGACTTATTCTTTTGAATCGTTTTTTAACTAGTTCTAGCTATCGTCGAGATGCTATTTTGCACGTCCCTTGTTGCGCTCGTGGGTATTGGCGATCAACCCACGCTTTCTCCACGACGATTGCACCTCACAAACACCAAGGTATGCCCACCTTGATTTCGTATCGGAACCAGCGGAATGCCCACTAACCTGTACCTCTTTGTTATCTTACACAGAGGCAATCAACTATTTGCGAGCTCACGTTCCCCACATCCGTTTTGGCAGTCAAACTAAACCGGCGTCGATTGATTGTGGTTCTGGAAGAGCAAATCTACGTATACGATATCAGCAATATGAAGTTGCTACATACAATCGAAACCTCTCCAAATCCAAACGGTTCGTATCAAGTTTTTTGTGTGTGGTTCCATGCGTAAGTTTGAAAGGCTGACTCTTATATACAGCTATCTGCGCCCTTTCTCCTTCTTCTGATAACTGCTATATTGCATATCCATCGCCAACCTCAAACAACCCTCAAGTCCCTCAGCCGAGTGGATCATACCCACCGTCTAATCAAGTTCCGTCTTTTGTCCAAGGATCGGGTGATGTGCTGATATATGACGCTTTGGCGCTTCAGCCCGTCAATGTGATTGAAGCCCACAAGTCGCCTCTGTCTTGCATCGCGTTAAACCAAGAAGGAACGATGATGGCGACTGCGTCGGATAAGGGAACGATCGTGCGGGTGTTTTCTGTACCAAGCGGGGCAAAGCTGTTCCAGTTCCGGAGAGGATCATATCCCTCAAAGATCTACTCGATTACATTCAATATCACCTCGACGCTCCTTTGCGTCAGCTCCGCCACGGACACTGTCCATATTTTCAAAATCGCGGATATGGAAGACGAAACGGATCCTGTGAGCGGCGAGGAGCGACGGAAAAGCTTCTCTTCGGACTCGGGATCACCTCCGGGAATGAACGGCGGAATATTTGACGCCATGATGGACGGGAAGGCTAGGAATGGTGCCATGAGGTAAGTGGAATCGAGCGTATATATATGCGTCTATTGTCTAACAGTCGTCAAATTATAGAAACTTGATTCGTCGCTCGTCTCAAACTCTCGGAAGAAGTATGGCAGGAAGAGTTGGCGGCTACCTTCCGACGGCAGTGACTGAGATGTGGGAGCCTCAGCGAGACTTTGCTTACGTCAAGCTACCTCAGAGAGGTATCAAGAGCGTGGTTGCGATCAGTGCAACCTCTCCGCACGTTATAATAGTAACTTCTGAGGGATATTTCTATCAGTATACCATCGATCTCGAGAAAGGAGGCGAGTGCACGTTGATAAAACAGTATTCGTGAGTAGTCCTCTTTATAGTCACTTTTTCGACTTTCGCTAACTTGCATTTCAGGCTTCTTGATACTGGTGATGAGAGCATACCTTCAGCGGAGACAGAGACAGAGCTACCTGAATGATTGCTGAGATGGTAGCTGCATTCTTCCAGAGCACGGGAACTGATTCATAACTACTTATAATCGCATTTGGAGTCACTCAGTGCTTCTAACTCTTCACCCGCTCCTCTTCTCCTTATTTCATCCAGAGCGATGGTTCTAGAATGAAACATCCGGAGAACTAGCAGAACTGTTTGCTTTTGATTTACAATTGCTGTTGAAGAATCCCACTCGCGTTTGCTTATAGCTGTTCATGTTCTCTTTCCTCGACTTGTTCCAACTGTAGTTTCGTTTTTTTGGAGTATGTACCTCGTCGCTGGTATTTTGTTTCTTGCCTCATACACCAGACTGTAAATTAGCCTTTTCCTATTTCTTAATTGACACATATTTCGATACAAATCAAGTTCATAAGCGTAGCTAGGCGACAGAGAAGGCAAAAATCGCCAAGTAATCCCTGCCATCTACAGTTTTACCGAGCAGGCGACCCGTGCGCGAGGGTCTAAGCTGACGCGCGGTCCCGGATCGCTCGCCGGTGACTGATCCCCGCGATCCTCGAATATCCTCAGGATCGCGGATACCTTTTCGTAGTTCAGCTACTGCGCCACCGGGCGGAGATGGTCTTTGAGGTGACTCGCTGCCTGCGTTTTAGCTGGAGAAAAAAACCGCGCGAGTCAGATTACGGCTCGTCGGATTGGGCAGATGACGTCGGTGGTATTGCCTGATAAAGGTGCGAGTTGTTCTTATCTGAAGATAGCAAAGGGGGGATATCATCCCCAGTTTAGTAATCAATGTGTTTGAGTAATGGTAAAGTACTATTCTGGGGTGTTGACAACCAGAACCCTGATTGACCCCAAAGGTTGGCTTCAATGGAGATTAAAGATGGCTGAATGCCACTTCGCTGTCCGATTGATGCCAGCGGCGTGGAAGAAGACGAGTACCAGAAGAAATAGGGATACATAGAATATTATCAATATGTCGGAAGCAGAATCGGTTACACATCCGCTGCTCATGACCGCGACGCGCGCGTCGGACACGACCACGCTTTCAGCGTTTGAGCTGGCGCCTGAAGTCGAGCCACCGCAGCGCGAGTCGGCCGAGCACAGCAGCGACGCGATTCATGCTCTGTCGACGAGCATCACAAATACCGGTGCGGACGCGGCAGGCGGGAAGGATTTCGCGCTGAAGCAGCTTGCGGCGGAGGAAGCGCTTGAGGCGCAGGCGTTTCTGGGGAATAACGAGGAGCCGGAGGAGGATACTCGCGAGAGTTGGAATTCGAACGGGACGAATATGGCGCGGGTGTTGATTACCTTCTTTGCGTTTGTGTTGATGGGAATGAATGATGCTGCTACTGGTGTAAGTATCTGGAAGCTGTCATTTGTTTTATATGTCGATCTCGACGCTAACATGAGTGTATATTACAGGCCGTTCTCCTACAGGTACACATTGACAAAACGTTCTACATCTAGATTGACTATATACTAACAAGATGTCTACAGATGGAAGCATGGTATGACAAAAGCTACACAACGATCTCCTTCTGTCTCCTGGGTCCAGCAATTGGGTACATGTCCGCCGCTTTCCTGAACGCGTCCTTCCATCAACACCTCGGCCGTCAAAAGGTCGGTGTGCTCTCAATCCTGCTCTTCTCAATCGGCTACTCGTTCATTTGCTGGGCGCCGCCTTTCCCTATCCTCGTGCTTGCGTACGTCTGCGTCGGTCTGGGCTCTGGAACTATGGACGCCGCGTTCAACGTCTACATCGTCACACTGCGCAACGAGAACGAGCTGATGGGAATCCTGCACGCTTGCTACGGTGTCGGTGCTATCATCAGCCCTCTGGTAGCTACTTATATGGTCGCTGCCGGCTACCAATGGAGTCATTATTACTACGTTTTGCTGGGCTACGCGGTTGTGGCTGCGACCGCAGTCTACATCGCTTTCGAGGGCGAAAACGCCGAGAAATACGCGCGCGAGAACCCGCCCCAGATCGGCGCTGACGGAAAGTCAGAGAGCAGCTTGTCCGAGGCGCTTAAAAACAAATATACCCTGATCATCTCTCTTTTCCTTTTCTGCTACATGGGAGCCGAGGTCGGTGTCGGAAGCTGGACTGTGGCGTTCATGGTCAGATATAAGGGTGGTGAGGAATCCAAGATGGGCGCTGTCGCTTCCGGATTCTGGGCTGGTTTGACCGCCGGCCGTGTTGTGCTCGGGTTTATTACCGGAAGAATCGGTGAAAACACAATGGTCACAATCTACCTCATCCTCGCGATCGTCTTCCAGTTCGTGTACTGGCTCTCCCCCACCATCGTCGGCTCCGCCATCGGCGCCGCGTTCGTCGGCGTGTGCTACGGCCCGCTCTTTCCCACCGCCGTCCTCGCGCTCTCAAGAATCCTTCCTTCGCGATTGCACATCGCGAGCGTTGGCTTCGCGTCCTCTTTTGGCGGCGCGGGGTCGGCTGTGTTCCCGTTCATCACCGGCGCTATTGCCGAAAGCAAGGGAACTTGGGTGCTGCAGCCGATCGTCATCGCGCTGATTATCACAATGTTGGTCCTCTGGCTTTATATTCCTACGGTTGAGGCGAGTCGGATTCGGGATCGAGTTATATTTTTCCTGTTTAGACGTCAGGCCAACTCTATTATGACTCCGGTCGCGCTCGAGTAGACGGGCGTGAAATCGAGACTATTCTGTAACGCTGTGGATCATTTCTTTTGATTACTTTTTGGGCTTCTTTTGACGGTTTAGGTATTGGATCTCGAGCATACAGTCGAGCTTTTTGGAAAAGACTTGTAAAAAAGCATCTATATAGAAATAAATCCGGCTCGATCTCAAATCTCTAGTCAAAACCAAAATCTCTCCTCACATATCTTTACAAAACTTATAAATCTAGCCGCATCGACAAACTGCTCTCTCTATCGTCATCATCATCCTCCTCAGTGCGCCGACTATACCGCTCACCTCCATCATCAGCAAACGCAACAGACCGCGGCGGCTGGACTTGCGGAATCGGTCTGCGGCGATTGTTATTTCCAAACGGAGAAGGCGAGCGCGACCGCACGTACGCTGCCCGCTCTGCTACCGACTTTGGCACGGACTGTATCGGAGTCAGCGCGTAGATCGGTCCAGCTGTCGAGACCGAGTGCTGCGACGATGCTGCGAACGTAGACGCGCCTGCGGATTTGAGAGGTAAAGACGGGGTCGAAGCACTTGAGGTTGAGTAGAATCGGGGGCTCGACTGCAGAGGTGGTGGTGATTTACTGCGGACGAGGACGGGATCCGGTTGCTCTTGATTGCTGGAAACCGCTTGGTGCGGAAGTCCCAGCTCGGTTTTGACCGCATGGACACCGGTCGGCGCGTGCAGCATTTGCCGTCCTTGCAAGCCTGCGCCGATTGTTTCGAATGCTTCAGCGGGGGTTGGGCCTCCAGATTCACCCATCGTTACTATGGGCCGCAACTCAGTCTCTCGCTGTGAGGGTGTTTCATTGTACTCGCTGTTTTCCGCGCTGTTCGGGACATGTGTGGTGGCCACGGGGGCAGTAGCGGTGCCAGGTATCGCTGCCACTTCCGGTACCGAATTTGCAGCCGAGCGCGCTTGAACCGCGATCGGCGTCGCTTGCGAGGAATTAGCAATGCCTGCAGTAGCACCGCTGGAATATATAGGCAGATCGCTACCGCCGTAGCCGACCACCGGCTCGCTCTGCATATAGGCCTGTCCTTTCCTGTTTCTGACGTAGCTGGCGTACTGCTGATGCGTGCGCTTGGCTGCCTTCTTCTGGTAATATCTCCTGATGCGGGCGACTTTTGCGCCTATCCACGGGTAGAGGATGACCCAGATGACTGCTACCGTGACCGGGATCGCGATTGCCCAGAAATACATAGTTGTGTTATCGAGCGCGCCAAACTCCTTAAAGTTCATCCCGAAATAACCAGTCAAGAACGTGAGCGGCAAAAACACAATGGTGACGAGCGTCAGCTGGCGCATGGCTTCGTTTTCCTGCACAGACATCGTGTTGAAGATCAGGTTGATCATGCTCTCGGTCGACTGCCGCATGAGATCGATGTTGTCGGTGAATGCTAGAACATGATCGGCGACATCAGACAGGTACAGCTTTGCAAACTCGGAGATATAGCCGCCGGCGAGAGTAAGCTCTCTGTTTGTGTTTGCATGGTCTCTCAGATTTTGAACAAGACCGTAGATGGGCATCAAAGTTGATCGCAGCATAGACAGTTCTTCAGAAAGAATATGGAGGTCACGCGTATGCATGACAGACGGCGACGTCAAGATCTCGACCTGCAACTCGGAAATGAACTTTTGGTATTCAGAGACAATGTTCAAAGCGATGTCGACGATGCCATCCAAGATTCCCTGTAAGAGAAGAGAGGGCTCGGGGTATTCCCTTAGTAGTGTACTAGCGGAGACTATTCGCGATAAAAGAGGTCCTTCCACTTCCTCTGCTGAGTTTTCAAAGAATGAGATGATTGTGTGATTCTCGATCAGAAAAATAGAGACCTGCTCGACGGCTACAATCTCATGGTAGCGCTCAAGACTGCGTTTCATGACATAATACTCTGAGGACGTCGAGGGATTATTCCATTCCTGCATCGTCATCATATTCTGCTCCGCCATGACTGTCGCCAGATTCGCATTCATGATGATCGACTCGACTGTCTTTTTCCTCCGGCCCAATAGCCTATTAACCCACGATAGCTTCTGCAAGCTCTCAAAGTACTTGTCGACGACCGCCGTGCTGACCAATTTGTGCAACGGTAGAGTACAGAACGTCTGGTTCTTGTAGTGATCTGCTTTCGCGCGCTTTGGAATATCGACCATATCTTCAACCGCGAGCGGGTGTAGTCCATAAAACTCTGATATACTGCGAAGAACCTCCCACGACAGTCCGTTGACGTTAATCCACCGGACACTAGACCAAGGCTGCTCGTCTCTGAGAAACTCGTCGATGCTGAACTTATCGATCTTGTTCACGATCCGATAGCGATCAGAGTTGTAGTCCACGATCGTGACGACCGAGTCCTCGCCCAGCTCGACGACCGTGTTGCGCACATCGATACCGGGCTCCCAGCCAATCTCGCCGCGCTCGGTGTTTGGCATTTTGTAGTTTCGCTTCTTGCCCCAGTCTGCCCATTCTCGTTTCAGCAGCTGGTTCAGGTTTCGCGAACGAAGGCCTAGACGATTGACCTGTCAGTAACACTCTCAAATAGCAAATCACAGAAACATCAAGCGATACATACCCTTCGTAGCTGCCGGCGCGGTGCCTGCAGTAGACGCGTTGTTTACCGCATGCCCGTGTGGCTCGTGTGTAGACTGACTCCCCCCACTAACATCAGACCCATGCAGCGTGGCATCCGCACCGATAGAAGCAGAACTCGCATCGACATATTTCTCGCTCTCTGTCAGCACACGAGACCGCGGAATCGACTCGCTGCTCGGAGGATGGCTCACGCTGGGCGGGAGATCAGCGGGATGCGAATCGTATACCATTGGTACGCGCGGGCGCTGGAGAGTCGAGTATGTCTCATCTGGAGAGACTTTCTTGGTCGATTGCCGTGTCTTTGATCCCGGAGATGCACTTTCAGACACGGCAGACAGCTGCGTCCTGCCGCTGGCTGTCGAGCTAGCTGTCGACGGCCGCCGATGTCTCCTGTGCATTACTTGATGCTGAGCAGTTCCAGTTCCGATTCACGTATCAACCATAGCTGATAATGAGATACGCTCTGTTTTCTGCACTCTGCTCGCTTGGCTCTTCAACACGCTCCTTCTTCTATAAAAGGGTTCTATAGTTATGCGCGTATGAGGAGAGGGAAGACGAACGACGAATGAGCGGTCAAAGCTTGAGCACAATGAACAAACATCCAGCGACGTAAACTGGCGCGTAGACTACGAACTTTATGCGCGATTTAATGCTGCGGTGGACTCGAAGATATCAACGCATTTTACCATGGCCTGGCAATTTTTATGAAACAAGAATAGCAATGTTGATAGTAGCTGTGACGAAGTCGCGTCGTCGCGCGCCGAAGGGTTGTCGTTGGAGGACATAGTGAGGGGATAAGCGATGATTAAGGGTAGAAATGGAAGTGGATGTTATAGTGGAAGCGCAAGTGATTAGGAGGATAGTAGATGAAGGTTGTAGGTAAGGTTGAGTTGCATATCCGGAAGACTGGGTAAGCCAGGCTTCCTTATATGTTACTCTACGGGCTGCCTCATTCTATCCTCTCGTCGTAAGAAGTCAGTCTACTCGCCGGAAGGGGCGAGGGGCTGGATCTTGTGGAGAAGAGATGTGTCATGAGGTTGCGAGGCAGAACTGCCCGGCCTCCTCCAAACCCTCATCCGTGTCAGAGACCTGTCATCCTGCCTCACCTCACGATGCTTGTCCGTCTACTACATCTATCCCTGCAAGAGCCCAGCCATCTTGCCTCACCTCAGAACGCCTAACCAGCAGTCCATCCACGGGAGATTACCTCTGCCTCACTTCACAAGGTCACGCCTACACCCTCCCTCATGAAGAGTACTTCGCAGGACGCTAAGGCATGAGCAGGGAGGTTTCCCCTCATCAAAGATCCCTTCATCCTCCGCACGGTTTCTTCTTGTCAACAAACCACACTCATTTACTAACATTCTTACCCCTCGAGAGCCAGCCTCCTCGTCCTGCTAACGTGGAGACTAATCTCTTCCGGCGAGAGGATAGAATGAGGCATCTTGTAGAGTAATATTTAAGGAAGCCTGGCTTACCCAGTCTTCCTGATAATGAACCTTCATCTACTATCTTCCTAATCACTTGCGCTTCCACTACAACTCCCACTTACCTTCCACTTATCCATCGCTTATCCCCTCATTATGTCATCCAACGACAACCCTTCGGCGCGCGACGACGCTACTTCGCCACATGGTAGCGATGCTGCCTGAATTGTAGCCGCAGTTGTATCAAGACCGGTAACCTCCCTTCTTGAGCGCATGAGGCGCCCCAAAGCGCCGACTGCCGCAACCGGTCAGACATCCACCTTGCCAGCGACTCCCCCGACCAACGCCCCAGTCGTCCAGAAGTACACCGCCGTCGATCCTGCAAAGGTCCAGGCAGCCTACTTCCGCGAACTGGCCCTAACTGAGGTGGATCCGCCTTCTATGATTCCCCTTGATCAGGTCCCGCGCGGAATCATTCGCACGTTGGCAGGTTGGAGCCCTCTCCCGGACGATACCTATATCGACTCCAAGGTCTGGGACATCAAAACTCTGCCCCGTCTTGACATCCCCAAGCATGTCCGCTACTCGGGCGACCTTTCTCTCGTGGATGGCAAGCTCACGACTCGCGTTCGCTTGTACACCTTTTACCGCGAATTCTTGAACAACGTCGGAGATCACTTTGCTCATTACAAGAACTCTGAGATCAAGAACGCGTTGAACAAGTGTCTCTACGGTCCCGCTCAGATGAAGCTCGGCGACTACGCCACGTGGAGAAAGCACCCGACCACCACCCTGCTCGACATCTATCGCTTCTTGGCATTGGAGTTCCCCGAGAAACAGGAGTATGATCCCGCCGCTCTCGCCTTGAACGCTTTTCAGAGCAAGGGAGAATCGCCCTATGCCTGGGTCAATCGTTTGGAGAATCTTGCCGACCACGCGCCCAAGCGCGAGGGCTGTGACTTTGACATCGTCTTGAACGCCCGCAGCCGCTGCACGAGTTCGGCTTTGTACAAGAAACTCGAAGACGCGTCCAGAAAGCCAGATGTCAAAGCCTTGAAGAGACTTTGTGCCACGCTAGTTGAGGCAAAGTACATGGGCACCGCATTTCAGTTTGACTTCAACACCCCGATTAACGACCCAGAGAACGCCCGTGAGTATATGATCCCCAACCCGGACGGTCACATTCGCATTGGATCCACGCAAGAGGAGAAGAAGGAATCTGCCTCCCTCAAGCGCAAAGCCCCCGAGCAATCGACTAGTCAGGAAACCGCAACTCAGGACTATCCCCCTCGCGCCAGACAGAGAACTATCAGCGCGGGTGGTAGCCGCGGTAAGCCTGCCCCGAGAACTCAGGAAGGATGTAAGTTTTGCTTGAAGCACAACTTCTCCAGCCCCGCTTCTCATACGGACGAGAACTGCTTCAACAAGGACCATTCCAAGCGCCCTAAGAAGACGGAAGTAAGTTCCCCCACAAATGTAAACTATGCCTCAAACCAAACTAATAACGGTTCACACACCACAGCCCGCGAAGAAGGAGTAAGGAGCGACGTGTCGACTCAACCCCTGTCCGACGGACTAATTTCAGAGAATATGGAACTCGGCGAACATCCGACGTTTAATCTTTCAGAGAATATGGAGCTCGGCGAACACCCGACGCTCAATTGTGTGATTCCAGTGAACGAGATGCCTAAACACCATCCGCGTCACATATTAGTTAATGGCTTTAGTTTTAAACAATGCAATATACCGTACACGAATATAAATCCAGTCCTAAGTACTTCAAACCCCTTACTGCCCGAGGAATCTGACACCGTGTGTGTCCAGATGAATTTAAATGGCAACACCATTCCAGTTACTATCGATACTGGGTGTTCCTCTTTCGCAGTAAGTGCTCGGTTTTGTACGACGCACGGGATTAAAACCCAAAACCACAAATTCGATAAACCTCGATTCATGTCTACACCTAATGGTCTTGTTGTTGCCCACAAAACAGCTAATATTACGTTAACAGTCGGAGATTACGACTTCCCTCTTCATTTCTACGTTCTATCCGGCCTCGACGGTCCACCGTTGTTAGGTATGCCTTTCTTAAGAAAGTACGGAGGAATTATCAATACATTAAACAATACACTCATGTTACAAAAACAAGACAACCTAATCCTTCCTTTCAGTTCTGAACGCCCATCATTCGGGAACGTCGAGAACCCCATCGAAGTTTGCAGTATGCATCAGTTTACCAAGCACCTCAAAGATCGACCTGGTAACCAAGACACCGAAGTATATCTTATCCGAATTCAGGAAGGTATCGACGGTATCGACATCTCCCAAAACGCGGTTCCCTTCAGCCTCCCAGAGCACATGAACGGACTCACGGTCGAAGCGGAATTTCTTGCAGGATATGAATCCAGAGTCGAGAAACTGCTCAAAGATTATCAAACCACTTTCTCGGAAACAGTACCTATGGGAAAGGTACTTAATAGAGAATACCAACATCGGATCGAACTCAAACCTGGCGAGGAAGCTCACCCGCCGCGTAAAGGTATTATCCGATTATCGCAACAAGAATTGCAAGAACTAAAAAACACAATTACCAAACTACTCAAAGAAGGAATGATAAAACCTTCTAAAAGTCCTTACGGCGCCCCTGTCCTATTTGTTAAAAAGACAGATGGGTCCCTCCGTATGTGCGTAGACTATCGCGCACTGAACAAACAAACAATCCGCAACAGCTATCCAATCCCTAGACTGGACGAACTGCTAGATCGTATCGGTGGTGCCAAAATCTTTTCCAAAATGGACTTGACCAGTGGCTACTGGCAGATTCCGGTGCACCCCGAAGACCAACACAAAACCGCCATGAACACGCGTTATGGCTTATATGAATTCACCGTGCTGCCGTTTGGTCTCACCAACGCGCCAGCAACTTTCCAACGCTTCATGAACCAAATCCTTGCCGACGTGCTCGATCAGTTTGTGATTGTCTACATGGATGATATCCTAGTTTTTTCAGAGACTATGGAGGATCACCTTTCACACCTTAACTTGGTCCTTAAGCGACTATCCGACAACGCGCTTGTCGTCAAACCAAAGAAAACTACTCTATGTGCATCTTCTTGTGAGTTTCTAGGTCATGTTGTCTCCGGTTCGGGACTGCAGCCCATCCCTCGACACATTTCTGCGATTCTAGAACGGCCGGTGCCTACCTCTGTTAAAGACTTACAATCTTTTCTTGGTATGGTTAATTATTACCGACGGTTCGTGCAAAATTATGCTCATATTTCCAGCCGCTTGACAGCTGCGTCGTCTAACTCACGGATCCTACGTTGGGACGAAGATCTCCAACGCGAGTTCGACGCGGTTAAGAAAGCCCTCACTACAACGCCGGTACTCAGCCATCCCGATTTCAGCAAACGCTTTTCAATCGAGACTGATGCTTCACTTGTAGCAATTGGCGCCGTGCTTGTTCAAGACGAACACCCGGTTGCCTACTTCTCTAAGAAGCTTGACAAACATCAAAGGAACTACCCGACGCATGATCGAGAGGCCCTCGCTATTGTTGAAGCTTGCCTATATTGGAGACCTTTCTTAGTGGGTCAGGAATTTGACGTCTATACCGACCACAAGGCTCTATTATTCCTACCAACTCAACCAATTCTTAACGACCGACAACGTCGTTGGATCGAGAAGTTGGCAGATTACCATCCAGTGTTTCATTACCGCAAAGGCCGAGATAATGTCGTCGCCGACGCACTATCTCGCATCCCTATGAACAAACTAATCTATGTGCAACCTGCGTCTCTAACCATCCATTACCCTGTGGACTTGGAGACCATTCGACAAGAGTACCAAAAAATTCCCCAATGGAAAATACTCATAGATCAGCTGACACACAGAACCCAATCCAACACACATATCACGGACAACATCCTCTCGCGATACGACTACCGCGAGGGACTGATCTATCTCCGTTTACAAGACACAGCTCCCTGGAGATTATGCATCCCTGGAGCAGATCTTCCAATTAAATTCCTTGAAGAATATCACGACTCAGTTACCGCTGGACACCCAGGTGTTGCGGCGTTGCACGCTCAATTAGCAAGGGACTTCTATTGGCTGAACATGTACCGAGACATTGAGAGATTCGTTCGCTGCTGCGACAAATGCCAGCGGACGAAGGTTCCTCACAAGCCTCCAGTAGGTATGTTACAACCAATGCCGATCCCTAATGTCCCCTTTAAATCCATTAGCATGGACTTTGCAATAATCGCCGAACAAACAACTAACGGGAATAACCAAATTCTTGTGGTCGTAGATCGACTCACAAAATTTGCTACTTTCATTCCTATGCAATCAACAAGAAAAGCAGCCGATGTCTTCGATGATTTAATCGACTACGTTTTCACCAAACATGGACTCCCGGACACCATTGTTTCCGACCGCGATAGTGCCTTCACCTCAGCGTTCGTTAACAGATGCCGCGACCAGTTTAACATCACCCCTCTTATGTCAACCGCCTCTCACCCGCAGACGGATGGCCAATCTGAACGCACAATTGAGACGCTGAAGAACTTAATAAAGCATTCGCTGACCAGAGCACAGAGAAGGGAATGGGATTCCTATCTTTCCTTACTCGAGTTCGCTTACAATCAATCCCTGCATACTTCAATCGGCATGTCACCGTTCGAAGCCTTGTATGGCTACACTCCTAGATCATTTCATGGCATAACACCATCCGTTGCCGCACCAGAGCAGCACTACACTGAAGATATACAAAGTGTTTGGCTCAGAGTTCAGGACGCAATGCACGCGGCCCAGGTCAAACAAAAACGAGCCTACGATGCACATCGCGCCCAACCACCACCCTACAAAGCTGGCGACCAAGTGCTCCTCCGCAGAAGAGCCACTCATCTATCGGCTTTCGATGATCCATACGAAGGACCCTTCGTGATCACTGCAATTGAAGCAAATCAGAATGTCCGCCTTCAGTTCAACGACAGACGCCGTCACCCGGTAGTCAACATTGATCGCATCAAGAAGTATTACCCACCAGGCTCACAAAACATCTCTGAACCCGAACCATCCTATCACACCAGGTCGAAACGAGCTCAGAATGTACGAGACCCCATGGAATTCTTCGAAGTCGAAAAAATTATTGCTGAGGAACCTACTGGCATCAACAATGGTCGCCGCTTCCTATGCAAATGGAAACATACACCAGAATCCGAAAACTCTTGGGCTGAATCGCAATTCGTTCCCTGGCAAGCTATTCAGTTCTGGGATGCTACCAAAACACTAACTACTTCCTTATAGGCCGTCGACCTCTTTGACTAGACGTCGCCTGGGGGGGGAGTGTCATGAGGTTGCGAGGCAGAACTGCCCGGCCTCCTCCAAACCCTCATCCGTGTCAGAGACCTGTCATCCTGCCTCACCTCACGATGCTTGTCCGTCTACTACATCTATCCCTGCAAGAGCCCAGCCATCTTGCCTCACCTCAGAACGCCTAACCAGCAGTCCATCCACGGGAGATTACCTCTGCCTCACTTCACAAGGTCACGCCTACACCCTCCCGCATGAAGAGTACTTCGCAGGACGCTAAGGCATGAGCAGGGAGGTTTCCCCTCATCAAAGATCCCTTCATCCTCCGCACGGTTTCTTCTTGTCAACAAACCACACTCATTTACTAACATTCTTACCCCTCGAGAGCCAGCCTCCTCGTCCTGCTAACGTGGAGACTAATCTCTTCCGGCGAGAGGATAGAATGAGGCATCTTGTAGAGTAATATTTAAGGAAGCCTGGCTTACCCAGTCTTCCTGATAATGAACCTTCATCTACTATCTTCCTAATCACTTGCGCTTCCACTACAACTCCCACTTACCTTCCACTTATCCATCGCTTATCCCCTCATTATGTCATCCAACGACAACCCTTCGGCGCGCGACGACGCTACTTCGCCACAAGATGATTCGTGAGGTGCGGCGTGGATAGCCAGCCTTGTCGCCTCATGACAGTAGCTTAGACAGTAACTGCTACGTGAATATCGATAGTTGCTATAGAAACGCTAAGGTAATTGAAATTGTAATGACGTTGGAGCAATTACATCTCCCAGCTCACTTCACCAAAATGGAGTCTTCCTACATAAGAACACAATTACAGCATGTTCTTGATCAAACGAGCAACGAACCAACCAGATCCTACAGTATATACAAAACGAAACTGTTTACAATGAAGATCAAAATTTATTTATATGTAATGTATGAAAGTATACTAAATCGCACTTGATACAAGAGATAATGAGAAAACGATAGGATGAGAGCACAAAATACAACACTATTAAAAAATATAATAATTTGAAAACAAACTAATCAGGTAATAAAATAAAAACGTTTTGCAACACCCAACATGATAAAACACAAGCATCCCTCACCAGCGCGTTTTCACTCGCTCTTGATCTTCTCTCGCCCACAGAAAGAAAGACGGGAGATTATCATTTATCTAACAGGAATTACATTTATGCAGCGGCGGCCTCGGGCTCGGTGGGAGCGGGAGCAGGGGTTCCGGCGGCCTCGGCACGGGCTCTCTGGTAGAACTCGTTGATGATCTTGGCCGGGATACGGTTGAGGAGCTCCTTGGGGTAGATACGGAGGAGCGACCAGGCGAGGTCTAATGACTCGAAGATGGTACGTCCCTCGTACGAATCCTGGGAGATAAAGCTGCGCTCGAACTTCTCCAAGAACTCGAGCGAGAGCTTGTCCTCCTGCGACAAGGCCTCCTCACCGACGACAGCCTTCATGGCGGCGGCATCACGGCCAATAGCGTACTTGGCGTAGAGCTGGTTGGAGACATCACCGTGATCCTTGCGGGTAAGCTTCTCACCGATAGCGGACTTCATAAGACGGGAGAGGGAAGGAAGGACGTTGATTGGCGGGTAGATACCACGGTTGTAGAGCTGACGATCGACGAAGATCTGTCCCTCAGTGATATATCCGGTCAAATCAGGGATAGGATGAGTGATATCATCGTTAGGCATGGTAAGAATAGGAATCTGAGTGATCGAACCGTTGCGGCCCTCAACACGACCGGCACGCTCGTAGATGGTCGACAAATCAGTGTACATGTAACCGGGGTAACCACGACGACCGGGGACCTCCTCACGGGCGGCGGAAACCTCACGAAGAGCGTCGGCGTACGAGGACATGTCGGTAAGCAAGACGAGAACGTGTCTCTCGGTCTGGTAAGCCAAGTACTCGGCGGTGGTCAAAGCCAATCGAGGAGTAATGATACGCTCGATAGTAGGATCGTTAGCCAAGTTAAGGAAGAGAGTGACACGGTCGAGCGAGCCAGACTCCTCGAAGTCCTGCTTGAAGAATCGCGAGGTCTCCAAGTTGACACCCATAGCACCGAAGACGATGGAGAAGTTCTCCTCGTGACCGTCGTGGACGTCCTTGGTTGGTCTCTTGACCAAACCGGCTTGTCGGGCAATCTGGGCGGCGATTTCGTTGTGGGGAAGACCGGCAGCAGAGAAAATGGGAATCTTCTGGCCACGAGCAATGGAGTTCATGGTGTCGATGGCAGAGATACCGGTGGAAATCATCTCTTCGGGGTAGATACGGGAGTAGGGGTTGATGGGAGAACCGTTGATGTCAAGGTAATCCTCAGCAAAGACCTTGGGACCTGAATTAAATAAAAGACAGTTTAGCAACACGGACGATTGAACAGAGCAAATACATATGAAAGACTTGTGAAAAGTCGAAAATGGAAAGAGATTGAGAAAGAAAAAATCTTACCGTTATCGATAGCGTGTCCAGAACCGTCAAAGATACGTCCGAGAACATCACTGGAGACGGGAATGCGCAAGCTCTCTCCGGTGAACTCGACACGGGTCTTCTTGACATCGATACCGGAAGTACCTTCGAAAACCTGGGGTGGATAAGGATTAGCAGGATGCTCGGCGATATGCGAGAAGGCGATAGAGGCGCTGGTGGGGAGATACGAACCTGGACGACAGCACGGCTGCCGCGGACCTCAAGAACCTGACCGGCACGGACGGTTCCGTCGGGGAGGGTAAGGTTGACAATCTCGTTGTAACGGGGGAACTAGACGGATGGATGTCAGAGGCTGAGAAGGATTGGAGGTCTCGGGGAGTGAGGTCCTCGAGAAAAGAAACCCAATCCGGCAGAGGGACCTGGGCAAGATAAGGAAATAGGGGAGCAAACGGACCTTGACGTTCTCGAGAATAACAAGAGGACCGTTCACACCAGCGACAGTGTTGTACCTAAGCAGAAGAAGAAGAGATGGTGTTAGAGAATGCGGTTATCTTTGATTGCTGGTCCGTAGGGCGAGCCAAGGGACGCAGGCCGAGGAACGAGCAAGCAGCGACTGTGGAGCACAGCAATTGCTCGACAGGAGGCATCCAAAGAACAAGAGAGTGGCATACTTGATACGCGGGTGGATGGCATAGTTTCTTGTGACGGCGGCCGCGTTGATAACGGCTAGAGGAAGCCCGAGGCAGGTTAGCAAAAAAGTGCGAGAGAGTGAAGATTGGCGACGGCAAGAGCGGTGCGCAGGAGGCCGAGCGCGAGACCGCTGGCCGTCAATTGCAAGAGAGATGAAGAGAAAGAGAACTTACAGGCTTCCGCAGCGGACATGCGAGGGTCTTCGGCCATTGTGGTGTAGTGAGGATGAGAAGGAAGAAGGTGGTGAGCAGGAAGAGGGTCAGGTCAAGGCCGTGAAGTAGAAGGCACTTTACTCTTTGAGCAGGCTCAGATAAAAGCGGCGTGCAGGCGGGTACGGTCTGTCAAGCAGGGGAATTGCAGTACCGCCTATGCCCAATCACGCCGCCGGAACGGGCATTGTGCAGTGAGCTTATGCAGTTGTGCCATAACCTCTGAGTCACTGCGGTGCTGGCCAAAGATATGGGCCCTCAAGGGTAAGGGCTTATCGGACACGGACCTGGCCTTTATCAGCCTGGCTGGCTCTCGTTGCCTGGATTTGATTGTCGACTGCGCTAATCCGCTTCTGCGACGAAGACTGCGGGCGACTCTTTTAATTGCGCTCTGGCTGGCTCTCTTGCCATTTAGGGCACTTCTGAGGGCCGTCGGGTTATGTAAGATAAAATATAATCATGACAAATACATTACGTAACACAATCGAGCCGCAGACAGCCAAACTCAACCTCAAAGTCCCAATCCAAAATATTCTCGACAAATTCATCGACTGCCTCTACGCAGACCTCTACCACAGCCACACCAGCACTCTTGTCTCCTCCTCTCCTCCTCTTGAACTGTGTAGACAGCCATGGCTTCTCAATCCGACAACTACCAAAACGGACTGGCTGTAAAGCGGCAAGCCGTACGTCCACTCTCTCTATTCCTCTCGAGATCAATAATTTTTTCCTCTTCAGCAACGTCAGTACACTAACTCTCCTCCAGACCATCTACGAACGCATTCTCGACGGACGAATTCAACTGCAAAAATCAATTACCTCGCTTAATAAAGCACTCGATATTGTCCAGCAAAATGAGTCCTACGCCGAGGATACTGAAGTTCAGAGCCTGATTTCTGAGGCTCAAGACAAAATTTTTGAACTTCTGGAGGACCTGATTCAACTGCGACGGGTAAGCATAATCACTCCACACCGATAGAACTAGACAAGCTCTATACTAACAGTACATCCGCAGCGCCTACTTGAGTCGAACGAGATCGACATCCCCGCCCTCCCCACTCTCAGAAAGCGAAAACGCGTATCCGGACACTACAAAACCTCCGTCGCGCTCTCCGACGCCTCCTCCCCCTACCGCACCGCCGTTCTCGAGAAATGGTCGCGGAAAGTGCAGTCTGCGAACGGCGTCGGCGCGCTCGCCAGTTCAAAGAAATTCTCGGTCCTCAACCAGAGCATATCCTTCCAAATCGCGGATCTGCTTCGCGACATGGATAGACTGGTGGCGCGGACAAGGGTTGATCGGAACGCGAGCGCGGGTGGTGCGAAAGCTGCAAACGAGAGTAAACGAGTCGAGCGTGTTTCGGACGACAGCCTGCGTTCGGAATCGTTCATTTACGACGATACCGATTTCTACCAAATGCTGCTCAAAGATCTAGTCGAGAAAAACATGGCGGATTCAGACGTAACCTCGTCCGCTCTCGCGAGCGGCGTTAAATGGACAGTTTCAAAGCAAAAAGTCAAGAAACCAGATCTCGACACGAAAGCGTCAAAGGGCCGGAAGCTGCGGTACCATGTCCAGGAGAAGATCCAGAATTTCATGGCGCCTGAGCCTCAAGCGACGTGGAACGAAGAGCAGATTGATGATTTGTTCAGCGGACTGTTTGGACAAAAGATTATGGATGTTGTGAATGAGTAACTGAAATCATGCCGCTTCTTTTTTTCCTTTACTTGTCATTCTGGGTTGTTTTCTTGTATTTTTCTGGTTAGAGGGTGATTTACTGTAATATATCTCTTCCATCTATAAACCAACTTGCTCGTCGTAGCTCGATGAAAAAACAGATCCTCAAAAACCAAGCCTGCATTATGCAATCTGATCTATGTGACAACTACATTGTGAAAATAAACTGCAAAAAAGAGACATTCAAATGCTAGCAAAACAACAGATCTGTACACATTTTGTTCCATCGTCAACTATGATCAACCATTCCGTTCATCGTTAACTATGATTAACCAACTGAATCTGCTTATGAATATGACACAGGTAATCCACATAATTCATCGCCTCATTATTCCGATCCTCAACCATCATCGCCGAAACCTCATACTCCGCACCATCAAGCTCCTGCCTGGCCAACTGGATACTCAACGCCTTTGCCCCGCGCAGACTCGCGAGATGCGCCATGATATTCCGCGCCTGCGTCGAGATCGGCATGTCGACCTCCGGAAGCTCGTTCAGGTACGGATCCAGCGCCTCGAGTTTTTCATACTTGGGCCCAAACAGATCGCGCAGGAGGTTCGGGTTCACCCGTCTGTGGATCCAGAGGTAGCAGTTTTGGCCGTTGTCAATCACGTACACTCCGCCGGCGTCGAATCTCGCGAGCGAGGCGCGCAGGTACTTTGGCATTCTGAACTGGCCGCTCGCAGGATCGACGTAGCCGTCCTCGGGAGCGAGGTTGTGCAGCCCGAATATGCGCGGGTAGAGATAGAGCGCGAGGTCTTCGATCGGCATCGACTTTATCAGACGCATCGAAAAGACGCGCATGTCGCTGCTCACATTTCCGCCGCGCAGGGCTTTGGTTTTGTTCAGACCTAGGAGAAGGACCGAGAGCTCCTTGAGCGCTTCAGGTAGGATGAGCTGGCCGGGCGAGGACATGGCTGCGCCGTGTTTTCGGTAGGAGGCGAGGATTTGAACGCATTTCTCGGTGATGCCGGAGCGGATATCTTTCAGTTGGTCGGTGACCATTCGCTGGACTGCCTCTTTGGCAATCACAGACACGACCGCGTCCTCGTCGCAGAACTTGACTACCTCTTTGATTTGCGTGGTCACCCCCGCAACAAAATTATGGCACCGCACCCTCCGCTGTCCTGACTTCGTCGTATACAACAACGCAGCCTGGAAGTGTGAATCGAGCTTCGGATCCAGCTTGCCGTCATACTTGAACATGGCAACCACAGACTTGTGCTCGTCAATCGTGCCAAACTCAAGATCCGCGGCCGGTCTCGCATGGTAAAAGTTGCCATAGTACGCCGCCACCTGCAGGCCGTTCGAGCAACGCACCTTGAGCTGCGCCTGGTATCCGATCGTCCGGTCGACGGCCGTGCTGAACTCTGAGATCATGCGTCGGCCGTCCCGCTGCGGAACAAAGTTGGGGTAGTAGTACAGCTCGCCGCCGGAGAGCTCGCAGATGGTGCCCACGTTTGCAAGGTCGCAGTACGTGCTCGGAAACACAAACAGATCGAGACCCACGCCCGCATGCGCGTACTTCTGGCCCCATGTTTTATAATACACATTATCGCCGCTGAACAGCGCCTTTTCTTTCTCGGTATGATACTGGCGCGGATCGTCGCGGAAGACTAGATGGCCAGGACCCCAGGTCGACAGCGCAGACAGGGTGACAAAGACCTTGCCGCCGGTAGCTTCGAGAGCTTGGAAAGCGACGTCGAGAACGGCGCCGAATGCGGGCTCGGGCACCTTGAGATCTTCAAACATGAGCTCGAGGCGATCGAGCAGGGATTCGATTACCATGCGTGACTCTTCGGGATCAACGAATAAACCGTTCATTAGCGGGAGAAAAGAGTCGTCGACCTCGCTCACGACCATCATTTGCGCTTGAGTGAGGTTGCTCTATATGTTGCAATAATAGTTAGTCCCAATTAATTATCAAACGTCAATAGTAAACCGAGCTTACGGATAAATTGTAAAAATGGAGTGCACGGTCAAAAGTCATGATTGCAATTTTGCATCCCTCTGGCAGACTCGAGGCCGAGCCATACAGAGCTCTTCTGATAGCCTGCGCAGACAGATGTGGTAAACTCTTATTCACCGCGTCCGCACTAACATCAATCGCAAACAGATACCGCATAGGAATAGGTTCAGACGTCGTATACTGCTTCGGCACGATAAAATCCACCGAGCCGAGGTTCAGTTCCGGCCGCTGGTCGCGATCGATTCGTCTGCCAGAGGCGTCGATTGGAGAGTAGTAATCGCCGGGAACGGTGTTTGCAAACTGGCACATGTTGCAGACGAATTTGGCCCCGCCGTCGGCAAATTGGACAAACGGATTGATGTATGCGCGGCATCGGTTGCACCGTGGCGGACCGGACTCGCCAAAGTCGAGGACAGGGACTTCGTTTTCGCCGGGGTTGAGCGAGCTCAGCGGCTGTAGCACGAGGCCGAGAGGAAGGTGCGAGGTCGCTAGCATTTCTGGGGTCTGGGGAACGCTACAGAGCGTCAGACGGCCGAATTTGGGGTTGGACGAGCCCTGGTCGATTGCGGTGTACTGCGTGCCTGCAATCGGCGGGCATAGTTTCTCCATCGTCGGATAGACGTGGGTCGCGTAGTACTCCTGGTTAGATTCCCGAACCGACACAAGCGAAGGGATCTGGTCTGGGTCGACGCGACCGTTCCCGCCCACGCCCGACGAGACAGGCTGAGTATCGCGACCGGGAGTCATTGCGGCCGCCATCGCTGCCCCAGAGCCGTAGTGCATCGCTCCGGGCGCCACAGGCTTCGGCGTCGTAGCATCCGGGACTGACGGCACAAATCCGTTCAGTGACGCAGCAATCGAAGCGTCAAACGACGACGTCGGATCAGGCAGGTCGGATGGGATGATTGGCTGTGAAGACGGATCGGTCGAGCTCGAGTCCAGGTTGTGGAAGACGCGAGCGGGCCGTTTACTGCGACGGACAGGCTGCTCGAGCGCTACACCAGACAACCGAGCTGCCAGATCGTCTGGTGAAACAGTTGTGGGAGGTGCCTGCATTCTTGTTCCTGTCTGTTTTTTTTGTGTTTTTTGTGAGTGCTTTCCTACTCCTCTGGCTGCGTCGTCGCTATATCTGAAGAGGAACCGGCAAAACAATAATAATTCATGGCTGGCTTACTCTCGAGAATTCGGCGCCGCATCAATTCGATATTCGTCACGAGCATTTCTCACTCCATGATTCTCTTAATAGAACGGCAAGAGCAGAGATTTCCGTGTATTTGTGCGTGAGATTGAGTGGATTTATGTTCAAGAGTGTACTATCTATGTTTAATGATTGTCTTAGAGAGCTATATTCGCTAGAATAGCAAGACTCAGACTACTACACCAGTGGTTTATAAAAGCCACTATATATTTTTTTTTAAAAAAGCCTCTTTGGCCAAGTTGGTAAGGCGCGGCACTAGTAATGCCGAGATCATCGGTTCAAATCCGATAGGAGGCAATATTTTTGCTTTTTTTTTATTTCTCTGTTAGTTGTTAAGAGTATGTCTTTGTGTGTGCGTTCATTTTTGCGTGGGTGAGTGAGTGCTTTGCGCGGGAGGGAAGGGTGGGTGGGTGGAACGCGGTGAGGTGCATTAGATTGAGCAATATCTGATCTCGACGCGTAATAACTTCTGATTGCAGAGATCATAGAGCGCTTTTTAATCGTTGTAATGTACAAAGAGGGGTAATCTATTTACTTTTGCGACCTTTCCCACAGCGTAAACTCGAACTCTAGTCCTTTTTCTTTTATCCGCTGCCCGCTGCTTTCCGGGAGCAGCGCTGCCGCTTCTTCGCTGTTCACTTCCTCGGAGATGTATCTCCGCAGATCGTCGTGGCTTGCCTGCGTCCATTCTCCCGAGGTTCTGAATTCGGGCAGGAACGTGTCGAGGTCGAGTGTGGATTCGTCGGCGGGGTGGACGGTGGTGAGCAGGATGCGCGAGGCGGAGAGGTGGGTTAATGCCTCTGCGTAGATTTCTGCGCCGCCGATGATGTAGATCTTTGAGACAGCGGGGAGGTCGGAGGAGGGGTCTTGCGTGGATAGTGCCTCGATCGCGGAGCTTAACGAGGAGAATGTGTGGGTGCCGGGGCTGGTCGAGCAAGTTGTTAGCCAGGCAGTGTATAAGCAATATATGAAACGACGCGTAAGACTAAAACAAAGGCGAAGATTACCCGTGGGACGACTTTGACCGCGATAGGACAATGTTTATGCGGTTGGGCAGCGGCTTAAACTTTGCCGGCAGCGAGTCCCACGTCTTGCGGCCCATGACGACGGCGGGCTTGTGTGGGGTTTGGTCTGATGCAGGAGCAGAGGTGACGAGGCGGAAGAAAGCCATGTCGGTCGGCAGTCTCCACGGCAGCGAGCCGCCGCGACCGATGCCGAGGGACGCGTGTGTCGCTGCTACGACGAGGGTGATAGGCAGCTGCCTGGCTGAGGAGGACGCGGGGACGGTCATGGCGATTGCGCAGAGAGCAGCGGGATCAGGAGTCTGGCAGCAGGAAGAGCAACTGTCGAGATCGCTTAGACGCCAGGAACGGGTGCGGCGCGTATCCGGGCCGGGTAATTAATATCTGGCTTCGAGATAGTCGATCAGTCTGCCATGCGCGCGTAGAGAAAAATATCAGACCGCGCCCCCGGCTCCTTCCTTGCTCCGACCGGTGAACCTGAACAGCGATATATATAAGTCCACCGTGTGCGCCGCTGTTGTCTTTACAGCTGTCTGCAGGTCCGTTGCAGCGAATTGCCCCGGCTACTGGTGATTGTACTCTTGAACTGCATCTGGATGGCGGCCTACTATCTTGATTTCTTTGCCAGCGTCGAGATCTGGGTCACTCGCATCTCTGTCAGTCTTCTTCTCTTTTATTTCTTTGCTACAGCATTGCTGACGATGTTCATAGCTTGCGATAGCGTTTATGTTCCTGGGTCCGACTGTACTGCTGATCGCGTACGATATCGCAGTCTACGCCTGGCGAACGCTTGATTCCTACATCGTCGACCACATCGAAAACATCCGCCACGGCCGCCAGAGTCCACCACTGACCGCCTCCGAACCCCTGGAATCAGATATAAAAGACGAACAGCTTTCAAAGAAGAAGAAGGCTGCAGAGCCTGAATGGCGAAAGACTTCCGAGGAAGCCGTGTCTAGCGCGAACGCAGGGGCGCGGGCAGTAAGGTCGGAAGAAGAAAAACAGATTTTGAACAAGTGCGCGGGTGCACCGCCGACGGAAGCTGGTAGTCGGCAGTTGGGCTCGCTGTTTTTGTTTTATCGGCGACATGTGGGTATACGAAGGCGGTCGCGATCAGCTTCTCGTCCAGTGTCTTTGAGCGTGTCTGGCAGTTCGGAGGCCGATCACCTCGATAGCCGACAAGGAAGCGGGAGCAAGGTGCTTGATGCGAGCGATAGCATGAGCAGTAGCGAGACACTGGAGAGCGGGAAGGCTTTTGCCAGTGGGATCGTCGGAAGCTAGGTTCGGGTGAAGTAGGGGGGCTATGGGGCTATGAGATCTTATCGCATATTCTCGGCGTGTGATCTTTGAGGACCCTGCTCTTTAGCCTATAGTATGCATTTGGGTTTATTTGTTTTTCTTTTATATCATATGGTTATGCCCTTTCGTTGATCTGAAGTACAGGTGGTTTCTACATATTTAGCTGGAGCGCGAGGTGCGGGTTGTTTGTGTTTGTTTGATTGATTGCTGCAGAGTATGAATTTTGATTGCTTTTGTGCCGTTTGTGCTATTTCTGCAGTGTGTTTGTGGCGTGAGTGAATGACTGAAAAAGAACGAGAGTGGACGACCCACAATTGCTGGAGCACGGAGTTTTTGTTTGTATTTTTATTTAACGACTTAGTTTTTTGTGACGATCATTTGCGGTGCATGATAACCTTCTTTATGGAAGGAGTTGATTCTCTGCCATTTGACTGTTGTCGGAAGGTGTTTGGATGGCTGGAGAAGTCAGCGCAGGTGGTCGGCATTGCATTGCACAGATCGGGGTTGTCTTTAGTTTGTGGTTTGTGCTTGAATATACAATTATTGCTGGATGCGGTTTTGCAGACGTAGCTTTCGAACAGTGCAATGTTGCATCTCGAATATGTTGCAGGTTTATTAGCGCCAGCTCTTTATCAGTTGAGTAGTCGACGTGCGAACAGCAGAGCAGATCTTATCGTTTCATATCAGTATCAAATATCAACACACTGTATGCATATCACCACCATCATCATGCACCTGCGATGCGACAGCTGATCGACAGGATAGCTGGTGCGGCTTGCGACTATTGTGCTGAAGTGTGGATCCGAGGCGGGCAGTTATGAAGAGCTAGTAACTTGTATAAGTTGAGTATACCCGCGACTGGCTGCTATCGGCTAACTTGGCTGTTTCTGTGGTGCGATTGTATGTAGGTAGGCATCACGTAGTCGAACTCCAATGAGGTGTATGAGGTGTATACTGTGCTCGTGAGGGATTACTTGACTGCCACGTCTGCTCCTGTGCTTCTATTTACTACACTCTGCAGCGTGCACGACTCAGAACCGGCTTTCTGGTCTTGTCACTGTCCTGTGCGTGCCCGTGCATTTGCATTTTAACAGAGCCCAGCAGCAGACTCAGTCATGCGCTCACTCAAACCAACCCCACAGGGCCCAGCACATCCCAGCACAGCCAAAAATGAGGAACAATCCTTGGCCGATGGTGCCATAAGCTCACTCTCTGTTGAATAGACTTTTTTGAGTCAGGCGGTGGGCAGCTGCACATCTCATCGTGGCGTTGCCGCACAGATCAGCCTTTCTTTGTTTTCTCTTCCTCGGCTCGCTGCTTCTCAGACTTCTGGGACTTCTTCTCCGGCCGGCTTGCGAATTATCTATTGATTCCTTACTCTCCATCTTGTTTTTATTCCCTTTGCCATCTATTTACTCTGTTCTTTATATCCTTTCCTCTGTACTATACCAGACATTCCTATCATAAAAAAAACTAGAGAAAACACTCCCCTTCGGCCTTCGCCGTATGCTAAACGGCCTCCGTCGGCGAAGCTTGTTTTAGTTTTTCCTGGATTTTTTTTTACAGTAATTGAACTTCATCACCGCGAAATCTTATGAATGTCGCAATCGCTGCTCTCTGTTGTATGAACCTATACCGTGCTTTTTTTTCTCCTTGTTTGCCATCACGTATAAGACCATGCACCGACCATACTCGTCGCCATGTGCTCATCTGCTTTCTTTCTTTCTTATTTTCTAGCTGTTAGCTTGCACGCGTCTGATCTGGTCTGTTGATAAACACTATCCTCCCAACCTCCACTGAGATGTCGCAAGAAAAGGCCGTCTCCCCGCCGTCGTTCGACGACGACGAGTTCAAGGGCCACGGCGGATCCTCTGAATTCCCGCTGTCCGAGACCAAGACGCGGTTCTCAAACCTGAACGACACGATCGAGGATGGCTCCGTCATCTTCAACCAGACCTCTGACGGGCGGAGGAACATTGGTATCTTGTCGGCTGTCTTCCTCGTGTTTAATCGAATGGTCGGTACCGGCATTTTCTCGACCCCGAGTACGATCTTCAGTCTTAGTGGTAGTGTTGGCTTATCGCTGTTTCTCTGGGTCGCCGGTATGCTTATCGCTGCCTCTGGAATGATGGTCTACGTCGAGTTTGGAACCGCCATCCCAAGGTAATTATCTCCTCATTCGTTTCTCTTGACAATCTAGCACAATCTAACTCGTACAGAAACGGCGGTGAGAAAAACTACCTCGAGTATGTCTACACCCGCCCCAAATTCCTCGTGACAGGCATGTACGCCGCCTACGCGCTCCTTCTCGGCTGGGCCGGCTCCAACTCGGTCGTCTTTGGCGAGTACATCCTCAACGCCGCCCAGGTCGAAGTCAACCGCTTCAACCAGCGCGGCGTCGGCCTCGCGTGCATCACCGTCGCGTTCCTGATCCACGGCCTCGCGCTGAAATGGGGTCTCCGGCTGCAGAACTTCCTCGGCGTCATCAAGCTCGCCATCATCCTCGTCATCATCGTCTGCGGCTGGGTCGCGCTCGCCGGCCACGCGCGCGTGCCGAACCCGCACAATTTCACAAACGCGTTCGAGGGCACGACGGGCACCGCGTACGGCATCGTCACCGCGCTCTATAACGTCATCTGGTCCTACATCGGCTACTCGAACGCCAACTACGCGCTCAGCGAGACCAAGAACCCCGCGCGCACGCTCAAGATCGCGGCGCCGTCGGCGCTCATCCTCGTCGCGATCCTGTACCTGCTCGTGAACATTGCGTACTTCGCCGCGATCTCGAAAGAAGATATCGCAGACTCGGGCCGCATCCTCGCCGCGACGTTTTTCTACAACATGTTTGGCGAGAAAGCCGAGCGCGCAATGTCGGTCTTTGTCGCGCTCTCGGCGTTCGGCAACGTGCTCTCCGTCATCTTCTCGCAAGGCCGCATCGTCCAGGAACTCGGCCGCGAGGGAATCCTCCCGTTCTCAAAGCTGTTTGCGAGTAACTGGCCGCTCAACGCGCCGTTTATGGGCCTCTTTGAGCATTGGCTTGTGTCTGTCATCATCATGCTCGCGCCCCCGCCGGGCGATGCCTACAACTTCTTGCTCAACGTGATTTCGTACCCGCTCTCGGTCGTAAACACCTTCGTCTCCTTCGGCCTGATCTACATCTACCTCAACCGCTCCAAATTCCCGGACTTCAACCCCAAGCTCCGCGCGACCTTCCCCGTCGTCATCTTCTTCTTCCTCTCGAGCATCTACCTCATCGCCGCGCCGTTCGTCCCGCCAAGCGACCCGTCCCAGAACGTCTACGACTCGCTGCCGTATTACCTCCACGCGGTCGTCGGCATCGCGATCTTTGGCGCGGGCGCGGCGTACTGGCTTTTATGGGCAAAGATCCTGCCGTACGTGGGCAAGTACAAGCTCGTGCGGGCTACGGTGGTGGGAGACGATGGATGGAGCAGGAATTTGTTTCGCAAGGTGCATGTGAATAAGGATGAAGACAGATCTGCAATTGAGGAGTAGGCGTTTTGTTTTGTTTTGGTTTGGTTCAAAAGTTGGTTTCAAAAAGTAGTGTATTTGCAGTAATCGAATAATCGAATACTTAAAGTGCTAAAAGTAATAACATCACCGAAAGATTTGCTCTGTGTGTTTGTAGCGGCTGATAAGTCAACAAACAGCCCACACACGCTAAGAAACCAGCAGAATTCTGCTGAAAGCAAAGGAAAACAGCACCAATCAACCCACACAAAACTCCAAAAAAGATAAAAGAAGACAACTCATACGCCAAACCTCATCAAATCAGCCTAGTTCTTCCCCGACTTCTTCGCATCAAGCGCCTTAATCTTCTCGCTAACCCTCGCCTCGAGACGATTCTCAAGATCCTTGCGGAACCCGTACTTGAACACAAACTCGTACGTGACAAAGAACGGCGCGAGCACGAGCGCCTGCACGAGATTATCCAGCAGCGCGGGCGCGCGCTTCTCGTACACGCCGTGGCCGATGAACTGCAGGATCCAGCTGATGGCGAGGATCGTGCCGCCGACGATGTTTGCGAGTCTGCCGTAGTCGAGAAGCAGGTCTGTGACGACGAGGGAGGAGCCGAAGACGATGGGCGCGACGGCGGTGCCGACGTAGGGGTCGAGGAGGATGTAGAAGACTGTGTAGCCGAAGCTGCCGAGGACGCCGAGGTTGAGGTACTTGTCGTACGAGTTGGCGAAGAGGGAGATTGGGAGCTCGACGTTGGCGGCGACGAGGAAGGAGGTGAACAAGATTAGAGGGACGCAGATTGTGTGGATGCGGACGTTGACCTCGTTGTCTGCGAGAGTAGGGCGGTTAGATTCTTTGTTTCTTCTTATCGAGAGTCGGGGATATGGAGATGCGTACGGTGGTAGGCCATGTAGAAAGAAAGCTGATCTTCGAGATTAAGAACCCCCATTGCGACTGACTGATCCGATATACTGCTAATACAGAAAAGAAATACAATCACCAGGAAATAATCCAACGAATCTCAAACCCCGCGCAGTCAGGAAGTCAAGCTGAAGAAAGAAAGAGCAGGAAGATGCGCGAACAGGAGCAGCAGCTAAGAGGCGGTCAGGTTGGGTTTCGATTTATCGGGCTGCCCGGGGAGTCCTCGCCAAACCCGCCAAATTAAATAGAAATTTCCATGTGCCTCGGGCTTCGGGCGGGGTCTTCTTTCGACTTTCTCTCTGTTTATTTATTGCTGCTTCAACCGAAGAGGATCGTGATGATCGACGTCATTGCTGGTTATTATTTATTATTGTAATAGTGGCTATTGATGCGTGGAATAGTGATTTGAACGAATGAGGGGGAATGTATTAAACAGCAAATGAGGACATATTGCGGAATTCTATAGAATAAACGAGCGCACAGAATAGTAATAAAAGAGTGGAAAGAAGAAATAAATCTATCAAAGAGAATGAAGATGATCTACTACATTTACCTCATCTACTTGTATGTTATGGAAAAATCAATATATTAGATTTTCTCGAAAAACTTCTTTAGTTCTTTCTACATCTCCTCCCAAACTTCTTTGATAAACAATGAAATAAAAAAATATAAACCGACTGCGTCTGTCCCTTTAATGATTTTATCTGCCCATGCTGGAGAAACACGTCTATATAATAGTCTCACACCCCCCCTTCACCGCGCAAACGACAAAGACGAAGGAAGAAGACAACTACACAGAAAAGCGCTTAAGCAAAGGTGGAGACGAAGGTCTCGGTGACGGACTTCAGCTTAGCGAGACCCTCGGCCGAGAGCTCACCCTTGGCAGCGAGCTCCTCCAAGAAAGCGGGCTCGTTGGTCTTGAGGTACGAGCCAAACTCGACCTCGAAAGCCTCGATTCTGGCAAGAGGGATGTTGTCGAGGTATCCGTTGACACCGGCGTAGATGACAGGGACCTGCTGCTCGACCGACAAAGGCGAGTACTGCTTCTGCTTCAGGAGCTGGGTGAGACGCTCACCACGGTTGAGGGTCTGCTTGGTCGACGCATCGAGATCGGAACCGAACTGGGCGAAGGCAGCGACTTCACGGTACTGGGCCAAGAAAAGCTTGAGCGAACCAGCAACCTGCTTCATGGCCTTGACCTGAGCAGCGGATCCGACACGGGAGACGGAAAGACCGACGTTAATGGCAGGTCGGATACCCTTGTAGAACAACTCAGCCTCCAAAAAGATCTGGCCGTCAGTGATGGAAATGACGTTGGTGGGAATGTAGGCAGACACATCACCACCCTGGGTCTCAATGACGGGAAGGGCGGTCATGGAACCACCGCCGTGCTTCTCAGACATCTTGGCAGCACGCTCGAGAAGTCTCGAGTGGAGGTAGAAGACATCACCGGGGTAAGCCTCACGACCGGGGGGACGACGAAGCAAAAGCGACATCTGACGGTAGGCAACAGCCTGCTTCGACAAATCGTCAAAGATGATCAACGAGTGCTTGCCGTTGTCACGGAACCACTCACCAATGGCGGAGGCAGTGAAGGGGGCAATGTACTGCAGAGGAGCGGCCTCGGAGGCAGTAGCAGCAACGATGACAGAGTACTTGAGCGCATCGTTCTGCTCAAGGGTCTGGACGAGCTGGGCGACGGTCGAACGCTTCTGTCCGACGGCGACGTAGACACAGTAGAGCTTCTTGCTCTCGTCGGCACCATCGTTCCACTGCTTCTGGTTGAGGATGGTGTCAAGAGCGACAGCGGTCTTACCGGTCTGACGATCACCGATAATCAACTCACGCTGACCACGTCCGATAGGGACAAGGGCGTCGACGGCCTTAAGACCGGTCTGCATGGGCTCGAAGACCGATCGTCGGGGAAGAATACCGGGGGCCTTGACCTGAGCACGGCGGCGCTCGGCAACCTCGATGGGTCCCTTACCGTCAATGGGGTTTCCGAGAGCGTCAACGACACGGCCGAGAAGGGCGGGGCCGACACCGACATCAACGATCTTTCCGGTACGCTTGACGGTCTCACCCTCCTTGACGAGACGGTCAGAACCGAAAAGCACAGCACCGACCTGGCCGGCCTCGAGGTTGAGGGCCATACCCTGGACACCAGAGGCGAACTAAATGCTGTTAGAGACTGTTTTAAAGAATAATTGTGAGGATGAAAGGCTTACCTCGATAAGCTCCTCAGCCTGGCAGTTGTTAAGACCGTGGACACGGGCGATACCATCACTAGAGAGGCTGTTAGTACCACATCGCTGAAAAAAGTTTTTTATCCGTCACATTCGATAATTGTCGAAAAGAACAATCAAATCGCGGTTACAACAGCTTTCAAGAAGAGAAAGAGGGTTGAAGAAGAGTGGAATGACGGGAGTGTGCAGAACTGGCTGGCTGCAAAGACATGAACAGCCTTCGGTCTAGACCTCTCCGAGTGCATCCGACGTCCCCGAAATCACGAATTCGGTTTCTCCAAAATCAACGACAGAAAGCAAAGGAAGACAATTTCGAATGTGATGGGATGAGAGAAAGTTGTAGGAGTACTAACCCGACGGACAAGACACGTCCAGTCTCGGCAAGGTTGGTATCGGCGGAAACACCTCTTATTCTCTCCTCGAGAATGGAAGAAACCTCGGTGGGGCCGGCCTTAGCATCGGCGTATCCACGCTTCAGGCAGACGGAGGAACGGATGACCTGGAGGAGAGGGGGTGTTAATTGATGATGATGATGCAAGAAGAAAGAGACCTGCTGCGTGGGCCTGTTCGTGGCTGCCGCGTCCGTCGAACCCTCCCGAATAAAATCTCAACTGCCGCTTCAAGTCAATTGTCGGGTGCAATCAACGCAATCAGTATTGCTGATGCATGATTTCAGGTGAGAGAGAAGATTGCAATGGAGAGTGGAGTCGATTGCAGAGCGCAGGCTCGAGGCGGAAGATGCAGCACCGAGGCCGGGAAAAAGCTTCCCGGATCACTCACTGGCCGGGTGAGCACGGCCAATTGCGCGGATCTCAGCAAACCGATCGAGGAACGAAGAGCCAAGAGACCCGAGAGACAGCAGAGACGAGAAAGCAGGATGGATTGCGGGCAATTGTGGATGGGAGAGCGGCGAAGGGGAGAAAAGTCGGGAGGGCGCAGAGGCAGGCACGAAAAGAGAGGCCGGAAGGGCCCTAGTCAAGCTCTGAGAATCAAGGAAAAGACATACGGCGGGGGTGACGCGCTTGGCCGCGACGGCGACACCGACGCGGGCGGTCTGACGGAGAGCAGAGCGGGAGAGCATTGCGGATGGGGAAGAGCAGAGAGGGTGGTGAGGAAGCAAAGGCGGAGGTGGGAAGGGCGAGCAAGAAAAGCAAAACAGCGACTCCGCCAAAGATTTTCGGCGGCGCCGTCGTCGCTCGCGATTGGTCCCGACGCCTGTGCCCTAACCGCGCCCGGCTGCATCCACATTGGCGGGTCACAGGTCACAGTAAGTCACAGTGAGTCACACTCCCGGCGCATCCTCGACACACCACCACCACTCTTCACGATAGACCTTCTCTGTAGACCCCTCCACTCTCCACTCTCAATCAACAGCATCATGTCCTCCCTCCTCCGTGTCCGCATCGCGCGTCCCGCCGTCCGCCCCGCCTCCAACCTCTTCTCCACCGCCCGTCGCAACGTCCACGAGCTCTACGCCAGGGACCCGGCCAAGGCTAAGGCTTTTCTCGAGCAGGAGGAAGCCGTCGAGCACCACGCCAGCTCCACCGCCGGTCTCTGGTACAAGATCTCGCTCTTCCTCGCCATCCCTCTCTGCGCCGCCTCGCTCATCCGCTCCTACAAGATGGAGAAGGAGCACATCCACCATCTCTACCACGACGCCGAGCACTACGACGAGGAGTCCGCTCCTAACGAGTTCCCTTACATGAACGTCCGCAACAAGGAGTATGTCTTCTCTATTCTCCTCTGTCTCTATATATCTTCAAAGCTAACCTCCATTTTTTCCAGCTTCTTCTGGGGCGACGGTGACAAGACCGCTTTCTGGTCCGTTGCCAACCACCACAAGAGATCGTAGACTATGCGATCTTTCCATTTCTCTTTCTTCTGGATTACCATCACATACGCATCTGATTGTCTTGTTTTTTGTTTTTAATATATTCCATACAACATATCCGTCTCATCGACTTCTCAACTCACAAAACACAAAACAACGCAGGAGGTGCTATCATATGTGTCTTCACCATCCCTTACCATCCACCGTCATCCTCCCTTCCCATTTTCATAATTCCGATCTGAATAGTGGATTTGCTTCATCTCCAGCTTTACTCTCTCAAACTACATAGTCGTCATAGCAGCCTAGTTGGTGCATACGGACTTCCAAGATAGATTCATCATCATCTCCAACCTACAGGATTTAGACATGTACGCATATGAACAACTCGATGCTATATTGATAAAGACACTTTATGAAACAACAATTTATAAAACAATGAAGACACCTAATTACCTGACAGGTCCCACTCCCCCCCAACGCGCCCACAAACGCAAGCCCGATCCACCGACTCAATCTATCATATACAACCTTGTTTCCGTTATGGAAATTGATGCTATGGTCCGAGTCCGGAAACACGTACATGTCATAGTTCTCCACCTGCGCCAGGTCAAGCTTATCCAGCAGCGCCAGCGTGTTTTGGAAATGCACATTATCGTCGCCCGTGCCGTGCATCACCAGAAATCGCCCGGCGCCCTTCAGCGCCGTCACATTCTTGATCGCCGCCCCGTCGTACCCGTCAAAGTTGTGCTGCGGAGTATGCATGTACCGCTCCGTGTAGATCGAGTCATAGAACCGCCAGTCCGTCACCGGCGCGACCGCCATTCCGTACCTGAACGTCCGGCCGCCGTCCTGCTCGATCGTCTTCAGCGTCATGTATCCGCCATAACTCCATCCCCAAATCGCGATCCGCGAGCTGTCAACGTACGACTTCTTCGCCCAGATGCGCGCCGCAAGGATCTGGTCATGCGCTTCCCAGTACCCCAAGTTATCGCGAACAACGGCCCGGAACTTGCGGCCCATGAATCCTGTCCCCCTGCCATCGACAGAGACGATGATCGCATGTCTCTGGCTCGCGACGTGCGTCTCAAATCCGATCGAGAACCGCTTGTCCACCGTCTGACTTCCAGGGCCCTGGTACAGGTGGAACAAGACAGGGTATACCTTGTGCGGGTCGAAATCAGCCGGTCGAATTTCGAAAGTGTTGACAGTCACGCCTTCCTCAAGAGTCACCTTCTCCCAGATCGTCTCTGGAACGTCGTATAGCGCAAGAGTCTTCTTGAGATCCGGATTCTCCTGAAGAATCGTCTCGGTTCCTTCGCGCAGGCTTAGAAGTTTCTGCCACGGAACCTCTGGCCCGTTGTAGGATAGCAAGCAATACCCACCGCCGGTGGAGAAAAACGCAGAGTAGTATCCATCCTTGGATTGATCGGTGATGCTCGCAAAGCCAGTCCCATCCAGCTTGACAGAGTACACATGCCGCTCAGTAGGATCCTTCTTTGTCGCGATGAAATATACCGTTCCCGTCGACAAGTCGACAGACGACGGTGCATCGACAACTTCCCAATCACCTCTGGTCAGAATAGTCTTGGGCAAAGTCGCGTCGACAGGCTCGAAATACGCAAGATGGTTATACCCATCCACAATCACAGTGTCGATATACCCATCCTGCTCCCGGCCCTGCGACTTGTTGGCGGGAATATAAGCAGTGTCGTGCGTGACCTCGAACCAGCCGCCGTCCTGCCCACTGACGTCTTCCTCGCGAACGACGGACCCGGTCCGGCTCGCGGGATCGATGATGACAATCTTCAGCAGATCGCTCTCGCGGTTGGTCTGACGCATGAGCACTTTCTCGCCGATCCACAGTACTTCGGTGATTAGCCGGTCGTCGTCCGCCAGGTTTCGAGCATCCTTGACCTCTGGGAGAAAAACCTCGTACGTCGAAAGATCGAGCAGCATCAACTCGACAATGGGGTTGCTGTAGCCGGCCTTGGGGTATTTGATATCGACCATCTCCGGATACGACCCGTCCTCGATCGGATGCTGCTCAAAGTACGGGATCGAGTACTCAGGCACCATCGAATCGTTCGATCTCAGGAACGCAAGGTACTTGCCGCTATCCGCCCACCACAGCGCCGAATTGCCCGAAAAGACTTCCTCTTCGTACACCCAGTCCGGAATTCCGTAAAACAAGTCCTTGTCGCCGTCCTGCGTGACCTGCTTCTTTGAAGTTGGATCCGAGGCGTTGCGGACGTACAGATTGTTCTCAAGCACATAGGCTACATGTTCGCCCGTGGGACTCCATTTCGCGATCCTGACGTTCGCGTTGAGGTCGCCGGGGATCAGGGGGGTCACTTCTTTGGTGTCGACGTCCAGGATCCAGTACATTCCAAAATAAGAATGGCGCCAGTTCTATTATGATATATCATTAGTATATCGACTAAGAATAGGAGGAGAATGTAGTAATACCTTTTTAGCATTTGTCAAAAGAAGAGCCTTGCGCAGACCCTTGCCAGGCCAGGCATTGGCAATATGATACTCGACACTGCCATACTTGAACGTCCTCGAGTCAATCAATATTTTCGTTCCCGAGATTGTAGCACCAGAGTAATCGCCGACCAGGAGTTTCCCAGACTCGTCGTGCTCGGCGTACAAGCCATCATGCCCCACGATGCCGTCGTCAAGCCAGTCGATGGACACGCGCTTGGCTCTGAAAGTTCCGTTGAGAACCTCGTCCAGCTCGATGGTTTTCTTGCGACCACCATCGAACGGGCCATCGTCAGCAGCGCCTTTGTTGCGCATCGACGAGGCTAGGTAGAACACCAGACCGATGACCCAAAGCAGAGTGAGACCGCCGAGCACACCGATAAACACTCTCTTGATGAAGCGTTTTCTCTTCGCCTCGTCAGCCGGCGGCACAGCCACGTTCTCGTCATCGTCGTCTGATTGTGAAGTCGACCGCAGAGGAGCGTTAAGCGACTGCGCAGCGACGCCCGCGACGCCATTGTTGAGCGCGACAGCCGGCTCGGCGACGGTCTGCGCTCGCTCGAGGTCTGCCTCGGTCGAGGTCTCGGTGTCGTCGTGGTATCCCTCGGAGGTCATAGCCGAGAGCAGGAGACGCTCGGACTCGACGGACGAGACGCCGGCGCCGGACGCGCCGCTGGTGGATTTGCCGCGCAGCTTTGCGGTCGCGGCGGCGATGGGGTTTGTTGTTGAGAGGGGGGCCATTGAGATTGGTCTGCTGAATGCGGATGAGGCAAGCGAGAGAGTTGATGCTCTTGATTTCAGAGACGGGGATATGGATCCGGTTGCGCTGTTGACTGCTGCACCGGAGGAGGAAGACGAAGTGTGGCCAAAGACAGATGAAGCAGTGGGATGCTGGAGAGGCGGAGTCGCAAGACCAGCGGAGCCAGGCGGACGCACGAAGGACGAGAAGCGGAAGGAGTTTGAAGCCGAGTCGATGTTGTCGAACACGACCGAGGTGTCAGAGTCTGAGGAATCAGTCGACCGTCTGTCGTACTCGGTGGGGTCCAGGTCTGCGGAAGCGGGATGGTCGCGATAGTCAGACAGGCCGGCGGGGATGTCTTGTCGCTTCGAGGCAGCCGGTGCGAATCTCTTCGAGGCAAAGGAGGTCTGCGAGTGCTGCGAGGACGAGAGCAGAGGGATTGAGTCTTTGCCGGTCGACGACTTTTGTGTGGGCATTTGAATGCGGAGGAGAGAATAACCAAAATAATAAAAATAAATAAAAAGGAACCTTAGTGGGCGCACGAGGCGGGCTGCTATCTAATGGCGTCCACGCTAAACTGTTAGAAGCACGTCTGCAACAAACCAGCTCTTCTGCAATAATGAACAACAAACGCCTTTCTGCAATCCGTCAGCAGTCCTCCAGCAGCTTCCTGTCTTTTAATAGCTGCTTATCTCGTCACTTCCCCAATCTATGAACTGAATTCCCGCCGCCGCTCTTGGCCGTCCCTCCGCCTCGCTACAATGCTCCCAGGTTTAGGGCCCTGCTCCCATCTCATCATCGACTTCCCGTTTCGGCATCCAATGGATCACTGCACAGCACCTCTTCTTTGGTCCCTCGACGGTTTTGGGGCAACCGTCGCTCGGATTAATCCGCGACCCCACCCGCGGCCTGATACCAAACTTCGAACGCTATACAAAAGAAAAAGTAAAACTCCATTGGCGTATGCGTGCGTGCGAATATGTACATGGTAAGATAGAAAACAGCAAGACCCACCTACTCCTACTTCAGTCCCTGGATCTTGCGTTTGTAATAATCTACAATCTGCTGATTCCCCTCCTTCGTGACAAAAAACAATCCCTTACTCCGGTTCTCCCACACCAGCACGCCCAGTTCCCGCGCATAATTCGCCAGAACGTCGTACTCATGCCCGTTCTTGAAGTCGCTGAAAAGATACCCCTCGACCGTCTTCATGCGCTCCAGCTCAAGCTGCCACAGCTTGATCTGATCCACCACCGTCGGCGGGAGAAGAGGCACCGCTTTCCTCATCTGCGGGTGCGCATGTACCGTCAGGTACGTCACGATCTGGTCGGCCGTGATGCCGTTGACGAGCGCCTTGCGCACGCTCTCGCGAGTGATCTGGCCGGTCACCATATTCGCAAACCGCGACTTCAAGTGAACAAACAGATTCAGGACCGCAATCTGCAGCGGCGAGTCCGTGAACGCGTAGACCTTGAAATTCGTCTCGAGAATCACAAAGCCGGACTCGCCGTCGGCCCGCGCCATCGCAGAGTCCATGCTTGCAGATGCAGTGAGCACGACCGGCGCGTCTGACGTTAGGGTGGTTGCTAGCCTGGTGGGGTAGAAGCGCCGCGAGGACGACTTCCGCTGATAGACGAGGCCGTAGTCGCGTAGATCGTCTAACATGATCTTCTGCGTCGGACTGAGTGCGGATAACGAGTAATCTTGCCCAAGCTCCAGACTGCCCAGCATGAACAGAAAATGCAGGACTTCAACCGCGTCCATCTGTAGATCCTCAGACATGTTGAGATACTGGAGCAGAAGAGTCCAGATCTGAGCTTTTACGTCCTGCAGCAGAAACTGAAAGCCTGCGTTTGTAATGCGCATAGGAGCCGGAGGACTAATCAGCATTGTTAGTACAAGTCAAAGACAACTGAAACAAAGCGCACAGCAGACATACTGTCCCTCCATCAAACCGCTTCGTTTCAAAAGCTGTAGCACGCCGTTGTTAGGAACTCGACCACTCCCCGTGCCGACCATATAATGCAGAATCAACTCCCACTGCGCGTTTGCGTGCTCATCCAGGAATTTGATGTCAACCTTGTGCTTATCCTCCGTGTCGCAGGGGACACCAAACGAATTGTTTGAATCACTGAATTCCGGGATCAGAAAGTTAGTATCGGTAGATTGATGGGAGGTATAAGGTGGCTATCTTACCCGCCTGTGATGGCTTTGCGGAGACTGTTGCGGAACGTTTTTTGTAAAGAGATTGAGTCCATTGTTTCGTGTATGATGTGCATGCTCCTCAATTTCTCGAGTGCCTCGTGTTGTTTTCTAGAATCGCGTCAGTTTTTTGATATATCCAGAGAGCAGCTGATAGACGCGCGCGTACAGACGACTGGAATCCTGCACCCAGCTATCGATCCAGGAAATTGGGAGAGGTTTCTCGTTAAACAGCATTGTCATAATGAAGAGGTGCGCCATCGGGGGCTGGAGTCGAAAGATAGCAAGACATGTCGCAGGCTGTCCGAGAAGAAGGTAGATTTAGCACTGATGATCTGCACACAGAACCAATAACGGCAGACTTACAGAAGAGTACAGACGCATCAACACGGTCTCCGGAAGACCCTCGAGGTACTCATTGATGCTCGTGCGGAACTGCGGGACCGCCATGATAATCTGTATGCCGACTGCCCGTGATAATCTCTGACCGTCCTCGGGGCCGTCGTTGGGATGAAGCAGAGCAGAGCAGAGCAGAGCAGAGCAGAGCATAATCGTCCAGGTCCCGTGACCTTCGACGGCAGAGATCAAATCTGCGACGGGTCCGAACCCCGCAATATTCGATCTCGTCCTCGTCAGCTATAAAAATCTCTCCGGATCCCTTTTCTCTTGTCTGTTTCTACTCTTCACCGGCAGCGATGGACTTTGCTAAACTGAAAGAGATCTACGAGCAATCCCTGGTCTCGCCCAGCGGCGAAACACCAGTCTACGTCCCGTTCCTCAACGCCTTGCTGATCTTTGTCTGCGTCTACCTCGTCTACCGGACAATCTTCCCCTCCCTCGCGAGCGACCACGACCACGTCCGCGCAAAGGAGGCAGCACTGACGCGGTCCGAGCCAATAGTCTTTTCGACCTTCACGCCCAAGACTCTCGCGCCACATAACGGCACCGATCAGCCGCGCGTGTTGATGGGTATCAGAGGACGAGTGTACGATGTCTCGGCCGGACGAAATTTTTATGGGCCGGGCGGGCCGTACAGGTGGGTCTACTACGTATTCTCTTTTACTATCATCATGCTAATATTGAGTCATGCAGCAACTTTGCTGGCCGCGATGCTTCGCGAGGACTGGCGAAAGGGAGCTTCGAGGAAGGTAAGCAGAGCAGCTTCAACAAGGCAGACATATTCTCCTACAAACATGCACTAACGACTCAAACCTATCCAGACATGTTGACCGACATCGACAAGCCGCTCGATAAGCTCGAAGACCTCATGCCCGAGGAGATCAACGCTCTCAACGACTGGGAGTCTCATTTTAGAGGAAAGTACATTCTCTGCGGCGAGTTGATCGAGAACACGGAGTAGGCTTGTGTATATCGATCAGTGTCATTCTTGTGCCTTTTTCCGGAGTTTTTGTTTATCTTGCTTGTTTGAATATATATACACGCAGTACTTTTGCTTCTACATGCGGCAAACCTATATCTTTGCCTTGATCCGTCCCAAAATGCTTTCAATCCTCGCTCTGGCATGCGCCTGATTGCCCTTTTCCATCTCAGCCTTTGCCAGCTGCAATTCTGGCCACTCGTCGCCCCAGACGTCGGATGTGTAGCTGCTGGATGAGAGCAGGTACTCGACCGGGTCTTGTACTGCGGTTGCGTCGGCCAGGATCTGGTTGTAGCCCGCCTGGGATGGTGTAGGTGCCGGTGGTCGACGACTGGTGTCTGGGGTGGGACTGTAGATTTCATCTGTAGTGTTTGGCGAGGCTAGGAAGGCGAGTACCGCGTCGCCGTCGTTGCTGTTTTCAGTGTAGGCAGGGGTGTAATTGGAGAATGTTGCCGGATTACTACTGCTGCTGATTCCTGCAAACTCGGAGTGTAGTTGAGTCGGGATAGAGTGCTGGCTGTGAGTAAACGTCTCGTACTCTGACTGAATACCATTCGAATAAGCCGAATCAGCAGTCCGGAACGCTCGCTGCGAAACTGAACCACCGACGCCATGACTACTCGCAGACGCAGACGCGTAAGTTGATCTCTCAAGATCCCGGTGCTGAGAAGTTGAGGAAGTTGAGGACTGGCCTTTCTGGGCGGTTGCCGAGGAGAGCGAGCCGGAGATCGCGTCGGGGCTCGCAAAGGTCGCCAACAGCGCCGACGCCGAGGCTCCTATTGCTGATGCTGCGCTGGAAGAAGAGTTGTTCTGCGGAGCTTTGCCTTTATCTTTCTCTGGTAGAGAAGGCTTTTGCTGATTTGCGTTGCTTCCGTCCGCCATCTTGGAGACGACGCGGAGTGAGGTAGTGAGGATGGTGGGGTGGGGAGAGAGGGAGTGCGGGGGAGAAGGACAAGAACTCCCAGCGCCGCAGCAGCCGTGCTTGTGAACGCAGAGAGCCTTTCTGGGCAGGACACAGGGACCAGGAAGACGGCGGCTTGGAGATCAGGTCCGGGATGGGTCGAGCAGGAGGAATTGAGTGGGTAACTTCGGGGGAGGCGAATATGTAGAGTAGACCGTATTAAGCTCTTGCGATAGATGAAGATTGAGATGGAGATGAATGAATAACGAACAGACACGGCGCAGGCTCAGTGCAGGCTGCCGGTCTCTGCAGCAGCTATCGCCCGTCTACCAGCAATCTACGACATCTACAATCACCGCTAAACAGACCCTCTTCCCTCCTCACCGCATCCCCGGTTGATCCCCTCTGACGTCAGTTCCCCGGCGGCCGACATAACCCTCGCGCGCCGGGCCCGTTGCGACACAAGTGTTACAGTCACGTGCGCATCTGCACAAGTGAGCAAGCGGCGCGGTCGCAGCTGAGAGCGAGCACGTTGCTAACAATCCTCACCCAGCATCACCACCTTTTGTTCTGCTCCAGACTCCTATCCGACTGCGCTCTGCTCTGCTACCTGCCGCTCCTGCTGGATATTTCCTTCAGGACTACTCTTGCATCTGCTTCTCTCTCTGCACCGCCGGCTGTTTGCCCTATCTAGCCTCCCCCCTCATCCTGTTTGTTCACTATGGTCGAAGCCCCGGACGGCCACACACCCACCTGGAAGTTCGCACAGTACGTATCTCTTTTCCGCCCCGTTTGCTGCCTGATTGCCTTTGGTTGGAGTCAATCTTGTGCGGTATTGGTTGAGGGGTGTGTGACTAGTTTGATGTATGATGGGGCATCGTCGTTCTGTTGCGAGAGCGCTGGCCTGTGTCTGTCAATCGCGCACAGGATCCTCGCTTCTGGATGGCCTTGATCTCGCTCTATCTTGTCAGGCTGTGCGCGGCCTAGCACCCCAATTGACCTCTAGTTTCTGTATCTGGCTGCTGTTGTATACCAGACTGGCGATGAGGCATGCAAATCTATTGTGCCGATTTCTCACGTTTTTTTTTCTCTACGACTATAGGTGCTTTGGTGATAAAGGCGACACTGAGGATATTACAGAAGGTACGTTTCATCAAAACAGTGTGATTAAACGGGCGGTGCCCTTGTTTTTCAGACGCGGATGGGTCTTGTTATTATATTTGATTGTGTTTACAGTCCGCTGTTTTGTAATCAAACATACGGCTAACATGGTGTTTTAGCCGACATTATATCGACTGTCGAGTTTGATCACACTGGAAACTACTTAGCGACAGGAGATAAGGGTGGGCGAGTCGTCCTTTTTGAACGGAATGAGAATGTGAGTGCGATTGAGAAGTGTTTAGAGGGAGAGGTGAGGATTGGTGATTGACGAGAGGTTTTGAAACATATAGAAGAAGGGCTGCGAATACAAATTCCACACAGAGTTTCAGTCACACGAGCCAGAGTTTGATTATCTAAAGTCACTGGAGATTGAGGAGAAGATCAATAAGATCAAGTGGTGCAGACGAACGAATCAGGCCCACTTTTTGATCTCGACCAATGGTATGTGCTACAATGCAATGGATATGATACGAGTGATGCACTTGAAAGAGTGTTGAGAAAACGTTGAGAAAGAAAGAGTACTGACAAAAGATGATTAGACAAAACAATCAAACTATGGAAAGTGTATGAAAAGTCACTGAAGGTTGTTGCAGAGAATAATCTGTCAGACAGCGTTGGCGGGCGGCTACCGAATCCGAATGCGCTTGATAAGTTGCGTTTGCCGCGGATGACGTTGCACGATACGATTATTGCGGCGACGCCTAAGCGGATTTATGCGAATGCGCATGCATATCACATTAATTCGATCAGTGTGAACTCTGACGGAGAGACGTTTATCTCTGGGGACGATCTGCGAATAAATTTGTGGAATTTGGGGATATCTGATCAGAGTTTTAGTGAGTGAAGAAGTTTTTAAATAGATGGAGAGGAGGGGACTAACAGGAGTGATTATAGACATTGTTGATATTAAGCCCGCTAATATGGAAGAGTTGACGGAGGTGATTACGGCAGCAGAGTTTCATCCGACGAGCTGCAATTACTTTGTGTATTCGTCGAGCAAGGGCACAATTAAGCTTGCGGATATGCGCGAGAGTGCGTTATGCGACACGCATGCGAAATGTGAGTGCAGGGGTTGAGATTGATGAAGTGGAGAAGAGAGGCTAATGATTTGATTGGGTGTAGTGTTTGAGGAAGAGGAAGACCCGCGTGATAGGTCATTCTTTTCTGAGATTATTTCGTCGATATCGGATGTGCGGTTTTCGTCAGATGGGAGATATATTGTGTCGCGAGACTATTTGACGGTGAAGATTTGGGATGTTGCGATGGAGCGGCAGCCGATTAAGACGATCAATATCCATGAGCATCTGCGACCGCGGCTGTGCGATACTTACGACAACGACTCAATTTTCGACAAGTTTGAGGTTGTGCTGTCGGGGGATGGCAAGTCGGTGGTGACGGGATCGTACAATAACAATTTCATGATATACCCGAATGCGACGGACAGCGAGGCGGAGGAGACGGAGGTTGTGTTGCAGGCGGACAAGTCAGCGTTCAAGGCGAAGCGGGTTGGAGTTGCGGCGCCGATTGGGGGACGGGGAGCGCGGAATGGGAATGGCAGTCCGGGGATGCGAGGAACGTCGCCGTCAGGACGCGGGATGGGAGGGATGAATGCTGTGCGTCGCGATAATGAGGGGACGGATTTCAACAAGAAGATACTGCATATGAGCTGGCATCCGCATGAGGACTCGATTGCGATTGCGGCGACCAACAATGTGAGTATTACTTTATATGTGTTTTGAAGAGAAAAAAGAGCGATGCTAACAGATTAAATTATTCTAGCTATTTGTTTTCTCGACATTGTAGATGAAAACAGAAGGAGATGAAGTGACGAGGGAGGAAGACTGTTGATTGAGAGGTATATATATATATACATAGTAGTTTTATTATAAACCCGTTCGTTGCAGGCGGAATTATGCAAATTCAAGTTACAATAAACAACAATCATTCGTGAGCAGGCTTAAGAGAAGAAGAAGAGATCGACGGAGAAGCGATCACGTGCGAGTTGAGTTGAGTTGGGCGTAGGCGAGCGAGGCTGAGCAGCGAACGGCGCGTGGCTGGAGTGTGGCGGGTGAGTACCGATGCGGCTTAGGGTGACACGTGCCGAGCTGTTCGATAAGTGAGGCGGATGATAGCAAAGGTTATGGTGTTTATAGCATTGCGGTTGTTTATATGGCGATAGGATAGAGGTGAATACCGGATTGCGTAGAGCAATGAGCAATTTCAGCAGCAGAGCCGAGAATAGCCTGCGCTCAGCCGGATTGACCAGGATTGATCTTGCAGGGCGTATGCTTATTCTCCGACAGGCCAAGCAAGGAGGGCAGCAGTAGTCAGGAGTAGTGCATAGCTTTATAGGTCGCTGTCATATCGTAGATACTATCGATGCAGAGCAGACGCAGCGAGAGCGAGGAGAGCTGTGACTGCGGATGCGCACTAGCAGGTAGGCCGCTTAGTCTGCGCGATGAGCAGAGTAAAAGCCGACGCTACTGAAGCACGGAGGCGGGTGCAGATACGAGATACGTTTGGCTGAATTAGCTGCTTAGGTGGCCGCTGATACCGCCAATTGAGGTCGAGCAGAGCTGGTAGAGTAGAGATCAGAGAGCAGAGCAGGAAGCACCGGAGTATAAACCCTAGGCCCCGAGCCGCACACCGCGAGCAGTGAGTGCAGTGCAGTGCTGTTCTTGAGAGACCTTCTCAAAAACAGCCAGAGCAGATATCCTGAATAAAGCAGACAGAGCAGATAGGAAGACAGACCAGACCAGCAGACTCTGCAGTGTTCAGGACAATGAGGAATTCGAGATGGCTGCAGTCTGGCACGACGTGCATTACGCTATAAAACCCTTGCCCAAACCACAAAATTATGTTTTTCGTTTAGAGTTTTCGAGCCGCTGGAGCAGATGATCCGCTGATGCCGCTCAGAGATGTCTCTTCATCTGCTGTATAAGTGCTGTTTGTTTGTTTATATAAAAGATAAAGAAGAATAAGATATAAGACTGTTTCTAGAGCACTGACAGCAAAAAAACTCACAGTTCACCGCGAGAATCCGCTGAGGCTTGCATCCGCTAAGGGTTAGGGCGTGTACCCTGATCCCGCCTGGCAAACGCTCGGCAGACACTGACAGCTTCCTCGCGCTCTTCTCTCGATCTATCTCGCTCCCCTCCTCCTCCTCCTCTTCACTGGCCCCTCCTCCTCTGTCTATATGCCTCTCTGATCCGGCCATGAACACAAACATACCGCGGCAGCAGCTGCCGGGTGACAACTGGCGCGACTCCCACACCACGACCCAGCGACAGCACTACATCAACACCCTGTATGATCCGCCTCTCTCTCTCTCTCTCTCTCTCTCTCTCTCTCTCTCTCTGACTCTCTGCTAACACCCCCCTTCAGAGTGAACACCCTCCGCAAGTACGCCCATGGCGGACCCCAGGAGAAAATCGTGCAATTCGCGACCCAGGCCGAGAATCAGGCCTACGTCAAAGGAAAATCAAAGGTAACTCGCTCCCCCTCCCGCTCGCCCTCCGCTCTCTCCTCATACTCACCTCATTTTCTCACAGGAGGATTACATCAACCTTCTACGCGAGCGCATGGAATATGTTCGCAAGTCGGCCGAAAAACAGGCGCAAATGGCGCAACAGCAGCATCTGCAGCAACAACAGCAGCAACAACAACAGCAGCAACAACAGCCCACCGCTCAGCAACACCAACAGCTCCCCATGGGCCAGCAAGGCTCGCAATTTGTCCAGCAGAACCGACAGCAACCTGACGACATGATGTCAATGATGCCGATGAACCAGCAACTGCAGCAAGGCAACCCTGTCGCGCAATTCTCGTCAAACATGCAGGGACTGCAAAACATGGCCCAGCAGCAGCAGCAGCCTCAATCTCAGCAGAATGGTATGCAGCAAGGTACTCCCCAGCAGTCGATGCAGTCCGGTGCGCAGCAGAACTTCAATGTCGCCGGATCATACCCCAACGCGCTCAGACAAGCAATGTCCCAGCAACAGCAGCAGCAGCAGCGCACCATGCAACAAGGCGCTCAGGACGCGCAGGGACAAGGAAACAACCAGCAACCTCAACCGAACCAGAACGGCCAAAATCCTACTCGCTTCACGCAGCAGCAGTTGATGGCCGCCCTCCAGCAACAGCAGGCGCGACTCCCGCAGAACCAAGCAAACATGACTCCCCAGCAGCAGCAGCAATTCGCGCAGCTACGGCATCTCATCAACCAGCAGTACAATAACGGAGGCAGATCGGCAAACCCCGCCGACCTCCAGGCCGTACTGGCGGCTCTGCAGCAGCGACAACAGCAGCAACAACAGCAGCCACAGCAGCAGCAATCGGTTCAGAACAAGCAGCAGGATGTAATGTCGAGCCCCACCATGCCGCAACAGAACAACCAAACTTTCAGCAACCCAAACTCGCAGCAGTTGCTTATCCTACAGCAAAAGATGATGCAACAGCAGAAGCAGCAACAGCAGCAGCAGCAGGCATCACAGGGCCAGCAAATGCAATCCGGTAAGCCATTGGTACAGCAGCAGCAGCCGGTTCGGACGGGCCAGATGATGAATTCAGCGCCGTCGCAGCCTGGCATGCCGCAGCAGCAGCCCACACCAGCGCAGCTGCAACAGCGCCTGATGCTACAACAACAGCAACAGCAACAGCAACAGCAACAGCAACAGCAACAGCAACAGCAACAGCAGCAACAACAGCAGCAGCAACAACCGGTTGGTGCTTCTCAGCCGTTGGGTCGTCCAGGTCAGAACCCGCAAGTTGCCGGCCAGCCTGGCCAGCAATTACCTGCACAGGCTGACCCTGTTCGAGCATATGTGCTTCGCAGCAAGATCCCGCAGTCCCTTCTCAAACTGATGCCGTTTGTGCCTGCTGGCGTTGATATGTGGGTTCAGATTTTCACGCTCATCAAGGACCATACTATTCCATCTGATGTCATGCCCACGATCAAGAACGTACATGCGCGTCATGAGCAGATGGTGCGTGCTCTACTGATCGAGCAGAATAACAAGAAGCAACAACAACAACAACAGCAGCAGCAGCAACAGCAACAACAACAGCTCCAGCAGCAGGCAAACCAATCTGGTGGTCAGCCTATAGGCATGCAGAACACTGGCGCGGATCAAGGACTCGGCCAAGGAATGAAAGCTAGTCCGACCATTACGCAGCAGCAACTCCGACAAGGCCGTAAACCTGACCAATCGCCCCAGATGATGCGAAATGCTCTGATGGCGAATCAGCAGAAGCCACAGCAAGGGAACTTGCAGATGATGCAGCAACAAGGAATGATGGCTGGGCAGCAACCCCAGCAGCAGGCTTCGATGACCATACCTCATCAATTTGGTCCGCAGCAGAGCACTCCGGAGATGAACAGCATAAATCTGCCAACCGATAAAGCCGCGCAACAGCAGGCGTTGTATAATAGCAAGTTGATGAATCGGTCGCCGCAGCACAACCAAGCCTCTCCGGCTATGGCTCAGATGTCGATGCAGTCTCAGCAGCAGCAGAAATGGCTCATGGGAGCACAGCAGAAGCAACTCCAGCAGCAGGCTCAGTTGCGACAGCAGGAGCAGCAGCAACAACAACAACAACAGCAGCAGCAGCAGCAGCAGCATCTGCAGCAAGGCGTCTCCCAGCAGTCTCAGATGTCACCGGAACTGATGATGCAGCAGAACGCAATCAACCGTCAGCAGCAGTCGCAACAAGTTCAGCAGCCTCAGAACATAGGTGTGGCCGCGGATCCGCAAAAGACCGAGCAGACGCCCGAACAGCATCGGCAGGATATGGAGAAGCTGCAGCAAATCTGTGCTGAGATCATGCGGTCGCGACAGCCCTCTGTGCCTCTGGACTTGAGCCCGGACGATCAGGCGGCGGTCAGAGATGGAGTGATCTCATTACAGGAAGCTTGCAGACAGCTGGAGAGGCTGATTCGTTGGTCTCACACAGTCCTGAGAAATGAATCGGTTACCCGAAGACTGATCTATATGGTAAGAGAGACAGCTAGATTACTTTCAAGATTCTGGTTCTAACATTATAATTTAGCAAACGTCATACAAAGAGCAGTCGGAGGCACTCTCGAGAGGGGTTTACTTTTTCAACGCCGAGTCGATGATGAAGTTCCGAAACGAACTCCGCAAAGTGTTTAACTATTTCCGGAACAGTCAGAGACTACCAGATGGTACGCAAGCTAGACCCGCCCCCGCTCAAATGGCTCAGCAGATGGTTCAGGGAGGTAATCAAATGATGCCGCAGCAGCAACAGCCGCAGCAGCAGATGCCGATGCAGCAGGGATTCCAGGGTATTGCTGGTCAGCAGCAGATGGCACGTCGACCGCAGGCGCAACAGGCCATGCAGGGCGTTGGACATCAACTGCCTGTTGATGCTAATGCGCAAATGATGGCACATCAGCAGCCCCAGCAGAACCAAACTCAGGCTCAGACGCAGCAACGCAACGCAGCTGGGATGGTCAACATGCAGCAGCAGCAGCAGCAACAGCAGCAGCAACTGTATCAGCAGCAGCAATTTGTTCCGCCGCAAAATCTTGCACAGAACGCTGTCACTCAAGCGGGAGTGGTTCCCAGAGCCGCGACGGCCACGGCTGCGAATACTGCGGCCGCTCGCCGCAACGCGAAGAACGTGCCCGCGCCAGTGCCAGCCAGTCAGGCGGCTCAGTTTATGAGCCAGATGACGCCGGCTCAGCGTGCTAATGCTGTGCAGATGCAGATGGCGCAGCAACAGCAGCAGCATCAGCAACAGCAGCAGCAGACTGCCTCTGCTGCGATGTTGATGAACCAGCCATCAAAAGTATCGCCTGCTGGTATGCTGGTGACGAGCCCGCAGGGAGTGCCGATCTATACGCAGTCGACGACGCCTATTGACCAGTCTCAACTGAAACTGCCGCCCGGAAGGAAGCGCTCGCTGAACGCAAAGGCCAGCCCTGCCTCGGACGAGCCACCGTTCAAGAAAGACAGGCTAGAGGCGGTGGCGAAAGCGGGAGGCCAGACGGCCGCCGCTCGTCAGCAGCAGGCTGGTGCTTCGGGCAATCATGCGATGGAGGAGATGCTTGCCAAGCAGCGCGCAGTGCAGGAAGAGGAGGAGCGACGACTGAAAGAACTAGCGATGAAAGATCCGCTTGCGTACGCGCTGCGGACCGTTGCCGACGTGTGCAGGGTCGACCCCGAGAGCGAGAAGGAGAACATCAAGCCCGAGAGCCGGTCGCAGTCGATCTCGACGCCTGGCGCGAACATCAACCAGGGCGCTGCAGCGAACGTACCCACGCCCAGCGGCTCGGCCGCTACGCCGTCGGCGATGGGAGGTGTCGGAGGAAGTACGCCGGGCGGTCACCGTGGCAGTGCGAGCGGAAGCCAGTCCGGAAGCTCGAGTCATCTGCAAGCGGGCGGGAGTGGGTTGCCGTCGTACTTGACGCCGTTGAAGTACGTGTATACCAGCGCGGGTCTGTAATATGTGAGACGCAGTTATGATCTCTGCCGTGTTTTTTTATTTACTTTTTTGGATTTCTCTATTTTTGTCTCCATTTTTGAGAGGAGAGCTTCACTGTAACCATTATTCTTTTTCTTCTTCTTCTGTATAAAAGCTTTTTCATTGTTTAGTGCAGTGATATTTCTTGATTTTGATTGATTCGGGTAACAAAAGCGGCGTATCTTGATTCTATTTATAATTCCCTTGTTTTGATTTAATCTTGTTGTTTAGTGTGATTTTGTAATGAAAGAAAGCAATAGTCAGTATATATATATATATAAGAGATCATAGACAGTTGAGGGTGTATATGGGTGGGTTGAGCGTGCATTATATTATTAAACATTATGTGTAGAACGGATCAAGTATACCAAAGAGATAAACCAAGAAAACATAGCAAGAAAGTAAAAGCAAGATAGTATACTATACAAGAAAGAATCAAAAAAAAAACACTGCAGAAAGATCTACTCCGCATAAAAAAAGAAGCAGAATCAACAAAGAAATCAACGCAACTCAACAGCAGATCTCTCTGCCTCACCGCCGTCAGCTTCCCCCGCGACGGCAGCAAGTTCAGCAGTCATCGTCCGCACCGCCTCGCGATCCGGAAACGGACTCTCGCCCTTCGTCTTTGCAGAACTAGCCCGCGTCATCGGACTACTACCACCACTACCACCAGCGGAGGTGCCGGAGACAGGCGGGAGAGGCACGCCTGCGATGGAGGCGTAGCGGGCCGCGAGCTGGGTTTCGTGGATTTCTTTCCATCTATTCTCCGGGGCTGCGAACGGGGGGCTTTTCAGCGAGGAAGGCGAGGATGAGGACGGCGGGGTAGAGGACGAGGTTTGTGATGCTGGCGAGGGGCGGCGGAGGCGGTGAGATGAGGCGGTGGGGGAGAAGGGGTCGGGCGAGGGGCGGAGGTCTTGTGCTGGTTTTTGCATTTGGATCGCTAGACCGCGCGGGGCGGCTGTAGTTGAAGAAGAGGTAGGAGGAGGAGGTCGTGTTGTTGAGGGCCGGGGAAGGGTGGAGGAAGGGGGAGGTAAATGTCTACCCGCACCGCTTCGCAAAGCCGGCGACGACCGACTTGCCACCGGCGCAGCGGCCTGCTGCTGCTGCTGCTCAGCCGCCAGACTCGGCGAGTGACGATATTCCACCGGCGGCGGCGGCGGCGGCGGCGTGGAGTACGGGTTATGTGTCGTCGACGACGACGCCGACGCAGACGAGGACGACGACGCAGATCGCAGCATATCCGCTTTCAACTCCGCCATCTGCGGAAGATGGTATCGCGACGTACTCGGCTGCACCTGCGCTCCGCCGCTGCCGCCCAACGCAGGCGACGACGACGACGACGACGACTTTGTCTTCCTCGCCGCAGCAACCGCCTCGCGTTTCGCGCGCGCAGCTTCCTGCTTCGCTCTCGCGGCCTCGATCTTTGCGTCCGCAAGCTCTTTCTTCATCTTGGCCGCCTCCTCGCGCTTGCGCTGCGCGGCTGCTTCTTTCTTGCGCTGCCCGTCTTCTTTTCTCTGTCGCCGCGCCGTCTCGGACCCGTTCACTTGGTCCGCGAGCGGTGGCTGGTTCTCGGTCGCGGTCGTGGACGGTACTGGTTTCCGAGTCGGGATCTTTCGTTTCGGCAGCGGCGCGGCGGCGGTTCTTGGTCCGCCGGCAGGCGGTTGACGATCTACCGCCTCTGCGTCGTCGCTCTCGCTCGTGCTCTCGTGCTGCTGCTGCGAAGGCGGCGGCGGCGGTTTTGCCGTCGTCATTCCCCTGATATCCCGCCGCGAGACACTACTTCTGAGACGCGCAATCAACGATGGCTTAGGCTGCACTTTTCTCGTCGTAGTAGTAGTCGCAGATTTGCCGCCGGTACGCGCCGCTTCCTCGTTTGCTTCAGGCAACGGCGGCGGCGGACCTGTGATTGCAAGCGGGAAGTTTCCAACACTCGCGTACTGTCTGATTCGGCTCGCGGAATCAACTTCCTCGTCGTCATCCTCGCTCGCTTCTTTGCTGCTGCTGATATTTCCCCGCGAGTTTAGTCTGGCGAGCGAGAAGCCCATCGTGGACTTACTCCTCAGCAAATCCTTCTTCTTCGAACTCGTCCGCTTGACGCGCTGCGTCGCGTCGCTTATCGACGGCTGGGTTTGTAGATCGAGCGATGAGAAGATGATACTTGAGTGCTTCTGCTTCTGCTGCTGCTGCTTCTGCTGCTGCTGCGGTGTCATAGGCGGCGTAGGCAACGCCCCCTCCTCCGCACTCGACCCAAACCGATCCGCGCGAACGAGCGACGACGCAGAATTCTCGGTAATCGACGACGGCGGCGAATTCGCCCATCGCAGCGCACAGCTGACGCCTTCCTCAAGCTCGAGGATCGTGCTCGGTTGTGGATTGTGGTGCGAGCGCGAGCCAGTTGACGTCGATAGGCGCTCGATTTCCTCCTGGATCGAGAGCTCGGGCTCGGTTTTCCAGTCGAGGGCCTGGTAGAGCGGGGAGGATAGGTCCGGTCTTGACGAGGGCTCGGCGGGGCTGTCTTTGTAGAAGTCGGGGATATCGGGGACAGCGGGCGTCACGTTCACAATCTCTCGCACGCGACGGACGCGCTCTTCGTCGGTCTTGCTGCTGCCGACGATATTGACGGTCGCCTGCCCGGTCTGATACTCCTTATAGAGCGACAACAGCGACGGCCGGTCGCGCAAACGCACGCTCGCGGCCGTGACCAGCGACTTCTCCGACCGTCGGCGACTGCGGAAGTTGTTGAACCCTCGCGACGCGAGTCTGCGCAGTTCGGTGCCGGAGCTGACGCTGAGCGAGCGCCGGCGGTAGTGCGTTTTCGACGACGAGGCAGGCGCGGCGTCGAGCAGACGTTCTTCAAAGACGACGTAGCGGTCGCCGACGCGGGATGCGCGTCTGCCGAAGCGGCTGCTGGCGCCGAAGCCGTCGATCTCGGCGATCACGCAGGCCGAGAACACGGACGAGCGCGAGGAGATTGTTTCCTCGGGTCCGTGGGCGCAGAGCCAGACCCACCAGAACGACTGGTCGAGGACGATTTCAGCGAGCTCGAGTGGCTGCGCGGGGTCGGTTGTCGGAGCGGGACTGTCTTTGCCGGAGAAGGACTTGGGGCTGTCTTGGTAGATTGAGGCAAAGGCAGGGGAGGAGGCGGCGGATATAGGGGTAGCGCTGCCGAGCGAGGAGATCGAGGGAGATTGGTTTTGGAAGCCACGAGATTCGAACGCGACCCAGGGTGAGCGGTCACCTACAAACTCTTCGTCTGTAAGCGAGAGTTGTTGCTGTTGTTGTTGTTGTTGCTGTTGCTGCTGTTTTAGCAATTGCTCCTTTTGCTGCTGCTCCTGCACCTGCTGCCGACTCATAATCATTTTGCGGACCAGCAACGCGCTCTCGAACGATGAAATCTCAGAGATGAGCCGCGCGCACTCGGGGGTCAAGTACGCATCCATGACCTCGCCCGCGGAAGCCTTAAGGAACGCCTCGACGCTGGGATCGCGCACGGCAGCAATGCTCCCGATCCGCGGGTCGCGCTCGGCGAGGCCGAGGAATTCCTCGAGGATGCGGTGCGGAGAGGAGGAGTACTCGCGCACGGGGATGGAGAGGATGAGGAGCGGGGCGGAGGCGTAGGCGGGGGCGGAGGACGGGGGTGGGTAGGTTGTGGAGGAGAGGAGGGAGGAGAGTGTGCGGGGGAGGGTCGAGATTGCGGTTGCGGAGCTGGAGGGGAGGTGGGCTTGGGAGCGGAGGTAGGCGAAGAAGAGATGGGAAGAGGCATTGGCGGCACTAGAGCGTGTAAGTCAGATATAGAAAGCAGAAGAGAGCAGGAAGGAGACATACTGCAACCAAGCCTTGTATCCCTCAGCAAAGGTCGGTTTCCTATTTCCAGGCTCGAACTCGTCCTGGAGAGGAAACGCCCACCAGGCGCAGAGACGGCTGAGTTTGAGACCGGTCATGCCGGATGTTTTCCAGTGGGCGGCGACGGAGGAGAGCAGGTCGAAGAAGGAGAAGATGATGTCTGCGCGGGCGGGGGTGTCGACGAGGGCGGGGATCAGCTTTGTGAATGCGTCTTCGTTCATGCCGGAGTCTGGGGGTGTTAGTGACTGTAGTAGATGAAGAGACGCGTGGCTGTAGACAAAGAGACGATACATACCCTCCTCGGCAGCTTTGAAGACCTCGTAGACGTCCCAGGTGACGACACCACCAGGCAGCCGTGCCCATACCCACTTAACAGCGCTGACAAGCACAGAGACATCAGCGATCCGGACCTCACGCTGGAGATCCTTGTCGTCGAGGATGGGGATCGCGTAGCCGAGGTCGTCGGTGTCGGGGAAGACGCGTGCGAGGAAGCGCTGGGAGTCGCGGGCGGTGAACGCCGGGCGGAAGGGGAGGAGGACGAGGGGTTCGAGCACGCCGCGGAGTTTTATCTCGGACGAGGCGAGGGCGAGGAAGCGCGCTGCGTGGTCGGGTTTGATGCGCGTGCGGGTCCATTGCTGGGCGGGGGTGGGGATGTGTGGGCGGGGGGAGGAGGAGGGTTTGGCGGAGGGGGTGGATGAAGATGAGGAGGAGGAGCGGTCGTCGCGCCTGAAGAGGCGGCGGAGGGAGTGCATGTGTGTTGAGAAGAGAAGAGGTGGTGGTGGTGGTGGTGGTGAAGTAGAGGAGGTGGAGGTGGACAACAGAACAGCACCCGGCAGAGACTTAAACAGCAACAGAACAGCAACAGAACACCCTCCCCCATCCGCTCAATTATACATCGCCCCATCTGATCTCATCTTCCGCGCTGCTGCAGCAAAAGGGACCTGCGGGTGCGAAGAAAGGTGTCGGCGGCCCCTTAAACATTCCCGGCCGCCTCGTTGCGTTTACCGCCTTCCACTTTCGGCAACTTTTACCGTTTGATTTATATCTCGAAATGCAATTACATTTTTACATGCTCCGCTTCTGAACTGCCAAAGCACGCTAACAACAATAACATAGAATAACAACAATAACAATAAGAAGACGAGCAGAAGAAGAGGTTTGTGCGGTAGACAGATGATGCGCCTGCCTCCTATGCACAACTACCAGACTAGACAATCACACCTATCCTCACGACGCCTGCGTGGGCACCTCGCTGATCTCGTTGCTCAGAGTCCGCCAGTTCTCCGCAAACAACTCCGCGTATTTCAGCCGCTCCTGGGCGTAATCCTGGAACAGCTTCGCCACGCGATACTTTGTCTGCTGGAAATACGCCATCTCGTCCCGCATGCATTCCTTGATCAGCCAGCTGCGCGTGTTCTGCTCCTTAATCGCGTCCTTGTCGCGCTTGATCGCCGCCTCCACGCGCTCGATCTCGCTCTGCTTGAAATCAGACCGGTTTCGCATCCCGCCCAGCCGCGTCTCGTTGTTGCGGATCCGGCGCTCGAGATGCGGGATCTGGTTCATGTCCAGCTTCTCCTTGCGGTCAAACAGCTCCTTGATCGCAATCAGCCCGTCGCGGTGCCGCTTAAAGTCCTCCAGCACCCCGATCTCCCACCCGCGCGACTCGTCCTCCAGCAGCGTCCGCGCGTTGTTCAGGTACTTGGCCACGTTCTTCACGCCGTCGTTGATCAGGCTCAGGTCGTCCGTGTCGACCGAGTACGTGCGCTGTGTAACTTCCTGCAGCGCGCCCAGCGAGCTCGCAAACCGCTGGTGGTCCGCCGCAACTGACTCCTGCCGCTTCTCCATGCGGTCGATCAGCAGGCACAGGTGCGTGTACAGCTCCGCCTCGTTCTTCACGCCTTCCTTGACGTCCTCCCATCGCTGCGCCTCTTCCTCCGACCACGACTCGATCAGCCCCGCCGGCAGCGCGCGGCCCGTGAACTCGTCCTCGATCGAGACCGAGGCTTGCTTGCGCCACACCGCGAGCTCCGTCGGCACCGTCAAAAACATCACCACGATCTGCTCGCGGCTCAGCACAGGGTGCTTCACGAGCTCGTTGATGAACCGCGACAGACCGCGCCGGCGGCGCTCGAGAAAGAACTCGTCCGATGAGAGGTAGTGTCCGTTGACGGCGAACCGCTTCGGCGGCAGCAACGGCAGCAGCCGGAACGGGTACCGCTTCAGCAAGCAGTTGAGAAGCCAGACAAAGTCAGAGTACCGGCGCACGACGCGGTATCCGCCGCGCGCGAGTGTGCCGTCGGCGTTGGGCATCGCCTGGCCCTCGAGCAGGTAGTTGACGTGCTTAAACATCAACACACCCTCCTTCTCAGGGATTATCGTCACGCGGATGCGGTCGGTCTCGTGGGCGTCGTAGTACGGCTGCGCGCGGGTGTAGGGGAAGCTCGCGACGTACTCGGGATCGTTCGGGTCGCGCTCCTCGTCCTCTTCTTCCGCGTCCGAGTCCTCGTCCTCGACCACCTGCGCCGTCTGCGGGTTCGGGATCGTGATTGGCTCGTCCGTGAGCAGGGCGGCGTTGATGTTGTTGCGCGGCCGCGCGAGCTCGTTGTAGTCTGCGCCGAGGACGGCAGAGTAGTTTGGGTTGTAGTTGTTGTCCGCCGAGCCGGAGTTGTAGCTCGAGTAGGCCGCGGTCGGGGCCGGGTAGTTGCTGCTCTGGCCGTAGGGGTCTACGTCGTCGTCATCGTCGTCGTCGTCAGGGACTGTGAAGGAGGTCGTGTTGTTGTTGAGGTTGGTCGAGTAGGATGACTGGTTGTAGTCGTTGTAGGGAGTATAGTTGTTTGAGCTCGAGGTGTACGCGTTCGACGACGAGTACTCGTCGGATGGATTCGCCCACGGGTCGTCCGCAGCAATCGGTGGCGGCGACGAGGGCGAAGGAGGAGTCATGACCTCGGGCATCTGCTGCTGCTGCTGCTGCTGCTGCTGCTGCTGCTGGCGAGAGCGAGAGGTTTGAATCGACAGAGGAGGAGGGGCGTATGCTTGACGGGCCGCGGGGGTGGGAGCGGGGGTGGGAGCCGGGGTCTCGACGGGGGCGGGTCTCGCCTGGACTTTGCGCGAGGACTTTGTCTTTGGCGGCGGGCGCTGTTCGTAGCGTATGCGGGTGTTTGGGAGGCCTGAAGTGTCAGTTTAGTAAGGAAACATCAATTGAGAGATAGAGATAGAAAGAGAAGAAACGCACTGTATCTGCGAGCGTCGACAGAGTCGAGGGAGAGGTCGTCCTCGCCCTCCTGGGCAAGGCCGATGAGAGCCATGACGACGCACCAGGTGCCGTCATCGACACGGCCGTCGGGTTTCGCGCGGGCGATAACCTGGACAATGCGTTCACCAGACGAGGAAGAAAGTCCCGCGCGGTCGGCCGCCCGACGGACGGACTCGAGCGAGACGGTGGAGTTGACGGGGCCCTCGCTGGCGAAGGAGTCGCGGTAGACGGCCGGGCATTTGGACGGGTCGAGCAAGGTCGAGACGGTGGGCTTTGCGTTTGCTCGCGCGGGGGGACGGGACCATGGGTCGCCGGCGTCGTCTTCGCCAAAGAGGAGGGCAGCGGTCGAGGAGGGGACGGCGGCGGGGATGGATTGGCGGACGGAGCGAGCAGAGCGGGAGGTGCCTACGGAGGTGCGCGGGGTGGCGGGTTCATCGCCGAAGAGGGAGGAGCGGAGGTTTGCGGCGGCGGTGGAAGAGGTTGTGGAGGAGGTCTCGTAGTCGTCGCCGAAGAGAGACATTGTTGGAGAAGTGAAGAGAGAAGGAGGAGGAACAGGGAATGGGAAGGAGGAAGAGGAGGAAGCGGACGAGCGAAAGGAAGCGTTATCATCGAAGCGGCGAGCTGACGCCTATCGGGCCGAACCGGAACCGGGTTGCAACCGGGTGTGAACCGTGTTATCTGTTTCTCTATCACAGTGGTGTGTTATTGATGTAGTAATAATATGATGTTGATCTTGTAGAAGTAGATGATGTAGGAGTAATTGTAGACGATGGTGAAGAGTATTATGGTGATGTGGATGCTGTTGAGACAACGATGCGAGCAGAGGTAGAAGTGAGACAGAAGAGGAGATTTAGAGAAGAATACATTTATCATAATAGAATTGTCTATAACATTTTACAAGAGGTTGGTAAAAATAGAGAAGAGAAGATGGAAGGGAAGAGAGAGAGAGAAGAAGTGGTGAAGGAAGACAGAGGACGAAAGCTTCTATTTCTATTAGACCTGCTATTTCTTTTATAGTGGACTCATAACTTATACTTACAGCTGCACATCTACTTAGATACAAGATGATGCAATTATTTATATGTGATTATCAACTACATGTAGGCAATAAGAACTCATCATCATTAGTCGTTTATCACAATTGCAGAGAAGTCTTCTTGAGCAATAACTGTGCTGTAAGATATTCAACATCTATACCTAGTATCGTGACAATTGATGGTCTATTGTGTTTTGTTTTGTTCTGTAGAAGTGAACAGATGAGTGCTACTGCTAATGAATAGAACAGAATCATCAATTGTGAATACGTGGGGGTGCTGTATCAGTCAACTATACAATACACCTGCAATTGCATACAACAGCCATATCTTCTCTTAATACATCAACAACACCTAAACAGCCTATTTCACGCTTCTCCTCACTCTCCTCCTCTCTCTCCTCTTCTCTCTCTTCCCCCCCGGCCATATTACCGACAGCCAAAATTCACTTCCGTTTCGGGGTAAAATCCGTCCAAGCTCAGGTCCCGGGCGCCGCAGCGGACAGCGTCGACCCGCTCGACTTTGACTCTTCCCGACTTCTTCCACTTCCTCCTCCTTCCTCTCTTCGCCATCTTCTTCTCTATCTTCTTCCTACCATCTCAATTGCTCTCTAACAGCCATGTCCTTCTCCTCCTTCTCCCTGGGATCCGACCTCCCCGCCTGGAAAAAACTCCAGGCCATCTACGACGCCTCCGGCAAAGATCTCTCCGTCAAGGACCTCTTCGCCAGCGACCCCGCCCGCTTCTCCAAGTTCTCCCACACCTTCACCAACTACGACGGCTCCAAGATCCTCTTTGACTTTTCCAAAAACATCGTCGACGACGAGGTCTTCTCCTCCCTCGTCGATCTCGCAAAGCAGGCCGAGATCGAGAAACTCCGCGACGCGCTCTTCGCCGGCGAGAAAGTCAACACCACCGAAGACCGCGCCGTCTACCACGTCGCCCTCCGCAACCAGTCAAACAAGGTCATGAAGGTCGACAACGTCGACGTCACCCCCGAGGTCAACCGGGTACTCGCCCACATGAAGGAGTTCTCCGAGCAAGTCCGCTCCGGATCCTGGACCGGCTACACCGGCAAGGCCATCAAGTCTATCGTCAACATCGGCATCGGCGGATCTGATCTCGGCCCTGTGATGGTCACCGAGGCTTTGAAGGCCTATGCCAAGCGTGATCTCAGTGCTTACTTTGTCTCCAACATCGACGGCACTCATATCGCTGAGGTCCTCCGCGTCGTCGATCCCGAGACCACCCTCTTCCTTGTCGCTTCGAAGGTACTATTCCCCCCCTCTCTCACGCAATGCTCATGCTAATCTCTCCAGACCTTCACCACCGCCGAGACCTGCACGAACGCCAACACCGCCAAGAAATGGTTCCTCGAAGCCGCCAAAGACCCGGCGCACATCGCCAAACACTTTGTCGCGCTCTCGACCAACGCGACCGAGGTCGCAAAGTTCGGCATCGACACCAAAAACATGTTTGAATTCGAAAACTGGGTCGGCGGCCGCTACTCGGTCTGGTCCGCCATCGGACTCTCGGTCATCCTCTACATCGGCTACGACAACTTTGAGCAGTTCCTCAAGGGCGCCGAGGCTATGGACAAGCACTTTGCCGACACCGCGCTCGAGCAAAACATCCCCGCCATCGGCGGCCTGCTCTCGGTCTGGTACAACAATTTCTTTGGCGCGCAGACCCATCTCGTGGCCCCCTTTGACCAGTACATGCACCGCTTCCCCGCCTACCTCCAGCAACTCTCGATGGAGTCCAACGGCAAGTCAATCACCCGCGCCAACGAAAAGGTCACCTACTCCACCGGCGCCATCCTCTTTGGCGAGCCCGCGACAAACTCGCAGCACTCGTTCTTCCAGCTCGTGCACCAGGGCACCAAGCTCATCCCCGCCGACTTCATCCTCGCCGCGCAGTCGCATAACCCGATCGAGGGAAACCTGCACCAGCGCATGCTCGCGTCCAACTTCTTCGCCCAGGCGGAGGCGCTCATGGTCGGTAAGACGCCCGAGCAGGTTGTCGCAGAGGGAAACCCGCCCAAGCTCGTCCCGCACAAGGTCTTCTCGGGTAACCGACCGACCACCAACATCCTCTGCCAAAAGATCACCCCCGCGACCCTCGGCGCGCTGATTGTCTACTACGAGCACCTGACCTTCACCGAGGGCGCCGTCTGGAACATCAACTCGTACGACCAGTTCGGCGTCGAGCTCGGCAAGGTCCTCGCAAAGTCGATCGGCGCCGAGCTTAACGATAAGGCAGAGGTGTCGACCCACGATGCGTCTACGAATGGACTTATCAACCAGTTCAAGGCGTGGGCCGAGTAGCTCGTTTGCTGCTGATGAGAGTGAGAGCAAGAGTGAGATGTTATTAGCGAAAATATATGTACGGTCACGTATGAGTTGAGGTTTTGTTGTAATTGCTAGTTGTTTGGTTATCTTTCGTTGTCGTGATGTTAATACTACACACTCCTTCTATCCCGTATCTCCCCGCAGCTGTGCTGTGGTCTTCAAATAGAATGAAATTTGCAGAAGTAATCAAGATAAGATAATATTGAGTTTTAGAACTTATAGCTAACAACAACCGACTCTGAACCAAAATAATAGCGATAATAAGAAACCCTCCCATGCCATAATGTGATGAAATAATAGATAGAAGTAACAGCAGAGAGAGAGAGAGGAAGAACCATGACCTTGAAACATAAAAGAGAGAAAGAAAGAGAGAGAGAGAAAGAGAAAACCCCGGTGAGAATGAACAACCACAACAGCAACCACAACCACACTCAATGATTAAATGAAAATGAAGAAGAAAAAAAGATCATTGCGTATAAAACCAACCGTAGACGAATGAGCAACCACACACACACACACACACCCATGACTTTTGACATAACAATGGAAGAAATGAAGATAATGAAAATGAGAAAAGCCATAAAATCAAATGAAATGAAATAAAAAAAATCGTATCAGTATGGTACAGAAAACAACAGAGTAGAAAGAAAAAAGGAACCGGAACCGAGATGAATGAAATAATCATCGATAGAAAGTATTAAACGACATCACAGAGTCTGATAAAATAAAAGAAAATTATAAAAAAGAAGAAAGATTAGACCATCTCACGCTTCAGATGCGTCTTCTCGTCAATCGTCTCGTCTCCCGACGTCGACCCTTCGATATCAGTCGCAATACTATCCTCCTCGATCTGCTCAGGCTCCTCATCCGGCATCGCCTCGATCTCGCGGTCTTCATCCTCAGGCGTCCACGTCCCCGGCGTCTCGAAAATACACTCGTCCAGCGCCTCGAGCGCCTCGTGAATGCTCGTAAAGTACGCAGGAGGATGGCCGTTGTACGAAAGCAGGACAGACAGTCCCGACCGCTTGAACAGAAGCATCATCTTCTTCGTCGCCGGTATCCGCGCAAAAAGCACAAACTTGCCTTTCGAGCGATACGCCTCCACGATCGAGAGCAGGACCTTGATCGCAGACGTGTCGCACGCAGTCATCCCCTCGAGATCAAACACAACGTTCTGATCACCCCTGCGCATCGCCGGAAGCGAAGGGTGCATCCGCATCGTGCCGTACCGCTCAAGCCGACGCAGCCGGTTCTGCAGCTCGCCGCAGTTGGCAAACGTCAGCGGCTCCGTGATCTTCACCAGAAGCACGTTGTGCAGGTGCTCGAGCGAGTCGAGCGCTTCGTCGGGGACATCGTACGAGGGAATGTCCGCGTTGCGGAACGTGTCGGTCGTCCCCGGCACGCGCGCGAGAACCTGGATGCGCGTACGCGTGGCGTGGCGCAGGATCTGCACGAGCGAAATCACGATTCCGACCGAGATTCCAATCTGCAGCGAGATCCCGAGCGTCACGGCAATCATAATCATGACGATCGAGAAATCGCCCCAGGCGTGCATCTTGAAGTAGCCAATCACATCACTCGGGAAGTCCTCGAGCAGACCGACGCAGATCAGACCGAGCACGGACGCGAGCGTCGCGCGCGGGAGGTAGTAGATTGACGGCAAGAGGGTGAAGGTGACGATGATTGTCGAAAACGCAAAGATGATGGAGGAGAGCTGCGTGCGCGCGCCGGCAAACTTGTTTGCCTTGCTGCGGCCAAAGCCACCGATGACTGGGAGCGAAAACATAAACATTCCGAGCAAGTTTGCGGTTCCGAGCGCGACGAGCTCGCGGTTCATCGAGATGGTGGGGTTCTTGGGCGGCGCGACGCGCGAGTCGGTCGGCGGGTCCGGGAAGATGTTTTTGGCGATCGCAGCAGATTGGAAGAAACCCAGGAGCGCGATGACGAACGCGGACGAAGCGACTTCGGTCACGCGCGGGAAGGTGTCCGAGTTGAGCGGCGACATGAGCTGGATGTCCGGGCGCTCGACGGCACCCACGATGTCTGCGCCCTTGCCGTACCAGTCGAGTTTCCAGGACATGATGATTGAGAAGATGACAATCAGGAAGATGTCGGGGATGTAGACGAGGATGGGGAAGCGCTTGCCGTAGTACTTGCGACTGATGCGGAAGAACATGATGAGGCCGAAGGAGATGAAGGCGATAGCGGCGGTGAGGCCGTGCGTGTTCTTCAAGTTTGTGAGGATGAAGGCAAGCTTGACGCCTCCGGACCCCGCACCGACGTTTTGGGCTGCCGCGAGCGCGGAGAGACCGAGGGCCTGGATGAGGGTGTCGAAGGTGAGGATGATACCGACGGCGGTGATGAAGCCGCGCAGGAGACCCTGGGAGAGGAGGGAGTCGACAAAGCCGAGACGGAGGAAGCCCATGACGAGGTAGATGATGGCAAAGAGAGAGGTGATGAGGCCGTTGTACATGATTGCGCGGCGCTCGCGCTCCTCGAAGGAGGGGTTGCCGGCCATGACCATGGGCGAGATGGCCTGGCCGATCATGACGGAGATGGCGGGCTCGGGGCCGGTGATCATGACGGGGACGGTGCCCATGAAGGCGTAGACGAGCTGGGGGAAGGCAAAGCCTAGGAGACCGTAGCGCTCGGGGACGCCGATGAGGGTGCGCGCGTAGGAGAGCGAGAGCGGGATGTTGAAGGAGGCGACGGTGAGACCGGCGATGATGTCACCGGCGAGGGCGGCCTTGAAGGAGTAGTTTGGCAGCCAGGTGAGGATGGGGAGGTAGTATTTGACGTAGTAGACGGACTTTGCGCGGAAGCGGTCGCGGCGGCGGTGGGAGAAGAGGCGCGGGTCGGGCGAGGGCTCGTCTTTCTCGTTGACCTGGGTCGCGCATGAGGAGAGCGACTGGGAGGACGCGAGCGCGCCGTACTCCTGGCGATGGGGGTTGCGGGCGTGGAGATGAGCGGGGGAGCCGGAGCGACGGGGTGCGCCGAGGATGGTGTCGTCGGGGTGGGCGGCGCGGTCGAGGGCGGTGTAGGCGGAGGGCTGCTGGAGGGAGGGCGAGGTGTTTGAGCCGAAGGAGAAGAGGCGGGAGCGGAGGAAGGAGGAGGTTGCAGAGTGGGTGGACATTGAGTCCGGGAGGAGTCTGCAGGAGTCCTCGTCTTCGCTCATGGTGTTCTAGATGGTAGAGAGGAGGTGGGTGATAGAGGATAGAGAGAGGAAGAGGAAGAGGAAGAGAGGAGGAGGAGGAGGAGATCGAGGTCCAGGCGGAGGCGGAGGCAAAGCTCTCGTGTTGCCGTTATCTCGGGTCACGTGATGTACGCACAGACACAGATTGTGACTCTAGAGATGGTGTGGTTGTTGATAAATAGTTATTGATATGATGTAACTATAGACTAATTGTATTGAATAATAGTACTATACTGTATAGTTATCGCGTTGGAAAGGACAACAACAAGCAAACAGCGGTTGGCTGCAAGAGGAAGCCACCCGGCGGGCAGTGCGCAGATAAAGTCCTTCGCGGAGTTTGAGCCCTTGCGCGGCGGCCGGATTGCAGATGGTTTATGTAAGGGATTAGAAGGAGTATAGAGAGTAAGAGAGTAAGAGAGTAAGAGAGTAAGAGAGTAAGAGAGTAAAGAGAACAACACATTTTGATCACATAACATAACATAAACACATAAACAAAAGAAATAGCCAAACAGGGCGCCAATACACTGAATAAACATACACACACATCAAGCAGTCCGCTCAATCAAGTGCAGACCGCTCGCAGTCTTCACAATCCCACTCATCTCACCCACCTTGAGCGCAAACGTCGCCTCCTCAAACTCCTTCTGCATCTCGCCCGGCCCAAACATTCCCAAATCGCCTCCCTTGCGCGCAGACGAGCAGTCCGACTCCGCGACCGCGAGCTCGGCCAGCGTGGCCTGCCCGCTGCGGATGCGCTGCTCGTGCTGGCGCAGGATCTCGTACGCCTCCTGCTCTGTCCGCGTAATCACTTTCTCCTTCCACGAGCTCGGCCGGCGCGAGCCCGCGTGCTTGATGAGCAGGTGCGACGCGCGGATCTTGGACGGCTGCGCGAGCTGGTGCTGCTGCAGCGCGGCGACCGGCAGGATGTAGCTGTGGTGCTCGGCCATGTAGACCTTCAGTCTGTCGGCGTCGGTGCCCAGTGGCGGTTCCCAGGTCGACTCGTGCGTGGCCGGGTTGAAGTAGTATGGGATGTTGTGCGAGCGAGAGAGACGGATTTCCCAGGAGGGCGGGAGGCCGGTCTCTGATGAGGAGGTCGGGTGGGTGGTTTGTAGGGTGTTTGCCACTGTGGCCTGGAGGTGTGTTAACGTGGATATTATAGAGAGCAGTAGTGTAGAAGAAGTGGATACGCACCATTTTGAGTAAAAGTCTGGAAGGGAGGTGAGGATGAGATGATCAAATGCAGTGAAGCTGAGGATGCGGAGGAGTGAAAATGTCTTGTTCCGTTTTCTTCTTTCTTTCTTTTCCCCTTTCCTCTTCTTCTTCTCTTCTTTTCACAACAACAATAAGAAGAAGAACAACAACAACAACAACAACAACAACAACAACAACAACAACAACAACAACAAACAAAAGAACAATAATGCAAGATCCCCGCAAGCAGAGTAAATGCTCTCGACTAAGAAAGAGGCGTTCGGGGTTCTGAGCGCGGGCTCAGTTTGAAAATCTTATTTCCAACTCTGTTTGCTGTGTTATGACTTGTGTATTTACTGCTTGTTTCATTGTTTATTATTGCTTATTATTGTTTATTATTGCTAATTATTGCGATAAGTATGATTAAGAACATGTGTTGTTACATTGATTATCGCGATATCGGAGGGAGTAGGAACCATGGAAACGCATTGTTGCGCTGGTCCTGATAGTACCCTGCGTATGTCCCACTGTTCACTCCACTACTCCCATACCGATCCCGCGGTGTGCGCGCATACGCCATCCCCCAATCAGCAGCAGCAGAGGTAGGCAGCAGCTCGAGCGTGAGCTTCTTGCGGTCGGCAGAGATCTCCATGAGCTTGCCGAGTCGCTTGCGGATAGGAGGCAGCACGATCGGGCGCTCGTCGTTGTCGTTGTCGTTGTCGTTGTCGTTGTCGTTGTCGGAAAAGTTGTCGCTCGCGTCGTCGTAGTAGCTTCGGTTTGGACTGTGGGTGGGGCTGTGAGTAGAGGTCGGGCAGAGAGCAGAGGTGGGGATCGATGGAGCAGACGGTGGAGAGGGAGGAAGGGTCTTGACCTCTGCTCTTGCTCTCTCAGCTCCCTCAGCCCTCTCAACCTGATCAGGCTTTGAAACAGAGGCAGTGGCAGAGGTAGGCCGACGACGACGACGGCAGCGCATGAGCATTATGCGCTCACGCTCGCGTTCACGATAGTCCTCTACTTTCTTGAGCTCAGCCGGAGTGAGCTGTCTTCCGGCATCGCGCTGGAGCCGGATCAGCCGTCGAGCAGAGACGGGGACGGAGGAGGTGTACATGTAGAGTAGTAGATGTAGTATAGTAGAGTAGAGAAGATAGAGAAGAGAGCAGAGAAGAGGAGAACAGAAGGGGATATATCAGCAACCAGCAGGACGCGACTGAAGCCAACTCGGCGGACGGCGAACGGGCCGATCAATCCGCGTACGGACCTGCGTACACCTTCTGAGCTTCCTCTTAGAGCTGTTGTGTGTGCTGTTGTTGATAGAACAGAATACAGAGAACAGATAAAGATAATAGACAGAATATATACATATACACATATACAACACATATACATCATCCCACACCCACTCATATCTAGAACACAGCAGAGTAAATTACACACGATCATGAGCGTAGGCGTGGACGTGTACGCAGACGCAGTGCTGGGTCCACCGCAACGGTCACCAACCGATCCGTCGTAGTCCACAGTGTCTCTTCTCCTGCTTCTACTTCTACTATTCTATTCTGTTGCGTATACCGAGATATGAGTATATAAGAGTATACTAGATACCGATATTAGTATTAGTATTAGTATATACACTCAGTAGTTGTATAGTGTGTATATAGACTGAAGACACATCAAGGTACACCATCTCAAGACCAGCGTACGCCATCCCCAGTCCCGGCATCTCGTTCTTTCGATCCGTACTAGTTCTTCCTAGTTTTGCCTTATTGTCTGACTCCATCTTCATCACACCCTTGCTCTTCTCTCTAGTCTGTCTTCATTCACTCCTTCTCCTTCTCTTTTCTGTTCTTCTTCCTTCTCTTTCTGTTTTCTCTCTTCTCTCTCTTCTCTCTCCCTTTCTTCTTTCCTCCTCGCCAGCAGCCCCGAAAACCACCCCCTAGCCCCTCCTCCCTTCGTCTTCTCTTTCCCTGCCCCCTCCACCTCATCCTCCTCCCGCAGCTCATCCGGAAGCTGCGACATGTTTATAAACCCTCCGTAGAACAGCCGGTCTGGCCCGTACAGTTCGGGTAGAGGACAGCTTAGGACGTAGTTTGCGTCCATGTGTGTGCTGTTGTTGCTGTCTATCGCTCTTGCTGCTGCTGCTGCTGTCTATGTCTGTCTGACCCAAATCAACCAAGCCTGCTATCCTCAATCACGCGTACGCGTCTGCCAATTCCTCCAAATCTATCTTATATCTTCCTTCTGATCTGCCCTTAAGTCCTTCTGTAAACCACTGATATCTATAAACCTCTGATATCTATAAACCTCTGATTGTATGAATACCCCAGTCTCCCTGACACCTATCCTCTGCTGAACGCGTGATAGCTGCGCGATGTGCACTGCACTGCACTGCGATCCTCTTTCAACTACACGTGTAGTTCAAGAAAAAGCAGAAGGGACGGAAAAATAAGAACAAATAGTAGAGATAGTAGATAGTAGAGAGCAGGATGGTTGAGATAGAGAGTGCGTGATCTGCTCGATTTCCCGTTTAGGAAATCCGCTGAATGAGTGAATGAATGATGAATGAGTGAAATGAATGAATGTGTATATCAAACGAGAGAATATAAGAAAGAAAGAGAAGAAGAAAAGTAAAGAGTGTGATTGTAAAGAGATAGATCAAACAGAGAGATAAAAGAGAGAGGAGAGGAGGAGAGGAAGGGGGCAGGTGGTTAATGTAGGACGAGCCGATCTCCTTCTTTCTCTCTTCTTCTCTTCTTTATCTTTATCTTTATCTTTCTTTCTTTTCTATGTTCTTTCTCTATTCTCTTCCTATTATTGTATTGTACTTACTTCCTATCTACTTAATCTTGTCTACCATTCTCTTCTTCATGTCATAATACACCTCCTACTCTGCAATACCCCATCTCACATCACCACCCCAGCACATCTCCTCTATCTCCTCTATCTCCTGCTCTCCTATATCCCTCTCCTCTCCTCTATCTCCTCGTCCAATCGATAAGACAACTTTTGTGCCGGATCTGGCCCACTCGGAGCCTAACTTTCGCCTATCGCCAATATATTGCTACTTCCCGATGCGGCACTCACCGGCACTCACCAGCGGAATAGGGGACGCGCTCTCCCTCCACTCCCTCTCATAGATCAAGATCTACTGGTTGCCTACTAATTAATCAGTTCTTAGTTATTAAGCACTACTATTTATACAACTAAACTAAAAATGCCCCATCACCTCCTCATCAAGACAGGGGCCCGTCGACCGATGATCCCTGTCACCCTAATTACCTGATCCAGTAACTAACCATATCATAACCCGCAAGCAATCCCAACCACCTATCGCGACCAACTCCCCTCATACACTCCCATCCTCTCCCTCTGCGCCTGAGAGACAAACGACCGCGGCTCTCGCTGCGTCTCGGCGACAAACGACCTCGTCCGCAGCGGACTGCCGCCTTTGCTCTCTTGTAACTCCCGCGATATAGTAGTCCCGACCACCATCGGCTTCATCTGCAGCGCAACATACTCCGATGATGCTCCCACCGACGACGACGCTGACGAGTACAGACTACCGCTACCGCTACCGCTACTGTTTGTGCTCGTGCTGGTGCTCACGCTCGTCCTCCCAGGACTCCCACCGCTCATCCCCAGCACCACCTGCCGCTGCTGTCTCCCAAGCAACAACACATCCACCGCCGTCGTCGACTTCGCCCTCCCTCCCCCCACCTTTGCCGACAGCACATCCTCGCTCTCGACCCGCACCGGCATAGTCCGGCGATACTGGTAGTCCGCGTTTGCGCGCGGGATCCGCGTGCCGTCTTTCGTCACGAGCGAGCCGAAGATGTCGCGGCCGGCGGAGCCCACGGCGAGCCAGTCGTGCGGGTGCATGTCTGAGAGGTCGCCGTGCACTGCGCTCCATTCGACCACGCGGCGGGCGGCTGGGGAGGGGGGTGGTGATGTTTGAAGAGTTCCCGAGGGGGTGTTCAAGGAGACGTCGGAGGAGACGTCGGAGGAGATATCCTCGTCGTAGAAAAAAGAGGTGAGCGGAGGTGTCGGATCAGGCTCGGGGGATGCGGATGCTAGACAGAGATACCTGCTCAGGCGGGCGAGACGCGTGTCTGTGTCTGAGTTCGTTGATGAATCGGGATCACTGCTACGCCGGCGAGCGCGACCGAGACAGCTCAGAGCCATTCGCGGCTTGAAGACATAAAGAGCAGAGAGCAGAGAGCAGAGAAAGCAGAGGGGGGAGAGAAGGGGATGGGGAAGGGGGGTGGTGTGAGGAGGGTGGGTTGTGCGTGGTAAGTAAGAGGGCGATAGATCAGCTCAGCTTCAGACAGAGCAGTGGACAGCTGTATAGTATACAGTATAGCTCCTGCTGTGTTGAGTATAAGCACGGAGACGTGATCTTCTTGTATAATCTACTGATATTTGTACTCTAAAACAGAACGAAGCAGTGTAAAGAGTCTATTATGTATGTATCTGGTCCTTCCTAGTCAGTGCTCTCGCTCGACGACAAGCTCGAGGATACCGACGAGTCCAGAGGCGTGTGGTCGAGGATGCAGTCGAGTTCTTCCGGGGTTAGTTGCCGCTGGAGGCTCTCGCAGAGCAGCACTGTCGCGATTTCCTCGGCGTGGTCTGGTTGTTCTTCTGGATGGTGGTGGGGTTGCGGTTGTAGTTGTAGTTGTGGCTGTAGTTGTGGTTCTAGTTGTTGCTGCTGCTGTTGTTGTTGCTGCTGTAGTTGTTCTTGTAGTTGTAGTTCCTGTAGTTGCTGCTGTTGCTGTAGTTGTTGCTGTAATAGCTGCTGCGACTGATCATCAAGAACGCATTCAGGACTCAACCCTGACTCCTCCGCCAGCATCTCATTACCAGCACCATCACAACTACCCTGAGATTTCCGCAGAAACAGCTTGAGGAGTTTAGAGCCCATAGTTGAATGACCAGAAGACTCTGCAGAGTAGACAGCAGCACAGGGTGAAGGTTGATTTAAGAGGAAGAGGAGGAAGAGGAAGAGGAAGAGGAAGTTGCGGTTGCGACACGGAGCAGCACAGAGCTCGCAGAGAGCAGATCGCAGAGAGCAGCCACCGCAGAGTTGAAGACAGTTGGATTAATAGTAAAGCAATAAGCAGTAGTAAAACAGTTGATACACAGTTGATAAACACAAAGAACAATAACAGACAATAAGAACAAGACAATAAGAACAAAACATCAGGGTCCATGCCCGGCAAATCTGCTCATCTAATTTCTCACGTAATCCAAAACCGACCCCGATGCCACCGAAAACCAGGCCAAGATCGTGAGATAAACAGATTTCCTGTCTTTTGTCTTGTTTCTTCTTTGTTTGTTCTTATTCCATTCTATATATCTTACTGTCTTTTTCCTATTTTCGTGCTGTGGAATAGATCAATCCGAAATAACAGCGAGCACTACAAGGCACTCATTCAATTAGTAATCGACTAAATGCCGACGCCTCGGCGAAACCGCAAAACACCGGAGTTCCATCTCATCGACGTTGAATAAAGAAGACGCTTCCCGATATTCACCCCAGACTCACCTTCTCCTCGGACTTGCTCTTCCCGGTCTTCTGTCTCTTTATTCTTCTTCTTCTTCTTCTTCTGATTCTTCCTCTACACATCATCTACCGCACCATTCACCGCATCATCTACCGCATCAGCTGCTGAACAAGCTGATACGCACACCTCCATGCACATGCAGCACTACCCCGACCAGCATCGCCCTGGACTGGGAAACGTTGCCATGCCGACCTCTGCTCTCCGCTCCGAGCCCCGCGCCGTCTCGAAACCCTCCCCGGCCTCCTCCTCCGCCGCCTTGCTCCCTCCCGACACCGCCGCCCAATCTCCGAGCTCGTCCCCGTCGCCCGCTGACGATGTCAGCGACCTCAACGGCGACGACCCTTCGCCCACAATAACCCGCTCCCACACCCCCTCCGCCGACTCGGCCTCCCAGCAGCACCATCAGCAGCAACACCAACAACAACAACAACAGCAGCAGCACCGCAAACCCGCAGACTCAATCAGCCCGCCGCAGACCACCACCGCCAGCCAGCGCGCGTGCACCCAATGCCAGCGACACAAGATCAAGTGCGTGTCCGACGGCTCGGGCGCCTGCGTGCGCTGCGCAAAGAAGGGCTTCATCTGCCACATCGCGCCCCGCAAAAAGCGCGTGTCCAAGAAATTCCGCGTCGAAGAACATTTTGAGCCGACGTCGTCGTCGTCGTCGAGCACGGCGGCCGCAAACTCGACAGCCATCCAGGCCTCGTCGTCGACCTCTGCCGCTGTCTCATCCTCGTCTGGCGCACAAAACAGACACGATAGAACACTGCACGAGTCGCAGATCCTGGGCGCGAAGCGCGAGCTCTCGGACGCTGACGAAAATCAGGCCAGCGATCGTCAGCGCCTGCGCATGTCGGCGACCCCCGCCGGCCGCGACGATCACGGTGGCATGAGCGCGCTGGCGGTCGCCGCTGCTTCGAGCTCCAACTCGGCGCTCGTCAACGGTGGCTCGACAGCTTCTGCGTTTCGGTCAAATACTGCCGCCGCCGGGAGCAGTAGCAACGACATGAGCTCGAGCACTAGTAATCGACCCGAATGGCTCTCTGCCGATGCGGTGCGCAACCCAGCACCAGTCTCGACTGCAATCCACGTGCCCGAGGCAATGATGCAGGCCACCATCTCGCCCTGCGAGCAGTACTCGGTCTACCTCTCGCTCTCGTTCGTCTGCCCAGACCTCTTCCGGAGCATGATCGACCTCGAAAACAACCACCACTCGCTCTCCGTCACGACCGCAAACTCGCGCCCGCTCTTCCGCTCGCTGTGCGAGTCCCCCGGCCGCTCCGTCTACGCGCTCTCGTTCGCAAACGACGAGGCCGCGGCGTCAAAGTATAGCTCGGTCTCGGTCCCGCCCGACGATCTGCAGCTGATCGAGTGGCGCGCGCAGTACTCCGAGTCCCTGCTCAACATCTACTTTGAGGACATGAACTCGGTGCAGCCGGTCGTCTACCGCCAGCACTTCATGGCCGCCTACGCCGACGGCAAGGAATCGCCCATGCTGCTGCTCGCCATCATGGCCGCGGCCGCAATCTACAGTCCCAACCTGAGTCTCGAGGACGCGCGCGCGCTGCAGTCAAAGATGGTGCACCACCTGCTTGCGCGGTACTCGTACAAGCTCCTGCTGCCGTCGATCGACTCGATCCAGGCGTTCTCAATCATCGCTGACGCGGCGACCGACCGGGGCATTCTCATGCCGCACGCCGCCATCGTCGCGGGGGCGATCGAGCTGCGGCTGCACATCGACTGCTCGGACTGGGATATCCCGAACTGGGAGTGCGCGCTGCGGAAAAGCATCTGGGCGACGATCGTCGTGCGCGACGCGTGGACGACGATGCGGTTCAACGGCATCCCGCAGGTGTTGTCGGAGTACTACAACATCCCGCTGCCGACCGTGGCGGAGCTGATTCCGCTCGTGACGAGCAACGCCGCGAATTACGCGAGTCCGCAGGAACGCGCAAAGGTCGCGAACGAGCTCAAGGCGTTTATCAAGACGGTCGAGATCAGCTCTGTGCTGCTCGAAGTCAATCGGACGCTGTACCAGGCGAGCGGCATCCAGCTGCGCAAGCAGACCGATGCGTCGGCGTCGTTTTATCTTGCCGAGACGCTCGATTCAAAGTTGCAGCAGATCGCGAGCGATTGGACGCGCGAGCAGTCTTCTTCCGCGCAGCAGCAGCAGCAGCAGCAGCAGCAGCAGCAGCAGCCGTATCAACAGCATCAGCAGCAGCAGCAGTCTACATCCTACGGCAGTTCCGACAACACCGAAGCCAACCTCTTCCGCAACGTGCTGCTCGAGTTCACCCGGTCGATGATATACTCGCCGTTCCTCCCGCACAAGCACAAGGCGTTCAAAGTCGACCGCTTCATGCTAAACTTCAGCACGCGCTTTCTCGAGTCCGTCCAGGCGTTCACGGACGCGCTCGCGACGCTCAAGACGGTGAAGAAGTCCGGATTTCTGCCGCCGTGGGTCAGCCATGCGATCGTGATGGACATGTTTTTGCTGTATGACGCGTGCATTGCCGCGATGGCAAAGTACTTCCGCGCCAGGCAGGCGGCCGCGAAGTCGTCGTCGGACGCGCAGCCGGGAAGTACGAGTCCGGTCGCGAGCCGGAGCAGCGGTGGTGGGTCTAGTAGTAACGGCAGCGGTCGAGCCGGCTTCGGAAGTGCGAACGGCGGGGCAGGCGCAGGAGGCGCGCCGCGGAGACAGGACGGGGAAAGGCGACGGCAGTTGATAATCGAGGCGTTAAGCCAGGACCACTTCACGAGCCAGATCCTGCAGAGCGCGTCGGACTTGATGCGGGTGATGGGGGAGTTTGCGGCGATCTGGGAGCAGTCGCGGGATATCTACAAGATGATGCTCAAGACGACGCGGTCGCTTGGGCTCGGGGATATTATCGACGCGCCGGGGATGGCGTGGTTTAATGGCGTTGCGCAGCAGGCGCAGATGCAGCAGCAGAGTGGACGGTCGCAGGCGGCGCGGATGGAGCAGGAAGCGCAGGTTAGTCGGCAGGAGGAGATACAGCAGGAGCACGAGCAGCAGCAGCAACAACATCAACAGCAGCAGCAACAACAGCAGCAGCAGCAACAGCAACAAGAACAGCAACAGCAGCAACAACTACACTCCCTCCACATCCAAGACATCCTCACACAGCGACAAAATCTGCTTGGCCTCCCTGCCGTACGACAACCAAAAGGCCTGCAACTCTCCTCCGGGTTCACAGATCCCACGACCGCACAACCCCCATCCGTCGCGCAACTCGCGCAGCAACAACAAGAGCAAGCGCCAGCCGAGCAAGACCAACAGCTCGCGCCGCCGCCTCCGCAGATGCAGCAGCAGCCTTTACCTCCCGTCTTCCAGCTCGCGAACGTGGGCCCGTACCATGCCGCCGCGCCGCCGATGCTGAACGAGCCGGAGAAGAGCAATATGTCTGTTGTGCCGAACGGGATGATGGCGCCGTACGGGGTCGTGAGCGATGCGGGCGCGGGCACGGGCACGGGCGAGAACGGGGGCGCGATGCCGCAGCCGTTTGAGGATTTCTTTAGTAACCTAAGCGGGCATTTCTTTGAGGGGTTTGGAGAATTTGGTCATGGTGATTTTATATTGTGAGATGGGATGAGTGCTTAGGTGAGTGCAGTGTTTTAAGTGCGTTGTGAGGATGAGCTAACGCGTGTGGCAGACTGTAATTATGATGATATGGGTCAGCGAGGCGCTATGTGATTTGCTTTGCTATGAGTTTTGTATACAAGGATACATGAGTGAATGTGAAGAGAGTGTATGTATATGAAGAATAGTATATGTATATGAAGAATAGTATATAGAAACATTTGTAATATATGACATACAGTGACAACTTTAGCTCCTGCTCAGACCAGCTAAGCTCTGATGTTTCATTTCATTCAATCGAGCCAGGGGTTTGAACGTGACGGCGGCGTATACGCAGACGCCGGCTTAGTGTGTCTGCAAGCGGAAGGCGTGTGAGCTGGCCGGTGCACGTTGTCACTTGACGCTTGCTAATCGGGGATACGGTGGTGAGTGAGATCTGGTGGGTAGTGAAAGAGTGAGATGTCAGAGGAGTAGAAGAAGAAGAAGAAGAAGAAGAAGAAGAAGCAGTAGAAGTAGAAGTAATAGCAGCAACAGAACAAATATCAACACAACTATCAGCAGGATAAGCACTCAACTACTAAATGGGGTTAATCGCAGCCGCTGCTTATCGGTTTCCGGGGTAACGAGCTGCACTGACACCCGACGAGGGCCTCGTGTTTATTGCCAAGCTTGGCGCAGCAGGCGCGATCCGCCTGCTCGTCCGCGTCCCTCCTCCTTCGCTCTTCTCTTCCTCTTCTCACCTTTCTCTGTTGTTGTCCTCCTCCGAGCAGCTGCCTCGTCCTCTTCTTCTCTTTCTCCTCCTTCTTCTCGTTCTTCTCCATGCGCTCTGATCGCCGCGCCAGTCCGCTCTACCTCTCCTCCCGCTCAAATGCCCTGCACTTCTACGACCCCTCCCCGCAGCGCAGACACCTCTCCACCCCCGACCACTTCCCTCGCCAGTCCCTGACCTCCTCCAGCTACTCCACCCACCTCCCTCCCAACTCCCGCGCAAACGCCCGCGCCGCCTTCTACCAGCTCTTCGCCGACGAGCTCAGCATCACCGCCGAACTCTCAGTTCTAGATGCGGCGTCAACGCCAGCCAAGCCGCCCTCGCCCGCCCCGGCCTCGCGCTCGAGCGACTCCTGCTCGTCCGCAAACTCCTCCGCTTCTTTATTTGAGCGCCCGGCGACCGTCTCTTACCGCTCGCTGCTCGATTTCAACGAGCCCCCCGCCAGCGTCGTCGCAAACTCGTCCTCTTCAGACTCGGCCTCGGACTCGTCCTCTGACTCCTCCGACTCCGAAGACGAGGTAGATCCGTTCATGCCGCTGCGCTCACAGGCTCAGACCACTTCGTCTGCGACCCCGAAGAAGCCCGCCGCCGGCACGAGATCAGTCCTGCCGCCGCCGATGCCGCTCGTGCACAGCAAGCCCGCGGTCTCGTCCTCGGGTGCGTCCATCAGATCGTTCAGATCGAACCTGTCGGCGCGGCGCGCACTCGTGCCCAAGCATCGCACGCCGACGCTGGACTCGCTCCCGCTCGAGATCCTGGACGAGATCTGCTCGTTCTTGCCGCAGAAGGAACTACTGGCCTGTGTTTTGACCTGCAAGAACCTCGCCTGCTCGAGCTACGTCTTTCTCTACCAGAACCCGGTGTTCAAGTCTACGTACCGCTTCGCGCAGTTTGTCAGCGTCATCACGCACGACCGCACGCTCGCGTCCTACGTGCACGACCTCGATCTGTCGAACGTCGAGATCGGCCTCCAGGGAGACGTCGTCCTCGCTGGCTGGCGCGACTGGAAGTATCGCTCGGAGCCGTTGTACTGGACTCGCAAGCACCACCACCACCATCATCACCACCACCACCACCATCACCACACCACGACCCCTACCACCAACACCAACGCCAACACCAAGCGCAAGCGAGCCAACACGACCGACGCACTGCAGACGCCTCCGGTGCCGCAGACCGAATCACAGCCGCAGCCGCAGCCTCAGAAACCGTCGATGCGGCGTGCGTCGCTGAGTTTTTCGTCGTCGTCGTCGAGACCGAAGCACAGCCACCGTCACCGCCACCACCAATCAATCTCCCGGCCGCAGATCCAGGAACCGGAGGCCAAGAAAGCGCCGGCGCCTGCTGTTGCTGAAAAACAACAACAAGAGGAGACGCCGGTGCCGAGCGGTCAGCATCCGCTGCAGTCGCCGCTGCTGAAGCAGTACTCGCTCTCGCGCGACGTGCCCATCGGCGCGATCTTGCACGTCCTGCGCGCGTGCCCGAAGCTCAAGTCGATCGACTTGTCGAACCTGCCGCTCGCGGCGGACTACTACGTCACCTCGCGCAAGTATAAGCCTACCGCGTTCACCAACCTGCTGTTTGTGAGCGACGTGCCCAAGTCGTATACCTGGCGCACGGACGAGACAGTGCAGGTTGTGGCGCAGCGGGAGCTCGTGAGCGCGATTCTCGAGCTGCGAGAGCTCAGGCAGCTGAGCATGAAGGGCCTCGTCTGGGTGAGCAAAGTGGTTGCGAAGCGGATTCTCGAGCACGAGATCCTGAGCCAGACGCTGGAGTATGTCAACTTTGAGCAGTGCGGGATGAACAGAGGCAACCCGTGGGCGAAGGAGGGCAAGGTTGCCGACTTTGCCGAGGTCATTGAGGATTGAGATGCATCACACATCAGGATGAGGAAAGCATAGCAAGGAAATATCACGGGCGGAAACAGGAAGGAATGCAAGGGAAAGAATATGGGTACAAAACGGTTGGCAACAGGCAGGATTTCTTTCGTTTCTTTATATTTTCAATTTGTTATTGTCGAGGGCGGCGGACTGCATCGAATCCGGATTTTTTTTTCATTTCTCGTTATCTATCTTTGCTTTCGTTTATCGTTTATCGTTGATAGACTGGGTTTGTTTCTTCTTCTTTTATCAGTTATTTGATTTCTTGCTGGATTTTTACATCTCCAAATGTCGCGTTCTATTGTACTGCTAGCTATTAAAAAAAGCTGAATCTGATTGTTTGATATTTCCGGATTGGGTAAAGTAATGACGTTAGTCCCAAACGCTATTAAATTTAGAGGATCGGCGTCGGCTGAACTTAAGCGGCCGATGGACAAACGGTCGCGATGAATGAAAGATTATAAAATCCAGCGACGCAGATCAGTTTGTTCAGCAGCAGCAAGAGATTAAGGAACATGGCGTCGACTATGAAGCAGTTGGTCTACCCGACCTACACCACGCCGGACAAGTACGAGTTCCGCCAGACGAGCAAGCCGGAGATTAAGAAGCCCGACGAGGTGCTGGTGAAGGTGATTGCCGCAAGCGTGAATCCGATCGATGTCAAGCGCGCGCATGGAGATGTAAAGATACTTATGAAGGATCCGTATGTATTCTTTTTGCGCATTGTTGGAAGAAGAAACAGCATTTGCTAACTGGATCTATGATAGATTCCCGTCTCCGATCGGATATGACGTCTCTGGCGTGGTCGAGAGCGTCGGATCAGATGTGACGACACTGCAACCCGGCACGGCAGTCTACGCGCGCCTTCCAGACACCTACCGCGGTACATTCCAAGAATACCTCGTCTGCGCAGCCTCAGACCTGACAGCGAAGCCGTCAAAGATGTCGTATGAAGACGCGGCCGCGCTGCCGCTCGTGAGCTTGACGGCGCTGCAATGCTTCGAGAACGTGGCCAAGAAGAAACCCGAGGGCGCGGCGTGGTTTAAGGGCAAGACCGTGCTTGTGCTGAGCGGGCTCAGTGGTGCGGGCGCAGCGGCGTGTCAGCTTGCGAAGAACGTGTACGGGGCCGGGAAGGTTATTTGCACGGTTTCCACGGCCAAGGTGCCGCTGGTGCCTAAGTTGCTGGGTGAAGGGGTTGTTGATCAGATTATCGACTATCGAAAGGAAGATCCGACGAAGGCTGTCGAGGCACAGAGTGTGGATTACCTGTTTGACACGCTCGGATCTCCGCTTACGTTCCTTCACACGATGAAGAAAGGCGGAGAGATCTCGTCGTTGATGGTCGTGCCTCCCACCGAAGTGTTGAGGGAGGAGATCCCTGGAGCACCGAGATTAATTCTCTACGCTGCGTCCGCGATCAACAAGGTGATGTGCTTCCGCGCAGGCCGATACGGCGTCGGCGTCCGAGGCGAGCTTCTGCACACGGACGCCAAGCAGCTCGAGAGAATCTCGCAGATGTACCTGGACGGCAAGATCAGTGTGATTATCGCGGAAGTGGCGCAGTTTAGCGACGAGGAGAAGGTGAAGGAGGTGTTTACGAAGGTGAAGGAGGCGAAGGGGTATACGGGGAAGATGGTTGTTCGGATTGGTAGTCCGAGTATGCTCGCTGCGTGATCATTCTGATATCTGCGTACATGTCTATGCTTTTTTTGGGTTATTTTCGTGGCTTCTGTTTTCTGTATATATATCGATGTTTTCTTCTTTAGTTTTGTATATGTTGTCTCTTAATTAAACAATTGGTGATTTTTTATCAGAACAATACAATCATTCGTTATCGATAGACATCTCGGTCTCGTCTAATAGAGTTTGAGTGAACTCCGGTAGCCCGGAGCCTACGATTCCCCGCATAATCATCCACAACTGCTCGACACCTTGCAACTCCTGCAGGAAGAAAAGAGATGCCGGCGACGATGCGGCAGCTGGTGTATCCAGCGTACACGACGCCCGAGAACTTTCTATTCCGGACAGCGCCGAAGCCAGTGGTTTCGAAGCCAACGGAGGTGGTGGTGAAGGTGTTTGCTGCCTCCGTTAATCCGGTTGATGTCAAGCGGGCGGCAGGGATGATGAAGGCTTTGACGAAGGATGAGTATGTGTTTGATTGCGGGGTGTGAAGAGTTTTTGAGGAGGGAAATGGAATCACGAGCTAACGGTGTAGATTTCCGTCGCCGATTGGGTATGATATGAGCGGCGTGGTGGAAGACGTCGGGGCGGGAGTAACGCGGTTCTCGTACGGGGACGCCGTATTTGCGCGTCTTCCGGACAAATACAGAGGCACATTTCAAGAGTTTGTCGTCTGCGACGCGTCGGATCTATCGCCCAAGCCCGCGAGTCTGAGTTTCGAAGAAGCCGCCGCTCTGCCGCTTGCAGGCACGACAGCCATGTTGGGGATCACCCGGACTGTTGAGGAGCGCGGGGGGACAGAGTGGCTTAGAGGGAAGACTGCGTTTGTGACGGGAGGGTTGAGTGCTACTGGATCAGCAGTGTGCATGCTGCTGAAGAATGTGTTTGGGGTGTCGAGGGTGATTTGCACGGTCTCGACTAAGAAGGTTGATCTCGTCGACAAGATACTGGGTGAAGGGGTCGTCGATCAAAGTAAGAGCACACCCACTCTACACAATGGCTTGATTGATCTGGCTTACTGACAACTGACAACTGACAACTGATCTCGACAGTAATCGACTATCAGACCGCGGACCCTACAAAAGTGCTCGCGGCAAACTCAATTGACTTCTTCTTCGACACGGTCGGCTATCCGCTGCAATTCCTGCACACGATGCGCTCGGGAGGCGAGATCGTGAGCATAGCCTCGATCCCGGACGCGTACCGGATCCGCAACGAGATTCCGGAGCTCTCGAGTCTGATGTACTACATCTTATCCCTCCCCGGCGCGATCGGCAGGCTGCGGGCGTGGCGATACGGCGTGGGTTACCACGCCGAGTTTGTGGCCAGCGACACCGCGACGCTCGATCGGCTGGCGGGATATTGCAGCGAGGGAAAGCTGCGTCCGGTCGTGGGCCGGGTGGCGGACTTTAAGGACCGCGGCGCTGTGTTGGGTCTGTTTGAGGAGGTTGGCAAGGCGAAGGGTTATACGGGGAAGATGGTGGCGACGGTTGCGAGGCCGTATGTGGCGGAGGTGCCGCGGGGGTTTTTTGCTGCGTAGTAGCTATTGTGATTGTTCATGTTTTGTATAGTTACTTAACAAGATCAATAACATCTTCTTATATCATCTAACGACGACGAAGGATCAATGGCTAATCAGCGGGTTCTGATCCCGCTGACATAATGCAAATATCCGGGTTAGGGCCCAGCAGTGGCGCAGCACAAGTCTCCAAACCTCGCTGCATTTGTGGCAGTGGCAAACACGGCGTTTTGTGCACGCGGCTGAAATTTTTTTTTTGCGTAAAGTTGTGCTGTCTCGCACTCTTCCTCACTTCCTCTCTCCACCTCTCCCTCTCCCCCCTTCCACCTACCCTCTATTCTTTCCTGCTGCACCGTACTCGGTGATCCTTATTAGACAGCAGTTAATAAGTATGTACTTTTATTTTATAGCTCTGTGTTCAAGAAATCGGAAAAAACGCTTTTGATTGCTTCTTTCTACGTTCCCCTGCTAACTGCTTTTTCTCCAGTGTCCACTTCCGTTGAGGCCGTCACTGAGATCTTCTCAAAGCTCACTGTCGCTCCTACCCCCGAGGAGCGTGCTCCTCTCGCGAGCTCGTTCGCCGAGATCCTGAGCTCGCCAATCGAGGATCACGACGTCCCTACCGCCGTCGTTGATAAGCTCAAGGCTGCGCTCGGCAACAAGAAGGATGCCGTCGCCAGACAGGCTGCTCTCGAGGCCATCGCTGCTCTCGCTGTGAAGCAGTTCACCCCCTCGATCGAGCCCTACATCGTCTCGCTCATTCCTTCCATCATCGAGAAGGCCTCTGACAAGGTCCCCACCGTCAAGGCGATTGCTGAGCCCACTGCCATCGCCGTCACCAAGGCCATCAACCCCAACTCGGTCAAGTTCATCCTTCCCCTGATCTCCAACGTCGTCTCTACGACCCCCAAGTGGCAGGAGAAGGTCGCCGCCCTTGACTGCATCGTCGCTCTCGTCGATGCCGCCCCCGGCCAGGTCGCCCTCCGCATGCCCGAGCTCATCCCCCTGCTCTCTGAGGCCATGTGGGACACCAAGGCCGACGTCAAGAAGGCCGCCCGCGCCGCCATGGTCAAGGCTACCGAGACCATCCAGAACAAGGATATCGAGAAGTTCATTCCCCAGCTCATTGAGTGTATCGCCAAGCCCTCGAACGTCCCCGAGACCGTTCACGCGCTCGGTGCTACTACCTTCGTCCAGGAGGTCACCTCGGGAACTCTCTCCATCATGGTTCCCTTGCTCTCGCGTGGTCTCGCTGAGCGTGACACCACCATCAAGCGTAAGGCCGCTGTCATTATCGACAACATGTGCAAGCTTGTCGAGGACCCCCAGGTCGTCGCTCCTTTCTTGCCCAAGCTCATGCCTGGCCTGAAGTCCAACCACGACAACATCGCCGACCCTGAGGCTCGTGATGTCACCCTCCGTGGTTTGACCACCCTCACCCGTGTCGGTGATGTCAAGGACGGAAAGATCCCTGAGGTCTCCACCGCCGGTGACGTCAAGGTCTGCTTTGCCACCCTTGAGAAGCTCCTCAAGGACAAGAAGGTCGACAAGAAGTTCTCCCCCATCCTCGAGTACGTTGCCGCCATCGCCGGTACCTTCGTCGACGAGCGCAACAACGAGGCTGTCACCTGGACTGAGACCGTCACTCCTTACTTGACTGCCTTCCTCCACGAGGACGAGGCCAAGACTCTTGTCGAGACCTTCCGCAAGGAGTCGATCGCCAACATTCCCGGCTCGGCTGTCGAGGAGGAGGAGGAGGAGGAGGGTGAGGATCTTTGCAACTGCGAGTTCTCCCTTGCCTACGGTGCCAAGATTTTGCTCAACCGCACTGCTCTCCGTCTCAAGCGTGGCCGCCGCTACGGTCTTTGCGGACCCAACGGTTCCGGCAAGTCCACCCTTATGCGCGCTATCGCCAACGGCCAGGTCGAGGGTTTCCCCACCCAGGAGGAGTGCAAGACCGTCTACGTCGAGCACGACATCGACGGCTCGCACGCCGAGACCTCTGTCCTTGAGTTCGTTGCCACCGACCCTCTTGTCGTTGACAGCTCCGAGGCCTCTGTCCAGCAGGCCCTCAAGGATGTCGGTTTCACCGACGAGATGATCGCCATGCCCATCACCTCGCTCTCCGGAGGATGGAAGATGAAGCTCGCTCTTGCCCGTGCTGTCTTGAAGAAGGCTGATATCCTGCTGCTCGACGAGCCCACCAACCATCTTGACACTGTCAACGTTGCCTGGCTCGAGAACTACCTCATCACCTGCGGTATTACTTCCATCATTGTCTCGCACGACTCTGCTTTCCTTGACCACGTTGTCGAGTTCATCATCCACTACGAGCGCTTCAAGCTGAAGAAGTACAAGGGTAACCTTTCCGAGTTTGTCAAGAAGGTCCCCACTGCCAAGTCTTACTACGAGCTCGGTGCCTCCGAGATGGAGTTCAGGTTCCCCGAGCCCGGTTTCCTCGAGGGTGTCAAGACCAAGCAGAAGGCTATTGTCAAGGTCTCCAACATGACCTTCCAGTACCCTGGTACCTCCAAGCCCCAGATCCGCGACATTACCTTCCAGTGCTCGCTGTCGTCGCGTATTGCTGTCATTGGACCTAACGGTGCCGGCAAGTCTACTTTGATCAACGTCTTGACCGGTGAGCTCTTGCCCACTCTCGGTGAGGTCTACGTGCACGAGAACTGCCGTATTGCCTACATCAAGCAGCACGCTTTCGCCCACATTGACCAGCACCTCGACAAGACTCCTTCGGAGTACATCCAGTGGCGTTTCCAGACTGGTGAGGACCGTGAGACCATGGACCGTGCCAACAGAATCATCAACGAGGACGATGAGCAGGCTATGAACCACATCTACAAGATCGACGGTACCCCGCGTCGTGTTGTGGCCGTCAACAGCCGAAGAAAGTTCAAGAACACTTACGAGTACGAGTGTTCGTTTGTTCTCGGTGAGAACATTGGCCAGAAGAACGAGCGCTGGATTCCTATGATGTCTGCCGACAACTCGTGGATCCCCCGTAACGAGCTTATCCAGACCCACGCCAAGATGGTTGCTGAGGTCGATATGAAGGAGGCTCTTGCTTCCGGCCAGTTCCGTCCTTTGACCAGAAAGGAGATTGAGGCTCACTGCGCCATGCTTGGTCTTGAGGCCGAGCTTGTGTCGCACTCGCGTATCCGCGGTCTGTCTGGAGGACAGAAGGTCAAGCTTGTGCTTGCCGCTTGCACATGGCAGCGCCCTCACTTGATTGTCCTTGACGAGCCTACCAACTACCTTGACCGTGACTCCCTTGGAGCTCTGTCGAAGGCTTTGAAGGCTTTCGAGGGTGGAATCGTTATCATCACCCACTCTGCCGAGTTCACCAAGGATTTGACTGAGGAGGTCTGGGCTGTGCTTGACGGCCGCATGACTCCTTCGGGCCACAACTGGGTTCAGGGCCAGGGAGCCGGACCTCGTCTGGATTCCAAGGACGGCGAAGAGGAGGACAAGTTCGACGCCATGGGCAACAAGATCGAGACTGTGAAGAAGGCCAAGAAGCTGAGCGCTGCTGAGTTGAGAAAGAAGAAGAAAGAGCGCATGTTGAAGAAGAAGAAATTGGGTGACGCTTACGTTTCTTCCGATGATGAGTTTTAAATGGTTTTATCCTTTCTTAGATAAAAGACTACTTTTTTTTTTTGAGTTAGAATTTTATCATTTTTTGAAGATTACTTGTTCTTTTTTATTGTTTTTGTTTTGTTCTTTGTTCTTTCCAAGAAAAATTAGAGAGTGCGAGTGGTGAATTGAAAGACTTTATTATGCTAATACTGGTAGACGTGTAGACTGAGTAGATCATAGATCATAGATCATAGATCATAGATCACAGAGCAAGAGCGAGGTCAGGATAGGACTTTTGGACCTTTGCGACGGTGTCTTCGACAAGAAGGCAGACAGAGAGGATCTCGCTATCCCATTGCTTCAGCAGCGAGCGCTCGTATTCATCACTGAGGTAGTTTCCGAGCGACGCCGACGCCGATGCGGAAGAGGAAGAAGAGGAGAAGTAGATTAGGCGGTCGACGCGGTCGATGACGGCGCGAAGTCTGCGTTCCTGGATCATCTTTGCGGCGTATCCCTCGGCGGCGTCAGGCGAGGAAAGCGAGAGCAGCTCGGCGAGTTCGTCGAAGGAGATGTTTGAGTAGAGCTTTGAGGCCGCGAGGAGGTTGTGCTCGGTGACTGCTTTGTCGAGGACCGAGTCGCGCTCGTAGTCGGTCGGCGAGGAGAGCGAGGAGCCGTAGGATATGAGATGGGCGCGCGGGATCTTGCGTTTACATGCCGCGAGGTAGTCGATGATTTCGGAGCGGGGAAGGAGGTGGTCGAAGAAGAGCTTGTCGAGCAAGGACCGTTCGGGCGCGAGCGAGGATGCGGACGAGTCAGCGGCGGTCAGTCGTTCGTCTTTGATGAGCGAGGCGAGCAGACGGCCGCGGGCGGGACCGGCGGGGGAGAGCAGCGCGCAGGAGACGGCGGCGGAGAGGCAGACGAGGCGGTCGTCTGCGTCGATGGCGGATTGCTGGTGCGAGAGTTCAAAGAACTTTGAGGCGGCGTCGAGGAAGCGTTTGCGGGCTTCGAAGACGCGGGCCTGCGCGAGCTTGAAGTGGAGAAGGGAGGATTCGGATGTGGGGGTTGGTGCTGAGGAGGAGGATGAGGAGGAGGAGGATGAGGAGCGGGCGATTATGGCGGCGGTCTTGGAGATGATGTCGTCTGCGATCATGACGCGTTCTGCGGGCGCGAGTTCGTCGTCGTCGGTGGAAGTCGCAGCAGTATCAGCATCAGCGGCCTCATCGCGATCGAGATCTTCGAGCAAGTTTCTGAGGATCCGGACCGCGAGCTCGACTCTGTAGTCGTCCGAGACGATGCGGGAGCCACCCGAGTCAGTTTTCACGCCGCGGAGGATGTTTGCCGCTTTTGTCGGGCGGGATTGGGATTCGTAGATTGACGCGAGGCGTTCGCGGATGAGCGCGTCCTGCTCTTCGAAGGAGACGAGGACCGGTTGCAGGTTCGCGAGGGTTTGTTCGAGGAGGGTGGCGTCGGAGGTGGTGGTGCTAGTGTCTGTGTTTGTGATGTGGGAGACAAAGGTCGCGACGACAGGTCTGATGACGACGAGGCCGAAGTTGGAGCCGTTTTGGAGGACGGCGGTGAGGAAGGTGAGGAGGTCGGCGGAGGAGGAGAGCGCGGTGATGATGGACTCGAGCTGGGCGATTTTGTCGGGTTGGGGAGAGGATTGGGCCGCGATGTCTGCGACGGCGGTTGCAGGGTCCATGGTGTGTATTATAGAATATGTGATGTGATATGATAACTTATGAATAGAATAAAGAGAATAGAAGAAGTAGAAATACACAGTACTAACTGAGTTGCTATCGCAGATAAATTCCAGTGCGGCTTCTTCCCTTCTTCCCCAGCAATGAACGTTCTACGCGAGCACCCGTTTGCTGCTCTCGGAGCTCTTTCCTGCGCAATTGCTGCTCTCGTCGACAGATCCGTGCCTCGGCCGTATCTCGTAAGTCTTCTGCTTCTTCTTCCCGTTCTTTCCGTTGCTTTCGACTCACCTCCGTCGTCCAGGACGAGGTCTTCCACGTGCCGCAGGCTCAGCGGTACTGTCTCTCGGACTACTCCTGGGACCCAAAGATCACCACCCCGCCGGGGCTCTACATCATCTCCAAGCTCGTCCTCTCGCAGACAGTAGGATGCTCGACTTTCTACCTCAGAGCAGTCAATCTGCTCGGCATACTAGTCGCATTGCCCCTCGTCCTCCGTCTCTTTCCTGATTCCGCCGTTTCCCCCACCATATCCTCCTCCTCCTCCTCCTCCTCCTCCTCCTCCTCCTCGCGCTCACTATCACTAAATACAACCAACAGAAGCTTATGTCCGCGAACAATCGTCATGCTCCAACTCTTCCCGACTCTCTACTTTTTCGGATTCCTCTACTACACCGACGTCTGGTCCACGATCTTCGCCCTCCTCTCCGTCGCCCTCGCCTCTTCCTCCTCCTCCACCACCACCTCCACCCGCGCGATCCTCGCCCGCTCCGCCGTCGGTCTCGCGAGCCTGTTCTTCCGCCAGACAAACATCATCTGGGTCTTCTACGCCTTCCTAACCGAGATCTTCGCACTGCTCGTCTTCCCCGATGAAAAAGGCAAAGAGCGCGCGAACGACCGGCTCGCGGTCGCGCCGAACCAGACCGTCTACGCGATCGCGTCGGTGTACGATGTCGTCGAGGTCTGTCTGAGTGTCGTTCGCCGGGCGTTTAGGAAGTTGAGGCAGAGTCGTGTGAGGCGGGTGAAGTTTTGTAAGCTGGTCGTGGCGTATGGCGTCGTTGGCGCTGCGTTTGTTGCGTTTGTTGTTCTCAATGGTGGTATTACATTAGGTGTGTATTCATTATTGATCCCATTTGCTTGTTGATACAGGGACTAACAACAATCTCCAGGCGACAAGGATAATCATGTGGCAGGACTCCACATCCCGCAACTATTCTACCTCTCTGCATTCATCTGCATCCTAGCCCTCCCCACGACCTTCCCCCAACTCTCGCGCTCGCTCACGGCACTCATCATATACCACCCCTTCGCCTTCCTCGTCGCGAGCGCGCTCTTCGCCCTCGCCATCAAACACACCACGATCGCGCACCCGTTCCTGCTCGCAGACAACAGGCACTACCCGTTCTACGTCTGGCAGCGCATCATAAACCGCACCTGGTGGAGCAGGTACGCGCTCGCGCCCGGCTACACGGTCTCGATGTACATCGTCTTTGTGCGCTCGTGGCGCTACGAGCGGTTTCTCTCGGCGCTGCTGTTTGCCGGTGCGTGCGCGGCGGTGCTGGTCCCGAGTCCGTTGATCGAGTGTCGGTATTACATCGTGCCGTATATAATCTGGCGGCTGCGCGTCGCGGCCACTCCGACGGCGGCGGCAGCGGTCACCACGCAGTTGTCTGATGACTCCTCTGTGAACCTCGAGGACGAGGTTCGGCGGGCGGAGGAAAGAGAGCGCGAGCGGGTGGTGGCGGAAAACTTTGAGATTTGCTGGTACTTGCTCATCAACGCGGTCACGATCGGCGTCTTTATAATGAAGCCGTTCGAGTGGCCTCAGGAGCCGGGGGTGGAACAGCGGTTCATGTGGTAGTGTGTGTGTATATACAAAATATAGACTAGTCGTAGTAGTAGTCTAGTAGTAGTCTAGTAGTAGTCTAGTAGTAGTGATTATGGTCGCCGTCGTCGTCGTAGTAGTCGTCCAGCATAGGAACATCATTCGCCGCCATCGCAACATCCTCGCCCTGCCCAATCCTCTCGAGCTCCGCTACGCCCTCGTCCGTGCGCCCGACGCACAGCAACGCCATGCCGAAATACCTTCTGAGCCTCGCATCCTCCGAGAACGGCCACTCGAGCAAGATCTCCTCGAGCCGGTCGACGAGCACGCGGATCTGGCCGCGCTCGATCGTGCTCGTGACGAAGGCGGGGTAGAGCGAGTCTGCGAGGTTGCGCACGCGCTGGCGGACGGGCGAGGCCGCGAGTTTGCCGGCGGAGAGGCGGAGGTAGGAGCCGAGTGAGATCAGGAGCCATTCTAGGAGTACTTGTTTTCCGCGGCGCGACGACGACGATGAAGACGACAAGGAGGAGTCATCGAGCGCTTCGAGGAGTTGTGTCCAGAACGGGGCGATGGTGTGGGTTGTGACTGAGCGCGTGCGCGGAGGAGGCGGCCGGGTGCGCAGAAGGAGGGCGATTGCGCGTCGGGCGGTCGCGAGGTCTGAGCGAAGAAGCGCGAGGTTGAGGACGCGGACGAGTATTTCGCGGTGCTCTGTCTCGAGGGACATTTGTTATTGTTTATGAGTCCATTTGTCTGTTGATCTGTTCTGTGTTTGAAGAAGCAGGTCGAGTTGAAGATGAAATTTGCTGCGGCGCGATGGAGGAGCAGAACTCTGATTCTACTGTTTACTACGGCATAAAGACATAGAATAATGCTCTATTCCGTTGTATCTCGAAACACATGACTGCAGCAATAAAAGAAACACCAAATTCAAGTAAACCGTATATATACGCATAAAGACTGCAAGGCCAATAGCTCATGTCGTGTACGTGGCTGGCTGAGTGGAGGGGTGGTAACGATAGAGGTCAACAAACGATAAAGAGAACATAAGAATGATATTCTTTATCACTCATTACTACGTCACAAAACAAAAGAACAACTGGAAAGAAAATAAAAAACTAGAAAACAACTACCGCCGAGCGCTTACTGAGTCGTCTCCCGGTACTTGGCCTCCTGCTCGACTTGCAGCTGGTCGATCTCGGGCGCGAGCTCGCTCAGCATCTCATAGGCGGCCTTGTGGAACGCGAGCTGGGCCGCAATCAGATCGGTCAGGTTGCGCAGCGGCTCGGGCGTGTCGAGCACGTTCTTCATCACGCTGACGGCCTCCTCGGTCGCGGCCACGAACTCGTCCTCGGCCTGCTCGACCTCGACGCGCGCCGCGTCCTGCTTCTCGGGCTTTGCGTTCCGGGCCGCGGTCTTGGCGGCGTCGAGCGACAAACGCGCGTTGGTCACTTTTCTGCGCGCGCGGTCGGCGAACTTGAGGCTCGTGTTGAGCGTCGTCGTGAACGAGGCGTTGAAGCGCGAGCTGATGAGCGCGTCCTGCGCCAGCTGCGCCTCGCCCACGCGCTCCTCGGCGACCGCGTATTTCTCGAGCGCGACGCCGAACGGATCGGTCAAGGGGAGCTGGTGCGAGGCAGCGAGAGCGGCGCGCGAGATGGCGTGCGCAAAGGTCTTGGGCGCAGACTTGCTGGTCGAGGAGGTCAGCGCGGCCTGGGCCTCAGCCGCTGAGGAGGCCTGCGCGAGCGTCTGGACGCGCTCCTGCACGGTGCGCGAGAGATCGATGACGGATTCTCTCTGGATTGTTGTTAGTCAAGTCCAGATTGGTGGAAGATATTTTCCCATCTTTAAAGGTAAAAGAGAGAAGAGATCGATAAGACAGTTATGGAAACGTACGAGATTGGGGGGGTAGTCGTAGCCCTCGTGGCCATATTGGGAACTGGCAATGAGCGGTCAGCACACGATACACTGGCAGATGTAATCAGTAAGAAGCAGTAAAATACATACGTAACAGCCAACAGCTTGGTGTGGACGGCCTTGAGCGCATCGACGCGCTTCTCGAGCTCGACGTATTCCTGAGGAAGCTCGGTCTAAACGTACTCGTCAGCACACGCTCTCTTCTCACACAGCACATTTGCTTATATTCCAGCAAGAAAAAAGAGCAAGCAGCAACTACATACAATCTCATCAGCATTGCCCAGTCGCTCCTGGATAAGTCGTCCGGTTCGTCGCGCAAAGGGCGAAATCGACGACGTCAGCCCCTTGAGACTCTGGTTGACAGAGTCCATGTTGATACTCGCGTCCTTGAATGGGTTCATCGTTTCTGTATCCTGCTGCAATGATAAGTCCTGTGGTCCTGATTCCGTTCAAATACAGTCGCTTTCTGCAATTGTATCGTTGAATTGATAAAAGTGGTTTCCACAATGCGCTGCGTGTGATTTTGCGACTTGTCGGCTGTCGTGTCGTGTGCTGCCGCATCCTGCCCTTACCCTCCAATTAGGTAATACATTTGTAATCACGTGAGGCTCAGATTTTCAAGGTTTATCGACGGCGAGAAAACCCATCGAGCCCATCGTCGCATCAGACCACCGCTGCTCTACTTCACCAGTTCTCTAGTTCTGCAGTTGATTTGAAGTAGATACAGTCATGGCTGCTGCTGCAGTGAATTCCCGCAAAAGACTGCGCTCGCCCTCGCCGACCGCCTCCGTGGCGTCAACCACCGCCTCCGTCCGCAGCACCGCGTCTCTAAAACTACCCCCGACCGCCATCTTCGCGCCCGGTCTTTTCGCCCGCGGCGCCGAGCTACGCGATCAGCACTCCACCTCGTCGCCCTACAAGCACTGCGTCATTGACGAGCTTGTGTCCGACACCCTTCTCCGCCGCGTCCGCCGCGAGATCACGTCCGAGCTCCATTTCACTCCGAAAGAGACAGACATCTACAAGCTCCAGCAGACAGGCGACCTGCTCAACATCAGCGGTCTGCCGCCCAAAGAGCGCCGGAAGCTGTCTGCCCTGCGTGCGCTGCGGGATTCAATGTACTCGCCTGAGTTCCGCAAGCTGGTCGAGCAGATCTGCGACTGCGGCCCGCTCTCGGGGAAGAAGCAGGACATGAGCATAAACTGCTATGTCAAGGGCTCGCATCTGCTCACCCACGACGACGTCATTGGATCCCGCCGGGTGTCGTACATCTTGTATCTTCCTGATCCTGAGGATCCGTCTTGCACCGTGCGCGACAAACGGGGGCGGAATACAGGATGGGACCCGAAATGGGGTGGTGCGCTGAGACTATTCGAGGTCGAGGCTAAAGGTGCGCCAAAAGTCGATCCAACATTATCCCTCCCGCCTGCCTGGAACCAGCTCAGTTTTTTTGTCGTCCAACCCGGAGTCTCCTTCCATGTAAGCTTATATCCTTTTACTGAGTTTAGCGGATCATGCTGATATCGTATAGGACGTCGAAGAAGTATATGTAGACAAACCCCGACTGGCAATCTCTGGCTGGTTCCATCTTCCTCAAGAAGGAGAAGACGGCTACATCAAGGGTCTACAGGAATCACTAAACCTCGAAAGTTCTCGCGCAGCTCTTGCCGATGCTGCTGCAAACGCTGCCTCCGGTCTCGGCGAACTGCCTTCTCCCACCCTGAAACGCGTTGCCGGCGACGACGACAGCGCCGAGAGCAAGTTGACGGAGAAAGAGGTTGCGTACTTGGCAAGATACATCAGCGCAAAGTATCTGGATGAGAGCGAGATTGCAAAGCTGTGCGACGAATTCGCGGATTCCTCGCTTCTCGAACTCGAGGAGTTCCTCAATGACGACTTTGCGGGCGCTTTGAAGGGGTACATTGTCGACAGCGAGAGTAGGCCGGTACCTCAGACGGTGAGCGAGGTTGCAGAGACAGAACCCGAATGGAGTGTATCCCGGCCGCCGCATAAGCACCGATACCTCTACATCGACGCGACTTCCCCCTCGGACAGCCAGACAGTTTCACCACCGCACGAGCTTGCGCAACTGTTTAGCACGCCTACATTTCGTAAATGGCTCACCATTGTCAGCGGTATAGCCTCTCCCACGCACTCTCGAGTCCTTGCTCGGCGATTCCGACCTGGTCTCGACTACACCCTTGCGACGACGAGTTTGAACCCGGTAGACGAACAAGGCGCCGACGACAAGTCGGGGCTGCTCGAAGGTGTCTTGTGCGTCACGCCTACAGATGGCTGGGACGATGGGGAGTTTGGCGCGTATGAGCTGTATATGAACGATGGGACGGATGAGGGTGATAATGCGGAGGCTGGGGATGGGAAGACGGATATGCCGGAGAATGATCCTGCGGTTTACTTGAGTGCTTCGCGGGCAAAGCGTGCGAAGGAGGTCGAGAAGCTACGAGGAGAAGGGACGCTTGCGCCCGGAGCAGAGGTAGAGGACGACGACAATGAAGAAGAGGATGACGATGATGATGATGACGATGACGATGAGGAGGACGAGGAAGAGGAAGAGGGTGACTCGGTGCTGCTGACGAGCCAAGCGCGATGGAATACGTTTACGCTGGTCTATCGGGATCCGGGAGTGCTCAAGTTTGTAAAGTACGTGAGCAAGTTGGCGCCGGGGAGTCGGTGGGACATTGCAGGTGAATGGAAGCCGGGAAGTAGTCCAGAGGAGGAGTAGTCATCTACAAAAGCTGTTTTGAATACAATTATCTTGGGATATTCTGCGATGTAGTTGTAGTTAATAGTAAGAACAGCACCGACTATGACGCATCGGTCTCGGCTGCTGTGCGGCGGCCTCTGCGAGTATCCCGCTCTCCGTCATCCGACGCCTTCCCCCGGACTCCTCCAAGCTGCTCGTGCCCGCCGCTCGTTAGCCAATATTCATCTCAGTCGCGCTCATTCATATGGCTGTTGCAAGCTTCCCGCTGATTGAGCTGCCTCAGGAGATCATTGTCGATGTGTTTGCAGTGCTGGAACTCGGGGGGTCGAAGGATGACCTGCGGAACCTCGCGTATACATGCAAGCGTCTGTATTCTATCGTATGTTGTTGATTTCCGATTGTGTATTTGCAGTGTTGCTGATGCTTTTGCTCTACAGGGCCAGCAATTCCTCGTCTCAGATATCACGGTGACATGGCAGCTCCTCGACGCCTTCCGCGCAAAGCTCGACACCTCTCTGGCTCCCGTCCGTTCCTACATAACCTCATTCACCATCAACATCCCCTCCAGCTGGGGCGAATGGCACCGCTTCGAGACACTACAGGACGTGTTTGAGCTATGCACAAACATCAACTCACTCACGCTCACTCTCTCCGGGTCCTCGAAATGGATGCAATACATGCGTCCCAACACCCACATCCGATCTCTGAAACTAGTCTCCTCCCAGGCATCAGGTCTACCCGCCCTGTTCGACACCGCGGACTTGCACGCGTTCAAGAGCGTGGAGGAGTTGCATCTTGAGTATTTCAGGCTGCAGTGCGAGTACCCGATCGAAGAGCGCGCGACGCCGTTGCTCACAACCGTGCGCAATCTCGAGATTGTAAACTGTGAATGGAATTACCCGTTCAGCATGTCGCTGTTCAAGAGATTAGATTCTCTGGCGGTGTATTACTCGATAAAATGCGAGGCATTCACATGTACTTGTCCCCCTCTTTCTACTTAGCTGGTGTCCAAGCTAACAATACTGCCTTCATAGTTTCCGAACGACTAAAGAATCTAGCAGCAAACCCACCACCGACTATCAAACGCTTTATAATGCATCTAAACCTCTTCTCCCCCGTCCGTCAAAAAACATGGTACCCGGTTCTAAAAGACTGCAAAAAGCTCGAATCGATCTCAATGAAAGGCTTCCGCTACCCAGACTACGAGTTCTTCGCCCTCCTCCCGCCGTCGCTCAAAGAAGTCGAGCTGCACATGACGTCGAAGAACTTGGTTGCGCTCACGCACTCGAATAGTCTGGATACGGGGATGGGCGGCATGCTCGCGATGAACTCGCAGATCGTGCCGGTGGATGCTCGCGCGGAGGAAAATGATGGGATCCAGGGACGCGTGTTGAATAAGTATGGCGATACGAACGTGCGCGTTGTGGCTCATGAATGGGCGGAGAGTATGGAGCAGAGGATAGCTCGTTAGCTGCAGGGAGGCTTTTAATTTACTCTCTTTTTATTTCTATATTATTCATTTTGCAAAGGGTCGGAGTATATGGGTTCGTGTTTGGATTAGAAACTTTTCTGTAGTAATGAGCACTTGTTATCTTTCACATCTCTAAACAACCTCAATGGTCTATCTTCATGTTGAAGTCAATGACCCCCGTGCCCTGGTGCACGCTACTCGTACTGTAGATATCGATCGAGTTTGTCAGATAACTCCTGATATTCTCCTCCTTAAGCCCTCCCGAGCACTCCAGCAAGAACGCCTTCCCCTTGCCCGCCCACCGCGTCTTTATGCTCTCCGCCGCGACCGCGATACCCTCGCCCGTGAAATTATCAAGCATGATAACATCCGCGCCCGCAGCGATCGCCTCGTCCGCCTCCTCCTCGCTCTGACACTCGACCTCGATCTTTGTCGCGAACCCGCACGCCGACCGCGCGGCGTGCACGGCCTTTGTGATCGAGCCCGTCGCCCAGACGTGGTTGTCCTTGAGCATCACCATCGACGAGAGATCGTAGCGGTGCGTGTCCACGCCGCCTACCAGCATCGCGTATTTCTCTATCCGGCGGAAGCCAGGCGTGGTCTTGCGTGTGCCGGCAATGATGCCGGGGTACCCTGCCTCGCGAGCAAGCGTGATTATCCGTCGCGATCTATCAACCGTCAGTCAGTGATCTCTTACTCTCAAACTCATCCCCTCTTGCTCATACTGTCGAGCACAGCACACTCACTTGGTAGCAATCCCGCTCGCCCGCGCCAGGATATTCAACGCCGTACGCTCAAATAAGAGCAGCCGATTAACTGGCCCCACCACTTTCGCAACAGGCGTCTTGCCCGTCGCCGTCGTGTCAATGTACGTGCCCTCGCTGATCAGCCATGTAATCTGCACTCCGCACTGATCAGCTAGTTCTTGCGCGAACGGAACGCCAGCTAGTACGCCCTATCAGTCAAAAACATCACAGTCAGAATTTTTCTCTTCTCAACTAGAAGTAGCAGTAAAAGGGAGGGATCAAAAGTGCACGACGACTTACGGATTGCTTGCAATTCAGAGTCGCAGATTTCTCCTCATCGCCAACAACGAACCCGCCGATATCAAACGCAGGCACGTCCTCTGACAGAAACCGCCTAATATCGTTCTTCCATTCGCCTGATGCGGGAAGCAAGTTCTTGAACTGGAGGTTTGAGGCCATTGTTGTTGTTGGTGGTGGTGGTGGTGGACAACGGGGAGAGTCGGCTGGAAAATGAAAATTAATTCGTGCGTTGATGTGGGGTTTCGGGGTAGACCGCCAAAAGCCAAACTGACTCGAGCTGAGCTCAAACCAGTAATTTACCAATATTACAACATTTTAAGCATTTCTGAATAACTATAGAATTACTACTTTTTCACTGACGTCTTCACCAATTTTCAATACAAAAACAAACAATAAACAAATACAGTATTATTAATCTAGTAGAATACGCCCAAAACTATACTCTCCGCCCGCTACTTAATGCTTGTGGAAAGCTCCATCATGCATATGCTCGTGGTCGTGCTGCAGCTGGAACCGCTTGATGAGCTTCTTTCCCTCGGCATCAGGACCAATAGCCTGGACAAACGACTCGTTAGCCCGCAGGAGCTTGGTCACGTTCGCAAGGCTTAGACCGAGCTGGCCGGCCATGAAGTTGCCGACTTCGCCGTTCTCCCAGCTGCCGACGAGAGAGTCGGTGTTGAGACCGTGGCCAAAGAGCGTGATGTCGACTGCGGTGTGGCCGGTGGTGGACCAGTTGATGCCCGCGCGTGCGGATAGCAGCTCGCCGAGGTAGATGGCGGCGTCGTCGGCGGTGAAGAAAGCGGCGAGCTCGTCGGTGGTGACGTTTGTGATTCCGTAGGGAGTGAAGACATGGTCGAGAAGGAAGGTGTACTTGTCCGCGGTGGTGGAGTTGCTAAGAGTCTCGTTGAACGCATCAAAGATGTTGACATAGTACTCAGCCGTTCCGCTCGCAGTGTCGAGAACCTCAGGGTACCAGGCATAATCCGGAACACCGAGAGTCAATCCACCGCACTCGTGGTCCGCGCCCGAGAGAAGAGCGGTATCAGAGTGTCCGTCATCAATCCATTGAGCGATCGCGTCCATGGCACGGTTGTACTCGAGAATGTCGTGCAGATGGCCGACGGGATCGTGCGCGTGACCGGCATGATCAATTCGCGACGCCTCGACGAACAGGAAGAAGCCCTTACTCGAGTTCTGCGTCTGCTTATCCAACATGTTGAGTGTGGCGATTGCCATCTCGTGAAGCGCAGGCTCGAGAGTAGACTCACGATCAACCTCGTACATCATGTGGTCGAGGTTAGGAATGAACGCGAACGGCAAAGGAGGGTCCTCGACCAGACCGTTCTGGAGCTGATCAAACTTCTCACGCTCGACGGCCATCGTCCAGTTATAATCGGTCTGGGCAAGAGACCAGAGATCGACGTCGTCCTCGCGGCAGGAGTCCTCGTCCGACTGGGGAAGGAAGAAGCACCGGCCACCGCCCATCATGACGTCGACGACGCGGCCGAGCGGATGCGCGAGACCGACGAGCTGGTCGGCGATATCGGCCTCGAGGTCACGGTAGTAGGTGTGCGTCGAGAATCCAGCCGGGGAGGCGTGCGTGATGCGCGAGGTCACGACGAGACCAGTCATGAAGCCGTCGAGCTAGACCAGGGTGTTAGATAGAGGGTAGTGAAGAAGAGAGTGACAGATGATGATACCTTAGCAGCCTCGACGATGTTTCCGAGCGGGAGATAGTCATCGTCGACGCCGATAGCGCCGTTGTACGTCTTCTGACCGCAAGCGTAAGCGGTAGCAGCCGCGGCCGAGTCAGTGACGAGGGTGTCGGTAGCAAACGTGCGAACGTAGCCGATCGCCATGTTATCAACCGGCAGCTTCTCGGTGTCGTTGTTCTTGTAATTGGCAAAGTCGCGGGCCAGAACCTCGGAGGCAGGACCGTAGCCATCGGGGAGGAAGTAGATGTAGTTTCTTGGTTTCGCGGCCAAGACGAGAGGAGGAGCCGCGAGAGCCGCGAACAGAAGAGCCGAGCTGAGTTTCATTATGAATATATATGGAAGCTCTTTTGGAAGTTGAAAAGAGACCGCGGGAGTAATGTGTACAGAGAAGAAGCAGATGGTAGAGGGGGAGCAGGACGGATATTTATTGACCGGCGCCCGCGAGGCAGAGCAGGCCGATTGCGAACGCACGCGACAGAAGGAGAAACAGCAAAACAGTACGATGACAGCAACAGAACGACGCAGAAAGAAGCCCACGTGGACGACAAGAGCAGAGAGCAGCGCGAACAGAAGACCAGTAATCCGAGAACTCGAGGAGCGGTTGAGAGCCAGGCCAAGATTTCGTGCCCAGAACGCCGAGATCTTCGACAAATCTGGAGGACTCGCAAACTGGCTGCCAAGGCGACCTGCGGGCGCGAAGGACCACGTGCGGAAGCGATTCGTCTAAACAGAGATGTGCGGCTCTGTTCTTCTTCCCTTCTTCTGCTCGATGCAACACCTTTGTCTGGTATTTCTCGACTCTTTTCATGGAGCAGGATTCGAACAGAGACGCGGAGGAGGAGTTGCTCATCGCTGGCGACGGAGGCGAGGTACTAGCGGACAACTGTCGGCAGATAATCTTATCTGATCCAGCCCCGACTGCTGCTCCGCTGCTCCAGCTCCTCCACAGGTACTCTGAGCGAACAGGCCTGCGTGCTGCGAGCCAATCCCGCTGTCATTCTACACCGCGTGGGCACCTTGAACGGCCGGGTGCTCTTCCTCCAGATCCTGAACTCTGCCGGCCTCAGCGTACCTTTTGACTCCCAACAGCGCCTGCGGCCGAATGCAGCCTCCAAGACGTAATATCGTCACGGCGTAATATGATTTATTGCTAATTTCAATCTAGAACTTTTCATTTTGGATGAACATAATCGCCTGACATTCTGAAGCGGCTGTCAGCTGCTGTTCCGACTTGCTCCTCTCGTATGAGAGCTGTGTGCCTAGATTTATCTTTTTGATTCTCGATTGATGCCACCACTTCAAGCAGCCAGACTTCTTTCAACTACAGACTGTACTACGAGATCTACTACAATGCACAGCCTTCCCGAAATAGCACCTGTCTCAATCACGTAGAAGAACACCACCTGGAGGAGTAAACACAAGAGTCTTGGATACACACGAACACAGCTATCAGGAAACTTTGAATCCCAGCCAGGGCCAAGCAGATACCATTTCCGTCCATATCTGTAATGCCCCAGCCAGATAAACACAGCTGAAGTCTTGGTAATCGAATGGAAGAGGCTATTTTCCCCGGTCCTGGTTAAGCACAGAGGTACACTGAGGAGCACGCTCGCTAGTCTTTACAAACTTTCTATTAGATGTTCTGTAGGGTATCCACCAATCAAGGCAGCACACCCGCCCGATCTCAGACATGATCAAAATATTCTCTCTCTCTATTACTCGTTCTCAAAAACATTGACCAGCGTTCCAATATGCGGCGAGATCTCGACCTCAAAGGTGTCGCCGTCCTTTAGATATTCAGCCGTAGACGAGCCCATTGCAACTCCGGCGGGCGTACCGGTCAAGATGACAGTTCCGGCAGGTAGCGTCGTCGACTGCGACAGGAAGCTGATGATTTTGGGAATGTCAAAAATCAAATCACTAGAGAATAAAAAAGCGTAAGCCATGAATCAGAACAGGAAAATCCAATACGAAATCGACGTCTTGGCTCACCTGATAGAGCTCTCTTGCATTACGCGGCCGTTTTTCAGTCCTTTAATCTGCAAAGCTGATGGATTCTGAATAAGAGACTTGGAAACAAGAGTAGGACCAAGAGGACACGACCCGTCGAAACTCTTTGAGAAAACCCACTGACTCTGCTGAAACTGCGGTCCTCGACTGGAGACGTCGTTCGCGGCCGTATATCCAAGAACGCAGTCCATCGCGTCTTCCTCCTTCACGTTCTTCGCGTCCTTGCCAAGCACAACTGCCAGCTCTGACTCGTAGTCAGCTGTGTTGCTGAGTTGACTGAGTAACGGGATCGTCGTCGGTGACGGCCACGGGTCGGCCACCGCGGTCGCAGGCTTCATGAATACAACCGGGACTTCTGGGAATGCCATCTTGACCTCCAGTGCATGCTGCCTGTACTGTTACAGTAAAGTAAAAGTCAGTCAGTTATTAAAACAATTAACCAAATATAATTTGAACAAAACGCAGCTCACATTCAAGCCTATGCATCTGACAGTGCCAACTTCACTCTGGCTCATGGGCGACAGCAATTTCCCAATAGACTCAATCTCCGACGTATTCTCTCCCGGAGAAAGCATCGAGTTTCCAGAAAATACTTCAACCGCAACATCCTGACCTTGATAAAGCGCTCTGCCAACGTCCACGCTATCGGATTTCGGTTGTCCGATCAGAATCTTCGAGGGGGACGACTTTGGGATGAAGCGCACCAGACCTAGATGCGTAGCGTTAGTTTCGTCTGCTCGATAGGACGGATAATGCTCAATGTGTCCGTACGCTTGAAAAGAGGAGCAGCCATTTCCTTATGAAGTATCTGAGGAAAACTCCTTGTCTGCGATATGCAAACAGATTTGTCGCGACAGAAGTAGTCCGAGTCCGAGTTGCCCCACCTCCTCGAAATCCCCCCGCACCCTGAATGCATCCCTATCGCCTCTTACGTCGGCAACACCCGCGCCAACTTCTCTCAAATGATTTCCAAAGCCATTGAAGTCAATTGCGCTGAAGAGAGCACTGAATCCTGCACTATTCGATACCTCAACGCTGTAAATTCGTGAAATAATAAATGCACAGACTGCAGACTATAGCGGCCACGAGCGCAGTTTTTCAACAAGACAAGAATCCGAAATAGTGTAATGGTTAGCACGGTCCGCTCTCACCGGGCAAATCGGGGTTCAATTCCCCGTTTCGGAGATGATAAATTCTCCCGGATGTCTAATTTTTTGTCATTTTATTTTTTTTAATATTCTCTATTAGAATTTTTCTGTATTTCGAATATGCTGTAGAGAAATAGCTACCATTCCTACGTGGTGGAAATGGAATGGCGATCATGTAGATGCTGTTCGCTTGCAGAAAACGCGAAGAGTCAGTCTCATAACCTGTAAACTAGCCACGCTTCCGCCTATAAACACCCTCCCCTATCAACCTGACTAGGACGCCAGCAAATATCCTTCGCTGAAACAAACAATACACTTCTTATTCAGTAAATACTGTTTTAAATGGCCTGAAGCAAACTCTGGAAAGCAAACGCATTCACAACAAAAGCGGCCGCTGGACTGAAACCCTACAGTGCCTCGATGGCCTTTGCGCTAGTACTAATGTGGCCGTCTATCAACATTCAATTAAGGTTCTCTTTCTGTTTATCCATCTTGCGCTTCCCATCCACTTCACCAGTCTTCTCCACAGTCGCGATAGGTTTGTCTTCAAGTTCCAGTCAGCTTGATTTTACGTTGATTTTTGAGCAGTTATATCGGTTGATATTCTTTGTACTCTTGCCACAATGTCTTCTGCGAAAATGTCGTCCAGCTCAGCGGGGCCTACCAGATCTAAGCTCTCTTTGAAAGGATCCTCTAAGCTTGTCGCTGAGTTTTTCGGTAAGTCTGGCTTCTCAGACTGCTTTACTACTATATTGTACTAACAATTTGATCAATTTTATAAAGAGTACAGTATACACAGGTATTATTCTATTTGAGGCGATCGTCATGACGAGACCGCTTACACGTCTCTAGTATTTTATTCCAACGAGGCATATATCCACCCGAAGACTTCCAGGTCGTCAAGAAATACGGATTGAACATGCTAGTATCTGTCGATGAGGACGTGAAGACATACATCCGACGGATCATGTCGCAGCTTAACAGTGAGTCAATCAACTCTGTGCCGAACTGACAAGGAAACCCTGAGCTAACACACGACTTTTGCGTCTCATAAGAGTGGGTGGTTGGAAGCAAGATCTCGAAGCTTGTGGTGGCGATTGTTTCATTGGATAGCGCGGAGGTGGTCGAGCGATGGCAGTTTGATATTGAGGTTTTCAGCAAGGCCTCTGGATCGAAGAAAAGCTCTAGCTCGTCTGCCGACAAGGAGAACGCCGCTCCGTAAGTGTCCAACTGTGTTTGATCTGCTAATTTTGTCGCAATGAATGCTAATAGCGACAAATAGGAAAGCATCGAAACAGACTTCTGATGACGCCCATGGAGATAAGACAATCGACGAAATTCAGCAGGAAATCCAAGCAATCATCAGACAGATCACAGCCTCTGTCACTTTCCTCCCCGTGCTGGAAGGTCGGCACACGTTCAATGTGTTGGTCTACGCCGATGGTGACACGCAAGCGCCTTCTGAGTGGATCGACAGCGATCCCAAGGAAATCCAGAATGCCGAGCAGGTCAAGCTGAGAAGTTTCAGTACCGCATCTCACAAGGTCGATACAATGGTCGCCTATAGACTAGGGACCGCGGAGTGATTTGCGATGATGAGAGGGATGATGTAAATACGGTGTTTGGTCCGCGTTCTGCTGGTTTTGCTTTTCATTTTGCCTTTTGTTGTATTGCTTTTGTTGCTAGATGCTTCTATTATGCACATTTATTATTGACCTGATCAGTATACACATCTGATTTGAACTATGATACAATAGATATTTACAACAGTATTTTACTTTGGAGGTTTACTGTTCGAGAGGAAGCCCTGGTATGCCTATATATAAAACAGTAGTTGTCAGCAAAACACGAACACAGACGACTATTGATAACGGGATCAAAAACTTACCTCTTGAGGAATATTGACCCTTCCAACCTGTCTCATATTCTTCTTTCCTTCCTTCTGATTCATAAGCAGCTTCTTTCGTCTCGAAATATCGGCCGCGTGTAGCTTAGCCGTTACATCCTTTCTCCGGGCCTTGATAGTCTCTCTCGCCAGGATTTTGCTGCCGATCGACGCCTGGATGACAATCTCAAACAGCTGCGAGCGAAGGAACTTCTTGAACCGCTGGACCCATTCTTTTCCCTTTCGTTCCGCGAGGTCGCGGTGCATTACCTGCGCTAGCGCGTCGACGCTGTTACCATTGACCAGTAACTGCATCTTGACCAAGTCGGCGGATTGATATCCTGCGTCTTCGTAATCAAGCGTGGCGTAGCCCTTCGTAGCGCCTTTCAGTTTTCCGAAAAAGTCGTCGACGAGATGGGCGGTGGGGATCAGGTACTGTAAGAGCACTTGGTTACCGTGCGAGAGAAATGTCATGTCTATTTGCGATCCGCGGTTGCCTTCGCAGATGTCGATGATGTCGCCAAGGTATTCCTGAGGGAATGACATGATGGCTTTGACCATCGGCTCCTGGAGATCCGCAACTCTGTTCTTCCTCTCGTTGGGATCAGGGAACTCTTCCGGATTACGAATGATTTTCTCGGTGCCGTCCTTCATCACAATCTTATACGGCACCGTCGGCGCAGTGATGATCAGCGAGGCACCGTACTCTTGCTTCAGCCGGTCCTGGAAGACCGAAGCGTGCAGGGTACCCAGAAACCCAATTCTCCATCCCTGGCCCAAAGCGTTTGAGTTTTCGCGCTGCAGCGAGACACTGCGGTCGTTCAACACAAGCTGGTTCACGCGGTCGTCGATGGCGCGGAACTCGACCCCTTCGGCGGGGAAAGCACCGACAAACACCATCGGCTGCGGTTCCTCAAAGCCAGGCAATGGCTCAGCATCCGATCCGAAATGCAAGATGGTGTCGCCCACAAGCGCTTCGCTGATAGTCTTCATTCCCAGCACGGCGTAGCCGACCTGGCCTGTTTGCAGGTGCTGCATGGGTACTTTGTCCGGGTGCAAAATTCCTAGTTCCTTGATCTCATAGCGCTTGCGAGAATGCGCAGACATTACTTTATCGCCTCTCTGCAGCGTGCCATCCGCGACGTAAATAAGCACAATGACGCCCAAATAATTATCAAACCACGAGTCAACCAACAAACACCTGAGCGCACCATCTGAACTCCCACTTGGCGGCGGAATGCGCTCGATAACAGCCGGAAGGATTTGCTCGACGTTGGTGCCGCGCTTCGCGGACACCGCGATCGCGCCGTCAGGGTCGAGCTCGAACATGGTCTCGATCTGCTCGCGCGCGCGTGGGATGTCGGCGTGGTCGAGATCGATCTTGTTGATCACCGGAACAAGCTCAAGACCGAGACTGTACGCGAGAAAGAAGTTCGCGACCGTCTGCGCCTGCACGCCCTGGCTCGCATCCACAAGCAGCAGCGCTCCACCGCACGAGGCATAACTCCTCGACACTTCTGCGCGGAAGTCAACGTGGCCCGGGGTATCGACAAGATGCAGGAGGTAGTCTTCGCCTTTGTAATTGTACAGCATCGTGCACGTCTGTGCTTTTACTGTGATTCCGCGCTCGCGCTCGACGTCGAGGCGGTCGAGAAATTGGCCTTGACTGCCTTCTGGAATCGTGTTTGTCATAATCAAAAGCCTGTCGCTCAGCGTCGACTTTCCGTGGTCCTGAATGAGAGCATCTGTTAGCTCTTACATCTCTCAAACTGTCTTGCGTAGTCGACTGGCACGCAGGTGACTTACAACATGAGCAACGATGGAGAAATTCCTGTACCGCTCAATCGGTATCGCATCTATCCGCTTCGCCAAATCCTCATTGATATCTGGTACAGTGGCATAGCTCCTCCGTCTCTTCCATGTCTCATCCGCTCTGCGAGTAAGTTCAGCGGACACACTCTTCGTCTCTCGTATCCTCCTGCTGCTAAACAGGGAGCCGAGCGAGCTCAGACTTAGACTCCTTCTACCCACGCACTCGCTGCACAAAGACAGCCTTGCAGCGCTATATCTCGCCACCGACCGCCCTGTCCGTCTTGTCGTCCAAGAGACAACAGATGTAGACGGCCATAGCACCATTGGTCTCATATCGCACTTTGGAGATCTCCCTTCTGGTGTTTGCTGTTCTTGGGAAATATATATCCGAGTCGGGAGCGGAAGAGAGAGAAAAGATATTCTGAGCCGCGCGAAGAAATCTCGAAACTTTATTCGACACCTTCAGCGACTTTGACGATCGTCTGATAATGAGAAGTATTGTTACCGCTCGTTGCTACTTCTGTCTGTCTGTTTGATCTATATATTTGCTGTTCAGAGATTAGATATAAAACAAAAAGAGGAAATTTTTTTTTTTTTTCTTTCTTGGTTTTACAATACGGTACCGCCGCGCGCTCTTGATACATCAAATACAAAAACACTCTGCTCTCTGCTAAGAAATATAAAAAACGACACAAAAGAAAACAAACACAACAACAAAAACAAAGTAGAACAACAAAGCAACACAACAGTACAACAAGCCAGCGCAACAGCTTGTCAGCATAAATCAGAACAGAACAACATCAGAGAAGCAGAAACAGAAAAGACAGAGAAAGTAAGAGCGCGCATAAAGCGACTGGTGCCAGGATCGGGAAGAATGCGTTACGCATACTCTTGAACAAGACTATGAAGCCCTGCTCAAAAGTTATGTGGGACTCTGCGACTCTCGAGAAATCGCCATACCCACTAAAACCCGACTTCACCCAGAAGGCAGTCATGGACTGCCCCCGTATTGGTGGATTGTCAACGTTGCGCTTGAACCGCTTGGTCGTGCGGACTCTCTTCAGCAACCGTCGCCTCGGGGCTCCCTTGCGACGGCGCAACATACCAGTTGCATTTGTTGAAGAGACGCGACAACGAAGACGTTTTAAATCCGATGAGCAACCTGGCTAGGGAAGAAGCTCATCGGATTGGCCGCCCTGACCAACCGCGTCCACCCTGACCAGGCAGGATCCTCGGCGCGTACATGAGACGGCCACGCAGAGGGACCGGGCCGACAACGGCATTACAGTGCCTTCGAGCGCACTCACCCGGTATCTGCGCGGGCAGGCCATATACCAGACCGCTTGGTCGAGTAGGCTTCTCTCTCCCCCTCTTCTCTCGCATGCATGGCACGACGCCCACTCTTGAGGGTGTGCAACCGCGGAAACGGACCGGAATATGCAACTACCCAACTTCTCGAGGTCCTGCCACCGAAATGCTGCTCTATTTGCTGCGGTGTATGCCACTCTTAGAGAACGCTACCTGGATATTATGCTACCCTGAAAGGCGCGCTATCTGTTCCAGTCATAGCCCCCCCAGAGAGTGCTACCTGGTGCGGAGTAGTCTGCTCTCAGTACAAGAACGCTACCCACGCATAGGCAGTTTCTCTGGAGATGCTCATGGAACAGCGCAGTCTACACTTTGAGAATACTACCACTTCGGTATATGGCACCCTCTAAGAATGCTACCTGTGCAGTATAGGCTGCTTTCTGGCGACTTCACGAGGTGCCATGCATGCGATCACAGAAAGAAAGATCGAAGCCTACCCTCATCAACCTTCGCCTCACCTTTTCGCCGTCGAGAGAGAGCCGTGGGATGCCGATAATCCCGATCTATTGCTGGGAAATAGATCAAATCGCTGGGATGGGACAGGAGCCGAAAACCTGTCCCGGGGGAGGAAGAAGAGAAGGAAGAAGAGAGGGAAGAAGGGCGGGCGCGCTGAAATGTGCGGATCGTGGTTCGGGCGGGCGCGTGTCTGATGTAATAGGGTTTCTAGTTTTGGCCGAAAGTAAACACACTCGACGCGCCGCCCGTTTCGTAATTTTTATCGTTTACTTTATCGGAGCAGTTAAGCCGTCTCATTTATCAAGCACAAACGACTTGCTGTTATATAACATAAAAAGAACTTCAAATATATCTATAAATTATACCCGAATATAGGAAAAAATGCGCTCATTATTTCAGAAATATCTGTATCGTAGCAACTAAAACTTTCGCCAATCTACCGGCAACCAGAAAAGAATTTTCGTAAAAGTAAAAAGAACAAAAACAACCCAATGTACACCAAGTGCCAATCTCATGAAGCTATAACAACTCATAAACAAAAATGAAAATAAGAAGAAAAGAAATCAAAAGGTAGAAAAGGAGACAATAAATTAGTACTCTGCGTTCATCATGAGTCCTCTAAAGACGGTGTCACTCGCGTATAGTCCTGCACTTTGGCCTGTGCCGTTTCCGTTGGCACCAGCAGTAGACCCGGGTGCACCAACGCCTTGTCTTGCCCCTCCGGGACCATTGAACAAGTCAGCGTTAGCCTTTCGCACAGCCTCGACAAATCCAGTTGCACCGGGAGTGGACGCTGGCCCGGCTGATGTTGCAGTAGCGGCGGCAGTAGTAGTCGCTCCTGGGGTGCCACTGGTACCAGTAGTCGACGCGAGGTTGATCCAATCCATCATGTCAAGATCGAATGAGAACTCCATGTTCGGCTCTCCGTTACCCGATCCGCCGACTCCAAACGTATCGTCCATCAAGAACTGAGACATCGCATCGGCAGGAGAAATGTTGATCGACTCCTTGCTACTTCCGGGAGTGTTTGATGCACTTCCATTGTTTGCGCTACCGTTTGAAGCACTCTGACTTTGCTGCATCGGCGACAAAAAGGATGAGACGGAGCTAGGGATCGCGATTCCGCGCTCGCCGTCAGCGCCAACGTTCACAGACGCAGTCCTGCTATTACCGACCGGCAGTGGGGAGTCTGGGATTTGGTAGCGTCCATCGTTAGCCGCGGCTTTCAAAAACATTCTCGAGAGATTGTTCGAGCTTTCGCTGCCGCTCTGCTTATATCCGTAGCCCAACATATCGTGTAGATACTTTTCGTCGTCGTAGTAGTCAGTATTAGCAGCCTGCTGATACGCCTGCGCAGCGGCCGCAGCAGCAGCGGCAGCCGCAGCAGCAGCCGTGTTCGAATTGTTATTCTCCTCGGATGACTGCTTGCGTGGCAAGGACTCGGACCGGATACTGCTATTACGAGGCGTAGGCATGAAGTGGAACGCACTGCCGGATGTGTCTGAACCCGCAGCCAAGACGGCCGACGCAGCGACGGGAGTAATTCCCGTGCCACTGGTCGAGGCTGAAGTCGAACCTGCTGCAGAGATTGCGTTTGCATCTGAAGTGGACGAGCCAGAGCTGTTAGCCGGCGTAGTGGAGTTCAGGAGACTGTTGATCTGAGAAATGTGTTTCTTCTGAGCCACCGATGCTGCGTCTGATGCGTTCGCGTTCGCAGCGTAGTTGAGCGATCGCGATGCGCGCGCAGCCCTGTCCATCTCTTGCAGAATGTTGCGGTAACGTTTCGCAGACGGATCGATCTTTCCATAATGACCCAAAATAAAAATACACAAGAAGATACCGCGAGTGATGTACGACTCGACTTCTGATCTGCGCTGATGGAACGATTCGAGCAACAGCACGATTCCAGCGGTGAAGATGAAATACGTCATCAAGTGTGATCGAATGGGCTGCTGATTCTGCGCAAAGAAGGTCATTACCAAATCGACCGATCGAGCAGCGCACAGCACGCATGCTGACGACAAGCGCGACACGGTTTTCGCTTGAGCGGGAATCTCAGAAGGAGTCTTTGCAACCATAAGCAAAAAGAAAGGACGCGTGAGAAGAATAATGCTGTTCAGGTGAGTCAGATGGAGCCTCAAAAGTCCTTGGTTGGAAATAAGCCTGCGTCTGGCCTCGTCACTCATAGATCCGTTTCCTAACTTCCGGCCATCTGGTGAGTTGAGGTTCAACGATGACAACTGGATATCCGCAGGCAAACCGTCGCTCCATTCTCTTAACCGAGTGGCTAGACGCTGAGAAGTTGACGACGAAATACTTTGTGGTCTATAAACCAGCAGACAAATGTCGCCAATAATTTCACAAAGTTTGCCGAGCTCGACAGCGGTTCTATCAAGCTGCACGAGCTCTGTTGTATCTCGATCGTCCCAGTCGCAATCGTCGATGGCCAGAGGGCGTCCTAAACTAGAAGACCAAAATCTATCTTGAATATAAAGCGTACGCCATAATCTCTGCCGCATCAGACGCTGGGGTTTGGGGAAGGTCAAGTTCACGCACTTCCGATGCATTCCCAGAGCTTGAGCAAAGCGGATAGCAGCACCTAAAATATTTGTCCAATTAGTAAACAGATACAAAAAACCAACTGTTTTGAGACGACCGGAACATACCAAGCTGGATCCAACTAGCGTTACGCTTGCAAATGATTTGATAGTACAAACACATGAGCAAGTAAGCCTGTACAACCCACAACTCTCCATCCTCAGCGGCATCATTCATCAGACCGAGTCCAGACTCGAAAAACACGCTGGGATCAATGATACTCCGGCTTTGACCTTCTTTTGATCCACCTGCACCTGATTGGGAAGACGCGTTATTCTCGCTGATGCTTGCAAACGTCGACTGCAGGTTCATTTTGTCGGTCGTGTCTAGCTCGTGCTTAGAGCTCACGAAAATGGCACCAAGTGCGCAAGTGAAGTGAAGTAGGCATAACCAGTGTCGCGGCGCACCCATCGGATTTCTGAACGTCTGTGCCACCTGGTACCGAAAGTGATCCATATCAAAGACATAGTCGAATGCCTGCACGTTGTCTTCGAATGCCTGGATCAGTTCATTTGTAAGAGATCTGGGCGGCAGTTGCAGAGGTATTATTGAAGCAGTGTGAGTTGGCCCGTCGATGAATCTGAACTGGGCAGGGTCGAGAGTAAATGACGAATCACCCATGACTTTTCTAAACGCTTTCCGCGACTGCTCGAGAAAAGAGGTAACGCCACTTTCTCCCATATATCGCAAATGTCCTTTTTCGTCCCACAGCAGACGAGTATTACGACCGTCGCCAACTGTCTCTACCTGGTATTCTGATCGACTATGAGATCTCTTTCTATGGTAACGTTGCTGCTGCTGGTGCTGCTGAACTTGAACAGGTGACTCAGGCGATCTCGGGGACCTAGGCGACGCAGAGGAATCCGACATTGACTCGTCGTGTACCACGTTTCTGCTGCCGCTATTGACGTTATTGCTGCTGCTACCGCCACCACTATTCCTCTCTGCGCCGCTAGCAGATGCCGAGTCCGCCCGTGCAAGCTTCTGCTGCTTATCTTCATACTTTCGGTTCTCAGATTTCAGCTCAGGCTCAGGCGATTGAGACACGGCGGCAGACTGCTGGCGATCGTCGGCCGTTCCGGATGCAGATTTGGGCGACGGCGAGGAAAATGATACTGTGGGAGTTTGGCCAGGAAGGAGGTCTGCTCGGGTTGGCGTATAGTGGCAGGAAAAGTTCTTCTTGAGGCAGATGGAGCATGGATGTTCGCCGTTGCACTATAATGGCATGACTTTGTTAGTTTTTCGGTTGCTCAACGGAGACGGTCTGAGAGCAGGAAAACCTCAAAAGAAGTATACGGATGTGCTCTATTAAATTGAGCGCAAGACACCAACTCCTCATAAAAAGACAGATAGACGCACCTTTTGTTTCCGACGCTTGCAAGAGTCGCAAGCCAAGGCGATACGTTTGCGTTTAGCTGGATCCACGCGCCTCTTCAGTTTGCGCATCTCAGCAGACGAGGGCGTGGATCCTACACCGGGAGTACCGGTCATGCGCACGGCTGACGAGGCTGACGAGGACGACAGCGGTTTTTGTGAAGGAGGAGGCCTCGAGGCATGGCCTGTGGTGGAGGTAGACACGACAGAGGAGGGGGAGCCAGGAGAGGCGGGAGAATGCGGCATGCTTCCGAACGAGAGCACTCGAGCCGACGGAGAGTAGATTGTGGATGGAGAAGTAGACGGTGACCGAGTCACGAGACTATCAGACAGAGAAGAACAGGTCCGCTGCGGAAGCCAGAAAAGTAAACAAAGCGGTGGTCGCAGGCGAGAGGCGGATTAGGTGATCGGTTTTGCGGGGAGGTTGGTTTGACCTCCGCCAGATCGCCGACCGCGGCTGCCCACTGTAATATTAATCACGTGATTAGCTATTTGGTCATGTGACAAGACGGGCTTCCGACGGGCTTCCGACAGGCTTATCACCTGGGCGCAGTAATCAATGTGTGCTGATTCGCGCCCACACTTTTGTCTATTGAACGGCAACTGCCGAAGTTTTAATTCACCCCAGACTCATAACTATAACCAAAATGATAATAAAACACAGTCGAAACAGTAATAGGAATACACCAAAAGTAAATATAACAAAAAAACAAAACATACATAAGACACATTACATCTCATCCTCCAAATACTGATACTCAAACTCAAAGTTCGCCTTCCGTCTCTGCAGCCAGGTGCCTTCAAAGTCAAAGTACCGATATGTGCCCTGCTCGTAGTCATCGGTGATCACCTTTGGCTCTTCGTGCCGCTGAAACCACGTCAAAAACTTCTTGTGGAATCTCCAGCTCTGCTTCTTCAACTCCTGTGCGGCTAGGTACTGCTGGTACGTTCCTTGCCGGTAGTAAAATACATAAAACAACGTGTCGATGTCGACTTTCTCGTACAGCAATGGATCGTCAAAGACAGCCAGTGGTTCCTGTGGGAAATACGACGCAGTCGGGAACGGTGTCTTGGGCACGTAGTGTTTCGGCTTGTCGGCATCTACCGCCTCTGGACAGCTTCTGAACGACGCCTCAACCATCTTGCTTATCGCTTCTGGGGACGGCGGGTTCTGTACTCTTTCCTTTGCAGTCTCAAACGCAGTTGCCAAATCTTGCAGACCGTTCGGCAGAGGCAGCGCAGGCCTCTCAGAAGAAGTCGTAGTCCCAGACTGCACCAGATCAGGTGTCTTTTCGCGTTGCTGAGAATCCAGGCTTTCAGTGGATTTTTTCAGCGCAGCCTCCATCTCCTTCATATTGAATGCACCATCTTTCTGCGTGGTCGATGAGGCAGCAGATGTTGCAGAATCATTAGAGGCCGCGGGAGCAGCAGCAGCAGGTACGGAAGCCTTCTGAGATTCAGGCTCGGCCGTACTTGTCGCGGCTTTCTCGCTAGATCCGTTCTGAGCCGTTGCGGCAGTGGCTACTGTTGAGAATGATGTCAGTGGTGACGATACAGCCGAAGTAGATCGCGACACTGTTGTTCCCTGCGTCTTCTCCCCTGAAGATTTGCTAGCCGCCGCCGCTGTACCCGAAGGGGGAGGAGGAAGTGGAGCAAGACCCGGTGTATTACTAGCTGCCGCGGCCGCTGCTGCGGCCGCTGCTGAAGCGTACTTCAGACCTTCACCCAACCGCGGAGCCGGTGCAGGCTTCATTGTTGTGCTAGTGATAGTAGATGCCGACGCGGTCGCAGCAGCAGGCGGCGGATTTGCAGCAACAGAGCTAGGTATACTGGTCGAAGTCTTGCCTGACACCTTGCGCACACTTGTCGCTTCTGCCTTTTTGGCTACCAGCAGTGGAACAGTGGGTGTATTAATTTCCTTCTTCTCTTCCTCTTCGTGAACAGAGTGCGAATCCTGGTGGTCGTTGTCGTTCATTCCGAAGAGTTCCTCGTCTTCTTCGAGATTGAGAGAATCGTACATCTCGTCGTCGTCGGCAAAGTCCGCGTCCTGGTTCGATTCGACGTAATACTTGATGTCTTCTTGTATCGATGCTACCTGATCGACCTCAAGATTTCCGTTTTCCAGCAAGCGCAAGATAACCTCGAGTTTCCCCTGATGCCACTTGTGCTGCTCGATTCTGCTTTCGATTTCCGCTATCCGCTCAGCTTTCGAAGTGTCCTTCTTTCCACGCTTAACTGTCGCTTGCAGCAGTTCGAGCTCAGCCTCTTTCTGCTCCACCTGTCGGTCAAGATCCTCAATCATCGACGTGATAAAGTTCGCCATCTCCATCTTTTCTTTCTCACGCGGGTCGAGACGGGTCACGCTGAGACCTTCTTTGCTATAGGCTTTTGTCTTCATTTCTTTCTCACAGGCTTTGAACCGCTCCATCTCCTATATTCATATGATTTGTTGAGTAATGTTCATCAGAAAAATATAAAGATAACACATACCGACTCGATAAGCTTCCGTTGATCAACAAGAGGCTTTTTGTCCTTGATTTCGTTACCGCTCAGCCATGATTTGATCTGATCTCGTAGGCGCTGAAGCTTTTTGATTTCACGCTTAAGGTCCTTTTGATCAATTACAATATTAGCCGTCACTTCCTTCAAATTCTCTTTTCAATCAAGAAGACTTACCTGCTCGAGCTTCTCCTTCTGTGACTGATTTGTGGTCATCATGAGTTTGTCGTAAAGAGCATCGAACGCCTGGACGCCCTCGGCAACGCGCTTCAGTACACGGTCGATCTCCTGTTGCAGCTTTCGTTGCGCCATTGTGTTTCAAGTAGCAGACCGAGTGAGTGATTCGGATGGTAGAAGAACAGAGCTATGCTATGTCTGGTTGATATAAGCTAGATACTGATGCAAATTGCTAGTTTTCGAGATGTGTGATTGAGTTCATAACCCCAATCTAACTATTCGGCAGTGATTCCAGTGTGGTTTCCCCGTGAAGTGCCGTTACTCGCCCAGTCGCAGTAGAAGGCCGTGTGTGGTGAGATCTGGAAGCAGAAAGGGCAGCGAGGATGGAGATGGAAGTTAAGGTGGTTTAGTGCTGGGTGGTTACAAGGACCAAGCCGCAACCTGTATTTCCTTGACTCCTCGCTTTGTATTGTTCTACAAGTCTACAAGTCTACACTAGTAGTCTTGCAATACAGAAATGACTATTGGAGATAAGGATATTATAAGACTGTGACAAATTGCTTTTATATAGCCAATTGTCATGAAGATCAAGCAGAAAGATGTCGTAATGGCCTTATGACGAGCTATTTGTGAATGCATTTAGGGTTTTAATCGTCAAACTACATGAATGCAATGACGGAAGTCATTCAGAAACACATTGAAGACCGAATTTGACATCAATTATAAAGAATATCAAAGACAGCTTAAGCCAGTATTGTAACGCGTAAATCTATAAGCCATACTTTTCATAGTCAATCTCCTCTAGACTGCCCAGAATCTCGCCATTGGTACCGATGATCTCTTCCTTTTTCTCATCAACGACCTCCAGAATTCTTGGATCAGGAACCCAGATAACCTGGCAGCCTGCTGCCTTGGCACCTTCGACGCCGGGAATACCGTCCTCAAACACAAGAGTCTCTTCAGGCTTGATAGGTGTGTCGATGTCACCAGACTTGAGTAGCTCGTCATTGAGTGATTTGAGAGCGACGAGCCAAATATCTGGAGCCGGCTTTCCACGACCTTTCGGGATCCGCTCGTCATCTCCGGTAACCTTGTGAGGCCCAAAGAGCTCGAACATCTCCTGTAGATGTGCGGTTTTGAGAAAGTAGTTTTTGGAGTGGCTCGAAGTTGCAAGCGCGATCGGGATCTTCTTCTCAACTAGTCGGTTGAGGAGCGCGACTGCGCCCGGCATTGGCTTTGTCTCTTTCCACTTCGACTCCTGACGCGCCGAGGTTATTTTAAACAGCTCTTCGGGAGTATACGGCAGTTGTGACCACTCGAGGAACTTTGCGGACGCAGCGGGACCGGGACGACCCTGGAGGTCGGCTTTGATGTGCCAGGGCAGGGAGGGCTTGCCATGTTCGGCGAGGATGGAGTTCGTGGTCTCGGTGTAGATCTCCTCAGAGTTGATGAGGAGGCCGTCCATGTCAAATAGACAGGCGCGGATCTTTGGGCGGGACGTCATCTTGCTGGATCAGTGCTGGAGAGTGGATGTAGTTTTCTTCTGCTGAGGAGGAGCAGAGTGAGTGGAGTAGAGCCAAGATGCAATTAGTCAAATATTACATCATCATGTAGTATTTTGTGACGCGGTCTAAACTCTAACCGACTCGCGTACGACGGAGGCAGCCACCGACAGCAGACATGCACCGGCTGCAGGAGATCCTCGCGGAGGCCGGGCAGAGCGTACGACGGACACAGAAGAACAAAAGTGCGAAACACACCAAGAACCACGATAGTGACGCGTAGAGACCCGTCGCAGGCTGATTGATCTCCGGGATCAGCTGGGCTCGACTCCCATGCGGCTGTGAAACGCGGCTGTGGCTCGGTTTCTATAAATGACTTTCCACCGCCTCTTCCTCTTCTTCAGGCAATAGCAAACCACCGGCACCAGACACCACAATGTCCTATCACCCCATTGGAGATGAATACGAGCACACGGCTGAGGATGAGCAGGTCGACCAGTCCTACGCCATGAGCGAGCTGCCCAGCGACGCAAACTACCCGGACGTCGACCCCGACGAAGACGCGTATTATCTTGCCGCGCCCGACAACCTGCCCCTCGCCTCCTCCGCCTCGGGTATCTACGACCCCTTCGTCAACCAGTCGAATGAAGAGTACGAGTCTAAGGACGGCTTCTCGCACCGGCATCACTCGTACCAGCTCTCGGAGTCGTACATCACCGTCCCCACAGACAGAGCCAGCACATACGCGACCTCCATCATTGACCCTGCCGAACTCGAGGACCGCGAATGGCAGAAGCGCCAAGAGAAAAATACAGAGAATCTGCAGCGATTTGCTACCAGACGCGTCAAACTCGACAAGAATAAAATCTTCAGCGCAAACTACGCGTAAGTTCTACATGTTTTTCCTCTCAGACCCCCTGCGGCGCGATTGACAAAATCTAGTGTACCTTCTCCTCTCAAAAATGGCATTGAGCGCAAGTATATCGATCTCGAATATGGCTCGGACGAGTTCACTCATCTCAGATACACTGCCGCTACGTGCGACCCCGATGAGTTCGTCGGTAAAGGCTACACCCTTCGCCAGAAAATGTACGACCGCAGGACCGAGCTCCTGATTGCAATCACGTATTACAACGAGGACAAGGTGCTCACTGCACGCACATTGCACGGTGTCATGAAAAATGTCCGAGATATCTGTAACCTGAAGCGGACCAGATTCTGGCACAACGGTGGTGCAGCTTGGCAGAAGATTGTCGTCTCGCTCATTTTTGATGGAATTGACCGTAAGCTTATCCCTTGATTCGTTTTGGCGCACGAGTATTCAATTGATACTAACAAAAAATCAATCATGCCAGCCTGCGATAAGGGAACTCTTGACATGCTTGCTGCTATTGGTATCTACCAGGAGGGTGTCTTGCGTAAGGATATCGACGGCCAGGAGACCGTCGCTCATATCTTTGAGTACACGACCCAATTCTGCGTGACTCCAAACCAAGAGCTGATTCGCCCGACCGAGGGCGCGGCCGACAATCTTGCTCCGGTCCAAATGATTTTCTGCCTCAAGCAGAAAAACGCAAAGAAGATCAACTCGCATCGCTGGCTCTTCAACGCCATCGGTAAAACTATCAACCCCGAAATCTGCATTCTTCTCGATGCAGGAACAAAGCCCGGGAGCAAATCTCTGCTCGCCCTCTGGGAAGCTTTCTACAACGATAAAAATCTTGGAGGAGCATGTGGCGAGATCCATGCTATGCTGGGTCGTCACAACAGGAATCTGCTCAATCCCCTGGTGGCAGCTCAAAACTTTGAGTACAAGATCTCGAATATTTTGGATAAACCCTTGGAGTCTTCTTTTGGATACATCAGTGTTCTTCCTGGTGCGTTTTCGGCCTACAGATTCAGGGCCATCGAAGGTGTTCCTCTACAGCAATACTTCCACGGCGATCAGACGCTCGCCAAGCGACTTGGAAAAAAGGGTGTGGAAGGAATGAACATTTTCACGAAAAACATGTTTTTGGCCGAAGACCGAATTCTCTGCTTTGAGGTTACTTTCAAGAAGGGGTGCAAATGGCATTTGGCCTACGTCAAGGCTGCAAAGGCCGAGACTGATGTTCCCGACCGAGCGCCGGAGTTCATCTCTCAACGTCGACGTTGGCTGAATGGTTCATTCGCGGCTTCCGTCTACGCTCTTATGCATTTTACCCGCATGTACAGAAGTGGCCACAACATCTTCCGTCTGTTTATGTTCAACATTCAATCTCTCTATAACTTGGTCCAGATCTTCTTGACTTGGATCAGTCTTGCATCGTTCTATCTTACGACTACCATTGTCTTGTATCTGGCGGCCGACCCGACTTATATGGGTCAGAAAGCAGCTGATAACGCGCCTACGATGCCAATCCCGAATCAAAGAAACGTCAACAAGATTATCGCGGTCGTAGTAGATTATCTCTACGTCGGCATGCTGGTGTTATCCTTCCTTTTAGCACTTGGAAATCGACCGAAGGGGTATGTATGAGTGCGCTTCTCTAGAGCAAAAATTGATGCTAACGAGCTTTCATCAATTTAGTTCCAAGTACTGGTATTATTTTGCAATCACAATGTTTGGAGTTATTCAGTACTACGCCCTGGTCATCTCGTTCATGCTCGTCGCTCAAACCCTAGGCTCAGCCGATTTCGCAAAAGCACCGGATCAGAGTCTTGTCAGTTACATCTTTGGCTCGATCCCGCTTTTGATTGTCATTGCCCTCGTTTCAACTTACGGTGTCTATCTGCTCTCTGCGATCTTCTACCTCGATCCCTGGCATATGCTCAACAGTTTCACGCAGTACACGTTTTTCATGCCGAGCTTCACAAATATCCTCAATGTCTACGCGTTTTGCAATTGGCACGATGTTTCATGGGGTACCAAGGGCTCAGACAGCGCCGACGTTCTTCCGTCTGTGCACACTAAGAAAACCGAGGATGGTGAAGCTGTCATTGTCGAGGAGCCGGATCTGCCACAAGAAGACATCGACGCTCTTTTCCACGAGACCGTGACGCGTGCGCTGACGAAATACGTACCGCCTGCGAACGACAACAAGAGCAGTCTCGACGACGCGTACCGAAACTTCCGCACCAATCTCGTGATTGCCTGGATTCTATCAAACATGATTGTCGTCTTTGCAATCACGTCGACCAGTCTGCAGGGCATCATTCCGAGCGAGACGAATGAGGCCGTCACAACGAAACGAAAGAACTTCTTCGCGCTGCTGCTCTGGGCGACTGCGATTATTTGTCTCATTCGTCTTTGTGGAAATATGCTTTTCCTCTTCAAGACGAGTATTCTGTTTTGCGTCATGAAACGCTAGAGACGTAAACACATGTAAAAATTAGTGATTTGGGTTATATATTCTATGTGTGATCTTTTGGATTCTTTGCATATTAATGAAAACGAATATCTTACTCTCCTTGGATCAATTATAAGTTACGAGCAATCCGACAATTAGTAGTAAAGTTGACCGGAGTCCGGCTCGAGGTTGACGTCGCCGCGGCCGCAGCGGCTGTGCTCATCTTCGTGAAAGTCAAACGGAGACAGATGACTGCTGCGCCCTGATCCGACTCTCAGAAAGTATTGCGGCTCAGACCTGAGCTTCACTTCTCTATATCTTATCCTGTTTGCTCGTCCAGCTCAGTTCAGGCTTATAGAACTGGCATTGATACATTTGCAATGACAGATCCGCAGGATTTACTGGGGGTGCTAATCGTCGTTGTTTACAGAGGTGTAAGTTCTGTCAGAGACTACTTTTGAACTTGAATTTGATCTTTGCTCACATTCTATGTCTTCAGCTTGGATTACGAACCGATGAAGTTCCTCCGGAAAGGAAACTGTACTGTATCTGCACGATTGCGCATACTTCTGAACGGACAGAGGACTCCACGCATTCCGGGAAAGCCTGCGATACATGGTACTCAACTCTCTCCTCATCCACACCTTCGCCATACCTCGACACGAAAACTTACAGACTCGTTTTCTAGGGACTCGCAATTACGATTCGACATATACCCCGGGATTGAATACCTCACGTTAAAGTTAGCAGTCTTCTACGAAGAGGACGGTAAGCCGAAAGTCCTCGGGAGCACCGAAATCAGCATAAAGCCTGCGCTCGAGAGGCCGATAACTACCCGCGGTGGCTCTGACGAGGGGTATGATCTGGATGATATTCCTATTTATTGGAAGGATGAGTGAGTTGCATTCTTATCTTTGTTGTTTTCTGTGGATCAACAGGCAGTTACTGACGACTACGCGATTTTAGGGAGGTGGGCAATATGAGTCTGGAAATGTCGTTCTATAAGGTATTTACCGCGCTAGCTCAGACACTTCTCCTACCGGCTATTTTCCGAGATCAGAACTAACAATATACTCAGAACCCGAAAACCACGCAAAAGAACAGACGCTCTGTGGGTCAGGCAGAACAACTACCACAGCCCACGCCGACACCGCAGCCAGTCAAACAAATAAACATCCAGCACCCTCCACCGGTTCAACGCACTCCCATTCCACAATCACTCCCCAACTTTTATCCGCCGTCACAACCACAGGTACCAATGCCGTCAGTGTCGTCTCCACTGCCGTCCCCACCAGCGCACTTTGTCCCGCCGGCGCCGTACCTACCCGGTCCACCGCTCCCTCCTAGACGCCGAACCGTCTCCCCTGAGCGGGCGAACCGGAGCCAGTTTGGGTCTGTGCCGGAGTTTCGAAATAGCAGCCAGTCTCCGAGTCGCACTGGTCAGAGGGTAGTTGAGATGCAGCAGAACAATTATCTGCCGCCGCGGACTTTGACGCCGGATGCTGATGCGTTTGCGCGGCAGCAACATCCTGCTTTTCTAAATCCTCAGGGGTGGGATAATACTGGCGCGTTTACACCTCAGATCCCATCAACTATACCAGCCGCTCGACGCAGCTCGGAGATGTCATCTCCATCAATTCCAGCCTATGAGCCACCACAGCCAATTTTCCCTGCGGAAAGAACAGAGCGGCAGTTTAACGTGCCGCAGCAGTACTCCACCGACCCGTCGCGGAGGTACTCGGCTCCAAACCACGCGCCTGCTACGCCAGAGATGAGCTCTGGCTACTTTACAGATCCGGCGAATTCGCGATCGACTCCTGCTACTCCACTGTACCCCACGTCTCATAATATGCATCCTCATAGCTCACCGATCATGCAGGCTTCCCACGAGCAGATGCAGGAGAATTATCATAGAGGGTCCTACGCTTCTGAGGAGCCAATATCGCCGTTACAGCCTCGGCCAATGACATTCACGAACGGAAGCGCAAATAAGCGGTCGCCATCTACATTTTCGAGATTAAGCTACTCGGAAAGCGTATTTCAAGAGTTGGCATCTGCTGAACTATCTCCGCGCGTGTATGCGCCAGACATGTTTGATCGCAGCGAGACGCATACGGTGCCTCCACCTGCTACCCCAGTTCCGCAGCAACCAGTTCATCCATCCCCACAGCCGTCTGCTGCTTCCGAAAGCAGGAAAGTTCCTCGGAAACCCTTACCAAAGAATAGTCCGCTCGCCGCACAGCTCCAGTCAGACAGCAACACCATGAAACTGCCACACCTCCCCGGCGGCTGGGATACCTCGCCTGTATCCGAGGACCCTCCTCGAAAGTCTCAGACGCCGCCGCAACCCTCTGCCGTCCGTCGCGTGCCTGTCCCCGCTCCTGCTCCCGCTCCTGCTCCGCCACCAGTGTTTGCCTCCGCCGCATCGATCGCGCTCTCGCCCGCGCTCCAGAAACTCGACATCACGCGCACGCGCCGCGGCAAAACCGACCCAGACAGCGACGAACTCCAGCCGTCGTCGCACGCACCCGAACTCGGCACGCAAGAAGGGCTCGAGACGTTATCTGCTGTGAGCCCCGAGCACCGAAAGATGATGGCCCGGCGCGAGGAGGTCAGACGGCAGAAGATGATGGAGGAGAAAGCGAGGTTGGCGGGTACTCCGCCTTTGCCGCCGAAGATTCCGAGGGGGATTACCAAAGAGGAGTGGGAGGCTTTGGCAGCGGCGAGGAGGAAGTCGAGTTACGATTGATAGATCTTTGAGCACGCACAGGACATAAAATCTACATTTTTTTTACTTTTTACGTCGTCATTTTCGTTACTGCATGATTGGCTTGGATATATATTTCGTCTGCTTTTACTTTACGTTCGATTTCAATTTTTTTGTATATGCATTTTGAGTTTGAAGATAGTATCGTTCATTGTCAGACAACCTAGAAAGTACAGCGAGAGAGAATGAATGATCTCTACAGTGAATTTATAACTATAACCTATGCTTATTTATTTTGACTATATCAGACCGGTACCAAAACACGAAAACAGAAATAAAATCAAGAACTTTTAGCGACTTGCAAAGCAAATCTTTATAGCAGCCCTATATACGGACTACATATCTATATCTCTAGAACAAGTTCATGCAGCACCGCCGTCTTAGAACAAACCCTCAATATTCCCGTCCTCAGAGACCTCGACGTCCATGAACCCACAGTGCGTAGGCAATCCCGGAATCGTCTGAATCTCCGCCGCAAGCGCGTACAAGTACCCCGCGCCCACAGATGCGCGCACATCACGAATCGGCACGGTGAAGTTTGAAGGAACGCCCTTGAGCGCGGGATCGTGCGACAGACTGTACTGCGTCTTGGCGACGCAGATCGGCAGGTTGCCAAAGCCCTGGCGGGTGTAAGTTTCGATTTTCTCGCGCGCGAGATCGCTGAGCTCGACTTTGTCGGCACCATACATCTTCTTCGCGATCGCGTTGAGCTTCTCCTCGACCGAGGAGTTGAGATCGTACAACAATTCGAAGTTGTTGCTGTCGGACTTGTTCGCAGCGGCGACGACGCCCTCTGCGAGCGCAATCGAGCCCTTTCCGCCCTCGGCCCAATGGTTAGAGACAATCGCGTCGTCGGCACCCGCGGCAATAGCTGCTTCGCGGATACACTCGACCTCGGCAGGTGTGTCGGTTTCAAACTGGTTGATAGCAACAACGACAGGCAGGCCGTACTGCTTTGCGTTCTCGATCTGCTTGCCGAGATTGGCGCAGCCGTTACGGAGAAGCTCGACGTTCTCCTGACGGTACACTTCAGGGAGAGCAACTCCGGGAGTAACGTTAGGACCACCGCCGTGGAGCTTCAGAGCACGAACGGTTGCGACAATGACGACCACATCGGGAACCAAGCCACTCGAACGGCACTTGATGTTGAAGAATCGCTCACCACCCATCGTGAAATCGAAACCAGCTTCAGTGACAACATATCCGGTCTTCTCAGCCTCGTTTTCGCCGGGTTCAGTACCAGCAAGCTTCAACGCGATCTTGTCTGCCAAAACCGAGTTCGCGCCGATCGAGATGTTGGCAAAAGGACCAGCGTGAACAAACACAGGAGTACCCTCGAGAGTCTGCATCAACGTAGGCTTAATAGCATCCTTCATCAACGCAGTGAGCGCACCTCCAGCACCTATATCGTCGCAGGTGATAGGTTCACCGGACTTTGACGAGGCGACCACCATCCGTCCAAGACGCTCGCGCATATCCGACAGCGAGCTTGAAAGCGCCAAAACTGCCATGCACTCGCTCGCGACAGTAATATCAAAACCAGTCTCGCGAGTGTGGCCCTTTTCAGCGGGACCCTGGCCGATGGTGATTCCACGAAGATGACGGTCGTTGCAATCGACCACACGACGCCAGGTGATAGTCTCAGGGTCGATGTCAAGACGGACGAACTTTGAGACTTCCTCAGGAGTGAGATCATCAGGGTTGGTCTTGTTGATTCCGAGTTTCTCGAGACGACGGAGCATCACAGGAGAAAACTTGCGGACTCCCTGCTTAGCAGGAACAAGACGCTTGTAGAGCGCAGCGTCCTTCTGAGACCGCTCGTGGAACATGCGTGTGTCGATAGCAGCCGCCAATAAATTTGTGGCAGCACCAATCGCGTGAATATCGCCGGTTAAATGCATGTTGAATTCGTCCATGGGAATAACTTGCGCGTAACCGCCGCCAGCGGCACCACCCTTGATACCAAAGGTAGGACCCATTGAAGGCTGGCGAACGTTGGCAAACGCAATCTTTCCGAGATGCGCACCAAGAGCCTGGACCAAGCCTACAGTGGTAGTGGACTTACCTTCTCCAAGAGGAGTAGGAGTGATACCCGTGACGAGAATGTACTTGCCGTTCTTGCGGTGCTTCAGGCGGTCAAGAACAGAGAGCTGAACTTTAGCCTTGTACGATCCGTAGCTCTCGAGCTCGTTGTCGGTGATGCCAATCTCCTTTGCAAGATCACGAACGTTCTTAGGCTTTTGGCTACGAGAGATCTCAAAGTCACTGGGGACTTTTTCAAGAACTTTCAGTGGTAGTGGGGTGATATGTCGCTGTGCCTGTTGCTCATAGAAGCGCTTTGCAGAGTCAACAACGTTCTGAAGAAGCATAGCAACAGTCATTGGCCCAACACCACCAGGCACCGGCGTGATCTTTGACGCAACTTTTGAGGCGGAAGCATAATCAACGTCTCCGACGAGGCGCTGACCCGACTTTCGCGATGAATCAGGAATAAAATTTGTCCCGACGTCGATGACTACGGCACCAGGCTTGATCCATTCTCCTTTAACAAACTGGGCTTGACCAATAGCAGAGACAATGACGTCTGCCTCCTTGACGTAGCTCTCGATGTTCTTGGTACGAGAATGGCAGACAGTGACCGTCGCGTCTGCGTTGCGCAGAAGCGAGGCAACCGGACTTCCGACAATGTCGCTACGGCCCAGGACAACAACTCGCTTACCAGAAAGCTCGACACCAGCGTTCTGCAGCAGAACCATGACACCCTTCGGAGTGCAGGGGACAAAGAGAGGTGAGCCACCTCGTTTGGCCAGTTCACCTGCGTTCAGAGGACCAAATCCATCGACATCTTTCTCTGGAGCGACGGCGTTGGTAACCGCAATCTCAGAGATATGCCGAGGAACGGGAAGTTGGACGAGCACACCGTGCACGGATGGATCGTTGTTGAGATCAGAGATCTCAGAGAGCAGCTATGAAGACAGTTTAGATTTGCCCGCACTTTAGTATTAAGCGAATGCGGATTCATACCTCAGCCTCAGTGATATCCTCGGGGAATTTTTTCAAGGTGCAGACAATATTAGCCTATGACTTGGTGTTAGCATCATAATAATATCTGTATTCAATTGACATATAAGTTTCGACATACCTCTTCAGCAGCCTTCAGTTTCATGCGCACATAGGTGCTAGAATCCGGACGCCCGCCCACTTGAATGATAGTAAGCGAGGGCTTGAACTGTGGATTGGTCGCCTGAATCGAGCTGATCTCTTCATTAATTGATTCGCGGATCGATCTGTAAAGGCAGAACTGTTAGCATCAGGAAATTCAGGGATTAGGCGACTGAGCCGCGCGGTGAGTCAGGGATCTAGATCCGACATACTTTGCAAGAGACTTTCCGTCGATAATCTCGCCAGACTCCACATATTCGTCTGCAACAGCGGCAGCAGATGAAACGCCAGAACTCCTACTAGTAGAGCTCGAGCCGAATGACCGCTTCGCGTCTCCGAGGGATTGAATCGGCAGGTTTCGCGAGCGAATGTAGAAGGTTAGGGCTGTAGACTCCGCGACGAGGCGGTGCCTGCTGAGGCGTGGCGGTGACCGTCTTGAGACGCGGGAAAACATTGTTTCGGAAGATCAAAGGGGATTGCTGAGAGGGTGGTGTAGAGTGATCTGCACTGGAATCCAATGTATATTGTATTGACAGGGCCGGATCGAAATCAAGCGCGGTGGTCGGAATAACACTGGAGTTGAATAGGTGTGAAGACCAAATCAAAAAATTCGGACTATTGCCAATTCAGCTGCAGATGGACCAAATCAAGAGAAAACTGGTGTATGTCAAGATGAGTGCTCCTCTTCAACAATACTAGTCTATCACTGGATTCTAGCTCGAATTTAGCCGTTGGTAGTCGAGTCTATAAGTTTTGAATCACAATCAGTACTTCGGTACTCAAGCGCATAAAACGCAGCAAGGAGAACCCATATAACAAACCTACCAAATATATTCCAAGACCTGATAACCCAACAACAGATCTATATTACTGCGGATACGGATCTCCCCTGTTCTTGGATGCAAGCCTAGTACTTCTGCAGACAATGAGAGTCCAGGTGCGGTCGCCTGAAAATTTACCGCGATGCGTGGCGTTCATGTCAATCTGAGCTTAAATGTCAGCACCAAGGTGCTCGTGCCACGGTCCAGAAGGTTGCATAAGTAACGAAGAACTACATTATTGAGCATGAAGTATCTAATATCGTTCAGGTCTATAATACAGGACAATAACTGTGCAAACAAAAGCATCAAAAAAGGCAATCAGAAAGACGCGAAGAAACGCTCAAAGCATGAAAGACGAAGCAGAACAAACAAACTAGAAATACCAAAAACCAGACCGCAACTCGTTATCATTTAACAGCGACATTTCGTGACAAAAAATCTAAATACTCCAAAAACAAGCTAGATGTAAAAAAATACATGAACGAAAACATACAAACACCGGCAAAGCTTCAAGAGAAAGGGTAGCGGAGCAAAACATAACAGGTGAACAGGAGCATTCCAAGCGATTTGAAGAGGCATTACGACTGCTTGCGTTCAATCAAGTTTGGCTTGGCTCTGATAGCAGTCATAGTAGCAGGATTGAAGACCGTCGAACGGAAATTCGAAGTAGCCAACGAATCTCTGATGCCGATTGACTCTCGTATGCTCTGGTCCTCTTGACTGTCATATGTCGCGCCCGAGTAGACCGACATGCCCCTGTTCTCGCTAGATGTGTAGTATGGTGCGGCTGGGTTCATGTAAACTGGGTCTTGCGCATCGGTATACGGTTGTTGCTGCTGCTGGGCGAAAGCGCTGTAGTCGCTCTGCTGTTGTTGCATTGATGGGGCTCCTGAAGACGCGCCCGCGTGCTCGATCGGCATCTCGGGAATTGGGGGAACATATGAAGGAGAGCTCGGATTCGACCGGTTGATGACGCCGGGAATGTACGCGATGGGGATGATGTTTGATGCACGGGTGATGGTCGAGTCGGCGACGGAGTGAACGGTATGTGTTGATTGGGCGTCATCGGCGATATTATAGACGTCATTTCTTGGGCTCGATAGGACAGACGATACCCGGTCGGGCTTCTCATCATCGCCGCCGAACGAGTTCGAGAGCCGAGCCACGGTAGCGCGACTTCTCTTCCTGCGATAGAAAAGGAAGAGCGCGACGAGGACTATAGCGACGAAAGCCAAACCACCAACCACACCACCCGCGATCGCACCCGTATTTGTCGAATGAGAAAAGTGACCTGCCGCAGCAGCAGAAGTAGCTGCCGCGCTGGCGGAGGCAGAAGCGCTCGAGCTCGAACTGTCCAGGGAGACGCAGTAAGTTGCCGCGCAGCTGGAACACGTCTGTAGAGTTAACTGGCACTGCTCGTTGTCATCACAAGTCGGGCACGAAGGATTTGTGTCGTTGCATGTGACGCAAGCGCGCCCAAACAAACGCATGCCCATATATAAGGATTCCATGGCTGTTGCGAAAGAGTCCGAGATGGAAAAACCTGGAGTGGAGCTAAGGAGGCCTGGTGAGGAAGAAAGTGGTGACAGGAGAGGTCGTTTAGAATGTGCCTGCGGCTAAGCGGATGTGGCATAGATCCACACATTTTCGTAGTTTATGCCGACCGAGCGCCAACTGGCTAGCGGCTCTATATTTTAGGGGGCTTGCAGTTGGAAAATATTGAAGGTCTTCTTATTCTTGATCTTCTGAACATTGTGTAGAGGCAGGAACTGAATTGTATAGAAAATGAGCGAACAGGAAACGGTGCTGTGATAGAAGTCCACGTTGCTCTGGATCTCGATTTCCAGAAGGCTTATTATTATTACACTTCGACTTTTGGGAATACGTCGAATTCAAGATCTGGAGCAGCAGACTTACTCGACCTTTCTTTTAAACACGATTTCGTGCTGTTTTGAAGGCATCAGGGCCCATAGATTCAGTATAGCTGTAGTGACCGTGGAAACTTACTCAGGTACCGTACCTGGTAGCTCGTTGGCATGATACAGATTGCAGTGAAAACTCCACTTCTCATTGACAATCTCTCGTACTATATCTATATCGTACACAAAACAAAACGAAAAAATTCAACAATGCAGCTACATTTCCATAGAACTTCCGTCTTTGGCCTCGGCAACTTGCAGGCCTCCTTCCTTTGCTATCCGAACAAATTTCAGCAGTCCCATTCCGTTCCACTCTTCGTTCCAATCTCTAAAAGCCTTTACTATATTCTTGTCCAACAAGTTCGGTACATCTATTTTATTACCAAGTATTAGCATCCATCACTCACAAGATCACTTGGAGGTAGACTTACAGAATCCAGTTTTGAACTCCTCCATCTCGAACTCGCGTCGAGTTTGCAGTGCGTCTTGACGGCTGGACGACGGTCTGCCTGGTCTTCGGCTGGCCTGCAGCTGCTGGATTTCAGCATCATCACGGCTTATGAACCTTCAGCACATTGTTAGCATTGCTCTTTGCAGACAACACAAGCATACATGGAGACTCACTCTTGGATCATGGACTTGATCTCTTCCTCAGTGAAGGCAGTCTTGTCTTTGTTCTCTTCCCGGTCGACGCAGCTTCTCAGGAACCTGAATCTCAAAACTATTAAATGTCAGCAAACCGCTCGCATATCGCACTGACACTAACACTCCCTACCTTGCACATCACGAACCGAACTGCGCTCCATCTTCTGCTTGGTGACCTTCCTCTCTCGCAAAGTAGCACGATTCAGCTGCTGGAACTTCCGAGCTTTAGGATGCACGCCGCTTCCCGCCTTCAGCTTCTGCTCGACCTTCTTTAACGACTTTGCAATAGGCATCTCTATCTCAAACTCACAAACTGTTGCAAGTTGCTGCAGTGCTGTGAAATAATTTCATGTCGGTCGCAGTTGGGAGTTTTTTTTCGGGCATTTAAACTTTATCCGTGCGGCGCCGGTGTCTCGGACCCAGAAATGTGAGCGTCGCACACGCGAACAGCACGCGCGGAGGAAGAACAACCGCAGCAGGAAGAAACGGCAGCTTCCTTCGGACTTGCAAAGATCTTTGGTTTTAGTCTCTCGCACCTTTCATCCTGTATTTGCCTCCTATTTCCCCTCTACACGCGCTAGTTGCTGGCGTACTGCGCTCTTCATCGCCAGATACGTGACCGTGCGCTTGTTCTGTAAACAATAGGGTCATCGCGATGGGAATTTCAGGTACTGCGGGCGTTTGTCACATCTAGCACAGTTCCAGGCAGCTAACCACGTCTCCACAGGACTGCTTCCGTTGCTGAAGTCGATTCAGCAGCCTACGCATATCAAGGAATTTGCGGGCCAAGTTGTTGGAGTCGATGGCTACGTCTGGCTTCATCGAGGCGCCATTGCGTGCGCGGTTGACCTCGCGCTCGGAAGGCCTACACGCAAGTAAGCTCGCTGCTGAGTAGCTGTGCCGTACTTGTACCGTTTCTGACTCCTGTGTAGATATGTGGATTATGCAATGCACCGCGTGCATATGTTACAGCATTATGGCGTGAAGCCGTACCTTGTCTTCGATGGTGCCAATCTCCCAAGCAAGCGACACACAGAGATTGAGCGGAAGAAGTAAGTGTTTGCTCCAGGATTACTAGGCAGAGGTCATTAACATTTGACTGATTATCTTAGATCGCGTGACGAGGCTAGACAAGAGGTTATGAAGCTGTTTCGTGCAGGGCGCTCGTCTGAGGCCTATCAGTGTTGTCAGAAAGCGATAGACATCACACCCACAATGGCGTCTCTATTCATCAGAGTAAGCTGCTATTTGCTAATCGCCTCTACTTCTACTGGAGCTAATAGTATATCATAGTCCCTGGAGAAAGAAAGCATCCCCTATGTGGTAGCACCTTACGAAGCCGACGCGCAACTCGCCTATCTAGAGAAAAAGAACATCATATCCGCCGTGGTCTCTGAGGACTCTGACCTCCTGGTCTTTGGAGTTCGCTGTCTTTTGACAAAGCTGAACGAATACGGCGATTGTATCGCTATAAAGCGGTCAAAGCTTGGAGAGTGCAAAGATCTCGACCTGTCGTCGTTTGACGATACGCTATTTCGACATATGGCCATCCTTTCAGGATGTGATTATACCCCCGGAATACCCAACGTCGGACTCAAAAAGTCTCACATGTATCTCAAAAGATACAAAAACGCGGAGCGTGCCATGCAGTTCATGGCTTTGGACGGGAAGATTAATATCCCGATGGGCTTCCGCAGCGAGTTTGAGCGCGCAGATATAACATTCAAGCATCAGCGTGTTTACGATCCGATTGAGGAGAAAGTTGTCATGTGGACAAAACCAGTTGGCTATGAACTGCCTGCTGAGCTTGACCATGCAGTTGGCCCGTATGTCGTCCTCATTTAACAGCTATAGTCCGAGATGTCATTTTATACTAACGTTTGACCATCATAGACCAGTAGAGGATGATCTAGCCAAGGGAATCGCGCGTGGGCTGATTGACCCGTCCACTCACAAGCCTATCCCCGATATCGGTTCACCAGGGAAGACTCGCCCCTCAGCAGACCGCTTGCCAGGCGCCAAAATCACACAGTATATCCGTAAGTTCTACCCCTTCTATCCCTTCTATCCTTCTGTCTACTCATCGCGCTTGCTAAGACCCAACAGGCACGAGCCCCAGTAAACGCTCCAAACTTCAAGATATCACAAACACAGAAGCAGCCGCCCGCAAAAGCTCCCCGTCAAAATCCCCAGCAAAATCCTCGAAGCACAGCCTCCCATTCGAACGCACCAACACAGATACCACGGTTGCGAAGCGGGTGCGCGCACTCTCACCTCCCAGTTCCGGCAAAGGCGACGAAAACCGATCTGCTCGGGTCGTGGTTAGCAGTCAGTATTTTGCGTCTGCGACGAAAAGCTTGAGTTCGCCTCGGGCGTGGTATTCAAGCTCTAATTATGATCATGAGGTCAGCGCTGAAACAATCGCGGAGGCCTTTAGTGAGATTGAGTACGGCCCGCCGAGAGAGAGCGGGAGCCAGGAAAAGACCAAAGATGTGGCCAGAGAAGGCAGAACTACGAAAGAGTTTATGGCCAAAACAGTAAGCTCGACGGAGGTGCATGAGGTGCAGAGAGAAGCTACGATAGTCGACTCTGACGCCTCGTCACAGGCAGCAGAAGACTGCACGCCGGAAACACCGCAGTCCCGCTTTGCGGCCTTTGAACTGACACACTCGATCACGTCGAAATCCAGAACCGAGATCTCTTCTGTAAATCGGGTATCATTTACAAGCACATGTGCGCGGCCGAAACCAACTTCTGAAGCCAAGACACCTCAGTCTTCTCGCCCGATGTCTACAGCTTGCATTACTGGTCTACCCACTCCACCTTCCTCCTTTGCGTCCACGCCAGTCACGGCCTCAGTCACTCCCCTCCCCATAAGAAACCGATTTGAGCAATTTTCCGCCTCTCCTGCACTTTCTCAAAACACCCCGCCATCCGGAATCACCACACCGCGCGCCACCACGCCCATGGGGAGATTCATAAAGACACCGGCCCTCCATCGATCTGGCAAACAATCCTTCTCGGGCCTGGCAATCCGCAGACCAACGTTCAACAGCAAGGGGATCGGTCGTCTGTCGACGCCGTCGCGTACGGCTTCTTTAGATCGCTACATTTCGAGTCCGAGCGAGAGGAGAAGCAGCTCGGGGCAGGAAAGCAAGTCGATGACAATGAATTCAACTGCCGGTGCCGGAAGCGAACAAAAGGCTACTGCGAGCTTCTCGTTTCAGTCGCATCTCGATCGGTTCAGAGCGCCTTAGATAGCACAGTTGCTTAGATGGGTTTATATTTTTTCTCGCTAGCATACGATTTTGCTGTATCTACTTGCTTGAGGTTTACAATTGCGGTTTACATTTATGATTTGGCAATGATAGCTAGAGGGAAATTAGTTCAAAGAAAGAATACATACGAATATATACGAAAGTAAATGGTGGTAAGATGGAGAAAAACTACAGAAAAGTCCGAAGATAAATACGATAAACAGTGCGGCCTACAACAAAAAACAGTTTAAATGTTTCATTGATCCATTATTGATGATTCAGTACATATAAGGAACTTCTATATAAAGAATCGACTAATGTAGCCTAGGCACGCAGACGCTACCGCGCAGGTGAAGCAAAAAAACAAAACCATTGTGACATGAAATTAAGGCATTATACTAAACAGCGTACTTCCGAGTCCATTCTCTAGCCGTAGCCTCGTACTTGGCTCTGTCGGTTTTGTACACATGCGCGATTTCAGGCACTAGCGGATCGTCGGGGTTGGGGTCGGTCAGCATCGAGCAGATCGATAGCAGGACCTTCGATATGGTGAGCGCTGGCGACCACTGATCCTTTAGGATGTCAAGGCAAATGCTACCATTTCCGTTGATGTTGGGGTGGTAGATGCGGGTTGTGAAGCTCACCTGTATGGATGTTAGTGATTTGATAAATAGATGGGTGTCTAGCGCCAGCGCCCTCGGAATGTAGCCAATTAAACGAAGAACGAGAATCTGAACATTGCGGCAATACAGACGGGGCACTGGTGTTTACGTAGCAAGCAAATCATTTCTGGCACTCACTTTGGGGGGCTTGAAAGGGTAGTCTGTAGGGAAATGGATGGAGAGGAAGAAGACACCGCCACTGTAGGGCGAGTCACTGGGGCCCATGATAGTAGCTTGCCAGTGGAACTAATGGACAGCGTTAGCAATCTATATATATAAAATTGAATAATAAAGTGAGAGACTTACCAGATCCTCACCAATCGGACCGGCAGAGCACGAAGAGGGCGGGTCCCTAGAATCAGAATACGTCAGTACACGTAGTCCTCCACGAGCACGCGAAAGCGATCACCGTCCCAGCCTCCAGTTTGCCATCGAATTCATTTTCACTCAAATCCGTCCAATCGTGCATCGCATCCGATCCACCTCTCCCCTACTGACTTGAGATCGGCACCACCTCGAGGGCTGCGGAGCACGCGCGCAGATTGTGATTACAACAGCAACTGCGGCCCATGAGCCGAGAATAGGCATTTGTGCAGAAACCACAGCAAACTACCGCATCAATGAAGAGCTAGCCCATGCAAGATGCAGCCTGCGCTCGAGGCGGCTTGAATGGTGATGGGCAGTCGAAAGGAGGGTGGCAAGGAATCGGAGCGATACGGCGGAAAGGCACAGGAGGTGGAGGGAGCGTGGGCGCGGGACCGCTGACTGCAGGCAGCAGAAGAAGAGACTTACCGGCCAAGATCTGATAACTCTTTGCTGATGCGCTTTAAAGCCATGGTATATGGTGAATGTATGTGATGTTACGGAAAAGAGACGGTGGATATGATCGCGGGGAGAGAGAAAGCTGCGAATGAGACGAGGAGAGCGCGAGAAGACGACGGCGGTTGACCGGCGCAAAGTGTCACGTGGCTTTGACTCTTTTCTCGCATTCCGCCGATTCCACGGCGTTCCTTCGCCCGCTCCTGGCAGCCGACTCAAGTGCGCTGTGTTTCGACGGTTATGCTGCTACAGTTGGATGTGGAAATAGGAATAATGTTACTATTGCAATAGTGTGAAGTAAATGGGCATCTTCTTTACAAGCCGTCAAAGTCCCCGTCGTCGTCCTCGATGTCGCCCTGCTGGATCTCGGTAGCGAGCCTGGTTCGATATGTTAGCATCCTGTAAACAGTAATATGTAATTAGACACTGCACCTACTCTTTCTCTCTCTCGCGCGCCTCCTCGACGTTCTTGAGCTCGACCCGGTGCTGGTTCATCGGGTAGCGCATAGCCTTGACGCTCTCGTTGTGCAGAGCAATGCAAAACTTAATGCGTTCGTGGAACGCAATGTTCGGCTCCTGCGTGGAGTAGATATCCAGAATCTCCTTGCTCTGCATATACCCTTTCTCGTGGTCGATCGTAGCCTCTATAACGCCGTCGCGGATCGCCTTGGCCACAATGTACTCCGCGCTCTCCTCAGAGTCGAGGTGAAGGCGGATGCAGATATCTCGGAGCGAGATCTTGGCGTACGACAAATTCATCATGCGGATTCCAGTCTTGATCACGTTCTGGCGCAGACGCAGGATCAGCATGTACGTGCCGTCCTTCTTGAACGCATCCCTGTACTTCTCAATCGTCTGGGAAAACTGGGGAACGTCACCGATCCGGACCGCTTGCACGAGATCCATGTAGGGTAGTAGCGCATTCTTGTACATCGGCTCGCGGAACAGCGACCGCTCCGGAATATCACCCATCAACAGCTCGATAATCACCTTGAGCTTCTGCGCAGCCTGCAAAAATCCTGCCGCGTACTTGGTCTGAGGCGCCTTGCGGATCGCACCGATCAAGCTCTCGTTGGCGGCACTGTAGTTGAGCTGGATGGCGTTGATCCGGCCAACATAGTACAGGTATCGGGCCACCACTGACGTAGCCGCGTTCTCGGGGAAATCACCCTTGAGAACGAGCTGGTGCGCCTGCGAAATCGTCTGCGTGTTGAGGTAGTTGCGGAGTAGAAGGGTCATGATCATTGCGCGCGTTTCCGTGTCGTGGCGCAAAGTAGCAGTTCGAAGAACTCCGAGGAGCATTCTAAAGAATAGCGTTAGCCTAAGAATTCGGTCGAGAGAATAGCACAGCAAATATACGTACGGTCGGATCTCGGTGAACATGTTGCTGAGCTCCTTTGCATGAGCATAGTAAAACCACATCTTGGCCGCCAACGCGTCCAACGTTCGTCGGTTGTAGGAACGCAAGGTAACGATCGCTTCGTCGCTAAACGCATTCAGCTTCTCAGCATCTCCCTGATCTAACAGATAGACCTGCGTCAAAAGCAACATGTATATGTCAATTTCTGGAAGCACAGTCGCCGAGGCGTCAACATCCATGGTCGACGAGGTGGCTTCTCGCTCGAGGTACTTGAGCACCAACTGTGCCGACTTGTGATCTGGAGACGAGTACGCAGCGTCGAGAGCACTGACGATGATATCGGGAGTCAAGCGGCGACGAAGTCCACCAAGACCGCGCAGAACACGCATAGAGAATCGAGGCTCAAAGTTGTTGGCAGCCTTCTCGAGAAATCCAAAGTTCTGCTTGATATCTTGAATCACTGTCAGTACCTTCCCGAATCACTAATCCTCAATCATGTCGAGGATCCATCACTACAGCTCGCGATCCCGTCCATAATCCAGCTATACAAATACATACCATTAAGAACTAATCCCGCGATCTCCTCGGGACTCTTCTCCTTCTCGGCCGGCTTGTCAGCAACGTCGATGTCCATCTTCTCCTCCTTGTGTTCTTTATCTTTTGAATCCTCGGCAGCCATTATTTATGTTGATCAATATATAACAGCAATATCAAACAATAAATAAGCGAGATCACCAATTTACTATTGATATGATAAGGCAGGTGGATGAATCAGCCTGGATTCGAATGATTCAACTGATGGACAAGTCCTCAATCTCGCGTGAGCCGTGTGGGTTCGAGCGAGCGTCGACGTAGACTGGATGGGAGTGGAGTTTAGGTTTCAAAGCGCAGATACGTATTTGTCAGCACATTGACGTATTTCTGAGAACGCACGAATAGCGAACTTTATTCTGGAAATGTAAACAAAGAACCTCCCAAGGCAGAGCATAGGTACGCGTCTGTCGAGAACTCCTCACTTCTTCTACTGCTTCACACATTCACCGCCCCTGGGACGACAAGGCCACGGTCACATAACAAAGGATCAATATGACATCTTTGTCTAATATCATATACTCCATCTCGGAGTCTGCGTACTCGCTGTCCTCGCTCGACTTCTCCCGCCCTGAAAACTTCACGACAGCAGTGCTCCAGCGCGGGAACGTGACCTCTCTCATTCGTGACGTCGATGCCGATGAGCGACAGCTACTGATGGTTGACCGGACCGAGAAGCGCGTAATGCTTCGGCATGGGTCTAATGCGGGCGCAGCGGCGGGCGGAAGAGATCAGACAAAGCTTAGCGCGGTTACTCCGCTTCGAAAGCGAATGGAGGAGAATCCAGATTTGGATATAGACGAGATTTGTGCCGAGCTTGGACGTTTGCTAAAGATATAGTGAGTTATTACTTGTTTGTGTGAAGAGTATTTGTACTGACGAATATGCTAGTCCGGCTGCGGTCGAAATCGAGGACCGACTAAACTACTATAAGGAGCGCGCAAATGCGCTGAAGGAGTCGATTGCGCAAAACGAGCAGCTCGTGGAAAATGTATGTCTGTGTTTTTTTGTGCTTTGTGGCAGTAGATGACCATCTGTCTTGGAGACAACTATAGGGCTGCAGAAGCTAACATCATTGCCAAACAGCAAAAGCAGCAGCTGAACGCTCTTCATTCGTCTACAAACTACCCGTACTCTGACTCATGAGGGATCAGCATAACGTATGCATGGGTGTGACGAATAATGTGTATGACTAGTTTCTGGAGGATTGTTGGTGTCTTGCGTATAAGACTTAGAAAACAGATTTCGGTTTACGGATATTGGGATATAATGGTTGATTATGCAATAAATATAGTTACAATCTAAAACATTAATAAATACAAAACCTCCTTCTCTAGTCTTCTTTCTTCTCTGTGAGAGACCTGGGCAGAATCTCTTCATGCTTAATCACCGTCTTGATCTCCTTCTTCATTCTCTCTTCGTTCCGCGCGTCTTCCATGCGCTGCTGATATCCAATATACAGCGTCACCTCAGCGATCAGCACAATAAGTCCCGAGAATATAGACAAGAGCAGCCTTCGTCCTGTTGAGTGGTTCGCGCCTGCCCACATCCAGACTGCGACCGCGACCGACATCACGGAGAAGAGGATGTTGATGATGACTGAGAGTTGGTGCTTGAGTTCCTTTGTGTTGAAGGATTCGTAGAATGGGGTTGCTAATTCGGGGACCGTGGACGCGATCATGCTTTGGTATTCTTGTTCTTGTAGACTGATCCGTAGTCGATTCATCCGGGCTTCGTATTCAGGGTCCTGGGGATAATCATATCGTCAGCGAGACCGAACTTCAAGCTTCACCAAACAGCACCAACGAGGCAAGAGGCCAGCACATACAACTTTCTTTTCTGGTTTCGGTGGCAGATACACTCCCGAACCAGACACAAGTTTCCCGAGAGAGTATTTCTCATCCTGATTGAGCTCAATAGCTATCCTAGCCAGCGAATTATGCGTCACAAACGCAGCCGCGGGATCGATCTTTCTCTTCTCTTCGTCCTCTCCGAGCTTCGCGTTGTAGAGCTCGATGGCCTCTCGTATTAGCGGCGTGACCTCTAGTTTTACCATCGATGTGTGTCGTCACTATGTATCTGCTAACAGAATTGATGTGTGACTGTAGTGAACGGGTGGATTGGAGAGCCGATAAGGATGTCTAATGAGAGTTTGGGTCGCGAGAAGAGAGGGTCTCGGTGAAGTCCCAACACGAACTCTGCTCGATAAGACTCCGACAGACTACAGATTTTGCCATGATACTACTTTTTTTCGAGGAGCGCATTTATCATAGGAATTTCTACGAAGAATATCCATTATTGATCGACTTTGTTTATTTCAGCGTATAAGTCATAAAATACTTTTAGATAGCAAAGATAGCAAACAACGCCAGTACGATCAACCGCCAGTAGCTTCTCTGTACCATCTCAGCGCTTTATCTGCACCGACACTGACAAAGCCCTGTGATCGTCCTGTTCCGCCGGTTTTGGTCCATTTGACGTTCCATACGGCGGCGACGGCATCGGTTAGTGTGGCCACGCATTCTTTTTGATCGATAGACCATACTTTGAGAGATTTATCGAATGAGCTGATTAAGAAGTTAGTCTCAACATAAGAATTATCTCAAGTCAGGAACAGTAATCTCACCCTGTAAGAAGATACTCTCCCTCAAAGTTCCAGTCTAGTGACATGATCCACCTGGTATGTCCCGGCAAAAGCATCACCATCTCACTCGACTTTACGCTGTAGACCGTGACAACATTTGAGTCACCGCCTGCTGCTAGAAGTTTTGATAACGGCGAGAATGCTACTGTTCGCACAGCGCTCGTGTGGCCTTGGAGTTGTGAGTCTTGTGAAGTATTCGCGTTATATCAGAAAGGAGCTTACCAAGTAGAGAGTATGACAGCCGTGATGTTTCGGTGTCGAATATGTACAGACCGCCATTCTCGTGCCCTGTAGCAATATATCTTCCATCATTTGACTAAGAAAGACCGCAAGTCAGTACAGGAACATAGGTAGCAATTTTGGAAGGACTACAAAACTCACATAGTCAATACAAAGACCTGGTGTGCCCTTTGTTTCCAGATTACCGCACACTTCGGGGTCATCACCTCGGACGTCCCATACGGTGAGATTTCCATCTATAGCGGTGGCGGCGAGATATATGCCGTCTGGGGAAAAAGCCACGGCCCAGAAAGTTTTCGCGGCTAGAAGCACAAAAGAGTCAGGATGAGCTCATGTGCAAAGTATGAACAATGGAAGGCAGTAACTTACTATCAGAGATAATGGATTTCTCTTTACCCTCGCTCAGAGTCCAAAGTGATATTGAGCCATCGAAACCGACAGCAGAGATCAGATCAGCGTCTTTGCTCACCGACAGGTGATGTATACCGGTGCGATGAGGGGTGTGGATCTGGCGAGCAAGCTGATGGTCTGGACTAAGAGCATCGTAAATGCGGATGATTGAGTCGCCGGTGACTGTGACCACATATTCGGGGGTGGTAGCGACCGCGAAGATGTCAGTGGGATGGTCTAAGGGAACGGGTATCGTTAGTAATTCTGGAGGTGAGAAGCGAGTGAGCCGACGGACAGCCTCTTCATGAGTACATACCGCCGGTCGTCTGGCCCGTTGAAAAGTACTGTTTGCTCTAGGAAAAAGTGAAGCAGGTCATTAGCAGAGTAATCACATAGTTGAGGCTCGCGAGGGATGTTGAATAAGTACCATTGCTGCCTGCACGATACGAGCACTGCAGGTAGGGCCAGATATAAGACGGATCTAGCGCGACGGAAGGAAGCAAACAATGCCGGCGAGACCAGATGTTCTAAACCAAAGGAAGAAACCCAAAGCCAAGGCAGAACCAGGAAAAATAAAGAAGAAGCGGAAAACGGAATAGTTTGCAAGTTTGGAAGGCCGATTTTGGCTGATTTTCCGTCGAACCGCATTCCTCGCTCCAAGTCTGACTCTGCGGCTCATCCGCGCCGCGCTCCATTCACCGCTCGTTTAGGCAACTCGACATCGTCCTCCACCGTGCGCTTATCATCCTATCTGCACGCGCTCAGTGGCCGGCCAGGCCTTGGTCCGTCTTCCGAATCGTCTCTTAAGGTCTGCTGCTGCTGTTGTTTGCCGGACTGTTTCTGTTCGTCGACGGGTGCGTACGTACGCCGCGATCCATTCTTCTCCCGAACGCGCGCGCTCCATATCAAGACCGCGATCGACATGTCATGATAGCGGCTGTATTTTATTTTCTGTCCATAAAACGGCTCGTATAACTCTATTCAGCTCATCCGTTTTGATCATACGCTGCCATGTGGCTGCCACATACAATCCCTTGCTGATATCAGCTTCTGTCTGGAACAGAGCAAACCTTCAGGGTCTGGCGAACACCCCTCCCGGTTCCGCTCTGCTCAGCCTGTTCTAGTGCTGTCTGACTCTCTGTAGTTTTGACCTGGCTCTGCTGCTTTTTACCCTGTGACTGGTCCTTATATCTACCTTGCTCAGGTTGGTTGGTTTGGCCACCTGACATCGTTGACTGCATGGCTTCGAGCTGTCCGGGTACCCTGTCTCGGCAGGTTACCATGCTTGCCACTAGTCTCTCTTAAACGTCCGGTATCGACCGTCTCTCCATACTTTGCATTATTTATCTGGGGCTGAGTCCTGTTCTGAGCACATATCTCAAACTGCCCTATTTGCGCGATCGTACCTCGTCAACACCCTCCGTCGTCTGTGTATATATAACCAGGCATCCCTCTCCCCAAACCGTACCAGTCAACGAGCCTCGTCCGCAGTCATCCTACCGCAATGTCTATCAAATGCGTCATTTTGAGCCTCTACTTCCTAGTCTTTGGGTTTACTACCAACACGCTAGCGTCCTTTAAATGCTCTTGCGACTCGACTTGTCAAGCTACCACGACAACCGGCAAGTATACCGGCACCCTAGACTCTGACGGTGTTCACTTCCTCAGCATCAGGTATGCCGAGCCTCCTACCGGCAAGCTGAGATTTAGCGACCCTACAGTTTTTGTCCCGAGCAAGAGTAAAAAGTGAGTCTTCTACTACCGCCAACGGTTACGTTCACTTGTTTAGATCACGACTAACGATCGCTGATCTCCAGATACGATGGAACCGCGCTACCGCCTTACTGCCCTCAAGGCGTCTACGACAACGAGTCCGAAGACTGTCTTTTTCTGAACGTTTTCAGACCCACCCCGGTTGTTGGCGAGTCCGCGCTCCATGTCTTTGTCTGGTACGCGTCCTACTTACTTCATGCTTATGACATGACTCTCGCTTACTCTTAAATCCCAGGGTCCACGGCGGATCGTTTGCGTACGGTGGCTCCGCTGATCCGGTGATTTACGGAGCCGAGCTTGCGAAAGCAAAGAACATGATTGTTGTCACGCTGAACTATCGTCTTGGAGTTCTCGGTCTCTTCGACGACGGCAACAACACAAACTATGCCATCAAGGATGTGATCTTGGCGCTGAAATGGGTCAAAAATAACATTGCTTTGTTTCATGGCAACCCATCAACTATTACCGTTGGCGGCCAAAGTTCTGGCGCAACTCTCATCAGAGCTCTTCTGTCAACCAGCGAGGCCTCAGGTCTGTTCACGAAAGCAATTATGATGTCTGATCCCGCGGATTATGGAGTAAGTTTGTTCTCAGATTTACGCGAATTAGAACTTGTGCTAACGATCGCGACAGTTCAACACCCGTACGACATCTTATGATATAATCACCGCATTCCTGTACAACCAAACCGGATGCTCTGACATTAGCTGCATGCGTGCTCTGGAGATTGATAATATCCTGACTGCGCAAAACACTCTGTTTGCTGATGCTCTCGCAATCGGTAATGGTGTTAGTATGTCGCAGCCTATGGTTCCAGTGATCGACAAGGACCTGATTTATGAAGATTTCTCTCTTTACGTGGCCGACGGGAAACTTCCTGTCCAAGTACCGCTTCTGATGGGAGTTGTGAAAGACGAGGCGAATCCCACGATCGAAAGCATTCTAAGCAGCGCGATTCCTTCGGCTTACTATGCGGCCGTCCTGGACGAGTTTCTCGGGGATAGCCGTACAGTTACCGTTGTAAGCTCGGGATTGTTCCCTGTTGACGAGAGCAGCGACGACGGGACAAGACTTGAGCTTGCGCACGTTGCAACACTGTTCTACTGGACCTGCCCCGTACAGGCCGGTGCGGTTTCGCTTGCGGAGACCTACTCGAAAGACATTTATTTGTACGAGATGGGGGTTGGAATAACATACCCAAGCGACGACGGTCTCTCGCTGTGTAGCGGCAGCTATGTATGCCACGAGGCAGATCTGTACCCGTTATTTGGCACATTCAACTCATCGGCCGTAACCTCTGCGCAAAAGGCACTGAGTGCGGAAGTCCAGGAGCGTTGGTCCAAATTCATCAAGACCGGAAATCCTAACGGGTCAAAGTACAAGCAGTGGAACCCTGTCGAGGGTGCAAACTCGGCTAATGCCCTTCTGCTTGGATCCGAGACTTTTAACAGCAGTCTTTACCAGGCTCAGTGTGCTATTATGGGCAGCTCGGTACCGTTTGATTACCAGTTGTACTCGCAGAGCTAGACCCTCAGAAAGACTGTTTGACCTCTGCGTGTAATTTTTGTACTTTTAATTTATTCTGTCTTGTTTATCTTATCTGTCATTATACCTTAGGAGTGTTTGGCACATTGTGCTTTGTTTTAATAGTCAGTTAATCTTCTTCGAGTTCACGTAGTTCGGGCATAGTCCGGAAAGCTCAGATTATACTAATTGTATATACCAAAAGAGTAACTGATTATCATGTATTCCACACTCATTCAACAGCCCACAAACAAGAACATGTAGTAGGCTCCTAAAGAAAACAACGTCCACATATATACAATTTGAGAAGGCCCCAGGAGTCTATGGCTGTAAACTCAACTATCTTATATACCATATTCTCCTCAGAACTTTGGTAGCTTTCGGTCCGCTTTGAAGTCCTGGTAATCCATCGTTGGCGGCCTCTTCAGGCTGTTTTCTTCTCTCGAGAGTGCTTCGAGGTACGGCTTCCTGTTGGGAATCTTGGTGTGCTTCTTGTTGAGCATTTCGATGAAATCGGGATCGATAGACTCCGGTGTCGGCGGCTTCTCCTCCGGCGTGCCCTTTGTCGTCTTACCGCTCTCAGCCCGCCAGACTTCGCGAATGTCGTCGTGGCACGGAGTGCAGACCGTGTGCATACGCTTAACCCGTCCACAACCAGGGCACGCAGTCAAGCTCTCGACCGGCTTGACTTTCTTGTCGCCGGGAATCAAACGGCGCATGCGGCGCTTACGGAGCGACGTCTTACTCTTGGGCACCGCAAACACAATTCCTCCAAACGGACTGCCGAAGCCAAAGTCGGACGGCGACGGTAGTGTCGGCAGCGGGATACGGATCGTGATAGGAGGAGTGAGAGGTGCGGATAGCGAGGGAAGTGGCAGCGCAAGACGGGGCATGATTGCGGCCGAGAGACGGTATGCCCACGAAGGAGCAAAGATGTGCCTGCTAGCCATTGCTGTGATGTGTCTGTTTCCTCGACAATTGGCTGGTCAAAGAGAAGAGAGGCTGCTGCAAGAAAGCAATAACTTCGAGGCTCCACGGAACGAAAATTACAAAAATTTCGATGAGAAACCGAAATAACACGAGCACCTCAAATGCTGACATTTTGCATAAACGCGAGATTGCCGAGTGCACAGAGTTTGAGTTGGGCGAAACGCGTCGCAGCAAAGGGGGCGCCTCAGCTTGTTTTCGACACCACCGCGCGCAGCCCGTTTCCCAATCTCGTAACTGCTCTACCTACCTACATCCACACCAGGCTTTTGTTTGCTCTTCTGATACTCAAGAATAACACATAGCGTACATCATGGCTTCCGCAGAAACAGTTCAGCCTAAGAACTATGTCGGTTTTGACTCGATCACGTCTCAGATCGAGAAGAAGCTGCTGAAAAGAGGCTTCCAGTTCAATGTCATGTGTGTCGGTGGGTTATCCTTTGCTTGATGTTTTAAGTCTTTTGATCATGAGTAGGAGAGCTAATGATGATTGAACTTGCTATAGGTCCTACTGGAAGCGGAAAGTCGACTTTGATAAATACCCTCTTCTCGTCGCACCTGATAGACTCAAAGGGACGAACCTCCCCTGCTGAGCCCATTCACCAGACCACCGAGATTCAGACAGTCTCTCATAGTAAGAAGAAGTGTCTGCCTATCAACCTTTGTCAGACAGTGACTAACCCTCCCACGCAGTGATTGAGGAGAACGGTGTTCGTCTACAGCTCAACATCGTCGATACCCCCGGATACGGCGATAAAGTCAACAATGAGCGCTGCTGGGATCCCATCGTCAAGTACCTCAAAGATCAGCACTCGGCTTATCTGCGCAAGGAGCTCACTGCCCAGCGCGAGCGTTACATTCCCGACACCCGTATCCACTGCTGTCTTTTCTTCATCCAGCCTACCGGCCACTCACTCAAGCCCATCGATATCGTTGTCCTCAAGAAGCTCATGGACCTGACCAATGTCATTCCCGTGATTGCCAAGTCTGACGCGCTCACTCCCGACGAGCTTTCCGCGTTCAAGGAGCGCATTCGTGAAGAGTTCCAGGCTAACCACCTGAGAATGTATCCGTACGACAGCGAGCTTCTGGACGAGGATGAGCGTGCGATGAATGCCCACATCAGAGTACGTATTGACACTATTTTTGACTACTAAGTACAGTTGCTTATTATTGTATAGAGCATGGTGCCTTTTGCAGTCGTAGGCTCCGAGACCGACATTGTTATCAACGGAAAGTCTGTTCGTGGCCGCAAGAACCGCTGGGGAGTCATCAATGGTGCGTCTGTTTAGAGCTAACTATTTCATTTCGACTATGTACTAACGCTGAGCTGTAACAGTTGAGGATGAGAGCCATTGCGAGTTTATTTCTCTGCGCAACTTCCTGACGCGTACCCACCTGCAGGACCTGATCGAGTCCACATCACTGATCCACTACGAGACCTTCCGCGCCAAGCAGCTGCTGTCATTGAAGGAGAGCAACACGCAGCAGCAACAGGCTGACCGCAACCGCCCGCTGAGTCCCGCGGGATCGGCAGGAAACCCGGGAATATACCCGCGCGGATTGTCTGCTGGTAGCGGACACTGAACGGGCTTTACACAATAACGGCAGTGAGCGAGTGCCATGAAGATCATGCTGGTATTATTATTATTAGTAGTTTCGTGAGTCTGTACACGAATAAACACGGCGATATAAAAAGGAGTTGGAATTCTTTACAAGTACTTTTTTGCTCTTTTGTTATTGTTCTTATATTGTTTTTATTATTGTTATATCTCTCTCGGCTTGTAAAGCCCGTGCTCTGTCTTGTTTTCCAATCAATCGTCCTTAGGTAGTTTATAAACTGTTAATCGGATTCTCCTCTGTCAGATCGCCACATGATGTGCGGCGGCCGCAAATCCCAGACTGGCAGGGAAAGGGTTCAAGTAACCAAGGCCCTTGGCTTCTTCCAAACCTACAAGTCTTTGGAGCCCTCCGCAGCAAGCCAGCGATTTAATAGCAAACGTTGATGATCAGCAGCCTGTCAGCCAGTGGGTACAGATACATTGGATAAGCACTCGATGTTTCACACAAGCTCCTGCGAGCAGGAGCCGGTCGAGGAGTACGTCCTCAGTCGGCGAATCATCTCTGTGTTCGCCGTCCTCCTGGTCTCTGCCGTCGCTGTGTTTTTCCCGTTCATGCTCCAGCACTACATCCGCGCGGGGGACAAGTCCAAGGAAGCAACGAAGCAGCTGCTGATTGTGCTGAAGCAGTTTGGCGCGGGTGTTATTGTAGCGACGGCGTTTGTGCATCTGCTGCCGGATGCGTTTGCAGCCTTTCAGAATCCGTGTATCGGCGAAATCAAGTTCGATGCGTGGCCGGGCTTTCTGGCGATGATTGGAGTGATGCTCACGTTTATGATTGAGAATGCGGGACATAGGATCGTGTCTGAGCAGATCAGGCGGACAAAGCTGCGGTTGACCAAGAGATCAGGCGATGCGACCGACGGCGACTCTGATCACGCTCCACTGCTGCCGACCCAATCGACCGAAGACCTGGAGAATCACGAGCTGAGCGCGGAGCTGATTGTCAACCAGAGATTGACTGGTAGTGGAGGCGAAGAAGGCCAGACTCATTCGCACTCGCATCACTTGCACGGCCATTCCCATGGACATGGGCTGCCAGTACAAGACGGAACACATGTACATATCCACGGACATACGTTTTACGAGATTGCTAGCGACGAGAGTGACGACGAACTTGGAGAAGACGGCACGCTGCAGCAAGGGGCAGTGTCGAAAGAGCTCAATGCCGCTATCGAGAGACTCAGTCTTTATGTTCTCGAAGCGGGCGTCATTTTCCACTCCGTACTGATTGGTATCACACTATCCGTGACCAACGAATCTGCTTGGGTGTCGCTCTTCACGGTCGTCATGTTCCACCAGTTCTTTGAGGGAATGGCTCTAGGCACGAGAATCATGTCTGTTAGATCGCTAGCCATGCAAAAGAAGCAACGGCTCTGCGCATGGTTCTGTCTCATAACCCCGATCGGTATGACCGTCGGCATCATAATCCGCATGCGATCATCTGGCTCATCGGCCACCACCAGTCCGACCGCCCTGTGGGCGACCGGCACGCTGAACAGTCTGTCGGCTGGCATTCTGCTGTGGGTCAGTTTGGTGGAACTTTTGGCGGAGGAATGGATCCATGGCGAGTTGCACGAAGCGTCTCTGCCATTAAGTATATCGGCATTCTTAGCAGCGATCTTTGGCGCTGGATTGATGACAGTACTAGGGTGAGTTCACAATGTCACTATCTTCGTACTTACAATAGGTAATGGGAGTCGAATACTAACGTATCATGTTTGTTTAGTGTATGGTTATGATACCAGTTCTACTCATTTATTTTTTTCTTTTTTTCCGATATGTTGTTTCTTAGTTTGTCTTCTTTAACGGCGAGCGGTTTGCAAGGATGTTTCCCATTTGAGGTAAAATAGTCATGTAGTTTTATCAGCTGTGTTTCTTTTTTTTTCTTTACATTTTGTTTCCGTGTTGTGTTCTGGATTGTTCATTTAGAGTGTATCCCAACTTCTTTGGTTTGCAGAAATGCTCTATCATTATCTCTAGTCTCTTTACCTATCAGTTTTCAATAGGTTTGAGGTTGGGCAGAGTTGTGTTACATTTTGTAGGTTATGTTTTGTTTTTATAGATCACCGCTTGCTACGTGCTGTTGATGTAATGCCAAAGCATTGAAGTCTACTTTATACAAAATGAAGATTTGGTGGAGTGGTTATTTACTTCTCTTATCCTATGTTGTCTCAACTGGCTACTTTCATAATATAAATTGTACACCTTTTTTGGAATCAAACCAACAAATCACAAGTTACCCAGAATCACATAATTTAGGACAATACTCAGTCCTCGTCATCAACATACTCCACACTCTTCACAACTCTGACCAATCCATTTGCTCTTTTCTGAAACGTCGCCCATCCCGGCATATACCGGTAAAACTCATCGATCGCAGGTATCCGTCCCACGAGCGTGCGGTTCGCATCCAACCCAAGCTCTTCGCCAATCGTCATGCCTTCTGGCGCCCATTCGTCAAAGTACGCGGCTACAGAGATCATACCGACTATGTCTTCTGTCAGTGGCTTTTCGGTCGTGGACGAGAGCCTTAGGTGGAACGGGACAGTCCCGTCGCAGTCGCCAGACTCGAAATTACATCGCGTCCAGAACTCGACTTGGCTGGCGTTCGTGGTGATCACCGGTAGATCGCCTGCGGATGAACCGAATCCACCCGGTATTCCGGGAGTCGAAAGGAACTCGATCGAGATCTCGGCCGGCGGCGAAAACGGAGAACTCAGCAACTCGTACACGCGATCGGGGATTCTCAGCGCGCCACCACGGGAGTTGACGAGAGATAGGGTGAGGAAAAATGCAGACTCGGCTACGGATGTATGGTCGATTGTTGCGGAGATCGTGAGCCATTGGGACGGGTCCAAGGGGTTGATGTATGGCGAGGGCGAGAGACCTGTGTAGGAGCATTGGCTTAGAGTGCCTTCTCTTCCCACCGGAGCGCACTTTATATCGGACGGTCTCACAGAGGGACTACAAAATATTAGCTAGCAGTTCAATAAAGTAAGGAGCAGAGAAAAGCATACATATGAGAGATGATGCGGGGAACGTATTGTGAAAGTCCAACAACGTTAACTCTCCCACCATCAGACCAATGTCCCGAGTTTTCAACCGTATAGTCAATCTCCTGCTCCACAAAAACTTTCAGAGGTGAGATTTCGTTGAATGGGAACGATCTCAGACACGCGGCGAGAAGAACGAGACCGACGATGAAGGCCAGGCTGCATATAGGGACCGAGATGAGACCGCGCAAGCGAGCGAAGCGGGATATAAATGGTGTCAAGGAAGTCACAGACACTATCGTGAGAAAAGAGAATAAGGCATAGGCTAAATCAAAATGTTAGCAAGACTTTCTGGTGGCAGAAGCATGAGCTAGAGCTGATTCCTTACGCATCACTATAGGAGAGCCTTCTGCAATTCCGTATCTCGACATGTTGACGAAAGAGAAGGCCATAGAAATAAAGAAACCGCTTGGAAGAAACGCCAAGAAAAAAAACTCCAAAAACTCCAAAAGAGCCTGATACCCATCATCAAGCACTAATGGCTCGTATGAACGATTGTCGTTATCGGGGGTGACCAGTAAGGCGTCTCCCTCATCTTCTGCATCCTCGTTTGGAAGCGTATTTCCTGGAAGTAGATCCTCGTTCGGTGACCTGTCTGTACCGTGAGCCGTGTCTTTTCGCTCGGCTAGACTCTTTGCAAGACGGTTTGCCCGGGCGATGTATGGGAAGAAAGAGACGACAGTGGCCGAGAGTGTGCCGAGGTACTGAAACGTAAACATATACCCTCCGCCTAATTGCAGCGTATAATGTGAATAGATTGAGAAGACAGATAGAAGCCAGTGAACCATCAGAAGCTCGAGGATGCTGGGTAGCTGCGAGGTCGTAGGGTGAGCTGCTTGGGCTATGAATAGTGTAACAAACGACGTAATCAGAGAGAAGTAACCGATCGCAATAATTGGCAGGTCAGAAGAGTAGATGATGGCAGGATTGTGGCCGGTAAACATCTTCACGACGGTTATATTGACCACAACAAGGAAGAAGAATGTCACTGGCATTCGAACCCAGCCATACGCGGTGACTCTTACGACCGGATGCTTGAACATGACATAGTACACTATATAGCCAATCAAAGTCGGACCCAGAATAGCAAAGAATAGCGAGAATCTCGCAAACCCGGTCATAGAGAAAGCCAGCGGTTTGTGTCCGTAGATGTCGAAAAATACGCCCAGTTCATCGGCATTGTCTTCAGCTGCCACATAACGCTCTCCGGCCAGGAAATTCGTAAGTCGAAGCGCGTTGTCAATCATGAATTTCACGGAGCTCTTATCGGTGCTCTTCAGATTGTCCAGCGCGGTATGATAGCGGGATCGCGGCTTGTAAAAAGCCATGTCAAGGCCATGAAGACCTGCCTCGGAGTATGGCTCAAAGTCTGTTTCGCTGTGAACCACACCGGTCTTAAAAATGTCCTGCATGATCACACTTCCGAAAGCAGGACCTGAGCCTGAAAATGCTTTCAAGGCTTCGTAGCTTGAGCTGCGGAACAGAGCGGTACGACCACCCGCGCCAGCACCTTCGAGATTGATGAATGAACTGACGTATTTTGAGACGGGATGCTTGATGAACTGGTGAGCACCAAAGAGATTTATCTCCTCGCCGGTATTGAAGTTCAGTACCACGTTGTGAAATGGGCGGTGTCCAGAGAAATACTCGAGTAGCTGCAGCAATGTGACGACGCCGATGCCATCGTCGGTCGTGCCGTAGGCAGTCGCTACCGAGTCGTAATGTGCAGAGACCAAGACTCCAGGAGTCCCAGAGGTACCGTGGATAACGACATATACGTTTTCTCCTTCCCAGTAGCCGACGTTGCTGTCGTATGTGATAACAAAGCCAGACTCGTCCGAGATGACGTCGATGTGCTCCGAGTTTGCAGACTTGGTCGACACCGTCTGTATCCGGTCGAGCAGATACTGGCGAGTCAATTCGTGCTGGCGAGAGTTGAAGGAGTGAGGCCGAGTCGAGATCTGCGCCAGATCTTTCCATGCAGCATTGACTAGAGCGCTGGAATGTGATTCAGAAGCAGGCAAGGCGGGTCCGTTCTCGACCTGATAGAGCCATGCCACGAGGAGGCCGTAGAGACAAATGGCGGAGACCGATACGATTGAGACCGCGGTGATGCTGGCCATGTAGTGCTCGAAAGCGAGTAGGGCCGATCGATGGAAGCGCATTGTGGAGGAGGTTGGTGAACAGCAGCAGATCGCGGACGACGGGCTGGTGAACTATTATTTGTCGTCATCGTCCGGTGTTGGTTTAATCTCCACGCGACTTTTCGTTTCTCCCAAAACAACTTCTAATTCTGTCTCCGCACTTGCACCAGACCGGCGATGAGATAAGCCGCACAGGGAATGTGAGAGGGTTAGGCTTTCCCGATTGGGCGCGCACTCCTTGCTCGACGCAGTGACAGCAGCAAAGCCGGGCAGCGGCAGCAGAAGCAGCAGAAGCAGCAGCAGCCCGCCAGACGCAGACACGGGCTCACCACGCAATCATGTCTGCGTTCTCTGTTGGCCACCGCCGCCGTGAGCGCGGGTCGGCCGACGAGCACACCGACACCGACCGCGACCTCGACCGCGACCGGCTCCAGAAACGCGACCGCTCCCGCTCGTCCTCGCACTCGCTATCGCTGCCCTTCTCCACCTCCTCGCGCTCGCGTTCGGTCGACTCCTCCGCCTCCTCCTTCCTCTCCCGCTTCCGTCGCTCGTCTGTCTCGACCGCCGGCTCGGACGGGCCTACGACCCCCACAGAGCCGCTCATTCCTGTCCCGCCGCCCGTCAACGCGAAGAAGCAAGCCAATCGCAGACGCGCGCGCACTCTCGAAACCATTCCGCAGAACGCGGCCACCACCCACTCGCGTCCGCCTCGCAGCCTCCGTCCTCACCGTCATTCGCACTCGGCTACTCGTTTGAATAGCGAAGGGTCGCATGGATCATCTACCTCTCTTCCGCACCGACTAAGCAGCTCGCGCAATTCTGTCTTCTCCTTCCAACGTCGTAACGTGCAGGACCTCTCGCGCTCCAGGGTCACGTTCGAAGAACCCGACCATCCGCTCCATGAGACAGATTCCACCACCTCTCTACGTTCGAGACCTGTGTCGCCGTCAAACGACTCATTTCCGAACCTACCACCGCCGTCCGTACGCCTCATTACGCCGGATCTGCCTCCTCAATCCTATCGTCCGCGCTCGCTGATGTCGTCGCTATCCGAATCTGATATCCATGTGTCCACCACAGACGATGAGAATAGACACTCTATCTCTGGACTCATGTCTCCCGCATCTGATACCATGAGCAGTGGATACCGATCACCGACGCGTCCGCTCTCACCGACCCCTTCGTCATCTTCCTCATCATCGAATCAGAAGAGCTTTGCAAAGCTGAGAAAGAAGGTTGCCTCTGCATTCTTCAACCACTCGCCCGCGTTTCGAAGTTCGGCCTCGTCTCCAACCAAAGAAACGCCTTCTATTACGTTCCCTGTCCAAAGCGCGTCGGATCTGCACATCAACGTGCCTGATCTGCGGCATCGTAGCTCCGGCACCTCTACCCCGATTGCATCTCCTGGCTCTCCCCGTACGTTGCTCGCCTCATGACGTTGCTTATAGACAATGACTAACTGTATCTTAGCCTATCTTGCCCGCTCGCTCTCAAATGTTTCTCACTCAAGCCGGCTTTCCAACACATCAGCAAATATGTCCCCGACATCGAGTGTCCAGCGAACCCGTGCGCGCAGCCAGACTTTAAACTCACTCGATAACGACCGACGCGCCAGTGTCCGACGTGACCTACCACAACTCAGCCAGATCACTGGACTCGCAAACCTCTTCTCGCTAAAGCTGCGCACTGGAAGTGAGCCGAATTTCGCCGAACTGAAAGCAAAGCCACAGCTCGCGTCCTCGACTTCGATCGCGACCTCGACGCCATCCCCGACAGGGCCTTCGTCTTCTCCAAAGCATGGTAATTCACCGCTACCGCTCGCGCTCCTCGATATTACTCTGCCTGATCACGAGGACGAAAACGAGAGTCCTGCAGAGTACCTCGAGAGAGTCGATCGTCTGATTAGCCGAAATTACATTGCATTACTGTTGTCGAAGGACGACTCGTCTTTTCACAAAAAAGTCCTGGATGTGTTTTGTGCGCGGTTCGATTTTACTGATGAGCCTATCGATATGGCGCTACGGAAATTTTTGCTTGTCGTACAGTTACCAAAAGAAACACAGCAGATCGATCGCGTTCTCGACGCGTTTGCTGAGCGGTATCACTACTGTAATCCTGAAATCTTCTTTTCCAAGGGTGAGAATCTGTTCAAGTTTTTTTAATCTTTATGTTCTTGTCTTTCTAATGTCTTATTTGATTGCAGACCAGGCGTACGTTATCGCGTTCTCACTCATGATCCTCCACACCGATGCATTCAACAAAAGCAACCGGCACAAAATGCAAAAGTCAGACTACGTTCGCAACACGCAGACCGAAGGTATCTCCAAAGACATCCTAGAGTGCTTCTATGACAACATCACATATACCCCGTTCGTGCACATGGAGGAAGAAATTGATCTCGGCACGCCGGCGTCTGAGAAGACCTTAGAACGCCCGCCGCTGCAGAGGCACCGGAAGAGTTTGGTTGGTCTTGCGAAGCAAAGTAGGGAGCCTATCGACCCCTACAGCTATATTGTTGAGAACCGACTCTCGGAATTACGTCCTCCGGTCTCAGACGTTTTACGAAGCACCGAGAATCCGTATTCTTACTCTGGAACCGCTCCACAGTTCAACGTCAAGGTGCTCCATAGTTTGTTCATCAATAGTCCTCTACTTCAAATCCTTCCACCGCGTTCGCGCCAGTCGTCTATAATGATGGAGCCGAGTATTCCTCGCGAACCTTCGCTCAGTTATATCAAGATTGCAAAGATTGGAATTCTCACGAGCATCGAGCGTAAGAGGCGGAGGATGATCAAATCGAGCTGGAGATCATGGGGCGTCTTCCTCACGCTCTCGCACATCTATTTTTTCCGCGACGTGAATTGGGTGCGTGGATTGATGGATCAGTTGAGTGCGTCAGTGAGTGCGGACGAGAAGAATGGACAGCAGTATCCGTTTGTGTTTTATCCGCCTATCCAGGGCTTTCACGCCGACGAGGTTATGCTCACCAATGACACCATCACCCTTCTCGACGGCGGCTATCAGAAACACCGCAGCTCGTTTGTGATTGTCTCCGAGGAAGGCGAGGAGGACTGGTTCATGGCAGACTCGCCGGATGAGATGAACGACTGGATCATCAAGATCAACTACGCGTCAGCATTGAGTACTTCTGGTGCAAAACTGCAAGGCGTGGAGTTGAAAGAGAACGGCGACCCATTGATGCGGCATCTTGTCGGCAGTCTGCGTCCCGGTACAAGATCTAATCCGTCAAGTCCGATCATCGGATCCTTTCCATCGCCGAAACGCGCAACTCCGCAGCCCAATACTCTGACGGAGAGCGAGCGCGCAAGCGCACTATTTTCCTCGCTCTTCTACGACGACGGCACGGTGAAAAACCGACTGTCGGACGCAAGTGTGCTGTCGTCCATCACGGAGGATCACTCAACGATTGCGTTCGCGCTCGAAGTCTCCAGAGGTAGATACCGGGTACTAGGCGAGAAGGTCAACGATCTGCAGGAAGAGCTTTACCGCCTGACGCAGATTCTGGACGAGGACAGCAGAACCGCAAAGCATCTCTCGATCCTCACGCCCATCCTTCCGCGCACGCGGGAAGCACTGATAGCAGCGGTCGGGTACATGTCCTCGAAGATCGACATGTCGCAGATAAACGCGATGCGAGTGCGCTGCTACCGAGAGATTCTTGTCAAAGAGATGGACAGCGAGCGCGTGGTGATTGAGCTTCTTGAGTATAAGCTCCAAGCGCTAACCTCCGAGAAGCAGAGTTCGGCGATCGAAGTCCTCGCTGACGGCGACTGCGCGCAGCATTATTCAAGTGCTACTGATCCCGAAAAACTAGCGGTCGTTGCATCTGAAAACGACGAAGGAGTTGCGAATGGCGATTACGAAAGCACGACTTTTGGACGCGCCATGTAGGCTCTTCTATTTTACTTATTTTTTTTTTCGTCCGTATTGCTCTGATCCTGTTTCTATTTCCATTATGGTTTCTTTTATCTTATTGACGTTATGTGGGCATGGTACAAAGAAGGCGTTTAAAGTGATTATCAGTTTCTCTTTCTTTTATTTTTCCTCTCATTTAGTTTGTCGTTTCATGTATCTAAGCATTTATATTCCAGAGTTTCCGGTGAGGATGTCGGCCGCATGCTATCTTTTGTTTTCCTATCATTCCCTTGTCATTCTTTTTCTTCATTCCTTTGCAGTTCTCCTTCTCATTCATTCCTTTTGTATATTTTTTCTTCTGATAGCCGCTGTGGTGGTATTCGTCGACGCGGTTTCTTCATCTATCTTTTATATCTAGGTGGGCGAGGGTCGTATGAGGATGTATATAGCTGTTGTGGATAATCTAAAAGTTGTTTTTTCTCATAGTAAACTTGCTCCAATTTTACTTTATTGCTATCGAAACGAAATAACTCCTCGAGCTTCCTGTGAATGGGTGGAGTGGCCGTGCATCATATAGTGGCTTCCGGTTGCTTCTTTGGGTGATAAAACCCTACACACTCTATTGAGTGACCCGCAGATGCTGCACTTGTACTGTAAAAGATATTCACCAAGCCGTTTATATAATCATACAAATCTATATCTATATCTTATACCAACAGCCAAAACATCACTAAGCCACTTCACACCCCCCAAATCTCTCGAAGCTCGTCGCGGCAGCTATCAACTGCGCACCCCGTCGTCGCTGCGATTTCCTGCAATACCTGGAAGATCGTCGCATGCTCGCTTTGATGCGACATCAGCTGTCCCGCGATTTTCAAGCTCTGAATCAAGTACGACCAGCAGGCTCTGTTAAAACGATTAGCACAACCTCTGAGCAAGATAAGTAAAATAAGAAAGTTAAGATAGGGAGCAGGGGGAATGCGCACCGGTTTTTGTTTGTCTGGGCTATTGCGCAGATCTGTTTTGCGTGCCATAGCATGGGCGGAGTGGCTTTTGCGTATTTGTAATGTCGTGGTTTATTCTGCATTAAGAGAATGCACGATGTGTGGTACAGCTGGTTACCATAGGCTAGAAATTGGCGTTAGCGTGTATCGTTATAAAAAATATAGGGAGGGGAACATACTAGCTGATCCATTACCGTACAAAACTGTCGGAAACGGGGAAACGTCCCGCCCATCCTTTTCCTCCTGGAAGGCAAACAGTGGTAACATGTACTCCGGCCTCCGCTCAACCCACTCTCGTAGCCCATTCCACAACTCTTCCCACTCCCCGTCATAACCTAAAACAGAAGCGTTTTCGTTGGGCAGCTGCTCCCACGGGCCATGGCTGTCAGCGTACCTTCCTTCTCGGGATATCAGCGCAATCACGCGCGCGGCAAGGAGAAGCGAGTAGTTTGCGTAGGAGTCGCAGGCACGAGAGGCTTTTGCCGATAGCCAGTGGGACCGAAACAATGCACTGATAGCGTTCACAGACATTGCTTGCGTGATGGTGCCGCCGTGGTTGCGGATGATTGTGGGTTCTTCGCCAATCATGACGGTGGCGATATCCATCCTTGCCAGGCACCAAAACATAGCGCCTCCGAAACCGCTGGTCATGCCTGTGATGTTGCAAGCTGCTAGAAGAGAAGCACAGGCAGTTACATGTCGTCGTCGGTGATTTGATTTGGACCCCATGAGTTCAAGTCCGCATAATATCACACAAGACGCAATGACTTCCATGCTACAGCTGGGTAATTCTGGAGCAAGATACTGCAGAAAATCCCAGTATATATCCAGCGTAACTCCAGGCGGGTAGTTCGAATCCACGCATTCAAACTGCTTCGAGGAAATGGCGAAAATCGCGTAAAGGAGAGCGTTGTTTGTAAGAGCCATGCGCGGTATCTCGACAGCAAAATGGTGGTCGTTGTTGCAGAGATCCAAGCTATCAGCGACGTTATCGACGTAATTCCGCAATAGCCGTGCTTTGTCGAGACTGGAGAGCTCGCTGCGACTGCGGATTTGTCCTGGGCAGATATGTGAGCGGGAGGTTGAGGTGGACCTGCTCGTAGCCTCAGATAAAGCAACCTCGATGCACTCGAGGAGGTTTATATGGAGGTCTTTGTAGGATATACTGATATCGCCAAGAAACTCCGCTTCTCCTTCTTCCTCCTCATCGTCCTCCGCGCCATCTTCCTCATCCTCCGACATCCCAGACGATGTACTATTCGACTGTGATCCTAAATAGCCTTCAAAATCAGGCGAGCATGATGCCGAGTGAATTCGTGGCAGCGAGATTGGTTGTCGAATTTGGTGGCTGTGATCGATCTCAGCGATATTTGAAATTGATATCCTATGCTCAAAGTTCTCTGCTCTAAGTTGTTCGGGATACTTCTCACGAGCAGCAAGACTGCCTTGTCGCCACAACCCGGTGTCCAGCCCTGGCATGCTAAACTTGTTCAGCTGAGCTGCGTCAGAAGCAGAAGACGATCGGTTTTCAGAAAGATTCAGAATAGTACGCAAGCTTGCCCGCTCAAGATTTGGTACTGCAGATCCGTTGTTGTAGGAGATTGTGGAGTTATCTGTTGTGGCTGAGGTATTGCTTGCTGAGGAGTCGCTGCGGTCACCAGGCTGTCTCGAAGGCTCTAACTGCGCAAATCGGGTAGTCTCCTGATCTGTACGGGCGTAGCCAGACAGATCTGTGGCTAGAGATACACCTTCAAGTAGATAGATTTCCGCTCGTTCGGCGGTGGAAACCTCTTCATGAATTGTCAGTCTGCTATCTGCTGGCGCACGGGTGCTGCTGACTCCAGTGTTCGCCAACGGCAACTCTGAACTCTGCTCTATAGTTCCATTGTCTGATTCCGAGATTTTGCGCTGTCGCTTCTTGGGAGGCCCGTTACCTCGCGGGCCGTCGCTAACAATCTATAAATCCGAATCAGCCATAACTACAAACTGCGTCCTCGAAAATGCATAAATACATACGGTGAACTGGGACACGCGAGGAACAACCGAAATGTGCCCTGATGCCGAGATGTATCGGGAGTTAGACTCCTGGAAAAGCCCTTTGACGCTCCATTGACAGTCTAGTTTCTTGGCCGCGCAGTTGTCGCAGGTCGGACGCTTCTCATCGCCTGTGGGGTAAGACACATGTCAGCAGGGATATATCGAAGGATAGATGTAGCAATTGCGTACATTTGCGGTGGCGTGAGCGGCAGGTCAGACACCCTGTACGCACACGACGTCGAGGGGCCGGGGCAGATGCCGGAGAGGGCTCATCGTCGGTAGCTCCGGGGCCTTCGGCAGAACCCATTTGCGAGCCCGAGAAGGGGAGACGGCGTCTAGCTCAAAGACAGGTGCAGAGATATATCCAACTAAAACTAGAGGCAAGCAAAGAAGAAGAGGAAGGTGAAGCAGAAGTGAGTTGCCTCAGGCTTCTTCTGAGCAGGACCGGCGCGGAGAGACAGAGAGAGGATATGTCGTGAAGCCGGGCTCGAGACGGATGATGTCAATTAGCCGGTCGGGTCGAAGCCGATTTTGGATGCGGGGAGGGCACCGACTCATCAAAACGTTCTTTGCTCTGCGGTTTGTCTTTTGCTTGGAGATCAGTAGTAGTTTGCACAGAAAAGAGATTAAAAAGACGACTCAATTGAGTTTAAAGATAGCTCACCATGACATCCCCTCGACCACTCTTCAAACTGAGCTGCCTGAAGCTTCTACCTACAAAATAGTAGTACTTGTCTTTTTGCCAATTATATTCGTTTTATGAGTTTATGTAGCAGACCAAAGAGTGGCTGCAGACTGGCTCTTGTATTTCACACAAAGTCGGCTCTTCGGAGCAGAGGCCATATCTCATCAACGCTTTTTAAACTTTCATCATCGTAAACAACAAAAAAAGCTCTCGGACGCGGTCGGCCTTTTTACACCCTGTGCTTCCGTCCTCGAGCTCACCGCCGTCGCGAGAAGAACCACTCAGAAAGATATTCACTAGAATGCAAGTTCCAGCCGAGGCCTCAGCGACAACCGGATCCGCAGCCTCGACGGCTGCGAACGGCACCGAGCCGCTGCAACAGCAATGGACGCCGGAACTCGCGATTCCAAAATCGATCCTGTCCCTCCCGGCACCGCTGTCGTTCTTCAGGATCCTCAGGTTTCTAAAGACCCAGCGCCGGACAGGCTGGCTTGATAAGGGCATTCAGCATGGCAACGCGGAGTCTATCAGCGATCATATGTATCGAATGGCGGTTATGTCTATGCTTGCTCCGCCGGAGGATAATCTTGATAGTCGAAAGTGTGCGATGATTGCTCTCGTGCACGATCTGGCCGAGGCCGTAGTCGGAGATCTGACTCCTTCCGACCCTGTCGGCGCTGGTACATTATCCCTTTTTGTTTCACGAATTTTGTGTCTTGTATCTAATCATCCTCCTGTGATTTCCGGACAGACGAAAAACACCGACGCGAGCGTGAAACGATGAACTACCTCGCCGACCTCATCCGCCCACTAAACCCGGACGCAGCCTCGCAACTATACACACTCTACCTCGAATACGAAGAAATGTCAACTCCCGAGGCCCGGTTCGTCAAAGATCTCGACAAATTCGAGTTTTTGCTGCAGACGGTCGAGTACGAAATGGACGTGCTCGAGGGAAAGGAGGATAAGAAGGTCGAGCTGGCGGATTTTTTCAAAGCGAGGAGTAAGATAAAGCATCCATTGGTGAAGCAGTGGCTAGGTCAGTTAGAGGACGAGCGCAAAAATGTCGTGGGTCTGTGATTGCGTTTTGTCGTTTTATCTGGCCATGGTCGATTTTTGGATCGTCTATAGGAGCTTTTGTTCTTTCTTTGTCGCATTTTTCTAAATAGACACCCATGCTAATTATCTAATTTACACTATACATCTAATGACTTGCTTCATGTTAATATTACACTTGAGATCTAAAAACCACCATCATAGTAGGAGAGGCAGCCATAAACTGGGATGAGTACTTTCTGTATCAGCACTGCAAGTCCCTCAACAAATACTTTTATCAATTCTGATCCAAGAATCAGATATTATCACGCCCAAATATTATAGGCGCAATCGTGTGTCGAGCAGTCAAACCAACCATACAAGTGAACCCCTGGATCAACAACAAAACCAGCGCCAGTCTATCTTCGCGCAGAGGTCCTGTCCACGTCAGGATCAGGTTGATGAGCGTCATGTTTGAGGCCGAAGCAATTGCACCGGTCTTGGAATCGTACTCTAGGTGAATGAGTTTGAATATACTCATAGTGCGAAGCAATAACGTCTGTAGTTTGCGCGGCTTGGTCGGGAAATATACTCGCGACGGCTCGAGAAGACCTGTCTCGGTATTCAGCTTCGGCAGCCGATGGCGCGGGCAATCGACGAGATGAAACAGTTGAGGAGCAGAGTACAAGAAATTGAACACCTGCGGCACCAAAAAAAGCATCAGCGTCTTTGCGAAATGGCCAACGATACCGACCTGCGCAAGCACCATTCCCGCAAAGTAGCAGTACGTGTCGCCCACGAATACGCGCGCTGGGAACCAGTTGAAGCGAAGGAGGGCGAGCGTGACGGCCACGAGCGGTAAGGTGAAGTATGTCGAAAAGAGATGCGCTTCCGTGCCTGGGTGCTCGGGAAGACCAAACAAGCGGCTTGGGAGGATATAGAGTGCGTCGTTGAGGAGAAGGAATATGGCGATGACGAACGCCTGGCCTGCTTCTAAGCCGTTCACCCCAGCGAGAATGTTGATTGAATTCGGCAGGAAAATTGCCAAAGAAAGCATGTAGACGTAGTATAGCGCTCCGAGATCGATCGTGGTCGGGTACGCCAGCGATTCTGGGAAAAACACCTTGTACGCAAACTCAGGCACGACGACCCGCGTCACTCCAAAATCGACATAATACACAAACATCATTGGCAATGCAGCAATCGCAGGCATGAACAGCTTATTCCGCCACCGAATGTCAAACAGATCGTCGGCTACACCGAGGACCAGCATGCTAAATAAGGAAAGCAGAGCGGCGAGGTACTCTGCCAGCTTTGAGTGTGGGAACATGCGTAGTGCGCGACCTTTGTGGAGAAGCTCGACGGCTGCGTCATAGCCTTGCTCGCGGTTTCCACCGCCTGAAGTGCTGGTGACGTAGTATTTGTAAAAGAGAAACGGGATAAAGAAAAACATAGAAACGAGGTAGACAACCGCGCACACCGCCCCCATTGTTTCGGCACTGTAAAGCAATCATTAATATCATTTCTCGTGATCTAGAAGTCAAAAGAGGCAGAGCAAACGTACATAACTGGCCGATCTTTCTTTCCCAAATCCTTACCAAAAAACCCAACTCGAACAAACTCCGGCGCCAAAATAGGAATCAGATTGACAGTAATAAGATATGCAAGGATTGAGAACCCGACACATGCTTTCAAAGGATCATACAGCGACGCATCCTCTTGCGAATTGAAAATAAGTGATAGCGCCAGTCCAATCGCCAAGAGCGAAACCAGCCGCGAGACAAAAGTGGACTTGACGGTGATTGTGCCCGCTGGTAGATCGACTGCCGATTTCGACCCCGACGACGACGACGCGTCAGGCTGATCCTTTGCAGCAGCTGGGATGGCGTTCGACATTGTATCTCGGTCAAGCGAGCACAATTGTGGTTCCAGAAGGCAGATTCGCTCAGGTTAACATATGCAAATATCGCCGTCTTCCACTTTGAGTGATAGAATTGCTTTGTTCTGTGCAAGACGACAGACAGATCATGGAAACTGCCACGTCTCACTCTTGCGCGTTCAGGCCAGGCCCTGCTCGCGAGATATTTCGTGCACGTGCTTGATCGAGGGGTTTGTGTTTCAGCACTGATTGGAAGCACTTTGCTCAGGTCATAACGTGGTGTCCATTTGTTCAGATTCTTTTCTACAGCGGAGGACAAGGTGTGGCTATGAAGGGAAGTTTGAAGCAGAATAGAAACAGAGGCAGGGTCTGCACAGTGACGCGCGAGGCTGCTCTCAAGATGCAAGATATTGCTTCGTCGTATTACCGCCCAACACAGATCTGGTCAGATGCTGTATCAGGCAGTCCGGATCAAAGAGCTCTTTGCGGACCAATGCCTGATCAAGGCTATTAGTGCTCAGTGAATGAAATATGAAAGCAAGAGCAATGGCTGTCTCCTGGCGTCTCGATATCTGGCTATAGCCGTGCCAGCGAACCGCCGTACCGCCGTACAACCCTCGTACTACATGCTTCCCACTTTTCAGCTCGTCACACACATTTCAAAATCTAATCAGGATAACCATAAAACTCTGCTGGTAGCATACCAGCATTCGGATACTCGCTGCTTGACGCTGTACATCCGGCTAAACAGTAGTGAAGAGGTGGATGCCTAGAATGGAAGTGCATCGGGTAAGGGCTGAGTTAAGTTGCGTATTTGGCTCCCACGCTTGCAGAAGGCAAACTGTGCGCCATTTGTGAGCAATTTTGCGACAGCTTCCTGCGCAGATGCTGAGCTTCAAACTTCAGTGACTGTTCAGTGACTGAGATTGGAGACTGAAGGAGCAAGAGAGGAGACGGCCCTGATGGTTATGAGCAAATATGGCCAAGCCTCTTCGCTCGTACTCGTTTTCGCGGTCTGGAGTCAAGGTAGAAACGAGCAAATTCGCTGCTGCTATAAACAACATCCAGACGGACAGGGACCTGCCGCCCTGCCGCATCGGACGGGGCGGAGGTTGGCAGGAGGATCTCCTTGCGTAGATCGCGCTGCCCTGCTCCAGAGCACTGCGCCGGTCCACTCCTACGATGCCGTATACTCTGTATACTTTGACCACCACCGCAGAGCGGGGAACGGCTGGGTGCGGCGCAGTGCTGGCTGTCTGTCGACAGGTTTAGAGGCGGCCGCGGGCAATCAGATATCCGCCGGCTGTGTTTGGCCGGACGCGGCCGGTGAGCGAGTTTAGTGCGGAGCAGATAAGTCGGCGATGTACCGCAGCGGTCGAGGGCGCCCGCGTATTCGTGTTGACAGCCGAACAAGGGTCTCGTGCGGGTTTATTGGTGGTCACTGCGCCGCCGCTTATTGCTTTTATTGTCCTGCGATCTGTTGATGTTTCCTGCTGTTGTCGCTTTATTCGCCCTTCGCTCGGGATCATCGTAATCTGTAGTCAGTGATCTCGTACTTTCACTCTCGGACCGCACCGTCCAGCAGAAATCTCGCCAATATCCCGTTGTTGGCCTGCCCGGGCCGGCGACCTTATTTTTCGGCCGTTCCCCTTCGCCTGCCGCTGAGGCTCACTCCCACCGTAAATACAACTTGACTCCCCGCCCTCCCTGCCTTCCTCTCCCAGGTCCCTCTCCCTGCTGCCTGCTCGCTCCTGGTCCCGGCCCGCTCCCCCCTGCTCCGGCTCCTCGCGCTCGCTCGCTCTCACTCCTCGACATGCCGACCGCATCCGTCGTCCCTCTCGGCGGTGGTCCCGGGCCCGACGAGGGGTTCTCCCCCGTTAAACAACCTGTAGTCGTCAGCTACGCCGTCTCCTCCGACCCCTCCTCCTCCTCCTCGGCTTCGGACCCCCTCGACGACGACGGCGACGACGATATCGAAGACTTCATGCTCTCGTCTCCCCATGAACACGACCATCTGCTCCCCATGCACGACGTGCCCCAGAGTGTCGCGTGCGCTACCCGCCGACGGCTATCGGACTCATCTCAAGATTTCTCGGACGACGACCGCGGCGTGCTCTCGCACCTCTACCGCACCGTCTCCATCGGCGGCTCACTAGCCGCGCAGAAATCCGCTCAAGTCCTGTCCAGCACCGCTCATCAGCTCGCGACATCGCTCGTGGTGTCGTCAAGTAAGCAGCACCACCACTACCACAACCTCAGAGGAAAGTCCGTCGACAGTTTCCAGTTCCGCAGTCGCAGCTCGTCACATGCCGGTGCGCGACTGAAGCTGCACGAAATGCGTGCACAGTACCTGATCGGAAATACAAAGTCTCCATATGACTGGGCGTCGATGATTGTTGACGACAAAACGCTGTCGCGGATGCCCCGCAGGATACGAAATTTTTACAGATCCCAGAATGAGCTCGCGGAGCGATACATGGAAGTCGACAGTCTACTCGATTCAGACATCTCTCACACAATGATCCATGATTATACAGATGGCGTGTCTGCTGCATCACGAAGAACTGCTGTGCCTGCAAACATAGACGAGGAAGGACAGACGCATTTAAATACTGACGCGCGTGAAGAATACTCTGGCATTGTCACTCTGGCAATCATAGTCAATTTCCTGATCAACATGTAAGACTGCCTTTTCTTTTCTTCTTTTTCTTGTCGCGCTTTTACTGATCGTTCGATGAAGATTTCTGCTGGCGGGAAAAGGCGCTATCGTGATTCTCACAAATTCAATCTCGGTCATTGCATCCTTGGTAGACTCTGCGCTCGATTTCTTGTGCACGACAATAATCTGGCTGAGCACAAGCATGGCCGAATCCACCGACTCGACGACCCGATTTAATTATCCGGTCGGCCGTAGCCGGCTGGAGCCGATCGGAGTGCTTGTGTTTTCCGTCATCATCATCGTGTCTTTTTGTCAAGTAGCAGTCGAGGCGATCGAGCGGTTATATAGCGGTCCGCGGGTTCCCGTCAGGTTGGGTCTACCATCGTTTGCAATTATGTCGATGGCGGTCATACTAAAGCTGTTTGCCTGGCTATGGTGCCGGTCAATAAACTCATCGGCCGTGCAAGCTCTAGCCCAGGACGCAATGTCCGATATCGTGTTCAACATCTTGTCAATGCTCTTTCCAATCGCGGGACACTTGTTCGGATACTGGTGGCTGGATCCTTTGGGCGCGTTGCTCTTGTCGATATACATCATCCACCAATGGGTCGAGACCACGCTCGAGCACATCCGCAACCTGTCTGGAGTAGCCGGCGACTCGGTCGACAAGCAAGTCGTCACCTATCTCTGTCTGCGATTCGCAGAAAGCATAAAGCAGGTGACGGCGGTCAACGTCTATCATTCTGGCGATAGACTACAGGTCGAGGTTGATATAGTAGTCGAGGACCAGCTGTCGCTCCGCGATACGCACGATCTGGGCGAGGCGCTGCAGTATGCGATTGAAACGCTTCCTATGGTCGAGCGGGCGTATGTGCATCTCGACTACCGGGGCGATAACTTTGTGGGCCACATCCAGAGATGACTTTTGTAGATCTTGTTTCCGTCATCTCCAGTGTCGCTCTTCCTGCATATAAACGGACATATTTGGATATAGCAACGTCATAACCATGTTAATAGAATCTAATACACATCTGATGTAAGAGGACAGTAAGAAGACATAGAGTTCGCCCCGAGCCGCAGGCCTCTGATGTCGGGCTCTTCCATTTTTTCCTGCTCTTCCCGCGACTCAGTCCGCTCAGCCAGCACAGAAAGAGGCAGCCCGCACCAGCTCCTTCTTCGTGCTTCTTCCTGCTGCTTCTGCTGTCGGACCTCACCCTCCCCGAGCCGCCCGACCCACTTCCTTCGTGAGTTTCGGCCATTCTACCAGGACCAATGCGTCTTTCTCCGCCAATAGCCGTCTTCTCGCAACTCGCGTGCGGTGTTCGCAGTCAGGGCCGGGTAGCGCGTGGGTGTCTACGTTTAGCTCCCATCCGCCAATTCTCGCTGTCCGCGGCTAAAAGTAGAAGACTTCCGCTTCCCGCTCTGCCTGCTCTCGCTCCGTCATCGACTCCATCTCCTCCGAGTCCTGCTCACCTCTCCTCCTCCTCCCCCTTCTCCTCGCCTTCGCTCCTCTCGACTGCTTCTCGAAGCTTACATTACGCCTGTCAGCACCACCACAGCCTGCAACGCGATCCCGATATGCTTGACGCCGTCGTCTCTGGAGGCTACAGGTACCTACTCCCCCAGATCACCGCTTCCACCGTGATCTATTCTCAATTCTCCTCTCTCCGTGCGCTTTGCTGACTTTTTTCTCTTTTTCTTCATCTAGCACCTCTGGTGCGAGAGAGATCCTCCCCCAGAACGTGAAGCCCCTTCACTATGATCTATCCCTGGAGCCTGATTTTGAGAAATTCAAATTCGAGGGTACCGTCTCTATCCTGTACGTATCTCTCTCCGCATCACAATCGGCAATTGTCTCTTTTATTCTTCCCTGTACTCTGACTAACTTCTGCCGAAACACAGCTTGGATGTGTTTGAGACCTCGAAAGAGATCACTCTCAACTCCCTTGAGATTGACATCCACTCCGTCGTGCTCACCCTCCCCGGTGACAAGCTCGTGTCCCTCCACTCCTCTGAGACCAATGATGACCAGCAGACCGTCAAGTTCATCTTCAATGAGTACTTCACCGCCGGTTCGCAGGTCAAGCTCACCATTGACTTCACCGGAATCCTGAACGACAAGATGGCCGGTTTCTACCGCTCTTCATACACCGCCGAGGACGGATCGACAAAGTACATGGCCACCACGCAGATGGAGCCCACTGACTGTCGTCGTGCCTTCCCCTGCTTCGATGAGCCCGCTCTTAAGGCCACCTACGCAATCACCTTGATCGCCGACAAGAACCTCACCTGCCTGTCAAACATGAACGATATCGCTACCAAGGACCTTGGCAACGGCAAGAAGGCCGTCTCCTTTGCCAACACCCCGCTCATGTCGACTTACCTGCTCGCTTTCATTGTCGCCGATTTGCGCTATGTCGAGACCACCTGGTTCCGTATCCCTGTCCGCGTTTACGCCACTCCCGGAAACGAGAGCCAGGGTGTCTTCTCCTGCGAGCTTGCGGCCAAGACCATCAAGTTCTTCGAAGAGACCTTTGACATGCCCTACCCTCTTCCCAAGATGGATATGGTTGCCATTCCCGATTTCTCGGCCGGTGCTATGGAGAACTGGGGTTTGATCACTTACCGTGTCGTCGACTTGCTCTTCGATGAGGAGACCTCCGGCGCTGCCACTAAGCAGCGTGTTGCCGAAGTCGTGCAGCACGAACTCGCTCACCAGTGGTTCGGAAACTTGGTTACCATGGACTGGTGGGAGGGCCTATGGCTCAACGAGGGTTTCGCTACCTGGATGTCGTGGTTCTCCTGCAATGAGTTCTACCCTGACTGGAAGGTGTGGGAGTCATACGTCACCGACAACCTCCAGGCTGCTCTCCGTCTTGATGGATTGCGTTCCTCGCATCCCATTGAGGTCCCCGTCAAGCGTGCCGATGAGATCAACCAGATCTTTGACGCTATCTCCTACTCCAAGGGATCCTGCGTCTTGCGAATGGTCTCCAAGTTCCTCGGAGAAGACGTCTTTATCGCCGGTATCCGCAAGTACCTCAAGAAGCACAAGTACGGCAACACCCAGACTGGTGACTTGTGGGCCGCTCTTTCAGAGGTTTCTGGCAAGGATGTCTCTGCTTTGATGGACTCCTGGACCAAGCAGGTTGGATACCCTGTTCTGACCGTGACTGAGGCTGCCGATGGCAAGAGCATCACCGTCCGCCAAAACAGATTCCTGACCTCGGGTGACGTCAAGCCTGAGGAGGATGAGACCATTTTCCCCGTTTCGCTCGGCTTGAGAACGAAGAAGGGCGTCGATGAGGAGTTGATGCTCAACACTCGCGAGGCCACTTTCCCCGTCGACACTGGCTTCTACAAGATCAACGCTGACCACTCTGGCATCTACCGCACTGCGTACTCTGCCGACCGTCTCGCCAAGCTTGGAAAGGCTGCGCAGGAGGGTCTTCTCAGTGTTGAGGATCGCGCTGGACTTGTCGCTGACACCGGTGCTCTTGCCGCCAGCGGCTACGCTTCCACCACTGGTCTCCTGAACCTCATTTCCGGATGGAAGAACGAGCAGGAGTTTGTGGTCTGGGATGAGATCACTGCTCGCATCGGCGCTATCCGCAGCGCGTGGATGTTTGAGGATGAAGCTGTCAAGGAGGCGCTCAAGAAGTTCCAGCGCGACCTTGTTGCGCCCAAGGCTTCTTCCCTCGGCTGGCAGTTCGATGCCAACGTTGGCCATGTCGAGCAGCAGTTCAAGGCTCTCATGTTTGGCTCTGCTGGAACTGCTGGCGACGAGACTGTCGTTGCTGCTGCCAAGGACTTGTTTGCCCGCTTCGCTGCTGGAGATAAGAAGGCTATCCACCCTAACTTGAAGGGATCTGTCTTTGCCATCGCGCTGCAGAACGGCGGTGAGGCCGAGTGGGAGGTTATCCACAACACTTACCTCAACCCCATCAACACTTCGGAGAAGAACACTGCTCTGCGTTCGCTTGGCCGGACAAAGAACCCCAAGCTGATCCAGAAGACTCTCGACATGATTCTCGACGGCAGTGTCCGTACTCAGGACTGCTACCTGCCCATGGGCGGTCTCCGCACCACTGTCGAGGGAACCCGTGCTCTCTGGGCCTGGGTTGAGGCGCACTGGGACGAGCTCGAGAAGCTTCTTCCTCCTGGTCTGTCGATGCTTTCTTCGGTCGTTTCGCTTGCGACCGGAGGATTCGCTAAGGAGGCTGATGTCGATGATATTGTCAAGTTTTTCGAGTCCCGCAACACGAAGGGATACGACAAGGGTCTTGCGCAGTCGCTTGAAAGCGTGCGGTCAAAGATTAAGTGGATCGAGCGTGATGGCGAGAACGTCAAGGCTTGGTTGAAGGAGCATGGATATCTCGCTTGACTACCTTCGCCCGCCCGGTTATAAATATTATACTCTATCATAAAGACGGAATGATATAAAGAATACTCCTCTTTTCCAGAATCAATACTACTTCACATATTTGCTATAGACACATTCCTTAAGCTACTAGAATACACCATCTCGACCAAGGGTCTCGAATGAGCATAAGAGCACAAATATATACATAAAAAATTCTCCCCCGTCCTCCTACCTACCGTAGCATAAACTCAGTACAATCTGGCTCACTACGTCGGGACAGACGTCGGAACAGACGTAGGCACGACCTGACCGCGACGACGCCGAGGTCTGACTCTGTCAGCGCCAAAGATAAGGGCCAGAATACTGGTATCCTTGTTTTTCTCCACAAACGCCGAAAGAAGGCTGTACAAGTACAAGTACACCGCAATGAGCGCAACAATGGACGAGACAAGCGTGACGTTGCCGGCCCGCGTGAAGAGCAGGTAGAGCGAGAGACCAAAGTACCATTCTGCCTTGCGAATCCGGCCAGCCTTGCGAGAATGCAGGTGGTCGTTTTGGGCCGAGACTTGGTCTGAGACGACGGCGTAGAGGGTTTTCATGCGCTTGTTCTTCGCGGCAACTAGTTCATCCGACTCCTGGGGCTCCTCTGCCTCTTCGGCCTCGGGCACAAAGTCATCTGTGGTCTCGGTCGTGGTGGCGGCGATCGATTTCTCGGCGAGCAGGTCGACGAACTCGGTGGGCAGTGGACCGGGCGCGGCGTCGATGGGCACGGTGGCTAGAGCGTAGACTGGCGAATGATCTGACGTAGTCAGACTCGGCAGCGATGCGTATTTCTTGATTGACACTTTGTTCTTCTCGAATACGTCGAGGTAGAGCACGCGGTCGCACCAGCTAGGCACCCGCTTGGTCGTGTATGCTCTCGACTCGCCTGATCCTGTGTACTTGTACGTAGGATCGAACGTGATAGGTGCCTCCTTGAAACCCCAAAACGCAGTTTTGTTGGTCAGCGAATCCGTCAGCTCGTCGTGTGGCAGCCAGCTCTCGACAAACGAGCCGCTTTCGGGCGCAGTCCATTTCGGCGCGTCCTTGGCCGCAGCAGGTGTAGCGACCGGAGCAGCAGGGATCTGCACGCGGTAATTCAGATCGCCGCAGAAGAAGACATGCGTGTCGTCTTTGTAAAGGAAGTCGCGGTCTCGCTGCTCGTCGACGACCGACGCAACGACGTACTCGTCTCCTGGGTTGACGGGCGGGAAGAACGCGAGCTTGCGCGCCGTGTCGACGAAGTTCTGGTCGCGTTTGGCCTTGAGGCCCTCGTTTGCTGCGAGATGGGCGGCGACAAAAGTCAGGCTGACGCCCTTGAATTTTGTGGGCGTGGGCGGTGGTAGGCTTTTGAAGCTGACCGGGGCTGTGGGGAGAGGGGTTTTGGAAGACTCGGAGGCAGGTGCTTCTTCGTCGACGACCGAGATTGTCACGCGGATAGCGGCGGCACCCTTGAGGCCCATTGATAGGGCACCGAAGGAGACTGCAGAAGTACGAACATCGGAGGCAATCAATTGATCCTCGCCTTCGGCGGCGGTCTTGATGAAAAGGACACCCGCGGTGAGACCCGAGCTGATCGACGACACAATCTTGTATGGCGCGAGCTCGAGCGTTGTGACGGCCTCGAAGAAGGGTTTCAAGTACTTGTGCAGCTTCTCAAAGTAAAAGACCTCATGGATTGGCGCAAGCTCCTCGAGCGAGAGGAAGATCAATGACGGAGCGGCCTTTGCGGTCGGCGCTGCGATTGCGGCCGTTATGGCCGATCGCAGAGGCGCGACAGGCTGCAGGGTCTGGCCGCAGTTGTAGGTGAATAAGAGGGTGGAGATAGAAGACATCTTTTGGCTGTGACTTTGTAGAGTCCTTCCAATTGAGCTGGATCAGAGAGACGATTGCGAGCAACTGGGGAAATACAATTGATAACAAACAGCGCTGATAAAGCAAGTGGACGGGGTCTGGCCGCGATGCGATAAGCCGTGTCAGCGGTCTCGAGGACTGAGTAGCAAACCTTAAATGCTGTTGACGAAGAATATCTTTGTTTCCGCCGATTGCCTTCTTTCTTGCTCTACATCTTCTACTTATACATATTGTTTTTTGTTCATTATCTTTGATTATCTCACTAGAAATACAAAAACAGACAGAATCAACAAAGATCTGTGCCCCTTCATCGACATTCAGCCCTCATCGTCCCAACCAAATGGGACACGAAAAACGAAAGCCAAACTTCCTATTCAGGACCTATACAAGATAGCTACTCTCGAGAGTGGTCGTCTAGAGTAAATCTAGACGAATGGCAACGGAACCCCTTATGAAAGCGACCAAGTACCGTCGTGGCAAAAAAACCTCTCTTTACTTTTTGATTGAAGAGAAAAAAGAGAAAAAGAGAAGAAAATTTTGGATCACCGAAGGTGCGCTTTATACTGGCGCTAGTGCCCTAATCCGGGTAACTTGGGCTCTTACTTAGGGCTCGAGAGGTAGATGCTGGGTTGCCAGACGCCAAGTAGGAGATTGATCAGGCTTCGTATTGGTGTGAATGTGTATGTGGTGCAGCTGTTCTCTGTTATACGGTTGTGGATCTGTGTGGTGAGAGCGGCAAATCGAAGCGGTGTGAATGTGTATGTGGTGCAGCTGTTCTCTGTTATACGGTTGTGGATCTGTGTGGTGAGAGCGGCAAAAGTACCTGATGAAGGATATCTGATACCCTGCCAAGTGCACTCTTGATATAGCTTGGGCATGTGAATGACAAGCACGTTCAGAAAGCATTTGTTTGCCCTATACTTTACAAGGCACTCAAAAGTATGTCAAGAAGGCGTGACAGTTTGACGTGGCTACTTTGACCGGCTGTATTCTTTCATTGTCTGTTCTTAGCATTGTATACCCTCAACGCCGTCTCGCGCGCCGACGGTCCAGCGGGGTCCCGCGCCGGACAGAAGAGAAGTGCGACTATCAAACGCTGGTCTACGCAGAAGGCCGAACCATATCTATAGCCCTTTTTGCGATGATCCCACAGATACAGTAAATTGAGAAATTCAGCCATGAAAGTACGCAATGTCCAGACTGCAAGCCTCGTATTCTCTCTTCGCAGGTCGCCGGCTTCCGCGCGAATCTGTCTACATTGTGGTGGGATTACTGAGAAAAGATTTTGCTGTATTGTTTGATTTTGTAAAGTTTCTCAGCGGGGTTTGTTTGAGTCGTTATGTCCCTGATAGTGTTGCTTACAGGGCTGATCGCATAACGGGCACGATGTGACCCTGTCGGTTCTATATCGGCAATCACTGTCGAGGACTATCGAATATTAATATCTGACGCTCAGCTGGAGTAGTATTCCTTTTGAGATGACCGGCGTTGCTGCTGCATTATTTACAACGAACAGGGTGTGAGTATCATGCACCAAATCTGCTCGTACTCGCGTGAATAATCTGCGATCTACTGGCTGTCGGATACAGCTCGGGATAGAAAAATGACGAATAAATAGAATTCTGTCTACTTCAGCCGTCTGTGGAAGTCAGTGGGGTACTATCGTTTATATCTTACACACGGCTGAATCTGTAGAGTTTGAGTATGGCGCGATACTGCTGAAAATATCAGGTTATTAAGCTCAGTTGGCACGGTTGAACTTCAGAGAATCATAATTAGTTTTCGTCCCATTCATTGTAATCAAGACAGCACCCCGACTCACAGTCAACCGATCCATGTTTCTTATGGAAGCACTGAATCGCCAAAATCAGATACTCATCGCATCTGCGTGTGATGTTCCTCCACAATCGTTGAGGGGACCAGCTATCTTCAACCTAGACTATTGCACTTTTCCCTTTCAAAAATTAGTCAAATAGAACATAAATGATGAATACCGATAAGCTCTCAACACCGCTTGGCACAATAGATACGGCGAGCACAGGATGCAGCCTTTGTTTGATCTTCGCTTCGCCTCGTAGATTTAGATTCCGGTTTAAGGTTGCGCCTTCTGATTTCGCCATCTGGGAGTCATGTCGCATCAATCCATCAATAGCTCTCTCCCAAGGCACACAGCTGAGATGCCCAGAATTGTCTTTGTGGAAAGGGTATTTGGGCCGAATGGCTTGGATTATCAGAATCTGCAATGAGCTGGGAAATCGTGAGGAATATGTCCTGGTTTGGTTTGGTAGCTCGGTAGCAACAGCTTTACTCCAACCATCTTACTGTAATACCCTGCTTGACAATATCCACGATGTGTCTTAGTGAACATGGTAACCTATGGCTCATAACTACTAGCAATACCAAGCTGTCTGATATTAGTTTTTTTGATGAAGATACCCGTTACTTTTCCCTGCACGTCTTTTTTCTTGGCCAGGATCTGTCTATACAAATTCGATTTCTGATTCATCACATCATCTTGCAATTGCGACATTTCATCTGTCAAGTCCACTTGCCGACTGATTTTTCCAAATGAATATACTAGCTTTGATACCGGTTAATACGAAAATTGATTGCAGACAGCTCACCGAAAGAGAAAAACAGCTCAAAGACCCGAAAGGTTTTTCTCTTTCGGTGAGCTGGATACAAGCCCACCCGAGGACGACTATATAACCCGTCTGATATCCATCTGAAAACGCCCCTCTTCTTCAAACAAAGCAGTATGGCTGACCGCTCTCGAACCTCCATCGCCTCCGAAGCTGAGTCTGAGAAGAAGGCAGCTGTCGTGCTTGAAAACGAAAAGGGTGCCAACTTCGACTCCTCATCGCTTTCCGACTACGACAGCGTCTACGGCGGTGTTGCGGCAAAGCTCAACATCCCCGATGACTGGCCAGAGCTCTCTTCAAGGGCTCCTGAGAAATACTATTTCTGGTCTCGTTCAAAGAAGTCCGACCCCCTGCTCGATGAAATAGCCACTCAACCGTCTGTCTTTGACGATCCCGATAAATGCAATTACTTCCGCCCGATTGACAACTACGAGAACCTGCACCGGTTCGATCCAAAGTTCCGCTGGACTTGGCGCGAGGAGCGCAAGGTTGTTCGCAAAGTCGACTTGCGTATCATGACCTGGGTTGCCGTCATGTTTATGGCTTTGCAGCTGGATCGCGCGAATATCTCCCAGGCTGTTGCGGATAACATGCTTGATGATCTTCGTTTCTCCACAGACGGTAAATATCCTGCTGAAGTCCTGCGCTGGTAATGCTGTTGCTGACCTTTACAGTGTTTAACAACGGAAATACGATCTTCAAAGTTTTCTTCTTGATTTGCGAAGTGCCATCGCAGCTCGTGAGTAAGAAACTAGGTCCGGATGTGTGGATTCCCATACAGGTAAGTTGCCTCCCACTACAAAGCTTTATTACGAAGATCTCATACTGACGTGGTCTGGCAATCGTCTAGATGATCTCGTGGAGTATCGTGGCGCTGTCTCAGTTCTGGCTGAAAGACGAAGCCGGATTCTATATCACCCGTGCCTTGATTGGAGCCTGGGAGGGAGGCTTTATTGCCGACATCTGTCTCTATCTTTCCTACTTCTACACCAGCATCGAGCTACCTGTCCGCCTAGCTTATTTCTGGGCGGCCTTGACCACGTCGGAGATCATTGCCGCGTTTATGGCCTTTGGAATCCTTCGCATGCGCGGAGTTCTCGGCTATGAGGGATGGAGATGGTTGTTTTTGATTGAAGGATGTATTACCGTCGTCATCGGTCTTATCTCATTTCTTCTCATGCCTCCCTCGCCCACTAAAACAGCCTCCTGGTTCAGAGGCAAAGACGGCTGGTTTACGGCTAAAGAAGAGGCTATCATAGTCAATCGGGTTTTGCGAGACGATCCAAACAAAGGCGGAATGCACAATCGCCAGGCGCTTGACTGGAAAATGCTCGGGAAGTCATTCAAAGACTTTGATCTGTGGCCCATCTACATTATCGGCTTGTTATTTGGCATCAGCGCGGCCCCTGTCGACACTTATCTCACGCTGACACTGCGATCGCTCGGGTTCACCACTTTGCAGACAACACTTTTGACTCTTCCCAAACAGTTTCTTGGCCTGTTCACGCTACTTGCTATCACCTACGTTTCCCAGCGCATCGACCAGCGAAGCATTCTCGGCATCTTTGGCCAAGTCTGGGTTCTCGCCCTTCTTATCCCGCTCCGAATCTTCGACGCCGGCTCAAACCGCTGGTCCAAATACGCAGTCACAACTATCTTGATCGGTCATCCTTCCACGCACGCTATCCAAGTTGCCTGGACTTCCCGCAACTCAAACTCGGTCCGCACGAGAACGTTGTCGGCAGCGCTGTACAATATGTTTGTCCAGTTAAGCGGTATCATATCCTCCTACGTATACCGCTCCGACGATAAGCCGTTATACAAACGAGGAAATTCAGTGCTGATCGGGATAGCGTGCCTGAACATCGTCAACTACATCTTTGTCAAGTTCTACTACATCTTTAGAAACCGGCAGCGTGAGAAGATCTGGAACCAAATGACGCAGGAAGAGAAGGTGCAGTACACTCTTACGACGAAAGATGAGGGTAGTCGGAGACTTGATTTTAGATTCGCTCACTAAGCGCTTTCGTTTTCGTGTTCTTTCTCTCTTAGAGCTAGAAAAATGAATTTTGCTAGAGTAGCGCTTTTTTTTGATCTATGTTTTTATGATTTTTAATATACGCTCGTGCACGACCTAAATACTGAACCCGAGAACTTCGGTGACAAAATCTGTTCACTCTTTCCATATGCATGAGCATATACGCCCTTCCCAAATTCCACTGTCATTATGTTTGATCCTCACGACCACTATTCAAGAATCATATCAAACAACAAAGAAAGGAATTCGTTTTTTTTTCTTTCTTGGTTTTACAATACGGTACCGCTGCGCGCTCTTGATACATCAAATACACAAACAACTCTGCTCTCTGCTAAGAAATATAAAAAAGACACAAAACAACAACAAAGAAATAGTAGAACAACAAAGCAACGTAAAAGTACAACACAACAGTACAACAAGCCAGCGCAACAGCTTGTCAGCATAAATCAGAACAGAGCAGCATCAGAGAAGCAGATACAGAAAAGACAGAGAAAGTGAGAGCGCGCATAAAACGACTGGTGCCAGGATCGGGAAGAATGCGTTACGCATACTCTTGAACAAGACTATGAAGCCCTGCTCAAGAGTTATGTGGGACTCTGCGACTCTCGAAATCGCCATACCCACTAAAACCCGACTTCACCCAGAAGGCAGTCATGGACCGCCCCCGTATTGGTGGATTGTCAACGTTGCGCTTGAACCGCCTGGTCGTGCGGACTTTCTTCAACAACCGTCGCCTCGGGGCTCCCTTGCGACGGCGCAACTTACCAGTGCATTCGTTGAAGAGACGCGACAACGAAGACGTTTTAAATCCAATGAGCAACCTGGCTAGAGAAGAAGTTCATCAGATTGGCCGCCCTGACCAGCCGCGTCCACCCTGAACAGGCAGGATCCTCGGCGCGTACATGAGACGGCCACGCAGAGGGACCGGGCCGACAACGGCACTGCAGTGCCTTCGAGCGCACTCACCCGGTATCTGCGCGGGCAGGCCATATACCAGACCGCGTGGTTGAGTAAGCTTCTCTCTCCCCTTCTTTTTCTCTCGCATGCATGGCACGACGCCCACTCTTGAGGGTGTGCAACCGCGGAAACGGACCGGGAATATGCAACTACCCAACGTCTCGAGGTCCAGCCACAGAAAGCCTGCTCTATTTGCTGCGTTGTATGCCACTCTTAGAGAACGCTACCTGGATATTATGCTACCCTGAAAGGCGCGCTATCTGTTCCAGTCATAGCCCCCCCAGAGAGTGCTACCCAGACATAGGCAGTTTCTCTGGAGATGCTCATGAAACAGCGCAGTCTACACTTTGAGAATACTACCACTTCGGTATTCGGCACCCTCTAAGAGTGCTACCTGCGCAGCATAGGCTGCTTTCTGGCGACTTCACGAGGCACCATGCCTGTTAGAAAAAAAAGAAAGATTAAAACATACCCTCATCAACCTCCGCCGAATGTTCTTGCCGTCGAGAGAGAGCCGAAATGCCGTTCGTCTCGGTCTGTTGTTGAAAAACAGAAATGTTGCTCGTCTCGGTCTGTTGTTGAAAAACAGAAATGTCGTTCGTCTCGATCTGTTGCTGAGAAACAGAAATGTCGCTCGTCTCGGTCTGCTGCTGGGAAACAGACCGGATATTCGTCGTAGAAGGGACCGTGCTGATAACGGTTTTTTTCAGGCAGGTCATATACCAAACCGCTTGGTCGGGTAAGCTTCTCTCCCCCTTTCTTCTCTCGCATGCATGGCACGACGCTCACTCTTGGGGGTGTGCAACCGCCGCGAACCGGACCGGAATAAGCTACTCCCTAACTTCCCGTGGTCCTGCCACAGAAAGCAAGTCCTACCTGCTGTGGTGTATGCAACTCTTAGAGAACGCTACCTGGATATTGTGCTACCCTGAAAGGCGCGCTATCTGCTCCAGTCTTAGCCCCCCCCAGAGATGCTACCTGGCGCGGGGTAGTCTGCTCTCAGTACAAGAACGCTACCCACGCATAGGCAGTTTCTCTGGAGATGCTCGTGGAACAGCGCAGTCTACACTTTGAGAATACTACCACTTCGGTATATGGCGCCCTCTAAAAGTGCTACCTGCGCAGTATAGGTTGCTTTCTGGCGACTTCACGAGGTGCCTTGCATGCGAGAAGAGAAAGAGAGATCAAAGCTTACCCTCACCAACCTCCTAATGTTTCTGCCGTCGAGAGGGAGCCGCGGGATGCCGATAATCCCGATCTATTGCTGGGAAATAGATCAAATCGCTGGGGTGGGACAGGAGCCGAAAACCTGTCCCGGGGGAGGAAGAAGAGAAGGGGGAAGAGAGGGAAGAAGGGCGGGCGCGCCTAAATGTGCGGATCGTGGTTCGGGCGGGCGCGTGTCTGGTGTAATAGGGTTTCTAATCTTGGCCGAAAGTAAACATACTTGACGCGCCGCACATATTCGTGATTTTTCCCGTTTACGGATGATGATCAAGCTCAATTAATCGTTCAGATACATCTGATGAATGAAAATATCGCGCTGTACAGTGGTCTATGCACAGTAGTCTATGCAAAGTGGAGACGACTATCCTCAGTTGAGATTCACTTCCGTCGCTCTGCAGCGAGCTCAGGAAACAATGCGCTTGTTTTGAAAAATTAATGCCCTATTAGTTACCCAAAATGATATTCACAAAATTAAACCAATTAAAGCATAAGAAAAAGAGCAGACAAAATACAAAGACACTCAAAATGGATGAAATAAGCAACGATCGTGACTCTCGACACTGTGGTATATAATAACAAACTGACAAAATAATAACCTCCTAGGTATTCTCCAAAATTCTAACTCTAACGATGAAATTTTTCGGTCAAGGCACGCGTATGGTCCTTCGTACGTACTTTGGTCTCGGCAAGGTAGGTGACGACTCTGATGCACAGGTAGATAAATGAACCCAATCCACGGAACACGGCTAGGATAGCAACGGACCAAAGAATGACTAATAAATTTGTTAGCTTATTTCTCATAGGAAGCCTAAGTAGAGATAGTAAAGAGAGACTTACAAGCCAAATATTTGTTTGATCCCGTGTTAGTGACGTCGTACGCTTGAGTTACGACCAAAACCAGAATCATGTTCGCAATCATCCACAACAAGACAACACGGGTTCGGATTCCTCGATAATAGTCCTCCTTGATTGTGTACGCGCTCGGTCCGGTATTTCCTTCAACCTGCTTGCGCTCTCTCAAGTTTGCAAGCGCATCTTCGTATCCGGCGTCAATATCAAGCTGTTCAGAGGGCATCTCAACCTCGACGATATCCTTGCCCGCTCCACCGACCGCCGCTCCGAGATCGTTGCTGCTCTTGTCTTCTCCTTTGGTACCCCAAGTAACATCGTGAGTGTTACAGAAAGCATAGACCTGGAGAATGCAGATATACGAAGGTGTGAGCAAGAAATACTGTGGCAAACTTGTAACCATGTGCCACGGATCGAGGTACAAAATCGACATGACAATGTACAATCCAAACGTCGAGGCTATAGAAACAACCATATCCAGCATGGTGTCGCTACTGTTATCATCAGTATTGGTCAATTCGCGAGCAATGTAGTAGATTCCGCATCCAGTAGCGTACGCAGTGATAAGCGCAAACAGTGCCATACTAGTTACTATCATTGCTCTGGCTCCCTGAGGCCGATTACCCAAGCTGATGATAAACTGAGATGCAATCAAAATTGTCATCAAGATCTTCAAGATGACAAAGATATAGAATCCTCCGCTGGTGCCAAACGGATCTACCGAATCGTCACTCAAACTACCCGTGATGAAATAGACCGTGAGAAAATAGTTTGCCATAGAAAAGAAGGTGAACAGCAGGCTGACAAATTGGTAGATGAACTCAATATGCAGACTGATCTTTCTGACGATTGAGTGCTCAGTCTTCCAGATTTGCTTGAAGTGAAGCTGGGCATAAAGCGCCGCGAATAGGGCACCGTTCAGCCATCTTCGACGTTGACTAACAAACTCAGCAACCGCATCTATCATATAGTGTTAGCCTTATGAAACAACCCTGGGAAGTAGACAGAAAAAGAAAACGAACCTGGAACATCGGTATCACCGGTACAGTTACTGACATACTTCAGCAACCACTTCTCTCCCTTTTTAGCGACCAGCTCCCAACACAGAATTCTGTCCTCAGCGAGGTACATATTTGCGGTGAAAACATCAGCGTCCTTGCCTTCAAGCTTCTCACCCTTGAAGTACTGCGCGAGTGGACCATTGCCGTCGCTATCGTTCTGAAGAGCAATATAACGATAGGCTGAAAGGGCACCTGGCAAGACAGTAATGTAACCAAACACACTCTCCATCGGTTTATCCAAAATGTTCGACATCTTGTACTCAAAATTTTGGGCCGCCACAATGGGATTCAGCAAATTTCTCCAACCCTTGCCAAGCATAGCCCGAATTTCGCCAGACGCACCGGCGACATTGGAGTCTTGGTCAAACGCCTTCCAAAGATGGTAAAGAGAAGTATTTCCAGGACGCGTACCAACATCGAGCAACACGCACACATTGGGCTGCAAAATAGGACAAAACGCATTGAAAAGCCATCTATGAGAGTTGAGCTTCTTTGCCTGATTTTCCTTCAAGCAAAACAGAACCTGAACTGGCACGACGCCCTTCTCAGCACCTTTGAACTTGAGATCTGAGTCCAAAGAAATCTGAGTGGTATACTCGTAGATATGAGCCTTGACCTCCTGGCCATTGACTGAGTTCTTGGCAATTCCATCCTGGAAGATTCCCATTGAAGCCAAACAATCAAGCACTCGAGGGTTTATCTTTTTTCGGCCATCAGCGACAATGATGACTACCACCTTCTTCCATCCTTCTTTACCCCACATGCGACTCTTCGAGCGCGAGCAAAGGTGTGCAATGTTCTTCATGACCGCGTGCATCGTGCGAGTGAAACTTACTTCGTCCTCATTGTACATGGTGATACAAATAACAAGCTCAGTTTCACGATCATTGTTAGCAGGACGTAAAGTGAAGCCGCACTTCATGAAATCGTCAGGTTCGCAGGTCGCGGCGGTGTATCGCATATATGTGAACTCATCATTGTCACGGCGAGGCAAGAAGCTGTACAGCTTGGTAGGTACAGGACAGTCAAGCACGAGATTACCACGAACCAAACGGACTTGCTTGCGAGCCATTGAGCGGTGTCGTCTTGGCTGGGCCATTTCGGGAACCGACTCAATGACCGGACTTCCCATAGAACCTCCTTCCTTCTCATCGTAACTGTATTCCGAGCCAGACTCGTCATCGTCCTCGTCGTCTAGCTTTCCGTATCCGGCAGAAGACATGGTACCCCGACGGTTGCTAGTATACGATGGCAGCGAAGACCGGCTGTATCTGTCGAGGGTATCGTCCTCGTCATCCTCGTCTTCGCCAACTAACGAGTAATCACCCATACGAGTACCTGCAGGCGGAGCCAACACAGGTGCCGGAATCAGCGACCGAGCAATCTTAGCATTTTCCGATTTTCGTGGGCTCGAAGGCTGCGAAGACGACAGGCTGTCTGCCGCACCGGAATCAGATGAGATCGAGTTCATGTTGATCAGCGCATCCACTGCCCGATGATTCTGAAGCTCTGCAAGACTTGGGAAGGAAGGCGGAGGTGAAGAGACGCTAGGTGTCAAGGATCTGACAGGACTGCCTGGTCTACTACCACTGCCACCGGCAAGCGCGGCTGGGGGCAAAGGAAGTGGTCTGATAGCTCCACTGTGGGTTGGTGCGTATGGCGATGTGTTTACGTCGAGATCAGCAATGCTTTCGCGAGTAGGCGACACGTGTTCCGAGCGGGAATGTCCAGATTCAATATGCGCGGCACGAAGGGGAGTAACGATGGTCGTATAAGACGACTCGTTGCCGCGGGATGCCATTCGGCCGCGCGCAGAGGCAGAGAAGCTGTCATCGTCGTCGTCATGGACTAGACGGGCGGTCCGAGGCGTGAGAGGTGCAGTTGCAGAGCGAGCTGCACGAGCTGAGAACGGAGTCTTGGTTGGAGAAGGCGGAGTTGAGTACGGAATCGACGGATCGTCTGTAGCAAAAGCAAATCAAAGTCAGAAACACAACCAAGCAATCCATATTTGAATAGAAAACAGACGACAAACCTAGAGTCATCCCAAGTCCAGAGTATGACCGAGAAACGGCATCAGAAGAAGACTCGTCTGAGGTATTGACATTTAATGGCTCGAGATCGTCAGCGCGAGTTGAGTTCCGCAGAGGACTGCCCTGACGTCTTGAAGGCGAATTGTTTCCAGTCAGACGGCTATACATTGGCGATTTCCTAACTTCCGGGATTGCAATGTATTATTATAGGCGGCAACCAGCGAGAGGCCTTCGGTAGATCAACGTAGGTTTTCTTTGATCAGTTAAAAAACCAAGTGGCAGTAGAAAGACCAGATTAATCCGAGCAAGTAAAAGCTATAGACTCTCTAATTGATAAGAATCTAGTACTGAGAGAAAATAAGCAACAAGGCACGAACGTGGCCTTCAAAAGTTGTAAAAAAAGTCTTGACGTGTGTGAAGAAAGAATAGGCAACCTGACTCGTAGGAAGATCGAAGCCGCAAAGGAGGACGTGGAACTCCCTCGCTTCTTGCAGACCCTACACCTGGTAAACAAAGCACCAAACAAAAAGCCGCAGCAAGGACGGCGTGCCGTCGCCATAACAACTATATTTATTAAAACCCTAACGCGACATTTAAGAGAACGACGCTCTTCTCATATATAACTAACCGCTCGACAGGACTAGGCAGCCAACCGCGATTGTATTCTTATTGATGTTACTGAGTCAGTTGTGACGTGGTATTTTTCAAGGTTTTCTTTATAGTTTTTCATCTATGTATGGCTCTGGCAACTAAAGATCGAAGCCGAACTTGTTTGAAAACAGATCATCAAATTATCATTATTACTTCTAATTGAGAACAGATAAACAAATATTAAGGTCGTTCAACGCTTCACAGCACAGAAACATGAAAATCCTAGCAGCTGACAGAAATTTCAGCAATTGGAGCTAGCAAGCGGGCAAACTAAAAAGAAAACAAGACGAAAGACGTTTAAGCCCAAGAGAAGACCTCCTCAAAGTACTCAACGCGCGCCTTGCCCTTATCGACATTCTGCGCGACCGCCTGTCTGCAAATATCAGATAAAGATCCAGGACCGCACATCATCACTGCCACGCTTCCGTTCGCCTCGTGGACGGTGGATGCAATGACCGCGTTCATGTCCGGGCGCTGGCCGTAGGTGACGTCGTCTGCGGTCCAGGAGATCTTGGAGCCGTCGAGCGAGTTTGCTTTCTCAGAGTCGGTGGCAGATGCAGAAGCGGAGTCGCTGTTCTTCACGTCCGAGAGTGCGGCGACGCTTGAATCGTGGGCGCCGGTCACAAAGATGTGGATCTCGACGCGCCGGGTGGCTGCAATAGCGTCGATCAGCGACTTGACCCATCCCAGATCTGTCTCATTGCGCAAGATCCAGTATAAGATAATGTGCTGTCCCTCTCTGGCCTTGTTTGCAAGAGCAGTAGCGTAGCTGACAATAGCTGTAATACCGATGCCGCCGGCGACAAGAAGGATGGTATCAAACCGGCTGACAGGAGCAGACTCGCCGTAAAATCCCTCGACCCAGACGTTCATCTTGTTCTTGGTAGCATCAGGTGCCTTTGCAACAGACTTGAGCAGTTTTTGGGTCATTCCAGCTTCAGCCTTTGTCACAAAGACGTACTCGCCGTTCTCCTTGCCGACGACCGAGAACGGGTGAGACTCCCAGAAGTTGTGGCGCATGACGTAGAGGTATGCGTACTGACCAGGCTTGGGAGTCCACGAGATCATGGGCTTGACGCGAATAATAGCAGCGCCGCCAACGATCTTAACCGAAGCGGTAGCAAAGAGACCGGAGTAGAGAATACGGAAGATGCGGAATACGTGGTCAACGACCCAGATTCCGACAGTTGCCCAGAGATACTTGTAAAACATCCATTGGTAATAATTGTACGCGTAAACGTGGAGGTAAGTGTAGGCCAGGAACACGGCAGCGAGGGCGATATGGAGAATCTTGAAAATCTCATAAAAGTAGTGGCGGAAGGGATAGAATGCTTGGAAGAGAATGGCTGCAGCAAGAATAGTGGCCTGAAATAGATGAGAATCTTTGCTTCGCTATTTACAAAACCAAAATGTACTTACCACACTACCCCAAATAATAGCCTCCACGTGCCAAACGCTCTCCACATAGGTTGCGTAACCGCCTTCCTGGTAGACGTAAACCAACGAGTATGTCAGACCGTGAACAGCGGATTGGATAAACATCCACTAAAATAAAGAGTTAGTATACCCAAACTGTACTAAGATATCAACCTGCTAGAACAAAAAAGATTCATACCCGGCCGGTCCATCTGTGAATGACATTAAAGGTCTCAAACTGCCATCCAGAGAAGTACTGCAGAATGTTATTTCGCCCCGCAAACAGATACAGCGATGGCATCATGACGGTGGCAAAGATTCCAGAGCGGTCAGCAATATATCGAGCCCACTGCTGTCTCGGCGTTCCAATCTTCGTGTTCTCTTCGAAAATATCAACCTGAGGCCAGAGAAAAACGACGTTGAGGATGCTGTAGAGAACGACGAGAAGATACATCCATCTGACGGGGGTGATGTTGAGCGCAATGCCAAAGAAGCGGAAGGGCTCGGCGTGCATCTTTCCAAAGGTTGCAGGAAGGATGAACCACTTGCGGAACATGGTCACGTATTTGTTGGTAGCACCGCGCTCGATGTTCAGGAGACGACTGAAGACGTTGTTGAGGAACGCGATGACCATGAAAAAGCCCCAGAAAACCAAAAGAGTGTTTCTTCAATGATGAATTAGATAATTTTGTACTCCAAGTGAAGAGGAAGACCACTTACCCGTAGATAACAGAATCTTTCATGTTGCGCATGTAGGCATCCTGAGTGCGGTAAGGATAGTCAAAGGTAGTCGAGTTAATCATAGACGGTACGTCTGTGGCACCATCGTACTGTCCCTCGACGACATAGTCCTTCTCAGCAAGCTCAAGATAGTACTCGTAGCTCTCGTCGATGGTGACCTCGTAGTTTGTCTTGTTTCCGCAGAGGTCGGTCCAGTAGTTCCATGTCTTTTCCTTTTGGTTCTCAGCGCACTTGTCGATACACAGCGCCCAGGAGCCTTGGTACACATCGTTTGTGCAGGCGCATTCGTAGTCGAGTTTGGTGGTAGCACCGCTCTTCTTGCGCTTCTCTAGCTTGTGGGAGCTCTTCCCTGCAGAAGAGGCGGCGGTAAGACATCCGGCAGTGGAGTTGACGGTAACGACATAATTGCCACAGATATATTCACAGGCAAGTAAGGTAGACGTCTGACGAGCAGAGGCAATGCTAGCCAGGCCTGCAAAGGCACTGATGTAAAGCAAGATGCTAGTTGCGAACTTCATCCTCGAGAGTTAATAAAAACAAAGAAGAGAAGATGAACAGCTGCTGTCCGGAGATGGATGGTACAGTATAACAAGCAACAGAACTGACGTGCCGCAGCGCGGAGTTATTATAGTCCCCATGCCTGGTTCAAAGAGGTCGGAATAAGTACGGTAAAAGTCGCTGATGGGGTGAGATGGAGAAGCGAGTACGACCGAGATACGTCTTGGCAGAGCAATCAGAGCACCGAACGACTGGGCTCGTGCAGGTATATGATTAATGACAGCTAGGGAAAAGACAGAAGGCAAAGCAAAATTTCTAATAAGAGCGAGCAGAGATGAAGGTCTAGATGGCATTCGAACGAGCGGAAGACGAACAATCAAGTGGTCGGGCAGAGTTTGGCAAAAGTTTGATTTCCATTGCGATGCGTCCTATTGCTTGTGCGGTAGGTACTCGGAAAGCCAAAACGAGCTGTAGTGAGATAGCCAAGGTTTAGCGCTTGGCGTTTGGACCAGCTGATTATTCGGTTTGAAAGCCGGGCTTGTCAGAGTTGGTTTGCCAGCTATGGTTGCCGCGACCGGATGACGGCAGAGCGGGAAGGTGAGTCAAGGCCGGAGAAGGGATACGTACTCCCTCTTCCGAACCTTGTTGATGCACCACAGCTGCATATTAGCAGATATCAATAAGAGCTTCATATAATTGATTTTACATCAGAATTTCCGGCAGCGAGAGGGTGGTAGAACCAATGGAGAGTAGGAGAGATGCGCTTGCGCTCGAGGAGCACAAGTTCTGTTTACAGAGGATTTCGGGGTCGCCGCCTCAGCTGCGGCGCTTCATTATTGCAGCCACCTCGCGTAAGGCCGCTGAGCAGCCCTTCAGAGTTCCAAGCTACTTCTCTCTGCTCTCAGAAACGGCACGAATATCTGGAGAGCAAATGGACCAGATTCTGCCGTTTATTGAAGGGCAGTCTATAGGAAGTCAGGCCAATCAAAGAAAACCCAAAAAAACAAGGGTCGATGCAGGTCTAGATGGGCGACGTGAATACTATTTATGCCCAGATATTTGCTGTCCTCGGGCACGCAGCCCGTCTTCTCCGCAAGCTCCGAGTGCCGCTTTCTAGTGGGGAGACCTCTGTCGGCAGCTGTTCACAACCGCTGTGTGAAACAGAAGAATAGGGCCTTGGCGCACGGCGATTATGGAGATGGACGAGGGGGCAGAACGTGCTTAGCTCCGTGAGCACGGATGGTGAGCGGTGGTTCATTGGCTCGGAGCTTAGTCGCGAACATCCCACCGGAGATTATTCTTCACGGTCGTTCTCCAACTTCCGCTTCATTTCGCATTTCTGCTTGCAACAGTTGCTCTCCTTTTGCTTGGCTAGGATGTAGTTTTTTTGCTAATGCACATGCTGTCTTACGGCAGTAGCAGTCTGCGAGGGTGGAAACAGTCTGGACCGCGTTCTAGGCTCTACTTGATTCTCAGGTGGAGAGAGAGCAGAGAAGTCCGGGACTCGCAGTAGTTGAGCTGCCGATGTTGCAGATCTGCCAATTACTTATCAGATAAATATTCATCTGATATACCTATCAGATAATAATTATGTATTTGATATACTTATCTGATCATGATAATACGTTCTGCTAGATCATTGGAATTTGAACGATTGAGCGAATGCGGTCCATCGTCCCCACAAAGAGTCAACAGAGACTCTTCTCGAGAAGACATATACTACAACACTATACTACGTCACAGCTATAGCAAAGACCCTATTTCTCTCTGAAACGAACTTCTAAATCTATTGAGTGACAAAATCAAATACGTTGCAATTGCAATATGTTAATGTTCTGGACCGTAGGCCAAGTTTACACATTCTGGATTTCTCTCTTATTAGACCAAGCACACTCGTACCTACTCTCTAGAGTACTTCACGCTTGTTTACGTATGCGTTTTGCCTCGATGCTGGGGTTCTGGTAGCCGCTTTCCGGATTTCCTTGAATCCGGCGGAGATGTGGAGAGATCGGCTGTTTGCTTTCTTCCGCTGCGGCTTCGAGGTGGCATCGTTCTCGGATCGCCATTCTTTATCCCTCTTATTATCTTGTTTTTCCCTATTCGGTCATCAGTATGAGAAAGAATAGTCATAACTATTTCATTGAATCTTACAATAATATTGATAAATTTACGACTATCATTCAGAGCACTCCAGTAAAGACAACTCAAGCACTACTTCCGTTTAACTCCACAGTTTTGCATCTCCGCTAAATCCATGGCCATAGCCGCAGTCGTCCTCCCACCTCTCATATTTTTTCCTCTTTCCTCCACCTACTTCTTGGCATTCTTCAGTCTTCTGAGTTCTCCGGATCACAGCCGTCGGTTCTCGATATACGGGTAATAAGAACTAAATTTACGTGTATCAATTGAATACGAAGAGAGAAAGAAAGAGAGGAAGGATGAGATGCGGTTAAGATCATTAAGACATGTGGAATTTCTACATCGTAAAGGGCACAGATGGCAAAAAAATAAATCGTCCGAAAACAAACATCCAGCGAACTCTCCCCGACCCGGATTCAGATCCGAGCCTATGCATACAACTCACGACACTCCTTCTTCTCGCATACACCCCGGAACCCCACTCCTTACTCCGCGTGCGTAATCTCCATTTCTGCAGTCAGCCCACACCGGCCCAGACCTTCTTCCTGCTTGAGCCTGGCTGGGTCGTGTATGCTGCCAAGACTATGTAGAGGTTGAGTCTGCACGTATGAACTGAGTAGGCTAGACAGAGTAGCTGAACTGAGTAGGCTAGACAGAGGAAGCTGGATTGCTTGACTACGTTGCCGTTGCCTGTCAAGTCGGGAATCAAAAGGAAGAAATAGATAAATGTGAGAAAAATCGTTATTATCGTGCTATTCGCTCATGCTAGCTCACACCGACATCTTCATGTCAATCTTCCCCATTGGCTTATATCCCACCACCTCGAAATCCTCATACTTGAAATCGTCGATATCAGTCACTTCCCGCTTGATAACCAGCTTAGGAAACTCTCTCGGCGTCCGCTCAATCTGCGTCTTCATGGCATCAACGTGGTCGAGATAAACATGCGCGTCTCCGAGACAGTGCACAAACTCGCCCGGCTTCAGACCGCACACAGTGGCAATCATCACCGTCAACAGCGCATAGCTCGCGATGTTAAACGGCACGCCGAGACCCATGTCCGCCGAGCGCTGGTACAGACAGCACGACAGCTCGCCCTGCTGGTCAGGACCGTCGGGGTAGCCGACGTAGAACTGCGCAAACATGTGGCATGGCGGGAGGGCCATCTTGCTCATGTCGGCTGGGTTCCATGCTGATAGAATCAGACGTCGGTCGTACGGCTTGTGCTTGATTTTGTCAATCAGCTCAGCAAGCTGGTCAACCCCCTGTCCACTGTAATCTGTATTGAAATCCACATATTCCGCCCCGAAATGTCTCCACTGGAACCCATACACCGGTCCAAGATCACCTTCAGCTCTGTGCGAAAGCCCGACCGAGTCCAGAAACTCGCGCGATCCATTGCCGTCCCAGATATGCACATCCTTCTCCTTCAGCTCAAGCGAGCTCGTGCTTCCCTTAACAAACCACAGCAGCTCATGAATAATCCCCCGCAAAAACACCCGCTTCGTGGTCAACAGCGGGAACCGGCCGTCGCGTAGCGAGAACCGCATCTGTGGTGGTGCGAAAAGCGAGTACGTTCCTGTGCCGGTCCGGTCAAGACGTTTCTCGCCTCGCTCAAGGATAGTGGCGCATAGGTCGAGATAGGCTTGCTCTTCGACGTTGCCGACGCTCTTGTCGTCGTCGGTCCGCGATCGCTTGGCTGCAGGAGGGGACGACGTATCGCTGGACACAGGTGTGCTTATCGCCTCAGCAGACGACATCGATGGTGCCATTATACAACTATCCTCTTTCCTCCGTGTTCTATGTCCAGTGGATGCGGTGCAGGTATGCTAATCGTTTGAAGCGAAGGCGCGGGGCTATGACGGGAAGAAGGGAGTGATGGGAAGACGCGAAGAAAAATGCGACACGCGCTTTGAATTCCCAGTAAACCGCCCTAACCCACTACAGTCGCGTACTCCGCGCGTTGATAACGTAATCTGTCTGTTAACCTGTGTGGTTTTGCAGAATATGCGATATATATAATATATGTGTAGCTTTTATGTAGTATGATATGCATCTATCTACAGAATACAATGAGTAAAGTTGATTCATAGTGGTGTTGGTATGTAATAGTAGGTAGATATTGGAGTGACAACTCTTCCAAACGGAAAACGCGGAGTATTGACAATACAATCAAAATAAACAGAAAAAATGCAATGTCGAACATATGAACAAAACCAAAACAAACCCCATGAATGTTTTTTTATCCATTTCCAATCCATAAACGACCATAAACATACGCCCAAAGAAAAAGCGCCAAACAAATGATACAAGTGAAACAAAAAGTGAAAAAAAAAGATACAAGGAATGATACAAGGCTTTACAGACTATCTATATAATTCCTCCTCGGGAAGCATCTCGAAATCCTCCTGAGCAGGCACGATGCGTGGCGAGGCACGGTCCCGACCAGCACGGGGCGTCGAGGCGCCTCCAGACTCTGACGAGACAGCTCTGCGGCTCTTGTTGTTGTTGTCGATGCTGACGACGCTAGAGCCGGTGCTCGTTCCAGCCAATCCCCAGACCACTTTCGAGAACCAGGAAGGGGACAGCGACTGCTGCGGCTGTGACGGCTGCTTTTCCGACGGCTGTTGTGATGACGGCAGGGACTCTGACTCTATACTAGGCGAGCTGACTTTGTAGTTCAGATCAGCAGTAGAGATCGAAGACGAGTCGCTGTCAGTAGTGCAGTCCGTGGCAGCGATGGAGTCGACGGAAATGCGAGGGGAAGACGAGGCGGACGCCGAAGTCGCGACCGAGACGGCAGAGCGGGAGGGGAAGTAGCCCAGTCTCGCGCAGGGTACGGCGCAAACCTCGACGTGCTGACCGACGCCGTCGACGATGGCCCAGCCAACCAGACTCGATCCGGCAGGGACGCCCTTGAAGTTACTGAGCTGGCCTTTCTCGGCGCGGAGGTGGCACTGCAGAGGGATTGCGCACTTGTCTGTCGGAAGCATGAGCGAGGCGCGGGTCTGGATGGCGTCGTTCGCCCATAGCCGGTTTGTTTTTTTGACTGTAGCGGCGTCTGTCTTGTAGGTGAGCAGGATCGAAGGAAGAGTGTCGGTGGGTCTGACGGCGTGGATGTAGACGAGAGCGGTGCCGGGGGGAGCGGTGGGGGCGGCGGCGGATGGTGGAGCGGTGGAGGCGGTAGCGCGAGCGGCGGAAGAAGCGGGGGAAGATGCGGAAGAAGAGGTCGAGGAGAACGAAGAGCGGCGGGCTTCGGACTGGAGCTGCCAGAAGAGCTCAGCGTTTGCAGCGGAAGAGTCAGCTAGGAAGCGCAGCTGGGCGGAGGCCGAGTAGATGGTGGAAGAGGGCAGCTCGAGGGGGGAGACGGAGTGATCGAGCGTAGTGGAGGCGAGTGGATCATGAGCGTGGACGGGAGCGGGGGAAACGCCGCGACGAGAGCGGGAGGCGGAGCGGCGGGGGACAGCGAGAGCCATGAGAGATGATGGAGGAGAGGGAGGAGAGATAGACGATAAGAGATAGAAGGAGAAGAGGAGGAGAGGCAGAGATAAAGAAGGAAGGCGGAGTCGGGAAGAAGGAAGAAAAGCGGTGAAGAAGAAAAAACACAGCGGCCGTTTTGGGATTAGCGCGTGACCGTGCGCCGCCTGCGCTCGCTGCCGTCGGTGGCGCCCGATTTGGACCCCGGAGAAGACCTTCGCTGGGTTTGTTTGCAGGATCTCGAGGGCTGTTGTTGTTATAGAAGATATGATGTACTTTATGAGCTTAAGTAGAGCTATCGTACATATTTACAGCTCCTCTCAATTCACCACCATCATCTCCCAGGTCTCCTCTTCCCCGGAGCCTGCCGACGATGGCAGCGCCCGGACCAGTGCTCATCTCTAATTTTCTAGCTCTGACTCAATCAGCCCAAACTCAAAGGGTCCTCGACCCTTGTTTACCTTCTTACGTAACGACTCCGTATCTGCTCTCTGAACATTACTATTACTATTAAAGACCTATTATATACACTCTTTTGCGAGCTGGAATAGCAAAACAATACCATAACCATACACACTGTAATACCATCAACACCCTCCTAACAAAACACTTTCCCACGTACCTCTACTCTACACCAACAAAACACTCTTCCTCGTCTGCTCACTTCCTGTGCAGCTTTCGCGCATTGGCTCGAGCAGGGGGGGTCTGCGGCTGCAGACTCTGCGTGTGTCGATGGAACGCAGCTCCGGCTCCCGCCAGCGCCTGCGCCTGTGCATCCGTCGACCCTCTCCCTGTCGTGCTCGGTACCGCCGTCGACGCACTGTACTTGTGGTAACTGCCGTCCAGTCTCGGCAGCGGCGGTGCTGCTGCTGCCGTTTCTTTCCCGCTCCCACTCGAGCCTCCGGAGCCTCCGTCCCCGGTCGCTCCCATGGTAGGCCGTCGGGTGACGATCCCAAACAGTGCGCGCGATATCGAGCCCTGTCTTCTCGGCTTGTTGCGCGACGGCGCCATGCCCGACATATCCGTAGACTTGCGCGGCGAGTAACTCAGCATCGTCGAGTCCACCGACCGCCGAGGCTGTGCTGTAGGTTGCTGCTGCGGTTGCTGCTGTTGCTTTAATAACTGTGCTGGGTTCGTAGTCGCCCGTCGCGGCTCCGGCGGTTGCGTGCTCGTTCTCGCAACTCGGGCTTTATTCATAGCCGGCGGCTCTGGCTTTGCTCTATTCGTTGTCGACACCACCGGCGCTGCCGCGGGTGCTATTGGCGCAGCAGCCCGCTTCGGCGCTGATGAAGCTGATGACGTCGACGACAGCAGCGGCGAGTCCGCAGACTGCTGCTTCATGTAGCTCTGCCGCGGTGTCGTCTGCGGCGAGGGTCGCGGTGTCTGCTTCGGTGACACTCGCGGAGATCGCGATGCTGATGTCAGATACTGTAACTGCTGAGACTGCTGCGATTTCTGCGGCTGTGGTTGATAGATCTCAGTCGTGCTCGACCGATTGCTACTCCTGATCGCCGGCGACGACTCGAGCCGTTGCTGCACAGAATTCGTTCGTTTCGGAACATACAGCACGTCGTTCTCGCTTTCCACAAAACTACCAGATCTTCGCTGCTGTTGTTGTTGCAACTGTTGTTGCTGTTGTTGTTGCTGCTGCTCGTACACCGGTCGCTGAAATGGCTCCGGCGTTCTCTGGATCGAATGCGTATCCCCGTCATCCGACGCAGCAGCAAACTCAGACGCCGTCATCGCAGGACTATTGCTCGCACTGCCTCCCCACACTCCTGACGATCGGTTCGAGCTTGAGTTCATAAAACTCCGTCCACTGCGACTCCGCTGCAACGCACTCATCGCCGCCACAACCGACATTGGTTGTCCTCGCTGATCGCCTGTAGCTGCAGACCCCGCCGTGGGCGTCTGTGCGATAAACGTAGACGAAGATGAAAATGACGGCGATGACGAAAGGAGCTCTGGCGTACCAACCATACTGCTTCGACTACTTTGGCTTCTTCGCCCGCTCCCACCTAGTGACCATCGCGGGTTGCGCAAAGGCGTCACTGCCGTCCCTGGAGCGGTTGAAGCCGATGTTGCTGCATTTGATAAGCCTGCAACTGTAGCTGTAGTCGTTGTGGTCATCCCCGCCACTGCTGCAGATGACGAAAGATTGCCAACCGAGGTCGCCGACTTTGCCAGCGGTTTCACGCCGTTCGCGTTACTGCTGTTCGTAGCCGTCGCCCGGTCGAGATTGATAGGTACTGTGTTTGATCGACGTAATGTCCCGCGCTTGAAAATCGGAATCTGCATACTATCTCGCTCGTTCTCTTTATCCTTACTGCTGTTGCTGCTTCCGTTCGACAGCTTAAACAGTCCTGCGAAATTTGACCCCGAGCTCAGCGCGCGCCGAGCGTTGCGCAGTCCGCTGTTCTTCTCAAGAACCTCGTACGCCGTAGTTCCCTCGGCAGCAGCCGCTGCGGCATCCTCCCCGCTCGGTTTTAGGTATTTCAGATTCTCAATCATAAACACAAGACAGTCCTGTGAGATCCGATATTGCTCTGGCGACTGGTCGTGCTGAGGGTGCAATAATATACAAGGCTGGAAAACAGCTGCCAGATTCGCGGCCGGCATCAGATTCTTCTTAGAGTGTCGTGAAAATTGCTCCAGAAGATCGAGAATATAGAGCAGGAGCTGGCGATTCGTGACCGGTAGATGGAATATCAGCTGCTGAACTACAGATATTATATCCTTTTTCCGCATCGTCGCCGTACTATTACTGTTCGCTCCAGCGCCTCCCGTTCCAGTCTGGTTCTGGGACGAGGCAAGGTCACTAGCATGCTCAAACGGCGCACGGAAATTATCGTACTCGTCTAACGGTACAATCGGTTCGGGGAGGCTGTTGAGGTATCGGCGCAAAATGCTTGACGCATCGTGAACGGTATATCCTTGCCATGAAATCTTTGCGCCGAAGTCGGGAGGCGAGGCAAAGACTTGCTGTAGTTGACGGACTCGTTTGGCCGACCCACTGAGTCGAAATATGCCTTGGGTGTTGATTCCTGTAGGGTATAGAGGTTAGTCGCTTGCAAATAGCCAAAACCCGGAGCAGAGATATTTGTAACAAAACAAAACAAAAGCAAAAAAAAGTAGGACAGTACCATTTTCTCGTAAATATGTTCCACAGACGGCAACAAGAACGGGTAACGGTCCATATATAATCTTCGCGCCGCTCTGTGACCTGCTGATTACTCGAGTAGAAGAGCGCTCGACAGCGGCGTCGAGAGGCTGGCCAAAGATGAACGGGTCGACAATGACCTCGAGCGGACGAGATGGCGGAGCGGCTGAAGCAGTGTCCGAGGTCGTGTTGTTACTCGAGAGCGGATAGAGCAGGTTTTGGTTCGGGACCTGGAGCTGCTGGGTCGCGCCGGTCGCGGTCGAGAGCGAGGAGAACGAGTCCGACGAAGGCGAGATAGCGGAGGCAGAGACATGGCGCGAATGGCGCAGACGAGACCACCAGTGCCGCTTCTGTAGCTTCGCACCGTCAGCGACGTGGGGCGAAGGAGCGGTGGCAGCCATGAAGGCTGGACAGGATGTGTGCGCGGTTTAGAGACACACAAAAAAACCGATTGATCAAAAAGGCAGACAAAAATAAATCTGGAGATGGACGCGACGACGCCGTCGGTCGGTGAAGAGGAAGAAGAAGGCGGATGAGGTGGTCTGGGGTACAGCGTATGCTTTGTTAGTCGAATCCTGCTGGGACTGACAGCGGCTGACTGGCAGCCAGAAGACAGAAGAGTGCACTTGCTAGAATGCAGAACGGGACACTTACTAAAACACACGATAGGGCGTAGACCAGCAGACACGGTCCTGGTTTCCGGTGAAGATGAGGATAATTTAGGAGGCAGGAATGTCTGAGAGGGAAATTGGCTGCTAATAGCAACAAGCAGATGACGAACCTGATCCTCAGTCTTTGTGGGCGTGACGGCCGCTGGGGTTGTTTTGGGGAAGTAGAGCGGGTACACAGTGCTGTATATATAAGTACGTCTGACTCCAAAACAGCTACACTCTCCCAGAGCTCATTGCAGCCTTTATACTAATATACTACCTGCATACACCTAAATTACAGTATATTCAAGCAGCAGAATTCTGCACCATCACCAGACACCTTCCTACTTCCAAATCCCACCTCTCGCTGCCCGCAGTCCTGTCTTCCCCGGGGGTCCTCGTGTACGCTCTGCGCCGGTCCCATTTTTAGCCCACACAACGAGCGAAAAATTTAATGATATCCGACGCTCGCTTTGCATGTGATGCCCAGCACGTGCGAGCCGCACGCTCACATGCTTCCCTGCCTGCTTTCGTCTCCCCGGGCACGCATTGTTTACCTCCCAACAGCGCTCTGACTCCCGGTCTGTCTGCGCGGTCTTCTTTCTTTTCCGCTGTATGCAGAGTACTGGACCTCAGAGGTGTTACTGGGGCAAAATGGACTACCTCGACAGCGAGTTTGGTGGCCTATTCATCAGCCCGCGCGGGTCTTTCCGCAGCGCGGCAGCTCGGCCGGTAACGTCATCGGTCGCCGCGGACCTGCCTTACGAGCTCATCCTCAGCGTATTTCAACACCTCGACCCGGACGCGTTGGTAGCCTCCTCGTGTGTTTGCCGTGCTGTAAGTTGTTTTTATGTTTACTGTTTTTGTGTCTATTTTTCGTGAATATTCGCACCTCCAGTCTGTATCCTGTTGCTAACCGTCGTACCGCCTTGTTGAATACAGTGGCGCTCCGTGGCAGCCGATGACCGTCTCTGGAAGTTCATTGACATCTCTCGTCTAAGACCCAGCACAGTGCTCAGCTCAGACCCATTAGTACACGCTCTCGCCAACACTGCACGTGCTATCGACATCAAGAACCCGCCTTACTTCTCCTCAGCCGACCTCCCCGCGCTCTTCAAACTCATCAAACCCAACTCCCGTCTGCGCGAATTCTCGTTCGAAAACTGCGCTGCGCTTGACGCAGATGCCGAAGCTAGTATTAGTGAGTTTGTCGGCAGTGCGCGCGAGCTGCAAAGTCTCTCGTTGTCCGGCACACTTATCCGTCCGACGACGGATATGTTCTCCAAGCAGCTAAGCGACACCGTCACCTCGCTCGATCTCTCGAGAACCGGAATGAGCAAATACGCTCTGGGAGAGCTCTCGACCGCTTTTCCCGCTCTTGAGAAGCTGTCTTTGAGCTGCTGCTATTATCTTTCATCGACCAGGATCCGGCGGCTGCTTAACGACCTTCCCGAGCTAACCGACCTCGACCTAAGCTCGATCCCAGTCGTCGGCCCGCGGACGGTCAAAGCCTGGCTCTCGAGAGACGATCGACCAAAGCGTCTTGACGTCCGGAACTGCGATTGCTTTACCGTTCATGACATTGAACAGCTACGACTATGTGCACCCGCCGGCACAGAAATCGTACACTCTGCTCTCTTACTCGAAGAATCAGAGGCCGGTTATCGCGCCTACATCGACCTGATTGCCGGAATCTCCAACCCTGCAGAGATGATCGATGACTCGATTGTCGAGTCTTTGCTTGCATATCCTTCTTCGTCAGACGAAGGCTCGCTTTCGTCATCGCCTGTCATCTCTTCATCTAGGTTGAAAGACGAAACTCGCGATAGGTTAGCGTGTCTTCTCCCCGCTGCTTTCTCGTATGCTCTGAACTCGGCGTCGAGCTAGTCTTGGTTCCAAGCTGTATTCCTATTATCTTTTTGGGAGCGATGTATATTAATATTGGTTCACTTTGGTGTTTGTATTTTAGCGGTGGGTGCTGTTTTTGTGCTTTTAGGGATGTTTGGGTGTGTTTTGTGTATATCTCAATATGACCGTTGAGAGGTTTGTACGATAGTCTAGATTTATTGAAACAACAGAGAATCGGGGCGCTATATTACAAAATTAAACTCCCTAAAAACAGACCACGAATGCAAACGAGCTTCCAATGCTCTCCGTGCCAAAACCCAATCCGGTAACTTAATCATGCAACAGACTCGGCATAACGATCCCCTTCACTAGCGAGATCGTGTCTCCGTCTTTGACGCCCGCCTGGCCGATTTTCTGCGAAAACTCAAGCACGCGCCCGCTTTCGACGTGGAACACGCGCAGCCGGTCCTTATCCTCTACCTTGCTGCTGTTCTGGTTCGGCACCTGCAGCCGCGCCGCTGCTTTGTCGAGGACTTTGCCGATAGCGTAGTCCTTTCCGAACCACATCTCGGCTTTTGCGGTCTTTGGTGATGCTGATGATGATGATACTGATGACGATGAAGATGCGGTGGAGGTGGAGCGGGAGAAGTTGGATTCGACAAAGAGGTATATTCTATTTGCAGGTTGAACCGCCGCGTCACCTTTCGCGTTGGCCTTCAAACTTGCAATCGCTTTAGCGCGTGCGATGGTCGCAGCGGCAGAGGCAGACGGTTTCGGTTTCAGGAATGAGGTGAGCGAGCTGGATATTTTCGACGAAGAGGAAGATGCCGAAGTCGAAGATGCCTGCGCGTTTGACGAAGTCTGTCTGTTCTTCCACTCTGAGAACTTCGCCATCGCACTTGCTTTCTTGTCCGTGCTCGGCTGACTTGGCGCGCCGGGACAAGAATGGGAAAGTCGGTGCTTAAGACAGGTTAGGTTCTTGCACACAGGGCATCGAGTGGCGGGACTGAGCGTCGTGTTGATTTGCGTAGTGCATGTAGAAAGATAACAGCTCGTCGGATGCTCGCGAGATGTTGGAGGAGCGCCTAGTTGTCTGCCCTTTGGAGATGCAGAAGATGGCTGGGAGTTTGCCTGCTTTGTTAGCGCGGCCGGACATTCGTGCGAAGATGGCTGGCGATGATCGAGGCAGTATTTGTTGTCGCAGTCGGGGCATTTAAATCTGTCCAAGATATGAGTTAGTGTGAAGTCTTGTAATAATACAGATCAATAGCATTCGAGACATACGGAAGGAAATCAAGCTTGTGGCAAGATATGTAGGCGCAGTGTTCGCCCACGTTGAGAAGTCCGTCCTTTGCAGCCGCCATAATGATTCTTTTAACAAATATAATTCAACAATAAGAAATATCAATCAAGAGGTATATATATGAGAACCCGAACAGAACGAGACGCAGCAGGCGTATTTATAGCGCTCGGGACCTGTTGACAATGAGCGACCAGGTCACGATGGCGATATCTCGAAACTGATGACACGGCCTCAGCCGCACGTTCGCTTATGTAATGAATTGAGAAGATTCCCGCAGGTTCCTGATCAATTGTGCAGTAGTAGCGGTTTAGGGCTCACTGAGCAATAGTTCAGTCTTTGTGGGTGCATTACGCGATATTTGCTTTGAGCGTTATGCTTTTTATTAGATGATGGATTTGGAGTAGTGAACAGATAGATGATCGGGGAGGAAAAGAAATCAATCACTCTGCTCTATTGTTCATCACTTTAACGGCCAGATCCGGACGCCCATGAATTCTATGCCATGACCGTTACCGGAAGCCTTGCGCTGTTTCTTAACCAGCGCGGGATCCTCTATAACAGCAATCCGCTTGTCTTATATGAAAAAGAGTGTCAGTGATCCGCGAATTTAAATAAAGACAGCCGCTGTCGTAGTAAAAAATACATACCACCAACTTGAACAGTCAAGTACTTGAAATCAAAACTATACCCATCCTTGGGTCTCAGCAGCTCCGCCTGAACAGTCCCCTCAACCTTCTGGTCTCCCATGGTATAAAACCGCATCCACAGATGCTCGACGCCGTACTGGTCGATTCCGCGGCTGGTAGCGACCGGTCGATTGCGCGACCATCGATTTGACGAGGACTCGCCGTAGAACGAGAGCTTCGAACCAAGAGCGGCTTGGCATTCTGGGTGCGCGGAGATGAGACTCTCGGCTTTGTTCTGTAGTTGGATGTCGCTACTTGGAAGCAGAAGCGTTGTCACGAAGTAGTATCCCGCAAGACCCTATGAAGAAAAAATCAGTTAGCTACATAACTTGAAAACGGCTAGAAATTCCAAAAGGTGGCAAAGAGAGCATACAGTGAATCCAAGACCAACACCAACAACGGCACAGTAAAACAAAAACGAGGTAGATCGAGCAATGAATCGCGCAAAAGTCTGGACAAAGCTCGATTTTGGCGGTCCGCTGGGTTTCCCACTGCTGCTGCTCTCGTTCGAGGTCGTTGTGTATGTCGCATATCCCCGGCTTTGTCTGCAAGGTTCAAAAACAGCAACCAAACCAGACGGGCATGGTGATTCAAGCAGGCTGAAGTGCGTCTTTCTATGCTTGGAAGGTAGTCCAGTTACCGATCGAGCCGTCGCCGACGCAAGCGTCACACCCTTGCTGCTACGCGCAGCGCAATGCATAGAAGAAAATAGCCGCCGCACTTGGGCGTTGCTAGACAAACTCCAAGCAGTGGCTCCTGTCGATCTGAATAGCGAAAAGCTGCACGGCGACAGCTTCAGAACTGCCGAGTGGGAGATGCTACCGGTCGAACGGGCATAGCACTCCCTGGTCAGCATGCGAATCGCCGATGTCCGCATTATCCTCAGATTTGGTATTCACGGTGGTATAGTATGAATTGTTTGCTAGTTTACAGGAAAACCCACACGGATATCGCTTGGCTTTGGAGGTTGCTTGTACCGAAAACCAGGAATTCTGGGATCTGGAAAATGCCATCCGCATGGACTTTAATCTCGAAAAAAATTATTGACGGTTGATCACGTGCAAGCCTTTAACTGTCTATTGTATGCTCAATTAAACTACTTTCAGATCCGTGTTCCTGTCTCCTTTCTGTGGCTGTTTGGTTTCGATTCAGTAAATGTAAATAATAAAGCAACTAGTAGTTATATTTTGTGAGCGGCGAAGCATAGAAAACTTCAATAGAGAAAAAGCGTGCTTAAAATAGACGGGCTGCACAGGCAGAGAGTTGTGAACACCGAGGCTTCAAAGTCCAGCGCTGAGTTCTTTCCCCCCACCTTCCTGGCCACACGCCGCCTTCGTTCGTATCTACCTGTTCAGCAACCACAATCTCACTGCCATCGACAACTGGTATCCTGACTGCTGAGAGATAGCCTCACCGGTCGTCTCATTACTCCACTCGCTTCGGATCATCGCTCAGACAGAGCGCTGCTGCTGCTGCTGCCGCCGCCGCCGCCGCCGCAGGGCTCGAGTGTACTTAAGTGCAATCACTGCTCTTATCAGGGATCGCGTGCCTGTCAGAACCATTCCTGGTCCATAAACACCTTCGATTCAATCTCTACGCAGTCAGAATGCATCCTAAGCGGATACTCTTCGCAATAGCAGGTCTTGCCGTCTGTGTAGCAGAAGCGCATCGACTGCCCCACCCCCTGCGCTCCTCCCCCTCATCACAGCTATCAACCGGCGCAGTCGTCGCATTGAGCCTGCTCTCAACCGTCTCAGCTGTTCAGCAAGATGGAATTACCGTCAACAAGGACTCTGGTCCAGAGCACATTGCGCCGGAGGACGACATCGACAAGAAGAAGACCGCCGCGAGCAAAGAATCGACTGAGCCGCCGTTCCTCGACGACGGCGAGCTCATCCGTGCGACCGAATCAACAGCAGAATCTACCCACAATGGCGACATAAACGACAAGGAAATGGCCGACGTGCATAAAGATGTCGCGGACGCGATCTCAAAGGGCGATTACACGTCGGCGGCGGAGATCGAGGAGGCTAGAGAGAGCAAGAATGATCCGTTGCAGCAAGAGAAAGAAGTGCCTGAGGTCACCATGCAGATCTTCGAAGTTAGGACTGCAAATCACAATAACGGAGTTGATAATCAGGTTGATGACAAAGAAGCCGATCCTGCATCTACAAAGGAGGCCGCGAAATTATTAGAATCAAAACCGGAGATAGTAGACCAGTCGGAGAAGACGGTGCCTGTATCGGGGACTAGCAGCAGCGAGGGATCGAAGCAACAATCTTCCTCATCATCCACTAAAGAGGACGATGCACCAAAGCCGGTGGCCAAAGTTGTCACGGTTCGCAAGGAGATTGTCACCGAGCGCGAGGTCGAGGAGCCGCCAAAGCCTAAACACTATCCCCCACTCCAAATCACTGAAGGACGGCCGTACAATAAGAAGCGCGAATCGGTCCCGGTTAGTTGCGTGAGGCGAGAGATTGAGCACGGAGAACATATTACCAGCGAAGAGACAGGACAGATCATTTATGATGCATTTCCGGCTTGCAAGGAGACTGGTAAACAGCTCGAATTCCCGTTCAACGTCGACTCTGACAAGCCCTCTTCCTGTACGTTTGATCTTCTGGATGAGACGTACCATCTGTTCCAGCTATACGTTCACCAAGATGCTCCTTTAAGCTGCCAAGTGCCTTCTCGGATCGGCAGCGAGAATCTCAACGCCCCGCTAGCGTTCTCCATCCAAGGCAAGCTCGAGACATCCCACCTCGACATCGCGACCCGATTCACAATCATATTCGAATACATCGAAGCCGTGCCCGGCAAGCCCTCTGCCGGCGTGAACATCACCTCGGCTGTCGCCTACCCCGTCGCACCGCTAAACACCACCCGTGTCATCATCGGCGACGAACTCAGCATGCAATTCACAACCCGCTGGTTCAACGTCGGGCGTACGCCCAAAATGGGCGATCGGCAAATCACCTCGTTCGCTACGATATGTTACTGCATAGCTTCGGCGGTAGTTGCCTTCTCAGTCTCTGCTTTTTACTTTCTAGTTGTTGTATTTCCGCAGCGGGCGCGAGTGAGATCGTCGATGCGGCAAGCTGTTGCTGCAGGTTTAGCGCCGGACTTCAGCATGTTCACAGGGAACGGGGGGTTCTCCAGCACGAAGCGGGACTAATGCATTTCTTTTGCTATGTTTTTTCTCTTTTCTATTCTCGTTGTTTGATGTACAGCTAGTTTTTTAGTTGATTGTAAGCTTTGCATTTTCTACGATTGTCATATCGAACGATCGGCTGTATGTAAGATACGGCGTAATTTATAATGTATGATTATAACGACTGGTAAATCATTAAAAAGTCTCATTAAGTTGAATAAAAAAACACACCTCTCGAATCTAAAATACACATTACTAACTTCGTTCTATCGTATACTGCTACCCCCGAAAACATAGATCAAAGCAAACGAAGAAAATAAGAGAAAAGGAAACAGATATAGAAAATAGAAAAAAGCCAACTATGCTTTCTCGGTATTCTTTTGCAGAGCCTGGGAAATCTTCAGATAGCACTGTGCGGTCGCGTTTCTCATAAACGTCAGCGATTCGGTGAAATAATCAGGTAGTAGCGACAATAGTAAAGCGTCTCTCTTCTCGTCAATCATCGGCACGAGCGTAACCGCTGAGTCGTCGTATCTTCCCGAACCGCTGTCGGCATCAGGGATCAGCAGTTTATAGTGAAACGCACCGTTGCGGCCAGCTTGTAAGCAGTCAAACACAACATTCTCTCCATCCTTTCTGACATCACGCACAATCAGACCAGTAAGATCCGAGATTATATCCTCCTTGAGTTTATCGATCGGCGTGGTCGGATGGCCGCCACTACTAGCAGTGTTGCTGGTTGTCAAGAATTTGGCCTTCAGCATGCTGTTTTCCTGGCTCAACTTCTGAATAGTAGTATTGAGCTTAGCCACTGTCTCCTCTGACGCAGATGTATCTTTCACTGCTGACTCCATTTGCTTGATCTTGCGTGATCGTTCCAACAGCTCCCCTCGTAACTCCGTGATCAGCTCATCTGCGGCGGCAAATCGTCGTTCAGCAGAACTCTTGTATGATGTAAGCGCAGCCTCTGCCGCGGTCTCGCGCAAGTTGCTGAGTTTAGAAAATTTGGCTTTTAGGCTCTCATGCTGTGCTAGTAGACGCCTATAGGCTTCCGAAGAAACTTGGCCAGACTCGTCCTGCTGCTGCGGCAGAACCTCAATGTTCTCGTCCTCCTCGTCAATAGCATAAGCGTCCTGGGTTTCTGGAACAAACTCAAGCCTAGGAGGTCGTGTGAGTCTAGCGCGAGGTTCGAACTTTTTAGTCGCCGAGGCCTTGATAGCAGACGAGGTTCGAGAGGTCGTGCCGGTCGCCTTTAGGACAGACGATGCACGGACACTGTTGGCTTTGCTGGTCGCTGTCGTCAAAGGCGTTGACGCAACAGATGCAGCTTTTGGCTTTCGAAGTGCTGAGGATGGGACTACTACCGAGTTATAGGTTAGTTTCAGGTCTGCGAGCATAGCTATAATCAGGCAACTCACTCTGCTTGTTCTCCTTTCCGTGCGCAGCAATCTGCTGGTCCTCCTCTTCCTCGACCTCAGCCAGAGCCTTTGCTATTTTGTTCTTTCGGGCCGGTGGTTCTTTCTTCGCGCTCGATGCCGCTGCGGTCTTTGCTCTCTTCGCCTTCGGAGGAGCAATAATCTCCTCTTCTTCAAGCTCGCTCGCAGAAGCACCGTCACTTGCTAGCTCATCCTCAGAAACATCCGAGCTATCCACCAGTGCCGACAGAGATGTGTATTTCTGAGATTTAGCAGTCTGCTTTGCATTCTGCTTCTTCGTTGCCGTTGTCGATGATCTCGAGGCCTTCGAATCGCCGGTGTCTGCTGTCGCGGTTGCTGCTCGTTTCTTGGCTACCATCGTGATTTATTCAGCAATAGAAGTAGAGTAGAGCTGTCGTAACGTTAGAAGGAGGGTGGGTATATAAGTTCACCAGTGCGTGTGAAAGCAGATGGTTCAGATAGAATGAGCTGGAGAGCGCGACAATGTTTACTTTTCCTGCGAGGCTTTGTTTACATTGCTCTCTGCTCGCCGCACCCATTCCCCGTTGCCGCGGCAGCCACTCGTTGTGTAAACCTTAACGCTGAGAGTCGAATAAGGGCCTTGTGGCTATTTCAAGAAGGCTCGGTCTTGTGAGGCCTGATTCTTCAGAGCCTTCTTGCAATAAGGTAGTGGCTTTTTCTCTTGATATCGCACGGCTCCCGCTTTTCAGGTTGGTTTTTTACTACTGCTTACTGCTAGTAGATATATACTGTCTATATTCTGTTCAGGCCGCTTTCTGTCGTAAGAATCGGCTAGGGTAGAGCAGAAATCCTAACTTCTCTGGGGAAAGATGTCGGCCCCGCCATGGTCAAGATCAAAGTTCGGTGAGTGGCTATTCTAAATACTGTGCTGCTTCAGTGCAAAGGCTTTCGAGGGATTCAATGCATATACTAACCTGTCTTGGGATAGACAAACCATCATTTGGAACGGTGAACGTTAGCAAATCGATTAAAACCAGCGCTACTGTTCCCAAAACTTCAAACACTTCAAGTTTCACTCCGTCTTCATCCTCGTCTTCAAGCACTTCCGCCACCGCAGCTGAAACAACATCTAGCTCAAGAGGGAATGGCGGTGCTGCAGCAGCAGCGGGTAGTAATGCGTGGCCTCCGTCACTGAAAGAGTACGTCGGTCGCTGCTTCACGGCGTTTCCGCCTTCTCAGCGGCCGATGATGGAAGTGAATTTGAAAAAGATCATAAGTGCAGCTCTTGATTCTGGAGCGATATGGACGATAGACTGGGATAAACAGCCACTTCCGATAGAGCCCGAATCAAATGACGACGATATGGAAGATCGGTTGGAGGCTTTGAGGGGGAACAGAGACAAAGATACGGCGATGTCGGATGCACCACTGACGACAGAGCAGACGACGAAGAGGAAGGCGACGAAGAGGTCAGCGAAGTGGGATCAACCCCCTAGTGACGATTATAGTCCTCCACCCCCGTCTCCTACCATCAAGAAGAAAAAGTGAGTTTAGGCCTTGTTGGGAAACTGAGATACCAAGAATGACGATCTGACTTTTTACACCCTGCAGAATCGATTTGAGTACCAGATTTGTCATGTCAGAAGAGGACAAGGCGAAGAAAGAAAGCCGCGCCAGAAGATTTCACTCAGATTCACACGAGAACACAGCTACGCCCACCCCGCCACCACCATCCTTTGGAGCTGATCAGCTGTATATTTCGGTAAGATTGCCTGGTTTGTGATTACTTGGTACGCTATAGAGCTGAGAGCTGACATGTATACTAGGACGGTGTTCCCGAGGTTTTTGTGGGCCGCTGTCAAAAGCTGGAAAAGCGATATTTGAGATTAACGTCAGCGCCGGATCCAGAAACGGTGCGGCCGTTACCTGTTCTTAAGCAAGCTCTGGAGCTGTTGAAGCAGAAATGGCGGGAAGAGAAAAACTATGCGTATATCTGTGACCAGTTCAAATCGATGCGGCAGGACCTCACTGTTCAACTAATACAAAACGAGTTCACTGTGAACGTGTATGAGATACACGCTAGGATTGCATTGGAGCGAGGGGACCTTGGGGAATACAACCAATGCCAAACTCAACTGCGAGCTCTATACGAGAAGGGGATTCCCGGGCACCCAGAAGAGTTTTTGGCATACCGAATTCTTTACTTTCTGCATACCCGGAACCAGAGCGACATGAATGAACTACTAACCGAACTAACAGAAAAGGAAAAGGAAAACGAAGCTGTGATGCACGCGCTGGCGGTGCGGACGGCACTTACTGACTCTGACTACCACACGCTGATGAAATTGTACATGAATGCGCCGAATATGGGCGGATATGTGATGGACTCTTTTATTGACCGCGAACGGCTGCTTGCGCTCGAGATTATCTGCAAAGCGTGAGTTGTGTTTTCGCTTATGCTATCAGGGATTTGTATACTGACTGCAGGGATTTTGATTTTAGTTTCCGACCAGAGATTGGTCTTGATTATCTCACGGTTGAGCTGGGCTTTGAATCAGAAGAGGAATGCCTGGAGTTTATGCAGAGAAATTCGATTATTGAGCATTTTGACTCGAAGACACGACGGCTACGCACAAAAGAGGCATATCCGGTTGTAATGTACAATCGGATGGCTGCGTTCAAGAAGATCGATATCAAGGGTCAGCTTTGATTTGTGGATTTGTGTTTGTGTAGGGGTGGTATTTCATTTACTTCCTTTTGGATGATACGGCTGTGTTTGTTGTTATATCTGTTCATGTGACGGAAGTCTTTGATGGTTCCGCCTAGGTGTCTCGGTTTAGTTTGTACAGATTGTTTGTCATGATTAGCAAATAGGATTAGTATAGATATCTAAAGCGAGCGGTAGATTACTTCACAGGAAGGGCAACGAAGGCGAAGGAGCGGTCGCCTGGGGCTGCTGAGCGGGTACACTGAGCACAGTTGGTCGCTTGCGTTGCGCTCGATTGTTCTGCTGCCGCATCGAGCGCGGCTGATGTCTTTGCTGGCTGTCGCTCCGCGTAGCCTCATCTGCGATGGCGATGAGCAGGATCAATTAATGGCACGGATTAGGCCTTCGAGGCGAGGCTAGAAATTGGTTGAGTTTGGTTGGTGGGGAGGGTGTTTTGGTGAAGCAGCAACGGAGAAGGGGGAAGTAGTTGGCGATGCAGGGATGGGTGCTGGCAGGTGGACGGTGAGGTAGAGTAGAGGGAGTAGATGAGGCGGTGATGGAGAGGAGTAAAGTGAGAGAGAAGATGCAGATGGCTTTAGATGATGAATACTGGATAGCAATGGGACCTTCAATAGGAGATGTGTATATATATACAGTGGAGGCAAGTACAGTGTGCGGTGTGCGGTGTGCGGTGTGCGGTGGTTGAGGGTCGCAGCAGTGAGAGAGGCCAGCAATCAGAGATTATCAGACAGTCACTCACCAGACTACTTCTATTCCCCTCTTATTATCTTCATATCAAATACAAACATGCAGACAAACAGATATAAAACAGCAACAACAGAACTACCAAAACAGCCAAGAGTAAACAGAAAGCAAAAGCAGCCAGTCCGGGTAATCCGATAGCCAATTTTCCCTTCCCCCTTTCATCCAAATAATCGACCGGCTGGCCGCACCTATTTTGTTTCATATAATAGAACCGGCATCTGGCAAACAGATTCAGGACTATCGCTCCCCAGTTCCCCCATTCCTCTTCATCATGATCAAGGTCCGTATTTGCTTCTTCTTGTACTCGAACTCGCGTCTGAGGATCCTACGCGCTCGCTGCTGAATTGCTGCGCTCAGAACGGCGGGCCAGGCGCGTGCTGAACTGGAGAGCGCGCGCCGCTAAACCCCCTTCTCTCGTCGATGCCTCGTCCATCGCGACAATCTGCCCCCGCACCCCAGGCCTCTCTGTCGAAAATACACCTCGCTGACTCTTGTTCCGTCTTTGGTTTTACTCGTATAGGGCATACGGCGATCTTTAAAGGGTGAAAAGACCTCACCGTACTCCTCCAACTCCCGGCAGTCGGCGGTCAAGACGCCCACAACTGCGGCTACAATACTGCCACCGAAAAAGGTATGGCCACCTGCTTTTGTCGACGAGTGTCTCAATTCGGTCCGGCTTGGGCTACTGTTGTCTGTTGGGTGTAGCTTGTGTATTGTTTCGAATGCTCGGCAGCCGTTAGTTGCTGTTCTTTTTAGCCTCAACTTACGTCCATACATCTGCCTGATCTGGTACTGACAATGCTTTCTTTTTCGCGTTTCTTATAGGTCATCCGTGCTATTCATGACTACACCGCCAACGCTCCCGGCGAGCTGTCATTCAGCAAAGGCGATTTCTTCCATGTCGTTGGTAACGAAGACAACCCAGACTGGTACGAGGCCAGTAATCCGTCTGCCAATTCACGCGGGATGGTCCCGGTTTCGTACTTTGAGGTGCTAGGAAGGAACGTGCGCGAGAGCTCGGACGGTAGCCTGCGCAATGGGAGAATGAGCTCTGGCGTGTCCGAATCCTCGTCTGCTACTCAGCCCGGTGTTATGAGTCCGACAACACGAAGGGAGTCGGATAGGATGTCGTCCGCGTCGTCTACCTCGTCTGGACGGAGACATTACCAGCCACTTTATGGTGTTGTGCAGTTTGATTTTGCGGCCGAGCGTCCTGATGAATTGCATGCTTCACAAGGCGATGCGGTTATCATAGTTGCTCAGTCCAACCACGAGTGGTTTGTGGCCAAACCGATCGGACGTCTGGGTGGGCCGGGACTGATTCCGATATCGTTTGTCGAGATCAGAGATATGGCCACTGGCCGTCCGATTGAGAATGTGAATGAAGCAATTCTGCGAGCCGGAGTACCAAAAGTTGAAGAATGGAAAAAGAAAACAGCAGAGTATAAAGCCAGCAGTATTCCTCTGGGCAAGTTTGAAGACGACTCAGGACTGCCGTACAACCGGTTCCAGCAAATGTCGTTATCGCATAATTCTCAGTCGACGCTCGGCCAGCACTCTATACAAAGCCGGCAGATCCCAGGCACCATGCAATCGTACTCGACGCAATCCTACATTTCGCATCAGAGCGGCCCGTACGGCGAGCGGCTGTCGCAGTCTGCGTCGGAGATCTCGTACGAGCCCGTGATTGTGAGTGCGTCGGTTGACCAGTTTTCGTTTGATAATGGGCGATACTGGTATTTGCTGATAGCCGAGATGGAGGACGGCACGTTCCGGAATCTGTGCCGGTACTATGAAGATTTCTACGACTTTCAGATTAGATTACTTGATGAATTTCCGGACGAGGCCGGACGGACAGGGCGGCAACGGATACTGCCGTTTATTCCAGGGCCGGTGACGTACGTGAACGATTCGATTTCGAGTCAACGGCGGGTAAATCTGGATGAGTATGTTCGCAAACTGGTGGCGCTGCCGCCATACATTTCACGAAGCTCGCTTGTGAAGGGATTGTTTGCACTACGCGAAGGTGATGTTGAGTCCACACAGCCGGCTTCGAGCATGCCGCAGCCGGATCAGCAGTCGTTGCAGTTTGACAAGACAAGGCAATCGAGTGGATATGCGGCGCACACAAGTACTGTGAATTCGTCGACAGCAACTTTGGATCAGCAGAATGCGTATCGACAGTCTATTGATCCGACGCGGTCAGCAAGCGGAGCGTCGAGAACGAATGGGAATGGACGAGTACATACATCGCAATCAAACCACTCCGGCTCACCTACTAGCAGTGTAGTCGGAGGTGAGGGATACGCACACAGCACGACGGGCAGCATTGCAGGAGGGCGCGATGTTGAGATGGAGCGGAACATGAGCACGATGAGCACGATGTCGTCTGCTACGACGTCGCGGATAGGCAACGGGTTTATAAAAGTAAAGATCTTCTACCAAGAAGATTTGATTGCGATCCGGGTGCCTGCCGATATATCGTACGAGCAACTGGAGAACAAGATACAAGAACGACTGGGATCTTCGAACTTGCTGTTTTATTACCAGGACGAGTACACGGGCCAGCATACGCAGCTGCGGGATGATGCCGGTCTAGCGGCAGCGATCGGTAATGGATCAAAACTGGTTTTGTACGCGCAGTAATGCGTTGTCGGTCTTGTGCTTGTACGATTTATAGTTGTTGTTATTGTACTCTGTCTCTTACTGCTGAAAAGGAAGAAACTATGAGTTCCAATTACGGAGTTTTTTTTCGTTTGGTGTTGTTACTATATGATATGTTTGGCCAAGGTCAGAGGTGATGATGTTTGTCGATTACTTTTTTGTTTATTTCATTGTGTAGGGGTTTACCTTATGGGGAAACGTTAATACACGGATAGGAAAGAATAGATTGATATAGAGTCCTTGTGCTTATTTTATTGAGTCGAAGGGGACCGCGCGTAATTTGACGATTTATTGCGGGCGGAATTCATCTCGGAAGGCGAGGCTGCTGATGTACGCGCACGTACCTGACGGCGAAGACAGAGGCCGGTTGCCAGACCTGAATAGTTCAATGACCGTCGACTCTCTCTACAATGTTTTTTGCACTCTTTGTCATTACTCTAACTGCTCTGCACAGTCAACAACCACACCTCGCATGACGTGGGATGACGATACCTGAGTAGCCGTGTGGCGCGGCGAGGCGGGCGCAGCAGGATAAGCACAGCCACAGACGAGGCGCGCGCGCAACTTTTCCGGTGACGACGACGCTCGTCCGTCTCGGTCTCCTCGGTCCTCTCTTCTTCCCCACTCTGCCCGCCGTCGATTCACCGCGCTGCTCTTCCCGCATCCGCAACCAAGTCTGAACTGATTTAATAGTCTCCGCAGCGAGAGCAGAAGCACAGTATGTCCTGGAAAGGTATCCAGAAGTCCGTGGCGCGGGTACGTTTGTCTTCTCCCCTTTAGAGCTGTTGCACGGCGAGCCGTGTGTGCCTCTCTCATCTCGTCCTGGGCTAATCTTTTCTTGATTTTTATTCCAGGCACCGCAGAGTCTGCGCCAGAAAATGAATATCGTGAGTTGTCCTTGCTTCTTTGACGATTCTTGCTGTCGCCTGTGATGATCCGTGATATGGTTGATGTTTGCCGCCGGCTGCTCCCGGTCACGCGGACCTACCGTTTATCTACAGATTTCGTCGCAGGTGTAGCGATACTTGTCTATGTTTTATCATGTGCTAACTCTCTGGGTGATACTCTTAGGGCGAGCAAACGAAGGATGCAGTCTTTATCGATGCCGAACGGCGGTTCAAGGAACTGGAAAACGAGACAAAGAAACTGCATGATGAGTCTGCAAAGTACTTTGCGGCAATTAACTGTATGAAGAATATCCTATCCATCTACTCGATATCATGTGTGTGTGCTAACTGCTCCTCTGTCATTCTATAGCGATGTTGACCCACCAGATCGAGTTCTCAAAAGCGATCGAGGAAATCTACAACCCCATCAGCGGCCGCGCCTCCGATCCCAATGCCGCGATCCCGGAAGGCAACCCGGAAGGTATCGCCGCGTGCGAGCAGTACCGAACGATTGTGATGGATCTCCAGGTGACGCTGCAGCCCGAGCTGGAGATGCTCGATACGCGAGTCGTGAAGCCTGCGGAGGAGATGCTCGAGATCATCAAGCATATTCGAAAGCTGATTGTCAAGCGTCAGCACAAGCAGCTCGATCTTGACCGGCACCATAATTCACTCAAGAAGTTGCAGGATAAGAAGGAGCGCACGCTGAAGGATGAGAAGCAGCTGTACAAGTACGAGAACGACTTTGAGATTGCACAGCAGGAGTACAACTACTACAACGATCTGCTGAAAGAGGATCTACCAAAACTGTTCCAGCTCGAGACAGAGTTCATCAAGCCTCTGTTTCAGTCGTTTTACTACATGCAGCTGAATATCTTCTACACCTTGTACGAGCGCATGAATGCCAACAATATCGCGTACTTCAACATGGACTCTACGGTCGACATCGAGACCGCGTTCAACACCAAGCGGGGAAATATCCAGGAGATCGCCGAGGCCATCCCGATAACACACTTCAACCTCAACCGATCAAAGAAGAAACTCGCCGACACAAAGTTGAGATACGCGCGTCCCGGTGGTGCCGCTGGTGCGGCTGGGGCAGGTAGTCCTCTTACGCCTGTTGGAACCGGATTTTCAGACGGAACGGCTGCGCCTCCGCCGTACGGCTATGGTGAGTATGCGCAGCAGCCGGGCGCAGCAGAGTATGCTCAGCAGGGAGAATATGCTCAGCAGCAGCAGCCGTACAGCCCTGCTTCATACGCGTCAGCCAGTCCAGCGACGCCGGGTGCGCCGTACAGTCCGCAGACTCCTGCCTACGGCCAGCCTGCGTACTCACAGCCTGCTGCTGCCGCTGCTTTGCCAGCGTATCAGCAGCCAGCCGGGTACACAGGGTATCCTGCGGAGAAGAAGGCGCCGCCAGCACCTCCTGCCAAACCAGCGTCGATGGGAGCCCCTGGTGTGGAGTACTGCACTGCGTTGTACCCGTACAATGCGCAGGCGGAGGGAGACTTGACGTTTGCAGCCGGTGACCGGATCGAGATTGTTCAGCGGACGGCGGATCCCAACGGATGGTGGACAGGAAAGTTGAACGGTTACCAGGGTGTTTTCCCGGGCAACTATGTCCAGCTCGATGCGTGAGGTTGGGTTGTTGTTTGGTTTGGGTTGAGGTGACCGATGTACGAAAGGAGGAGGAAGGAAGCAGTGGTTTTTTTTGTTATTGTAGACAGATATGTGTGAGAGGAGGCGACAGTCAGACTCGACCGTTGATATCTTCTTTTTGATTTCTATTATATCTCTCTATTTTTTGTTGCATATACTTTTGAGCTTTCCCAGTATAATCCTGTTCTTGCTGCTTTGTGTGTTTAGTATCATTATTTGTGTTTGATATTCTTTTTTGAGCTCATAAAATAGCATCTATTATTCCATATTCCATATTAATGTGCAATTAGAATAGAGGGGAGTAGTTATGTTGAGTATTCATAAGATCTCTGATATGAAATCCGAGTGCATAATTGGGAGTTTTTGAAGGTTTTGAGTTGGGCGGCTGGTTCTTGGCCCCGCGCTCGTCATGGAGATAAATATAGAACTGGGTTCCTGCTGGTTTTTTACCTGCTCTCTTTCTTCCGATATGAGCCGACTGTCTGCTGTGGATTCTGTTTTGTTTTTATAGAAACAAGTTCATAGACCTAGCTGTTTAGGAGATTGGTATGAGAATGCGGAGCAGCCTCGTCATCCTCGTTTTAGTACTCTGTGCCCTGCTTGCATGCGCAGATGCCGCCCAGATTCCCGCAAAGCTCAATTACAACAGGAAGGACGACCAGAGTCCCCTGATTATCACCAAAGACAGCGGCTCAGGTGGCGATAGCTCAGGAAAGAGCAGTGATCTGCGGACCGAGAACGCAATCGCAGATGAAGTCCGGTCTGCACCCGATATCTCTGCCGGCGCGAGAGCAGTGCGACTTGCTGCGCAGCTCAAGGATGAAGCGAAAGCAGTCTGGTCGTCGTCTACATCACTCAATGCGCTGGTTTTGGAGTTATCCCAGCGATTGAACGGCGGCCGGACAACATCGCAGCAGCCCAAGACGGTGCCGTCGCGGAGCGAACAGAATGAGAGGGAGATGCTTGCGAATATAGGTCGCAAGCAGACTAAGGCTGCGCTCGTTCCTAGACTTGTTCCTAGAGCAGCCAATGGAACTAGTAGCAGCAGTGGCAGCAGTAGCAGTACTTCAGCAGAGTCGTCCTTGTCTCAGACACCGCTGTCGACTAGTCTCCTCGTTTCTACTATCCAGTCGGCAGGGCGGCCTGTTTCGACGTTGACTAGTACCACTGTTATCTACGCGCCGCGGGTATCTATTACCAGTTCAAGCACGGTCGAGACCAGTTCGAGTAGCGTGGCTAGTACTTCTCTGTCGCTGCAGACTGGAGAGACGAATTTGGCTCTGAGGGTGGGAGCGAAGAAGGATACTGTGCTCAGCGCGATTTTTGTCGCTGGCGGAGCGGCGGCTGGAGTCATGTTGATGTGATGTGGATATGTCAAAGACGCTAATGTTTCATGGAGGAGGAAAGAAGAGTGAAGTTGTATAAGTTGAGGATGATGATCTGTAATGATCTGTACATATCGGTTTATGAGGACACGATCAGACTGCCATGCCACCACCCCACCTCTACTTCACCACCACCAAGTCAAGCTTCCAACCAGAAGTCAATATGAAGCAAACCACAAACTTCAATTCGAACAAAAGCTCGGCATCTGGACTCTTTTTTGCAGAACCTCTTGGTGGTGGAAATGGCGGAGATGACGTATTGTGAGTTTGTCGAATTTGTAATCAGATCTTTCGGAGAAAAGGCGGATACGGCCGTTAACTCCATCGATTGCTGGTGTGCTGCAGTAGTTTGTTTTCGCACATCTGCTCGATTTCCATTTCATATCTACACAAATTATAAACAAAACATACAGATTCCTCCTTCTTCTCGGGCACTGACGGCAGAGAAAGAGAAAGTCCGGGGAAGAGGCAGAGAAGCAGGCTGATTGCCGAAGAGATTTGGAAAGAGCCGGCATAAACATCAAAACATCCGCGCACAAAACCTTCGCCGCTGCCCACCCACCGCGCCTTGCAGCGAGAAATAAATCCTCACTCAAGAACTCGACCACGAACGAGCCCGTCTTTTGTTCAAACTAACAGCCTCCTACTCGTGCTGAGATCAACCAGACTCTTCTGCTGATATCTGAAATACCAGGGCATCTACAAACCATGCAGGTCTCCATGATTCGTCAGCTCGCGAAAGCAGGTCTGCGCTCCTCCTCCTCCATCGCACGCTCTTCTCCGCGGGCGTTTGTCGCCTCCTCCTCCGCCACCGCCAGCCGGCACCAGCTTTCCTCCTCGCGCTCGTACGTGAGCGAGTCAAAGAGCCGGAAGGCCGTCGCGACCACAGATGCGCCGCTCACTTCACATACCTCGGCACCGCCGCCTCCGCCTGGGTTCAAATCCGCTCTCGATGAGTCTACTGCCGGTATGTCATCTTTCTTCTTCATTGACTCGGGCGACGACAATGTTCTGGCGACTTGGCTAACGCGATATTGTGTTTTTTATTGTTTAGAAATTCTGCAGAATGCCGAACTTCTGGACAGCGAAAAGCGCCCGATCTATCTCGATATGCAGGCGACTACTCCGCTCGATCCCCGCGTGCTCGATGTCATGCTGAAATTCTACACCGGCTTATACGGAAACCCTCATTCCCGGACACGTATGTTATCTATTTATATTTCCAATGCTGGGTTCTGGCAATGTGCATGCTGACATTTTGACGTAGACGCCTACGGCTGGGAAACTGACACCGCTGTCGAAGAAGCCCGCGCGCATGTAGCCAAGCTGATCGGGGCTGATCCCAAGGAAATCATCTTCACCTCCGGCGCGACCGAGTCCAACAACATGAGCGTCAAGGGCGTCGCGCGGTTCTACAAGAACCGAAAGAACCACATCATCACCTCACAGACCGAGCACAAGTGCGTTCTCGACTCGTGCCGACATTTGCAAGACGAGGGATTCGAAGTCACATATCTGCCCGTCCAATCGAACGGTCTGGTTGACCTCGAGGAACTCGAGGCCGCGATCCGCCCCGAGACTTCTCTTGTCTCGATCATGACGGTCAATAACGAGATTGGTGTGATCCAGCCCATCGATGAGATCGGTCAGATTTGCCGCAAGCACAAGGTCTTCTTCCACACCGACGCCGCGCAGGCGGTCGGCAAGATCCCGATCGATGTCAACAAGTCAAATATCGATCTCATGTCCATCTCCGGCCACAAAATCTACGGTCCAAAGGGTATCGGCGCCTGCTACGTCCGTCGCCGTCCTCGTGTCCGTCTCGAGCCCATCATCACCGGTGGTGGTCAAGAGCGCGGTCTCCGCTCGGGAACTCTTGCTGCGCCGCTGATTGCTGGATTCGGCGAAGCCTGCCGCATTGCAAAGGAGGAGATGCCGTACGACTCGAAGCACATTTCAACTCTGTCGAAGCGTCTCTCCGACGGTCTTCTGGCAATGGACCACACCATCCGCAACGGTGACGCCGAAAGACACTACCCCGGCTGCGTCAACATCTCCTTTGCCTACGTCGAGGGCGAGTCTCTTTTGATGGCTCTCAAGGACATCGCTCTCTCCTCCGGCTCGGCCTGCACATCTGCCTCTCTCGAGCCTTCGTACGTTCTTCGCGCTCTGGGCGCCGACGACGCGCTCGCGCATTCCAGTATTAGATTCGGAATCGGCCGGTTCACCACTGTCGAGGAGATCGACTATGTGCTGAACGCTGTCAAGGAGCGGGTTACTTTCCTGAGAGAACTGTCGCCTCTGTGGGAGATGGTGCAGGAGGGTATTGACTTGGAGTCTATCGAGTGGTCGCAGCATTAATCAGCCTAAAAGCGAGGTATTTTTGTGTTTTGTCTTTGCTAGTTAAGTGGTGGGAATAAAATCTACAATCTACATTATCTACACAACAAGTCGGCGTTTACTTTAATGCTTTTTTTATGTTGATTTACATCAGAAGTTCGAGTTATGCTTTGAAATAATACACATTTTACGCACAAGAAAACAAGACTATAAATACAAAAAACACCCTAAATAATTTTAATCGTCGCGCTTCAATCCCTTATCCAAAATCCCCTGCGTCACATTCGGCACCGACTTCCCCCTCTTCACCCAATGCTTTTCCCAAAGCCCATCGATAATCGGAAACAACCATCCGGTACAGACGACGACGCCGCCGATTACGTTGACGAGTCTGACCAAGAACTGCAGGAAGGGCACGCGGCGCTCGGAGATCATGACACCGATAGGCTCGATTTCGTATTTGAGAAAGATGCCGGGTGGTTGGATCGGGCTAACGCGCGCGACGGGGTGCTCGGTGACGGCGTATTGGTTTGTGTGGATTACCTTGCGGCCGCCGTAGCCGACGTAGGTTGTAGGGACGACGGAGAGGAAGTATTGGTAGCGGAACATGTCTAATTGTCAATGAATGATGATAACGTTAGCAGACGAGCAGAAGAAGGGGCAGAGAGAGAGGGAAGACGTACGTGAGTCTATTATAGCAGCGACTCCATCGAGCGGGTTCTCCAGCTTGGGATAATATTCACCAAACGAAAACTCATCAATAACATGCGAGAAATTCAACCCGTCCTGGCTGAGCAGCGAATGGTCGCGATCGCCGTACGCAAAGTTCTTGCCCGTGATGTGGAAGTCGCCCTGGACCTTATTCACCTTGATCGACCCATACACTCTGCACGCGGGCGACATCGGATGATGCATTTTCTTTGTCTTTGCGAATTTCTTTGCTGCTTTCGCGCGCTGGAAAACAGTCCGCAGGTCATCATCCTCCTGCGCTTCCGAGCGCGAGTCGATCGTGAGCTCGTGCGTGCTCGAGAGGTCAAAGTCCGTAGGCTCCATCTCGACCAGCTCGGCCGCCAACAGCCTGTCCCCCGCTGCATCCTGTACATTCACGTGCAGCGTCACGCACGGCATCGCGACCGTGATGTCAAAGTTCAGTTGCATGTCCCAGCCTACTTTGTCGTCAATCACGAATTGCTGGTCTTCCACGCCCGCGAGGTAGCTGCCCATCTCGGTCCAGATCAGGTAGGTGCATAGGAGGCCGAGTAGAATCGTCACAAGGCCGCCTTGTGAGGACTGTGTTGTGTATGTCGGTGCTACCTTGGCTGTGTTTTCAGTCAGTCAGTCAGTCGGTCGGTCAAGTCAGTTGTGGCTGCGAGAGAAGTGAGAACTTACGAAAGGCATCAAACGTTCGGACGCGTCCACGGATCCCGCCTTCTTCCTCCGGCGGCGGACTGCTCTCCATGTTTATCTCTCACACTCTAATCAAGCAACAGAGTCTCCAACAGACCAGCTTCAATTACTCTCAAATGAATAAAAGAGCAGGGAGTTTGCAGTGAGAGATGCAGATGGCCTTGAAAGGAGAAAAAGCCGCTCGTCGAGATACGTGGTCAAGTTCAAGAAGTGTCGTCAGTGCACGCCGCACGTGTCGCTAAACCAATTTACTTCCCGCTCGATATTTAGTAAACTACCTGATATTGCACTATTTACACATGAAAAAGAAATTCACTCCATCTCTCTGTAGAATTGACTCAGAAGTTCCCGTCTTCGGTCAATACTAAGACTCTCGACATACAACCCAAACTCCACTGTCGACTCATAGCCAAAATGCCTGGCAATCGAGTTCAACTGTCTACAGCGCACGTCCTGCGGCGGATGAAACAAAACACCTTCTTCATCCCCGCGCCGACGATCGAAAATAGCTCGGTCGTCGCCTCGTAGCCGTTCGTCTTCAAACCGCCTGATTGCATCTTTACTAATCTGCTGCTCCACCCTCGACGGCCCCACGACGTCGCCGTGGTCGTGCGCGTACTTTACGCCGACGGCGTCCAAGATCGCAGTCACTGGATCGATCCGCCGTCGTTTCTTCCGCGGACTTCCGCCGCCGCCGCCGCTGTTGCTCTTGACCGCCGGGTTATCAGCCAGCAGAGTCTTGAAATTCTGCTCCATGGACTCGTCGTCTGAAAGACCTGCATTTGCTGATTTCTTGACGCCTTCGTCCTCGATCTCGTCGCTGGGCTCTTCACCGCCGCTGCGAAGTTTGAGCTCTTGGATGTCAAGACCTGTTTCTGCGGAGACGGCTTCTGCGATATTTGTTCGGTTGACGATGTTTCTGAGACTTGAGTTCTTTTGATTGTATGATAGTATGTTGCTAGACGACATAAGTTAGCTGTAGTTGCGAACTACATACGCTCGATTTTACTCACCGAAGACCAAACAATTCACCGGCCTGTCCTTTCTCCCCCGCAACCCCATCAAAATACCTCCTCTCCATCGAAGCAGTATACGCAATATTCGCCTGCTGCTGCTTATAAATCTGCCGCGCGTAGATAATCTCCTCGATCGTCCCCGCCGAAACCAGTCTGTACACCTCCACATCGCGCTTCTGACCTAGCCTGAACGCGCGATCCATCGCTTGCAGATCGTGCGTCGGGTTCCAGTTCAGGTCCCACAGAACGACGCGGTTGGCTGAGACTAGGTTTAGGCCTACGCCGCCGGCCCGGGTGGAGATCAGGAAGATGAAAAGCGAGGGGTCGTTGTTGTACTTGTCGACCTGTCTCTGTCCTGCAGAATCATCAGTATCTCCCCACGTACTTTAAATACCAGATAGAGCTTACTCTCAAGGTACGTCATCGACCCATCCAGTCGACAAAACGAATAATTCCCATACGACGTCAGAAGGTGATCAATCATATCGAGCATCCGGGTCGAGTAGCTAAACAGCAAGACCTTGTCGCCCGTCCGCCGCCAGTGCTGTAATAGACGGCGCAAGATCTTCCATTTTCCGCACAATTCGGGATCAGAGTAGTTGACCACCGGCGAGCGCGACATTAGTCTTTGCCAGTCATTCGGAAGCGCTTGGGATAGGATCCTGCTTGATTTCTGTTTTTCTTCTTTGTCTTCTTCGTTTCCTGAATGTTTGTAAGTAGATGATATAAAATTACAAAAAAGTGAAGCAAAACTACGTACTTGGTAAGCACAAAGCAAGATGATCAGCCATTTTCAACCCAGTAGTACACTTTGACAAGAAATGCTCTGACGCAGCGTCTTCGTCCTTGAAGAGCTCGTCATCGGACTGGAAATAGTTTTGGTAGGCTTCTTTCTGGAGAGGGGAGAGGTCGCAAAAGACTACCATGTCACGCTTTTTGGGGAGTTGGTCTGCTATCAATTCCTTTGTTCTTCTTAGGAGAAATAAGCTGAGCACATTGTCTCGAAGCTTCATGGCAGTTACCTATGCAGATTGACGGAGAATTAGACACAACACAGAAGAAGCAAGAGGGACAGAATAAAAACAAACTCACTCTTGCTTTCGCTAGCGCATTGGCGGTCGCATTATGAGACTGTCCCGCTTTCAATGGCGCACTGATCATCTGCATCCAACTCTTCCGGCTCCCGACCGCACCAGGATTCGCCCAATCGAGCAACGTCCACAGGTCTTCGTACTTGTTTTGCAGCGCCGTGCCGGTCAGTCCGATTCGGCAGAGACTGTTGACGTTAACAAGAGCGGCAGAGATCTTGGATGTTTGCTCTTTGATCAGGTGGCATTCGTCGGCGATGCAGCAGTCCCATTCGATCATATTGATCTTGCTCTCGTGGATCTGGTATGTCTGATAGGCTGTGAGCATGATTTCGAGACTACCCGCCTCAGCCGCCGCGAGAACTTCATCTTTCTTTGCACCGTGGTAGACGTCGACGACCCACCACCCCCAGGTTTTCAACTCGGCCGTCCAGTTATCAAACAGCGTGCCAGGACAGATTATCAGCACGCGAGGATACCGCCGCCCTGCGTCTCTCATAACTCTCATTCTCGACGCATCGCGCGAGTCCGCGGTCTTCCCAAACGCGGCAGTAAGAAACGCAATGACCTGGATCGTTTTCCCGAGACCCATGTCATCACACAGCAAGAACCCTGACTGCTTCACATATCGCTCGTGTAAGGCTGCTACGCCGTCGATCTGATACGGCCGTAGCCATTGCGCGACTGGAGCAGGGATGGTGCCGCCAGAGTCTAGGACCAGATCGGCATAAGGCGCGTGCGGACTGCTGCCAGGGAAAGAAGGTCGAGTATCATATGATTGTTTCAGCGATGACCCGTGATTTCCAAAGACAGAAAAGCCAGAGTAGTCCGGAGGAAGCCAGAGATTCTTCCCGTCTCTGACTACAGCACTGTCGAATTTCCGGCGACGGTCAACGTAGAGCTGAGGCCTGGGTGCATCTGCCGCGCGCTTTCTCGGGTCACGTCGCCGCTTGGAGTAGCTTTTAGAGCGTCGACCCGCGCTGCTTGACTCTGGCTCTTCGTCCGAGGACCATGCGACGCGCGTTCTGGCTACATCGCCGCACAGAGGCCGATTAGTTTCATACTGGGACAGCAGCAGCGAAAGTGAGCAGGAGGACACCCCATACCTTTAGCGTCGTCGTTCTCAGGCCTACCCGAGCGACCAGTGCTTGCACCCATAGTTTCGCACAAACAAGGCTTTTTGGATTTATTTCATAGTTTTACAGCATTTCATCACACATTCGCTGCAGTGTTTACATATTTCGCGCGCTCGTTGTCTGTGTACGCATAAAGTTGACGCGTTATTTTTCTCTGCTGCGGCGAGGCGCGACAAGGGCCCAAAGAGGCAATCAGGTCACGTGTGTGACTCATATCATTTCTGATGCCCGGTTTTGGCGATGATTTTCAACAGCGTCTTCGGTCTGATTCTGGGTGCCTTGTTGTTGGTTTTTGACTGTTTGAAGCTGTTTGAAGCTGTTTCTTTGAAGAGTAAACAAAACCAGGCGAGAAGCAGATTTGAGATCGTCTTAAAGCGCAGGAACGAAAGAAATAGCTCTCGTGCTCGTGTTCGGGTCTTTTGACTGCTGTCAATCCTTCTCCTCTTCGACCTTTGCTGCTGCGTCTGCTCGCGTGCCTCTTCTTCCTCTTCCTCTTCCTCTTTTCCTCCTCCTCCTCTCTTGATATTCCATCTACTACATCGTATGTCTCTCGGCAGACCACCCTAATATGATCACCTCGATCTCGACTCCTTCCCCGCGCTGCTCGCCTCTTCTTCTCGCTCTGTCGTCGGCCACATCGTCCACTCCCACATCTCCGACTTCTTTCCTCATGCAACAACAACAGCAACAACAACAGCAGCAGCAGCAGCAAATGCAGCAGGCTGTCCCCCGCGAGGCACCCTCGCCTCTTCTCCTCGCCACATCACCCTCTTGTCTGCCTTCACCCACATATCTCTCCATCTCTGGCACAACCCCAACAATCTCTCCCTCGCCGTCTCCTCTCCTCTCTGCGTCCTCCTCCTCCACCGGCCTCTCGTCATCCTACCAGCGGCACCAGCTCAAATCGCGAAACCCGACCCTCAGCATGGCGATGCCTCCGTCTCCTCGCTTCCCCGCTTCGGCTTTCTCCAGAGTATACGGCCAAAATCCCATCTCCGATATCTCCTCCGACACGACCCCGTACCTGGTCCCTGTGGGCTCACCTTCCGGCCCCGTCACCCCCATGCAACTCGCAGACGAAGAGTTCCAGTTCCCGGTCGCCGGAACCTCTCCTCTAACCACACCATCATACCCCACTCCCGGCATATCCGCTTCTGCATCTCAATCCAACCTGCAATCCAGTCTCGGCTGGCGACAACGACAACAGACAATCAGCAAACCTTCCCCGTCAAACGCCTTCCAGCGAGGCTCAAAGTACAGTCAATCTGCCTTCTCACGAACAACAAACACAGTCAACAGCAACAACACCGGCCCAGGATTCACAACCACATCTTCCTTCCTGACCGCTGCTCTCAACGCGAGCGCGTACGCTGCCGACGTTAGCCAGCTTCGACGACAACCCAGCAACGGCGCGAGCAGCTCCAACAACGCGAGCATCTCCGCCGCTGCTGCCGCCGCCGCTGCAACGGCCGCCCTACCCAGCGCCAGCTCTTACTTGGCATCCAGCTCTCCTTCTCCTCTAGCATCACCAAGATCCCCTTGGTCTCCCTCGTCGCCAGCAATGTCTGACGGCGATGTCGAGGAGATGGAAGATCTTCGAATGGACGGCGTATGATTGCCATCCCTGATATCTTTATGGCCATGGTTTAATGTTTTTGTTGCTTCATCGGGTTTTTGTTCAATATTATGGGTGTGGTTAGGGAGAGCAAGCAGCATTTATCCAGGTTTATTTCATTCCTTTGATCTCATTTTTCTATTTCATCAATTTTTTAGTGTCTTTTTTTTTGTTTTGGCATCGGTGCACTCACGGATTATTTTGCTACTTACATTATTACATATAAATCACTAAACAACTCCAAATGAGTGAAATCTATATTGTGTTGGATATCGGGCAGCTCTACGAAAAGAAACAATCATAACTTGTTTTTGTTCATTCTAGCAGGACTTTGGGAGTGCATGTATTTGTATAGTTTTCTATTTGCCCTACTTATGCGGGATGATTTTATCGCTATATCAGCTCGCTTCTTTGTTTCTCTCTTTTGTCTATATGTCAATATACTTCTGAATATCGCGGACTTTGGGTGACTGTTACATTAATTCTAATATACAATTCTCAAGCATATCCTTTCCACTCCAAGAACGGAATAAACTGCGTCGTAAAAACCCTCTCCCGACTCGTCATCTTTTCCAAACGCGTGCATCTTTTTTTTTATCGCTTGTTCTGCGAACTGTCAACCACTCCAGGTGGCCCAGACATGCCAGGCGCACCACCTCCAACTCCAGGTGCCCCGCTACCAGCAAAACCCGGTGCTGCCTGCATAGCAAATCCAGGCGGTTGAGGAAACGCTGCAAACGGAGCAGCGCCAGGACCAGTTCCAAGAGCGCCAGGAGCAGCGAACCCAGGTGGCGGGGGTGGGGCAAGACCTCCTGGGATGACGCCAGGGGCACCAGGCGGGAGCATACCAGGAAACCCTGGAAGACCGGGTCTGCCTGCCATTTGTGGCATTCCCGGCATTCCCGGCATTCCTGGTAGAGGTAAGGCACCAGGGAGAGTAGGCGGCATGGGGAAGCCTGCCGGTAGGCCGCCAGGCGGTGGGGGGAAAGGGAGCATTCCTGGAGGAGGAACTGGTAATCCTCCAGGAAGGGCGGGAAGCCCTGCTGGTGGGGGGATCGGAGGCATCCCTGGTATTCCCGGCATCCCCAGGGGAGGCATTCCTTGTGCTGGAGTTGCTGATGGAAGAGTGACATGGTTTGGGAATTTGTATGGCAGGGGCTTTGGTGTTGTGCTGTTCATGTTCTCTATAATCGCTTGTGCTTGCTCTTGACTTATTTCTATATCGCGTACACGCGTTAGCTTGGTCGTTCTGCGTAGAATAGCTCGATTGTGTCAACGTATATCATGACACTCACGTTGATAGTAATCAACCACGTTCTTTATATGATTCCGTCCACTGTTGTGCGCCCTTCGCACGCTGATCGAGTCGTGTGTGAGAAATACTAAAAGTCACAACCAGTCAGCACCAAAGGTCACCTCGACTTCAAACTAAAGCAGACCAAGACCCGAGCTTACCATCACAATAATCGCAAAAATAGTATAAGCCCGAAACAAGAAAAAAATGTCAGTATGATCGTGGATCAGAGGATTGTCTGGTTGAGCTGAGGTACTTATCTTTGGCATCGTGAACCTGCTTTATATCCTTCGAAAAAGTCCAGCAGCAGTCTTTAAATATAATACCCCTATATCCCTGTCCCTGTCACAAATAACTCTGTCTTCGGTGTTTGTATCAAAGTATTTCCCTGATCTGCAATGAGGTCAGACGCGAACCTGATGCAGAGATTGATCTATGTTTCTTCAATCTCTCTTCAGGGAAGTTCACACATAAAGCTCAAAATCGCATGTCACGTGACTTGGACAATGACTTCTCTTATTGCCTGCAAAGATCGACAGTTCGATCTGGAATAGGTAGAAAAAAGTGATGGATAGCCTTTTTCTAATGCACTGATTACTTCTAATTGTGAAGAGGAGAATGCGACTTGCAAAGGCTATTGGTTTGGCTTCTCATGAGAGCGCCATTGGTCAACTTTCGCGTTGCACATTGGAATCTATAAGGTCTCTATAGACCTCTACTCTGGCTCAACACCACCCTTTACGACTTGCGATCATTAAAAAAACCACCAAACTCTTAGTCCCACATCAAAAGAACAAAATGTCTAGATAATCTATGAAGCAAAAAAATAAAATAGCAAAAAGAAAGGGGCTCAACCGGGAATTGAACCCGGGACCTCTCGCAAATTATACTTAGGGTTAAGGCCCTAAGCGAGAATTATACCACTAAACCATCGAGCCAACACTTCTTGAGAAAAAAAATTCCTGCATGCCAATATAAAGGTTCTGACATAACCTAACAAGTACATGCAGTTTTATGGCAGAAGTATAAAAGTCCGTAGGGTTGGAGAATTTTGTTAGAGGTTTTTCTCTTTGCACTGTTTAAGCTTTAAAGGTTGGGATGCTCGTTTGTTAAGAGATCAAAACTTGGACGAGGAATTTTCACATAGATTTCTACCGTTCTGGTTATACCGCTGAAAAAAACATGGTAAGTGAAGATAGCATATACAGTAATCTGCGAATCATCTTGCTGACATATATTTTGCGTTAAATGAAGTCACGACCAGAGATATATTCGCCAGAAGGTCTGCGGATAGGTAAGTCTAGCACGCCTGTTTTATTCGTTTTATACATGTATAGCTGCTGATCTTGAGCGGTAAACTCCAGACGGACGAAGATGGAACGAAGTACGGCATGTTAGATGCGCAATCAACACACATCAAGCCTCGTCAGACGGCTCTTCGATAATCGAGCAGGGCAACACCAAAGTGATTTGCAACGTCGTCGGACCCGGCGAGCCCACAGGCGGCGGCGTCGGTGGCAGCGGAGGCAACCAGAGAGCAAAGGACGACAACCGCGTGATTTTGACGGTGAAAGCGGTCGTGGCGCCGTTCAGCACTATCGACCGACGGAAACGATCTGGAAACGACAACAGGGTTCAGGAGATGTGTCTTACGATCCAGCATATTTTCGAAGAGGCAGTTATGGGACATTTGCAACCGCGGTCGCAGATTGAAATTAGCTTGTATGTGCTGTCGCAGGACGGTGGGATGCTGCAAGCATGTATCAATGCGGTATCGCTTGCTCTCGTCGACGCAGGAATCCCGATGTACGATTACGTGTGCGCTTGTACGGCGGGAATGTATGATAAAGAGGTGCTACTGGGTAAGTCTTTCTCTGCAACCATTTCTCATTCTATCAATATCAATCTAACTTCATTTCACCTTCCGCAGATCTAAACAGACTAGAAGAAAACGACATGCCGTTCCTAACAATGGCGACCCTAGGGGCTACGCGCAAAGTAGCGCTGATGCAGCTGGAAACCCGCGTTGGGATCGACAGGCTGGAGCCGATGATGGCGGCAGCTATGTCGGGATGCCATCATTTGCGAGACGTGATGGATGCAGAGGTGCGCAAGCATGGCAAGAGTCGGTTGGCGCGGACCGGCGTGTAGAGTACAATAGCAATCGATAATATATGAACAAATAAAGATCACTGTACATTTATCTTGAATAAACATAGTATTTACTTTTATGGTCATAGTCTCGTACAGATTAATAATCATTGTATCACTCCATCGCCTCGACGAACACCCGGCTTCTGTCTCATTGCGCGACTCTGGCAAGGACCAGGCGGCGGCCCGGTGATGGGCTCATGTTCGACGTGCCCGACATACCAATACTTGTTGCTCTTTTCAAAAAACCCCACCCAGTGCGCCACATCGGTTTTGATTTTCTCTTCGTCAATGCCGCGCAGATCGTGCGTAAGATCAGAAGTAAAGCAGCCGGTGACGAAAGCACGCGTCGCGTCGCGCCCGGCGAAAATGTGGTACGGGCCGCCTGGGCCGTAGCTGGTGCGGCCCTCGCTCACGTCGAAGACCGAGGAGTTGATGGCGAGGTAGATTGGTAGACCAGGGGTCTTGCCATTGTAGAGTGCGAGCTCGGAATCAGTGAAGTTGCGGGGATAGGAGAACGTGTGCAGTTGCGAGGAGGACGGGAGGAAAGGGAGAAGATGCGGGAGAGCGCCAGAGGCGTCTAGTGCGCGGTAGAGGAGGAATTGGAGGTAGCGCGGTCGTAGAATCAGGGAGTCGTAGTTCCAGAAATACGAGTCGGTGATGAAATACGAGAGCAGAAAGTTGATGACGAGAACCGTGAATATCAGTCGAACGATCTCGAACGCGGTCACTTTGTCTGATCCGTCGTCGAACTCCTCTTCATTCTCGATGATCTCTTCCACCCGTCTCTCGTCAGCCGGCCAGAGATCCGGCTGCTTCCTTTGCGGGAGCGTTGGCGAAGGACGCTGCTTCCTATACCGCACCGACGACGACATCTCTCGTCTCTACACTACGCACTTTCTCGAACAGAAGCACGGATCGAGGTTGTTTTAGATGACAGCCCCGAGTGAGATCAGAGAGCATTTAGAGTTCTGTTACTTACGCATATTCACGTGCGATAGAAGCTCAGGTCACGTGTGCGCCATCCTTGAAATCGATCATGGCGCTCTCCGGAAGGGCCGAGCCACCGGATGGCAGCGTTCGAAACTCCGTGGCTGATTACGATGTCGGGAGCTCAAGGACAGGCTGCAGCGCCAGTATCTGCTTCGCCTACAACAGCTCTGTCTGCATCTCCGACTTACGCGACCTTTGTTGCCCCGGATACCAACCATGTGCACCCCAATTCCCCGCTTTTAGCCCAAACACCTCCGAGCGTCACCCGCGCTCTGTCGCTGGCGTATCCCTACATCGCGGCTGCTGATCGTGCTGCCGCGCTGCTGACCTGGACCTCTGGCGACGTGTGGGCGTCGTTTCTTCTGGTTGCTGCGTGGGCGGGCATCGTCTTGCATTGGGAGTCGATCGTCCGATACGGTGGGCATCTTGCAATCGTCGGCGCTTTCGCTGCGTACCTGCATTTCCGAGGCCGGGCGGGCAAAGGTAAGTGTACAACAGTTTACATTAGATCTTTGTATTGTGCTTGAGAAGCAAATTCTAACCCGAGCGACCGATGCTTGTGCAGATCAAGATGAGAATCCTACGCTCGATGGTATAATCCACACTCTCAACACACTCACCACCCGTCTTGACATGCTTGTCTCGCCTGTGACCTCGATCTCTCTGACCTCGCGAGATCTGTCCCGACTGCTTTTCACCACTCTGTTTCTCTCACCTTTGTACATCATCATCACCTTCTTCTTACTCTCCCCGCGTCTGATTGTTCTGACTGCGGGGACTATCGTGCTGACATACCACTCGCTGCCCGCTCGCGTCACGCGAACTATCCTTTGGCGCTCGCGTCTGGCCCGGCTTTTGGTTTTCTACCTCACCGGAATTGACTTCTCTCGCAGCAAACGTCCGGGCATGGGCTCTCGCGCTCAGTCGTCTGCCAGCGCGTCGTCGTCGAAAACAGCTCAACAGACACAGCAAGCCCAGGCTCGCACGGACGCAAACGGAAACGAGGTTGATATCGCGCCAATGGTGGCACAGAGCTACTCGACCTCGCTTGCGCAGGATGTCGCAGACGTGCTCCGGCACCGAGAGCAAGTCAAGAGCGGATCTGCGCCGGGCGCGGGACAGTCTGCGTCTGAGCCCGTGCGGTTTTCGTACGTTGTGTATGAGAATCAGCGCAAGTGGCTAGGGATTGGGTGGACGGCGAATTTGCTGGCGTATGAGCGCGGGACGTGGACGGATGAGTTTTTGAACGACTGTCCTAGTGCCGACGAGTTCACGCTCCCTGACGCAGAGGGATCGGGTATGCGGTGGAAGTGGGCCCATGCGGAGTGGAAGATTGATAAGACGAATGGAGACGAGGAGGGATGGCTTTACTATGACAATACATGGAAGAAGCCGTCGAAAGAGGACGCGTTTGGGAAGTATACTCGGCGACGGAGGTGGGTTCGGACTGCGGAGCTGGTGGAGGATGACGAACTGACAGCCGCTGAAACGGAGGTGACTGGGCTTGCGCCGGTGACTGGTGATGTGGAAGATTACAAGCCTGAGCTGGAGAGAAGCGAATCTGATGGTGTGGTCAGCGACGACGAAGAGAGCGCTGGCGGAGAAAACGAGGCAGAGAAGGACACGCACCAATTGGCGTCGGCGTCGACTCCCGTTTTGCCGAGCGAGATCGATTCGGTCGAGGGACAGGGCAGTCATCATCACCATAACGGACTGCATCTTCACCATCACCGTCGTCAGGAGAGTAATGGCAGTGACACGACGAAGCATGATACATGGAGCGAGCTCAAGAAGCGGACGATGCTGAGGCATGCGGCGACGCCAAGCGAGGTTGCAAATGATGTCGAGTAAAGCGTTTGATTCTTCTTTTACTTTTATATTTCTTATCTTTTCTTGCTGTTGTCTATTCTTTACGGGCAGAGTTGGTCGGGTGCAGACCATTGACCGGTATCAGCTCGGAGATGGAGCACTGCTTGCAGACAAAAATCAAGCTTTTTTGTTGTTGTTGTTGTTGTATTAATAGTAAATAGTGTTATTGTTTCCAGTCCTGTTGATTCAGAGCAGATCTAGGCAGCATGGATTAGGTCCATGTGCAGAAGGCTCTGTTGAATTGATCTCGCGGTTTGTTTACATCGGTCGTTGAGCAGTTAATTAATTGCTGTCAGAGCACGGCAATAAACAGCTTGCGGAAAACTATAAATAAAGAGCTGTGACGTCAGTCGTGATGGATTACGTAATTTATTATACAAGCACGTGTACGCCTCAGGTGGTTTTGGTTGCGCTGAGCAAGGAGAGTCGAGGACAGTAATTAATCCACCGCGAACAGCTACGACAGACAAGACCGCGGTTTGCTACAGCAGCAACAACTAGACTCGGTCGATAATTTGACTGAATACTCAGACTAAAAGTAGTCAGATTATCTACGGCACATCCAGCAAGGACGACGAACGCACAAAGTCACGGCACACTCAAGACACGTCCGCACACAAACTCACACAATGGCCAAGGTAGTAATCCGAAGACCGGCACTTGTGCTCGCGCTCGTGCTCGCGTCCATAATCGTTTTCGCACTCACAATCTCGCCTGCTGCCGCACCGGGCTCATCGGCGGCTTCGTTTTCGTCATCAGGAATAACGGAAGAGGCGCACCCGCGTCGGCCAGTGATCCAGAAGGCGTCGTCGTCGCTCTCGCGCGGATCTGGCGTTTCGTACACGATCGCGGACGCGAGCGACTACGACCCGCTTAAAGGACCGGTGCCGGTTGCGTCGCAGAAGCTATCGCAGGGCGGGCCTATTATGCCGCACCTGGGGAACGAGACGATCAAGGCCGAGCTGGGGCGCGCGTCGTGGAAGCTGCTGCATACGATTCTGGCGCGGTATCCGGAGAAGCCTACGAGCGAAGAGCGGGAGGCTTTATCAGCTTACATTTATCTTTTCTCGCGCGTGTATCCGTGCGGAGAGTGCGCTGCGCATTTCCAGAAGCTGCTGAAGCAGTTCCCGCCACAGACATCGAGTCGCGTGGCGGCGAGTCAGTGGGGATGTCATGTGCATAACCAGGTGAATGCGAGATTGGGGAAGGATATTTTCGACTGTAATGATATTGCAGAGAAGTACAAGTGCGGTTGCGAGGACGGCGAAGAGCCAGCGGCTGACGAAGAGAAAGATGCGGTGAAGGAGGCGACTGAGGCGGACAAGGGGGGAAGGAGAAGGAGAAGAGGAACTTACGGATAGCTGAGAAGGATCTTACGGCAGAGTTCTTGCAGGTTGAGGAGAGGCTGAGGGAGTGATCTTTACAGGGCACACTTGGTTTACTAAATGAACGAATAGGTAATAATAAACAAAACATTCGATATGGATGAGCATGGGATGAGAGCTGAGAGATGAGAGTAAATATTGATTGTAGGCGTCAAGCAAGGACGTGCTATGATTTTGTGACTTAGTTTGTAGAAGCAGCTGTGTTTTAGTGAAAGGGTTTATTGCAGAAACTGCGTAGGTGGGTGGAAGAGGTGGAAATCACGGCTAGTGCTGCATGACATGGCATTCAGCGGATATGGTGGGACCGAGAGGGGGAGAGAGAGGTATGAGCAGGATCGAGAAAAGGGTTGATATGTTGACTACGTAAAAACACAACGATGCACATGGGAAAAAAACAGAGAAAGCAGATGGGCGAGAGAACGATGAAGAAGTGTTGGCACGAGAGACAACAGGCTTGATATCGAGATATGGCGGGCAAACGAGGGATGCAGGACATGCACAGATCAACACGGAAAAGTTGCAAAGAAACTAAAACCAAAACAATACACAAGACGAGCAGCAATACAGAGCAGAAACCAGGACGTTGCCGGGTCCAAAACCAAGCTGGGACGGGTTGGTGGTGGTCGAACGAGCTCAGGCCGAACACCGATGGGTAAAAACGAGCGCGAGGGCTGGAAGTGAGCCGCACTGGCCGAGGGAGTTCACGTGACCAGGGGGGCTTGGGAGGGTGGAGAGGAGGAAGTGGAGGAGAAGCAAAGAGCAGAGAGATGAGAATAGGAATACAGATAGCAAGAATAAAGCAGCAAGACTAGAATAAAGAACATCAAAAGCAGAAACAAACACTATCCACACAACAAACAAAGAGAGGCAGACGATGGCCGGGGATCCAGAATAAAAAAATAAAGTTTTGGCGCGCGGCGGCTTTTCGACGACAGACTTTCGCCTCGCCCGCGTTGTTTGAGTTGAAGTCCTCGTCCGGCTCCCGTCACTGTTTTCTCTTCCGCTGCCGCTTCTTCTTCTTCCTCGTCCTCGTCCTCGCTGCTTGTGTTTGTTTGTTTTGTTTGCCGCCTTCTTATCCTTCTCCTTCCTGCTCTCATATCCACCCACCCGCCTCAAACCTCCCCTCCGCGCGCTGCTATCTAATCGCCAGCCATCCCTCCTCCATCCTCCTACTCCTCCCTCCTCCTCCGCTTCCCTCACAAACAGGCCTCCCTCCTCCCCCCGGCCCGCCTCCCCGCTCCCACCTCAATCACAACCACAGCAGCCACCACCACCTCCTCCTCTTCCCCCGCTCTACGCGGCCGCTGTTCTGCATGGTAAGTCTGCCCTCGTCATCGCCCATCCCAAATACACCATCGCCCTCTCTCGCCCCATCCGCTCGCTCCGCAAACACCCTCTGCTCCCTCCCACCCTTCTCTCAGCCTGCCCAACCCATCCCGTCCCCACCGCCTCCCGCACACCTCCTCCGCCTTCCAGATCATCCTCGCTCTCATCTCTTCTCTATTCACTCTCTAACTATTTCCTCTTTCTCCCTCTAGGTCCTCTACAAACGCAAGGTCGTCCAGGCCCTGCCCCCGCCCGACGTCGACCCCGAATCCAACCCCGATGTCTGGTACATCCAAACCACCGGCGAATTCTTCCTCGAGTACGATGACTACCTCAAACGCATGGATTTCTACAATCAAGTACATACCACCCTCTTGTCTTCACACTCTGCTCCTGATCCCCTCCCACTAACCTCGCCTTGTCACTAGCACCGCTTCGTCTGCGAAATCTCCGGCCACTCAAACCTCTCCTACTGGGAGGCTCTCGAATCCGAAACAAACGAAGCCCGCGAAGTCGACGAAGCCTTTCCCGAATCCCTCAAAGAACCCGTTCTTCGTCGTCTGCAATTCAGCACTACCTCCCGTCTCGACCACCTCGTCGACGAAGTCTACGACGCCTTCAAGTCTGACTTCTACCCTGGTGAATACGCTTTTGCCTTGATCAAAAACGACAAGCTCGAAGTCGTCATCCGCGAAAAGGCCCAGTTCAATGCCATCCAGATGCCCGACGGCGAAATCCGGCCCGCGTATGCCAAATACCGCGTCGAAATGATCGGTCACGGACGCGAAGGCCAAGAAGACGTCGTCGACGGCCTCCAACTGACCCGCGACCGCAAACGCTTTTCGAAAAGCATGCTCCGAACGTTCATGAAGAACTCGCTCTCCCGCGAGCCCTGGTCCGGCGCCCCGTGGCTTGTCAAAGCGAAATATGCAAAGAAATACAGAATCGATACAAACATCCCGCCTCATCTGCAACGCAAAAATGGACTATCCGAAGCCGAGCTGGCCGCGACGCAGGCCAAAAAACTCAAAGAGAAACGCCGGATGCTGCAGCTTGCCGAGCGAGCAAAGATCTCGCGAGAGAAAGAAGATCAGAAAGAGCAGGCGCGAAGGGAACGTGAAGAGCAACGCGAGCGCGAGAAACGTGAACGGGAATTGCTTAAACGGCCGCCGTCGACCGAAGATCTCGATCTGATTCCAATGACTGACCCGCCTTCTCAGCGGCCAAAGCTAAAGATCGAACGCGCCGTGCCTATGGAGTGGATCGGCGTCTTACTTCAGACCTGGTCTTTTTTCAACGTCTTTCACGAAACGCTTGTGCTCAGTCTGTTTACTTTCGACGAGTACATCTGTGCGCTCCAGTACACCTCCCATGATCTTCCTTGTGAGCTTTTCGTCGAGCTGAATTGTGCTTTATTGAAGCTGGTCGTAAGTAACGACAGCTCGGAGTTTGCTATCGATCTTCCGGTTGATTTTTCAGAGTCCGAGAAAGCTGATCGCACCTCATCTCATGAGAAAGTGAGCGAGGTCAAGTCAGAAGAACCCACAGCGGATGACGAGGAGCAAAAGCCGCGTGCAATGCCAACAAGATCGAGTCGGGCAAACCAAAACGGAAAGGAAGATGATGCGAAAAAAGACACGCAAGACAGCAATGCGGATGAAGACGAAGACGAGGATGACGAAGATGACGAGGATGAGGACGACTCCGAATCAATCAGGATCCTCAACTCTCTTTCCAAGTGGCGCGATGGATCCTGGAAAGAGCGTCTTCGCCGCCGTCTTTTCATCTCCGGTGGAATGGAGCTAATAATTCTAAACCTGCTCAAGGAAGTCGCCTATGTCAGCAAATGGACCGATTTCTGTCACGAAATCATCGACACTTGTCTCCCCGTGAACGAGCAAGCCTCAGTTGACGCGCTCCGATCCCGTTTCGCGAGACTGTCGCCCGTGCAAAAGCTGCGGATTCTAGATATCTTGATCGAACTCGTGGGTGACTCGGCTCCGATTCGCGAACGTATAGAGTTTTGCATGGACGAGAGTACCCGAATTCGTCGCGAGCGACTCGAGACGCACAAAGAGCATAAAGCTTTGCAGGAGCAGATCCGTGTTGCAGAGGAGGAAAGACGGGAGCTGATGCCTCCGGAACCTGAAACGCTACCGATGCCTGAGAGCACGGACGATGGCGAGCAGACTGAGCAGCAGCGACTAGAAGAGGCCCGCAAAGCCTGGCGCGAAGAAGCCGAGTCGCGGCTGCTACGGACAAGCTCGGCGTTTAAGAAAGTCATGCAGACGATCGAGAACGCTCAAAAAGGAATACAAAGATGCATTCTTGCTCTCAAGAGCGCAGAGATTGAGCTTCGTATGCTGGATTGCCAACGTTTCAGGGTTCTCGGTCGCGACCGGTTTTATAACCGTTATTGGTGGCTTGAAGGCAACGGACTGCCGACCGATCTCGGCCGTCATCAATACCTAATGGGTCGACTGTGGGTGCAAGGTCCATCTGAAGAAGATCTCGAGGTGTTTGTGAAAGACGGCAAGGCCGCATATGGAGAGATCACGCTTGCCGAACGCAAAGATATGGAGGTCGACGACCGCGAGTCGCAGCTGAATGAGACGAACGAATGGGGATATTATGACGACCCTGAGGATATTGGCGAACTCCTGCATTGGCTGGGAACTAAAGGTACTCGCGAGCCACGGCTGCGGAAAGACCTCGATTTGCGGCGGACAAGAGTCGAGGCGCCCATGGTAGCTAGGCGAAAATATCTTGGACTCGACAATGAGAAGGAGCGCGATGGATCAGTGGTCGCGGATTCACGAGCACAGTCCCGCGCAGGTGACGACGATACCGACGTCGAGGACGAAAAACCGGTGATCAGGCAGCAAGAAGACGGTGACGACGACGAAGAGGAGGAAGTAGTCAACAGCCTCCGTCGCTCGTCGCGGCAACGGAAGCGCGCAATCGCTCAAGTGGAAGCAGGCCATATCGCGCGCGACTTCCGGTTCCTGAGCTGGCGCAACACGGCCGCGTCCGCGCTCTTGGGCAAGTCGCACTACGAGTCCGGATATAAAAAGTCCGGCGGCGACCTGTTGTCGCAGAAATCGCAAAACTTCGCGTCGCCGGCCTCGGCGGCTGCGTCGGTGACTACGAGCGCTAAAGCATCGCCGCAGCCACCACCTGCTGGATTCTCTGCAGCGCACTTGGCCAACGTCCGCGTCACGTCGTCGGCCGAAAGCTCGCCCGCACCAGCGGATACCATTGCTGTAGCGACGACGACGACGGCGAGCTCTAACGGACGAGAAACAAGACGGACCGCGGCCGCAGCCGAATCGTCGCAGACGCGTAAGCGCCAGCTCGCAGATACAGATTTTGCAAACACCGACACCGAGAGCAGAGCGAGCAGTCCCGCGCCAGTGATGGTCACGCGCAAGCAGGCCAAGAAACGGCACTCGGCGCCGTCGTCGTCTTCAGCAAGACGAGCAGCGTCTCCGTCGCCGTCGCCGTCGCCGTCGAGATCGCCGTCTCCTCCTCCTGTTCCCGACCGGAGGGTCACGCGTCGGTCTGCGGCTGGGTTGGATGACACGCCTGCGTCGTCTACGCGGGCGAAACAGACTGCTTCGGCATCGTCTACACCCGATCGAAGAACCAGCGGCTACGGCACTCGAAGCTCACGCTCAGCCGTTGCGAACTCTGCAACCAATACCCCCACCACCACCTCTTCTTCTTCCTCCAACAACAACAACAGTAACAACAACACCGGCGCTACAACAAGATCGGTGACGACTCCGAAAAGCGCGACGCGATCGTCATCATCCAAAGCCGCGTCGTCGTCGCAGAGCGATAATACAGCCGATAGCGGCATGGAACGACGATCTACGAGACGCAGTGCGGCCGTGGGTTTGAAGTAATCTTTTGTCGCTACGAATATGGATAAGTGGTGATAGTCGATGGAACATATTTACTTTGTTCTTTTAAATCGTGATACTGTAATATGCACAAACCTGGTTCTTTTTCTTTCAACACTAATATACTGCTTGTTTTATGCACGGGGTTCAATGTTTGCCGGGGTTTCTATTATTATTTTCTTGGTTCTTTTTTTTTTGTACTCTATTAGCTTCCTTTCTATTTCCCTTTTCATACTCTTTTGTAAATTCTTTCTATCTGTTATCTACTAGCTTCTTGTTTTCAAATCGGATGTGTAATAATAGCAATCAGCCTTCTACATACTCTGATCCGGCCATTGCGTACTGTAGATCATCACTGTCAATTGAGAAATAAGGTAGGTACCTATTGGTTTTTCCATATATATTCTCGTCGTCGCGGAACATTTACATACAATGAAAAGAAAAAGAAAAGCAAAACATACACAAAGTAAGAGAATGAGTAGTTTTTTATAAATATGAATATACAGTGAGAAGAGAAGAATGTAGACGATAAAAGTACGAACGAGAGAACTGATAAATAATCACTCCGAAAACTCCTCCAGAAAGAACAAACATTTGAAATCACAAAAAAGAAAAAGAAACAATGAGATACACTAATGAAAGACCCTCCTGCTACATCTGCGCAGACAAGAGAAATCACGCAAACGGCGCGACCGAAACGGCCGACATCAGCAGCTTTTCACTCATCTCGCCTCCGGCTTCGGGGGGTGAAGGGGGCGATGTCGACGACGAAGACTGAGCGGGCTCGGTGGTTGCGTTCATTGCGGCCGCCGGTAGAAGAGTGCCTGCGTTGTTTGAGAAAGCAGCAGAGTTGTGCTCGCCCGAGTGAACCCTGTAGTTACGCGAGGAAGTGGCGTAGGACAGTAGCGGCTGCGACTGATGCTGGTGTAGGCTGTGGTACTGGGACTGATGATGTTTAGGTACGAGAGGGGTGTGAAGAGAAGCCACCGAAGCCTGCGGTGCTCTCTGATCCCTACCGGCCGCGACACCAGAGCCAGCCTTTGCGCCGCTAGAGTGGGACGGCCGCGAATGAGTCATGGACTTATCCCACCTGATCGGCAACCACTTGTACACTCGTCCCAAAAGTACTACCTCGCGCTCGTCGTAGAGCTCGATGAACTGCTGATCGAGCGGTCGGACTTTTGGGTGCGCGAATCGACGATACTCATCGAAAATCATAGTCAACGACCAATCCTGCAGCTTGCGGATACAGCCCACCAAGCACCCGGTCCGGTGCTTGCCGCCGTTACAATGGATGAGTAACGGGTGATTAGCCGGGTTGATTGCGATCTTGAGCGCGGTCGTGATGGCCTCGCTCGACACGTTCGCGAACGGCTCCTTGTTTTGCGACAAACCAACCTGGAAGAATTGAATGTTGTTTTCCTTCAGGAATCGCTTGTTGTGCTCCGGATACGGCTCCGGCACAAGCACGAGGATGCTCTTGAAATTCTTCTTCTTGAGATACTCAAAGTTCTCCGCTTGCGGGAACGAGCTCCTGTAGATCCCAGGCGCAACCATCGAGAAGTTCTCGGGAACAGCGTACCCGGAAACCGTGCCCGGAGCCGACACTGTCTTTGTCAATGCTTCTGTCAATGCTATAATGCCAAGTCGAGATTAGAATCCGAGAATGAATTGGTTTCTGTAGAAACGGAGCAGCGTGGCTACTTACGCGCAGCGACTGGTACGGGAATTGCTGGCACTTCCTCTTCAGGCAATTCGCACTCAAACACGCCCACGTCGATATCGTCATACTCTTCCTCATACTCTTCATCCGCATCTTCGACCTCTTCGACGCCGCAGCCCAAAACATTCCGCCTCTTTTTCTTCTTCTGGTTGCTGAAATCATCCGACATCATCTTGTCCTCATTACCACCACCTCTCGTGACCGTAGCAGCCGCGGCCGCCACCGCCGTCATGCTCTCGTCCGCGGTCGTGCTTCGTCTCGTCATCGACGACGTCGTCGCACTCGTAGTCGATATCTCGGCTGTCGATTGATAGTTGTAAAACGCGGCAGCAGTCGTCATGACCACCACCAACCTCTGCTGCGGAATTCTAGAGCTTCTTGAACTCTATTCGGAAGCAACGGGAGCTTTGTACGTTGAGTGATGACACTTGCTTCCCTGCTCTCGCTCTCACTTGCTGGATTGCAAGAACTGTTCGGCAAAAGATAGATAGAATCTCACGATGGATGGACCCAGCGAGAAGTAGGAAGGGTGGATGGGGATGGAGAAGGGGGTCGGGAGAAAGGAAAAAAAAACGGAGACGCGAAAGGACCTGCGTTCAACGAATCACGGCCGACATGATTGCGAGGGAAACAAGAGAGAAAAGTAAACAGAAGACGAAGAAGACGGTGAACTGTGTTCTCTTGTTTGCTGAAGCGCTACTCTCTCTCGGGGAGACGGCAGCTGCGTGTGCGCTGGAGGCAGGAGTTGGACGGATAACGAGGCAGATTGAGACGACAGCGTGTCGACGACTAAATAAATTTGAGCCAACGAGATGGCTCCGAGGATGTAGACCCAGTTTAGTGGTTTGCACTGTGTTTAGCCATATTCTACTATTCTGGGTGGTGCACTCCGTTGGGACATACTGCGCCTCTGTCAGCTTACGTGGGTAATTCTACAATACACGTGACCAGAGCCTGACGAGGAACTGTTGGACCCTTGTTCATGCTACGATCCTTGGTGATGAAGTAGAATTTCAGATTATACAATTTTATCACAGAAAGAGATAATAAAAGATGAGCCTGTGCCATGTAAACCCCCCTATTCCCGACCCTCTTCTCCTTTTAACAGCTGTGAAGAAAATGCGCCTGTCCGTGTGCTGTCCCAGTCGTCAGAAACAAGCATATCGATAGTTTAACCCGTAGTAATGTGTTTTGTGATTTTTCCCAATCCGTGAGACTGAACGGCAAATGCTCTGTAAATTAATAAAAGTACTCGCTAGAAGTGCTTAGATCTCTCTACTTTGCCGTCGTCCCAGGTCCGACTCTGATACATCGCTTCGTCTTCCGGCGTTGCCGTCCCCGGCTTCGTCGCCGGCAACACTCTCGTCGTCAGAGTACGGGTTCTGGACCATATCCCCGTTCGCATCATATATCAGGCGCCGCTCGATCTCGTCCGACGTCACCACAGGCGACTCGACCACCAACTCATCGAGCTCGGTGTTGCGTAGCTCCGCATCGTCGTCGTCGTCATACGGGTTCCGCGTATTATCCGACCGCCGCGAACCCAGCGCCGCGCCTCCTCGCGCCGCAGCTCCGTCTTCCAACCTGATCATCGTGTCCTTGTTTGCGAACCCAACAGTCCGGTAGCCGCGCTTGGCTGCTAACCGTCGCTGGTAGACGACAAAGCTGAGGAAGCCGAGCGCGGCAAGCGAGACGATCACGAGGGCGAGCTCGCCGGCGCGGAAATACGCCTTGCGAGTCGCGTCTTTGATCTTATCGTCGTCGTCGTCGTCGTCGTCGTCATCGTCATCGTCATCATCATCATCATCATCGTCGTCATCCTCACGGTGGGTTGTCGAGTTACCTTCGCCGATTACTCCCTTAGACTCCTCACCGGTGTACTTATAATCGAGACCAACAAATCTGTGCATCATATCCAGCGCCTGGAGCGATTGGTCGATAGGAACCATGTGCGAGGCATTGTAGACAAGTACGTAGGTCAAATTTCTAGCTTCCTGGTATACTCCTGCAGCGACGCCGTCGTACGCCCAAGTCTCTCTGGGAGCCCAAGCTCCCCCCGGAGCTTCCTCGAATCCCTTGCCGCCGTTCCATTCCATCTGGCCGATGAGATCCTCGTTTCCGATATGATTGCAAATCAGATCCTGGTCACCGTTGAACATCAGCACGGGGATTTGCTCCAGAATCGACGGCAGCATCTCAACAGTCGGACGGGAATTCTCCGCCTTGAACGCCCGCGAGACTCCTCCCGAGCACTCGGTCCATCCCGTCTTCTTCTCTGCACTGATGTGCAATGCAGCCTTGACGTCGTCCTGGCGCAGGTACGGCGTCACATAGACGAGATCGTCCGGCCAGTTTGAGCCGCAAGCCGGGAACGTGTCAAACTTGCGGATATCGTACATGTTGTGGCACGTCTTTTTGTCACTCTGCGATTTATCTTGCGAGACTTCGAGGATGACATCCAGAATCTCCTCGCATATGGTGACTGTGATGTGGATTCCCTTGTTGAGCTCGTTCATACACTTCATCACCTGCTCATCAACACGCTTCGCCTCCGGTGTGCCGTCCGTAATCAGCCCGTTCTTGTACGCGTAGGGCGCGTAGGCAAGGTACTGTCGAACAGGATCGATCCAGCCGTTGCCGAGCATGATTCCCTTGAGCGGGTACTTTGTATCGGTCGAGGACTCGTTTTGGTTGCGAGTCAGGATCGCGTCGGCGATGTAAGGGATGTACGTGCCTGCGTAGGACTCGCCGGCGATGTAGAGGTCGTCGGCCAGGTACTGCGGGAAGATTGTAAAGAACTTGTCCATGAAGATCATAAAGTCCGACGCCATCTATATCAAACAGTCGTCAGTATAACCACATACTACCTCAATCTTCAATAGCGGGAAAAAATACCTCATCGAGCTCATGCAGATAGCTATCTGTGTCCGCGAAGCTGAACCCGGTTCCAATCGGGTTATCCACGAAAAGAACGTTTGTATACTGATTCCACCGGCCCTCGTTCACATGTAACTTTCCTCCGTCGCCGACTCTAAACGGACCGATCTCCATCATCGCGCCGTCCATGGACGAGCAGCCTGGTCCACCATTGAGCCAGATCAGGGTTCGTGGCTTGTCGGCAATGTGCTCGTTCTCAAACATCCAGAAAAAGAGGTTGCCATGGTGTTCGGGGTTGATCTCAATGTGTCTGTCATAAAAGAACGCGCAAATCGCGACGGGAGTGGTTAGCAGTCGTGTCGTGAACGGTAAAGGAGACAGGGATGGCGCGCAAGGATGAGGCGGCAAGAGTACCCGATCTCGTCCACTACAGCTAACAAAAATCCCACTGGAGCATAACATACCCTGCGTACATGGGCGGCATCCGGACGTTATCCGGTGCGCCAGGCAAAGAGGAGACATAGTAGTCCGAGGCGGAGTCCGAGGACGCGACGACGAGATCCGCGACGAAGAAGACAAGGCCGAGGCTGACTACTGCCAGCAGGAGCGCTAGGTTTGTGGGGCGCCGCAGACAGAGGCTGTTCTTCATTTTGACAAAGAACGAAGAGAAACAGAATAAACAGGAATACAATTCGACCGCTGATAAAGAGGATATCGTGCGGAATAGGTGAATGTACGTGGGTTTATATATATTTCGTATATCAAGAACTGTGCTGCAGCACCCAACCCCATCTACGTGTAGGTCACGTGGACCTTTACCCAAAACCAGAAAGTCGCCGTTGCACCGCCCGCCCTGTTTAAACCGGTGCTTCAGATCATGTCATTTCCCTCGGCCGGCCCTGTCAGATATCGGAGAGATGGAGACGGCTGTGAGGTACTTGTAGATGGTCTTTTGACTGCTCAGAAGAGTCAGAATAGTGATGATTTAGCTTAGAGAGCTGTTTAATAGAGCTGTCCGGGGAGGCCAGCGACGTACGCCAGCGACGTACGCGTCTTTCTCTTCTTACATCCATGCCTCCAACCACGTATCAATTATCCCAAATCAATCAGAAACCCGCATCCGGACTAACCAGCGCTCAACGTTGCAAACTAAATCTCATCAAATCTGTGCCCGAGCTATCGAATCAACGAGCATCCGTCCGGCGGATTTCAGAATTGAGTTTGGCGCGACCGTTGAGAGAGCGGTCAGAATCAAAACTCCCAAGGCCCGATTCCCACTTCCGTCTTGAGATCCATTGCAAACCTGTCTGATTGCGTCCAAACCCGGTACGAACTAAGACTAGATATCCTCCTGTGAGCATAGTTTACTGCGCTGAAATGCAGGTCTCAAATCACTCGAACGCTACTCTCTTTCCGCCGGCGGGGCCCTCGCCCGCTCGTCCCGTTCCGTACTTTGGCGTGGACCCCAGAGATCCACAACCACCCCGTCCCCGCGCCGTCCCTGCTACTGGCCAGGATCGGTGTATCACTGCACTTTTTGAAAGTGCAATCAGTAGGGATAAGGCAAAGGCTTCTTATAGCGTCTCGAGAAAGCGGAAATACGAGTCTGACGATGAAGAGGAAGATCAGCTGTGTGTGCTGCAACAAGACGAATGTCTACAAGCCGATACGAGTCTTTGCAACAGCGATGATTCTGCATATATCTCACCTCCGGATCTCACGTTTGACGACGACGACGATAACGATAATGACGACAACGGCCCGGAGAGCGATCTCGAAAATGAAATGTGTAAGCGCTTTCGCTGTATCCGTCTACAGTACTGGCCCTTCCGAGCCGACGAAGACGAATACGGTTACACCCACGACGACCGCCTTCTCCTTCACTCTCCTGAATCTCCTCTAGATAGCAACGACGGACGCTCTCTGGGTGGCGACTTCGAGCCTCGGGCAATGCATTTACCGCCTCTAGATTGGACCCCTGAAATGCTGCTCGCGAGGTACCCGCCCGTCTCGTCGCCTGTCTCGTCGTCAAGCTCTCCCGGACAGGGCCGAGTAAATCTTGCTACGAGTTTGGAGCACTTTACTCCTATTGCAACTCCTCGAATGCCCTTTGCTGAGCGCGAGTTCTGAGTCCCAGTACTGAGACACCCTGTGTCGTATTCTGCTTATACCCTGGATCGCTGACTGCTGTCTAATTTTTCAACTGTCGTTTCTGTTGTCTTTCATTCCTCTGTGGTTCTCAGATGTCTGTTTAATACCTTGTTGGTGTTTGATACTCTCTCATTTCAAAGGCTAAGAAAATACCCAAAGCTGGCTACAAAGCTTTTGCAGTACGGCAAACACCTCTTCTCTGTCCTTACAATATTCAAAATTAAAAAAATATATTTTAATCCAAGAGACTAGTGGTTGAAATAAACTACAAATAATGCACATCATAAAGCGAGCATGCCCTCATCCGGAAAGAAGAACTCACGGCCATACATCGCCGCGTTTCCGAGCGCGTACAGACTCAGGACCGCGGGCCACGGCTTGAACTGAGTGATGCCGCGTCTGCCGTTGGCGAGAAGGTAGAGGATACTCCAGGCTGTACAGCGTAGAGAGAGTTAGAGACTGATGCTGCATCCGATGGGAAAGAGATCATACGTACCTGAAGCGACACCGGCGCCGTTTATCGGATCGTTGTCGTAGCTCATGTAGCCTGTTATACAAAATCATTAGATCCAAAGAAATATACGTAAAGGTAGAAAGAAGGAAATGGGCGCACCAGCAAAGCCGATAATTGATCCGAACCCAAGGCAACTAAGCGGGCGCGGCAGATAAGTCTTGATCTGATACGATCTCGGCAATGTCGAGAACACTACAACACAAAAACTGGTAGTCAGCAAACCCAGGTCCCAGATACATATACTCTCAACAACAAATCAGCAACTTCTGCGGGAGGGCAAACGAACAGGCGGCAGAAAATCCCCAGGCAGGATACGGGGTGATAGCGAGTCGCGAGACCTGTTCGGAAAACGTCGACTTTGTAAGATCAGGGACCTTTTCAAGGGGAAGCGCGCCAGGATCTGGAACGCTGGGATCCACGCCTTTATTAGGAGCCATTTTGTCTGTATTTTCTGTGTTTTGTTTTTCTCTTGAGAGTGTGGGATCTGGCGAAGAGGATGGTGCACCAGGAGAGGAAAGTGGAGTAGGCTGTCCCAAGATCCGATGAGGAGGGGACCGAGTGAACTTAATCCGGAAGAGCTATGACGTAAGAGGAACCACCGCAGAAGATTGCAGATCATCGGTTCTCGGGAGATATCGTGCCCGTTATCGCAAAGAAATGTACGTCTACTCGATAATGAAGATAAATGTACGTCTACTTGATAAATACCAATACTGCTTAATAATGTACAACCAAATGCCCTCAACAGTTTTAAGTGCTATGCGTACAACTCCCCAACCCGCGCGCGATCCTTCATCTCTTTCTCGGCCCTGACCTCAGCCTCGTGCTTCCGCTCGCGCTCCTCCTTTAACCGCTCCTCCTCGTCCTCCAGAAACCCTTCTATATCAGGCGGCTGCAGCTGCATCTGCACACTCGGCGCGCCCTGCAGATACCGCAGCTGCTCTAGCACCCTGTGCTTCACGTTGTCGAGATATTTCTTCGTGTTGCGGTTGTCAACCTTACCCGCCAGATTTGGGTGTAGGCTGTAGTCGGGGCCAAAGTAGTTGAGAAACGGGATCTCCTGCGGAAGCTGTGTGTCGAGCTCGACATTGAGCAGCACCGATGTCTCGTACGCCCATGCGCGCGAAACATTGCGCGGCGTGTATCCTCCACCGCCGACGACCATCATCGGCAATCCGAACGACTTGACAAACCGCACGCATTCGCCGTGGGCGCGGATGTTGAGGTTGAAGCAGCCGAGCCGGTCGCAGCCCAGGGAGTCGGCGCCGCACTGCAGCACGACTGCGGTCGGGTGATATGTCGAAATGACAGGCTCGACTATGCTCTGGAACAGCTGGATGTAGGAAAAGTCGTCGATGCCGTCGCGGAGCGGCACGTTGAGCGAGTGGTGGGTTCCCAGACCGGTGCCAATTTCCTCGAAATTTCCCGTGCCGGGGAAAAACTCGCCATTGTATTTGTGGAACGAGAGAGTCATGACTCGGTCGGTGGAGTAGAAAGCTTCTTGGACGCCGTCGCCGTGGTGAAGGTCGATGTCGATGTAGAGCACACGGGGATGGTAGCGCAGGAGGTTGAGGATACCGAGCACGATATCGTTGACGTAGCAAAACCCTGAGGCCTCGAATTTTTTGGCGTGATGCAGTCCGCCAGACCAGTTGATTGCGATATCAGACTGACCCGAGATGAGTTTCCGCGACGCGTCGAGTGATCCGCCGGCGTAGATGCTGCAGTAGTCATATATACCGTCAAAGATAGGACAGTCGTCGCCGATATTGAATTTCGACCACACGGACTCAAACTCTGAGCGATTTTCTGGCGTGACGCGCTGGAGGAAGTCAATGTAGTCTTCCGAGTGAAACTGCAGGATTTCTTCTTCCGTCGCGCGACGGGTTTTGTAGTAATCCATCTTCTCGTGAAGGTGGTAACCTAGCACGAGGTGGTCTGTGAGCATGAGCCGGAAGGGCTTCATTGGATGCCGTGTGCCCTTGACTTTTATGTTAGTATGTGTTGGGTATAATATGGAGAGTGAAATGATGAGACATACGAAATGATATCGGCTGACATCTTCGTTGTTGTGGTAGGAGACCTAAGAGTGAAGAGGAGTTAGCAATAGGTATTCATAACCTGGACAGAAGGTGCAAGTAAACAGATATCCGAAAGCAGACAGCACCCGCCGAGAATCGTGGCGGTGCAGAGACAGCGCCACGACGCAGGGTGGACTGGATGCAGCAGCCGGAACCGGCTGACAAAAATAGAACAACAAAGTAAAAGAGACAGGAAGACGAAGGAAAAGAGAGATAGGAAAAGGATGAACCGTACTTTGAGACCACCGTTGTCGCCAGAAAAAGGGACGTAGGCCGGTGTGTTGCGGGTGGCTTTTGAGTCGAGGGAGAAGGTCGACGATGGTTGATGCCAGGTGTTGACGACCATCGCGAGAAGGCAGAGAAAAGAGAGAGAATGGAAAAAGAAGAAAGAGAAAAGACAAATAAAGACCAACAAAAACAGTTGTGTTTATACAAATATTACAAAGAACAATAGAACACGAGTATTCTCACGACGAGATAAGCGCAATACGACAGTTCAGAATCTTCGGCCTTCGTAGCAAGGAGGTGGCGACAGGCACCTACACACACGCAGCTTAACAGGAAGATGATGCAGGGAAAGAAGTAATCCAGCCCACGAAAAGAAGCAAATAATCAGAAAAGAGACGCAATAATAAACCTGAGCAAGAATAGAATTGCTTATGGATTAATAATAGTGACCAGAGAGTCACCAAACTGTAGGAAAAATAAAGGTCAAACACCGGGCTGCTGTGATTGGAAGTGGCGGCCAATCAGAGGCCTCAGTAGCGGCTTCTCCACAGCGACTCCTCGCTGGCAGATAAGCTGGTTGGTCACTAAACTTTAGTTGACTCACAGCTCGAAGGCTCACTAACTTTACTTAACTCTGGCCATTTGGTCACTGAGCTTCAGGCTGGGCAGGGCTCGTCGTTGCTCCATACGTCGCTAACGTTGTTCAGTAGTCTTGCCCAGTGCTGACCCAGTCTTGAGCCTCTTGGTATGTTCAGCAATATGTCCCGTCTTCTTATATAACAGCAGCTATTTTCACCCTCCAGCTACTCACTTCTATAACCAAGACCCACACACTGTCTCATCTCACTTATCAATATAATACCCAATCCCTAAAGGAAAGCATAAGCGCAACCCACTCTTAAGCTCTCCAAAATAGAAATTTAAACTCACAGCGCCCGCCGCTAATGAGCAAGTGGCGTCGCGTCGGCGTTGTCTTTTGCTGGCGGCTTGCGCTCGGAGCCTCTCACTTTGACCACCTTCGATCTCATCTGGGCCTCGTCCTCTCTTTGTCTTTCTGTTTCAAGCTTCTATAAACACTGCCTGTTCTTCTTTCTATTCTTGTTCTATTAGTGTATATATCCAACAATGACTAGCGATCGTACGGCCCCTTCTCTCTGCTTGTATTCTCGATATCACAGTCACTAACCGTCTATACTCCAGTGATTTCCTACAAATACCATCCAAACAAAAAGGTCCAGATTATCAGCTGTCCCTTCTCAGGTACTTAACCCTCTCTCCTTCTCCCTCTTATTTCTAGCCTAGTCCTTGCTAACTTATCACAGGCGGCCAGGCTCGTGGCGGCGTCGAACTCGGCCCAGATCACGTTCTCGAGCACGGCCTCGAGGAGCAGCTCGCGTCCCTGGACTGGACCCTCAGCCCGCCCCTGTCGCTCTCCTTCTCCGAGCCTGCCTCCGATCCTGACGAGGGCAAGCTCAAGCGTCCTCTCTACGTCGGCACCTCCACCAAGAAAGTAGCTGATACCGTCGCCAGCGCGCTCAGTGCCGGCTCATTCCCGCTCACCATCGGCGGTGACCATTCGCTTGCGATCGGCACCGTCTCTGGTGTCTTTTCTCAGCACCCTGACGCCTGCTTGCTCTGGATCGATGCGCACGCTGATATCAACACCCCGCAGTCGACCCCCTCGGGCAACATCCACGGCTGCCCAGTGTCGTTCCTCATGGGTCTGGCTGATCCCTGCCCGCCGCAATTTGCCTGGGTAAAGCCATACCTCAAGGCAAACAAACTAGCCTACATCGGTCTCCGCGACGTCGACCCCGGCGAGCGCGAGATCCTCAAGCAGAACGGCATCGCCGCATACTCAATGCACCATGTCGACAAATACGGCATCGGCAAGGTCGTCGAGATGGCCCTCGAGCGCGTCAACCCCGGCAGCAAGTCGCCTATCCATCTCTCGCTCGACATCGACGCGCTCGACCCCGTGCACGCGCCCGCGACTGGAACCCCCGTCCGCGGCGGCCTTTCGCTGCGCGAGGCCTGCTACATCTGCGAGGCGCTGGCCGAGACTGGAAACCTCGTCGCCATGGACATCATGGAATGCAACCCCGCACTCGGCGCCGACGAGCTCTCTGTGAAGGCGACCATCGCGGCAGCCTGCAGTGTCGTTAGATGTGCGATGGGCGAGACGTTGCTGTAAGCTTATTTGTGTATTCTGCAGTGTAAACACCCTTTGTCTCTATATGTATATTCCCGCTGTATTGATTAGCGTGTCTCTGAGTCACGATATCACATCTGTTCTCGAGCCGTCCACGCTGCCGGCCAAGGTCCGGCACTACGTATTTTTATAACTCTGTACTTTACAACACATCAGATTATTGTTCGTATCTACTACACAGTCCACCTATAAACACGTAGCATCATCTTCTGCTCTATTAATGCCCTCCACAGCCCAGGCCGCGACGGACTGGTGACCGAGGGCAGAATACGCTCGAGTATTCTGGTGACGTCATGAGTCAACGCCCCGCGTGTTATCGGAGGCCCAGGCGGCTGGCAGCGCCCGCCTATAAAAGCGCCCAGATCTCACCACTTCCCTTCCTCACCCGCATCCTTCTCTCTCTATAACTACTTCCTCAATCCACTTCACTCCAACTCAATCCCAATCTCAATCACAATGTCTGGCTGCACCTGTGGATCATCATGCTCGTGCTCTCCCTGCACCTGCGGCACTAAGCGCTCGCTCGTCAACATGAAGGGCGGCGAGGGCTGCACCTGCGCCGGCGGATGCGACTGCAAGGACGTCTGCACCTGCAGCAAGCGCTCGCCCGTCAACGCCATGGCCGGCGGCTGCTCCTGCGAGAGTGGCTGCTCGTGCGGAACCTGCACCTGCGGCGACAAGGTATGTCAAAGCTGGTTTTTGTCGGGTTTAGATGCCGTTTGTTTCTAACCATCGTCCGATTCTATAGAAATAAGCGCTAGCTTGGCATTCATCACTCTTCTCCGGGTTTTTTCTTCTTGTTGGGTTCCAATGCGTTTTATGATTTCTGTATGAGCGTTTGGTGTTTCTCTACATAGAGGTGTTGTAACAATAATATATCATCACACTGCTATTTAGCAAAGTAAATAAACTCCGTCCCTCTTGGTTCTCGGATTTCATACCGACAACTGGTGACCAGTTCCTAATATATATTCCCAGCCGACAAAGTTAACTGCAATATAAAGCAGAAATACAACTCGCAATTCAGAATCTTCTTAGATGTACACTATCTACGTAGTCTTCGTCTCCTCGGCACCAGCAGCATCGGCACTGGCAGCGGCAGCCTCAGCTGCTGCCTTCCCAGCCGCTCTCTCGGCTGCCTTCTTCTGCTTCTTCTCCTCCTTCTTGCGCTGCTTCTCCGCCTTCTTACGCTCAGCCTCCTCATCAACCTTCTGCTCGCCGCCAAACTGCTTCCGCCAAACCTCCTCCTTATCGGGATCGATCCGCGAAAACAAGTACGCCGCCTTTCCGATCTTATGTCCCGCCTTCAAATCGAGCGAGAACTCATCCGGAATCTTCCTCAGCGGCGCGTTCAGCTGCTTCACCATCCCCTCGGCCGTCGTCGGCAGGTACGGGTACAGAACCGACGAGAGTAAGTACACAAGATTCAAACCAACACCAACCACCGCGTTCGCGCGCGCAGGATTCTCAACCAGAAGCGTGTTGTTCATGCCGTTCTCCTGTAAAAACAGGTTGCCGCGAGCAGACAGCGACAGCGCAATCTCGAGTCCAGACCGGAGATGCACGTTCGTCAGCGTCTCGTTGTAGTTCTTCAGAATCCGGTTCACGTCCGCCAAAAACCCAGACTCGTAGTTCTCGATCGCAGAGGGATCAAACTCCGGGATCGTGCTCTCGTACTTGACGTTCACAAACTTGACGATCCGGTTCACAAAGTTTCCAATGTTCGACAGCAGCTCGCTGTTGTTGCGGAAAATGAAATCTCTCCAGGAGAAAACTGTGTCCGCGGTCTCGGGCCGTGCCATCAACAGGTAGTAGCGGAACACGTCCGACGGCACGCCGGTCTCCTTCGCGTTGTTGCCAAACACTCCCACATTTCTCGATTTCGAAAACTTGCCGCCTTCATACTGCAGGTACTCTGTAGTCGATATATGGTGCAGCTTCAGCCACTCCTTCCGAGTTCCAATCTCAGACGAAGGGAACACGACGGTGTGAAACGGCACATTGTCCTTGCCCATGAACTGGTACAGCTTCACCTTCTCGGGCTGATTCCACCACAAGCGCCAATTCTTGGTGTAGTTCGCCGTGATACTCACGTATCCGATACAGGCGTCAAACCAAACATAAAGCACCTTGTCCTTGTACGTCTCAAGCGGCACAGGCGTTCCCCACTTCAAATCACGAGTGATGCATCGCGGGCGCAAACCCTCCTTAACCCAGGAATCGGTAATCATCTTGCCGTTCTTCGACCAATGTCCCTCCTCAGACGCCTTGCTGATCCACGCCTCAAGCTCCGGCTGCAGCTTATCAAGCGACAGAAAGATATGGTTCGAGTCCCGCGGCACAGGCGCCGATCCGTCAATCTTGCAGCGGGGGTTGATCAGCTCAAACGGATTCAGCAGGTTGCCGCACACATCGCACTGGTCTCCCCGCGCGTCTTCGTATCCACAGCGGGGGCAAACACCCTCGACGAATCGGTCGGCAAGGAAGCCTTGATGTTTTTCGCAAAACAGCTGAGTCATCGACTGCTCCTCCAGATACCCGTTGTTGAAAAGATCTGTAAAGATTTCTTGCGCAATCCTGATCATTCATTACATTAGCATTCCCTTTCGTAGGGTCACGAAACACCAGAGATATACATACTCGGTCTGCAGCTCAGTCGTCGTGCGGCCAAACTTATCAAACTTGATGTTGAACCAATCGTAGACCTCCTTGTGAAGAACGTGGTACTTGTCGCACAACTCCTTCGGAGACACACCCTCCTCAAGAGCCTTGGTCTCGGTCGCAGTACCGTACTCGTCAGTGCCGCAAACGAAAAGAGCGTTCGTACCCCGCGCCTTCATGTAGCTATAATCCGTCCCACTGAGTTAGCCGGTCCGTCTCTATCACCTGGGCTTTCTGCAAATTTAACACATACCGAGAATATACATCGGCACTCAAAACACTGCCAATGATGTTTCCCAAGTGCGGAACGTTGTTCACGTATGGAAGCGCAGAAGTGATGAGGATGTTCTCCTGACCGTCCTTCGGCAGACTAAATCACGGAATACATCAGCTTCCAACTCCCTATCTTTCATCGTCTTTTGGACACGGCAAACATACATTTCGGAAACATCGGGATCAAACTCGATTCCGGGAGTGATCGTCACGGTCGACAGCTTGTCGGCCAAAGAATCCTGCATCAAATTCGTTAGCCGACTATTGCCTTCCAGCGTCATAGCTCAGATATTGAAAGCGATTGAAGTAATCCTCAATAAAGCAACGCTCAAATAATCTCAAATAAAACATACCACAGCAGCTGACATTGCTTTTCTCTCTCTTGCACGTGTGGTGTCCGGGGTGGATGTTGTCGAAGATTGCAAGTCAAATGACGTAAATCGAGGTGAAAACTGAGCAATAGTTTAATGAATAATTCCCCTGTTCGGCTTACTCTTCTCTATCAAACAGTTCTTTACCTCAAATCCTTCTCGATTTCTATATGCCAAAAAAGAAGGTGTAATTCACAGTCGGATATGTGAAGAGCGTAGACTGTATAGAGAGCTGTTGAAGCAAGTTAAACAATCTTGGGCACGGTGATGGAAGAAAGTGGTGGGTGAGGAAAGAGTCAGAGTCTGTGGGTGAGTTTAGTTAGCGCTCGGTTTGGCGACGATTTAAATTCGATTTTTTTTATTTTGCATTTTATTTCTAACCACCCACAACAGCATAACCAATACTTACACATCGCATATTCTCACTGTGAACTCTTATAGGGGTTTATAGCAAAGAGAATTACTATAGCTCATCAGCAATGGACGACGATCTCTTTGACTCCCTTCTGAACCTCGAATCGGAGTATGCTTCTTTACAACTATTACAAGTTTGATATTCAATCTCTGACAACCCCTCCAGTTTCTACCAAGAAGGCTACAACGAAGGCTTCGCAGATGGTGTCCGCAGTGGCACAAGCGAGGGCATGCAATTTGGTCTGCAAACTGGCTTCCACCGCTTCCTCTCCGTTGGCATCATCAGCGGCCGTTGCGAGATCTGGAAACATGCCAAACCTCCCCTCACCGCGCGCTCAGCACCGACTTCAAGCCCGGCTGCTTCGAGTAGCGAGACAATTGAGGTCATGTCAATCGGACCTCCTGAAACAGGAGGGGCGCGCGCCACGAAACAGTTGCAAGTCCTTACCGATCTTGTGACTGACATCCCGATCGTCAACACGGAGGAAGCAGTCGAGGAATTTGAAAATAGATTGAAGCGCGCAAAGGCGCGAGCAAAGGTCGTACAGCGCATGCTGAAAGATTCTGTGCCTCTTTCTTACGAGGAAGAGGTTGTCAAGGTCGGAGGCCGTGGAGCTAGAGGCGAAGAGACGATCGAAGACGCAACCACGGGATTCGAGCTCGTGGACGTTGACGCCATCGAAAGCAGCAGTACCCACAACCACCCGGTCCAGCTAGCGGACCGCGCAGCTTTAGAGATCGAGATCACCTAACCGGCCTCATCTACAAAATCTAGGACTTGTTCATGCGGTTCGATATCGGCTTCTATTGCTCTAACTGTCCGCTATGCTCGGAGCGACATATACGCCATTTACAATGACACCCACCGACACTCCCAATTCTCCGGTAACCCATGCCGGCATCCTCTGTTCATCGACAAGGCCCTTCCGAGCTAACCGTCGCATTCCCTCAAAGACGTGCGTCCCTTCGATTAATACTCGGGTCTTCGTCGTAAACGCTTCGTCGAATTGGCTGTCCACATGGTCATCCTCCAACCGGAATTCGACATGAGTCAAGGCCAGACTATCCTCAAGCACTAGCTCCTGAAGTTGCTGCTCGTCCGCGAGATCGCCATCTTCTTCTTCATCTAGAGGAAGTGGCGCGGTAACACCAAATCGGGCATCAATAGTCTTTAGTCGTTTTCGTTCCCGCTTTGCTTCCTCGTCTATCTCCTCAATATCCTCCTTTACTGTCTCATCTATCTTCTTCTGCAGGATCTCCTCAGCCGAAGCTAGCGGAGAATGGTCGACAGCGTCATTGGCATATACACTCCAACCTCCCAGCGCTGTCGAGCTGCGCGATGTTGTGCGGAGATGGACTAGAGTTGCAAGCGATTTCGCCGTCAGAGAAGTAGGCAGAAGACGGACTTGTAGTCCAGGAAATGACAGTGATGCCTCAATACACTATTACAATCAAATATATCATTAGCGCTACGTCTCACAACACAATATATACGAGTAGAGACAAGATTACCTGTTTCAGAATCTTGTAGTACGGGCTTATAAATGGCGTATGAAAAAGGTGCAAGGGTGCTGTCGGAAACGCGACAAACACCACCCTTCGCGGAGCTGGTAGTCCAGATCTTGTGAAATTGCGATCATGTAGACTTATCCGCAATATGATCAACGAGAGCGAAGGATGCTGAGCAATATGTAGATGCTAGATTTGTGTATACAGATTAGCATAAGTTTAATACCAGACAAACCAAATGTTATTGAAGACGTCGTACGTTTCCTATCAGTGCCTGAAGCGACTTTTTGAGCGTCCTCATGAAGGCGGGAACATGGAAGGCAGGAAGACCTATTTGTATCAAGCAAATCAGCCAGGAGGTCTTCAGATACAGAACGGACGAGAAAATAACGACAGAAAGGAGAGAGAAGCATACGTTCGTTTTTACTGGAATCTTCCACTCCTGAGTTTGGGGATACTATCGAAACTCGTGAAGCCGTCCATTTCAGCGCATTTTGCTTCTCGAATATATCTAAAAAACCAGATCGCGTCAGTCTACCGCCGTCGTACGGATTCGATCAGGCTACGCTACAGCGTAACCAAAATTGAAAAAGAAAACTCACGTTGAAATTCAATATCAGCGGCCTGCTGCATATTAAATCCACGAACCTGTAAACAATCCATCAGTACTTATATGCAGAAGTCGCGCGGAATCAATAATCACCCCAACATACCCAGTCGACATAGATCATCCTCTCAACCACAGTTTTCCGCGGCACGTTCCGGTCCTGAAAACTTATGTATAAATCCCTAATATCTCCAATTATCTGAGGCGTGCTATCGTCAGCTTCGCCTTCATCTCCTATCAACGCGCTATGCGGTATACAAAGCGGCACATCGTCTAGCCACTTCACGGCGAGCCAAACTAGAGTGTCGCGAGCTAGCCGCCTGAGCATCATTGTGTGTGATCCCTGTGGCAGGAGAACTGAATCATCCTGCATTGCCTTTGCTGAGCTCATTGTTGGAAGGATTCTTTCTAATTCGTGGGGACTGAACTATATGGCGCGTGAACAAGTCAGACTTGTGTGCAACTTTCAGATGCAATTGTTTGTTTGTTTACTTAGTCACGTGACAGCTTCATTATCAGTTTCACCCGTTTTAGACAAATTTGATCTTACTCTTGTGTTGGCTACAAAGCCTGTGGAAGTACTGTATGCTCGATTGGTAATATTAATAAGATTTACAGTACATATTAGATAACTTAAAACTAAAAGCGAAAAAGGGTTGTACAGTTCCATTAAACAATCACATAGAAAGGCACTAGAGTACCAAATATCTTACCCCGCCTCTATCCAATATCTCTTGAGTAAACAAAATTGGAGACAGTTTTTCAACTAAGCACCAGCTTCGGCGACAGGAGCCTCTGTCTTCACAGGCTCCTTCTCGGCAGCAGCATCGGCAGCCACCTCAGGAACCGCAGCTGGCGTGGCTTTAGGCTCAGATTTCTCGGCCTCCTCTTTCTTTTCATCCTTCTTTTCTTCGTCCTTTTTTTCCTCTTCTTTCTTCTCCTCTACTTTTTTAGCCTCAGGTGCCTCTTTCTTTTCCTCGGGCGCGTCCTTCTTCTCCTCGCTTGCTTCCTGCTTTGGCTCCGACTTTCCATCAGTCGGAGGCTGAGTAGGAGCAGGCGAGCCCAGATCAAACTTCGCATTCCATGCATCTAAAAGCTTTTGCGACCGGCTTTTGAACTCATACTTTGGTTCCAATGGAATCGAGGTCATCTTGGCGATGGCTTTCAGCACCTTGTTGATTTTTGTACTCCGGATCATAGCCAGATCAAGACCTTGGAAATTCTCAAGTTTGCCAAAGAGCTTGTCCATGCTCTCCATGTCTTCTTCTTGTGGGGGTTTATCTTTTGTCATGAAAACTTTCTGCAACTTATGTCTTAGAAACAGCACGTGCTTAGTTTGCTCGTCGCGAGTCTCCTTGACGGCAGCGGCAGTGGCAGCCTCTTTCTTCTTGGTCGCAGAAGCCTCTTTCTTCGCTCGCGGCTTCTTCTCGCCGTTCTTTGCGGCAGCCTCTCCATTTCCTTTTGTTATCGAGGACTTTCGCTTTTTCGTCGACCCGTTTGCGTCGCCATCTTTTATCGGTGCGCTTTTTCGCTTCTTGGTCGCCGCGCCCTTCTTTTCTTTTTCATCACCATCCGGCGCGTCTTCCATCTTTGTGTCTTCGTCTTCCTTGCCGTCTGCTTCGGCCTCGTCTTCGCTTGCCTCGTCATCGGAGCCCTTGGCAAATTCTTCCAAAGCGGGCGGCTCAAGAGCAATCTTGTATGCAGTCACGAGAGCCTTGTCCTTCTTTGCGCCTTTAGCAGTCGTCTCGATGTACTTCTTGATTTGTTCGGTAGTGAGGGTTTTCAAATCTCCCCGCGAAGCCCACATACTGTAACGCGATTAAACTGTCAGTAAAACAAAAAACTTGATATAGAAGTCGGTGGAAAACTCACTAGTTGTTATCGTTGAAGAAACGGACCGGGAAGGCGTTGGGGCCGGAGGTATTCTCCTCCTCATCAGCAGGAAGGCTCTTTCGCTTGAGCTTGGCCGATCCGGGGGTCGACGCGCTGGATTTGGGCTTTAACTTCAGAATATGAGGGGGGAGTAAGTCGTCGGTAAGGACCTACAAAAACAAAAAAGATGTTAGCTAGCGGCTCTATGCTGTGGAGCGGGAGCAGCAGCAGCAGCAGCAGAAGAGACAGCAAAAGTTGGGAAGCACAATACCATAGCAGGCCATGGAGGGAAGCCCTTCAGTTTGGCAAGCACAACCGAACCGGGTAGGTAGGAGGAAGACGATGCAACAGGAGTGGACGGAGCCGGGGCCTTTTTCTCTGATTCGACTGGAGTCTCTGATGGAGCCGGATCAGAGGATCGGTCGTCTGCGGCAACGGCTGCAGGAGCATCCGAGGGCAGCTTCTCGACGGCCGCATCGGGGGCTTCAGAAGCAGGAGGATCTTCCTTTGGCGAGGACATGGCGGGGTGTTTGTAGTGGTGTGTGTGATTGCAAGATCTAAGATGAATGCCCGAGGAGCGGGTAGTTGACGGATGCGATCGGCGGGTAGGTGGGGTCGCAGGGATGTAGGGGAGAGCTGGAGGAGTGTTTGAGAGGGACGGATCAGGGGGTGGAGGTAGAGTAGGCGGAAGTAATAGTAGATAGGATGAGTGAGGGAGAGAGCAGAGGAAGAGCAGGAAGCGGAGGAGAGGAAGGAAGAAGAGATAAGAACGAGCAGCAACGCGAAGAAAAGGAAGGGGCGTCGAATCCAAATCCTGCTCCAAAGCGCGACCTCGACCTGAATCCGCACCTCCATCGCGCCCTGGAGCAGTGCCCTAACCTGATAAATCTTATTCGAGAGACTACGCTTACTGCTACGACTGCCGCGGGTAGATGCTCGAGATTAGAAGGCTGGAGAGAAGGGAGAGTGTGGAGAAGCGGTGTTTGGTGGGGTATCGTAGCTGTTAACAGAGAGATGTATATGGAGCCGGAGAGAGTGGTGTACTAGCACGGCGAACCAACTGCTAGCCATACGCGACATCATCATCAGGCACTTCACAGCAAACATACATAATAGCAAGACATACAGAGAGAATCACAGAACATCAGATAATACATCAGACATTCCTGATACCGCAGAATCCTGCATCAGTACCATCCGTGTTCTCTGTCGTGGTATGCAGACGGATCAGGCGCGTAGAAGAGCGACGCAGCGATATTTGATATCACTGCACACCGCTTCAACAGACTCCGAACAACGTGTCACTACAGTCTTAACTCGAGCCTCTTGTATAGTGCGTACAGATCAAGTAGATGAACAGAGGTATCTACTATCGCACTGGCTCTTCTCTGCCGGCCTGTGGTCTGCAGTCCGCTCGTCCCAATCAGACGGCCTTTACCAGCATTCGCAGTCCCAGATCCAAACATCTATTCATACACCAAATATTCATAGTAGTCGACCGGACCAGAGTAGGTGTTTTCACACCACCACCGCTCTTCCAGATGCTGTAAGATCTACTGAGCAAAGATATGCCTAGCATCTATTCTATTGCCAGGCCTGGAGACGCGTTGTGCACACAACGTCTACCACACTTATGCCAAGTCTCTGCGCCAACCAATCAGCAGAGCGTCAAATGAGCCCTCCTCCTCGACACCTCGAATTCACGAAATTCATAAAGCAAGACTGCAGCAGCATTTATTGCACACCAGGTCCCAAGCACCACTCAGACGAATTAGTTCATATACCGGCAATCCTCTTGCTCTTAGTTCTCCATCAAAATGGTCAAAATCGACCCTGAAAGATTCGCGCAGAAGCCTCGGTTTAGCACAAACCCGATCGATGTATGACCAGCTCGACGCCTACTTGATATCATTTGTTGATTGTGCAATACTGATTAATGACTATTTTCCTATACAGAACCTGCGATTTCACGCTCGTGTTTCGCCCCAGTACTTCTATCCTCTGGCTATGACTCTCGTTGCCGTTCCAGTCTTGTTTGCTTTCCTACCAATCCGTCGAAAATACTTCTATCCCGATCATAAGCGCATTCCTACTCAGTATCCTTGTACGCCGTCTTCTTGCTTCATCTAAAGTATATACACGAATTCTGATATTAACTATCATGATAGTGCCAAGCGAGTCCGTCGAGGTCGCGGGCTTCGAGGATGCGTAATGGCGATACTGAACAATATATCGCTTACCTTCCCACCAGTCTTTCACTCAATCGCTTGCTCAACTCGAACCTTCGTATCCCCTACCTTTCTCACCAAATAGCGACACAGGGCACAAGGCAGAGCCCGGATCGTCTACTTTCTTAATATTGTTTATGAGCTCCCCTTCCACTGCATTTTCTACTATATACACATTGATATTCATCCCCTCCGCAATCGGTTATCTTGAACCTATTATCGCGGAGTGTTATGATGAGTATGGTACTGGGGTGTAACTTTGGCATTTTTGTTATATAAAATATTGTATTTTTTGGTTAAAGGAATTGATCGTTCTCTGCGTATGTCGAGTCTCCAGGTAGTTGTGATGCTCGAATAGACTGAAGCTACTCTCTGCTCAAGCTCTGCCTGGCTGATACCACGAAATCACCCAAAATAAAACAGGAAGAACTCTCAATTATAACCCACATTACCAGGCACACATCAAGCACGAAGCACGTTAACAAAACAGGTAATTGATATACCATGTCACCCCAAGTATCGATTAGGCTTACATGACTAAGCAGGACTTGAAATTATTACTAATATGAACCAGGCTGGATTCGAAAACCTAAAATCTTTCAGATGTCGCCCGCATCTAAATTCTTTCTTTCCCATCATAGTAGCTTCGTTTACTACATCCTCCCTTCTCCATCCCGGCTATCATCCGCTTCTCTTTTTCCTTCGGTGATCTGCTCGCTGCACACAACCCTCAGTTTGAATTTTGTGCCATCTAGGCTGTTAGAATTTCGACGCAATGGCGGATCGAAAGGACAACAACAATTTCAAGCAATACAGCTAGTACGTGTCTCGCGCTTCTTTTCTTACATCTCTTGCCAACTGCATATGTTATATGGCTACTAATAAGATATGTAAATAGTGATGCTATGTCAAACAAGGTCCTGCAGGTGGACCGGCGATTTGTGTCGCGTCCATCTGACGACAGCACCGGAGACCCCGAATCCCTCGCTGGCAAGATCAGGCTTTCTGACATGGGAACTCGTGTATCGCGTGATACCGTGCCGACAGATTCGAAAAACCGCAAGAAAGCAGTATTAGAAGACGGCGCCAAGCGAAAGCAGAAAAAGAGCAAGAGTGACGATATCTCGGCGCTTACAGACACAATCGAAGGCTTACGCTACATCCCACGCACAAATGAAACGCGCCAGACTTTCGAGCTGATCCTGTCATGGTCGCAAGAGCTCCTGGGCGATGTATCTCACGATATCGTCCGGTCAGCTGCTGATGCAGCTCTTGAAATCGTCAAGATGGACGGCGTTCGTGATTATGACAAGAAGAAAGAGGTCGAGTCGATCTTTGGATCAAGCATCTCAAACGAGCGCTTCAATCAGCTTATGAATCTAAGTCGCAAGATTACGGACTACGAGACTCCAGATGCGGATGTCGAAGCCACAGGGCAAGGTGTGGATGACGAAGACGGTGTCGCCGTTTTGCTTGACGACGAGGATGAGGAAGAGTCTTCATCAGATGAAGATGACGAGGACGATGAAGAAGAGGCAGAAGATCGTCCGATCGAGTTCGAGACTGGAGATCTCTCAGATGCCGACGGTGACGCTCTCGAATCAACTCTTGATGGCAAAATCTCATCCAATGTCAAGCAGGATAAAGATGTCATCCCAGCACATACCATCGATGCCTTTTGGCTGCAGCGTGAAGTCGCCACTGTTTTTTCCGATGCCCATACAATTCAAGAAAAGACGGCTCAAGTGATGGAACACCTCGCCTCAGAAGCTTCTTTGCGTCAAGTTGAAAATGATCTGATGGAGCTCTTCGATTTTGATCATTTCGAATTGGTGACCAAGCTCTGCAAAAATCGCTCGCGAATTGTTTGGTGTACGCGTTTTGCTCGTGTCACTGACGCTCCCTCGCGCAAGCTTTTGCTGGAAGAAATGAGCGCTGCTGGACAAACCGACCTGCTGAAAGAACTTTTGGGTTCGGCCGAGAATGCTCAGGCGACTGGTGAAGTGCGAGATGAGTCCATGATGGAGCTCGATACACTTGGAACCAAGCGGCGTGAACCCAAGCTGGTCGACCTTGACTCTATGGTGTTCGATGAAGGCAGCCATCTTCTGTCGACAACCAAGATCAAACTCCCCGAAGGATCGTTCAAACGCCAGACAAAGCAATACGAGGAAATTCACGTGCCTCCGCCCAAGCCAAAGAATGACCCGAACGAGAAGTTGGTCAAGATCGCAGAGATGCCGGACTGGACTCGGATAGCTTTCCCAGACTCGGACAGTCTTAACAGAGTCCAGAGCAAGCTCTATCCTGTTGCTTTTGGGGATGACGAGAATCTGCTTCTTTGCGCCCCCACTGGTGCAGGAAAGACCAATGTTGCACTGTTAACTATCCTCCGCACAATCTCTCAGTATCGTAACCCAGATACTGGTAAGATTGACCTCGATGACTTCAAGATTGTGTATATTGCGCCACTCAAAGCTCTTGTCCAGGAGCAAGTCCGCGAATTCGGCCGCAAGCTTGAGCCATTTGGTATCCGCGTCGATGAGCTTACTGGTGATAGCCAGCTCACCAAAGAGCAAATTTCGAAGACTCAGATGATTGTCACTACACCTGAGAAATGGGATATCGTCACAAGAAAAGCTACAGATATCAGCTACACCAACCTTGTCCGACTGATTATCATCGACGAGATTCATCTTCTTCACGACGAGCGTGGTCCTGTCATCGAAAGCATTGTCGCACGTACTCTTCGCCGTATGGAGGGTAGTTCGGCCGAGCCTGTCAGATTAGTTGGATTGTCTGCAACACTGCCTAACTACAATGATGTTGCAACATTCCTACGTGTCAATCCTGAGAAGGGCGTTTTCTTTTTCGACTCTTCGTTCAGACCTTGCCCGCTCGGTCAGCAATTCGTGGGCATCACCGAGAAGAAGGCTTTCAAACGCTATCAGGCCATGAACGACGCTTGCTACGACAAAGTAATGGAGAACGCTGGAAAATACCAGATGATCATCTTTGTCCATTCGCGAAAGGAATGCGCAAAAACCGCTCGCTTTATTCGGGATAAGGCTATCGAGCTCGAGACAATCACATCTATTCTGAAGACCGATGCTGCATCTCATGAGGTTTTGAAGCAAGAAAGTGAAAAGACCGCAGACAAAGAGATGCGCGATCTGCTGCAATATGGATTTGCGATCCATCATGCTGGACTTTCTCGTGATGATCGTAAGCGCGCGGAAGATTTGTTCGCTAGCGGATACATCCAGGTTCTAGTCTCGACCGCGACGCTGGCTTGGGGTGTCAATTTACCCGCCCATACCGTCATTATCAAGGGTACTCAGATTTATTCTCCAGAGAAGGGTAAATGGGTCGAACTGTCACCACAGGATGTTCTGCAGATGCTTGGTCGCGCCGGACGACCTAGGTACGATACATCTGGAGAGGGTATTATTATCACTGCCCACTCAGAGCTCCAATACTACTTGTCTCTCATGAATCAGCAGCTTCCGATTGAGAGTCAGTTTATGGCGAAGCTGGCCGACAATCTCAATGCTGAAATCGTGTTGGGAACGGTTAGGTCGATCGATGAGGCAGTCAAGTGGTTGGGTTATACGTATCTTTATGTGCGGATGTTGAGATCGCCTGCGCTATATCGGGTTGGTGCAGAGTACGCAGACGACGAGACTTTGGAGCAAAAGAGAATGGATCTGGCCCACTCAGCGGCCGTTATTCTTGAGCAGAGCAACCTTCTTCGCTATGACCGGAAATCTGGGAAACTTCTGCCTACAGAGTTGGGAAGGATTGCCTCGCACTACTATATCTCACATACTTCGATGGGTACCTACAATCAGCACCTCAAGCCGATCTTGACACCGATTGAGATTTTCCGCATTTTCTCGCTGTCTGAAGAATTCAAGTTTATCCCCGTGCGTCAGGAGGAAAAGCTTGAACTGGCGAAACTTTTGGAACGTGTACCGATTCCGGTGAAGGAAACTATTGAGGAACCATCCGCAAAAATCAACGTCCTGCTCCAGGCCTACATTTCAAGACTGAAGCTCGATGGCTTTGCGCTGATGGCAGATATGGTGTATGTGACGCAGTCCGCGGGTCGTCTCCTTCGTGCGATCTTCGAGATTTGCTTGAAGCGCGGGTGGTCGCAGGTCTCAAAGACTGCGCTGGATGTCTGCAAAATGGTGGAACACCGGATGTGGCTCAGCAGCTCTCCTTTCCGGCAATTCCCGTCGTGTCCGCCCGAAGTCATCAAAAAGACTGAATCATCGCAGATGCCTTGGGCGAAGTACTTCGAGCTCACCGATCCTGGTGAGGTGGGACAGGCAATCAAGGTCGAGCGTTATGGACGGTTGGCGTATAATCTGTTGAAGAATTTCCCGCGAGTGGAGATGCAGGCTCATGTGCAACCCATCACGCGCTCGCTTTTGCGTGTTGAGTTGACAATTACTCCGATTTTCGAATGGGATCCCAACGTTCATGGAAATGCAGAGTCATTCTGGATCATTGCCGAAGATTGTGATGGCGAGAACATCCTGTATCACGACCTTTTCGTCGTCCGGCGGCAATATGCACAGGAAGAACATATCGTTGAGTTCACCATTCCTATCGCTGAACCCGTTCCCCCGAATTACTTCATCTCTGTCATCTCGGATCGTTGGCTGCACTCCGAGACGAAATTGGCTGTTTCGTTCCGTCACCTGATTTTGCCCGAACGCTTCCCTCCACATACCCAGCTTCTTGATCTGCAGCCGTTGCCCGTTTCTGCGTTGAAGGATCCTGACTTTATTGCTCTCTATCCCCAGATCGATACGTTCAACAAGATCCAGACCCAGGTCTTCAATACTCTTTTTAATACCGACGACAACGTGTTTGTGGGTGCTCCCAGCGGTAGCGGAAAGACCGTCTGTGCGGAGTTTGCTCTTCTTCATCATTGGAAGAAATCTGGAGATCCTGGTCGGGCGGTTTATATTGCACCGTTCCAAGAGCTGGTTGACGAGCGCCATCGCGATTGGTCGCGCCGCTTGTCTCAAGTTGCGAACGGCAAACGTATTGGGAAATTTACTGGCGAGCTCACCGCTGACTTGAAGATTCTGGAGCAGTCAGATCTTGTGCTCGCGACGCCGACTCAATGGGATATGGTTTCGAGACGCTGGCAGCAGCGAAAGAACGTGAAGAGCGTGCGCTTGTTCATTGCGGATGACTTGCATATGATCGGTGGCCAGAATGGCTCAGCTTATGAGATTATCGTCTCACGCATGCGATATGTCGCCGCTCACACCGAAAACCCGCTGCGGATCGTTGGTATCTCTGTGTGTCTTTCCAACGGTCGCGATCTTGGCGAATGGATTGGCGCCAACTCGCACAGTATCTACAATTTCTCACCGAAAGACAGACCGACGCCATTTGAGATTCATCTGCAGGGATTCTCGATCAGCCATTTCCCTTCGCTTATGATTGCCATGTCTAAGCCAACATACCTGGCAATCGAGCAGCTTGGCCAGAACCAACCGTCAGTTGTGTTTGTGCATAGCAGACAGCAGTGTCTTGATACCACTCTTGAGCTACTGAGATACTGTGAGGCGGATGGTGAAGAAGACAAGTATCGGAAGGCGCCGCTCGAAGACTTGGAGCCACATCTCAACAACATCCGGGAACCCAATCTCCGGGAAAGTCTGAGAAATGGTATCGGATACTGCTATGAGTCGATGCACGCGAGCGATAAGATCATTGTGGAGAAGCTGTTTGAAGCTGGAGCGATTCAGATCATTGTCGCTGCTAAAGATGTTGCATGGTCGCTTTCTGTTAGATCATTCCTTGTAATCGTTATGGGAACTCAGGTTTATGAAGGAAGAGAGCATCGCTATATCGATTATCCTGTCAGCGACATTCTGAAGATGATTGGTCACGCCTGTCGCCCTGGAATTGATAGCATTGGCAAAACAGTTATCATGACGCCGTCCTCGAAGCGCGAGTACTACAAGAAGTTCCTCAACGAGGCTCTTCCGATCGAATCTCATCTCAATATGTTCCTGCACGACGCGTTCATTACTGAGATCAGTGCCAAGGTTGTTGCTTCTCAGCAAGATGCGGTTGATTGGTTGACGTTCTCATACTTCTATCGACGACTACTCGCCAATCCCAGTTTCTATGGTGTGCTGGATGTGTCTCATCAAGGTCTCAGCGAGTATCTCTCTGATCTAGTGGAGACCACACTCAAGGATCTCGAGGAAGCAAAGATGATTGAGATTGATGAGGACGAGGATGATATTGCGCCGTTGAACAACTCGATGATCGGAGCTTACTACAACATCTCGTTCATCACTATGCAGGCCTTTTCGTTGTCTCTTACTTCAAAGACCAAGCTCAAGGGTATTCTGGAGATTGTCACTGCCGCTGCAGAGTACGAGGCTGTGCCGATTCGCCGTCACGAGGACGATATCTTGAAGCGCGTTTACGATCGCGTTCCTATCAAGATGGCGCCTGAGAATCTGTCCTATGACTCGCCTCACTTCAAGGCTTTTGTGCTGCTGCAAGCTCATTTCCAGCGCATTGGACTTCCTGCAGACTTGGATGCTGATCAGAGAACTGTCCTGTCAAAGATCTTGAACTTGCTCTCTGCTTGTGTTGATGTTATGTCGAGCGATGGTCATTTGAACGCCATGAACGCCATGGATTTGAGCCAGATGGTTGTTCAGGCTGTCTGGGACCGGGACAGTCCATTGAAGCAGATCCCGCACTTCACACGCGATGTCGTTGAGAGATGCAAGGCTGAAGGGTATGTGCCACACAGTATACTTAGTTATTCTTATGCGAGCACTTTTCTAACTTATTTTTTTAGTGTTGAATCCGTGATTGACATTATGATCTTGGAAGACGACAAACGAAACGAGCTGTTACAGATGAACGATCGCGATCTTTCCGATGTCGCACGCTTCGCCAACAAGTATCCCAGCATCGATATGTCATACGAGCTTGTGAACCCTGATGAGATTGTGGCTGGAGAGCCTGCTGAGCTTGTGGTCACTCTAGAAAGAGATGTTGATGAAGAGGACGAGCCTGTTGATCTGACAGTCTACGCTCCACTGTATCCGACGCCGAAGTTGGAGAACTGTAAGTGCACAATATTTGCTACGTATATAACTATTGGTTTGGAACTAACTGAGAAAACTTTAGGGTGGCTTGTTATTGGAGAAGCGTCGTCGAAGCAGCTGCTCGCTATCAAGCGTGTTACGATCCCCAAGGCCGAGCAGAAAACGAAACTGGAGTTTGTTGTTCCAGTCGCTGGCAAGCACAAGTTGACTGTGTGGTGTATGTGCGACTCGTATGTGGATGCCGATAAGGAGATGGAGTTTGAGGTCGACGTTGCCGAAGGGGAGGAAGAAGAGGAAGAAGAGGAGGGGGATGAAGATGCGATGGAAGAGTAGAGTTACTACGATTATTTGATTTTGATTTGTTTTTTATCTGTATAATATTTATTTGACATTTATATGCTTGCACTGTCATGGGAACCAGTCGTATGAAATTACAGACTACTATCTAAAGGCTCGCTGTGAGCTTCTAGAAAGTAGCTACTACTACTTACGAACTCATTTAGAGCACCGACATCAGCATCGTTTATTGTCGTATTGGAGACATCTGCCTGGCCAGTACTGGAAAGCAGACTACCGTCGGAAAATGTCAATCTCGTGGAATCGGTCTGGAGACTGTCGAGATCTGCGTGCGAGGACAGAATGACGCTGCCTTCTTCGATGCATAGGTGTAGCAAGTCTTCCGGATTGAAGAAATGCTCCTAGATTAAAAACAACACGCTACTTAGCTTTGGGTAAGAAGAAGAGGAATGTAGCAAAGACAGTTATACAACGAAGAGAGTGTCAACCAAGCGCCGCCTAAGCTCGTCAATCATCTTATCCCAAAACAGTCGCATTGTAGAGTACAGATCGTTAGGTACGTCTTTGGCACCCAATCTCTTTGACCGCCGCTGGAGAATACGGCACACTGAAGGCACCGCCGCTTCGTTCATGTATTTGAACCTGGAGACTATAGTCTTATGCCGATGTCAATATCAGATGCGACGCTTCGTTGATCTCAATACTGGAGACTCAAACATACATCAGCATACTGGGGACAGAATAGAACAGGAACTGTTTCTGCTAGTACGCCCATAACCAAAACTCGAAACGCCTCGTCAAACAAGTGTAAAGTCTGTTTCAGAAGATTGGTGGATGGGTCGATGGTCTCGTCACAGAGATCTTCCTGAGAAGACTCTTCCCACTTCAACGTAAATGAGAACACCAACGACTGGATATGGGTCAACGGCAGATCACTCTTTGATTGGCTGAGGTGTTGATTGATGTTCATTGATTGAGTATTGAATGTGGCTGCAAATTAGCATGCAATAATAATTTCTATTCCAACTTGGAAGATCAAAACAGAACTCACTGGCAATAGTATATGTCTTCCCTGCTTCTAATCTACCCATGGACGCGTCCGAGGTCGAAACGTCGAGTGGCTGTAGACCCACCTCGCTCCAGAACTGGCCCAAATATAGTCAGTAAGGCTGTATATTAATCGATTGTTATAGACAGACCACAGTACTTGAGCTTTGACAAGGGACTGCGCGAGAGCGAGAGTGAAGTCGACTCTGCCGACATCGATATCGTGTTCGGCGGTGATCTCGACAGTAAGCTACTTCTCCAGCTCGTTAGCGAAATGTAAACAATGCATTAGCAGTCACGCTTCCTTACGCGTGTATTATTGATAGGTAATATCGTATATGAGCGCCAATCTTGCAAGAACTTGAACTCATCAGTTGAGCGTGGCAGATCAATTAAACAGTAGAAGTCCGTCGCGAGCGACAGTCGTCGCGACCGTCTCGTATCTTCGCTTCGAGTCAGGAAAGGAGTGATCAGATAAAATGACTCTGGAAGCTTCAACCGAAATACAGGACTTTCCATTGAAAAAATGGCAAGCAAACGCGTTGCGAATGCAAAATCAGCTCTGACAATTTACCAAAACAGCAATCCAGCAGATGACGCGCTTCACCACACTGGTAAACTTCCTCACGTGACCACGCGCGACCTGCCGGTCACGCTCGGACATCGTTCACCGCGAAGTCTTGCAGGCATCAACTCTTTTTTCTCTTTTTCCCTTTTTTTCCTTTTGTCCTTTTGCTACTTCCTTGTTGCGGGCGATTTTGCTGTCGCTGTGCAGTTCACTATAGAGGATCCACTCCTTGTGCATTATTTGTAAGATCACCGCTTCTATGACTACCGTGGCGGGTTTTCTGCCGGCCCGTCTTACGTTGGCTTCGTCCCAACCAAAGTTTCCTTCATCGACTGACATTGGCGTTTCATCAGCGGATTAGAAGTAGCCCGCCCCCTTTTACAACCGTATGAGTCCGCATATACAGAAGGAGTGACAAAGGCACACGACTACTGTTTTTGTGAGAAATGGCGACAGCAAATACCGCGTCCAGCAGTAAACCTGCTGGGTCAAAACCAGTAGATGAAGAATTGGAACGCGTGACCAAAGAGATCAAGGAGTGCAAGAAGGTGGATGACCCTGTAAAGATGGAAAAATGTCTCCAGGACAGTTTATCGTAAGTGCTATGTACCGTAGATCATTCCAGTAGTCGTCACTACATGAGGTGAAGAAAGGTGTCTGGCTAACAGAAAGTATTGCGTTGTCTCTAGATATCTCATGGTTCTACCTTCGACCACTCACTTTTTCTGTAAAAGTCACATTCGGATAGTCGCTACCCACGTTCTTCAAATATTTGCTTTTGACAACACTCCAGAACTCGAATGGCTAAAAACCACCCTTGCAAAACAGCTGCAGGAATGCTATCTATGCGTGAAGGCGTACCACAAGGAAAAAATTCCACTTAAATTGGAAATGCTGGATCAAGGGTATGCACTGAGCTTTTCGAATAAGATTGACGATGGCCTGAAGCTAATTTTTCCGCAGGATCGACGAATCTGACGTTGAAGCATTTGTTAATGTTCTTGAAGCATGGGATATCGAACGCGTAACAGCGACGCTGCAGCCGTCTGCCGCCAAATGCGAGGCGGCTTTGAAAGCTGATCCGAAGAAAGCAATTGAACCGGCCGTTATGTCTGCCAGCTTCAACTCGGTATATGAGTGTCTCTATGCTCCCCATTTCCTCCTGGCGTCGAAGGAGCTGGCGAGTGTCTTTCGGGTTCTGTTTCTGGGTATTCAGAACGGCGGTAGATTTCTCAGGCTTCCGAATAACATTGTTCCTGCTATGATCACATTCAGATTCATGCATGACGAGCCAGAGTATGTCAGATGGGCGGAGAAATCACTAAACATCTTGACGAACAAGGTCACCGCGCAGGACTTTGATTCCTGCGTTCACCGGGCATATCAAGATTGCGTGCATAGCTACATCGAACGCCGGAACAGCTCTTCGGAGGATATTGTGAGATTTTGGAAGGGAATGTACCGCTTGCTGACAGCGCTGACGAAGCCGGTTATTCTTCGTCATTGCTGCGGATCCGGCGCTGGTAACGGTGGTGCATCCGACGACAGTATTGTCAAACTTGCCTGGAGAGACGTTCAGGCCTCGCCAAATAGTCTGCCTACGTTATTGCATGCATTTTCGGTACTTCTCACCAAACTCGAGTCAGATATGTGGCCTGTGTCGTCCCCGTTCATTGCTACCTCGTTCACCGATATCATCTTCAGCGATTCCTGTAGTGCAATCTTTGAGAATGCGCTACGGGAAGTTGCCTCACAAGCTCAGAAAATCAACGTTTTGCTGGAGTGGATCTGGCCGTTCATTCGCTCGGTATCGGGATCCAACAAGCTCAAAGTATGCGAGCTTCTGACAGCAAGACTGCTCGGAAAATACCAGGATCCAATGAAATTTGGAGTGGCAAATGATTATCTGCGTTCCCGGCTTCTACTAGCTGGATTTAACGTTTTAAAGCTGTTGCTGGATTTTGGAAAAGCGGATAAAAATGATCTTTTCCGATCGTCATACTCGGTTGACAAGATCATGCGTCGAGAGAGTAGGAACTGCGCAGAGACTTATGCCACTCTTTTTGTCGATCACGCTAGCCGGCCTGCGAGCGAAGGAGATGACCCTGAGGTCAAGAAGGCTGCCATGGACGTCGTCGTTGCGTGTATTGCGGTCGACTGCATTTCAATTACCGAAGAAAGCGAACACATGATTGCGGAGGTTCTTGCTTCAGCAGCTATAAAGCAAAAAGACGTCACGCAGCCCGTGCTGGACGAAGCGGATAATGACGCTGTAGCTGCTCAATCCCAGGAAAGCACGACCTTCTGCTTCGGCGACAAGTTCTGGGGTCTTTTGCAGCGACGCCTGCCGGAGGATGATACCGATTTCGCACTGACAATTATCCAGAGTCTGGGAAAGACCAAAATCTACCTTGCTGAGACGATAGACAACATTCGGATCAACAACGAAGCAGCTGGTGGCAGCAATGCTTCGAATGCGACTTCACAGCTAATCGCGCTGAAAATACAAAAGTTCAAAAAACTGAGCAGCTTGATCGACAAATCGTTGTTTGCGGTCTCAAAGATCTTACAGCATATCAGTGATTTCAGTGCAATCAAGCTTCAAAAGCAGCTCCTAGCCGACCGCGAATGCGTCGAGGTCCTGCTTTCATGTTCGCTTTCGCCCCATTCGGCGTTATCGCGTACCAGTCTTGAGATTGTTAAGCAAGCCTATGACGCGGAGGGTAGAATGGAGTCCCTTCGAGGATTGTTTTCGTCAAACCCGGCTTTTGTTTTGAGCGGATACGTATCTACTCTGAAGAATACAGTCTTGACAGCTGTGCTGACGGGTGCCGGACCAGTTCCAAAATTGGTGCGGATGACGATGGATATCAAAGATCTTATATTTGATCCCCGCGATGGATATATTGCGACGCACAACAGCGCGATTGCGGATAAAGAAGTTCGCGCGGCTACTCGCTCGTTCTGGGACGCGACCTGGAGATCTCTGGCTTTTATCTACAAGCGGACACTGACATGGGCTCGGGCCTATCCCAAGGACATGATGGTTGATTACATGCGCGATATTCTGGAGCTTAGTTCGCAGCTGTTTGACAATTATCAGCTGCTAGAGCAGGCACTTACTACGAATGTGGATGGAGGAGTCCCGGTGATTGACTTGCAGACTATATCGCCATCCAAACCAACTGCAGTAGGGATCGAGATTCTGAATGTCCTGATTGATCCACTTCGACAAATGTCGCCGTGGCTACGACTTCAGGACACGGCCCTGCTGGAAATGTGTGTGCACCTTGTCTGCGGTCTATTGAAAAAGATGCATACGGCTCATGTCGAGGTTCCCAACGACATTCTGAAGCGACTAGACAAGCTATCTCACAAATCAGAAGTCAATTATAACAACCTCACAGACGGTCAATGCTATGACATCGTCATGGCGATCAGCGAGTTTGACTATCAGCTGATGTACGACAGAGCCGAGAGCGCCGAGAGCGATGTGAAGTCAGAGCCCACGGAACAAGTGAAGTCTGAACCCAGCACAGCTACGAAACCACACGCAAAGAGCAAGGAGAAAGGACTAGACAGCTGGCTCGAGAGAGGTTCTACGTTGCAATCGAAAAGTGCCGCGCCAAAGGACCCCAGGCAGCATGCCCTTGAAGCCGCGTTCAAGCAAGCTCAGGATGAGGAAGCTAAAGCCGAAGCTATACTCAAGGCTAGCCGGCTCAATACTGTCAGACAGAATCTACACGAGCAGCGTCAAAGGATGGCTGCGGCTAAGGCTGAGAATGAGGTAATTCATCCTCCTCGTCCTCCTGGATTCAGAGTTACCGAGACCGCTGGTGCTGCCCCACTGTCGAGGGTTGCGGGGGCTAAACATGCTGCTCCCTTAGCCTCTCTTTCGGACGACAGTTCTGACGAGGAGAGTGACGATGACATTGACTCTCTGTTCACGCTGGCCAAACACAACCGGCCAGCAGTCAAAGGAAATACTTCTTCGGCGATTGCGCCCATGCCTCTACGCGTGCATTCATCTGTGTCAGGAGTAAGGAGGCCGTTCACGCCTCCGGCAATGTCAGAGAAAGAGAGGTCAGAACGCAACATGCGGGCGCGTTTGCGCGTGAATATGAGCGCGCTGTACCATCGGATCCTTAGATGGGACTATCACAGTGAGAGCGATCTTCCTTCAGACGAATTCGGAGGGGATCTTTCAAAGTATAAGCCGATTCCGAATAAGTTTAATTCCGCGATGGAGTACAAGGCCGTGTTTGAACCGCTATTGATGTTGGAAGCTGTCCAGAGTATCGTCAAGTCCAAGATTGAGAAGTACGATAAGCCGTTCAGATTGACGGTTAACAATCGCGCTTCTTGTGATGACTACATTGAAATCTATGCTTCCTTGGACTCCAAACTACTTCCAGTGCTCAAGATCGGAGACATGGACGTTATTGTCATCACCTTCATTCAGGAGGAGCAAAATCTGAACATGGGTCAAGGTTTAAAGGGACGGCCTGCACAGTGGCCGAGTCCGAAATATCTGAATTGCATGGCAAAGATCAAGGAGATCAAGCGATCACATAACGAGTTATCGGATATGGTTCTACGCTGTCTGCCTAGTCCAGAGTTGGCACGCAATTTGCTGCCCAAAACTGAGCTCAACGGACTGCGAGTCATGAGGTACGTGCTTTCGTTTGCATTCCAAAGAGGTATATTCAATTATTCATAACTAACTTATCTTGTATGAAGTATGACTACGATTGAGAGAGAGTACAGCTCTTTACAAGGATTGCCATACTATGATCTGTGTGATCAGATTTTGCAGGCTCGGCCTGCGAATATGGTGCGCGCCGAAGGAGCTAAGATCAAGAGAGCACAGCAGATTTACAAAGTGAACGCTCCTCAGGCCGGAGCAATCATTGGAGCTATGGAAGCCACTGGTTTCACGTTGATTCAAGGGTAAGTTGAGCAGCGATAAGTTCTAGTAGTATTCTCAGTTTTGATTTCCAGGTACTAATGCGTCTCCAAAGTCCTCCCGGAACCGGAAAGACTAAAACCATTCTAGGTATCATTGGCGCCACGCTTTCGACCACCAAATCGCGCGGTATCCCGATCGGTATCCCCGGCCAACGTGCGCAGGCACCGAAAGAGCCTGCTACGTTAGAGCAGAAGCGGATCTTGGTTTGCGCGCCTTCTAATGCTGCGGTCGACGAACTGGTGCTTCGGTTGAAGGGCGGAATCCGCAATTCGTCTGGCGAGTTTTTCATTCCGAAGATGGTTCGACTTGGCCGGAGTGATGCTGCTAATCCCGCGGTACGCGATCTGACGTTGGAAGAGCTCGTTGATGCAGAGGTTGCCAAATTTGAAGATGAAAACAACAAAAAGAAAGGAATTTCGATTGACAAGTCCAAGACTTTACGCGAGGAACTAAACGCGGTTCTTGCCGAAAGATCCGAGATTGACGCGCAGCTGAACACGACTGAAGACGCAGCAGAGCGCGCGAAACTGCGCGAGCGACGGGATGTTTTGCATGCGAAGAAAGCGGCACTCGGACAGAAGCTCGACGAGGAGCGCGATCGGCACTCGGTTGCGGTGCGGGCTAGCGAAATTGAGCGGCGAAGCATTCAGGCGCGGCTTGTGACTGATGCGGAGATTTTGTGCGCTACGCTGTCTGGAGCCGGACATGAGTTGATGGCATCGCTTGCGTTGACGTTTGATACTGTTATTATCGACGAAGCAGCGCAGTGTGTTGAGCTATCGGCGTTGATCCCGTTGAAGTACGGTGCGACGCGCTGTGCGATGGTCGGAGACCCTAATCAGCTCCCGCCTACGGTGTTGTCGCAGACCGCGTCCAAGTATCTATACGAGCAGAGTTTGTTTGTCCGGATGCAGAAGAACTACCCGTCGTCTGTACACTTGCTGAGTATCCAGTACCGAATGCACCCTCAGATCTCAAAGTTCCCCAGCGCCCAGTTCTACCAGTCTCGCCTGATTGACGGCGACGGCATGGCTGACCACACCGCTGCGCCCTGGCACTCGGGCGCCGAGCAGTTTGGACCCTATCGTTTCTTTGACGTGCACTCGCGAGAGCAAGTCTCCAAGACACACTCATATTCCAATCGAGCGGAGGCTGAGTGCGCGATAACGCTATACAAGCAGGTCTGCGACACGTTTCCGGACGTGAATTTTGAAGGTCGTGTCGGTATCGTGACGCCGTATAAGGAGCAGCTGCGAACGCTGCGGGAGACGTTCATGCGCGCGCTGGGTCAGACTGGAATACAGGGCATTGATTTCAATACTATCGACGGTTTCCAGGGACAGGAGAAGGATATCATTATTCTGTCGTGTGTGAGAGCGCAGCCAGCGGGATCAGGACGAGGAGTGGGATTCATTTCCGACATCCGACGAATGAACGTCGCGCTGACGCGTGCAAAGTCCTCGCTGTGGATTATCGGAAACGTCAGCAGTTTGGTCGTGAGTGATGTGTGGAGGAATCTGATTGACGACGCGAAGAAGCGAGGACTGGTTTCGTTCTTTGACGGTCACAGGGTCGTTTCGGGAAATTACGAGTATGCCGGTCCTACCGCCGGATCGTCATCTTCTTCGTCCGCAGCTAAGAGTGGCAGTAAACCCAAGGTTCCGCAGAAGCGGCCGAAAGCGAACGGTGAGGCCAACGCTTCAAAACACAGGAAACTTAATGACGAGAAAAAGTAAGGTGCCTGACAGCGAAGCGCTCACCGGGCTCGCTCACCGGGCTACATTCTCCCGAGGCATGAGAAGAAAATGGAGAGAAAAAAGACGAAGAAAAAAGATTGTTAGTCTAGTTTCTGTCTTTCCCTATCGAGAAGGTTATCTTCAAGAGGGATGCATACTTTGGAGTGCTGTTAAATAAAATTAATTTGTGCATATATATTCACGTCAGTGATTGCTAGCATACAGTAAGTCATCGTCTGTTCGTATTGTTCTCAAGTAAAATACAACAAGTCACTATATTTTGCTTCGTCTTCAGTGGCAAGCAGAGAAAAAGATATATACCCGGCCGCTGGTGGATGGTATGTTTACATTGCCAAGTACGGAAAGAGGACGGTTTGCGTCCCACTTTTCGCATTTCGCCTGTATCGGAATCTTGCCGGGATCCAGCTCAACGGTCTGCTGACGACGAGTCTCTGGATAGGGATAGTCTCGGCACTGGCCGGAAACTAAACTGCATTCGAGAGAGAAAGAGAGAGAAGTAACAGACGCTCGAGACAGGAAGGCAGAAACAGGTTGATGCTCTCGAATACGACGCGCTGGAGTTCCAGGGTTGGTTCCAGGAATTAGCGCAAAGCTCTGACCGAGAACTAGTTGAAGCTGAACGAGGAGCATGCTGCAGAACGTGCAACAGAGCCCGGACCGGATGGGGGTTTTCCATGCTGAAGAATGAGCGAGAGGTTGAAAATTCGACGCCAAGGTATCAACTTCGAATGGGTAGCAAAGAGCGAGACTGTTGGTATTCTAGCATCGTTCTAGCAGGTCTAGCAAGTTCCGGTCTCCGACCGAGGGCGACAGAAGAAAGTATACGAGAGGATGGCGGTGAGTCACCGCAGCTGGTATCTTAATATGCGGAAGGGGTGAAAACAGTCTGCCGGTTCCAGTTCAAGCCCCACTTCTTCACACGTACAAGGCATGAGGACGCATCTGATCCAGCAGAGGCAGCAGAGAGAGAAAAATTTTCAGAGAACCAGTTGTGATGATTGACGATGCATAGAGGAGGGCTGGAGAAGATAGCCACAGCCACGCGTAGGAGATCAAGCAAGTTGATGAGCTACACTGCGGGCGATCAGCCACCTACGCAGCACATTTACAAGATGGCTTTCTATACCGGTCCGGTGAAACAAGAGCAGACCAACGCATCATCAAGAGATATTGCGAGTCTAGCGAAATCCAAAGCGCCACAGAACGATCGAAATGAAAGAGGCATGCGACAGAGAGAGAAAGAGGTGGGCAGGTTCGGTGAGAAGTTGAGTTTTCGCAAAATCAGGCTGCCATGACGTGCTCGCCCGCGGTGACAGCGCTGCGAACGAACAGCGAATATGAGAGGAAAACAAGTTGATGCAAAGTATTATTTACTAGCAAAGCAATGTAAAAGACTTTGTAGATTTACAAGACGAGTACACAGTATGCTGGAAGATGGTATGGGAGGGACGGCCAGCGCTATCTGAAGCTGAGGGAGATCGGCCAGAGGCGGATCTGGCACGCGTCCTGAGACTCCCCATCGTCGCCAAATCATCGCCCGAGTAGATCAGCTTTCGATCACGACTCTACAGCGAAGAAGAGAGCGACATAACAGAACGTAGACTTGATATGAAACTCAGGAAATACAGCGCAGCAGGCGCAACAGGCGCATTTGTTTCCCACAGTAGAGCGCAATACAGCTATATTTTGCAGAGCCCAAGGCGGAGCACTTTCTAAGGCGAAATCCAAAAGTAGCGCACCTCGAAGCTGGACCACGCAGTCAATTTCCAGACAGTGCAGCCGATCCCCGGGCGACTGTGCACTTCGACAAACTTCCTAATTGAGCCAAGTACGCCGTCGCCCGCCGAGAACTGGCGAGCACGCCATCGCCAAAGCCTAAAGTTTACGCGTTTGGAGCTTCAACTGCGCAGATTTAGTGCGATTTATTTTGATTAGTGATTTGTGCTAAATGCACCAACGTTTGGGCTTTAAACCGGGAAAATGATACTCTCCTCCTCACCCGCACCAACCACACTCCTGCTCGCTTTCATTCAAATCCCCCCCGTCCCCGCCCGGCCCTTTTCTGTTCTTCTTGCTCCTCTTCTTGACTCCTTTTTCCGTTCTCTACACAGCTGCACAATGGCATACTCGAGCCACCGCGGCATCAACGTTTCGCAGTACATTGCAAACCTGAACTCCGTTGAGCCCGCTGACTTCGTCTCGACCGCGAAGACGGACGATATCTCACTCTTCACCAACACTCAGTTCTTCGACTTCGACATGGGCCGCTCTACCGACGCTGGCGTGGCCGGCGACGACTCTCTTGTGTTTGATGGATCCTCTCTCGAGCAGGACCGTCGGCGGCGCGCTCCTGCCTCTCAGAAGCAGGCTCGGGTGGTCGATGCTGATGCCAAACAGCAGCAACCTCAGCAGCAGCAGCAGCAGCAGCAATTCAACTACCTCCCGGGACACTTCCTCGAATACCCCGAGGCTGCTGGTCTCGACGTCAAGTTCCAATCCAATCCTTTGGCTGCCGAGGCCCACAACCTGTACGCTCCTCTGCTGAGCGACAGTGTTCCTCTCAGCCCATCGCCGGCACCCACCCCTGCCTCAGAGAGCGTTTCCTACGTCGGATCTCCTGCCGTCAAGCGGCCGGGGTCGCTCGAGGATGCTCAGCGCTTTGCTGCTGAGGAGGACAAGCGACGACGCAACACTGCTGCCTCGGCGCGATTCCGTATCAAGAAGAAACAGCGCGAGCAGCAGATGGAGCGGGCTGCCAAGGACCTCCAGGACAAGGTCCAGCAGCTCGAGACTAAGGTCATGCAGCTGGAGATGGAGAACAAGTGGCTGAAGAACCTCGTTGTCGAGAAGAACGAGGCCAAGGCTGTTTCACAGATTATGAACACCCGGCCACAAGATGCTGCTAGTGACGAGGCACAGAAGAAAATTTCCTCGGAGTAAGAAGCTGTGATGAAAGCAGATGAACGTGGTGTTCTCAATCGGTTCTCATTACATCTTGTTATCTCGTTGAAAAAGTTTTTATATATGTTTACTGCTCTCTTTTTTGTGCTTTCTATGCGTGGAGTTTCTGCTTTTTTTCTTTCATCATCCTTTACTCTCTTTTACGATCTACGATGTATTATAAAAAGTTCTTTTTGGTCTTGCAGTTCGGACGATGCGGTCAGTATATTTACTTGCTACAATCGCCACGCGGTCTTTAGATTGAAACGCGAACTGTTATGTTTATAAATACCACTAATAAAAATTCGAATATATCAACTATCAACTATTGCAAATGTCTGTGTAGGTTTTAGGGCAGGATTGAGCTGACGAGAAATTTGCCGCTGCCCTGCCCGGCCTGATCCGCGACCCCAGAATTAGATTGGTTCGCACATGCTCAATATCAGCTACTAAACTGGTGCCAAGCTGCCGATCACCCGACTTTGGCCACATGCGCCGTCAGACACCTGGAATCGAACAGCGCAAGTCGAGCAGACAACCACGAGCAGGCAGCATTCAGCACAGGCGCGGTGGTGAGCACCCTCGTCGCTCGAGATCGCGCACCACGTGTGGAGCTGTGTGGCCGCGGCATGTATTCACGTGACCGGTAGACTGATGTGACGTAGATGTCGCGGTGTTGCGACGGTTAGGCGATGACGACGATCAAGGCCGGCGAAGGTCACGGTACGTCGCCAGATCGAGGTCACAGTTGCTCGTTGAGTCTTGTTTTATTGCGTCCCGCCGCGAGACTACTTATTCTGCGTGTGAAATTACTGTCTGCTGCTGAACAGTTGCTTATTCTTGCCAATTAGTAGACCGTCGCGTTCTGGTTGCGCTGCTGCTTCTTCGTCACCCGAGAAAGTTCTCGGTCACATCTCAAAACCTGTCGTCTTCCCTCGAGATCTCTATATCGTTCTCCACCGATAACCACAGTCCCCATCCCTATCCGCCACCCGTCTTCAAAGATGTCTTCACTGGACCCCGCCCGCAACAACAAGGTTGATATTGCCGTATGTGCCGTCCGTGTCTGCTTTATCACCTCAATGCCGTACTAACGCCTTCTGCTCCTTGCTAGTCGCTTTCCCCGGAAGAGCAGCGAATCCTGAACATGTATGGCCGTCTCCCATCGAGCCATGATATCATCCAGAAGAAGCTGAACGTATGAACCGCGCTGCCTAAATCAAACACTATCTGTACCCACCTAACGCATTGTCTCGCAGGATCGGAAATACTTCGACTCGGGCGACTACGCCCTCTCCAAAGCCGGCAAGGCTGCTTCCGCCGGCGTCACAAGCATTGGGTCGCAACATCCCGTGCCAGAGAACATCCCACACTCGCATTCCAGCTCATTTTCTGGCCCGTCAGGGTCAGCTGGTGGGTCGCCGTCCCAAAGCCAGATGCAGTCGCCGGTGAAGGAAAGCAACTTGGTGTACGAGACTGACGCCGACCGGAATTAACGTGCTTGCTTTTTTCTTTCTTGTTCTTTGCCTTGCGTTTGCTATGAATCGTTGATAAGAATGTTTGAAGAAATACCGAAAATTTACAGCGATTGATACTGGTGGTTCTAGCTACTCGGTATCACCTGATTCTCTAGACACTCATTATATGGTTTTCGGGGCTCACGATACCTATGTACACTCGAGTATCAGAACAACTGATTCTCTTTTGTTTTATCTTTTCACTATCTCTATGTTTTGCACGTTGCTTGAGTAACTCTTGATCTCTCTAAGTCGTGTATTTGTTTGTGCTCTGTTTCCATGTTTTGTTTTATGCAACAGTTCGGCGTCGGGTATCAAGGTACTTACTTGATCGTGTTTTTTACTCTTATATATACATTTTCACAAAACGGAATATCTGAATTCAGTGCAAACCATCACTTGGAAGCTACTTTGACTACGTTTCGGATGTAAATGGGTGGCATGCTTTATTCAAGATGCTAGAATGAGCATAACGCCCTTTGCTCTTCGTGTCTGCGACATACATCTCCACCTCTCAGACTGGATTCATATCGACCAACCACTCAGAGCAAGTGAGCCAAACCACCTCTCACTCACCGCTCTCACTCACCGCTCTCCTCACGCGTTATCGTTCGGCTCTGCCGTTCGGGTCGAACGGTCTCCGCCCTACTCGGCGGCGTACGAGGCGTCCAGATGGCGCTTCGCTCTGCGTGGATCTTGTAGCAGTGGTAATAGATTCTAGCGCGGAAGGCTTCAGGTAAACCAAGGTAAAGAAGCTGGTCCGCGTCGTCGTAGAACGTTCGAATATTCATCCTAGTCAAAGATTTAGTAACAGCACAAAGTACAGCGAACGGTATGGGTATATTCACATTGCGGTGGTCTGCTCCAGATCTAGTTCGATAATGTACTGAAAACACTCAAGAGCTTCTGCAGATAGACGGACTATAATGCACGGCTCCTGATATGACGGCGTCCACTGCTTTAGCGCCATGTAGTGTCTGACAGCAAGCCGGATCGCGTCGCGCTCGGGACTAGCGAGGGCTGCCCTCAGTAGCGGAGCAGATTCATCATTTTGGCCGTAGTTTTGCATTTTCAAATAAAATATTTTTCAGAAGCAGGAAAATGAACAAAGGTGTAGCAGAAATCAAGCAAAGTTGTGAAGATATAGCTGGGAATATTCAACAAGGACCGTGGTGGTGATGAGTGCCAAGTCCCTGAGCAAGAGCCGTGCCTGGCTGGTATCATTTTCAGACAGTGGTATAGCGAGACAAAGCACGGCCTTCTAACAGAAACCTCTCGCTTTCTCTTTGCGTTAAACAATTCATTCATCAAACAGATATGGCGAGTCGTGGTGCTAAGAAAGCAAAGACCTCGGATCCGGTACAAGCCTCAGAGATAGACGGATTAAGGTTTCGAGATGAGGTCAGTCAAAGCCAACCCCGGAAATAAAGTCGTCGTAATCACTTCTGGCTGGACTCCCAGGTCCTTCTTTATCGCTTCCAAGTCCTGTTTGTAGTTCTCAAAAAGGCCTCGATCACTGACACAGCTCATTGAAACCCCCCGGAAATCAAAATGGACTCTGCGCACTTGGTACTCGAAGAACGCGACGCAAACGGCAACTTCTCAAAGGCCTTCTACGACAACGCGCTCGACGCCGAAAAGCACCTCGCCCTTCCCGGCGACCGGCGCAGCAGCAACCCCGACCCTCTACACGATCTCGGGCGGGCGCCGAGCAGAATTGTCGAGGTTTCTGCAAATGACAAGTCTGTCTACCAGTATCTCTCGATCGGCGGCCGGCGCCCGTCGTCGTCGAGAGTACTGCGCGTGTTGCAGTTCCTGATCAGCGTGTTTCTGCCGACTGGCTATCCCGACAGTGTGACCTCGGATTATGTGGAGTGTGTCTTATGTGTATTTGCTTTACGATAGACTTGCGCTTACTAGCTTTTTTTACTTCTCTAGCTACCAGATCTTTGACTCGATCCAGGCTTTTGCTAGCACGATCGCCGCGCTCATCGGGAATCGGGCAGTACTCACCGGTAAGCTCTCATCTCGCTGACCCAGCCTACTTTATCACTCTACTGACTTCTTATTACTACCCAAAGCCGTCGGAGTTGGCGACAAGAACGCGACGAGCACATCGGCTATGTTTATCACCGGCTTGCAAGAGACACTAGGCCGTCTAGCCACCATCAGTTTTGCCTGGAAGTACGGCTCAACTCTAGAGCAGGAATGCAAGAAGTTCAGATTCGTCGCTGACCTCGTGTACAATGCTGGTGTTATCTGCGACGTTTGTGCGCCGTACTTTGGAGTCTCTAGAAGCACGAAAATCTTCTTCCTGTGCTGCTCGGGTGTTCTTAAAGCTGTCTGTGGAGTTATGGCCAATGGATCGCGAGCGGCTTTGACTCAGCACTTTACCGATTCCGAACGTGGCAGTATCTCGGATGGTAAGTGCTCGTCTTTTGATGGGCAGATCAAGTGCTTGATTCTAACAGACTTGTGTAGTATCTGCGAAAGATGCCTCCCAGGAAACCGTCATCTCGCTGATGGGCATGCTGGTACGTTAAATTTCTTCTGTAGTATGGGAGCAATTGCTGACACGGTACAACAGGTTGGTGCGATTATAGTTCCGTATGTCAATACCGACATCCAGATCTGGACGACGCTACTTTTGCTCATCACGGTCCATCTCACGACAAACTACTGGGCGGTGACCTCTGTGGTCATGGACACTTTGAACCGACAACGTGTCAATATAGTATTTGCTTATTTGATGGACCAGACGTCGCCGCTCATGCTTGAGTCGGACCTTCTTGACCACCAGTCAGTTCTTCCCTCGCGGATCTTATCGCCAAAAGAGGTTGTCAAGCAAGAGAGAGTGCTCGAGCGCGACGGCTTGCTTCGCTGGGGCAGCGGCAACACAATCTTGGGCCACGCCTCGATCGGTAGTTTCTCAGAAGTGTACAGGATCCTACCGAGCGGTATGACGGTCAACGAGCTGCTACATCTGTTTGGCGACGGTAAAGCCGGGTACGTACTCTGGTTCGAACACGGCCGCGTGAACGGTCGAAAGGGTTCGTTTGTGACCGTCCGCGGCGCGCTGATCGATGTCAATCACGCAGACGACGAGGACTATGCAAACTCAGATGCAGCATACTACGGCGTCAATCCAGAGTCGAAGGAGGCAGCAGAGACCGACACGCGCGAGCTGCGCGCCTGGGTGCACGCACTCTACCTCGCGAAGAGCATCCGCGCGCTGCACCACGGCAGCGGCGACGTCACGTCGCTGACGGCTGCGCGCGACCACGTACGGCGCACGCTGAAGATCGTCGACGGACTGTTCGACAGCAGCGGCCTCGTTGCGGACGCGCTCCGTCTGCGCGGATGGGACCTTTCGCGGGGCCGTACGATGGTGGTGAGCGGGAGCGTACCGCGCATTAGTGTTCGGGGTCACGTGACTTCGGGAGAACGATAATGCGGCAGAGGCCTGGGTCGCGGTGGCGTAGGTGTCCGAAAGAGGACTAGCGCGGCCCGTTTTTAATCCGGGCAGAGTCTTTGCGCTTTCGCCCCTCTGCCCTGACTTTCCGCACGCCGTCGTTTTTCCTGCCGCTTCCTCTTTGCTTTCTTTCGCATTCCTGCTCGCCATCGCCCTTTTGTCCACCTCTTTCCCTCGCCCCTTCTCTCTTCCACACTATTCCTCGCCGGAAGTGCCTCTTCCGCACCTTTATGCCTCGCATGCGGAGCTCAAGTCGTGCCGGCATGATGCTTCTCGGCTTAGGGCGTCACGACGAGCAGCCTCTTCCTGAGGTCCCGCCGATCGAACAGCAGTCTCAGCCATCATATCAACCCGCGAACACCTCCAGCTCGTCCGGTGCCGCCCCTAAGCGCACTTTCCAAGCCGCCGACTTATCTTCCTTGTCTTCTTCGTCCTCAACAGCGTCTTCCTCGCCCTCAAACTCAGAACCAGCGAGCCCGATCTACGCCGTCTCCAGCCTGCCTCCATCAGCATCCTATTTCCAACAAGGATTCGTGCCGACCTCCGCCCCTTCACTCTGGCCTCCCACCTCCTCTTCTTCATCCTCGCAGCAGGGCACCCATCACCCTCACTACTTTTACAGCACAGGCCACCGACAGAGCATCTCCAAACGCCTGCCATCGCTGGACGAAGTGCTCGCAGACGAGAGCGCGCCGCCCTTCAGCTTGACCGAGTTCATGGCCTATCTCGCGCAAAATCACTGCCTAGAGACACTAGAGTTCACCATGGACGTGCAGCGCTACCGCGAGGTCTACGAGAATGCTGTCACAATGAGCCGGCTGAACGACTCTCACCCGCACAACAACGTGCTCGGCAGCAGTCTGAACGACAAAATCACCAGCGGTCACAGAGAGTTTGATCACCTGATGCTGCTGTGGCATCGCATCGTGGACTCGTACGTCCAGCGCGAGAGCCCGCGCGAGCTGAATCTGCCGGCAGATGTGCGCGACGAGCTGCTCGACATGCACGAGACGATCGGCGCGCCGCCGCGGCCGGAGATGCTCGACGAAGCAGTGTCGGCGGCGAAGGATCTCATGAACGAGAGCGTATTTATGCGGTTCCTGAACGACACGCAAAACTCACTTAGCCTGATGCACTCTGAGGAAGGGTCTATCCCGACGTCGGTGGGATCAAACAGCAGCAGCAGCAGCGGTAATCAGCACGGACCCTGGCGTTTCCCATCGCTTCACAGACAGACCGGCAGCGGTAGTATGAGCAGCGGTGGCAACAGCAGTGGTAGCAACGGTTTTGGCAACGGCTACTCGCGATCAAGAATAAATTCGCGCTCGCACCACGACATCGCGCCGGACCAGCAAGTCCACGTCGAGTCCGAAGACGAGTCCTCTCTCTCGACCCGAAGTAGTCCCATGACTCCTCCCGAGTCTCCTGAGCTGGACATGACAGACGAGGAAATGCACGGCACGCTGTCGTTCAACAACAGCGCGAACAGCGCCGGTAGCAGCTCCGGGTCAAGCAGACATGGTCCATGGCGGAGAATGAGCAAGCGGTTCAAATGGCGCGCCGGAAGTGCGGGCGCAGAGTGAATGTGAAGAAAAAGAGAGATTGTGTATTATATGACAGTGTCTGGTGGCTTGTGCTTTTGTGTATTGTTTTCACTTTTGTTTTGTCCTGCCTTTGGCGTTGCATTTTGCATTCCTTTGTTTTTTGATAAAGTGTCTTTTGATTATTTGACATGGCATATAGATTTGCGTTTACTTTTTTTTCTCATTTCGTCCTTTGTTTGTGGCGCTGGTGTTCTTTTTCTTGCATATTTAGTTATTCGAATTGCTTTGAAAAGATCTGTACTATCAATGAGATATTATACTATACTATACTATAACTACTAATAATACTGTACTATGATGCAACAGTCTACCGTCTACCGCATCACCTACTTTATCGGTGTAATCTTCCCACTAGCTTCCTGCTCCGTCTTGTCGCCAAAGAAAACAACAAGACACGTCATATCGTCTCTATATCTTCGCGACGAGCCAGGCGGAATGCTAAGCAGCATCGCCGTCCGATCTTTATCCGCGCCGCCAAGCGAGTTCCTGATGATATGCGCTGCCGCGTTATCATCCTCAATCACAAACATTCCCTTGAACCTCTTCTGCGGCGCCGTCGAGCGACGCAACTCGCTATCGGCACGCGCATGTCCTCCCCGCATGCGCTCGCTAAACGCAGCAGTGTCGTTCACGATCTTCACGTCAGAGTGGTCGGAAATTGGCGCCAGAATGCCGCCCTTGCGAACGTGCGAGTGCACGCCCGGCGGGGGAAGACCTTTATGCTCGACCTCGTGTTTTTTGACCCACTCGACCACAAGCTGCACGGCATCGGTCGACGAGATCTCGTCCCAGATTCCGTCGGTGGCGAGGATGAGGAAATCACCAGGCTGGACCTTTGCAGTCACGACGTCGGGCTTCGCCGTCACGTACGGAGGCGAGACGCTGTTATCCGGTGCCACACGGCCAAAGAACATTCTGACCGCGTTATTGATCATGTTCTGCGGAAGCTTGTAGCGCGCGTCGCCAAACGCACGCGTGGGCTCGAGACGGCCTAGTACGCGGCCGCGCTCAATCACGCCGGATTCGCCTGGATGCTCAGAGCGGATCCGCTGCGCCTCGGACTGGTTGCGGCCGCACTGGTCGTAAGAGAGCGGCGTGGCTGTCCACTCGCCAGACTGGTTTCTGTGTCCCCAGACCGCGCGCGAGTCGCCGGTGCAGGCTACACGGAGGGTCGAGGTAGCGGCGTCGTATACCGAGAGCAGAGCGCAGGATCCCGACATTGCGGGCATGAGCATCTCCGCCGACGCGGGCATGGACGGGTTCTCGAGAAGGTAGTTGAATGGCTTTTTCACGATGTCGTCATCTAGTCTGAGAAACGCAGACTGGATTGCCTCGTCGATCTTGCTCGCGTTCTCGGGGGACTCGAGGCTATAAGCCGAGGAAACCTTGGAGGGCTCGATTGTCGCAGTCAGCTCGCGTGCGACATAAGGAACGAGTAGTTCCCTCAGCTTTGCTGATGTGTTCCATCCTCTGTCAAAACAAACTAGTCAGCAAAGCAAAAAAAAAAACCTTCAGATATGTTGAAGTGGTGCACAAACCCATGGCCATCAAAGACGCCAAAAAAGCACCAATCATGCTTGCCGTCCGCAAAGTCGACGTTGACGACCTTGACCACGAAATCGTCCTCAATCTGCGGGTTACTCGCCAGCTGATCGACGTCGAATCTCGTGACTCCCGAGTTGCGATCGACAGTATACGACTCCTCATGTTCTCTGATCCTCGACGAGACGTCGTGGTCGTCGAGCATGCGCGTCGACTTTGTCGAGAACGGACGCGGGAGCTCGACAGTTGGGCCGGTGACGGCGGCGTAGTTTGGCGGCAGCTTCGATGGTTCGACCGGGCGGGTGTCGTTGTGAATCAGACCGGTTTTGTTGTAGTTTACGTAGCATGCTGATGCGGCAGCTGTGGCGACTACTGCCGCCGCTGTGGCGATCTTGGTTCTGGATGTAGTGGTGGTGGATTGCTTTGATGAAGAGGAGAGGGATGCTCTGCGAGGGAGACCATGGTGAGAGGAGGTCAGAGTGGTTCTGTAGCAGTGACTGGATGAGTACAGAGAGCCTGGTCTGATTTTGAGACGCGATCTGGCGAGCATATCGACGATCTGGATCTGGAATTGAGAACGGATGAAGATGTTGCCGGTTTAATGGGTTGATGGCCGAGATGATGATCTCAGGTACGTGCGCTTCAGGGTCTCGTACCTGAATAGTCGGTGAAGTGCTGGTAGAAGCAGACTCGACTTGTATCTGTCTGTGATTATACAGCAAAGTAGTATACTCAGAGACTCTCTTCTACTATCACGGAAGAGTAGAAATGTTATCGTGAATATCAGCCAAATCAAGCATCAGATTTCAATTCGGCTTTCTCCATTAAGGTTTCAATTTTGTCACGTGCCATTGTTTTTCCTATGACTTCATCGCTTCTGCTCCACATCAGCTTGCCAGCTCTCATTATTTTTTTCCACCACTGTTCGAGATCCACCTCACCGCGATAATACTATAGAACAGCAACAGCTCCGCACAATAGATTTAATGGCAACAAATATGCTCACAGTTCCTCTTCGGAGGACAGAGCCGATCGAGCTGGGTCCGGCTATGCGCTCGTACATTGAAAACAGCTACGATCAGCACCCTGATATGTTCAAGACCGATATCTCTGCCCTCGACAGCTTGCGTGCGTCGATTGTTGAGCTTGATCTGCGAGCTCAGAGTATTACTACTCTTACAAAGTACGTTGTTTTGCTTCAAACTGGTTTGTTTATTGCCATTTGTTTGCTAACGTTGTGACTACAGGTACTTCACCCAGCTCACCTTTCTCTCCTCCAAGTTCCCATCAACGCTTTTCACCTTCAAATGGTACTCTACACTCACCTACGCCACCTCAGCAGCAGTCCAGCACCCCGATCTGCAGTTTGAGCGCGCAAACGTGCTCTACAACATCGCAGCGCTGCACACGCTTCTCGCCGCAGATGAAAATCGCACAACGCCGACGGGTCTCAAGAACGCGGCGCAACACTTTCAGTCCGCCGCCGGCTGCTTTCTTTTTCTGAAAGAGAGCGTCAACCCCGAACTTAAGCTCTCGCCACCTGAAGATCTCAATAACCACACTCTCGACGTGCTTATCAACCTCTGTCTTGCGCAGGCTCAAGAGTGTTTTTGGCAAAAAGCAGTCGTTGATGGGCTCAAGGATAAGACGATCGCAAAGCTCGCGATCCAGGTCTCTATATTCTACTCCAAGGCTCTGGACGCGACTCTCAAGACCTCCTCGATAAAGTCAGACTGGATCCACCACATCACCTGCAAAAAGCACCATTTCGAGGCGGCGGCCCAGTACCGTGCCGCGGCTGACTCGCTGGCGTCTGCAAAGTACGGCGACGAGATTGCTCGGATCCAGCTTGCGCTTGAGGCGGTCAAGCGTGCGCTTGCAAGCGCAAAGCATGTGTCTCCGGCTGTTGCTGATGACCTCAAGGGTCTGCAGACGAAACTCAAATCCGACCTCGCTCGCGCCGAGAAAGACAACGATCTGATCTACCTCGTCATGGTCCCTTCACTTTCTACTATGCCGCCGTTGAAAGGAGCGGTGACGGTGTCGGCCGCAGTTCCGCCCGAGATCAAGGACACGAGTGAGGCGCTGAAACCGGGATCGCCGTACGGTCCACCGTTGTTCATCAAGCTCGTACCGTTTGCTGCTCATCAGGCTGCCAGTATCTACGTCGACCGTCGCGACACGCTCATCAACCATCTCATCATCAACAAGATCGACGTGCTGACTGCCCAGCTGCACGAATTCCTGACGAGAATGGGCCTGCCGGGGTCGCTGCAGGCGCTCGAGCGGCCTGTCGGCCTTCCCCCTTCCCTTATTGCTCATGCCGCAGAAGTCCGCGCAAGCGGAGGATACACGGCACTCAAGGCTTCTATTGAGGATGTGCGAAATCTGGCACAGATGAATAACTCGATGTACGTAGCTGCAGCGGAGACGCTAGAGGCTGAGCGCAAGGAGGACGACGACATGCGTGCTCGCTATGGCACCTCTGGCTGGCGCCGGCTCACCAGTCGCGAGGCTGCGAAAGAGCAGTACGCGCGACTTGAGCAGTTTGCTGCTGCTCTGAAGACTGCATCTGCGAGTGACGAAACCGTGCGGGCTACTTTCAGAGAGAACGAGCAGGTGCTGAGATTGCTTTCGGAAGACCCGAGCGTGATTGAAAAGTACGTGCCCAGTGGGTCCTCGGCCGAGCTGTCGCCCGAGCTCGAGAAGCGACTAGAGGAGATGCGCAGCAAGATGGCGCAAGTTTCTAGGCTCGAATACGCGCGGCGGAAGTTTGTCGAGCAGGTTCGCGAGAAAGCAACGAATGACGATGTGACTGATCTGGTACTGAGCGAGAGCGCGCGGCTCGAGCAGCTTGATCCGTTGGGGAAGATTGATCCTTCGATGTTTGAAAAGGCGTTTACTGATCGGCTTGCGTCGCTTTATGACGCTGATAAAGCGCGCGTGGAGAAAGAGACTGAGGAGCAGAGCGCGCTGCTGGTTGATATCGAGCTGGCAAACATGGACTTTTCAGCTGCAGTCGCGCGCTCTCGCGGAGACGTGTCGACCGAGCGCGAGCGGGCGCTGCAGAGTCTCGAGGCGGGGTACTACAAGTACCAAGAGCTCGCCGAGCATCTATCCGAAGGCCGGAAGTTTTACAACGAGCTGAGCGGTGCGCTTGCGCAGTTGCAGGACGAGGTCAGCGATTTCGTGTATAGTCGGCGGGTGCAGCTGCGGGACGAAGAGTCTGAGCTTGCGGCTAGGTTCGAGAGTATCAATATCTCGCGGGAGCAGAGAAGTGAGAGTCCGCTGCCGGCGCCGAGGGCTCAGGGGCTGCCGGCGGCGGTGTTGAGTAAAGGTAAAGAAGGAGGGAGTGGGGTTTGGAATCCGGAGATGGGCATTCAGTTTGGAAAGCGGTTCTGATGTAATGTTATGTAGCGAGTAGATGTGTAATTAATATTAACAGCATAATAGATAGGATGTGGGATAAATAAATACAGGAAGATAAAGCAAGGTTAAGCAAAGATTGCATATTAGACAGCTTCAAAGGTCCGTACAGACTCGAGACACTCATTTTTCTCCTCCATCTGGTATTCGTCGGTATCGGTCTTGTGAAGATTGATATCGGTGACCTCGTCGCCAAAGACGGTGGCCATCTCCTCGAGCGACATGTCCTTAGTCTCTGGGAAGTAGAAGAGAATCAAGAAAAAGAAAAAGACCGACATGCAGATGAAGACGAGGTAGTATTTCCACCCGATATTTGCAAACGCGGTGCTTGCGGCCTCGAGGTACACGATCGTGCTGAGGAAGAGACCGCACATGCTGAAAGAGACGCCCTTTGCGCGCAGCTGGTTCGGCATGATTTCGGACGAGTACACGTACGAGGTCACGTCCATGTTGAGCCCGTAGATGAAAACGTGCAGGAACAAAAACACGACGGCGGCAATCGACGCGCCGCGGCCGCCTGTGCGCTCATACGTCGAGAGCGAGACACACTCGCCGATGAGCGCGAGTGTGCAGCCCGCCAGGCCGATCAGCAGCTGCTTCTTTCTACCGAGCCAGTCGATAGTGAGCGCATTGACTGAGTTTCCAATCACAGAAAGCGTGATCCAGCCGCCTTGGATGATGAGCGAGTTTGCAGAGCTGAAGCCGAGGTCGGCGTACAGCGTCGGGCCGTAGTTGTTGATCACTAATGTGCCGGTAGCCTGGCCCGCGGCGAGGGTGCAGAATCCGATAATCATGCGTTTGCGGTAATGCGGCTTTTTGAAGGCGTCAGTCCAGCTGACAGATGAGCTGCGCTCAAGTTGCCACTGCTGCTCCATTTGCAGAAACTCGAGCTTTGCAGCGCGATGGTCCGGGTCGGCGCTGTCGCGGTGGACGCGTAGGATGATTGCCTGCGCGTCGTCGGAGCGGTCTTGCATCAGCAGCCAGCGCGGCGACTCGGGTAGGAACATGACAAACACTCCAAGAATGAGCGGAAACACCGCTTGGATTGCCAGCGGCACGCGCCACTGCGCACCACCGGCGTCGACGTAGTAGAAGCCCACGCCGACCCAGGAGGAGAGAGTGTAGCCGATGACGATCATGACGCCGTGAGTGCCAACGGTGAGGCCTCGCGAGTAAGGCCGCGAAAGCTCGGACTGGTACATGGGGACAGAGGTAAGAAGTTGGCCAACGCCAAAGCCGGTGATGAAGCGCACTGCGATGAACATGGCGACGTGGACCGAGCCCGCCTGGAGCGCGCTACCTATGACGCACAGCAGCGAGCCGAGGACGATACATTTCCGCCGGCCGAAGGTATCTGCGAGATAGCTAACGGTAAGCGCGCCAAACAAGCCACCGGCCTGGAAAAGGCCGTCCATAGCGCCATTAAGCTGGGTCGCGTTTGAGGCGGTGTCGAGGGAGAAGTAGGAGTTGAAGGAGGGCTGCCCGCGCGTGGTGGAGATAATGGAGGAGGAGTAACCGTAGGTGAGGGAGCCGAGGGCGACGAAGAACATGAGACAGAGCTCGACGGCTGTTGGCCGGGCAGCCAGGGAGTGAGCCTGCACCAGCATGAGAGCGGTAAAAGAGTGTATGGGGGAGAAGAGAGGAGGAGAAGAGGAGGCCGAGGAGAGGGAGATATGGAGGAGGAATAGAGTTTTATCTCCACAGTTCATTATCGGGGCCTCGGAGAAACCCTATGAAATTAAGTCCGGAGTGAAGCGCAGACAAGAACATTGTTGTTGGATTGTGTTGTATTGTTAGTAGAACAGGGACAGAACAGACAGATGATTATACTACTCTACTATCTCACTTCAATACAGAAACACCTCTATTTACACTCTACCTACACCCACCAGCGACGCGTTATGCAGACCTGTCGTGCTCGAATCTACCGACGCCTGCGCTTTGTTGGGTCCGCTTCCATCTGCTTTCCTGCCCGGTGTCGAAGCCTTCTCTCGTATTTCCTAATCTGGAAGTACACTCACAAACACGTAGGAAAGAGGTGCGCTCGTCAGATCTGTGCTAAACACACACATCCGCTCTCTTCTATCTCCTCTTATCGACAGTAATCTTTGCTATCAGTGCCTCTACGCGTGCGCAGTTCCCAGCACGGCTAATGCAGAACTCGGGGGCTCGTGCGGAGCCTTCACCATAAACTTCTCGGTCTTGCACGTGATTTGTTTCTGTAGGGTTTTGCTTGTTCAATGATGATTAATATGTTATGTAATATAGAGTGAGTCTGTTCAAGCAGAATGCAGAAATAAATGATCTAGTCAGAATCTTTGTATCGTTCTGATGATCGTTCAGATCTTGTAACAGTTCAATGGTGCTGAAGTGGAAACATCAACGAGACTGAACAGATCAATTGACAGCTCGACCTCGGTTGACCTTCGACCTCTCCCAAATCCCCTGATTCATTTTCACTTCTCTTCAAAACAGCCATCCTCACCCCAGACTGATCCACAAGCACAATACAATGTCGACGCGACGACCAACCCAGAGAAGATCAACGGCTTCTACAGTACTGGTCGCAGCTGTAGCCACCACCGCTGCTGTGCTGGCGTACAAATATCTCTCTGAGCCTCTGTCGCGGTGGTGGCTGAGTTCGCGGGGAAGCAATAGCGATGCCAGTGAACATGGAGTCAGTGAGGACGACAACAGCAATGACAACGCAGGCAAATCACATATGGGAAAGCAGGCGAGACCAGCTCGCAAGCGCAAGGTCGCCGTCGTCATGTCCGAAGTATGTATAGTCTAGGACGCGTCTGCTCTGGAAACCCCCGCTAATATCAAATATAGAAACTCGCGTCTTTGAACCTCCTGGACTCTACTACAAAGGATCTAGTTGACCTTCTGATTCTCTATCCAACCTACCTCACAGAACCATCCTCTTCGCAAACCCCTACCATTCCCTCACTCGCGACTCTCAGGGCAGATTACGTGACGCATCCCACCCACGTCTTCACTCTTTCCAAAGCCGAATCAATAAAGCCCATATTACGACATCTAGCTACAGATGAGACGGAGTCGATCTTTGTTGTTGTCGCAGACGAAAACCGAGCGCTCAGGAATGACGAGAGCATTAGTAGGTTTGTGGGAGATGTCGTGGTTGTTGAGGGGCCTGATGCTAGCGAGATCTGGCGTAAGCAGGTCCTGTGCGTTGAATAGTGAAAATGTACTTTATCTATCATTCAATCGACTTAAACTACCAATTATCATAATATCTCGTAGCAACTATAGTATACAAAACACATCTACACGCAGCAAGTCGACATCACATGTGCGTTGGGAGTTCCAACACCACATAAAACCACCAAACTCAACCTCCCGCCACTCTCCGTCCACGACCGCCGTCCCCGACGCAGCCATGCTCATTCCCTCAACAATGCTCAACCCGGACCTCTTCACGCCGAAATCGTCTTCCTCGTCATCAAAGATCCTATCGGCCGCCGGTATCATCGTCAGCAGTCTCGCGTTCAGAGTGGCGATCTCCGTCTCGGCCGCTTTTCTTACCACGTATATCCTTCAGCACCGCAGCACAAAACTCCAGCTGAAGCCCAATCTCAGCAAAGTCAGAGAGAAACTGAAAAAGGACGGTCGGAATGTGCCGCTTAACTCGCATGAGATCTCACTGATCCAGGAGTGTATTCCGGAGGACATCAACGTCAAGTTTGACGACATTGGTGGTTTGGAGGATATAATCGACGACCTGCGCGAGACTGTCGTCTATCCACTCACAGTGTACGTTCTGATACAAGCATCTTCTGACTTTCCTATCGCTTACGTTTGATATTTCGTTATATAGTCCGGGTCTCTTTTCGGGAAGCTCTCCGCTCCTACAGGCCCCTAAAGGCGTACTTCTATACGGCCCGCCTGGCTGCGGCAAGACGATGATTGCCAAGGCCCTCGCGCACGAATCGTCCGCAACATTTCTCAACGTCAAGATCTCATCCATAACCGACAAATGGTTCGGTGAATCAAACAAGTACGCGGCCGCGATATTCTCTCTTGCGCGCAAGCTCGAGCCATGCATCGTCTTCATCGACGAAATCGACTCGTTCCTGCGCTCGCGCGAAACAAACGATAACGAGGCAATGTCGATGGTCAAGTCGGAGTTTATGACCCAGTGGGACGGTCTCTCGAGCGGAGGCCGCATCGTTATCCTTGGAGCAACTAACCGGCCTAACGATATCGATGCTGCTTTCTTGCGACGCATGCCCAAGCGATATGGCATCCGACTACCAGACTTGAAGAAACGGATAGAAATTCTAAAGCTTTCTTTACACGGTACTACACTGGAGGAGCCATTCGACTTTGAGAAAGTCGCCAGACACATGGAAGGTTTGAGCGGCAGCGGCATCAAGGAGGCGTGTCGCGACGCGGCCATGATTCCCATCCGGGAGTATTTCAGAGACCACAGGAAAAAGCACGGCATGAAGTTCGTGCCAACTGAGGAGAACGATGCTCTGAAAACACGACCGCTCAGAGACTCGGACTTTTTTGTTGAATGGGCTGCGAAGAAGAAAGACGATGAGTTGGACGACTTAGAATAACTAGACTTGGTGTTGCTTTTTGTTATACTGTTACAATTGCGAGTGTACTATACAGCGTTATTTGGCTAAGGCAGCGCTTCTAAATAAATCTCTACTACTGCCAAATACAGTCAATCAATCTTAAAAGCTGCAATCAAATATTACCTAATCCTTTACTCACCCAAGCTGCAGGCAGATCAGCCAGTGAAGACGGGCTCACCAGGCGCCGCTCCGCCATCAACTCTGCCCAGCATCCGCTATCAACAACCGCACATTCACCCTCACCAACTCCCCAGAAACCACTTCTGCACCATGGACCCGCCTTTCAAGGTCAGGGCAGTGTACGAGTATCTCTCAGACCACCCGGACGACCTCTCATTCCCGGTAGGTTCCCAGATCCAGGTCACCGCCGTCGAGGATGACGAGTGGTTCAGCGGCCGCTACTTTGACAGCGCAGGCGCGCTCCACGAGGGCATGTTTCCTCGCAACTTTGTCGAGCTCATCACCGAGCAGGAGGCTGGTCCGAAACCGCCCGCGCATCCCAGATCGCACGCTGCCGAGCCCGCTGCTACCCCGGCCCCGGCTGCTGCCCCGGCTTCTGAGCCAGCGCCCGCGCCCGCGCCCACTCCCGCGCCTGCTGCCGCCGTCCCCAGCAGCCCCGAGCCGGAAGTCTCAGCTCCTGTATCGGTCTCGCCAGTAAAAGAGACCGCTCTGCCTGCTGCTCCTGCACAATTGCCTTCTCAGTCGCCTGTCCAGACCCCTGCCGCTGCTCCCGAAAGATCTCTCTCTTCACCATCGGCTGCTGCTGCCCAACCCGCCGCCGCTGCCGCCGCCGCCAGCTCCGGATCCGGATCCAGCAGCAGCGGCGGTCTCAAGTCCTCGTTCAGGGACAGGATTGCCGCGTTCAACACTGCCGCCGCTGCGCCGGTCACTCCGCAGGCAAAGCCCGTCACTCAGTCGTTCGTGCGCAAGCCGTTCGTTGCGCCCGCGCCTTCGGCATACATCCCGCCTGCCCCGCAGAGCAGCAGCCAGTACAAACAACAGCGTGATCCCAGCCCTACCCGCTCTAGTTTTGAAGCTTCTGCGAGCTCACAGCCCGCTGCTGTCGAAGAGGAGACGATCGAGCGCGAGGATCAGTCCCATCATGAACCAATCACGGCCGGCGGTACGAGTCTGAAGGATCGGATCGCGCTGCTGCAGCAGATGCAGCTTGAGCAACAGGCTGCTGCGGCCGCGAAAGCATCCGGCACAAAGAAGAAGAAAACGCACAAAAAACACGCTTCGGAAGCTCCTGCTGCTGCCGCTGCTCCGGGCACGGAAGAAGCTGCACCGGCAGCCATCTCACCTAGACAGAGCATTGATACCGAGGCAGAGCTACCCCGGCGCACGTCTGTTGACTCTTACGTCTCTTCATCCGGTGTTATTCCAGAAGTGCCGCATACGAGCACGCGTCGCTCGGAGGAGAAGTACTACGAACCCGAAGAGGCTGCGACCCAGTCTGATCTCGAGGAGAGCGCTGAAGAGTATCACCAGCCGCAGCATCCACCACCTGTTCCCCACGCTGCGCCGATTCCTGAGTCTCAAGATGAGCAGTATGAGAGCGGTGAAGTCCCCGAGACTGAAGCCGCTGCAGAGTATGCGGCTGAGCCAGCTGCTGCCACCGAGAGGGCTGAGGAGGAGGACGGTGAAGAAGAAGAGGAAGAGGAGGAGGAAGAGGAGGGGGAAGAGGAGATTGATCCCGAGGTTGCTCGACGAATGGCTATTCGGGAACGCATGGCCAAGATGTCCGGCGGAATGGGTATGCCATTTGCCCTACCAGGTGTCGGAGCGCCGATGGGTATGCCAATGGGTATGCCGATGGGTATGGGTGGATTCCCCCCCAAGTCGACGCCAAAGCATGCACCTGAATCGCATAAGAAGGAGAAGCAGCCGGAAGATGACGGTGAAGAAGAGGGGGACGAAGATGAGCAAGAAGAACAGGCTAGACCGGTTCCGATCTTGCCTATGGTTCCAATGCCGGGTATGGCCATGCAACCTCGTGCTCCCGCTGCTGAAGCTGAAAGCAGTAGCGAGGAAGAAGAGGAGGTGGAAGAAGAGGAAGAGCAGTCCGAAGCAGAGCAGGAAGAAGTTGACGATGTCCCGGCGCCTAACTCTACATTGAGCGCACCTGTTGCTGAGACTGCTGCACCACCACCTGTGCCAGTATCGCGCCATGCAACGGGAGAACCTGTCCCGGTGTCGCGCCACGCGACTGGAGAGTCTACCGTACCGGCTATAGTACAGAGAACTGCTTCTCTTGATATATCGTGAGTGCTTCTGCTGCAGTTTGAAGTTTAGCAGCATGACAGTATAGCCCCGACTAACAAATAATTTAGTGATTCCGCGCCGCCTCCACCAGCAGCCGCGCCTGTAGCGACCCCGGCACCTGCGACTACTGCTTCTGCGCCTCCGCCTCCGCCCGCTCGTGCTCCTACGTACACCGAATCCTCCGACGAAGAGGAAGAGGAAGATGAGGACGACTATCCCGAGCCAGAGGTTCCGGCGCCAGTACATGAGCGCGCAGTGCCGCCTCCCCCGCCGACCTCGGCTCCGCGCCCTGTGTCGGCCGTTCCCCCACCGATCCCAACTTCACCCCCGGCTACGTCTGTGGCTGCAGTTCCGCCACCAGTGCCGGTGCACCAGCAGTCTGTCTCTCATGCTACTGCTCCTCCGCCCCCACCTGCAAGCACGCTACCCCCTCCGCCGCCCGTCCCTGTGGCTACTGCTCCTCCAGTGCCGCCGGTGCCGAGTGTGCCACCTACTGCTCCGCCGGCAGAACGCAGTCTGCATCGGCATTCGAGCTCGCAGAGCCGGCCTACTGTTGCATCGTACGACGACAGCGATGAGGAAGAATACGGAGCGGAGGACACGTACGACAGCACCGCGTACCAGAGCAGCGTGGGTGTTGCGCGAGGCTACGCTGCCTCGCCTCCTCCGCCGGTCAACTACGCGCCGCCTCTACCTCCTGCCACAAGCCCTCCCGCACACTACGCGCCCCCTCCGCCGACGACGCCGGCACCTGTGCCGCATCCGAGCAGTAGAGGATCCTACGAGTCGCCGCGTCGTTCGAGCGAGCAAACCACTTCGCGTCGGTCGATGGACAAATCGTCGGCGCGCCGATCGATGATGGTGTCAGATCCGCGCCGGTCGATGGAGTCCTCCTACGACGCTTTCACAGCGCGGGACCTCGAGCTCAACGAGCCTGCGCAATGGTGGGCGGAGCCCGAGGCTGTGCCGCCTCTGATTGCGAGCAAAGCCGGTCGCGGCGAACTATACTACGAAGTCGAAGAAAGCTACCACTCGCGCCGCGGCCGCGGCGTCGTGATGCGGACGATTTACGTGCTGTACGGCGACTACTCGCAGAGCCAGATCAAGGTCAGTTTCGAGCGCGAGAACCCCGCGCGCGCAAAGTTCGAGCAGACGCACAGCGCGCCGCCGCCGAGTGCGCGCAAGGAGCAGCTCGAGAGCTGGTACGGGCGGTACGGGCGCGCGGCGACGAAGATTGCGAACGACGCGCTCGCGGCAGGGAAGGTTGTCGGCGACGGGTCGTCGAGTGCGTTTGTGGGCGCGGTGATTGGCAAGCTTGGCGAGGGCGTGCTGCCGGCTGCGGGGAGCAGGTCGTTTGGCGAGGTTGTGTATAGTAATCTTGCGAACGCGAGTGTTGTGCAGACGGACGAGATCCGGGCGGGCGATGTGATTACGTTTAAGAACGCGAGGTTTCAGGGCCACAAGGGGGGGTTGCATCAAAAGTACTCTGCCGACGTGGGCGGGTCGGGCGCGGATGTGGTGAGTGCGATCGTGAGCGAGTGGGATGGAACGAAGAGGAAGGTGAGGGTGATTGGACAGATGAGCACGAAGGAAGGAGGAAAGGGTAAAGGTGTCCGAGGAGAAAGTTATCGACTTGGAGATTTGAAGAGCGGAGAGGTCATGGTGTGGAGAATTGTTGGACGAGAGTACGTCGGATGGAATGACGATGGTGACTTTTGAAGAGGCACCTCTTTGAAAAGTCGCAGCTTCATTTTGTAGCAAACCAGTTTACGTTTTGTTTTCTTTTGTCTATTTTTATTTCATTCTTCATTCATATCAGTACATTAAATGTATTTACTGAGAAAATATCTCACAAAGAAGTAAGCCAACTCCGATGCGTAGATTTACTGAAGAAGTAAGGCCAACCGCAGTGCCATTTGGATCATGATGACTATAGTGGGAAATCTTTTGCAACTTTTATTGAACCAATGTACATGACGATCTAATGACCTTCGACGCTCACTCCACTAGAACCGAAACACAAAAGCAACCTATGACTCCTCGACGACGGTGGTCTGAAGACCCTTGAACGAGCTGACGTTGACGGCCTGGACGTATGAAAACAGGGGCTCCTTGGCCTTCTCCTCGTCGTTACGCTTCCGCGAGATGCGCAGGCGCAGTCTGTATGGCACACCCTTGATTCCCTGCTTCCAGATCTCCTTGTTCAGCTGGGGGTCGAGACGGACGTCCTTGGTGCCCTATTTGATGAGATGTGAGCAATGAGTTCGTTTTTATAGCAGAGTGATCGCTCTTTCGCGTGCTGCTTCTGTACACTGTAAAGTCATAGTGGAGGTATCATACCATGTGCTTGTAGGCAAAAGCCTTGATCTCCTTGACGGCGGTAGGAGCACGCTTCTTGAACTGGACACCGTGGACCTAGATGATCAAAACAAAAACTGTCAGCCGGCTGCTCGATTTCCCGTAACTCTCTATCTGAATCCTGCTCTTCCTAGACTCTTTTGCGACAGTTCTCACACTGACTGACCAGCGAGAACCTCACAACCTTCAGTCTTGCCCACGATCCTTCCTCCTCACGCCCAATCCCAGCAACAACAGGAAAAACATACACGAGTGTGCATGTGAATGGTGTATTCACGGGTGACAACGTCCTTGAGAGCCGATCGCTGGGTAGAGGCCATTTCGAACAGTAGATGCGAGATGTATTGTTTGGTTTGGTTGTGTAGAGCTGAAAGAACGGGCTGTCGACTTCGTCGTATCTGCCTCCGAGCGATCCTTCGACCGCGCGCAGACCCGGCGCCGGCTGCCCGCAGCTGAAAGAGCAGTCACGCAGTCACCCACACTCCACTGCAGAGCCGTAACCCTATATTAACCCTACATGTAGTCATGAGTTATGTAATCATGGGAAACTGGAGAATCCGGGTAACCTGCTCCCGTTGGCCGCCGAAAGTTTTGCCTTTCTCACCGCCTGGAAAAATATCGTCGGAGCCACCTTTCTGTCGCTCAATTCGCTGTCTGTCGAGTGTCTCTGCGCAATTGCGAACAAGAAGCAGCTGATTTCATACTTGTTAGTACAGTGCTGCACTAATAAGACAACGATGCTGCCGCAAGCGACTTCCTGTGGGCGTCGCCTCGTCTGCTCGTCCGTACTCTCGTCGTCGTCGTCGTCTTTATCCTCCTCACGAGCAGCACTTTCTACTTCATTGCTATCACGTCCGGCCTCAACACGATGCGGACTCAGCGCATCTTCATCACCATCTCCCTCCGCCTCGCCATTTTCCTCCCCCTCCTCCTCCAGACCCTTCTCGTCCTCGGCCACAGTCCAAGCCGACCCAAATCCGAACAAAGTCACGAAACTAAAAGACCCCGCCAAATTCAACACGCCCTTCCCGACCCGTCACAACCCCCGGTCGTCGGCAAACAAGGCCGCGCCCGTCCTCCCTCCCGGACTGACATACAACCCTCCGCCCTCGGCTCCCTCGCCGTTCGACACCCCAGACATCTTCCTCCCGCCGCATGAGCGCGCAAAGGTCCTCACCGCCCCCGGCGTCGAGGTTCTGCCTCCGCCGCTGCGCGCGGTCGAGGAGAAGAAATACCATCTCGACGAGGAGCAGATTGAGAAAATCAGGCAGCTGCGTGAGCAAGATCCCAACAAGTACACGAGAAAGGTGCTCGCGAAGGAGTTTGGATGCTCGGACTTCTTCATCGCGCTCGTCTTGCGCTCGCCGCAGGAGCGTCTGGATGAGATGGACAGACGGCTGGGTATTATCAAGTCCAGATGGAATTTGTACAAGAGCACCGCCCGGTTAATGAGAGAGAAGCGGAGAGAGCAGTGGGCCAGAGACGAGTAATCGATCTTTCTCGTCTCTCCTTTCATACAAGCAGATCTATGCATTTTATGTACATACATTTTATATTTTGTTTATTTAGATTGACAATTAAAACTCATTCGTTAATTTTTGGGGGGATAAAAAGAAACAGTATAATGCTATTTACAAAATAAAAAATATCGAAAACTTCTGTGCTCTGACGAGAAGAAATCAAGAAGCGACAATAATATAAACTGAGAACAAGATAAAGACAACACCTACTCCTCCTTCCTTAATACGCCGAATTGGAGCTCATCCATCCGTTATCGCCCATTTTTTTGAACAAAGAAACAAAACCGTGCTTTGATGACCAACCATCACCAACTCAAGAGATATATAAAATGAAAAGAAAATTGTAAGATGATTAGTTTCGGATGCTACCTTTTTTGATACCATATCTCGCCTTCTTCTCCGCCGGCTTCAGGATCTGGAACGAGCACAGCAGCGACTCGTCGACGCTCATCATCGCGCCCGCGTTATCAAACTCGCCGCAGTAGTTTGGCGCCGAAAAGATGGTGACGAGCTGCCGCTTCGAGAAGAATTCGTAGCCGTCCTCGACTACTTGGTGCGCGCGACATATCAGCCCGAGATCGTGCTCGCGCAGGAAATTCGTGACGACGTCGCGACCAAAGGTTACCGATATTCCCCGGTCGTTTTCGCCCCAGCCTAGAATATCAGAGTCGGGATCCGACCAGAGCAGATCGCAGATCAGTCCAGATTCCGGAAGCTATGCATCAAATCGAGTTAGACAAGAGTGATCAGCAGTAAACAGAAGAGATACGTACGTCAGTCGGCCGCATGACTCGGCGGATCTGTTCCATGCTGGTAAGATCGGGCGAAAGACCGCCGTGCATGGCAAATATCTTTTCATCGATGATCGCCGCGATCGGTAAACAATTGAAGCAGTCTGTGAATGTTTTCCACAGCTTGATATTGTATCTTCGCTTGCCTATGTAAAAAAAGTAGCAGCAAGCAGTCAGTATTAGAAAGCAGATCGATCAATTGAGGGTGGTGGCGTACACTCGTCGTAAAAGCCGTAGATGCGGTTGATGGAGGCACACTCATGGTTGCCACGGAGGATGAAGAAGTTTTCGGGGTATTTGATTTTATATGCCAGAAGCAAGCAGATGGTCTCAAGAGATTGCTTGCCTCGATCGACGTAGTCTCCCAGGAAGAGGTAATTCGCCTCGGGAGGGAAACCGCCATACTCAAACAGCCGTAGGAGATCAAAGTACTGGCCGTGAATGTCGCCTATAGAGAGAGTGAGTATGTTGATCTGGTAGTTGATAGGGAGGATCGGAACAATAGCATACCACAAATCTAAACAAAAGTTGAGAGTCAGTCGAATGTCAATCAGTAAATATTACACAGCAGCGGAAGAAGCGGACGGACCTTCAGAGGAGCCTCGAGCTCGAGGAGGATCGGCTGAGAGATGAAGATCTCCCGAGCCTTGAGGCAGAGGAATCTGATTTCAGTTTCGTGCAGATCGACGTGTGATCCCGGCCGACTGCCGCGGACCTTGAGCAGCCTCTCGATGATATTGTCGAGATCAAAGTCAGAGTCGGGGCGGGGTTTGAGAGGAGCGGCCGATTTGGCTGAGGGCGAGTGTTTAGATGTGGAGGAGGAGGTGGAGGTGGATGTGGAGGAGGATGCGATCGGTGGCATTGCTGGAGAGGACTGTGCTGGGGTTGCAAAGAGCGACGGGAGTGTTTACGACAGAGAGAAAGAGAGAAGTGAAGAGATAAAAGAAAGAAGCCGGGTGGAAGAGAGAGAAGAAGAGCGGTGGAGGAGAGCAAAGTAACGGAGGACGCGCGGAAGAAGAACCCAAAGGGTAAATCTGCGCACGACCGTGGTCCGGCTCTGTCCGCTCACGCGTCTGTGTCGCTGCCTCCACGCCCTGCTCACAGGATGTGCTGGTGCTGCTGTGACCGACTGCGGATTGACAGCAATTGCTTTTACTTTTATTCAGTCGATCGTTTTAATCACCGACGCTGGGCTGGTGCTGCGGAAAAGGCTCCATCTTCATCAGGCATCTTGCGGAGCCATCGCCGCACGGTTGAGGCGGTAGCTCTTGCAGAGTCACTAAGAATAGCAACTAACTCGGCAGTTGAGGATTGCTTAGAATCGCAGAATGGTTATTCGGTAATGTCATGTTCTTTTGATGAACTCGTTGTCGGTATCCAGGCTGGATCATCCTGCTCTGCGGGTCGTCGTCGTTGTCTTGTCTTGTCTCCTCCCCTGCTACGCCTCTCTTCCTCCTCTATCCCCGTCACAACAAACCCGTTCCTTCCATAGCCTGGGTATCCGTTACCTATGCGTGCCCAGATGATACTGGCAGCAGTTTTCTCGTTCCTTCGGTGCCGAAATCAACAACTATCTGAGCCCCACCCTCCGTCCCACTCGCTCTCCACGCAGTCAAAGCAAATCTACAAACGTTTGATAATCGCACTCACAGCCTCTGTGCTGCATCTCCTTCTCTCTTAATCTCCTTTTTCACCTTCTTCTTCTTTCTCTGCTTTTCTCTTTTTCCGTCCCAGCTCGCCTTCATCCGCGTTTCTTCCTGCTTCTCCTATCTTCCTTTTCCGACACATTAGACTTTAGCATCCTCTCATGTCCTTGAACCCAGAGGCATTTATAGAAACCGCGTGCCGAAAACGCGTCTGCTCGCCGAAGTCCGTGCTCCTGTCTACTGATCACTGTACTCAGCCGACGTCCCTGGCTCTGGTCCGCTGCATTTTTGATCATTTTTGATGAGCGACCGTGCTGGTCCACTTGTGATTCCTCTTAATATTCGCCATATCTCATCGGTCACTGCCCAGACGTACGTACATGCGTAGAGGTAAGGAATGAGTGCATCGCCTCACTCAGCACCACCACTCCGCCGTCCTCTTTATCTCTCCTTCCCGGCCTCAACCACCCGTAGCATAGCCTCAATTCCTCAACTCTTCTTCCTCACAGCCAGCATTCCTCCCTTCATCTTCCTCCTTCTTCTTAGCAAGTGATTTACAGGGCCCGCCGGCTGACAATTACGCCCTAACCCGCAGCAAACTCCCAACGGCTCGCCTACTTCAATTTACCCGGCCAAACTCCCGGCGCCGATTTTTTTTTCTTCTCCAAAGCTTGTCGCTGGTCCCTGGTGTACTTGATCAGGACAGAGAATTGCTGTTTCCCTCCTTCGTTAGACGACAGACCACTCCAAACACTCAACCGACGAGTCAAAAGAACAGAAATAGCACACAGCCATGCCGAAAAGCAGCAGCAGACGCGCAGCTGCGTTCCAAGAAGTGAAAAACCCCTCCTCGTCCACCACATCGTCCCTCTCGCGCCTGCGCAAAAAGATCCGCGACCTCGAACGTCTGCTCAAGCGCGCACAGCAAGCCCAGGCCACCAATGGCGGCAAGAACACCACCGCGCTTGCGCACCGCGAGCAAGAGCGCGCGCTCAAAGCTCTGAAACTCGAACTTGCTTCCGCAGAGGCGGGATCGCAGGCCAAGAGACTCGAGCGTCGGTATCATCAGGTGCGGTTCGTTGAGCGCCGCAAGGCGGATCGGAAGGTTACAAAGGCTAGGAAAGCGCTTGATGTTGCTGAGAAGGCTGTTGAGGAGGCTGGAGGTGACAAAGCTACCAAGAAGGAAGCAAAGAAGCAAAAGAAAGAGGCCGAGCGGCAGCTGCGTCTGGCGGAGCACGAACTGACTTACATTGTCTGCTTTCCCGAAACCGAGCGATATGTCTCGCTCTATGTCGACGGCGGTCTCGAGCGTATGCTCAACGACCGGACGAATATCGAGAGCGAGAACAAGACAGACAAGAAAAGACGCGAGTGGTGGGACGCATCTGGCCGGATGCTCGAGAACGGTGAAGTCAACGTTGACTCGCTGATGTTTGGATACCGCGGCCAAAAGTCGTGGAAGGCTGCTGCGAAGCCTGTGGTGGCTGGGATTGAGGACGAGCAAGGGTCTGCTGCGGAGGAGGAGATGGATGATGCGGAAGAAGCTGGAGATGAAGACGATGACTTCTTTGAAAAGTAATCTGTTTATTATTGTATCTTGCACGTGCTTGTTACTGGCGTCTAGGGATTTCTTTTGTATCATATAAATATTGTCCTGTAGCATTTTGTTCCTGTCATATATTCTTCATGAGTTGCAATCAGCATTTGCTTTTACTATGTTAAGGTGGTTAGCATGATAGATTAAGATTTTTTCTGTACCAACTCTACGTAATCTACTACATTTCATAGAAAAGAACATAGGCCTAATGTCTCTTAACAGTGCGATTTTGATTCATTGACCGGCTAGCAGTAACGACAAAAGCTCAAAAAGTCACATTTCTCGCTCGCACAATTGAATGTTGGGCACCACCCCGCCCCTTCCACCATCCGATCCCATTAACCCACCTGAAAATCCAAAATAAGCAAAAGAAAAGAAAGTAAGCAAAACGAAATGAGAAAAGAAAGGAAATAAAAGGTCGGTAGAGAAACCAGTATCTGCTGATATCGCACGATACAGGATCAGAAAGCAATAACTCCAGACAAATTACAAATGAAAAAAAGTCTTCGGAAATGAAGACAAGAGAAGAGATGACAAGAAATGCATATACAATTCATGAAAAAGAAAGCGAGAAAAGTTTGAATAAGATAAAATACTCAAGATGCAGTAATGTCATATTAGTTTTAAGACAAATTAGTAAGATGAATCATTCAGACACGTCTCAAGCCAGTTTAAGAGCTTGCATTTCCCTTTTTTTCTATTAATTTCAAGGTCGCGGTTTGTTTTTTAGTTATTGCCGTTGTTGTTACCGTTGTTACCGTTGTTGGCGTTGTTGCCGTTGGCGTTGTTGTTGTTGTTGTTGTTGTTCTGGTTTCCCCGGGTGCAATTCTGCCATGAGGGCAGACCGCAACCGAAGCCAACGAGTACGTAGATGAGGAAGATGACAGCAATGACAATCATGACAAGCAACCGCTTGTTCTTCCACCACATCTCACGCCGCAAGGCAGTCGAGCGCTTGCGGAAGGCGAAAGCGGTCTGGTTCATGTGGTCGGTCTTGTCGACGAGGTTCTCGATGCGCTCGCCCCGCTCAATCACGCGCTCGATGTTCTGCGACATGATGTCCTTGACCTGGTCGATTTCCTGACGCACGGTAGCGGCGCGGTCCTGCGTCGAATCGGCCTTAATCATGAGCTGGCCGAGCGTGTGCGAGAAGGAAGCGAGGGCGTAGGGCTGGTCGCACTCGCCGACTTGCTCCTCGGCGAAAGTCTCGTTGAACTTGCGCTGGACCTCGACCAGGTAGGCAAATGGAACTCGGCGCGGGACGGTGGAGAGGGTGATGGCGAGGAAGGTGACGCCCTCGGGAACGACATCGTTGGCGGCGGTGGTAATGTAGTGGACGAGCCAGTTATTGTGGATGTAGGTCAACTGGAGGGGTGAGATTAGCAATGCTGGAGATGAGGAGCGCAAGACAAATACAGAGCAAGCTTACTTTTGTGTCGTCCTCGACGGGGATCTTGGGGAGGATGAGGGCGGCGACGGCGTTTGCGTTCGAGCGGATGGGAGCATAGTCGGCAAGGACGGTGGTACCGTGCGCCACGCAGGCGTAGAGAACTAGAAGGACGGTCAGCGAAAAGGGCAGAGGACGGAGCGGACGGAGGAGGAGTAAGTACAGTTCGATGCCGGCATTATGGGAAGAGCAAGTAAGGGTGAGAGGGCGACAAGTGGACTGGCGATACGGAGAAGAGCAGAGAGCGGACGAGAAAGATCAGAAGCAGAAGACGAGCGATAAGCGCAGCAGTGAGGCCGTCAGTCAGGTAAGCGTTCGGTCCAGCCTCTGCTTAGAGTTTGGGCGGGCCACCAGCCACGGTATTAGCCACTTATGCACAGCCATCCTTGACCAATGGCTCTTATCAGATCTTGGATTCTTGGTCGTGGGTTGCATTAGTTGCGGACAGTTGCTGGTCGGAGATGGGTGGATTGTATTGTTGTAGGTGAGGAACTGACTCTCGCGTTATCTGACTGCATTTTGAGGACATTTTGACTATCAGGGAGCTGGTCGTGTTCTGCACCCCATTACTGTTTACTGTATACACACTCTCTGTTTCGCACTAAACAGGGTCCCAGCACACTCCCAAACAAAACTCACAGCGCGTTGTTCTGCTTCGGGTCGCTCACATCAATCCTCGACTTGCTGCCTCTCTCTTCCCCTCCTCCTCCTCCCTCCTCCTTCTTCCCTTCTTCCCTTCCTCTCTTCTATGCACGATGGTTGAAAGAGCATACATATCCCTCATTCTGAACGACGCGTATCTGCCTGGTTCGTCCTCCCCATCTATCCCGTTTCCTCCCGCCGTCTTCGGCCACCCCGCCCGCTCAGCAGGCCCCATACTGCCGCCCTTCCTCCCTCTCTCCCTCTTTCCTCCAGCTAACATCTGCTGCCTATTGATTGGCATTTATTTATTTTTCAGGAGCACTTACTCTTGCTACTGCCATCCGTCGTTCTGGCTCAACAATCCCTCTAGCCATCCTAGCAACCGCCGAGCATCTTTCCCCGCACTCGCTCTCTGCCCTCGAGGCCGTCTACGACTACGTCATTCGCGTGCCTACAATCGCCAACCCGGCTCCCGCGAACCTCTTTGCCCTCGGTCGACTTGATCTCTATCTCTCGTTCACTAAAATCCAGGCATGGAACCAGACTCAGTTTAAACGTCTCGTTTATCTCGACGCTGACGTACTCCCGCTCGTCAACCTCGATCATCTCTTTGACCTCGAGCCGTCAACTATCGCCGTACGTATCCATTTTCTACTTCTCACTCATTACTAGCTCTTTGTGTTCTAATATGGATGGTTGCACAATAACAGGCCTCCCCTGACGCCGGTTGGCCCGACATCTTCAATAGTGTACGTACTCTCAAATTACTCTCAACCTTTGCAATGCCCCATAACTACCCCGCTCTACAGCTCGTCTTTACTCGTCTTTACTAACACCTGAATATCTTCTCAGGGTGTCATTGTTCTTACTCCGAGCGCAACCGACTTTCTCGGCCTCTATTCTCTCTCAGAGTCTGGCGAATCCTTTGACGGTACGTTTTGCTAGTCTGCATTATTATGCACTCCCTCTTGCTTTTTAGCTTTTTTTTCCTGCACCCTCACCACTAGACTCTGCGCCTGCAGCCAGTTACAAGTAGTCCTGATGTTGCATGTTTATCTTCCATGTCATCTCTCTTCATCTTCTGCTGTTTGCATCATTCGACTGACATTGAATCTCTACAGGCGGCGACCAAGGTTTGCTGAATTCCTATTTCGGCTCAAGCTGGACCAGACTGCCCTTCCTGTACAACGTCACTCCAAATGCATCTTACCAGTGAGTACTCATCCATCTTTTTATAACTACTGAGCTGTTACAAAAGTCTTTTATTCCCGCTTCTTCTCTTTCGTCTATATTTCTGTCGCATCCGGTTTTAAAGTCCGGTTGGCAGCCGCTGTCAATGCCTGCACCCTAACCCGATTTATTCTTCCGGATTTGGAAATCGGGAAACAAATACGCGCCAAGCGATCAAACACGCGAACGAATTATCGTGAAGAAGCCGGGAACGCTCTCTGAATTTTGAACGCTTTGAACTAATTGTGGCTATTTTGCATAGGTATATTCCGGCATTCCGTCATTTCGCCAAGGATATCAAAATAGTTCATTTCATTGGCTCTGATAAGCCATGGACTAAAGCGCGCCCGTCCTCTGCACCGGAGCGATCAAAAGGAGTTCCGGAATGGTATGTGACGGCAAACGAAGTCTACGACGACCTGTTGAGACGCTGGTGGGAAGTGTTTGACTCTGTGGATCTGTCCTCTAAACCATCTGAGGCAATTGAGGAGGAAGTTCCAGAGCCGGCGCCTAGTCAGCAGTCTGCCCAGCCAGTCTCTTCCTTTGCCCGCATCGCCAAATGGGATCCTTCGCACAGCGCCCCACCCGCTGAGAGTAAAGGCGAGGCTGAGGGTCTTCCGGCGCATTTCTCTCATGAGAATGTGTGGGATAGGCGCGACGGATGGCAAGAACAGTTTGTACCTCCGCCCGTCCGCCTTCTCGAAGAGTATATCCCCAGCGAATACCGCACTCCGTCTACGCCTCCTCCAGCTGCTCCGATTGCGTCTCCCGCGCCCAAATATGCCCAGTCTCCAGAGTCGGAGTGGCATAAGCCTCTGCCGGCTTGGAATCCGCCATCTCCGATTCATGTTGCGCCGACGTCGCCAGCCGCAGTTTGGTATCCTCCATCGCCTATCAAACACGATGTGGCACCTGAGCGCGCTCCATCGCCCTATCAGCCCGAACCCCCTCGCGAAGACACCCCTCCGCCGCCTCCTATTTTCCCCTGGGAGCAACGGGGTGCTGTCGCTTCTGCGCGCACATTTCCAGACGACGAGCGACGAGCTGAGGCCAATGCTAAGGCCGCTCAACGAGAAGTTGAGGCTAGAGAGGCACGACTTGCTGCCATTGCTAATTTCAACGCGTCGCAATTGGCTCAAGATCAGGCAAAGAAGGCCGAGGAGACTGAGAAAGACGAGTCTGAAGAGAGAGTACTCGAGGCGAAAGAAAAGGAAACCGAACTGAAGGCCGACTATGCGTTTGACGTCAAGGGAGAGACGGAACGTGCTGACGAGGATGCATTTGGCGGAAATGACGCGGACGGAAAAGATAATGCCGAAGATTTGGGCACCGAGCTCAAAGAAGATCTTGTTGAAGAGGCCGTGGTCTCCAAGCTCGAAAAGCTGGAGATTTCGGAGGGTGTCACGGCGAGTCTAAGTCCCAAGACAGCGGTAGACAGAGCCTCTCTTTCGCCTACCGGTAGTTTTTCTAGCTTCTCTTCCACGCATTCTCAGTCCCGATCACCGCCAATGCGCGTATCACCTCGGTCGGCGTTGGCTCTAAAAGCACCCTCGCAGCGTAGGACGTCAGCGAGCTACAACGCATGGGATCGTGATTCGTCCATTGTGAACGTCGCGAGACGGTTCTCGAGCACGATCCATAACGGAGAAGTATCCGGCACGGACTTGCCGTTGACGCCGGAACCGAATCGGCAGGGATCCTTCTTTGGTTTCCAGAAAGCTCCGGCTGGTGAAGGAGATGATGAAGAAGAGATTATTGAAGGCGATGATGATGAAGAGGAGCCATGGGTACGTTTCGTTTTCCTTCATTTGTTTTTCGCAGGCAGAAAGCTAACAGACAGTGCCTTCAGGATCCGTACAAAAAGCTCGATGAGCTTTCAAAGATGCCTGCGTTGCTTTTGGAAAAGCACATGCAGTCTGCAAACAAAACAGATTCGAATGATGCCCGGGCAGCAGAGAGTGCCAGCATTGAAACAAAAGAGTAGACACGTTCTACTCGTCAGATTTTGGCCGAGTAGCTGTTTATTGTAAAAAGTGGAGGTGAAAGATAACCGTATACTTGTATGGTCGTGCATCGGAGGAAAAGTGCGGAGGAGAGTAGTTCCATTTCTTTATCTATTTTGTATGTCAAAATGTCTGCATCGTCTTGTTTCATTTCTGCCATTTTTGATTGTTTTTTGGTTTCCAAGAAAAGCTATTTTGCATCATTGATGTATCGTTGGATATTGTTTGATACCCCAATCTTGGTAATTAGTCAATTCAAGCGCATTTTAATACCTATTACGCATTGTTTCCCTACGACAATCAGTAGAAAACATGCCGATCGATCTATGTTAATAGCAACGTAACATATTAGTCATCGTCCTCCGCATAACTAACGATGCGCTTGAAACGATGAGGCGCTCTCGTGAACGGGCCCTGATACTCACTGTCCGATAGAGCGCGGCCGAACCTCAAGAGCGAGAGAGATATGGACGCAGTGGCTGCGATTCAGGATCGCCTCAATTTTATGATGTCTCTCGAAAACACCTCGTCGCTGGCCGAATCAGCGGCATCCGTCCTGACGAGCGCTCCGACTGCTGCCGCGGTGGCATCCTCCACCCCATCAGTATCCTCGCACGCGGTGGCCACTGCCGCAGCCGTTGCGGGGGAGAGCGTGAGCTCGTCGCCGGTAATGACGCAGCTTGCGCGGATTTTCAAGAGCCTTGCGGCGGTGATTGTCAAGCAGACGACGGAGGTCGATATCCCAGACCGCAGACTCGGCAGCTTTGTGACGTACCTGACCTCTCCGTTCGCGTTGCTATGTATGCTAATGGCTGTCATTCTCAACCGGACGGTTGTTTTTGCCTCTGTCAGACGGCCGCGGACAATGCCGTTCTTTCTCAGACTGCTCGTTCGGTTGGTCGCCATCGTGCAGCTCACGCGCGCAATTGGTCCGCTGATAGTCGCTCTCAAGTGCTATTCCACCGGCTTAGCTCCCTATATCCCGGAGTACTTTGCTGTAGCCACACCCGAGGAGTGTCCAAAGCCGGATATTCTCTGGTCGCTGTATAAAGCGTTTTGCACTGGACACTTTGTGGAGACGTTTTCAAGTGCCTTGCAGGGCAGGCTGCCGTCGCGCGACACCGGCATGACGTTGTTCGAGTACTCGCTGGCGTTCCAGGAAGCACAGTCTGCGCAGCGCCCTTCGGTCGAGGTTCTTGTCGTGTCGTTGCTTTGGGCGTTCAATTATCTTATATTTTTGATTATTTCGGTGTTTGATTTGCAGCATTACAGGGTACGTGTTGCCTATATCTCTGCCAATTGTTCTCGATCTGCGTTCTGACTTTGTTTCCGTCTAGCTCATCCCTTCCACCGTTTTCGGCATGATCTCGCTCTCATACTTTGGTGTATCTGCTGTTCTCAACGATCGTGCTCAATACTTTCCCACAGTATGGATCATCGGCTTTGCTCCACACCTCGCCGTCTTGTGCGTTATCATTCTCTGCGGCACAATATACACTCTCGCCGCGCTATGCAGCGGCGGCACGGCAAATCTTCATGCCACCGTTCAGACCGTCAACATCTCACTCGCCGAGGATTTCTACTCTTGTCTTTTGAAGCTCGGGATTTTGGTCCTCACTTCGGCTGCCGATGTGACCTATATGGCTGAAGGACCCGCCCTTGCTGTCCCTGCGCGGACATGGATCGAAGCTCTCGAGTTCCAGAAACGTCCAGGATTTGAATCCATTGATGAACCACCTGAGACCGCAGAGTCAGCTGCCGCGTCGTCGGCCGCAGGCTCGAGTTTAAGACGTCGGATCAAATTTTCTGCGTCAAATTTAGTCTCTGAAAATTCAAGCAGCACCATCGACAGCTCGGCTTTCGGCGCCCAGTTGATCAGGAGACGCAGACACAGCCGCAGTGGACGACGGCGGAGCTCTGCTGGTTTTGCTGGAGGCTTTCTTTCATCCCCGCTGTCGTCGTCGACTAGGGCTTCGACCTCTTCTTCGTCTGCAGTTGGCCCGTCTTCGGGTTATGCGAGTGAAAACACGCGCGTGGGTAACGGACTGTCGGGACTTGACTCCGCAGGTGGACAGCGGAGGAAAGGTGCTGATCGGTTCCGTTGGTTTGTGATTGCTTATCGCATCAGGATGGCGTATATTCTTGTGGTGTGGACGTTCCGGATGTGTAGGGATATAGTACGCCGGGGAGTGCTGAATATCCGTCGAAAGCTCTTTGGTTATGAAATCCCGGAGACGGAGGAGAACACGAATGTCAATGCAGATAGGGGGTTTGTGAACGCTTTAATATTTGGGTCGTTTACGGAAGATGAATGGTACTCGGCGCTGGTGAATGGTGCCGAATTTCCCGAAGACGACGAATCTGGAGAGTTCAGTCCTGAGAGTAACAACGACGTTGAGGAGGAGGATGACGATTACGAGGATGATGATGGAGACGCTGAAGAGGATAATGAAGGAAAAGTGGTTGTCGCTTCCTACGCTTCACGGTCGGCGGATCTCGAGCTCTTTCCCGAACTGGAGGGCTCCGATATGTCGCTTGCGACTCTACTCAATCCTCGGGACGACGATGAGAGACATTTAGCGGATATCATGCGGGCACATTTATCAGCAAATCAAATTATGACCCGGAATCAGATGTTGAACTATCAGCAGTACCAGCAGCAGCAGCAGCAGCAGATCGACGACGAAGGATGGTACTCCGATGACTCTGACTCTGACATTTTCGAGGCCGAGAACCTCGCCGCTCTAATTAACGAGATCCGAAGCAGCAAGAAGCAAACCTCTCGCGCTCACAGCGGCTTTGATGACGACGATGCTGATGATATAAGGTATCAGCCGTCGCTGTGTGTGGTCTGTCAAGCCAGCCAGCGCTCGATCGTTCTCTGGCCTTGCAAATGCGTTGCCATCTGTGAGGACTGCCGAGCTAGTCTTGCCGTACGAAATTTCAAGGGTTGCGTGTGCTGCAGACGGGACGTGGTTTCTTATTCAAAGCTGTATGTCCCATAGGCGGCAGCTACTCATTTTACTACCTCCAAGTAATCATATCAAGAATGATTAGGATTCATTCTGTATTTCTGTTTTTTAAGCTGCTGGGTCATCAAATATCGCATAGGGTTGTGTGCTCAGGTTTTTGTTATCTCTTTAGTTGTTTTTATATATTGTTTGTCGCTGGTGCGCGCTTGTGGGGAAAAGAAATTCGTAATGGGACAGTTCTTACTTGTATGGAAAAATTTATGTAAGATCAATCAATATATATACTGCACATACTATTCAATGTCCTCTTCGTACAGAATTGAGGCGAATGAATAAAACCGTCTATAATACAACAAATATGTAGCGCCCTTACTTTTATACATACACCCGACTATCATCCTCGCCCAATCTCCACTCTTTCAACTCCTCTGGCGTCATCTCCGCCATCTCTGGAAGAAGCTTGATGATGACGATATCGAACAAGAAATACAGCAGATGCTTATTCGCAAACTTGTTTTCAAACGGGGAAAGAAGCTCCTCAACACCTTCACGGGCGTCCTCGCCTAGGATCTGCTTGCGCATGCGCGCCGGGACGACTCGTAGAATATTTCTGTGGACCCGGTTCAGGATCTGGGTTTTTTCCTCGTCGGAGGGGTATGGTCTAGGTGCGGCCATTGAATCGTTGTTTGGGAACAACGTCTGTCGCGAAACTGCCAGCGTCGAGCAAGCAAATTGCGAGGTGAGAATGTATTTTTTGAAGAAATGGGCGAGGAGTCTGTCGATTATACTGCCCGGTGGAAGAGATACCAGAGGAAGAGCCAGAAGCTCGATCGTCGACATGAGCCATGGTTGGCGAGCGCCGATGTTTAGCAGGCGGGCGATCGTGGGAAAGAGAGCGATTGTGAGTAGAGACGCGCTGGGTGAATTGGGACTTGGTTTGCTGTTTGGAGGGCGAGAGGGTGCGTCGGGGACTGATCGGGCAAAAGAGATGAAGAATATTAAGCCGGCTTGGAGAAAGGAGAAGAATGACATGAGCGATAATATAAATGCACGGATAGAGGATATCAAGGATGTGGTCTGAGGTTGCTGTTTTTGTTCGAAATTCGATGTCGCGTCGGGATCATCGCTTCCATCGAGATCACTGTTGGGATCAATTTTCAGGCTCTTTTCAATCACTTTGGAGATAATCTCGTGTACCATGAATGGCTCGCTCAGCTTGTCAACAACCTTCCATAGCACAACATCAGCTAGTAATGATCTGAGTAACGTGCGCTCTGTGGCCGAGCCTAGGTCTTCGGACGGTAGCAGCACTGATAATATGCCCTTCGACAACACAGACAAGAATCTTCGCTCGATCTCATCCTCCGCGCTTGGCTGGCCTGGAGTCCCTGCCGCAGTCGTATCATCCGATTGGGCAGGAGGAACGAGTGCGGGGTGTGGTTGCAGCGCATGAAACATCTCTTCGAATGATTTTCCCGCAGCGTAGGCGGTCCCGGTCTTTTGTCTGGCCAGTCTGTAATCTCGCAGATGCGAGTCAAGCACAAATGGGATATCGTCGAGTAAAACCATCTCAAGCTCAACTTTTCGTATTCGCTCCTCGATCGACCGCGTAACGTGCGCAATGACATGAACGACCTCGTACACAAACGCACGATCAGCGATATCATCGCCCGCAATGCGTGCGTACCACACGAGTACAAACTGCCGTAGAATTAATGCGACAAAAGCGTAAAGTTCTTTATCAATATCGGTGAACGATGTTAGCGCGGGAAGTGTTGACTCGAGTGGTTTTTGCAGAGCCGATGTCGGGACAAGGATGTTTTTGATCAGAGTCGTCGTCGCGTCGTCTGCAGCTGATCCGCTTGCTGTCGCGGTCGAGTCTGCTGTATGATGGTGGACAGGGATTGAGGTCGAGGTTGCGCCAGTTGCAGTTGTCGATGCCGCTGGCTTTGCAGTTGTAGAGCCTGCATTTGTAGTGCTCGCTGCTGGGATACCGGATGAGGTGGAGGCTGAGGTCTGTCCGCCCTCGCTGCCGTTGCTGTTGTTATTGATCGTGGTGCTGCCACTGTTGACGCTCGTCATCCCGGCAACGGCAGTTGTGCCGTGCCGTCGCAGGTTTGACATCTGCTTCAAAGACCGACACGAATGGTGCTTCTTCGTCGGTGCTTCAGCGAGTGTGTGTGGATGGTGCGGGCAAATGCGGGGGGGAATAAATCTCGAGAACCGGTTTGGGTGGGTTTTTTCTCGATAAGATTGTAGTAATCTCCGCAGAAGTCCCACGCAGAAATGCAAAATTCTGAAATCAAGTTGTAGAAAAATTCAATTTCGTTTCAAAATTCGATGCTTTGACAGCGAATTTATTTCTTTCCTAGCTGAAAGGACACAAGTTACATATAGTTACTCATTATTATTACCAGCAGTTAGCAAAAATGGGTAAGTTCAGTTATTTGTCATTGCGTGTGTTCTACTTTTATATGCTAACAAGAGATATATTTTCACTTGTGTAGGCGAGGGTGCTCTTTCAACCTGGCACGAGATTCGGTTCCCGCTCATATTGGGCGCTACGTTCTGCTACGTATACTGGCGCTATTGCTTCTACCAGCCTCGCGCCACGATTCCAAAGAAGGGAGGCAGGTCTGCGCGAGAATCTGGAAGACCGCCGTCGGATGACGAGGACGACGAGGACGACGACAGCGAGGATTATGATTCAACGACGGAGAAAACTGGCAAAGAGAGTGCCGACGCGAAGAGCAAGAATCTCGGCAGTCCCAGTGACGATGCAGCGACTTCTACGGAAGAAACTGGCACACCGGTTTCTTCTGCTCCGACAAAACAGAAAAAGGCACGACAGGTTAAAGTGTTCACGCGGCGTGCGATGAAGGCCGGCGATACTAGGCTACTGAACGCAAAGTCCGACATCCACATCTTCTACTCAACTCTCACGAGCACGACTGAAAAGTATGCGTCGCAATTACACTCGCTTCTAAAGAGCCATCCTGTTCTTTCGACCCGAAACATCACAATTCAAAACATTGACTATCTCGACGACCTTGACTCTCACTTCGTAACGCCGGCCCGGTCGCTCGACGAATCGTTCTACCTATTCGTCTTACCGTCTTACGAGTCAGAGTCGCCGCTCGATTACTTTATCGAAACTTTGAAGGACACATACAACGACTTCAGAATTGACTCTCGGCCTTTGCGACGGCTCGGAGGTTACGCGGTGTTTGGTCTCGGAGACATGAACGGTTGGGACCATATGTTTTGCTATCAGGCTCTGCTCGTTGACAAGTATCTTGGAAAACTGGGTGCGCCTCGGGCATTCCCTGTCGGCACCGGAAATGTCAAAGGCGATATTGAGAAAGAGTTCAAGGAGTGGAGCGATCATTTGTTTGACACTCTGGCAGATCCTACGTCTGTGGCCGAGATCCCGGATATCACGATGTCGGACGACGAGAGCGAGGAAGCTAATGATGAAGAAGAGTTTGATATTGTGGATCCGGCATCTGTGAAGATCTCGCGAACTACCAAAGCAAATGACGTTGTGGATGTCGAGGATATGGGTGCAATCATTCAAAGCTCAAAAGTGACGAGCACAAAGAAAGAGATGGTTGGCAAGGATTCACCAACCTACGCTTCTCTTACAAAGCAAGGCTACACGATTGTGGGATCACACTCGGGGGTCAAAATCTGTCGCTGGACCAAATCAGCGCTCCGTGGTCGCGGCTCGTGCTACAAGTTTGCGTTCTACGGCATTAAATCACATTTGTGTATGGAGACCACACCCTCGTTGTCGTGCTCAAACAAGTGCGTCTTTTGCTGGCGTCATGGAACCAATCCGGTCGGTACCACCTGGCGTTGGCAGGTCGATCCCCCAGAGGCGATCTTGAAAGGCGCGCTCGAAGGCCATTACAAGAAAATCAAGCAGATGCGCGGTGTTCCTGGTGTACAGGCAGCCCGCTTTGCTGAAGCTTTTACTGTCCGCCACTGTGCTCTGAGTCTGGTCGGTGAGCCTATTTTCTATCCGCATATCAATGAGTTCGTGGGCATGCTGCACGAACGGCACATCTCAAGTTTTTTGGTCTGTAATGCCCAGCATCCTGATCAGCTTGCGCGTATGAATCAAGTCACGCAGCTTTATGTCTCGATTGACGCTGCCGACAAGGAGTCGCTACGGCGAGTGGATAAACCTCTGCACAGAGATTTTTGGGAGCGCTTCAACAAGTGTCTCGATATCTTGAAGACAAAGAAAAATCAGCGTACTGTTTTCAGACTTACGCTCGTGAAGGGGTTTAATGCAGAAGAGGTTCTGGGGTATGCGCGACTCGTCGCTCAGGCTTTGCCTTGCTTTGTCGAAGTTAAGGGTGTCACGTACTGCGGTAACTCCGCTCCCAGTGGACCAGGGGCGTCGTTCAGCAAGGGTGCGTCAAAAGACACGCTCACGATGGCGAATGTTCCATTCTACGAGGAAGTTCTAGACTTTGTGAAGCGGCTAAATGAGGCACTCGCAGATCAAGGTCTTGAGTACGATATAGCTGCTGAGCACGCACACAGTTGCTGTATCTTGATTGCCCAGAAGCGGTTCAAGATCGACGGCGACTGGTACACACATATCGCTTACGACCGGTTCTTCGAGCTGCTCGAGAGCGGTGTCGAGTTTGGCCCGATGGACTACATTGCCAAGACGCCGGAGTGGGCTCAGTTTGGATCTGAGCAGGCTGGGTTTAACCCGGAGGACGAGAGGGTGAAGCACAAGAGCGTGGTCAAGCGGGAGATGAAGTTGAAGGGAAGCCGTAGCTCGAGTGAGGCGAGTTTGCCGGTGATGATCGAGGTATCATAGGTTGCACAAAATTGTATGTAAAATAATAAAACTATTCGTATCTTATTATTGCTATGTACAAGTCGCGGTAGATGCGCTGCTGTCTTTTATGCGCAGTCTGGTGTGTATTGTAGGCTCTGTGTTTTTTGCTGCGATAGACGTAGGAAGCTCAGCTGTTTTTGAATGGGAAGCTGGTGTTGGATGCTGCTGCTGGTACTGGAGGCAGCTTGACCTCTGCCAGATCCAGTGACTGCTCGTTGGTGATTTCTGCAGCAACCTGCTTTGAGCGACGATCTCGGCAACTTTTCATTCATATTAGCACCTGATCAATGCCTGTAATTATAACGAAAAAAATCAGAAAATGAAGGAGCATTCGTACACTGCAAAATATCGCACGATTGGGCGGCATTTCGCCTCATCCTCAATTTTTGAGGGCAGAGCGCAGTCATAGTACATGTACTCGCTCAGAGTGCAGTTTGTCCTTTGCTTGAGTAGACGCTTGACATCCTCGCGAGCAAATCTGGCCTCGTCGGCGGATACGGCGAGAACCACCTCGTGTTGTAGATCGAGTTGCGGTGGGGGTTTGGCGAGCGCCATGTGTGTCTGGTTTGGCGGTTGATGACTACAGAGAGCGAAGGAGTGAATAAACCGAAGATGGTGGTTATCAACTTTGACTGACTGTGCGGCGCGCAAAGTTTCCGAGGAATAAAATAAATCATCGCTTCAGGGTGCTGTTGATTCATCTGCAGATCAGCATAAATCCGCACGATAAGGTAAGTACGATCTGCACTGGTCTTTCTTTTCAGATATATATTCTACTTGCTAGGCGCTGTACTAATATTTCTACAAGTCTCAGCATTACACCGGTCTGATACTTGCAGAAATGGAGAAAATACCCTCACTCACCGCCGTGTACGGTATCAATGAGACGTACATCGTCGAGCAGCTCGAGTATGCTTTGAGCATGGCCAAAGGCGAAGTTCCTCTGAAGGAGTTTTTTGTCAACAGTCATCCGTATACTGCTGCTGCCTTGCTTCATGTTGCAGTCATGGGACTCACGTTTGTTATCGGCACTTTGCAAGATGAATACTCCCAGGTATGCCTTGAGTCAGCTTGTGTTTGCGAGGGCAGCAGTTCTTATTGCTGATCGTGTATTTCTTTGCATTAATAGGTTGATCGTATCTGGTCTTTGCTTCCGGCTTTCACCATCATCATGTATACTGTCCACAGCTACCTCAACGGCATCGCAGCCAGCCGTCTTTGGATCTACACCATCATCGTTGTAATCTGGTCCGTGAGACTGACGTACAACTTTGCCCGCAAGGGAGGTTATAGTGGAGTGGAAGATTACCGCTGGCAGATTCTTCGCTCGAAGATGACTCCCTTGCAGTTTACAGTCTTCAGCCTTACCTTCATCAGCACCGCTCAGATCGCATTGCTGCTCAGCATCACCAGCCCGGCTATTATGTTTTACTACTCAGACAACGAGCAGATTGGGATCGGCGACATTGGATTTGCCTATTCGCTTCTTGCATGCGTACTTGTTGAAGGAATCGCCGATGACGACCAGTGGAGTAAGCGAATTGATCTCTTCATCAGTGTTTACGAAAGACATCTGCTAACTCTGCGCCTTTCTACCTCCAGGATTTCAGAAGGCGAAAGCTGAATTCAAGGCCTCAGGAAAAGTTTCGCAAGGATACACGAAGCCACAGCTTGAGAGAGGATTTTGCACTACTGGACTTTTTGGATTTTCTCGAGTACGTTGAAACTGTTGAATCGCGAGGTAGACGTTCGTTTGCCGAACTGAGTGCTAACACAAAAATCCTCGCAGCATCCTAACTTCCTCGCCGAGCAAATGTTCTGGGTTCTTCCGTACTTGTGGAACGTTCATATGACCGGCAAGTACATCAACTGGACCATTTTCGGAGCGGTTGGCTACGTTCTCTTGTTCCAGGCCTCTACGTTCTTCACAGAGTACATCTCTACCGGCAAGTACCCTCAGTACGCAGAGTACCAGAGGACTGTCGGACGCTTCCTTCCGGGATTCAGCCACTGGAAGGAGCCATTTAAGTACGAGTAGTCGGAGCAGCTTGTACATATTCTGTAAAATAGAAAATCGTATCAGAGCAGCCAATAATGTAACAAAATCCAGTAGAAAGCTGTGACGCGGAGGTCACAAGTTGGTCACAATAAAGTTCAGCGAACCGTGACTGGATTCTGATCTTTTGCGTCTCACTCGATTCAGTCTGCTTCTTGCAAACCTCCTCCGTGGAATCATCCTTTTCCTCTGCTGATTTCTACGCAGTCCCTTCCTTCCTATCCTCGCCTGCTCTTCCTTCCCAGGAATCACCTAGGACAGATCTTATTTTCTATAAATCTGGCCTGGATTCCTCAGCACGAACTGCAGCACAACGCCTATCGAGATTCCGTCTCAATACCCCCTCTCATCCTCCTCAGCTCCCTCGCCTGCCTCTGCCGCGACTTTGCTCAAGCAGCAACAGCAGCAGCAGCAGTCGTCGTCGTCACCTAAACCTCTCGTGCAGTCCTCTTCCTCGTCTGTCTGGTCGACTGGAGGTGGGTCTGCTTCCCTCAATCCCTCGCTGGCGTCCGGAAACACTGCCCGCCCGACCGAGTTGTCGAAGATCGTCGGCGCCCAAATTGTCGTTCTTGTTTCTACAATCAAGGAAGACAAGTGGGACGCGACAGTCAAGCAAATCAGACAGGTATGCTATCTGCTTTGAATTGATTTCTGATTATTTCTCCATTTTTCCTTCTTGACCTATGACCTAACCTCCACCAGCTTTGCGATCAAAACGGGCCAGAAGTCTATCAAAAGTATTTCCGTCGTCTAGTCTCAATCCTTTTCTCTTCATCGCCATCTCGGCCTCAAGAGAATCCGTCAGTTAGACGTCTGTTGATTGACGAGATCGGAATCCTATCTACGAATCCCTCGCTCTCTCACAAGTTTGCTGATTCAATCGCCCTTCCGGACAACGACGTCTTCAAGGACTTCCGTCTCAATCCATTTTTCGACAACCTCCAGCTCGACTCTTTTCAGAAAACAGTTTTATGTCTCAGTGTTAGAAGTAGCGCCAATCAGGATCTTAAAGTACAAGGTATCGTCATTTCTGTTTTTTTTCTTTTGGGATCAGTTCAAGATCTCCCACTTTTGGAAATGGGCTTGTTTGGTGTCACCTCTCCGATCTAACACGCATCAATTACTTCTAGCTTTTGACATTCTTTCTGAGAATTTCGAATCCTTCCTTTCGATCATACGCGACGCTTCTCACTACTCGACTGCACTGACTGAAGAGAACATTGCTGTGATTGTGAATCAATACAATCAAGAGCCTGCTCTGCCCTTTTTCAACGCTGAGAGCCGTTCAGCTTTATACTCTGCCATCGTCTCCCGCTTTGCTCCATCACCCCCACCTGCATCGATAGCCCCCTACCTTCAACTTCTTGCTGATTCCAAGGCCCCAATGGAGTCTCTTCAGAAGCTGATCGCATCTCTGGGGCCTAATATTCAGCAGTCAATCGATGATTTGGCTTATGACAGCAAAACTTTGATCGCAGTTGCTAACGCTGCCATCGAGTCTAATCTCGTTGACGAGCTAACCAGCTTCCAGCCATATTTCTTTACTCTCGATGTGTTTTCGCACTTGGCACGTGCCGGAAAATACCCTCTCCAGAAATATCTTGATCAAAACCTGACAAATGACTCTCCGGCTTTTGTCTCTGCTGTCTTGACATTCCTGGACTTGAAATCAAGTGCCGAATACTCACAACAGCAGCAGCAACAGCAGCAGGAAGAGCAAATTCCTGAGCCGGCTGACTTTTTGTCACTTCATGTTCAAGTTGTGCACGATTTGCTTCATGTTTTACTTTCTCGGTATGTGCCTCATTTAGCGACGTGAGTTTGCATGGACCATCAGCTAACTTTTTTTTTACTAGAACAATTCCTCTCGAATTCGTCGACAAATGGGAACATGTCCAAGCCAAGTGCATTCAAACCTACCCCCGCCTCATCAACCTAGGAAGCGGCCATGATTCGGCGGTACTGGCCAACAGCAACGAGACTGGCTTTTCTGCCGAGGTGGAGAAGAGAATGAAGTACTACTACCAGCGAATGTACGAGCAGGAGATGTCGATTAGCGATGTCATCACTCTTTTGCAGGAGCTGAAGGTCTCTGACGACCCGAACGAGCAAGATGCTTTCTCCTGCATGGTGCATTCGCTGTTCGACGAGTACCGGTTTTTCCCCGATTACCCTCTTCCCGCGTTAGCTACCACAGCCGTTTTGTTTGGATCGATTATTCAGTTCCATCTGATTGAAGATCTGCCGCTGGCGGTCGCCTTGCGCTTCGTTCTCGAGGCTCTCAAGGAGCCTCCAGACGCCAAAATGTTCAAGTTTGGATTGCAGGCGTTGATGCAGTTCCAATCTAGGCTCGACACCTTCCCCCACTATTGCACACTACTACTCCAGATCCCTTCGTTAGAAGCAGTTCAGCCCCAACTGATTGCCAAACTTAGGGCCCTGATTATGAAAGATGGAAACAGTCTTGGCGGCAATGGAGCGATTGATCAATCAATTGACAATGATGCGCCGCCACCACCCCCTCCGTTTCGTTCTCTTCATTTGGACTCTGACTCTGCCGGCCCCAGCGAGACAGCGTCCGAAGACCCGAACGAGGACGTACAGGACAAAGTGCTCTTTATCGTCAACAACCTTGCCCCCACAAATGTTGAACAGAAATCAAGAGAGCTAAAGTCGGTTTTGGAGGAGAAGTATTATCAGTGGTTTGCCACTTATTTGGTGGACACACGCGCCAAACAGGAGCCAAACTTCCACGATCTCTACATGAAAATGCTTGACATTGTGAACGACAATCACCTCAACAAGCAGATCATTTCGAGCACGTATGCTAGCATCATCGCGATTTTGAACTCGTCCGACACTGCGATCTCCGCGCAGGAGCGTGGTCGACTAAAGAACTTGGGATGCTGGCTGGGTTACCTGACGCTCGCGCGTGACAAACCCATTAAGCACAAGAACATTGCATTCAAAGACCTTTTGATCGAGGCCTTCGATACCAATCGGCTTACTGTCGTGCTACCGTTTGTGTGCAAGGTTCTGGAGATGGTGACAAAGTCACGAATTTTTAAACCTCCCAGTCCCTGGGTCATGGGAATTCTCAAAGTCATGGCCGAGCTTTACCAGTTTGCGGAACTCAAGCTGAATCTAAAGTTTGAGATTGAGGTGTTGTGCAACTCGCTGGGCGTTGAGCTGAACAGTTTGGAGCCGTCGACGATTCTTCGAGAGCGACCGCTCAAGACCGAGGCAATTGACAATGCCGCTCGACCGGCTGGAATTGATGTCAACAGAGATTTCGACCGTCTGTCGCTGTCTGGATACAACAGAGTCGATGGCCGTTTGTCTGTACGACCTTCTGATGGGATAAACATTGGAACCCCGTCCCTGCCGACAAGCTACCCACAGACTTCGGCAGGCGGTGCGCTGACTACACATCCAGCCATGAAGAAGATTTTGCAGACTGCGATCGAGAAGTCAATCAGGGAGTTGATCACTCCGGTTGTCGAGCGATCGGATACGATTGCGCAGATCGCGACGAAGGAGCTCACGACTAAAGATTTTGCTTTGGAGGGTGACGAAGAGAAATTGCGCAAGGCTGCCCACAACATGGTCCACTACCTTGCCAGCAGTCTTGCTCTAGTTACCTGCAAGGAGCCTCTGCGAATCAACATCGGGACCAACTTGCGTGCCCTGCTGGTCGCGAGCGGCTACCCTGAATCATCGTTCAGTCCGGAGGTTCTGAACGCGACGATCAATGAGCACCTGGATGCTGCGTGTGCAGTGATCCAGAAGGCGGCAGTCGACAAGGCTATTGCCGACATTGATGAAGTTCTTGCACCTGCTTACGCAGTTCGTCGACGACACCGCGAGCTGCGGCCTAATCAGCCATTCATCGAACAATCGGCCTCTCGATATGCGCTGCAGCTTCCGGATCCATTCAGGCTGAAGCCTCCTGGCTTGACGAGACAGCAACTGATGGTCTACGAGGACTTTGGCAAATTCAAGCTTGGTGGTCTCGGTCCTGATGGACTTCAGGTTGGAGAGTTTGGCGCTGCTGTCGATCACGCGGGTGCTCCGCTCGCATCGCAAGCGTATCTGTTGCAACAGCAGCAGCAAACCCAGAACGCACTGCTCGGCCAGTCTCAGAATCTTGTGCAGCAGCAGCAGCAGCAGTCGATTGGTATGGCGGCGCACGGACAACCGCAAAACCGACTTATGCCAGTTCTGCAGCAGCAAGGTTCACAGCAACCGGGTCACCAATTCGATGGACAGCTTCATGGGCCGCAAACGCCTACGCAACCTCCGGTTGAGACTGTGGGCGGTATGGGAGACATCAGCCGGATGAGCGCGACAGGCAAAATGTCTGCGATCGAGCAGACGCTGGCGTCTATGCAGACCGCGATCGACGCGATGATCAAGACGATCAAGGAGTTACCGGATGGATCGTACGAGAAGCTGCCGGCGGACAGTCGAGTGAAGGCGATGGTCAACTCGATTCTGTCTGTGGCTAATCGAAGCCCGCTTCGGGACCAGATCATTCTGCGAACCTCGCAGCTTACAGTCAGTGTTTTGTTTACAGTTGCTGATTCTCAACTTGCTCGGGAGGCACTTGGATATTTGCTTGCCAGACTTTGCGACTTGTCTGCGGCGACCTCGAAGGAGGTTGTGTTGTGGTTGATTTTGTCAGAAGATGAGGTGAGTTTTAATAATAGACGAGAATTGAGGAGGGTTGGAGAAAGTGAACTAACGAATGAATATAGCGGAAATTTAACGTTCCGGTGATGATCACGTTGATGAGACTCGGACTGGTGCATCCACAAGAGCTGGATCTCAATCTGGCGAAGCAGCTGACGGCCCACCGATTGCCAGCGATTGAGTTTATTGCGAATCTTATCCATGAAGCTCTGCTGGGGGAGAACCCGTGTGCGCTGCGTACAGACTTTTCGCTGTGCTTGGAAGCGATGGAGATGCTTGCATCGGAGGAGCAGCCAGAGCAGATTGCGATCCAGCTTATCCAGGCGCTTGAGAATGCAGCTCTTCCGGCGCTGCCAGGCTCGGATATCACGGAGAAGGAGATGATGCGGTACATATTCAATGAATGGGTACGGCTTATTCAGCATCCTGCGCAGAGCGAGAAGCTTCTGAATGTGTTTATTCTGCAGCTTGCGGAGAAAGGAATTCTGGATGATGACAAGTATCTGGGAGTGTTTTTCCGGAACGCGCTTGAGTTCTGCATTGATGCGTATGCGAAGGATTTGCAGCTGCGGATGATGAACAACGCGGTGAGCACGAAGGAGGGCGTTATTTCGGTTGACGCGCTTGCGAAGCTTACGGTAATGCTGTTCAAGATTCATGACGAGCAAGGGGAGACGCGGAAGATTGTGTATCTGCGGTCAATTTTGAGCGTGCATGCGCTTGTGTTTGCGCAGAATCATGAAAGCCAGGGAGAAGGGTTTAATGGACAGCCGTTTTTCCGACTGTTTTCGAGCATTATGTGCGAGTTTGTTGAGATTGGGGAGACGATGAGCGAGCACAAGGAGGAGTTTTATACGCTGATGGCGGAGATTTTCAAGGCGTTGCAGCCGGTTGCGTTCCCCGGGTTTACGTTTGCGTGGATGACATTAATTTCGCACCGGATGTTTATGCCGAAGATATTGCAGCTTGAGCAGAAGAAGGGGTGGAAGTCATTTGCGGAGCTGATTGAGCTGCTGCTGAAGTTTATTGGACTGCACGTTGTGGGATCAGATTTGCCGGAGAGCATTCGGTATATATACAAGGGCACGCTGCGGATAGTGCTAGTGCTGCTGCATGATATTCCAGAGTTTTTGGTGCAGTATCACTACACGTTGTGCAACGCGGTGCCGATATGCTGTGTGCAGCTGAGGAATCTGATTTTGAGTGCGTTCCCGCAGAGCATGGCGTTGCCGGATCCGTTTGCGCAAGGGTTTAGGATTGAGACGCTTGCGGAGTGCAAGCAGGAGCCTGTGCTTGCGGTTGACCCCGCGGAGGACTTGCGCACGTTTGGGATGCTTGAGTTTGTGAATGGGTATCTGCGGTCGAAGAACGCGAGCGGGATTTCGCTGAAGCCACTGCTGGAGGTGCTGACGACGAAGTCGCGGACGGAGATTGGGCTCGGGTTCAAGACGGTGTCGACGAACACGCAAGCGATGAACGCGCTGGTGCTGTATGTGGGACAGCAGGCGGTTGCGGAGATGATTAGTAAGAGTTCAGGAGAAGAGGCGGTGGTGTTTGATGGAAAGACAAACTACGTTTCGTTTCTGACGAGCCTCGTGCTTGAGCTGGGACCGGAGGGGCGGTTCTTTTTGCTGAGCGCGATGGCGAACCAGCTGCGATATCCGAACAGCCATACGTTTTACTTTACGAGTCTGATTCAGCATCTGTACGAGACGGCAGCGCTGGGCGGACAGCAGCAGGATATTCAGGAGCATATTGCGCGCGTTGTGTTGGAGAGGTTGTTGTGTCACCGACCGCATCCAGTGAGTACTTTGTGTTGTTTTATGATTTTTGAAGAAGGTAGAGATGCTAACAGGGAGATGTATAGTGGGGCCTCCTCATTGCGCAGGGCGTATGCCGATCAGATGTACGGCAGCGAGTGCCGGGGCTGATTGAGTGAATGAGTGAAGTGTATCATAGAGAGAAGAGTATGATAGAGGAGAGAGAAGATGAGTATTTGAGTAATTAAAGACTGAGCAGTTTAGTCGATGTTTGTTTGTTTGTGTTGATGTTTGTGTTTGTGTTGATGTTATGCAGATATGTTTATGTTGATATGTTATTGTAGTTATTGTATGAACTTGTTGCTATACTATAGTTATGAAGAGCGAGTAGAAGTAGATAACAATGTTACGTCATTGCTGATGACAGACAGACGCTGGCAGAAAGAAAAGGTTTTGGCGGTGCTCGAGGGCTAGGGCTGGTGTGGCTGGTGTTGGGTTAGGTGAGAGGAGGTATTTGAGCGAGGGGTTTAGAACCCCTTAGAAAGCAGGAAGAGAGCAGATGAGTTGTGGTGTTATGACAAGAAGAGGAAGTAATAGTTATTGACATATATATACATACACATATACTTATACACACACATCTCCTCTTCTATTAATCCGCCGAAAGAGAGAGAAGCAGGGCGAAGAGCGCAGGGGCCGAAAGCGGCTAGCGCGTCCCCTTGCGTTCAGCCCTCGTGGCTGTGCGGACCAATCACGCGGCGCGGCCGGTGCGTCGGTGGCCAATAAATTCATGCCCGCCCCCGCTCCCATTTCTTTCCGCTTCCTCCCGCAGCGCTGCCTGTTCCCTTACCCTCAGTGTGAGTGTTACCCTCCGCTGTCCCCCTGCTTCCTGCTGCTTCTGCTGCTGATGGCAATCATGGACCCGGCCGCCGATCTGGCGAAAGAGTTGATGTGAGTGTTGTGTTGTTGTGTGTGTGTGTGTGTGTGTGTGCAGTCTTCTGTTGTCTCTTGTCTGTGTCTGTGTCTGTTGTTGTCTGTACGCGTCGCGCCTCTACCACGCACGTCTCATCGTGCCATCGCCATGCCATCGCCATCGCCATCGACAGTTACAGACATATGGACATACAGACAGACAGACATACACTCTCACTCCTTCTTTCTTTTCTTCTTACCACTAACACCCCCCAGTCACTCGGTCAAGGATGAGCCCGTCGCACCCCCCTCCCTCCCCCCCTCCCTCCCCAGCTCAAAAGACTCAGCCCCCCTCTCTCCCCCATCCCCTCCCCTCCCCTCCACCACACAGATTCAGCAGACCCCTCAGACAGACCAGTCCACGCCGCGCCCGACTCTGACAGCGAGCCCCCTGCTAAGCGCATCAAATCCGACGCAGACGAGACCGCGACCACAGACAACACACAGACGACACAGCCAGAGCCGGCCACTGCTCCCATCGCCACTCCTTCTGCAATTACTACCACAGAAAATGAAGTCGCTGCTCCTGAACCAGCACCAGCACCGGCTTCTGCCGCGCCTGAGCCTGCGCTAGCTTCTACACCAGCACCAGCTCCCTCCGACGCCACCCCTGCCTCCGTCAACCCCATCTCCTCTCCCGCTCCTACACCAGTACCCCCCGGCACTACTCTCCCAAAACACCAGACAAAATACGCGCACTCCATGCTGCGGTCACTCAAACGGCTCAAAGACGCATACCCCTTCCTTGTCCCGGTCGATCCTATCAAGCTCAACATTCCCGACTACTTGAACGTCATCACAACTCCGATGGACTTGTCGACAATGGAAAAGAAACTCACATCGAGCCAGTACGCGACCATTGACCAATTTGTGACTGACTTTGAGCTGATTGTCAGCAACTGCATTCGGTACAACGGCCCAGAGTCAAAGATCGCCGAGATGGGCCGCAGTCTCAAGACGTCGTTCGAGCGTCAGCTCAAGCAGATGCCGCCGGCTGAGGTCAAGCCGGATGCTAGCGGAAGCGGCAAGCGCAAGAAGAGTCTGCCAAAGGACGGCACGACGGAGCAGGCGTTTGCGCTGACTCCGTCTGGAATCCCAATCATCCGCCGTGACTCTACCTCGGCCGAGTCTGGCCGGCCGAAGCGCGAGATCCACCCGCCAAAGCCAAAGGACCTGCCCTACAGCGAGTCCAAGCCTCGGCGGAAGAAATACGCTGCCGAGCTGAAGTTTTGCTCGCAGGTGTTGAAGGAGTTGCAGAGCAAGAAGTACGAGGCGTTTTCGTACCCGTTTCTGTTACCGGTTGACCCGGTGGCGCTGAACTGCCCGTCGTACTTCAAGGTGATTAAGAAGCCGATGGACCTGAGCACGATCCAGGCCAAGCTGAACAACAACGAGTACGAGACCGGCGACGAGTTTGAGGAAGATGTGCGGCTGATGTTCCGCAACTGCTACAAGTTCAATCCGGAGTCGTCTCCGGTGAATGCGATGGGACACCGGCTCGAGATGATTTTCGACAAGAAGTGGGCCGAGAAGCCAGCGCCGCCTCCGGCGCGGGTGACGGAGTCGCCGATTGAAGAGTCGTCAGAGGAAGAGAGCGAAGAAGAAGAAGACAACAGTGACCAGATCAACTTGCTCGAGCAGCAGCTGATGGCTATGCAGAGCCAGCTGCTGATGATGAAGAAGGCCAAGAAGGAGGCGAGCAAGAAGAAGAAGAAAGAGTCGTCAAAGAAGAAGACGTCGACAAAGAGGAAAGGAAGCAAGGGCGCGGCTGGGTCGACGGTGCCGGTTCCGCATGTGTCTTACGACATGAAGAAGGAGCTGTCGGAGAAGATCATGGAGCTGTCGGCGCCGAAGCTGCAGCACGTTGTGAAGATGATTCAGGAGTCGATGCCGCATCTGAAGAACGCGGAGCAAGAAGAGATCGAGCTGGACGTTGACCAGCTTGATCCGTTTACGCTTGTGAAGCTGTACAATTATGTGACGAAGAACACACCTGGTGCTACGGTGAAGCCGTCAGCGTCGGTGCCTGGGTCGTCAGGGACAGCGGGTGCGGCGGGGAAGAGCAAGAAGAAGGATCAGAAGAAGAAGCTTGCTAGTCTGGAGAAGCAGATTAAGACTATGCAGAATTCGGATTCGGATGACTCGTCGTCGTCGTCAGAGGAGGACTCAGACGAGTCGAGCTCGGAGGAGGAGTAGCTAATTGTATTGAAAGAAATGCAATCTGTATATTTTTTACTATTGAAATTTGTTTTTGTGTTGATGTTTTTTTATATTCTATATACATAGTGTATTGAGTGCTTGGGTGTCTTTCTTTCATATTACTAATATTTTTCTATTTTATCTTGTTTTCTTTCTGTTTGTTAGTTTGTGAGATATAGTAAGCTAGCAGGGAAGGAGAAGGAGAGTGTACGATAATACCAATGGAGGCGAGAATTACCAGACGAGAAGAAGCAGAGAAGAGAAGGCGATGGAGGTGGGGAGAGGCTCGGAAGGTTGTAGGCCGAGCGCAGGAGCGCAGCAGCCACGGGCTTCACTCGCCCGCCCGCGTGGGAGCTGCGAGTTAAATAAGACTTGCGCTCTCCGCCACTTTTTCCCTCTTCTTCTCTTCTTCCCCGACCTCTCCACACACACATCCCTTCTCTACCTCAAGTACTCACCCACACTCAATCACACAATGGTTTCCTCTCTCGAGCAGCTCAAGGCCACCGGCACCGTCGTCGTCTCCGACTCTGGCGACTTCGAGTCGATTGCCAAGTACAAGCCCCAGGACGCTACCACGAACCCGTCGCTGATCTTCGCTGCGGCCAAGAAGCCCGAGTACGCGTCGCTGATTGACGCCGCTGTCGCGTACGGCAAGGCGCACGGCTCGACCGTCGAGGAGCAGGCCTCGGAGGCGCTCGACCAGCTCCTCGTCGAGTTTGGCCGCGAGATCCTCAAGATCGTGCCCGGCCGTGTGTCGACCGAGGTCGACGCCCGTCTGTCGTTCGACAAGGAGGGCACGATCGCCAAGGCGCTCAAGATCATCGATCTCTACAAGGCGCAGGGAATCGACAAGGACCGCGTGCTCATCAAGATCGCGTCGACCTACGAGGGTATCCAGGCCGCGCGCGTGCTTGAGTCCAAGTACCAGATCCACACCAACTTGACCCTGCTGTTCTCGTACGTCCAGGCTGTTGCCTGCGCCGAGGCCGGCTGCACCTTGATCTCGCCCTTCGTCGGCCGTATCATGGACTGGTACAAGGCCTCGACCGGCAAGACCTACACCGCCGAGGAGGACCCCGGTGTGAAGTCCGTGCAAAGCATCTTCAACTACTACAAGAAGTACGGCTACAAGACCATCGTCATGGGCGCTTCTTTCCGCAACACCGGTGAGATCACCGAGTTGGCCGGTGTCGATTTCTTGACCATCTCGCCCAACTTGCTCGAGGAGCTCTACAACTCCGAGGCGCCCGTGCCCAAGAAGCTCGACGCCGCCGCTGCCGCCACGCTCGACATCCCCAAGAAGACCTACATCGACGACGAGTCCACTTTCCGCTACGACTTCAACGAGGACCAGATGGCGACCGAGAAGCTCTCAGACGGAATAAGAAAGTTCGCGGCCGACACTATCCTCCTCCTTGACGTCATCAAGGCCAAGATCACTGCTTAGGTGTTTGTTTCCATGTTTACAAAAATGTTCAAGTCAAGTCTGAATAAATGCTCTATTATCTAAATCAGTTTAAGTATCAATTGCGTAGAAGTAGACTAGACTATTCGCGATAGAGAAGGTCAATGGTGGCATAACCGGAGCGCTCGCATCCGGAAGTCTTTTAGCCGAAGACAGGGCCAAAGACCGCCGGCAGAATCTACGGTAATTAAGCAATTACATAAGCTCTGGTGGCGCGCGCGTGCGGCTGCTGCGATGACGGCGATGACGGCGATGACATGGGCCAGGTGAGGCAGAGATCAGCGGTGGGAGAGAGAGGAGAGGAGGAGGAGGAGGAGATGATGGAGTATTAGAGGAGAAGTAGAGCAAGAAGAAGGAATAAGAGAAGGAAGGAAGAGGAAGTAGGAAGAGAAAGAGAACAGACTTAAGACGATTAAAGGAATAGACGGGAATTAAAATAAATAAAATAAACAAATCCGGATTACGTCGTCTTCTGTCACTCGACTCTGCTCGCTCCACTCCTCGCCTCCTTCTTCTTCCCTTCTTCCTCTACATCATCTGCTTCTTCTACTTCCTTTATAACTACTCTATAAACCACTACTCTCACCATGGGCGGCTTTTCTTACACATTCAAATGGTAACCACTTCCACCTCTCTCCTACTCTCTCCTCCCACTAACTGTTCTCTGTTCAGGCCCGCTGATCCACCCGCAAACGAAGTCTACGTCACCGGCTCGTTCGACAACTGGTCAAAGTCCGCTCCACTCGTCAAGGAAACCGACGGCTCGTGGACGGTTTCAGTCCCTCTTCCTAAAGAGAAGATCACTTACAAGGTACGTGCGTGCGTGCCACACATCCCGGCTCTGGATCTATACTGATTTTTCTTGCTGTAGTTTGTCGTCGACGACCAGTGGCTCGTTGACCCCAACGCAAAGATCGAGCGGGACTCGTCCGGCGTTGAGAACAACGTTATCGACGAATCTGACGTCTCGGCTCTATCCTCATCCTCTGGCGTCATCCCCGAGAGCGGCATCCCCATCGCTGCTGCCGCCGCTGCTCCTGCTCCTGCTCCCACCGCCACCGCTGACTCCTCGTCGTCTGAGGCTACCCCTGCCGCGCCTGCTGCAGACAAAGAGACGTTCACGACCGAAGACCACATCAACGCCCTCAACGCCGCGCCGGGGATCGTCATTCCCTCAAACATAGCCCAGATCCCCTACACAAACTCAGAGACTAACAAAGGCACCAGCACGAGCACCACCGCCGCTCCCGAATCGCTCAACGCGTTTAGCGCAGCTCCGGGCCCCGTGCTTCCTAATAACCCGCAGATGCTAGCTGCGTTCGACAAGAAAGAGAACGAGCCAAGCTCGACGACCGCGCCCACGCCGACTACGACTGCCGCAGAGCCCACGGCCGCGGAGACAGCGCCGTCGTCAGACGCGGGTGCTACTGCGCCAGAGGCGACGCCGACTGCTGCTGCTGCTGCGTCGCCAGCTTCGAGTGAGGCAAAGAAGCAGAAGTCTTCTATTTTCGATAAGGTGCGCAAGATGTTTAAGTAGTCTTTCTGCAGAGTTGATGGAGTGTGTGTTGATAAGTGTGCTGCTGTGATCTTCCTTGTACTAATCTCTATTTCCTTTTTCTAATAATTTTGTTTTTTTTCTTTTTCTGCTGTTATCAATATAATATTGTTTTTGTCAGCTCGCTTGTTGATTGTTGGTATCGTAGCTTATACTCCATTCACCTCTAGACCTCCTCGAACACGCCGACGACGAAGATCGACAGAGCCGACTGGACCGGGATCGCGTTTGCGGCGGCGGCGGCGGCGGTGCTGCTTATTGCGGTTGCGGCGGGGTATCGTTACTATTACTGAGCGCTTCTGTTACTGAGTGGTTGGGATTTGCTTGAGATGATGTAGATGTTGCATGTAGTATGTTTAAGAGTGAATATTAGGATTATTCATAACTAATAAAACAAGATAAGGAATACAAAATGAAAACGCCGAGCAGAAAGATGTGTACCAGACGAAAAAAACTAAACTAAAACTTGAACGAAAAAAAACTAGAAGAAAGCAAGAAAACTAAAGAATGCTTTTCAATTATTTGACGCAGACGGGGTCGACGCCAGAAGCGATGTTGCACTGGTGCATGAGCCGGTGACCTTCAGGCCCAAACTGGCCGGTGACCGAGTGCCAAACACCTCTGTTGAAGAAGATGACGAGGTCGCCCTTCTGCCAGTCGTGGAGGTAGACGCGGTCATGCGTAAGCTGCGGGGTCATGAGCGAGTGGATAGTCTGCCGGGCCTGATCGAGCTCCTGCACGCCGTTGGGGGTCTCGAGTTTCCAGATGCAGCAGCCGTGGACTTGCAGGTGGTGGCGGCCAGTGACGGGGTTTGTCCAGACGAGCGGCAGGCGCTTGATCTTTGCGTCTTCCCAGGGCGGCAGCTCGTCGAGCGGGGTCTCGAGGCCCTCGGAGACCATGGTGAAGCCGTCCGAGGTGGCTTTCGCGCCGGAGATGTAGATGTAGGGGTGCGGGGCGTAGACGACGGTGGTGCCGAGGGCGAACTGCTTGAGCTCGTCCGAGAGGGAGTCGAATGCGTCGGCGCCGGAGATGAAGGCGGTGGCGGCGACGTCGGACTCAAAGACGACGTCGGAGTTGTCGACCTTGATCTTCTGGCGCTCTCCGGACGGGCAGTCGATGCCGAGCAGAGTGGTGATGACCGGGGGCGCGAGCTCGTAGAGGGCAGAGTCGATGTGCCACCGGTAGAAGCGCGTGTATCCGTCGGCCATTTCCTGCTCGGACAGGGGAGTCTTGTGGAACGACATGTGGGTCGGGTGGCGGAGGGTGAGTTTCTCGACGCCCTCGTGGCCGTCGGCGTTGCCCTGGCCCAGGATCTGGACCTGGGGCTGCTTGATCACGGACGAGCCGTCGTTGCGGAGGACGGACTTTTCGTGGCGGAACTCCTTGGAGTGGCCGTAGGCGCCCTCGCAGGTGGGATCGAAGCGCTTGGTGAGCAAGTACTGCGAGGTGGGGTCGAGGTCGGCGAGGCCGGGGAGGACGACGACGAGGTAGGTGTGCACGGCTTTGTAGAGGCGGTCAAAGTCGGCGTCGTTGAGGTCCTTGGGGTCCTTGGCGTAGGACGGGAGGATGATGCGGGCGCCGAAGGAGCGGCCGGGGAGGGGCTCGACGCGGAGGATGTCGGCGGGGGCGGGGGAGGTTTGGGTGATGGTAGCGGTGGCGGACATGGTGATGAGGAAGTGAGTGGAGAGAGATGATGAGGAGGAGGAGGAGGAGGAGAGGAGGCGGGGATCGGGAATACTTATAGAGGACGACGAGATATCAGAGATTGCGGAGACGAGTCAGGACGGCGGCGGCGAGAGTTTAGAGTGAACGCCGCACATCCGCGCAGCCGATGGTGGCTGATAGCGATGACTCGGAGCTGTCGAGTGGAGTAGTGGAGAGGAGGATGGAGATGATCTTTGAGATGATGGTATGATATATGATGGTAGAACAGCTAGAATAACTAGAATAACAAGAAGAACTACTACAACTACTACAACTACACCAACAACCACTCATCACTCAATAGATAAGTATTCATATCTACTTCACAATCGTGCCAATCAGTCGCTGACTCTCTTTAGGCTCACGCTCAGGCCTCCAACTCTTTCGGTCCACCGTCGTCAGCGGCGTCGCACTTGGCCGACGGTTTCTTGGTCTTCTCCGATCGCCAAACCCACAGATTGAAGATCTTTCTATTGTTGATTTGCTTCTTTTGTCTTTTTCCTTGTCTTTTTCTTGTTTTTGCTTATTCTTTTTTGTCTTTTCTTCTGCTTTCTGAGTGTCCATCCCGCCGGCCGTATTCCCTCTTCTCCTACTCTTATATCCTCCCTCCTCGCCTGCGCTCCGAACTCCTCCGAACTTCGCTTGCTCGGATGCCTGCGGTTCCTTTCTTTAATAACGCAAAATCAGTCTAAGCCCGGCGGTCAAGCCATCCCCATCTTGATCTTCTTGATCTTCACATCTTTGCTGTGATACCGCTGTGATGGCCTGCTCAATAGCGCTATACTATCTCTCAGCACACACCTAACCCACTGCTGACATAACAATTATGTAATACCTTAGTCATTGTCTAAACTCTCGCCAGCGCTGCTCGTAGCCGAGCCTCTTCCTGTGGAGTGTTCAGCACCGCTGCTTAATGCGATTGCTGTCTGTGTTGTTGTTTTATGCGACTGGATATCTGTTTTGATATGCGATACTATCAATAATACCTCTTTTCACACTGACAGGTCTGTTGGTTATAATACCGCAAAGTTAGTTGGGCATAAGCGTGCATTGTCCTCAACTCTTTATCAAGTCCCGAAGCTGAAGTTCAGCACAGAGACTCTACCCGCAATGAAATTCTCATTCCTCTTTGGATCGGATCCTCATTCCTCCTCCTCAGACGAGCACCATGATCATGATCATCCTGAACAGCAGCAGCAGAACGATATCCCCGACCGCCCGCCGACTCCGGAAGGCCCGGAAGACCCGATCCTGCTTCCGAACGAGGTGATTCTGCAGATTTTCCCCCGCAAGCTGTGCGCGTACAAGGAGACGCCGTCGCAGAAGCCGTCGATGTTTAGCTCGGTCGAGCCGGAGTATTTCCACTCGTATCTTGCGCGGCATGCTATTAAGGGGGGGCTGTGGGTGACCACTATGCGTGTATGTGTGTTTGTTATAGTGGTTGTTCTGATAGATGATAGAGGCAGGGACTGATTAATCCTCATATAGTTGCTGCTTGCTCCACTACAAGCTGGGGTTAAAGGCGCGTCGATGGATATTTTGGATATCGTGGAGATGAAGGCCATCGAGAGCGACTTACAGGTCTGGTTCTTTCTTGCCTATTTGAAGAATGTAAGTGCCTCTGCTTCTGTTTTCTTCTTCCATTCTCCTTCTAATCACTCTCTAGGGCCACATGTTTACTGCGCCATTCTCTACGCAATCTCGCGCAAAGGCATTTCTGAAACTGATCCACAACCTCCAATTCGAGCACAAGGTACGACAAAAGCTGCCGCCGCCGTACCGCCGCAGATCCGAGTCACTGTACGATAGTCCGCGCGGGTCGATCGTGCTCTCGCGCAACGACGACGAAGAGTCCGACGAAGCAGCGGTTGAGGACGCGATCGAGGACGAGGAAGAGGAGTGGGACGAGAACGACCGGCATTTGCCGTCGTATGCCGAGTCTGAGGACGCCGTCGAGCGGTATCTGATTGACCGCGGGCTGCTGTCGGAGGACGGCGCGCCGCTGATGCCGACGGAGTCTGTGGAGAGTGGCGGTGAGGAGCATGATAGGAGCGAGAACGAGCATATGTCTGGACGGGGTATTCTGCGACGGACGAGCACGTCGGCTACGGTGACTCGGGCGAGTGTGGCAGAGAGAGGAGGAGGAGGAGGAGGAGGAGGGGCGGTGGAGTCTACGGCAGCGAGTAATGAGTTACGAAGGATATCCAGCCGGGAGTAGGCAGGGAAGGAGTGTACGATAGAGCAGAAGTAATAGAGAATCACGATAGAGAATAGAAGAGGACAAATGGTATGATTCGAGATAGAGGCCAGAATCGCCGCACGGGACACGGCTCGCGGACAGGAAAGCCGGTCGCGATTGGCGGGTGATTTGCGGTGATCACGGGCGGAAGGAGGGAGGGGGGGTGGTAGTGCCGCGAGAAGAAGAAAGAGAGTAGAGGATAGTAGAATAGAATAACAAGATATACTAAAACAAACAACAACAAAACAAACAAAAAAGACAAGAAAAGAACAAGACCAAAAAGGTAAACAAAAGAGAGTGGCGCAAGTGGTGAAAGAAGTTGAGTTTTGTGCCGCACAATTGTCGTCCGCCGCTCTCCGCCTGAATTTGCTCTTCACCGCCTTCCACTTTCTATCTCGCTCCCTTCCTCTCTCCTCCTCGCCCTTTGTCTCTTCTTTCCTCTGCCTTCTTCTTCATCTCTTAGAAGACTACTCTGCTCGCTCGTAGCCTGGCGTCTTTGAGCTGTGCGTCGGAATTACTCTTTTTCTTGCCAACAAAAGGAGCTTCTTCTCTCGCCCGCTTTCCCCCTGTCCTCTGTACGTCTATGCCTCTCTTTTCTCTTTTCTTTCAATCCTTTTTCGCTTTGTCCCTTCTTTAGATGTTCTTCTTAGCATCTCTTTCATCTCATATTGCTACTCTCCTCCTTCAACACTCTCACCTCCGCTGACCCTGCTGACTCGGTTCTTATTTATAGATTCCCGCTCTCGCCCTTTGTCCTCCGCCCGCCCCAAACACCCGCCACAACCGATCCAAACCGCCTTCCTCCCTTGATCCTCTTTTCTTTTCTCCTTCCTCCTCTTCTTCTTCTACCTCTTTTTCTGGTCTTCTTGCCGCGCGAGTCTTTCCCTCTCCCTCTTCCTGCCGATCTCGCTATCCCCCTCCCGCCCTCTCCCGCCCACCCACCTTTTCCCTCTTTCTTTCCCACTCCTTCTAGCCTCCTCTCTCTTCATCATCCGCAGCCATGTCTTCCTTGGCCACCATGTAAGTCCACCTCTCCCTCCCTCTCTTTTCCCTCGCCCTCCCCGCCCGCCATCAACCCTCCCCGCCACCCTCAACCACCTCGGCCGCTCGCCGCCGCTGCCGCCGTTTAGCCCGATCGACGTGACTGACGTTCCGTCCCGTCACAAACCGCAAACACTCTTCCGCGTCCTCTACCCCACCCACCCCACCCCACCCCACATCTCACCATCGTCTTGCGTCGCCATTTCTTTTGTCTTCTATTCTTTGCCTAGTTTTTTCTTATCTCGCGGGAACCGGCAACTTCAGAACCCCGGCAGAATCGGTTGATCGGCGTGGCTTTTTTTTACATCAATTTTTTATGCATTTCGATCGACCGTTCTTCTAACCGCCGTTTCTTTCTACGAATCTCAGGGACCTCCGCATAGGAAACAAGTACCGGCTGGGCAGAAAAATCGGAAGTGGTAGTTTTGGAGATATTTATCTTGGTATGTTCGCCCTTGTGACTTGGCTTTACAAGAACATGCGGCTGTCCCCATATGGAGTCACTGCTCGTGTAGACACTTTGACGAGATGCTAACGTTTGATTATAGGGACTAACATTATCTCGGGCGAAGAAGTTGCTATCAAGCTCGAGTCTGTGCGTGCTAAGCACCCTCAGCTTGAATATGAAGCCAGAGTGTAAGTCTAGAAGTTAGTCATTTCCAGATAGTACATAATGCTAATGATTTGATTAGATACAAAATTCTTGCCGGAGGTGTTGGTATTCCGTTTATTCGTTGGTACGGAACCGAGTGCGACTACAACGCGATGGTGATGGACTTGCTTGGTCCCAGTTTGGAGGATCTCTTCAACTTTTGCAATCGCAAGTTTTCGCTCAAGACGGTCTTGCTTCTCGCTGATCAATTGGTATGTAGTTGATGTAATTTCTGCTGATAAATATTATGATGCTGACAATAAATATTCTAGCTCGCTCGGATTGAGTTTATTCATGCAAAGTCGTTTATTCACCGCGACATCAAGCCCGACAATTTCTTGATGGGAATTGGCAAGCGGGGTAATCAGGTCAATGTGATTGACTTTGGATTGGCAAAGAAGTTTAGAGACCCGAGATCGCACATGCATATTCCGTACCGGGAGAACAAGAACTTGACTGGTACTGCGCGCTATGCGAGTGTGAACACGCATCTTGGTGTTGAACAGTCTCGTCGTGACGATCTTGAGTCGCTTGGCTATGTATTGATGTATTTCTGCCGTGGATCTTTGCCGTGGCAGGGATTGAAGGCTGCGACAAAGAAGCAGAAGTACGATCGCATTATGGAGCGGAAGATGTCTACGCCGACGGAGATCTTGTGCCGTGGATTCCCGCCGGAGTTTTCGCTCTATCTTAACTACTCCCGTTCGCTCCGGTTCGACGACCGACCGGACTACACGTATCTCCGAAAACTGTTTAGAGATTTGTTTGTGCGGGACGGATTCCAGTACGATTATGTGTTTGACTGGACGATGTTCAAGTACAGCCAGGCTCAGGTCCAGAACGCGGGCCAGAGCCAGAACGCGGGTGCTTTACCGGAAGCGCAGGCTGATGACAAGCAGGAGCAGCAGGAGAAGGAGATGCGTGTTGCGCGAGCGACGGCTGCTGTTGGCGGGGGATCGTCGACTAACCCGTCGGCTGTTGCGCAGGCCTCGATGATGACGGGCAGTGGCTCGCGACCGGCTGGCCAGTCGACTCCCAGCCGCCGCAAGGTTGCTGATTGGCAGGCCGCTCGTGATGCGGTTGATCCTGTTGCGGCAGATATTGCTCGTCGTGCCGCTGGCGCGGATAGGATTTTGCGATCGTCGGCCAAGACGACGCCTGCGACGACGCCGACGGGGACGCAGCCGCAGATGGTTTCGCATTCAGTTCAGCAGCAGCAGCAGCAACAGCAGCAGCAATACGCGCCTGTTCCGCAGGCCATGCCGCAGCAGATGCAGTACCGTAAGGACGACAATACGCAGGGAGGATCGGCGAATATCCCGCAGCAGTGGTACTAAGTGAGTGAATGAAGTGAAGTGAAGTGAGACTGGGCGAAGGTCCAGATGGACAACCAACTACCTTTTTATTTATTTATATTGAACATAAATAGCCTTCTCGAATGCCTGAGCCATCTCACACTTGTTGATTCGTCGGAGTCTGTAAGAGGACAGAGGGATTAATAGTGTGGGGGAAGAAGTAGTTCAAGCGGGAGTAAGTCGAAAGTTATGGAAGAGGTTATAAATAATGCGCTAGCACTTGATATTCAAGCAGAGAGAGAAAGGAGTCTCTATCTGTGTTGTTTTCTGTTTATTGATAGAGAGTAAGTCTGGAAGACAGACGAAGAAGCCTCTATGTTTTGTTAACTCTGGCAGTCTATTTGTTTCGTGTTTTTCTTGATTGTTTTTATTTTGCAAGTGCATCTTGATCAGATATCGATCGATCGATTCTCTCTTTAATGTTTATTGTTGTATTTGTTTTTACTGTTGCTTTGTTGTTTGTTGATTGCGTCCGTCTTGATGTTTTGCAGCCGGGAGAGTCGTTTGCTAGAATCAGTGATTGCTGATTGAAAAAGTGCGCGTCAGGCGAGTCTCGGACTGAGGAAGTGGCTGTGGGATGTCAAGGGGATGTTGATTGAAGGAAGCAGTAGTAGAGATGAGGAAGTTGAAAGTACTGCTTTGGGGGTGGTTTGATTGATATTCATTCTCTTTGTTTTTGTGAATTGCTGGAATCCGAGGTACCGATACCACTCGAGGGCTCCAAGCGAAGTAGTTGTGCTATTCTATCTCTATCTCTATTCTATTATATTATTGTTGATCCTATTATATTCCTGTTAACTACTTCTAAATACCCACTGTTATTGTATTTGATTGTAGCAACTACTCAGCCTGGGTTAGGGCCGGTTGCTGCTCAGCTGGCCCGTTCTCGCTGCGTCGGCCTCCTCGCCTTCTTCTCTCCTCGCATCCCCCATCACCACCTCGCCTCCTCCGCAATGTCCTACAAGAAGAACGAGGACCTCGACTCCGGCCCCGGCGGCTCCGTCATGGACAAGATGACCGTCTTCCAGGACTGCATCGCCGGCTTCAACTCCTCGCCCATCCAGCCGCGCAGGTGCCGCGTCCTCCTCACAAAGCTCACCTACCTGCTCTCCACCGGCGACACCTTCGCCCGCGACGAGTCCACCACCCTCTTCTTCTCCATCACCAAGCTCTTCCAGCACAAGGACATCGCCCTAAGGCAGATGGTCTACCTCGTCATCAAGGAGCTCGCAAAGAACGCGGACGACGTCATCATGGTCACCTCCTCGATCATGAAGGACACCACCGTCAGCTCCGACGTCGTCTACCGCCCCAATGCCATCCGCACTCTCGCCAGAATCATCGACGTATGTCTTATTGTTACTCGTTTTGCCCTCCGCGATTCGATTGCTATCCTCAGCCCCCCATAACCGCAAACACTGACCTCCCCTTTTCTCTTCCCTCTCCAGGCCTCCACGATCCAGGCTATCGAGCGCCTGATGAAGACCGCCGTCGTCGACAAGCATCCAATCGTCTCCACCGCCGCGCTCGTCAGCTCCTACCACCTCCTGCCCGTCTCGCGCGATGTCGTCCGCCGCTGGACAAACGAGACCCAGGAGACCGTGCTCGCGCAAAAGATGTTCCCCCAGTACGGCGGCGCCAGCGGCATGTCGGGCCCCGCGCCCTCCTACATGACGCAGTACCACGCCCTCGGCCTGCTCTACCAGCTGCGCTCGCACGACCGCATGGCGCTCGTCAAGATGATCCAGCAGTTCTCCGGCGCAGGCGGCTCGCTGCGGTCGCCCGCCGCCGTCGTCATGCTCATCCGGTTCGTGGCGCGCGTGATCGACGAGGACCGCAACATGCGCCGTCCGATGAACAGCCTGCTCGTGGGCTGGCTCAAGCACAAGTCCGACATGGTCAACTTCGAGGCCGCGAAGACGATCCTCGAGATGAAGGACGTCACCGACGAAGAGGCCACGCCCGCCATCGCCGTCCTGCAGCTGTTTTTGTCGTCGCCGCGCTTCGTCTCGCGCTTCGCCGCCATCCGCATCCTCAACCGGTTCGCCATGGTGCGGCCGCAGAACGTGAACGTGTGCAACATCGACATTGAGTCGCTCATCAACGACTCGAACCGCTCGATCGCGACCTACGCCATCACGACGTTGCTCAAGACCGGCAACGAGGCCAGCGTCGACCGTCTGATGAAGCAGATTACCGGATTCATGAACGACATCTCGGACGAGTTCAAGATCATTGTTGTGGATGCCATCCGCAGTCTCTGCCTCAAGTTCCCTGCCAAGCAGGCGTCCATGCTCTCGTTCCTCTCTGGCGTGCTGCGCGACGAAGGCGGCTACGAGTTCAAGCGCGCAGTCATCGAGGCCATGTTTGACCTCATCAAGTTTGTGCCCGAGTCCAAGGAGGACGCGCTGTCGTACCTCTGCGAGTTTATCGAGGACTGCGAGTTCACCAAGCTTGCCGTGCGCGTGCTGCACTTGCTGGGCGAAGAAGGCCCCGGCACGAAGCACCCGACAAAGTACATCCGCTACATCTACAACCGGGTCGTGCTCGAGAACTCGATCGTGCGCGCCGCCGCCGTCACGGCACTGTCAAAATTCTCGCTCATCGAGGACGAGTCCGTGCAGGCGTCGGTCAAGGTCCTGCTCACGCGCTGCCTCGACGATCCCGACGACGAAGTGCGCGACCGCGCCGCGATGGCGCTGCGGCTGGCGACGGTGCCGACGCCGGTGGCGAAGAGCTACCTTGCGCCGGACTCGGTGCCGTCGCTGGGCGCGCTCGAGCAGCAGCTGATTATGTACGTGACTGGCGGGCCCGACGCGGCGAGTGTCGCGTTCGACATTTCGACCGTGCCATTCCTGACCAGGGACCAGGTCGACGCGGACAACTTCCGCGCGAAGGTGTCGTCGACGATGCCGGTGATTGGCTCGTCGATGGACGGCAGCGGCGCGGGATCGGGCGCCGGAGCGGGCGCGGGCGGCAAGGGCTCGCCGTCTGCGGGCGGAGCTGCGTCGTCGTCGTCTGGAGCGGGTGCGCACGAGGACAAGACGCAGATGTACGCGGCCGCGCTGGCGAAGATTCCGGAGCTGCAGGAGTTTGGCGCGGTTATGCGCAGCTCGAACGTTGCGGCGCTGACCGAGTCGGAGACGGAGTACGAGGTGCGGTGCGTGAAGCACTTGTACAAGGCGCACCTTGTGCTGCAGTTTGATATCGAAAACACGCTGAAGGACACGGTGCTGGAGGATGTGTCTGTGATTGCGACGCCGTCGGAGGATACGTTTGAGGAGCAGTTTATTGTGACGCTGCCGAAGCTCGAGCCCGAGAGCCAGGGCACGGTGTACGTTGCCTTCACGCGGCCGGAGGGCGAGTACGAGACGGTGTCGTTCTCAAGCACGTTGCACTTTATCAGCAAGGAGCTTGACCCGTCGACGGGCGTGCCGGACGACACCGGGTACGAGGACGAGTACCAGGTCGAGGACGTCGAGCTCGGGGTGGGCGATTTCCTGGTGCCGACGTATATCGGCAACTTCCAGCACATGTGGGATACGCTTCCGTATGAGGCCTCTGAGACATATGGCTTGGAAGGCGTGAACGGTCTGACGGAGGCGTGCGAGAGCGTGATCTCGAGTCTGTCGCTGCAGCCGTTGGAAGGCAGCGAGCTGCCGCTGCAGGCGGCCACGCACGTGCTCAAGCTGTTTGGGCGGACGGTGCAGGGCGGGAAGGTGAGCGCGCTTGTGCGGATGGCGTATAGTGCGAAGAACGGCGTGACGCTCAAGATCACGGCGAAGAGTGAGGAGGAGGTTGTTGCGCCGATGGTTGCGGCGGCGATTGCCTAGTGATAGATGATGTTTATTTCAGTTATTTAAAAAAGAATTTAGTAATGAGTATAGTAGTGTGTGTAAATTGATGATGCGATTGTTTTATTATTGTGATTAAATCACTTTTGCGACCGTTGTAGGTTCTTTACTATCTTAGCAACGTGGTCCTGCATATCGTGATAAGTCATGAATTCAGTCTCTTGAATCGCTCTGATGACTGCGACAGTGGTCGCGCACGAATCCGAGTTAACCCATATCCGCCCATTTCTACCGACCGCGATCTCAAACGCAAGCGTCTGTCCGAGTACATCAACAACCGAAAGTCTTCCACTATTTGCCTTTGCGGCCGCAGCCGACGACAAGAGCAAGAGTCTGCGCGCAAGACCGACGCTGATGTCTGCGACCATGCCGCCTTTCAACTCGCCAAACCCCGCCTCTTTGCCCGTCCGTTCGTCGAAGCACTCGAGTTCAGGCTCGCCGAGCGCAAGGGACATGGCTGCTACTCTCGCGTAGACGACCGTGCCTGGAAGAAGGTTCGGGCGGGTTTTCCTGCTGGCTGCGTTTGCGAACGCGGACGCGGCGAGGATGCCCTGGGGTGCGGTGGAGGACGGGAGAAGGACTCTGTAGTATGCGTTTTCGAGGTCGCCGAAGCGGGAGGCGACGGTGCCGATGACGACGTCGTGCACGGCGGGCGTGTAGCGGCCTGTCGAGTTGTCGACGTAGATTGTGGTGGTTGAGGTTGTGGGTGTGGATGTGGTGGATGCGGTGAGGGCGCCTGCGCGCACGGGGAGGATGGTTGAGGGGGGGATGTGGAGGGTTCCGGGGCCGAGCTGGATCACGGGCTCGGAGGTCGAAGGAGGGATGACTGAGTCGAGCGGGATCGGGTCGCCGGGAAGGACGACGCCTATTTGTGTGGCCATTTTGGTGGAGATGAGGTGAAGATGAGGTGAAGAAGTGAAGATGAGCAAAGTGAAGATGAGGAAGAAAAAGCTCAAAACACGTGCGGCGCGCGATGAGAGCCACCTTCTCTCCTTCTGATCAACGACTATCTACATTCACATCTCCACATCCACACACCAGCACAATGCAGGTCGAAGTAGACCCGACCGAAGACACAGAATGGAACGACATCCTGCGCTCGCACGGCATCATCCCCGAACGCCCGCCCTCGCCCTCGGTCGCGATCGAAGAAGCTCTCGGCCGCGCGCTCGAGTCCGCAGAGCAGCACCGCTACTCTGACAAGTCCGACTCCGAGCTCGACGACCTGCTCGCAGACGACCCCGAGGGCGACGAAGCAGAGTCAGAGTTCATCGCTAGTTACCGCGCAAAACGCCTCGCTGAGCTACAATCCCTGCAGGCCCGCGTCGCTGCCTCAAATTTTGGCGCGGTCCTCCCGGTCGCGAAACCAGAGTACCAGGCCGAAGTTACCGACGCCAGCAACAAATGCTTCGTCTTTGTCCACCTCTCGCTGCCAACGAACACGCAGTCAAAGCTCCTCGCCGCCCTCTTCGACCGCGCCGCAAAGACCTTTCCCGAGGTCAAGTTTGTGGATATCCAGGGCGCGCGCGCAATCGAAAACTACCCGGACCGCAACTGTCCTACTCTCCTCGTGTACAAAGACGGCGATGTGAAGAAGCAGTACGTCACGCTCGCGCTCGTCGGCGGAAACAGCATGCGCATCGACGATCTCGAACGGATCCTCGTCGACGTGGGTGCGGTGAAGGAGTCTGATCGCAGACTGTCTGATATCAAGCGGGCGCGGGATAAGAAGCTGCAGGGCGATGCTTACTATGACAGCGACGACGAGCGCAATAACGCGGACGACGAGGACGATGATCTTGATGATTGAGTTATATCTAATATTTGTACTATATTTGTATAACTGTATCAAATTAAGAAGAATATGAAAAGGAAAGGAAAAGGAAAAGGAAAAATGCAGCGTAGCTCATAATAAATAGAAACCTCAAACAGAAATCAACATCGAGAGGAGAGGTGTACAATAAAGCAATCCATCTTTGACTGAATATCAGAAGAAAAAGAAAAAAACAATTACAATGGCAAATCATAACAAACTAAACTGAACCCAGAACACCGTTACTTTGAGCTTAGATTCCGACGCCCGCCTTCAAAATACAAGTATCCTTCATACGCGCCAATATAAAAAGAGAAAAGTGGAAAAAAAAGAGAGAAACAGGAAATATATAGTAAAAACCAATCAGATGTCACTTCTCAAAAAGAACAAGAAGAATAGGAAAAATGGCAACTCTCAAAGTCACAAATGTGAAACATAACGTCGTCCGCCCGAGAATGCATCAAGAGAAATATAATAGTACACAGGAGAAAAGAATATGTAGCGCATCTATCGAAACATAAACTTTTTTAAGAAAAAGATTATCAGACAATAGCAGATATTTACTGACTGCTGCTGCTGCTGCCGCTCTCTTCTTCGTGCTCGTTCGCAAACAGTAGCAGAGACCTCTCGCTTGAAGGAGTCAGGTTGTCCATCCGAACACTATTGGTCGACGAAAGCTCGTCACCCACAACAGCCTCATCGTTTATGTCAATAAGATTCTGCGGAGCACTTGACGACGACGCCTCAACAGTAACGACGCTGTAAGGCGAAGAAGATGACGAAGCCTGCTCTTCATCAGAGCCAGACGCAAGATACGGCTGCTGCAGGTGCTGCTGCTGCGACTCTTCTAAATCTGTATTGCTGTCGGTCGCCAGCAAAGGCATACTACTGCTGCTGCCGCTGCTTCCATCTTCGCCAGCGTTGGTCACGTCGCGCTTGCAGATCGGACAAGTGCGTTTGCGCAGGGTGAGCCAGGGAGTACTATCAAAGGAAAAAAATAACGGTCAGTCACACTAGTCACACGCACTAAAGAAAAAGGGATGCTCACATGCAGCTCGAGTGAAATTCGTGGCCACAGGGCAGACGCATGACGCGACTGATGGCAGGAATATAGTCCTCAAGACAGATTACGCACTCATCGGATGAGCCCCAAACCTTCTCGTGAGGGTTGGAGTCAACGCCCCACGTGCGGACGGGGAGCGAGTCCACGAACGCCTTGGGAGCCCGGTCACGCATGCGCTTGTAGCGGCGGTGGAAGAGCAAGAGCGCGTAGATGAGCGAAAGCGAGAGCAGGGGCGAGAGCAAGAGGAAGAGCAGCGTGTCGAGCACGGGCGACGGCGGCTGCGAGGGGATGATGGAGACAGAGTCGAGGAGGGCGAGTGCCTCGTACGAGGCGTGCGAGACGAAGAACGAAGGGATTCGGGCCTTGTGCGTGTCGCCTTTGGCAGACATGGTGAGCAGGCCGCGGGAGCCCTCGACGTCGCCGACGATGACGGCGGACGCGCCCCAGCTCTGGAGGTTGAGCACTTTCTCGTAGAACGAGCACTCGCCACGGAGGACGAGCGCGATCTTGTCACGCAGGTCCGGCGCGGCCTGCACGGAGCAGCCGTGGGAGTCTAGCACATAGAGCAGGCCGGAGAAGGCGACGGCGGGCTGGTCGTCAGAGTCGTCAGAGAGCACGAGGGTCGGGCCAAAGGCGGCGGGGCGGGCGGGGAAGGTTGTGTTTGTCTGGGGGGATGTGATGATGGCCGAGAAGGGGGCCAGGGAAGGGGCGGCTGCGGAAGAGGAGGACGAGGTCGAGGAGACGGATGCGAGCAGGAGGAAGAGGCCGACGGTGAAGACCGCGGAGAGCAGGTACGCCCGGGGGTTCATGGCAGCGGACGACGAGGCGGAGGGGTGGAGGAGGCGGAGGAGGAAGACGATGGCGCTGACGAGGACGGAAGGAGGAGGCGGGCGGTGGAGCACTTTAGATACTCTGCGGGCCGGCGATGCGCACCGCCACAATCCGTGGCACGGGCCTACGTCATGTGGATCGCGGGCGTGGCGGTGCCTGGTTTCGTTGTTCCTGGAAGAAAGTCCCGCGTCCGAGGGCAGTTTCAGGAAAGCGCTCGCTGCTGAGAGTATTGTGAATATTCATAGATGTTGTAGATGTTCACGATAGTAGAACAGATGCAAGTGGAATCGCTGTATCAGCAGCCAGAAACACCACCTCCGCGCAAAGAGGGCCCGGCACTGATCCGCATGCTCCACGTCACATGTCTTTTTTTCTCGTCTTCTCTTCAATACTTCCACATACGGAACCATCAACACAAACTCCTCCCGCACTTCAACGAACCCCGAGCTCGACCTGCCGTCGCTCCAGCGCCTGACTGCTCACCTGCAGACCTCCCCTCACCGCTGACGAGTTCTTCCGCACCAGCTGCGGCCGCGGCTCCCTCGGCTTCTTTGTTCGCGCTCTCGTGCTCTCTTTCTTCTCCTCCTTTTTCTCCCTCTTCTCCTTCCTCTCTCTCCTCCGCCCCCCGCCGCACCTCTCCACTAGCCCCCCGATCTCCTCTGCCAGCCGCGCTCCGAAACTTCATCCATCGCTGTTAGCCATCGTCCATGCACAAAAAAACACAAAAAACACAAAAAAAAACACAGGATCACCACTTACTATGGAACCACGACCTGCAAGCAAAACTCTCGCACCTCATCCGTCTTCTCCCGACCCGCGCCTTCCGCTGCCGCTACGATGATAGACTCCACATCGGAAACCATCTGCCATATGTACAGTCGATCCAGTAGAACTTCTACTAACGTCCTCAGGTTCTTGGTCTCCTCGTTCTCGTGCCCTCTTTCCTCTTGCACACTGCTTCCTTCCGTAGACTTTTCCTCCTCAGCCCTTCTTCGCTCCCGATCCTGCGCTAGAATCTCCAGCGCAAGTATGATCTGCATCTTTGTCCTGTAGCATAAAACCATTAGCTCTCTCTCTCACTCTCTCTCTCACTCATCTCCACCCCACTCTGCCTCAAATTTACAACTTACTCTCGTCGCTTAATTTCGTCAATCTTCCGATTCCACAGCTTTGGTTTCCGTACCTCCTCATCCTGGTCCCACCATCTTCTGATATACTTTTCCTCCTCCTCCCCGCCCTCTTCCTCTTCCTCAACCCCCATCCCAGCCACCTCCTCGCCATCATACTCCTCATGCAACCGTCCCAGCCTCTCCCTCAATCCCCGCCGGTACTTTTCATCGCTCGCCCCGACCGTCATCACGATCTGCGACAGCACTTTGATGATCCTCCCTGAATCCTCCCCGCACTGTCGTCGAAACCTCGTCAGCCCGAGCTTTGTGAAAAACGTCAAAGCCGACCGAGAAAGATAGAGCGCCTCGTAGTAAGCCCTCTTCATACTCCGCGTCAACTCCTCCATTGACATCTCAAGACTGCAGCTCTCAGGCACCTCCACCGGCCTCACAGCCGTCTCTGTCCTGATCTGTTTCTCCTCCTTCATCTCTGATGTCCGCGGCGGAGCCATACTGAACGAGTTATACAGCGCGTGGTGTTCGCCCGTAGAACTCGGCACCGGCCGCGCAAGTCGCCTCCAGAACCCTTCAAAGTCACTCTGCACCATCTCGGCCTCGCATCCTACCTGCTCTGCACCAACCCCTCCCGCCGCCATCGGAAGCGTTCGTAGCATCTTCATCTTCACCGTCTCGGGAAGTTTCGTCAGCATGTACACGTTCTCTTGCACATACTCTATCGCTCCCAGCCGCTTTTCATCCTCGATCTTTACGAACAAAACCTCGGAATTGCGCAGTCCTTTGAATCCGGTCGTCGAAAACGCCCGCGAACTAGACTTCTCGCCGCTGAATGTAGACAGCAGGAGCAGCGAGATCGGAATCATATCCCTAGACACGACCTTGATGGGTGTCATTGTCAATTTGCTGGATAGTCCGTTACTCTGACATGGCTGTATGACGTGAACTGTTAGTATCATTCTACTCGATCGGACAGATGTCAAACGTACCTGGATCGAAAACTTTTGCAAGTACGCTGGTATGCCGCTGCACGTCTTTTGCGACCCGCCATCCGGCAATTCAGACACCTCAGGCGGCTCCACGCGCTTCTCAACAACCCTCTCTTCGGCTCGACTGCTCTCTAAAACTGAGGCTGGCTCAGGAAGCGCCAAAACCGGCCTCCGCTCGTCCACAGGCTTCGCCGCATTACCGACCACAGGCGTCCGCACATCGCGGTTCTCCTTCCCTCGCGCCTGCAGCAGCGGCTTCATCTTTCTCGCAGTCGGCAGAATAGTAACAGTCGGTCTCACCGGCCCCGTGATGATCTCCAGAGGTCTGCGACCCGTGTTTTTGGAAAACCGGTTGACGGTCGCCATCAATCCCCCGCGCACCGGGATTCCTTTCCGTTTACTGCCGCTGCTGTTTGATAATGTCCTTGTCTCTGTTGAGAACTGAAGCAGCGAAGATGAAGACGATGTAGAAGCGGACTTGCGCGCAATCGGCAACGCATACGGTAACGTCGGCGATGACGAATGCGTCGCTGATTGGCTTCGTTTTGCTACCGCTCTCGGCGCTCTGGATGGTGACCTCGGAAGCGAGGCAAACTCTGTCTTGATCGTCGTCGTCGTTGATGATGACAAGACTGGTAATTCTTTCTTCTGAGTAGAATGATGGCCATCGCTGCCTCCACTCTTGCGAAGCATCTTTTCAGTTTCTTTAGGAAGTTTCGCTCCGTAGCTACACCCACGCAAACAACCATTAGCAGCCTCGCCACAAATATAACTGGAAATATCAAGCAACTTACAAAGGCAGCACAACCGACACCGCAAACTCGCGCACGCCGCCGGTTTTGCTCTCGTTATCCGCAGATTGGATGATGAAGTCGAAACTGGAGACTGCTTGCCAGATCAGCAATCGATCAAAGAGCACGTCTAGCAGTAGTGTGAACTTTGTCAACTCCTCTGGTGATTGTGATTGTGCGTGTTGTGAGGAGGATGGGGATGATGTATGTGCTTGGTCGTCTTTGGCGGCGGCGAGGATTTCCAATAGCAAAATGATTTGCAGCTTTGTTCTGCGAGTAGACATGTCAGCAAACGCCTCTCCTTCCCTCACTCTCTGCAGAATATACTCACTCTCGCTCCTTGATCTCATTAATCTTCTTCTGCCGACCCTTCATCTTTCGAACTTGCTCCTCAGCATTCCACCATCGCTGAATATACATCTTCTCCAAATCAAGCGACCCCAGCCCCACAACAGACATCTGCACATTCTCAGGCACCTGCACACGGCCTTTCCCTCTCTTTGCTCGACCATCGCCCGACGAGAACATAGGCAGGCCGCCGATCACGTCGATCTCGTCATTGCCGTACAGACCTTCAAATTCAAGAAGAATGTTCGGCAGTCCAGATTTATACTTGACGTCAAACTCGCCGACCGAGAGAATCATCTTATTCAAAACGTCAGTGTGCTTCATCTCGCTGCCTGCGCAGAGCGAGCGAAATCTCTGCAGCGTGAGTTTTGTGAAGAACGTCAGCGGCGATCTCGACACGTATAGAGCTTCAAAGTAGAGAGTCTGGAAGTGTTTGAGTGCCTCGTGCGCAGTCTTTGGTGGTTGCTGCTGTGGAGAGTCAGTTCCGTCTCGTGGGCGCAGAGCAAGCGGGGTTGCAGGGGTGGTATTCACAGCTGTGTTCATAGTCTTTGATTTTGGAGTGATTGGGGTAGAGCTCATAGTATCGTTGGCAGCCGCCAAAGTTGGCGGCTTCATAGAGAAATTGAGAGTCAACGGCGTATTCCGCACGCCGTTCTTCATATCACTGACTACCTGCCGCGTCAAATCAACGTCTCGCCAGACACTCTCGAACCCATTCGCGCACTCGCGACGGTCGTCAATATGCGTGTCCTCACTGCTCAGCAGCGGTGGTGGAAACCCTCTCATCAGTCGAGGCCGCCTCCGGACACCTGGTGACGACAGCGCGGGCGTGGTCGGAAGCGCTCGAATATCTTTGATCTTGACGTGCGCGGGCAGGTGCGTGAGCATATAGACGTCCTCGTCCAAGTACTCGACCACGGCAAGTGCTTTCTCTTCCTCTATCTTTACAAATAAAATCATCTCTTCCAGATCTGGGTATACCATCGAGAATGCGCGCGATGCGCCAGGAGCGCCTGGGATTGCTGACGATTTTGCTGCCGATGTTGACGATGTTGATGGTGAAGAGGATACAGAAGTCGCGCCGGCTGGGAAAAGCAGCGAGACCGGAATCATACAGTCGCATGGAATCGCTTTGATCGGGGTGATTGTCAAAACCGACGAAGCCAGGAAGGACGACTCGTGGTATGGCTGCGCAAACATTTGTTAGCGCTAGATCAAATCAGAACATGCAGCAGAAAGCAGAACCGTGAGGCAAGTGCGAGGGGAACATACGTGGATCTGAAAAATTCGAATATAAGGTGCTGATGAGCGCGCCGTCTGAGGTCGTCGTTTTCGAGCAGATGAGTGGGTTGGTGAAGACGAAGGCGGAGGAGTGAGACGCATTTCCGCGCGCGACGCAGGGTCTTTCGAAGACAGGGCGCGATTGTTGACAGTCGTCCTAGCGACAGAAATACAAAGCGTAGAGTTATTTGACTCGTAGATCATTAAATCAGACTCAAGTTCCTCGGGATCTTTTGCTGTTGAAGACGTCAAAGGCTCTTCATAAAGCTCGATCTCTTCTCTTCGCCGCGAGGTCAACCCGTCAGTGCCGACATACACCGCGTCTCCAACCATACTCTGTTTCTCTCCGCTACCTTGTAAAGCAAAGTTATGCAGTCAAAAACCCTATCAGTACTCCTCACTCGCGGTGCATGCCATTCTGTAGCTGGTGTATACTCTACTCGCTTTCCCTGCTCTCTGCCTGTCGGTCGTGAATGGGAAGCTTGCAGTGAGCACGACGCGCAGGCTCGTTGGGACGGAAGTCAGCTTATGTTGGGTCATCGTAGACCCCAATCTCACATTACTGATTCTGTATTAATGTGCGCATTTTTAGTATACAAGACTCGACATTAGAGTTTAAACTTACCTCCGCGGGCGCGTCGCGACGCGTTCTCGCGCGTTCACAGGCTCTTGATACAAACACCGCCCGCCCCCGATGGCTCCGCAGCGAAAGAAAGTAAAGACAGAGTACTCTCAGAGCAGACTTGCTGCGTTTGCAGACGGTTTTAGATTTCCCCGCAGACCAAGGTTACATGAGCTGATGAGACCGCGGCCGAATGACGGCGGAGGCGATAATCAGGCTCGGCTTTCGAGCTTTACTTCAGAGAGCGCGGAGACTGCTGCGCGGGGGAGTTCTATGAGTGAAGTAGGAGAGCAGGAGGTTACCGAAGACTCTGCGGAAAGACGTGAGATAAAAGAGGAAGTGGACGTGTGGGAAGATGCTAGGTCGACCAGTATCGAGCGATCAACGCTCAAGTCTGAATTCAACGACGACAGCCAGAGCCAGAGTTTCAAAGCAGCTCAAGAAGAGTATAACGGATATGGCGACATGGTACCCTCGTCATCGCCTTTGCTGGACAGGCGACTACGGTCTACGTCGTCCGAGGCCGGCGAGCGCTCGAATGGATGGGAGGAAATGAAGCGCTATGTGGCCAGCTCCGATACCGAGGAGTACTACCAGGACTCGCCGAACTCGAGTCCGGTATCTGACAAGATTTTGGGGGATGACGCGAGTTTGTTGAACCGCTGTGGGAGCTCGCCGTTGAAGAGCAGGACAATGGAAAGCAGATGCGGTGTCGAGTACGATCGCGTGAATGCAGATCAAGCAAGTCAGCGGATGATCTCCCCTGGTTTACCCAGACGAGCAGGAAAAGAGCAGAGCGGCACTATCATTCTCAAAAGTTTTGAAACGCAAGTTCCAGATTCCTATGATGACCCGAATACAGTGACGAAGACCGAGATGATATCTCGAGCGTGCCAGAGACAGAATACGACAGTCTGGAGCTGACGCCAGATCCGATGTCCGTAGAGCGCGACAATCTTCAAGAGGATATCACGGTACCGAGCTCGCAGTGGTCGGAGTGTGAATCTGAGATCACGTCGGATACCGAGGACCCAGAGGGGCTTCACGCGCTCATTCTATCCCTCGGGTCTCCGCGGTCAAGGCATCGTCTACTGACCCCTTCGACGCGACTTCGCAAGACGTCCAAAGACGGACTGAGTCCATCGAGAAGGAAGCTGCTGGAGCGTACACGGGCATTATACAGTCCAACAGCCTTTCCGAGCGCGCAGCCGCAGCGCATCAACCAAAGCACCAGAACCAGCAGCACGAATACGAACGACGACAAAGACGCTGCTGCTGACAGTAGCATGCAACTTGTCTTTGATCAGCTATCCCCTCTGAATTCCGCCTCGCCGAGTCAACTCTCGCTCGGGGAGCCACCGCGGATTGCTGATTCAGCTGACGAAAGCAGCAAGCCAGCGACTGCGAAACGATCGCTGTATTCTTCGTTTGCTGCTGTAGCGCAGACTGAATCCGCAGGTCCTAGCGAAGAACAGCAAGAGCAGCCTAAACGGCAAACTCTGAGGTTCCAGCGCAACATGTCTTTCGCAAGCCGTCGCTCGTCGTCCGAGTCGACGACGAACGAAACTGCAGAGGCGGCGGATCGGAAACTCGGCAAGGCGTGCGACAGTTTACTGAGCTCGTTGCCGCTTCCCCAGGACTCTTTATTCTCCATACAACAGCCGCAGGCAAATAGCTGTAGCCTTGCGCCGTCATTGGATTAGCAAATTCTTCACATCAGTCGTTAAGGCAGGTCAGGGGATGTCATTAGATTGTAATATACTTTTGGGCATTAGCGTTTGGAAAGGTTCTTGAAGAGGAAATGTGTAAACTCGAAAACTCTCTAACGCGATGACGAGATCGTTGCTCACCCGCAATCAAAGTCTCCTCATTGAAGATGCACGACCAAGCTCTGTTGAAGGCTTAACTAAGGATACAAGCAAATAAAACAAACATAAAAAACAAACAGTGCTTTTCCGACTACCTAAACAGATCATACAAAAATGATTCATTTCAATTTTTCCCACATTAAAACACACAAAAGAACAGTCGGAGCGCGATTAGTACAAGAAAAAAAAAGTAGATTACAACAGAATCGCTCGTTATCGTATTCGAATCTCGTTTATCGCATTATGTATCCGTCGCGCGCTCTACTTCAGCTAAGCTAAATATATATATATATATAATAGAAAAGAAAGGGAAGAGAGTTGCTTCAGTGCAAGTCTAAGCAAATTACAACTCAAGCTTCTTGGGGATCTCCCAGGGGTTCTCCTGGTTGGTGAAGTGACCGTACGAAGCAGTCTTCAGGTAGATGGGACGGGCAAGGTCGAGGTCGCGAACCAAGAAACCGGGGCGGAGGTCGAAGTTCTTGCGGATGATGGCAACGAGCTCGGACGAGGAGTACTTGGAGGTTCCGTAGGAGTCGACGAAGATCGAGAGGGGCTCAGCGACACCGATGGCGTACGAGAACTGGACGAGAGCACGCTTGGCGAGGCCGGCGGCGACAAGGGACTTGGCGACCCAGCGGGCGGCGTAGGCAGCAGAGCGATCGACCTTGGAGTAGTCCTTGCCGGAGAAAGCACCACCACCGTGGGCACCCCATCCACCGTAGGTGTCGACGATGATCTTACGGCCGGTAAGACCGGCGTCACCCTGGGGACCACCGATGACGAAACGTCCAGAGGGCTGGATGTGGTAGATGGTCTTGTCATCAAGGTACTTGGCGGGGATGGCCTTCTTGATGATCTTCTCGAGAATCTCCTTGCGGAGGTCCTCGGTCGAGATGGTGTCGGCGTGCTGGGTCGAGATGACGACGGTGTCGACACGGAGGGGGATGGTGGCACCACCCTCGTTCTTGTACTCGACAGTGACCTGGGTCTTGGTGTCGGGACGGAGCCAGGGAAGGGATCCGTCGCGGCGGGCCTCAGCAAGGGTAGAGTTGAGCTTGTGGGAGAGAACGACGGTGAGGGGGAGGAGCTGCTCAGTCTCGTCGGTGGCATAGCCGAACATGATACTAAATGGAAGAGGTCAGCGTGGCTGTCGTCGTAGACGATGGAAAGAGAAGGGAAGATGCATACCCCTGGTCACCGGCACCGAGGTCCTCGAGCTTACGCTCGACGTGGACACCCTGGGCGATATCGGGCGACTGCTGCTCGATGGCGACGAGGACGTTGCAGGTCTTGTAGTCGAAGCCCTTCTCGGAGTCGTCGTATCCAATCTGCTTGATGGTGTCACGGACAATCTTCTGGAAGTCGAGCTTGGCCTTGGTGGTGATCTCACCGAAGACCATGATCATACCGGTCTTGGCGGCGGTCTCGCAGGCGACCTATGAGAGGGAAAGAAGAGAGTTAGAGCGGGGGAGGGGAGAGTGGAGTGGTGGAGGGGCGGACGGAACAAACTTTGGAGAAGGGGTCCTCAGCGAGGCAGGCGTCGAGGACGGCATCGGAGACCTGGTCGCAAATCTTGTCGGGGTGCTATAGGAGGAAGAGAGAGTTAGAGGCCGATGAAGGATTGAGAGGGAAGGGCAATTGAGTAGATGGGGACGTACACCCTCGCCGACGGACCTGTTCGCAACAAAAAAAAAAATTAGCAACCAGACACGTGAGAATGGGGCAAGGTGGACGAGCAGATGCAGGAGCACGAGCAGAGACCGAACAGAAGAACAGAGAAGACGTACTCGGAAGTGAAGAAGAATGTTTCGGACATTGTGCAATTGAGATGGAGAGAAGACGGTGGAGGAGGAGAGAAAGAGGCGAAAGACGAAGGGGCGAAGGAAGACGATAAAAGGGCCAAACTTTCTGTCGAGGAGTCAATTTTTTTTCTTCGCTCGCTCGCGTGGTCTGATTTGGGGCGAGTTTAGTAAGGGCTTGTGCTAGGGTTCGGCTTATTTACACCCAGCCGTCGGCGCACGCTCGCAGTACCAGAAGAGCCCTGACCAGGCCCGTCCCCGGCTTATCGGCCATCGGGAGCTCGTGTGTTTTTGCCAGACGCGAGCAGAGCAGATTAGGAGGGTCCGAAAGGTGTTTTCTTCTGTTTTACTCGTAAAGACGGGGACTCAGAGATCCAAACAGCAGCCGGCCAACCGCAGACGGGCCGGGTACCCACGGCCCCCCTGAGCTGCTATTGCGCAATTGGTCGAAGCCGAGCACGTTTCCGAATACGAAGAACAGCAATTTCGCGTCTATTGCAATTGTAAACACAAGTTGTAAAGTAAACATAAACACTTAAAACAGATAAAAGTACGCAACTAAACACCGTGCCGCCCCCGGTCCTTGTCTTTTTTGACTGCAAATAATGGAGAGCGTATACCAAGCTAAAACGCAAGCAAAGAAGATATGAACAGCGATAAAAGCAAAAGCAAAGGAAAAAGAAAATAATCAAAATCAAAATCAAACTCATATATAAATCAGATCAACTACGTACTCCGGTACTGCATGCTAGAGCGATTCCTGAATGCCGACAATGGAAACCTGCTATTGAACTTGCCCGCCCACACTGGCGTCGAGGTCGGGCCCGGCGTCGACTCGAGCACACTCGACAGATCGCCCTCGTCCGGTTCCTCGTCCAGCTCGGACATGTATATAAACTCCTCCAGCTGTAGATCGCTCTGGTCCTCGCTGTCGCTCCCAAACGCAGACACGTCAAACGCGCGAGCCACCCCGCGCGCTGCCGCTGCCATCACCGACGGCGACGACGGCAGATCGCGCGCTATCCGCATCCTGCTCCTGTTACCGTCCGCCGGCTCGTCCTCTCCTCTAGGGAACGGAGGCGGGCTCAGTGTTCGTGTCGCTAGACCGTTGATCACGCCTATGCGGCGACCGGTCGGCAGAATCCACGACCCAAGTACTGGCGGCTTGCTCGCAGACGTAGAGCCCATGAGGATCTCTGTCGCACGGTGGCCGGCTTTGTGGATACTCGGAGGGGGGAGGTTCTCATCTTCATCAGTAGATTCACCGTCGTCGACTTCGACGTATCCGTTCTTGCGGATCCCAGCGTCGATACCCGACGACATGTCTTCCTTCAGTAGATCAAATCCTCCGTTCTCTTCATCAGCCTCGGACTCGTCAACGTCGTCCGAGAAGGTGTTTGTCCGCCGACGACGGGCGATACGCCGGCGACCGCTGTCATCGTTGTTCTTGCTTCCTTGTTGGTCCTCGTCGCTAGAGTCTCCGGAGGAGAAGAAGTAGTCGAGGATGAACGAGTCGTCATCAGAGTCGTGATACTTGTGTGGCGCGGACGAAACAATGTGCTTGAGCGCGGGGTCGGACTTGTCGACAAAAAGTGATTCGACAAACGTGTTGTCATCTTCTTCCTCGTCGTCGTCGCTCGAGTCCGAGGTCAGCTCGCTGTTGGACACGTCGGCGGTGAACGCAGCCGAAAGAGTGGAGACGTCACCGGGCTGGTCGAAGGAGTACTCTTCGACTATGGCGGCCTCCTCCTCCTTCTCGATCTGCCGTTCGCTCTCCTCAAGACCATCGTCGGCCAGCTGCAGATCAGCGGCATCGTTGTAGCTCCTGTCGTCATCATTATCGTCATCATCTTCTTCCTCTTCCTCCTCATCCTCTTCATCATCATCCGAGGCGGCGGCAAACGCAACCGCGGCCTCCTCGATCTCGTCGGAATCGTTGTCATCATCATCATCGTCTACGTCAGACTCCTCTTGAATGACCACGATCCCTTCGATATCGACGCCATCATCATCGTCGTCGTCGGCGTCGTCGCCATCGTCATCGTCTTCTTCGTGGAACTCAAACTCAAAAGTGGTGCCATCGTTAGCGTCGGCGAGGAAGGCGAGGAGCTGCGAGTCAATCTCGCGGTTGGTCTCGCTATTCCGGCGGCGCTTGCTGATGAAGTGCTTTGAGTTGTTGTTGCTGCCGCTGTTTCCGCCGTTGGAGTTGTTACTGTTGCTGTTGTGGTGGGAATTGTTTCGGTGGTGATGGCTGTGCTTCGAGCGCTTGTTGCTCGGCATGCTGGCGGGCACGACAACCAGATCGTCGGACTCGGCCGAGTCGGAAGAGTAGGGGTTGTTGTATACCACGATCGGCTGCTTGCGGCCCTCGCGTCTGCGCTTCGAAGTGGCGGCGGAGTGGACAGACTGTCGCCGCTTCGAGTGCATGGAGAAGGAGGGAGCGAAATCAGGAGAGGCAGACCCCTTTGGGCTGCTGTGTAGTTTTCGGGCGGGCTTTTTAGAATAGTCGCGGGAGTGTGCAAGCATGGCAGACAGAAGAGAAGCGGTATATCCTGGTGATCATTTGACTTGCAGACGGGGCGCTGGAGAAGAGGCAATCGGAGCGCAGACTCGACCAGGGCTCTGTTCTGTTCGACGAATCCTTGGGCTTTGGTTGGAAATTTTTTTGGGCGAGTTGGGATTTCGGCACACGCTGGGAGTTGTAAGCGGCGCGGTGCTGAGAGAGTTGTGCTGAACCTTCTTTGCTCCTGAACTTTATTGGTGATCCTGAGGAGAGAGTAAAGAGAGAGAAGAGGAGAGGGAAGAGAACAGGAGAGAGAGTAGAGAAGACCAGAGAGAGAACAGTCAGACCATGAGCTCACTCACCTCTCCTTGATCTAACATGAACAGCCTCATCGCATGGTCAAAGGTCGGACTCATCGTCTACGTCCCCGCAAACCAGCCCCCCGACTCCCCGACAAAAGCATTCTCAACCTACCTCCACTGCGTCGACGGTCAACACTGGAGCCTCGCGCCCCCCGTCGCCATCGACGACATCGCCATCGTCCATGAGGGTGCTGCCATCTCCCATCTCAGCTGGTGCTTCATGGGCGTAGATCTCGCCTGCATCGACGTCCGCGGCCGTCTCTCCATCTTCGTCCACAGTTCGATCCTCAACCACCTCACCTGTGTCTACCAGTCCCCCCCAGTCCCTGATCATCCCGGCAATGCTGTCGTCGGATTTAAATGGTGCAACATCAACAAACTTGTATGTGCCTTCCCTATTTTATCTGATTTACTACTCTACTCTCAATCAACCATCTCACTCTCACCACCAGATCCTCATCAACAACACCGCGACCCGCCAAGACAACCACGAATTCCACTACGGCCTCCACAAACTCAACACCTTCGGCCCCTGGCATCCAAACAGCTCCAAACAGGCCTGCATAGCTGTCACAAAGTCCGGTGAGCTTCGCTTCTGGTTCCAGCAGGACGTCAAGTACCAAGAGATCACCTACGATCTCGAGCCCAACCTTCGCCGCGAGGACTACTACTCCCTCTCCTCATTCGGATCTGACAGAGACGACTCCTTCGTCCTTGCCGTCTACTCCAAAACAAACCACATCTTCAAGCTCTTCCGCATCACCATCCAATGGAGCATCGGTACCGTCAAGGCCGGTACTCAGCCAGCCAAACCTGACGTCGACTGGGCTACCATCCAAGTAAAGCGTCTTTACTGCGACGAGCTCTTCTGCCCGAGCGACAATAGACTCGAGCTAAGTCATCTCGAAGTCGTCTCCCCGGCAAATCACCCCGAATCGAGACTGAACGTTTTCGCTATATTTTCTTCTGATTCGCGCTCAACAATACAGAAGATCGAGGTCGTTAGTCTACCTGTCACTCTGCATAGCAACTTTGACGCCCTCGGCTTTAGTCGAAACGCGACCCCCGAGGATCCGAGTGATATCGTTCAATTCAAGGATTTCCACAAGTTCGACAAGCGACTAATAAACTTCAGCACCTTATACGCCGACCAGGTTCTCTCCCTCGCGTTCGCAGACGGTTCCATCGAGATGCGTCAACGCAATGGGTTCTCTGAAAGTGTTCCCATACTCAACTCCCAAAGCATCTACAACCTTTTCGATGCCGGATTTGGCTTCCCGCCTATTTCTGGGGCAGAAAATATATGCATGTCGCCAAACACAGTCGCGTTTGTCGCCCTTGACAAAGCTGGCGAGCTTAAATACCATCAGATGGAACGGATAGTCACAGGTGATGCCAGTGAAGGTAACTCAAACTCGCTTCTAAACAATATCTTTTACTTTTTGTCATTATACTAATTTAGTACTCATCAGTATCACTATTGACTGCAGTTGCAATCGCGCAGCGACACGCAATCTCATGCTTCAGCAACCTCTGCAACGGCGACGTAATGTCAATCGCTGTCAAAGAAGCAAGCGTCCGCGACGAAGAGTTCACATTTGCTCTGCTTCGGCAATGTCACCGAGCAATGGGCTTTTACCTCGACCTTCCGCGTGATGTGCAAGCCGACAAGTTCCTCGTCCTTCCAGCCTTACAGAAATTGCTCAGCTTTCAGGTCTCTCTGGGCCTAAGGGAAGGGTGGAAGCGCACTGCCGCGGGGACTGTTGCGTGGGCAACGCTAAACATGCGGCTGTTTGCGTTCGCAATCACATTCACCCTTAAAGCATCCTCGATGTCAAAACTTCCCGGCAGCCAGCTTCAGGAAAGTGACGTGCGCGCTGAAACCCTTGTGACTTTGCTTGGCTTGACGAAATGGTGCGTGGATCATATGGCGTACCTGGTTCAGGAGATTTACGAGCTAGTTCTCAACCCGGAGCATTACCTTGATCCTGCCACCGAATCCGTGGCTCTGGTGATGCTACTCGGCGGAGTACCCCGGCTTTTGATCCGGTACACACTGAGAGGCCTAAGAGGTCTGGAGCAGATGATTTCAAGGAGCGCGAGTCGTGATCCGGATCATAAATCAATGACGAGGATTGCGTTTAAGCAGTTGGAGGATATCATCAAGACCGGGCCTGTTCAGATAGCCTCTTTCGAGAAGCTGGTGAACGACATTGAGACATTTATGCGAGGCAATAGTCATTCAGGTATGTCTCCAGTAATAGTATTTTCCAGTAGCTGTGTGTACAGGATATCTAACGTATAAATTAACTGCAGATCAAGAGGAGAGACTATTGCTTGAACAAAGGCTGTTCTTCAAAGGGCGCATCCCAGTCGAATTGCATCCGGCAGTCCACCGGATCCGCACTGTGTTTCTTCAACGGATCAAGCCAGAGCTAGACATACCCACGCTCTACTTTTATTCCACAGAATGGCTTGGCCTCGCGGAGATGCACAAGGACGACACATACGAGATGGACGGGTTGAAAAAGCAACTGCTCCTGCCGGGAAAGGAGATCAAGCGGCGCTGCATACGATGCGGCTCGGTCTCCACGATAGAAGATTTGAAATATGTAAAATACGCAAGTAACTGGACGATAGCTTTCCAGCGAAACTGTTTATGTGGTAGCGCCTGGGTTAGAGACTAGAATGGAGGGTCGATTTCAGTACACTACATTTCTTGAATACAAAATAATATAGAGATCATCCAAAAAGTATCTGGGGATATCTGAATTATGATATAATAATATGTGTAGTTAATTGATGTGCGGATAAAATAACAGTCAATAGATTGAGCGGAGAGACACTTTTACTAACAATACAAGTCCCGACGCTAATAAAATACACGCAGAACATCATCTCAGGAAATGAATAAAGCCAGTGATAATCTGCCAGCCTCTCTATCGATACCAAACGAGGAATAACAAGCGGTCAAATAAAATATAAAAACTAAAGCAATGTCATCGCCAACGATAGAGCCGCTATCTGCTCCGTTAGCGCGCAGCTGAACTCGTCTGATCCTCCTTGAGGAGCTTCTCGTATGCCTGTTTCTCAGCGTGATATTTCTCACGATTGGCTAGGGCACGGTTTACATACGGCTATACAAACATGTTTGTTAGTCCAAAGTTTTCCTCTGCTATCAGAATTTTGCTCTTTGCTTACCAACTTCTGGTCCTCCGATAGACTTTTGTAGATAGCTGCTACAGTCTTGAAGCGCTCCGAGATTGGTAAGTTGGCGTACTCAGGAAGTTTAACAGTCTCGGCCAAGAAGACCGTGGGGCCTGACAGAGCGCCATACTTAGGCTTGAAAGGGTCCTGCAGATATACAGTATGAGCAAGATTGAGCTTCTTAGCTCGCTGTTGCCGACGCTTGTTTTCGAGCGCAACTCCTGCCGGCCCAAGCTTGAGAGCAAACTCTGCAAGCTTCTTTTTGGTCTCAATGCTACGTTCTTTGGCCTCTTTCTTTAGCTCCTATTGAATAGCGATCAGGTTAGCAAACAGGGGACCGGTGATACGGCTTAGAGTAAAGAAATCTGAAATGTCGAACCTCTAACTCTGCAGTCGAGAGTTGTTTAAACGCTTGCGAAACCAAACGGGCGCATTCGGGAGCCTTGATGTTGTTGGTTTCTTCCGGATGCTCAGCTCTGTATTTCAGAAAGAAAACATTATAAGGGCTCATTGGTCCATGCGGCATGTCAACCGGTTTCTTGATTCTCTTCGGAGCTGCCTTCACAGCTTTCTTCTTCTTCGGAGCCTTCTTCGGAGCCTTCTTCGCAGCTTTCTCCACAACTTTCTTCTCCTTCTTCACAGCCTTCTCTCCCTCCTTCTTCACGGCCTTCTTCTCCGCAGTCTTTCTGGCAGCTTTCGGCTTTGCTTCTTCGGACTTGACTTCTGCGGCAGCTCCCGCTGTCGTATAGAATTTGGCTGCGGGCACAGCCAGTCGCTGGAAAAGGCCATACGCAGCAGCTTTAGGGACATGCAGCGCAGATCGCGACGCGATGGTCGACAACTGGCGTGTCACAGCGTAAGCAGGCACGCGCGTGGTGCAGACAGCGTATTTTAGCAACATCACGTCAAATAAAGTCTGGTAGAAGTCGGCTAAGATTGCTTCTGTGGAGATGACCCGGAATATATAACAAAAATGGGGCGGATCAACGTGCGATCGTGTGCTTCGCGGTGGTTCGAGGGATGAAGCGAAATGTTCCAAAGCGGCATGCCTTACAGGAAGTTGAGGGTTCGGGTAAAAAGTAAACAAAGGTACAAATCCCTTCTGAACAGACTCGAAGTCAACTATCAGGTACTGCCATATTTCTTCTAATTCAAATCAATTTCCGGTTTTTAAAGCCACAGCTTTCGCAGCTAACAGCAACACATAAACGCGAAAATGAGCGACTTTCGCAAGCGTCGTCGTGACGACGTAGACGCGGACCGCGACCGTGACCGTGACCGCGACCGCCACCACCGAAGCAAAAACGGCAGTCATACTTCCAGCTCTGACCGTCGTCGTCGGGACGACTATGACCACCGAGGAGATAGATATTCTCATCATGGCCGTGACCGCGACCGCGACCGCGATAGACGCCGGGATCATGATCGTGCTCGAGAACGGTCTCCGAGAGAGCGATCTGACAGGGTTCGGGAGAGGTCTCCAGTCCGAGAACGATCACCTCGATCATGGGGTCGGGAGCGAGACCGCGATCGCGATCGTGATCGCTCGGTGAGAAACAGAAGTGTCGAGGCGGAACGCGCTAGGGAGCGATCTTACGATTCCAGAGAGAGGTCGCTTGAGCCAAGAGACAGAAAAGATCGCCATGAGAAGGAGTCTAGGAAATCGCCGTTTGACGAAGCAGATGATGCCATGGCACTAGATCATCCAGATCATCTAGGTGAGGACGTGGTAGATCAGTCCACGTCGCATCAAAGAAGTGGCTTCGACGACGACAACCTTGAAGAATCCGATAACGAGGAACCTGATCCGGCGCCGAAGAAGGAAGCAAACACCGCTGCCGATGAAGATGAAATCGATCCGTTGGATATGTTTATGTCTACGCTCACAGAAAATATACCTGATGCACCGGTAGGATTGGGTCGCGGTGAGGTTATTGACGAAGATGACGATCCTCGGGGCGAGGCAGAAGAAATCGATCCTGACGATGTACTGGCAATGACTCAAAAGGTGAAGAAGAAGAAAGAGATACCAACGATCGATCACGCAAAAATGGACTACGAACCTTTCCGAAAGAAATTCTATGTCGAGCCAGAAGAGCTAGCCGATCTGACGGACCAGGAGGTTGATGAGATCAGGCTCGAGCTGGATGGCATCAAAATCAGAGGTGTGGACTGTCCAAAGCCTGTACAAAAATGGAGTCTGTTTGGAATTCCAGCGCAGACAATGGACGTTATACGAAAGCTAGAGTACGAGAAGCCAACGGCTATTCAGGCCCAGGCTATACCTGCAATCATGGCCGGAAGAGACGTTATTGGTGTTGCAAAGACCGGTAGTGGAAAAACGATCGCATTTTTGCTACCCATGTTTCGGCATATCAAAGATCAACGGCCATTGCAAGCCAATGAGGGGCCTATTGCTTTGATTATGACTCCGACCCGAGAGCTGGCCGTTCAAATCCACAAAGAGTGCAAGCCCTTCTTGAAGGCTTTGGATCTTAGGGTAAGTGGTTCTGTAAATCATTATTGCTGTGACGCATAGTACTAACAGTGGTGGAATTAGGCGGTTTGTGCATACGGTGGATCTCCGATTAAGGACCAGATTGCAGAGCTGAAAAGAGGTGCCGAGATTATTGTCGGTACTCCGGGGCGGATTATCGATCTTTTATCCGCAAACTCCGGTCGCGTGACGAACTTGAAAAGAGTGACGTACATCACATTGGACGAGGCGGACCGAATGTTTGACATGGGTTTCGAGCCTCAGGTTATGAAGATCATTGGAAACATCCGACCGGATCGGCAAACTGTGCTATTCTCAGCCACATTCCCTAAGCAGATGGAGGCTCTGGCACGGAAAGTATTGACAAAGCCTGTGGAGATTGTCGTTGGAGCCCGAAGCGTTGTTGCTAGTGAGATCACGCAGATCGTGGAGGTTCGACCCGAAGACACAAAGTTTGTGCGAACTCTTGAACTTCTCGGCGATCTATATAATAAGGATGAAGACGCTCGTACCCTGATCTTTGTTGAGAGACAGGAAGGTGCTGATTCATTGCTGAAAATGCTCATGGCTAGAGGGTACCCGTGCTTGTCTATTCATGGTGGCAAGGATCAGGGTGATCGAGATTCCGCAATCTCAGATTTCAAAAACGGTGTTGTGCCGATCCTCATTGCAACTTCAGTGGCTGCTCGTGGGCTTGACGTGAAGCAGCTGGTACTTGTTATCAATTACGATTCCCCCAATCACCTGGAAGATTATGTTCACCGCGTTGGTCGGACTGGACGAGCAGGAAATCACGGAACGGCGGTGACATTCATTACTCCCCAACAGGAGCAGCATGCGTTCGAAATTGCAAAGGCTTTGAGGTTTAGCAAGCAGCCTGTTCCCGAATCCTTGCAAAAGCTAGCTGACTCTTTCTTGGAGAAGGTAAAGTCTGGGAAAGAGCGATACGGAGCTGGTGGATTCGGCGGAAAAGGCCTCGATAAGCTGGATGCTGCGCGTGACGTTGCTCGGAAACTTGAGCGCAAGGCGTATGGCGAGGATGAAGAGCCGGCTGCTGAGGTCGTTGACTCGGATGACGAAGAAGACGTTGCTGCTGCTGCTGCTGCTCCTGCGGCGGAGAAGCAGCTTTCGCCTGAGCCGATTGTGATCCACCGACGAACGCCTGCTGCTGCTGTTCCTGGGAGCGATGCGAGGGCACATGCAGCAGCGGCTGCTAGTGCGATTGAGCGTGCAAAGCTGGCTACCACACAGCTAGATACCAAGCTCAAGACTACAGGAACGAAGGTTGGTCCAGCTGCGGATAATAAGGGTCCTGATGCTGGAGAATTCCATGCTACGCTGGTTATCAATGACTTTCCTCGTAAGTTTCTTCAGCTATCTGTTTCTGCCACGGTTCAACTTGTTTGCTAACCATTGATTACTCTAATTTAGAAAAAGCAAGATGGGCAGTCACTAATCGGACGAATATTGCTAAAGTTCTTGAGACTACGGGAACATCGATCACTACTAAGGGTACATTTTATCCTCCAGGAAAAGTCCCACCCCCTAACGGCGATCCGAAGCTATATATTCTTGTTGAAGGACAGGTAAGCATTACTACTGTGATTGCACTCTTGACATTGTTACTTACGACATTATCTAGACTGAGGTCGATGTCTCTAGTGCCATGCACGAACTGAAGCGTCTTTTGACCGAAGGCACTGTCGCTGCCGCCGAGAGCTCTGAAACCAGGCCGGGTCGATATACAGTTGTCTGAGCCACAGATCGGAGTAACGTCACCGAAGTATCAATTCTTGCTCGCTCTACTCATGCTTCCTGTTCCTTTTTCTATTTATTTTACTCTTCTGGTTTACTCGTGGACTACGCTTGATCGCTACTACTCTTCCGCCAAAGGCTGATACAGATCGTTTTGAATTCCTACGTCTTGTTTCTCGGACAAGGAATATCCCGTTTCCTTGGCGGGTATACCTATGTTGATTCGGTGTCCAAGCGTCCGGACTCTATATGGTGAATTCGCTACGTATTTCCAAGAGCGTGGAGTATTAAAGTGTCGCGCGTAATAACAAAGACTATCTTTCTTAGGTATTCTCTGCTGTCTTGCCACTCCACTGCAGCTCAGCATTCTAAATCTGTATTTACTTATTCTATTTCTTTTTTTGGGAAGTTCACCGGGTCGTTTATCTTTTCGTTAGTAAATAGTTTTGCATATATGTATAAAAGAAGTTTCTGCCGGATGGCTGTTTGTTTAGAGATAATCATGTATTGCCTGGTCGAATCAAGATAATCACACAAACCGCCTTTTGATCGAATAAAGCAGTAGACTTTGACGACGAAAGATGAGGGCAGTCGGAGACTTGATTTTAGATTCGCTCATTAGGCGCTCGTTTTTGTGTTCTTCCTCTCTTGGAGCTAGAAAAATGGTTAAAGCTGGAGTAGCACTTTTTTCGATATATGTTTTTATGATTTTGAATATACGATCGTGCACGACCTAAATACCGAACCCGGGGACTTTGGTGACAAATTCTGTTCAGTCTTTCCATATGCATGAGCATATACGTCCTTCCTAAATTACACTGTCAGTATGTTTGATCATCACGACCACTGTTCGAGGATCAGATATAAAACAAAAAGAAAAGGGTTTTTTTTTTCTTTCTTGGTTTTACAATACGGTACCGCCGCGCGCTCTTGATACATCAAATACAAAAACACTCTGCTCTCTGCTAAGAAATATAAAAAAAGACACAAAACAACAAAAAAAAAGTAGAAGAAAAAAGCAACGTAAAAGCACAACAGCATAACAGTACAACAAGCCAGCACAACAGCTTGTCATCATAAATCAGAACAGAGCAGCATCAGAGAAGCAGATACAGAAAATACAGAGAAAGTGAGAGCGCGCTTAAAGCGACTGGTGCCAGGATCGGGAAGAATGCATTACGCATACTCTTGAACAAGACCATGAAGCCCTGCTCAAAAATTATGTGGGACTCTGCGACTCTCGAGAAATCGCCATACCCACTAAAACCCGACTTCACCCAGAAGGCAGTCATGGACCGCCCCCGTACTGGTGGATTGTCAACGTTGCGCTTGAACCGCTTGGTCGTGCGGACTCTCTTCAACAACCGTCGCCTCGGGGCTCCCTTGCGACGGCGCAACTTACCAATTGCATTTGTTGAAGAGACGCGACAACGAAGACGTATTAAATCCAATGAGCAACCTGGCTAAAGAAGAAGCTCATCAGATTGGCCGCCCTGACCAACCGCGTCCACCCTGACCAGGCAGGATCCTCGGCGCGTACATGAGACGGTCACGCAGAGGGACCGGGCCGACAACGGCACTGCAGTGCCTTCGAGCGCACTCACCCGGTCTCTGCGCGGGCGGGCCATATACCAGACCGCTTGGTCGAGTAGGCTTCTCTCTCCCCTTCTTCTCTCGCATGCATGGCACGACGCCCACTCTTGAGGGTGTGCAACCACGGAAACGGACCGGAATATGCGACAACCCAACTTCTCGAGGTCCAGCCACAGAAAGCGAGTCCTACCTGCTGTGGTATATGCCACTCTTAGAGAACGCTACCTGGATATTATGCTACCCTGAAAGGCGCGCTATCTGTTCCAGTCATCGCCCCCCAGAGAGTGTTACATGGCGCGGTGCAGTCTGCTCTCAGTACAAGAACGCTACCCACCCGATGTAGTTTCTCTGGAAATGCTCATGGAACAGCGCAGTCTACACTTTGAGAATACTACCACTTCGGTATATGGCACTCTCTAAGAGTGCTACCTGCGCAGTATAGGCTGCTTTCCGACGACTTCACGAGGTACCCTGCCTGTAAGAAAAGAAAGAAAGATCAAAACATACCCTCATCAACCTCCGCCTAATGTTCTTGCCGTCGAGAGAGAGCCGAAATGTCGTCGTTCGTCTCGGTCTGTTGCTGGAAAACAGAAATATCGCTCGTCTCGGTCTGTTGCTGAAAAAAAGAAATGTCGCTCGTCTCGGCCTGTTGCTGAAAAACAGGAATGTCGTTCGTCACGGTCTGTTGCTGGGAAACAGACCGGATATTCGTCGTAGAAGGGACCGTGCCGATAACGGATTTTTTTCGGGCAGGTCATATACCAGACCGCTTGGTCGAGTAAGCTCCTCTCTCCCTTTCTTCTCTCGCATGCATGGCACGACGCTCACTCTTGGGGGTGTGCAACCGCCGCGAACCGGACCGGAATAAGCTACTCCCTAACTTCCCGTGGTCCTGCCACAGAAAGCAAGTCCTACCTGCTGTGGTGTATGCAACTCTTAGAGAACACTACCTGGATATTATGCTACCCTGAAAGGCGCGCTATCTGTTCCAGTCATAGCCGTCCCCAGAGAGTGCTACAAGGCGCGGTGTAGTCTGCTCTCAGTACAAGAACGCTACCCACGCGGTATAGGCAGTTTCTCTGGGAATGCTCATGGAACAGCGCAGTCTACACTTTGAGAATACTACCACTTCGGTATATGGCATCCTCTTAGAGTGCTACCTGTGCAGTATAGGTTGCTTTCTGGCGACTTCACGAGGTGCCATGCATGCGATTAAGAAAAGAAAGATAAGCCTACCCTCATCAACCTTCGCCTAACCTTTTCGCCGTCGAGAGAGAGCCGCGGGATGCTGATAATCCCGATCTATTGCTGAAAAATAGATCAAATCGCTGGGGTGGGACAGGAGCCGAAAACCTGTCCCCGGGGAGGAAGAAGAGAAGGGAGAAGAGAGGGAAGAAGGGCGGGCGCGCTGAAATGTGCGGATCGCGGTTCGGGCGGGCGCGTGTCTGGTGTAATAGGGTTTCTGATCTTGGCCGAAAGTAAACACACTCGACGCGCCGCCCATTTCGTGATTTTTTCCGTTTACAGGTAATTCTCAAGCTCAGCGAATCGCTCAGATACGTCTGACGCATTACGTCGCTTTGTACGGTAGTCTAAACACAGTAGATACTACTATCTTGAATTGATATTTACTTCCGTTGCTCGGCAGCAAGCTCAGAAAACAATACGCCTGTTTTGAACAACTAATATCCTGACGTCGTTCACATCAGATTCGCGCATTACTAGAGTTCCGCGCGCTTTCAACCATATCTATTATAAAAATGAGGATAACGCAACTACAACAAGTTAAATCATTCGAACTATTAAAAATATTATAGGGTGGACATTCTGCATCTTCTTTACAGGTGCGTGCATTATATCCCGTCCTCTTACACTTGCTACAGCGTCGTCCAGTCGACTCAGCGCTCCCCTGCTCTCCACCCTTTCTCGCGTTTCCACCTGTGATTGCTCTCTAGCATCTCTCTCATTTATCAAAAAAATACTCTACATACGTTATACAAATACAGCTCGTTCGTCACGTCCTTGCTTTCTTTCCAAACAGCGCCGCCCGCTCCTCTTCCCGCCGCTTGCGTTTCTCCGCAATCTCCTTCCGCTTCGCCAGAAACTCGACCGAGTGGCCGATGATTCCCTTCCCGTTCGCGTCCGGCAGCTCGTAGACTTTCATGCAGTCGACAGGCGGCACGCTGAACCAGAGCAGTTTCCCGTTTTCGTCCTTCTGGTAGAGGTCGGCAGTGTCGGGAGGGATGCGATCGGTGATGTAGTCTGGCAGTGTGAATGTTGACGGAGGAGGAGGCGGGTTGTAAACCTGGGGTAGAGAGCGGTTGTATTGCGGCGGCATGCCTGGTTGTTGGTACATGCCGTTGTAGTTTATACCCGGCGGGGTCGGCGTTCCCGGTCCGGAGGACACGCCCGAGTTGAATCTAGCGTAATCCGGACGCGAAAGAGTCTTGTTTACAGAGCTCATCGCGCGCTCGACTGACTGGCGCGGGGGTAGCGACATGTTGCGGATGTGAGGCGAGTTCGTGGCTGAAGAGTGGGTAGTAGCCGGAGGAGCGGGCGTGGGCGGATCCGGCGTCGGAGAAGGTTCTCGCATGCTTGGATCGGGAGGACGTTTGTATACTGCTCCGATAATTGGCGGCGCATTTTCAACGCCCATCTTTGGTTCGGGAATTGGATCGTCATCTTTAGCGTCCGGGGGAAGGAGATGTTTGATAGGAGACGGTACCCTCCTTAGAGCGCGCGGGGCATCGAATAGATCCATTTCGTACTCGACCCCACGGATTTCATCGGGAATACAGGCCTTCCATGACCGGATCTTATTGAACGTCTTTTCGTTCTCGTTATAGCGACTCTCGCAGCAGTAGATTATCCGGTCTCTGATTCCACTAGGCCGTCCTCGTTGGTATTTGGTGGAGAACATGACAAAGCATTTGTCGATGACCTCGTCAATCAGGTGATCTCGGTACTGTCCAGACTTGACGACCTCGTTCTCGTAGAAAAGTTTGTCAAACCGATGCACGGTCTGCTCTGGGCGGTAGTACCAGCACACGTTGATCCACTTGCGACCATCAGCCGTTTGCCAGGTTCTGAAAATCTGGCCGATCGTCGGACGTGAGGGATCGTTCAGATTGCTCAAGTGCACCCAGTCTCCGACGCGGTATACATCGCCGCGATACTCGATGCTATCGACCGGGATCCGCGCGTTCTTCACTGATATCTCAGGGTCTTGGTACGCGCTGTCGGGCTTTTTCATCTCCTCGGCGGCGATGTTGAGGACTAGCTTGTGTAAGGCGACAGTGTCGCGATAGATTTGTGAGTTTGGCGCGTTGAATTGCTTTGCGTTGTTGAACATCAGCTCGAGGTCGGCCATGAACGCCTCGACCGTGGGATAGTCTCTGCGTTTGATATTTCGCTACATGTCACATAGTACGTTAGACACATTCGCAGAGAAGACATGCGATAATGCATTGATATATACTCACTCTGATTATATCCAGCGCAATTGGATCTGCAATCTCGCGATAGTACTCGGGATACTGCTTGTTATCGGGCAATCTATCAAAGGGCAGATAGAGAAGTCGATCACCAAGTTTTGCCTTTCTGAGCAATCTCATAATAGTCTTGATTCTGCTCTCGTGTGGCTTATCCACTGTCGGAGGTCGTCCACGTTTGATTCTCTTGTCGTCACCAGCAGCGGCTCCATCGCCGGTCGCGGACGCAGCAGTCGCCTCGGCGGTAGATGCTTCATCAAACTTCTTCCTTGATATCCGATCCGAATGTCGCCGCGCGGCTGCGGAAGCCGCGTCCTCGTTCTCGTGGGCTGCCTCGTCGTCAGAGTTGTCGTCCTCGTCCTCATCGTCGTCGTCGTCATCTGCAACATTGTTGTCCACTTTCGCCTCAACTTCTTCTGCCTCGTCCCCATGCGCCTGTTCAGCTGTGTCAGCAGGCGTAGCCTGCTCGGCCGACGGCGAGGCTTCAGCGGAAGGCCTGTTCAAAGGAGGTCTACCGCGTTTGCGTTTTTGTGACTCGGCAGAAGCAGAGACCGAATCCATGGCTGATGTCGACGTGGCGAGGAAAGAATCTATAATCAAAAAGACCCGGACAGTGCACCAGTCTATCAGACAAGCAGTGTCTAGCAGAAATCGGCGCGCGTTGGTGCTCCACAGACGAGAAAGCGATGCACTGGACGCGATGCTCTGGACTATGTCAAGATTTGGGCAGAAGCCAGCCCTCACTGCGAGCGACGCGGAAGGGGAAGCAAACACGAGGCCCTCGTTGGCTTACATAATCCGGTCACGTGCTGAATTCAGGGGCGTCGACGACGTCAGTACTGGGAACCTTAGTCGGGTCTCGGGCGCAACCAGGAACCGGCCAGAGCACTGCGCAAGATGCAGGCGTCTGAGTACTGCGTCTCGATCTATGGCGCCCTTTCGGGCTCGCGAATGTATGTTGCTGCTGTTGTTGCTGTGGGTTGTTGTGCGCGGAGTAGATGTTTAGAGAGCGAATTGCGATGCTGATACACGCGCAGACGCGAGGTCGAGATCCTCAAGGCGATCCCCCCAGAGATCCAGGCCCTTATCGACGCGGGGGACGACATGGACGGCTTCTATATCAAGAAGTACTATCCTCTGATTGTTGTGCCGCAGGAGCAAATTGTTGGAATTCCGCAGGCGGTGCTGATAACTGCGTTTGCATACGCGAGAACCGTCTTTTACGATCTGATCAAGTGTGCGGCGACCCTTCTGTGTCTTGTTTGATCTTGCTGATGCCGGGAGGTTTCTGATGAGCATCTACTGACTTGCTTTTGTCTGATTAGTGGACAAATGGACAGATGAGCAGGCTCTCGAACTCTGTCGAACATCTCTGGTGCTGATCCTCGTCGGAAGCGAGAACGTCTCGGCGACCAATGCGAGGTAGGATACATCGTCTATTGGATCTTGCGAGGTGCAGTAAGGCTAACAGGTCTGCGTGTTTAGAAAACGCTTGATAGAGGGGAAGTACAAAGCGACGTCGCTTGCACAAGAGTACCACCTCGTCAACATCTTACTGAGCTCTCGTCTCAAACACCACAACAAATCGCCGACGCTGTGGAGCTACCATGAGCATGTCCTGACAAAACGGATACTGCAGTCCCACAGCGACGTAGCAGATCGAGATCGCGTCCGATTTATTGAGGATCTGTGCAAGTCGGAGCTGAACATCGTATTTGTCTCTGCCGACTACCATTTCATGAACTACTACGCGTGGAATCACGCTCGTTGGATCTTGAGCGACATGTACTATCCGCTCATGTACTCGCCCTCTGCGCGATACTACTCAATCGTCTTCATCAAAACTTTTCTCGACTCCATGGTTCGCAAAGTCCAGAAATGGTGCGTCGCCCACTCAGGCGACTCTTCAGGCTGGTCGTTTTTCCGATACATCTTGCTCTTCTACATCACAAACACTTTCCGCGAAGGCTCGTCGAGCTTGCCCACCGCAGCCAGCCAGATCGACAACCCGCTCCTGCTCGAGTGTGTTTCTCAAACAATCAAGTTTGCGACAACTGTTAGTCTTGCGCATGAATCAATCTGGACGTTTCTGCGCAGCGTATTAAGTGATGCGCGGTACGTCAGTGAGCGGACCAAAAACTCGTACGTCGAGTTTATCAAGACGTACGTCAAAAGTCGGCAGTTGGACAAATACACGGTCCCGGAGTCGACTTCGAAAAATGACGAGGTAGTTAAAGAGCAGACGCAGGTGTTGACAGAGTACCGTGATCGCGAGGTTTGTGTGATTGAAGGTGCGCTGGAGTGGATCTCGGTGGTAAGGCATCTCAGAGAAAAGCAACCATCTGCATAGGTGGGGTCCAATGTATTTATGTGTCGACTGGTGTGGGTTATGGAGTCTTCCGGTAAATAATATTCTGAAATAGCAATCAGCTGTGTTGATTTAAAAATATGTAGGAGTACGATTTATAGTATAAGCACAAGGTTACAATTAGATATAAAAGCACACGATGAAAATTACAATAGCCCGCTTATTTCTTCTTCTGCGAGGTGGTGTTCTTGGGCAGCTCCTTGGTGAACGGGATAAACTCCGGCTCGCCAGGGATCCACTTCCGCAAAACCTCGGGCACCTTGAATCCATCCTCGGTCTGGTAGTTCTCGAGGATGCAGCACAGCGTTCGCTCTGTCGCAGTCAAGGTCGAGTTGAGGCAGTGCACGTACTTCTTCTCGCGCTGGTTGAGCTTCTTGATTCCACATCTGATCTCCAGGTTGCGCGACTGGTAGTCGGTGCAGTTTGAGCAACTCACGAGCTCCTTGTACTCGCCCTGGAAGGGGAACCAGGCCTCCAAATCGTACTTCTTGGCCGCAGCGTTATTCAGCTCGCCAGACACGATCGCAACAACACGGTAGGGGAGCTTCAGCGACTGGTAAAACTCCTCGGAGTGGGCAATCATCTTGTCAAACTCCTCCCATGACTTCTCGGGCTCGGTGAGAACGAACTGCTCGATCTTCTCAAAGGCGTGGACTCGGAAGATACCCCAAGCATCCTTACCGTGCGAACCGGCCTCTCTGCGGAAGCACGAACTGTAACCAGCATATCTACATGTTTAACTAGTCAGAAGTTTATTCTCTCGACATGTTCCTCGCATAACTTACCGCTTAGGAAGCTGCTCCGAAGGCTGCTCGAACCACTCGTCGGAGTGGAACGCCGAGATAGGCTGCTCGGAGGTAGCAATCAGGTATTTCTCGTCCTGACCATCCATGACCTTGTACAATTCCTCGTCAAACTGCGAAAGCTGGGCAGTCTTGGCCATGACGTCTTTGTTCATCATGACAGGGGCCTGGAGAGCGGTGTAGCCCTTTGAAGAGAGGAAGCTGAGACCGTAGTTGATCAGGGCCTGGTTGAGGAAGACACCGTAATTTCGGAGGAAGAAGCCTCGGTGGCCGGCAAGCTTGGCTCCTCTCTCGGGATCGTAACCGTCCAGTCTGGTCAAGACTTCGTGGTGTGAGAGGCAGTCACGCTTCTCGACCGTGACACCCTCGGGAACCCATGTTCGGACCAAAGCGTTGTCCTCCTGCAGCGACAGAAATTAGTTTAGTCCATATCAACGATCTTTTTATGTAGACAACGCACCTCATCCTGACTAACAGGGACGGACTCGTGAACAATGTTGCCGACGGTGTTGACCTTGAAGCGGAGCTGAGCATCAGCCTCCTGCTCCTTCTTGCTGAGCTCTGCCTTCTTCGCCACGAGCTCATCCTTCTGCTTCATCAGCTCAGAAGCATCTTCCTTGGCCTGTCCATCAATCAATTGTAAGCTTGGTTCCAATTGTGCTTCTGCCAGAGGGCTAGATACGGTACCTTAAACTTCAAGCCAATATCCTTCTGGATCTTGTTCTGAGCCTTGTTGATCTCATCGAGCTCGAAGCGGACTGCATGGCGGAAATCGGATTAGCATTCAGCAGAAGATCAATTTTCGATGCAGTAGGTAGATACGCACTCTTGGTCCACTCCTTATACTCGTTGATGATCTCGTCGACGATCTCGACTGAATCACCGCGGGCGGCCTGAGACTTGCGGATGGCCTCAGGGTTTCCGCCCTTGTCCTCCAAGAACATTAAAATATCCAACATGTTGTAGTTTTCTGCTGCGTGTTAAACTGTGTTAGCTATTGAGACGTGACTGGTGTTTAATTCAAAAGTGCTTGTATGTAGTAGCTGATAAGGCTGTTTGAAAAAAAATTCTAGAATCCTCATATAGCAGCCTCGCAGCGACTACACGAGCAACAACGACCCCAGTCAAACAGGGTGTAAATGACAGAGTATCAGGCGATATAAAGTACCTTGCGTATCACTCGGGGTTCGTGAGGTGATCAGAAGTGGTGGAGGGTGGACTGAAAACGGATGGGATGAGAAGGAGTCGTTTTTAAGAAACAAAATTGAATGAATTATAGTTTGAGCCTCAGTTCGAAACCTCAACTCTGCTCTTCTAATTCTGAGATATTCACAATATTTCTTGTCGAGAGTAGAAGATGCTCCTTTGTTCAATTATATACAGGAATTATTCAAAAATAATTAGAAGACAAGTAAAAGATATACAGACAAAACCGCGGTAACCATCCGCTTCTAGTCAATACGACAAACCGCACTATATATATACATTACACGAGCAAACAGGGAAAAAGGGAATATCAAAATTGAAGCAAATCGTCCAGAAATTTATCATCGGCAGGCGCTCCTCCAGACGAAGTCGTCGACCCCTGCACCTGCGGTATCTCTGCACTCGTCTTGGTCTCTCTCGGCCTTGTCTCTGCTCGACTGCCCCATCCTTTGACGACTGCAGGCCTGATCGTAGCAGCTTTTCCAGTAAACTCCTGTACCGTAGCAGAATCTCTCTTCCCAGAGTCCTCTTGATCTATCTCTTTCCAGAAATCGTCGTCGAAATCGTCAGCCTGGCTCCTACTCTGCTCCTTCTCCCTCTCCTTTTTAACCGTGAAGGCAACCTGCTTCGGCAGTCTCTTTAACCTCTCGAGCTCTGCATCTCTCTCTTTCACAGAAGCGTGCTTATATCGGTCACGTACGGCCTCTGTAAATTTCAATTTCTCGATCCTCCGATCCGATTCGTAAAACGACGGATCATTGCTATCATATGTCACGACCTTCGCACCCTTCTTGGTAAACGAGTCCGCCAGCGGAGCCACAACCGCCTTCTTTTTCCTTCCCGCCGCTGATTCACTCTGCCCGTCTATATCCAACTGACTCTCAAATATATCGGCCAGCTCACTCTCGCGCTCTTCGAGCTCTCTGATCTTCTTGTCCTCCGCGTCCAGATATCTCGCCAATGCGTCTCCCGCCGCCTGCGATATCTCTCGTTGATAGTTTTCCTCTTCTTCTTGGTGTGCAGAGTTGACGCCGTACTCTTCATCAGCTTCCTGCATCTCGTATCTCCATGCGTTGGACGGCAGATGTTTCTTCTTGCGTCGGATCGGGCGCTCTTCACTATCAGCTGCTCCCTGTGTCTCTCCAGACACAGCATTCGATGAAGTCTGGTCTCCTCCCGCACCAGCCACCCGCTCTTCCGTAGCAGCAACACCTTCCACACCAATCTCCTCTTCCGACTCACTAGCACTCTCACTATTTTCCCCATCCGACCCCGTGAGATCAGACTCAGACTCCCCTGCTGCTCCGCCCGCACTCGTCGCGTCTACCGCAGCGCCGCGAGCATTCCTCGGTTTGGGGGGTACCTGCTGGATACCGTGTTTTTTTTTGTAATTTCGCGTCGCTTTGCGGTCCCATTTACTGTTGTGCAGCACCATTGCTCGTGGTGTGGTGAAGGATGTCGAGTGTGGGTGTGGAAGGTAATTAGAGATTGCTCCCGGCTTTTGGGAGGTTGAAAGTTTACTGAGGTGTAGAGTGAATTTATCAATAATTCAATTAAATAGTTGACAAATACCTGACCGGCTGCGAATTAGCCGGGCAGTAAATTATATAGTAAATTATATTATTTATTAAGAGTTGTGATATCTATATACATGTATCTATAAAAGACCAATTGTCTTCTTCACCTCATCCAAAGTAATCTGCGCAATCTCACTCGCCTTCTCAGCGCCCTTCTTCAACACAAGATCGATATACTCCGGATCCGCACTCAACTCCTCAAACCGCCGTCTAACTGGCGCCATCTCCGCACACACAACATCCGTCACCGCAGCCTTGAACTCGCCATGCGTCATACTCGCGTACTGCTCCGCCACATCGGCCTGCGGCTGCTCCAGGATGCCGGCGACGATGTCAATCAGGTTGGCGACGCCGGGGCGGGACACGGGCTCGTACGTGATGCCGGTTATACTATCGGTCACGGCGCCGCGGATTTTCTTTGCGATCTGGTCGGTGGTGTCGGAGATCATTATCCGCGTCGCGGGCGTGGGATCTGATTTCGACATTTTCTTTGTGGGATTCTTGAGGGACATGATGCGCGGGGTGGGTGCTATACGAGTAAACAGGTCGTTAAACATGAATCAACAGAGCAGAAAAAGATCTTCGGGGAGTATGGTAGAGCGTACTGAGGAGGACTTCGGGGATTCTAAACACGTCAACTTTGTGTCGGGCATTAAAGCGATCTGCGATATGTCGCGTAAGCTCTAAATGCTGCACCTGGTCGTCACCGACCGGCACCAAGTTTGTCCTAAATAAAGCAGTAAACTATCAGTATCAGACAAATTTAGAAGAAAGAGACTGCCATGGTCGTACTGGTAGAGAAGGATATCTGCGGCCTGCAGAACAGGATAGGCAAATAAGCCTAGCTTGAGATTCTTCTGGGCTTCGCGGTTATTTGTCGAAGCGTCGTCTGCGATATTCAATTTGCTCTATACCATATCCTGTATCAGCGCTCATTCTCATAGTCAGAAGAAGAGAGATAACTACCTTCCACTGAGTCATACGACTCAGATATCCAAACTCCGCCATGCAGGTGAGGATCCAGCATAATTCAGCATGCGCCGGTACAGCGCTCTGCACATACAGCACACACTTCTTCGGATCAACGCCCGAGGCAATAATCATAGCCGCGCACTGCCGCTTATACTCCCGCAGCAAGTCCGCCGGCGGCGGAACCGTGAGCGCGTGCAGATCGACGATCGAGAAAATGAGACGCGTCGAAGGCGGAGACCGCGCGCAGAGCCGGCCCCAGGCGCTCAGTGCGCCGAGGTAGTTGCCCAGATGAGCAATTCCTGTGGGCTGGATACCGCTGAATATTGTCTGGGGCGCGTCCCGTAGCTGTTCCGGTACGTTGCGGGAAGTTGGTGGAGCAGCGGTGCTGAACTGGCGAAACGAGAGAGCTTTTGCTGCCCGTCGCGTGGGAAACGCGATTATCCTGCCCATCTATAGAATCCACCAGCCTGTAAGAACACAATTGACCCTTTCCAAGACACTCAACCGACCCAATTCCCCTTTATCCTCTGAATGTCGAGCTCCAGCTGGGCTGAGGACGTTCATTAACCGCAGGTCGGAGAAACCCTAAACAACGCCTTCCGAAAACCGGCGTCCACAAATTTTTATCGCGGCCAGGAAACATCGAGCGACAGCACATCCGACTTTACTGAACCCAAGAGGCCGGAGACTGTTGCAGAACAAAGCAGAAATGAGACCATTAAGCTTGCGATTTCTGCGGACACCAGCTGCTGCTGTCCGGCAGGGCGTGTTTGCGCCGAGGACGATGGCGCGATGCAACTCGACGGAGGCGGGAGTAATCCACAGCTACGACGAAGAAGTCGGCAGACCGACTGCGCTGCCCGAATTCCCGGACGAGAGACTTACCTACGTCGACCCAAAGACCGGGGAGACTCATTTGACGTCGTCGCTGAAATTGTACGAGCGCACTGAGCGTCCGCTGCCGATGAACGTCGAGCTTCTCCACTACGCACCTATTCAACACGAGCGGACGCATAACATCAAGGTGTGCGACCTGGTGCTGTACTCGCACGCGTTGTCACAGGCCGACTTCTTTGCCGACTTTGTGATGCGCGCCGGGTTTTACCTGAAGATGCCGATGAAGACGATACCGCTACCGAAGAAGCTCGAGCGAATCACGGTGGCAACGTCGCCGTTCGCGCAGACAAAGTCGAAGCAGAATTACGAGCGCGTGACACACAAGCGGCTGGTGAAGATCTACGACAGCGACGAAGCGGCGGTGGAGCTGCTGCTGGGATTTTTGCGCAAGAACGAGTTGGCGGGTGTTGCTATGAAAGCCAACTTGTTTGTCAACGAGGCGCTAGAGGACTTTGATATCGAGGCGGAGGTCGCAAAGGCAAAGGAGGCAAGGGAGAAGGCTGAGCAGAAACCAGCGTGGAAGAGCCGGCTTCAGAGACGAGCGGTCCGGAGGGCTGCGGCATCGAAGGCTGCGGCATCAAAGGCTGCGTGATTGGATTGATGTCATAAGTAAGGTCGATCGGTGAATTGTATATAAAGCTTCATAATTATTATATATATTATATATGTATCGTAATAACGCTATAATAGCCCAATGTACTAAAACAACAACAAAAGAAGGCGAACCAGCACACAAACTAATGATCGCAAACGCCCCTGTACCCTTTCAGACCCGCCTTGTAAAACAATAATACTCTAAACCTTTATACTCCTGTACTCGTCCCATTCCGTGTATCTGTGTATGTAAAGGTCCTTATTTACAGATTTCGCGAAAAACGATTCGTTGCCGTAAACCGCGTGCGTCTTTGGCATCGGGATCCTCCGCGACCGGTTGCATGTCGTGTCCCAGATCTCGACCTCGCCCGCCGGACCATGGGCGGAGACGATTCCGTGGAAGAGATACATGCACTGCACGTTCTTCTGGGTGATGCATTCTTGGAATGGGTAGTAGTCGTCTGTATCGAGCGATGCGCGTAGGTCTGTTTTTGACTTGTTTGAGGAGCACTCTGGGTAGAATTTGGACAGAGACTCGATCCCAGTGCGCTCGTCGACCGAGACCAGGGACAGACAGTGGCCGCGATGCAGGACACCCTGTCTGGCGATCGCGTATGTGATTTTGCCGTTCCCACAAACCGGCTGGAACAGACGATCGTAGCGGAACTCGGTTCCAGGTAAGATTCCGATCGAGGCAATGACGTTGCCTTGCAAGTCGTAGGTCTTGGAGTACCCCGGAAACATGAGATTTGTGCGGCGCGGGTAGTCGCTCGCAAACGGCGGCAGCGAGAACAGGTAGATCTTTTTCTCGGCAAAGATAGCGGAGGTGTCCCAGAGGCCGGTGACGGTGTACTGGAACTTGGAGACAAGCTCGCGTGTGCGCAGGTTCCAGACCATGAAGAACTTGTGCGGGGAGCCGCTGGCTATGCTGAAGCGCGCGACGAGGTGCTCGCCGTCGCAGCTGAATGGGTTGAGCACGGCGGGCCGCGACTGCGGAGGGAAGGGGAAGACCATGATTTTCCGGCCTGGAGAGGGTGCAGAAGAAGCAAAAGAAGGGTCTGATGCCCAGTAGGCGGCTTTGAGGTCAAAGACAAAGATGGCATCTTTGTCAGACTCCATCCAAGACAGGTAATTGCCCTTGTCAGAGATCGACATCTCGGTCACGTCCTGCGTGCCAAAATCGAGCGAGCGAGGCTCCATGGTATCGAGTGAAAAGTCCCAGACGAGGAAGCGCCGGTCGGCCTGGAGATAAAAGACGAGGAACGAGTCCGAGAAGGCGGTGCATGAGATCTGGTTCGTCACGCCGGCGCCGAGATGGCAGACGCGCCGGTCGGAGACGTTGAGGGTCATGATTGCGTGCTCGTCGAAGCACTTGCGCAGGAAGCGCTGGTAGGCGTCTTTGTCTGCGGGCGGCACGTGGCCGGTCTGGCTGTCGTCGTCGGGCGGGTGGCAGAGTTTGGAGTAGACGACAGGGGAGGTGAAGGCGTAGTGCCATGCACGTGAGACCTGCTGGAAGCTGATGAGGTCGGTCAGTCGCGGGACGTACTTTGCGACGTCGGCGATGATGTCGAGCGGCAGGTTGCCGACGATGTCAAACGGCCGCGAGGGCAACGGAGCAGCGGTAGCCATGGCGGGGCGAGACTCGGTGGAGGTCGGTGTGGAGATGGAGGTTGGATTGCGCGATGAGCCTGATAAGATAAGGTTCGAGGCACGTGAAGGGAGTTGGGAGGAGGGAGAGATGCGGGCGATGAGTGCAGAGGGCGTCGAGGGTGGACGAGGCCGAGGCAGGAAGAAGGAGGAGATGCAGAGAAGAAGAAGAGGAGGAGGAAGACAAAGAGCAGAGGGGCCGACGCGTTATATTCTCTCGAGGTGGTGGCGGGAGCGACGACGTCTCGGCCAGAGCCCGGGCGACGACGACGACTTAATAATAAATATTCCGCTCCGGTGTTCTGATCTTCATTGAAAGATGACGAAGTGCTCTACTGTTCATTCTGAGTTCATTCTACGGCTGTTATTGACTATCAATGAGCACCGGCACCGGCGTCGCGTCGGAGCAGCAGGGCCGTCGCAGCATAAAACAGGCCACCGGCTACTGCCTCGTCTGCCCATCGCCATCGGCTGCGCTGGGAGGTTGCGCAAAGCCGCTCCGGGTTTTTCCGACGCCGCCCGGGATTTTTCCGTTGCACGTGATTATTACCAAATACTGACATAAGCATACTGACATTAACGAAGGGCCTCGTGCACTGCGCAGCTCGTCCGCGGGCCAATCGCAGCCCAGGCAAAAGTCAAGTTCTCGGTGAGCCTCCCGGCGTCGACAGCCATCAGCGGTCTCTTTTGCAGATATCGAGCTTCAGTCCAGAACTCCTCTTCTTGATCGACAAACCCCGGATACAACGACATCTACAATGGCCGGAGGACACGGACACGGACCCAAGAGCTACTCGGGACCCATCGACATTCACCCGCCGCGACCGCTGTATCGGTACTCGAACCTCATCCTCGGCGCGTCGATGTGGTTCTGGATTATGTACAGACTGAAAGAGGTTTGTGGAGATGTTTGTATAGTGTTTGTGATGGAATGATGCTGACTTGTTTTCTTTTTGTGTGTTTATAGGATGGCCCGGTTCTTTTTGTATGTAGACAATCTCCTTTCCTCCGCATACACCCCAGTACTAACTCATTCACTACAGGGATTCAGACACCCATGGGAAGGCCACCACGGCCCTAGCCACGCCGTCGAGCACAAGAAGGACGAGGAGCACCATTAATTAAAAAAAAACCGCATCATCATCTGCCCTCATCTACACCAACAATAGACCAGACCGCAAGTGACAACGCAACATAAAAAAAGAGAGATGGAGAGAAGTACGGGAACCGGAGAAGGTATCGCCATGTAATGCGAACGAGATATGCGATCTCGCATTGCTCTTTTATTTGGAGATCATCTTCTCTGGCGGTGGATCACAGCTTTCGATTTGCACTGGACGGGAAATCATTTTAGCTTGGGTGTTTGTCTTTAGTCATTATTTTGTTTTTTCTTCCAAATATATTCACAGTCTTAGCATCATTATGTTCTCACGAATGTTCCCACGAATGTTCTCACGAATGCTCTCACAAAAAGGACAGTCGTCGGCTGTTGAATGGACTCAATCTTGGTTCGTTACTGGAACACACCGAGATAATAACAGACGTCTCCGTCAATTTATATTATTCTAACAAAAACGGGATCTTCAAAAGCGAATCTACCAACTCCAATCGATAAACCGGTTATGCAAAAGTACCATGCACTTTTAGAAAAATGTACAACTTTCTCCCCCCCCCCCCCCACAAAAAAACCTAGCAATAGACATCCACCATCGGAACCGGTGAAGTAAAGAAATAAAACTGTAATGTACAGCCACCCACCACTCTCGGACTTGTCCTACAACAACTCGAAATCCTGCGCGTGCTGCTCCAGCAACACCTTAAACTGCTTTCTAACCTTCCTTCGTCCGCCGCGAACCGTGCGTCGGATATGCGTCAGAGTCCTGGCGAGCGACACAAACAGGTATCGTTCGCCGACCCACGCGGCGCCAAAGTTCACGGCCGCGACTGCCAGAATGAAGAGCTTGAAGCCGAGCGTCATTTGCGTTAGGACTAGGAGGTTGAAAAGCCAGCGGGGAGGCACCATTAGGATTAATGTCACGATTAATGTTGTCGCTGCAATCATTGCCATGAACGGGCCTACAGATAATTGTCAGTCTCACCCACAGCAAAATCAAAGCACAGCTTGACTCACGGTTCTTCCTCATAGGCTCACGATACGGCGGTCCAACACTCAACACCATCGCCACAAAGATATACTGATAGCACGACGCCAAAAACAGACTAGTATTGTCCGAGCTCTGCACATGGCTATCGTCCGATCCTGGAATCGGCGGCGTATACCACGGCTGCCGCTTGACCGCCTCCCATATTATAAACTGGAAAAACACGCTGATCACAATCTGGCCTACCAATTTGATCAGAATCTTCTGCGACACGAGGTTCGCTGTCGGGCGCTTTCGACTCAGCACGGGATACGGCTTTGCCCAGGCCACTAGAATTAAAAATATGAAGTTAGCTAGGGGTGTGTATGACGACTTTAAATACTGAAGACACTCACTAAAGACGGCAATAGGCAGGATCAAAAACATGTCAATCATCAAAAACTGGAAATCGCCCAAGTTCGTACCAGACGCGTACAAGATTCCGACGGTGGAAAACTGAATGGCAGAGTACAGCGACATATACTTGAAGCACGAAAAGCTCGTGACAAGCGACGCGCGCCCTTCGCGAATCACATCTGGCACGCACGAGATCTCAAACACGCGACTAGTAAACGGTGCCGCGACACTGGCCTCTGCCTCTGACAGCGAGATTCCGACGTCGGCCGCCTTGAGCGCGCCACAGTCGTTGGCACCGTCGCCGCAGAAACAGACAGAGTAGTCAATCTCTTGCAATTTCTCGACCAGTTCGTGCTTCTCATCTGGGGACATGCGTGCGTAGATGTCGGCTTTGATGAGCATGCGGCGGATCATATCAGAAGAAGCGTAGTTCATGATCCATCTAAACACCTCGCCCGTGATGGCAAGCGTATACTTGCGCATCTCTCTAGCCGACGGCCGCGTGGGAGCATCGGGGTCAACTGTAGGCATAAGCGTCGCCGAATCCAGCTTGATGTACGCGTTGTCGATACACTCCCATTCTATACCCAGCTCGTCGCTGCGGAAATGGGGCACAAAGACAGGCGCTCCGGGATGGATGAGCTCGCACTCTCGGGCGACGCTGATCGCGGTCAAGACGTTATCTCCCGTGCACATAACCGTGCGCAAGTCCGCGGCCGAAAGCTCCTGGATGATGCTCTTAGTCGACGGCTTGAGCTTGTTCTCAAAGACAATAAAGCCGACAAAATCCAGGTCTTTCTCGACATCCTCGCGCTTCAGCTTCTGCGCTTTGTACCACGACATGTTGGGCAGCGTCTTTGTTGCGATGCCAATCACGCGATAGCCGCGGTGCGTGTAGCTCTCGAGCGTTTGCTCGTAGTCCTCGGGAAACGAGTCTGGGTTACAGATCTGCGGGAGGATCTCCGGCGCGCCTTTGACGTAGACCTGCATGTCCGAGTCGCGGTACCGTTTGACGACGACAGACATCCGGCGCAGCTGCGAGACGAACTCAAACATCTTGATGATCCCGAGATTGGCTTCGTCGGGGTCGACAGTGGACGGGTCGGCGTCGTTGTCGCAGGCGACGATCGTGCGCGCGAGCTTGCGCGGCGGCAGCATGATCATCGGGGCTAGACTGTCTGCACCGCTCGATCGCAAAGTCGTGTTTTGAGGAGAGGTTGTAGTCGGCGAGTACCGCTCTTCAGCAGATTCAGGAGCAGGCGTGTAGACTTCTCCGTCTTCTGAGAGACCCCAGCCGGTGAACATAAACATCTTGATGTCGAGCGGATCACCCATGAGCTCGTCGTCAATCAGTTTGAGCGAATGACAGCTGGCCATCGCGTATAACATCGACAAGCGCACGGTCCAGTCCTTTTTCAGATCCTTGGCCGAGGCAGGCACGACGTACTTTGCAGCCGGCATGACATCCGAAAACAAGTTTTCGTGGCGATTGCAGACGAGCACGCCCAAGACATCGAGACCGTCTTCGGTAAGTGTACCGGTCTTGTCGAAGCAGACAATGTCCAGTTTCCCGCCGACGTTCACTCGGTTCGGACTGATGCAGAAAATGTTTTTCTGCTTGAGTCGAGCGAGCGCAATGTTTGTCCCGATCGTCAAGGTAGCCGGCAGCGCGGGGGGTACGACGATAGTGATGAGGTCAAGGGAGCGGAACGCAATCAGGCTGGCGGGAAGACCGAGTCGGATAAAGGTGATTGTGTAGAAAATAAAACCAACAGCAGCCATGGCCGACATGAAGGCGATGTAGATGAACGAGTCGCGATAAAACTTGAATCCAGAGGGCTTCGGAAAGAGCATCGAGCGGACGAGGGCACCTTTCGTAGTATTAAAGCCGGTTCTGACAGCGAGAGCGAGCGCGACCGCTTCAGGCTCGCCTTGCAGATCCTCGCCGTCCTCGGGGCTCGACGCGCGGTCCTGAGGTTTGCGCAGACGCACGATTTTCGTGCCGCAAAAGAGGAAGTTGCGCGCGATCTCGGGCGCGAGAGTGATTCCCGAGTCAATCAGATGGGCCATTGATTCGGGGGTGGCCGAGTACTTTGAGACCGGGATCGACTCGCCGGTGAGCATACTCTCGTTGATGATGCCGTCACCGGTGAGCAGCATTGCATCGCACGGGAACTCGGACAGAGACGGGTCGGAGACCTCGAAGATGTCGCCAGGGACTAGTTCGGTTGAGGGGATCGTGGACCAGTAGTTCTCGCGGAGTACGCGCACACTGCAGACCACACGAGAGATTTCGCGGAGCCGGCGCATGTTGCTTTTCGTTTCGATGAGGGTATTTGTTATGCTGATGGCGGATATGACGAGGATACAGGTGGCGTAGTAGTAGTACTCGTCGAGTGACCAGAGGATCATGGAGAAAAGCTGAAAGATATAGAAAGGGTGCAGGACTTCGTCAACTAGTAGCTTGAACACGGGCTTGTCCTCTATATCGATACTGTTTGAGCCAAAGACGGTTTGCCGCTCGCCGACGGTGACCATATCAAGACCCTTGCGGGCGGCGGACAGGTTGAGCCAGGAGGGGTCTTTCCAGTCATTGTTGAGCTCGAACTTGCCTTCGATGGGGTGGAGGATGAGGCGCATGTAGCGGTAGTTGAAGTAGTGGAGGGACTTGATCGTCGGATCGTAGCCGATTTCGTCGGAGGGCTTGCTGCCTGACTTGTGCACGTTGAAGACGGACGACATGGGGTAGTTGTAGGGCTTCTTTTCGACGTTGAGGAATGAGAGCTCTCCCCATTGGTTCTGGGTGGGTTAGTATTAGTATCAAGAGAGAGAGATGATTGAGGGTGAGTGAGGAAGTACTGACCTCGAGAACAACCCAGTCGCAGTTGGATAAGGGAGCTTTGTAGCCTAGTAATGATACACGCCATTTTGGGAGCCAGCGAAGGATGAGGTAAGCGAGACCACCGGTGGAGACGCAGAGAAGGGTGAGAAGAAATAGTCGTAATGGACTAGACTTGTATCCAGCGAGAGCGATGATGAGGTCCTCTTCGGGCAGGTAGACGGTCTGCTGCATGATCTCGGGGGTGCTTGGCTCTCCGGTAGCGGTTGGCGAGATGTCGAATGAACCAGCGTGGTCGAGCAAGGGCCGATCGGTGGCATCGTTGTTTGAGTAGCGCTTGTAGCGGTCGCGGTGGTGGTGGTCGTCGTCGTCGAGAGCCGCGGGATCGGGCGAGTCGTGGATGATGTGCTGGTTGAAGTCGCCGGAGGAGGTGACGGTGTGCAGGCTGTGGATCTCGTCCATACTGTCGCGTTCGAGGGCATGGGCGCGGGCGTAGGCCTCCTCGTCGTTGTCGATGTCGTAGCGATAGGGGTGCATCTGGCGGTCGATGTCGTTTGCGCGCTCGACGGCGGCGGCATCGAAGAAGCGGAAGCTGCGAGTGGAGGAGACGGAGGTGGAGCGCGAGCGCGAGCGGGCTAGGTTGTGGAGATGAGAGTGGCCGGCGGGGTCGCGGAGATGGGCAAAGGCCGAGATGGAGGAGGGGACGCTGTCGGGGGCGGGGCCGTCGAAGGGCCCGTCCTGGGCCATTTCGCCATAGTAGCTGCGTTCGGTGAGGACCGAGTCGCGACGGGAGCGCTGGCGGCCGCGGATGGAGGCGAAGGAGGAGGAGGAGGCCGAGCGGGAGAGGGCGGAGGAGCCATCGGGGTAGTCGGGGTCGTTTGCGAGCGGGTCAGAGGAGTGGTCGACGACGGCGGGGAGGGGGCCGGACTGGAAGGGGAGATGGTCGTGGTCCGGGCCGGAGAAGGACATGGCGGTGCACGCTGACGCTGAGAAGAGAAAGCAGCAGCAGCAGCAGACAAAGAAGAACAGAACAGGGGTTTCCACTAAGAATACAGGAAATACAACAACCCGCGACGAAGCAACAAGCAGGACGAACTCGAAAAGGCCGAAAAAAAGAGTTGTGGACTCAGCGCGGAGGTGCGCCTCGTTATCGCTAAGTCTGCCTCGACGTCATCTTCTCGATTTTAAGGCCGCTTCTGCTGCCGCTGCCGGGTGCCGGGTGTTTGTTTTTGTTTGGTTTAGATTTAGTTTTGGATCAGTTTTCTGTCTTTCATCCTTTGTTTCTTTTATCTGCTCACCCGACACTGTACCATACAACTACACAGTAGCATACAAGCTGACATAATACAGTCCCACCCCTTACCTAACTCAGCACAAGAAGATCACATAAGCAGCACAACTCCCCAGCACTCGGGCTCTTCCGCTGGTCACACTTCCGCTCGGCGGCCCTCGCCCTTCGCGCAAAAGCCCACATTCGAGATCTCCGCCGCCTCTGCCAAAGCGCGTCCGCCACGCGTCTGCTTTGTACACAACGCGTCTGCCCGTCTTCTCCTCGCGGTCTTGTTTACTTCGCACCATCCATCTCTCTTCCTCCTCCCTCCACCTTCCTGCCCTCCCGGCACCGTCCCCGCCACCCCCGGGACCACCCCCCTCCCTTAGTCATTAGCCCCCATGAACGCGAACCCTCCCCAGCAGGCGTTCGCCCCCCAGCCTGCCATGCCCATCCCCACCACCCGCGAGGGCGTCCAGCAGATGCTCATGGTACGTCTTCTTTCCTCCCTCCCCCCTCTTCCCCCCCCTCCATGCATGCATGCATCCACCCATCGCAAAACTTCTTAACTCTGTGCAATCACTAACTATCCATCCCTTCAGCGCTGGCAAACCCTCAAGGCCCAGGGCGCAGAAGAGGCAAACAACCCCGAGTTTGCAAACATATCAAAAGTCCTTCGCGTCATCTCCCGCCAGCAGGAGCTCTACAAGCAGCAGCAGCGCCAGATGCAGCAGCAGCAACAACAGCAGCAGCAGCACGAGTCCATCCAGCAACCTCACAATGATATCCAGCAGCAGCAGCAGCAGCAGCAGCAGCAGCAACAGCAACAACAGCAGCAGCTACTCCAGCAGCAGCAGCAGGCTCAGATGCAGATGCAGCTCCAGCAAATGCAGTACCGCCAGCAGCAACAACAGCAACAGCAGCAGCAGCAACAGCAACAGCAGGTCTCCCAGGCTCCCATGACTGCCCCCGTAAGCTCGCAGTCTCTTCAGATGCCTCTCAATGGCCCTATCAATGGTGCTCTACGTACGTCTTACCCGATTGACTATCTTACTACTACTCTTTCTAACATCCACAGCCTTCAACCCGACCCCACAGATCACCCCCAAGCCTGCCGCGGCCCTCGCTTCTGGCTCACCCAACTCCAGCGTCACGCCTCCGCCCAACAGCCCCTTCACGGCCGAGCAGTTGCAGATGCTCCGTACGCAGATCACGGCCTTCAAGCTAATCTCCAAAAACATGGTCATCCCACCGCAACTGCAACAGCAGCTCTTCGCTCCTCTCCGCCAGCTCCAACAGCAGCAGCAACAGCAGGTTCAGCAGCAACTGCCTCTCCAGTCGCCATCTTCTGCTATACCCGCAACTGCTGCGCCCATGCCCTTCGCTCCCGCTGCTCCAACATCCCCAATGGGCCAGCGTGCAGTGCCGGTCTCTGGCGCGCAGTCTTCGCCTCTCGCCGCGCCGCCCGCCGCCGCTGGTGCTCCCTCGTTGGCTCCCGCTGCTGTCATTCCTCCTACCGGCACCGCCGTCCCTCCAGGCGCGGTCCCTGCTGCCGAAGACGGAGCGGCGACGCCGGTTCCTGGGCCAAAGGCCGTCGGTCAGAAGTATGAGATCTCGTCGCCATATCTGCAAGTTCAGCAGCCAATCCCGTACATGAACTTTGTATCTCGGCAGAACCGCCTTCTGATCCCGTCCATCATGCCGACCGGAGTCGACATCATTCAAGTCAAAGAGGCAATGGAGCAGGCTGTCCGCAACCGCGTCGCCACGAGAATCACCGAGCTCGAGAACTTCCCGGCCAACATCTCTGGATTTGACGCCAAGGATCTCAGCTCGGAACTCGATCGGGACTCTGTCGCAAAGGCCAGCGAACACTCCGAGAAGAAGATCACTAATGGCTTTGCCGTTAACGGAGACGAGCCTACGAATGGCGAGGACGTTGACATGATTGATGCCGACGAAGGCGAAAAGGAGGCTGACGAGAAGCTCAAAGAGCCCTCGGTCGAGACCTCGGTCGAGTTGCAGAAGCAGGCTCCAGAGACGGTCGCGTCAGAGGATAAGCTCAAGGTCCGAGCATTGATCGAGCTCAAGTCTCTGCGCATGCTCGCAAAGCAGCGCGAGCTCCGCAGCCAGGTGCTCAAGACCGTTGTGCATTTTAACAACCTGGCCATGACTGCCTCGCGTGCCTCCTTCCGCCGACTGAAGAAGCAGAATCTGCGCGAAGCCCGTCTGACCGAGCAACTCGAAAAGCAGCAGCGTGCCGAGCGTGAGAAGCGCGAGCGCCAGCGCAACCTCGAGTACCTCGTCGGTGTCTGCAACCACGGCACCGAGATTCTCAATTCCGCGCGCGCGCTCCAGGCCCGGCGACAGAGACTCGGCAAGGCCGTTCTTGCTTACCACACTCACACCGAGCGCGAGGAGCAGCGCCGTGCCGAGCGTACCGCGAAACAGCGTCTGCAGGCTCTTAAGGCTAACGATGAAGAGGCTTACATGAAGCTTCTCGATCAGACCAAGGACACGCGTATCACGCATTTGCTCCGACAGACAGATTCGTTCTTGGACTCGCTCGCGCAGGCAGTCAAGGATCAGCAGCGCCAGACTCGCGACGAGCGTATCGCTGGCGGCCATGCTGTCGACGACCTCATCGAAGACGAGGACGGAGAACAGACTCTTGACTACTACGGAATCGCGCATCGTATCCAGGAAACTGTTACGAAGCAGCCCGGCATCTTGGTTGGTGGCACTCTCAAGGAGTATCAGATCAAGGGTCTTCAGTGGATGGTTTCGCTTTACAACAACAATCTCAACGGCATTCTTGCCGACGAGATGGGTCTTGGAAAGACTATCCAGACCATCTCGTTGATCACTTACCTTATCGAGACCAAGCAGCAGCCGGGACCGTATCTCGTCATTGTCCCGCTCTCGACACTCACAAACTGGAACCTGGAGTTTGACAAGTGGGCACCCAGTGTTCGCAAGATCGTGTACAAAGGTCCGCCCCTTGCTCGCCGAGCACAGCAGGCTGCCATCAGAGCCGGTGATTTCCAGGTCTTGCTCACAACTTACGAGTACATTATCAAGGATCGCCCGGTGCTGAGCCGAATCAAGTGGGTGCATATGATCATCGATGAAGGTCATCGTATGAAGAACGCGCAGTCCAAGTTGAGCAGCACGCTGACGCAGTACTACCACTCTCGTTTCCGCCTGATTCTCACTGGTACTCCTCTGCAGGTTAGTTTCTTCCTATATTGTTATCCACGCAAGTCTGTTGCTAATCTCCTCATAGAACAACCTTCCTGAGCTCTGGGCTCTGCTCAATTTCGTGCTACCCAAGATTTTCAACTCGGTCAAGTCATTCGACGAATGGTTCAACACCCCATTTGCAAACACCGGTGGCCAAGAGAAGCTCGAGCTGTCGGAAGAAGAGACTCTGCTTATCATCCGTCGTCTGCATAAAGTTCTGCGACCATTCCTTTTGCGCCGTCTTAAGAAGGATGTCGAGAAGGATCTGCCGGATAAGGTCGAGAAGGTGATCAAGTGCAAGATGTCGGCGCTGCAGATGAAGCTCTACGAGCAGATGCTCAAGTACAACGTTCTGTTTGTGGGCTCGAACCTCGTTCCTGGCGGAACAGGAACAAAGTCCGGTCTGAAGGGCCTCAACAATCAGATCATGCAGCTCCGCAAGATCTGCAACCATCCGTTTGTGTTTGAGGAGATTGAGAACCTGATCAACCCCGACAAGCTGACGAACGACGATCTGTGGCGAACGGCCGGAAAATTCGAGCTTCTGGACCGCATGCTGCCCAAGTTCCGCGCGACAGGACATCGGGTGCTGATGTTTTTCCAGATGACGCAGATCATGGACATCATGGAGGATTTCCTGCGGTTCCGCGGACTGCAGTACCTGCGTCTTGATGGTGGTACAAAGTCCGAAGATCGATCGGAGCTGCTCAAGCTGTACAACGCGCCTGACTCGCCGTACTTTGCGTTTTTGCTCTCTACGCGTGCGGGTGGTCTTGGTCTGAACCTGCAGACGGCGGACACGGTCATCATCTACGACACTGACTGGAATCCCCATCAGGATCTGCAGGCGCAGGATCGAGCGCATCGAATCGGTCAGACGAAGGAAGTGCGAATTTTCCGACTGATCACGGAGGACTCTGTTGAGGAGATGATTCTCGAGCGTGCGCATCAGAAGCTCGACATCGACGGTAAGGTCATCCAGGCCGGTAAGTTTGACAACAAGTCGACGGCGGAGGAGCAAGAGGCGTTTTTGCGCTCGCTGCTGGAAGCCGAGGAAGCCAAGAAAAACAAGCGGGACGACGACGACGACGAGCTCGACGACGACGAACTGAACGAGCTGCTGGCGCGAAATGACCGCGAGGCGGCTATTTTCCGCAAGATCGACGGCGAGCGGCAGGCGACGTCGATCTACGGCAAGGGCAAGGCCAAGGACAGGCTGTACTCTGTCAACGAGCTGCCGGATATCTACAAGACCGACATGATTGAAGAGATCCTCGACCAGCAGAACGACGAAGGCGAGACCGGTCGCGGAGCGCGGAAGCGCAAGGTCGCGAGATACGACGACGGCTTGACGGAGAAGCAGTGGCTCGACGCGCTCGAGGACGACGAGGACACGATTGAGGAAGCGCTCGAGCGCGCGGCGAAGAAGGAGCGCAAACGTGGTCGGAAGCGCGGTCGAAAGTCGACAGCTGACGACTCTGATGATGATTAGAGTAGACTTTCTTTTCCTTTCTTCTTCTTTCAACTATATAATGTTCTTTTGATCTGTTGTATCTTTACATCCCGTTCTTTTGCTTGTTTTTTTGTGTTTTTTTTTTCCTTTATACTCTACATTCTCTCTTTCTGTTGCACTGGCGCTCTTGATTACAAAATAGTCAAAAAGAGTGTGCCTTTTTTGTATGATATCGTTTGTGGAAAAAAATCTTTTAGCTATATTTTGTGTTGTGAAGTGGATTGAGTCGGAGGTGATGAATAGATTCGTTGACTACTACTTTATACACTAGAGTGATTATAAGTTCTACGTAAGATAAGTGATAAGTTATAAGTCGTTGATTTAGATAAGAGCTAAGACAAAACGAAGTAAATAGCTTATTTGAAGACCTTTCCGTCAGCAATCTCCTTGGAGACGCCGTCGACGACGACAGGCTTGTCCCAGGCCCACATGTCCTCGACAAACTCCTTGTCCTCGGTCTTGGAAGCGTCGAGCTTGACGAACTCGTAAGACTCCCAGTCGGGCGCGACCTCGAAAGCGGGGAGGGCGTCCTGGCCGCGGACGAGGAAGGCGCCGGTGATGCCGGAGTCGTTGGAGACGCCGTAGACGACGAGGCAGCCGAAGAGGAACTTGGTCGAGGCCTGGAGACGGTTGAAGAAGCCGCCGATGAGGTTGGCCGACATGAAGGTCAGGGTGAGCTCATCGTTGTACTTGTAGTTGACGCGCCAGAGCGAGTACTCGGAGGGGTCGTAGTGCTCCCAGAACCAGGGGAGGGCAACGGGGCGGGTGTCCTCGTTGGAGTACTGACGCTTCCAGGCATCGATGGGGAAGCTCTTGGCGGGTCCAAGAGCCTCGAGAGGGTGCTTGGCCTTGACCTCCTTGGAGGTGTCGTCCTCCTCAGCGGCAGGCTTAGGGGCGGCAGCCTTGGGGGCGGCCTCCTTCTTGGGCGCGGCCTCCTTCTTGGGGGGAGTGTACTTGACGGCCTCCTCGATGAAGACAGCGGGAGCGGCAGGGATGGTGTCCCAGAAGGGCTGGTTGGTGATCAAAGTGTACCATCTGGTGATGGCGGGGTAGGTAGCTCTCCACTGGGCGCCAAAGACGTACTGGAATCCACGGGTGAGGATAGCAGCGCTGATGATATCAGCGATGGTAATACGCTCGCTGACGAGGAAGGTGTTGGCGGCCAAGTGCGCCTCGATGGCACCGGCGTAGGAAACAAAGTCCTGCTCGGCCTTCTCGACAGCCTTCTTGTTGTAGGGCTGTCTGCCGATGAGGGGCATCCACCACGCCGAGAGGGCGGGGGCGGCGTCCATGTTGATGAACGAGGCCCACTGGATGATCGAGGCCTTCTCGGCGGGGGTGGTTCCGAGGAGGGTGGAGGGCTTCTGCTGGGCGACTGTATGTTGTTAGCACAGAGTAGATGTCTGCGTCATGTCCAGGTCCAGAGTCCAAAGTCCAAAGTTCTGCCGGGCCGATCAAAGCTGTGAAGAAACTGAGGTTTCTTTTGGATCAGAGTATAATATCTCAACACATGGTGATTAAGACAGGGATAACTACATTTTTTTAAAAAAAAAATTTCATCATATAGAGAAGCAGCTCCCGGCAGAAGAGGACGATGGAAGAGGACGGGGGAAGTAGACGCGGATTCGAAACGACGTAGCAAAGACTCACAGTAGAAAGCGATGGCGGTGACCTGGTGAAGGACGACGCCGTCGGCACCGATGAAGGCGGGGATCTTCTTCCAGGGGAAGTTGGTCTCGTACTCGAGGGTGAACTTGCCACCGCCCATCTCGACGAGCTCGACGTCGAGGTCGAAGTACTTGGCGAGCATCAGCACGACGGCCGTTCTGGGGTTACCCTGGAGGAGAGTTAGAGAGAGCAATTGAGAAGAAGGAAGATGAACAGAGATGAAGACATACAATGTAACCATAAACCTTTCCGAAAGACATTGTTGAAGGACGATGATGAAGAAGAGGTGGTGACGATGGCAGCGGAGAGAAAATATTTTTATATCAGCGACGGCCGCGAGTTAGGGTTCGGGCGCCGTGCTGAGGTCTACGCACGTGCTCAGTCGCAGTTTTCTTCCGAGGCCGCTCACGAAAAAAATATCCAAACACCCGTGTTCGGTGGACTATCTCTCGACGCATCCCTACTCACGCCATTCTCGAGGCAGACGACAGCTCAATTGCGGATCCGGATGCTGCGACTAGCCACGAGTGGACTACTTCGCGCGACCCCGAGGACGACCGCGGTGGTCGCGCGGGCTCGCGCTATGCGCCGACCACTGCATCTGTCGGCGGTGCGGTTCGGCAAGGTCGACGCAAAGACAAACGAATTCAGCTTTCGGTCGCCGCAGCTTGACCATCGCCGTGTGGTGTATGATCAGTCCGAAAAAGCCGACGAGGTCTGGGACGAAGTCGATTACTATACGAGCGAGAGAAGGCAAGGGTACTACGAAGAGGGTATGGATCCTGAGGAATACGATGGAGAAGAGGGAGAGTATGAGATGAATGGAGAGCAGGGAGAGTACGAGATGAATGGTGAAGAAGGAGAGTACGAGATGAATGGAGAAGAGGGCGAAAATGAGATGAATGGAGAGCAGAGAGAGTATCAGATGAATGGGGAAGAGGGAGAGTATGAGATGAATGGAGAGCAGGGAGAGTATGAGATGAATGGAGAAGAGGGCGAAAATGAGATGAATGGAGAGCAGGGAGAGTATCAGATGAACGGGGAAGAGGGAGAGTATGAGATGAATGGAGAGCAGGGAGAGAATGAGATGAATGGGGAAGAGGGAGACTATGAGATGAACGAAGGAGAAGAAGGAGAGTACGAGATGAGCGAAGGAGAAGAAGGAGAGTACGAGTTGAGCGAAGGAGAAGAAGGAGAGTACGAGATGAACCAGGAGATGGAGGACGAGGAGATGTTCCATGAGGCGATGGAGGCAATCGACACCGGGGACGTGCTGGAAGACCCCGAGGAAAGCGCTGAACTGAGTGCGATGGACGACGACCTTTGGAATCTTGATGCGTCAAAGATTGGAGAGCCTCATACGAAGGAGGAGTTTGCGAATATCTTTGAGCCCTTCCCGAACGAGCTCCAGGTTGACGATCAGGTCGCGCCGCTGGTGCGGGTGGTGCCCGAATCGAGCGCGTTCTACATGCAAAACATGGAATACATGGAGATTCTGGTGTCTCTCAAGGCGCTGGAGCGCAAGTATAAGCATTTGGCCCGGCTGCCGGAAGCGTGGCGCATCTTCCAGCCGATCTCGCAGAAAGAGTACTTGGAGATGGGCATCAGCGACAAGCCGATTACGTATCACGAGTTTATGGGTCTTATCCGGAACCTCGCGAGTATCCGGCCAGACGTGATGCCGGCTGAGGTGGAGGCGCTGGTGTCGCGGTTTGCGCGGAACTACTTGAAGGCGAAGGTCGACAAGCGGGAGCCCAAGGTCGACAAAATGGGCCGCTCGTTTGGAAAGGGCAAGCGCAAGGAGTCGATTGCTCGGGTCTGGATCGTCAAGGGCAGAGGCGATGTGTTGATCAACGGCAAGACGCTCGCTGATACCTTTGTTCGCGTGCAGGAGCGCGAGAGGGTGGCTGCGCCTCTGCGCGCGACCGGCATGCTCGACGAGTACAATGTTTTTGCGCTTGTCGAAGGCGGCGGCAAGAGCGGTAAGTGATTTCTTGTTTCTCTGAGCTCAGTCGAACCACGAGACTGGGATGGCAATAGCGTTTGTATATTGACGCCTTTCATATCGCAGGCCAGGCTGGAGCCCTTCAACTCGGGCTGTCCCGTGCGCTGCGGGCGTATAACCCTGGACTGGGCAAGATCCTCTACGATAGTAAGTACCTTTGTTTCGGAGATAGTGCGCGATGGGGAACGACACTGACAGGTTATATTTATCACAGCCGGATACCTGAAGATGGACCTGCGCAGAGTCGAGCGCAAGAAGCCCGGTAAGCGGAAGGCTCGTAAGAGCGAACAGTGGGTCAAGCGTTGATTGTGCTGTTCATTCTTGCGCATTCGCATCAGCATTAGAAAAGAGGATGACGATGGCAATCGGCTATCGTTGTCTGCAAAACATCTGTAAATATAAGAGTAAATGTATTGTTTCTTAATTTGGTTATTGCTGGATTGGTCTGGTTTCGGCTCACAGTGAGGATCACGGCGAGTCACGATTCTAGAAGACGGAGTGTTTACTCAACTACTACTTTCATAACAACTGTTTGTTTGTTTGTTTGTTTGTTTGTCTGTTTTATTCTTCTTCTTCTTCTTTATTCTATCATAACTCACTAACAACAACAACAACACACAATGCTCTTCAACAACTGAAAACAGCAACATCCCGGCTCCGGATCACCCCATCGTGCGGCGCCAGATTCAGGGGCCTCCGTTCAGCCACGGCACGTGATTCTGTTTACATTCGAGCCGTCCTCCTCCCCTCGGCCACCATTCCTCGTCCGGCTCCTGCTCCTCCTCCGCTGCTTCTGTCCTCGTCCTCTGCTTCTGTCTCTTTTTATGCATCCGCAAGTGCTCACAGCACTTACCACAGCCACGACGCCGATATAGAAGATCTGCAGCAATTACTCGACGAAGAGGAGCTGGCTTCCCCAGACGACCTGCAGCAGCCCATGGTCTCCCTCGAGAGCCTGCACCCGCAGCAGCAGCTTCCTCTGCAGGACCGCGCTCTTCTCTACCGGCCTTCCTCATACGTCCCGACAATGGACTCCCCGGCCATCTACGACCAGCAGCAGCACCAGCAGCACCAGCCAGGCGCCTTCTCCTCCGTTTACTACCCAAACCTGCCCCAGCAGCAACCGCTCTACCTGGCAACCTTCCCGCAGGACGACTTCACTACCGCCCCCAACTACTCCGCCCTCGGCCACTTCCCCGCCGAGCCCGTCGCCCAGCCTCCTCCTCTTTCGTACTCGCCCGTCGTCTTCCAGCAACCCCAGCTCCCACCCCAGCAGCTCCAGCAGCCAGTCCTGACCGTCGCCCAGCTGCAGGAAATGCTCCTCCCTCTCTACCGCGCGCACTTCCCCGACTCGTCCATTCCCACTGCCCTGCCCGCCATTCTCTCCCACCTCCTCTTCGTCACCCGCTATCTCGCGCTCAACGTCGTCGACCTCGGCCTGGCTAGTGACTCCCTGCTCTCATACGACTCGCGTCTGCAGTTCTGGCGCCTCTTCAACCGGACGTGGATCAACCTCCTCGCGCGGGCCCACAACACCCACGCCACTGCGAATATCGTTGCGCTCTCGCGGTTTCAACTTGACGAGTGCGCGGTCGATATCGTCGCGCTTGCGGATAATCTGCAGCAGTACGGCCTCGTTGACTACGAGCTCGGCGTGTGGGAGGATCGGATTATAGAGTGTATGTTCTGACACTTTTCATAGACTTGTACTGCTATAACTAACTGTTTTTATCTCACAGGGATCATGACTTTGTTAAATAGCATCCCCGAATAATCTTGCTGGACCTCGCATCGTGTATTTTACTAGTACTCCTTTTCATCCTTCATTCCTTCCCCTGTATCTCTATGTTTTTGTACCTGTGCTATACGTCTTTATTTGGTGGTGTATCTATGCTTTATAATCTCCTCTCCTTAGAATTATTCTTTGTCTTGCCTCGATTGTCCTTCTTATATAATACTGTAACTCGTTTAATTCATAATGCCCCTTGCCGGCCCGCCCGCTCTGCTAACTATTCGTATCGTACATCTCCTGCTCTTGATCTATCATCCTAAAACATGTCGAGCGTCATCTTCTGCGCGATATCGGTGTTTGCAACCATATCCACAAACTCGCGGTAGCTGATCTTGCCGTCGCCGTCCTTGTCCGCCTCCATGATTGTCTTGTCGACGATCTGCTGCAACTGCTGGTCCTTGAGATTATTCCCCACCATCATCTTCATCACGATGAACAGCTCGCCGTTCGAGATGAACCCGTCCCGATCGATATCGTAGACATTGAACGCGAACCGCAATTTCTCGTCCTGCTCGCCACGACTCGAGAACGCAGATAATCCCGCGAGGAACTCCTTGAAATCGACATCTCCGCCGCCGTCCTCGTCAAAGATCGCAATGAGCCGCGACGCGAGCGGGTTTGTTGCAATCGCGGGGATCGCAAGAAATTCCTGGGACTCGATTGTGCCGGAGTTGTTTTTGTCAATCTTCATGAACCGCTTGCGGAGGCGGTCGACTTCTTCGTGGGAGAAGTTGGTGTTGGAGACGATTGACTCCATGAGTTGCGAGCTGTTTGCGCCCATCTTTCCCTGTTCTGTTCTTGTCTGTCCTAAGATTCCGATAGAGAGTAGAACACCAATTGAATTATATTATCAACAGCACTTGATATCCAGCACAGTCGATTATCTTGCACTTCGCAGCGATGCGGCTACAAATCGGCCAAGGAGGTGGATCGTAAATTAGCACGTGCCCCTCGCTGCTGACATCGTTTATTAATGCTTTCGCGATGACTGGCCAGGGGTTTGTACTGAAATTATTTTTTGTTTGATATTGAAGACAAAACAGGAAGACAAGAAGAAGCAGAGAAGAAGAGAAGAAGAGAAGAGGATATAACAAGAGAATATAGCAAGAAAAGGAGACAAGAAAGGCATTCACAAGGAGGATATATACCCCCTAGCAAACCACCACTCAAATACTGAGCGCATCTGATCTCTGACTCAGATTCAACACCATGGCCCGCGACAAACCAGCCCCGACAAAGCTCTCAGAGCAAGAGCGATTCGTGTCGTGCATCTCAGATATCGCGCTCGCGCTCGTCGAGTCGCTGCAGACCTCCAACAAAGACGTCAACCTCAACGGCCTCGTCGGCCGGCTGTCGAAAAAATACAAGCTCAAGCATCAGCCGCGGTTGACGGATATCATCTCGGGCATCCCTGATCAGTACAAGAAGTATCTGCTGCCAAAGTTGAAGGCGAAGCCTGTGCGGACGGCGTCTGGTGTTAGTCTATTTCTTTTTTTATATATTTCGCTGAGCACATGCTAACGTTTGCAGATCGCGGTGGTCGCTGTCATGTGCAAACCACACCGATGCCCACATATCGCATACACAGGCAATATCTGCGTCTACTGCCCCGGCGGTCCCGACTCGGATTTCGAATACTCCACACAGTCCTACACTGGCTACGAGCCCACGTCGATGCGCGCGATCCGCGCCCGCTACGATCCCTACGAGCAGGCGCGCGGCCGCATCGAGCAGCTGCGCCAGCTCGGCCACACGGTCGACAAGGTCGAGTACATCATCATGGGCGGCACGTTCATGTCCCTGCCGATCGAGTACCGCGAGTGGTTCATCAGCAACCTGCACAACGCGCTCTCGGGCTACTCGACCCCCTCGCACTCGACCACGCTCGCGTCCGCCAAGCTCGTCGACGAGGCAGTCACAATGTCGCAGTACTCGCAGACAAAATGCGTCGGCATCACGATCGAAACCCGGCCTGACTACTGCCTCGACCAGCACCTGTCCGACATGCTCCGCTACGGCTGCACCCGCCTCGAGATCGGCGTGCAATCAGTGTACGAGGACGTCGCGCGCGACACCAACCGCGGCCACACCGTCAAAGCCGTCTGCGAAACCTTCTGTCTCGCCAAAGACGCGGGCTTCAAAGTCGTCTCGCACATGATGCCGGACCTGCCAAACGTCGGCATGGAGCGCGACCTCGATCAGTTCCGCGAGTACTTTGAAAACCCGGCCTTCCGCACCGACGGCCTCAAGATCTACCCGACGCTCGTCATCCGCGGCACGGGGCTCTACGAGCTCTGGAAAGCAGGCAAATACACTTCCTACCCCGCGACCGCGCTCGTCGACCTCGTCGCGCGCATCCTCGCCCTCGTCCCGCCATGGACGCGCATCTACCGCGTCCAGCGCGACATCCCGATGCCTCTCGTCACCGCCGGCGTCGAGAACGGCAATCTGCGCGAGCTGGCTCTCGCGCGCATGCGCGACTTTGGCGCGACCTGCCGCGACGTGCGCGCGCGCGAGGTCGGCATCCAGGAAGTGCACCACCGCGTGCGGCCGGAGCAGGTCGAGCTCGTCCGCCGGGACTACACCGCCAACGGCGGATGGGAGACTTTTCTCGCGTACGAGGATCCGAAGCAGGATATCCTCGTCGGCCTGCTGCGTCTGCGTCTGTGTTCCGAGCGCACGACGTTCCGCAAGGAACTCAAGGGCCAGCGCACGAGTCTTGTGCGCGAGCTGCACGTCTACGGCAGCGTGGTCCCGCTGCATTCGCGCGATCCCCGGCAGTTTCAGCACCAGGGCTTCGGCACGCTGTTGATGGAGGAGGCGGAGCGCATTGCGCGCGAGGAGCACGGGAGCGCAAAGATCAGTGTGATTAGCGGGGTGGGTGTGAGGAACTATTATGCGCGGCTGGGGTATTTCTTGGACGGGCCGTATATGTCCAAGATGTTGTGATGTATATAGGTTGTAGTGGGATGGGCATTGTAGGCGTTTATCTGTATTTACGATTTTCATTAATGTCTGCATATTATATTTCAGCTTGTGGATTTACTAATAAGTAGACGCACAACGATAGGATTGACGGTAATAGTCATTTCAATACAACAAGTTCCAAAACGAAACAAGAATGTTACATTAACAAGTACAATAAACTGAGGAGTAAAATAGGAGTAGTAAATAGTAATAATAGCAGTCAGTACTAGTCGAAATAGTAGATAAATAGGAAAAATAAACAGTACACTCGGCAACAGCTCTATCTTCACACACAGTGCTCTCCGCCCCAATCACTAAAATACACGATCCGACCGTCCTACACTTGTAAATCTCAAAGAAAGAAAAGAAAAAGTACTATTAAAACAAGAGTAAGAAGGAGGAAACTCAATTTCCGGGGTACTTCTTCTCGTCCGCGAGCAGACGGTCTTTCAAGAACGACTTGATTTCAGGCTTGCCGCGATTAGACTTGACGAATCCATTGCAGAGGCCGACGCACTCGCGCCACCAGTCCTCGATACTGTTGACGGCGTAGGTGCGGGGCGCGTCGAGGGCCGCGGCGCTGCCGGCGGTGGAGGTGACGATCGTCTTTGAGTCGATTTCGTCGCGCACCCAGCGCCAGAAGGCGGCGGCGAAGAGGTAGTGGTAGTAGTTTGCGGGCTTGGTCTTGAAGCTGTAGAGGTTGTTTGTGTAGGTGCGGATGCCGCAGTCCTTGAGCTGCGACTCGGCAATGATGGTGCCGTTCTCGTCCACCTGCGGCTCTGTGGTCTCGTACAGCCGTTTCCGGAATCCAGAGACGCCGTCAAAGAGTGCTTCAGAGATGGCAAGATCGTTCTTGAGCGTGCGCTTCATGCGGCCGTCCTGCGAGTACGCGAGCATGCAAAAGTCCTCGGTCGTGCGCAGGAGCTTGTTGTTGTAGCCGACCGCGAACGTGTAAATCTCGGACTGCATCACCGCCCAGAGCTTTTCGCGGCGCTTCTCGTTCAAGAGCGCGATGCCGGTCTCGTACGAGGTGCGCGACGAGTGCGGGAGCGCGCGATAGGTCGCCGCCACCGGGATTATGAGGTCGGCGTCCGTCAGCGGCAGGTTCGGGTTGGCGGGGACTGGGCTCGAGCCAGATACGGGCGCGTTCGAATCAATCACGGATTGGAACGTGAAACGCGTGCTCTCGTCCGGTCCGTCGTCGTCGTACTTGACGCGTTTGCTGTTGTGTTCGGCGCTGGGAGATATGATAGGTCAGTCAGGGTTGCATAATGTTAGCCTTCTATTAAATTGTGAGAGGAATAGCTTACTCGTAATCGTCACCGTCAGAGACAGACATCTTCATGCGAAGGGTCTTGAATTGACCCTCGGCGAGCGAAGGACGAGGCTGGGCGGCGGAAGAAGGGTTGCCATTGGATGCGGATTGAGGGGTCGACGCCGAGCCACCAGCAGCAGCAGAGGACGACGACGAGGCAGCGGTGGCGGCGGTGGCCGAGTCATCAGCCGGCGTGTCGAGATCGAGGAAGCGACGGAGCAGGGCGAGCTCGCAGTAGACTGCGTTTATGCGCGTCGAGAGGTCCTCGATGCGGAGCTGGCCAGCTTTGGCGAGGGCGACGTCGCCCAGGATGGGAAGGAACTTCTCGTTGATGGATTGCACGCGCGAGCGGATTTCACGATAGTGCGGGGGCTGGCGGCGGCGGGGGCCGTTGCGCGTGAAGGCGATGGAGGCGCGGCCGCTGCCGGAGAAGGAGGAGGATGGCGTGGCGGAGGAGGCAGGAGCAGGGTTTGGCGTCGCGAGGGCATCAGGGCCGGCGGTGGACGAGGACGCGGGCGCGGGGTTGGTGCCGGGCGCGGAGGGGTCGTCGTCTGTGTCTTCGGGGTTGATGGTGTTGTTGTTGGTGGTTGTGGTGGTGGCGGTGATGTTGTTGTCGTCGTCGTTGTTTAGGCGGTCGTCGTCGGAGTCGTCGTCGTTGAAGTTGGAGGAGGCAGGCGCGTCGGGGAAGGCGTCAGAGGGAGCGCCGTTGGATGTCTGCAGACGGGAAGGCGATGGAGGGGCAGAGGAGGCGGGGTCGGAAGAGGAAGGGGAGGGATGGGCCTGCATTGCAGCAGGGGAGGCAGCAGAAGCCATTGGGGTGGACAGGGAGCGAGGGATGGAGGAAGGGTGTGAAGAGGAGGAGATAAAGAAGAGAAGCAGAAGCAGATGATAGTGGAAACGAGGAAGAAGCAGGAAGAGCTATGAACAAGCGCAAACCGCAAACAAGGAAGAGTAAGCACAATTAGGATAACAAATACAACTGAAGAAAGAAAAGAACAAAAGAAAGAAAAACAAAAGGAAACTGGAAATAAAAATAAAAATCTGCTTTTGCGTAGTTTAAAAGCATCTTAAAGAATCGAGTTTATTATCTTTGGCCGGTTTATCTGCGGTTTGGGTTTTGTGTTGGGGTTCCAAGTAGTGTGGTTTATACACAGTTATGCTATTTCCTAACTCGGATCCTCCTTTGTTTGCGTCTTCTGTTCGTTAAATACTCTTTACAATTACTATCCGCAGTAGTACCCGCTCAATCTACTCCTGTCCTCGTCTTATTCTGCGCTTGCGTGGCGGTGGCTGTCGTGCGGCCACATGTGACAAAAGATCTGCGCTTATTTATGCCTCTTGCAATCTGCAATAGATATTATGAATATATATACATCATATAAGTTGTTAACATGTACTCTCAAAACAGCTTCGTCATCACCAAAAACTAATAAACTAAAACCCACTAAACCCAGTTTATCAGAATCTCAGAATCGTCGCCCCTCACCACCTTTGTTTTTCGCGAAAGAATGTCGTCGACCTTCTCGCGCACGCCCGCCTTGCCGTTGAAGTCGAGCTCAAAGTGCGCAATCACCTCCTCCTTTGTCTGCAGATACGGGCCCGAGTCCTCGCTCTCGCCCAGCACGTACTCGCGAACGTCGCTCTCGCTCGGCAGGCCGTTGTGGTACGGGTACTCGTGGTAGTCGCCCGTCTCAAAACTGTCGAGCATCTCGTAGACATTATTATACTCCTCAGCCAGCTCTTCGCTGAAATACACACTCTTGATCTCACTGTCGGAAGGTGCTTCCGCCCAGTCCGCCCGGCCGTTCTGCTTCTCAACCACGCGGTAGGTCACGCCCTTCTTGAACTCGCCCTGTCGCATAAAGTGGTGCGCCAGGTGCATGTCGCGCTTGAACATATCCCTGATGCTAATGTTCCGGCTCGTTCGCACGAGCTCTAATGCGACCTTCATCGACAGCGGGCACCGGAGCTTCATAGTCTCCAGTGTCTTCTTTGCAAATTCGCTCTCATCGGCCTCCAAAGCCTTCATGATCTCCTCAAGCGACGAGTGTGAGAAGCAGCGGTCGATAACATCGCCGGTCTGGCCGCCAAACGTGTACTCGTATCCTTCCGGCACCGGCACCTGGAAGTCATCAATTCCACCGTTGAGCAGCGCATTGAGCTTCTTCACTCCGAGCGGGTCCTCAGGCGAGTCGAGCATATCCGCGCGCCCGCTCAGCTCCACAATGCGCGCCTCCACGTCCTGCAGATTGTCGCTCTTGACAAAGTGCGTCGCAACGCCAGCCATGTAGGCGTCGTAGCCGTTCAGGCGCTCGCCCGTCATCGCCAGATACGTGCCGAGCTCGCCGTCGAGCCGGGAGAGGAAAAAACCTGCGCCGACGTCGGGATAGAATCCGATGAGCGTCTCCGGCATCGCAAACACCGTCTTTTCGGTCGCGATTCGGAACGGCGTGTGCATCGACAATCCGGCACCTCCGCCCACTGTGGGTTTTCTACAGTCAGCAACTGAACAACGTAAGTAAAACTGATGTGCGCAATCGACGTACTGGTAATGCCGTCCATGATGGCGACAACGGCCTTGGGATAGGTAGCAATGAGGGAATCGAGAAGGTACTCGTCAACAAAGAACGCGGACGAATCCTCGGGAGCGACGTCGAGCAGAGCTAGGACTGTCAGCAGTGCTCGGTTGAATGTAAAGTAGAAACAAAAAAGACTTACAGGCAACGTCGCCGCCGGCGCAGAGAGCGCGGCCACCGAGGCCCTTGATGACGACCACCGCGGCAGCGGTATCTCTCCAAGCCTACAGAAGCAGATGGTCAGTAAACCTCAATGCTCGAGTAGGTCTGATCGAGCGAGTAGACGTACGGTCAACCGCGGGATGATCTTCTCGACCATCGACAGATTGAGCGCATTGAGCTTTTTCGGACGGTTGAGCTTGATGAACCTGGTCAAGGCCGCGGACTCGAAAAGCACGTCGTCGGGGACGTAAGCAGCGGCGGTGGACTCCATCTGCGAGGATTATGTCAGTCAGGGCTGGATGCGGAACAGAAGCGGGAAGAGGGGCAGTAAAAAGAGGACGTACCCGGAGAAAGGCGGTGTTTGTGATCTTTGCGCGGAGAGGCATTGAGCGGCGGAGGGAGGACCGGAAGAGCGGTCTTGCGTGAGGGAGGAGCATGGGAAGAGGAAGAGGAAGAAGAGAAGAGTCGAGGAGGAAGATGAAAAGGCGGAGGAGGAGACGAAAGCGACCGAGGTCCAGGAAGAGGAAGTTGGTTGAGTCGATAAAAGTGGTCGAATAGTTCGGGTTGGGCTTTGCTCACACTCACAGGCTGCTGCCAGTGCGTAGATCTACTCACGGGGTCTTATAGAATACAACTATCCAGATTATAATACAAGAATAATATACAAACAATAAAAATAACAAGAATAGTATACACAAAAACGCCTAACTCTTTTAAACCCGCATCCGCAGCTTCGCATCCCGCTGCTCCCGCAACATCCGGCTCTGCTCCTGCAGCCGCGCTATCTTCGCCTGCAACTCGGCCTCCTTCTGCCCCGTCCACCCCGCCGGCCTCTTTGATCTCGGCCTCTGCTGCTGCTGTTGCTGTGACGACGACGCAGACGACGACGGAGCAGACGTCCAGTCACTCGTAGCCGGCCTTCCGCCACGGGCACCGCTACGCGCACTACTCGCCTCCGCCTCCCGCCGTTCTAAATCCTCCTTGCCTTTCCTCCGTCGACTATCAAACGCAGCCTGTCGCTCCTGATCCCTCTTCTTTGCGTTCCGCTTGTTATCGTACTCCTGCCGCAGCGTGCTCGAAAGCAGCACCTCGTTCGCGATCGACAGCGCATGGAACACCTCTACCGCGTTCGCTGACTTGTTCTTGTCCGGATGGTATTTCAACGCAGACTTGCGATACGCGCGTCGAACCTCAGACTCATCAGCTGTGTCTTCAAGGCCCTGTAATATACAACAGTAACAGTTAGCTATCATCCATCTATAATCAATCCATCCTCACAGAACAGGTGTGGCGGCGTACCAGTAAATGATAGAAATCATATTTCTTTGCAATCTCCTCTCGCTCTGCTGCCGAGAACGACATCTTCTTGTTTTATATCTTCCTTCTCTTTATACTCTCTTCCTCTGACTGTTCTTTGCCAGACGTGGCGGTGAAGAAGAGTGCATGTGTAGGCAGGAATCAACCCAGCGCGCACACTAACTACTCATCCAGGGCTTAAACTCTCTTTCTCTTCTACCTCAAGAGAATTACTACTCATATTAAAAGCATTCTACAACAACTACTGCTATCCTCGCATTTAGTAAAGAGATTATACAATGAAGATACTCAAATAAGATTTTTATTCAGACTCGCTGTGAACACTATCAATTGAAATATAAATATGCCTTCCTTTCTAGATATCCTCCAGCTCATCCCTGCCATAACTTTTTTACATTTCTCCACTACCAGGATACACAAAAATGGGTTATGCATTTATCGGTTCTATAAAATAAAAAGAATCAGTCAGCAATTCATCCTGTCATATCTTCATAATCTTCTGTAGAACTCACCTTGACGAATCCAATGTCCTTGGAGTACTCCCGGAAGCACTGTCTGCAGATGTTGAGTCCGTACTTGCGGATCAAACCAGCCTTGTGAGCGCAAACACGGCTATATTCATCGTTAGCAATATATTCTTCTGATATCCTCCTATGATCGCAGAGTAGAACAGAACACCAATCATCATTGACAACCCTCCACGCAGTATTCCCCTCCACGCAACCAATTTCTTTCTTTTTCTTTCCCTTTTCACTCATTCCCTCACTCCTGTTCTCTTCGCTCTTGTCTGTTCTGTCTACTCCAGCATCAAACATCACTGAAACAACGGGTAACATACCACTGACGCGATCCCTTGCCGTACTTTCTGGGGTGCGAATACCAAACGTCCTCGTGAGCCATATTGAAATTATAGGTTGTCGATTAAGAAATGAAATCTGTTCCCCAACACCTCAGTCAGCAAACCGTACCGCACATCGTCTTGATAGAAGCTCCGTCTCTCTGTCGCCGTCGTCGTGTTCGTCGTCGTTCTCACTGCTCTGCCACCAATCCTCCCCTCTCAACCCATCCACTCCGAACAAACGACCAGACAGACAAGACTTCTTCTTAAACCATCAAAGAACAACACATACCGATTCAAAGATAAAAAGTCGCTGGTGAATAGAGACTTTTTGTTTGCTTGTTGCTGGGACAGAAGTGACGATATTCAGGAATTCGAGAATCAGACTCTGCCAGGCCGCCGCTGTCCACTCTCACTCAAAAAACGCAGTCACACTCTCGCTCAATTGTATTATGTAATGATGTGTAGGGCTAGTCACGTGTGTAGGGTTACAGCTACGCGCAAACCTGGGGTCGAATGCACGGATCTATTTACGCGTGCCCTAACTCGTCCTCGTCCTCGTCCTCGTCCTCGTCTCGTCTGCCCGCGGACTATCGCATTACTATCAATCATTATTACCATGAGTGGCCGCGACTCCAGCAGGTCACACATCCACATGACAAACCCGCGCACTGCGCTCTTTTTCGAAACATGGGCCAGCGACAACCTCCCCGACGACGAGATCGCGATCGCGCCCGAATACGAGCCCATCAACCCCGAGGACGAAGACGATGTGGTTCCAGACCAGCACGCCGCGTTCGGCATCCTGCTTGCTCAGCTTCGCAGGTATAGACCGGCAGCTTATACAAGTGCTTTACATCAGGGATCGATCTCTGCTGCGAGCGCTGCGAGTGCGGCGGCTGCTATTGCAGCTGCAAGTCCGGGCACGCTGCCAATGTCGTTTCTGAACGCGTCCGCTTGGAAAGATCTTGATCTGCAGGATCTGATGAATCAGGGACCCAACAGCGGCCCCGAAGACGAGCAACCCATACCTAGCAAAATCAATGCCAGTGCTCCGTTTGCGAGAATAAGCTCGGTGGGCGAATTTTACCACGAGCGGAGGGAAGATATGGGCGCGGCGCGCAGAGCACCGACGATGATTGCAATGGGACCAAGAGCCACCGGTCGCCGAGGCGGTCTCGACATGGACGATGAGGATAATAGCATTAGCCAAGGGTCTACCGCAGCGTACCAGAGACATTCGCGGACAAGTGCGAGGGCTCCTAGGTGACAATAGGTTCTGTTTGTACTTTGCTGTTTGCATGGGTTGGCGTTTCGGGCACTTGGTTATTAATCTATGTTGTATGGTTCTGTGGTTTTTATATACATTAAATAGAATACCATCTCTCTTACTCGCTCTTTTTCCTGCGCTCGACCTCCTTCGTCAGCGCATCAATCATTACCTCTTTGGGCGGCTCCAGGCCAGTCCATAGTCTAAACTGCTCGTATCCCTGTCCGAGAAGCACGTCTGTACCTCTGACAACCTTCCACGCACCACCAGACTTTTCAGCAGCTCGCATGAGCGGCGTGACGTCGGGCTTGTACGCCATCTCGACAATCACGCCGCCTGCATTGCTCGACAGCAGCGATGGAGGGAAATCAGACTCTGTCATCGCGTCGCCGGGCACGTTGCCGACAATCACCTGCGGGGAAGACGCGCCGGCCGGCCAGCTTGACGGGTCAAGAGACTCAATGACGACTACTTTGACGCGGGAACTGAACTCGCGGCTGATGTCTTGCGCTTTAGAGACGGTGCGGTTGTAGATGTAGACCGTGGGCACGCCGAGCGAGTACAGAGCGTAGATTGCTGCTCGCGCTGAGCCACCGGCACCAATGACAAGCCCGGATTGAAGCGGTGGAGCACCAGAGGGAAGAGCGGCAGAGATGCAGTCTCTGATTCCAGTATAGTCTGTGTTGTCGCCCTTGAGGACGCGCTTCGAGCTGTCGCTGTCGTCGACGATGATGGTGTTGACGGCCCCGATCATCGACGCGGCATCGGAGACCTGGTCGAGGAAAGGGATGATTGCAAGCTTGTGAGGCAAAGTCACAGACGCGCCGCCAAAGGAAGGAGCGGAGAGGAGAGCGCGCGTCTCGTCTGGCTCGAGCGACGGGACGTCGTGGATGGAGTAGTGGTGGGGAAGACCGAGAGCGGCGAAGGCTGCATTGTGGATCGTGGGCGAGAGGGTGTACTGGATGTTGTATCCAAAGATGACAAACTGCCTCGGCGACGGGGTTCCAGCCATTGTGCACTTAACAAAACAGCAGAGGAGAAAGAGAGGAAGAAGATGCCTGGTGTGAATAGTTTCTGGACGAAGACGAGATGAAGAGAAGAAGCCCCTGCACAAGCGCACAGCTGTTTGAGCCGAGTTTCCTCCCCCCGCATTCGCCTCTTCTGTCAGTTTGACTCTCTTCACCGTCGTCATTCCCGCGACCACCGGCTGATCCCTCGAGTTTGCACACAGCTGAACTACAAAATAGATGTCTTCCGCACGGCAATCACGGGAGATGGTTCTCCAGGTGCTCAGAGCGCATCCTTGTCTGTATGTCGAGAGCTGATCTGTGTGTTATCTCGCGTACCTGTGTCTAACCCACGACATCCAGGGCCAAGTCATTAGCTCTCTCACTCATGTCTGCATCCAGCGAGGTCTTAGCATGCTACTCTGCAGAGTTTGTGCAGTACCTCGGTCGCAAGGATGAGCAGAGGGGATTCAAAAAAGTGCCGTTCGAACGCAGCAGGGTGCTCAAACTAGCAGCCTACGGCCTCGCTGTCGCCGGACCGCTGCAACACTGTATGCCCCGTTCCTCCAGCAATAAACCAACTGTGCGATACACTAATGCTAACTCTGATCTTCTTCATTCGCGATACAGACGCGCTCCGTCTCGCTGGCCGCCTGTCGCCGCCTGGAACGCCGCTCCGCCGACTGCGGCTCTTCCTCACAACCCTGATCCTCCTCCCAGCGCTCAACAGCGCCCACGTCGCGAGCATGGCTGTCGTCAGCGGTGCGCGCAGCAAGGCGCAGATCAAGGCTACCGTGCGCCGAGCAGCCATGCCGGCCACCTACGCGACTGCTCCGGTGCTGCCGTTCCTCGCCGTCGTAAGCGTCGGATCGCCAAATGAAGAGGCGTGGCAGCTTGCGTTTGCCGCCATCGTGACCACGTTCGCGACCGTATTCCGCGCCGCCTGGCTTGCGAGCAGATAGAACAAACTACTGACATGAATACATCACATACACCTGCGCCCATACACACACACGCTCGCTCTCGCAGCCGAGCCATCGGGCATCTCGTCTCCGTACGCGAGGCCCCAGCATAGCGCTGACCGAACTCTAAACTCGGGCCAAAAAAGCCATTCCACGCGGCCTCATGTTTTTCTTGTGTTGATGCTCCCGCCTTCTCCCCTTCCTCCACAGCACATCTCCTGCCTTCCCTCCTTTGCTCCCTCCTCCTCCTCCGAAACCTCTTCCACCTCCCAATAATGGCGTCCGCGCGTCTTCCTCCCTCTGAGGACAGCGTGTACTATGCTCAGCAGCCGCTTCCCGGCCCACCGCGGAGGCCTGGAGGCGTCCCTCGAGGCAGAGGCGCAGGCTACCCCCCAAATCCTCGCCCGTACGGCGCTCCTCCCATGCACAACCACCATCCGCAGCAGCAGCAGCAGCCTCGCCGCCCGATTGCGGCCTCTCACGCCAACCTCGACGACTTCCAGAACATCGCGCCGCCCACGCGGTTCGCACATCTGCGACCTCATCGCGGCGCCGCTGCGGCGGGAATGCGTGCATACGATGTCGACTACGACGATGACGACGAGCGCGGCGGCAAGGGCGGCGGCGGCGACGACGTGCCTATTGACGACTATTCATCTATGATCAGCGACGATCTCGGCGCATACGACTCTCGTTTTCCTGGCGGCGGCGGCGGCGGTCTCGCGCACATGAAGCAGCAGCAGCAACAACAACAACAATATAACCAGTACCCTCCCCGACGCGGCGGATACCGGCCTCCCCCTATGCAGCAGCGGTACCCCCAATCTTCATCCAGAGCTGGTTACAGACCTTACGAGGACTACGATGCGGTCAATCCGGGCATGCAGCGGTTACAGCTCGACACGACGCGTGCTTCGACAATGACCTCGGGAAGAGGCAGTGCTCCGCTCCGAGGCGGTCCTTCGCCGCGACATGCCTACTACGACGGCGGAGAGGACGACGGGTACTATCCGATGTCACCGAACTCGCCCCAGATGATGTCGCCGGGCCAGTTTGACAACTCGCGTCCGGGATACATGTCTATGCCGGTAGCACCGCCCCACGGCCGCGGTCGGGGTCTGCCTAGAAGCGCGTCGGGCCCGATTCCACAGCAGAGGATGCGTATGCCGCAAGATATGATGCCGCCGCAGGGATATCATCCGCGACCACCTTTACCTCCTCAGCAGCAGCAGCAGCAGTACGACTACGGCGAGAGTCCAGTCCCGTCTCCGTCTTCGTCTTCGTCTTCGGGGCCTGCGTATCCCCCGTATCTCCCACCGCCAGGTGCAGCCGCTCCGAGAGCACAGCCTTCGAATCAGCTGCCTCCCCAGCAGCAACCCCAGAGTCCGCCGATTGCGGATAACGACAGTGCAGAGGACGAGCTTCCCGAGACGATGGACATTGCATCGCCGGGCACGCGACCACAGATGCGTCTGCCGTCGTCGTCGCCTTCGTCGCCGGCGTTGGCGGATGAGGACGTGGTGCAGCCGCGAGAGGAGAGGTTTGAGCCAGAGCCGGTGAGTGAGCCGATGGTGGCGCAGAAATCTAACGGGTCGAATGGGGATACCGGGGATGTTCTCGATTTCTACATGGACTCGCCGAATCCGAACGGAGAAGAGATTCAGACGTACGATGATCAGCAGCAGCAACAACAACAACAACAACAACAACAACAGCAACAGCAGCAGCAGGATCCAAGCCGTGGCGCTTACGAACCTGAAGATCAGGTTCCAGAGCACGTTGTGTCGGACTCTAGTGGTAGTTCATCTGAATCATCCGAGCCACGGACAGCGTCGCCGCATCCGGGATCGAAGCAGATTGCAAGAGCACCGGTGTCGAGAATGCCGATTCCACCGTCGAACTTGAACCAGCAGCTGGACGGGAAGGCGCAGTACGATGGTCAGACGATTCCGTATGCGCCGCCTCCTCAGCAGCACCGGGCACCTCCTCTTCAGCATCAGCAGTCGTTCGATCAGGCTCCTCTTCCTCCTCAGCCACAACAGCAACAGCAACGCCGGGCTGGACCACCACCACAAGGCCCATATCAGCAAGGAGGCCCATATCAGCAGCCGCCGCCGCCTTTGCAGACCAAGCACTCGATGTCGTCGCAGGACGACGGGTACTACGATCAGCAGCCGCAGCAGCCGCAGCAGCAGCAGCCGATGCGACGGCCGATGCCGCCTCAGGGATTCGCAGGCGGTCCACCGGGTGGGCGATCAGCATCTCCGGGACCGGCAGCGTATCGACCAGGTCTTGGACCAGGTCCAGGTCCTGTACAGCAGCAGCAGGGACAACCGCCGCAGCAGGGACGGCCTGTTGTACGAGGTCCGGGTCCACAGCCAGGCGGAGCCGTCGGAGCAGGTGGATACAGGGGCATGCAGACTCAGGCGCCGCGGCCGATCCGACGAGGGTATGAGCAAGAGAACGAGGTGCCGATGCGAGGACCGGGGATGTACGAGCAGGATCAGCAAGCGCGGATGTCGCCGAAGCCGATGGCGAATTCTCAGTTTATGAGACAGCAGGATGATCAGCCGGTGCAGGTGCCGCCTATGTCTGCGGTGCAGAATGGACAGCCCCAGTCGCGACAGCTACAGCAGCAACAGCAACAGCAACAGCAACGACAATTACAGCAGCAGCAGCAGCAGCAGCAGAAGCCAAAGAAAGAGAGCGCGAAGCCAGTTGCGCCGGTTCGACAGTACAGCCCCGAGTCAGCGATGGCGAATGCGCAGGCGGTGCTGCCGCCGGAGCCGTCGACGAAGCCGAAGGCGGTTACAGCGGCCGCGCTTGAGGCGGCGAAGAACAAGGCAGCGAACGCGGGGAAGAATGATCCGGGAGCGGCGTATGAGTACGCGAAGATTCTGCTTGAGGCGGCGGGGAACTCGTCGCTGGCGTCGAATGGAGGCAAGCTTGACGACAAGAAGATGCGGAAGAACGCGGAGAAGTGGATCTCGACGGCGCAGAAGAGCATCAAGAAGCTGGCGTCGCAGTCAAAGCCGTATCCGGAGGCGGTGTATTATATGGGTACGTGTTATGGCAGCGGGGGCACGCGGATGGGGCTTGAGATGAATCGCGAGAAGGAGTACGAGTTCTACCGGAAGGCGAGCAAGCTTGGGCACGGACGGGCTAGTTTCCGAGCGGCGATGTGCCATGAGGTCGGCAGCGGGGTGAAGAAAGACGAGGCCAAGGCATGGGCGTACTACAAGCTTGCAGCGCAGCAGGGGGATACGGCGGCGATGTACAAGATTGGAATGGTTTTGCTAAAGGGCGGGCTTGGACAGGCGCAGAGCACGAGCGAGTCGCTGATCTGGCTGAAGCGAGCGGCGGACCAGGCTGATGCGGAGAACCCGCAGGCGCTGTTTGAGCTAGCGCGGCTGCACGAGACTGCGGACGGGTCGAATGGGTTTTTGGCGCGGGACGAGAAGCTTGCGCTGACGTTGTACAGCAAGGCGGCGGCGTTGGGCCATCTTCCGGCGCAGTACAAGATGGGAGCCGCGCACGAGTACGGCACGCTTGGGGCGGAGGTTGACGCGCGGCGAAGCGTGGGGTGGTATTCGCGGGCGGCGCAGAAGGGCGACGCGGAGGCGGAGCTGGGCCTGTCGGGATGGTATCTTACGGGGGCTGAGGGGGTGCTGCCGAAGAGCGAGACGGAGAGTTATCTGTGGGCGCGACGAGCGAGTGAGAAGGGACTTGCGAAGGCGCAGTATGCGGTAGGGTACTTTTCGGAGAACGGGATTGGTACGCCTGCGAACATGACCGAGGCGGTGAAGTGGTATAGAAAGGCAGCAGGTGAGTGAAGTGATTGATGAGAGTGAATGATGAGAGTTGATTGAGTGCTAACGATGATGAGTAGCCCAAAAATACGGAAAGGCGATGAGCCGACTACGCGACTTGAACGCGTCGTAGGGTGTATTATTATTGATGTTTGTTTGATAGTTAAGATGTAAATTGCGGGACAGAAAAGGGAAATGGATGATATGATTGGATATAGTGTAAATGTTAGTTTGTTTATGTATAATAATATTGATAATAGTAGTTATGTATGAAATATCAGATAAGAATGAGAGGAGAGGAGAATGGAGAGCGCAGTTATCACCGAGGGTGGGGGGTTTTGAAGGTGGGAGGCGGTGAGGCGGTGAGGCGGATTTCGGTGATAAGAAGAGTACGGCAGTGCACTGTTTGTTTCTTTATAGATGAAAAAGAAGATCAATTGCAGCAATTGCAGAGGAGATTATTCTTCAAGATCAATTACTGCTAATTAATAGAATACAATACACCACACAACAGTCCTAGTCTTGTTCTATATCAGAAGATTCTCCACCGGAGCAGCTTCTGCGATCGGTTTCGGTGCTCGAAGCACGAGCCACTTTTTTTTGTAATTTTTTCCGGGTTCAGCGCAGCAGAGCCGAGAGTCCGCGATGACTCAACGCTCGAATAGCAGCGCGCGGTGGAAGAAGTGAGCAGCAGAAGCAGCGGCAGTGAAGCAGCAGAAGAAGAAGCAGTGAAGCAGCAGCAGAGCAGCAGAGAGGCCGAAAGTAGAAGTGGCAAGAGGAGGGTGTGGGGAGAGGAAATATTGCCAGAAAAGGAAATATAAAAAACAGACTTTTGATTCTTCTTTTGACGAGGTCTGTTTTGAGTAGCAGTTCTTCTTTCTGTTTTCTCTCTTTTCTTGCTTCTTTCTGCTTTTGTTGTCGTTGTTTGCGGTGGTTGTGATTTGCTCTGGCTGCGCGGGCGACGGCAAATAGGCTGAATGGCGCGGCGACGGATGCCCTCTACAGCCGGTGTGCTGTTGCTGTGTACTGTAGATGTGTAGATGTGTAGATGTTGTTGTTGAAGCTATTACTATATCTATATGTTCTTCCTATATGTTACTCATATGCTATATGACTATAACATCATATCACTAACACACCACATCCACCAACAAGCAACAAGCAACTCCTCCAGGCCGATCCGTCGGTTTTATGCCCGATCTCCTGAACCGCTTCGCCAGCCCGAACCGGTTCTCTTCCTTCTACGCGCAGCACCCAGCACCGAGCCGCCCGTCCGCCGCCGAACTTTTTATTTATCAACGCTTCTCTTCCTCCCTGCTCTCTGCTCTGCTCCTGCTCGTCAGCCTTCTTCCTCTCCTCTTCTTCTCTTCTTCTTGAGATTCATCTCATCTAGTCCTCGAGGCTCTTCTTCTTCTTCTTCTTCTTCTTCTTCTCTCTCTCTTCTTTCCCCTCCTCTCCACCATGCGTCCCGCTCCTCGTCTCGCCGCCCTCCCCCTCGCCCTGCGCGCCGTCTCTCGTCGCGCCTACGCCACCGTCCCTCCTCCTCCCCCTCCAGCAAAGAAGGGCGGCTTCAGACGCGTCGGCACCTTCCTCTGGCGCGCAACCTACTCCTCTGTCATCGTCGGCGTCGGTCTCCTCGCCTACAACATCTACGACGGTCGCCACCCTGTCGACCAATTGCCTCCTGACCCGTCCAAGAAGACTCTTGTTATTCTTGGTAAGAACTACCTATCTCCATCTTTTATCAATTCGGTCTAACACACATCAGGCTCCGGATGGGGTGCGGTCTCGCTTCTCAAGAAGCTCGACACCGAAAACTACAACGTTGCCGTGGTCTCGCCGCGCAACTTCTTCCTCTTCACTCCTCTGCTTCCCTCCTGCACCACCGGCACAATCGAGCACCGCTCAATCATGGAACCCCTCCGCCACATCCTCCGCCACAAGAAGGCCTCGGTCGCCTTCTACGAGGCCGAGTGCACTGACATCGACCCCGTCAAGCGCACAATCACCATGCGCGACAACTCAGAGGTCAAGGGCGACATCGCCGAGACCTCGCTTCCGTTTGACTACCTCGTGATTGGCGTCGGTGCGCAAAACACCACCTTCGGCATCCCCGGTGTCGAGGAGAACGCCTGCTTCCTCAAGGAGATCCAGGACGCGCAAAAGATCCGCACGCGCATCATGGACTGCATCGAGACCGCCACGTTCAAGGACCAGTCGCCCGAAGAGCGCAAGCGTCTTTTGCACATGGTCGTCGTCGGCGGTGGTCCCACCGGTGTCGAGTTTGCTGGCGAGCTTCAGGATTTCTTCGAGGAGGACCTCCGCAAGTGGGTTCCCGAGATTGAGACCGATTTCCACGTCTCGCTCGTGGAGGCGCTTCCCAACGTTTTGCCTATGTTTTCCAAGGAATTGATTTCGTACACCGAGAAGACGTTCAAGGACGAGAAGATTGATATCCACACCAAGACCATGGTCAAGAAGGTTACCGACAAGTCCATCTTTGCCGAGGTTGTCAAGCCTGATGGATCAAAGGAGATGATCGAGATGCCCTACGGATTGCTCGTCTGGGCTACCGGAAACATGCCCCGCAACGTTGTTCGCAACCTGATGAAGAAGATCCCCGAGCAGGCCAACTCGCGCCGCGGTCTCGAGGTCAACGAGTACCTTGTCGTCAAGGGCACCGAGGGCATCTGGGCCGTCGGCGACTGCTCGGTCACCAAGTACGCTCCCACCGCCCAGGTCGCCACCCAGGAGGGTGCATACCTCGCCCGTCTGTTCAACACCATGGCCAAGACTCAGTCGCTCGAGGAGGAGGTCGAGTACCTCGAGCAGCTCGCCAACGGCGCGACCGCGCCCGAGGACAAGAAGACTGTCACTTCCGAGATCGAGGTCAAGGCCAAGGCGCTCCGTCGCACCAAGCGTCTTATGCCGTTCCAGTACACACATCAGGGATCGCTTGCCTACATTGGCTCTGACCGCGCTATTGCCGATCTGACGTTCGGCGAGGGCAACAACATGTCTTCGTCGGGCCAGATGACGTATCTCTTCTGGAGATCCGCGTACGTGTCGATGGTGTTCAGCACCCGCAACAAGTTGCTTGTGATTATGGATTGGCTCAAGGTCAAGATGTTTGGCCGTGACGTCAGCAGAGAGTAGCTTTTTTCTTTTGTTTATTTACCATCATTTGATATATACTATAGATTGCTTCTTTAACTGATTGTTGTTTGATTTAAGAATTCTATGTAATGATACTCTATCAGCTGACTAATAATCGGAGCTGGCCTCTTGATTTTTTGGTTGAGTTTTTTGGTTCTTTTTTTTAATCGTCTATATTTCTTTATAGCTTATTTATATTTACACTCGAATCATTAAACTATCTTTTGCTTGATTGAAGAGAATGAGTCAGTGCCGACGTTGTTCCGACATGGGCAGAGTCTGGATTCACGTGAAAGTGATGCCGAGGGCAGGGACGAGAAGTGAAGCAGACAAAGAGACAGACAGCCGATGCAGATGGTTTGGGAAGAGTTGGCGATAGTTTTCGCCTTTGTCTTTTCGTCTTGATATTGCAGATCATCCGGATGAATCTGGATTTCAGCCCTCGACGAAGAGCATAGACAGAACAGACAGAGCAGACAGAGCAGGCAGACACATGGCTTGCTCATGGCTCTGCTCGGTCCACCTTCTTTCGGAGCTGCAGAGGCAGAGCAGAGCACAGACACAGAATAAGCTGCGAGAAAGATAACAAGATCCTGCAAGCAGCAGGAACATAACAAACGACGAGCAGAGCTCTGCTTCCCTTTCGCCCCGGCCGACTCCGAGCTGATGCCGGTGCTGAACAGGGTCTTTGGTGTCCGAGCTGTGAGTTTGCTGTACACTGAAATGAGTATCAGGAACAACTGCATCTTCTTATTGCGTCTTCTACGATATCCACGTATTATTCCAGGATGCACACCGCCAGCAGCAAAGCCAGTGCCTTCAGAGCAGCCACAGATTGCAGCCAGAGCCAGAGCCAGAGCCCGACCGAGAGCAAGCTGACCCATCCATTTCCTAACCCGCCCTCGCTCAACACCGGGTCAGTCGGTTCCGCGCGGGTCCGCCGAATCTCAACTCCCGCCCGCCCGGACCGACCGAGGGCCACCCCGCAGTCCGCCGACACGATATCTACTTGGTTATCCTCCTCTTGTTCCTCTCTTCCTCTTCTTCTTCCTCTTCTTAATCCTCTACTTCCTCATCCTCTCCTTCATTCTCATCACATCCATCACCACCTCCGCAATGGACACAAAGACCCTCGCCTCCGCGGCCTCCGTCCTCGGCGCCGTCGACGACTCCCAGAAAGCAATCCTCTCTCCCGAGGCAATCGCCTTCCTCGTCCTCCTCCACCGCACATTCGACCCCACCCGCAAAGCCCTCCTCGCCCGCCGCGAGGTCCGCCAGGCCGCCCTCGACGCCGGCGTCCTCCCGACTTTCCTCCCCGAGACAAAATACATCCGCGACGACCCTATCTGGCAGGGCGCGCCGCCCGCGCCCGGCCTCGTCGACCGCCGCGTCGAAATCACCGGCCCGACCGACCGCAAGATGGTGATCAACGCCCTCAACTCCGAGGTCTGGACGTACATGGCTGACTTTGAGGACGCAACCGCGCCCACCTGGGACAACCTCATCTCCGGCCAGGTCAACCTCTTCGACGGCGTCCGTCGCCAGATCGACTTCACCGTCCCCGGCGGTAAGGAATACAAGCTCCGCACCGACCGGACGCTGCCCACGCTCATCGTCCGTCCGCGCGGCTGGCACTTGGAGGAGAAGCACTTCCTTGTCGACGGCCAGCCGATCTCTGGCTCGATCTTTGACTTTGGTCTTTACTTCTTCCACAACGCCAAGGAGCTCATCAAGCGAGGCTCGGGCCCCTACTTTTACCTGCCAAAAATGGAGTCCCACCTCGAGGCGCGGCTCTGGAACGACATCTTCAAGCTCTCGCAGGACATCCTCGAAATCCCCCGGGGGACCATCCGCGGCACCGTCTTGATCGAGACCATCATGGCCGCGTTCGAGATGGACGAAATCATCTACGAGCTGCGCGAGCACTCGTCCGGGCTCAACTGCGGCCGCTGGGATTACATCTTCTCCTTCATCAAAAAGTTCCGCAACAACCCGGCCTTTGTCCTCCCCGACCGCTCGCAGGTGACCATGACCTCGGGATTCATGCAGGCCTACGTCAAGCTGCTTATCAAGACCTGTCACCGCCGCGGCGTGCACGCCATGGGCGGCATGGCGGCGCAGATCCCGATCAAGACCGACGCGGCCGCAAACAAGGTCGCCATGGAGGGCGTCTACAAGGACAAGCTGCGCGAGGTCACCGCCGGCCACGACGGCACCTGGGTCGCGCACCCCGCGCTCGCGCCAATTGCGTCCGAGGTCTTCAACAAGATGATGCCGACGCCCAACCAGCTCTTCAAGCGCACCGACGACGTCGAGGTCTCGGCCGCCATGCTCCTCGACTCCAACGTCCCGGGCGAGGTCACCGAGGACGGCATCCGCAAGAACCTCGGCATCGGCCTCGGATACATGGAGGCCTGGCTCCGCGGAGTCGGCTGCGTGCCCATCAACTTCCTCATGGAGGACGCCGCCACGGCCGAGGTCTCGCGCTCGCAGCTCTGGCAGTGGGTCAAGCACCAGGTCACCACCGCCGAGGGCGTCAAGGTCACCAAGGACTACGCCCTGCGCATCCTCGACGAGGAGACCGCCAAGCTCGAAAAGTCCGCGCCAAAGGGTAACAAGTTCCGCGCTGCGCAAAAGTACTTTGCGACCCAGATCACGGGCGAGGACTATGCCGACTTCTTGACCTCCTTGCTTTATGACGAGATTGTCACTGCAAACTCTGCCAGCGCGAAGCTGTAAGCACCTACTTAAATGTCGTTCTGAGATGTCCTTTTCTTTTCTATTTTGAGATACAGCATGTTTGATCTCGAATGACCTCAAGAGATATTAGTACTTGTTTCCGCTCTTTCCTCAACTTTCTATGTGCTTTTCATCTTCATAATCATAACCATTACCCTCGTTCTTAATAATTTAGCAATATTATCAAAACCAGCGTTATATTAGTTATTTTGTCGGCAACACTGTCGGCATGACATACCAAGTTGCCCGCGCCCGCGGAATTGCCGCGGAAACAATCAGAAATCAAAAGTACCAAATCCATAAACATTAGCATGCATGACAAACTCCTAGACATTCAAATAGACATGACAAAAGGGATGTAAATAATATATACAAGCGCGAACAATCACTCCGCTCAGAAAAACGACCGCCGCCGCTGCTGCTGCTCCTCCCTCTCCAACCTCTCCTTCTCCTCCAGCATCCTCCTCCTCGCAGACTCCCTCGCGCGCTCAAGACTGCGCTGACTCCAGCGCACGCGGTCGCGCTCGTGCGTCACGCACCGCGGCTCGATTTTGTCCGTCAGCATCCACGCCGGGCGGGACGAGTTCGCGTTGCTCTGGATCAGGTTGCGGAGTTGCGCGTTGGCGGAGTCGCGGTCCATGTATTGGTTTTCTTGGTGGTATTTTTGTTGTAGCGCGGGCGAGAATTCCTATTTCATAGAGAGAAAGGAGTTAGCTATGCTGATACCATCTTGATAGCGGAGAGGAAGAAGTAGCGAAGGTTGATATGTACCTTCAGAAGCTCCTCCTCGGTCGGAACCGCATTCTTGTAAAGCCCAACTCCGAGACCGGTAATACCACCCCCGACAAACAGCATCTTCAAATACATCAAAGTCGACATCTTGATATAGTTGCAGTTCTGTTATTTACTTCCTCGCTACTAGTCCAGTGCTGATTGTACAGCAATGCAGGTCAGCGAATGGAGAGAGAATCGGGAAGAGAAGCCGTTGGGATTTTTCTGGCTCAGGCGAATTGCGTGTGGGCGATTTCGAAGTTTGGAAGTCACGTGAGTGATTATGTAACATCATCGCTTTGATAGTTATCGAACAGCATTCTGACTGATGTGATGTATTTAAAGACATTACAAACAAACAAAAGATGAAAGGCCTTTACGAGCAAACATTGCTTGCTAGTAACTCAACCCGCCTCTTCTTACAAACGAAAACGACAAAAAACATAGATAAAAAGCTACAAATCAAGCAAATCCAAAATCCAGACATATCCCGCTTAAAACAAGAGTAAACAAGACTAAACAGAGAAAAAAAAGAAAACTAAAACTAAAACCAACACCGTCCGTTACCAACATGCACACTGTTTAGCATGCACATCCCTGTGCTCCGTTCTCGCCCGCCCGCGACTCCAAATCGACGCCCCGCTCGCCCGCACCAGCACGTCCCTTTGCGCCGGCCGCGCCTCCGCGCTTATTGACAATCTCCTCCGGGATCTTCGACGCGATCGCAAGGAAGACGTCGCGCACGTTCGCGCCGGTCTTGGCAGAGGTCTCAAAGAAAAGCAAGCCTTCCTCCTCCGCAAACTTGCGGCCTTCCTCCGTCGAGATCTTGCGACGGTCCTCGTCGTCGTCGGTCGAGGCCTCGCCGCCCTCGCTATCGCACAGATCGAGCTTGTTGCCCACGAGCGCAATCACAATCTTCGGGCTCGCCTGCGCGTGCAGCTCGTTCACCCAGTGGCGGGCTTTGATCAGCGACGTCGGTTTTGTGAGATCGTAGACTACTAACGCGGTCTGCGCGTTTCTGTAGTACATCGGCGCGAGCGACGCAAATCGCTCTTGGCCTGCGGTGTCCCTGGAGATCATGTATGTTAGCAGGCATGTAGAGTGCGGTGTACAGAGCAGGAGGCTAATTACCATATCTCGAACTTGATAGTTCTGTTTGGGAGGGTGCACTTCTGGGTAAGGAATGCAGCACCGATAGTCGGTTCTAGGTATATGCGTTAGCCATCCATATAGTGATATTGATGCTGGTCTGCCGCTGCAGTGCTGTGTGAGCCTGCTTGCTCCTGGATCTTGCTTATATCCACGGTCCACCATCTGGCTGATAAGCAGTCACCATCTAGCTGATCAGCAATCACTGGCTTGATCCCATATCTGCACTATCCACAAAAAACTGGCATAGAAGTAATACAGCTGACATATAGACGCTGACGGTGGAGATTCGGAACGCGTCGGAAGGAAGCAGGGGTGATTAGTGTCTGCTCCTTCTGCGGAGTAGCAGCAGATCCAGATATTTCAAGCAGGCTTCGTATACAGCGCACAGACAGAGCAGACTGCAAACTTAAGGAAACTACCCACCTTTGTTCTCTTGAAAGTCGTTGCTCACGAATCGCAGGACCAAGCTCGATTTGCCGACCGCGGCTTCACCGAGGAGGACGAGCTTGACGGATGCAGTCGGCTTCGGAGCTGAGGGAGTAGAATCTAGCGAGCTCATGGTGAAGATGCTGGATGCTTGTGGAGTGTATAGAGGGGAGAGTTGAGGATGAGTGATCGATGGGTTGATAAGTTGGTTGGCTGATTAGCTGCTGGGACAACCGGTGACGAGGACGACAACGACTGAAGAGGCAGAGATGCGCTAATGAGACTGATAACAACGAGCCACTGCTTGCTTCAAATGTCTTTTGTGGTTTCTTAGCTGGACAAGGAGCGCTTGAAGCCGAGATGATTCACGCAGATATCAGATGTGGGATTGCAGACTGGGCCCAGGCGGTGGCGGAATCAGGCAGAGGAGCAACTCTCCTCCCAGGCCGGATTAGTGGATTATGTAAGGATTATGTAAGGAATCTGTAAGATGTCCGCATCACGTGGATTGCTTCTACGCTGGTTGTCGTAAATACGAGGAAAACACAAGACTGATAGATATCGTACAATTGTAATCATGACATGGCACTCTTCTCGCTGGTTTGCGCCCGACTTCGTATCTCTCGCTCCTCTCTGTGTCTAGACAGTGCTCCGCAACACCAGAATCACCGAGTCTCCTCGCAGAAACATCTTACTTATGAATCTATCTTTGTTGACCGGTCGGCCCTTCTTGCCTTTTGATGTCCGCGGGGTCTCGGTCCACATCTGTGAAGAGGCAGTTAGTATATTTAGTTACCGTAGACGTCGACTTGGTGCCCGATGCGATATCAAATCGAGCAGTGCAAACAGGGCACATAAGGATGCAACCAGCGCACGAGTAAACAAACAAACAAATAAGGAAAACCCACCTCCTTCACATTCTCAAGCACCATGTTTGAATGCCGATCAAACGCCTTCACGCGCGCCAGCAGTTTCTTGTTGTTCCGGCACGAGATCAGGACCTGTGATTTGTTCTTGACAGCAGCTTGCAGGACCGAGAGCGGGCCGTTTGCGAATTCGTATTCTTCAAGCTTTGCGATTTCGAATTCCGCGAGCTCGGAACGGGGTCGGTTCACGAATTCACTGTGGGAGAAGGGGAGGTTAGTATCGGTTGTTGCTAGGAGGTGCTGTTTGATAGAGCCATGCTATGGGTAGTGGATGCACCAGTCCAAACAGAACACAATCAAGGGGAAACGTACGCCATTGCGATGTAGATGTAGATGTAGATGTAGATGAGGATGTTGATATAAAGAAGAGAACTGCCGGATGAAAAGTAATGACAGCGACTGATCTGATGTAAGATGCACTTTTGTACAAGCAAACGTGATAATAATCAAAAAGCAGAGTGACTTTCTCCAACACTGTCTTCAAGAGTGTACAGACAGCTAATGCAAAGAATAAGACTACTTGACACCGAGTTCTTTGCCCACAAATCCACAACCGTTGCTGATTCTGCGATCGAATATGTCTGCCTTTTGTTCGCGAAGAGGGAGAATTTCGTCAGTCTGAGAAATACTGCGGCGCCGCGGTAGAACTCAGCACAAATCTCAAACAACCTAAACACACGTAAGGGGTAATTGAGGGATCTTAAATAAAGTTAGTGAGGTGCCTCGAGCGCACGCGTCTTGGTTCCTTTGGGTTCATCGAACGCGTCGCGTCCCTGGTGTAGGCCGCAGGAACAGGGACCGTATAGAGAGTAGGTGCTGGAGGGGCTGTGTGTAGAATTATATATACAAGCTATATCTATAAGACAAACACCCTCCAAGACTACTGAATTTCACCGCGCATAGTAGAGCCAATATAAAACACGTAAACAAAGCGGGTACGCCGACGTGTTTATCCCGCGCCGTAATATTCCAAGGCCGTTCTGGCACGGGTACGCGCCATTCCGGATCTTTGGGTTGAAGAACAGCGAGTGTGATCAGTGTTTTGTGTTTTGTGGTCTGCAAGACTCAAATTCAAGGTTTCTGACTCGTTTTGCGGTCTATCGTCGTCCCCGAAGTCGAGCGGCCTTCGTCTCGTGTTTTGGGACTTTTGTGTTTTCTGCGCTCGTCCACTTTCCTCTTCTTCATCGTCACCTTCCTCCTCTACTCCTTCTCTCCTCTCCTCTTCTCTACCCCCCTCACTCCCTGACGATCGCGTTTTATCTGTCTGTTCCTCATGGCGTCTTACGCGCTGTGTGCTTCGCCAAATGTGGACGACTCCGTTCCCATCCAGCCCCGGCCCGTAACGCGTCCCATGCGCCGTACGTGTTTCTCTCTCACCACTCTCTGTTTTCTTTCTAACGTTTGTAAATCTGTTTGGCCGTGCAGTCAAGGTCCTCTACACGTTCGATAACGCTCAAAAGACCACCTGCCTGGCGCGTTCGTCGTCCATCTTCCAGGTCCAAGTAATCCACTGCCCGCCAGCCTCCCCGACCTCCTCCCCGACGCGCACCCCTCCCCGCAACCACTCCTCTTCCTCTTCTTCCCGACGCAGACCCGACGTCGTCGGCGCGATCGACCTGCGATCTTGCATCGCTGCCGTCGCTTCTTCGAGCCCCGAACTCGTCGCCGACCCGTCGATCGACTACGCGGTCTACACTGTTGACTTTTCGGAACGCGACCAGCCGCTAGTCGGCCACGGCCTCCTTTCCTGGGCACTCGCATCCTCGGCCGCGCCCCAACATCAAGACAGCATCAATTCGACCGAGAACCAAAGCAGTATCTCCAACCCCACCAACTCATCCAACAACCCATCCGCGCCGAGCGATCTCTCCGCGATCCCGACTCGCGACAACAGCCACTCATCCGGCGCAGCCGCTACCGCGCACGAGGTCGCGGCCGGAACGCTGCAGATGGTTTGCGGCCGCGTGTGCTCGAACGTTATGAACATGTTTGGCAACCACGGCGTGCGCGAGACTCTGGAGATCAAGCTTCGACTACAACCTGTACGGCGCGCTCTATCTTTGCAATATGTCTTTCAGCACTCTATCAAGATCTTTTCACTGACATTGATTATTTTTTGTACAGGTCCACGGAGCTACGCAGATGCGGTTTTTGAGATCCATGCAGCTATACGTCCGGTTATCAAACCTAATGCCCGGATGCTTCGACGCAGCCCGATGGACAAGCTTCATCCAATCCCAGCCACGCGTAATGGAACTTTTGACTGCGCCAGCATACGCCGGGCTTGTCAGCAATGCGGACAACAGCAGTAGCAGTACCAACCTGCTTCTGTTTGACAACGAAAACTCCTCGTCGGGAGCCGGGCGGCCGAATGATGACTATGATGCTTTCTTTGGATTGCCGGTTGAAGCTGAGAGAGCGATCGCTGCCGCCACAAACACCTCCACGCCCGCGACTACTGCTGCGAAGAAAGGGCGTCCTAAGGGATCATCTACACAGAAGGTAACAATTTATCATGATATTCTCTTGCTTTTTTCCCTGCTAACGAATCTATAATAGCGACGCGTGCTCGAGGACATGAGTTCATCATCCCTCAACGCACTCAGCAGCAGCAACAACAGCAACAACGCGTCATCAACCGCCAACATCGACGGCCCTCCAGCAAAACGGCCCCGCGTAAAGAAGCTCGCGCCCGCTGCCGCTGTCTCTACAGCAAAGCGGGGCGCGTCATCTCTCGCATTTGGCAAAAATCAGGCAAATCACAGTACTTCTACGCCTACCAGTCAAACCGAGGCCAGCGGAATCAGCAGCAGCCAGCAGAACCAGAATCACAGTAACATCAACGACGCGGCAAACAGATCCGGCGGCAACCCGGCCGCAGCATCTCATCAGCAGTCTGGTGAGCAGAAAGAGTCGAGCCCGACGGACGGCAATCAAAAGCGACCATCCGCTCACCGCTTCGCCACCTCGGTCGCACTTCCCCAACGGCAGAATCTTACCCGCACAGTCACCGCTCCCACCCCATCAGTCTCATTCTCTCCTCCTTCGTCAATCAGCCCGTCGTCTCCGTACTACGAGTCCTCCCCACAGCTTGCATCGTCGCCACCGATATTTGGCGGAATGGGTGATCGATTCTCGTCGCCATTCGACAGCACGGGACGGGATATTCCAAAGGCATGGACTTCTGATGCTGGCAACCAAATACTCAGCAGCGCTCTAGATACTGTCGCGGCAGGACACGGAAGCGGGAACGCAACGTCTCCCTTGTCGAGCGTGTTTGACGATATCATGTCATCGACACTTGATCTCGGCGACGACGAGAACGCGCTGAACAGCAACCAGACTCTCGACCTGGCGAACGACTTTGTGCGAGAATTCTACCGGTTTGACAGTGAGAGTGACCTCAGCTTGAGTATGGACAGCGATAGACGTGAGAAGCACCGCGAGGCGATGGAGGATCTGCTGATGTTGGGACAGGATGATGGCAACGCCGGCGGCGGGAACCATCTCGAGATCCCAGGTGGCGGATCGTCATCATCGCTCGCTAACTCGGACGACCTTTTCGAGGACGCAAACAGCGAGCAAAAATCATCTCCCATCACCTCTCCAAATGACAGTTTCTCGGCCTTCTTCGACGCGGGCGGTGATGAAAGTCAGAGCCAGGGAAAACAGAATCAGCAAGCGATCATAGACTCGATTCGTGAGTCAGGGCTGATCTTGCCACCCGTCAGCAAGACGTCAGTACAATCCATGCCGCCTTCGGAGATTGATTTTCCCAGCGATGGACCTGGCGCGTCATCATACAACACAGGCACTCCAAGCACTACCGGCAATGCTTCTCGTTCTCAGTCTTTAGCGCCTACCGCGACCTCAACTGCGACTCTCCCGACCACTGCTACCGCCGCCGTCAATGGCAAATCAAAAGAAAAGCGCGCGAGCCGGAATAAGACGAAAGAGCGGATCCACTCGACGCTGATGCAGTCGATTGCGACAGGAAAACCCCCGCTTTACTGCCAAAACTGTGGCGACATCATGCCGCATGCTTGGAGACGGATCAAGACCGTGACGGCAAATAACACGATCGAGTCGATGCGGGTATGTAATCCGTGCGGGCTCTACTACCAGAGCAAGAAGGTCATGCGGCCCGATCATCTCTGGAGGAGGAACCGCGAGAGCTCGATCATCTCAAGCGACGCGATCGATCTCGATGAGGTACCGGATAAGGCCTACAACAGCGAGTCTGCAGGAGCTGTGGTGACGGGCGAGAGCAGCGCGGTCACGACTACAAAGACGTCTGCGGCTGGTAGTCCAGCGCCGGCAAAGGGTGTACTCTCGACTTCCACCGCGACGTCTTCGAGGAGCGGCACTCCGCGACCACTCAGTCCTTCTGAGGGAACGAAGATGAACGTGGAGGGAAAGCTACACGAGGGAAAGTCTCCGGAGGTGCCTGTGGTGGTTGACGATAATGCATGAATGAAGAGATGATTAGCGTTTTCAGTTTTTATAAAATGTCATGATGTCTGGGTTGCTTTGTTAGATATGCTAATATAATTATTTAAGAAAAATCTTGTTGCTTCTACTTTCACTCTGCTTTGATTCAGTCAGAGTCGGTCGACCGGTGCGATGTGCCAGACTCAGTCAGGAGGTGCAATCGCCGTTTCAATAATGACACCAGCCATTCTACCTGCGGATGTTTTGCCACCGACGTTCGTAGACATTGCTTCGAGCTGCTCTATCCATTATTGCGTTGTTATTATGCCAAATGAGGAAGATACAAGCAGCCGCGGCATCTGCGGCGTAGTCCGGAACCACACCGCTGCCCGGCGACCGCGAGGACTGCAGCCGGGCAGCCTGAGTGCAGCTTTTAAAAGACGGAGAGGTGCTGAGAGATGAGGATCACAGACTGCTGGAGTTTCGTGAACGGATTCTCAGCTGCGTTTCCCGACAACAATTTCTGTATCTCGGCGGTGACGAACTAAACTGATAACCAAAACAGCAGCTGCAGAAGAGGCATAACCTTCACGCTGTTGCGCGCACTCCAGAACTGCTTCCGGCTTATCGCCCTCGGGGCCATCAACCCACCTCCATTGCACTGCTCCCAACCCCGTCACTCGCTCGCTTTGCTTCACTATCGCGCCCGCAATCCTTCTTTTCGCCAATAGATTTCTCTAAATTATACACTTGCTGAAATGCGCGTTCCAGTCCAGTACAGCCAGCAGGCCAACGCCGCGATGGCCGCCGCCGAAGACATCTCGAGACTCTCGTTGAGGTCGGCTGAGCCCCAGCTGCCCGCACCCGCCGTGTCCTCGACCACTCCGTCCTCAACCGCCCCGCAGCCTACGCCGTTCTTTTCGACCTCGTCAAAGGAGGCCGCGAACGATACGAGCAGCAAGTTCTCAGAAAAGCCCTCGAACTACACGTTCCCTCGCAGCGAGCGCGTTCGCCGCGATGCCAGCACCAAGGCTATCGATCCGCTGACCGAGAGCTTCATCGAGTTCATGTACGAGAACCCGACCACGTACCATGCGTGCGAGGGCTTTGCTGACATGCTCTGCCACGCCGGATTTACCTACCTCTCTGAACGTGTTTCGTGGGACGACAAGATCACAAAGGGTGGGAAGTACTTCACAACCCGAAACGGCTCGTCGCTTGTCGCGTTCGTTATCGGTCAGCATTACGTTGGTGGAAACGGTGCCGGTATGGTCGCTTGCCATATCGATGCTCTTTGCGCAAAGGTCAAGCCTATTTCGAAGAAGCCGGCCGTTGAGGGATACACCCAGATTGGTGCCGCCCCTTATGCTGGTGCTATGTCGTCGTAAGTTGAAATATCCTTACACATCTTCGAATTGCAATAGTGTAGTCGGCTAACCTATATCTAATTCTCCAGGACCTGGTGGGATCGTGATCTTGGTCTTGCTGGACGTGTGGTCGTCAAGAACCCGACTGGCGTTATTCAGACCAAGCTCTTTACGATTCCCTACCCCGTCGCCCGCATCCCGACACTTGCCCCCCATTTCGGTGCGGCCGCCAACCCTCCCTTCAACGCCGAATACAACACCACACCAATTATCGGTCTCGAGCCCGATGATCCGGCTGAGAACGAGCTGAGACCGGATGAAGTCGGCGCTCCGCTAGCTGGACGTCATAATATTCGCTTGCTGCGGCTTGTTGCGAAAGAGCTGGGTGTGCCGGTCTCGAGCATGCTCAACTTTGACCTCGAGCTGTTTGACACTCAGCGTGGAACCGTCGGCGGTCTTGACAAAGAGTTTTTGTTCTGCCCGCGTATCGACGACAAGATCTGCGCCTATGCGGCCATCACTGGTCTTCTAGAGTCCTGCGAGGAGCATGCCATCAGCGGCTCGACCATCAACGTTCTCGCCCTCTTCGACGACGAGGAGATTGGCAGTCTTCTGCGTCAGGGAGCAAGAGGTGGACTTCTCGAGAGCTCGCTGCTCCGGGTTGTCGAGTCAGTTGGCGACGGCGCGACAATGGCGCAGACTTACGCCAACTCGTTCCTCGTCTCGGCCGACGTTATCCATGCGTTCAACCCCAACTTCTCGAACGCGTACATGCAGTACCACACTCCTTCGCTCAACGTCGGAGTCACAGTCTCGTGTGATCCAAACGGACACATGACCACCGATGCCGAGAGCACGGCTTTCATGGAAGAGGTTGCTCGCCGGACCAACAACACACTGCAGTACTTCCAGATCCGCAACGATTCGCGATCGGGCGGTACTGTCGGTCCCATGCTTTCGTCGTCGATGGGATGCCGTAGTATTGATATGGGAATCCCGCAGCTTGCCATGCACTCGATCCGTGCGTGTACCGGCTCCCGCGACGTCTCGCTCGGTGCTAAGCTCTTCCAGGCGTTCTACGAGGAGTGGGAGGATGTCGATTATCAGTTCCGCTCTGGCGAGAAAATGTAATTAGTTGTTTTGTAGTAGCCTCTGGTTAGCCTTTTGTTTAGTCTTTTGTTTACAATCTGTTGTTATTTGTGCGAATACAATTATCTGGTGTGTTATTTCATGCTTCTTCCTTAATCCTCTAAAGCTGTTCGTAGCTGCTGAGATCTCGAGAAGAATCGCACATGAGGGTTTTGTGCTCGCGGCACCCAGGAGTTGAACACGTTGAAGGCACGCGCCGATTCATCTTCAGCCCAGTCAGTCCGAGCAAAACATCCAAGCACATCATCAATTTCCCCCAAAGAAAGCTGGTGAAAGCAAGCAAAGACAGCACATCATGATTCGCTCACTATTCTTCCTGCTGCTCGGCGTGTTTGCGCTCCTGCGGACGGCAGTGGGTCACAACGTCAAGCTCGAAGCGCAGGGACGCGAGTGCTTTTTTGAGGATCTGAGGGCGGGCGATACGATGACTGTGTCGTATCAGGTCGGTGATAGCGATGCGTCTGCGTCTAGTGGAAGCGGTGGAATTGATTTCTGGGTATGATTGCTTTTGTGTGTAGTGTTGGCGCAGTGTTGCTGATCTTTTGATTGTTCCAAACTCTTTAGGTCAATGATCCTCGAAACTCAGCCGTCAAGGTCGAGAAAGACGTCCAGCACGGCGAGTTCACATTCGTAGCCTCCCACAACGGCAGATACACCTACTGCTTCTCGAACGAGGCGGCCGGCTACGTGAGCAAAGAAATCGGATTCAACGTCCACGGCGTGGTCTACGTCGACGCGTCCGAGACTCCTGAGGATCCGCTCGAGCACGAGATCAAGACGCTCTCGCAGCTGCTGGAGCAGGTCAAGGATGAGCTCGAGTACATCATGATCAGAGAGCGCGTGCATCGCAACACGGCTGAGTCAACAAACTCCCGCGTCAAGTGGTGGAGTATATTCCAGATCGGCGTCGTTGCGGGAAGCGGCGTCTTCCAGGTTTACTTCCTCAAGCGGTTTTTCGAGGTCAAGTCTGCTGTTTAGATAGAGGAGGTTTGATGAAGAGGCCGAGTGGGTTACGTGGTAGCTAGCCAATCCATTTATGTCATGATTGATGTATATAATATATTGATAATTAGCTATCTACCTGGAGATGACACAAAAACATGAATAACAAGAGGTACAAAAAATGGAAGTGTATAATTAAATAAATCAAACATCACAGCGAAGCCACTGTCTAGCAACTCTCTGTCACATAATCATACGGTTCGATTTAAACAAGCGTCTCATCAAGACGGACCGCAGGGTTCGTCTCAATGAAGTCAAGATTGACCTTGTGTCCGACAAGCTCTCTGATGTTGGACAGCTTGTACTTAATCATCGTAGGTCTCTCCAGACTCAGACCGAAGCCGTGCACCCGCAGGTCCTTGGGCAGGCCCATGGACTCCAACATCTCGGGTCTGAACATGCCTGAGTTTCCAATCTCGATCCACTTGTTGAGACCGGCGTGCCACGCGAAGATTTCCATCGAGGGCTCGGTGTACGGGTTGTAGGCCGGCTTGAAGCGGAGCTTGTCGACTCCCATACGTGTGAAAAAGCGGTCCATGAAGCCGATGAGATCGCCGAGGGTCAGGTCGTAGTCGGCAATCACACCCTCGATCTGGTGGAACTCGGCAAGATGGGTCGCATCGACGGCCTCGTTTCGGAAAACGCGATCGATAGAGAAGAAGCGCGCGGGCTTGGGGTCGGCGGCAAGTTTGTGCAGCATCCGTGACGAGACAGCGGTTGTGTGTGTTCGCAAAACGAGTCGCAGGGATTCCTCAGCGTTCCATGGGTATCTGTATCCGATCGATCCATAGGCACCCTCCTCGTGAACCTTGTGAATGTTCTCCCAGTAAGTCTTATCCTCGGGCTCGTCAGCCTTGACGGGATCTTTGATGTAGAAAGTATCTTGCAAATCACGAGCGGGATGCTGCTGAGGCACAAAGAGCGTATCGAAATTCCAGAAGCCAGACTCGACAAACTGGTTGGTGGGCATCTCGGAGAAACCCATGGCGAAGAAAATCTGTCGGAACTCCTCGCGGACCTTGTTTAGCGGGTGAAGAGCGCCGGACGCTGTAACTGCTCCCTCGGCATCGAAGTTGTAAGGCTTGAAGGTCTGCGTCTTCCATGATCCACTATAGAAGTGTCAGTATGGAATCGCACGAAACAGATAATGAAAGTAGCAATCTCTTACCTCGCAATCATCTCGGGAGTCAGATCGGTTTCGAGCTTCTTGATCTCCAAAGCAAACTCAGGTCCCTTCTCAACCGAGTACGACAACTTCTTTCTATATACGTCGAAGAAACTGAAGTTAGCACTGCCTCGCACTCCTCTCGCACAGGAATTGACGATATACTAACCCCTTCTCGATAAGTTTCCGTTTCCGGAGCTCGCCCAATTCCTTCGCATCACCGAGAGTACCAGTCTCCTTGATAGTCTTGAGATCTTTTGCCGTCGTATCCTCAGGCAATGCGGAGACCTATGTAGATAATTGCTCTTGTTAGAAACCGGCCAGGTCCACAGATTTTCTTCTGCTACACTCTTACATTCGAAACAAGCTTGTCACCGTCCTTCTTGATCCATCCGTTCTTGAACGCTCGCGATTGACCAGGCTTTCCCGCAGCACCAAGCACTTTCTATATTCGTCATGACAGTCAGTCGACTTTGCTCGAAATGTATACTATGACGACATATTCATACCGTGACATCAGCAAGCTTAAGACCCTCCATGCTCTTTGTGACTTCCTCCAAAAGTCGGAACTCATGACTACCCTTCTCGACAATCTCTTCAGCCTCAGGAGTAAGGGTCCAGAATTCGATATCGATTGGCTTGTATGTCACCATTGACCGAGCAGCCAAAGAGTTCAAAGCACCTAAAGCCGTCACAAGTCATTAGTACACCTACAAGCAAATCGAAAAACAGACTGCCTTTATTGAAAGCAAGCGTAATGCAATTCACACAGACACCTGCAGTCAATCGGAAAGAAAGACTCTTACCATGAACGACGCCGGTCTCGACATCGGGGAAAGTGACCGCGGTGTCAGATATCGGACCCTTGTCAAGAGTCTGCAAAACCAAGTGCGCAAGATCTGCCATGTCGTCAAATGTACGTATTTATCAACAACGGACCAAGAGAACGTGAACGGAGTGTGTCTTCAGATTAGTCGTCGCTCTCGGTCTCAACGCATTTTTCTGTAGAGTGGTCCCTGGGTGTCATCGCTCAAAGCACGTGATTAGTCGTTCCCCTGAGCTGACCATAAAACTCAAATTCATTCTCTTACCAAAAAAATTAGATAGAAGCAGCTTTACATCAGACCTTCTTCTGCCTCAAGCACATAATGGCTCCTATATCACCGGAGAAGCTGCGCGATCTGCAGCTGAACCCGTCATGCGTGCGGAATATCTGCGTGCTAGCGCACGTAGATCACGGCAAGACCTCGCTGTCTGACTGTCTGCTGGCATCTAACGGGATCATCTCGCAAAAGATGGCGGGCAAAGTTCGGTATCTTGACTCACGAGAAGACGAGCAGATCAGAGGTATCACTATGGAGGTAAGTAGTTGTGTTGTTGTTATGCGACGATTGACGTTCTGAATCTGACTTGGTTTCATGGCTCTAGTCTAGTGCTATCTCTCTATATTTCAAGACACTCCAGCACAACTCTGCTGATGGTACGTCGATATGACATATGCTACTAATATTTGCTCGTTCTTACTGATCTGTTACGTTAGGCACAAGCGAGGTGAAGGAGTATCTCATCAATCTCATCGACTCTCCAGGCCACATTGATTTCTCCTCCGAAGTCTCGACTGCCTCGCGACTCTGCGACGGCGCCCTCGTTCTCGTCGACGCGGTCGAAGGCGTGTGCTCACAGACCGTGACCGTGCTTCGTCAGGCATACCTGGAGCACATAAAACCTGTCCTGGTGATCAACAAGATTGATCGTCTGATAACTGAGTTACAGCTGACTCCCTACGAAGCTTATCTGCACATGTCGAAACTCCTCGAGAAAGTCAACGCTGTCACTGGTTCCTTTTTCGCGAGTGAGAGGATGGAGGAGGAGTATGAAGAGGGCCAAGAGGAAATGAATGACGAAGATTTGTACTTTTCTCCCGAGGCAAACAACGTCATCTTTGCCAGTGCGATCGACGGCTGGGGTTTCACCATCCAGCAGTTTGCAGTCATTTACGAAAAGAAACTCGGCATGAAGCGGTCAGCGCTCGAAAAAGTCCTGTGGGGCGACTACTACTACGACGCAAAGAACAAAAAAGTTCTGACTAATAAGACTCTCAAAGGACGAAATATTAAGCCCTTCTTTGTCCAGTTTGTGTTGGAAAACATCTGGGCTATTTACGATAGCACTATCTTGAACCGCGACCTGGAAAAGACTGAAAAGATTGTCAAAGCTTTGAACGTCAAAGTTCTTCCTCGGGATCTGCGATCGAAAGATACACGAGTGCTACTTAATACTATTTTCAACCAGTGGCTTCCGTTATCGAGCTCAGTGCTGATTACAGTCATCAACAAGCTGCCTGCGCCTACTGACGCTCAACGAGATCGAGTCCCAACTATCTTGGAGACAACGCCAGGCGCCGAGATGATCTCTCCCGAGCTGAAAGAGGCGATGATGAAATGCGACGCGAACGGTCCTATATCGGCGTATGTGTCCAAGATGGTTGCGATCCCGGAGGATGATTTACCCCGGGATAGACATTCAGTAAAGGTTGAAGGTGGTGATGGTGACGATCTGCGCGAGAGAATCCGAAAGGCCAGAGAAGCAGCGAATAAAGCTCACGCAGAGGCAATGGAGCGCGAGCAGGGCCCTGTAGCTGCTGAACCGGCTGCTAGCGATTCCTTGGCCGCTATGCTTGCAGAACTGAATATGACTGAGAATACGGAAGCCGCAGTGAAAAAGGAGGTTATGATTGGTTTTGCTCGGTTGTACAGTGGTACGCTGAAGATCGGTCAAGAGCTGCTAGTTCTGGGTCCGAAATACAATCCTCTGTACCCGGACAGATATGTTACAAAAGCCACAATCACCGACCTCTATCTTCTGATGGGCCGAGAGCTCGTTTCGCTGGAAACCGTCCCATGCGGCAACGTGGTCGGCATTGGAGGACTAGACGGAGCTGTGCTGAAAAACGCTACCCTGGTCTCTACTGCTGGCGGCGTTAATCTTGCCGGTGTGAATTTAGCATCTGCGCCTATCGTGCGCGTCGCGCTCGAGCCAGAGCGACCAAGCGAACTTCCAAAGCTTGAGCGCGGGCTGAAGCTTCTCAACCAGGCTGATCCTTGTGTCCAGATTATCGTCCAAGAAAATGGCGAGCACGTTATTCTCACCGCCGGAGAGTTACATCTTGAACGATGTCTGAAGGATTTGCGCGAACGGTTTGCAGGTATCGAAATTCACAGCTCTAAGCCGATTGTTCCGTATCGCGAGTCGATCGTTCGGACTTCAGACATGCATCCGCCAAAGAATGCAGAACTTCCCCGTGGAACAGTCGTCGTCTCTGTTGCTGGCTCGCAAGTCACAATTAGACTTACCGTGCGACCTTTGCCAGCGGCCGTTACCGAGCTGTTGATAAAGCACAGAAATGCCATTCAAATTCTACGAAAACGTGAGCACGGTATTGCCGACAGTGACGCCAAGATCTCCGGGACTGAGCAAGCGGCGACTGAGGAGTCTGTGACCGACCAGGAAGATGGGACGACTAAGGAGAGCTCTACGGGTGCTGCTGCCGGCGACTTGGAGGATGACGACGTCGACAATTTCTCTTCGTCAACGTTGTTGTCTCTGGAGCAGTTCCGCGCCCAGCTGACTGAGGCATTTGCTACTGCAGACCATGCTAGAGATGTATGGGAGGGCGCAGTGGAGAAGTATGTACAGATTTTAGCATTTTATCAGCAACGATGACAAGTTTAACTAACCTTATACCAGAATTTGTGCATTTGGTCCAAAGTTCATCGGTCCCAATATTCTTCTAGACAACACCCCGAACGGATTCTCCAAACATATACTGTCGTCAACCGTGTCGTCGAGAACGCCATTCCACGACAGTATCGTGACTGCTTTCCAGCTTGCGACAACAGCCGGTCCGCTCTGTGCCGAGCCTATGCAAGGCGTGGCGGTCTTGGTCGAGCAAGTAGAGGTCACTACAGACTCTGAAGCTTCTGGTTCTCAGCCGATAGCAGACACAGAGGATGAAACCGGTCTTGCTGATTACAGAGCCGCCGTCTCTCTTGCGGCCCGTCACTCGGGCCAGATCATCACTGCCACTCGAGACGCGATCCGTAAGGGATTTTTGGACTGGGCACCGCGCATACTGCTCGCGATGTACGAGGTCGAGATCCAAGCTCCAGCAGACGTCTTAGGTCGGGTGTACTCAGTGATCGCCCAGCGACGCGGCCGAATCGCTTCCGAAGAGATGAAGGAAGGAACTCCATTTTTCAGCGTCAAGGCAGTCGTACCTGTTGCGGAATCATTCGGACTCTCAGAAGATATTCGCAAGCGATCTTCCGGAGCAGCCAGTCCGCAGCTGATTTTTGCGGGATTCGAGATGTTGGACGAAGATCCGTTCTGGGTGCCTACGACCGAAGAAGAATTGGAGGAGTTGGGTGAGATTGCGGATAAGGAAAACATCGCAAAGAAGTACGTCGATGCGATTCGCAAAAGGAAGGGTATGTTTGTGGAGGAGAAGTTGGTGAAGAACGCAGAGAAGCAGCGGACGCTTAAAAAATAAGGCATGCATGCATTTTCTACACTTTCAACTTAATCAACTCTTTCTAATCATTTCGTATTTGTTAAACGTTTGTATATATTGGGACCTGCCTAATCTAAATTAACCTGCGAAAATACATCATCCTGAACTCGGTGATTGACAAAACTGTATACAGCCAGTCCATGACACCGCAGACATAGACACGCGTACATAAAGTAGAATATCAATTTAATGCCAGTAACCACCAGCAATGCGAAAAACAAAAATAAAACAGAAAAGGAAACTCAAACGAGAGATTCATCCGGGTTTCACCCAAAAGCCCCGTGAAGCCGACCTTTACTTACGCGGCGGGCTCAGGAGCCTTGGGAGCGGTATCAACGATCTTGACACCGGTAGCAGCCTGTGCCGAAGCAAAGAGACCCTGGAAGGCCTCGGGGTAGGACTTGCCCAGAGATCTCTGGTAGTTGAAGACGCGGGTGAGCTGAACGCCAGCGACAGCACCCAAGAAGAAGTTGACACTAGCCAAGCTGTTGCATAGAAGTGCAAGGTTAGTGGTTGGAGGATGAGATAGTATGTTCTGACGCGGGGGACCCTTACAGGTAGTTCTTGGGCTTGATGATCAAGCACCATCGGGTCCAGATGGCACCGGTAGCAAACAGAGCTGAATAATGAGACAAATTAGAATGAGCAATTGACGAATGCTGAACAGTGAGAGGTAATAAACCTACCGATCTGCTGAGTTCCGGAAAGCGTCTCGACAGGACGATTCAGATCAGAGATACCGGCAAAAACCAAAGCCCACTAAATACGATTAATTTGTTAATAAAACTGAAATAAAAGTATAGATAATCGATATGATCTGGGTTCTAGGCCGTGGGAGTCATTTGTAGCTGGCCATCGGCTGGCTGGTGGGGAAGTAGCGGGGGCTTTCGAAATTGAATAAGGAAACACTCACTTTCATGACCGGAGCCTGCGCGTAGAAAGATGTTAACAAACAATGTCAAATACCGGTATAATATAGACATCTGCGGCAATGGACCGACCAAGCGACTGGCGGAGTATCCACATTGCGAGCACACGCGGACTATCTGGGTAGAAGTCAACATACCCAGAAATGGATGGTCTTGGGACCAGTCTCGGACTGCATATACTTCTGCAGAGGAGTGAGTCCTTTAGCGGCCGACATTTTTGCTGTGTAGATGAATTGCTGGTGTCGAGAGTCTGACGAGCTGCGAAGAGGGCGGATGCGGGGACGAAGAGGGCGGGCGGAGGAGGGAAAACGATATCGAAGCCAAAGTCGCGAACGGGTTTGAGCGGCGTTAAATGGACTTTGGCTTTTGTCCGTCCGGCTCCTAACCCTGAAAGAGTCACATGATCTGGTACACACGCGCACATGCGCAGTTATGCTGCTTACTCCTCATCCCAATTGATTGGCCGTTAGAGCTCCGGAGTACTTCGAGACAGAGCGCGATAGTCGAGCAAAGTACTCGGTTGAAGCCTGCAAATCTCCCACACAGCATCTCTCCACCATGGCCAGCAAGTACGCGTTTCCTAAGGCTCTGAAGGAGCTCAGATTCCACCTCTGCCAGACCGGCGAGGCCAGCACTCCTCTGCGGTATGTCGGCGCGTCCTGCTGCTTTTCTCTTGCATGAGTCGATGATTTCAACAGCGACCAAATGTGCTAACTTCTGTCTTTGTTCTCGTTTGTTTACAGGTCGTTTTTGACCAAGGCGTACCCTGTCATGAAGAAGCACAACCCATACACTCCCATCCTGATCCGGGAAGCTGCCGGCGTCCCACCACAGCTCATTGCTCGGTATGGTGAGTACTGTCTGATTTACACATCATATTCGATATCAGCGTTATACCTGCACACCAGTTGCGATTTATTAAGAGCTATGCTGACGATAAAATCTGTGCTTTTAGAATTTGGAAAGGAGGTCAAGCTGCCGCTCGATGGTGTCTCCGCTGCTCAGTTGGAGAAGACCGTCCAGAGCTTCGTCCTGACACCGCAATAAGCCAACAAACTTCATATCTGGCATCTGGCATTAGAAGAGTGAGGGAAGGGAAACTCGGTTATCACACGACAGGTTTATCAAATTACAATAGAAAAAAATACACAAACAATCATACTACGGAAGTGTTTGAGAGGTCGATTCTACTAAGGATATGGCGGCGGAGGATAACGATATTCTCATTGTAGCTGTGAGCTATGAGGATTTGATTGCAAAGGTTCATTTCTTTGTTCATTTAATATACGCCATACTCATGGATGCATAGTTGTCAATTATTTATTTCATCAAGCGCCAGATATATCAAAAGAGGCCTGATTGAATACTAGTTCTTGGGAGCGGCTCCGAAGCGATATTCACCCCATGCAAGTGACGATGTCTGACTGGTGTATAGTAGAGTGCCCTTCTCGTTGTAGGCTGCACCGGCAGCAATGTAGATTGGTAGCCTATATATATTTTAGGATCAGTTTAATGAACCCAAGAAATGAGAACAAAATAGACTTACAGGTGCTCCTTCGTGGGATGTGCCTTATTGGCCTCCGAAGTCTTGATAAGACCCGCCAGAGCATTTTCTCTCTGCTCGCCTGTGTATTCGACGGCATTCTCGACCATTGTGTCGAACTTTTTGGCGTATGGCGCAACGCTACCCCAGTAATATCCCATCTCGCGAAGATTGTGGACTGTCATTCCAGAGCCAATGATGAGGATGTTCTCGTCCCTATTTCCTATATCAGTATTCGAGAACAAACGATGCGTCCGGACGATGCGGAATAGTAAAGCTTACCTCAAAGGAGCTAGCGCTTTACCGAGCGCGACATGCTGATTGGGATCTTCAGTCTTGAACAGCGACACCTGGATCACCGGAACCTTCAATGGGTTTGTCTCAGGTGGAAATGCGACTTTGAATGGAACCCAGACACCATGATCAAGACCACGATTGACAGCCTTTGCCTTGATACCGGAGGCTTGCAACTGGTTGATAACCTTCTGAGCGACTGATTGACTGCCGACGTTGGGATACTCCTCCTTATACATGTACGACGGGAAGCCGTAAAAGTCGTAGATCAGATCGGTGATCTCGGCGGAGTTGACCTCTATAGTATCTTTCGACGACTGCCAATGAGCTGAAAACACAACGACTGCTTTGGGCTTCACTTTCTCGACAATCTCCTTGCCGATCTTGCGAAGCGTGTTGAAAGCACCGAGGTCCCCGCCATCAGAGTCTTTGTCCGAGTACATAAACGTCGGACCGCCATGAGAGAAAAAGTACACCGGGGTACGGTTTTGAGCAGCGGAGTTGTCTGGGAGAGCTGAATCTGAGCTAGCCATCAATGATAGCGGAGTAGCGACTGACTTGCGAATAGTGGTTGACGCGATAGAAGCAGGAGATGAGGCACCTGGCGCCGCAGTGCGAAATAGCGAAGAAAGAGGGCCGCGGGCGAACAACGCGAGAACGACTGACGACACACAGACTAAAACGGCAGCAATGAACAGCGGAGTCAGCTTGGAGGACGGGGGGTCTTGAAGACGGGTGGTGGTGGAGTCGGTGGCACTGTTCGCTTTAGGTGCGAGAGTGCTCATCTATATAGCCAGCGAGCGAAGGTGGGGTCTATTTGTAATCAAAAGACAAAGACTTGACTGCCTCGCGCACGCCCAGAGCGATTCCTTGTTGATTCACTTGTCTGCGGAATAAACGAATAAGCAGAGAAGAGTAATTGTGTACACTTCCCTCGCAGAAGTCGCTGGAAGCAGGGCTTTATATCCCTGATGCCTTTCGACGATACCATTACGTCGTCGCGTTGGATTTCCAACCGATTACAAACCCGCTCTTCTGCTTAAATAATAAGCTTTTGCTTACTTTTCCCCCCCTGAATTTGAACAAACTCCTGCCTCCTTTTTTTTCTGGTTTCCACGCTCTGCTGTCCATATAACTGAAAAAACCGGTTTTGATCCACGCTTTATCGACCTCTCGCAGTTTATTTGAGAAAATTCTGTCAAATATCGCGGGAGCTAAAAAGTGGCCTATTTCCGTTGTTCACCGGTGCAACTGCTGTGCAACCCTATCCTCGGAGCTTATTTCCGTTGTCCCGGCTAGCCGGACTTCCTTTGTACCCTAAAAGCCTGCAACTATCATAGATTGTTGAATAATTATTATTAGACTACTGTCTGTTCTGTACATGAATATATGAAATAAGATCGACTAAATAGTCGTGAAAAGAACGTCTGGCATAATCACATGGAATAAAGCAGAAAACACAGAAAAATTATATCGTGAGAAAAAATATAAAGAATGGTCGTCATATCAGAATCTACTCCTCCAAATACGCAACAATATCTCCCGCCTCAACGAAATCACCGCTCCGATGCACAATCTTCACAACCTTTCCTCCGCTCGGCGCACTCACAACCATCTCGGTCTTCATCGCCTCAACGACAATGATGCCGTCGCCCTTCTTGACAACGTCGCCCACCTTGACCAGGTCCTTCCAGAAGCGGCCTGCGACCTCGCCGTAGACTGGAACGGCGTTCTCAGAGATCTCAGACACGTCCTCTTCGCGCGTTTCCTCGGAGGCCTGCAGCTCAGCGTTCGAGACCTGGATCAGCTTCGCAATCTCCTCGGTGCCCTCGCGCTGCTTGGTCGCGTACTCCATCAGCTCCTCGGCGTGCTCGTTCAGCCACTTGCTGTACTCGCCGTAGTCAAACACGCCGTCCTGGATGTCAATCTTGTAGCGGCCGTGGTTGACCTCATCAGTGATGGCAGCGAGCTCCTCCTCCGAGACAGGGTAGTACTCGATTCGATCATAGATATCGAGCAACCACGGTCTGTCCTGCTGGCCGAGCGTCAACTTGTCCCAGATAGGGATAGTACGGCCGACAAGCTGGTAGCCACCAGGCGAGTCCATAGTGTAAATACACATGTACATTCCACCAATACCAACAGTTCCGTTAGGAGTGAAAGTACGCGACGGGTTGTACTTCGTGCCGAGCAAGCGGTGACGGGGATCCAAAGGAACCGCGCAAGGTGCGCCCAAGAACACATCACCCAGTCCGAGGACAAGGAACTTGGCCTCGTACAGAATATCGCGAACGATATCACGGCTCTCCAGGTGGTTGACCTGCTGCAAGAAGTCGACGTTGTTAGGCAACCATGGCGCAGACGAGCGGATGGTCTCGCGGTATCGGTCGACGGCAGCAAGAGTAGCAGAGTCCTCGAACGCAAGCGGAAGACGGATGACACGCGAAGGAACCTGCCAGTTGTCAGACAGAATGAACTCCGACTCGTACGAAGTGAGAACCTTGATCAGCTCAGACTGCGTTGTCTCGAGACCATTGTACTGAATCAAGACCGATCGGACACCGGGCGACATCTCGACGATTCCCTTAGTCTGGCGCTCCTTCACCATCTCCGAAAGCTGGTAAACACGGTAAGAAAGACGCAGGTCGAGGACGTTCTCGCCATACTCGACCAAAACGAATCGATCACCGGCTTGACGGTAGACGACCTTGGGGTTGGTCGTAGTCTCCGGGGCCTCAAAGAGAATGGGGTTCTTAAGAGGCTCCTCTTCGGGCATCTCAAGAACAGAGCCAGAAGCCTAAAAGATAGTTAGTAAGTTTCTACTATAAAAACATTTAAAAGCGCTGGAGAGCGAACTTACCGAAGCAGTGTTCTTGTCCTGAATCTTCTTCAGCTCAATAGCTCTATCGAAAGTGATCTGCACAAACTGAATCATGTCACCAGGCTTCAGCTGTCCAACCTTCCACATCTCAGCCTCAGCGACAGTGACCGGGCAGACGAATCCACCAAGCGAGGGACCGTCACAAGTCAAAATGACAGGCTCATCACCAGTGAAGTTAATTGCACCCAAGGCGTACACGCAATCGTGGACGTTCGAAGGGTGGAGTCCAGCCTCGCCACCATCAGGACGAGCCCACTGGGGCTTGGATCCAATCAGGCGAACACCAAAGCGGTTGGAGTTGTAGTGCACCTTCCACTGCGAGGCCAGGAACTCATCGATCGACTTCTGAGTGAAGAAGTCGGGAGCACCATGAGGACCAGAGAGGACACCAATGTTCCACACCTTGGGGTAGGAGGGAATCAGCGACTTGTCTGCAGCCTTGGGCTCACTGATGGGAGCCGGAATAGTGCAGGACTTGAGAGTAGGGTCACCCAAGAACAGAATGTCACCAAACTTCAGAACACGACCGTTGTAACCGCCCAAGTTACCAAGAGCAAAGGTCGATCGAGAGCCGAGGTACTCGGGAACATCGAGACCACCCCGGATACCGATGTAGCAGCGCGCGCCGGTGTTGATCTTTCCGACAACAAGGCTCTGTCCCTTCTTCACCTCAACAGGCTCCCACGTAGGAATCTCCTTGCCGTCGAGTGTAGGCTTGGTAGAGCCACCAGTAATGGCAACGACAGTATCGCAGTGGAACTTGATCGAAGGGCCATTAAGGGTGCACTCAATAGCCGGTGCCTGCTCGTGGTTACCGACGATCGAGTTCGCGAGACGGAATCCGTAATCATCCATAGGACCGGAAGGAGGAACACCAATCTTCCAGAGCTTGACACGGCCAGGGTAATCCTGAACGGTGGTGTAAGATCCGGGAGCAAGAAGCTCGATCGCGCTGGCGTTGTACTTCCACGAGTCCAAAAGACGAGTCGAAACAGCGCCGGTAGCAAAGAGCTCCGACTTGGCGATCGATCTCAGGTAGTCGATGTTGGTGACGATTCCGGACACAACAGTGGTCTCGAGAGCGTCGATGAGCTTCTGCAACGCGTCCGCGCGATCCTTGCCGTGGACAATGATCTTGGCAAGCAGAGGATCAAACGAGGTAGAGACCTCAGTTCCCTTAGCAACCCAGGTGTCAACACGGACACCCACAGGAAACTTGACCTCAATGAGCTGACCAGGAGAGGGCAAGAAATCCTTGACCGGGTTCTCGGCGTAGAGACGAGCCTCCATAGAAGCACCAGTCAATTTCAACTTGGCAGGGTCGAAAGAAGGAGCCATGTTGGCAGCGATCAAAAGCATCCATTCGACCAAGTCCAGACCGGTGGTCATCTCAGTAACAGGGTGCTCGACCTGGAGACGGGTGTTGACTTCCAAGAAGTAAAACTCATCACGGTTGGCGTCATAAATGTACTCGACAGTACCAGCGCACTTGTACTTCATGGTACGGACCAAGCTCTCTGCAGCTTCCTCCATCTTGATGCGGGTAGCATCGGGCAAGTTTGGCGCCGGAGTCTCCTCAATGATCTTCTGGTTACGACGCTGAAGTGAGCAATCTCTCTCGCCCAACGCAATTCCCTGACCAAAACCATCACCAAAGACCTGGACCTCGACGTGTCGCGCATTCTCAACATATCTCTCCAAGAACACACCAGAGTCGTTGAAATACGACTGTCCCAATCTTCTCACAGAGTCGTAAGCCTTCTTGAGGTCCTCAGTGTCGACACATCTCTGCAATCCGATACCACCACCACCGGCAGTGCTCTTAAGCATGACCGGGTAGCCGATTCTCTCAGCCGCCTCAACCGCCTCCTCAACGGTTTCAAGCAGGCCGGTACCAGGAACAAGAGGAACGTTAGCCTTGGTGGCAATCTCACGAGCAGAGTGCTTGAGACCAAGCAAGCGGATAGAGTCAGCAGACGGTCCGACGAAAACGATCTTCTCCTTCTCGCAGGCTTCGGCAAACTCAGCATTCTCAGACAAGAAGCCATAACCAGGAATGATCGCCTGGGAGCCGGTAGCCTTGGCAGCAGCGATGATCTTGTCGATGCGCAGGTAAGTCTCTGCTGCAGTGTCTCCCTCAAGGGAAACAGCATCGTCTGCGTTCAAGACGTGAGGCGCAAATCGATCAGCCTCAGAGAAGACGGCGACCGACTTAATTCCGAGCTTCTTAAGGGTCTTGACGATACGGACGGCGATCTCACCACGGTTAGCGACAAGAACGGTGTCGAAGGGCTTCTTAGTAGCTTTGGCCGAGGTAAGGTCCTTGATGTATCCACGCCATCCGCCGTATTTTGTGACGTCCTTGGCTCCCTCAAAGCCATTCTCCTCGCAGACAAATCCCTTGACCCAGTGGCCGTTCTCAAGCTCGACAGAACCGATGGCGAGGGGTGGGGGGACCTGGGCGATGAACGCACCAAAATGCTCGCTGGGGATGTTGTAGACCTCGAGCTCGATCTTCTCGCCGACCAAGGACTCGTGGCCAGGTGTTATCCGTCGGAGGCCAGGCTTGGGGGGAGTGGTGTTGGAGAGGTGGTATAACCGGTAGTCTGGCGAGGTGGATGTCTTGTATGCGAGAGTAGCATCAAGCTCAGTCAGCTGCCAGTTCAGGGGGAGACCCGAGAGATGGGCACCGACAACGGCAAGCTCCATAAATCCCTTGGTCTTGGGAACCTTGGGGATTCCAGGGATCATCTTGTCGTCAGTACCGGCCTTGGTGTAATACTCAGTGTTGGCAATGCGGCGCGGGGCCTGAGCCAAGAATCTCTGAGCAAGATCAAGCAGCGCGTAATCGTTGAAGGTGTTTGAGATAAGAGTGACACCAAACGGCAGGCCATCGTCGCGGAATCCGGCAGGAATGGCGAGCGCAGACATATCAGCAAAGTTGACAAAGTTGGTGTAGGTTCCTTGGTAAGAGTTAACGAGAACAGGCTCCTTCTCGAGCTCTTCAAAGGTAGGGTTCAGAGGCGCGGTGGGCACAATGAAACCATCGAATTCACTAAACTGCTGCTCAATTGCCCGCTCGAGATCCTTGCGGAGGTACTCGTATTTGAACAGGTCAGCGGCGGTGAAATTCTCGGCCTTCTTGACAATTCCGAGAACAACGGGATTTATAGCCTCGGGGTTGGACTTGACCAAGTCGGCAATGACAGTGTAACGCTCCGCAACCCATGGGCCATCGTACAAGCAAGCTGCGAGCTTGTAAAGAACAGAGAAGTCCTGGGGAACAATCTCGACGCCAATCTCGGCGAACTTCTCGAGAGCGGCCTTGTAGAGAACAGGGTTCTTCTTCTCGTAGTAGAAGATAGGCTCGTCAGGGACAGCGAAGCGGGGCTTAGGGCCGAAAGAAGTGAGAAGGTTCTTCGGCAGGGGACGCGAGTAAGCGTCAGCGGCATCGTACTGAGCCGCGATCGAGAAGACCAGCTGAGCGTCAGGAACAGTCATGGCAAAGACCGAAACGCAGTCGAGAGTGCGGCAGGCGGGAACGACACCAGTAGCGGAGAAGGCACCTCTGGTAGGCTTGAGGCCAATGACGTTGTTGAGCATGGCAGGAACACGGCCAGAGCCTGCGGTGTCGGTACCGAGCGAGAAAGGAACGATACCGCGTCCGACAACGTTTCCAGATCCAGCAGATGAGCCACCGGAGACATGCTTATCTGAAAATGCAGAGGGCGTTTTTCCGTAAGGCGAACGAGCGCCGACAAGACCAGTCGCAAATTGGTCCAGGTTTGTTTTTCCAACCACAACGGCACCGGCAGCCTTCAAGACAGCCACGATAGTGGCGTCCTTGTCAGGGTTGTAAAGGTAGGCGGGGCAGGCCGCGGTTGTGGGGAAGGTAGCAGCGTCAATGTTGTCTTTAGGAGCAAACGGAACACCAAACAGAGGCAGGTCCTAATAAAAATTGTCAGTATGTTACAGGCAATAAAGCATAGCTTTTTCTGCTTTTTTTGCGAGCAATTGAGGTCATTGGCAGTCGATGGCAGTCAAGGCACAGCATAGCAGATTTTGCCGTCTCGGCACATGCCGAGCAGTACATGCAGCAATGATAGTCCTTCGAGCGAGATCAAGTCAATGCTGCTAGGAATTGTGCCGTCATAGAGTTCTCAACTGCCCGGGTGCCGGCTCAATTGCCAGCTTCTCCACTCGACGGAGCAAAAAGGTGGAGAAAGAAGACCGGCTGCCAACAAACACGAAAAGAGTTGCAAAAATTCGAGATAGCTACGAAAGCAATACTATGGTGAAGATACGCACCTTGGGGTCCTTTCCCGAGTCGAGAACAGCCTGGAATTCGGCGGTGACTTGCTCCGGGGTAGCGAAAGTAATCCATGCTGGATCCGACTTGTCGAAGGTGGAAACGAGGTCCACGAGACGTTTTGTAGCTTCCTCCGGGGAGGAAGCAATTTGGGCGTCGCGCCACTGCGAAATCGTCCAGCCGATGGTGGGCAGAGCCATTTTAGTACGACGAAGAGCAGCGAGACCGGTAGAAGGAGGAAGAGAAGGGGGAGGCCAGCGAGCGAGCTGGAGAAGAAAGAGAGAGAGGTGTAGAGAAGGCAAGAAAGCTGTCGAGGATGGTTTGTCGGAGTGGTAGCTTCTCGGGTCAGTGGCCGGCGCGCGCGGGCGCCCGCGATAAGGTGGAAGACAAGGTTTTTGAGTTTTGAGTTTTAGCTTAGCTCCGCTGACTCAGGAAGCCTTTGTCCCATCGGGGATCTGCGCTTCCGTCGTTCGTGGGCGGGCTGACCCTGGGTTGGAAGTGTAGTCTACCAGGAGGATATATCACGATGCGGGCTATCGTGAAGAGGCATTGCTAGGCACTGCTTCGGAGTAGCTGCGGACGATGGCAGGGGATCTCTGTAGCCAGTCCTTCTTCCACCGGTATTCCATTCTTCATTATATCGTTTTCCATTGGGTATCGAACCGTAGCTTTGGCCCAACCTGCAGTGACTGCTATCTGCCATCTGCCCAGAATACACTGCAGCTGCCAGCAATCTAAACTTTTGCTGGATATCAACAATCTATATCACCAACAGCCAGCACAACTTTTTGTTCTATTTAGAGCCGGGATGCATATTGCTCGTGTTTGCGTAATACCCAGCACAAGTCTGGAGTTATTGTGCAGCACCAGCGGGATAGGCAAGCTAGGTTCCAGGTTAGCTATTCTATTAACTGTTTAAGTTGAGTGGCTTGCACCCACGCTTCTACCGACTCTCTACCAGAGATCAATGACAGGCACACGCCCTCAAATGATGAATATTCGTCTGTCCGGTCGGCTTCGAGAATCTCTGCTGAACTTCGTAAAAGCAGTGGTTGCTCACTTGTAAATGCTCTATCAATGACTCTTTCTCTCTTCCGAGCCGAAGCCCTAATTTACTTCCTGATCGTGCACTGGTCGCGCGCTCTACTATGTCTCGTCCCTATTAGGCATATTGTCAATAATCGCACATATGCGAAGGCACCGTACCTGGACCCACGTCCCGATGATCATCTCCTCGGACGTCTACGAAATATCCGTGGCTCTGCAGTTATGTAATCTGTCTGCCATCATCTTTTTAATCACCGGGACTGTCTCTGATGAGCGTTAAAGCGATTCCAACTTCTGAAAGTTCACTATAGATTATCCTGAGTAGACCAGATAGCCCACCAGCCGAATACTTCGGACTTTCTTGAGTCTCGTAGGTTGCCCGTCCGTTTTCAGTGTCCAACAGTCCGATCAAAACTCGTTAAGGGTAAAGCGGGGATATCTACACCTCCCGTGAAAATCTATCAGTTCGAGCTTGCAGCACTCATTAATCGATCTTGGCTCAAGTCTCATATCGAAAATTCCCAGAATAATTCATTTATAAAGCTTCTGTGAAAATTCGAACATACTAATCAACGGGACCGCTTTAAAATTATTAATACTGTCTCAAGAATTTATTCATAGACGTCTAGAGCTCCACACAAACAATAAAGAAAACTATGTACTTTTGTGTGAATCAGGGAGAGGCGAGTGGTACTCAAATTACAAAAAAACAAGCTGTACAGTTCATCAATACACGTATATCCCATAAGCAAACAAAATATTCCCGGACCATTCCATTAGTCTTCTCACTGTTCTATCTCTGATCCGTCGACGATATAATACACCAAATAAGCCAGAGCTATAAACTTTTATTCTCTCGGTCGACGTCCACTCTCTTACTTTGCCTGTTCCTTCTTCTGGAACTCCGCCATAAGCTGTCTCTGCAGCATAGGCGAAGCTTGAGCATAGTGCTTGAATTCCAAAGTAAACTCTCCCTTGCCCTGGGTGTTGGCTCTCAGCAAGGTAGCAAATCCAAACATCTCGTTCAAAGAACACTCAGCGTGGAGAGTGAACTCATCAGATCCGATATCGGTGTCGGTAATCAAAGCATTCTTCTTGTTCATCAATCCAATGATTCCACCCTGGAACTCAATGGGAGCAGTAATCGTAACATCCATAATTGGCTCGAGAACCACAGGGTTAGCCTTCATGAACGAATCTCGGAAACCATAGTAACCAGCAGTTCTGAAAGCGATTTCGGACGAATCAACCAAATGAGTCTGACCATCGTTCACAATCATATGAGCTCCGAGAACCTTATGTCCAATAAGCGGACCCTTCTCGCAAGCCTCTTGGAAACCCTGTTGATATCATGTTAGCCTAAGATCATCTCAAAATAGTCAGAATCATAACATAAACATACCTTGTCAACAGCAGCCAAAAACTTTTCTGAAATCTTTCCACCAACAACGTGGGACTCAAACACATTCTGGTCCTTGATCGGGAGCAGCTCACCGACAATCTTGGCAAACTGACCGGCACCACCACTCTGTCTCTTGTGGGTATAGTTCAAAACAGCAGGGGCCGTAATCGACTCGCGGTAAGCGACCTGAGGCTGTCCAGTAATACACTCGACATTGTACTCGCGCTTGATACGCTCGACGTAGATCTCCAAGTGAAGCTCGCCCATTCCGGAAATAATGGTCTCCTTGCTCTCATTGTCAAACTTAACGGTGAAAGTAGGATCCTCCTTCTGGAATCTGTTCAAAGCCTTGGAGAAGTTACCGTTATCGCGAGACTTGGGCGCGATAGAGAGCGAGATAACGGGCTCGGGAACGAACATGGACGACAGCGCAACCTTGAGAGATCCGTCGCTGAAGGTATCGCCAGACGAGCACTCGACGCCAAAAGTAGCGCAGATCTCACCGGCGTGGACCTCGGCAACGTCCTCCATCTCGTCAGAGTGCATGCGCGCAAGACGAGCGAGCTTGGTTCGCTTGCCGGTACGGGTGTTGAAGATGGTCATACCCTTCTTGATCACACCCTGGTAAACGCGGAGATAGGTGAGCTGACCGAAACGGCCTTCTTCAAGCTTGAAAGCAAGACCAACAAACGGCAACGAACTGTAGGGCGGAAGACTGACGGGAGCCTCGTTCTTAGTCAGATCAAGACCGACGTTGCTGACCTCTGAGGGGTTGGGAAGATAGTCGCACACGGCATCAAGAACAGGCTGGACAGAGCGGTTGGCGAGCGCGGAACCCATGAGCACAGGAGTGAACTTCAACGAGATGGTAGCGCGGCGGATAGCATCCTTTAACTGCTGCGCGGTGGGGGTCTCCTCGTTCAAGTAGATCTCGGCAATCTCGTCATCGACATCAGCCAAAGTTTCAATCAAAACAGCACGCTTCTCTTCGACAAGGTCCTTGAGATTCTCGGGAATAGGCTTCTCAGTAATGACCTCACCGCGAGAGCCTTCGTTGTAGAGTGCCCTCATCTCAATGATATCGACGACACCCTCGAGGTTGTCTTCCATACCAATAGGGACTTGGAGCGCAGCAGCAGGCATCTTCAATTTCTTCTGGACCTGCTCAATCGCCTTCCAAGGGTTGGCGCCCATGCGGTCCATCTTGTTGATAAAGGTAATACGAGGAACGTTGTAACGGCGCATTTGCCGGTCGACGGTGATGGTCTGACTCTGAACACCAGAGACGGCACACACAACCAAGACGGCACCGTCCAATACACGAAGCGCACGCTCGACCTCAATGGTGAAATCGATATGTCCGGGGGTGTCAATCAAATTGAAGTGGTACTTCTTTGTCTCTCCGTTCTCGACCTTGTCCCAGTCACAGTATGTCGCAGCAGACTGAATAGTAATACCCTTCTCACGCTCGAGATCCATAGAGTCCATCTTAGCACCCACATTGTCCTTTCCTCGAACCTCATGGATAGCTTTAATTCGTCCGGTATAGTAAAGCACACGCTCTGTGAAGGTGGTCTTGCCGGAGTCGATATGAGCCGAGATACCAATATTCCGCATTAACTTCAGTCTGGCAGCGTCCTCAGGAGTGAGAGCTTCCTTAATGCTCTCCAGAGACTGCAAAGGCGCGACCTCCTCAACCTCAGCTTCAGCAGTAGCCTCGGAGGCCAGACCTCGGACAGCGTTGAACTGAAAGGCATTGCCAAACCTCGCTGGACCTGCTGCGGCAGAGTACTTCAACGCACAGGCAGTCGAGCTGCGCGCCAAAGTTCTGCTCGCGGCAGGCAGCAGAACACGCAATGAACCACTCATGGCTATCTGTGTGATAATTGTTTTTGTCCTGGATTGTCTCCTATCTGAAGCACGACAAAAATCTACCACACGAGAGAGATAGAGAAAAGCAAAAGCGACCTCGAAATGCACGCGAACACGAAACTTGCAAAAAAATTATCGGCCCCGACGTCGAATTTGCGGCCCGGGAATTTCCTCCCGCTGCGATGGCAATAAGGTTTCTAGTCCACCAACCAGAGCCGTTTAATTACTTTCAGGGGCAAATGATGAGGTAATATAGTTGCTTATGCTGACTGATGCAAATTGCTATTGGGACATTGCCAGCAGAAGATGGGAAATAAAGAATAATCTACCAATTGCATATGCTTATAAAACCCCGTTCCGAATCATGAATCAGCACTATTGATACAAAAACAAAAAACTATACAAATACTTTTCGATTCCTACCAACCCAGAACCACACACTCTACAAGCACCCCACCCCTAATCGTATAAACCTTAGAATACAGCTTCGGCAACACCATAAAGCAAAAGAGAAGCCCTTATCATTTGAGCGACTGAATGAAGGAGTCCAGGTTGTACTCTTCTTCGTACTCGCGCTCATCCCATAGCTCTGAGAGACCATGAACCGCACTGCGATCGCCCTTCCGAATGATCTGTCCCTGTTCGTCGACAACATCCTCCTCTCCTGTACCAGGACCTGATTTACCTGCTGCGTCGACCGCGGCAGCGCCGTTGCTACCACCGCCGTCTCCGACATCAAACAAGTCAAGAATTTGATCTGTATCCATCGTTGACAGACCAGAGTTCTGCTGATTGACGATCGTGTTGGCGATGTTCATCTTGAACCGCTGGAGTCCCATAATCTTGTCCTCGACAGTGTTGCGCGTGATCAGTCTATACACATTGACCACTTTCTTCTGACCAATGCGATGTGCGCGGTCCATAGCTTGTAAATCCTTCATGGGATTCCAGTCATGTTCCACGAATATGACTGTGTCAGCACCGGTAAGGTTGAGGCCAAGACCGCCCACATGAGTCGTCAGCAGAAGAACATCGATCGAAGGGTCAGCGTTGAACGTTTGCACAATGTCCTGTCTTTTGCGAGCTTCAGTGCTACCGTCAAGTCGCATGTATGATACACTAGGCAGTAACTTCTTAAGCACATCATTCTCAACGATATCAAGCATCTCCTTCAACTGACAGAAAATCAATGCCCGATGCTGTGAGATGACCGCGCCGCCGCCCAAATCGTCTTGCTGCGAGGCGCCAGCAGCCCCGTCAACACCAATACCACAATCCAGTAGCAGAGCATGCAGGGCGCCAAGCTTTGGAGCAAAGGAAATATCACTAATGTCTTTCTTATCTCTGGCAAGCTGCTGCGTAATCTTCGTGTACTGTGGATGTTTCTGGTTCAGCACAAGAGCCGGATGATCACAGAGCTTACGCATGTACTGTAATGCTTGGAATACATGCTGCTTGTTTTCCTTTCCAGTCGACTTGACTTCGCCTTCAACTTCATCCTTCTGCTTCTTGACAAAGTCTTCATAGAGCTGTCTCTGCAAGTCTGAAAGCTCGCAGTAGTAGTCTTGAATAATCTTAGGCGGCAGATCAGCAAGTACATCTTCCTTGAGACGACGCAGGAGGAACGGCAAAACTTGTTTATGAAGAGCTTCAAGCGCCAAGGCACCAGCCTCCTGCTCTTTCGATGAACTTTTGCTGTTCCGGCTCTGTCCAATCGGCTTCGCGAACCGATCGTTAAAGACCTTTTCGGTTCCAAGGAAACCGGGCATCAAAAAGTCAAACAGTGACCAAAGCTCAAGCACATTATTTTGAATTGGTGTTCCGGACAGAATCAATCGATGATCAGCAGCAATCCGTTTGACCGCTTTTGTTAGCTTCGAGTTGGCATTCTTGATGATATGACCCTCGTCCAGCACACAGTAGTTCCAGCTCTGCGCAGATACAATGTCGACATCGTTACGACAGTATTCGTACGAAGTCACGACAACGTCAGCATTGCCAAACTGGCCGGAAATACGCGCTCGCTGAGAAGGATTTCCAACATAAACAAGAACCTTTAAAAACGGCGCGTAGTTCTTCAATTCCTGCTCCCAGTGTCCCGTCAGAGTTGGAGGACATACTATCAACGACGGAAGCTTCCGTGTCTCGATGCTATGCGTCTTCGCGTGCTCTTCGGCACGGAGATGATGATCACTTGCAACAATACAGATCGTCTGAAGCGTCTTTCCGAGGCCCATATCATCGCACAGAATCCCGTGCAAGTGATATTTGTTGAGGAAAGCAAGCCAGTTGACGCCTTCTTGCTGATATTTGCGCAGATCGGCCTTGATCGCCACCGGCAGACTGAACGACTCAACCTTTGTAGGATCAAGCATTTGGGAGATGAATTTTCGCTCACGATCACGGCCCTCGAGCAGAGACTGAGGCAGACCAGGAGGATCAGGAATTCCAGCCTATAATAGAGATAAAGTATCAATAAACCTGTAAGATCCCAACTCAGAACATCAAAGAAACTCACCTCTAGAGGCACCAATTTAATCAATTGGGCAAACGTAGTTGTCGCAAGCAACCGGATATCATTGTCCGAGTCACTCATACGACCCAAGATAGGCACCACCAGAAAAACAACGTACGGCAATATCTCGTGTTCCATAACATGGACTAAATGATACACACACTCTACCGCACCTTGTCTGCATCTCATATCTAACGCATTGTTGAACATAGGAACGACATTCTCAACCAAATAAGTCATTCCCTTGACCTTCATCACACTGCAGATTGTTGCTAGGCATTTTGCCGCAGCGTAACGCAAAACTGAGAATGACGATTGCAAAGCGGTGCCAATAAGATCATAATATTCAACAAAGATGTTGAGCAGCTCGGTATGAAGTCTTGGGACAAGTGCGCGGATGATTGAGAGACCATCAACAATCTCCTGTCCTAGAGTTGACTCCGGGGTTGTGATGTCAGAAGGCAGAGGCTCTCGTAAAGCTGTGAGAGGGCTTATCATGCATTCGCGTAGTTTCGGAACCTTTGAAAACAATGCCGGGCCAAACATATCAGAAAGAAGCTCAAGCGTTGTCTTTGCGCCGCGCCGCTTGGTCTTCGCTCTTCGAATCTCACGTTGGTATAAAAGAAGATCGTTGGGATCGCGGCGGTCTTCTTCCTTGTGAAGCGATAATATCACGTTATCCAATTTCTCGTGATGATGAAATTCAGGAACTTCGGAGGTGTCTACACAAAGGAAAGCGCAGAGATTCTTAATCATCTTGTCAGACGCACCAACCTTTCCGGCGTTAGAGCAGTGTCTCACAAGAGCCGAAACAGCACCAGCTGATCTCTTTTGCATATCGAAATTCTCTTCTTCCTTAACCGAATCCATCAAACTTCGAATAACAGGGTTCAACTTCTTCGGCAAACTAGACAGGAGCGAGATGTATGCACCTGCTACAGCAGCATTTATCCGAATATTCCGAAGATCGATTGCCTGCTTTGCATCATCAATCGATGTCCGAAGGCTCTCTTGAGCGTGCTTGAGCGGCTCAACGATTGCAAATCGGTAAGATGCCTGAATTCCTTTCCTTAGCTTCTCGATGTCAGTCGTCATTGTCTTCTCAGCATCTGCGAGAGAAAATGCATCAGGGCCGGCCTCAGGATCACCCTTCACCACAATGGCTAGTCGGGGAAGCTTATGCGACGAAAGGCGTCCAGTTTCCGTAAACACGTTGAGAAGCGCCTGTGTTTGAGCTCGAACGACCTTTAAGTACGGAGACACGTCCCGATGAATGTGATCCGGTGTAGATGCGTTGAGAATGTCCGACAGCTTCGCGGCAAAGGTATTCTTAAACTCACTCTGCTCGCTGGTCGCATGTAGGCCATACTCTTCGAGAATCATAGCAGCAACCAGACGAGACATTGAGAATGCTGGCGGAGTGCTTGGCCCACCTAGATTCTCTATCAAGATATCTTTAAAAGTCATGATTTTGTCGCTAGGCCAAAGGCTCATCGCGAAACCCATGGCTTTAGCGCTCGCAATCTTCATTCGCATCATGGCATCGAAACCAACCAGCTCAACATCGCCGAGAAACACGGGACTATCGATGTTATGGCTTGATACCGGTTCGACATCGCGAAGCTTCTCTGAACGACGACGTCGCTTAGTCGGTCGCTGGCCAGAAGAAGAGTCGTCGCCAGGCGTGCCACCGTTTGGCCGCGGCGTGACAGTAGCATGTGACGCAAGAGCCGAGAAGGTGGCGCCTGATGGCCGAAGAAACAACGATGTATCCATAGCATAAGTATTCCGGTTGACGCCAATAGGTGTCAGCAGCAGCGTGAGCAAAGGGTAGACATGGGAGCTGAAAGTTTCGGCGAATCGGGTCTCATCTTGCTTTGAGATTCGTTTGGCAAGAGCAATGAAAACCTCCAACGAAAGATCAAGGACGTTCTATAAAGTAATCTGTTAGTCAACCATACAAATAGTGAGAATCAAATTGAGAGCAGAATTTGCAGATATTTACCTCATTTTGCTCAACGAGTAGATTTTGAAAAATTAGTCGCAAAGCTTTGCCGTCCGCCCAGTCAGTGGCACCTACGTGATGGTCGCCAAGATTTAAAAACGTCAACAGAGCTCGAAGTACGGCCCTTCTTACACTCGTAATCGAATGTCTGAGGAAAGGATACAACCGTGGCACCAGCATCGAAAACGCCATGAGAGGATCGTTTTCCGCATTGTTCTTCATTTGCTCCAAAACCTGCGGGAAAGAGCACAGTTTAGCCAGCAGATCCATGACACTGCCAGTCGACGCGCTCAAGTCGTCCTTGAGATGTGCAAGGCATTCCCAAACAACCTCGATCAGTCGATCGACGGAGTGTGGCCGCAAAGTGACAAATTCGGAGGCGATAGGGACAAGAGTAGCGGCGCTGACAGCGCGCACATCGTCATCCTGCTCATCTAAGCCATGTAGGACACATTCGACGACACCATCCAGCAGTCCGTTCTTGCCACCGTCGTCAAAGAGCATATCCTTGCGAACAGCAACCAAGTATCGGAGCCCCAGCATGCCACCATGACAGGCCTCCCAAATGGGGAATGATAAGTCAAACTTTGTCTGCATCACCAGATCATATAATACTCCGTATGTCTTGAGGACAATAGGCTTTGGAAGATGCAGTAAAAGAGCACCCAGTGTTTGTCCAACGGATTCGCGAATTGGAGCGACGACTTGGTCAGAGACATAGTCGCCAAACCGATCTAATGCAAAAACACAGCAAATTCGACAAGCCAAGTCTTCCAGCCATGCACAATTCAATTTGTCATTTTCCTCTCGAGACTTCCCCATTATCCTACCAGCTCCGGCACCATGCACTCTAATGATTTCACGAAGACCACCAGCGGCGCCATGCCGAGTTTCCCAGGCTTCGTCAAAGAGATCTACCATCAAAATTTCTGTGATGCCTTCGAAAGGCCACACCTGACTGGATGCTTGGATAGCTGCAGACGGGTTCGGCTGTACTTTGTGTTCAACGACAACGCGATCTGACTGTGCTTGGGGAGTGATGGAAAAATAATCTTGAGCTGTAGAGTCATGACCCAGTCAGTGCTTGCTACAACGATATGCGAAGTCAAGACGTAGAAACATACCCTGTGCCTGCGGAGCAGGAGTACCCGTGGTGGAAAGCTTCCGGGAAGTTGTGCTCGACGATAAATCGACATTTCGCAATCTGAGCATGCATATTAGTATATGGAATTTAAATGATAGCAAGTCCGACAGCTGACTACTCACTTGTTACTCTGATTTTTGGACTCTGCTCTTGCTTTGCGCTTGGCCATTGCTCGCACTCTGGAACTCAATCCGCCATCGTCTGCAGGAGACTGGGCAGGCGCCTCTAAAGGAGTTTTGATAATCCCAACAGGAGTTTTCGGAGTCTGTGGTGCAAAATCTGAAGCAGTCACTATGTCCTCCATGTACTCACCACCCATGCCCAATCTCGCGGTGACATTTCTTCGCTGGATTGCAAGGCGTTCGGCCGGATCCAGTTCCGCCCAGTTGATATCGTATTCATGACCACCGCTTCCGAGCAAAGGCTTACCTTTACGGAGCACAACGCCAATGTCGATGGTTGCAAACGAGAGAAGATCGTCTTCAGGAGATTGTGTCGATGTTTCGCCAGATGAACTTGGCCGGTCTGTCTTCAGAGCTGGTCGTTTAAATTCGCCGTCTATATCATAATCTTCACTCTTCACAGTTGATTCTTGTTTGATCGACGGCACAGATGCCTCTCTCTTCACTTGTGATTCGTCTTCCGTCTTCAATCGGCTGTCGTCGCCGTTATTCTCGATCTTGACATAATCTGCAGTTTCCTCGTTCGAGTTTGGATCCCATTTTGCAGTGTTGTCAGATATTCCACCAATTGCCCTCGCAGCAGCAACCCGGGTATCCCATTTAGGTGATCTTAGGTATGGAAACACACGGCCCAAGAGGTTGAATAAATCGTCCGGATGCGCTTTTTGTACATCAGCGATCTGGTCCGCGGCGGTATTGCGCACAAGCTGCGTTGACCCGGTGTCTAATAGTGACACGAGCCGATCAAGTCTAAAGTTTGGTAAACAAAGGAGTTAACGACAGTGTCTCAGGAGAGGAAGAGAGGATGAAGAACCTACCTTGACATTTCGCAGAGTGCAGTCGCAGCAGCAGATCAGGCCCGTAGCCCTACAGTCAATCGGTGCATGCACGGTCTGCCGGGCAGCGCAACTGAACGAAATCCCTGAAATCCAGGAATGCAAACAAGGCCGAGAAATAGAGCCAAGCACAGACTCGAATCAACACAGAGGCGTGTGCTGTGGATAGCAGGAGCAGCGGTCGGCAGCGCTGGGGAAGGGCAGGAAAATATGTAAACTTTAAGCCGGCGCGGAGTCACGTGCGAGACAGATTGACAAAGGCGGGTGGAGGGCGGGTTTGGCGGGCCCGAACTCGTGTTTATATAGCGCCTGTCTGCTCTCCGCTGGCCGCCACCCTGTCTGGCCATAGCTCTCCCTCGATCCCGGCCTGTTTTGGGTTTAGTGAGGGCGCCCAAACAACCTCTTCTGGCCGAGTCTGCTGCTGTTCCTGTTCTACTCGGCTTGTTTATCTTATCAATTGCACAATCAGCATTTATTTATACTAAGTTACAGACATATATATACAATCGATTACTATCGAAAAAAATAATAAGCAGCGCTGGCATCGAAAGCACTATAGTGCCGGGAACCATATTAGTGCCAAAACAAAAATTACCGAGAGAAACCAATTACAAGCAAACATCAATATCAATACCAACAGTCTACACAAACCTGGCCAGCCGCGCCCGCTATAATATCATTCAAACGCATGAAAATATTACAACCGTATTAAAGCAATAAAAAAGCAAATCGGATCTATCCGTCTTCTATCCGTCTACTCGACAGTGACCGCCTTCGCCAAGTTACGGGGGAAATCGACATCGAAGCCCTTCTTGACTGCCAGCCAGTAGCTCATAAGCTGCAGGGGAATCACATTAAGCAATCCCTGCAGACAGTCGACTGTCGCAGGAACCTCGAGGGTCCGGTAGGTCTTCTTGAACTTGCCGAGAGATTCCTCGTCCTCGTTGCAGATGAGAATCGGGTTGCCGGATCGAGCAATGACTTGCTCGACCGAGCTCATAACCTTGGGAAACAGCGAGTCGTGAGTAGCAAGAACAATGATCGGCAGGTCCTCGTCAACAAGAGCAAGAACTCCGTGCTTCAATTCACCAGCAAGGACTCCCTCCGAATGCATGTACGAAATCTCCTTGATCTTGAGCGCTCCCTCCAAAGCAGTGGCATGCTGGTAGCCACGGCCAAGAAGCAGAAGCGACTTCTGGTTGATCAGATCGGTCTCTGCCATTTCCTTAATCTTGTCATTCAGCTTGAGGACCTCATCGATCTGCTTGGAGATCTTGGCAAGGCCATCGATGATAGCGTGACGACGGGGACGCATCGAAATTCGATCATCCGAAAGAGAGAGAGCCATCATAGTCAAAGCAACATACTGCGAAGTGTAAGCCTTGGTCGAAGCAACACCGATTTCAGGACCGGCATTGATGTGCACACCGCAATTGGTCTGTCTCGAGATACTCGATCCAACACTGTTCACAATACCGACAGTAAGCGCACCACGCTCGATACAGTATTGAAGAGCAAGCATTGTATCAGCAGTCTCTCCGGACTGAGACACGAAGATGCAAGTGTCGTCACGGAATACGGGAGACTTGCGGTCCAAGAAATCAGACGCAAGCTCCACGGCGATGGGAATCTCTGTGAGCTCTTCGAAAATGGCACGGGTCGCCATGCAGGAGTGGTAAGAAGTACCACAAGCAATCATTATTATCCGTCGGCACCTTCTAATCGTATTCAAATAGGCAGACAGTCCACCGAGGGTGACAGTCTTCTTCTCGAAATCGATACGGCCGCGCATGGTGTTGACAACGGACTCGGGCTGCTCGAAAATTTCCTTCTGCATAAAGTGATCAAAGTTACCCTTCATGATCTCATTGAGCTCCATCTCCAAGGTCTGGATAGAGCGAATGGAGGGCAGACCCTCATCACGGCGCACACGATGAATGTGAAGCTCGCCGTCGTAGATGTGCGCAATGTCGTCGTCCTCAAGGTAGAGAACCTTCTTGGTGTGCTCAACAACTGCGGAAGGATCAGACGCAAGGAAGAACTCAGCTTGCATGGGGACACCATCATCCGAAACGAAAGCGCGCGACTGGGATCGTCTCAGATCAGATCCGCCCATAGGGACACCGAGCATGCCATTGGCCGACGCATCACCGGCATCGACGGTGATTTCAGCAAAATCGGGGAATTCGACGTCAACGAAGTCAACCTTTAGCTTCTTCTCAGTCTTGACACCAATGAGAAGAGGAGATCCCTTTCGGGTTCCGATGACTTCGTTAGGATAGTGAACGGACTTGAGAAGCAGACCATAGGCACCCTGAAGCTCGACCAGAATCAGCTTTGCGAGCTCAGTAAAATCCAAGTCGCGGTGCTTGTTCAGATCGTAGACATATTTGCACAGCTTGGCGATACACTCTGTGTCAGTCTCGGTTTCAAAGACAAATCCCTTTGAGACGAGGAGAGCCTTGAGTTCACGGTAGTTGGTAATGATACCGTTGTGAACGACAACAAACTCATTGTTCGGATCAGAGCGGTGAGGATGAGCGTTGAGTCGCGAGGGCTGACCGTGGGTAGCCCAGCGGGTGTGGGCAATGGCGACGTGGGAGACGAAACGCTTGTTCTTGTCAATGTCGGAAGAGTTGACGAGCTTGCGAAGAGCGGCGACCTTGCCGACCTCCTTGAAAAGAACGACCTCGTTGTATCCATCGCCGTCAACTGCAATACCGGCAGAATCATAACCTCTGTATTCCAACCGTTGCATGCCTATAGGATATACGAGGTTAGGACTGATGCGTATGAGACAGAGAGAACGCGGCTGCAGATCACAAGTGGATCAATGCGACGTATGCAAGAAATTGAAAAACGACAGCGCAGCATTACCATCAAGCATGGTGTTGAGAATGTCCTCGCGAGACTTCTCAACGAGATAGTTCACATATCCGAAGATTCCGCTGCAAAAAAGAAGGGAGAGGTCAGCGAAGCCGAGAGGAGGAAGATGATTCAGAGATGCGGCTGAATCGTGGGCCAGAGAATAAAACATACCACATGGCTCAAGTAGATGCGAGTGGGATCGAGTACGACGGAATAGAGGAGATGAAAGAGGAAGAAAGAGACGAAGAGGTTGAGGAAAGGAAGAAAGAAAAGGAGAAGCGCGCGATGGGATGGACGAGAGCACGGCGGACTGGCGGGAGAAGGGCTCCTTAAATTGTCTTCCTGAGCCGTACGGTGTTCGACAACAAACACCGCCACCTTGGCGCCTACCTTCGCTCAGAGCTTGGTGGCTGACCTGTGGCTGGTGCACCCAAAGCAGTAGTCGGTCAACAACTATTTATAGGACGCGGGCGCAGGATCGTGTCGTGTTGAGCCCATGCGCCGAGCATACCAGGGTCAAAGGGAAAAAAACTACGCCGACTGCGTCATAGATCAGATTTGAGGTTAATGATGATGTGAATATTGGTCGATACCGGGTGGATGAGTCGTCCAGGCAGGCGGAAGGTGGTTTCTGCGCGGCTTACAGACTGACACGACAGGATCTACGCCAAAACACACGGCCAAAGATCAAACACAGCCGTGTGTTTCGGTTTGTCGAGGCAAGGATCAGGCAGGTATCTGACGCATGACGTCGAGCAGAGTGTTGTTGACAGAATTCGCTCCGCGGGACCGTGGTTCGGGTATAAACTTGACAGGAGGTAAACACAGTTCCGAAAACAGAGATTTGTTTTGGAATACGTGTCACGTGGAACCCCTCGGTTAAGAACGTTACTACAAATCAGGGCACCTGTACCCGACTTCTAAGGGCGTTGTCGATGGTGGGCGGCGGAAACAAGAAGAGTAGCCAAGTCTCGAGGGGCATTGCAGACGAGAACACAGCTGGCTGACAGTCCCCGTTCTATGGAAGGCCGCTAAGGTTGGCCAGTACGTTGGCAGTGCATGCTCTCCGCGTGCATACCAGAAGAACGTGGACGCCGCAGGCGCTCGATATTAGTTAGATTTCCAGAACGGGCTACGGCGATGGTTTGTTCTCTCGACAGCCAAGCGGCGGATGGTAGAACCTACCGACCGAACATCGCGTCGGCTCTTGTAGGAATCTGGTAGGAAGTAAGCGGCTGACGAGCGCGAACACCGTGGAGAGAAGCTGGAGGACACGGCCAGCAGTATGCGCTTCGAAGCGGCTGCGGTTTCACGAACGCGAGGTGAGCGGACTCCAGTGAAACGAGCAGGCCGGACGGACGCCAAATGAGCATAAAACGAGTAGAAGTACGCACAAAATAGAAGAAGAAAAAGAAGCGTGAATTAAAAACAAAAATAAAAATAAAAATAAAAACGAGTGGCAGCCGCAGCAAGGCTGGGACCGCGAACTCAGCCCGGAACAAAGCATAGCTCCGATCACTTCTAATTATAAGACACGCTTCCTTCCTCTCTGCTTCTTCTCGCGCTCCTCCCTCCCCTCACACGCTCTCTCCCTCCCTCTCTCCTCTCTTTTTTTATTCCACCCTTCTCTCCTCTCTTTTCTACGCGTCTTATCGTGTCCACATCGCTCCCTTCCGCTTGTGATTATCTGTGTTTATGTGGTGCGTACCCCCTCTCCCTTTCTTCCGCGTCCGTGTCAAACTAACACCATCCTCTTCCTCCAGTGGAATCTTTGGCTACGTCAATTACCTCGTCGAGCGGTCGCGGGAGGACATCCTCAATACCCTCCTCGCTGGTCTCTCCCGTCTCGAGTACCGCGGCTATGACTCCGCTGGTCTAACTGTCGACGGTGACAAGACCAACGAGAGCTACGTTGTGCGCCAGGTCGGCAAGGTCGCCGAACTCCGCTCCCTCGTCAACGAGTCTGGCTTTGATCTCAACCGTAAGTTCATCTCTCACGTTGGTATCGCGCACAATCGATGGGCAACCCACGGTCAGCCTGCCGCTCGCAACGCGCATCCCCAGCGATCGGATCCGTCCTCGGAGTTCCTCGTCGTCCACAACGGTATCATCACCAACTACGCAGCTGTCAAGTCGATCTTGGAGTCAAAGGGCTATATCTTTGAGAGTGAGACCGATACCGAATGTATCGCTAAGCTTCTCAAGTACGTCTACGACTCAAACCGCAACTTGGATTTCAAGAAGCTTATCGAGCTCGTCCTTCGCGAGCTCGAGGGAGCTTACGCTGTGCTCGTCAAGTCCGTCCACTACCCCGGCGAGCTGATCGCCGCTCGTAAGGGATCTCCTCTTCTTATCGGAATCAAGTCTGAGCGCAAGCTCCGTGTTGATTTCGTAGACGTCGAGTTCCCCGAATTCTCGGTCACAACTGAGCCATCCGCGTACTCTGGCCTCAGCGACGACGAAGAGGGATCCGCCTCTGGCGTCCCTACCATCAGCATGTCCGATATGACTTTGGAGCCCCCCAATCCGGCTGGCCTTCTACGTACTTCGACCGCATTGCTTGGTGATGGCGGACTATTCGTCCCGTCTCCTGGCATTTCTGACCTCCGACACTCGCAGTCGCGTGCCTTTATCTCCGACGATGGCGTCCCGATCCCGACTGAGTTCTTCCTCGCGTCTGATCTGCCTGCGATTATCGAAAAGACAAAGAAAGTCATCTTCCTCGAGGATGATGATATCGCGCACATCTACGACGGTGGCCTACATATCCATCGTCTGCGTCATGAGGAGGGTGTGTCCAACATTCGCTCCATCCAAAACATCGAGATGGAACTCGCTGAGTTCAAGCGCGGTGGATATGACCATTTCATGTTGAAGGAGATCTACGAGCAGCCCGAGTCTATCGTGAACACTATGCGCGGTCGCGTCAACTTTGAGAACCAATCAGTCAAACTAGGTGGACTCTCGAACTACCTCACAACTATTCGCCGATCTCGTCGAATCGTCATGATAGCTTGTGGAACATCATATCATTCATGTCTTGCTGCACGCGACTTATTTGAAGAGCTGACAGATATCCCAATCTCTGTGGAAGTTGCATCCTACTTCATCGATCGCAAGCCGCCTTTGTTCCGTGATGATACTTGTATTTTCGTGTCGCAGTCTGGTGAAACAGCGGATACCCTTGTTGCTCTGAAATACTGCCTTGAGCGTGGTGCTATGTGTGTTGGTGTCGTCAACGTTGTCGGCTCGAGTCTTTCGCGACTGACAATGTGCGGTGTCCATATCAACGCTGGCCCTGAGATTGGCGTAGCCTCCACCAAGGCTTTCACTTCCCAATACGTTGCTCTTGTTATGATGGCCCTTCTCTTCTCTGAGGATAGAATGTCGAAGCTTCAGCGCAGAAAGGAGATCATCGACGGTCTTGGAACTCTGTCAGAGAAGCTGTCCGAGGTTCTCGAGCTCAACGATGTCATTGAGGAGACGGCGGAGGCCATGAAGGATAAGACCAAGATGCTGGTCCTCGGATCTGGCTATCAGTATGCTACTGCTCTTGAGGGCGCCTTGAAGATCAAGGAGATTTCGTACATTTTGGCGGAAGGTATCCTCATGGGTGAGCTGAAGCACGGTCCTCTGGCTCTCGTTGAGAAGGATCTGCCTATCGTCATGATTGCCACGAAGGACAAGCTCTACGACTTGGTCGCCAGTTCGGTCTCTCAGGTGACTTCTCGCCTCGGCGAGCCGGTGTTTATAACGTCCAAGAACGGCCCGCGGTTGATTGAGCCCACAAAGGCGAGCACCGACGGCAAGGTCGCTGCCAGAGCTGAGAGCGACTACGTCAAGTTTGAGGTTCCCGAGACGGTGGACTGCTTGCAGACCATCCTCAACATTCTGGTGCTGCAGATGCTTGGATATTGGTTAGCTGTCAAGAAGGGCTACGACCCCGATTTCCCCAGAAACCTGGCCAAGGCTGTTACTACTCGATAAACTGAGGTTGTCTCCGAAACGACAATTTTGGGAGTGCTAATCAAAACAACGCCTCTTTTCTCTCTTTTTCCCTTTTTCCTTCTTAATATTACAATCTAGCCGTTTATCGGCTATCATGGAGGGTGATACATTCCCTTCAGGTTTTTTCGACAGTGCTTTGGTACTCCTTTGTACGCTATATAGATTTGTGCGGGGAGAGGAACACCGATTTTCTCTTCATTTACCGTTTTATGTCAACAGAAAGGCGAGTTAGGTGTGAAGATCGCTCTTTTTTTGGTTTTTGGCTGGTCTCCAGGTTTGGAGAATTAAGTAGTATTGATACAGGCTGATTGTCGACTCACGATAATGGCAAGGGATCAAGGCCAGAGATAGCTCTACTATATAAATAAATTATCAATGTATAAATTACGTGAGGTCTCATTTCCCTGTAAATTGCCGAGAAATCACCCTGTGTAGCAGAATAGCAGCACGTCTGCAAAAAGAATGCAGCAAGCGGATATGCGGCTGCTGCGCAGCCAGAGCGACGCGTGAGAAGCTGCTGCGCGCAGGAAGCTCGAGTCTCAAAAGCTGTAGGCGGCCTTTGAACTTTAATTTGGCGGTGGGTGGTGGTACAGGTGTGGTACAGTGCCTCAGCCAGCCCAAACGTTTACTATGACGCAACAGTTTGGCTGCAATCTGAGTTCGATCCCAGATATTTGCAGAGAAATCGAGACACTCCAGCAATTCCTTGGATCTGTTTAGGAGCTGAGGAAGAAGATTGGATCGTGGTTTTATAAATTTGGCTTATTTCGTCTGCAATCGACAAAGTGCGTGGGTGAACAAGTCATGGCGGGATTCAGAGATCGAGTACGGCTGCGTCGTCGACGTGCTACGCGACCGGTAGGTCGTTACGATTCCTACGCCCCACGGCGTCTGGCAACACAGATTGTGATTCTGCAGGTTTTATATTACATCACAGCCGGAGGTCTGCTGCTGTTTACATGCCTTGTCTCGGGGAAGAAGTTCAGTCTGGATCTGGTATTTGGATGGAGAAGTATACGGATCGATACCGCGATTGGTTGGACTTTGTGTCTTGTGTGGTATCTCAATTCAGTTTTCAAGTATGAGCACGTCTGATTTCTTGTGATTGAGGAGACAATGATTGCGTGATGCTGACTGCTCTATCTCTAGTGTATTATTCTTGACCCTTTTTGTTGGACGAAGTAAGCTCGTTTTCGACTTCGTGCTGACTCTCCACGGTCTCAATATCCTCATTACATCTCTATACTCCCACCACTTTCCGGCAAGTCTCCTATGGTGGATGTTACAGATCGCGTCCTGTTTGACGATGTTGTCCTTGGGCACATGGACCTCTCGATGGCGTGAGCTCAGCGTGATGTATTTCCCCGCCTCGTCCGGCACAACCAGCAGTACTTCGCAGCCCGGCGCGAGCGATCTTTCCGGCCCTAGAGGCAGCGGGACGCATAGCGAAGAGTACGAACTTGTTGAGCGTCAGCCAGATTTGGAGGCGGGAGGATCAGGAGGAAGCGCGTCTCAGTCGCGGCCTCAGTCTGCGAGCTAGTAGGAATGCAGCCATGCGGGGGAATTTTGGGTTACATCTGGTTCGTGGATTGCTCTGATATCACAGTATTTATATCATATGGCAATCAAAGTCTTTTGATGATGACTTTAGCATCGTCATTGTTTTAACACTTCTTTTCTTCTTTCTACATTCTACGCTCGCAATTTGCATCTATGATCTGCACGCACGACGAAGAGTGTTGCGGTCGCGGGGTTTATTAGGAATGCCAGAATCTCAACCGATCGGGCGCATGTGTGTCTTAATGTATAGTAGTATTACAAAACTCTTATTCACTACCAAACCTCACCAAGCAAAAGCGGTAAACAAAAACATATTAAACATGAAATACCAAGTAGTGCATCTAGCCTCTATAAACTCGACGTCGTACATCATCCCTTACCACCTATTTCTCCTTCTTTCCTCAACTTCCACGACATACGCTCGCCTTCAAATTTAAGTAGGCTTCACGTTGAACTTCATTTTGACGCCCATGGCTGCCAGCTCAACGTCAAGATATCTCAAGACGTAAGGGATGGCGACCGTGGTGGTGTTGTCTCCGCCCTGGAACTTCGTTCCGGCGCCGTCCTCCCAAACTCCACTTCCATGTATATCCTCCGCCACACCGCCGGCCTTATTGACCAACCGTGTCGCGCAGCGGCGGCACTTGATCTCCGCCGCGCTTCCGACGGCAGGGACGGTGGTGACTGTCGAAAGCAGCGAGCCGCAGTCGCGGCAGACGTTGGCTTGCGTGTAGTCACTGCAGTTGAGTAATCGATCTTGCAGCAAGAATGAGGTTCCGTGGGCGATCAACGCATCACGTTCCATCTCACCGATACGGATACCTCCGGAGCGCTTACGGCCCTTGACGGGCTGCATGGTCAGACTGTTGACGGGGCCGGTGGATCGCACCTGGTATTTGTCGTTGACCATGTGACGGAGACGCTGGTAGTAGACGACACCGACGTAGATATCGGCCTTGAACTCCTCTCCTGTGATTCCAGAGTACATGGGCTCGTTTCCGTGGTAGTTGAAACCGCACTCGGCAAGCTGCTTGCCAAAGTGGTCGGCAGCCGTGTTCTTCTCGTCAAACTGGAACGGTGTCGAATCCTGCGCGATACCATGCATTGCTCCAGCCTTACCCGCCAGACTCTCGACAAACATACCGATAGTCATACGGGACGGGAAAGCGTGGGGGTTGATAATGATATCAGGCTGAATACCGGTCTCTGAGAACGGCATGTCAACGGCCGGGTATCGCTGCGAGCAGACACCTTTCTGACCGTGACGAGACGAGAACTTGTCTCCGATGAGCGGGGAACGAGTCACGCGAAGCTTGACGGAGATAGCCTGGAACTCGCCATCGTTGTCGTCACCAATCAGACGCACTTCCTCGACAAACGCGGCCTCGGATGACTTGTAGAGCATGACCTTGGTGCGTCCCAGGTTCTCGTCAAAGTAGGCCGCCATGGGATCGCCCTGTTCCAAGAGCATACCCACTATCGGCAGGCCGTCACTGTCGAGCTTGATGCGCCACTCCTCCGGCCAAGCATCGCTACCGAAACCGAATCTCTGGGCAACAGGCTCGCCCCGTCGGCGCTTTTCAGCAAGGTCGATCTTCTCAACCTTGATCACAGTACCGTATCCGAATCCTCGCTCGTGGGCAGACTTGTTCAAAATCATAGCGTCATCCATATCGTAACCAGTGTAGGAAATAACAGCGACGACGGCATTCATACCGTTCGGGAAGTTGTCGAGTCCATAGTCGTCGTACAGCTTAGCCTTGACGATAGGAGTCTGGCCTGTCTGCAGACGGTACAGCTTGTTATCGGCTCTGTAGCGGAGCGCAGTACCAGGGGTACCCATAGTCTGCTTACTCATCTGACACTGGTACATGTTTCGCGGCGACTGGTTGAAATCCGAGAAGGGAGTCATGTTGGCGAGGATAGAGAGAATGTTTGTGGGAGAGTACTCAACGTGAGTATGCAGTCCGGATGTGATCTCTTCAGGAGCACAGGCGATGTCCATATACACCTGCTCGAACGGACCAACAATATCCTCCTTCTCTAGAGGAAGGTATTTCACAGGCCGGAGCATTCGTGATTGCGAAGAAAACATGTACAAACCGGGATACTGTCCGCCGTTGGAAGTCGGCACGAGTCCGATCTCGAGCTCGTTCGGAACACCATGGGTACCCTCGACCTTCCAGAATCTCAGCGAGTCCGCCACGCGCTTGGCAGTCTTGTGAGAGCACCAGCCGAGAATCTGGCCGTCTAGTTGAACACAGCACATGTTTTGACCCGAGCCAGCCATATTGGGCGCACTGACGCCCAGGCTTCGCACAAGAGATGGAACGGCGCTGACGTCGACGGCCTCGGTGGTGATGATACATTTGTGCGCAAGATGGTTCAGCAGACCGCAAGGAGATCCATCGGGAGTGTGGACAGGGCAAAGGAAACCCCAACTTTCTGGCAGCAGCTTTCGCACAGTTGTGGTCTTGAGCTGAGCAAAGAAGGAGCCACGATGGACCATGCGGAAGTGGGAGATAAACCGGTAGAAGTTAATCTTTTCTGCGACGACGGTGTATCCAGATACCTGCTGCAAGTCAAGACCGGATTGAGAGATCAAGTTACCGGTCGACAAGAAGTAGTTCAGCTTCTTGCCGATGTTGTCGTTTGTTTTCAGAAACACCTTTGAGATATATTTGTGATCAGAAAAGTTGACAGGCTGACCACGAACGATGTCTTGGTTAACCTGTGCAGCAAAATTGTTGAGATACTCTTCGATCTTCTCCTTAATGATCATTCCGTACAAAAATCCACCGAGAAGAACTTCCTGGTGCTGGGTAGCATCCGGATTGTCCGGCGAGCAGTCACCGGCAACCAAAGCGTAAAGCTTTCGGATCATGAACAGGAGCAAGCGGAACTTGTCTTCGTTCGACTTGAGGTGGACAAGCACGATCCGGCGCATAAACTCGCGTCCGACCTCGACATCGGTCTTGTCGGGAGAGACGCCCATGACGACTCGGAATTTGTCACCAAGGTGGGCCAGGGTCTCTTCTTGTGAGTAAAGGTTGTAGACTTTGTACGAGCGAAGCATGAGCTCGAGACGATCAGTCAAGAAACTGTTCTTCGTGTCTGAGCCGACAATACCATCAAAGATTTCTTTGTCGTTGGTGTTCACGAGAGCCTTCAAGATCATCATGACTGGAATCAAGTACTCGCTCTTGCGCCATGAGAATCTAAAGGTGACGCTACCGTCGGTCAGATAATGCAGGACGTTCGTCTGCGAAGTCTGGTCAGGTCGAACGCATCTGATCTGAATACCAAACTGACTGTAGGTAGCACCTCGTCCAGTGAACGATGGCCGGACGATAGCCATGGGATGATTACGACGCTGAACAATGAGCATACGAATGAGCTTTTCGATTCCGTTGATGATGAAGTAACCTCCAAGCTCTTCTGACTCCTCCTTGTGCGCGATGAGCTCGGCCGGTGACATCTTCTCGATGTGGCATCTGTTTGACCGGAGCATGATCGGAATGAATCCAACATCTCTGTTTTCTGACTGCTCGGGACCATCGTTGACACTGTAGGTGAACTTCAGAATCATGCGGGCCTGGTATGTCGTCATACGTTCACGAGCCTAGGAAAAATCAAGTCAGGACTTGCAGTTCTTGATAGGCCTTCCAAAAAAATTATCTCACCTCAGCAGGGTAGACTCTTCTGTTGATCGTAGTCTTGTCGCGGCCAGATAGGGTCGGCTTCAGGATTTGCACTTGGTCGATTCGGTCTTGAGTTTCCACTGTTAGTATATCGCGAGCAATCCTACTTGCTGCTGGATAAACCGGTACATACATGACATCTTGTTTCCAAGTCTCTTCGGGTCGTTGCTGTCAAAGATAACCTTCTCTCCGATATCCTTGACAGCAAGATCAAGCAGGCCGCCGGCGGTCAAGGCATTGAAGGAGCCGATGTGCGGTGCGACTGCTTCAGCGAGGAGCGGGAAGGCCGATTTGTCGGTCGGCGGGTTCTGAAAGTAGCGCTCTCTTTCGAGAGTATTGAAACTAACCATGTTTGCCACTGTCCTCCTCACGTTTCTTCCTTTAGCTGTTTGTTCTTCTTCTTTGTTTGGAACTCGGCGGAAACAGGAGCTGTTCAAGAGGAGAGCAGACAGTGCGAGCAGGCAAAAGTGAAAAATTGAAAATCTTGAAAATTGGGAGAACCAAATTTTTTTGCACGGCCACATTGTGTGGCGGGCAACCGGAAGAAGTGCGGCTCGGATATGTGGCGCGGCGGGCGTCAGCCAGATAAATTGCTACTGCGCTGTGATGATTACAAAGACTAATAAAATGCGGTATTGACCTTTTCTGACAATTTGCTCGCAATCATCCTGCCCCTCTGTGATAATATCGAGTATAAGAAGGCGGGCATCGTCTCGGTTTAGCTGATTATACGCTACAAGATGGTGAAGCGGAAGTCTGAGGACCAGAAGCAGTACGAGTCGAAGTTCGTCGTGTACGATGGCGGGGTAACTCGCATCACCCGCACCAGAACAATCACAAGCTGTCGGTCCTGCTACAGAAGGAAGGTCAAATGCGATAAAACGAAACCGGCCTGCAGTCAGTGCAATGCTATGAACATTAGCTGCGAGTACATGCAGTCGCCTGGTAGTGCGCAGCACAAGGACGATCACAGTCATGAAGCAGCAGTCAAGGTTGAGAATACGGCGAGGCCGGAGCGAGAGGCCGTGAAGAATGAAATTGGTGTGTTCACTGTGGATGTGGACAATGGGGCGCCGCGATATGCCAATATGGCTTACTGGGGAACCATTTTTGGCGATGTAAGTCTTTCTCCAGATACTCGTCAGGTCTTTTGGAAAATTTCTAACGGTGTTTTCTAGGAGCCGTTGATTGGTGGTCTATTAGAGCCCACGATAAAGTGCTGTTCCATACAAAACAGGTCCCCGCGTTCCGCAGAACATGTCTTGGGACAGGCTGCTCGCTATATGCCCGACAAAGCCAGTGCAGACATGTGCCTACAGCTCTACCTTCGTTCCGTTCAACCCTTTTTCCCAATATTCGACCGTCAGTACCTGATAGATCAGTATAAACTGTTTTGGTCGTCTTACAAGCACGAACGATCATTCCCACAGTTTACGTGCATCATATTCACAATATGTTATTGCGCTTGTCTAGCTAAAGGCGAGGAACTTCTTTTTCACCCTAACGAGCCAAAGCTGCGCACAACCAATGAATATCAAGCGGAGATGGACAAGTTCTTAAAAGGTGCTGAGCTTTCTATTAGAAGCTGTGGGTTTCCTGCGCGACCTTCTATTATTCCACTGGCTGCAGCTTGCATAATGCAAGCCGTTATTCATCGCGTCTCGACTATCGATAACACGAGTGAGATTGCACAGCTTGTTCGGGTGGCGCAGCTTATGGGACTTTACCGCGACGCGACGGTGTTCAAGAATCTCAAACTCACCCCTGCAGAGCTCAAGTTACGGCGAACTCTGTGGTTTCATTTGATGTGTATGGACATTAGCGGGTCGCTCCACAATGGGTTACCGCCTACCATTCTGCAGGACAGTCACGATGTCAAGCTGCCGAGTGAAGACGAAGGCTTGGATCAAGATCGCATGGCGCAGATATATGCAAACGGCAAGTACGAGTCACTGAATCTGCTTGGGAAATTGATGCATGAGATATATGGGCTACGCAAGGTGACCTCGGCACAATTTGATGAGTTGGTGAAGGAAACCACGAGGTTTGAGCTCAAGATCCATCAGAGGATTGAAAAGATTCAGTCCTTCAAGTTTGAGGAACGGCATCCGGAAATAAGTCTAGCGACTCTAAAAGGGCTCCAAAAGCTTTTCTGTTCTTCGTTTGAACTGCTGTGCTCGAGGATTTTCTGCCTGCTTTACCATCCGAGTTTCGCTTGCTGGAACATGAAACGCACTGAGCTGATACGAGCGGCAATGAAGGTGCTACGCCTTTATGACTCCACGTCTGAACTGCCTCACCTGGTGTCGTACTTGTGGTACATACGCTTCGGAAGACCTCTGCACAGCTTTGTTTTGCTGCTAAGAGACATCTATCAGCGTCCTGATGACTATGTTCATGAGATTGGCCGCGAGGTGGAGGGTATAGATGGCCGGATTTTGACGGTGGAGAAGGGTATTGCAGAGAGCGAATACTTGCAGCTTCATACGTTGTCATCTCAGGCAGCCGAGCAATGGAAGTTGTTGTTGAGGGTGAAAGATTTTGTATGGAACTCTTTACCTCCTGAACGGATTTTGAAAGCGAGAGCCATGATCCCGGCGAGACTACGGTTTGCGACTGGACTAGAACAGTTGGAGAAGGATACAAAGGAGGGTGGGAACAGACTAGGAGGTGATGCAGGAGATACGTCTGAGTCTGTTTCCCCAAATAACAGCAACGTGAGCTGTGACGATACTCCTCATACAGTCGCGAGCGACTCCAGTGTTGCTTCTGGAGAAGCTGGAGAGAGTGGAATGGCGACTGTTTCTGAGATTGAGGCGCCAGTCATACTTGATTTTCCTGATCTGACGGGTTTGACCAGTGATGATATGGTTCAGCAGCTACTGAACCTTGACTCTTGGAACATTGACTGGAACAATTTGGGTATCGATGGAATATGAATTTGATTAGTCTATTGTACAGTATAAATACGAAATGAGTTATGTGTGTTAATAAATATCTAATTACAGTAAAACAGTAAACTGAGACCAAGTCAGATTACTACTGATTCGTAAGGGGGATCACATCTACGTGCACGTTATAAGGTTATGATTTACGTGGCGTTCAATGACTGGATTACGGTGCATCGTTTAAAGGCTTGAGTGATAATCTCCAACTATGGCTGTATTGTAGATGCGATAGCCTGAGCGGTAGTAGTTCTAGGCGATAACGAGAGTATGTGGGCAGAAGACTGAATAGTCGCAGACTGAATCAAACTGAGTTGTCTCAATCTAACCTACAGTACTCGGTTTAGGAAACATCGATCTCGGTCCATCCGACGAGGCTAGAAGTGTGGAGTCGTCTAGTTGCTGCACAGGCCATGAGAGATATTGGCGGTTTAAAGCGCCGAGCGCGAGTGGATCTTTCAATCAAGACTCGGTGTGGGTCGGCGTGAACAAGGCGAGAACTACTGGTTCGTTTGCTGATTTTTCAGTTCTCTCGTTCGACTCAGTTGCTGCCTACTGCTGAGCAGCTTCCGTTGCTTTGAACTGCGGCAATAAACGCAAGTCAAACATCAACCACCTAGATAGTCAGCTCTTCAAGAAAACATGGAGTAACAGTCCACGTAAAAAATAAGTCAGCCCGCCGGCGGAAATGCAGGTCACGGGATTTGGGGTAAGCTCCGGCGGCGAGGTCGGGTCCGTGTTAGAGGGCGACTCATAGTCTCGGAGTTAGCTTATCTTGCTACTCGCTGCCTGAGTCGTCTGCTTTTTTATTGGTCGCGCGCAAATACGGGCATAGACCATGGCAGGGCTTTGACGGCAGGCTTGGTGCTCGATTGTTCTGCTTTGAACCGCGTCTGAGCTTTGAGCCGGCGTCGGTGGGTGATTTGGCGGTGGAAGCGTATTAAACACAGGAAACCGCCGCCGGGATGCAAAACAGTCTGGTTGGGCTTATCAACGTTCTTAGTCTTAAAGTTTAAATGCGCCCTATCTTATTAGGGTGTTTTATTCACTACTGTTTCTGTGTAGTAGTTTGCCCTAATCTCAGTACTCGGTGCAGCTAAAACAGCACAGATCAGTGCCATAGAAACCCCCTAATGGCACCCTCTCCAAGAACCGCGACTCACGCACCTCTTCTTTCTCCAAAGCCAAGCTCACCTTCCTTTCCATACTGCGTTCATACTTCTTCTATTCTCAAATCCTGGCACCGCGCAGCTTTCACCGTCTTCCCCGGTTTCAGAGTTCGCGATCCTCCAGAGAATAGCTCCTTAGCCAGAAGGAAGTTTTAGTCCTTATCGGGAACAGTTCGACCCTTCGACTAACAACATGGCTGGAGAGAAGGAGCCTCTCATCCAGACCACCGAGAAATATGCGGAAGTTTCTTCAAGCGGCAGCGATGTATCGACCGAGAAAGATGTAGCGGCCGTCACTGTCACCGACGAGTACAGCCACCTCGTGCCGCGCGAGGCCAATATTCTTAGAGAACAGACCGCGCTCAAATCGAACGATGTTGGGTTTTTCAATCTTTACCGATACGCGACCTGGTGGGACTTGACCCTCCTCGTGTTTGCAGTATTCTGTTCAATAGCCGAAGGCTGCGGTCGTCCCCTCATGACCGTCGTCTTTGGAAGCGTCACCGAAACATTCACCAGATATGTCTCTCAGAACCGCATGGGATTTTACAACGGCGACCATTTCGAGTTCTACAACGGCACCAGCAGCTACGATTACTACAACAACTCCACCGGTACTTACGACTTTGAATACATTTCCCCTGATGAATTTCAGAGAACCGTTAACTATCAGGTTCTGTAAGTGATCTATTAACTTCTAATCATCATATCAAGTACGAGTATCTAACTTATCCTATGAAGGTACCTTGTCTATATCGGTATCGTCGATATCGTCGTCTCCTACTTCTCTGTCTACATTTTCATTGATCGCGGTCAGCTCCTCTCTGGTCGTATCAAAGAGCGCTACCTTGCTGCCACCTTGCGCCAGAACATCGGGTACTTTGACAAGCTCGGCTCGGGCGAAATTACAGTCCGCATCGCGGCTGATACTCTTCTTATCCAGGAGGGAATGTCTGAGAAAGTTGCTTACTGCATCGGTCAGACTTCCATGTTCCTTGCTGCTTTTGTCGTTGGTTTTGCCAGAGCATACAAGTTGACATTCATCATGGTCTCGATCGCTATCTTCATTTTGGGAGTCTTCGGAATCGTATTGAACAGAATGTCTGTGTACTACGCCGAGGCTCTTGGAGGCTCATCTAGCGGTGGCGCCGTTGCTGAGGAGTCTCTTTCGAGTATTCGTAATGTCCAAGCATTTGGAATTCAGGAGAGACTGGCTGCCCGCTATGATGTATTCCTAGCCATCAGTGAGAGATGGGCCCTTCGAGCTGGTGTTGCTTTGGTGAGATTATGTTTTCTTTTTTTAATTCAGCTTGCGGTCGTGCTAATATTGGTATAACAGGGTATCACTACTGGTCTGATGTGGCTTGGTGTCTACAGCAACGACGCCCTTGGATTCTGGCAGGGTGCGCGTTTCATTAGAAGCGGCGAGATTAGTGTTGGTGACGTCGTCTCGACACTGATGGCCCTTATCTTAAGTACCTACGCTTTGTCCAACATGATTCCTCACTTCCGATCAATCACTACCGGTATCGGAGCATCGCGCAAGATTTTCGCCACGATTGACAGAGACTCGCCTATCGACTCGTCTTCGCCTGACGGAATCAAGCTCGAGAATGTGACGGGTGACATCGAGTTGAGAAACGTTCGTTTCATCTACCCTTCTCGTCCTGACGTTGCTGTTCTCAACGACTTTAGCTTGAAAATTCCTGCTGGAAAGACAGTTGCTCTTGTTGGAGCATCCGGCTCTGGAAAATCTACCATCATTGGTTTGCTGGAGCGGTTCTACCGCCCGCTCGCCGGTGATGTCTTGATTGACGGCGTTGATGTCAAGGATCTCAACATCCGCTGGCTTCGACAACAGATTGCTCTTGTCTCTCAGGAGCCATCGCTGTTCTCTTGCTCGATTTACGAAAACATTGCCCATGGATTGATTGGTACAAAGTACGAGTATGCTTCGGAGGCCGAAAAGCGTAAGCTTGTTATAGAGGCTTGCGAGCAGGCTAATGCTATGACTTTCATCAACACATTCCCCGAGGGTCTTGATACCAGTGTTGGCGAGCGTGGTTTCCTGATGTCTGGAGGTCAGAAGCAGCGTATTGCTATTGCTCGCGGCATTGTCTCGAACCCCAAGATCTTGCTGCTTGACGAGGCTACATCCGCGCTCGATACAAAGAGTGAGGGTGTCGTTCAGGAGGCTCTTGACCGTGCGTCAAAGAACCGTACTACTATTGTGATTGCTCATCGTCTGTCTACTATCAAGGATGCTGATAAAATCATCGTCATGCGTCGCGGAGTCATCGTTGAGCAAGGCACACATGACGAGCTTATCGCCAAGCAGGGAGACTACTACCAGCTTGTCGAGGCTCAGAGAATCGAGAAGCAGAAGGAGAAGTTGAACAAGGCAATTGCAGGTGAAGAGCAGGATGACTCTGAAGTCGACAGTGACGAGGATGCTCTTGACATTGTCGAGAAGCAGCTTACGCGAATCAAGACTGCGAAATCGGTCTCGAGCATAGTTCTCGCAGAGACACCGGCAAAGAAGGAGGTCAACGCTGGTGATTTCTCGCTTGGTACTTGTCTCAAGTTCTTGTATGAGCTCAGCGAGGAAGATAAATCCATCAACCTCTCGGGAGCTTTGGGTTCATTGGCCACCGGTGTCTCCTACGATCTCATGGGTCTTTTCTTCGGCAAGTGTGTCGAGGCCTACGGCGTCGGTCCTAATGACTATGACTACATGACTCAGCAGATTGCGATCTATGCCGGTTTGTTCTTCATGCTTGCGGTTATACAGATGTTCATCACCTCCATCTCCTGGGGATGTTTTGCTCTCTCGACGCAGCGTCTTGTTCGTCGTATTCGCCTAAGAACTTTCAGAAATATGATGCGACAGGACATCAGCTTCTTTGATCGTGATGAGAATACTACCGGTTCGCTTACCAGTATGCTTTCGCAGGATGCTCAGTTTGTTGAGGGTTTTGGAGGCGCCACGTTCGGACAGGTCATGAACGCGGGAATGATTATCTTCACGGCAATCATTTTCTCTCTGATCATTGCCTGGAACTTGGCGATTGTCTGCATTGTCTGCATTCCCGTCGTCATGGGTGCTGGCTTCTGGCGCTTCTACGTCTTGTCAGTTTTCCAGAACACGACCAAGAAGTCCAACGAGGCTGCCGGAAGCTACGCTTGTGAGGCTGTCTCGGCTATCCGTACCGTCGCTTCGCTGACTCGCGAGGATGATGTTATGGAGAAATACCACCACATCATCGAGGAGCAGGGACTCAAGAGCAAGAATGCCTCGAAACAGTCTGCGCTGTGGTACGGAGTTGCTCAGTCTGTTCAGTTCTTCATCTTGGCTCTGGCTTTCTGGTACGGCAGTACCTTTATCCGCCGCGAGGAATACAGCTTGTTCCAGTTCTACGTCACCTACTCGACCGTCATTGTCGGTGCCGAGTCTGCTGGTATCATGTTTGCGTTTGCTCCGGATATGGGTAAGGCCAAGTCTGCTACTGCAAACATCAAGAAGATGCTCGAGACCACGCCTGACATTGATGTGTGGAGTGAGACCGGAAAGACGCCCGAGAACGTCGAGGGTGATATCGAGTTTGAGAACGTGCACTTCCGCTACCCGACCAGACGACAGGTTCCTGTCCTCCGTGGCCTGAACCTCAAGATTAAGAAGGGACAGTATGTTGCTCTTGTGGGAGCTTCTGGATGCGGCAAGAGTACGACTATCGGACTGATCGAGCAGTTCTACAGACCGCTCGCCGGCCGCGTTTTGCTCGACGGCCAAGACGTTTTGGACTTCAACATCAACCGGTACAGAGAACAGATTGCTCTTGTGCAGCAGGAGCCAACCCTGTACTCTGGAACTATCCGCGACAATATCGAGCTCGGCTCGCCTCGTCCGGTCACCGAGGAGGAGATCTACAATGTCTGCCGACAGGCCAACATCCACGACTTCATCATGTCTCTTCCCGATGGCTACAACACTCTCTGTGGATCCAAGGGTAGCTTACTCTCTGGCGGTCAGAAGCAGCGTATTGCTATCGCCCGTGCTCTTATCCGACAGCCTAAGGTTCTTCTGCTCGACGAGGCCACCTCGGCTTTGGACTCTGAGTCCGAGAAGATCGTCCAGGCTGCGCTAGACGCCGCTGCCAAGGGCCGCACCACCATCGCTGTCGCACACAGACTGTCATCTATCCAGAACGCTGACATTATCTTTGTGTTTGAGGGTGGTCAGGTCGCTGAGCAGGGCACACACCAGGAGCTTTTGGAGAAGAAGGGAAAGTACTACGACCTCGTTCAGCTGCAAGCTCTTGAGGGTGCGTAGAGATGTAAAGAAGTATTCCAGTCACTCATTTCAGTCAGTTTTTGCGAGTTTACAAAGGAAAAGAGGTGTCAATTTTGTTTTTATTTTTAGAGGTTTGACAGTTGATACATTTGTGGTTCCTCTTAGACATACATTCATTTAGTTAGTCTTTCTTTTTGGTATTTCATTTATTTTGTCATTTGGAGGGGACGAGTTGTGGATAGTCAGGTATACAGCATTTTGTTGGGTTGTATAAGGGGTATAGTCATTGATCTATTTGGATACAGAAATAAATAGTCAGTTTTTGAGCGTCGTTTAGTTGTAGGAATTTGTAGATAATTGAGGACAGCACGAGGTGAAGTGAGGGAGTGAAACCCGAACCCAAAATGGGTAGATTTTATTCTTCAATAACTTCAGGTTAATTCACTTATCTCACCTGACACCACAAAACACCGCTACAATGTTCAAAAAGTGAGAATTATAATACTCGCAGTGTATGCGTATTATATATACTAACGTTAGCCTTGCACCTTTTTCTAGATTCACCGCAAAGGAAGACATCCACTCACGAACGAACGTGAAATCATCCGTTCAGAGAGGACTGAAGACCAAGCTGGTCGAGCAGTTCCCCAAACTGGAGAGCGTGATTGACGATATTATCCCCAAGAAAGGACAGCTTATTGTGATCAAATGGTATGAGGATGTTGTTCAGCTTCGATGAGTACAGGAAGCAGACACTGACTGGAGTTGCAAACTTTAGCACTGATCGGCTGTCACTATATACAATGGATAACGAGGTCTTGTTTCTTCAGCGATTCGATGATCCGTTTATCCCCAGTCTTCGTCTGATTCACAAATGTGTGTATATGGAGTTTGAGTATACGCTGGGTCTATATTGCCGGGGAGTAGGTCGAGCTAACAATGGCTGATTGTCTAGATCCAAACTGTTTCCCATCGGTGAAGGTCGACAGAGGTGCTATCAAATTCATACTGTCGGGAGCTAATATCATGGTACCGCGCGCGCCCCTCGATTAATACCTTCTTTCATAGAAGACTGTAAAAGATATATACTAACGCTCTACAACAGTGCCCGGGTTTAACGTCAAAAGGTGCTTCGCTACCGGAGGAGGATTACCCCGTTGGCACAGTGGTTGCCATCTTTGCCGAAGGCAAGGAGACGGCTCTGGCCGTTGGAAAGCTAGCGATGAGCATAGGCGAGATCAAGAAGGTGAACAAGGGAATTGGTATTGAGGTCGAGACTCATCTTGGAGACGGACTGGTAAGTGCACTCTGTTCTGCATCTTAACTTGTGTTCGTCGGATACATGTTTCTAACTTTCAATGCTATTCGTGTAGTGGTCGTTGGAGCTGGACTAAAACCCTGCTTGGATAAATATCACAATGCGGAGTGGAAGGGCAAGATTTGATGCATATATCAAGAGCTTATAAAACTGTACAATATAGTCATGCACAAAAACAACGATCATTCATAGTTTCATTAACATCTCTTTTTTAGAAATTTTTTAAACGAGTCATTATATCAAAATATACATGATGCGAAATGAAGAAATGTCTTCATCACAGTTCAATGCGTTCAAAAAACAACAACGGCGAATTCTTTTGAAAATGTTGATGGTACAGAGAGAACATTGAGGATGCGAACGCAGAAACTGAAACACACGATATAAAAAACTAGCTTTCCACTCAAAACATCGCGTCTCGGTCGTACTTCTTATCTTTCTTGTATTTCAAGTATCTCTTGTAGCCATAGTAGCCACCGCCACCAACGATACCCAGCTTGATAAGGAACCAGAACCAGGAACCGCCCTTCTTCTTCTCCACATCCCGCACAGAGGAGGAGGACGACGAGGGGTGGCTGAAATGGGACTGGACATCGCTGCCACCAGGGAGCACGAGCATGTTGACCTCGACCTCGTTGATGTCGTGGTTCTCCGAAAGCTCGCCTGTCTCGGCCGTGAAACTCAAGTACGAGGTCTGCGGCAGATCAGGCGGGTTGCCCATCTTGAAACAGGTGATGTACTTGCCAGGCTCCTTGTACTCGAGCTCGACTTTGAGGAAGTGACCCTTGACGTACGTGATCTTCATTCTGGTCTCGTGGTTCGGGTTGTGGAGGCCTCGTGCGGAGCACCCAGCAAGCTCATTGCTCTTTCCATCATCGGCCTTGCTGTACGAAGTATGCCCGTCTCCGTACATCGCCATAACGTAAGGGAAAGTCACGCCCGGTCTGTTGTTCTTGTAGGTGTCGATGAAGATTCCAATACCCTCAAAGTTATCCGGTCCTCCAAAGACGGGACCAAGAACGCTCCGATCTTTTGTAAGCCAGATAGCCATACCGTCGCCGTAGAGGTTTCCCTTACCGCTGATCTTGAACTCGAAAATAATCTCAAAGTTGATCGCAGTGAGCGGAAGACGCGATGAGAGGTATCCTGTCTGCCCTGGCCGATCGGACGTCAGACGCACGTACTGATCAGTTCTGACGATGGTATGGCCGCCAAAGTCGTACCACCGCGAGTGTAAGCTGTCGTGCAAGAAAGGAGTCTGAAGACTGAACGTTCTCATGGGGACGCGCTTGATGCCGTTAGGGAAGTCCTCGTTCTCGGTATCTTTGGCGGCATGGGCGCCGAATGTCAATGCCAAAATGGCAATGACAGATGAGAGAGCTCCAAACTTCATTTGTTATAAACGATTCAGGGAGTGATGGCTTGAGAGAATCCGTGGACTGTGGTGTTCGATCTCAAGATTGAAATGATGAGTCGCGTTTAAATAATCGACGACGACGAGCTAGAACAATCAACGAACTGGAAACAAAACCGAGATTGTGCTCTCAATAATACAAGCAGCCGAAATCTCAAGGAATAGTCGCAAGTTCCGCACGCGATCTATGCAAACAAAAGGCCGATGCTGGTCGCGTTTCTGAACCCTCGAGGACGGTGAGAAAGTCATAGAGCGAGTAAAGGCGGTGATGTGGACACTTCTCTGTTTGCGAACCGGCTGATCTCTGAATCGGTTGCAGAATTTGCTGCTGCCGGTCGGTTTGGTTCATGCGGCTGTGTTCGCGTCGCGCTGGCTTTGTCTTCTTATCATGACGCGTCCGTTGCAGACGCGTTGTTGGGCGATTTCCCAGCTTATGCAGGTTTCTTTTTCGCTACAAGAGAACGAGACAGTTGTCTAAAGGAATGAAATATATTTTGACTTGTCTGATTTACGCTTTCAAGGCTTTGATATAGTAAAGTCTACACTCATGTACCGTCCGTGGCTTCCCGCGCACAGGAGATACAGAGGCGATGCTTCTCAGGCAAGAGAAGAGGAAAGAAGAGTGATGAACGGGCGACTCGCTGATAGCCAGGTGCGTTTTTGACTGTGCTTTACTACCCGCTTTTTGCGATATAGACTCACTCTTTAAGACAGACTACAGCGAGGCCTCGTCAAGAAGGCTTTCGGTCCGACAATGGTAGAACCCCTATAATGACATCAACCTCCGCTACGGCTCAGGTCGCATATCCTTCAGGCCCGCTATTGTCCAGTTATATTCCAACATCAATTCGACCGAATGGACTTTCTAATATGAGTACTGCTCGTCCAAAGAAGCGCTCATCAGATGGAGATAATCGGGCGAACTCGTCTACCCCCAGCACTCCGGCTAAGCGCTCCAGGCCGCTAGCAGAGAGATCAGGGAACATGGATCGCTCGGCAAGAAGGGACAGGTCAGAGTCTACAGGACTTGGCTATTCTTCTGCGAGTCAAGATATTATCAGCCTTTTGTCTGATGACGAGTCTCAGCTGCCGCAATCGAACGATATGCGTGAGAACGCGAGTCAAGAAATCATCTCCCTTCTATCTGACGACGAGTCTGAGCTGCCGCAATCGAGCAATATGAATGAAAGCAGTCAAACATCGTTGGTATCCGAACAAGATACCGCCAGCTCGATTGACCCATCTCTCGATATATATGATGGTTCAAGTGAAGATAGAAACTCGAGATCCTCAGACTTTGACGAGAGTGAAGATGAAGACAGAAGTTCCTCATTATTCGACGAGAGTGAAGACGATGAATGGTTTTCAAATCATGAAGACGAGTCAGATTTAAAATACTCTTCGTCTAAGTTTGACTGGGGAAAATACTGGAGAAGACACTGGAGAGAATACCGGAGAAATTGGGCACTCACAGATTCGGAAGAAGACTCTGACCGTGACGGAAGTGACAGAGGTCACTTTAGCGGCGGTGATTACGACGACAACAGACTCGAACCGCGTAGGTGGAGGGAGGATGACCCCAGCAAATTACACGCAGAGACACACGGTGCAACGCGGGATATCGACATCAGTCGGATCGACAATAAACTGAAGAACTTCATGGACTTTAGCGTGTCTCAGTTTCAGACAAAGTCAAAGACGAGAGGCCGTCCGAAGATTTACAAGAAAGGTATCCCGAGACTTCGAGATATTGCGTTCAACGCAGTAGCGACACACTCCACTTCACTGACCCCCGCGCTCTTGCAATGCGTCGGCTTCGAGCCACTTGGACATTTATTGTTTGACACCCTTCTCAAGAGTCAACGGATAAGTTTGAGACTTTACAAGACATTCGTGGACGTCTACTCTGCAGAACTTGCAAATAGAGGTGCGGCCTACAAGAGAAGGCTCTCGGGAAAGGCGGATCAGAAAGCCTATAACCGGTACAACCGTCAATTCCACTGGAACAGTATTCCAGGAAACTTGACCAAGGAGCTCGAAGGAAGCTTGAAATGGCTCGTGTACTTGGAACTATCAGATACCGCTGCAAACGCCAGCGAATCGCTCTTATCGATCGTCCATATTCCAATGCTGGCGGCTCTGCAGCTTACGGTACGGCCACGTACAGCAACAAAATCTTCTCCGTGGTCGGTTCTGAATGATCGAATGCTGAAATCATTTGCCACGTCTATGGAGCTCGACAACAAATGGCAATTTCTACGCGTCCTCATCATCGATGTGATAGGCGGAGGCGGTCAGTCACCGCGTGCAATAACAAGAGATGGGCTACGAAGTATACTCTCAGTTCCGAATCGAATACGATATCTTGAATGCGCAAAGTCTTGCATCCCGGTAGTGGTGTGCCGAGAGCCCGTCATACCACAAGATCCCGCTCAATTTTCGTCGAAAGCCGGCGCCCCACTCGGTTGGACGAGGATCAAAACGTTCAGAACCGAAGACCCCAAGACCTGCTCGCTACCACTGAAGTATAACCGGGTGCTCCAGATAATTGACGAAAAGAGTCTGCAACTACCGGACCTAAGTCTGTGCTTTGCTGAAGAGGAGAGCGCGCACTCCAAATCGGCGGATGAGATATTAGGCTCAAAGGATTCCCAGGATTCCCATTATATCCTTGACGGGATAATTCTAAGACGGGACAACCGAATGCAAAAGCAGCAGACCACACCTCAGCCTGAGCTCGAACGACGCAAAAGAGAGTCTATTATTCGAAAGGGAGTCACCGTAAGGCACAGAGTGGATATGAATAGCCTACTTGATTTGTAATATTTGGTAGTGGGGCCTTTTCTGGTTGAACCTGGTGTGCAAATAAGAGTGTGATGAGCGGAAAAAAGAGAAGCCTTGTTCCCGTTTTCTTGGGTTGTGCCTTGTGCCCTTCAAGCAACCTCTAAGCCAGGTCCCGCCTTATCCACCAAGGTTTTTAGCGAGGTCGGTGTCCTTCTATGACCGTTCCATTTGGCTTTTCTGTTCTTTCCACGCGGATAGGGATGTGACTGGATGTTCCTTCGGATTACGAGAGAATATCCGACTTGTGATTATTCGTGCTCCGCTCTCAGCGGAAGCTAGAAATAGTCGCGTTTACAACGACCATACAGTTCTTCCAGGAAAGACAACGACTAGGAACTTTTTGTGCTGAATCGGCATATAAATTCATAATTACAAAGAAAAGTCGTCAAAATAAATTGCAGTAGATACCAGTTTAGAGTCAATGTACAAAAAGCAGGAAGGAAAGGATATGAAAACCAGCACTGACCGACCCACACCAGATTTGGAACTCGGACGAGGAGAGATTTCAGCACATCACAGCAAGAGAAGCAGCGCGTGTATCTTGACCGGCAAAGCTGCCGTGTCAACACAGTGGAAAATCAACGCCAGTCCGGAAAAGAAAAAAAAAGACCGAAAAGATATGACCTGAAAGTCAACCAGCAGAAAACCAATAACTCCTATTCTACCCAAAAGGCGCCGCAAAACAAAACGAAACGCAAACCAAAAACGAAATATCAGAAACCTGGAAAAGCACGCGGGAATAACAAAACAACACAGAAAGCAAAAGCAAAAGCAAACGAAGGAAAAGAAGAGGCGAAGAAAGATATAGCTGGTTAGACTAGGATTGTATCGATTTTCATTTTTTCAAGCATCATGGCGCCCTCTGCGGCACCGGCACTAATCACGCTGCCTTCGTCACCGCTGTCGTCGGCTTCCTCGTCGGTGGACCGGTTGTATGGCTGATAATGTTTGCCATAGTGCCCGTTTGACGAGGAGGACGAGTTTGTGCGTCCGTAGGATGATATAGGCGATGGCGAAGATGACCTGCTGTTGTATGACTGCGACGGACCTGGCGCGTTCATGCTCTTCATAGAGGCCGACGCGCTGAGGTATGAGTTGTTGTCAAGCATGCCTCTAGGAGTAGCATTCGTGGTGTTCTGCATATGAATCGGCTGTGGAGGAGGAAGGACAGAAGACTGGGTCTGCACGTAAGTGGGCCCAGAATACTCGTCGTACGCCAATCTGTGATATACAGGAGCTGCCTGCTGTGCTTCGTAGTTGTGGGCGTCCTGATAGCCAGACGTCTGTGATGCGATCTGGGCTGCAAACGCTTCCGGGGCATACGCGGCTGTGACAGAGGTAGACAGGGCACCATGACCGATCGACCCAAGACTGGAGCCGCGAGAGTGACTCTGATTGATTCTGATCTGGTGGTCTCGGTCGGTGTGATAATGGATGCTGTCGCGCCGAGGTTTGGAAATGCCGCCTGGATTCATGCGGGTCGGAGATGTGGAGGCGGACGAAGAGGATGTCGTTGCGCCTGCTGCAGCAAGAGGCCGCGCAAGCTTGCTGTGTGCGATTTTGTCGTGGACTACGTCCATGTCGGATGAGGGCCACTTCTTGATGAGCCGTTGCACGCGCATTCTAGAGATAGATATCAGCACCGGTGCCTTGTTCAAACGATACAGATATGCATAGAGAAGGTGTAGATCGGGAGGAATTATTAGACGGAGCTTACCGTGCACAATCTTTGTCGACGCCTAGTTCTTGACCGACTAGCCGCCAGTCAACTGAACCGCTTTTGTATGTATAGGCCACTATGAGGGTATTGACGGCACTGACAATGTCGGAGTTGGACATAGTGGACGACAGGAAATAGTAGTGCGAAGGGAAGAAGGCAGGAAGGTGGAAGGGTGGGGGGAAAGCTGACAGATAGGTAGAAACAGGACAAGGAGTCGGGGATGGGAGCGAAACAGAACAATGAGAGAGGAGGGAGCAGACGCGGTCGTATATCAATGGTGGCGGCGGAAGCAATAGGAAATAGAAATAAGTATGAGGGAAAAAATAACTACAGAACTGATCAACGGTGTACTGGGGGAGTTCAGAAGGCTAGCCGGACTGAGGAAGGTTAGGAAATGACAGCTCCTGTAGAGGGACGCAGCCAACTCAAAAAGACGATCGTCAGCATTCGAACCGAACAGGAAGTCGAGCAACCCTTTGACTCGTGAGCGGGATCGGCGACACAAATCCGCGCGGGCTGCGAACAGCTCGCGAACTGTTTACACCCCTGAGCCACTCACTGTCATTCCGACTGACGTCTATCCTTCGCGCCGTCGATGATGTGCACTCGGTGCGGCGGGCCCCCCTTGTAGGGAAGAGAGAGGGGAGGAGGAGGAGGAAAACCCATCGCCACGCAGGTGTCCGTCTGTCCGGCTGCCATGAGAAGGTGCCAGATCCCAGCCCAGATTTGGTGACAGCGGCCGGTTTGCTTTGGGCCAGAGACAGAGACAGCTGGTGGTGGTGGCAGCTGGTACGCAGAACGAGCTCTATCACGTCACACCTCGGCCGAAACCTGTTTCCCGTTCCGTGGCCGCCTCACAATGCGCCCATCCCGTCCCTGCCCTTCAGCCGTTCCGGTAGTCGCAGGAAATGTCTACCAGACGCTGATTCAGACGCACGCCAATTCGTCGCGTACCACTGCCGGTCGCACGACACTGCCACAGGCGATCGGTTGCGATCGGCGGAGCGGGAAGAGTACGCGTCGCGTGGGCGGCGGGCACAGCGTTATGCGGAACAGTCGGGCTAGGGCTTCTGAGAACTCTAATCGCAGTTCCTTATTTCGGGTTCCGTCACTGCTTCTCCGTCTCTGTCTCTGCCGTACCTGCGCCGTGACTGGTTCGGCTCGGTAGTGCTCTTGCTCTCCGGCGCTCAGCCAGCTCGGCCGGCCCAGGGAAGCTGTCAAACCGGCGTGGATTTTGTCGACAACACCTTCCTCGCCTTTTTTAGCTGCATGCATCGCGACCTGCATTTCTAGCTGTACGCTCTCGCCCCCGGAATATGGATCCTTCTGGCTCGGAGTCCGAAAACGGATTCTGGATCCGTTTATAGATGTCCTTATTGTCCTGTCACAAGCCAGGCACCTGTTGCGACAAGGACCGAAGCAGAGGTACTAGAGTGTGAATCCCAAACCAGCGGTTCATCATCTGTTCACGTCTACGCTTCCAGCCGGGCTTCCATTGTGTCGTTCTCTACGCGTGTCAGGCTGAGACAGCTGTCCGTGATGTTCTGGTAATGAGACTAAGCGGGGTGCAAAATGAGTGTCATTGATCCATTGCCGATGCTCACAGCGCCAATTGTTTGTTGCGTATCGGCAGCATAACGAGAGAGCACATTACGAGACAAAGGTCATTGTGGGTTATCAATCCTCTGTGTTCCTGTCGTTGTCTGCACGGCTGTTCTCCCTCCGTCCCTTCTGCAGCTGCAGCCATCACATGCCTGGTCTCTGGTCAACTTTCATTTCAACCCATGTTAAATATAGCCTTCTACGTCTGTCATTTATTACACAGAATAGCAGATCCAACACAAACACAGACGCACGTATCGAGAAATAGGGGGCATCGAAAGTGATAAGCCGTTCTATGCTCTTTGTGTAATTTCGCTACGCAACGAATGTCCACCGTGATGAATCGATGCACGTACAAATCCACTCCAGCTATCTCACACCGCTGTGGATGGAGAAGAACGAGCCAAATGTAAACAAAAGTCAACCGCAAGCCAATCCTTACAAATGCGAATACAGACTCATTTTCACGTCTGTACCCACGTTAATTTACGCCTCGGATTTCGTAGTGATTTTCAGTCGTATAGTCCGCGCGACGCCGGTCTCTTTGCTTTTGTTGCGACCAGCGAGTGAGGAAGAATGCAGATCAGCGCAATTTACATAGGATTGTGTGTGGCCTCTTGATGCCTTGTTTTTTCTTTTTTCTGGCGTTTGTTTTCAACGCTCATGACGTAGGTCCCGACATTGCCTGAACTACCTCATCGCACCGCGTAGTTAGAGTAATTTGATAGCCGTGACAAGTTCGATCGCTTTACTTAACCACGCCTAACCTCAATTTCGGCCGTAAATCGTGCCCGAAATAGTCGTATATTAAACACTGAAAAACGATTGTTCTTCAAAAGAAATCAAAGGTGTGAATAACTACTCGTCTAGATCGGAGTTTCGCGGCATGCGAGTCCGGAGTAAGATATATGCTTGGTGGGCTTCTTGTTTGCGACGTCATATCATCGAGTTGGTTAACGAAGCTCAGGCAGCCTTGTATGTTCCGCGTAAATGCACTATAGGAGTGGTCCGAATCAATTCCAGCGGGATATACAAAGCGATCCACATCTATATTGTGGCTTTGCACTTTGTATCCATCTTTGTGCTGATCCATAGAGTATTTCTGGTTTATTTTATGTTTCATTTCTGCTTTAAGGTCGCTCGACTACCGGAACCGTAAACTTGTGAGCGAGCAGTGCGCCTGAACATCCCGAGAGCTCTTTCTTGTGTGAAATAGAACGAGGCGCGTCAGCGCTCACATAACGCACTCAACGACTGATAGATGTAACGCAGTATGCTCGGTCGAGTAACAACTGACCTGTAATATTTCCTACAGGGCGTGAAAAGACACCATTCACAAATATCGGCGATTGGCGTCGCTGCTATCTAAAGGGTGCCGTAATCACAAAAGGGGGCAAATGCTTAAGAAGCAGATATTGCTGGGCTTACTACTCAGCTAGACTCTATCAATTGCAAATCTAATAACAATCGACTGAGCGCTGTCTGAATGAATTACAAGCGAACAGGCGCAGGTCGTCGCGGTGTTTACTGACCTATCGCTATCTAAACTGTGATCAGACCCAAACCCTCGAATCTGTTTCACGACGAGCCAATTAATCAGAGTTATCAGCAGCTTCCCAATCAATAACGAGCCCATCGAGCAGAAGAGCTGTTCTTGGAAGAGCATGCACGCCAACCCACTCAATTGACGCCATTCAGCTTTGTAATAACAGCATATTCTCACGTAAATAATCCGGACTCAGTTAGTGGATATTCCGTAGGCAGGAGCAGGCATATAGATGCCGCCATCAGCTACTCTCATTCTCCTATCAGCTCCAAGCCGAGCTCAGACCCTCCGTGCAGTATCTTCCGGAAGCTGGCCCTTCGGGTGCTGCGACTGGTCAACTATAATTGCTCGAGTCCCCTCGGTGTATCCTCTTCTTCTTTCTTCCCTAGCTTCAGCCCTCAATTGTTCGCACCCGTCCAAGTCACAAACAAGTCTCAATGGCCCCTCTTACTCTTTACTCCAACCCCGTCGGCCCTAACGGTTAGTAGTCAAATGTCTTCCTTATCAGCTCTCATTGATTAGAGTGCACTGTTCGGCAGCGTCGAACAGGAGCGTGCTGCTCTTTAAAACTCCGGGAAGATGTAATTCCATTTACTGACACTCAATTGCAGGCTGGAAGGTCGCTCAGGTCCTTTGCATGCTCGGTCTCGAGTTCGAGACCGTCATGAAGGACTTTGGTGATGCCGAGAACGGTGTCAAGCACCCCGACTTCTTGAAGATCAACCCCAACGGTCGTATCCCGGCTCTCGTTGACCACACCGCTGACGTGAGTACTGCAATTTCATCCATCTGACCGTCAATTGCTTTCGACAGTAGCTGACTTTTTCCTTTTGTGACTTGCAGGACCTCGTCATCTGGGAGTCTGGTGCTATCATCATGTACCTTGTCAAGAAGTTCGACAAGGAGCACAAGCTCTACCCCGAGGGACTTAAGGAGCAGGCTCTCGTTGACACCTGGGTATGTTTCATAGATTCCACGTACTTGTTAGTAGAAAGTAAGTGCCTGTACTGACCTGTCGTAACCAGTTCTTCTACCAAATGGCCAGTTTCGGACCTTACACCGGACAGGCTGTCTGGTTCAAGGTTCTGATCGAGAACAAGGAGCCCTACGGAACTGAGCGTTACGTCGGCGAGGTCCACCGTCACCTCAAGGTCCTCGAGCAGCAGCTCACCCTCCCCGACTCCCAGGGCTGGCTCGTCCTCGGCAAGTGCACCATTGCCGACCTGTCGTTCCTGCAGTGGGTCCGCTTCCTTTACAGACTCGGAATCGACACCGAGAAGGAGTACCCTGCTGTCCACAAGTGGAAGGAGGCTATGCTCGCCTTCGACGGCGTCAAGGCTTCGACCGTTGGTGAGGTCTGGGTTCCCGCATAAATGTGTAACTGATGACGTGTGGATGTGACCTGCGGTATATAGTGAACGTAATCATAAATACAGAAGGTTTCCCACGAAGTGATCTCGTAGTTGAGGGCGGAGGGCAGAGCAGGAGGTTCCAGGGTCCGTTGAGATATATATATATATTCGAGAACAGTGAACTGGTCTCCATCGGCTTCGGTAGCGGGCTGCAGTCGCGCGTACAAGCGCGTACGATCCCGATCAGATCAGATGGGGCCCGACTAATCCGAGAGTCTGGATCCCTACGCTATCAAGACGCTTTTTCTTCTATCTTGCTCTCCAACTCCTGCCAATTGACTTCCTAACTGTACTATTACGTAGAATAAAACTCGCATTCATTCACATGCGCAGGTGGCTTGCGCAAGCCTTGCGCGAGTCGAATCCGAAAGTGCATACAGCTCGAGAGCCACGTAATGAGCAGCCAAGTAGTCGCCCTCGGATCTTGTTTCGCATTTCCTATAAGCTTTCACTGCAACTCCTGCCCTGTCTCGTGCTTCGCAAACGGTCGAAGATCAATGCCAATACCGTCGCGCTGCTCGATCGATCGACCAGAAAGTAACCGTGGTGGGCAGTGTGGGAGCAGGATAGGGTTGACGTCAGAACGTCAGTCTTGCTTCTCCCGCCTCACTCCATGCACATTGCGCTTCCTACACCGGCTCTCCTCTGACTGTCGTCATTGCAGATTATTATAAAGAGATCTACCTGCCCACTGCTCAGACGCAGGTTTCTAACCACATATATTCTGTTTTAGCTTTTCTATATTCTGCGTTGTTTTCTTGAATCTTCGTGCTACAATCGTCAGTACACATTCGAAAAAAATGTACAGACTTCCTACCGTCACACGCTCTCTTTCTCGCGCCGCTTCTCGGCGCACGGCTCGATGCACTACATACTCGCAAGTCTACAGATTCTCTACCACCGCTACAGCTTGGGCGAAAGCGAAACCGCTGGCTCCCACTGAATCAGAAGAGATTGTCCGCAACGAGAGTATCACCGAGAACCCGACCGCTCCCGCTGCGGATATCCCCAATACCCCCCAACCTACCGAAGCAGAAGACATTGTGCACAGCGACCGTGATGGTGATGTGACGCTTGATGACCTCAAGCGGGTCTCAAAGACTACGGATCTTGATCCCGAAAAGCTCAAAGAGCAAGCCAAGAAGTCGTTCTACAACAGCAGTACAGATCAAACCTCCTCCGGTTCAATGGGATCAACCACCGGTCGCAAGTTCAGCGACATTCAATCTGATGTGTATGATGTTGTCATTGTCGGTGGAGGAGTATCGGGACTTACTCTGGCCGCAGCATTGAGTTAGTTCCCCTCTTTTTGGTTTCTCTTTTCTCGCTTTTCTATCTTCAATTCTGTCAATGCTACGCGTCTCAATTCTCTTTTTGTCTATGCAGGCGGGCTTGGAGAGTTACGTAAACATTATATCATGGAACACGTAATTAATAGCTGTTTTTCTTTTTTCATCTTAGAGGCTTCGCCATACACATCCGCCCTGAAAGTAGCCCTGATCGAGGGAATGTCGCTTGCGCCCGCCACCAAATGGGATCCATCTCCCGACCAATTATCGAACCGGGTATCGAGCATCACGCCAGCTTCGCAAGCCTTTTTGCAAAAGATCGGGGTTTGGGATTACGTCTACCCCGAGCGAGTGCGCCAGTATGATGATATGCGAGTCTGGGATGGTGTATCTGGCGCGCGGATCCAATTCGATTCATTCCAGCTCGACGCCGCCGGAGCGCCGATGGCCTACATGACAGAGAACCTCAATCTACAGCAGGCCCTTCTGGAATCTCTTGCAGAGGCTCCTGGCGACAACCAGGTCAAGATTTTCGACAGCACCAAAGTTGAGCAAATAACAAATTCAACTGATCAGCTCGATGACGTCGATCTTTCGTCATGGCCTGCAGTGAAGCTCTCGAACGGCTCGACACTACGGGCAAGACTACTGATTGGTGCCGATGGCGTGAATTCTCCAGTCAGATCGTACGCCGGCATCGAATCCCGCGGCTGGGATTACGGACAGCATGGATTGGTCGCGACGTTGACGATGGAATGGGACGATCGACAAGATATCGCCTGGCAGCGGTTCTTGCCGACCGGCCCAATTGCGCTACTGCCAATGCCGGGTGGGAAGGCAAGTCTGGTTTGGTCTACTACTCCCAAGCTTGCTGCTCATCTCAAGTCGCTTGACCCCAAAGCCTTTTGCACACTGGTGAACGCTGCCTTCAGACTGGAGCTTGCAGACCTGAACTATCTTTACACCCGATCAGACCCAGAAGAAATCGAAGCCGAGTTTGAGTGGAGAGATGGCATGCTGCCAATGGAGGACGAAGGAGCGAAATTCCCTGTCCGGGTAGTCGAGGTGCAGGAAAACACGCGAGCGAGCTTCCCTCTTCGCATGCGGCATTGCGACTCCTACGTCGCTCCCCGGGTCGCCTTGGTCGGTGACGCGGCTCATACTACGCACCCACTGGCTGGTCAGGGGCTGAATCTGGGACAAGGGGACGTCGCGTCTCTGATGTCTGTTATCGAGCGGGCAGTCGTACGAGGCGCGGATATCGGAGACGAGGTGGTTTTGCAGGAGTACTGGGCAGAGAGATATCCGGCGAATCATGTAATGCTCGGAGTCGTTGACAAGCTTCAGAAACTGTATTGCACGGACTCGAAGCCTGTTGTCGCACTGAGATCTGCCGGGTTGGAAGTTGTTGCTAGCATGGACTGGATTAAGAAGCTGATTATGAAGCAGGCTACAGGTATATAAAGATGGGTGAGAGGCGAAGGCCCCATATTAGCTGCTTCTTTAGTTGTATATAGATTTGTCAATCCTAGATTAGTTCAAGAAGTAGTCTTCGGGCTCATTTTTAGAACTAGTTCTGTAGATCTACTGAGCTGCAATAGACAGATACACGTTCCAAAATATACCAACTAATGACCTGACCAACATCCGACGTTCTACCGGCAGATACACCAAACTGATGTATGTAACAATCGGCCATAGTTTCATCGAGCTTGTTTGAATATCCGGGAGATCCTTTCAGAGACAAACGTTAGTCTCAAGTGTTTACGATGATAGGCAATTACACTTACACTCTGCACTTTCTGACGCGCATACGAAGGGTCGCCTGTTCTCATGTACGTGAAATACGCGACAAAGATACCGTTCATAACAGTCGAAAGTAGACTCTCGGTGAGCACTGTTTTTATCAGTACATTGCCGCGTTGCAATTCGTCTTTCGTGGCGGCCTCTTTCTCCTTCTTTGCCTCCTTAGATTCGGGTGCAGATGTATCAGGGACCTTGACAACAGTAGGATATCTCTTATCAAGAAAGGAGTTCCATAAAAGAAACACGGGTGTATAGAAAAGTGCCCATGACGCAAAGACAATCACGGTGAAGAAGTCGAGCTTTGCAAAAAGAGTCTAACGTAAACTATCACGTTAGCTTTGCTTGTCGCCAGGCGCGCTGCTCCCAGCTGATCATAAGAACAGGGGGTAGTTGATCTCACGTGGTAACTGCTGTGATCATACGATGATATAGCTTGACCAAGAACGTTTCCAAATCCTCGGAGAACAAATGCCTGTAGTGAATTGAAGGCGAAGACAGAGAGTGCGGGCGCCATTCGTATATTTTGTGATGGGCTCCGGAGGGGGCCTCGAGCAGTGGATAGTGATCTGAGTGTGTATCCCACTGACAACCAAAAAATCGTCTCTGTGTTCTCGCCCTATACCTCTCTTTGCTTGATTGACCAACCCTCAAGAAGCCTATGTGATCAACAAAAAACACCCCCTTGTTCACACACAGGCACCTGACGAAGTGATAAGCCCAGGTCCGCGATGTGTTCGGGATCCGTGGGGCGCTATTTAAGGTTTAGATGTTCAACGTAAGCAAACAAGGGTTCGGTAGTAAACTTTGTTTTGCGGCGAAGGAAAATTTTGTGAGCAAAACTCCCAACGAGCAGGAGAAAAATGGTAAATCCTGCCTTGCAGTCTTTGTACACGAGCAACCGGAAGCTGATCGAGATATACAGAGATGGTTGCTAAGAAATCAGGACAGAAGGCTAAGAGTGAGTTATTGTGAAGAGTATGACGCTGTGATGCTGTGCAGACCTGCTAACGAGTTTGTGGTTTCGTTGCTTATAGAGCCAACAGCGTCGACATCCAAACCCGCTGAAAAGAAGGCGGTTGCCGCAGTCTCGGCCCCTGCTGTCGTCGAGAAGGAGTCGAGTGAGAACGAGGCTGAGATCTCGCTGGGTGTTGATAGCGAGGACGACAGCGAATCTGGCGAATCTGAAATGTACGCTGGATTCGGAACTGACGAGGATGATGAAGATGAGGAGGGAAGCGGAAGTGATGACGAGGATGAGAGTATTGAGGGAGCGAGCGAGGTCGAGGACGACGACGATGAGGAGGAGGACGACAAGTCTGGCAAGAAGAAATCAGGTGTCTCGACTGAGAAGGAGGAGGAAATCAAGGGCAAGATCGCCGCTGCGGCCGCATCAAAGAAGGGCAAGAACGACGGACCAGAGAAGCCGGGCGTGCTCTACATCGGACGCATTCCCCACGGTTTTTACGAGAAGCAAATGCGCGCTTATTTCTCGCAGTTTGGAGATATCACCCGTCTGCGATTATCGAGAAACAAAAAGTCCGGTGCGTCAAAGCACTATGCCTTCCTTGAGTTTGCGTCCCGCGACGTTGCCCAGATCGTGGCAGAGACCATGAACAACTACCTGCTGTTTGGCCATATTCTTAAGGTCTCTCTTATTCCAGAGGAGCAGGTTCACGAGAAGACGTTCGAGGGCAGCAATAGAACGTTCAGAGCGATCCCGAGAACGAAGATCGCACAGTTGAAGCACGACAGAAAGCGCACGAGCGAAGAGACAGACAAGCTGGTTGGACGGGAAGAGAAGCGCCGGAAAGAGAAGCAGGATAAGCTGAAGGCTTTGGGAATCGATTATTCGATCCCGGCGTCGAAGCAGAAGGTGAAGTCGCATTGACCGGGTTGAAGCTACTGGAAACGGAAATAAGAGGTTTCACGGGTGTATAATGGGTTTTTGATTAATACAAAATAAAAGTTTGCAAGTTCCGTATGAGCATATGCTAATCAACTTTCGTCCATCCTGTCTGGCTCGCACTGAAAATCTATTATATTCAGGCATCCTGCCATATGCTATACAGCGCCACATGCGAATTTTCTTTAACGATACCAAATGGCACACTTAAACAATGCAGATAAACAGCTAAATACCCGAGTCGCTCTTCACTCTGTCTTCTTTTCACTTTCGCTCTTGACAGCAGACTCGGAGCTCGACTTGCTTGTATCTTCGGCGGCAGGCTTGCCAGACTTTGCCTTCACCTGCACCTTTGCCAGTTTCTCACTCCGTATGTATACCACACCCTGGACTGATTTAGTCAAGATATAAACCACAGTCCCCTTAATTGCATAGTCGACAACCATAAACCAAACCGCAACTGACACGCTGCCCTTTGGAGCAGAAGTCAGCGACAAAACCCACTCGATCCACCCAGGGAACATCCCTTTAGGCAGCCAAAAGACTGGCGCTTTGCGGTACTTTATCCGGACTAGGAATTTCAATCCGGTTGTTGAAACCCAGACAGCCCTTCGGACCTGGACTTTGAAGAACGCTCGCTGCGCGCCGAGCCCAGCGTCTATCGGATTCAAGCAGTCAGCCGATTGTCCCAATCTCACTCACTAAAAAATAAAGGGTAAAAGAAGATCCACATACTCAATTTCTCCATCTCATCTTTCAGCTTATCCATTTTGCGGTTCAGCTTGGCCCAGGTAGCAAACTCATCTTGCGCGCTGACGCCGCTTATTTCAGTACCAAGCGCAATTGCCGCTTTTTGCACTTCGCGCAACTTCTTCTCTTTTTTAGAAGCAGGTGATGGTATCAGCGTGACCCATAAAGTCCATGCCTGCGCGAAGATAGTCAAGTTGTTAGCAAAGTAAACCGCAGAGAGGGTTGTCGAGAATCGCGCAAACTTACCAATTCGCCGATATTATCTGATCCGATGGTTGCTATTATGGCGTTGATAACCACCACAAATATGACTGTCCATAATACGGAAAACATTGCGAGAAGATTATATGTGTTTGTTTGACGGCAGCAGGGTGCTGGCTTTGGTCCTGAACAGCTGCCGAGTGTCGAGTCTGATCTGTAGATAGCGGAAATAGGCCGACGACGACGATCTATTCAGCAGACGGTTATCCAATTTCGCACTAAACAACTCAAACACTGCAAATAACACTGAAATTGCAGCAGGTTCCAACAAGGAAGCTCAATGATTGTGGATGAGTACCTCGACAATGGGCATCTGGGGACCTCATAAGCGTAACCTCAGATGGCCATCGCCAGAACCTTAATCGACACCAGTCCCTTACTGAATGTATACCATCACAAGCCCCAAACCACAAGTCAGCAATTAGGGTTATTAGCAATTAGGGCTACGACTAAGTGTGACTGCTGAATTTGGCTGGCAGCCCGGCAGCAGCCACCCGCGCGATACTCACGAGTGTCTTGAATCTCTCCTCCAGCAATCCCACACATCTCCAACCACCAACGACCATCAACACCAATACGTCAAAATGGGAAAAGGAAAGCCAAGGTAAATATTCAGCACCCTCGTTCTTGCGATCAGCAAAGTTGTCTCCCGTCGATGCGTTTTCTGCCGATTCAATTTGCACAAACTGGGCAGGCAGAAGGACAAAACTGCGACGACGATTCGACGACTTCAAACACTGTTGAACTGGTTTCTAACGACTTTATTCTTTCTTCATCACAGAGGACTCAACTCCGCGCGAAAGCTCCGCACTCACCGTCGTGACAACAGATGGGCGGATCTGTCTTACAAGAAGCGTCTTCTCGGAACCGCCTTCAAGTCCTCGCCCTTCGGTGGCTCTTCCCACGCCAAGGGAATCGTTCTTGAGAAGGTCGGAATTGAGGCCAAGCAGCCCAACTCCGCTATTCGCAAGTGCGTTCGGTAAGGACACTCTCAATTTCAGTTAGCTGCATCTCGACAACTGAGACCGGCGCGCTGACTCGTTTTTTATCGCTATATAGTGTCCAGCTCATCAAGAACGGCCGCAAGGTTACCGCTTTCGTCCCCAATGACGGTTGCTTGAACTTTGTCGACGAGAACGACGAGGTCCTCCTCGCTGGATTCGGTCGTAAGGGTAAGGCTAAGGGTGATATTCCTGGTGTCCGATTCAAGGTCGTCAAGGTCTCTGGTGTCTCGCTCTTGGCCCTGTGGAAGGAGAAGAAGGAGAAGGTATGTGTTAATCTCTTTAACGTGATGATATTTTCATTCAGTCTTCTAACATTTCTATTTCCAGCCCCGTTCATAAATTATTTCGTTGTTGGTTATTTCGTTTTTTTGTATCAACATTTGTCATGGCTTGTGAATAAAAGTATATGTATAAATTGATAATAGTTCATGGATCATGGATCAGGAAGCTCGATGGAGATCAACTCTCGAGCTTTGTCGTATAATGTAGAAAGACTCCTTTATTTCGTAGTAAACTCGATTGTCTAAAGACATGCAAAACTCATGAATTTTCTCTGGATGATGAACAATTGGAAATAAGATTTTTAGAAGCTGCGGCGGCCCTCGAATCTACACAATCATCCAACCTCACGAATCCAGCTCGAAGACCACATCACCAGCTCAGAGATGTCGACGACAACCAGAGAGCGAGAGGGCGACAGTCTATCTCGGTCACAGCATGAGTCGTCATCCTCAAAGGACTCACACCACCGTCGCCACCATCACCACCATCATCGCAGCAGCAGGCATCATGACGAGCCCGAAGATCTCTCTGTGACCGAGCAGAGAAACCGGACTGGTCGCCGACCGCTTCCGTCGCCGCAGCTGCCGCAGTCAAATTCGCGGTATCAGTCTTCTCGCGGCGGTAGCGGCGGTGGGTATAGAGGAGGTTCGTCGTCTGGATCGTACCGCGACCGACGAGAGGATGTGTCGCCGCGAAGAAGGAGTCGGTCGCCACCGTCAGCTTCGTACGGCAACGGCCGACGCCGACAGATCATGGGTTCTGAGGAGGAGAAGCAGGTGAAAGAGTGGGTTGAAGGCGAGGATTCGTTTGCGCTGAAACAAGCCAAGAAAGGCGCGGTGATCCGGATCAAGGAAGGGCGCGCGAGGCCGGTCGATTGGTTGGCGCTGAATCTGCAGACGATCGATAAGGAGAAGGATGTGTATGACGAGGCTACGTTCGATACGCGCGAGCTGGATATCCCGGTGCCGTATGCGGTTATTGAAGGGCTTGGGTTGGCTGAGGTTGAGAAGTTGGGATCGGACGTGCGGGAGTATCTGCGATTGGAGCGGAGCAAGTTCAACCGTGACTTTTGGGAGGTATGTTGATTTCCGCGTATATGAGTGTTTTGCATATGACTGACGATTAATTTTTTTAACTAGTCTATGCTCGTGATCTGTAATGACACCAAGCAACGTCTACTGGCCAAAAGATCCGATGCCGACCACGGCGCACTACAGCCGGTGTCGGAAGACATCGAAAACCTGTTACAGGGAAAAGACTACGACGCTCTGGTAGCGCTAGAAAGCCGTGTTGAGCTTCTTCTGTCTAGCGATTCGGCTGTGGACGTTGATTTCTGGACGGCGCTCAAGGAAGAACTGTTGATTCGGAAGGCTAAAGCCAAGCTGGAGCGGATCCACGCGAAGATCATTCAAGAGCGGGTGCGGATGTTGAAGGAAGAGCAGGCTGCAGAGGCGAGCTCTGTTGTGCAAGAGATCGAGGGGAGATTGAAGGAGAAGGCTGTCGCGTCGGAGATTACGTACTCTGCAGATATGGACGAGGTGCCGAAGGGCGAGAACGTGAAGAATGTGATTGAGATGAAAGAGTTCAAGGCACGGATTGAGTCTGCTCAGCAGTCTGTTGAGAGGATTGGGTTTATCCCGCTCAAAGCCGCGGATGCTGCAGTCAAGGCAGAAGACGACGGACTGTCGACGAACGAACGTCTGTTTGAGAAGGAAGTCGCAAAGTCGATCAACGAAAACGAAGAAGTCTTTGACAACGAGGCAGACTTGGGCGCGCCTGCTCAATCTACGCGGATCAAGCCGAGGTACTTCAATCGCGTGCAGATGGGCTTCGACTGGAATAAATACAACCAAACGCATTACAGCGCCGACAACCCGCCGCCCAAGATCGTGCAGGGCTATAAGTTCAACATTTTCTACCCAGAGCTGGCAGATAGCGCGCGCGCGCCTACGTACAGAATCATCCGGGATAAAGTGCAGCAGACGGACGAGGAGATCGCTGCCGGTGGGCAGGTCAACACGTGTATCATCAAGTTCATCGCCGGCGAGCCGTACCAGGATCTGGCGTTCAGGATCGTGGATCGGGAGTGGAACTACTCGTCGAAGCGGGAGAACGGGTTCCGATCGAGTTTTGATAAGGGGATTCTGCAACTGCATTTCAGGTTTAAGAAGATCTTTTACCGAAAGTGATATTGTAATCAGTCATTTTGGTGTATCAATCATATTGTACAATATTAATATTCAAACATCGATCTTAGATCGTAACCTGGCTGTCAAATGCTTAATGCTCCTGCTCTCAAGTCGCGACTTCAGTCTTCACTTCAACCTCCTCGGTCTTCACTTCAACCCCTTCTGTCGCAGCAGCCTCCCTCTCCGCCTTCTTCTTTGCAACAAACGCCTTTAACCGCGCCTGGATATCCTCGCGATCAACCTTTGTAATCTTGAACTTCGCCGCGCCCGCCGCTTTCGGCGGCGGCGACAGCGACTCTCGAGCAGAAGCAGCAGCAGCAGAGAGATAGGCCGGCTTGCTGACCGCGCTGACTGTGTCTGGGATCTTGAACTTTTCTCGTAAACGCTTTTCGTGCTCTTTGATGGCTTCGGGGGGATTCCTTCCAGTCCGAAGATTTCTATGCCGGCGTCCTCGCGGCTGATAGTATGTAGAAGTTAGTAGTAAGTTCTTGAGACTGTGACGATTGAGGGATTCAGAAACACACCCTTCTATACTGTTGTAAACCTGTGTTATTGTCTCTTTGTGCATCTGCTGAACATGAATAACCAAGCCTACACAACAACAATCAGCCAACCCTCTCTCCCTTCCTCCATCACACCTCTCTTCCAAAAGAAATCAAACTCACCACCCGCGGTATTCAACCGCTTATTACAATGCTCGCATTTGAAATGCAGCGCGCGCTGATGCGAGATCAACACCTTGAGATCATCAAAGTCGCGCTCGCAGTAATAGCACCAGGGCCGCTCTAGCAGTTTTTGCAGATTCGCGCTGGCTGATTTCTTGCGCACCATTTCAGGATTCTTCTTTTTTAGTAATTTTTTGTATCTGGTTCTTCTCAGGTTCTTGGTCCTGAGTCGTCTGATGCGAACGAAAGGAAGACCGGGGGAAGAGTTATCCAGAGACTGAGGGAGTGAGGAACCTAACCCTATTCAATATCATCGCGATGTTTCCCAAATAAGCAGTTTGTGATATTGATGGTTTACACAGGGTTTCTTTGATGAATAGATTTCTGAATCCTAAATCCGATACAGAGTAGGTCATATAATGCAGGGTGTCTGATGTGGCATGCTGGAAAATTGCGTGTCAGCCTACATATATCTAGATTCGTTTACAAGAAGAACAAGAGAACAAGACAGTCATAAGGCGCATTAAATTATGTGGATGAAAAACAAGCAAAAGACTCGTAAACTCAAGCTGCCGGCTTCTCCTCCTCCTCAAATGCCTCCGAAACATCAACGCCGATAGCCATTCTACTAGCGACGTAGCGCTGCGCGACGACACCGACCGCCAGACCAAGGCCTTCCTCGACCCACTCTGCGAGCCATTCTCGCGGGTCGACTTGGCCGGGGATGGGTTCGTCGCTGTCGAGCCACTCGCACCACTGCAGAGGGAAGGATTGCGAGTGTGTGGTGAAGGCGAGGGAGTGGAATGGGTCGTCGAGGTGGATGATGAAGACGAAGACTTTCTCCTTGGTCGCGTCTGATGATGAGTCCTGGACGACGCACGCTTGTATTGATAGGTAGATGTCGGATTTACGCACTGGCGATTCTGTTGAGATGTAGTTAGCGTCACGAATAGCAGTGAGATTCCAAAAAGACTGGTAGATACCCTCTTCAGGAGAAGTCTCGACTTCCTTCCCCTTTGCCCGGATCTGCTGGATATTAGCCTTGCAGAGCTTCTCGCCCGCGACAAGGCCGCCGTGGAACATGCCCATGTCGCGCTTAACTCCCTTCTTATCCGAGTCGCGATGGCGGCTCTCGCGGCCTTTCTGGACAATCATTAGCTCGCCGCCTTCAACCTGCTGCATCACACGGTCAAAGACCGAGTAGACTATTGTGTCGATCGAGGGGTAGCCGACGAGGTCGTGGAAGATGTGGATTCGGAGTTGTTCATGTCGCATGATTGGCGGCGCGATAGTGTGCAGCACAGAGGAGAGCGTCGAGACCAGCGTCTTTGATATGCCTATATGACCGCAAACATGGCGTTAATAATCATAATAAAGCAGGCAAACAGAATACAAAATCATACCAAACTTGTTCAGAGCCGTGATGTTGCCCTTGACTTTATCCTCCCAGGACTGCGTCTCAGCCGCCTGCTGCAAGTCTCTGACCTTTGCCTCCGCGCCCTTGACGGCCGCCGAGGCAGAGTCCCACAATCCTGAAGATCCAAACCAGCTAGTAATTGAAGCGACAGGGTTTGGTAGACTGGCGGCCGCGGACTCGGACTCGGGATCAGCTGCGGACGCGGTAGCAGCTGCAGCTGGCGCTGCTGCGGCAGCCTCGGTAGGAGCGGGAGCAGCAGCCTTCTGCGCGACAGGAGCAGAGGCCTTTTCGTTTGTGCTGGCGGCGTCTTTGCTCTCAGACTCGGACACGGGCAGTGCGGTCTCTTTCTCGAGCGAGTCGAGGAATCCGAGTAGATCCTTCTCAGAGGGCTCAGTTGTAGAAGGCGTCTCGTTGCCGGACGAGGAGGAGCGCGCGTCGGGACCGAGCGACTCGAGAAGCTCGAGCACGTCCTCGTCGTCCTGCTGCTTTGTCGGCGTGGAAGCCATGATGTGGAGAGTGTATTATGGGAGGCGGGGAGGGAGGGAGATGGGGAAGAGAGGGGAGGAGGGGAGGAGGAGGACGGGAACAAAGACTGATTTCGCGGCAAGGTTTTCGATGCGGTTTATTGTCACACGCCTGCTTATCCACCGCATCTGCTCGTCCTGCTGGCCTTTTGAGCACGACAGCTGACAGAGATTTGTTCTGAATAGCTGTGATAGTGAATAGAGTCTCATATTCACCTTATAGATATCATATTTGTTCTAAGCACGAATACTTCTACATGTTGTGGTGGGGCTGTCACATGCTGGCATGATCTCTACTCTACCTTAGATATACCTGATGCTACATTCGATTGACAATAAATGTAAATACACAACCTCACTAAATGCTCTATTTGAACGAGATATTATCAATCATGCTCGCCAGCAGCACACAAACGTTGTCCTCCATCCGCTTGTTCACAGACTCCTCCAGATGCTTCTTCGGATCCTGCTTTCCCACGTAGCGCGTCTTGAGCGCGTCAGCACTCAACTCCTTCTCCTCCTTCACCCGCGTCGTGTACGCCTCCGCAAGCTTCACCATCTGCTGCACCGCCTCGAGATTCTCATGGTCGTGGTCCTTGAAGTCCTTCAGCGTCAACCCCTTCGTCCACTCCGTCTTGTGCAGGTTCAGCAGCATCTGGCCTTCCAGAGGCGTCTTTCGGTAGTTTATGCCAATAGAGTAGTAGTGTCGGTTCAGCCCGTGGATCAGCGCCTGGATCGACGGCTTGTTCAGGTGTCCCAGGTTCGACGTCGACTGTCGCGGCTCCTGCCCCGTCATTATCAATTGCGGGCTGATCAGTCGGAAGGCGTCAATCACAACCTTGCCTTTCACCGACTGTATCGGGTCGACGACGACGGCAACAGATCGCGGCGTCAGCTGCTCAAATGATTGCTGCGTGTGGATATCGACAGATGACAGCCAGCAGCCGAATCCAGGATGCGAGTGATACCATCCTACAACCATTTGGTCTCTGCAGATAGTCTTAATTAGTCTTTTTCTCATGCTTGACTCTCATATGGTAATAACGTGTAATGCAATCTCCTTACCGTCCAGTCTGCTTAAGCATGTCCATCATCTTGGTCTGGAAAACCGGATCAACTGCCTCAACGGAAACACCAGTACTATCAACAATAATCATTAGCATCCCCTTCTCAACTCTTAGAAGTAGTAAGAGAAATATCATACCCGCTCTGTGGCATCGCAAAGACATCAATGACGCGCACCGTGAAGTCGTCGACAAATTCGCCGAGCATCAGACCCATCTATAAGATATGCAATCAGCAATCGCTCGATCTTATCCAGACTCGATCAAAAACAAATAAACACATACAACTTCCATAGGCACACCGGCTCTGTAAATAACCACGAAAACGTTAGCGCTGATTCAGAATCTCGTCGGACAGACAATCACTTGATGACTGACCTTCCGTGCTTGAGCATCTTTAACAGAGCAAGCGAAGAAATGTATACGCATTCCGCGTTATCCGCCACCGGGCCATCCTAAATATTCCAAACCACACCAGATTAGAGCCTGCAAACACCATTGATCCACACCGAATCGACATCGAACAGGCGCAAGCCTGGGTTCACACGTACCTGTGGCGGTCCACCCATCCCTCCGCCACCACCCAAGAGTCTGCTTAAACGTTCCATTGTGTGAAAATTGTAGAGTTCAGATACGCAGGCGTAGTATTAATCCGATGTCGAATATCCGTCGATGGATGCAGGATCGCGGCGTGGGGATTGCTGATGGTTGGGGACTGGATGATCTTCTGATGAGCTCGAGTCCTTCAGAATGCGTGGGAACGGCGGTCAGTGATTTGCTTATGTAATGAATTAGTGTTCAATCTCGTCTGCTTCCATCTACAGACAAGTTCACGAGTATTCGCAGCTGATATTAGATCTCTGCATCTGCATTTTAATTCAACTATAGACGTACTCGGAGCTGATGTACAGGCCTGCAACTGACAGGACGAGTCATTGATTTCAAGAACACCACGACTGCGCAAACTCATGCTCTCTTCCTAACTCCTCCAAACATGTCCTCGGTCGACTCGCCGCCCAAACGAACCCCCCGCTACGGCAGCACCCCAAATCCCCGTCCGAAGAAGTCATGGCGCAAGCTTCTCTGGGTGCACCAGCCCTACCCAGACAACTACGTCGACGTCTCCTTCCTTTCGCAGCTCAAACGCAACATGCACGTCCAGCAGTACTCGTTCTGGGCGCTCTCGTCGGACTCGACAGTTATAATATCGCATGTGTCCACCGTCGCGCTCTTTATCTGCGTCTTTGTCGTCATTTATAACTTTGATTGGAATCCGGCGTGGTTTGCCTTCTCGGGCTCGTTCTTTACCTTGATCGGCTACTTTGTTTGGGATTATCTGGGAAACAACACCACCAGTCGAAGTAAGCCGTCTCTCTCATCCTCTAGCTACTCTGGCTGCTCTAATTTTAACAACTCAATGTGTTCTTTTGTTATAGCGGCAACGTTTAAATCTGCAGTTCTCATTGTCTCCACCCTTCTCGGTCTCTCCCCAGTCCTCAAATCTCTCACGCAGTCCACATCCTCAGACTCAATCTGGGCCATCTCAGTCTGGCTATTCCTACTCAACATATTCTTTCACGATTACTCTGTTGGTCCAAAGAAAACGTAAGTGCTCTTCCAATCAGCCCAGACAAGTACCGTACTAATTCCTATCCCGCAGAGTCCCGCCAACGCTCTCCACAAACCTCGCCATCTCCGCCGCAATCGTCCTCGCCTCCCGCCTCTCCACCACCCTCAGCGTCTTCTCCTTCCTCCTATTCTCAATCGAACTCTTCGGCCTCTTCCCCATCTTCTCGCGCTGGCTGCGCTCATACTCATTCATCGGCCACCTCTTCCTCACCGCGTTCCTTATCATCATCACCGAGCTCGGCATGCTGAGAATCGGAGGCTGGTGGGCGTGTGGGATTTGGCTCGCGGCAGTGCTTTCGGCGGCTCTGATTGCGCCGGGGTGGCTTATAGCGCTGCAGAAATACAAAAAGTCAGTAATTGCGCGTTCTTTCATTCTTTCTCGGAATATACTGACGTCAATTGATATAGTGAAATCCAAGGACCGTGGGATCCCGCAAAACCCGTTCTGCGAAACAGGTGATCTTCAGGACGTTTCTTCCTCTCCTCCAATCTTGTTTTGATCTTTTAGGTATCGTGCATGTGTATGATTAGGGTGTCCTGCATTTTCAATGTCTTTTTTGGTGTCATAGTCATTTTTAATATAAGCACGAGCGATATAATATTATTCAAACTATCTAATGCAAAAAAATGGCAAACGCTTTTCTCCGTGACCATGCGAATATTCAGTAATGTCGAGCAGCTGCACGCATCAGCTCAGTTTCCTCATCAGCCTCGTTCGCACCTGACGACGACGACGCTTCCAATCTCTCTAGATTGCGATAAAACTCCGTCACCGTGTCGTGCACCTGCACTTTATCGATCGAAAAGTTGCGCACTTGGAGACCCGCCCTGCTCGTGGCGCGACTGAGCGCGACGTAAGCCTGACCCTTTTCAAACACCCTGCTCAGGTCGACTTTGACGCGGTCGATCGTCTGGCCTTGGGCTTTGTGGATCGACAGCGCCCAGGCGAGGATGAGCGGGATCTGGTCTCGCGAAGCAAGGACTTGGCCGTCAGAGTGCTCGATCTTCCAGCTCTCGCGCGTGATCAACACGTCGCGCGTTTCGCCAGTCATCGACGTAAACCGCACGAGCGGCCATCGCATCTCCTGGGCCTCTTTCCCCGTCGACTTTTGGTCCTCCCACTCATACCCTCTCAGCGCAGCCAGATCGCGGTCGAGATCTTGGCTATCAGGAAGTGTATACTCGCCATCTTCCATCCTCAACTCCTCCTCGTGTCGACGAAGCTCTAGAACCCTTACATACTCGCGCTCGCTGACGAACGCAAGCACTTTTCCCAGCGAACCGTTCACCAGCATCTCATCCATATTCTTCAACAACATCACCTGCGCGTGCTTCTTCAGCACAATCACTTTGGCAGCCAAACACGATGCAAGCGCGTTGTCTCGCGCTTCGCCTACGTACAGGCCTCCTTCGAGAGCAGTGTACGTGACCTCTGGACCCGTCAGCGCGGCCATGCGCCGGCTGTTAGATCTGTCGACCTCCATGCGTGTTGAGAAGAGCTCGGTGGCTTCGAGGTCGCCCGGGAGAGTGTGGTTTTTCTGCTGATTGTTGAACTCGATCTCGTCTTTTCTTGTCAGGAGACCAAGACGCATGCGATTGAGAAACGACGCGAATTCTATTTCAAGATGTCAATAGCAGTTCTCATGTTGTATAGTTCAATGTGTAGACATACCTGGATCTCGCTGTCGAAACACCTTATGAAGACAGATTGTATGATTAACGGCTCTCCTCCAAGACTCCGCCTGAAACGCAAACACCTGCACGTTCTTCTCCGGCACGGGTGGCAACTGGAAAAAATCACCCGTGAGCACCAACTGGATCCCGCCAAACGGCCGGCCAGAGTTACGCAAGATGCGCGCAATCGTCTCGAGCTTGTCAAACAATCTACCGTCAATCATCGAGACCTCGTCAATAATCAGCACTTTTGTCCGCAGCCAGCGCTGGAACAGCTTCTTGTTCTTGCGGATCTTGCGCGCGAGGTCTTTGGCTTCCTCGCGACCTAGGCCGATGCCGGCGAAACTGTGGACTGTCACGCCGCCGATGTTGACGGCAGCGAGACCGGTGGAGGCGGTGACGGCGACGGCGTCGCTTCCGTGGGGTTTTTGCTTGAGTTCTTTGATGATCTCGCGAAGAAGGACTGATTTTCCGGTTCCTATGAAAAAAAGTTAGAGCCGAGTGTTTTTTGAGAAGAAAAATAAGAAGCAATACCCGCAGATCCTGTAAAGAAAATACTCTTCTTCTCCTTAACCACCATCTCCATAACCCGCTTCTGCTCATCACTCAACGACATAGCCGACTTCAACTTCACCACCGGCTCCTGCACACTCAACGTCCTCGACCTGCCGACCCTCGACTTGCTTCCCGCGGCTCCCGCCGCAGCCGATGTCTCCGCCGTCGAGACTTTGCGCTTGGGGTCAAGCATGAAGAGATACTCGCCGTCGCCGGAGGGGACGCGCGAGTGCGGTTTCGAAAAGCTGTTTTCCAGCTCGATGCTGTTCTTCAGCTTTGACTTTGCGGTCGCGGCAGCTTCGCGCTCGGCCCAGGGTAGTTTGCGCTTTGGTTTGCTGGTAGTGGTGGAGTCATGAGACGTCGGGTTAGAGGCGGAGGAGTCGCTGCTGTCGGAGGGTCGTTTCATGATGTTTGGTTTTGAGGGGACGAGGGCGGCTGGTCTGGTTGGGTCGGAGAGGGTGACGAAGCGGTGCTCGTAGGGGGATGAGGACCATAAGACCTCGATGTCCGGGTCGTCTGTACGTTTCTGCGGGGTCTCAGAGGGAGGCTGGGCAGAGTTCTGCACGGATGCTTGAGAAGCAGCTGTTATCTTTGTTGCCGCGGGACGCTCGATTATCTGTAAATCGTCGTCGATGTCAAAGTCGTCATCGTACAGGTCGCTCTCGTTGATCAGTCCGTCGCCTAGGTCGATGACGACCGGTGGTTTAGTAGACGCCATGGTGGGCTTTTGTAGTGAATGACGGTTTAGCCGCGGTAGTCGGAGTGTATGGTCTGTGGCTTGAAGGTCAGTAGATGTTTTGCTGCGTGGCGAGAGAAAGTAAAAGGAGACTGACAAGGAGATGAAATGCGACCGGCGCAAGGTGTTTTAAAATAGAAACAGGACCTGGAAGCAGATAATCCAGCCAACTTCAAGACGATACGGGCCTTCAGTTGTGAAGAGAACAGTTTGTTCATACGCCGAGCAGCGCGCGACGCGAGGGAAAGAAAGCGCGGAAGTCGACGGTAGTCAGACCAGGTAGGAACTCAGAGACGTGCTTCTGACTGCAATGAGCTCTAACAACGTCTTTGCACGTTCTTTGAAGCAGTAAACTACAAAAACAACCACCTTTTTTCTGCTGCCAAAAAGTCTTCAGTCCACACGACTCTGCTGCACGAACAGCGTCAACAAATCCACACGTGAGCACCGCGCGTAACTCACGCGCTCGAAACCCTTCTTTGCTTACACCACAACGCCCTCAGCCAATGTCAGCGGCCGCTGCCCCCGTCGGAACAAAAGATTTTGGCTCTGCTCTCCTCGGACTCGGACTGTGGAATCACGGCAATTAGACAGACACAAATACACACCGCGATGATTTCTCTGGGCACAATGTTCTCGGTGGCGAGGAGGTCTGCGCTGCCGTCTTTGTCTTTGCTGTCGGCGCCGGTTACGGGCGTGCGGTTTGTGTCGATTATGAGTTCTCTGTCGAACAACCCGGGAGCGTACAGGAAGAAGAAGAGATTGGGACGAGGACCTTCGAGCGGCAAGGTCAGCTGCTTTCTGTTTTTGTTAATTGCTGTTGGTGGTGTTTGATGGTATAGTGCTGACTTTTGTGGGTGTAGGGAAAAACGTCTGGTCGTGGTATGAATGGTCAGAAGCAGAAGGAGAAGGTCGCGCGGTGGCATGAGGGTGGTCAGACTCCTATGCACAAGATGCTTCCCAAGTTTGGATTCAATGTCTAGTACGTTTGTCTCTGCATCTGTGCATCTGTGTTTTTATTATACCAAGACGGACAAGAGCGGGGCTAACCACAATCTCGCACAGTCAAAAGAAGAAGTACGTCAAGCTTAATCTGGACCGAGTGCAGAGCTGGATCGAGCAGGGCCGTTTGGATCCCTCGAAGCCGATCACCATGAAGCATTTGCTGGACTCAAGAGCCTGCCGTGGCATCAAGGACGGCGTCAAGCTTCTCGCTAATGTACGTATCTCTGTCTTTACTTGCCAGATGCAAGTTGCATGTGCTGATTTGAATGTTTCTGCTCCTACAGGGAAAAGAGAACTTCAAGTATCCTATCAACATCACCGTCAACGCTGCCTCAAGAGAAGCTGTCAAGGCCGTCCGGGCCCTCGGAGGAAAAGTAACCTCGCGATACTACAACCAACTGAGTACGTCCCATCTCATACCTCACTTTCCATCTCTATACCACATACTAACAGTTTCTAGCTCTCCGCGCCTTGCTTCATCCCGAATTCTTCAAGAGACTGCCCTTGCCAGCGGATCCCGTGGACAAGGCCTCGCTGGAGTATTACCGGAAACCCGAGGTTGGCGGATACTTGGCGCGACCAGCGAAGACACCGACTGCTGAGACCACCGAGTCTGCCACTACTGAGTCGGCCTAGATGCGTTTTATTCTGTATTTTTTTGGTGGGTTACAGTAGTAGTAGTCGATGTAAATAACAACAATTAAGGATTCTTTGCAATAACTATGGAAGAGGTAAATTATCAATCGTAAAAATGAAATCGATAAAATCCAGCGCCGCACCAGCGCCATCAAACTCATCGCGCCCTCAAAAATAAATCACAAACCTCCTCTCCTCCCTCCTCCAGATCCACAGCCGTGCTTTCATAATAGAAAATGGGCAAAAACACCGACAAACTATTCATCACGCACTCTGAATGGAGCGGTCCAGACAAGCACAGCGCAGCCGGCGGCGTGGCGGCGCGGAAAGGCGTGTCGCAGCATGCGCGGCGGTTGCCGTTTACTTATTGCTCGCTGAGCTTGCAGCCGTTTAAGAAGGCTGTTTGTGATGAGTATGGGAATATTTTTGACGAGGAGTAAGCATGATTAAGAGGTTTTGCTGGGTAGGAGATGTGCTTACTGACAGTGTCATAGGCACATGGAGAAATGGCTCGCCAAACACTCTAAGAACCCGATAACAAACGAACCGACGACGATGGCGTCGCTGCTCAAGTTGAACTTCGAAAAGGATAGCGAGGGACGGTATATAGACCCGGTGACGTTTAAGGTGCTGACGCCAAACAGCCACATTGTGTGCATCAAGACGTCTGGGAATGTGTATTCGAGAGAGACGGTGGATGAGCTTAATATCAAGGCGAGGAATTGGAGTGATTTGGTCACCGGGGAGAAGTTTTCGGCAAAGGATATAATCACTCTGCAGGTGAGTTGCTGATCTGAATGAGGGGAAGAAAGTGCTGAGCTGACTGGCGGTATCTAGGACCCAATGAACCTATCCAGAGCCGTGCCAAAACCAGCACCTACAACGACCACCACAACCAAACTCTCTACAACAGCCAAAAGACCGGCCCCAGAGACCACCACGCCCGCGTCCAAAAAAGCCGCGCTGCCATTCAACGCCTCGACAAGCACGACCGGCCGCGCGGCTGCGTCGCTGACGTCGACCGCTGCCTCGCTGTTTACGAAATCGGACCGGCAGATGCTGACGGACGACGAGTTTTTGCTGAAGCGGCGGCGGGTGAGGGAGAGCGGGTTTGTGCAGATCCGGACGAATTTGGGGAACTTGAATGTTGAGCTGAATACGCTGTACGCGCCAAAGGCGGTGTATAACTTTCTCAAGTTGGCGGAGAAGGGGTATTATAACGGCGTCAAGTTTCATCGGAATATCAGATATTTTATGGTAAGTTGTAACTCGAGTATTGAGAATTACGCGGCAGGATTTACTAAACTATGTTTAGATCCAAGGAGGAGATCCGACGGGGACTGGCAGAGGAGGCCAGAGTTACTGGGGCGAGCCATTCGAGGACGAGTTCAACTCTCCGCTATCGCACGACGCCAGAGGTGTACTTTCGATGGCCAATAAGGGCAAAGACACAAACACATCCCAATTGTATGTTACACCCGACGCTGAAGTTGAGCAACGAGGGGACTAGAGACTAACTTCTGTTGTATAGTTTCATTCTGTATCGACCAAAGCCGCAGTTAGACCGCAAACACACAATCTTTGGAAAAGTAGTGGAAGGTCTCGAGATCCTCGACAAGATGGAAACCACGCCGACCGACGCCGAAGACCGGCCGCAGACCGATATCGTGATCAATGAGATCGCGGTCGTGATTGATCCGTTTAAAGAGTTTATGGAGAAAGTGAAGGCCAACGGCGGGGTTATCCCCGAGGAAGTCAAGGGCAAGCGCAGGGCGGAGAGTGAGGTTGTGGATGGGCGGAGTCAGGCGGAGAAGGAGTTGGATGAGAAGATGACGTGGTCTGGGAGGTTACTTGCTCCGCCGGGGGCTACGTCGGGGACGGCTACTGCGACCGGCGCGAAGAAGCGCGTGGTGGGGAAGTACATGTAGGTTAGTTTTTGTAATATGTTATGAAGAATTGCTATTCAAGGAGTGAATAAGAGTGAAGCAGTCGTTTAGCACAGCTAGAACGAGCAAGCGTCATGTCTATAGACAGCGTAGCAACCGAGATTGAAAGAGAAAAGAAAAAATAAAAGAAAGGTAAGAGATAGCTTAAGCAGTCCGGACGACGCTGTCGACAGCCTTGGCAAAGTACTCGACGTTTTTCGAGTTGAGACCAGCCATTGAAATCCGGCCATTGGCAGTCAAGTAGACGTGGAAGTCCTTTGTGATTTTAGCGACCTGCGCGGGCGTAAGGCCGGTGAAGGAGAACATGCCGATCTGGTCGATGATGTGGTTCCAGGAGCCGGGGGTTTTGAGCTCGATCAGCTTGTCGTAGAGGACCTTGCGCATGACCTGGATACGGCCGGCCATGGTCTTGAGGTCCTCGGTCCACTCCTTGAAGAGGGCGGGGTCGTTGAGAACGCGGGCGACGATGCGGGCGCCGTAGGCGGGAGGGTTGGAGATCTCTGAGCGCTGGAGGACGGCGAGCTGGGACTTGACGGCGACGGAGGTCTCCTTTGAGGAGGAGACGACGTGGAGGGCGCCGGCGCGCTCACCGTAGAGACCAAAGTTCTTTGCGAAGGACTGGCAGACGAGAAGCTCGAGTCCGAGGGAGAGGAAGTAGCGAACGGCCCAGGCGTCGCGGTCGAGGTCGCCGGAGGCAAAGCCCTGGTAGGCGCAGTCAAAGAAGGGGAAGAGTTTTTTGCGGATCATGACCTCAGCGATCTGCTTCCACTGGTCCTGGGTGGGGTCGACACCGGTGGGGTTGTGAGCGCAGGCATGGAGGAGGATGATGGAGCCGGCTTCGGCGGACTCGAGGGTGGAGAGGAAGCCGGTGATGTCGAGGCCGAGGGTCTTGGGGTCGAAGTAGGGGTACTCCTTGAGGACGATGCCGACGTTGGAGAAGATCTGCTTGTGATTGGGCCAGGTCGGGTTGGAGATGTAGACGGTGGTGGGGCCGACTTTGTTTGCGGGGGGATGGCGGGCGAGGAAGAGGGCGCCGAGATGGTTGGCGCCGGTGCCGGAGATGGTCTGGACGGAGGAGACCTGAGGAAATTGAGTTAGTGAGGAGGGAGGAGAGGAGGGGGGGGGGGGAGGGGAGGAGAGGAACGGAAGAATACGGAGGTGACTCACGCGATCTTCGCTGATGGCAGCGGCGTCAGAGCCGAGGACGAGCTTGCCGGCGGCGGCGGTGAAGTCGGGAAGACCGGTGATGGGGAGGTACTCGTGGTCGACGGAGGGGTCGGCGCTGATGATGGCCTCGACCTTGCGGACGACGGGGAGGACCCAGGGCTTGCCGTTGTCGTCGCGGTATGCGCCGACGGAGACGTCGACTTTGGTCGGGGAGGGGTCAGCTCTGTAGGCGGCGAGGACGCCGAAGAGGGCGTCGGCGGGGGCGACGGAGACGTCGAAGACGGAGGCGGACATGGTGGTGAAGAAGAGAGGTAGGCGAGGGTGAGGAGGGAGTGTAGGGGGAGGAGGGAGGAAGAGGAAGAGGAAGAGGAAGAGGAAGAAGCCGAGCGGAGGAGGGGAAGTTTGAAAGCGAATTCCCAACGCCGAAAGCGACCGACGAAGAACAAAAAATAAATAAATTTAAAAGCTGCTTAAACCCGGCGGATTCGGGCATTTTACCGTTTGTTTACTGTTTTGTTTGTTTATTTGTAATAGAATTGTTTTGCATTGTTATTGTATTATATCGCTGCAATTGTATCCGGCTGCTTATTCCACAGCCCACAGTGCTATTACATGTCCTGTTGACCAAATGCGGCGCACCGCCTACCCCGCATTGCGAGGCCTCTGCCGCCGGAAGCCAGGAAGGAGAGAGAAGAGAAGAACTGCTGAATTAGCTAATAGCCGGTTGATTGTTGATTCTCGAGATCAGGAAGTTGGTGATGTAGAGGAAGAAGTAGTAGTTGTTGTTGTTGTTCTTCTTCTCTCTGCCCAATCCCGACTCTCAATTACTAAACTGCCTTCACGTGTTCTTCTTCCTCTCTTCTTCGGTCTCAACCAGTACTGCTGAACGTCGCTGCATCTACTCAAGAGCAACAGGCCTCGGCTTACTGACTGTCGCTGCCAATCAGCAATCCGCTTATCGCACCACCGTGCACTCCCCTTAATCACCCTCTCCTCCTCCCTCCTCCTCCTACTCCCTCAATTAACCCTCAATCAACTCTCTCTACCACCGGACAACTCAGGACACCCAGAGGCTCCCGGCCGGACTTTATCGCGCCTTTGTCGGCTGCCCGGGTACTTTCTAGGGTTGCCCTCGGTCTTAACGCCTAATCCGGTAATCAACTCCGAGATGCCTCCGTCCTCCGTGCCACTTTCGCAATTTTGCGTACAAACAATCGTCGCTCTGCAATCCTCAGTCGCGTACTTTTGCTGTATATAAGCCTGCTTCTTCCACCACCTCCCTCTATTCTTCTTAGATCTCTACTCTCTCTCCTACTCTCTCTCCTACTCTCTCTCCTGCTTCTTTCCCACCACACACCTCTCTAACTCCACAATGGGCCTCCTCTCCGCCGTCAAATCATCCATCAAAGCAACAATCAGCTCCGACCCAAAACCAGAAGAAATCCTCCCCGTCGTCCCCTCCGACGGCTGCGACCTCGAGTGCGCAACCTGCACCGCGAAATACTCCTCCTCCCTCAAATTCGACCGCGACACCCCGCTCTGGGGCTCCGTCAAGCCATGGCGCAGGCACATCCTTATCGCGACCGGCAAATCTGACTGGGCTCACGGCTTAGGTGACGAGACTGGCTCGCTCTCAACCAAGCTCGAGGACTGGTCTCCGAGCTCGAAAGAGGTCGGTCGCGTTATCGTCTCAAACTCATCGATGAGCGCGCCCCAGGGTTACTTTGAGGAAACCGACGACAGCAAACGACTATCCAACCTCCTCATCCTCCCCACCATGTACGAAGCCCGTGGCGTCTCCCTCAGCACCGCACAAGCCGTCGCAAACCGTCTCTGCGACATCCCAAACAACTCCTCCGATTTCCCTTCCGAAGCCGAAGGCGCAACCCTCGTGCACAGAGGATACAAAGCAGTCATCCTGCTCTGCTCCCACCGCACGCGCGACAAACGATGCGGCGTCACCGCTCCTATTCTCAAGAAAGAGCTCGAGCTCCATCTGCGCGAACATGGCCTGCTTAGAGACGCAAACGACGAACGGCCGGGGGGTGTCGCTGTCTTTTATGTCTCTCATGTCGGAGGCCATAAGTTTGCTGGTAATGTGATTGTATACAGAGACTCTGGTGAGGGTGTCTGGATGGGACTTGTTGAGCCGGTATGTCTTTCTCTCTTCCTCTTCCTCTTCCTTCTATATCCACCTACTAACTCTTTATAGAAACACTGCAAAGCCATAGTCGAAGAGACAATCATCAACGGCCGCGTATATCCCCAACTCTTGAGAGGTGCATTCAAATCAGACTGGTAGACTTTATATCTTTCCTAGACTCTTTTTAGCTATACAACACTCTTTATGTATATTATTATCAATCAAAGCACCCTCTTTCATTATGTATATTATCATCAATCAAAGCAATATTCCCCAGTACTCCCAGTCCTCATCCCATGACCTCTTATGATCTCTTATGATCTCTTCATGCAGCAAAAATAAGCAGAATAAGCAATATACAATAGCAACTATAAGCAAATGCAGTCTATCTAAAGAATCTTCTGATCCTGCTCCATCTCCTGCTTGCGATACTCAACCGCCTTATTCCGGCTCCACTTCAGCAAAAGCGACCCAAACCGCCACGGCTCAAACTCCGGCCACAGCACGTCCACAAACTCAACCACGCAGTCCTGGTGCGATTGCCACAGCATAAAGTCAGACAGCCGCTCCACGCCGGACGTCCGCACCAGGATATCGAGCGGCGGACAGTCTTTTGTAAACATGTGCTGCTCGAGCATGTACTCGTCGATCGTCGCAGGGTCTAGCTCGTGCTTCTCCGATTGCTGCACTATGTCGCGCATCGCCGTCGCAATGTCATCCCGAGAGGTGTATGGGAAGCAAATGTTGAGAATCGCGCTAGGTACACAATTAGCATTCCACACAAATATCGGATATAAGTTGCTACTACATACGTCGTATTGTGCTTCGTCATCTCCGTCGCCTTGTCAATCGCAGCAAGCACGTCAGAGGGAATCATCGACCTCTGACCAAGCACTCTGATCGAGATCCCAAACCGATCAGCCAAGTCTCCGTGATGAATAATCTGCAGCAGCTTTGTCCGCGCAATCTCCATCAGCGCATCAACCTCCACAGGCGGTCTCTTGAAGTTCTCGATAGAGAACGCGTAGACGGTGACCGTCTTGATGCCTACTTGGTAGCACATCTCCAGAATCTAGGTGATTGATACGTATTTAGCAACAATCTCGCCCTCCCCAGCTGACAACAAGACAAAAGACATACATGCGCCAAGCTCTCAAACCCGGCAGAATGGCCCTCGCGGACTTCTAGCTTGCATCGCCGCGCGAATCGACGGTTGCCGTCCATGACGAAAGCGACATGCTGGGGCACGGGGCCGGTTCGCAGGATGGAGACAAAGATGTCTTGCGCCCAGACCAGCAGGTACTGAATTAGAGGAAACGTGCGGATCCACGAGCCAATCGACATTGTGTTCAGAAAGCAGACGCAGTGAATACAACAACAGAATTGAAGAGAAGAGAGAGAGTAGGCTGCGAGGTAGACAAGAAGAGAGCTTCTCGCTTCGGTGTTCTTTTGGCGGGCAACTTATTCGCACAAACCGCGTGCGCATTAACCCCTGAGCCCTGAGCGCTCCCCGGGTTCAATCCAGGTTTGCTACCTTGACTTCCTCATATCTGCCCTTTATTCTCTCGAAAGTGCGTTCAATAGGTCCGGGATGGCCCTCAAGCTCGGGTCACTGCTGCCAGCGCTGCGATACGCCGTAATTGCGTCGATATGCTTCAAGCTGCTGCTGTTTCCTGCCTAGTTAGTCCCCTCTGCTCTTCATCTACATGACCTGCCCATCTAACTATTCTCAAGCACATCCACAGACTTTGAGGTCCACCGAAACTGGCTGGCTATTACACACTCGCTTCCTCTCAGCAAGTGGTATTACGAGGTTTGTGCTTCTCCTCTCGCATCGTCACCACCCGGCAGCATGCTAAATCCTAAATTACATGATCCAGGATCTCTCGGAATGGACGCTCGACTATCCCCCGTTCTTTGCATATTTCGAATATGCTCTTTCTCAGGTGGCCGCGTACGTTGATCCCGGCATGGTCGTCGTCCAAAACCTAAACTACCACAGCCCCGAGACCGTGTACTTCCAGCGGACATCTGTCATTGTCTCGGAAATGGTCCTGGTGTATGCTCTGCAGAGCTATCTCACGTCGTTTCCGGAGAACACGCGGCAGACTGCGTATGCAATTGCAATGTCGATCTACTTCTCTCCTGGGTTTTTGATCATTGATAGTATACACTTCCAGTACAACGCCATGCTCTTCGGATTGCTTATATTCTCCATCGTCAAGATCAAGCAAGGGAAGCTGCTCATGGGAGGCATTCTCTTTGCCGTGTTGCTGTGCTTCAAACATATCTTTCTGTACCTGTCGCCGGCGTACTTTGTCTTTCTTTTGCGAGCATATTGCTTGGATATCAGCAACCTCAAACTAAGCAAGCCTTGGGCTGGTAAGTACTCCTTGCTCTTTGCAACAAGTCAGCTCTACTAACATCTCCTCCTAAAGCTATCCGACTAAGAAACTGCATATATCTCGGATCATCAATCATTGCCGTTGCACTACTAGCTTTCGGCCCGTTCTTGTACATGGGCCAACTGCCGCAGCTGCTGCAGCGCCTTTTCCCTTTCTCGCGCGGACTCTGCCATGCGTACTGGGCGCCTAACGTCTGGGCTTTGTATTCTGCTCTTGATCGTACTCTGTTTATGGGTGAGTGTTGTTTATAGGATGATTTATGGAGTGCTTACTGACGGCTGTTTTATTATTTAGTCTTTAAAAGATTTCTGAACGATCCGGTCTACGCGGAAGACAAGTCGAGTCTGACGCGCGGGCTTGTTGGCGTGACATCGTTCAGTGTACTGCCTGATGTACAACCGCGGGCTACTTTTATGCTAACGCTGCTCAGTCAAATACTGTCGCTGATCCCCCTGCTAATAACCCCCTCGTTTGATAACTTCATGAGCGCGCTCACGCTCTGCGGCTACGCGTCGTTTCTATTCGGCTGGCATGTACACGAAAAGGCGATCCTGCTCGTCATTATCCCTTTCAGCTTCCTATCTCTCAAAGACCGCAGGTATCTCACGCCGTTCTACCTTCTGACCGTGTCGGGCTACATCAGCCTGTTCCCGCTCATCTTCACCTCCGCCGAGGCGTTCATCAAGTACCTCTACACATTCACGTGGATTTTCGTCTTCTACAACGTCTTTGGCGGCCTTGCCCCGGTGCGGTTCCCGAAGCGCGTGTTTCTGCTCGATCGGATCGCAAGGGTGTTTTTGCTGGGGTTCATCCCGCTGCTGCTGTTTGCCGGGCTGTACGAGCGGCTGCCGGTGCTGCGGAACTACGAGTTCCTGAAGCTGATGATGATTAGCTCGTACTGCTCAGTAGGCATCATCGGCAGCTTCATTGGCTTCAGCTGGCTTTATTTTTTTGCATAGTCGATAGAATCAATTGTAAGATACAAGAAATAGTAACAATCGCAAGAGTAGAATAATATCGTGACTCAATCACAAACCGCTGCAGTTATGTGTGATTGACTCACAACTCAAATAGCTGCAGCGCCGGCGTCCTCGTCCTCGTCCCTTTTCTCGTCTCGGTTTTGTTCGCTGCCTGTCCGCCTCGAAGCAAATCGGCCCGTCTTTGAGTCCCGCGCAATCAGCACCTTCATCTTTCCTTTGCGCTCTTGTTTCTGCTTTCTTCTCCGCGGCCTGTCGCTTTTCTTCCGTCTAATCTCATCTCTGGAATTGGTTCGAGGACTCCCCTCTGCGCGCCGTCAGAATGCAGATGCTCACTAAGGTACGAAAAGAATCCCCTGTCGTCTCTTGCACGCGGCCTTCGAATCCAGCCATCCTGCCACATATCGCTTCTTTTTTCATCAATTCCTGCGGTCTTGATTGGCAATTGCGGTCGCTATGATCGAATATCTTTGATCGCTCCCGGAGGACGCAGCTGCTGTGACGCGATATCTGAACACGTTGCAAAACACTCGCAATATCCACGCCACGCTTTCATATCAGCTTCAGGCAATCAAATCAATTTGTGGTCATTTTATACAGCAATTCACTCTCGCCCGATCTCGGATTTCTTTGTTTTCGATATTTCGGGTGGTGGTGGTGGGAGAGGGCCGTGTGTTTTCTAGACGCATGCAGTTTACTTCTTATGTCCACTCTTTTGAGATGGGATACGGCTTGGGCGTGTGGAGCTAATCCGCGTCGGGCAACTTTTTCTTGCAAGAAAATACTAACCGATTGATGTAGTTTGAATCAAAATCGTCTCGGGCAAAGGGCGTTGCCTTCCATCCCAAGCGGTAACTTACATCCTTTGCATTTCCACCCTTCTCTCCGACGATCCAATCCTAATTGACATCCTATTTGACTACCAGACCATGGATTCTTGTTTCCCTTCACTCATCCACGATCCAGCTTTGGGACTACCGGATGGGAACTCTGATTGATCGATTTGAGGAGCACGATGGACCCGTGCGTGCTGTCGACTTCCACAATACTCAGCCATTGTTTGTTTCCGGTGGTGACGATTACAAAATAAAGGTCTGGTCTTTGCAGACCCGTAGATGTTTATTCACTTTGACTGGTTAGTAGATCACTTTGTTATTTTCAGTAGTGGGCTGTTGCTAATGCTCTCTCTCTCACAGGCCATCTCGATTACGTGCGTACCGTCTTCTTCCATCATGAATTGCCATGGATCATTTCGTCTTCCGACGATCAGACCATCCGTATCTGGAACTGGCAAAACAGATCGCAGATCGCGTGCTTGACCGGTCACAACCATTACACCATGTGTGCTCAGTTCCACCCCAAGGAGGATCTTGTTGTCTCCGCTTCGCTCGATCAGACCGTTCGCGTGTGGGATATCTCTGGCTTGAGAAAGAAGCACTCTGCTCCCACTACGATGACCTTTGAGGACCAGCTCAACCGTGCGAACGCCAACCAGGGCGACATGTTTGGCAACACCGACGCCGTCGTCAAGTACGTGCTCGAGGGCCACGACAGAGGCGTCAATTGGGTCGCCTTCCACCCTACCATGCCCTTGATCATCTCGTCCAGTGACGATCGAATGGTCAAGCTCTGGCGCATGAGCGAGACCAAGGCTTGGGAAGTCGACACCTGCAGAGGCCATTTCAACAATGCCACCTGCTGCTTGTTCCATCCCCACCAGGACCTGATCATCTCCGTCGGTGAGGACAAGACTATCCGCACCTGGGATCTCAACAAGCGCACGAGTGTCCAGAGCTTCAGACGCGAGTCTGACAGATTCTGGGTGATTGCCGCTCATCCCGAGATCAACCTGTTCGCTGCCGGCCACGACAGCGGCGTCATGGTTTTCAAGCTCGAGCGCGAGCGTCCCGCGAGCACAATCTACCAGAGCACGCTCTTCTACATCAACAAGGAGAAGCAGCTCAAGTCGTATGACTTCACCCGCGATACCGAGAGCGCGCCGCTGCTCTCGCTCAAGAAGCTCGGAAGCCCTTGGACTCCGCCGCGCAATCTGTCGTACAACCCGGCCGAGCGCGCCGTGCTTGTCACGTCGCCTGCCGACAACGGCATCTATGAGCTCATCCGCTTGCCACGCGACGCGGCCGGTGCGATCGAGTCGACTGATACGAAGAAGGGCAGCGGCAACTCTGCCGTGTTTATTGCTCGTAACCGATTCGCGGTGTTTACAAAGTCAAGCCAGGCGATCGAGATCAAGGATCTTTCCAACGCAACCACAAAGACGATCAAGGCGCCCGTCGCCACCAACGATATCTACTACGGCGGCACCGGCTGCTTGTTGCTGTTTGCTGCCTCGTCTGTGGTTCTGTACGACATCCACCAGAACAGGACGATTGCCGAGCTCTCGATCAACGGCGTCAAGTACGCTGCCTGGTCCAACGATGGTCAGCACGTCGCGCTCCTTGGCAAGCATACCATCACTATTGCTACCAAGAACCTCGAGACCGTGTGCTCTCTTCACGAGACCATTCGTATCAAGAGCGCTACCTGGAACGACTCGGACGTGCTCATCTACTCCACTCTGAACCATATCAAGTACACCCTCTTGAACGGCGACAACGGAATCATTCGCACCTTGGAGAGCACCTTGTACTTGACCAACATCAAGGGCCCTATTGTCTACTGCCTCGACCGCAGCGGCAAGGTGATCAAGCTGGCCATCGACCCTACCGAGTTTAGATTCAAGAAGGCGCTTATCAACAAAAATTACGAGGAGATGCTCAGAATAATAAAAACCTCAAACCTGGTCGGACAGAGCATTATCTCGTACTTGCAAAAGAAGGGATATCCTGAGGTGTGTTTATTTGTTACTTTTTATTTTGTATGAAACGATGGCTGACAAGTTTTTTTACCTCATATAGATTGCGTTGCAGTTTGTTCAGGATCCTCAGACGAGATTTGATCTTGCGATCGAATGCGGCAACCTCTCGGTTGCTCTTGAGATGGCGAAGGAACTCGACAAGCCCAATGTGTGGACGAAGCTCGGCGCTGAGGCTCTCGAGCACGGAAACCACGAGATTGTGGAGCTGGTGTACCAAAAGTTGAGGAACTTTGACAAGCTTTCGTTCTTGTATCTTACTATTGGAGATATGTCAAAGCTGCAGCGTATGGCGAAGATCGCCGATCACCGCGGAGATTACAAGGCCAAGTTCCAGAGCTCGTTGTTTTTGGGCGACGCGGATGCTCGTATCCAGATGCTGCGCGAGATCGACATGGGCGCGCTTGCTTATGCGGCCGCGAAGGCTAACGGCAAGGAGGAGGAGGCGCAGGAGATTTTGGAGTCTGCGGGACTCACCGAGGACCAGGTTAAGATTCCCGAGCTCGGAGCGCCTCTGAGCCCGCTGAAGGTTGCGAACGAGACGTTCAAGACCAAGCTTGACTTGAAGCCTATGGAGCCCACATACTTTGAGAAGGTTCTCCTCGGCCAGGTTGAGGCGCTAAGCTTGGAGGATAAGGAGGTTGCGAACGGCACTGCGGGCGAGAGCAACGGGTTTGATGCGTTCAACGACATGGTCGAGGACGAGTTTGCGCCGAAGGATGATAGCGGCGCGTTTGAGGAAGACGGTGGCGGCTGGGATATCGACGAGGAGCTTCTGGATGTTGACGACGTCGAGGACGAGGCTGCGCCGGAGGCTGCTGCCACGAGCGGCGTTTCGGAGGCGGACTTGTGGGTGCGCAACTCGCCCGTTCCTGCTGACCACGTTGCTGCGGGCTCGTTTGAGAGCGCGATGCAGCTTTTGAACCGGCAGGCGGGTGTGGTTGATTTTGCGCCGCTCAAGCCGCGCTTCCTGGAGGTCTACCAGGCGTCGAAGGCGTACCTGCCTGGGACGGAGGGTATGCCTAGCGTGACGACGTATATTCGCCGAACGAAGACTGAGACGGCGCCGAATAAGGTGCTGCCGATCATCCCGCGCACGCTGTCGCGCCTGACGTCGGTGGACTTGCAGGAGGCATACAAGCTCGTGCGCACCAACCACCTCGAGGACGCGGTGGAGAAGTTCCGCGCGATTCTGTACGACGTCGTGGTTTCGGCCGTCGAGAGCGCGAGCGAGGCCACGGAGGCGGTGCAGCTGATTGATATCTGCCGGGAGTACATTCTCGGGCTGTCGATTGAGCTTGAGCGCCGCGCGCTGCCGGAGACGGAGGTGAAGCGCAACCTCGAGCTGGCGGCGTACTTTGCCAAGGCGAAGTTGCAGCCGGTGCATGTGCACAACGCGCTGCAAGTTGCGATGTCGCAGTCGTTCAAGCACAAGAACTACAATTCTGCGTCGCGGTTCGCGTCGCAGTACCTCGAGCTTGTGTCCACGGGCGCGAAGGCGGAGCAGGCGCGGAAGATCAAGGCGCGCGCGGACGCGAACGGCACGGACGCGATCAAGATCGACTACGACCAGTACGCCGAGTTTGACATTTGCGCGGCGACGCACACGCCGATCTACGCGGGCGCGCCGTTCGTGCAGGATCCGTTGACGAAGGCGAAGTATTTGCCTGAGTTCAAGGGCAAGCTGTGTTCGATCTCGAAGATCACTGCGATTGGAGCGCCGGCTTCGGGGCTCCGGCTTTTGCCGTGAACGAGTTTGTGTTTGAAAGAATGAAGAGGAGAAAAAAGAAGATATATGCTGTGTCTATTTTTTGATGATGATGTTTAGTGTCGTGTGTGTGTTTTAAATTCATATTTGTTTTCTTCAATGTAGTCGTTTGTTAGTTTTAATCAATCAGTTATACATATAGCAGTGACGATAAGAATGTGTAGCTTAAGATAAGCTGTTGAAAGGAGATGAGTTATTAGTGCAATATGCCACTTCCGAGGTAATTGATCCAGCAGAAGAGTTGATGGACAGTAGTTTGAGACTATCGCAAAGAGACTGTATGTCAGAGAAGCAGAAGAGAAGAAGAGCAGGCTGGTTATCTGATTTCTGGTATCGAGCTGATTACGTTTCTGATTGATGTTTGTGCAACTGTGCACTCAACTGCGCAAAGCCTGTGCAGTTGATGCTGTAAACACAGCTACACTGCGGGAGATATGCAGGAAGGTGCGGCGAGGCAGATAATAAGGCGACGGTCGGCAGCAAAGCAAGAAGCACAGACAGCGACTTCGTCTCAGGCGCGCGCTCGAGGACATCTGTTGCAACCCAGGACGCTGTCTGCGATATCCAATTGCAGGCTCTGGACACCACTTTTTGTCTTTTCTATTTGTTATTATCAGCATCCTAACTTCGCACGGTCGAGAATATGGCGACCCGTGTGCGGAAGACGCCATTGTAGGTTTATTCGTTTATTCGATTGGGAATCGCGCATGCTGGTGGCCTTGGACGGCCGATATCTCTCGCGCTCTCTCTCTACGCTCAGTACTGACTCACTTCCTCTCACCTCTTGCAGATTCAAAAAGTCGCTGCATGACCTGATACGCGGCATCCGGGGCTGCAAAGACCCCGAGTCGACCGACAAATACATCCGCGATGCGATCTCGGAGTGTCGGCAGGAGGTCATGGCGCAGGACATGGACGTAAAGTCGATGGCCGTCCTCAAGCTGTCGTATCTGCAGATGCTCGGCTACGACATGGCGTGGGCGAGCTTTAACGTGCTCGAGGTCATGTCGTCGCCTAAGTTTTCGCAGAAACGGATTGGTTATTTGGCTGCTATGCAGAGCTTTGGCGCTGATACCGACGTCTTGATGCTTACGACCAACATGCTTAAGAAGGTAGAGCACTTGTCTTTTTTTATGCTGGGAAATCATTCTAACTATATCTTATTAGGACCTTGCATCTGCAAACCACCTCGACGTGGCAATGGCAATCAGCGGAATCTCAAACATAGTCTCCCCCGGCCTCGCGCGGGATCTCGTCGACGACCTGATGCGGATGATGAACCACTCCAAGCCATACGTGCGCAAGAAAGCAGTCCTGGTGATGTACAAGATCTTTTTGCAATTCCCCGAGGCCCTGCGCTCGTCGTTCCCGCGGCTGCGCGAGAAACTTGAGGATCCAGAGATCTCGGTCGTGTCGGCGACTGTGAATGTCATTTGCGAGCTCGCAAAGAAGCATCCGAGGAATTACCTGCCCCTCGCGCCGCAATTGTTCCAGATCTTGACTACTTCGTCGAATAATTGGATGCTGATCAAGATTATCAAGCTGGTATGCTTCTGTTTGTTCTTATTAGTTTTTATTGTGTGCATTCTAATTGGACTTTATAGTTTGCATCGCTGGCGCCGATCGAACCACGACTCAAGGCGAAACTCATCCCCCCAATCACAAACATAATCCAGACCACGACGGCAATGTCGCTTCTGTACGAATGCATCAGCTGCATCGTCGCCGGCGGCATGCTAGGCAAGGACGACGAGCAGCTGGCGTCGATGTGCGTGAGCAAGCTGCGCGTGTTTTTCGAGGAAACGGATCAGAACCTCAAGTTTGTCGGTCTGCTGGCGTACAACAAGATTGTGCTGATCCACCCGCTGCTCGTGGCGCAGAACGCGGACGTCATCATGGACTGCATGGACGACCCCGACCTGTCGATCCGCGAGCGCGCCGTCGAGCTCGTGGTCTACCTCGTCAACCAGGACACGCTGTTCGAGGTCGTCAAGCGGCTGATGCTACAGCTCATTCCACAGTCGCGCGAGCATGTCCTGCCGGAGCCGTACCGGGTTGAGGTCGTGCGGCGGATCCTCGACATGTGCTCAAACAACACGTATGCGAACGTGACCAACTTTGAGTGGTACATCGCCGTGCTGGTCGATCTCGTCAAGATCACGGAGGGGATCAAGGATATCGGCACCGAGATCGGACTCGAGCTGCAGAACGTGGCCGTGCGCGTGCGCTCGGTGCGCGACTACGCGGTGTCGGCGGCAGCAAAGATGCTCTCGGAGCGAGATGTCATGATGCAGAGCCCGGGCGTGCTCAAGTACGCGGCCTGGGTTGTGGGCGAGTACGCAGCCTATCTCGAGGACCCGTCGTCGGTGATCGAGGTCCTGACTGCGCTCGAGCCGCAGGTGCTGCCGAACGACATCGAGGCCGTCTATATCCAGGCGATCCCCAAGATCTACGCCGTCTATGCGGGCGACAACCGAGTACCCTGGGTGAACAGTCGCACGAAGCACGTGCTCGAGCTGACGGAGCGGATCGTTGCGTTTCTGGAGCGGTACTCGACGTCGATGGACATCGAGGTGCAGGAGCGGTCTGTTGAGTTTCTGGAGCTGTTTAGGCTGGTTGTGCTAGCGATCAACGAGCGCGGCGACGACGAGTCGGATCTGTCGCCGCCGCTGCTGGTGTCGCGCGCGATTCCGGGGATGTTTAGCGAGTGGGAGCTCAACCCTGTGTCTGCGAAGGCGCAGCGGCGGATTCCGATCCCGGAAGGGCTTGATCTGGACGAGCAGTTTAACGATCCGGTGTATTACTCCGAGTCGGAGGATGAAGAGGAAGTGCTGATTCGGCAGCAGATGCTGCGGCAGCAGGAGATGATGGCGGCGAAGAACATGAACTCTGGGCAGCCAAAGAGCTCGAGCGGCTCGAAGAAGTCAAAGAAGGGACGCAAGGGCGAGACGCTGTCTGATCCGCCGACGGAGTCAGAGGACGAGGAAGAGATGAAGAAGAGGAGAGAAGAGCGACGACGACGACAGGCCGAGGATCCGTACTACATTCTTGAGTCGGAGAAGGTTGTGTCAAAGTCGCGGCGGAAGAGCAAGAGCAAGCGGACTGCGTCGTCATCGAGCTCGTCGTCGTCGTCATCGTCGTCGTCGGATGACGAAGGCGGCGTGGCACCGATGAGGAACGAGAAGCTAGATATCGACTCGATTCCGATCATGAAGCTTGAGATTGCGAGCATTGCAGTACCTCCCGACTCGAAGAAGAAGAAGGGCAAGAAGAGTCGAGCACAGCCTGCGCGGGTGGAGATTGCGCGGGAGGAAACGTTTGGAGATGCGCCGGACGAGGACGAGGATACGAGTAATGCGGCTTCCGAGCGGCGCGCGCTGCGTACTGGTGGGGGCAAGGCTATTTTGCGGGTGAATGCAAAGGGATTGGAGGAGCTTGATTTGGAAGAACCGGAAGATGACGAGGCGGGTAGGTTAGAGGTTGAGCGGTTTAAGGCCGAGATCCAGCAGGCGAGGCAGAAGGCTGCGGATGCGGCGGCTGCGGAGCTGCAGGTTGAGGCTACGCATCTTGTGGTTAAGAAGAAGAAGAAGGCGAAGGTTGTGAAGAAGGTTAAGAAGTCTTCGAAGAAGGAGAAGAAGGAGAAGGGGGAGAAGGGGGAGAAGAAGGAGAAGGAGGAGAATGAGGAGAAGGAGGAGGCAGAGAAAGCAGAGGAAGCAGAGGAAGCAGCTGCAGTAGAAGAGAAAGAGCAGGAAGCGGAAGCTAAGCCTGCTGAGGAAGCTACTGCCGCAGAAGGTGAAGCAGAAAGTAAAGAGGAGGAGAAAGAGGCAGAAGGCACTGCTGCAGAAGCGTGATGTTATATAGAATCATGATGATGTTATATATGTTTTTTGTTATAGCCGGTTGCTGATCTGGTAACGGATTCAGATCTGAATTTTGTTGCATAAATTGATTTGTATGTGTAGGTATCGCCCATGATGTTGCCATAAGAGAAGTATTGCAGATCTACGTTTAACGCTCGCTGGTGGGCTTGTATATAAAACTGCAATATAAGTCATTGTGGTTGATTCCGCGCCGATACCGGCCCGGTCATATAAGATGAAGAGAGAGTATAGTGGCTTTGAGTAAACTCTCGCGGAAGTCCTCCGGGAGACGTATTTCTTCGTCTCGAGAGTTTCAGCGGAGTTACGGATGACGACAATGACAGCTGAGGAGGTGTTTTATGTATTAAGCTCTGAGAGGGAGGGAGGAGGAGGAGGAGGAGGAGGAGGAGGAGGAGGAGGAGGAGGAGGAGGAGGAAGGAGAAAAGGCCGGGAAGTTTAAATTGTTGTTTACTTTTATCAGATCAATCTAATCTCATTCCATCAATGTTGAGTCAAAAGTATGCCGCTCGACAGGAAAGTGTTAGAGGCCGCCCACCGGACCGGGTTGTCTTGTTTACTCTGCTGTGTGTAGCGTGTACGTCTCTCGAGCTATTCAAACCCAGCGACAGACATCCTGGTTTACTGTGAGAGAGAAGGAAAAGCAGAAAGAGCAGAGAATAAGCAGGAAAAAGTGCGGAAGCCCCGCGGACAGCCCTGCCCGAGTGCACGAGAATGCAGGAAAACCTTGTTTCGGTGCTTTTGAAAGACGAGAAAAGCCAAGCAAAATAGCGCGTGGCTGCTGTTTTATACCGGCCGCTTTGAATTGCTGCTGTGGAGCGGTTGTGCTCTTTGTTGAGCCTCTGTTGAGGGTGATGTTGATCAGGAAGAGAGATGTTCGACAATAGAGCGAAGTGGGTTCACCTTCACCCTCACCGTCATACAACCAGCAACCACGTCCACAAACCCACCGACATCTTCCCGCGATTTCCACTCAATCGGAAGGGTTTCAGCTGAGCAGAGCAGCAGCGCACCCGAAAAGAAGGTTTGTTGTCTCCGCAGTAGCCTTTTTTGCTCTGTTTTGGGTTTCTGCGTTTCCATCTGATAAAAATATTTTCAGCGTCGTCATCAGCTTTCTTGATTCTTCTTTGTGCTGCTTTCCTTATATTCAGTAAAAGCAGTGGTAGTAGTAGTATCAGCAGCAGTTAGCAACATCAATTGCACTCGTAGCAGATCCAACACCGTTCCTCCGGTTATATTTCCCCATTAGGCAAAACAACACAACACAACAAAAAGAAATAAAACTCCAGCACGACCATTATGCAAGAAAAAACCACCCCCAGCAACGAAAACAAGAGAAAAAAAAGCACCGTGCTCATAAAACTTAACTCAACTCTTGCGCACCTCCCCGGCTGTGTCCCCGCCGTGGCGGGTCTGACGCAAGGCAAGGCAAGGCAAGGCAACGGAGACGAGACGGGGGTATAGCGAAATTGATGTCGAGTCGTTCGACACAGGCACCAGGGGAAACCGCTGAAAAATTCATTCATGATAAAAAAAGACAAATGGGTTTATTTAGCTGCATTATAGCTATAGCAAGAAGTGAATGACAAACTACAAACAGATGAGAAAAGACAATAGACAGTAATTAGATTAAGAAAACTTTTAGCTCGACCCAATTATATAGTAAATCAAGACTGCACAAACACTTGTGCTCTCAACAGAAAAGACATTAAAAGAGTTCTAATAAGAAACACACAAGAGAGTAAGAAGAAAGACAATAGAAACACTCCTTGTAAGATATAAACAATTACAGCCAAAATCCAACAGCTCAAGTGACTCGAATAGTATATAAACAAAATCTATAATCAAAGTCACTCTGCAGCTTCATCAATCAACAGTCGACGGCGACGTCTCGTCATAATCAAGCCACTCATCCGCCCACCTCTCTGCAGGCGACGACACCGACGACCGCGCCGAAGATTGCGAGGTCGTCGTCCCCGGCCCTGCCGGCTTTGTCCCGTGAAGCTTTGCATACAGCACATCAAGCTCCACGTACCGATCATGTCAGATCTCTTTCATCTCCTTCAGATGGATCAGGTGCTTCTCCAGAATCTCCAGCAGATTCTCCTTCGTGAACGGCTTCGCCAACACATCGTTCATTCCGTGCGAGTAGTACGTAATCACATCGTTGTTTGTCACGTTGCCCGTCATTGCAATTATCGGCGTCAGCGGGTCAAACTGCCGGATCAGCGACGACGCTGACACGCCGTCCAGGTTCGGCATCACGATATCCATCAGCACAATGTCGTACTTTGACATATTCATCTTGTTCACCGCCGCCAGCCCGTCAACCGCTATATCGGACTCGCACCCGAAAATCTGTAGAAACTTGCCCGACACGCGCCTGCTCGTCGCGTCATCCTCCACCAGCAGTACTTTTGGCGGAACCGCCCAGCTCTGCGTGTATGACGGCGCAGACGGCGACTTTGACGACCGTCCGTCGTAGTCCGTCAGCGGGCCACCTGCTTGAACAGACACCGCTGATACCGTATCAAGCTCCATCAGTCCACCACTGCCTTCTTCCATAGGGCTGTTGCCTGTAGTGCTGTTTGCGTCCGAATGCGCAATCGCGAGGTGCTCGCCCAGTTTCTTTGGCCGCGCTTCCTTGAGAAACTGCTGCTGCTGCATATACAGCTGCGAGCTTGTCGACGAGCACACCACCTGCACGCGCTTCGCCAGCTCGGTCAAGTAGTCGAGCGCCTGGTCTGGTCTTTGTGTCTGGGGAGGTGGTGGTGGTGTGTGCGGTAGACCGATGCCCTGAAAGTCCTCGGGTCGGCCCATCATCGAGGCGGCTGTGTGTGTAAAGTCGACGTCGGCCGAGTTGACGAAGCCGGCGGCCACTGCAGACGGAGTCTGTGGCTGTTGTTGTTGTGACTGTTGTTGCTGTGACTGTTGCTGTTGCTGCTGTTGCTGCTGCTGCTGCTGCTGTTGTGACTGTTGTTGAGCGGTTTGTAGTTGGGTGATTATCGAGCGCATAAGCTCGTCGCGGGCTTCGTTCGAGCGCTGCATTGTGATCATACTGTTGAGTGTGTTTTCGTAGTGTGTCGTCAGTGTTTCAATGTGTTTTGTCAGCCGGGCCTGGCTTGCCTTGAGATTCTCAATCTCGGCCTCTAGCTTCGCGACCTGCTCCGACGCCGTGCTGTCTTCGTTGTGGTGATGGACGCGGCGCGGGGCGGGGGCCTTGCGCTTGATGTTGTCGAGCTGCGTCTTGTTGTGAAGTTGAAAGTCGGGGTGTTTGAATTCCCAGGCCTGGTAGGAGAAAGAAAGTCAGCATTGCGGTATATAGTAAAGTCAAAAAAGATATCAAGAAGAGGTGACAACGTACACCTTCGCCGTAGGGACAGGCACCGTCCTCGTCCGTGCTCCGGACTTTGTGGAAGTCGTACTTGTTCAGTTGACGGACGAAGCTGGCAAAGTTTGAGTGCTTGAAGTGGCGCGGGAGAATTGATTTTGTGAATTCGTTTGTCTGGGATCAAGAGTGGTTAGGATTGAGAGAGATTGTGATTGATAGATTGATAGTGACGGTACCTCAACAACGACAAATGAGTCACCGGCGTCGCTCCACCGGACGATGTCCCGGTAGGAGGGATCCTCCAGCATTTTGAAGAGCTTTTTGACCTGGGGAGGAGGACTAGTTAGCGGGAGAAAAGAGAGCAAGAGAGCGGAAGTAGGACGGAGGGAGACAGACAAAGTCGGACGAGGAGCCGGAGGCGCCCCCCGCGGCGGACTGGGCGTAGTCGGCCATTCGGGAGGAGTACGGGGGTAATTGAGCGGTGTGGAAGGGGGAGAGAGGGCGGGAAGGAGGTGGCGGAGGGGAGGAAGAAAGGCAGAGAGAGAAGAGAAGAGAGGAGGGAGGAGGAGGAGGAATAAAGAACCCGCTCGACTCGGCGCCGAGGGACAAAGCTCAGCACGTCGTCGTCGAAGTCGAAGCTGTCGAAGCGGTTGGTTCTCGTCTCTGCGCAGGTCGAAAGGTTAAAGAGGTGAAAAGGGTGTCGTCGGGAGGCCCAGTCGAGCTCCGAGCTTCACGTCGGTTGAATCGCGATCATCTGATAAAAGAGAAAAGAGAGCAAAACGTAAATAAGCGCACGACGGTCTAGGCCCACCCCTTGCCCTTGTGCTACTTTGTGCTACGTACCGCCAAGCCAGCGAAACCTTGTTTCTGCAGCCGGATCTGATAACTCTGCTGTGTTTGCGCTGTTCTGCTGTTTACTGGCTTACTGTTCTGCTGTTTACTTTGGGGTTTACTGTATAACTAGTAGTATGTGCTTACTGTGTTATAGACTGTTCTTACTCTTCACTTTAAACTACTCTTACTCTCTTCTCCGTTCCGCACTCCCCGGTAAATCACCGCCGATATCGCTCTCTCTCGCTCTCTCCTGCTCCACTCTACCACCCACGCTCTTATACAAAGTAGCATCATCGTCCTCCTTAAGTACTATCAACCCAACAACTCAACACCCTAGTCATAGCTTACAGCACTCAACATAGCTTACAATTTAGTAATCACGTGACCCTCATCACACTAGTCACATGACCGCTCACAACCTTCTCATTCTTGGCTCTGCCTTCCTTCTTCGGCGCGCATTGTTTTGACATCCAACCTTTGATCCGCCTTTGCTGCAGCTAGCCGGATTGTCTCCATTATCTTCTATTGTGCTCCGCTTTCTTATCTCACGCCTTCTTTATCTCGAGATCATCTCTCTCATTCTCTTCTCTACACCCATGCCCTTCTCCTGATCTAGATCATCAACAATGTCGCCTCCCGGAACCCTCTACACCGACTACAACCAGACCGTCCTCGACCTGTTTGACTACGTCATCTACCCGGGGAACGGCACAGTCTCAAACGTCTCAAACTGCTATCTTTCTTTCGGCAGCTACCATCCTGAAATCTATGCCGACGGCACCGTCGAGAACAATGTCTCTTGTGATAGTCCCTACTACGGCATTGCCTCTCGAGGCGGCATCGGCATCGCCTTCGGCGCCCTCTCCATCCTCATGCTGCCCTTCTCCATGAACAACCTCCATCGACTGGGCAAAATGCACGTCAAGCGCGAGCACAAGCGCTTCCGTCTCATCAGTCGCAGATGGCAATGGTACTGGGTCTTTGTCATCCATGCCCTCTCTGCCGTCGCCGGCTTCCTCTCCATCGACATCGACCGCGACTACATCCAGGGAACGTCTCTCACCAGCTACGGCGCAGTCTTTACCTCGATATTTCCCTGCTGTCTCGGTGCCGTCTGGGAGATGACCCGTCATTGGTAAGAACTCCCACCACCCTTCTCACCTCTTGTGACAGATCACTGACTCTTAGCTTAGGGGCTCCTTTGAAGAGCGACAGTCATACGAGGATGATCCGTACGGATTCCGCGACGACAAACTGCGCACAAACTACTTCCTCCTCGCGCCGATCTTTGTCTACCTCTTTGGCTTCCTCTTCTTTCTCCTCACCGTCCTCCGCAACTGGACAAACGTGATCCGCGTCAACTCAGACTTCATCGTCGACTCTCGCTGGAAAGTCGGCATCTTCCTCGGCGTCGTCTGCTTCATCCTCATCATCACCCACGTCTTTGTCATCCGCCACTATTGGCACCCCAAGCGCCTGCCATGGCGTATCCCTCTCTGCTTCCTCGGCGTCGCCGTCATGCTCTCGTACTCGATCGCTCTCAGCTTCGACGGCTCTCTCTCGCCATTCAATCCCTCGTCGAGCGTCGTCGCCGTCTCGGTCTGGGGATACATCCCCGTTCTCTACCTCTTATTTGTCATGAACATCACCGCGAATTTCCAGAAAAACGACGACAAGGTCATTCTCGAGCAGCGCGCCGTGCGCGAACAAGAGCGCATGCGCGTCGCTCTCGAAACCGTCGTCGTCCACGACGATGATGATGCCGGCGAGCCTACGGTCCTAGACGAGGAGAAAACTCTTGACGGTAGCAGTCCGCTTGCGTACTCGGCAACATATGACTTTGACGGCAAACCCCGTCCGTCGCAGAAGCGGACATACACAAACGCGGAGATTAAAGCGTTTGCGAGAGCGAACGCGAAACGCAGCAATAATACTGATGAGCCCAGCTGAAGCGAAGCGAAATGGTGAAAAGCGAATATTTGCGATTACTGAAATTCTTGTATATACTCTGGTTATCTTTTTTCTAATTTTTAATGGGATGATGAATCTGTCGGCTGGATGAAGTGCATTCGTGAATAATAGAATAATGCGTCACAGAGATCAATTAAGCTCCACGCGCGTAAAGAGGTTTCGACACGTGACTTCAAAACGCGTCTTCTCATTTTGACTCCCCGCCCACCCCGGCACCTCATATCCCTTCAGTCTTTCTTTATACACCACCACCTTTATTACAGACGAGGGTAGACTCATATGACCGTTCAGGATGGGAATTAAAGGTACACGGTTCTTGCAAGATCCATCGCGTCCACAGTAATAGCTAACCTGATCTGGCTCCACCCTTCCTGCGCGCCCACGCGCGCGCGAAGAGGGCAATGCCTTTTTTTTATTTCCAGGATTATACCAGACGATTGCGGATAACGCGCCAAAAGCAATCAAGCAGAATGAGATTAAGAATTTTTTTGGTCGGAAGGTTGCGATTGTATGTGCCCTTTGATGTTTAGCTGGATGTAGATCGGTTAAAGTGATGATTGAGTATTGACTGTTTTTTTCTGTTTAGGATGCGTGAGTTGCTTCATCGTTTTGATAGTAAGGGATAGAGGAGGGTGCTAATATGGATACAGGTCAATGTCGCTATATCAGTTCCTGATAGCAGTACGCCAGCAAGACGGTCAGCAGCTCATGAACGACTCTGGCGAGACGACGTCGCATCTGATGGGCATGTTCTACCGCACGCTGAGGATAGTCGACAACGGGATCAAGCCCGTGTACGTGTTTGACGGGCACCCGCCGCGGATGAAGAGCGGCGAGCTCGCGAAGCGGTACGTGAGGCGCGAGGAGGCCGTCAAGCAGATGGAGGACGCGAAGGAGGCCGGCGACGCGGAGAAACTCGACAAGTTCTCGCGGCGGACGGTGAGGGTCACGAAGGAGCAGAACGAGGAGGCAAAGAAGTTGCTCAAGCTGATGGGTGTGCCCTACGTCGACGCGCCGTGCGAGGCAGAGGCGCAGTGCGCGGCGTTGGCGAAAGCGGGCAAGGTCTTTGCGGCCGCGTCCGAGGACATGGACACGCTCTGCTTCTCGGCGCCGATCTTGCTTCGCCATCTGACGTTCTCCGAGCAACGCAAGATGCCAATCACAGAGGTCGAGCTCGCGAAGGCGCTTGAGGGGCTCGAGCTGTCGATGCCGCAGTTTGTCGATCTCTGTATCCTTCTCGGCTGCGACTATCTCGAACCGATCAAGGGCGTCGGTCCCGCGACGGCAATCAAACTTATCAAGGAGCACAAGGATCTCAACGGGATAGTCGAGTTCATCAAGGCCCATCCGGAGAGCAGGTACAAGATCCCCGAGGAGTGGCCGTTCGAGGACGCGCGCGAGCTGTTTCTCAACCCGGAGGTGCAGGATCCCGAGGGCGTCGATCTCAAATGGGAAGAGCCCGACGTCCCGGGCCTGGTCGACTATCTCGTCAAGCAGAAGGGGTTTAGCGAAGAGCGGGTTCTCGCTGGCGCGGCCCGGCTGAAGAAAAATTTAAAGACGGCGCAGCAGGGTCGTCTGGATGGATTCTTTAAAGTCATTGGGACCACGTCCTCGACTACATCCGCAGGCAAGCGCAAGGCCGCCGACGCGAAGGCAGACAAGAGTAAAAAGGCAAAGGCTGGTAAGAAAAAGTAGTCTCTTCCCCTTTTCTACCTATACAGATCTTTCTATCCATTCTATACGTCTTTCTTGGGGGTACTTTGAAAAATCAGTAATCATCAATTCATTCCAGAATTACAATTAAATCCGCCATACATCATGAGAACCGCAACTATGAAACAAAAAAATATGCACGATGAAGAATAAACTCTTTCGAAACCACCTATACAAAACAATGACATACGATGACATGACATGAGTACATTCGTGGATATGATGACAATGGTACTTTCCCCTTCTTCCTCTCTTTATTATAGCTTTCACTCGTCGTCGTCATGCAAATGCCGTAAGCGCAACTCATCCACCTCCCTCTGTAACCTTGCCAGGTCAGCAAGCAAATCAGGCCCGTCATCGGTGCTGGCTGCCGGTGCCGCCGGCGGAGGCGGCGCAGCAGCATGAGGAGGCGGCGGTGGCCGAGCTCCGTGCTGCTGCTGTTGCTGCTGCTGAGGCTGGATCGAGCCTTGCGAGGCGTGACCCGCACGTCTTCTGGACGGGGGAGGCGGGGGCGGAGCATGTCGTGAGGGGATAGATCGGTGGGGTTTGGCGTCGGCGGACTGTACAGCCGCTTGAGGATCTGAGGGAGACGGGGCCTTAGCGGGTGGTAACGGAGGTGCGGATTCCGGGGACGGGAAGGAAGGAGGTGATGTCATTGACGGCGACGGCGCAGCGGGGAAAAGCGGTTGGAATTGAAACGCGGCTTCGAATTCGTCGGCTGAGAGCGGCGATAGGGGTGCGGTGGTGGATGCTGGCGCAGCAGCTGTCGTTGGCGGGACGATTGTGGGAGCTGGCTTTGACGCACTTGGCTCCGTAGGTGATCTTTGTGGCTCGGAAGACGGCTGCGGCTGCTGCTGCGCAGAAGGCTGTTGTCCTTTTCGGGGAGGGGGCGGTGGGGGTGGAGGCGCCGGCCTTCTAGAGTGATGATCCGATGCTGGGGCTACCGGTTGCTGCTGCGGAGACGTGGGCTCGGGTTCAGCCTCGGTTTGTGGTTGCTGAGGAACAAAGAGGTAATGCTGGGATCTAATGGTGTGAATCTTCGGGGCCTGCGAGATTTCGTCTTCAGTCAAGACCGCAGGAGCAGGAACAGGAACAGGAGCCGGTTCGCTCACGATAGCCGGCGCCACTGGCTCAGGAGCATAGACTTCAGGAGCAGGAATCTCAGGCGACAATACCTGAGGTTCAGGAGCAGGTATAATCGCAGGCGGTTCTGGAGATGGGATCATGACGATTGGAAGTCGTGGTTTTGGCGCCTCGATCTTTGGAGCCGAGTAAATTGTCTTGACGTCGTTGTCGATAACCTCTGGGCCTTCGTCGTCATCTGAAGATGACTCGTTCCCGTCCACGTCTGCGACCACATTGTTCACTGCCATGTCTCCCATCACCATATCGTCGTCATCATCGTCATCGTAGTACTCTCGCGGCGGCTCGATCTCGACTACCTCGTCGTTGAATTTAACCGACGGACTCTTAGACGACAGCTCCGAGGACCTGCGCGCCATCGTCTGATTCCCGAGCAACATCTGCGTAAACGCCTCCACCGCGCTCACCGCATCCGTCGAGCTTGCAATCGCCGCAGCAGGCGACGGTGTCGCGAGTGCTGATTTCAGCGGCATTGGCTGCGGAGCTTTCGCGGGGGACGGGTTGGCTGGCGGAGCAGCAGGGGCAGGGGCAGGTGCAGGTGCAGCGGCTGGAGCGGCGGGGGCGGAGTTGGACGCGGCTGATTCGGATGAAAGCCGCGACTCAAATGATCTGCGAGCACCACTGCCTGCGTCCTCTCGTCGGAACGGGTTCGCGATCGCGGCCGACGTGGGCGAAAGTGCTAATGGTGATCCGGAAGACGGTGACACAGCGGTCGCAATCTCTGGAACCTGCTGGGGCGAAGCTGAACCGAATCGCGGGACCGGGATCGGGAGGGTCGGCGAGGGTGTGGAATATGCGGGAGCTGGTGTGATTGTAGCTGATGGAGAGAGTCTTGTTTGCGGGGTTGGAGGGGTGGGTATAGTAGCAGGTTTTGCGGGGGCTCGATCCAGAAGTTTAGGTACCGGGGCTGTAGTTTATTGATTAGAACTAAATCAACGAGATAGATTGTGAAGCAGAAGCACAATAGAAATAAATTCACGACAAAAAAGTGGAAAAGAGAGGCATACCTTGCTGGAACGCAAGCGCACGAGACGGTTCTTTGCCGGTCAGGACGTGGCCTATCAGCCGTACGAAAGCGTAGAACTCGCCCTTTTCGAGCGTAGTCAGCGGACTTTCAAAGACATCAAAGATCTACCAAAGAACCAGTCAGTACAACAGCAACGATACAGTAAAAAATCAGTCTAGATCCCGACACAGAGGAGATCAGACAGCGCATGATACCTTCCACTTGTCCTGCTCGCTGACACCGAAGCGATCGGCAAACACAAGCATATCGTCGAGTGTGAGCGTGAGATGGCCATGCGGAACAAGCTCGGCAAACCACCGCGGGTAGACGCGGTACTCTTCAGGCGACAGCGCTGCGGAGACGAGGTATATGCGGCGAGTGTCCCCGTCGTCGTCGTCGGCGGCGTAGGCAGCCATCGCGGAGTTATTCAGCAAGGATGGCGGAACAGGGATTGGAGATGCAGATCTGACTGCTTCAACCCAAAGATAAGTACTGCGCAGATCCTCCTCCGTTCAACACAGAGCCCAAAAAAAGAACGAAGCCAAAAAGAAAGAACAAGGGAAGACGAGCAAGAAAGCGAGTGGAGATCCGAGTCGCAGTTGCCGTTCGTCGGTGTCTCGGTTGTCTCGGAGACGACGGAGCCAAATCTCGCCGTGTTTTACCCGGCTTTTGGAGAAAGAAGATCTCGGAGACTGTTTGAATTAAGAAGATTTTGGAGCTCAGACGCGGTTTTTGATACTGCGATTCTTCTGCTATTCGATAACAGACGAAGAAAAAAGACCAAGCAGATGAATTTCTTACGAGCGTCGCCGGCGCGTTTGGCTATGAGGCCAGCGTCGTCGCTGCTGCGGTTGCCGACCGTCGCAATCAGTTGGCAATTGCCTCTTCTCAACAGCTTCTCGACAACCACATGCACCCTCCTACAATCGACTGCCCCGAGTCCGTTCAATTCGACAGGTCTCTCGAGCCCGATGAAAAGCTCGGTACTACACACTAGTCGCTCGCAGCCGCTCTCGTTGCCGGCGCGACCAAAGACATCTGGACTGCCGGTCATGGGATTGGCACGATACTATGCGAGCGGTCCCACCCCGACCGGCATGTTCCCGTTCAAAGACCTGTTCAAAGTCCTGCTTTCAATGATCCCGCTCCCGATCAGAGTCGGCCTCGGTATCTTTTCCGTGGCCGGGTTCGTGTTGATCGCAATGTACCCCACGATCCTGCTCTACCTCCCGCTCCTGCTAGTGCCCTACCTGATCTACCGGCGTCGGCAGAACATCCTCCGCGACCGCGCCTTCAGACGCGCGTGGGACGATCTCGTGGGCGAGACCGCCGCCGACACGACAGCTTCGCGGGTGAGTGCCTACACTTCTGAGCAGTTAGTTGCGATGGTGAACGACCGACTGCACGTCGCGCTGCGCGAGAACGCCGAGTACCTGCGCACCGAACTAGGGCTGTTGAATCCGAAGCAGCTCGAGCTCGGCGCGTGCGAAAACATCGACCGCGAGGTTGAAGATGTGCAGGGCCAGGTCGCGATCACGACCGTGCTGGATTTCGGGCTTGTTAGTCAGGAGAGTATGCAGCGGGTCGCGGACGTGCAGGCCGTGATCAAGTCGGCGATGTATGAAAAGGTGTGGGAGGAGAGGCCGTCGGAGACTACGTCGATGAAGGTCACGGTTACGTCAAACTCGGGCAAGGCGTGGGAGATTTTTGGCGTGACGCATGAGGATGATGCGCAGCATTCCAAGGTTATCGATATCAAACCGAAGAGCGTTCGCGATGAATGATTGTAGTTTACGTTCGGTGGTTCAATAATCTGGCGTCTTAAGAAATTGATGTGCTGTATATACTATATATGAATAAATTCTGAAACTACACTATTTTAATTGCATAATGCGCAGCTCTTATAGCTCGTCATGCTCCACCTCCGTCTCCGGCACCTCCGTCTCCGGCTGCTTTTCCACCTCCCCGCCAACAACAGCGCTTCCACTCTTAACCCTCTTCGCAAACGCCGCAATCTCATTATCATACACCGTCCACTCCGGCACCTGTCTCCGCGCCCGATCCAGCTTGGGCTCCTTCGTCATCGGGTTATTACACAAATCGATCGTCTTCGCCGTCGCAAGACTCTCGTCCGAGCACCACGTCTCGCACCACAGCCAGTCCTGCGGCAACGAGTAGATCGGGATACTGTTTTGCATGTTATTCGGCAGGTCCTGGTCGAGGTTCGAAAGACTGCCCGGATCGGCTGAGAGCGTGTGGTACTGCTGACGCAGTCTGTCGCCGGCAGCGAGTTTTCGGAACCGAGTCAGGTCGATGACGTACAGCGCGCTGATGTGGTACGGCTTGTCGCGGAGGAAGTTCTTCCAGTACCCTTGCTTCCAGAATCGGAAGCCTTCCATCTCCGTGCGCGAGTCGCACATCGGAGTGTAGCCGTAGGGTGCGCCGTGGAGATCAAGATCGACGAGTTCCTTCAGATCCGTTCGCACAATCTGGTCTGCGTCCACGAAGATCACTTTCTCGAGATCAAGCGGGAACATCACATCCAAAAACAGAATTTTGTAGCTAGAAATAAAGTCAGCATGAACATTTTAAAACACGAGGGAAAAAATCAGCATTTGCCCACCCCCAGATAATTCTCTGCTTCTCCTTCTGCGCCCGCAGCCAATGCGGCCATTTATAGGTAATCAGCTCGTACTCAAACTTATACTCCTCCGCCATAAACGGCAAAAACTCCTTGAACGAAGGCGACAAGAAATCCTCAATCAGCCAAAACTTGACTGTCTCGTTCGTATGCCTCATGACGCTCACAAACATAATGTTCAAAAACCGCTCGTACAAGTGTCCGCTCGCGACCGAGAAGATATTGATCGCCGCCTGCGAGGGTGGTTTAAGACTCTTGATATCGCTCGACTTGGATAGGATGGAGCCGAACGCCTTGCGCATTTGACCTTGCACTTGGCCCATCAGACCGCCCTCGTTGTCTTCAAGATCGCCATACACTGAGGCTTCCTCCTGTCCTTCGTTTCGGGACACCCGCGGATAGAGACGCACGCCCGAGAACGAGGTCACGTAAACACTGTCGTCGCCTTCTCCCTCTCCATTCTGAGGAGACGACGCCAGCGCACCAACACTGTCAAGCTTGAAGATCTTTTGCGAAATACCAGGCTTGATCCCCAGCTTCCAAACACCAGGCTCGGACTTGAACTGCAGATACCCGAGGTTCGCCATCACGATCGTATCCTCAAGCTGCTGCTCCGCCTCCGTTCCGAGCGTGAGTTGCAATCCGGCAGGAGTCGCAGCGCCGCTGCCGCGCGCGGCAGACTCGCGCACGTGTCCTTGCACCAGGATCTTCTTGAGAATGTACTCGGCCTCGAGTTTGGGCTCGGATACCGACGCAAGAATGATATTGTCGAGATCGTACTTCGACACGGACGGCGTCACCACCCACGCTCCGGGAACATCCATCCCGAGCGTCAATAGCGTATCAGATGGAATTCCCTTGAACACAGTCTCAGGCTCGACAATCGCCCCGGTCTCACTATCAAACTCAGGAGCGGCTGCGATGGCGTTCCGGTAGAACCGCTTGACCGGCATCTCGGAAATCATTAGCATGGGGTTCATAAACACCCGCACGGCGACTCCCTCGAGTTCACCGAGCACTTTCAAGATCGGCACGTATTTCTGCGCAAACTCGCTCGCGGGGTTCACGATTGCGTCGATCTTCACCGCCGCAGAGCCGTAATCATGACCAAAATCAAACGCAGAGAGCTCGTGCGCAAACTCGCCCACGCGCGAGTTGCGGCGCACGACGCCGTAGAATGCACCGCCAGGCGTGTCGACGCGGTCGCTGAGCGCGACGGCGGAAGTAAGCTGGGCTGTGAAATCAAAGGAGTCGTAGTCTCCGGTGCCGAGGTCGTACACGCCGAATTTGGTCGCCGCGGATACCGTCGGCGCGAGTCGAGCGGAGAGCTCGTATTTGAGCAGACTGTCAAAGTCGTAGGCGTCGAGATGCTCAGCGGCCGACAACCGGATGACCTGAATTACACTCGTGTCAGTAAAAAAACAAAACAAGCCATGTCTAATCGCGAGTACTTACTCTGCTGTTGAGTGCAACCAAGCCCTCTCCAGACGCCAGTCCCAATGCCTTCACAATAGGCGCCATCGAATTCCAGTACCTGAATGCACCAGCGTTATCAGGCACCGACCATCCTTCAAGCTTGATATTTCCCTGCTGCTTATATGTCTCCTCAATATGTGGAAGCTTGGCAAAGTCCTCCGTCGCCTCATCCTGGATCGAGTCAAGGATTTCCTGCGGATCAAGTCTCGAGAGCACGTCCAGGCCCCACATGTAGTGAATCAACGTCGATAGCGAGGGCGAGTTTTTCTCGAGACCCGGGTTGTGGAGAAACTTGACTTTAAAGTTGAACAATGGTTTCGAGACGATGAACTTCAAGACCCCTCTAAACAGCTTGATACCAGCCTGCGAATCAAAATCGGCGACGACAAGAAGCGTGAGATCCATGTTCTTATTCATCTCCGTCTGCTCGCTGACTTTGTAGGTGACCGACGGGAGCTGCGAAAGGTCGCTTCCAAACGACTGGTAGAGCGGGACGTAGGCCAGAAGCTCGACGCTAGCCGGGTCTTCGGGAAAGATGAGCTTGCTTCGTCTGGCGGATGAGACCTTGAGCAGCAGGTCCTGAATGTTTGTGCTATCGTCGATCGCCTTTGACTTCACCAATGTCTGGATCAGGCCAATGTCGCTATCCAGTTTGAACGCAATCGACTGGATCCACGAAGAATCCACTCTAGCGATCGCAAAGCCGTTTCCGAAAGCAATCGGGTCGTCGGTCTTTACATCGAGACGCTTAGCCCAGGCCGCGGCTTTGTCAACGGCGTCTCCGCTGGCCGTGTTTTTCTTGCTTCTCTTTGACGCAACTGGAGGTCTCGATCCGCCGGCGAGAATGTTATCAAAGAACTGCAGCGCAAATTCTACATTCTGACTCGCGACGTGGTAAAAGTACGCGGCCGCATCGATTTGATCGTCGGTTTCGGTTAGAGGCACGATTCCAAATCGCACAGCGAGTCCCCGCGAAATGAATGATTTCAGATTTCTTGTAACCAAAAATATCTCTTCTTCGGAGGTCAAATCGACCGGGACGACGATCGTGTGGATATTCTTCCGGATCTGGTGGAATTGACCGGGATAGTGCGGCTCCAAGATGCGAGAGATTGAGGGACTGAACTTTGCGTAAGCCTTATCCTTCTCGAGATCGTTGAGCCAGACAATGACTCCTCCGCCTTCTATATCATCGCGGTAGTCGAATCGGGGATCGGACTGCCGTTCCTTCATGTTCAAGATCGTAGGCGAGCAGATCATCTTTGACGCAACCTCATTCGATAAACCGAGGTAGTTGAGGTCATCGACAAACTCGTACTCGCGCTCGATAATCTTCAAGATCTCAAAAATATCGTCGGAAACCTGCGAGTCGATGCGCGCGCCGTTCGCGAAAAGCGCATTGTCGCCGTGCGTGAAGCGGGTGCGTCCAACCATCGTCTGCAAGTTATCGTAAATCTCCGAGCGGATGTCGGCCAGGTTGTCGACACTGGCTGCTGCAATAGACGATGCGAGCTTGGGGAAATCCTCAACGATCTTGAGAAGTACATCGAGGGGATCTTTACCCTCGCGAGCAGATTGCAGGATGTATCCTGCAGTCTGGAGACCGATGTCTTCTACCTCGTAGCTCTTCAATGGGCTGATGTCTTTGGTCTCAGATACTAAGAACAGGTTCCCGGTGTCTTCTTCCTGCTGCTGCTGCTCAATAGCAGCGTCTGATTTCTTATCTCCATCTACAGTCTTGTCGCGATCATCAATGACGATATAATCAGTCCTCTTGAGCGCCAATTCCACGCCGTATCCTGCCAACCCCTTGGGCCGCAAAGGGAACGACGCAGTGGTCTCTGGGTCGGACGGTTTATATCGGATTATATAGCGTAGTTTTCCCTTCTCAGCTTCTGCCGAAAGCAAACTGTGGAAAGCCAAAAACTTCGGATCGGTGACGTCGGCGTACAAAACTGCGGTAGGCACAGAACTTTCGGGTTCGTCTGGAATTTGACGATCGAATGGTAGGGTCTTGGGATCCACTATCGTCGAGGGAGTCTGCAAGGCAAAGATCTCGCCTGGATCACAGCCGACTGAGTTATCGTACCAAAACCAAGATCCACGATCGCAGCCCTTTTTAGCCAATTGGTCAGCGTATTGGGGGTACACAGAGGAGTTGTAGAATTGATAGTAGGCCTGGATCAATGGCGCCGAATGGCGGAGCGCGAGCTTGAGGTTTGCAAAGTCGACTTGGCGACCAGTGCCTGATTCGGGGAGGAGTTTCTCGGAGACCGCGTACGCGAAGGCCTCGTCGTAGATGTCCTTGTGCGAGATAGTGCATTTTGCGGTTGGATCTTCTTCACAGGCTTCGAGCTTTTGGTTGGAGTACTCGACGAGATGGGTGAGGAGAGGGAAGTATGCCTCTGGGGCTTCGGTAGCAAGAGTTTCCCTATGCACCGACAATTAGGATCAGCAAGACAATTCGGCCAAAAATAATCAGATAAAAAGGGTGGTATGCTTACACCACCTCCAGAAGATAAGGTGAGCTCTCGGTCCACGGGATATTGAGAGAAATATCCACGCTCGGGGCAGCCGAGGCGACAGAGGAGACAGCGTTGCTGCCGAGGAGCAGAACAACCGCAGTCCCCAGCCGACGAACACGAATCCCAAACAGCATTCGGCTCTTTTCAAATATCAAAGGTGCTCAGCGCTCAGGGTGCAAGAGCAAGCAGAACGATGACAATCTAGATCGAAGGGGACAAAAGAGGAGAAGTTCCTCGGATGGGTTGGCGTAGATCAGATGGATTGCTGGCCTTTGGAAGGTTTCGAAGCGCAGGATTGAGGCCGGGTAAAGCGACCCCTGAATTTGGGAAAGAAACTTTAATCTGAGGATGGCCGGTGGGGATGAACTGGGATATCGGCACTCGTCGGGGTGATCCTCGCGGGGACGTTGTCGTGGGTCTTGCGTGAGGAGAGAGGGTGGCGGTGGCTGGAGCTGGGATGTGGTGATGTTTGCTTGATGTTGATGGTGTGGGCGGTAGAACTCGCGGACGAACAGCAGATGCCTGAATAGACGCGTCAATATGACGATGAGATGTTCTTCTGTTCTTCGTCTTGAGCTCGCGTCTGCAGACTTCCTCGGCGAGATTGGGGTCAGCTTTCCTTGGAGATGGGGTGTTGCGACGATTGGTGGATTGCTTTTCTAAAGAGCGTCGATGGTATACTGGCAAGGAAGATTCGCGTAGACATTTCTTGGTAGAGCACACTGCAAGTCCACACCAAACGCGTCCGAACAGATCTGTTCGCCACGTCCCCAGACAATGCCAACCAAAGTGGCAAAATCCTATTCTGATGATGCGGAGACTATTTGTATTTATGAAAACCCGAGCAATTTTTTTAGAGTTTGGAGATAGCAGCCATATCTCAAGTTGGGACTCTGCATGCGAGAAGACGGGCTCATGTGCACATGTGCAGCGTAAGGTGAGCGAGAGGCTGGGATGATGTAGGGCCTTGTTAGTGTTGCCTTGGTTATACCGAAAGACAAAAGCTGTGTATTTTTAGCATGGCGGATGATTTTTACGCGTGATATGGCGGCTTATGGTATGTAGCAGGCGGTGGCTATGTCAAGCCGGCGGACGAAGCAGTGCTCCTGCGCGCCTATGCAGGAAGGAGGATAGTATCGAGTATTGAGTGATGATCTTTTTGTTTGTTTTTAAAAAGAAGCAACAATTTAAGCTTACTTTATAATTTGTGGGCTTTGGCTGACTGGCCCCTAGTTCAAACGGTAGATCAATAAGGGCAATCATGTAGGTGTGGTGGAGGGCAAGAGCGGCAAAGACGAAGAGACCACTCCCCAACAAGCGAAGGTAGAATCAGACTCTTCTGTGATCTTCTTTAGTAAGAAAATAACGTAGAAAAGAGAATGGGATATTTCTACGATGGATCAAAGGGGAAAATGCGTGGATTACGCGTGAGAATGTGGAATGAAGCGGTTGAGGAAGCTAACGCCGATGAGCCGAGGCTTTTGTGAGCGAGGAAAGGTTGGCGGGTTTGCAGAGTGGTGTGTAGGAGGATTTTATGAATATAAATGAAGCAGAGTAGAGGGAGGGATGACTCTGACGAAGGAGATGTGTGAGGGAGGAGGAAGAGTGGAAAGGGGGAGAGACAGAGATGCTTCATGAGAACAACACGGCGAGTTAGTCATTCGATTCGCGCCGAGTTGAGGTATGTGCGATATAGAGCAGGATATAGATTGCAGCAGGTAAGCCAATATCACATCAAATGAATCCGTGCACACTCCTCAAAAAGACTGTACTCGAAGGACTAGAGTGGAGACGTTGTTGGGGAGGGAGGGAAGAGACTGGGCCGGAGGCGCGGTTGTCCATGTGAAGTCAAACGGCCCACGAGTGGCGGATGGATCGCATGCTGCTACACGATGCTATTGAGCATGAAACCAAAAATAATGTGAGATCTGAGAAAGGCAGTATGTGAAGATGAGGTATTTGTGTTTTAAAGGAGATTAGAAGGAGACTGGGCTGGTGAGGGTGCAGATGGACGAGGAAGGAAATTGGAGCTGACGATTGGACGGAAGGAGGAGATCCGGGAGACTGGAGAGGAAAGAGCGCCTGGTGGATGTCAGCAGCGAGATGGGGCATTTTCAAAAGTGTGAGGAAGTTTATTGAGCAGAGAGCTATTGACTGGGTGTCTACGAGGGTATATGATTGTGAGGTAGGGAGGTGTAGAGGGGAAGAAGGAAGGTGGAGCTGACGACGATGGGGAGAGCTGTCACACATTCTGAGCTCGAGGTACCGCTGTTGCTTGCGGCGGGTGCAGAGGATTTAAATTTGACTGCGATACAGAATAAAGTATATCAACAAAAAGCGCAGTGATCTGGGAGTCTGTTGGTCTAGTCTACAAAATATCTAAAAGAGTGGTGGCTGAGAAAACAAAGGCTGATTGGAAGTAGTGACGAGAGGAAGATCGCTGAGGACGCGTGCGAGAGGCCGGAAGGAGAAGGAGGAGGCCGCGGCATGGCAGCGGGCGGGAGGGGGGTGAGGATGGTTGTGGGTGATAGAGAGGGTCTGGTGAGAGTCTTCAAACATTCAACAGCAGGTCTACAGGATATTCGACCAGCAAAACGAGGAATATCGTGGGCAGATGCAGATGGGCGGCCCAGAGCGGTGTTGTGGTTTGTTGTTGTTGATGGACCCGCCGCGCCAAACGTGTACTTAAACCGCCTCATCGCCCGCCCCCGCCTGCCCGCTCTTCTTCCTCTTCTCTTTCTCTCTCTTTCCTGCTCCCCACCCTCCTCTTCCTCTGCCTTTCCTCTGCTACCTCCGATATCGCTCGTATCTTCCTATTCCACTACCACTACCCTCACTCTACTCTACTCTCTCGCAATGCCTCCCAAAGTCACCAAGAAGCCCGTCGCTCCCGCCGACCATCCTGCTTACAAGGGTACGTCCTCCCTCGTCGCAGACCATACGCGTCTTTATTTGCGTCTGCCTTATTACATCTATTATGTGCTAATGTTTTCTATTTTGTGTCTGCAGATATGATCAAGGATGCTATCCTCACGGTTGGTAGCCCTCGTGTTTTGCTTTGTTTTGATGGCGCAGTCCGTCACCTTTCCGCTTCACCCAATACTAACCAGTAGCCGCATTTTTGTGCGTTTGTGACAATACAGCTCAAAGAACGCAACGGAAGCAGGTGTGTACACCCTCTCTCTTTCTAAATCTATCTTTATCATCATTCTCTCCTGCTGTGTTTACTGGCTGGCGAGACGAGGCAACAACAACAAGCTGCTCAGCGCGCGCCGCAGAAATCTTGTTTTGGGTCCCAAAGCGCGCACCGCCCAGCGCGGCGATGAGCACCTCGAGCGCGAGCTTATTTACCGCCTTCCGTTTGTTTACCTCGAGCCGCGCACCATTCCTCCCAATCCGCGTCGGCGGAACCCAGCCAGAAGCCTCGTCAGAATTATGAGAACAATGAAAACACGCAAGAATAATCTACTAACTCCACTTCCAGTCGCCAAGCGCTCAAGAAGTACATCATGAGCAACTTCAAGATCAAGGCCACCAACTTTGAGACCCAGTTCAACTCCGCCCTCAAGCGCGGTGTCACCGCCGGCGACTTTGTCCAGCCCAAGGGTCCCTCAGGAACCGTCAAGCTGCAGAAGAAGGAGCCAGTCCCTAAGAAGGAGGCCGCCCCTAAGGAGAAGAAGCCTGTTGCCCCCAAGAAGGAGAAGAAGCCTGCTGCTCCTAAGAAGGAGAAGAAGGTCGCTGCCCCTAAGAAGGCTGCCGTCGCCAAGAAGCCTGCTGCTAAGAAGGCCGCCCCTAAGAAGCCTGTTGCTGCGAAGAAGGCTGCTCCTAAGAAGGCTGCTGCTCCCAAGAAGGCCGCCGCTAAGCCCAAGGCCCTCAAGGCTAAGCCGGCTGGCGTCAAGAAGGCTGCCCCAAAGAAGGCCGCTCCTAAGAAGGCTGCCCCTAAGAAGGCCGCTGCGAAGAAGGCTAAGGCGTAAGCTGCAGTGTATTTTTTTTCGTTGAACCGGGTGGAGGTACGATATGAGGTATTTGGCGGCTTGTTTTGATAGGTGCAATATGTTTTTTATTTTTTATTGTTGTAGTATTGTTTTCTCTGTTTTACTATGTGCTTTGCTAGTGTTATAATTACCCCCTTTGCAAGGACCAAGTGCAAGGACGAAGTAAATGCGAATGTTGTTTTGTCTAGTGTATTTTTTGATGTCTTTCGTTTTCTGGGCTTTATATTTGAACCTGTAATCTAGTCTTATTTTCACTCTCTATTGCTCTGCAGTGTATTCTATAGCCTGTTCTTAGTAGTAATGAGTTCAAAATATTACATAATCAAACCCCATACTATTGCACAGTTATGCTACCAGGCACAAACGCGAACGCCGCTCTGCCTCCTTCACGGCCTGTGCAGCCAGCAACCTCCACCACAGACCCAGACGCAGCCCGCAGCCCGCTCACCGCCCGGCCCGACTCTCTGCCCTTCTTCACGCCCGGCTTCTTCCTGTCTTTTTTTTCAGGCTGAGGCGATGCCTCCTTCTTTCGATACGTCGCCGCCGCCCGTCTTTCAGCACCACCACCCCCAGCTCAAAGCGCTCGTGTACAGCCAGACAGACTCGAACGGAGCCGTCGTCGTCCCGCCCGCTGTGGACGATGACTTTCTCAAAGGCTACATGTCTGACTCACCGCCTTCTCCCACGGCCACCGCCGACAGCGGCTACCAGGAGCCTGACCGTCTAGCCTCGTCTACAAAGCAGCCCGTGCCCAACTTCTCCGTCCCCTTTAAGCGGCCACTCGCGAGCAACAAGCCCACCGACGGCGCGGCCGCCGCCACCGCTCGCAATTCCTCACTCTCGGCCACCACTCATGAGAAAAACTCGTCGTCGTCCTCGACGAACTCGTCTTGGCCTGCTTCCTCGGCGCCGTCCTCGGACTGTCCTCTAAACCCGCACTCGCCTCTCTACCCTGCCGCCGCTGATGTCTCCGATCTGAATGATTCTCCGTTGCCCACAAGCCCCGTCAGCAAGACCTCGACATTCTCATCCAAGCAAGCTGGTTCAAAGCTCGCTACTACCAACTCTCTACCAGGCTCTGCGCCTTCGCCACGCCAGGCTCATTCTATATCACCGGCACCGGTAAACAACAAGAACAAGCTGAACACCACAACATCAGCAACTTCCTCGCCCTCCCGTGGTCGATCGCCGGTGAATGGACACGCACCTGGCCTTGCCAAACAGGAGTTACAGCCGCACCTGGCTCCTGCGCATCAAATTCCGTTGACTGCTGACGACTACGCCGAGGATGAACAAGTGCGCAGCGGCAGTTCGACTGAGTCGCAGTGCGAGAATGCTTTGTCTGCAATACCAACTCACGAGACTTCGTCTAGTAGTCTGTCGGACGTCAGGGTTCTTGAGAACGGGAACTACGGCGATGGCGAAAATAGTCAGCCGATAATCGTGACTGACTTTGCAAAGAGCTCAGCAGGCACAACTCGGGTGATCAACAGCAGTAACAACAACATCAATAACATCATTAGCAGCAGCAGTATAAACCGACGCACGACAGCAGGCTCAACTGCAAGCAGCGACGGCTCTTTTGTGAATGCTCCGCATCCTGCCGAAAAAGTGCTCGACGAAGTCGACGAAGACGAAACTCGCGACTCGTTCAACGCCGAGCCTGTGCTAGTTGGCTCGTCTGGCGGTGCTACGACGCAGGCTGGATCCTCGTCGGTCGCGACCGGACTGCGAGTAAACCCCTCACTTGCCCGGCAACGCACCACCACAGCAACAGCATCAGAGTCTCCGGCAAAGGCTAGCTCAGGAGATGCACAGGAGGAAAGCATTACGACCGAGCAGATCATTGCCAGGCGAGAAAAACGGAGGCGGGAGCTTGAAGTGAAGGCGACAGGGGCGCGGATAGTGGGCGAGGACCATGTGAATTACATTCTGGCGTACAATATGCTGACTGGAATCCGCGTCGCTGTTTCGCGGACGACTGCGAAAGTCGACCGGGAGTTGACTGATAATGATTTTACTGCGAAGCACAAGTTGGCGTTTGACATGTGAGTTTTACAATCTTCTTCAAGGTGATTTGACTGGATGAACTAACCTTGTCTTATGCATACAGAAACGGAAACGAACTGACACCGTCTGCGAAATATGATTTCAAATTCAAAGACTACGCGCCATGGGTGTTTCGGCATCTACGGCAGCTGTTCAGGCTTGATCCCGCGGACTATCTGATTTCGCTGACGTCAAAGTACATTGTCTCCGAACTAGGCTCACCCGGCAAGAGTGGCAGTTTTTTCTATTTCTCGCGAGACTACCGGTTTATCATCAAGACGATCCACCACGCGGAACACAAGTTTCTGCGAAAAATTCTAAAGGAGTATTATAACCACGTGAAGGCGAATCCAAACACATTAATTTCGCAGTTTTACGGACTTCACCGGGTGAAGCTGCCGTACGGACGCAAGATCCATTTTATCATCATGAACAACCTGTTCCCACCGCATCGGGATATCCACCAGACATTTGATCTGAAAGGCTCGTCGATCGGGCGCGACTACGACGAATCGAAGCTTGCGACGAACAAGAACGCGACGATGAAGGATCTGAACTGGCAGCGGCGGGATAAGCATATATCGCTCGGACCCCGGAAGCGGGAACTGTTTATCAAGCAACTGGAGATTGACGTGAAGTTGCTTGAGCGGCTGCATATTATGGACTACTCGCTGTTGATTGGGATTCACGATATTCAAAAGGGTAATACTGAGGGTATTAGAGATAGTACATTGACTGTGTTCCAGCCGGATACGCAAATGCTTGACCGGACGCCGTCGAAGATGGAGAGAGATAGGCGGGTTAGTTTGAGGAGGGCGTTTTCTACTGCCAATCAGGCGTCTGCTGAGCAGGTGCTGAATGTGCTTCGGCAGGATGAGTATCCAGGGTGAGTATTGTTTTTTTTTGTGGTTGACTATTTGAGATCGAGGCTGGTGGCTAACATACCTTATATAGACGCAAGAACTTCATTTTCTATGCAGATGACGGTGGTCTGCGGGCGACGAACGAGCACGACCTCCCGCTGAACGAGATTTACTACCTCGGGGTGATTGACTGTTTGACAAACTACTCGCTGGTGAAGAAGCTCGAGACGTTCTGGAAAGGGCTGTCGCACTCGCGGGAAAAGCTATCTGCGGTGCCACCGGTTGAATATGGCGAGCGGTTTTTCAAGTTTATCTCGTCGATCGTCAAGACGCCGGAGCAGGTGCAGATGATGAAGGCCGCTGCGGCAGCTGCGAAGAGTAACCGTGGGGGCAATCGTCGGCATAGCGGGATTATCGCTGCAGCGGTTGCAGAGGACGAGAATGTGGCGGAAGGCAGTCAGGGGAATAGTAGTACTGCGATTGAGATATTAGAGATGCGAGATGCTTGAGAAAGCAGACGCTTTGTTTGTATCTTTGTCGTTTTTCTTTTACATTACTGTGGCTCCTGTTGGTATGGTATTACAGGGGTAGGTTGGCAATAGCATAGAATACTTGCATGTATGATATTTGGGGGAGGTACTCTGTTTTTTATTCAGTTGTTTGTGTTTTTCGGAGCAGCGAGGTTTTCCATTTTTCTATCGTATCTTGTTCTTTTTGCTTTTTCTTCGAGTAGCTTCAGTTGTTTACGGAGACAGATGGTAAGTTATCTGGTATCTTGTGAGATTGAAGAGAACTGTCTCGGAGTCGCAATAAAAGGTAGACTATCCTATAAGTGTATGGTATCTGTTTGATGTAAAAGAATCAAAGCAGGATGATCGTTGATAGGCATTGACAGACAGACAGACAGACGACGTCATTGAACCAGCCAGCAATCGCGGGCGGCTCTTATCAACGAGATGTCTGTTCGCTGACGGCGGAGGTGGATGCCCGCCGCCGCTGCTGACGTCGTGGTTTCTTATCACAGCGATCTGCGGTGGCTTTACTATGAAGATCTCTGAGTATCTGTGGATAAACAGCAGAAGTAGAAAGTAGAAGTAGAGCAAACAGAGATTAGAGAAACAGAGCTGAACTGAGATGGCATAAAGCTCAATAAGAAGCCACATTTATGGCACAAACAGTCAATAAACCAGGTCCGGTTTAGCGGCGCCAATCGCACCGGTTGGTCACCTTCTCCGACCGCGTGCAGCTCGTCGGCAGGCATCCATCGTCCATCCACTCGTTCGTCCACTTGTTTCCGTTCATTGCAGCGAGAACGAGTGCTGGTTTATTCGCATTTAGAAGCTTAGTTTAGGTGCATGTATAAGCCCGGATAGGTGGCTTGAGTGCAGTGCATTTTTCGTTGCAGTTTATCGATTTATTCTTTTTGGGTCTCTGTGAGCTTAGATTGAAAGCCAGTCGATTTGTATCAGCTTTTTCGTCTGTTCACCTTCCTCGCCTTGTTTGACTACAACCAGACGGGTTCAGCAGCCGCCTGTGCTTTGCTCAACAATTGATCGTCTGCAGAGAGACCAAGCAAACAGACACATACATACAGTCGCGATGGCATCTACCTCACATCAGCAGCAGCAGTCATCGCAGCCGTCGCATGGCCACCAGGGTTCGCTGGCGGACACGATCCGCAACACGATCAGACGGATGTCGATGGATCTGTCTTCGGGCGGGTCGAACCGGACCAGTCGGTCGATGCCGCACCATCACCATGATTTCCACGATCTCGGCAGCGACGACGTCGACGACGAGGCCATGATGGACGACGACGACGACAGCCACAACGAGAACCACCACAGCAGCAGCGCGGCAAAGATCGTGCATCACGCGCAGACGATGCCGGGGATGACGAGCGCGAAGGAGAATTACGACAGCAGCCGGGATCGCGATGTGTCCTACAAATCGTCGCAGCCCACGCAGCTGAGCTTTTCGGCCCCGCCGCTCACGCCGCTGACGTTGGACGGGTACAGAGAGCAGACGCGGGTGCGCTTACTGTCGCCTCAGCTGGCGGAGGAGATTCGGCATCTGCTCCCACTGCGTCTGCAGCTTTACGACACGTGGCGACTGTGCTACAGTCTCGAGCAGCACGGCGTGTCGCTGACGACGCTGTATAATTTGTGCGTGCCGCCTAGAGGCACCTCGCGGCCTGGGTACGTGTTGATTGTCGAGGACAAGCACGGCGGCATCTTTGGCGCGTATCTGAATGAGTATCCGCATCCGACCAAGAACGGACGGTACTATGGCAACGGAGAGTGCTTTCTTTGGAAGAGCAAGGTGATTCCGAACACGCCTTTGGCTAGCACTACATCGCTTAGCGACACGGCCAGTATTCGGTCTGTCAATATGCAGTTCAAGGCGTTTCCGTACACGGGAATCAATGACTATATGATTTTGTGCGATCCGGGGTTCATTTCTGTTGGCGGCGGGTGAGTGGTGCTGTTATTTAAGTATTTCCGCAGCTTTAGAAGAGGAAAGACTAACATCTTGTTATAGTGACGGAAAGTATGGTATATACATCGACGACCGGTTTGAGAAGGGAATCTCAAACAGTTGCCCAGCGTTTGGAAACGAGCCGCTGAGCGACAGCGGGATGAAGTTTGACATTGTCGGCGTCGAGATCTGGCGGATTTCCAACAAATAGACGGGATGAGTGTGATTTTGTTTATATGTTATCTTATATTCTTTGTTTTGGTTATGGATGATCGATGGAGGATGATGGGTGGATGCACGGGGCAGGATCATGTTGTCGTCATGATGTGGGATCTACTTTCCTAGTGGGATCTCTCGGTTACTTTTATCCCTCTTCTTTTCTTTTACCTTCTCCTCTTCTTGTAATTATTGCTTTATATCGAATGTGCATTATACAATAGTCAGATGAAGATAAGGCAGCCTGAGCCGTTCGTGTGTTTGTCACCAAGATATCCTCTTAGTAGTTAACCTAGCAGTAAGTTGCTATCCCGGGTCCAATCATCCGCTACCCCAGACATGACAGCATCGCGCGTCGGGTTCGCGTGTCACGGGGCAAATCCAGGTTTGAACAAAAAAAATCGAGTTCTTTGCGCCACCGCTGCTTCTTCCTCTTCCGCGTCCTCAGCTCCAATCCTCAGTTCCGTGGTTCTTTTCTTCTGCTCGTCCGTTGTTGTTTGAGTAGTTTGTCGCTGTTTCTACTTAAATGTCGTCCGCTGGTCGAGTGCGAACACACCGCTCAGTCTAAGCTCAGTACTACTTCACCTGCTCTGTGTTCGCGTCGCGGGCTTCTCTCCTCCTGCTTCCTGATCCCGGCTTTTTATCCTCCTCCACTCCCTCCTCTTCCTCGTCTTCCTCTTCCTCTTTCTCCCTTCTTTCCTCCCTCAATTCTCTCTGCGGATCACCGACGATCTCTCCGGCGCGTCTCTTCTCTCTCCTCTGCCTCTTTTTCGCCTTTTTTTTTCCTTTGATCCACCCCACCATCTCAACCAAACACTACCTCTCTCTCTCCTTCTCTCTCTCCCTTCCACCTCTCTCCCTCCCATCTTTCTCCTTCCTTCTTCTTGCATCTCGCCATACCCTCACCTACTCAATTGTGCCACTCTGCTTCCCTCCACCCCACCCGAACGCGGATTCGCCAGAGCTGAGTGATGGAGACCGAGGCCCTCGAGCGAATCTCAGAGGCGCTTCTCACTGTCCACAATCCACACGTCTCCAACGATTCCCGAAGGCTTGCTCAAGAGGTATGCTGTGCTCTATTTTCAATATCGTGTTTACGTGTTTATTTTACTATTCACGTATATTATCCACACCTCCCTGCTCTCGTTTCGGCGATTGGTCTAACCCGACTTTTCTAGTTCCTTGATGCAGCCAAGCAAGAAGACGAAGCCCCTCTGTGGGGCTACCACCTCGCCATCCGCGAACCTCCCCGGGCAGATCAAATCCGACACTTTGGTCTCTCGCTTATCGACCACTCCATCCGCCACAACTTCTCGGTCTACGACCAAACCCGCAAACTAGCCGTCCGCAACTGGGTTATCGAGCTCACCACCCAAGTCCGTCAGACAGACGCGTACTATCTTCGCGAGAAACTCGCCTTGCTCTGGGTTAACGTCGCAAAGCGTTCCTGGGGTGCACAGAAGGACGAGTGGAATGACATGGACGACGCGCTCGTGCGTATGTGGGACATGACTCCCGCCACGCGCGAAATGTCGCTCATGATCTTCCGTGACTTGTTCGAAGACGTCTTCATGCTTGACGATCCTGTGGCAGGCAAGCGGTCCGGAGTACTCAGCGCGCAGTGCATCGAGGTCTTGACTGCTGCCGCAATCCTCGACGAAGCCTACGATCGGCGGGACGAGTCCATCATCAGTCTAAGGAGCGGTGCCGACGGATGGCTTGTCCGATGGTCAATGCTGCTCGGTCAATGTCTTGATCAAGGTGCCCAGGATACAGAGGCCGAGTCGTTTGCCGTCAAGGTTCTGCAAAGTCTGAAAACATGTCTGGTCTGGGTGCACCCACGCGCAATCAGGGAGACCGATCTGCTGGCGCGTATAAGTCAGGCGCTGACGATTCAGAATGTTAAAGTCCGCACGCTGGCAACCGATTGTCTACACATCCTCTTCACCAGGAATTTTGCAAATGAGGAAGATTTCGCGGCCGTGATTGGCGTCGTGTTCCTAGCTCCGGGTATCAGGACACTGTCAGAAGTCTACAATTCCATCCAGCTCGATCTCGACGACTTTGACGAAGACAGCTACATTTTATTAAAAAAACTAGTCGAGATGATTGTCGGGCTGGGCGAGTACTTGAACGTTGGAGGCGATAAGCGCAGTCGACTGCCTCCAGGCACTGATCTGGAAGGCTACCTCGCGCTCGTGTTTTCGACTACCATGCACGAAAGTCTCATAATATCCGGTCTGTCGCTACAGTTTTGGTCTTCGATATTACGCGTCGAAGAACTAGCGCGGTTACCAGAAGTCAGCGCGCTGCTGCCTCGGCTGTTGGAGCTTGCGGCCGAGCGAATAATCAAATACGAAGGAGTCGAGGAGCGAACGCCGTCAAAGAGGTTTTTGGAGCTCGATTTCGATTCTGTGCCGGAGATGCATTCGTTTCTGGGGAATTATAAACGGTTTGTTGAGGATATTGCGAGGTTGGTTGTGTGTAGGATACCTGTGGACGCCATGATTTGGCTAGATATGAGACTCGACAAGTTTTTTTCTTCGTGGCATGGATGGCATTCCCGAGAGTGTAAGTTGTTTCTATGTTTGTGGTTAGGTGGTCAGGACTAATAGTTGTTTTGATATAGCGCCGTCGGTACTGCGAAAAGATGCAATGTTTCTGGTGGCATATAGTCAATTCTCGATTGTTGATGCCGCGTTACGAGGTATAAGTCGCTGGCGAGTATGGTACCGGGAAACCGACAAGGAAGAAAAGACTGCAGTCCTGAACCCGATCATTGAGCGATTTTGCGAGCGCATGATTTCGATGGACGTCACGGACCCGGTTTTGCTGCGGAAGCAGATTCAGACGCTTGTACAGTTTGCGCCGCTGATGAAGCATGTTTCGCAGACGATGTTTAAAGTTTTGGAGAAGGTGCTGTATGCGTGCACGTTTGAGTATCCGGCTGACGCGACGGATGAGGATCGCGAGCTGATTAGAGAGGTGCGGAATAATTGCGACACGGAGCTCAATCGGCTGGCGTATCTGATGCCGGAGGCGTTGATGGAGATCTACTCTGATCTGGAGCGGATAATCAACGACATTATCTCGTCCGACAAACTTTCAGACCACGAGATTGTCTCGTTTCTTTCGTTTTTGCTTGTGATTTCGCAGCGGTCGAACGCGCCAAACAAGGCGGAGTGTTTTGCAAAGATTGTGGATCCGGTGCTGAGCTGCTGGACGGACGAGGCGACGATGAAAGGGTTGTCGCAGCTCGAGTGGTTCATGGAGCGAGTGGGGATAGTTGAGATTGCAAACTATTTCCGGTCGCGCGGAGTGGACGCGAGCACGGATTTACTGGCGACGTCGATGGACGAGGCGGGTAGACAGCTGAAGATGTCGCTGCGAAACCAGTGGGCGGCGTTGTTTCCGATTCGGGCTACGAGAATTTTTATACAGTATTCGATCGAGAAGATTGATCATTCGTCGGACGAGTTTGCTCGGTTGCTGGAGTTGTGGAAGCCCAGAGTGCAGCCGATATTACCGCATATTCTACAGTTGATTGCGCAGATCCATGCGTATTGCGACCCCGCGAATTGGGGAGACCTGCCGGCGGAAGTGAGCTCGTTCGTTCGGGACTCGTGTGAAGAGAAGTTTTGGCACGTGGGTATTTCTCGCCAGAGCCGGGACGAGTTTGTGGAGGAAGGCGTGAAGGCGGCGATGACGCTGCGCGACTTTGCAAACTCGCTTGGGATGATGCTTCGGTACACGCGCGAGTACGCGTTTCTGGCGCTGGGGTCGATCACGCAGCTCGAGAGCACGATGTACGAGGTTCCGGGGATCGGACGTACGATGTGGGCTGCGATTGCGGGCGAGCCGCGAGGGATCTCGTTGCATGCTTGGAAGCATCTTGTTGCGCTTGTTGTGCGGCCTGCGGTCAAGAACTGTCCGCCAGCGTACTGGGAGACGTTTTTGACTGATTTCTTACCGGGCGTGCTGACGCAGCTCGATTCGTTGCTCGAGGAACGGTGGACGAGTTTGACGAACCGGGGACTGGTGGGCGGGCAGCAGATACAGGAAGAAGTTGATGCGGCGGGCGAGGACGATGCGCTGTCGGACGAGATGACGGAGGAGTATCATTTGCGGCAGCTCTCGAATGTCGTCGACCGGCTGCTGATTGATCTTGTTGGTCCGCTGAACAGCAGTAAGACGCTGAGCGGGTCTGTTGCGGCCGACAGCAACGGCGATTCACAAAAGGACGGAGGAGGGTCGCCAGACAAGAAGAAGGCTGCTGATTCACGCACGTTTGTGGTGTCGCATCCGGTGATTCTGGGCCCGTTTCTGTCGCTGTGTAACCATCTGTTTGTGGTGCATGATACGCGGTGCAGCTACTCGTGCGCGATGATACTGAGGCAGATGATTCCGGTGATGATCGGGCGGTATCAGGAGGTGGACGACTTTCTGTGTGACGTGGTGCTGCCGTCTTGTCTGCGGGTTCTTGGCGATGCGTACTTTGCCGACGTAGCCGGCGAGGCGTCGTATGTGCTGACGATGATCTACACTGTTCTACGGGGACGGTACGACCGGCCGCTGAAGAAGATGATGGAGCTCAACCCCGCGATAGGCGCGGAGGAGATGATGGCGCTTGAGCGGGAGCTTGCGGGCGTGAAGACGCTACGGCAGCAGCGCGGGGTTATGATTGAGTTTCTGGCGGTGATCAAGGCGATTCCCGAGGGTCCCGAGGGCGAGGTCGCGCGGCGGATTGCGCGGGTGAAGAGAGAGCGCGAGAGCCGGCAGCAGCAGCAGAGCAAGTGGACTGTTTCGCGGAAAGAGGCCGAGCAGGTCGAGGCGGTCGATAGCGTGCTTGCGGACGGGGGGCTGGTTGATTTGTTCAACGAGGGCCAGTGATGGAACGATATAAATAGGGTTGCAGCCAAGCAGTAAATAGTCTCTGGAATAAGGTGTCTACATTTATTTATCATGTGTAAATACAACGAATATCTTTTGTTGTCTACAGATCATTCTCTTGTTCTCTTCTGTTGCATTAAACACAAACAGCAGCAGCAGCAAAAATCTTCCTCATCAATGACGATGGCGATGACGCGTAAGCACGAAGCCGTACCCGCCGCACGCATTGTGGCTGTGGCAGCCCCGAGAGACAAAGGCCGCACGCGCGCAGCATCGCCACGTTTTTGCGCTTCTTTGTGTCGAGAATAAACTCGTGAAATATACTCGAAAAGGCGAGAGAAAGGAAGCGAATAATCAGGATCCGAGGACTGCTGTTTGTATAAAGTGCGCCGTCTCCCTCTTCTTCATCTCCTTCATCTTCATCTTCTTCCTCTCCTCGTCGCACCCCACCTCCCCTCACCCTCATCACCATGTGGCCTTTCTCTGTCTCCCCCGCGTACGACGAAGCTGTCGGCCGCATGATCGCCGCCGACTCCATCTCCTCCTTCCACGACGCAGCAGGCGCAGCCGGCGCCGCCGTCGCAGCAGCAGCTCCGATCCCAGTCCCACTCCCCCCCGCCGAGTCCGTCTTGCACAAACTGATCGGCCCCGCCTTTGTCCTCTTCGTCCTCGGCTTCCTCTTCTTCGTCGGCCTCACGACCTACAAAGTCGCCAACGCCGTGCTCGGCCACGCGTCCGCCGCCGTCTCGCAAAAGATAGGCGGCGGGGGTCTCAAACGCACGGCCACAGGCTCGTTCTCGATCCCCGTCACATATATCCCGCAGCCGGAGTACGTCGAGCGGAGTACGCGCGCGCTGTCCAACTTTGTCAGTCGCGCGACGCCGTCGTTTGCAAAAGTGTGGGAGAGGACGGAGAAGGATCGGAAGATGCGAAAGCGTGATATTGCCAGAAAGTGGTTCCATCGGGACTCGGTCTCGGAGGATGATTTGCAGGATCAGGATTTCCAGGCTTACTATGCAGAGAAATCCGAAACGTCTTTATAGGTTTTTAGTTTTGTTTGTTTTGTATTATGTTTTTGGGTGTTTGTGATATCTTTGTTTTATGGTCATCGGTCTAGTTCTCGGTTTTAGTTTTGGTATTTGTCTTGGGATCGCTGTCTTGATGTATATGTATAGGTCTGGGCTGACCTCGCATAATCTTAGCGACTATTACATTGGTCTGGGTAACGGAAGTGAATATGCAATGAATCATATAATCGGACACAGTCTACCGATTCCACTGTTATTACACTATAGTACATCGTCTCACACAACTCGAGCCATGAACGAATCCACAATCCTCCGTATCCTGTAAAACTCCTTTGAAACACTTCCCTCAATAATAACCTTATCGTTCGCAAGCTTCCGCACCGCAATCTTGCGCTCGCAAAGAAGCACGCCCTCGCCTCGAAACTCGGCGTGCAGGCCCTCAGACACTAACTTCCGTCGTAGCTCGGCAAGGCGCACGTCGCCTACAAACGCTGACTTGCTTTGCGCTGCGGCCTCGGCTAGCTCTTGCTTGGTCGTCAACGCGTTCAGGATGATTTCGGTGGTTGATGATGACGGCGGCTCGTCTCCTCCTTCTTTCTCCTTTTCCTCGCCCTCTCCGTCCTCTTCCATCGCCGCCTCGGACTCTTCCACCGCCGGCGTAGCAATCGCGTTCGTCGTGATCGCGACCTTGGATCGCACCTGCGCAACCGTATACTCTCCCGCCGCAGTACTCTGCCACTTGAGCTGTCGCGCCAGATCCCATGACAGCGTCACCATGTACGCGTTCGCATCCATGCTCAAGTTCAGCGGCTTGCCCGACGCCGGCACGTAGATATCCTGGATCCCCGCGTTCCTCATCGCGACCGCCAACCCGTCCGCCTGCTCCAAGCTTCCGCTGATGAAAATCAGTTTCCGCGGTTGCACCTGTGGAATGATCATCTGGAACGACCGCGCGTCGGCAAGGCCTTCGTACTCGATGTACGTCACCTCGCACCTCACGTTCACCACCCGTCGCTCGCTCACCGTCTTGCTCGGGATCACCACCGTCCGCTCCTCTTCCTCCGCGCGCTCCTGCGTCCACTTCCGCTTCATGCCGATCTTGCCCAGCCCGCCTTTTCCGCCGTCCTCGCCCCCGTTCGCATCCTCCATCCGCACGTCGTCGCGCTCCTCTGCTCGCACGTAGTCCTCGATCTTGATCACTTCACCGTAAGGGTCCCGCCGCACTCGCTTGGGGATATATGGAAACATCTTATTTTTCAGACCCTTTGCATGCCGCACGTCGTAGTCGTACACTCTATTGTCCTGCGATAACACCAGCACGCCGATATCCGTCGCCGCGTCTGCCGCCGCCTCTTCGTCCTCGTCGATCTCGACCTCGTCTTCCGACTCGGACTCTGAGCTCTCGCTCTCGTCAAACGCCTCCTGGTCCAAGATCGTCCGGTTCTTCAGCTCGATCGCCGACTGCCGGTCCGCAAGCGCCTTCCGCGCTTTCTCCTGCGAAATATACCGCTCGAGCTCCTCACCTTGCAGCGGTACACTTTTCCGGATCTCGAGCTCTCGCCTCAATTGTATCCTTGTATACACCGGCCCGCCTCTTGCATCCGTCGCGGCCTCGTCGCCGTGCTCTGCCATCTTGCCCTCCGCGGCCGCGCTGGCATTCCACGCAGCCAGCACCTCGCCGCCAAACGAAGTCTGATCAACGCCCTGTGTGAAGATCGTCATACTCCGCTCGTCTTCGCATATATCCGCAAACGCACTGCGCGAGACACCCCACTCCAACCCCTGCCCGCTCGCAAGCACGACTTTTGGTCCCCGCACCGCGCGCGCTTCCTCCTCCGTCGCCACGACCCGCAGATACTTGAACGTGAACGGCGACGACCCTTTATCCTCCCACTCGCGCACCATCGCAGGCGACATCCACTCCAGCATCGACCGCGCATAAGCGAGCGTCCGACTACCGACCCGCGACACAAACAGCAGCGGCTCCCGCAGCCGGCGCTCGCTCCAGACCGCGTCCAAGAGCAGACAGAGCTCGAGCGCGCGCGCGCTCGTGGACGTCGGCAGGATCACGTCGCCTCCGCGGTCGAGGCTGCGGAGGATCGCAGAGATCAGCATCTCCTCTCGGCCTTTGATTGCCAGTCCCGTCCGTGCTCCGCAGATCAGGGCCGTCGGTCGACCGAGCTGATCCGGTGCGGTGAGTAGCGCTGACGAATTTAGATGCCGCTCGACCGCATGGTTCCAGTCTACCGCGTAGACAACGTCTTCCTGTCCGTACTGCAGCCGCCAAAGTGTACCGCCGAGAGAGTGTCCTGCGTTGTGGGCTGTGATGCGCAGAGAGCTGAGTTTGGCGGATAGACTGAGTTGCTGCGAGTACTTGAGTGATTGAATTTTGTCAAAGATAGCGTCAATATCAGAGACCCGAATAGTAGTATCGACCGCCGACGGCGCTACGTCTGCCGCCGCCGCCGCCGCCGCCGTCGAGGACGCCTCGGACGCGGGCGAGGTCGTGAACCACGCAGTCGTGTAGGCGTCGATCGTGGCCATGCGGCCCATGTTGATCACCGGCAGCGTAGCATATACAGGAATCGAGTCGAATCCGGGGAATCGCTTGCAGGCGTATGCGTATGCTCCGATGTGTGAAAACGTCGCGTGCGTGAGAAGGATCAGGTCGATTGTAGGTGTTAATCTGTGAGTAGCAAGCAAGCAAGCAATGTTAGCAGCGCACTCCTATGAAAGCCAAGATACACAAAAAAAAGAACAAAATGGAGTAAACACATACCGCTCCAACTCGGATAGCATCGACTCAGTCATCTGATCGTCCCATCCGACATCAATCAACACCCTCACATTTGAATCAAACGTGAGCAGCGATTGCGACGCCAGCGTCCGGCTCGGCGTCGCAGACTCTCCTACAAGCGGCACAAACGTAAACATGCTTTCAACCTCTCTTGTTTAGAGGTACGGATCAGTTGGATCGGTGGGGTGGGTAGTTGTGTTGACTGTATACAGGAAGAAATAATCAGGACGGCAGAGGAGAAACGATTGATAATTCAGAGAGCAGAGAATGAATTTGCAGATGATGTTGCGATAAGCCCTGATATCATGGCCAATTCATGCAAACGGCTCTATCCCGGATCTCTTGTGCTGTCTGATCCTTTACGGGGAGAATGGGCTGTTGCGAGTGTTGACGATGTTACTTTACGTTTTGTGAATCTGTCGAGGTTTTTTTTACTTTGCGAGGTGAGCCGCTCGCTTCTCCCGACTTGCGCGTCTTGGATTTATTGCGGATTTTATGACACCTTTTACGGCAAACTACTAACGAGATATAATACTGAATTACAATAACAAAACACAAAGATACAAAAGGGAATCATAAGCCTAAAATTACAGCAATTACACAAGGAAGCGGAACTTCCTTCTGAAAACAAACATCCCAGCCAACTACCAATTACCACAAATGAAAATCAATCTACTCTCCCCACTTGAACTTCTTCACGTCCGGCAACTTCGCAGGAGAAAACGATAAAAGGTCCTAAACAGAGCAACAAAATTAGCCAACGGAAAACCTAACAAAATTCACATAAAGCAGTGCAATCTTACCAATTCGTCGTCGCCATCGTCAATGTCGTTGCGCGATCGCTTTAGCGTCGTCGGAGGACGGCTGCTGATCCCAAGTCCAACCGTGCGATCCACATCGCTCAACTTGATTGGCGAAAATCCCATCGGACTACTCGACAGCTGCGCAATCGACTTTGGCAGCGTTCTTCGTCGCGCCGGCCCTAATGTCGACACAGGCTTGATCGTAGGACGCTTGGAGGATAGCGGGTGGGGTGTTGACTTTGGCGGGCTTTCAATCCGCAGCGCAGCCGCTAGCTCTTCATCTTCGTCGTGATTAGCTGGAGCGGGTGTGAAACCCGCGTACGGCGTATGACGGGCAGGCGAAGTAGATGCGGAGACTACAGCTCGTGGCGTCATCAGAGCTGTCGCTTTCGGCGTGGGATGTGCCGACTTCTCCCCCGAGATCTCAGTATCCAACACAGGACTCCTGAATGGTGACGAAAAATAAGCCCCCTCTGCCTTTTTGACCGGGGTCATTGGTTTGGGACTTTGCAGAGACTCCTTCACAGCAACAGCAGCAGGACTCTGCGAGACTGCCCGATTTGTAATCTCAGTCAACATACTCCAGGGATACCTCGAAGGGGTCCTATCCTCCACCGGCAGATCTTTTGTCGGAGATACTTCCTTAGGCAAGCCCGCATCTTTAGATGGGCTTTGCATATCAACCGAAGGACTTGCACTCTCCATCTGCTCAACCTTCTCGATCGCAACCGGGGTAGCAACCGCCGCCGCCAACACAGGCTCCGACGGCTGCTGCGGCGGTGGAGGAGTCATAACTGACTCCGCGACATAGACATTCTCCGCGGTTGGAGGAGACGTTTTCCGTTCTGGCTTCGCCAACGGAATCTTTGCTCGTGATTTCAAGGACGGGATCTGAGAGAGTGCCGGGATACGCGAGTTCGACAAGCCAGGTAGAGTTCGCTTTTGGGGAATTCGTGCTTTGACTGGCGAATCTGCTTTCTTGGTATCGAAATCTGTAGAAGGAGCAGGAAGGGTTTCATTCTGATATTCTTTGACGGGTTCTGTCTTTGCGTCTGACTCGATCACAGCAGGAGCAGGTAATTCTGTAGACTCAGTCTGCGCCTCACCTTCGGAACCAACAGCAGCAGCAGCAGAAGCCGATTCCAATTGACGCTTCATCGGACTATACCCCATATTCTTCTCCATAAGCTGATTCCACTCGTCCATCATCTGGATTGCGTCCCTCCAGTTCTTCGTCATCTCTGCCAGCTGCTTCTTCAGCCTCTCTATCTCCTGATCCTTCTGATCAACCACTTCTAAAGACACATACTTTGGTTCATGAAGAAGCTCGCGCAGCTGCTCTAGACTATTATTGACTTCAATCGACAGTTCCGGAAACGTTGTCGGGATGTACTCAAGCACGCTCTCAAATTCCGCATCGCTCACCGCTTTCTCTCCCGTAAACACATTAAGCATCAACGCCGTCTCGCGAATAAGCGCAATCAGACGCGCATTCTCATCCGTAAGCTCCTGCATCAGATCCGGAATCACGTTCGCGGCCGTCTCCCGAAACACCAAGACCGACTCGGGATTCTCGCTAAACTGCGTGACCGACGACGTGCTTTCAGATGACCAGGTCGACGACGTGAACTTGCCGGTCGCAACAGACATCGTCTTTGTCCGACGCACGTCAAAGCCAGCTTTTTCCTTCATCCGCAGAATCTGCTGGTCCCGCTTCCGCCGCTCGACAGCATCCTGCGCCCGAATTTGCTGGAGCGAGGTCTTCTGGCGTGCAAGGTCTTCGTGTAGCCCCTTATTCTGAATCTCGAGTGTTTTTATCGTCGTCTTTAACGATCTATTTTGAGAGATTATCTGTTAGCATCAGTCCCAAACACAACTACTTTCTTTAGAACAGAGACGTACTCTCTCTGAACAGAAATCACGTTCAGTTGCCGTTCCAGAGTATCCACCTGAGCCTCCAAAGCTTCCATTGCTTTCTTCGTCCTAGTCTCCGTAGCCTTCTGTTCTCGCAGCGTATTCACAAGGTTTTCTTTCTGCTCCGCATCTTTCTAAAAGCCATTTCGAAACCCACAATTGTCAGCAAAACAGGACTACCCACACCGCAACACACAAAGAGTCAGAACCAAAACTTACACCGCTCTTTTGAACAATAGAGTAGATAAAGTTGATGATACTCCTGGCATCAGAGCCCCCGTGGAAATTGAGATTGTCTTTGCCGTCGAGTAATCCTTTAGAGATTAGCATGCTGTTGAGCCTGCGAGATGCGCTCTTGAGATCGGTCTCGGCGTCCATGTCTGTTCCTGTGCCTTTCCTTTTCTTATCAAATTCAAAGAGAGTCGGAAAGATAAGACCTGACAAGACTGTTAATCCAAGTGGAGGTCTGTCTTGCTCTGCGCAACAGATGTTTATGTTTTGAAGCGCGGTTTGTTTACATTTCAAGTCCGGGTAACCGCTCGCGCTGCCATAACAACCTGGACGCGCGCGCGTACATGCTCTACTTAAAGAATCCTACGATTTTAAGAGTATTGAGAGAGTAATTATGAAGTATATTATCAAATATGTATTCCGCACATTAATCAACATAATAAAACAAACGCCAGAGAGAGAATAGAGAAGATACCGAACCAGATAACTGTGAAAACAAAGGTAGAAGCTACTTACATGAACTCATCCAGGAACGTTTCGATTTTATTTTTCCGCCCATTATACTAACGACGGATGTTAGATATCATAAAATTTGATGCCTGAAAGAAAGTCAGAAGTTCGGATTAAAAACACAAGGCACTTACAGATATTCTGGAACCACTAAATAAAGCTTTAAGTATAGGAGTCAAACCATGGCTTTGCTTTTTTGGAATAATCCAACGCTTTGCTTTTTGGAATGAGCCCGTTGACGACAGACAGATACGTAAGTCGTGTAAAAGGCCAGGGATAACCACTAGGTTATCGAGGCAAATGTTCATACAAAAGTGAACAACATAAATAAATCGGTACTGGAGAGAAAAAGAAGTATGAGGGGGCGTTATAAAGGAATTTTAGCATCTTTCGCACCAAATGACCTCGAAATACTTTGCAAACAGTACAAGACAAATCACATTATGAGTGATTGAGAGAGAAAAGACACGACGTCATGTAAAGATCCGATAGTGATCGGTAAGAATATACACAATTAGACGCCCAAGAAAGTGTTAACAGGACAAGAGATAGAGCCACTGAATTTCTTCGCACCACAAGATGAGTGGGTTAAAATAAAAAGACACGACGTCATGTAAAGATCCGATAGTGATCGGTAAGAATATACACAATTAGACGCCCAAGAAAGTGTTAACAGGACAAGAGGTAGAGTCACTGAATTTCTTCGCACCACAAGATAAGTGGGATTAGACAAGAAGCAAGGCGTCGTGTAAAGCCGCAATGATAGTCGGTGGAACGTACACAGTGAGACGCCTAAACAAGTCTTGAACCAGGAAATGATATAAAGTCTGAATTCTTAGCACCACAAGAAAAGTGGAAATAGTCGGTGGAATGTACACTATTAGACGCCTAAACAAGTCTTGAACCAGGAAATAATATAGAGTCTCTGGATTCTTAGCACCACAAGAATAGTGGGCATAGACTGAAAGATACGACGTCTCGTGTAGCAAGCCGATAGTGATCGGTAAAATGTACACGATTTGACGCCCAGGAAAGTTTTAAACCAGAATAAGAGATCTGGATTTCTTTGAAAAGATGGACCGTGTAAGGCCACTGAAAGATGGTGAACCAACTGGTTAAAACACCATATAGACAACTCTTATAGTCGTGGCCTAGAAAATGCACACGCGGACTATAAGATGATTTATCATCATCATCATCAACACCTCCAGTAGGAGGGAGACATAGAGATAGGCGATTGAATCGCAAAATGAACCAAAATTGAATCGTGGATCAGATTCTGCTGTTTCTGAGTGGAGCAAATCTTTGGGAACTAAAGGGGGGGGGGGTATTTGTCTATATCGCGAGTCCATCACAACCTCCGGTCTGTCAAGACTTTCAGTCTAACAAGGCCTTCAGTCTATCGAGATTTTTGGTTTGTCAGGACATCCAGTCTGTCGAAACTTCTGGTCTAAACGGATCTCGGGTATGTAGAGACTCGCGACATAGACGGGGAGGAACAAGTCCACATAACTAAATCTTTAAGACTGTCAGTACTTTGGCCGAACGAAGCGTCCTGGTCCGGTATCCTCTTCAATCTTCGTCCACTATCCCAAACAACGCCATCAAATAAAGAAAACAAAACAAAAGCCAACGCAAAACACGTTCAGAAAGTAGAAAGAGAAATACGGGCACACCAAGCTAAGTGCAAGAGTGCCCGATCGCATGCTCGGGTGGCGAGAAAGTACTGAGCTGTTCAGGCCGGAAGTAGGGAGAGAGGCGGGAAAAACCTTGTTCTCAGATCACGTGTATTACATAGTCACGTGGTTTGCAGTTGGCTATGTTTCCGTTCCACGCTACATTAGAAAGCCTGGCACGCGAGCGTATGTGCTCTGCTTAAAGATGCTTATAATTTGAGAGTACAGGGAAATGATTATGAGATGTGTTGTGACTATGCATTCCAAATATTCATCCAAACAACCAAAAAGCACGAGAGAGAGGGTGGAGAAAATATCGAACCATAAAACTGTATAAACAAAGGTAGGAACTTACGTGAACTCATCCGGGTACGGTTCGGTTTTGTTTTTCCTTTCCCACAACTCTGACAAGGAACGTTAGAAAACCCACAATTTGACACTTGAGAGAAAGACAGAAGTGCAGATTATAGACGTGAGACACTTACAGATTTCGCAAAAACACTAAGTGAGGCTCTCTTTCAGAGGTCACTATCGGGAGTCATTCAAATCAATAATTCAAGGACTTGGGACAACGACATATTCCGGACATATTCCGTATGTCGTTGTAATCTGCGCGCGATAACATTATCGCCGCTGATGTTTGCGGCTTTCCGCGAAACATCAAAAATCACTATCTGGTACTCGAGACTACATCTCAGCACGTGTTTCAAACAGGACATAACTTCACCACACGGTCTGTGGTTGAAGACAAAAAAGACACGACGTCGTGTATCGCCGCAATTCTGATCGGCCAGAGTACACACATTTCGACGCCCAAGAAAGTTCAATCAGGGAGGCACTGAATTTCTTCGTAAAAATGGCCATTCCAGGCCCATTTTCCAGGATGTTGAACCACAGCGGTTTTCCGACCGGTGGTTCAACAGTAACAAGACACGACTCCTCCGGCAGGCTGCGGGCAGGAGTCGTGTAGATCGGCGAGTTAAGTTTAGTATATACTATACTTAATCGCGAAGAATGCCCGTGTGCCGCGTATTCGGACACGGGCATTCAGTAAATCGAACAAATATCGTAAATATTCCTTCGATCCTTCTAGTCAGTTGCGTAAATCTTGGGGACAAGAAGAGGGGGGGGGGGGGGGTTGTCCATATCGCGAGTCTGTCACGATCTGCGGTCTATCAAGACTTCGAGTCCGTCGAGACTTTCAGTCATTCGAGATTTTGGGTCTGAAATCACTGCAAATCTAAAAAGACTTTGAGTCTTAATAGACCTCAAATCTGTAACAGCTCGCGACATAGACAGGGAGGAACAAGTCCACATAACTAAATCTTTAAGTCTGTCAGTACTTTGGCCGAACAAAGCATCCTAGTTCGGTATCCTCTCCAATCCTCGTCCGCTCTCAAACAACGCCAACGAATAGAAAAAACACAACAAGAATCAACGCATAAACACATCCAACAATCCAAAACAGAATTCCAAGCACAGCATACGATGTGCAAGTGCTCGATCGCATGTTCGGGTGGCGAGAGAGAGCTAGACAGGGAGGAAGTGCGGAAAGAGGAGATGATAACTGAATACCTACGGGCGAATGGCGCGTGGGTCACCAGCGTGATATACAATAACCACCATGATCTCTCGAATACCCCTGGTGCTCAATCTGTCCGCCACGTTCCTTCGCTCAAATCTCCTCAATTGATTTAAGCAGGCATCAATGCAGGCGTCAAAGCAAAAGCACTTCGATCACTCCTTCGAACTCGATAATCTGAGCCTTGTAAGAAAGACTTGTACAATCTAATGGCTGTGGTCAGACGGGAGGGCTCGGAGACCTAAGCCCTAGCAACGCCTTGGTTGAACGTCTAGACGACTACAATCTCTGAGGTAGTTTTGCTCCCAGAATTCTGTTCATCGTGTGTTCTTGGCCCAGCTATGTTATAATGATATTGAAAAGAGGAATGAAAGTGCGCGAGGGCATTGTATTGCCGACGTTAACCGGCGACGCGCTGCTCTATTTGCCGAACCCTAATCCAAAAGCCGTCGAAAACAGTTTGAGCCGCACGTGTGTTCATGTGATTTGTAATGGATTACACATTATAGTTTCTACCCGTCGCCATCATAAATGAGCAAAAACGAAAAGACACAATTGCTGATATCCCCACCAATACTTCACAAGAAGACTCATCGGACAATAATTACACAATGGCCAAATCTGTTTCTCGTACCTCCAGCCTAATCTCCTTCCTCAAGCGTGAGGATGTTCGTCCCATTCTCAAGAACGTTGCTTTGTTCGGTGTATGTAAAATCTTTTCTTTCGGTCGTTATTGCATCTGGTCGATGTATAGCATGTCGGTTGTCAAGGATTCGGGCTAACAGCTGACTGTCTTTTGTATAGGCCGGTGTCTTCCTTTTCCGAACCATCGACTCCAACCAGCTTCTGGCTGCTTAAGTGCCTGATTCAATGTCAGTCGTCTCCACCATCTGCGGGTAGTGCATGAGATTGTGGAGAACAGAGCATTGTCGATGCCTTTCTAGCCTGGGTTGAACTTGTTTTGTTGTTGCTAGCTTTATAGGAGGAAATGATTCTATGAAGTCTACTGTATATAAGATCAAACTATTTGGGAATTGTGGTTTCAAGCTAAGAAATGAAGTGAAAGTCTCTTGACTGTTTTTATTACGTATATTACAAAAAAGACCATCAGAGCTTTAAGCTTTTATCACTCCGCTCCACCATCATTTCCGTCCTGCCTCTCTATTCATCGTCATCATCTTCACTCTCTTCTTCAGCAGTAGTAAGCCATTCGAGCCATCTAGGTACCAGCTCACCAACCTTAATCATGTCAGCGTCCCCCTTGCTCTGAGGCTCCTTATACCACCACTGCATGATCGCGCTCTCCTCCAAGATGTCCTGATCGTAGAGGTTATTGATGGCATGCAGTAAAATTGCACTGCCCTGCATTCTGCGCGTGCAGTCTCGCTGAATGAGCAGAAGGAGGTCGACTTGATCAGCCAAATCAAACACCTGACGCCTAAACAGTTTCGCCCAGCGATTCAGCACGTGCTCGACTGCCTGGCGCGCCTTCATGGTGTTGCTATTGATCAAGTTCGACACACGGCTGATGAGAGCTGTGATGGTCGCTGCACGGACTTCGTGGAACGGAGCGTTCTTGGCCATGCGCAACGTGCCCAACTCCAGGGCGGCAATGTCAATGTCATGATCTTCCGTCATCGCGCGCTCAACACTTGCCTGGGCTTCCCGCATGAAACTCTCCTCGTCTGATTCTTCAGAGGCGGCGGTGTTGTTACTGGCAGTGCTGATTCTGCGACGGCGGGCCTTGCGCGCCGTGGTACCTTCTCCAGAGCTCGTAAACGATGCATCCGATTGATTTAAAGACGCCATGTTGTAGATCAAACCAGACGAGTTGACGATTTCTTCATAGTCATCATCTTCTTCAACCTCAGACTCGTCTTCATAGACAAATCCGATTCCGTCGGTGCCAACCGCTTCGTAGTCCGTGTCTCTACCAAAGTCTCCCTCGGTTCGCGTTAACCGCTTGTTTCCGTCAACGGTGATGCCCTTCCCAACCTTGACATTGTACGAGATGATCGCTCCGGGCGAGATGTGGCTTGATTCTCCGATAATAGCGCCGTCGCCGATAACCGCGCAGTCCACGACGGCGTTGTCTCCGATCGTGACGTCGTCCCAGATATAGGCGCCCGATATTTTGGCGTTCTTTCCAATCTTACAGCGTCGACCAATCACGCTCCCAGTAATAACTGCGCCGTCGTCAACGACAGTGCGGGCACCGATAACCGTGCAGCTGTTGATCCGGCAAGAACGCGCGAGTACGACGTCGTCCTCTTTGTAGATATGTCCCCGCTGGTACTGGAATGTCTGGTCGGCTAGCAGGTTGCTATCGGGAGTGATAGGGTACGTCCATCTAGAGATGACATCCTTGCTAACAGCATCATATGTCTGCAGAGATCGCACACGAGCTGCATAGTGATCGGTAACGACATGCGCGAATATTGTCTTGCCCAGCAAATCTGAAGTCAGAATACCATGGACAAAGTCCTTGCGGATATGGTTGTAGTCGAAGTTCTCCGTAAACAGAGCCGGAACGTCAGGCGAGCAGATGTCGATATGACAATCGATAAAGTCGTTGCGGATCGCAAGGTCGGTGTGCTTGTTGAAGATCTCAGGTTCGAGGGAGATCTTCTTCATATGTTTCCGCGTCTTGATTTCTTCGTAGTGCAGACATTGGTTCGTCTGCTCGTCAAGCACAAAGATAGCAGACTCGGCGCGCGCCCGCGTTCTATGCAGCGGACTAGCTTCTCTCAGAACCATCGTCATGATTGCGTTCTTGTCCTTTGCGCGTCGTTGTCGGTGCTCGGCCAGTACTTGATCGAAGGGAACGTTGCAGACGATGTCACCGCTGACGAGCAAGAAATCCGAAGTGATCAAGCCCTTTGCATCCAGATCGCGCATCGCATCGCCGACAGACATCGATTCCGGACTTAGCACTGTCTCGATTGTAAATGGAGATGACGGACTACTCCATCGGGAGTTGCTGTTTACGCGAGACTTGGTTAGCGTTTGATTTCAACAATGGATCAATAGGTGGACAATCAACACATACGCAATATATTCCTGAATCTGCTCGGCATGTGCACACGACACGACAATGACCTCGCTCACGCCGGCCAAAGCCAGAAACTCGAAAGTATATTCGATCAATGGGGTGTTGCATAGAGAAAGAAGACACTATGAGCTTGTTAGCTTGGTTATATAGAGCATAGAAAGCAGACTTAGTCGTTGGTCGACGGCTTACCCGAGGCTTTTCGAGAGTGAGAGGCCGAAATCGGGTCTGGTATGAATCACTGAGAACGATCGCTTGTAGACGCTGAACGATTCGAAAGCTGTTAGCACACGTCTTACATCCTGTCTACTGCAATCCTCCTTGTAACCTCTGTTTCATCTTCCGCATCCATTTCCGCTCCTTGATTGAAGGAAATGAACGCAAACAGATCACAGATATCGGTCTACATACCTCATCTTGCTCGGCATCATGATCATTCCCTGCCGCATTTGAAGACGCGCCCTTTCTCTTTCCGGCCGCCTGCTGGCCACCCTTTTTTGGCCCCATACTGATCAATAAAGAATCAGTCCCTTGATGACGATTAAAAGGACTGTATGAACGAGTGTCGTGAATATAACCGCCGAATATGAAGGATCCCTGGATTTTTTTCTGAAAGGGAAAAACCAAAATTTGTAAAATTGTATGGAGAACTGGTTGGGTTTGGCAGCGAAATCGGTTTGGTTCAAGGTGCTGAACCGGCCATCGAAAGCCTAATTAATTTATTCACCGACATCCATCACTTGTTCTAATTCATTTGAAAGATCCAAATGCGATTCACCGACTCTGTGTCTCTACATGGTCATGCTTCGGAGGCAATTGAGAAAGCTTGACTGCCTCTCCCGAAGCTTTTCCACGACATCGAGCACACTAAAAGCGAAGCGAAAGTCGCGCGACAAGAAGGTACATTTCAACGAGCAAGCGTATCGCCAACCCGCGCTCAAAGTCGATACGCGACATGCACAGGACCTGCTTGTCAAAGACAAACGTCGTAAAAAGTTGGGTGGTATACAGAACCATGACGACTCGGATCCACGGCTGAGTCTGTTGTTTTTGGTCTACTGCGTGCAGCAAATCCAGGCTACTTCTGAGCAGAAATCAGACAGCAGAGGCGCGTCTTTTGTCGCTGAGGACGACGACGATGCTGCAGAAAAAGATGGTGAAAGAGAATGGGAACAGTCGGAAGATAGAGATATTGGATCTGCAAAGTCAAAATCAAGGTCTTCATCAGGAAAGCCCAAGGCCGGCTCTACCAGTGGACGAGGCAGAAAGCTGAGGGGCAGGCAGCTGCGGAATCCGTTAAGGGACTCGTCCCAGCGATCGAAGGTTAAGAATGACATATCTGAATTGAATCTGAGAAAGTGCATACATCTCTATACGCATCATTTTCGTCCGCTTGTAGAGGCCGAGGAACAGGTCGAGAAGAAGGAGATCCGAAATCGTCTGGAAAATTGGCCATTAGAAGAGCTCGTCAGTAAGGGCTACACACTCGTGAGTTTCCCCGTCCTGTTGCTACATGGTAGTTTTACGAGCAGCTATACTCATATTATGAAAACCTACAGACTGATCTACTTCCTCGTCACAGAGGGTGGCAGTTGAGCATGGGTCGTCAGGTATATGACATGATTCCTCAACAATATTGCAATTTCGTCCGTTTCAAGAATGGGGCCCAGGTGGCGCTATCATACGATGGACCGAAGAAACAAAAACCAATCATCGGCTCTATTATCGAGCAAGGTGAAAACTCGGTGACTGTTGTGGCACAGAAGCCGTTGCTGGAAAATCAGCGCTACAGGATCGATCAAGCACCTCATGAAACTACGTTTAAAAGGATGAAGCTAGCTCTTGCATCATTGAAGCTGGTTTTTCAAACAAGCGGCAAGAAGAAACCAAAAATGAGGAATAAGAAGCTGGCAGCGCAGAAAGCGGAGGAGAGACGGCAGATTGAACAAGCAGGTTTTGTCGGGTCTTCGTTGACTGATACCTTGGTCGGTGCAACAAAGGTCAGTCGGGACGTTTTAAGCGGTTTATATGTTGATCGAAGAGATCTACAGGACTGGTCTGAGAGGCAGCTAGAACAATCATCTGTTCCGAATGATGACCCCTTACAGCACATAAATCCATCTCAAAGAGAGGCAATCGCGAAGCTCATCCGCCATCGGTTTTCCCTCATCCAGGGGCCGCCTGGGACCGGCAAGACTGCGACAGTGATAGACGCTATATATTTTCTCAAGGAAGTGTACAAAGTTCCAGGCCCGATTTTGATCACAGGAGCGACGAATGTCGCGATAGACAATCTTCTGGATGGAATTATGCAAAAAGGAATCACATGTATGCGAGCGGGTCCTGTGGACAAGGCCCGACCGCATTTGAAATCGCGCTCGATTGATTACCTTTTCGATCAGCATCCGAAGAAAGCCGAGTATTTGGCTGCCAAGATAGAGCAGCATAAATTCTCTCAGACTTTCAATAAGAAGGGTAAGAGTCTGTGATTAGGGATATGACTGATGATTGAGACTAACGAATACTTGATAGACCACGCATCAGTGAAGACAATGAGGAAGTTGGATAAAAAAGAGAGGACACTGTTCAAAGAAATCATGAAAGATATCAGCGACGTCGATGTTATCTGCGCGACCTGTGTATCTGCAGGAAGCGCAATGCTAAGGACATTCAATTTCTCTCTCGTCCTGATCGATGAAGGCTCGCTGGTGGCTGAACCGGGTGCTCTGATTCCGCTGATGAAAGGGGCCGCACACGCATGCATTATCGGTGACCACAGACAGCTTCCGCCGCTGGTTAAAAGCTCGACGGACTCGCCACTGGCGTATTCACTTTTCGAGAGGCTTAGTGAGAACGACGTGGCGCCAATGACGATGCTGAATGTACAGTATCGCATGCACCCTGGAATCTCAGAGTTTCCATCAATGAGATTCTACAACTCCATGATCAGTAACGGACCGAATGTTTCTAAGCGTAAGCCTCTTCACTTTTATCTGTTTCGCAATGCGGCAGAGTTTCCTGTTGCGTTTGTGGATCATGCGAATCGCGAGACTGCCGCGGACGAAAAGTCGATCATGAACACGGGCGAGGCGGAGATCGTGCAGAATCTCCTCGTACGATTGTTTTCCGAGCACTCTGAACTGAAAGGAAAGGACGTGGCCGTGATAGCATCATACTCAGCGCAAGTGGACGAGATAAAGGAGAAGCTGCTTGACTACATCACACCGCTGGGCGGATTATCTCAGAATGATTTGCAGCAAAAGATGAGCAACGTCGAAGTCAACACGGTCGACGGCTTCCAAGGGAACGAAAACGAGGTGATTATATATTCTACAGTTCGAAACAACAAAGAAGGAGATATTGGATTTCTGCAGGATGAAAGGAGAATGAACGTCGCGCTGACGAGAGCGAGACGAGCGCTCGTGGTTGTGGGCTCGGTAGACACCTTGCAGAAGTCAGATTCAGGCGCGTGGAATGGCTACGTGAAGTGGCTACAGCAGAGAGATCTGGTTGTTCAGAACCGAGAGAAAGGCTTGGAGAACGCTTGAGATCTCGCAGGGTCTTGTTGGGGTTGAGGTTGAGCGTGACCGCGGGATCAGATCATGTGAGCGTTTATCTGCTCAGCGTCTGAGCGGCGGGCTACGATCGATCGCGTGCATCCTCAACAAGGCTTTTACCAATCTTTGAGAGTACTCTTGCCCCAGATTACGTGGGCATCATGTATTCATGTACATAGGAGAAGAGATAGAACGAACATAGAGAGGAGAGAGAGAATAAGACTGAGCTTTGCGAGAGTGAATAACAAACCGTGTACTCCGAGACCGAATGAATAGAGAAAACAATTACAACAAACAAAAATATAACGCAAGCAAAGACTCATAAAACATCGTAGAGCATCAGCGCTCAGAGGCCGCCACCCGATCGCTCGACGGTGACGCCGTGGACTTCCTTAGTCTGGTTGATGCCCTTGTTGTTCGATCTCGACGCGTTCGGATGGTCGTTCCACGACTTGTAGTAGGACGGCTTGGGTCCATGCGAGCTCGTGGGCGTGACCAAGGTGAAGCGTTTGGCTGCAGGCCGCTTCTCGGTCGGCTTGTAGTAGTAGTAAGTGGCGAGGCCACCGAGCATTAGGATCGAGGCGCCGAACATGAATCGGTTGTTCTGGCGTCTGATCTTTGGGTTTAGCATTGATGAGCCGGAGGGCGGATGGTGAGGAGTGTGAGGGGCGTCCATTGCGGATGTAGTTTGCACACAGATGTGGATGATATGATAACGCGAAAGCACAGAGCAGAGACAGAGACAGAGCAGCAGCGGCGCTTTAAGTACTCAGACCAGGCTGCTATTTAGGATTCGCTTTTTATTATTTCCAATTCAACAAATATTATGCGACGACGCGATCTTCCGCCAGATTCCCGTTTGGGCCGGTGACTGCCTGACTCGGCTCTCTTCCCCGCAGTCCACGCGCGCCGTTGGGAACTTGGGAACTTGGGGCGTGGCCTATGATGTAATATTACGTAATATGGATGTTTCCTTACTTTCCTTGTTCACAACGTGGATGAAGACACTTTTATATCTGCAGACAAAAATAATAAACAGCCTTGATGTAAGGTACTAGTAGCACAGCCTTCCTATCCTTCCTCCCATTCCCTCCTTGCATACAAAATTGGTTAAAGACGGCGTATACCAAAACACTCGACCCAATATGTACAGTTTTTTAGCTCAAAAATTGATAAATATGATATAATCACATCATGAAATACAGAAACATAACATAAACTCATCTATATCCGCCATCGATCGGTGCCAGCCTCGGCGGCTTTCTCGTCCACAGCGGAGGCCCGAACTTCACGCCCCTGAAAAACGGATGCTCTTTGATCTGCTGGATAGTCAACCGCTTGGCGGGATCGAGCTGCAGCAGCCTGCTCACCAAATCCTTGACCTGGCTCGGAAACGCAACCGGGAACTGGTACTCAAGCTTGATAATCTTTTGGAACGTCTGGTACTCATTCGTCGCCTTGAACGGCGGCCGTCCGCTGAGCAGCTGGAACAGAATACATCCAAACGCCCATAGATCCGAGCTCTTGCAGGCTGCCTTGTCATTCAAAAGCTCGGGCGAAACGTATTCGGCCGTGCCGACAAACGAGCTCGCGCGCTCTTCCTCGATAGTTGACTTGTGCAGCGGAATCTGCTCTTCGCCGTCTTCGTTCTGGATCGGTTTTGGGAGATCCAACAATTTCGCCGATCCAAAATCTGTGACCTTTACTCTCATATTTTCGTCCAACAATATACTATAGAGCAAACTTGTTAGCGCATTGAATAGTATTCAAAATCAATCCGTCATCAGTATTACTTTTCGGGTTTCAAATCTCTATGTATGATCCCACGTGAATGCATATACTCGATGGCGTCGAGCAACTGTGCACTATAATATTGTGCACACTCCAAATTGAGCGTCCCGAGCTATTTGAATCGCAAGTAGTCAGTAAGGCTGTCATAAAGATGGGCGGAGACATAATTTGATATACCCTCTTGAGCATAGTGAACAGCTCTCCGTTTGGAGCCAGATCAAGGACGAAGTACAAGCTCCGCTCGTCCTGAAATGTGTAGTATAATCTCACAATTCCAGGGTGCTCTCCTAGCCGATTGAGAGTATTTTTCTCGACATTGACATATTTGACTTTCTTCTCTTTGATGATGTGTCTCTTGTCGAGGACCTTGATTGCGTACTCTCTCAATGTTTGGCGATCTGTGGCCGCAACCACGGTCGAGAACGATCCCTCGCCGAGAACTCGGCCAAATGTGAAATCCTTCACACCCTTCTTAATAGTTTTAATCTGGATATTTCCATTCGCATCGGCTTCGCGCTGGATATGCACCGCCGCCCCGCGCTCGGCCCAGTCGTCAGATGTTGTCCGCTTCTTGGAAGTCAAGTACGGAGCGTGGATCCCCGTCGTGGTAGGCGAGGGAGGCGTGCTCTGTGATTGCTGACTCAACATATGTGCTTGGTACGACGGAAGCGACTGTAGTGTAGGCAGCCCAGCAACGGTCTTGGCCGAGTCGAGAGCGTACGGAACGCGGCGAGTAGAGCTGCCGTTGCTGTGAGGCACATACGGAGACGGGCTCGACGACGACTCGCTGCCGGGCGTGGACGGCATCGTCGGAGTGGATTTGGTGGGCGGGGTGATGATCGCAGGAGAGGAATACGAGCGGATCGAGTGGGGCTTTTCGTCCTGCGTCATAGGCGGCATCGAAAGCGGTGAAGGTTGATATGAATGCTGCTGCTGCTGTTGTTGTTGTTGCTGTTGCTGTTGCTGTTGTTGTTGCTGTTGTTGATGCTGCTGAATACGCTGTTTCTGCAAGAGAGCAGAATTGGCCGCTACCGAGGCGCCATTTGAATTATTCGCGGTCGCAGGCGCAGAGACGATGATGGGAGCGTTTGATGTGGATGCGGATGCGTGGTAGAGCGCAGTAGCGGCGGCTGTGGCCGCCGATTTACGCTGCGCTTCGGTGGTAGCGGACTCGTAGACCGGCTTTGGTTCCCTTTTCTTGTTGTTTGTGCGGAAGCGCGACTGGTACTCTGTCTGTGGACTCTCATGGTGGTGCTGCTGCTGATGCTGATACTGCTGCTGCTGTTGCTGTTGTTGCTGCGATTGTTGCTGCTGGGGAGCGGCTTGCAGCGAGGGCGAGGGAGGCGGAGAAGACTGCTTCGAGGACGAGGACAGCCGGAGCTTGCCAAAAAAGTTAGACAGCTTTTCTGGCATGGCGGGTAGTCATGCGGAGAGAGGGAAGGGGTGGTGGAGGAGGGGAGGAGGGAGGGAGGGTGATGGAGCGGGAGAATACGTAGACAGAGGAAGGGCACGGCGCGGCACCGAAGCTGTCAAGGTCGAGGTCGAGCTTCCGGGCAGTGATGGAGAAGACGACGAGTTGGGTCTTTCTGAGGTTCTGCGCTGCGAATAAATACAGCTGCTATTCTAAGTGTGTTTAAACAGCTACTCTCTCGATCAATTATCTACAATACTGCACACAACACCGCCCACATCCACTCTTCTCATCCTCCCGGTTCGTATCGGAGACCTGCTTCCAGGCGCTGGCAGGGTTCCAAAATCACACGAAGCCCTCGCTGATGTCAGAGCGCCGCATCCTAAAATCTGCCCCGCGCTCGTCACAGCGCCGAGGGCTGAGCCGCGTAGATCATCTTCGCGATCAGCCCAATCTCGGTGTCGACCTGCAGAGGCTGTTGACCGAGCTCAGATACCAGACTACTCTCAGCAATACCCACAAGCAGGCAGCTGGCATGCTGGCTCACCGCGCAACCACCCTTATCATCAACCCGCGCGAGTACCAGGTCCCGGAGTACAACCCCGTCGCCAAACGCTCCGTTCAGGCTAATCTTATCGACCCCTCCATCGCATCTACAAAAGAGCCCGTCCCCGCGCCTCCGCCCCAGCTCTACAACCCAGACGGCTCAATCAACCACATCAATCACTACTTTTACTATCACCACCTCACCCATTTCGACAAGCTCGACGGCCTGCACCGCGGCCTCTTCGACGACGATGGGTACGAGATCCCGCATTTTCACCATCCTGTCTCGTCTATCAACCTCGAGAGCGTAGCCAAGTTCGGCCAGCTCGGCATCACCTCTCGCAGGAACAAGGGTTTTAGAAGTGCTTCCAGCTCTATTCACGTTCCAAAGCAACGCAGACGCGCTGCCGTGCACGGTGCTACTACGCCGGACGAGAGCTCTACCGGCAGTGATCTCAATCGACCCTATCTCCAGCGGCAAAAAAGATTCAGCCTACGCTCGCCCTCTGGTAAAGAAGGTGAAGGCAGCAGCAGGCTTTTTAGCTCCGGAAGCGGATTTAGACGCTACTTTAGTTTCAACTGGCGTTCAATCTGGCTTCCGCACACGCGCCAGTCGCCGTCGCAGTCGCGTCAGTCGTCGGCGCAGTCGTACCAATCGTCGCCGCAGTCGCGGGCAGTATCTGCAGAGCAGCCGACTCAGCAAAATCAGCCATCCAGCAGCAACTTGCAACCCGAGGACTTCAACCAAACTGTCGCCAGTAGACAGTCTCTTGCAACCGAGCTCTCACAGTCTTCTCGAGACCAAACATTCACTTCAGCCGTCATTTCTCAGCTTCAAGACCTGCTTCTAGAGCCAACACGGGATCCAACCAACACCGCTGCCGTCGTCAACCAGATACTTGAAAGACACGCGTTTACCGAGCGATTGGTAGTCGACCCGGAGCAGGGATGGAGAGTTGCTTACGACACGGGACCGCAGAGCGCCGACTCGGCTGGAGGCGCTCCTACGACAGATACGCCTGGACGATCGCTCGGGCGCTGCTAGTCTTGCTCTCTATTACTCTCTCACTGCTGTTCTGTTCCAATACCCCTGTCTATAGTATTTCTATCACCCTGTGTATCAAACAAAACGCATACCCAAGAAGTTTGTCTATCCCTTCTATTACACTCCGACCCGGCTTCTCTTCCTCAACTTACTCTCTGAGAGGCAAACCGAGCTGTTAGTTTTGTCAATATCGTTAGTACATGCAATACAAGTTTCTACATCAAAACACGCAGCTTAGAAAAGCGGATACATACGCCGACATAGCCCATGTCAATTGCTTCCATTGTCTTGATGCTAAACTCTTTTGATACGAGTTCCTCAGCTAGATCGTAATCGTTAGCTATGTCTTGCAGTGTTGTTAGAGGACAGAACGAACCTTTCCCCTGGGTGACTGCGTTATAAAACGCGTCGAGCTGGAACGCATATGTATTCCACGCCTCCCGTCCTTGCACATACGCCTTGAAATGCTCCACTTTCCCCGTCTCAAGGTCCTTGACGGCAATATCGTGATAGAAATTTCCATACACGGGCAACGTATATGTCAACTCTTTCTTCGTGCCGGTAATCTTCATAAACGGCAGCACGCCGATCTTGTAGAGCTCGGTGAATGGTGTTTTCAAGCCTGTGTGGATGATTCCTTTTTTGTCAGGGTTGGAGGCAAATGAGTACTCTAGCTGGGTGAAGTAGTCGATTCTCGGGTCCTTGTCGTATGTCAGACAGGTAAGTTTTTTGGCACTGACCGGCTCCTCGCTCATCATTGTTCGCATCCACGAAATGGGATAGCAACCGGTGTCCATAAGAGCCCCGCCCGCGAGATCAAAAGACGACCGTATATCTGTCTCGACTCCTTTCAGTCTCGCAGACAGTGATCCTTCGAATCGCATGACCTCACCAAAACTATCGACGTCGCCGATGATCTCTTGGACTTTCTTCCTACCGGGATAAAAGTACCAATGGTACGCCTCAGTAACTAAAACGTTCTTGCTCTCGGCGTACTCAAACAGCTGTCTTGCCTGCTCCGCGTTGGAAGCACACGGTTTCTCAAGCAACACCGGCTTTCCAGCATCGACGCACTTAGTCGACCACTCGTAGTGCAATCCGTTCGGAGCCGGGATGTAGACGACGTCGATCTCCGGATCGTTGATCAGTTCCTCGTACGTATTATGTGTTTTCGGAATCCCGTGCTTTTTCGCAAACGCCTGTGCCCGAGCCGGGTCTCTAGCAGCAACAGAGTACACTGTGACTTTGTCCGGCATCAGTTTCGCGGGCTTGATCACGGCCGCGGGCGCGATTTTGGCGGCGCCGAGAATGCCGAGCTTTAACGGTTTCGCCGTGCTCGGAACTTCTAAAACAGATGGAAAGATGACATCGTGCAGTCTGGTGAAGGTTGCGGACCAGCTTGGAGGGGCAGAGTTGATGGACATTGTAAATTGATGCGGTGGGAGTCGGAGCTTATCGATAGGCAGCTGATGCAGAGCAATTGAGCTGTACTATTGCTTATAACTTGTAATACCACAATCCTGCGGACTGTGCTCAATTGTCAGTAGATACACCCTCTGTTTGCAACAGCTAGCACGCGTTCTACTCTCAAGACCTCTTCCTGATCTATTTCCATCCGAACCTCCCGACGCCTATCAACCAAATCCTCGACCCGTCTAATCTTCACGTGACTGCGGATCTCGCGCGGTCGAGCCACTCGCCCAGCTCGACTATCGCGCTCTTTGTTATTTTCGCACAAATTCCGGCGCACAATCGATAAGAGATTGATTTTGGGCGGCAGGCCATGGCTTCTCCGGGCCGAATACACCACCACCATGATTCTCTGGAGACAAATGCTCCCCTGCAGCAAAGACCAGAGTACCTCGCGGCGGCGGCGGCAGCTGCTGCGGTAGGAGAGGGGCAATTCGTCGCGCATGGCGCGTTCGACTTTGCTGCTGGCGCTACGACGGCTTCCCCGCATGTCGTGCCCGCGACTCCAGTCCCTCAGCAGCAGCAACAACACGAGCAACATGAGCATCAGATGCAGGCTCGGCAGCAGCAGCAGCAGGATGGACAGTACGAGAATTTATCAGCTGTCGCGGCGGCGGCTGCGATCGTCATTGGCGCATCAGAGGGAACGACTGATCCCAATCTCGCGGGCTACACAGCTGCCTCGACAGTTCCCTCGGCAGTGCAGACTGAACCGTCTATCCAAAGCGCCGCGCCTGCTGTCGCGTCCTCGGCGCGGCAAACCACCAGCAACAATGGCACCATAGAGACTTTGTTCTGCGGCCGCTGCCACGTCCATCGTCCCTATGCCGACTTCTTCGGCCCTCCGCACCCAGAGACAATGAAGAAAAACTGCGTCCACTGCCGCACAAAGATGAATCTCTATAAACGATCTGTCGAGCGGAGTAGGTCGCACGGCCGCGAGTTTGCGGATATTCCGGAATCGCACCGGGTGAGTTCGATGGCGGGGCTGAAGGAGCTCTTGACGTCTGATTTGTTCTCTGTGCCGGTGCGCGAGCAGAACGAGGATACTCTGGACGATAGCAGTACGGCCGCGCGTGCGCAGTTTAAGTACTTTGTTTTACCAGCCACTGTTTTCAACGATAAAACCATCGGCGAGTGGTTCGAGGGCACGCAGGCGGAGCCTCACGAGGTGTACAAGTTTGTGATCAAGGCGGTGATGGAGATCACGGGCTACTCGTTCCAGAGACACGGGCGGTATACGTATACGCGAAACACAGGCGGCTGGTCGTCCAGGTACAAATGTGGACAAGCGACCTCGAGCGCGTCGAGGCACGTGCGGAAAACCGGTCCGAAAGCGCGCAACGTCGTGCCGCGAACATATTACAAATGCGACGGCGTGCTCACGATCAGTGGGACCGTTGCCGGCTTGCGCATTGTCTACGACCATCTGCATATCCACACGGGCCGGACGCGCAAGCCGTCGGTGAAGAAAGGCGACCCGATCTTTCCCGAGGACATCCCGACAAATGTTAAGCTGCTGCGCAACGTGGCGCCGATGTTTGTCGAGCAACTGCAGCAGTCTGGCGCGTATCCTAGTCTACCGCCGCCGGGGTTCACGGGGTTTGACCATCCGCAGTTTGCGGAGCGGCGGAAGCTGATGATGCTTTTTTTCGGGACGGGGATATGTAAGAATAACCGGCCGCTGCAGGATTTTCTGATGGCGCAGACGGAGGGACTTGCGCGCACGCTGAGTCAGATTCATGATCAACCTGAAGACGGATCTCTGTTTTTTGATAATCAGCAGCAGCAGCCGGAGCTATTGATGGCTGATCGTCAGCGGGATCCGAATGAGCTGCGCCATCTACAGGAATCTGCGCATCTTGCCAGACAAACCGACCAAGTTCCTGCGAGCTCTACGGTCGACGTTGGAAATAGTATGGTGGATAGCCATCACCGCGTGGATGCAGAAGCGAGGCCGGTTGTTCACCACGATGATGATGATGGTGATGATGATGACGATGACGATGACGATGATGATCCGATGGCTGGCATCGATACTGATTTGGAGGGGCTGGATGTCGTCGCTCATTTTAACGAGTTTGTCCCGTAGAGAGTATTAATATGTGCTGTTCTATGTGTGGTAATAATATTTTCTGTAATTATAACTATAATAGCATTGACAGTTCCGGGTTTGCTTTTGATTCTGTAAGAGATTTTTGGCTATACAGCTGCAGTAACCTTACACGTCTTCAGAGTATATAACCATTCTTAATAAACATAACAGAAAAGCATCTGTATTCATAGATCAAGTATTCTGAATCAATTAACAGAAAAAGTGTAGAAGATTGCGAAAGTGCAGGAACATATTTCGATTAAAGTTGCGCGGACGAAACTCCCATCGCTGACATTGGATTCTCGAATATTTCTGCGGCGACTGGGTCTCTACAACTATTCCGCTTCTGATTCGATTTCAAGCCAGCTCAATTCTACCACCGAGAACGAAACAAACGCCTGCTTCCCCAGACTCTAGCGACACTAGGGAAAGCATTTGATACTACTAATCGCAGTCAGTACCTTACAACCCGCGAACAGAACTTCACTCTTCAAATTCATTTTGAACCAAAGATTCCAATGGCGCAGCAACAGGACGACACATTTGTAACCAGAGCCGAGCGGCAAAAATGCTGGGACGCGCGGGACGGATTTTTTGCGTGTTTGACGGAGAACAAGATCCGGAGTCTGCGGAAACCCGAGGCGAGGACGGCGGTGTCGGAGAAGTGTAAGGAGGCTAGTGATGTGCTGCATCAGTCGTGTCGGCAGGCTTGGGTACGTCTTTTCTTTAGATTCGGGTGGGGTAGTGTGTTTGTGAAGGGTTTGCTGACGGGGAAGTTGTGTAGGTTGACCACTTTATGAGATTACGGGAACGAGAGCTTGGAATGGTGGAGTTCAAGAAGAGGATTGCGGATAATACAGATACCGTTGAGCGAGCGCCTGATGCAAACTTCACCAAGGTCTCGCGTTCTTGAAGTTTGGGGCAGAGAGAGGAAGATGATACAGATGTGGATCGGTTAGACGCCCTGAGACACAATTGCTGAATGTAAATACAAAGCTATGAACAAGTGAGGTTTATGTAGATACGAGCTGCCATGCGATACTGGTGGAAATTTGTATATTTTGAGGGCATCCCAACACCCATTACAGTACAATCAAATGCATCCCATATCGGTTCACGTTACTTTTTTGTTACATCTCATGTCATCCCTAAGCAAGAATTTCCTTCAAAGCCTTGACGACAGCGTCGCCGACATCAGAGGTCGACGCCGTACCGCCGAGATCACCTGTCCGGACATCGTAACCGCCGATATCTTTTGAGTCCAGGACTTTTCGGACCGCGGCCTCGACGGCGAGACCCTCGGCTTTCATGTTGAGCGAGAGCTTGAGCATCATTGCGACGGAGAGAATGGTAGCGATCTAAGTGGGAGATGTTAATAGGTTGGGTAGAATTGACGGAAAAATAGGAGGATGGACTTACGGGGTTGACTTTGCCGGCCGGGAGATCAGGAGCAGAGCCATGGCAAGGCTCGTAAAGACCAAGAGCCTCGCTTCCGTCCGGCAGAGACGCGAGAGAAGCAGAAGGAGGAAGTCCGAGCGATCCAGGGATGACAGAAGCCTCGTCGGAGATGATATCGCCAAACATGTTCGAGGTGACGATGACTCCGTTGAGAGACTTGGGATCCTTGACGAGGATCATGGCCGCCGAGTCGATGAGCTGGTGCTTGAGCGTGAGCTGAGGAAATTCCTCCTTGATCACGCGCTCGGTGGTCTTTCTCCACAGCCGCGACGAGGCAAGGACGTTGGCCTTGTCGAGCGACCAGATCGGCAAAGGGGGTTCGGACTGGAGAGCAATGAAGGCAGCCATTCGAGTGATACGCTCGACCTCGGCGACCGAGTACACCTCGGTGTCCATAGCCACGCCGTCACCGGTATCCTCCTTACGATCGCCAAAGTAGATTCCGCCGACGAGTTCACGGACGACCACGAAGTCGGTTCCACGAGCAACCTCCTCCTTCAACGGACTATACTTGATAAGCGAGTCCGAGGGGAAGCTGCACGGCCGCAGGTTCGCGTACAGGTTGAGCTCTTTACGGATCTTGAGCAATCCCTGCTCCGGACGAACAGCGCCAGTTCCCCACTTTGGACCACCGACGGCGCCGAGGAGGATCGCGTTCGCGCTCTTGGCGGCGTTCAAGGTGACGTCCGGGAGCGGCTCGCCTGTGGCATCGATGGCGGCGCCGCCAATCAGATGTTCTTCGTACTCGATCTTTGTGTCTGGTCGGAGAGCGACTATGGCGTCGAGCACCTTGCGCGCCTCGGCGACGACTTCCTTTCCGACGTGATCACCGGGGAGCAGGACGATTTTCTTGGTAGCAGGCATCTTGGTAGATATAGAATCAACAGAATACAATGATGATATGTAAGAAACTATGGGATTGAGAAAGGAAAAGGGAAAGAGAGGATGGAGAAGGACCAGGAATATGAGATGACTATAGTTGACGCGGAAGGTTTTTTTTTGCGCCGATAGCGGCCGGTGTCCCAAGCGAAATCGGCGATGAGGCAGACGCTGAATCTAAGACTGCCTGCCCCGGACTATCTTCTGGCCATGCGCAGGGTCGCTCATCTATGTGTTTGCTTTAGTGTTTGCTTTATACGATTATTGTTTATAGAGGGCAGGCGGAGTATACTGTAGAAGTAGTGCATGGATCAAACCTCGTGGGTATACTCAACACCTCAAGCAGCTCTTCGAATTCAGGTGGTCCAAGTAACAGCAACACCGGAAGTAATCACCAGCGGGGATTGATTAAGAAGACTATACGAGGAAGAGGATAAAACAAAATCAATATCTGCACTCAGGATTCATTAGTTTGAAATCTGCTCCGGCCACGCTGCGAATATATGAGAGCCATATTGCTACGGTTCATAGAGTTTAATGGATAGGATCTGGGAGTTCACTAATATACTTAGGTTATCTGTGACGTTGACGGCATCGTCTATAGGGCAGTGCAGTGCTAATATAGTGAGTGTTCCTTTCGGCCAAGGATCGCTGGGAATTCGGACGTCCGGAAAACTACAGTGAAGTGTGAACAAGATGCGAGGAAAAAGAAAAGAGCGAGGAAGAACAGAGGTAGATTGAACACCCTTCCTCTTCTGTCCTCTGACTTTCCAGATTCTCAACTGATAAATAGCAAACAGTCGCGGGGCGGAGCAAGTTTAATGCCAGGAGAAGAAGGCATTAGTGATCAGCCAATTGCCAAACGGTGAGCGAGCCACGGGTGAGACAGTGAGACAGCTACTTAACTGCAAAGGTGAGACCTAAATTAGAGTAAGGTTTTAGATGCTGATTCAGTTGGGTTTAGTTTTAGTCGACGGTTATTAGTCTACTTTTGGTAACAATAGCAATTATACCGATCCCTGTGCTCTTGCTGATCGTTTTGCTCACCGCTTTTCGTTTTGTTATCGGTCTTTCTCGTGTCTGTCTGATCATCGTTCATCTTATTCAACGCATACTCAACGGTATCAAGCTAACGTAAGCAAAACGCCATTCTCCCTAATCGTTCCAGATTTAAAACCCGCATCCCCTTGCCTAACATCAAACAAGAACGTTGACTCGAACCACCTGACAACGACCCGACGACGAAATAGACCTCCTAAGCCAGTCAACGACAAACGGTAAATGAAAAATATATAAAATATAATAGAATTAGTATCATGAGCGCCGTTAAAAACTATAAACACATAAGCCGTTCCCTGCGGACCACACCTTTACTATGATAACCCATATATACAAATAGAAGAAAACAACCCAGAATCATCGCCTTCATCAAGATAACATGCCTTCATCAAGATAACATAAAACAGCGACCAAAAAATCGCAAAGCCATAAATCAAATGATACAATCCATATATGCACCGCTTAACCAACAATACTACCGCCCCTTGCCCGCATTTAAATGATAAAACTCTTGTTGAGCGCCTTGATCGCACGCATATCCTCGCCCCACGACACCTTCTCAAACGGGATATCTTGCACCTCGTGGCCTTCGCTTGTGCGCGCCGTCAGCATATCGAGTCCGCCGAGTGGCGAACCAGAGTACTGCTATCCGCCGGCAGACGGGTGCTCAGATCCGGACTGCGCGGGTGGCAGTGGCAGCTGGGCCTGCATAGGCCGCGGTACTTGCGGATCTGTCTGCTGCTCGGCTTGTAGAGGAGCAGGTGCGGCTTGCTGAAGGTGCTGTGGGCTGTACTGATGCTGCTGCTGAGGCGCAAGCGGCTGCTTGGGAGGCACCGGCAGTCCGTTCGTTTGATATTGATAGACTGGAACTGGAGCCATCTGTGCCATCTGTGGCTGCATGGACTGGAGTAGCGGTGCCTGCTGCTGCTGCTGCTGCTGTTGCTGCTGTTGCTGTCGGTGATAATCCTGTGGGTGGTGAAGGGGGGCGCCGTTTGCAGCGTACTGCTGCGATGGGGATATTGATTGTATGCTGTAGTTGGGAGGCGTCGATGCCGGACTTGGCGGCCATCCGTAAATCTGCTGCTGCTGCTGCTGGAGATGCTGTTCCATCATCGGCGACCGCTGCTGAGGAGTGTGAGGTGGTACAGCGAGCATAGGCGCCATCATCGACTGTTGCTGGAACGACGGCGGCGGAGGTGGAGCATGTCCTTGCTGCTGCTGTGGAGGCTGCTGCTGTTGCTGCTGGGCGTACTGGTAAGCCGGAGGTTGGAGCTGCATCTGTGCTTGCGGAGGTGGCGGAGCCTGGGGATGCTGCTGCATCGGGCTTACATGTGGCGGCTGCTGCGATGGGTGATAAGCAAGCTGCGGCTGTTGCGAGTGCTGCTGCTGCATCATGGGCTGCGGTGCGATCTGGATCTGCGGCCGGATGCTTTGCGAAGGAGTCTGCGCCGCCGCCGCGGGCAGCGAGTTTTGTCGCAGATGGGGAGTCCCCAGCGGCATCGGGCCGCCAAGAGGCTCGGGATCAGAGGCTGTCGCATCGGGGTACATGCCCTTTGGTATGCGGATGTACTTCAGAGCCGGGTCGTTGCACGGCTGCATCAGATCAGAGCCGGTCTGGACGTGCGAGCGCGAGTAATAGGAGATCAGATGCAGCTTGAGATGTGACGAGGTCTGGATGGAGAACGACTGCTTCATAAGCCCGTCTGGCTTGTACCGGTATCCGTCCGGGCCCTCGCGTTCAGAGTCGTCCGAGTCTTCTTCGCGCGGCTGGTCCGAAGGCGAGGCCACGAGCGGTCCGCCGTACGTCCCGCCGCCACGCTTGCCCTCCATCTCGCGATAGGTGAGGAACGAGCCCGAGACCCGCGAGGCCGACCATGATTTGCCGTCTGTCCAGCGCTGCATGCCGGCCTCGCGCTCGTCCCAGACAAAGACGGAGCCGGAGCGGATGGCGAGACGTTCTTTTTCTGATAGGCGGCGCTGCACGCGCGGGAGGATGCCGAGCCGGCAGGCTTCGAAGAGGATGATTGCGTCGAGCGGAGTACGGACGTACCCGTAGTATGTCTCCATGGAAGACATGGTGGGAGGTAGCCGAGAGCGAGTTGCTGGTTTAGTAGTGTGGAGGGAGGGTGCGTAGGAAAGGGAAAGAGGGATAACGAAGCAAGAAGGGAGAAGGAGAAGGAGAGGGAAAAAGGGCGGCGAGGGCGGAGCGTGGGAGCGACGGGCAGCGGGAAGCGCTTATAGAAAAATGTGAAGAACAACGAGCGCATTCGCAACCGAACCTTAAACCGACATGACACGCACAGATTGGAAAGTTTAATGTGCGCCACGCGTTTCTTTCGCCCCCGTCAAGCCAGAAATGGGGAGGGGAGAGAAGTGGCTGACGCGGAAGTTGGCAGAGGGTACCGAGCTGGTGTCGTACCCGGCTGCTCATCTTGACGGTCCTATCTCCGACGGACTTGTCGTACCGCGCCTGCCCCTTTGAGCTGTAATGTGTCTACGCCCTGGCACTACTATTCATTATCTCTATAAAATCATTGTAGATACGTTTACTTTATATATCGATACAAGTTATCTTACAAGTACGGCACCAGACATGGAATGGCGAAGAAGCAGCTGACCCATAACCATTAAGGTTCGAAAGTTAACCGTAAATCAACTAAAGTTGCGTTAAACAAGCTTGCAACTCTAAAATTCTAGATTCGGTCGCTTGAGGAGGTTTGACCGTGTTCCGGTCCGGTTCAAAGAGCGCCAGAGGGAGTGATTGCGGAAGCGCGACGGACGTGATAGCCGGTATACAGCCTGCACTCCCGGCTGCGCACGATCTGCACGCTCACTTGTGTAGAAAGCCACACTGGTGCGTTGACTGTTGAGAAGAATACGGAGATGACAATGGACTCGAAATTAAGGCTGCAATAACAAATAAAGATATCTGGTGTTTGGGTGTCTGGTTGTACGAATAGATATATTATGTCGGGGTCGAAATGAAAAAGCTTGGCGGACGTCATAGACTCTAAAACTTTAAAGTCGGATACGCGGGCGACCAAGAGCAGTGGTCACGTTTGCGCCAATTTATCCGGCGATCCAAGATTTGCCGAGGGCACAATTCCGCGGAGGGAGTATCGCTGAACGCAGAAATAGTGTGAGGAATGCATGGCAGAAAGCGGCAGCAGACAGAGCGCGAAAGCGAGAGGGAAGAAGGGATCTGCGCGCGCAACAAGGTGAGGCAATTCGTTCGCATGCAGTTTCTTGACTTATTCACACTCATCTTGGACTGGACCGCAGAGCAGGGTAGAGGAACCTGAAGTGCACGGACGCGGCAGAATCGGTCTACGCTGGCCTCAGTCCGTGCCCGCCTCAGCTCGCTGGTGTAGCTCTGGCAGAGTAATAGTAAGCGGATGACGATCTGGCAGAGATATTGCTCACATGAATAATAGGAAGCCTTCATGAAGCAGGAATATGCCGCGTAGGAAGGAAGACATAGTGTGATCTAAGACCGCAGCCGAGGCGCCGGTCGGATAAGCTTATATTATTGCTATGAAGACCTGAAGTCTAAAGCAAACAGAAACCACGCATCCGGTTACGTAATGGCCGGTCGCACCTTCCCAGCCAAGGCAATATTAGACCTTCCGATGCTCTGCTTGCCTGATTGTTGTTGGATTCATCAGTCCTACGGTTCTGCTATCAAGACTATCCTATTCCGCCTGGCACTTCTCCGTGCACGCCAGTCAAGGCTTCTCCGCGGCACCGCTGCGCTGTGTCATTTGTGCTCATAATACCTCACTTCTCGGACGTCACAGCGGCGAGGAATATGAGAAATATAGGTGACGCGGGCATTGAATAAAACATAGCAAAAAAAGCACCGCATTCCAAATTTATTTCCGCCACTGCAGTACTCCTTCCTAGTCCTCTCCTTCACTCTTATTCAAACACGTGGCTTGCCCAAACAGCGGCTTTATTAATCAGGTTCGCGCAAAATGAAATCTGCTCTAATCTCTATATTTTTAATATCCACCCACCACCGTAGCGTCGGGCACAGGACCGATTCCACCTGAGTTGGCATGACCATCGGACCAGCCGGGGTCGGCTTACGATTTCAGGAAAGCCTGAGCACTTGCCTTCTGCTCCCACCACCACCGCGCCGCTACTCCCCCCCCTTCGCATCCGACCAGTGTCATATCTCAAGAACCTGCTCCAAGCCACAGCGGGACCCAGCTCTCTGCTGGTTCCTTTGCTTCAGCCTCGAGCTTAATTTCGGTGCTTAACTCCGTTTACTTTTGCTGAACGCGGGTGCGCCTGACGCTGAAAGTCTAAACCGCTTACCATCGCTCAGCTGACAGGCCCAGACTTGGTTTTGTATCCTGCCTGTCTGCCGCCGGCAAATTCCGCGTCCTCGTCACCGCGGGCTGCTGCCATCCGCAGCTGCTCTCTGCGCGTGGAGGAGGTCGTCAGGAGCGCGCCGTGGATGCCGCTGCTGCTACACCGCGAGGGAATGCAGGTCTGCTGCACCAGAGGTAGGGCTACAGCAGCAGGGTGATCGGATATCAGAGGCCGAGTAGCAAACTATGAATCCACATCGCCGTTTTTTCCCGTCTCGTTCAGGCTCTCTATGGTCACCGCGCCAGATATCCCGACTCGCACAACTGTCTCACCTTGGAGGTTCTCGCGCTCTAGCCAGCAGCTGCTCCGGGCCCTCCGGTCGAAAAGCAAACAGGCGGGAACGCTTGTCGTTCGCTCGTTCCATTCGTTTTTAGCGGGAAGTATTTTGGCTGGCGGTTCCGCGCTCCCAGCGCCACCGGAAATCTCGCAACAGCCTGATATGTCGCTCTTTGAATTTTACTCGTCGATGAAAAGACTACAAAACCAAGTAGGTATGTATGCAGGCCCGCCGTTATTCCTGTACAGCTCCAGCTCCAAGCTGCAACGGGTGAGCATTGCATAATATAGCGTACCTTTGCTTTGTTCCCCCTTCTGCCGTCATCACACCGTCCCGCGCGTTCATCGCCGTGGAATTAAGAAAAACCATAAAGGTTGTCCGAGCTGCCACTTGGCAACTTGTCTTCTATTTCCGGTGCGAGCAGCACGGCATACTGCATTCAATGAGCGTTAAGCATGTGTTTCTGTTTTCGTGTTTTCTTGTTCATTTGTGTCTCAAGGTAATCGGGATGGATTCGAGACTTTGATCTTTTAATCCCGCTGCTGCCACCCAGACCATTGTCCGTTGCCTATCTCCATTTGCGCTAAGAAGAGAAAGCGAGCTAGATAAAAGAGGATTCTAGACGGCTGGATATGCTTATTTTAGTGCCGAGAGTGGTGGGGAGAGCTCGCAAGGCTGTTATGTTGACGTAGAGCGATATTTACATCTCGGTCTCGCGTCGTGTGCTACCGTGGTGTCCATCGCGAATAAATAATAGATAGATTAGATATGAGCAGACCAAAATACGATCGATGGTTCTTATCCTTATTTGTTTGTTTTTTGGACTAACTACAGGGCGAGTGCAGCAAAGTGGATTTCAGCTCACTTGCCAACCTGTCCGTCCCTCGAGCGCACCAGCTCACAATCGAACGACGGTAAAGACAGGCCCAGACCACTCCAACCACGCAACAAACTGACAAGCTATAAACAAGCATAGATAATCGCACAAGATATGATCCCGACAAGATCCTCGGGAATAAAAGAAAGAGACAGCGGCGGGAAAGCGAGAAAGCAAAGCTGGTCCCGGGCGGAGTTTACGGTTAAAAGCCTCCATTCACGAGCGCAAGATGCTCCTATCCCGCAATTTCGCACCCCAACATCTCCGTCTTGGCTGCATCTAGGGTTTTAGTGTCTAAATTTGATTGAACTGACAGTGTTTCCATCTGATATGTTTTTTGTGTGTTCTGGAGGCCTAGATTGCACGATTGCAGGATTGCGAGAGAGAGAATGTTCGGTTCCGCGCCTCGGAGTTAGGGGGAAACAGCATGGGATCTTTAGATCCCTTCCACTGCTCTCTGTCATTGTGGCAGTGGTTTGTTTCAGCATTGGTCGTCTTTATAAGATCAAAACATCTAGGAAGACGCACTCTACGGGTCTGATGCACTGCAAGACAACACAGACGAAAACAACAGACGAGAAGGTGAGCTCGCGGAAGGGACCAAACAAAGAAACAAAGTGAGGAAAAAGCAATTCAGCGTTCGGGGATTGCGAGCTTAAAGAGGACAGCCAGGTTACGGGTCTATAAAGCAGGCAGAAAGGAAAGGAAAAAACGGCAAAAAGCAAAGAGAGGAAGTAAAAAATAATCAGACAAGAAGGCAGGAAGGGCAAAAAAGTAACGGTGGTACGAGCTTAAAAAAGAAAGACTATGACTACGGAGGATGTGGCTAGCCCTACGCGATAGAGGACTCGGCCCGGGTACGGCGATGCTGCGGTACCCAGGCGCTAAAGTGCCCACCCAAGACTTGTCCTAAACTCTAAACAAAATTGCGTTTTCCGGCTCTCAATTAAGGAACATATTTTTTTGTTTTCTTTGATTTATTGCGGACACGCTAATCTGAATCAACGACTTTCCCCGCCGAGTACACGCCCTCCCCTAACCGCGCAGCCAGCCCCTCGAGGGATAATGAATTCATTTGCTGGTTAGACTGTGCTGTCTGCCGTTGTATATTCAGAGACCTTCTGTGCTTCTTCCTGGTGGTCGCGATGGTCATAAAAGGGCCGTTGCGCGATGCGATGCGATGCGAACGAATCAAGGGGGCACAGATGAGTTCTCTCGGATTCTGTTCTTCAAGAGCTTCTCTTGGAAATCTTAAACAAGACAGCAAAGGAACGGCAAACTCGAGTGCGCCTTGTCGGTTTTGTACCGATGCGATCGCGAGACGACAGCTATCGATCGTCTCTTGGCTCCTGCTAGAAATGCGTTTGCACCGGCGCCATCTCTCTCGTTCTGTACTGTCGTTATCATCGTTCTTCGAGCTGAGGCTTTCCGAGACTGCTGACTGTGCCGATCTCTACACATGTACGCTGGCAGATCCTGATCGCTGGAACCTCAGCAGCGCTGCCAGCGCAATCTAAAACACCAGGTTACGAATATCGAGTATATTTCTTAATTTCTTCACCGCTTGACTGCTTGGCGACCCAATGCTGCGTACAAGAATCTAGGATCTCTTAAGAAATTTCGATTGTCGACCAACCTCGTTCAATCTGACGGGGTGTGGCGTACTCCAAGATACATCAGATACACCCGACACGTCGCCGACTATCTTCGTAGTCCTTCCCCGCCGTCACGGAAAATAAATACAAAAGTCAAGCCCCTCACTTTCACTGCACTTTACTGCACTTTACTGCTCTTAATTGGCTCTGTTCTCTCCTTCAGCGTTCGTGAATCAGCCAAATCGGCACATTCCGTCATCGCCTTGTTATAACAACGCAGCAGGGGGACGACTCATCCGATGACTTGCCTTCAGCTTCTTGCTCGTCATTCTCGAACGCTTCGCTCGCATGGCGTTTTTCGCGCGTGTCCACAGCTCGTTAGGTAGTATCAGTCCTTTGGTATCGCACTTAATATCTCATCAAGACGCGCCCGTTTCTGCTGCAAAACGTCTTCCTCGCCAGCTGCTTCTCCGTCTTCTTCCGTCGCCAGACCTAGTAGCGTATCCAAACTCTTCTTTTTCCGCTCAAATTCGGCCGATCTCTTTCCGTCTTCATCTTCTGCGCTTTCCGTCTCCACTGTCTCCACTGATGATGCTGCTGCTGCTGCTGCGGATTTAGTGCTAGCCTGCTCCATCTTCAGCAGCTGCCTCATTCCCTCGCTCTGGAAAGGTTTCTTGGCCGTCTTCTTATCATCGGTCGCCGATATTTGTATCGTTTTCAATCGCGCCCGCACATCTTCATAGCTCCGGTCTGGGATAAGCATCATCGCCATCTTTCGACCATATTCCTGCTGCTTTCGTAAACTAGTCGTACTAGCAGAGAAATCAGAGACTGCCCGTCTGAGCACGTCCAGCGCCAAAATCTCTTCGGCGGTCCACTCACTCTCGCCTTCCGTCTGCCCGTCTAAACTCGTAGACCCCCTCGTTCGTTTCTTATTCTTCTTCTCAGCTCTATCCTCGCTATCGGTCTTTTGTGTAATCCTATCGCCGTGCATAGCCAGACTTGACACTGGTGTGGGCACTCGCTCCGACAGCGCAGCTTTTGCGAACGACGAAGGCGTCGTCCAGCGTTTCAGCTTACCTGTCTCAAATAGCTGAAAAAGAGGGCTACCTGCAGCTTTCTTTTGTCCGCCGGTAAGCTGGGGTATCGGATGAGTCGGCATACTGAAGATGAGATCGGAAATCATGTACAATCATTGACAGACTTGATATCAGACTCTCTGCGTTCTCCACTCCGCCCAGATCCCCAAACTTCTGCTCGTTCCAAGGCTCTTTACGCACTCTGTAACTTCTAGCAGACTCAACCGGATAATATCCAGCTCGATTCAATTAGCCACTCTCCAACAACAACTCGCACTCAAAACCCACGCGATCAACGACGACACGCGTCCACCCGCAAACCAAACAATACCGAGCCCTGACCCCATCTTCCCGCTTACATAACCACCAATAAAGGGAAAAAAGTCACCCGGCCGCCATCACGCCCCAGTTCTCGAATCCGCGGCTCTCACAATTTTTGCTCTGCGGATTTGTCCAAATTACCCTCCTTCAAAGCATCAGTCGAAGCCCTGTTGTCAAACGGTCCCAGCGCGTGTCGGATCAGTCCTGAAGCAGCTCTGTGCCTTGAAATTGGACACGAATAAAAGGACAGGAAGAACTGAAGCAAAGGAGGACTCTTGTTTTGGAAACATTCTGTTTTGGACAAAACACTGCAAACAAGTTCCTGCGCGTGTATCAAACCACATCCAAAAATAATGGACGCGATCGATAGCTTCAACGCCGCGTCGGCGTTCAACACAAACACACCTACCCGCGAATCTGACATTCGTTCGTCGAAGCGGAGTCGCAAGCACGGCGGTCACGGTAGCGCCGCCGACGGTAGCAGCGGGGTGGACAACTCGTCCGGCGCCGCTGCGAGGGTGTCGGGAAGCGCTGTGGGTGCTGCTGCAGCGAGATTAGGTGGTCGAGACGAGGTCGACGACGATGACGAGAACGATCAGGAGCGCGAGGGGTTCAATACCAACCAGTTCATCTCCTACGGCTCCGGTGACGTTCTCGATCCGCAGCTCGCAAACATCAGCAAGCCCCCTTCTGCCGCGTCTTCGAAACGCTCAAATTCACAGGCCAGCCGCCAACGACAAGCAGCACATCTCGCGAGATCGTTACCGGACGGCGTGCTCGAGCAGTTGGGTAATCCGGCGGCGGTGTCGCTCGCGATGGCAAACGAGCAAGGAATGGCATTGACCGAGGACGCGCAGGACGCCGTCGCTGCTGCTGCCGCTGCCGTCGTCACCGCCTCGATTGCCGCGACGCTTGCCTCGACGCGTGGCGCCGGAAACTCAGCTACCTCAGCTGCTGGCGCAGAGTCGGACTCGATCGTGCCCGCGACCGTGAAGAAGCGGAAACGGCAGGCGAACTTGAACGACGCGCGAGATCAACACCGAGAAGGCGCGGCGTCGATCACCTCACCTCTGAACCTGATCCACGACCAAACCGGTCTGGGACATCCTCACCACCATCAGCAGCAGGCGCAAGCACAGCAGCAGCTTCCCCCGCCGCAAGCTCGCAGACAGGATACCCACGCAGGACTCCCTCCTGTCGCGGCCGTCAACGGAGGGTCGTTCACGCCTGAAGAGACCGTTGCGCTTGAGACGTTTATGCAGGAATACGGCCGCGAGCACGATCTCGACCACGAGGGCCTATGTCGGCGTGTGTGGGCGAACGAGCGCAAGAAAGATAACTTCTGGGACGCGGTCACGAACGCGCTTCCCCACCGCACACGCGCGAGCGTGTACAAGCACGTTCGGCGGAAATACCACCCCTACGAGCAGCGCGGGAAGTGGACACCTGCTGAGGAAGAGCAGTTGCGGCAGTTGAAGGACGAGTATGGCGCGCAGTGGAAGATCATCGGGAAGCATATTGGGCGGATGCCAGAGGACTGCCGCGACCGATGGCGGAACTACGTCAAGTGCGGGACTAGTCGGGGCCAGAATAAGTGGAGTGTGGAGGAGGAGGTGAAGTTGATCCAGATCGTGAATGAGATTCGGTATAGTCACCCTGGCTCGGAGGTCAATTGGACTGTTGTGTCTGAGAAAATGGGCGGCATACGGTCGCGGATCCAGTGTCGGTATAAATGGAAAAAGTTGACCAGAACAGGCGCGGCTTCGGACATTATGGGTATTAATGGGCAATCTTGATTTCGTTTTCTTTTTTTGTTTTTTGTGTTATTGTATACTTTTAGGCCGTCATATAAATTGTCAGTAATTTGATAAAGCCGTTCTTTCATATCCTGTGCTGCTGGAGCGATGGAGTAGAGTAGTGAGTCAGATTTTGACTTTCAGGGGCTTTCGGGAAAAGAAATGTTCAAGATTAAGCCATCTCCATCGCAGCCTGTTACAATCGGAGCACTTTTGCGTATTCTAACATACTATGCGTGAGAGATGATTGCCAGACGACTCTTAACCAGACAATTATGTCGACGACAACCTCCAATCCTATGCATTGCCTCGCAAGCCTGCGCTGCTGCCATCGCAGCTCGCCCGACACCGTTCCGCGAGGTGCGACAGAATTCAACATTCACACCGCCGTTCCTGCAGCGCCTGCCGGATACGGTCAGCACCATACTTGAGAAATCAAGGAAAGGTGAGCTGGTCGAGGGAGCGGCTGTGACGGTGCACGGATGGGTGCGCAGTGTGCGGAAGCAGAAGAAGATTGCTTTTGCGCAGATTATGGACGGGAGTAGCGACCAGATGATTCAGCTCGTGTTTCTGGATCCGAGTATAGCTCTTGAGTACGTTCTCTTTCGATTTTTGTCTGGGTGATGATAGATTGAGTGCAGTGCTGACTGTGGGTAGTTTAAAAACCGGAGTATCAGTTCGAGCTACAGGAAAGCTAGAGGTAACCCCAACACGACAAGACCCCTACGAAATCTCAATCACCGACCCGATCGAAATCCTCGGCGACTACGCCTCTCCCACCGACCTCTACCCTCTGCAAAAGAAGTTCATGACGCAAGAGTACCTCCGCCGCGAGCACCCCGCGCTGCGATTTCGGACGCGCGTGAACGCAAACGTGATGCGGTTGCGGTCGGTCGCGATCACGGCGCTGTCGGCGTATTTCCTACAAAACGGGTTTTTCCAGACCCAGCCGCCGCTCATCACGTCTTCGGACTGCGAAGGTGCGGGAGAGGTGTTTACTGTCGCCAACTCGTCGTCGTCGTCGTCGGCCGGAGAGCATTTCTTTGGGCAAAAGGCGTACTTGACGGTATCGACGCAATTGCATCTCGAGTCCCTGATGATGGGTCTCACGCGCGTCTGGACCTTAACCCCTGCGTTCCGCGCCGAAGAGTCAATGACGAGCAGACATCTGAGCGAGTTCTGGATGCTCGAGGCCGAGGTTGCGTTCACGAAAGATCTCGAGAGCGTGATGAGCATAGTCGAGGGCATGATTCGGTCTGCGGTCACGAGGATGAAGAGCGAGGGCGTGCTTGATCAGATTCTGAGCTTGAAGCGCATGCTTGAGAAGCAGAAGGCGACGGCGAAGGAAGGAGAGGACGACGAGGAGATGGTTACCGCGGACGAGGTGTCTGAGCGATGGAACACGCTCGTCGCAACCGAGCAGCCTTGGAAACGGATAACATACGAACAGGCAATCTCCGTCTTGCAAGATGCGGTCGCGCAGGGCAAAGTCGAGTTCCAGCACAAGGTAGAATACGGCGAGAGTCTGAAATCCGAGCACGAGAAATGGCTCGCGCGGCACTACGCGCAGGGCCCGGTTTTCGTCACAAACTACCCGGCCAACATGAAGCCGTTCTACATGCTCCCCGGGCCGGACGGCACTGTCGAGTGCTTTGATTTACTAGTTCCGGACATGGGCGAGCTTGTGGGCGGCAGTCTTCGCGAGCACGACTACGAGCGTCTGCGCGGCGCGATCGCGGCGTCGGGGATGGATCCCGAGCCGCTGGAGTGGTATCTCGAGTTGCGCAAGTGGGGATCTGTGCCGCATGGCGGGTTCGGGATGGGATTCGAGAGGCTGATTTGTTATTTGGGCGGGGTTTATAATATCAGAGAGGCGATTGCGTTTCCGAGATGGATTGATCATTGCGCGTGCTGAGGCACGGTCTATTTGTATATATGCGTTTATCACTCTATCTATCGGTAAGAGGAAAGTAATAGAATACTGAAACACGAAACTCGACACTGTTTCGGTACAGAAACTGTCTAATCTATCAGAAAGGCGCAGACAGACGTACAAGTCAAACAGCGGCTCAACAAGAGCGCCGTGCCCGTTGTCCTCAGAACGTCAGAACTAGATATGGATATTCGCAATAACAGACTCGATGATCATCGAGAAGGTAACGATGTTGCAAATATTCCAGACCAGCGATCTCAACAGACTCACTCTAAACAGCAGAAACAGACTTAAATACTACACAAAACCATGTAGATAATCGCAATAAGCAACGTACCTCTCAGACGAAACAAAGATGTACAGAGTATTAAACAAGACCCTGAGCACAGCATACGAAACAGCATACAGATTCTGCCGGAAGAAAGTTAAAGGGCTTGAATTCATCGCTAGCTACAGATCACGTCTCCCGCGTCAATGGTTAGTAGTACTGCGGCACTTGGTTATACAGATAGGAAGGGGTGGAATACGTACGACTGCGCCGACGAAGAGGGGGAAGCATTCGTGGCCGTTGCGGTGGGCTCCTTGGCATTTCAGTGCAATCCGTTGAATCGATTTGGGAATTCCTTTCGCATCGAGATCTGACGTAGAAGAAGAACCAGAATATTAGCACCCACTTCACCAACGCAAGCGGTCCGACGACTGAGCGCAAATATCGCCAGCAGCAGCTACAACTCACCCTCAAAGTTTCCCCGCGGAACAGTATTACTGAACGGTGCTCCGTAGTAGCATATTAGCAGCAGCGAAAACGTATGCGGAAGCAGACCAATCACCCAGACCACGGGGATCAAAAGCGGCGAGATGTTGAAGCACAGCATCGCGTGCTCCATTTTCCAGAGAACGTCTCCTGATCCCAGCATGTTGTCGTGTTGAGTGGGTAGTGCTACTGTGTCGCTCTGGCCGGTGGGGTCCGGGTGGTGCTGGTTGGAGCGATAAATATAGAGAGGGAGGGGTGTTGGATATGTTTCCTGGCTGGGAGACGGGAGTGTTAAACCAGCCTGCAGCGTAAATTAGTTACCTTTCAGGAAAGCGCAAAACACAGCCGTACGCGTCGCTCCACCCATCAGATTTACACTTCTTTCACACCACTTTCCTGACCAGAACGTAGATTTTATCTATTATAGATTAAGAAAAAAGAATGTCTACTTGCCGATACGAATGAATAAAACAGTATAAACAAATATATGCAAAAATTTACCCTTTATCATATGCTAAACAATATGCACAACATAAGCCCCCCTCAGAATACATGATTTCTCTTCCCCCCACGTTAAATAAACAATAAAACTAGTAATATATAGTGGAAAAAAAGGTAAAAGGCTACATGACCACACAGTCGCTCTCCTTCGAAGGCTTGGGGATGCCCATCTCCTCAAAAGTCTGCGGCGCTTTCTTCTTCCTGGGTGCTTGAGCGCCTTTTCCAGCGAATATCTTGTCGACGCTGTTGGGACCCGCATCGGGGTCAATAATCATCGACTTCAGAGACGAAGAGTTCACAGACGTGGCAGCAGACGAGACGCTCGACAGGCCAGTAGAGACAGTCGAGGCACTCGTCAAGGTCGTTGATGTGGTCATGCTCGAGAAAGACTCGTGTCGAGAGCCGAGCTCGGGTGCGCCAATGTCGTAGAACTCGTTTCCGCTCGATCGTCGACGAGAGTCTGCGTACTGAGATTCGCCTTGCTGCAAATAACCAGTCGAGGAGGTACCCTGAGTTTGGGGAACCCGCGGAGGCGAGTACCTTGGACGGTCCATCGACACCCGGGGCGATGGACGCGGTGACACATTGGCGCTGCTACGTCTCCTGTCTTGATCGGGAGTCAGAGCCGGAATGTTTTGGAATGGTGGGGGCGTAGCGACTCTGGACGCCAAACTCGCACGGGGAGCAGGAGATGTATTCGGCTGCGGCGAGGTTCGACCGTAGCTATTCACAGGAGTGTATTGCTGCTGCGGACGTCCTTGGCTCCACTCAGTAGGAATACTAGACCGAGGGCGATAGTTAGGAGACACGGAGCGGTTGTCGTTTGTCCGCACCGGTAGGCTGTTATAGCCCAGCGCGGACTCAGACACGCTTGACTCCATTGGCGACGCTGACACGCTTCGGTTCTTCGGCACTGGTTGCGCGAGATACTCGCTTCGTAGTGGCGACTGAGATGACCGTCGATACGAGTTTCCGTCTCTGGCCATGTCCATCTTCGGATCCAGAGTATCATAGCCTTGAGCAGACGACCGTCTGGAACTAGCGTCGGTCAGGGAGAAAAACATGTTTTCTTCTTGCTGGCGAATCTTCACGGGACTATCGGGTGGCGGGGACAGAACAGCATTGAATGACGCTCGGTGCGAGTTCTGGTCCGGCATCCTAGGACCGGCAGGAGAAACGCCTTTGCTGCTCGAGGTAGCCCGCCCTCTCTCTTCAAACTGCTGCTCTCCTACAGCAGTAGCAGCAACAACAGCAGCAGCAGCAGTATTAGAAGGCAGTGCAGCCTTCCCATTCTCATTCTTCTTTTTCCTCTGCAAAGTCATCGAGCGCTGAATATTCCTCTTCTCCTCAAGTCTCTTCGCGTGGAATTCCGTCGAAAGTTGTCGTTTAAGCGACAGCTCGTTCAGGCGGTTGATACAATCCTGGCTGTTCTTAGCCGCTCCAAGGTTATACCATCGCTTCGCCTCCTCCAAGTTCTGCGGCATGCAGATACCTACTTCGCAAAAGTATCCCATAGCAAAATACGCCTTGACGTTTCCCTTGTCGGCTGCTTTGCTGGCAAGGCTGACCGCCAACTCCTCGTTCACAGGGAAATTGTAGTCAGCGTCACCGGAGAAGTACCAAGAGCTCAAACCCATGTATGCAGAGGGATCTCCAGACCGGCTTGCGAGCGCATAATAGTGAAGCGAGATCGGGGGATCGTATTCACAGCCCAGTTCGCGAGTCTGCCACGCAACTCCTAGCCGTACCTGCGAGGCTGATACCGAAAGGAGCGCGGCTTGTTCTAAGAATTTACGCCCCAGAGCGGGATTGCTGAACAGGGAATCACTTGCGCCCGACCACTGGGGATCTTCGTCTAGGAGTGCTAAGCCGTAGATATACGCAGGTACCGGAACATCAAAATCGGCTTTCTCGGCCGCGGCCCGCAGGTAGTTGAACGCTAATGTTGGGTCTCGAACTTGCTGGTGAAGACCATTCAGATAGATCAACGCAAGAGCCTGTAGCAGTGCAAGTTAATATTTAGAGCTTCATAAAATCACAAATCAAGGAAGTAAAGGGAGCTTACAAAGCAGCAGCCACAGTCGTATTCAACAGCACCTCTTTGAAAGCAATTGACAGCTTCCGCAATCCTCTTCTTTTTCTCGTACTTTATCGCAATCATGGTTAGCAGATCAGAAAAAAACATTCTAGAGATGCAAAGCATATATAGGGAATTCTGCATACCATCATTCCCATGCGGTAGTACGCGCGCAAGAATCCAGCCTCTGCTGCTTGCTGATAATACTCGAAGGCCCTGGTCTGACTCTTTTCCATCCCTCTCTGACCTTTCTCTGACCAGACTCCCTTATAATAGAGCAGCTCAGGCACTTGATCAGTGGAAAGGGATTGAACCAAGTGCAAGGCACGGTCTAACAGTTCCCGATCCTGCGGGGGAAACATATGTGACGACGTGCCATGCAAGCGAAAGAGTCGCAACGCCCATTGCAGCTGACGAGAATAATCCGCCTGGCCAGCCGCAATAGCAGCCCATTCAGCTTTAATATCACGAAGTTCCATGGGAAACGAAGGTGGCAGGTTGACGCCTTGGGTGGTCACCATAGGGAAACCTGGCTCGGGAATAAACTGATTGCTTGGTTCGCTTGCCTGCGGTCTGGCCGGACTTCGGGATTTAGGCGACGAGCTGTAGACAGGTCGAGGACCGCCGGGCGTGGAAGGTCGAGAGAGCGGGGTCGTGTGTTCGGTGGAGTATGCAGAAGGCGAGAGGTCACGATGCGGTTGATAGTTGGGATCAAGTAGTCCGCCAGGCGCTCGCGAGCGCGAAACCGAGCGCTGGCCTGAATCAAACAGAAACATGTTTTCAGTCTCAGCCAGCGGTTGCTGGTTTGGAGCAGTGTACTGGCTTCCGGAGAGCGAGAGGTTCTTGAAGCCATCGAGAGGCGAGCGGTCTTGAAAGCTACCGGGGGCCGCAAAACCACCGGTATAACTGAACGAAGAGGTCGTCAGTAGGCAGTTGAGAAGACGCAAAACGCGTAGCTATGTAAGCAAAACACAACAAAACTGCCGTTGAGATCTTACCGGTCGTCCACGAAAGAGCTCATCGTTGGAGATGATGAAGCTGGCTGTCGCACGAAGATTTGGCAAGGTGCTGATATTCAAGCTGGCGCGCGTCAGGTCTACAGGCAAACAGGAGTTCACCGACTCAAGCAGCAAAAAAATCAGAGCGCAAGCTTCGCGGGCAGAGAAAAAGAGCGAGTCCGACGGGTGGACTGCGGAAAGCTGGGACGATGAGTATGGGATGGTGGTGAGAAGAGGATGAGTTTGGCGTACTTGGGCTGGTCGCGATTAGAGTTCAGTTAAGCATTGTTAGCGGCAGACAGAAACAGGTTTGGGTACCTGCGAGCCGGAAGCTGGGACGACTGCGAGCAGAATAGGGATTCAGCCCTGAAAGCTGCGGTATATTTTATTTTGGGTGCCAGAGTGCGGCCGGTACTTAAGAAAAAAAATCTCTGAAGTGAAAAAAGTCTGCGGTTTGTGGTAAAATGGCGCAACAATGGCGGTGTTGGGCCAGTTGGAGGTTACAGCGCAGACGAGTTAGACTCTGGGGATACCACTGCAAGGCTGAGTCGCATCCTCAGCCGCTCCTCTCTGCCTAAAAAAAGACAAGAGGCAGAGTAAACACTGCGCCCTGCGCCATCCGCTGCTGTGGCCCTTGAAGCAATGATGTCTTCGATAGGAAGTAATCGGTGAATTACCGGCTATTGCTCTGATAACGCGCATCGTGGCCAGCTGCCTGGCTTTGCGCAGCAGCAGCGGCCAAGCACGGCTGTCTGTCAAGGCGCGTATGCCGCTGCCGGCGTACGACTAAACTCCGCTGCCTGTTGACATGACTTGACATCACCACAGCAGGCAATTGTTCCTACACGGTCTTCTTGGTAGAAGGAAGTGAAGCATTTCAAATCACATACTATATAAACACTGATAGAAAGGCAGTATACAGATATAGACAAATATAAACAAACAAACATAGCCGAGTAAACAAACAAACTGCGCAGGGCAACCAATAACCATAACTCAATATCGCCAAACGACCTCAACCTGTGAGGCGCAGATTCTCGTTAATGCTCCCACCTCTTCTCCTTCTACGCACCTAACCCTTACAGGTGACTGTGAGAACCACCTTAAAAGAACAGCTGAAGTATTCAGGCATTCAAGTTATTCATCGTTAAATAGCCTACCCGCCGAGACGCTGCAAATGCTCTTCAGCGAATGCGCGGATCTAATCATATAACATAGTCTCAGTAATAACGCGCATTAGTCGAAACGCCCCTGCAGCTCTTCTGTGCCTTACATTCTCTGTTCCACTTGATTACTTCGGTAGGTTAGGGTGTTTGATCTTCATTTATAGCAGATGCTACATGTCACTGAGGATATTCGTTGTGTGAAAGAATTGCGGGACTGTCCTAGTCGCGCGGTCCTGTAGTACATTTCACAATTTCAGCACCGAGTCGCGCAACCAACACGATCGGTCGCGCACTTCTTACTCTCTGCACAGCAGTATTTTCTAACAAATGATATCATATACTTTATTGATAAACAAATCTTTTGGTTATCGATTCTATTCATAAGAACCATAGAGCTATACTGTAGAAGCGCGGAAGACTTCTCCACGAATGCGCGACCCAGTGCCAATATCATCATTGTCGCGCGACTCTCTTCTTGGATACCAGTACACCTAAACCACCGACTAATTCTTCTATGGCTTTACTGTATTCCAGTATTGGAAGAGAGATGAATATTTCACGAAACACGCGCTTCAATATCAGACACACTCCGACCACCTTAGCTAAGCGCAAACACAGAACAATGCATTACTAAAAGCACTCAGTATATATAACATTAATATGCAATTTGTACAGTCTTTCTTTCTCTGATGTTTCTTCACCCCCCCCTGCCTTCGATTCATTTCCCTTCTCATCAGGCTGCCGCTCAAAACTTCCAAACCCAGACGAAAAACAAGAATACAAACAAGAAAAATCCAACCCAAGCACGCCAACCAACGCCTGATCGCTCTGCCATTCGCATCATGCGCTTATAAGTTCCTTTTAATCTCAATCGTGTGTTGTCGAAATTGTCTTCCTGTTATATGTAAAATTCTGTTAGAAAGAAGGAGAGGGAAAAGATATAAACAATTGTGAAGAGGAAGTACCAATGAACCCATAAATTTGGAGGAATCCCGAACTTCCTCACCAATTTTAACCGTGATCTAAACAACATTACCACAGTTAGCATAAATCACTTCCATCATGACAGCTCAACTCCACAATGACAATCTCAAATAGGCCCACACACATCTTTCAGCATCCGCACCCGCGCAGTCAACCCCTCGATCTCATTCTCGTTCTGCGACTCTAAGCCCGACATGACCGAGTCCGAGTACTGGCCGCGCGCGTTCGGCGTCGCTGTCTTGAATCCCGGCGAACCTGGTCGCGACGACGCGCTGCTGTCGAAGCCATCGAAAAGCTGCGTTCGCGTGTCGCGTTGGTGGAGTGATGAATTCCCGAATCTAGACAATGAATGTCAGTATTCTGTAATCTCTGCTTCAAACACAGCATTCCATTCAGGTTCAATGCCACTTCTGCCCTCAATACCTCATCGCGAACTTACCTAGAAGAACTCATCTCGGAAAAATACTAATACAACCCAAACACGTAATTGTACTTTCAATTGTTGATCCCAAACTAGCACCACAAATCAATATCCCACAAATTCAAATCGCTTGCTGTATCCCCCGCGCAAAAAGTACTTTGTTATTAAATAACCCCCCTGACTGCTTTTTAAAAAACAGCACGAACGCGTACGCAATTGCTCGCTAAATCCCTACTTCAACAGCAGACGCAGAAATACCCTATTGCCCGGCACTCGAAAACTTTGCCGTCAGAGAATGAGCGTGTGTGCGGTGGAATGGGAATGCAGGTCGCGTGAATAATGTGCTTGTTGGTTTAAAGATTGCACCCGCCACTGATAACCGGACTACGTAGCGCGCAGCAGTGGGCAAAACTACAAACTTTAATCGAGGACTTACGCGGATGTCATATGTAAACTACTCTTTCAAAATGTGTTTTGTTTACTCTAGCTTTTTTGTATTCAAACACGGTGACTATTGAATAGAGCAAAGCCAATTCAATCAAAACTACCCGTGAATTTCGATTTTCATTATATAAGGACAACGTACAAAATAAACTACTGTACAACCGCGCCTAAACCTACAGTCAACAGCACCACCCCTTCACATCTGCATCTCCTCCTCCTGCGGCTGAGGTACAGTGTCAACTTGGTAGTCATAACTCACTGGCGGCGAATCCGATCGCGTGAGCTCGATCGCGTTGGGTGCGTTGGAAGGCGCCAGCGATTCTGTCTCGTACTGAACAAATGACAGTCCGAGAGGTCTATAGAAGGCGTAAGTCAGTACTTTCCTCTAAACTGCAACTGGATTCAGAAACACAGACGCACCTGTTGCCATAGCTGTAGCCAGAAAATTTCTGAATCGCAATATCCGCCATCTCCTGGTTCTCAAACTCAACAACGCCAGATCCCTTTGAACGACCACTCGGCTCATACTGAATCTCAGCACGAAGAACCTTGCCAATCGTCTGGAACAGCTCTACTAAATCTTCGTTGCTAGTAGACCACGGCAGCTATAAACCGACCAACTTGTTAGCGCCGTAACCAGGTACTCTCAGCAAAGTCGTTAGACTATACTCACATTTCTCACGTGGATGGTATTGCTCGGGGAGCCGTTTCCAGTCGCGCCATCGGTGAACTCATTCGGTGGCGGAGGAGGATTATGAGGTCTATCAAACGACCCTTGATATCCGCCCCTCTCACCACCAAAGCCACCTCTGAACCCACCCCGGAAACCACCCCTAAACCCACCGCGGAATCCAAAGCCACCTCCACCGACCGGAGGAGGCGGACGAGCAAACCGATCTTCCCGTACAATAATCCGCTGTCCGTCGAGGTCGTATCCGTTGAATTTCTGAATCGCGTTCTGTGCATCCTCCCGGGTCTCGAACGAAACAACACCCGACCCCTTTGATTGACCATCCGGGGTTGAGCGAATATCTGCTCGAACAACGTTTCCGGCTTGCCTAAATAAATCCTTCAAATCCTGCCATCCGATATTGAAAGGAAGCTTTTTTGTTTCGGATATCAACATTAGCCTCACCATAACCTTTCTCCAGTTTCCACAAAAAAATAAATAATCTAGTTACATTTCCAACAAAGAGTTGATTCCCCGCTGATTGACCTTGGAATCCTCCGCCGCCCATATGTGGTGGTGGTCCGTTGTATCCGCCGTAGCCGCCTCGTGGTGGCCCGTTGAAGCCTCCTCTCATACCCTCCGACCGAGGGGGGCCACGACCTGCTTCACGATCCTACATATACGCAACAATGCCCATATCAGCCAACTGCAAACTTCCACTGCACTTCATGTGACCACAGTTTGTTCTCCTTGTGCAATCCGTCGTATCTTTGAGTGTTTCCAAAAGCAAAGCAGTATCAGATTTGATCCAAGTGCCAAGCTAACCCATTTTGAGCAGGATATTGCAACAGATTGAGAGAGAAGGGAATGATGAAGCCATTTGAGTCAATAACGAAAATGATGTGGTAAATACCTCGCGGACAAAAATATTTCTGCCATTGAATTCTTGACCGGTGAGAGAGTTGATAGCATTTGTGGCATCCTCACGCGTCGCGTATTCAACGACACCGCATCCCTGCATAATTGAACCAAACACGTCAGACATACATTCCAAAAGAACCAACAGTGACGAGAATTATTCGCTAAGTTGACTTTCTCCCAAAAAAATGTATCCAAAAACTTTGCTGATATATACCTTCGAGGCGCCACTGGGCAGAGTGAGAACATCGGCGAAAACGACATCGCCGGCTATGTATAATGTTAATACCGAGATCGATAGCAGTCGAGTACAGACATCTGCACAAACCTTTACGCATGAAATCCTTCAGATCAGTCCATCTGACATTATATGGCAGATTGCCGACGTAGACGCGACGATCTTGGTTGACTGTGTTGGGCATGCTTCTGCCGAAAGAACGGGAATGACTGGATCCTGAATGACCGCCGTAGCGTTGGCCTACCGGTGAGCGCTCACGAAGACTAGGTCCGCGATTCGGGGAGGGGCTGCGTGAGTATCGGCGATTAACCGGCGAGCGAGATCTGTCACGAGACTAGTAGACAAAAACGAGAGAGTTAGTCACAGAAAGACATGTCTGTGAAATGGGAAGGGTGGAACCACGTACGTCGTATTGATCTCTTCCGCTGTAACCACCGTCGTAGTAAGAGCGTTGATCGTCTATGTTGGACACGGTCAGTAGAGTGAAGCTACAAGCAGGAGCGATGATTTTCTAAAATGGCCCTGCACGTCAGGGTTCTCGATGGAGCGAGAATGTTGACAGCAGTATCTGAGACTAATCTGACCAGGCGGGAAGGTAGAGTAGACTCGTGCTTGCAGTTTGGAAGCAAAGCGATGAAAAGAAAGCCGGAAAGGAAGGAGAATCAGACAGGGGAGGGGAACATACCCATTTATAAAGAGAAAGGAGTGCGGTGGCAGGCAGAATGCGATAAACAGTAAAAGATCCGCAAAGACACCGAAAGTGAGAACAGGTCAGATGCAGCCCGAGAAGAGAAACCGGGCTCGCGTTGAGTCGGGTTCGATCGCTTATGTAATATACGAAGGGGTAGCTATTTCCGCTATCGAGGGTATTGTACTAATTAATATGCCCCGATGACGTAGATTCTGCAACAACCGAGTCTGCAATGGGTTTCTGCAGTTGCTGATTCGCAAGAATATCGTGCATATGCCGGGGGGTCTCCAGCTGCTGCAGCGGTGAGAAACAGCAGCGACGATGCCGGTTGCCAGCGGGGCGAGGCACATGACGCTACGCAGGTTGACGCCGAGCGGAGGAGCCGCGAGGGTGGAAACCTCAAAGCGGAGATCCGACGGAGCTTGAGAAGAGCTGCAGTGCGCCTGTAGTGAGAGCGAAGAGAGGAAGAAGGCTTGAAGCATATGGATCAGGTTTAACTATGTTCGCATAGAGGATCAGCTGGGCAGAGACGAGTGGATGTAGAGATCGAATCTCTTGCTAAGTTGCTGTTTACTGACTGGCAATTGTCTGGAAAATTGTTGCGTGGATCCGTACGTATAGAGGACTATCACTACACTAGTAGCCGGAATTACGATTGTCCCCCGCCTAGCTCTTCCATATCTACGATAGAGCGTCTACATCAAAACCAATCAAGAGCCAGTTTGGTGACCAATGTCTGATCAGTCTAGCTGCTGGCTCAATTCATAGGACGGCAGGTATCATATAAGCATCGAGTAGTCAGCGAATCTTGAAATTTCTCCGAGAAAACAGCGAACAGCAGAGACTGAAGTTCGGACCTTGGATCCATATAGGCGTGATCCGGTCTCGTGCCAGAGCGACAGGGCTGCAGTGTCCACGGTAGATGATAGCATAGGCATAGTTAAAACTTAAGCGTCTGATATACCCGTTGGATATCACAACCGATCAATATAAACGGGTGAATATCTGCTCGACGGATTCTTAAAGATCCTGAACAGATCCAGTTCAATAGACGACACACACACCCCTCGCTTGGCGGATATCTCGCGAACGCGGCATTCCGCCCAATCCGAGCCGCCAGAGATATATCTCCTCATTCCTCTCAGCTGCTTCTGCAACGTATTCTTCTGTTAACACGAAATCTACGGAAATGAGATGGCCACGAAGCAGCTGCACGCGTTGCTCGGCCCCGATGACGCGTGTGCTTGGGCCGAGGCGAGAGTGGCACAGCATACACAGCCACAAGAGTACGCCAAACACGCGGAGCACGGCAAGGACGGAGAGGCAGCTTGCTCTTCGTTATATCCAGCATTGATTTACTCTACAGCTGCTTGGGGAGATCACTCTAGTTTGCCGCATTCATCGTTTGTTGTTTGTTGCCGGCTGGTCGGTCTGTTTATCCCTTGACTCCAGAGATCATTGTTGTCAGGCCATCGGGACAGCGCGAAGTGGGATCTAAACCGGACGCATAGATTTTGACACGTCCTCACTCATACAACAGTACTCAGCTCAATAGCGCATACACTGCCAGTTTTGACGTCGCTATGGCATATATTGTTGAGAAGCTTCAAGCAATACCAGCGATATTCACGGTGCGAATAGCGCAGCTGCTTTGCAACCTGATAATTCTCGGACTGACAGCGTGGCTCGTCGCGAACTATTACTATCCAATTTTTGGCTTCATTCTCTTCTTGGTATGTTCTGCTTTATATCTATATGCTTAACGAGTCTCTGATTCTAACCATTCAAAACTAGACCGTCGCAACTTTTCTGGGCCTGCTCTACCAATGCATAACACCCCAGATCCTTCCCCGGTTACACAATCCTATTGCCGTGCTGGTGATTGAATGTCTCTCAATTCTACTCTGGTTTTGCGGGTTTATTGCCGTCACTGTCGAATACTTTGACTACGTCCGCTGCGAAGAGTCGAATTCGGACTCGTCGGATTCGTCGTCGTCGTCCTCATCTTCATCAAAGCTTCTCTCCCGCGACAGCACAAAACATCACACAGCCTCCTGCAGTTCAATAAATTCCCACACCAAAGCCGTGATCTGGTTCTCCCTCTTCCAGCTTCTTCTTCTCTTTATCACGACCGTCAGCGTGGTCCGCTTGTTTATAAGCTACCGCCGCGAAGGCGTCGAGACTCAAGCTTCAGGGGGCCGCTCGGTTCCCGGCGCAAGCTTCTTCTCCCTCGACGCGATCAAGACAAAGCTGTTTGGCCGTCGCCGGATGCAGAGGTCTGGAGCGACAATGCTAGCTGAAGAGGAAGACGACGCGTTCAACGCAAGCGACTACGACTCTCGCGTCGACGGAGGAGCGGGGTCGTATAGCGTCTACAACACCGGCGGACGAATAAACAACCCGTACTCTGCACCAACTGCGAACCCGTTCGAACCCAGCGGCGGAGCTCAGCAGTACGAAATGAGTGATTACAGGAGCTCGAGTGCGAATCCTTACGACGATGATTCGGATTACGAGCACGTCGCACATCCTCCCCCGCCATCATACGCGACAGACCTACGGTAACACCACGGGGAAAAGCTAAAATTTATGACGGGGAATATGATTTGTATGATAGACTGATAGTAGCGTCTAATAATGTATTTGTATCCTGCTTGTGAAGACTAGGACATCTGGCTATCTCATGTAGCGTAACTCGCTACTTTTCGCCATATAGATTTGGCTGATGTATAGAATCAAAAATTGGACTGGGTATATGAGTACAATTAACGCAGCCACTGCAAAACTCCAACAAACGAGAGATGAAAAAAGATCCCCTGACCTTGACCTTATGGAAGTACAACAAATCAAAGCATATTTCGATTACATATGAATCCTAGACCTAGAATACCAAACTTTGTCCGGTTCGAGCCATCACAAAGCGCAATCCAGCCAAATCCTCTTCTTCCATCAAGAGGGTCTCGAGCTCGGCGAGGATAATGTCCTCTGCGTACAGCGGCCCAGATCCGGACTGATTCACAAACTCACCACCACCCGCTGCAAGCACCTGGTCGCCGTCAACCAGTCCCTTGACATGATTGATAACGACGATAAGACCAGCCAACGGACCTAGTGAATCGCTTGCGGCTGACCCTCGCTGTTGCTGCTGCTGTGGAGACGGTTCTGAGACTGTCGACTCTTCTGGAGAGGTTCCTGGTCGAAATGGCGGGTTGCTCAGTAGACTCGTACGTCTTTGCGATTGCAATTTGCTGCTGTTGTAATTTGCATTGCTGCCACTGGACGCGTTAGCCGACGCTGTAGGCGGATTCCGCAGATAAACCACCGGCGCATCCAATTCTGGCGGCGGCTCAGAAAAGCCCTGCAGTAGCGGCGTCGACGAAGGAGACTGTATGCTGCCCCCACTGCCCATACTGCTCACGCTGACTGACGACGCCCGGCGGGAGGTAGCGGGCGAGTACTGGTGCATGGCCTTGTGTTTTGAATGGCGATGGTAGTGGGGATGAGGGTGCAAACTGTACGGGTGGCTCAGCTGGTGTGACTGTTGGTTGCTGCTGGGAAGCTGCTGTTGAACGCTTAAAGGCACGTTTGAGGTCGATAGGTATTTTGGGTTGTCAGCTGCAAAATGAACGGAAGGGACGTTTGTAGAAGGTGATGCGTATCCGGTCGGTGTGTGGGATACAGTCTGCTCCTGATCAAATGTAAAGTCGTCAAACGAGCGAGACCCATGGCGTGAGTGTATGCTACCAGTGGTCGTAGTGGTGTTGTCGTCAATCAACTGACCGGGCATGTCGCACTTCAACAGACTGGCAAACATCTTGAGCTCCTGGATCAAGAACGTCGGCGACAGATGACCAAAGAGCGAGTGCTCAGGCTGCACGGACGCATACGAGCACTCGATGAATATCGCAGACAGCTTGTTTCTTCCAAACTTGCGCGCAGCAGCAACCCACACCGGCCGATTCCGCGGATCAATCGAGATCGAATCCGGCTCGACGTCACCAAACATCAAAATCTCTTTCCCCGAAGCGATATCGCGAATGAAGAAAGCAGAGGACTCGAACGCGCGCGAAACGCCTCCATGCTGATGCAGACATCCGTGCGAGACTGGGAACGCGCGGATTTCGAGCCCGTTCGCGATGGCTTCGTAGTGCTCTTCGTCTTCGAACGAGTTATCGATCGGCGAAATTGGCGGCGCGTCCTCGTCTTCTTCTTCATTTTCTTCTTCGGAAATAATAGTGTCTTTCACGTAGTACGCCTTTGTGTCTTCGACGTTTGTCCGAATGTGCTGCGACGAGGCGGCACAGTCTAGTCTTCGCAAAGTGACGAGGCCGATCGGCTCGTCGCCTTCGTTTGTCATATTAGGCCAAATCACGTTATTGAACATGTATTTGAGAATACAGTCAACCACCCAGGGTAGTCCTGCGAGTACTTTTGGGTTGTCTGCCGTAAAACATGACGAGTTTATGACAAAGCCCGCTAGATGGTCCAGATGCGCGTGTGTGACACAGACGGCGGCGACCAATTCTCGTGCGACGTAGGCTGCATTCGTGAGTTTGCACGGGTACGGAAGAAGTCCTGTACCGAGATACTGTGGCGCAGAGGTCGAGTTTGGACCGGGAAAAGAAGGGGATGGCGAAGAAGAGGCGAGAGGAGCAGGTGAAGACGCGGGAGGTTTTGGCTGTGTGGGGGATGGGGCCGATAACAGGAACGACGACAACGGAGAGACAGGCGAGGGACCGCTTACGTTGGTGCCGCTAAAGCCAGATATAAGAGGGGACAGAGAAGGGTCGGAATATCGGATAGCGTTCTGAATGCCAGACATGTAAGTGCCGGCGTCGATAGCGACTATCGAGTCTTTGATCCACGGCTGCGCATAGGATTTGACGAGATTTCCGGATATACCAAACTCAAGCGGCCCACCTGAGGCACCCTATACAGCAAGAAAAAAAATAATCAGCAGAATGAAAAGATCTGTATAGAGATTGGGGGGCGTACGAGTATGATGACCTCGAAGGTGGGACGGTCGGTCTCCTCTAGAGTCGCCGTTTTTGGGGACGCGTATTGTTGAAGCGAGGGAACCTATGAAAGCTGATCTGCACGCGGGCGGAGTAACTACTGCTTCGTCAACAACTGCGCGAACAGAAAAGGAGAAGATCGAACAACCGATAAGGATGCGGCGAAATAACTTACTAGTACTCGGGCGAGCAGATCACCGGTATCGCGACGGCAGCGACAGATACCTGGGGTGAATACAGGCGAGATATGAAAGCTAGCCTGCAGAGAAAGCTGAAGGACAATGCAGACTCGGCAAGATGCAGTGTAGAAGCACCAGGATCCCGCACACCGGTCCGGAAGAGAAAGAAGAGGGCGAAATAAGATTGAGGTGGAGGACTATCTCTCCAGGCAAAGCCTGCTTCTATTATAATGGGCTTGACAGTAAAATGGGCAAACTAAGGTTTGATTGTAGACTTTTGTTCTCTCTCGCTCTCGGATTCTGGCTTCGGCGCTAGTCAGTTTGGGTTTAGTGTGGATCACTGCCAGCGCTTCTAGAAGCAAGGGAGTTTTTAGCTGGGGCTGCGCCGCTGTGCGCATAGGACCACGCTGGGCAGTGATAAGCCTCGAGCACGACGGCCAAAGGCTTTTTAATGAAAGATTGCGATAAGCGATTGTATAGACAGCATGTGCTCCGACTTTTGATCACACGCAACGGGCAGGATTTGGCGGCAAACAGTCGTGCTGGGAAGGAGAGTCGGCCGGTTTGCATCGCGGTGAGTCGGCGCAACTAGCACACAAACCGACCCACACGCAGGCATGCACGCCCCTTCAGGCACCCTACTACATCTGCGACATTATATGCATGCTCACCGCAGCTTTCTGCACGCCTTGTCTACGTTATTTTAGCTGCGTAGAGCGGAAACGAGTATATGCTCGCGAGCTGCTCGGCTTTCTTTGTAGATATCATCCGAGCTTCCTATTGCTTTTTCTTATAACGATCGTACATACAAACGGTTCACATCAGCTGAGATTCGTGGCTTCATCACTTTAACCATGACTCAAAGGATCCGAAACTCCTTCAAAACTCAGTTTTTTGACGTCTCGGCCACAGCGTTGAACGCCTGCTCGAAATCGGCAATAATGTCATCAATAAATTCGGCGCCGACCGCCACACGGATCAGATCAGCTGTGACACCACTTTCCAGCTTCTCTTCCTCGCTTAGCTGCTGGTGCGTGGTAAAGTATGGCGCGATAACGAGCGTCTTGAGATCACCCACGTTGGCCAGATTAGAGGCCAACTTGAGAGAGTCGACGACCTGAGCGCCTGCCTCAGGGCCTCCCTTGGCACCGAATGAGAGAACAGCACCGAATCCGTTCTTGAGGTACTTCTTTGCAAGTTCATGCGAAGGGTGGTTCTCAAGACCGGGATACGAGACCCACGAAACGTAAGGCGACTTCTCGAGGTAGCGCGCGAGAGCGAGAGCGTTCGAGACATGTCGATCGACTCTCAGCGAGAGTGTCTCGAGACCTTGCAAGAGCAAGAATGCTGCAAAAGGGTTCAGTGTCGCGCCTGCGTCGCGGAGAACCTCGAGACGCAGCTGTGCTGCAAACGCGTTCTTGTCACCGAGAGCTTCGGAGAACTTCAATCCGTGATAACCAGCCGAGGGCTCAGAGTACTGAGGGAAGCGCTCAGGGTATTTTGACCAGGGGAAATTTCCGCCGTCAATGACAACGCCTCCGATCGTAGTTCCGTGGCCTATCCGATTTCAATTCGAGTCAATATCTAAACACTAAAAAACCTTTTAAAATGAATTCTTACCTCCGATCCACTTTGTCGCAGAGTGCACGACAATGTCAGCACCATATTTGATTGGGTTGATCAAATATCCACCCGCACCAAACGTGTTATCAACGACGAGCGGCACACCGTGCTTGTGTGCAACAGCCGCGATCTTCTCAAGATCGGGAATGTTGTACTTTGGGTTTCCTATACTTTCGACGTACACTGCCTTTGTCTTTGCATCAATCACCTTGTCGAAATCTTCAGCGCTGTCGCCCGAGACGAAGCGAGTCTCGATGCCGATTCTCTTGAAGTACACCTTGAATTGGTTGTAGGTGCCGCCATAGAGAAATGAAGTCGACACAATGTTATCGCCAGCTTCGGCTAATGCGGAGATTGCCCTATTGCGCATATTCACGTCAGTAAGCGCACTACCTTGCGCAGATCCGATCTTTGCTAGATCGGAAAAAACACGGTGGAAACGTACATGAACTGAGCAGCCTGTCCAGAACTAGCAGCTACAGCAGCAACACCACCCTCAAGAGCAGCGATTCGGTTCTCGAAAACAGCGACGGTGGGGTTTCCGATGCGCGAGTAAATGTTGCCCGCTTCCTCGAGGCCGAACAGACGGGCGCCATGAGCCGAGTCGTTGAACACAAAGGACTGCAGAATGTGTGTTAGACTGAGTCGACAAGCACGGGAATAAAACAGGGTGATAACTAACCGTTGATGCGTAGATCGGAACAGCGCGAGCGTTGGTAGCCGAGTCAGGCTTCTCTTGGCTAGACGAACAGGCACGTTAGAAATAGCTCTTTGCTTTGGCGTATAAAAGATGCCAGTACCCTGCGTGGATTTGGAGTGTGTCAAAGTGGGAAGGCATTGTATTCAGTCGAAGAATCAGTAACTGGCAGACAGAGCAGAGGAGAAAGAGACGGTGAAGATCGAAATCAAAAAGTGGGAAAGCACGAGGAGAAAAAGAGATTCGCTTTTCAAGGCCGCCCGTGCGCCATCATGACTCAAGTCTGCTCAATTCATAAATTAAATATCAGTTTGCTGATTTTAAGTTATCCAAATGGCGAAATCGCGATCGATGTTGAGCTGGAAAGGCCACCAGTGTCTGGTGTCTGTGTGTAGAATCATGAGACTTGTTTCCTCAGTCTGAACTTCCACGCAGTCGCATGAGCTTCCCTTTGCCACCGGAATACTTTGTCCATATATACGTCTGTTCGGCATCGCGGGGCTCGACTAGGAACACACCAGGACCATTCGCGCAAGCAGCAAGTCTATGACCGCCATAATGGCATGGACAGTCAGTCATTTGCCGAGCAACTGTATTTTTTTCAGGGGTCGCCCATTCACTGATTGCGCCATAGTCCTGTGCGATGAGCTAGTAGCAGCCCTAATCCACTTATGCTGCTGTAATACATTAGATAATCAAATGGTCTAGGGTTTTTAGGCCTGGTGAAGAGCTGAGCAAAACTGTGTTCACAATCAGGGCGTATGGGAGATTTTCTGATCCAGGTAGCAGATTAGTATACAAAGCAGAAGCGGTTTGTCTAGTGTCATCAGTTATATATCGGGAGGGTTTCTGGTTGAGCTTAGATTAGATATTATCTGAAAGCAAGGCAATGATATAGAGAAGGAGTGAATCAAGATCAAAAGTATATGAACGATGTCATCCGCCTCAGGCAGCTACACATATAGCTCGCGGTCTGGCGGTGGGCGGGGACACTACGATAGATTAGGTGGAGGCAGCAGCTCGACAGGAGGGAGACAGGTGCAGCAGCAAAACTACGATAATGACGAGCAGCAGCAACACCAACGAAAAACGGGACACAGGAGAACGGTGGATTACATCGGAGGAGTTGCGAGGTGGAAGCATAAACGGGTGGTGTATCCGTACATGAAGGAGCCCGGCGTTGTGAGGCCTAGGAAGGATTACATTGTTGACGTATGTCTTTATTCTACTTCTGTTGATTCTGTTGCTTCTAGAGTATTGTTATTAATCATTCGCGACGTTAGATCTACCCCCCATCGGCCTACCTCTACAACCCATTGACGAGCGTGACTCCAAAATTCGTCCATGGAAGTGTCAACAAGATGCGCCATCCGGTGAATCTTGTCCGCTGGACGCCCGAAGGCCGCCGTATACTAGGAGCGAGCAGTAGCGGCGAGTTCACGCTCTGGAACGGAATGAGCTTCAATTTCGAGACAATCATGCAGGCGCACGACCAGAGTATCAGAGCGGGCGAGTGGTCGCATAATGACGATTGGTTCTTGTCTGGAGATCAGGAGGGGTTGATTAAGTACTGGCAGCCAAATATGAATAACGTGAAAGTGATTGCTGCCCATCGGGAGGCGGTTCGAGATTTATCGTATGTATCTCCAGGATATGACTGATATTACAAAGGCCCGCGCTGATAATGATCACTCTAGATTCTCACCCACAGATACAAAATTCGTCACCGCTAGTGACGACAGTACTCTTAAGATCTGGAATTTTAATGAAGGATTAGAGGAGCGCTCACTTCAGGGCCACGGCTGGGACGTCAAATGCGTCGACTGGCATCCAACAAAGGGCCTGATTGTCAGTGGCTCAAAAGACAATCTGGTCAAGCTCTGGGATCCCCGCACAGGGAAATGCCTGACCACTCTCCACGGCCACAAAAATACAGTTACTCGAGCTAAATTCCAACCGACGCGGGGTGATCTGCTTGCGACGTCCGCTCGCGACCAAACATGTCGTATATTTGACATCAGAATGATGCGGGACGTTGCGGTTCTCCGTGGCTCGACGGTGGACGTCACGACGCTGGCATGGCACCCGATCCACGACTCGCTTATTGCCACCGGAGACTATTCGGGTGGCGTCCATTTCTACCTTCTCGACTCTTACCAATCCGGCGCTGCATCGTCGGTGGCCGCTTTTGAGTCTCTCACAGATCCTCAGTCTTCGACCGGCAAACCTGCCCGCAGCACGACCAGTAATGGTACAACCGCAGGCACAGGCTCAGCCGTGGCTCCGACCGCCCGAACTGTGTTACCCGTACAGTCAATTCCGTACGGCCACGAGAGTGCGATCTGGTCTATGGAGTTCCATCCTATGGGTCATATTTTATGTACGGGATCGAACGACAAGTTTACAAAGTTTTGGTGCCGTGCACGACCTGGCGATGACGCTGCGTTTCAGGATACATATCACCTTGGACCTGAGGCGGGAGGTACTGGTAACGAACGATACTCGGGGCATAATCATTACTGAGAGTAGTTTTTCTATAGTAAAAGTACAATATACGCATGGTGTTGATATTATATTGAGATTTGATAGATCTAATGAAAACATAAAAGACCAAGGTTTACAAACCGCCCATCACTTTTTAGAGAGAAAACAAAACTGTAAAAGAAAACCGAGCAAACAGAAAACCAAGCATACCATAATCGCAATCGAGAAAAAAACATATATAACGTCTTTCATACCATTAATGCAAAAACATCGAACGATCCACCGATTTAAACCAATAGAAGGGCATTCACGCAACCATCACGGTCAGGCTCATTCGTGACCTGCGCATATTTACCCCAGACAACCTTGCCACCGGCGGTGACCAAGCCCAACTCACTGACGTTGACTTCGATGATGGTTCCCTTGGTCAAAACACCGAGCTGGGTGTAGAGCGGGTTCTGCGGGTTCTTCTTGACGGACAGGATCGGGAGATGGACGGTGACGCCGAGTTCAGGGTGAGTGACGTTTGCTTTCTTTTGACGCAAGGCAGAAGGTCTGATGATCCGCTCGAATTTGACGGGGCGACGGGTGAAGCCCTCGCCGACGAAGGTGTGCTTTGTGATCATACGCTTCCAGCCTTTCCGTCTGGTCTTTCCGGTCTTGATAACCTTGAACATCTCCTCCTCAGAAATACCACGAACCTTGGGCAACGGAACAGCAAACTTGGCAGCCTTCTCCATACGCTTCTGCTTGATGGAAGTCGAGAGCGCCTTTGCCTGGTTTGTGTTTTGACGGTCGAGCAAGTAAGCCGGCAATCCATCGGGGTCGTCAGGGGTGCTTGTCTGGTTCGCGACGTTTGACTTCTCGTGCTGCTTGATTTTCTTCTTCATCTCAATCTTCTCCTGATGTCTCTTCTTTGCAAACATCTTGGCTCGGAAACCGGTCAGGCGCTGAGCATCCTTGGAGATACGGTGAGACTCACGCGCCTCTTTCTTCCGCCTGAATTGAAAACGATGTTAGCATTTTGCCATCAATTATGCAGGATAATAAACAGAGAAGGTCGACGTACTTGCGCTCCTCGTAATCTAACCGCCGTCCATGCTTCTTGATGTGTTCTTCGATATACTCGTTCTGAGGCTATAGATCATAAAATAAGCCGTTAGCAAACATCCAGTTTCTGAATCATCAAAAGAAAGAAACTTCTAAACATACCATTTTTCACAAAAGCTCGAGGCCAACAGAATTACGTGAAAAAATAAGCAAGGCAAACAGGTTCCCTTGAGGAGATCAGTTGCCCTTTGCGCCGACGTAAAAGAATTTTTGCTGTTTGGGACTTTTTGAGTTTCAGTGCTCCCAAGGTGCGCTGCACAAATGCGCAAGTGTTTTGCACAAAACTTAGTCAAGGATGACATAAGCTCACGAACTCTAATCGGCAAGGAGGGGATCGGCTCGAGGCCGGGAAACGACGGAGGCAACAGACTTTTTCTTCACTTTGGTGCCCCACAAAGTTTTGAGGATCCGCATTCCTCCTGCGTGATCCAAGCAGCCGACCAGCCACCGCCGTTGAGGGGACTTGGGATATCGACGGCTGTTGTTTTCGGGATATGGAGTGGAGCTGGGGTGGTTTGGTTTGATGAAAAGTAGAATTATGGATAATTACACACGGAACATTTTAACGACAACATAGACGTCCGCCAGGCCCAGAAACCCAGATCCCATCCCATTCAGAACACCACCCAGTGGTGGCTTGTAAAAAGCAGCCAGACAACAAATAAGTACATAGCAGATACAAAGAGTAAAAATACATCAAAGATAGACAAAAGGCATTTTGCACCAGAACAGACCAGGAAATACAAGTAGAAATTACAGAAAAGAAAAGACAAGAAATCCCGCAAACACCGGTAAAAAGAAACGAATCATATGTCACAGAGTTTTGTGCTTCTTATAAATGACAGACACATCAGCACCTTTTGGTTTTTTAAATCAGCTCATCATTCTCCGCGAGTGTGCGCACTGCAGACACTCGAGAGCAGAGTTCGTCTCCGGGGCGCGGAGCGAGCAGCGCCAGCAGACGGTGCGGTCGCAGGCAAAGCACGAGTACGCGTCGGGTTCGGCGGTGTACTCCTCGAGACTGATCGTGTTGTCGCAGTCCTCGCAGTCGAGGTCCTCGGTCAACTGGCCGACGGCCGACGAGAAGTTTGAGACGGCCGCGGTTTGCTGGACCTGGTTTTGGTTTGCGTTGAAGAGACGGCGGAGGGTCGAGGCTGGGAGCAACGCTGTTAGCACGGGAGAGCGGGAAAAAATAAATTTACTCAAATAGGAAAACAGGCAAGCTAACCGTGGATGTGCGTCTCGATGGGCTTCGCGCTGCGCTTCTTGACCGGGGTGATCTGGCGGAAGGCGACAGCAGCGGGCCCCGCGTGGAGGTTGGAAGCAGACTCGGACTCAGACTCGTGGAAAGTGCGCTTGCGAGAGAGGGTCTGGTGTGCAGCCTGCACCTGCATCTGGTGGTGCTGGAAGTCGAGCTGCTGCTGCTGCTGCTGTTGCTGCTGGGTAGCCAGCTGCTCTTCGTAGGATACGGGACCGCCGGTGTAGATGTTGTAGTCGCCGTACGCGTAGGGGTTGCTGAAGGGCATGGTGCTGGGGTCTTGGAAGTAGGGCTGGGGGCAGGAGAACATCGTGACGCGCACGCGACGCGTAGAAATTGATTGGGAGAAGAGAGTGAAGCAAGCGGGGATCTAGGAGGATCTGGAGAGCCAGAGGGAGACGGGCAGCGGAAAGAGAGGAAGAGGGTGAGGGGGAAGGAGGGTATAAGCCAGGCCAGGAGCGAGCGCAGGTTGGAGAGAAGGAGAGAAGAAGCGCGAGAGTCGGCTTTGGTTAAATCTACTGCGCTCGATCAGCCCTTCGACAAGCCTCCTCGGGCAGAGAAGGTTCGGCCCCGGACGACGAGCATCTACACTCCCGTTTCGGCAATATCCAGCCGCCTGCCGCATCGGGTATTAATCACACTACTCAGTCACAGACTAACTCACAGTCACAAATGCTGAACTCTAATCATCGCGTGCCCGGCGGCGACGCCCGCCCAGCCAGCAAAAAATTATGTGGCTCCATCCCTTCCTTCGATCGCGGCCTTTGCCGTCAGTCATGAGTAAATGCTGACATGCGCAATAGTCTACTACTATAAGACTGCTGAAGCAAGGATTTGTTTCTTTCAATAAGCAATTTCCTTACTACCTCCAAAACCACCTGCATCAGGCAATACAAAATAAAGAATACAATTTCTAATAATACACGATTCTCATAGAATCCAAAAGTAGAGATAAACCCGGGGTAATCTCGAGTGAAAAAACCTATCGTACAAAACCTCTACACTCTCTCTCTTCATTTCTTAGTCTCCTCTGTGCTACCGCTACCTTCAGACGCAGTCGTTGTTGCTGCTGCTGGAGGTTTGCTAGCGCTATTCGCACCACCCGCTGGTTGCTGCTTCTTCTTGTAGTCCGCAAACGACAATTTCTTCACCGGTCGCGGGGGATGTGGTGTCTGAACAGGAGCGCTCACAGCAGGTTGTGCAGGTGTAGTTCCACCTGCCGACGCCAAAGCAATTCCCGGCGTAGTCGGTGACGGCGACGTCATACTGGCAAACGGTGAATGGACCTGTCCAGGGGCCCCAAAATTCGCGGGTGTTTGCTGTACAGTCGAAGGAGTCTGCACGCGCAGCGGTGTAGCTTTCACTTGTGGTCCATTCGCTGGAGCAGGAGTAACAGGTACTGATGGCTGCACTTGCGGAGGAATATGTGCAGGCCGTTGGGGGGTACCATACGGAGCTTGTGAGGGCGGCACTTGACCAGGCAGATGATGTCGTTGAGAGACTGGTGTTTCTGGCTTGGTCGCGTGCGGCTGCAGCGGTTGTGATGCACTCGGCCGTGCTGGTGTCGATGCCTGTATATGGGCTGGTGTCGCTGAAGCAGGTGTAGGAGCGGGTGCAGTGGTGGATACGGGAGTGGGAGCAGGAGCGGAGACAGAAGCAGGAGTAGTAGTAGATGTTGGAGGCGCAGTTGAAGGAGCTGACGAAGGGATCGATGCAGAGACAGTAGCAGCGGCAGGAGTCGGTTCTGGTTTTGCGTTCACTGCTGCTGCTGCGGGCCGTTCTGATTGAGTATCTGATGCTGACTGTGGTGCAACTGATTCTTCGATCGTATCAGAGAACAGGTCTGCTAAATCCGGTCCATTTGTTTTTGTAACCTTCTCCTCCTTCTTCTCCTTCTCTTTTTCTTTCTCCTTCTCCTTCTCCTTCTCCTTCTCTTTCTCCTTTTGCTTCTCCTTTTCCCTTTCTTCCTTCTTCTCCTTCTCTTCCTTCTTCTCTTTTTCCTTCTCCTTCTCTTTGATAGTATCGCTTGGTAAACCACCTGGTTTTGGCTTGGGAGAAACCGATTTTGCTGATAGCGACTTCGACGAAGTAGACGGTAACGAAGAGGCACTGATTTTATCGCTCAGTTTCTTCTCCTCAGTCTTATCCTCTTTCCCATGTTTGACCGCAGCCGCTCCGACACTCGAATTACTTCCCTTCCGACTGGGTATCTCCGCATCTGACGTCGTATTTAACTCTCCCTTTGATACCGTCGATTCATGGCTCGCGACCGAATTCGGCGACATCATCATACTCCTTGCCCGCTCTTTCTCCTTTGTCCGGAAGAACTTGCGCACAAGAACCAGTTTTGGCGGTAACCAATCGACATCATCGTCTGTAGACATCTCACTCTCGGCTCCTTCGTCGTATTCAGATGAGTAGGATGAGGAATAGTCCCTGCTCGAAGGTGTGTGGTGATTGTTATTCCTCGACGACTCCGCGCTCCGCTCTTTCTTTTTCCTTGTCTTGACAGCCGCAGCGCTACCCGAGTAGCTGCCCTTCGTAGACGACGGACTCGCTTGCGCAGATCGTTTTCGTTTTCGACCAGTCACACCCGGCGATGATGAACTCCGCGATGGCACTCCGTCATGATGCTGTTTGTCCTGCTGCTCAAGACGCTCGATGCGGGCAACCATATCCCGCATCTTGCGCTCCTCGCGCGCAGACATCATTTTCGCAAACAGAAAGAAAAACCTTTGGTTGTGTCTTCTTTTCTCTCTGTTTTGCTGCTCCCGGCGTGCTCCGTTTCCGGTGTTGCCTGCTTCTGTGAATTCAAACGCTTTCTTGGTGAGGTGTGTTTTCTTTCCGATGAGTCAGAATCGTGAGAATTGTGAGAGCAGCTCACAGTAAAATCGTGCACGTGATATTTCTCGTCAGCCTGAATGGTAACATTTTTATTCTGCTCGTTTGATTACTAAGCAGATCGAGCCCCTTACTCCTTTACGCGCCCTCGATCTGATGTTCAGAAGAACAGACCTCAGCTACTGTGTTTGCGTGAATCTGAGCTCATGGAGCAATACAATGTTCCATACAAGAATAGCCATATCATTCAATTTATTCACTCACTATACAACTAACTGTCCTTCCAACATTTGTCTCCCACATTCACACAACTACTGATCAGTCGAAATTTCTGTATCGCAATCTTTTAGATAGCCTTGAGCAGCACGTCAAAGGCATAACCATCGCCCACCTTAAGTCGGTAAGGCTCATACACACCAGGACCACAAGCCTGTGTGCCTACACCATGCTGTGCGTAGTCGGCTCTGAGAATCCAGTCGTTGCTCTCAGTCACATCGCAAGGATGACGGGCGCCATTGAGACCCTCGATCTTGTTCGAGACCTTGAACCCGAATTGGCGTCCCTCACCTGAGCGCTCGGTCATCGAGACCTCGATACCGGCACCAGTGGCAGGAGATGTGATCGAAACCCAGCGAGTGCCCTCGTGGTTTCCGTTCTCCTGGGGAACCTCGTACGAGTAGTCAAGCGCGCGGGCCTCGTTCTCGTGGATGCCGACCCTCACCGCCATCTTCTTGTCGCTGTAGGACTCACCAGGGCCGAGACCGAACCACTTTGCGCGAGCGCTGCCGTTGTCAGAAACAGATTCAGCCAAAGAGAATTCATAGCCGACCCGCGGTATCTCTTTCGGGATCATGTTCTGCGCGCGAGCAGAGGGTGTCAGGGACGTCTTGATTTGCACGGACTTCGTCGCAGCACAGACAATGTAGGTTGTGTCGACGCAGAATTTCCAAGCCAGCACAGGTGTCGCGTACTCGCTTCGGGTCACGATGTTGACTACTCCTTCAGTGCCCGGGACGGTTTCTGTTGAGATCGAGCGCACAGACATGTGGTCGAGGCCGAAGTTTTGCCAGTTGGGGAAATCGACGGGCATGTCGTTGCTAGTAGGCGTGCGCCAGAAGGTGAGCAAGTTGCTCTGGCTCGTAAGACGCTGCTTTCCATCGACGACCCAGTTCGAGATCTTTGAGAGCACCTTGTCGAATTCAAACACAAATCCCTCAGACTCCAAAGTCAAACTCGCGGGCGTGTTGACCACAATCTTGAGGGCATCTGTCGATCCCTCTGAAGATGCGGGAGACAAAGGAGGCGAAGGAGTGGGCGCAGGGATCTGAAGAGGGGCCTGTGCCCAGGCAACCTCGTGGCCCTTGGGAGCCCAGTTGCATGCCTCCTTGAGCGAGAAGACAATCGTCATCCAGATCTCACTGTCGTTATTCTCGGGTGACAGCTTGATAGCCGGGAGCTTGGTCTTCACTGTAGCACCTGGAGCAACGGCAGGAATCTCAAACGGACCCTGCTGAAGAATCTCTGGTTTGGTAGTTCTATAGCTTATGTGTTAGCATCGTTAAGCACAATTAAAGATACAAATAAGAGCCACTTACGAAGAAAGAGGGAACTTCGAGACGATGTACTCAGCCTCCAAGTGGTCGAGCGTGACAAAGTCGTAGTAGCTCTTGATAGAAACCGAGTCACTTGTGATTTCAACCGCAATGGGCTCATAAGCCTTCTTCATCTCCAACATTCCGGGAGTAGGAGTATGATCTGAGCTCAACAGACCATCCATAATGAATGTTCCATCGTTAGGGAACTCGCCGAAATCACCACCGTATGTGTAGTACTTTTGCTTTTCATCTTTCTCCACCCAGAATCCGTGGTTTGCCCATTCCCACACGAAACCACCCTGCATAACGGGCAATTCGCGGAAGACCTCCATGTACTCCTTCCAGCCACCAGGACCGTTGCCCATAGCATGAACATACTCACACATGATCAAAGGCTTTTGGAAGTTAGGGCCGAATTCAGCGGCCATCTCACGCAGTTTGTTGGGAGGAGTGTACATGACAGAGTACATATCTGCGGTAACGGCCTTCATATCACCTTCGTAGTGTACGGGTCTGGTGGGATCAAGCTTGTGCGAAAGCGCGTACATCTTTGCGTGGTTCTGACCGTAGAACGACTCGTTGCCAAGAGACCAGATGACGACTGAGGGATGGTTACGATCACGCAAAACAAGCAATTGAAGTCGATCAAGGTAAGCGTCTTCCCACTCCGGGTTGTTGGAAGTGAATTCAGCAGCTCGGGGGAAAACCAACTTCTTGCGCTGGTCGTAGTCCATGAGCTCCGGGATCTCCTCGGGACGGGCGACAGCGTCGTAAAAGCCATGACACTCCAGATCAGCCTCGTCCATAACCCACAGTCCAAGCTCATCGCAGAGTTCGTACACCCGCGGGTCGTTAGGGTAATGTGAGGTTCTCAGCGCATTGGCGTTGTAAGTCTTCATAAGCAGAAGATCGCGCTTGATAAACTCGAGAGGAACGGCACGACCATATTTGGGGTGATGGTCATGTCTGTTAACACCCCGGAACTCGAGTGGTTTACCGTTGCAGCAAATCAAGCCGTTGATGATCTTGATTGTGCGGATGCCTACTTTCTGTGAGACGGAATGGGTACCACCAAGGGAAATGCTGAGAGGATAAAGATTGGGAGTCTCAGCAGTCCAAAGTTTCGGCTTCTCGACGATGAATTTGGTGTTGTAAACTGACGTGGCAGCAGAGACTGGAACCTGGACAGGAGCCAGATCGCCAAATTTGATATCAAGCACAGTGTCGGCATTGATACGCGCGGTGGTGATTTCGACATTGACCACGGCCGACGACAGATCCTCAGCAACGTCAGTCACCACGTAAAAGTCCTCAATGTGACCGGTAGGGGGAAATGCAATAAGAGTGACGTCGCGGAAGATACCTTATAATGACAGCTGTTAGCCAAAAATCGTAATCAAAACGTTGGAGTTGAGGGAGGGGACTTACCAGACAACCACCATTGATCCTGATCTTCGATATAGGTGCCATCAGACCACTGGTACACGTAAACGCGCAGAACGTTTCCAGTACTCTTGACTTTCTTAGTAATGTCAAACTCAGACGACGAGCGCGAGACTTTGCTGAACCCCACGAGCTCGCCGTTAAGATAGACGTGGTATGCAGAGTCTACACCGTCGAATCTGAGTCGAATCTCAGAGCCCTCTGCCCAGTCGCTAGGCAGAGAGAATTCACGCTCGTAGACACCGGTTGGGTTGACTGAAGGCACGTGAGGCGGGTCTACCGGGATCGGATAAACAACGTTGGTGTAGTGCGGGTGTCCATAGCCCTGGAGCTGCCAGTTACCAGGAACCGAGATTGGTTTCCAGGTCTCGTCAGCGGGAGCGTCAGGGAAAGGAGCGAGGAGAGGCGAGGTCGTGTAGCAAAAGTTCCAAGTGCCATTGAGGATAACCGACGACTCTGGGATCGCGTACGCGCGGGTTGAGAGCCTGTTGCGGTTCGTAACCTTGGGATTCTCAATATCGCCGAGCAAGAGAGGAGAAGCCATTGCGGAAGACGGACGACTGCGACAAAAGATGATGACCAGGCAGGGAGATAACTAGGCGTCTGCAGCAGGTCTTTATACTCTCGCGACGTCTGCAAGAGTCGCTTGCGCTTGCGCTGGGCTCGCGGGCGGAGGCTAAAGTAGCCATGGCCGATGACCCCGAGTGTGGGGTGCCTCCCCGGAAATGTCGCTTCCGAGTTCCCCGTTGCCAGTTCTGGCGGCCTGTCAGCAATCGCGTAATACACGTGACTTACAAAAGAGGAAAGGAAAATGCAGAAGCTGGGATGACAAACATCAGTGTGAAGTATTAGATAAAGCTTAGATAACGAGGAACGTAGAAGCGATGGGAAAACGAGATAGCCACTTAAATGCATATAACAATACATATAACGAATGGGAAATGAAAAGAAATCAAACCAGTAACGACAGAAACGCATGGTAAATAACAATAAATATAAATAAAAGAAATAAAAGGAGAAAAACATAAATAAACATAGCGTTACCACCGAGCAGGCCAATTGTAGCACATGTTCCACATAAAACCAAAGAGCCGATAACTCGATTCTTACGGCATCGGCGAGCTGCTTGATAGTTCCTGATCGTCTCACTGGTGCCTTCCGTCTTTCCACACATGTATATGACCAATAATGCTCAAAACTGCCCCCAGTAACGCAAGAAATTGCCATGCTATGTACTGCGCCGCTATGTAGTACCATGTCATCTTAACCACAAGCAATCTCGTTGGCCCTTTCATTTCGTTTCCGTTCCGTTAAGAGAGAGAGGGCGTTCGGAGAATTATCGTTATCAATCCACAAAAAAAACCAGGGCCAAACCCAGACCCCATGTGGGGCTTGTTTACCCACCATCGCAAACAGGCTCCCGCCTACCATCATATACATACACCCCATACTGTTCTGTGATTATAAATTGGAAGGCTTATATTCCTTCTTCTGGACTGCAACGCCCTTAACTGCTGGCGTATCGACGAACCATGTCACCTTTCCCCGGGCGCCCTCGTTGACCAGGGAGCATGGCAATCCCTCTTCGGGGTTCTCGAACACGGTCTTCAAAACAGGAGCTTTCGATTCACCGACTGCAACGAACGCAATTCTATATAGCATCATCGAATTAGTATCCAGAAAACTATATGTAATAATCTCCCAAAAAATAGTATGAAATCCGGGCAATACCTAAGAGACTGTGTGACTACCGGAAGGGTAAGCGTAATTCGTCGTGGGGGCGGCTTGGGCGAGTCCTCAATCGGGGCAACCCACGCAATGTTTTCCCGTAGCAGTTCGTGTCCGGGAAACAGCGAGCAGGTATGACCATCAGGGCCGCATCCAAGTAAGAGAAGGTCGAAAGCGGGCAATCTGACAGAGTCTGTAATAGCAAGACGAAAAATCAGCTAATGTGTACGCTATAAAGGTTTGTATGGGAAGACTGCGATCATCCAACTTACCCTTAGCCGCGAAGCTCTTAATCAAATCTTTCTCGTAGGCGTCGGCGATCTCAAGCGAGTCATCGAGCTTTGTAACATCAATTCCGTGGACGATAGGTTGGGGAGTGCCCTCCGGGAGCTGGTCCAAGAGGCCGGACTTGAGCAGGCCGTAATTACTATCAGGCGAATCGAGGGGGACAAGTCGCTCATCGGCGAAGAAAATGTGCCTGTATAGAATAACATTACGTTAGTTTTGACTTATTCAAGCAAATAGTGTCAATCTGGCTGCGATATCGTGCGTATCCTGAAATAGAGATAACAGCCGTACTTCCGCTGTTGTCAGGTAATGCCGCATTACTGTCGAGCCACTACTGCTGATAAAAACAGTACAGAAAGCAACAATAATAAATGGCGCATAACGTACCATTTCCCCCATTCAACCTTGGGGTCATGCAAGAGAGCCTTGTTGAGATTGGCAACGAGAGAACCGCCAGACACGCCAATCTTGAAAGCGTCGTGGCGCTGGAGCGCAGCAGTCTGGGCGGAAAGAACGTAGTCGGCAAGGGCAGGTGCCATGTCGTCTGCGTCCTGAAAGACGTAAATAAGCGGAAGAGAAGGCATTGTCTAGATTAGAGGGAAGACAAGTGGGTTGGAAGGAGAACGAAGGGGGATAAACAAAGCAAGTTCGAAGAGAATCGCAGATGTCTTCGTCGTCATAGTCCAAGCGCATTCGTGGAGAGCGGGCGGCAGCCAGGCACACTGGTTAAGACGAGGTTTAGGGTCTCTAAAAGAAGAAATGTCTTAACTTGCTATGTAATTGCTTTGTCATCAATCCCGCATAGCTAACTAACGTAGTGCGCGAATCTATTATGAGCGACGTATCAAACATGTCGGAAGGGCAATTCGACTGGATTTTCTATAAGTCAACGAGCTATTTACATTCAAAAGACAAATGTTATTGCGATACAGACTGAATCAGCAAGCGTCATAGTTTGGCTGTGCAATATCGTCAATTCACCCATACGGCTTCTTTGATGCTGTGGGCTAACTAAAACACCAGCACAGATCTGTCATCATCATTACCCACCAGTTTCGACAGTTGCTAGATCCTAGCCACGAACTTGATACCTTCAGCAATTGAGATATCCTGTATAGGTGTCGTGCTTTAGTCAGACTGCGGAGACCTGATTTTCTGCAGGTTGCATCGATTGGGGGTCTGATGGCGATTGGAGACGGAGATCGGACGTCTTATATTTGCGTGCCATCACCGTGTCGTGAAGTCAATCGTGTCAGATGGCGCCATTCCACAAGTCCTCTGAGCCTGTATTTCTGATGGCATTACTGCTTGTTTTGGATACTTGTTAGCAAAGACCACATTGATAGAGAAGGCCGTGACTTACTGAGTCTTACTTATCTTCAAAACTGCAGATCATGGAAACGAAAGAGGGCATCCTGATAACGGTCATTCTTCAAGCTTTCTGCTGCTGCTGATTAGTATAATGATAATCATGAGCACGTCATTTCAGACACGGAATTGTCACACTCACTCTAAAGGTTGACCCTGTGGACGCTTGATACGTGAAGATTTTGGAGAGGACAACTAATTTGGTTCTGGAGAGGACGACTCTTTTGGAGCAAACGATGAGTCTATAATCTCGGCACAATGCTGTGATGGCTTTCATATTGTTCTGGTCCCCTATTTTTCCAAGCGGTAATCTCGTGAATCATACCGACGAGATTACTTCATTTGGTCTGTGGGCATGATAACGGCTGTACACACTCATCTGCCTCCTCGGATTCCTCAAATTGCTGCTTCCAGAAATGACTCTACTATCAAAGTTTTCAGCTCTGGCAGTTTTCAGCTCTGGCAGTCTTTTAAGAAATTTGTCCATTAGCTTAGCCGCCGGAATTTCAGAGGGGGCTTATGACGCCGGCGTTTTTACGAGCGCGGCAAAATCCTCCTATATGCTTATCAAAAGTTCGTTAGCTGATCATGAGATCAGTGGGGAAATAACAGAAAATCCAGCTTTGGCCAAAGATATTGACTGATAGTTTCCAGCCTCCGCTTTGAGAGGATGGTCCACTTCCTGGACTAACGATATCTAGAGAAACGTTGAGATTTCCGGAACTGGCTGCTATTGTTTACGTCCTCGTCTACTGTAGATGAATCGACTCAAGAGAAATATGCTGACAGCTTTCAATTTCCTCGGTCATTTGCGGAACATTCGCTGATTGAGATAATGATCGTTGACTTCATCGAGCAAAGTAGATGTACATGTTAAAGGGGCAATATGCAGCAGAGCAAGTGGACGGAGGAGTGGACGGATTTGTCTTGCCGACAATAGCAAGAAGCAGTTGAGCCTAATCAGGCCAGGAAGATGAAGGCTGGGGTGGAGGTATCTTGATGTTGATATCCTACCCTTGCTGCGGGAGCGGATGTATTAAAACTATGATTCTGTTTAGTCAATCTCCTAATGCTTGAGGGGCACCGAGGCTCGATTGTAAGTTTATCGTGACGCGTTGCTAGAGCCTAGAAATTGTTGCTGCTAATCTCGCTCATTCCCGAGACAAGGTGACATTACTGAATTGATCTGTTTTGGTGGGGAAATTGTCTACTAGCGTCGGTGGATTTCAACGGCGGTGATGAGCAATACTGATGCCTGAAGTAGACCACCTTGGCGACAATGAGAGTACTCCGGATATTCCGGGGCGAGTAATTGCAAGATTCGGTAAAACAACAAGTAAACATGTAGTCACTCGAGCTGGCATCGTGCAACGACTGTACGCAGTTGGCAGCAAAATAGATGTGTTCTTGTCCCTGTAACGGAGTCTGTAATACAAAATACCGTACGTTCATACTATAGAGCAAGGCTGGATGCTTGGAGAAAAAAGATTGGAGCATTGAAGAGCGCTGTACGGGACATAGTGATTTGGGTTCGTCCAAGCCGAGCTTCCATGATCGCGGCACTCGCTGCGTGGAGCACTTCCACAATATGACGCCGCAGCTTGGAACAACCGCAACGATTGAATCTGCAGGCAGCAATGCAGCTACACTCGCCCCATATACATGAAAGCTTCGTATACGGCATGATCAGCGGTCAAAAAGAGGAGAGAAACGTGGACTCTGCATATGGGAGAGCTGTATGCTGCTCAGGGTTATATGTTCATTCGCAATTGGTCTGATGTTTACGGCACCCCGGACTCCCGTCATCTTCACCGCCATTTTCGAGCCGAATGTGTACACGACGATCCGAAATGGATACACATCACAGGAAATAATCTATGCACCGGGTGCTGACGTTGTCTCAGTGAGCGCATCCGGCTATTGGCCGACTGTCAGGGCGGGGAACGTGGCCAGACAGACAACAATACTAAGGCAGCCGAACAATACCAATTCTGGCACAATACCAACTCGAGGTCCCACCTCGGGCAGCCCACTAGCGGCCACATGGCATTCTTAATATTAGCGAGTTTAATTTTCTCTTTATCTACGCTCTCGGATTACATCTGTATCTGTCGTTTGTGGCTGCATTACGCACCATCGCTTTTACTACGCCTTCTGTGCTGCTATTACGCTCTTGCTGTAGATCTATTCCAGTCAAGAGTATCGCTGACTGCTATGTATCTGCACTTTTGTTTGCGTGTTTATGGACCAGATCGTTCTGTTATCTTTCAGTATCGGAAGGTACTAGTCGACGACCTTGCCGAGAAACTCTAGGATGAGGGGTCGACTTCTGGCTTGCCGAATCATCCTTATCTGGGGTGGATCCAATGTGTACCTTGCTTGACACTAGAGCACCGTATACGTATACACGCGGGCGCCTGCCGATACTCCCGCAACATCTATACGCATGCTGTGCTTTGCTTCTTCTGCTAATGCCGAACATGACCTGTTGCGCTATTCTGCTCAGTTGATAATCTTTGGGAATGAATTTGATACGACATCTACCCTTTTATGTGTCATTAAATTGATGTTGATGATCTGTGTGCCAGGTATATGAAGCGGATATGAAGTGACTAGTGCGTCAGGGACACATGGGTGCTGTTATCCGGTTTCCTCTGATGGTACCGTTTCTAAATTCATTAAATCCAAAACTACCGTGCACTACTTCTTGTCTCACCTAGCTGCTCTCTTACGTTGATCGGCTTGCCACCTCAGAAGATCCGAGCCCCAGATGTACACCCTCTCGACCAAGACCCGCCTGGTTTCTGGTCTATAAATTGATGCCCGAATCCCCTCCAAGGTCGCTTTCTTTTCCTCAGCACCACTCGCTATCACAATCATTCACTTGCTTCCCAGCTTCTTCAAACAAAAACCAACCTCAATCTTTACAATGGAGCCCATTACTCTCGTCAACAAGCCCGTCTCTGCCAGTAAGTGTCTGCACCTTTGTACGGTTCTATTTTTCATTCAATCAGATTCTGACAGATCATTCTTAAAGCCGAGGCTCAGGACTCCCCCGGTCCCCAGCAGTTCTGCGTCATTGCCTAAGTGCAATGCGCAATTGCGGCTTCGTGAAGAGTCACGGTTTCCGGCATTAGAGTAGCGTTTCAGCTTGAGAGCTCGAGTGTATCTACACGCCGGTACACGCTGCAAGCGAATATGCTATTTGAAATCTTTACACGATGACCGGTTACGTCTTTCTTCACGATATTTTGTTGTGCCGCCTAGTTTTTGATTTATTAGTGCTTTTCAGAAAATTTTTGTGGGGTGGAAGTATCATTGTGCTGCACGCTTGACATTTCTTTTTTGCCGAAATACCTGTCTTTATTCGTTACAGAGTATTTAGAGCGTCATTTCAATATATAACCCGCTTCACAAGCCAAAACGGTTTCCTGGTCGGAGAAAATGTAGACCAACGTATGTAGATTAATTGTACGTAAGGCGAAGAGATTCAATATCCACAGATGTATATTAGAGCACTAACTCGAGGAGGAGAGTCGAAAAAGAAAATCCCAAAGGGAGGCAACACGCGTGACACCAAAATCATAATCATGCTGCAAAAAAAACAACCGAAGACAGCAAGCGGAGCACGCCTCTGCATAATCCAAAACCAGTAAAGAGAGCTAACGCCGTTCAGTGATATAGAGACAAAACAAGCCACGTTACATATAGACACAGCAACACAGCAACACAGAGTAACAAAAGAGCAATTGGCATCACGAAAGATCAACAAATCAAAACAAAAAAAATAAAATCCATTCAGAACTTTTTATCTCTTTCTATACGCAAAGCTGACCCAGTCACTATAACTTTTCCTGGGGCCGTCCGCCTAAGGGCTGCTGCACAAACATCACCACGGCGGTAATGTCGTCAGGCTTGCCACCCTTGTAGAGGACCTTAACTTGCCTTTGCGCTTCTTTGGCAAAAGGGCCGTCTGTTTTGGGGTCGATACTAGCCTTGAATGCCGCGCCCACTATCCGCTTGGCTAACGATTCAACACCAGTGTACTGCTTGTCGCTGGCATTTGCATGGATATCACCCGAGCGCCTGTCAACGATCCAGTTTCCGTTGATGACCATCTCCTCGTTGACTATCCGCAAACAATCCTGCGGCGCCAAGTTGTCGAGAATACCGTCAGTTACAAACACCACGACGTCTCCGTGTTTCAGCTTGTGGGTGGATAAACTGGCGTCGCTCGGTTTGTCGTCAAAGTTCTTGCCGCCACGACGAGCGTTTTCCTCGACGATTTGCTGGGGAATGATAGCCAGTTGGTAAGGCGCGTTGAAGAAATGGGTCTGAGGGTCAGACATGTAGTGTAGCTTTCCATCTCTAAATATAAAAAATCCGGAATCGCCCAGATTGGCTGCCTGCAGAGTGCCGTTGCTGTGAGCAACTCCAACACAAGCGGTCGAGCCGCCGGCTTTGACCTGGCCTGAATTTTTGACGGCAGTGTAGGCAGCGTCGAGCAAGACAAGAGGCGGGAACGAGTATTCTGACACGATTTGCTTATCAGCGTCCGCCTTTACCGAGTCAGTCACCAGCTTTGAGGTGAGCTCTGACATAGTTTCGGCCAAGGTATGACTGAAATCAGTTGCATCGACTCCAATTTCATTCCATCCGCCCACACCGTCAATCACACCAAGCGCAATCGAGTCAGACTCGCCGATTTTTGCGTAGAAGAAACTGTCCTCGCCAGAGTCTGGCCGAGTTGTCTTTCGCTGCCTCGGCTTTCCGCTTGAAGATCTGCGGTTCTTGGGGCGAAACGAAGGACTAATCAGATAGCTGAACCCGCCGTTACTTGTCGGCACGTTATTCGGTCCGTTCCCCACATTCGCAGTGCCGCCGATATTTTGCGAAGAAGAGTAGGTAGCAGTAGCCGCTCCAGCTGGTGCTGTAATTGCAAGAGCGTTATTGGCAGTACGGTGAAAGAAGCGTACTTGTTGTGCTGGCTGCGCTATTATCCGGTCGAAAAACGGGTGCTGCAGTCGGCGAAAAGCCAGCAATATCGCAGCTGTGATTGTCGGATACGCTGCAAACAGCAAAGAAAACCGAGTCGGGCCTGGCATCTTGTGGGTTATTGATCGACTGAGGAGCAATAGCGGCCACCGAGATGCGTGAGCCTGGACGAGCGGAAGAAGCCGGAAGAGTGTTGTTGTACTTTATATTAATGCAAAATACAGCGAACCGTCGCAAGGCCCATCAAGCAGTCTCTCTGATCTGAGAGAATGCGCTCAGAGGAGGTTTTGAGAGTGCACCTTTAACAAAAGGCGAGAGTCGGTGGTAAAAAGTGGTTGCAAAGTGTCGGATTGCGCTGATAAAATTCGTTTGCACACGATCTGAAGAAAGTTGCAAAGATGAAAATTCCGGTCTCGGGATTGGGCAGCAAGCGGCGGTGGCGGGAGAAGCAATTTCATAAGCAATGCGGATTTAGGGTTTCACTAGTGGTGTATAAGCCGCACTTCCATCACTTTATTATAGAACTCTAAAATCTCTTGTGTTTTCGGTTGTCTAAACATTGAATTATGTGTCGCCTGTCGATCAGTGTGTTTGACCTTGGCTTTTGTTTCCACTGTTATTTATTGAAATGTAATTTGGCTGGGCTTGTCATTTCTTTCAAGAAGTAGCCATATTACTACTGTATTCTTGGGAATTACACAACAGTTTATCTTCCTCCTTCACTCTGGAGGAAGCACCTCCCGACTCGTAGATATATGAAGTCTCGAGCTGTCTGTGTTCAAAACTTCAACAAAGACATAATTTGATTTAATCCTAATCCATCACAAGACCAGACCTGCTCGTCCACTAAAGAACGGCTGTGCTTGTTTGTGATCGGCGATCATGTGTGTACATATAAGAGGAGTGTAGCTTGCTGCTTCAGTGACCCAGTGGTGTTTATATCTGCATATAGTCGGACTCACGTACAACATCAGGACGACACAAGCACCGAAACCCTCATACTCGCTCCACTCATTCACGCTAAAAGGTTTTCTTCAACATCAAAAGTATAGTCGTATGACTCTTCTCGCCTGTGAACCGTCGGCTCGTACTGACTATGAAAAATTCTAGAGGAACAGTCAGCACACATTTCGTCACTCGCAACTACTAGTAGTTGAAATCACCTGTTTTGCTCCAATCGACGCGATTTTCTCGAATCATACATGACATACTCGTCAGTGTAAATTGCAGCTCCGACTGACTTCCAAAACTTGTAAAACCGCGGATCGACTGCCTGGCAGTTGGTGAGCACTAACGTCTGTAGTGTTTGTGTATGCTTGGAAGGTAGTCTTTTTTTGATGTAGTCCTCAAGAACATATCCAGACATAAAATTCGGGCGATGATCAATACTGTCACGCCATAGATACATCGTTATGCCATGCGAAGAAACCATTGTTGACGAGAGATCAAGATACTGAAGATTAGGAAAGTACTTTCCCAAGCTCTCCAAGACAGAGTCGTTCGTCATCCCATTATAGGCAATTGACAGTTTTTTGAGACGTGGAAACATGACGCCGATGCATTCCAGAGACGTGGAACAGCTCAGAACTCGCGTAGAAAACCCACAATCATAAATAAGAAAGTTGGCCAGTTCCTCACTGACGGGGTCACCCCATGCTATCACCTCTGAGTTCTCGTTGAGATTTAAAGACTCCAACGACTGGAACCGTGCCAAGCAGCAAAGAAGTGATTCAACACCTCCAGGAAACGATAGGAGAGTGAGGTCTTTAATTCTTTTAAATTCATTCAATCGAGTGTCATCAACTGGCCTGTCCGTCGAATGATAGTACCATCTTCCGGATCTTCGGACAACTCTCTCAGGAGTTGGGGAGGTATATCCGTTGCACGTTAGTTTCACACATGTGGCAGGAATTGACGGCATCGGCCATATACTGCTCCTGTCCAAGTTCAGAACCTCCAACTCAGGTGTCCAATTCATTAGGTCAAGTCCAATATTCTGCGCTTCATACTCGTCCATCGTACTATTCTCCAGTTCATAATACTCGTCGAACATACAGCCAATAAGGTGAAGCTCACGCAAAAAAGGCATTGATTTGATCAAATCTCGCAATTCACTCTGCATGATGCAGACCAAGCCGTGATCTGCCTGATATGGGAAGGCGTCAATGAAATTGGTGGGACCCCCGAAATGGAATATTTTCAGGTTTGTGTGAACGCTTGGCGAAACCGTTCCCGTTTTTTTCAGTTGGACTTTTTGTGACAGGATACTGTACTGGCGAACCAGCCTCAGCTCCACTAGATTTGGGAAATATTCTTCGATGTATGGAGAAATATCTGAAAAATTAAGCACGTTTAGGTGAAGGACATTCAGCTGTCCAAAAAAATGCAGCGCTTTCCTATAATCACGAGTGAGATCGCAGTTAAACTCCAGCTTAAGAGACCGTAGACTTTTTAAATGTTTTTGCCGGTCGAATTCAAGCCGGACAGCATGATCAGGCTCTCCAATATCTATGAGCATTGGCGCATCCAGAGACAGCAGATCCTTGATGAACCCTCGAGATTCGTTGGGTGACATGCAATCAGCTATTTCCAAGCTTTCCATCTGTCCATCAGCCAGAATGATTGCCTTCCATATATCAGATTTCCTGACGATCGTATTAGTGTGCACGAACTTCAGATGTTTCCATAACCCAGGGGTGCTCTCAGTGAATTCTTTGAATACTTTGGACACTCTCAGCAAGCGGCAGAGCCCTCGTGTATCGAGACGGGCATATTGAAGAATCATAGAAAATACCTCTCCCGGAAGATTCTCGAATACCGTCCGCGCACTCCCGAAAGAAGGAGGGAACTTGCGCGTCTCAAGATAATCCAGCTCAGGGGTGACACAGAGCATCTTGAGCGAGTTTTTGAGCGAGCGCAGTGAGCTTAATCGATCCGGATGCAAGTGTAGTGCTCGATCGATCAATTTGAATGCATTATGCGGTAAACTCAACGCCAGATAGCAGCGTGAGGCGCATATATACGGCTATAACAGAGTCAAAAACGCGTCAAGATATGGATTGGATTGGCAATCAGTCACCTCTGTCTTAGACGGACAGTCCGCAATCCAGCTGTAAGCATGTCGAAGGGCGAACTGATAAGCACCCAGCATCATCGCTGCAGTGATTGCACCATGTAGCAAGTCGCCGACGTCAACGAAACATTCGGGTCTGCTGAATTCCCCTACGAGTCAAGAGATTAGTGCATACTTCTCGCCGGCGCGTGAATAAAAGTCGAGCAGAGCTACTCTACCATGACGAGTCATAAAAAGACCCTTTGTCATTAAAATATCCGTTAGAGCTTGCCGTCATAGTTTGCTCGCTGTATCCTAAGCTGAATACTGTGAGATAGATGGCACGACTTACTTCCACAATCTCCGCGTACGAGTTTTCCAGCGAATGATTATTAGCGTCACAATCAAGTGAGTTGGGTGTACTCTTCATTACTTCATAAGCCACAATTTCCGCATGAAATATCTCGTCAATTTTACAGAGGCGATATGATTCCTTGCGGCTGTTGAAATCGCTCAGAGCATGGCTGTAGTACGACCGCCTTACTGTCAGGATCTCATCCTCGTTGGACATTAGCTGCAGAAAATGCACCTGAAGGCCAACGTTGAGAAAAGAAAGCAGTTTAGTAGATGTGTTGGGATGGTACTGGATTGGAGGAGGTTGATTTCGATTTCCAGGGACAGGTACAAGCACCATATCGGATTACACCACAGATCATGTTTTGGCGTAGCCAGGCAGCTCGAGTGGAAACCACAGAATTGTTGGAAAATTACCGATTAGCAAGCGGTGCTGCAGACATTTTTGTCCAAAGGCATTAATATATTGGGACATGCTAGTCTATGAGGAGATATACTCTGAAGACTGACCGGGCACGCCGCCGCTTCGCTCTTCATATTGCGAGTTTTAACGACGACGGGAAGTAAGCGTGCGATATATAAACCATACAATTGAGTAGCAGAATTAATTCTGGAGCCTCGAATTCGTAGATGGCCAATGAGACCGCTTGTTGCTTCAGAAGCCGTGTCCATTGTCGGTAGAGTTAAGTTGCTGCGGCCTGTGTAGGATGGAAGGGGTACGGGCCATGGCCCATTCACCCACGATCCGTTTCTCAGTCCAGCGGACATCTGGACCGCTGTTTGGGAAAGCGATCCAAACGTGATAATAGATAAAAGTACACACACACTGTCAGCACGCGAGCAGCTGCGGGCGGCTCAAGAGCTGACGGTTGACTGATGCCGCAGATAGAGCAGCTGATAAAAAGCAAAAGCAGCCCGCCGCTGCTATCGCAAAGACAGGATAAGCCTTGCCTGCGCGGTCCAATGAGACGGCGCAGAATGAGATGATTCGCGGAAGGTTACGAGTCGGCAGGGCGGACTAGTGTGGATTGGTCGACAGCGAGCCGGGCGGTGATTGCGCGGATAGCTATCGGAACTATTTTAAGATACCAAATGAATTTGCCAGTATGTCTTGGGTCTAGCCGCTTTTATTATGAAGATAGCGTGTGCACTTCTGCGATTAAGGAAGAGCCTAAAGGGGAGACAATGCCGATCAGGAGCAGCAAAGACGTTGCAAAATTGGTTCAGACGGGAACCCGATGCGGCGCCCGGGAAGTGGCTCGGTCGCCGCCAGAACAATCAGTCCCCGTTATCTGAATCAAAGGCCTCACCCGCTTATCTTTCCCACGAGTACGTTCTGTAGTCCGTTGCTGCGTTGGCGTACGAATACCGGTGTCTATTTGGGGCATCTGTTTGACGAAGAGTGATTGCGGCTGTTTTGCGAGCAAAAACCTCTCATTTTCGATGCGGACACAGCAGTCACCGAGGCTTTCTACCGGGATTCTTCCCCGCCGGATGCCAAGCCTGCTGACGGCCTGGGGAATGGCAAAGGCCGTCCAGTCCCTGTAGATAACCTACGCGTGCTTCGCTAACCAGCGCAAGTGAACGGCTCCTATCTTATCAGCAGCTCAATTCAAACAATCTGTCATTCCGAGGTTTCACCTTTTTACTTTACACTTCACATATAGGACCTGTTCGTGAGAAGCAAGGTCGAGCAGGCCAATACCATTAGCCGACAGGGGCAGACAGACCTGTCTGCTCTTCCACATGCAGTCAACACCGTCTGAGCTGGCAATCTCACTGTCACGAGGTAGCCACCAATTGAGTACCCACCACAACAGTGTAAATAAGATAACAGTAGACAAGAGGCGGCCCGTAGCTGATAAGCCTGGCTGGCTGGGTCTGTATGAAAGGCGAAAAATGCAGCAGGGCGGGTGGGGATGGATATATCATAAAACTCTAATCTACGCCCAGATTACGCGGTTTTCTTAGGGACGAGAGGGATTGGCAGACAACAGGTGAATGTCTTCGTAGGAGGATATACCATGCCAGATGCAACTGGTGCAGGCCCTCAAGCAAGTGCTGGTGACAAGTGCACGTCGATCAGAAGTAGCACTGCTCCTTCTCGTAAAGGAGGGATATTCGGCAGATAATGCAGAGTGCAGTTTGTCCCTGGTGCAAAACCCAAAAACATCAAAATGTGAATCGCTCGAGGAGGCTGATGCAGTCCATAGGATGGTCTCTTGAGTCGTTATCGTTTCCGTGTCCACCTAGGGCTGTCACAATAAGTTTCCTCCTTTTGCTGCAGACAGGACTCAGTCACACGACGGGTAGTCTTTCCGCTGCAAGATAGTCGTCTGTCTGTAGCGCATATTCAAGAATCTTCCTTTATCAATTCAACCCTGCTGTAGACATACCGTCAGACATATTGCAGACTTCCCCTTTGGAGCAAAAAGCAGACCCCGACGCGATAAGATTTTACGTGTACGCCTAAATTAGGGTTCAGGGGCACAACAACGGTTTGGGTTCAGGCGAGTCCCCACGCATGATAAGAGATTGCCAATCGCCTAAAGATAAGCAATCCGCAAAGACTGCAGTCGGCAGAGACCCTGTCAAGACCTGTCGACCTGCTCTCTCTCTGTCCGTCTGCCTCTGCTCCTTCTGCTGTGTTGGTCGACCGACGTTAGTCGGCTCTCGTGATCTGTAGAAGTAGACCTCCGCATTGGTCTAAAGTAAATCATTGCATATCGAGACTGTGCGGTGCACTGTTCAGCTGCCGAACTGGAACGCTTTGACCGCCAGCGATACAGTAAGCTTTTCTAAAGTAGGCGTCTGCGCGATAATGTCTCCGTCTTTTGATAGAGATGCGGCCAGGGTAGGCCTCCTTCGTCCCGCCTAGTACATAACCACCATGGTTTCCCCACCTCGGATTGAAAGCCTACTACCATGCTGTACAGTCCACACTGCCGGCCCATTGATTCCGCAGCAATCAAGAAGAGTCTCTCCTATACTTGAAAAGAGTGTAAACTGTAAGTTTCATTCACCTATACTCGTTTTCAATCCGGAAAGCCGAAAGCTAATCAATTGAATTGCTCAGTATATTAAGATGGGTGAATACGACGAAAAGTCGGACGCTGCGTCGTCTGACGGCATCAAAATGGAGAAGAACTATGGCGTCAAGGAAACGGTAATGGACGATCCCGTCATCGAGAACGCAAAGAACGAGACCGATATCACGGTCACCGAGCTTGGCCTTGGTCCGGACTTGCGTCAACGGGCGCTCGACCGTCTGAACCATGAAGTCCACGATGACTTGGTTGATATCTTGGGCAACGACCCGGTCTTGGAGTATCTGCTTGATATGCTGCTCACCATGTCGACCTCGGAAGCTATCCAAGTTCTCACTGCTGCCGCGGAGTACCACGGCGACGATACCAACTTTGCTGCGCGCTCTCTTGTCAAGATTCAAAGCCTGCTAGCTGGTGAGGACGCCTATGGAAAGGGCCACGAGGAGTACGTCTTGGATCTTTTGATCGAAGCCACTGTCTTGAAGTTCCACTCTCCCTACCCCGAGGTGCGAGCTGTCTGCGATCCTATGGATGATCCCTCCATCCCTGTCGAGACAATCCGCGCTTACTTCCTTGGTATTTGCTGGGTTGCGGCCGGTTCATTCATCAATCAGATGTTCACTTTCCGTCAGCCCTCGCTTACAATTGGTGCTACCGCTATTCAGATTTTGCTCTACCCCTGTGGTAAATTCTTGGAGCGCGTCCTGCCTGATTGGGGATTCTCCATCCGTGGTCATCGGATCTCACTCAACCCCGGACCGTGGAACAACAAGGAGCAGATGTTGGCCACTTTGATGGTCAACGTCGGCTCGACATCCAGTAACTTTATGAGTTACGTCGTCGTCATGAAGCTCGACCGTTTCTTTGCTCAGCGATGGGTCGACTTTGGTTTCATTTTCCTGCTCAACACTTCCACCCAGTTCTTTGGTTTCGGCTTAGCTGGTCTTCTTAGACGATTTGTGGTCTATCCCGCGAAGGCTATTTGGCCCTCACTCTTGCCCACAGTCATGCTTAACCGTACCCTGCTGCTTCCCGAAGAGAAGCACAGCATCCACGGATGGACGATTTCCCGATACAAGTTCTTCTTCATCGTCTTGGGCTGCATGATGATCTACTACTGGCTTCCCGGCTTTATCTTCACTGCTCTCAGTACTTTCAACTGGATGACCTGGATTGCACCCAACAACAAGAACTTGGCTATCGTGACCGGCTCCGGTATCGGCTTGGGATACAACCCTCTTACTACTTTTGACTGGGGTGTGATCGGTTACACTGCTCCTCTTGCTGTTCCGTTTTTCTCCTTGGCCAACCAGTACTCTGGAATGTTCATTGCCGGTCTCATTATGCTTGGTCTCTACTACCGCAACTACAAGTGGATGGGCCATATCCCCATCAACTCCACCAGTTCGTTTGATAACCAGGGCAACAAGTACAATGCCTCGCGTATCGTCAACGACGATCTCACTCTCAACCTTGAGAACTACAAGAACTACTCGCCGCCTTTCCTTTCTATGGGATACCTTATGTGTTATGGCTCTGAGTTTGTTATGTTCACAATGTCGGTTGTCTACATCGGACTTGCTGAATGGCGAGCTCTGAAGGAGAGATTCGCTGGATTCTACAAGGCTCTGCGTTACCGTGGAAGATCCAACTTTGACAACTATGATGATGCTCTTTGCCGTCTTATGAGAGCGTACCCTGAGGTTCCTGACTGGTGGTATCTCATCATCTTGGTCTTGTCGCTCGTGTTTGGCATCATTGCTTGCGTTGTCTACCCGACGAACACTCCCTGGTGGTCCATCATCGTCATTATCGTCATTTGTATCTTCCTTATCTTCCCTAGTGCCATCATCTTCTCTATCACTGGTTACGAACTTGGATTCAACGATATCGCTATCGTCGTCGCTGGTTACATGATTCCCGAGCACGCTATCGCAAACATGATCTGTCGTGTGTACGGTTGGAACGTCGACGCCCAGGCTGAGAGTTTGATTGGCGACCAGAAGCTCGGACACTATGCTAAGATCCCGCCAAGAGCGCTTCTTCGTGGACAGCTGCTGGCTACCATCATCCAGACCTTTGTTACCATCGCGGCCTACAACGTCTTGGTCCAGTCCTTCCCTGATCTCTGCGCCTCGGACCAGTCCAACAGATTCGTCTGCCCGTTCCCCAATGCGCTGTACACCGCTACCCTCGTCTGGGGTGTCGTCGGACCCAAGCGTATGTTTGAGACCTTGTACCCCATGCTCAAGTGGGCTTTCTTGATCGGTGTCCTGATCGGAGCTCCTTGCTACTACACTCGTGTCTTCCTCATGCGCTTCAAGTACCTCTCTTGGCTCAAGAACTTCAACCCCATTCTGTGCCTTGCGGGCATGAACTTGTTCCAGTCCGGCTACAACCTCTCCTACTACACCCCCGGTCTCGAGATGGGTTTCATCTTCATGTACTACATCCGTCGCCACTACCTCGCCTGGTGGACCAAGTACAACTTCGTGCTCACCGCCGCGCTCAGCGCGGGTGTCGCTCTCTGCGCTATCTTGATTTTCGCTACCCTGCAGGTCACGAACGTCAGTATCCCATGGTGGGGACGAACCGTCTCCAACGCGGGTGTAGATGGTGATGGCACGGCTACCGTGTTCCCGATTCCGGCAAAGGGTTACTTTGGCCCTGACACCTGGAGTTAAATCTGTTCCAAAAATTCTTAACTGATCGTTTCTTTTTTTCTCTACTCAATGTCTGTTGTTTTTCGAGCCTTTCTGTTTGGCTAGGTAGCTTTTATATGATATATAACGTTTTTTCCTTTTTTGAATATATGAATAGTATTATATATTATCAAATTCAATTTTTCGTATCGTAAAAATAGAGTAAGAGGTGTTGCAGATGACTTTGTTTCTGTTATAATACCTTTACTCAAACTTTTCGGGCCAGACTTGCTTAACCAAAGTCTTCTTGTTCACTGCATTCGTAAGAGCGTACGTTAGTAGACTGTCAAAACCAAAAATAATATCAACAGTGCCATAAATACCTTTGCCCATCTGATTTCTTGGGATAGACTCGATGATCTTCAACTCCTTCGGCAGCTTGTATCCTGTGAGACGGAGCTTAAGCTGTGCCTTCAAGTCAGCAAACTCGATAGGTGGGTGGCCAGCCGCCATGACAATCACAGTAGCCACAGATTGTCCCCACTCCAAGCTCGGCAGTCCGACGACCGCGCACTCCAGGATTCCCTCGAGCGACAGAATCTCGCGCTCGATCTCGAGAGCGGAGATCTTCTCGCCGCCAGACTTGATGATATCCATGGACTCGCGGCCCTTGATCCACCATCGGCCGGCGTTATCGACACCGGCAATGTCGCCGGTTCGGAACCATTTCCGTCCGCTAGCGTCAGTCACAAAGGACTCCTCAGTGGCCTTCTCCTTCCGCCAGTACTCTCTGAAGATGGTAGGTCCGGACAGCTCGATTTCGCCTAACAGCTGGTCATCGGCCGAGGTAGGCTTGGGAGCGTACCATTTCTCAGACTCCCATCCGACCGACTCGTAAAGAACTTCCAAGGTGTCCTTGTCGACCAGTCTTGCATAAACGCCGGGAAGGGGCTTGCCGACGCTACCGCTGGAGCGCTCTTCCTCCTTCAAAGGTTGACTGAGAGCCATTCCGACTTCAGTCATACCATATCTCTCAAGAAGCTGGGGATGACCGCCAGACAGCTCAGCCCATCCCTCTCTCAGCGGATCAGGAAGAGCCGCCGATCCGCACATTGCGAGCTTCAAGTTCTTGGAAACTGCCGCACTGACTTCGGCTTGCTTCTCGGGCGAGAATGTTCGGAATAGAGTAGAAAGACGAGAGTAGACTGTGGGAACGGCAGTGTAGATGGTAATGATGGGATCGGACTCGTTCTCGTGCGCGAGCAGGCTAAGAACTGGACCGGCGGCAAACGGGAATTGGAAAAGCACAGTCGCGCCCACAAACAAGGGGACCAACAGGGCGTTTAGGATGCCGTGGATATGGTGGAGAGGAAGAGTATGCAAGAGTGTGTCGGTCTCCTTGATTTCCCAAGCCTTGATCAACGATAACGACTGTGCAGTGAGAGTAGCATTGGGAATGACCACGCCCTTGGGGTTGCCTGAGGTTCCAGAAGTGTAGAGGATAATTCCGCTCGTGTTGACGATACCGGTCGTATCCTCTTCGACTGTAACCTCTTCCGACGCCGGCAGCACGACATCCTCGACAATGACAAACTCACGCTCGCCAACCAGAGGCGTCAACTTCTCCTTAAAGCGCGCAGTCGCGACAACAGCGCAGCAGTCGGCATCGTTCAATTGGTAAGTAATCTCGGGCGCAGTGTGTGAAGGACATAGGGGAACCGCGATCGTCTCCGGCAGCGACACAGCCGCGAGCAGGCAGGAGACGAACTCGTAGCTGTTCTCGCCCATAATAGCGATACGCTTGCCCGTGCCCGCCGAGCTGGTGATCTTGGAGAGAACCGATCTCCAGCGGGCAATGTCCTTCAGCAACGAGCCGTACGCAAAGCTTTTCTTGGAGCTGTTGTGGATGATTGCGGTCTTGGTCGGCGCATGCGAGGCAATCGCGCTGAGGACGGGGAGGTTGGGTAGTGTAGTCATCGATCGGGTGGGGAATATGCCAGGGACTTGAGAAGCTATGCAAGGGAGGATTACAATTGACTTGGCAGAATGAGACGGCAAGCAATTGAGCAGGGAAGAGTCGAGTCGGGGAACGGTGGAGAGTTGGCAACGACGAAGGAAGCGGGTTGGGCGAACAAGCGGCATCTTTAAAACTCCCCGAACAAACTAAAGTTCTTGCTATTCCTCACCAAAACCCGGCTCGCGAGCGTGCACTTTGACCGTCGGTGTTTGGGGTTTTTAGGAGGGATTGTTGAGCCTTTCGTGGCGTTTGTCCGTTATCGCCGCGTAGTTGAGCCCCGACCCGGAAGCGATTTTGGGTGCCTGACCTTTCGCTGGCGGCCTGACCTGTGGGACAGGCCACTCCGCAGCGGGTCAATTGCACGCTGATGGTCATAATTGAGATTCATCATTAAAAGCAGTTTGGTTGGTGAATATTGAACAATTTGATATAATAGATGGGATCATTGGAGTATGTTTGCAGTAATCAATTTTAGGCTACAATTCTGGTGCGACATCCAAACGTAAAATTCCAACAAAGTAACGCCAGCTCTATTTTTCCTGAACGAGAAACAGCAGCTTCCCACCTCGTCCTAAATACAATACAATCAACCACATTATCTTCCTCCTCGCGACCCACCATACTTTTCTAGATTACCCAAGATCTTCAGGCCCGTAGGATCCCCACCGAACGCCAGCCAGTATCTCAGGGGGTGCCAGTCCAGTGATGGTACCGAGAACGCCGACGTTCTGCCAATTGAGTGGACGATTTCCCCACTTTCTACGTGTATCTAGAGACGTGATTCGGTAAGCGGTGTGCATCAATTGCGTGATAAACATAAACGTGACATTAGTTGACTTACAATCTGGACCGGATCCGCTGCTTCCAGTGACACTGCAAGATACGCACCATCGAAAGAAAACGAGATCGATTTCACGGGAAATGCGGACTTCCCAATTGTGCGTATGCACGCCAGCTCCTGTGTATCCCATATACTCACCAACGAGTCATTCGATCCCAGGGCAAGAAACTGCCCTCGTTGATCAAACTCCATACATGTGATTCCGGTGCGGTGCGCGTTCATTGTCCATACTGGCTCTGGATCAGCGTGTCCAGTTTGCGTGTCAAAAGAGTAGAATTTGACTGCTCCTGAGGATAGTCCGACTGCCAGGACTGAGCATGAGTTTGATACTGTTGCGCACGTCACGTCGCTGTCGTTGCTGACCTCGAGAACTCCATTAGATCCGTTCTCGCTCGGAGCAAAAGTCTTTGCATCAACAATGTAGATTCCTCGCCCTTGTGTTCCGCTGATCAGTACCCATCTTCCATCCGGTGTGAAACGCACAAGTAGTGGGCAAAGCTGTGGTAGATTCGTGGCGCCTTCGACAGCCGCCCCATCCTTCAATGATGATGCTGTCTGATTCCCCGCATTCCCCGCCCCAGATGCTCCGGCCGCATTCGCCGTCAACTTCAGAATTTTCAGAGTCTCTCGTAACCGTACATCCCAGAGTCTAACGGTACCATCTCCGGCAGAGCAAGAGACAAGACGATCCGCCAAGGTCGGGTCCCAAGCAATGGAATCAGCAGCCTGCGTGTGGCCCCGCAGCTCGGTGGAGTACTTCACATCAGGCTTGTCTGGGTTCCATATCCTAATCACATGGACCCCGTTTGGGGTTGTAGTTCCACTCGCCGCGATCAGACTGCCGAGAGCATTCCATGACACGCGCCGGACAATTGCACTTGAGGAGGCACGGCTTGTTTCTTGAAAACTTTTAAGGTGGAGACTTCGAAAGTATGTTTCCGACGTATCGCGAGCTAAAGAGTAGCTTGTTGGCGCAGGAATTGGAGTTGGACCCGCCATATCTGATGACGATTGATTGAACGCAGATGCTGATTCTAATGCAGTGAACAGTCTTCGTTCTCCTGCTCTAAACTGTGGTGGTGAGTATCAGAGGGAGACGCGCATCGGGTTCGGGTTGGAGAATAGGGCAGGGGTTCATATTTGTAATATGACACAATAGCTCGACGAGATATCAGCGATCGCTTTCTACTCGGACGAACGGCATTCAGAGACGAAGAAGGCTGTTAGTAAAGCAGTCAAGGGAGTGAAAGTAAGGTTAACAGTTCTTGGCTGTACTGGTTAAATGCGCCTGGCCAACTGCGACAGGATCATCACCTCTTTTGTGTATAAGCAGCGATCATTCAAGATACTCTCTCCAGCTCGCGCGCAGAATCGAAATCTCTCAACCATCAGCAAAAGGATGGCATCTTCGGCAACGAAATCATACAGCGGCGTCACGCTTGCTGAACTTCCCAAGTCTCATGTCTTTACAGAAAAGCTTCCTGCTGACCCGCAGGTGCCCACTCCAGAAGCAGCCATGGACGCAAAAGATCCCGGCGTCTTTCTTCCTCGTGCCGTCACTGACGCTGCATTTACATACGTGAAGCCGGGGACGCACAACATTGAAAAGGCTAAGCTGCTAGCTGTTAGCGAGGCAGCTATGCGAGATCTTGGACTCAAACTTGAGGAGAAGGACACGGACGAGTTCAAGGAAGTTGTTATCGGCAATAAGATATACGAGGAACATTTCCCGTGGGCACAGGTTTACGGAGGCTATCAATTTGGGGAATGGGCCGGCCAGCTGGGTGACGGAAGAGCAATCAGTATTTTTGAAGCTACGAACCCTGCCACGGGGGTCCGATACGAAGTACAGCTGAAGGGTGCAGGCAGAACTCCGTTCTCGCGCTTTGCGGATGGAATGGCTGTCTTGCGATCGAGCGTTCGCGAATTCCTGGTTTCAGAAGCTCTGAATGCTCTGTCGATTCCTACCACTCGAGCCCTCTCTTTGACCTTATTTCCCAACGAAGGCGTTCGTCGTGAGACCATTGAGCAGCGAGCTATTGTGGCGCGAATGGCGCCCACCTGGATCCGATTTGGGAATTTTGATATTCACCGACGCCGAGGCAACCGCAAGCTTTTGAAAGCGCTTGCAGATTACTCGATTGACGAGGTATACGGTGGGCTTGACAAGATCAAGGCGAGCGATCCAAAGGCGTATGAAGGCCTTTCGAGGTATCATATATTCTATAAGGAGGTAGCTCGAAGAACTGCTGAGACCACCGCTCTTTGGCAGACTTACGGATTCATGAAGTGTGTACTCATTTTTCTGCAGGAGAAAAAGATCAGATACTGACTGGAAGCATATAGCGGAGTTTTGAACACTGACAACATCTCGATTTTTGGACTGAGTCTTGACTTCGGGCCGTTTGCCTTTATGGATGTAGGTTAATGGGTTTGGCTTTGATTTCGGTCGGGAAAAGTAACTGTATACTAACGCCACGACTAGACTTACAATCCAATGTACACTCCAAACCATGTAAGAATATTTGTTTGGGGTTTCAAGAATTGTGAACGCTAATTCTGAACGACAGGATGACCACCGCTTGCGATACTCATACCGGAATACCCCCACAATCATGTGGTGGAATCTTGTCCGACTTGGCGAAGATCTGGCAGAACTGTTTGCGGCCGAGAGCGAGGAGTTTGTGAATTCTGAGCAGTTTATTGAGTCTGGTATACCCGAGGATAAACTTGACGCGTTTGTTGAGAGGGCAGAAAAGATCATCGAGGGTGTTGGCGAATACTACAAAGAGACGTTGGAAGCGGCGCACTCAAAAGCGTTTGTAAAGAGATTAGGTCTAACGTCTGTGAAGAAAGATGACTCGGCAGATGGTATTGTTGACTCTGTTCTTCTTTTGCTGAAGGAGCAGCAGCTTGATTTTAATCACTTCTTCCGGAAATTGGGCCGTGTCAGATTGTTTCCTGGCGACGGCGAAGATGAAAGCAGTTTGACTACTGAAGAGGATATAAAGAAGATTTTCCTGACTCACGACCGCGGGTATTCAGTTCCCCATATTGACGACTCAGCAAAGATTATACACGATTGGTTATTCAACGAGTACAAATCTCGCCTGGTTGAGGAAGGGAACGTGAACGACAGCGACCGGAAATCACGAATGGATAAAGTGAACCCGAACTTTATCCTACGAACGTGGATCATGGACGAGGCTATTAACAGGATCCAACGACATGGCGATGCGAAGTTTTTGGAGCACGTGCTGTATCTTGCGCTGCATCCATTTGAAGATAGTTGGACGTCGGAAGAGGAGGATAAAGATAAATACGAGGCGGAGATGAAGTTTATTGGCGACGTTCCGCGGCTGAAGCAGGCGTTGACTTGTAGCTGCAGCTCTTGATTGCGCTGCTGGTCCATGAGAATGTGAATTTGGGTGTATATACAGTTGCAAGAAATTCATCAAAGATTAAATTTAGACCGCTTTAGAATTGCAGACGCGTGCACTGTTGAGAATGGAATCGCTCGATTGGGAAATTCGTGTTCAGGGTAAGAGCATCGCCGTCGCGTTCCAACCAAATCAGATATCCATCACTCCAGAGTAAATATTCACATAGCTGCAAGCAATTCCAGCAACTCCTCAGAGTAGTCAGTCCGTTTGATGGTCGGGTCTCTATAACGCCTCAATAATGTCAAAGAAAACAAGTCTATCTTTTGGTTCGCGTCTCCCGTACAGATGTCTTGTTTCCTTTCGACTCGCAATTATTAACCTTTGTCTTTACCTACCTTTAGAGCGACGGACGCCTAAATTCCTACAGATTCTACGGGGTGAACTGCCCTCCGAACCATCGGTGGATACGAAACTTCAGAAACCTGGAGATCTACAGGGTGGTGGACGAGATGTCGACAGTGATGACGAGACTACGATTCCCGAATACGTCTTTGAGGGAGAGACGATTACGAAAGAGGAGATGGAGGAGGTCAAGAATGGGAAGACGCTCGCGCAGATAAAGTAAGATAGCATACACCCTAGTCGATCCATTTCTTCTCGTGATTTCGTTTTACTGAACTGACTGGTTACATTTTAGAGAAGAGAGAGCAGCGCGAGAAGCCAAACAAGATCAAAACGCGATGAAACCACCAGATCAAACGTCAAGCTCGAAAAAACAAACGGCAAACGTGTCCGAGTTTGGAAGTAGGAAACGGAAGCTGGTGACCAGAATCAAGCAAGCTGATGATGACGAAGAAGAGCCATCTGCGGAGCGGAAGCAGGACGCCGGTGGTAAGAACGAGGAATCTACGAAAGACGCGGAGCCAAAGCGGATTAAGAAGAAGAAATCCGCAAAAAGCAAGAGCACGGTTCAGCTCTCTTTTGGAGACGAAGAAGAGTGATGATTACTGGATCTTCGAGCAGGATGTTAGAAGGGGACTAGTGTATATTAGGTGTAAATTTTAGGTCGTGGTAAATGTACAGTATTTCATGATTGTATCTCCATCAAAGTTCAGCACAGCGCCGATTCTTGAGATCTAGCTTTATATATATCGTATCTAACAAGAAATGAACTATTTGGTAACCCCCTTCTTCTTCTTTCCCTTCGTTTTCTTCTTATCCTTCTTCTTCAACCCCGTGATGCCGCTCTTCACAACCTCGCTATACTTCTTCCAAAACTCGTCCAGCTTATCTGCGTCCACTACCGTAGTTATCTTTGTCTTTTTGCTCTTATCTGCTGCACCGTCGGTCGCTCGGAATATCAAGCTGTGTTTTGAGGGAGTCGTGATGTCTGAAAGATCGGTTGGGCTGGGGTTGTGTTTGTTCTCAACCGGGTCGAATGGTGTTACTATAGGATACAGGAATAAGCAATCTGTGCACCTAAAATGATACTAGACCTAGGATTCGGACGTACACCTCTTTTGCTGCAGAAACACAGTACCAGACTCCGCCTGCTTCTTGAACAGCGCGCTCAGTTGCGTGAGAAACTGTATCGTTTGTTAGCATTCAAACTCCAGATGGTGAGCTAAACACAAAATATCAATATCCTCGATCTCACCTGTTCATTGTCCAGCCTTGATTTGGATGCCATTGTGTATATGTGCGTCAATCCGTCGCGATTTCGAGCAACAAAAGACGGTATCCAGTCGAGCTCACGACGGAGGATGAAAACTGAAAACGCATATTTGGTGTCTATTTTTATGGCATAAAAACAAGACGGCTACGCTTTTGTGCAGGGGCTTGAATCTGGTGCGGCGGTCGATGATGAGGAAAGCCAAGTTGGGTGTTTTTCAATATTTTTTCTTACTTCCCAACCTGCATTTCCTCTGGTTGATTCTAGTTTCTGGTGCTCCTCCGCCGCTGTCTCTATTCTACAAACGAGTATAGTAGATACTTGAGATATTTTGATTGAGAACAGATGCCTCGCCAGTTCAATAGGAGCCACAAGCTTCCTTCACAGAGGAGTAAACCTCGACCTCCTCCGCGCCCGCCATCAGCAGCGTCCGCGGTTGCTAATGGCAAGAAGAGCGCGAAACGGCGGAAAGTCGGAAGCAGCAAGAGCTCTGATTCCTCCGCTGCTGCTGCTGATTACGACCCGTTGCTGAAGCGCGATGAAGACGATATTCTTTATTATTCGCGGAAGTTGAAGGCAAAGTCGGGGAAACTTCCTCGGATGCCTGAAGACGATGGACTTGACAGTACGTTTATCAGATCAACTGGGTGAAATACTCGTGGTTGCTGACTTTCTTTTTTTGAAATTAGGTATAACTGAGGGTTTGGACTTGGGGTTTTTGGACGACATGTTTGGCTCGGGATCGAAGAAGAAATCGAAACGTGCGTCGAAGCGGGCGGTGGAGAGTAGCGAGGACGAAGATAGCGAGGTCGACGAAGAGGCTTCTGCTGAAGACGGAGATAGTGATGAAGAGATTGAGGTTGATCTTGACAGTGACAGTGAGGAGGAAGAAGACGAGGATAGCAACGACGAGGATGATCTAGAAGAAGATGACAGCGAAGCCGAGGCAGACGAAGCCGATGAAGCTCAAGATTCAGAGGCCGAGTCTGCAGCCGTGCAACCTGAAGTCAAGAAACGCGAAAATCCGTACCTGCCGCCTGTTGCGGCGACTGCGAGCAATGGGGGAAAATATATCCCCCCTTCGCTTCGGAAGAAAATGGAGGAAGCCTCAGGTCAATCCGACGAAGCACGAGCGCTAAGGCGGCAGTGCCACGGTCTGCTCAACAGGCTGTCGGAGGCAAATATTGCTTCTATTGCTGGAGAGTTTCAACAGCTATACATGCACAACGCGCGACAGAGCGTGACGTCGACTGTGACCTCGATCTTACTCGAAATGACCGCGCAAAAGTCGATTCTCCACGACAACTTTGTGATTGTGTACGGTGCGCTTGTCGCGGCGCTATACAAGCATGTCGGCACTGATTTTGGAGCCTACTTTATACAGACGCTGGTCGAGACGTTTGATAGCCATTTGAGCGACCCGGATAAGGGAAAGGAGTGCTCTAATTTGATGGTCATGCTCAGTCAGCTGTACACTTTCCAGGTGGTGGGATGCAGCTTAATCTACGATTTTATTCGGGTCTTCCTCAGTGATATCACCGAGCTGAACACCGAGCTTCTTTTGAAGTTAATTACAAGTATGTGATTTATTTTATATTTAGCATATGGTGAGTTCTCTACTGACATGGTACACGAATCTTAGACGCGGGCTCGCAGCTACGCCACGACGATCCAGCAGCTTTGAAAGAGATCATCAGTCTACTCCAGGGAGCAGTCAAGAAAATCCCACCAGAGAACCTGAAGTGAGTACTCTTTTCTCGGGCAATCCATCTGATACGCAGTAATACTAATACCTCGTGTCTTACAGCTCACGCACCAAATTCCTCATCGAGACCGTGACCTCGTGGAAAAACAACCGTCTGACAAACACCTCAAAAATCGCAAGCGAGTCAATCACGCGCATGCGCAAGTTTCTCGGCAACATCCCCGGCAGCGCCGAAGCCCTCCGCGTGACGCTCGACGATATCCGGAACGTGGAAACCCGCGGGAAATGGTGGTTGGTTGGCGCGGCGTGGTCCGGAGATGGAACGGCTGGTGTGCGGGTTCGGGATGTGGATATGGACGATAATGATGTCGATATTAGTGCGGTGAAGGATATTCTGGATACTGCGGAGCCGGACTGGCTGGCACTCGCGAGACAGCAGCGAATGAACACTGATATCCGACGGGCGATCTTCGTGGCGATCATGGGAAGCGAGGACTACGTTGACGCGAATGAGCGGTTGATGAGTTTGAAACTCAAGCGGGTGCAGGAGCGGGAGATTCCGCGCGTGGTGTTGCACTGCTGCGGGAACGAGAAGGACTTTAACCCGTTCTACGCTTATGTGTCGGCTGAGCTGTGCAAGCAGCATTCTGTGAAAAAGACGTTCCAGTTCAGTCTATGGGATTACTTCAAGGAACTTGATGGTGACATGGACGAGGAGGATGATGATAACGACTCAGACGACGAGGATACAGATTTGCGATTTGTTGGACGCGGCGAAGTTGATGAAAAGACGCGCCGGCGGAAATCCAAGAACTTTTCAAAGTTCTTCGCCGTTCTGGTCGGCGAAGGACGGATGGGTCTTGAAATTTTCAAGAACGTCAATTTCTTGACCAGCAGCGACGAGATGAATGAGTTCTTGCAGATCTTTTTCCCCGCGCTGGTAAGTCATATCAAAGTCCGGACTGCGCGGCAGAAGGATAGACTTGCGGGTGAGAAAGCGCTGGTGCAGCTTGTGGTGAAGATCAAGGATAATACGGTGCTGATGAAGGGTATTGAGTATTTTCTGAAGGCAAAGATTGAGACGAAAAAGGTGTCGAAAAAGTCAGGGCAGGAAAAGACGGATGAGACTATCAAGTGGGGTGTAGGAATCATCTGCGATTCTATCGAGAGACTTGAGAGATCAAAGGAGTTTTGATTGCATCAGGGTTTAGGCAAATAGAACTCATAACAGTTCTAAGCATTTACAGTCTAGCAGGAATAAGGATTCTGTGGACTTCGAGAAAACTTCGATCGCGACGTCGTCTCGTGAGGCAGTCCCCCGCATTACGATGTTTTGTACTTATAAGCTCAGCAATATTTTTTCGAAATAAAAATACAAAAGATAAGATCAAGAACGGCAAAAAAAGACATTTTCGAGACGCGAATCGACTGCCCGATCAATCAAAGAAAAAACTAAACACCAGCTCTTGATATCCCATTTTCCCGCCTTTGATCGACCGACGCTTCCTACTCTCTGCATATATGTGCGGTAATTCCTCTTCTTTTTCCAGTTCACGACACGAATACGGCAAACGTAGTATATAGAAATTGCACATCTCTTTTGTCTTTATCTTGTATTACATAATCGTCATCATCGTCGTTCTAATAAGCACCACCAGTCTGTTGCGGATGTTAGCCTCATGCGTGTTGATATGTAAGAGATGGAATCGAAACGTACCTGCTCCTGAACAACCTCGAGAATGTCTCCGTCTTGCATTCCAAGCTATTAGTAATTAAGATGTGTTAGCGGGTGCCCCTGTTGTAAGATTATTCGGCAGATGATGAGTGTTGATGCTCAGTCCATCTCCAGTTCGCGAGTACTTAGGCCACAAATGTGGGTCACTCGCGTACTGTCTTTGTACAGTCACCAAACATCTCTCCCCCCCAAAAAAAAAAACCAAGACCAACTTACAGTCTGAGGAGTATCAGCATCATTGACGCGTTCGCCATCAAACAAGAACCGCACCGCCAAACGGCTCTTTCCCTGGCGCTCGCAGAACGTGTCCATGAGCTTCTTGAGGCCCGTGGTCTTGCGGATTCGGAAGAAGACCTCGTTGTTGTTGTCGGTGACCTTGATGTTCAGGTGCTCGTTCTCGCCCGAGGCCGCAGATCCGTCCTCAGGCTTCACGTTGACGTTGTCTTCGGCCATGTTGTGCTGGGATGTTGGGTGGAAGGGATTGATTGAGTAGAAGGTCGGAAACGAAAAAAACACGCAGGGATGTTAGGAGCTGTGAAGAGTTCGGGAGGGAGTCTTCGCAGATCTACGCGTCGATGGGGTGTTTGACTCTTGATCGGTGGTAGTGGACAGAGAAGAGGAAGAAAGATTAACTATCAAGTTTTGTGTGCTTTGTAGTTCTGTGCTCATCTTGTTGGAGAGCTGCGTGCCCGTACCCTACCAACCGTTGTACTCTGCTTCTCATACAAAGTGCTTTAGTATCTAGTTATCTAATCAACTCTTCTGTATATTGCTACCCATAACGATGGCGATATTAGAAGAACTTGCAACCTTTGCAAGAGAAGGTGAGTCCGGCCTATAATTGAATCACTCAACCTATTCCATCAAGCTAACAACGCGCAGCTCAGAAACGAGCGGATCAAACTCCCCGGAATCCGCCGTCATCCTCTAAAATCACGCCCGTATCAGACTCCGATGACGACAGGAAAAGTTCAGACAATGACGACTCAGAGACTGAGGAGTTCACAAACGCGACTGAAACTCAAGCGTCTGACGAGGTCTCGGCTGTTCAAACAAATGATGATTCGAAACCAGCAGTGGTTCAAGGAGGAGAGTCCAGCGACGGTGCCACTGAGGAGAAATTCTCACCAGAAGAAGAAGCCTCGTTACTAGCCGAGTCCGACGCACTCAAGACTTTAGGAAACAGTTTATTTGGCGATCAAGCGTACGAAGAAGCCATTTTGAAATACAATGCAGCGCTGGAAGTGTGTCCGGTCTACCTCGCCAAGCCGCGTTCAGTTCTTCATAGCAATATATCAGCATGCTACGCAAAGCAGGAGAAGTGGAAAAAATGCGTGGACGCGTGCAATGAGTCCTTGAAGCTGGATCCTGATTACATGAAACCGCTGCTTCGTCGCGCAATGGCGAACGAGAAGATTGGAACCTGGTCGTCGCTCCAGATCGCTATGGACGACCTCAAACACGCGCAGGAACTCAAACCGGCGCGGGAAAATCAACTGGCGATGGCGAGGTTGGAGCCCAAGATTGCCGAAGCGCAAAAGGCGGAGACGGCGGAGATGATTGGCAAGCTGAAGGAGCTCGGGAATGGGATCTTGAAGCCGTTTGGTCTTTCGACTGATATGTTTAAGATGCAGCCGGACGGGAAGGGCGGGTATAGCATGAATTTCTCAAAATGAGGGCATCTTTTCTATTTTTGATTATGTATATTTCACTATCTCCTCGGCACATTTATCAGGCGTTTATTGAATTTATGGATTTTAGCAAGAACAGTGATATTGTGGTTCAGATAATAGAAGAATGAACTGTGACAGTAGTCAGTCGCGCGTAGTCCTATTCCTGGTTGTTGAACGGCGCATCCACGATCCTCGAAAATTCCTCCTGCAGATAACTATGGTCAACAACACTTGCAACAGCACTGAACGACACGATGCCATACAAGGATTTTCTCCCCAACCAAAGGAGCAAATCTGTTCCTCCGCTCGATTTCTCCGTAGTTGATAAAGTCAGGTAGCGGCACCTGTTTGAGAATCTCTTGAGCAGCGTAAGCGTTTATTCCAGCATAGCGCAAAAATCTTTCCCACTATTGAAGAAAAAAAGTCAGCTTAAGCTCAGTTCCAAACTCTCTATGATAAGGTCTATCTCTTGTTTCTAGCCGAAGCTCTGCTCGGGACTCCAAACCGTAGAATCTTCCTCAGCCAGACCGTTTCCCGCCGCGCTGAATTTCTTGATCATGTTAGTAAACAACTTCAACCCGTCGAGATCGCTGTAGTCGTCTTCTTCATGCTTGACAAAGAACACGCGGATCCCAGCGAGACTGGCGACAAACTCCGAGATTGCATCCCAATCATTTTTGCTTTTCAGCAGCACGCTCAGAAGCGGGAACTGGGCAATAACGTAGAGATTCTCGACCTTCAAAGCTATCTGTCTAGCATGGGCTACCGCACTTCTGGTGCCGTCGGTTTCTCGCTGTAGAATCATTGGGAAAGTGAAAAAACAGATCGCACAGGTCGATGATAACATCACGTCAGGTTGCTCAGTGCCATAGTCGCGCTCGATGATTCTCAGACCTTCTGTGACGGCACGTATATCCTTGCATAGTTGACGGTTGAGTGTCAGAAATGAAGTGTTAAATATAATAGCTACTTCAGGCGTGAAAGTGACTTTGCTGAATTTCGACAGCGATTCAGTATGTATTCGTGCCACATCCGACTGATGAACTTGTTCATGTCTATTAACTTCTTTGAGAAGAGGTGCAGAGGCTTCTTGATTGCGATGTTTTTCAGCAGCAGCGTTATCTGCTTTCAGAGAGTAGAGGTCGAAAGGGCATACTGGGAGTGCTTTGAAGAGTGTGCTGGTTGTTTGAGTATCGTTTGCTTCGGTGGATTGTCGTAGTTGTTGCTTTGTAGCCCGGGAAGCTATCAATTCGTCAAGAGACTCCGCTTCGTTGTGTTGTCTTGGTATTGAGATCGATTGATCCTTTGCCTCAAGATCCAGCGCCGCTAGGCCCGGATAATCATCGCTCAAGTCCCAGTCGTGAACACGACTTCTGGAGTATTTGATATCGGGCACACTTTCAGCACTCGTTGCTGAAAACCAGTCAAGAGGTGACCGACTATCCTCGGCAGACTCAAGAGTCTCGCTATCTCCGCGACATTCGGAAAATAGTACGGAGGGATTTCCTATGAACGGCTTCCATCTAATTGTGAACTCCGAGTCTGCGCCCGCTTGGGATGAGATCACGCCTCTCTTCCAGTCTTCCAGACTCGCAGCAGCATCTTTCATTATGGACGAGCTGTTTGCAATTCTATGCCTTCGTGCGTCTGCAGTCTCTAACGCCTTGACAACAGGAATTGGGATACGAAGCTGCGACTCGTTCTCAATCAAATGCTCACTCTCAAGGGTACTGTTTGCCTTGCTGGCATGCTCTGCTAGCTGGGAAACGAGTCGTTTGTCTCGTCCATCTGATATTGCTAAAGCGAACGCCGTTGGTTGAGACTGTGAGAGATAGTCAAAATCTTCGCTAGCTGTAGCAAGATCAGCAGGAAAGCCGGGCGCGCGTCCTGCAGTCTTATGGGAATGTAGCAAAGGACTGGAAAAGTATTGCGAACCGGAGATGATCTTGCGCGTGCTGGATGGCGTAGAATCATGAGGGAGAGTAAGCGGCGTGCCCAAATCCTCTGAAAACGAAATCTCAGAGCGCGTTGAAAATGACTCTTCGGCGGGCGGGAGGTATGCAGTCGGATCAAAGTCGTGCGAAAGAGGGTCGAAACGGGGGGCAGATGTGAGAGGAGATGACATTCGCGAGTGCATAGACGGCAAGAATGCAGGTTCCGGTTCGTCACTCGAGATCAAGCGCGATAGGTAGGCAATATCTTTAGACTCTATCTGTAGTTTTTCGGCGACAACAGCAGCGGCTAGAGAGTTTGTCTTGTTGGAAATATCGAGAATCGGATTTTCAGTTTCTTCGTAAGTTGCAGAGCTCAGGTTCATGTAACCCATATACGCGAATGGGGAAACCCTTTCCAGGTACAATTTTGGCGGAATGTCGTCTCGCCTAAACAGTGTCTCGTTCAATTGATCGACTTTGAATCGGCGGGCATTGGTGTGCCTATTTGTTGAAAGGCTGATACGATCTGGCTGACCATCAAGCGCAAGATCATCGACCGGCGCGCTATTGTCAAACTCTCGAAGAAACGACTTCACGGTTTCACCCACACCTTTAATCAAACGGATATGCTTTTCGGTATTGTGAATGTCAAAACCGCTCTCATCTGCGAGCAAAATCGCTGTCGGCAGAGGCGGGACAGCGAGCTGCAACATATCTAGCAATAACGCGTCTAGTAGTTCGTTGCTAGTGTGGTCGACAGCCAATCCGTGAGCCCTCGCATATTGCACATCCGCGCGGAGATCATCGAAAGAGCCCTGCGAAGAAACGTCTGCCATGCTGGATATGGCACGAATTCAGATGTCGCGATACACTGGATAGATGGAATAGGGCGTAATCAGATTATCTGTTTGCTGGCGACCCGAGTGCGATTCCGATCACGAAGCTCACAAATGTCCGAGTCACATGTGACTCGATACGAGATCACGCAGTTCGATCACGAACTGTAGTTAGTGTTCATATCCAAGCAGGCCATTTATAGAAAGCGCTCGTCCCGGTGGATCAGATTAAGAAAATAGAATTTGCAAACGAGCAAATTTTCAAAGAAGCTGTTGTTTATCAGATCAGCGTTTTTGGTTATGAAGAGCCCTTTTTTGTTCAAATGAATGTCATTTCTATCTCAGATGTCTGGGGATTTATTCTTTGAAAAGACAGAGCGTTGGGCAGCACAATACCTGGCAATCACGAGCAGGCGGTGGTGGAAATTCCAGATCAATCTGATAAGATCCGCACTGCTCGTAAGCGGGGCGGGGCAAACCGCGATCATACCATACATCACTCAACACGACGACTTTCGCCCAAAATATCAAACATGATAAATTCTTATCAGTCGGCTTGTTTTGTTGATGTAGAGCAAAGTCCGATGGGTATGCTGATGTGAAGCTATATATCGGGCGCGGAAAGCATGGAAGCAGACGGCAGAAGAGTCCGCAAAGCACGGCCGCTCGCTATCCTCTGCCTCCGCTTCAAGGCCGACGTGCACCAACCAGCTTCTTGCCAGAGTCATTCTCAAGAGCTCTCTGCTTGAGGGATCGTCGCGATAGACCCACAAGGGCACATCATTGGCAAAGAATAGCAAACAGAATAAAATAACACTTGTTTGTGGGCTATCTACTAGCGCAGGCCCGACGGCGGCCAATGAGCACTCGCTCTGCCTGCCCGTGGCGAGAGTCCTCTCAACCTCTTCACCACCGCACCACCGCGTGGAAATCACGATAGGTCAGAACGGACAGTGCCTGAATAGACAATCATAATCACCAATAACATCATGCGCAGCGCGTGATTGCTGACGCAACAAACTGCATTCTCGGTCGGCGCTACCATTCGTCGTGGCGCGGAGACCAGCGTTCAGGGTCGCCAACCGTTCGATGCATGGTCTAGATTTCCTGCGCTTCCTTATCCCCCCTCCGCAGGCGCTCGCTGATCAATGCCATGTCATATCGTATCATATCATATCATACCTGCCGATAGCGACAGCTTGCGGCTATGTCATCTGTTTACTTACTACTACGCTTGAGCAGCGCTGATACCGTCACATTCGACCGCCGCCGTTCTTAGCAATGTAGGAAAATAATCATACGTTTAATGTATTTTAACACCTTCCCAAAAAGAAAAAAAATAACCCCTGTATCCAAAATGTAGTAAGCTCGAAGCGCCTCTATCAAAACTTCCAACTTACTAGCATCATAAAAATAAAGAAAAGACCATCCACATCATAAAAATACCAAAAGAAGAATGGAAAAATGAGAATAGTGAAGAAAAATTAACTGTGCAATCACATACAATCTAATAACAATGCATAAACAATGTTACTAAACCGTTTACCAGCCAAAGTTCTCAGAGTAGAACTCGACGTCGACGCCGTTCCACAGAAGCGACGCGCAAGAGTTACGCGAGGAGCGGACGAGGGGAGAGGGACCGCAGACGGCGACGGCGCAGGGAGCACCGTTGGCGGCAGCGATCGAGTCCTTGACGTACTGGTCAATGTTGGGGCGGCCCTGCTCGCTGGTGACCCAGACCTTGAAGTCGACACCGTGCTTGGGGTCCATGTCAACCCACGAGACAAAGTCACGCTGGGGAATGACCCAGAAGAAGTCAATCTCGAGGTTGGGCATGGTGCGGGCAAGCTCGACGGCCTCAGGGTACGAGTAGGCGACACCGGCACCACCGGCAAGAAGGACGACCTTGGAGATGCCATCGAACTTGGGGGGAGAACCGTAGGGTCCGTGGAAGGTAACCTTGTGCTCCTGCTCGTCGGCGAGGAAGAGGGTCTTGGAGAAACCGCTGCGGGCACGGATGATCAGGTCAAGAGTGTTGGCCGAGGGAGGCGAAGCGATCGTGAAGGGATGCGCCTGGAAGGGAGCAAGCTTGTGGACCGAGATGTAGACGTACTGGCCGGTCTGCCAGTGGATGTCACGGAAGCTCGACTTGACATCGAGCTGGATCTTGACGGTGTTGCCGGACAAGACGGTAGCAGTGCCACGGACGTGCTGAGCGTTCTTGTAGCGGTTGAATCTGTCCCAGAGCCAGATGACGGAGGCAGCAATGCAGTAAGGACGGCAGCGAGCGTAGTGGAAATACAAGAGAACGATACCGGCGACCAAGAACCAAACGTGGGCGTAGAGGAAGATCTCATACGCTTTGTTACGGGCAGGGGCGAACGAGGTGACGAGGATGATCAAGAAAGCAAGACCGGGAAGACCACCGCCGACACCGATGCGGGACGAGCGGGTGACCTGCTCTTGGAGAGTGCGTCCGTTGAGCGAGTTGGCGATGATGTGGCCGATGGCGGTGACACAGACAACACGTCCAGCGTGACGGTGGAGAATGTTGTATCCCTCATGGGACCAGCCGGTCCACTGGACAAGAAGACCAGTCTTGGAGCCGAGCAAGAACATGATGGGGATGTTGACAACAGAGACGAGTCCGAGACGGTTGCCGAAGACCGAGGCGGTGTAGAACTCGGCGCGGGTGGCAGTCGAGGCTGGAGTAAGGTAGTTAGTACGTGTAGATGATTCATAGATGCCAGAGGATATCAGATATCAAATCTGATAACGATATAACTCATGGATAAGAAATATCGAAGCAGATCAGATGCAATTTTTTTCATGTCCGTGATTTGACATGGAGACGAAAAAGAAATTCGTCGAGTGATAGCGGTGGCAAGAAGTATGTTATCAGGATACTTACGGTAGAAGGTGTAGAAGCAGTTGAGGCCAAGGAAGGCAGCTACGACAAACATGGTTCCATTGGACTCGAGGTAGCGTCCAGAAGGCTGATAGAGGAGGACGGAGCGGACTTTGCGGTAGAGAAGCTTGACGCCCTTAGCCGGAGCGATGGACTGGCCAGAGAGAAGAGGAGTCTTCTCGCCGACGGGACGCTTCGCAAAGTGAAGCTTGTAGAAGTAGGAAGCGGTAGCGGCGAGGAAGAAGAAGCCGATGATGGCGTTGTAGGTGGGCACGAAGACCCGGGAGAAGGGGCGCCCGACGAGAGGTTCAGCCATAGTGCACGAGGTTAGACGATGGACTAGGGATGAAGAGGGGTGGAGAGGAGAGGAGAAGGGAAGGGAAGGGAAGGAGGAGAAGAAGAGGTCGAGCGGTGGCAGACAACCAGGGACGGGCTGAGTGCAGTCGCGTAGCTATCGGGCCGCACGTGCGATTACAAGCTCGGATGCATTTCTAATGGACGGTCTCGACCAGGCAACAAGATCCCGTCCGCGACTGCGAACCTTGGCCGCCCTGCCCCGCGGAGAGTTCTATCGTGATTTGTGATTATTCTGCAGTGCTCTGAGCAGCTATTGATAACAATCCGAGTGGTTCATTTTGCATATTTGCTGTGGTGGCCGTCGAAAACCTCCCGAGAACACTCTTCCTCAGCACCCTCGACAGCTCCCTTCCGCCACGTCTAGAGCGCCTTCGATGAGCGAACAGCCCCTCTCTCCGCCACCTGTTTCTGTTTCTTACGTCTGCGGCGTGTTGCGTGCTCACAACTAAGAACGCCTCTTGTGACCACCCCGCGAGAGCATCCGCTCTTCGCTCTGCTGGCTGCCTGAAGAGTATCCTATATTCTACTTCTTCAGCTGCTGCAGATAATGCACACATAAATAACCGCAGACACTGGAAGCGCATACTGCTCTCGGACGCCTGCAAACCTGTTCCTGCCCTGACCTGAGTTGGGCGTAACTTACCCTCATCGGGCTTAGCGCGTGTCACGGCCCTCGTTTCTGGCCGCGTATTCGGATCTGTGATTTGTGACTTTGCCTATCGCTCGGATCTGATTAGACACTCGCTGACCGCTAAAGCCTTTTGCTGCCGTTTGCTTTTGCTTCTTGCTTACCTATCCGCTGTGTCCATTCCACCTCTGCACATATCTGCTTACCTTTTCTTTATCACCTTGCTTCTATTCTCTTCTTTGTTCATTATCTCGAGTCTGTGTCTTGCTGGCTATCGCTCTTCTTCTCTCTGTTCTCTGTTCTCCGTCTTCTCTTACCCTGCACTGTCTCGGTCTTGACCATTCTCCCGCGGCTTGCAAACTGAGCATTTTAGGACCCTCTTCGTGTTCGTAGACGTCCTTAATATTTGCTCGCCGCTTCTCTCAACTACGCCGTCTCTATTCTTTTTTTTTACCGTCGTTGCTCGAGACTTGCGAGTATTCCCAAAGACGAATACGAACAGCGACGTAAACGAGCTGTTGATCCCCGATATATTACAGCCGACGTCGAGACTTTCGCAATCGATGATCACGTCTATCACTTAGTTAATCAGTAATCTGCTGCCCGTCGGCGGATGTCCCGATGGGTGTCGTCGTCATGAGCCCCGCCTTTTGCTTGTTTCGCATTCACCCTGCGTAGTCATCGGTGTGGGGGACTCACAGGGCTCGTGAGTTGCCGGCTATGTCACGCTTTTATGCGCAGCTTGCTGTCCACTACTTCTTTATCTGTTTTTGGCTAGTTATCTGCTCGTAAACTCCCGGTTCTTGTAAGCTACATCTTTCCATTGTGACTAAAGACCACGCAACAGCAAACCTCCAACTTCCCCTCATCTTTACGCTACTCTTGATAAGTCCGGCTTTAAGATCCCGGCATTGATAATTATAACCACAGTAACTACTAAGATAGAGTGCTGTTCGGTCACGTCGCTCAAGTCTAGGCCTTGTACACTATAGCAATCTTCGACGAGCCTTGTCCAACCTACCTCTTTGACTTTTAACAGCTGATGACGACTGCCCGCCCCCGGCCTAAAAGTTCAATGAAATTTAACCTCTTACCTTTTTCTTGCTGTAATGACGTAAATACAGCGAAGGCTTTTTGTGGTTCAGATGTGAACTACACGCGAGTCAAGAACAGGCCCACGCCTCGTATGTCGCTGGCAGGTTCTCGCCAGGTACTGCAGCTTCCTTCTCATAGGTCAGTCATGTACCCAAAGATACAATGACACTTAGTACAACTAAAGTAAAGCCGTTCTGTCTGAGTTTGAACATCACTACCCTGCAACTTCCCATCCATCACGCTCGTCGAGCACCTTGCAGTCCACGACAAAAAGCGAATTTTACAGTCCTAACATTATCCTGCTCGCCCACCCTCGGCGCCGCACTGTGAGCGCCGCACTCTTGCTCTTAGCCGCACATTCGAGAAACTGTCCTCGGTTTCTATAGATATGAATAAGAGCTGATGAATATAGCTTTATTGCCGGTCTCTCGAATATGATGTGGGTAAAAGACAGTTTATGTTCTGATACCGTTGAACAACAAGAACGGCAAGAGAGCGATACCGTTCTTCTCTCCGCCGTCGGCAACGACCATTGAACTCTTATCTGACATAGATTGAAATTATCGATTCGAGAACTTTTCAATTAATCAACAGCGAGTATTCACATCCATAAATCTTGCTCGTGGGCGATCGGGAACGAGGCAGTTTGCAGTCAAACGAGCGCATTCGACTTGTTGAGTGCGATCTTTGGCAAGCGCTGTGTGCACAAGTAAACTGCTCTGACTCGCCATATTATACGACACAATACAATTCCTAGTAATCCAAAAGTATTTTCTCCAAACGTCTCTCATTTCGATACGATAGATCTTTCATTCGGTGTGGAGGGGATTACGATTTGGAAGTCATAGCGATGCCGAAAACTCCCAGCGAACAGCTGAGCCCGATTAAATTGCTGTCTCGCAAACCCGGCGCGTACGTCCACGGATCGCGATCGCTCTCTTCCCACTCGGTCCCCGTCCCCTCGTCGTATACACCACGAAGAGTAAAGACCGGGTGGCTATGAGCGCCATACCTCCGCACGATTCGATACGTACAGAACCTGAGCATGACATATTGCAGTTAAAACCTCTCGACGAGAACTCCCGGCGATCAGTTGCAACCTCGTCAATTAGCTTACCGTCAGCATCGGCGCCATACCCACAGACTCTGCTACTCAATGCCCACTCACTCCCCAGCGAACGAGAAACTGAGCCTACAGATGGGTCTATTCGCATTGACCCGGCGACCCGAATGCCTCCCGAGCTCTTCATAGAGCTCCTGACATATATTCCTTACCCGTTCGTCGCTACGCTGTGTAGAGTTTCAAAGACATGGAATCAGCAGGTTTCCCACTACCTCGACTTCAGCGCGTCCGCTTACAGCTATCTTGATTTCAGCGACCACTTACTTACCAAGGAACCTCATCGGCCATCGGAGAAGCTCCTGAGCCTAATCCAGAAATCAAGGGGATGCGTGCATACAATCATCCTTCCCAAAATCGGTTCGTTCAAGGTTCGCGGTCACGAACGCAGAAAATCGATGTTGCTCTCGTTTTGGCGAGAGCTTTTACCAGACCCAGCTGCGCAGCGCGATGAAGAGTCTGCGCAGAACACGGTCTGCAGTCTATCGAAGTTGCGAGTGCTGTCGGCTAGTGCTGACATTGAGTCCTGCACGTGGCATCAGCCGGACTGGTCAAGGCGGTTTCTGACGTCTGACGTCTTGATGCTGAATAACCTGACCGACTTGTCGGTGAGCTTGAATACCGCTGATAGTCTTCTCGAGTACATGTCGCATGAGCCAGATTTCTCGCCCTCCGATTCACCGCCGGCTGGTGCGCCGTCATCGCAGCCTTTGACGAATGCAGGACCTCAGAAAATCCGGTTCCCGAACCTGATCAAACTTGAGTTCTACTACGACGACTGCGCGGGTTTTTTCATAGGAAACGGGATAGTCGACCGACAGCCTCGTTCATCGATCAGAACCCTGCCAAAGCTCAGAGAGTTCAATCTCCTCGGTGACGGCGAATGCCGAAAAGTCATGGTCTTTTTCGACGCTTTCAACAAGCTAGTCGCGGCCATGCCGGTTCTCGAGTCCCTGCACTGCAGATCTTGCTTCATGCTTTCTAAATTCTATAAATCTGATGGAGCCACCCCCGAATCCAGTACGCCGATCCACGAGCCAGCAATCTCATTCGCGAGCGATCCCGATCTATCAGAGAGCGAAACGACACTCACCAGTCCTGCCGATTCGCAAAGCTCCGAGTCCGCTCACTCGGCGTCCATGGCTGAGCCGGCGAACGATCGAATGAAGATGGATCTACGGAAGTGTACACGGCTTCGGAAGCTGCAGATTTCTAATAGCATTATGCATCATTTTCCGCTGCTGCCGGAGGGCCTTAGTGCTGAGGGTGTACGGATCGAGAATAGCTGGTTGGACAGCGAGCTCAGGGAGCAGATAATCTCTTAGCACTTATTTGTTCTATCAGTACTTTTCATTTTTGTTTAATTGTTGGGTTTGGTAGTTTCTCGGATCTTGATGCTAATGTTTTGCTGGAGTTATGACGGAGTTATAACAGGCCTGCTTCTTTTCAGGCTGGGGCGCTCATGTTTCGGTTTTAAAGAAGGGTGTGAAAGGTGCTATTGTTTACGAAGATTATCATTATACACTATTCATATAAAACAAACTGAATAAACTCTCTGTTTCTGGAGCATTAATAAAATAAGCAACAGCTTACACAAAAACCAGAATTACACCCGTTATCCGTTCCCCAATTTCCAAATTACCTCCCGCGTCGTTATACACAAACACCTCCACGTCGTCATGTCTCCTCCTATAGAGTCGTGATTAAATCGTGTCGCTCTGGCGGCCGATCAATCGCACGCCTGGCTTCATTTTCGCGACCTCTGTGATGCGGATATTTCCATACGCCTACACACGTAAATTAGCTTCTGCTTGAATAATAAGAACGAATTTCAGAACACACCTCAATAAGCTGCAGAGAAGGACACCGCTCGCTCAGCATCTCAACTTCCTTATCTCCCACACAATGCACAAACCCGATATCGAGCTGCGACAAAAACTCGCACTCTGAAGTGGCAAGCAAATGGAACGTCGAGTCCGTGAGCGAGTACACCGAGTTGATGTTCAGGATCACGAGCGTCTTGGCCGAGTGCTCGATCAGCGCCTGCACGCCTTCGTCGCCGACCTTTGTGCAGCGCATCAGGCTGACGTTGATGAGACCGTTGTTGATTTCCCAGTCGCGGAAGAGAGTCGCGAGTGCTTCGTTGGTAAAGTTCTCACCGAGACCGAGGGACAGGTTTTGCAGTTTTCCGCAGTACGGCCGGATACCTTCTAGCAACACCCTGTCGGACAAGGTGTCGCAGTCGTCCAGGTTGAGAGTGATCAGCTGCGGCCCGATAAGTTTCAAAATATCAATGATGACGTCATCGGTGAGAGCGTCGCGCATATAACTAATCTCAAGCGAGATAAGTTTTGTGAGCTTCAACAGCAGCGGAAGGTCGGCGGCGAAAATATTCCCCACGCGCGAGAGACTCAGTTCCTCGAGAGTATCGGCACAGTTGTCGACTAGAGCCTGGAGCGCGGTACGGTCGAATCTGAGTGTGTTTGAGATGGCGACGCTGGTCAGCTGCGAGCCACGCTTGGTGAAGAAATTGATCCAGCATGGGTTTCGGATTAGAAAGGCACCGTTGAAGGCGATGGCGTGGAGGTGTTCCAGCTTCTCGGTGAAATAGTCGAGGACTTCGTCTGTCATTTGACCGCACATTGAGAGGACAAGAGATTCGAGCTGGGGACAGAATGACGCAATAAGTTTATAGCTATCAGAGCACAGATCTGCAAATGATTAGTTACCATCAGCCAAAAAGTGATCAGAAGATGAATAGAAAACAGAGTGATAGACATACTCGAGCAATCCCAAAACCGCAGCTGCTTGACGGAAGGTACCAAAAACAGCCTGACCGTGTTATCCTTCAGCGACCGATTGCGCGACAGAATACGCGCAATCTTGTCCATATTCACCTCACCAATGTCACCCAGCATATCGACATCGTCGATATACCTTGCAATCAGCTTAATACATAGATCCTGCAGCTTCGGTACCATCACGTCCTGCTTGTCCAGCAACGCCGCGGCGACAGACTTGCGCTTCTTGCGCGACGAAATCTGCGTCTTCTTTTGCTTCTTTTCTTCCTGCGCATACTTACTTCCACAAGAATGACACAACAGACCTTCACCGCCGTCTCGCGCTGGCTTGGAATAAGCAGTGACAGTAAATCTGTTGTTACACTCTGCGCAGAACTCAATCTGCCCCGGCTTAGGCCGCGCAATCCGATCGAGGATTAACTCGTCGTCCTCATCTTCCGCGTCCCGTTTCTTCTTCTTTGAGACCCTACTCCTAACCCTCGCAGCGGGCTCAGAACTCTGCCGTCGACTATTTCTACTGCTCGTCGCAGAACTGACAGTCACAACCCCGTCTTCCTCTGTAATTCCCTCCTGAGCGGCACCATCATTCTGACCGCCTTCGCCTTGCTCGCGCTGTGCCTCTTCGTATCGCTGACGGATCGCAAGCGCATCAATTCCTCGCTCCTAAAAATACAGGTATCAGCAGAGTTGTTCGTAGCAACGTTTGCCACCGCGCGTGGGATGCCAGACACCGTCGACTTGTCTGCTGCTTGCTATCGCCGACGCACATAAATATAACGACAGGAAAAGCACGTACTCGTAAGAATTCTGTTAAAGCAGAGTTACTTTATAAGAAAAAGGGGAACAAGACGTTAGTATGAACATGTTGTGGTTGTGAAGATAGCCGTTATGTGTGGCGGGTAGCAATCGCGGGAAGAACTTACGGTCCGCGGACTCGAGACCTGTGAGGATGACATTAGTATTTTGACTGCAATAACATTGAATCTCGTTGCCACCAGCTAACTCACATGTTGTATAAGTATAATCTCTAACACAAATCAGCTGAAAGGATATAAAGAAGATGGATACTCGACTGACGCAAAGCGCTGCTGACGGACAAAATTTTAAAACTGGGAGAGAGAGAAACGAGGATGAGCACTTACTATTCCGAAGACGGGAGTTCAAACACGTCTCGCGCGCGCGATCACGCCCCCCGACGACTTCCTATGTTATTAAAGTTTTTGGTGTCGTAAGGGCTGACAGTAACGCGTCGCCAGTACAAAACCTACGCTTAGCTTTCGGATTTTGGTTTATTGTAAGATTTTACCCATTTATATTTCAAATCATTACTCCTCTAGCTCTTCAAGTGCTGGCATATACACCTCCTCGTCGACGTTGTTCTCGGCATCACCTGTAAAATCAGACAGCAGTAGTAGTCTAGGCTGCTCCCCTGCAGCCGGTATACTAGCCCCCGGAGGCTCTTCCTCTATCCGGAGAACACTGCCGCCCGCCGCCGTCGAGCCCGAAAAGCTTGATATCAACTCTTTGCCTTCCATCTGCACAAATGTAGAGTCCATTAAATGACTGCTCGCGACGTAGCTGCTCACAGTCAGGTCCGGGACTGCTTCTCGCTTCGCCTTTCTGATGACCGGACTGAGATCCGCTTCTGCTAAGACATAATCCCCACTCTGCTCGTCGTCGCCGTGAACGGTTAGACCCGAGTGGCTGATATCAAATCTCGACGAGCTTTCAAATGGGTCTTCTTGACTACTCTGATCCGAAAGCTGGCTGATTGGGCGGGTACTTGTTGGCTGTAGTTCATCGTCGTCGACCGTCGTCGCCTTGGAAGTACATGCTCTCTTAAGTGGTCGTTCCAAAAACCGAGAGTCATCATCGGAAGACGACGACTCGTCGTCCATCTGTTCCTCTATCTCCTTTATCTTCTGTTGATTCCGAGAAATCTGTCGTTTCAAAGAGGTCTCCGAGTCGCGCGCTGGGCTGTTGACACTCGAAACCGTCAGATCAATCAGGAATTTGCTGAGAGACTGAAGTCTATCAAGCTCTCTCCCCTGAGCTTTCTCGCGCTCTCTCATTTCTTGAATCAGTAGTCTGGATTCCTGAAGTTTTGCTCTTTGAACTTTGAAAGCATCCCTGGCTTTCTGTTTTGCTGCGTTTGCTTCTTCAAGATCTTTCTCGAGGCCAGAGATATCCGTTAATGATCTTGGCCTGGAGCCAGCCACTGCTTTCAAATCAGCATCGTAGTCACTATGAATTTTTCGTAACTCATTTGCATGCCGCTCCCTCATCAGACTGACTTCCTCTGCGTGTAAGATTTTGAGATCGTCAGTTTGAGCCATAAACTGCATCTCCATTTCCTTGATTTGATCCTCTTTTTTTGAAATTTTCACTCTCTGACGCTCTTCAGTCGCAATAAGCTCTGTCTGCCGTATCGTAAGCTCCTCAACTTCTTTCCTTAGCTCGGAAGCACCACGCTCGGAGATCTCGAGTTGTTTTTCGAGTCCCTTAATCGCCCACTGACTTTCAAACTGGGTCATCTCTAACTTCTCGGATTGTTGTGCATGGCTTTCCTCTTTACCCTCTGACTCTGACTCCAGCTGAGAATGTCCGCTTGTCAATTTCTCTTCCAAAGACTTGAACTCACCACGAGCCTCTGTCAGTTCATCGATCTTTTTGTGCAAATGTGCGGTTTTCCTCAAATATTCGACTGCTTGCTGCCCTAGCAACAGCTGATGCTCCTTTTGAGCCTGCTCAATTTTTGATTGAGAGGCTTCTTCGGCCCGTGCGATTTCAGTTCTTAAACCGCGGCTTTGACCAGAAAGGTCCTCGCGTTGGTGAGCTTCGACCTCATACTGACTTTCCAAATATATAATTCGACCCTCCTTCCGAAGTATTTCCTGTCTCTGACGCTTTTCAGTCGCAAGAAGCTCTCTCTGCAGTATCGTAAGTTCTTCAACCTCGGTCCGTAGCTCGGAAGCACCACTCTCAGTGAGCTCGAGTCGATGTTCAAGTTCTTCAATCTTTGCGCGCTGAGCATCACATTTCTTATTATGCTCGAGCCGATCACGCTTGGCCGCCTTTAAAATCTCGGCTTTCTGCGCATGCATCTCCTCCAACTTTGGCTCCAGCTGAGAAAGTTTGCTCGTTAATCTTTCGTTCTCAGCCTCATACTCACTGCGAGCCTGTGTCAGTTCATCGACCTGCTCGTTTAGATGTGCGATTTTCCCCAAATGATCGTCTGCTTGCTGCTTCAGCAATAGCTGATGCTCCTCTTGAGACTTTGAGATTTCTCTTCTATAGTTCCTCGCCGCCCGTGCATATTTTATATTTGAATCCTTCTCGCCCCCGCGTCGGCGTGACTCGGCGGTTTTAGCTCGTTTCTCGGCGTCTTGAGCTCTTTGCTCGGCGTCTTGACGCTGTCTCTCGAGCCTCTCATTGTCTTCTTCCAGCTGCTCGACGCTTGACTCGGCGGCTTCAGCTCGTTGCTCAGCAGCAAGAAGCTGTCTTTTGTGCTGCTTGATTTCGGTTTGAAGGGCTTTCACAGACCCGGTTTTGGCTCTTTGCTCGGCATCTTGACGCTGATTCTTGAGCCTCTCGTTGTCCTTTTTCAGCTTCTCGATGCTTGACTCGGCGGCTTCAGCTCGTTGCTCAGCAGCAAGAAGCTGTCTTTTGTGCTGCTTGATTTCGGTTTGAAGGGCTTTCACAGCCCCGGCTTTAGCTCTTTGCTCGGCATCCTGACGCTGATTCTTGAGCCTCTCATTGTCTTTTTTCAGCTTCTCGATGCTTGACTCGGCGGCTACAGCTAGTTGCTCAGCAGCTTCAAGCTGATTTTTCTGCCGCTTGATTTCGGTCCGAAGGGCTTTTACATCCCGTGCATGCTTGATATTCAGAATGACGCGTCGGCTTGGCCCGGCGGTTTCAGATCTTTGCTCTGTGTCTTGAAACTGATTTTTGAGCCTCTCATTGTCTTGCTTAAGCTGCTCAACCAACTTTTCAAGATCTATAGTCCTGCTCTCGCCGTTCTCACAGGGGATAGTTGTCAAAGATGCCCGGGTTTGCGAGCCTGACACTGTCTTGTCTAAGTTGATCGCAATCGATCCAATCGTTTTCAAGATAGTCGAAGTGAGGTGAGAAGGATATTTGGAGCTACCCTGCAGAGAGCGAACAACGAGCGGAAGGAGCGCAAGCTGTATATGTAACTGAACCAGGCTAATAAGACGATCTCCTGTCTCTAGAGTAGCATCGAGTGTGGTGTTCAAGCTGGAATAGTATCTCGCGTGAGTAATAAAAAACACTGAGAGATCCCGCTAGTCTAAGCTCAGTACCGTCGGGAATCTCGAGGTAACTGATGAGCGAGGTTAAAAACATCCTGTCGGCCCCATTTTGTAGGATTGTGAGCATTTGGGAGGTTTTATCGGGTCGACGACCTTCTCCGTAGCGGCGGAAAATGTCTTTGAGGTACTGGACAATTGTTGGAGGATGATCTCGAAGCTGAGAGAGGATTGTCGTGTTAGTTCTTGTTTTCAGGTAACTATAGAGACCGATTGGGTAATAAATATTCACCGTACTTTGTCTAGCTGTGAAAAACATTTAGTCAAAAAGATTAAATCTCCTTCGCTGTTCACAGCATTGCTCTGGAAATACTTGGCTATCCGAGCCTGCAATATTTCAGCTAGAAGAGATTGTTCAGGTACAAAGGACTCAAGAACAATAGAGAGATCCCAAATCTGATAGGCAAGTATAAGCATAGAGTCAGAATAAACCAAAGATCAAAAGAAACACCACTCTTATAAGAGGCAAAGCACTTACCGAATCTAAAATCTGGGGCTCCAACTTGTTCGTCGAGAACAGAGCTAAAATTTTGTTGCAATTTTGCTTTCCAGCCTGATCATTGAGCCATTCTCGCACTCGGTCTCTGGGCTCTATACGTTTTAGCAAGTAACACGCGAGCTCAACTTGCAGAGAGAACATGGCAGCCATCTCGACTTGTTTTTGAGGTTTTATGCAATCATCGGAGCTAGCACTTTGGCAGGCGACCGGGGATATGGCTATTGTACTGGTGAGCCTTAGAATTTCGCGACATTGCTCATCGGCGAAAAGGGCTGCTTCTGGAAGCAGTTCTGGATCTGGATCCCTCAAAGCTAACTCTGTACTTGAGAAATATGCAAGGCATGCTAGGATTAGGAGGAGAGTTGTGGTATCTTTGAGCGAGGAGCATTCGGAGTATAACCGGATAGAATTGCTGAGATTTGCGACGAGTTCGCGGGTTTGCTCATCCGATAAGCTAGTTAAACAGTGAGCAAACTCCGATTTTATGATGGTGTAGAGATCCCGTAAATTCTCCAACGTCATCTCTTTGAGTCTAAATAATAAAAGAGATCAGAAATTGCCAGACCCGTACGCGTATTATGAGACACTTACACGCGCACAGTACAGTGCTGTACAAAATTATCTCCCACAAGAGAATCAGGCGCTCCAAAGCCTTCAGGAAAAGAGTGAGAAAATAGTGAATAGCAGATTCCAGAGTATTTGTCGTAGGAGTTGAGACACGCAAGCCATATGAATCTTTCTAGCACACCAGGCTCTTGATTCAACACCTCATCACGCAGATATAGTGATTTGCCTGCCGTATAGAAAAGACATATTAGTTTGTTTTCTATCAAGATGAATCCAGTTAAAATACGCAGAACGAGACACGATAACATACACAGAATCTGCATGACCTCCAACGCGTCAGTGTCGTTCTCCATCGCGGCCAGGGCCCGACTGATCAAGGGGTGTCGGTGATATTTGTGCAATTCTGACCATTTATTCAAAAAGATCAATGGAGTTCGTCTCAGAATGTTCAGTGTAGGTTTGAAATCAAAAGGGCCGGAGATGTTGCCTATCAGCGAGAAGTGGTTATCGAGCGCAAACAGTGCCATTTGCAACTATTTGCTCATGCGATGATTCGTGCAGTTTGCTCGATACTTTATGATCATGTACTATAATAAATTTCAAAGCAAGCCTTAGTGTATATGTCTAGTAGATATTGTCATTTCCGCGATAGCATGGGAAAAGTCGCAGGAGCAAAATTGAATACTGAACGCGCTGACAGAATGGGAAGTCAGGAAATAGAGTGGTTTGGAGATTAGGCGCGATGTCCTCGCGTCTGTGCTGCGTATACTGGGTCAAGATTAACCAAATATCTGAGGTAGAAACTAAGTTCGCTCAGGTGGTTCTAGTACCAACATAGTGAGCGCTACCAAAATTTGGTCACTGCTCGATCAATTCTAAACTACCGAAGACTATCTCAGTTTTTGATCTGTCGCAACCTGTGTTAGTAGTATAGAAAGCATGAGTGGTAAGTTATGCTATATTGAAGTTATGCTATATTGATATGTCATTTGAAACAAATCTGACGTTGTGTGATTTGTGTAGGTAAGGCTGGACCGTCACTTCCGCCGCACATATTAGCGGCGAGGGAAGCCAAACGAAAGCGACTTGCCGAAGAGAAGGCGAGAAAGGAAACACAATCTACAGCAGAAGAATCAGAAGAAGTCAAGGAGAGCGAATCTGTGCCGAAGAAAGCTCGGGTTGGACCTGCGATACCGAAGCCGGAGGAGTTAGTCAATGCGTCAACAACATCATCATCAGCAGATCTACAAGTGAATGAGGAAAGTGATGACTCAAGCGACGACGAGATGGGACCTGTGCTCCCGAAGGATGTTGCGCAAGCCGAAGAAGAAGCACGGCGTCGTCTTGCACGTGCGGCAGAGTCCGCAAAGAAATCAACGCTGTCGGAGGTAGATTCATCGAAGCGAGAAGAATGGATGCTTGTGCCGCCATCGGAGAAAGACTGGGCTCGTTCGCAGGCAGATCCACTTCAACTGAAGAACAAAAAATTCCTATCAGGAAAAGCTGCATCTACTGTTGGATCAAAGAATGCAGATGGTAGCTGGATGGAGACCGAAGCTGAGCGGAAGAAGCGAGTGGGCGAGGAGATGATGGGACTACGACCCAAGGCAGGCGAGGAGGCCGGTGGTGCGATTGGACCAGCAAAGCCCCCGGCAGCGAGAGATGCAGAGAAGGAACAGAAAGTGAGGGAGTACAACGAAAAGAACAGAGGCAAAAGTCTGGTGGAACAGTACCACGAGAGCATGGGCAAAGGGAAGAGCGTGGTGGACGATCCGAGCAAGCGGGTGTTTGACTACGAGAAGGATATTGCGAGTGGAGGGAAGATTATGAGCGCGTCGCGCATCAGTGAGATGTCCAAACGAGCAGGTGATGTTGACTCACGGTTCAGCAAGGGCAAGTTCCTGTAATATTTAAGATCGCTTGTACAATATCACAACAATTTTGATCAATATATACTACAGTTTACTCAGAGAAGACAACGTTTCTTTTTGGTTTAACAATACAGAATCCGCACGCGTACCCTTCGTTTCTGTCAGTCATTATACAAAGCAGTAATCCGCGTCGCGCATCAGTGGAATGTAAGGAACAAGCGACATTGACTCGCGTTTCAGCGAGGGCAAGCTTGTTCCTGTGAAAGTTAACATCGCTGGTACAGTACCACAACAATCTTGATCAATATACTATAAAACACCAAGAGAACACTACGTTTATTTTTTTTTCTTTGGGGTTTTACAATACGGTACCGCTCCACGCGTACTCTTCGTTTCCGTCAGTCACTATAGAGAACAGTAACCCCCCGTACAGAGCTTAGAAAGGCCGACAGACACAATCACAGCACAGACAGGGAAGACAGAACAGAAGAGCACGCGTGAAGCGGCAGGTGCCAGGATCGGGAAGAATGCGTTACGCATACTCTTGAACAAGAATGCTCAAGAGTTATGTGGGACTCTGCGACTCTCTCGACGTCGCCATACCCACTAAGACCCGACCTCAATTCCAAGGCAGTTCATGACCTGCCTCCGTATTGATGTTGTGTCATTGTTGTCGCATGATCCGCTCGTCTTGTCGAACAAGACGGTTGGCCGCGCGGACTCTCTTCACGACCGTCGCCTAACTCCATGCGACGGCGCAGCTTACCAGCCGCATAGGTGTAAGAGACGCGACAACATAGACGTTTTAAATCCGAATGAGCAACCTGGCTAGAGAAAATCTCATCAGATTGACCGCCCTGACCAACTGCGCCCGACTAACAGGATCTCGGCGCTGAAGGGGCGGCCACGCAGAGTACCGAGCCGGCAAGGGAGTGTCTCCCCGAGCATATGTATGCTCACTCGGTACTTGCGTGGTTGCGGAAGGTGTCAGGCTCTAGGGATGCTGCGGTGCCGCCACGACGTGTCCTCCCACGATAGCTCAAGAGCTGTGTGACTCTCGCACATAGCTCAAGAAATGTGGCGGCCCCTAGAGTCGACTGACCTCTTCACCCAACGACTTCCGCGGTCGTTAGGTTGCTCAACGTCCTTGGTCACCGGTTACCAAGAACGTTTCTGCAGCAGTGTGCGCGGTAGAGAACCCATGCGCCTGTATATTTGCTGTTAGTTCAAAGCTCTGTATCGATGAAGACTGGACTCACTGTATGTTGCCGTGGTATAGAGAGATCTCAAGCTGAGCCAGTGGATACTATTCTGATCGGCCACTAGGCCCGCGCCACAGAAACGGTGGGTAGAGCATCCGCAAGTCGTCCTGTGGGTCCGAGAGGACCTGTTCTACGGAACCATACATCGCCGCCCGAACGGATATCCTCGTTGGGCAAGTTAGCTTGGAGGTCAAGTGCACAAAGAACAAACAAAAACAACAAAGCGCCCATCGGGCGGGTATCCCAGTCGATCTATCTCTCGGACTGGTGAGGATAGAGGGGTATCAGAAACAAGGGGGGGGGGGGGGGGGGGGGGGTATAAAAAGCAAGGGGATGGGGGATGGGGGACGGGTATTGCGAAACGAATGGCGGGGATGGGTATAGAAACGAAGGACGGGGACGAATATAAAAAAGGGCGACGATATAAAAAAAAACCGGGAATGAATATAAAAAAACGAGCGAGGAGGGGATGGGGATGGGAAGAAGAAGGGAGGAAGAGGTGAGCGCGCTGAAGTGGGCGGATCAGTCAGGCGGGCGCGCGTCTGGTGTATTTGGGTTTCTTGATCCGGACGAAAGTAAACACGCATTCAACGCGCCGGCCGTTTCGTGATTTTTTCCCTTTATGGATATACTATTTCGGATAAAGGTGTCGTTCACTGAGTAGTAGCGACGCCAAATTTTATTCCTGCGAGATTTGATCGCATGATTTATGATAATGTCGACCCTCTTGTACCGGCGCACCCCTTGTACCGGTGCGCTTCCACATAAAAATTGACCCTTCCCTCTGTCCGCAACCTTCCACACCAACCAAACATGGCATCTACTTCAGAAGAAAGCAGGGAACTCTCATTTATTAAGCTATCTGGAAGGAGGAAAAAGCGGAGCTGAAAAAGCGCTCCGAAGGCATCTAATTGACCGTGAAAGTAAGTACCTTACGTGACAGGATGAACAGTCGACATGTTTGGCAATATCGTCAAGCTACAACCAGGCTTGAAAACGTGTCTCACTTGTCTGTAGCATGTGTAGAAGGACGGGAGAAGATGCAGAAATGTCTCCTCTATAATGTTTAAGAAAGTTTTTATTGATTGAACTTGTTGTGGTTGCGTTACTATTAGTTTGATCGTAGGTGTGGTTGAAGGTGGCTGAAGTTGCGCGAAACCCTAGTGGTGCGCGAAACTATTATGACCGACGTCCGGATATCTTATCATATTGGATAGAGGTCTCGTCTGGATGTCTGCTTAGTAGTAGCGACGCCGAGTTTTTCTACTGTGAGATTTGATCGTATGCTATCTGAGAACTATGACGTTGCTATATGAAGCCGGTTAATAAGCTGAATATAAATTGTTTGGACAGCAAAGATGGCTAAGATGGGACGAAGCTGTTGCTCGACAGATAGACAAATGGAATAAAGCAAGCATAATGTCGTCTTTTCTCCGAAAAGTGTAAGCTTTAGGTAAGTAAACCTCTGTAAATGAGAGAAATATCTTTGTCGGCGAGGTCGGCGTTCGTTAAGCGACGGGGTCGCAGAAGGGCGACCGAAGAGCGTGCGCAGCAGCGGACCGCGATGCTCAGACACAGACACAGACACAGAACAGAGCCACAGAGTCGATGGCAGACGGGCAAATCCGCAAGAAGAACGAGGGTCCGGAGCGAGGAGGATTTATTTTTATCCTTTTTTGGCAAAGAAAACGAAGACCCTGCAGCGGACCATCGCACGCAATTGTGATTAGCTGTGATTGATGTGAGTTTTGTGACTTCTTATGGTTTTTTCAGTTTATTTTCAGAGGGTGCTGAGGCGATGAGTGGGGATAGGACCATCAAGAGAAAGAGAGAGGAATAAAACAGGTTTCTTCCCACTCGACATCGCGATATTCACGATATTCTCACGCAATCCAAGAGCAGCCCAGCAGCAGACGCACTCTGGCAGCTGAGTCGCGGTGGCTTCGGTGGCGCGAGGCAGATGAGTGTGGGGACGGAGACACCGTCGCCTGTTCCGAGTGCGGCGGCCGAGCTGCTGCGGGCTCAAAGTCAGATGATCCAACGCGCCTGATTTGAATAAAACCGGCCTCCTTTCGCTCCTCTCCTCGTCTCCTTTCCTCGTCTGCTCTGCTCTCACTACTCTCCCTCTCTCTCTCTTCAACTTCATCTATCACCATGACTTACGGACTGCTGCACCACCGCGACGACTCCTACGCCCGCTTCGGCCTCTACGAAGTCTACAACAGTCGCTTCAACCCCGACCCGCGATCGGCATCTTCGGTCCCTACCTTCTCCTATCAACTCAAGCAGGCCGATCTAGCCAAACTACGCGCAAAGTCACAGGCTGAGGCCGAACGGAGAGTCAACGAGGAACTAGACCGTCGCGGACGCCAGCTCGTCGCCAGTGAGCAGCGCGCTGCCTCGGCATCCCCCGCCGCAGACAATGAGAGTGTTGTCTCTGACGATACCGAGCTCTCCGCCGATCTCGGCTCTGTCCTTGCTGCTCAGCACAAGAAGAAGCGGCGGTCGTCTTCGATATCGGCTGGCAGCTTCTACAGCCGGACGATGTTTGTTTAGTCGCGTTTAGTTTTATTCATGATCACCTCTCCCATCTTCTTTGTGTATACATCATCTATTAATTTTTATTACGGCACGCACATGCCTCTGGTGTTTCGGTTCTTGCTTTGCTTCATGTATTATTAGCCATCTTCATTTCTATATCTTTCATCATCTACTCTTTACATCCCTCCGTCTTATTTTGCGTAGACAGATCTCAGCGCCGCCGCTCTGGCCAGCAGCTGAACAGACTTTGGACCAGTCGATGACGTAGTTTACGCCGTGCCGCAGCAGCAACAACAGCGCCGCGTATCCTCTTCAAGCTATTCATAGCAGGTGTCTCGTAGCAGACAAGCAGGCAGATTATTGCCTGATCCCCCTGTTGTATCTCGCAGTAGTTCAGTCAGTCTTGTTCCAGCCCGCGGTCTGCTTCTTCTCTCGTGCTCTTGTTCTCTTGTTCTCTTGTTCTCTTGTTCTCCTGCACGCTATTGTTTTCCTTTCCAGATCTCGCTGAGACGCGGCCGGGTAAACTTGAAGGAGGGTAACAGTCGATCACCATCTGCCTCTATCTCAAATCCAGCCAAAGTACACAACAACGTCTCGCCCCTCCCCCGTCGCTCTCCTTTCTCTCTCCTCCTCTTGCTCGATTCCCCGTCAATACCCTACTTTCATCGAGGCATCATCTCACCACTTTCTTCTCTGATTCTCATTCGTGCACCTCCGCCGCGAAAATGATGAAATCCAAGCGGAGCGCCTCGGAGTCTATCCTCCAGCGTGTCTATGACGAAGCCTATCGCTCGTTCGTCGACGCCATGTTCGAAGACGCCCAGGGTCACGGCGAAGCCGCCCTCGAGGGCTGGCTCAACACCCTCGCTCGTATTGAAGACGATCACGCGAAAATCATTGCTAGTCCCCAAGTCTCTTCGCAAGAGATCACTCTCTACGCGCGTATCGTCGACATTGAGCGCCAGTCGAAAGATCGCGTGTACACCTACGCGCAGTCCTTCTCCGGCAACTCCCTCTCTCCCGACGAACTCAAGATAGTCTACGAGCAACTCCGGGCCGAGAAACGCAGACAGATCCAGGAACAGCGCGCGCTTGAGGAAGCTGCCAAACAGCTTCCCCAGCGTTCCGGAAACCGCAAGGCCAGCCGACCGGACGCGATGCGATCTGTCTCGGGCGGCTCGACGACGTCGACCCTCACTTCGCAACCCCCACCAGCTCCCGCTCGCGCCCCGAGTCCCATCAAGAAAACAATGCTTATGACTTTAAGAGGGCCTCGTCACTTCAAGAAGGATAGCAGTAGCACTACTGCCAAGGCAAGCAAATCAAAGACGACCCAGGTTCCTGCTGCTACCGCTGCAACCGTCGCCTGGTCTGCGTCGTCTAGCAACAACTCGCCTCCGCATTACGCTCCTCCCCGTCAGAGTTCCGAGACTTCGCGCCAGGTTTCTTCTTCTGCTCCTGCTGACGAGGAGGGACTCATGAAAGCAATGTTCAAGAATTTCTCATCAACCTCGTTGACTTCTATCCCCGCCAATGAAGCTCCCAACACTGCTGCTACCAGCAATCCTGCTCGACGAAATCCATCATCGTCCTCTACCAACGCGGAAGCTGATTTCCCGCATCATTCCTACCCCCCTCCACCGCCCAAGGCTCCAACGCCTGATTATATCCTGCATCCTGAACCAAGGAGACCTGCGAACGGCTCGCTGTCCGCGCCAAAAGTGCGCGACTCTCGCTCGCCATCACCTGTTTCTGTGCCGCAGGAATCACTAGACTCTAATAGAAACGAGGGGTTGCTGAAACTGAAACCCTCCGAGTCGTTCATTGGATCTGTTATGACGAGCTTTCCGGTGTCGGCTCCTCCTGTGCCTCCCAGATCTGACAAAAAATTGGCACAGCAGCAGCAATCGCAGAGTCCGTCTGCTGATGCTATATACGCATCGTCGGAGTCGTCTACATGGTCGCCCGTCGTTGCCGGAAACAACAACAACTTCTCGTCTCGCTCGCATCCTTTCGGCCCACGTACACCGGCGGTACCTCCACAGCCCGTGCGTGCGTCATCGGTGATTCGCAAGCCAGTTCCTGGATTCCCCGCGCAGCCTATCAAGTCCGATTCGACTGCTTCAAATGGTCTGCCATTCCAATTCGGCACCGAGCCTCCACCATCAATGTCGCCGCCACCTCCTCCTGCGCCTCCTCCGAGACCTCCCCAATATACAGCGCAGTCATCAAGCTCGACGAATATTCAATCACCTTTGGCATCGCCAAAGTATCCTGTTCCTCCACCGTTCAACTATGCTGATAGTAAGCCATCTACGCCTTCTGCACCTGCTTCTGCGCCTCCTGTGCCTCCTGCGCCTCCTGCAGAGCCCGCTGCTCCTGTAGCATCTGCCTCGGAGTCAAAGCCTGAGGAAACTACAGAGGAGCGCGCGGTGCCTCCAGTTGTTGTCTCGGCCGATGAGAAAAAGGAGGAAGAGCAGCCACCTGTCGCCCCAGAAGCAAAGGCTGCCACCAGCTCCACCGCAAACTCGACGCCTGCGCCTACCACTGCTCAGGCAGCTCCTGCCGAGTCGCTGTCGCTCCCGCCGTCGACGTTTCCCTTCCATCCGCATAGCTCGAAGCCGAACGGAGTCACCGCCAAGGCTTCTGCTGGACGTGCCTCGCCTATGACCGCTGGCCAGAGGAAGACCCAGGCTGCTACCCGGACGCGAGCTAATGGTGGAGCAAACTCGATGACGTCTCAGTCCAGTGGCCAGAAAGACGGTTCGAAAGAGAAACGCTCGCATCAGCCGTATGGGCTCACGCCTCCTTCTAGTACGCGCCGCTTGATGTCTCCCACGCGAGCGTCGGCCGCAAAGGCCAAGCCTCCGATCCACGCTCCGACGCCTCAAAAGGCTACCGAGCAGCCGACGTTGGTGCCTGCGACGAGCACGACTACGACGACGAATCCCGATGGGCATCTGCCGCCGCTCTTGCCCGACTCGCCGGATCCCGAGCACCAGGAATGGAACAACAGAGTCAACGAGGCTTTGAAGAGCATTGTTGGAGTGGAGGAGAACGCGGCGCGACAGATCTTGAATGAGATTGTGGTTAAAGGTGACGAGGTGCACTGGGATGATATTGCTGGATTGGAGCAGGCAAAGACTAGTTTGAAAGAAACGGTAGTCTACCCGTTCTTGCGTCCTGACTTGTTCAAAGGATTACGAGAGCCCGCTCGCGGAATGCTTTTATTTGGACCGCCTGGAACCGGTAAGACTATGCTTGCGAGAGCAGTAGCTACCGAGTCACAGAGTACATTCTTCTCGATTTCGGCCTCGTCTTTGACTTCCAAGTACCTTGGAGAAAGTGAGAAGCTCGTGAAGGCGCTGTTCGCGCTTGCGCGAGCGCTCGCGCCGTCGATTATCTTTGTTGACGAGATCGATTCGTTGTTATCGAGCCGAAGCGACACAGGCGAGCACGAAGCCTCCCGCCGGATCAAGACCGAGTTTTTGGTGAAGTGGAGTGATCTCGCGCACGCGGCCGCCGGCCGCGACCATCAGGACGACAACGCGCAGCGGGTGTTGGTGCTTGCGGCGACGAATTTGCCGTGGGCGATTGACGAGGCTGCGCGGCGACGGTTCGTGCGGCGACAGTATATCCCGCTGCCGGAGCGGGAGACGAGGAAGAAGCATCTGCAGACGTTGTTGGAGTATCAGGTCCATGGGTTGTCGGAAGAGGATGTAGATAGATTGGTTACTATGACTGATGGTGTGTATTTTTATTTTGTTTCGTTGAAGATCATCCCGCTGCAGCAGATAACTAACCCACCTTATTTCACAGGCTTCTCTGGTTCCGATATCACTGCCTTGGCGAAAGACGCGGCCATGGGACCTCTACGATCACTAGGCGAAGCCTTACTCTCGACTCCTCGAGACCAGATCCGCCCGGTCACGGTCGCCGATTTCGAGGCGAGCTTGAAGACCATCCGACCCAGTGTGTCCAAAGAAGGACTCCAAGCTTTCGAAGAATGGGCGCTCAAGTACGGTAGCTCTGGCGCGTGATCTCTGACGTCGCTTTCTTTGTTTACTCTATTTGCGTTTATCGAATTTTCTTGTTTTCGTTGTGTGCAGTGTGGTGGTGGTATTTAGTCTTTTTGGAAGGGCGCTTGAAACTTTAGGAGATGTAAAACAGATTGTGTATGCCTATATTCCCGCGCTTCTTATTTAGCTTTGTATAGAATCCTATGATTTTTTTTTTTGTCTTGAAAGGAAATGTATATTATCAGACGTGCATCTGCACTTTTACTTTTTATTTTCTCTGTGCGTTAGTGATGTGGTGTGGTGTGGTGTGGTGTGTGAATGTTGGAATTGTATATGCCCTCTATGCATGAATTGCGAAAATTGCCTCTTTTTTCTTGACTTCTTCTTTTCTTTCTTGTTATTTGAAGGATGGATGTCTAGCGGCTTTACCGTGTGGCTTAGTTACTATTTTAGATTGTCATTTTCAATTTATGTGCATAGCCATCAATTCATTTCCACTTTGTATTTACTGTCAAGTGAATGTATATAAAATCTTCAGACTTCCCGGATACATAATTCCTCGCTTTAGTTGTTCATTTCTTGATGTTGTGGTAATGATTATTTATTCTTCCAAACACACTAACTTTTAAGTCATACGCGTCTAATGCGCAAATCTGAAATCTAGTCGCTTATTACCGGTATCCTTCGTAGTCCTCAAATACTCCTCCCTCTCCTCAAAGCTCATCGCACTCCACACGCGCTCGCGCTGCCGGTTCCGGTGCACGTAGTACGCCTTGACGAGCACAAACACAGCCATGTTCATGACCGCGATCCCGATCAAGCTCGTGTTGCCGCGGTTATACAGCGGCTTGTCGTCGTCGCGGTAGATGTAGGACGAGATGATGCCGCTGAGCTGGACAAACATGTTGTACATCGCGGCCGAGAGCGTGCGCGTGCGGACAGAGTTGGAGTTGCGCGACGTCCAGCCGACTTGGATTGCGTGCGTGTAGGGCGAGCTGAGGAGGAGGGTCGTGATGACGTATTTTGTCCAGCGGCCGGTGGAGGAGGTGAATGTCCGGAGCGGGATGAGGAAGATGAGGGCCCAGATCTGGGCGCCGAGGCCCATTAAGCTGCGTTGGTCGGTCACTTGCGAGAGGTAGGTGACGCCGAGTAAGGTGAAGAGGTGGAGGAACTGTTTGGGTAGGACCATGAGGTTTGTCTGGAAGGTGTCGAATCCGATCGAGCGCAGGGTGAGCGTGAGGTACGTGTCCACTGTGGAAGTTGTCATGTCAAACACCAAGCCGATGATATAAATCGGCCAGAGGTCGTAGTCAAGCAAAGACTTTTTCAGCATCGACCAGTCGAGCGCCTGGCGGTTGTGCATGTCTCCCTTTGACGGGTCGTCGCGAAGGACGCGGTTGACGATGATTGTCTCCTCGCGCTCGGTAAACCAGCCGTTCTTACCGCGGAACCAGGACGCGGTCTTGGTAGGCGACGGCGGCATCAGGACAAACGAGACAATGCCGACACAGACGGTCAGGCATCCTTCGATCAGGAACATCCAGCGCCAGCCCTCGACGCCGTTGACGCCGCGCATGTGCAGGATGCCAAAGGCGAGGAACGCGGCGACGATCTGCGAGACTGTCAGGGCGCACCAGAAGTACGCGAGACGAACGGGGAGCTCGATCGAGGTGTAGAAGTAGGACAGGTACAGGCAGATGTCGGCGATAAAGCCGCCTTCCCAGGCACCCAATAGACCTCGGGTGATGTAGAATCCGGCCTCGTCTTTAATCCAGTATTGAGAAAGAGCGACAATACTCCACGAAATCATCTGCATGGGGTTAGTAACTTGCTCATGAAGATTTACAAATGACTACTGGGACTCACCTGGATCGGAATCCAAACGTCGGGACCGAGTTTCTTACTCACTAACTGAGAAGGAACCTCGCAGATCAAGAAGCACACCTTGAATATAACATTTCCGTTGTTGTAGACTAGCATATTCAAGTCAGTTACATAGATCAGGCTAAAAAAAGCTAAAATTTAACAAACCATTGGTATTGAACCCAAGGTCCTCGAGCATATTATCCGACACCGCCTGCGAGATATTGCCGCGATCCAACTGCAACGCCATGAACATGATAGCGCACCACAGCATAATCCGAAAGTCGACCTTGCGAACAATCGCCCGCTCCTCGCGCCACGTCCACCGCGCTTTCGGATCAACCCGGTGAAGACTCTCGTACTCTGGAATCGGCTGGTGCAGCGGCGCCTTTTCCGGATCGTCAAAGACCGAGGGCTGCGTGGCCACTGCGTCGAGGTCCGGGTCGCTCGCTTTTCGCCTGCTCCAGAAGAAGTACTGCTTGGGAGCGTGGGTCGCGAGCGGAGGCCAGTCGGCGGGGATATTGAGCTTTGCGGCCAAGCCGCCGTAGACGCTCTCATTGTCTGTGGTGGACGAGGTCTCGCTGCCGTATTTCTCGGAGATCACGACATCCTTGGCCTGCTTGTCTAGGGAGCTGATAGAAGTCTTGTCTGACTCAGCCATTTCTGTCCTTATCAATTAAGTGTATGCCACAAGAAGGAGATGGGGAATGACAAGGATGACTAGTAGTCAGATGTGGCGGACGCGCGCTCTTCATATAGCAATGGAAAACCGCAGGATGGGTCCACCAAGGTCTGCTATGAAAAGAAAAAAACACCACATCAAATGCCATAATTACGCCATCGATAGCGAGACTGAATAAAGACCAGAAAATGAGCGTGCCAAGCGAGAAATGACAGGCGGGCTCAGGCAAGAGAGTGTAGGTGAGGAACAAAGCTCCGAGCGCATTGAGGCGGGGCAGGGACGGAGCGGAACGGGGTCGGGAAAGTTTAAGACTCGAGAGTCTTTGTTCTGCGATGTCGCTTTAAGATCTAAAAGACTGGGGTATTTGTCCGGTTGGTGCTATGTTGTTGGTTGAGCAGTCGCCAGGAACGATAGAGCCCGCTATCTGCATCGCAAATGCCCTATGATCCAGTAAGAGAGACAATCCGAACAAGATCATCCTGAACCTCTCAGTACTTTCATCGGAGAACTCGACGGCCGAACTGAAGAGAAAAAAGGCGTTGAGTGTAATACCGCCGAACACTGAGAAGAATCCCAGGCGTGGCTGATGCGCACTCCTCCGAAAGACGAGTAACAGCGATAGAGCACAGCACAGCGGCAAAAGGTTTAAACCAGATTAAGTCTCATCTGAGTGTGTTCAGATAACCTAAATACCATGAGACAGAGTCAGAGTGCGCGATGGCGCTGCGCAGGTACCAAGGAGTCATTGCCGGTTGGCTATGACTAGACGTAGATCATCTAGCGCAGACTCGTCTGTAGACGTCTGTAGACGAACCAGGGCGTCTACAGGAGAAGACAGAGTAATTGCTCAGCAGTACAGTACATCATTTGAAATACAGTGTTCATTTTCTATTCTTTGCTTTCTTGGGTGCCGTGAGGTGTGAGGCTAAGTGTGGCTACAGTGACCGGGCACGCAATCGAGCGCAAGCGATTGCGCAATTGAATTGCCTCTTGCTCGAGTCCTCACTCACGCTCATCGTAACTCTAACCGTTCGTTGTCTGCTGGAAAATAAATACAAAAAGAGCGGAACGAAATAGAAGTCCGGCTGTCTGCGGAGTGGGTGCTGCGGTGGCCTGAAATGGTGGGTTGGCAACAATGCGGTTATCAGGCTGTTGCTCTCTGCGCAATTGTCTTTGGAAGGTTTGTTGCCTTTATTGCTGCTCCACCGCTCCACAGCAGCAGACCATATACTTATGACACCATCACCACGAGCAATTACTCTTTATATAAAAGCAGAAAGTAAACAAAAAAAATGTTTTTATTGTACAATACGTACTTCACAAAAGTGCACTAGATATCTTTTCCCTGCAACGCAGCTACGATGTCATAACCCATTAGTCATCCACCTACACCAGGCACGTGCCTAGTTTGACGCCCTCGACGCTCCCGAAGAGCACAGGCGGGGTGGTGGGGGAGGTGGCTTGGAGAAGGCGCCACCATCGCGAGGCGTCGTATTTCTTCTCAAGACGATGATGATACTGGCTGTCAATTGTCAACAGGCGTTGATGCTCTCGGCCTAGAGTCCGTATTATATCAATATGCAGGGAATTTTGCTGGATACACGGACAGCTAGGAGGTCGGGGAAGCGCGCGAGGGGTGGTTATCATCGGGAGTCTGGAGGGGAAGGGCAGGTTATGTATGATCCGGGCATGATTTCCATGACGAGGTCTGGGCTAGATATTTGCTCTAGCTCGATACGGCTTTGAATCAAGTTGCTGTGTTCACTGAGCGATATAGAGCTGAATGACCTAAAAAGACCTACAGTCTTTCGCAACGGGTTCGAAGCAAAAGCCTACGCTGATCTACAAGTCTCTGCATTCCGAATTCATACCCGAAACCCGTCACCCGGACCTCGTCGCAGGCCAGGAAAGGATTCGAGAACAGAGAATTGGGGATGATGAGTCAGTAGCCGAAGCCACGTTCAGCGCGCGACGGGCGACGGCGCATGGGCCTCGTCCTCGGCTCCCGCCCAAAATATTTTTTCTGCAAACTCGTCCCTGGGGCTTCCACCTTCCACCTCTTCTCCCCAGATTATTTTCCCCACCAGATCTGCACGATTTTGGCAAGTCAGATACACAGAAAGAGATGCATTGTACATGACTCGCGGATTCAAATTAACTCTCAGATCTACAGAATAACAACGCAGACAAGACCATGGTCTAATCGGATCTCGTCCTCTTGCTTCCCCACACGTGCGCTCACTGCAATTTACTCGCATTCTAGCAAAACTTTCTTTGCTATCGTCTGGTTTGCACCTCGTCGGGCGTCTCTTGTCCGGTCTTTGATTGCGTCCTGCGTGTTTGCTTCTATCGTGCTCTGCTGTTTGGTCCATATATAGTCGTGTATGCGTGCGACTTATTACTCACGCTAGCTACCGTCTTCCTACAACTCGATTGTCATAATCAGCCTGAGGCGATTCATATTCATTCAATCCACAATGGCTGAACCCCATGACATCGAGCTCGGTGCTACCACGACCATGGCCGCAAAATCAAACTACAGAACAGAGTCCCTGAGCTCCCACTCAAACTCCTCAGAGCTCCTTCACGAGAAAGACATCGCCGAGCGATCAACTTTCTTTCGCTGGTTCCAACGCGCCGCGCTGCACTGCAACATGGAAGTCCGCGGCATCGAACGTGTCCCGGAAGACGAACGCACGGCGAGCTCGGTGTACTCGCCCGCTTTCTTCTGGTGGGCGGTCAACATGGTCCTGCCTGCGGTCTCGATCGGGAGCCTGGGCATCTCGGCCTTCAGTCTCACGTTCTGGGACTCGACGCTCACAATCATCTTCTTCACCTTTCTCGGCACCCTCCCCGTTGCATTCTACTCGACCTTCGGTCCAAAATTCGGACTTCGGCAAATGATCCTCGGCCAGATCTGGTTCGGCGACCATCTCGTCTCGCGGTTCTTTGCGGTGCTTAACGCGATCGGCTGCGTAGGCTGGAGCGCGCTCAACACGATCGTGGCCGCGTCGCTGTTGCATTCTGTTAATGGCGGCGCGATGCCGGCGTGGGCGGGCATGTTTGTCGTCGCGTGCGGGACCGCGATCTTGACTTTGTTTGGGTATAAGGTCGTTCACTTTTACGAGCGGTGGGCGTGGGTGCCTACTTTTGCTGTGTTCCTGGTGGTAGGTTCTCTGATCTGTGGTCACCCTGGAATTATAGAAGGAGAAGCTGACTCTTTTCTAGATAATTGCGTGCTTGGCAAAGTCTCACACGTTTGCTCCCGGATCTCTCTCAAGCGGCAAGCTCGAAGCTGGCAACGTCCTCTCCTTCGGCGCGACGATCTTCGGCTCCAGCACAGGCTGGGCCACCTACGCTGCCGACCACACAGTCTACCTCCCCGCGACATCCAGCAGCCGCAAACTTTTCCTATCCATCTTCTTCGCGATCTCCATCCCGCTGATCTTCACCGGCATCCTCGGCACCGCTTTAATGGCGGCCGCGCAAACCACCCCCCGACTCGCGACCGCCTACGCAGACGGCGGGATCGGCGGCCTTCTCTACGGCGTCATGGTCACAAACTCGCTCCACGGATTCGGCCAGTTCTGCATCGTGCTCGTCGCGCTCTCGACTATCGCCGTCAGCTGCGCGAATATCTACTCGATCGCGTTCTCGGTGCAGGCGATCAGCAAGTACTTTGCCATCATCCCGCGCGTGCTCTGGACGTTTTTGGGCATCTGTGCGTTCTTTGGGCTCGCGATGGGCGCGTACTATAACTTTGAGGAGTATATGGAGAATTTTATGAACCTGATTGGATACTGGCTCAGTATCTACGAAGCAATCTCGCTCTCAGAGCACTTTATCTTTCGAAAATCGTCCTACGACGCAATCTTACTTCCTCCCCTCCTCCTCCACGCCCCCGACGACACAGCAGTCACCCAAGAGCAGCACGCAGTCCACCGTCTCCAGCTAGAAGGAAACATCCCTCCAGGCTGGGCAGCCCTATTCGCGTTCGCATGCGGCGTGGCGGGCGTCGTCGTCGGCATGTATCAGGTATGGTGGACCGGTCCGGTCGCGGCGCGGACGAGCGCGGATCTGGGGTTCGAACTGGCGTTTGGGTTTTCGTTGGCGGGATATCTTGTGGCGCGGCCTTTGGAGAAAAAGGTTTTTGGGCATTAGATTATGAAAGTTTTTAGATTTGCATGGGATGATTGTTTTGTAGCTTGATTATGATTGATTCGTGAAGTAAAATGTGTATGTAAATGTGAGTATTCCTGATATAAAAAGTGGATGAAGAGGCTGATTGCCTCTTGATGTAGATGTAGTTATACGCAGAAGCAAAAATAGAAGCATGAGCAAGTCGCAGGACAAAGAGAAATCAGACAATAACAGTATAATGAAGACATGTATTTGGACCAAATCAAAACCCGATATGATGAGCAAAAAAGCAAAGCAAAGCACCCAGAACCAAAAATATTATAAAAAAAGAAATAGAACGAACGTAGATGTAACCAAACATGTAGTATGTAGTCCAACCAAAAACTGTAAACGACAAAGAGAAAAAAAACTCAAGAAGTGGATTGTGGATCACCCAAAAATAAGCTCATCGGGCAATAACGCCCAGACGCCGCCCAAAACCGCCAAGACGATGCCGGTGACGATTGCGAAAATATCAAACGCCATCTCAGGTTTACTGATTGTATGCATGGAGCGGCCCATATGCGCCTGTCCGCCGGGGGAGATGTAGTTGTTGTTTTTGTGGCGGGCGCTGCCGGGGCCGAAGATCTTGAGGTAGAACGCGAGCGGGAGGACGATGCAGATTGTGAAGCCGAGCGCGGAGCCGACGAGGGCCATGATGCGGTCAAAGGCCGGGAAGACGATGGCGATGAGGGTGATGACGAAGTTGACGGAGATGATGATGGCGGCGCGGGCGAACGCGGGCGATTTGAGCTTGCGGTAGAGGCGCGAGAGCGGGTTGCGAGCTACGCTGTCGTAGATGCGTTCAAACGCAAGATCACCTTCGCCGTCTTGGGGGCCGTCGGGTTGGAGATCTAGAGGGGCAGGGCAGTCGCTGACGCCGAGCAGGACCTCGATCGTGGTAATGATGGGGCGCGCGTTGAGGGGCGTCTTGGAGAGGGGAATGAAGGCGATGAAGACGATGATTGCGATGCTGAGGCCGCGAGGGAAACCCTTTGTCTCGATGATTGTGTTTGTGATTTCCTCAGTCACGTAGTCGTCGCCAAACATGAGGAGGCCGATGACACCCATGGCCATGTCGACAAAGAATGTAAACATGTAGGAGAGATTGAGGCAGCGTTTGAATTTGTAGGGATGGCGCATGTCGCGGTAGACGTTGGGGAAGACAGAGTGACCGCACCAGGGCGCCATGAGGAGGCCGAGCGAAAGAGGGACGGCTTTCCAGTTTGAGGGGAGGATGTTGGAGGACATCGGGTGCCAAAGAGTGCCAGGTTGCTCGGTCTTGATGAGCCCATCGATGAAGACGATGACAAGGATGGAGAAAGTGGAGAGGATACCGAGGATGCTGCTGAAGGAGAGGACGGAAAGAGGGAGAAAAGAGAGAGGAGTGAGAAGGAAGAAGGCGAGGATCTTGAGTTCGGTTTTGGAGAGAACGTCAGGAAGAAGAGAGTAGATCGAATCGGCAAAGAGGACGACCAAGGCAATGCAGGATCCAAGTAGCTCGAGCGAGAAGAGCAGAGAAGTCAATAGACGAGCGCGAGCACCAAAGGCAGCGTAGGCGATGTCTGCGTATGTGACGAGAGTGGGATCGGTATCGAGGCAGCGCGCGAGGACTTTGGCGGTGTAGAGTGTGACGGAGGCGGCGATGCACATGAAGACGAGGCCGATGAGCCATCCGGCGTAGGAGATGGCGAGGGGAAGAGAGAGCAGGCCGATTCCGATGAGGACGTTGACGGAGTTGAAGACGGTCTGCGGGGCGGTCGAGCGGCCGGGAACGACGAGGACTCTGCCCTTGGACTGGTCGACAAGGACGCGCTGGCCGCCGCCGATAAGGTCGTCAGGCTTGGGAGCCTGCTTTAGGGTGGATTGCTGCGACGGAGGGGCGTGATGGGAAGGCAGAGAAGTGCCGGAGAGGATGGGAGTAAGTCTAGAAGTGGAGTCGTCGGGATTGAGAGGAAAGAGGGTGTCTTCGTCGTCCGAGTAGTCGATTGCATCTTCAACGAATGCGCTGTCGTCGGCTTCGGCCGTCTGCGAGTGCGGCGCGTTTGAGTCGTCGTCATCGCCGTCGTCGTCGGGCTGCTGGGCGCGCTGGCGGAAGAGAAGAGGGATGGACTCGCGGGCAGATTGGCGGAGAGAGCCGGCGCCGGAGTAGCTGAGAGGAGCGGGCTGGGGGGTGAGTGCGAGCGGTGCATCGAGGACGAGGAAGGACTGGGCGCGGGTGTAGGAGGAAGCGAAGCGATCGAGCGAGTTTACGCCGCCTGCGAAGCGGATGCTTTGGGAGAGCGATCCGCGACGGAGACGGGAGGCTGCAGCGGAGGAGGAGGGCTGGGAGGGAGGAGGAGAGGCCATGGCGTGCTGCTGGTGTTGTTGTTGTTGTGACGGGGAAGAAGGAGGAGGAGGAGGAGGAGGAGAATAAAAAGAAGTCGCGGGTGAGTCGCGAGCGCTAAGAGAAAAGCAAAATAAAAAAAGTCCGTGTGCCTGGTCCGCGCCCGAACATCAGAAAACCCAAATTCGGTTTGCGCTCAGAACTCAATCAGCCCGATTCGAGAGCATCGTCGATAAGAGATGCTGTTGGAGCAGGAGATGCAGAAGAAGAACATCGCCAGATGAGGTATCATCGAGGGATCAAGTAGTTCAGCAGACTGCTCATCCTCAAGTGCTGCTTCATCAGCTCTCGCTTCATTCCACCGCGACCGCCACAACACCGCTTTGACGTAGTCGTGGCTTCAAGCCAGCGGCCCCTGATTCTCTCTTCCCTGCGCTGATGTCATTCTTACCCTTCTCTTCTCGCGCTCTCTTCACCCTTCTGCCCTTGTTCTATACCCTCCTGCTCCTGCCCGATCTCTTTCGTCGCTCTGTTTTCCGTCGTCTGATATTATCTCCTGGTGTTCTGTGCTCTGGTATTACTGTTTACAGCAACTTCTCCACTCAGTCCCACTCCTCTCCACTCTGCATGAAAAAAATTTGCAAAGAAAAAAAAACTTCACCAGATAAGCTTGCCATATACAGCAACACACCACCATCATCCTGCCCTTTTTTCTAAAAAATTTTCAAGAACCGCCGATCAAAGAGAGAGAAAAAGCGAAATGAAGGAATGGCCTGTGCCATCCCTCGGCCCGGTCAAGCGAATATAATAGAAATACAATCTATCAATCGGAGGCATCGTCAAAGTATTCCTCCGGTGTATAGAACCTAACTCCCAGATTCTGCGCAAACTCCTTGTCCACCGCCGAATGATCTCCCTTCCTTCCCGCTGCGTCGCCGACAAAGTATGAATCCTCCTTGTCGAGCTCGATCGTAGTCTGCTGCTGGTTTCCATCCGCGCCGGCCAAGTGTCGCTCATGCGCTTCCTTCACGAGCTCCCACATGCCCGTCTGCGGCTTGCGGAAGTCGTCCTTGTTTGTTGCGGCGACGACGTAGAACGGCAGCACCTGGTCTCTGGCCAGTATACTGGAAAGCTTTGCGAGCTTTGTCTTGAACTGCCATAGCCGGGTCTTTGTTTGATCTGCTTTCACTTTCTTTGGATTCAGCGCGATCCCGTTCTGATTCGAGAAGATCACAATCAACCTGTTTTGCGATGCCGAAGAGTCCCCAATGAACTTCTTGAACTTGTCCACAGTTTTCTTTTCTCCAAACAAAAATTTCCAGTCTTTCTCATTCCGCGCAAACGCAAACCCGGACTGCGTCGTAATAATCGTTCCGTCGAGATCAAACCCTGCAATCGCAATCTTCTTTTTCTCTCCCTCCCCCGCGCCCACTGTAGATCTCCCACTCAGCTGTGGTCTAGAGTACGCATACGACCCAAACAACACCGACGACTTGTGCGTCACCCACTCAATCTCCGTTGTTTTATCCATTCCGTCCTCGTGTCGATGCACAACACTCACTTCGCGCTCCTCGACCAGATCCACGACTTTCTCGCTCGCTTTATGCTTCTTTGCTGGTCCCTCACCGTCCCCCGTCTCCGCACCGGCGTCTAACGCCTCATGTCGCTCACGCAATGCCGTCGTAGTCGTAGTCGTAGTCGTAGTCGTCTCTTTCTCCACATCTTTTAGCACCCTCTTCCGACCGCCGCTGGTAAACATACTCAAGCTCGACTGCTGGCGTCCAGCACCTGGTGTAGGCGGCGTCATTGATCTGCGCTGAACGATTCGTCCAACCAAAGCTATACTCTCACGCCTAGCTATCCAACAATACCTCTGCATATGTACCCTCGTTCATACCGCAGACTTCTGCATCCCTGGTCTTCTTATCCCTCGCGATCGGTGTACCTGCCTCGCAACGCGCAACGATCAACGCGTAAGTGTACAAGAAGCATACAAACCCCTCGTCTTTCAACAGTCCGCGTTCAGCAGCGACGATGAGACTGCGCCGAATTGCAATTACTAATACTGGACCCTTCCCCGGAGACTGCAGGAATACTCGAGTACAGACCTAGTTGCTAGTGAGGTTGCTGGCGATGATGACTTTGATGTCGTTGCTGGGCGGCTTGCCGGAGCATCGGGAGTGGTGACAGTATTCGATTGCTAACTCCGAGACGGAAGCGTCAGCAAGAGAGCAGATGTAATGTTTATCTACGTTGAATGTATGGAGATCGTTCAAGTAGCTTAACTGAAGGCTGATTATTACGTAGAAGTAGACTTCTGTCATTCTTCGAGTGCTACAGATATAGCTACAGGAATGGACAGTAGAGATACGATAAAAATATGAGGCCGAGTGTATTTCTTCAACTTATGCAAATAGATTTTAGTTATGTACAAAGAGAGATTGGAGTTCTTTACACAAGAGATGTCAATCTATCCAGAGAATCAGAATGAACTATTCTCAAAAAGAAGAGGCATATGTGCACTACCCGCTTGATCCGCATGAACTGCATAGACTAAGGAGCGCACACTGACCTCTTCAAATGAAATCATTCATTCAATCCCAAACAAATCCCTGACATCTCCACCCAAAGATCCAATAAAAAAAACCAATAAAAATGAAAACCTCGCGCAAGCTTTGTCTCTACCACTTACAGCCCCTTGCTAAACTCCTGGCACGCCTTCAGCTGCTGCAAGTACCACTCGCAGATCTGCATATTTCCCTGGTTCTCGTCCAGGCACTTTGTGAAGTTACGCGCGTCAACCTCGCACGAGCGCGCGCCGTTCTGCTGGTCGTAGGTCGACTGGCTGGCGTACTGCTGCTGCGCGGGGACCGGCGCAGCGGGAGACTCGGCGGGGGCGGACGACGAGCCGCCGCCAAAGATTCCGCCGAGCGCACCGGTGATGGCGTGGCCGGCGGCAGATCCGACAGCGACACCGGCAGCGGTGGAAGCCATCTATGCCACAATGTTAGTCTTGATGTTCTTGCTGTGTTACTAAATTCAAAAGTAGTTTGCGTACCTGGCCGAAGAGCGAGGGCTGCTGGGGAGGCGGGTAGTGAGGGGCAGGAGGAGGAGGAGCCTGGTGCACGGCAGGCGGGGCGGCGTGGGTCGAGGCCTGTCTGCGCTGAGGAGCAGGCGCCGAGCGACGGGAAGATGAGCGAGGCATGTTTGATGATGTTGATGTGGTGTGGTGTGGGAGTAGTAGAAGTAGATGTGGATGGAGCAGAGGCGGAAGAAGGTCGAAAGATGAGCAGCTTTTATAAAATTCGACGGGAAGACAGAACGTGGTCGAACAGAGAAACCTTGTTTGCCTGCTGACTGCGCCGTCGGATCTCTGCCTGCGCCGAGGTCAGCTGACTATGCTTATGTCACTGATTATTAAGAAGTCCTTATCTAATTATGACGTCTGCTCGTCTGGTTCACAACATCGGTGATAGAAATCTCAAGGATTCGATAGCTGCATTCAATGCATCAAATCTGAGGCAATTTCCATTAGCTGCCTTATTCTGGCTTAACTGCACCATTTCTCGTTGGCTGGCTGACTATTATTCGCAGCAGCAGCAGATCAAGACCATAATCATCATTTGTGTATATCTCACACCGCTCCCCCAAAAAATCAAGGGATCAGTGATCTCGTCGCATTAACAAATATGTCCAAAAGAAGTTCAAAGAGATATCAAAAATGTACAAAACACAAGAGGAGAAATAAATAATGACAAATCAACGATCGATCAAAGCACATTACAAGGTAACAATCACACAGCTGCTAATAAACAACATTCAAAGAAATAAAAATCCCAAATTTCAGATAAATTTCAAAATTAAGCCCACATCGAAGGGAGATCGAAAAAAACATCAAAGATTATTCATCTTACAAAACATACTTGAGAGATTTATCGCAACCTGCCCGGCAGTCTGTTTTTCTCAGATTTTCTTTGCGCTATTTTTCCTGTCAGCACCCGTCGCCTGCAATATTATCGTATCAACCCCCGTAGCTAAAAATATCCAAAGCCAAAAAGCACTAGCAAAGAGAATTCACACGACCGATGGCTTATCTGTAGGACTCGTGGTGACGGTCGCTAAAGACATAGCTAGACTCCTCAGGGACGGTGTGATCGTTGGCAACGTTCTCAGATGGAACGCTGGTCGAGTACATGTTTCCGTTGGTGGTCGAAGTCTGGTGCATGACCGGCTCCTGGCTCTCGTGATCGACAGCGTCCTCAGGGTAGCTCTCCTTGGGCGTTCTTCTGAAGAATCCGCGGCGAGGCTTCTCGTTCATGGGAACGGGCTCGTCAGAGAGATCGCCGAGGCCACGGTTCTTCTTGCGGCCGGAGCAGCACGCAAGCATGAAGCCGATCGAGGAGATGAAGTTGCAGGCGACCGCAGTCCAGGCAAAGGCAAAGAGCTTGACGCCCATGTGCGACTCCATACCGTCATCGTTGAAGGTGTTGCGGGCCTTGACGAAGAGGGCGGTTGAGAGGGCAGCAGCGACGATCGAGGTCAGAAGACCGAGGAAAAGCCAGAACGAGGTAAGAGCGGCACCGAGGCGAGAGCAAAGACCGAGCTGGAGTAATTAGATTAGCATCTTGGCACAAGGAACTAAAGAAGATGGGTAGACATACAACGCCGGTGATGAAGCCGAAGCCAGTGAAGCCGGTAGCGATAAAGTAGAAAGCGTAGGAGAAGCGCGAGAGGTAGTAGTACGTTTTTCTGTGGTTGATGAAGTCGTAGGGGATGTCGGAGCTGGTGCCGAAGTTCTTTGCGGGCTCGAAGGCATAGGCAGGCTTGTTGCTTCCGCAGTCGACAGAGACGCCGCCAGAGACACCGCAGATGTTCCAAAGAGTCCACCGGGTGGTGTCAGGGGCGCCGGAGATGCTGGAGGTGTCGGTCTCCATGTAGAAGACACGGTTGAGCGGGTTGTGCTCCTTGGTGCCTGCGAGGAGGATGAGGAGCAGGCAGAGGGTGGCACTGCAAGAGAGGTTAGCATGGGCTTGTGACTTGTGATGAGGGCGGTTTTTTTTCTACGACCGGAAGTAGATTAGATAACGTACCCCGCTGTGAGGATGAACGGGAAGAAGGTGACGAGGAACCGGGGGATGGCCATGGTGAAGGGTATAGAAGGAGGGAGACAGAGGTAGGGAAGAGAAGAGGAAGAAGAGAAGCGAGTGTCAGTGTTTAAATGGGCCAAAACAAGACTTTGGTTTTGAGATCTACATTCGACGACTCTTTCGCCTGCGCCGCTCTTTGTTCACCACCCCCAAAGCCGGCTTCTCTGCTCTGAGCCGGCTCCCTTTCTCTCAGAGCTGTGTGTTTTTGTTGTATTATATTTTTGTATAGTCCACATCATCTTACTACTACTCTCCTCCACTTCTTCACCATCCCAGCTACGTGCAGGAGCCGCTCTGTGCCCGACACAGAGCCGTTGCTGTGACAACCGCGGGATGAGCCAGGGTCAATGATGCACGGTGACATCACGGCTCCTCGCCATTCGTACACTGACGCCGTGCGTCATCACCCGCGCTAGGCTGCTTCCGGTGCAAATTGTAAACCCAATCGTCTACGCAGTTTACTTTCTTATCACGTGCTGTAGGGCTGCCGCTGGCTCTTTCTGCCGCAGGTCTGCTATCCCGCAGGCTCCTTAACCTCCTCACCTTTGTTTTGTTTACCGTCCCAGTTTCTGCCTCGGCGTACCCAAAAACCATAAACAACAACAACAACAACGGCTGCCGAATCTGACGTACATCCATCGAGATCCAGTTCACAATCTCTTTCTCTGGTCTGATCTTCTATTTACCTTCCATTTGCCTTTCTCTGCACTTCCATCTCTCCTCCGACTATTAAATCTCTGCTCTGTTTATCACCTGCTCCTTTCAGACTCAATCCATCAATTTCCGCTATTTACAATGGTGACAGCCTGTCTCTACCTGTAGAATATGTCGTAGTGCCCCGGCCGGTACAGCAGGTCGATCTTCATCCGCTCCTTCGCCGACGCACTCATCGGCTCAAACGTGTGCACCACCGCGTCCTCCCCCTCGCTGCGGTCCATGTACACCACCCCCAGATCCGCCACGCCGACCGCGTTCACCAATGCGCTCAGCGCGAGGTGATCGGCTTCCACCGCAAACGCCTCAATCTGGCGGTTACAGTACTCCTCTATCGTCGTCCCTTCCCCGTCGTCTATGAACGGCATGTAGTCCTCCGCGTGTGTCTTCACGTACGCCGCCGCCAGCAGTCGAAAGTGCACAATCACCGCCGACGACACTTCCATGTTGTTAAACTCGCTCACAAGCGTCTCCGTCGTCAAACCTGGTAGCCTGTCAAATAGGCTCTCGGTCTCTTCGACAAAGTCAATGTAGCCATTCTCGTTATATCCGGCCTCGTTGAGCAGCTTCGTGAGCGACATGATCCTCGACTTTAGCTCGGCGATTTGATCTGGTGCATAACTCTGCGCAAACTCGAAAAACCGAAACGCGAATGCTTCATAGAAGATAACATTAGCATCTGTTTTATAGCAAAGTGATTGCAACGCGTGTGCCTACCTCTCCATGCACAGTTTCCGTCTCCGCGAATAGGTCGATACCCTGTGCTGCCTCCGCCGAGCGCCTACAATAGTCGTAACGGTGAGCATGCATATAAACCAGCATATTCCCTTCTCTCAAATCACATCCACAAACCTTTATCTTTGCACGAAACGTAGAATCAGCGTACTCGTCAAGCAAAACACTGATCGGCTTCAACTCTCCCACAAGCGGTGTCTAGGCAATTCACTGTTAGCTCCCGACTTTATCTCAATACTGCCTGCAGCGCACGCGAGCAGACGCAAACCTCACGTACCTTTGATGCCTCATGATCTTTGATTTCCTGGGTCAATCTGAGGATAGTCACGTCGTCCAGTTCCTCTGTCACGTAGTCTGAGGGATTAATCGTCCCCGCGGAGGTGTCGTCCTGATTCACTTCAGAGTCCTGCCCACTCATCATGCACTATCTCTTTGCTAGACCGAAGCGGTATCTTTCTGTTCTGTAGGCTGTGCTATCTGAAAACACTTCTCAACGTGAATACGCAGACTGTAGACTAAAGTGCGACCTGCGTCCTGTGCCTTGCTTTATCGCTCTTTATCGCTGCTCAGGTGCAAAGGAAGGGGAAAGAGTTCAGTTCACCCTAGAAACAGCGGAACGCGGGGAGTTTCCTATTTAGAGTTACCTAATGTATCAGTCGAGACCAATCCAAATATTTATTCCATCGCCCTACAGTCTTTAAATATCGAGTCTTGTTCTTTCACTCTTTTATTCTTTTAGATTTTGCTTAATTGTACATTTTATCCAGATTGCGCCCAATGGCTGAATGTAGGTGATTTCTATCACAGATCATTTTGTGACCGGCTGCAGATATATGTGTTCACCAGCTCTCATCTTTAAACCTCCCCCGATTTGCTTCCCGACGAGATTTTTCATATTGTAATTGATTGACTTTGTAGACAATCGCATCTCACTATATTACAGCAGACGTAAACGGTCTGATTCGGAGGCGTGCCCGGGTCAAGAAAATGCACGATGAGAAACCTGGTTGTCGTAAATCTCGTTAAAATTTCGTTAAATTCTACAGCATGCTTCACGGAAAAAGTCTCGAGTATCGAAAAGACTGAATATTATCGGCGCTATAGATCCAAAAGCGAGAGTATGTCAGCCAAATAGCCTCGAAGAGAAGAAGTAGCAGATTGGTCGCAGCACGTACATCAAAATAACGAGCCTTTGCACGCTTCAGCAATGCGCTTGCTATCAATCCACCGGCAACAATGATAAACAAAATAACAACAGCCTCGTCCTTTGCCGAGTCGCGCTCTGCATCATAAAAAGATTGTTAGCATAGTAAAGCAGGGCGTCTGTCTGCAGCCCCCATCAGCCTGCTAAAACGAGCCATCAGCCTGCTAAAACAAGAGTACTGCACATACGATAGCATGTCGCGTTAACGTCCGTATCCTCCGACGCGTCCTTGCAGATCGGCAGATTATAATCCAAGCAGAACTTGCGCGTGCAATCCGAGCATCCCGGCTGCGCGTCGTCGGGCATGCGCACGAGCGTCGAGTTTGAGAAACATGTGCATTTGCAGAACGCGGAGCCCGCAGAGACGGGGACTAGAAATACGCTAAACAGGCATAGGGAAAGTAGAGATAGTGGCTGTCGTAAGTTTATTGATCGAGGCATGGTGGGGGGATTGGCGGTCGACGAGGGCGAGTTGATGCTGCAGCAGGATGGAATCGGTTGATGATGCGTAGCGCCAACCTCCTGAGTTTTACAGTTTACTCTGCCACTCTGCTCATCTACTAATACCATATATAAATCGACCGACTATGTCCTATATTCAACTATAAAGCACACAGCAGACCAAACAGCAGAAAACACAGCAAGATTAGACGCGGGTCGAAAACAAGAAATCGAGAGAATGAAAAGCGCTGGTTTGAAGTAACCGGCCCGTTTGCAAATTGCCAGTTATAAAAAGAGAATAGGCTGTGAGCTCTTTACTTGATACCCGCAACCTGCACCCGATGCGAAACGCGAATATACCCGTCTCCTTCTCTTTTAATTGACTGTATATTTTCTGATTCTTTGCAAGCTGTTTTTATTACGTTGATCATTTCGGTTAGTGCTCGTGGGCAGTAATACAAGGCCATAATGCAGACAGAACAAGATGATTGCTCCAGCACCTGCAATACTTCGCGACAAGAGGAGAAACCGTGCCAGCAAAACTCATCCAGCCTCCGAAGAAAATCAAAGAAAGAGACCGAGAACGAGAGCTACTCTGACCAATCCGGCTCGCTTCGCCAACGCAGCCATCGCCATATCCACCGCTTCGTGTCCCTCGTCCGCTCGTTTTCTTCGTCGTCGCATGGCAGGTCGGCGGTAGACTCGCCCGATTGTGAGGTGTCCCCCTCCGTATTCACGCTTCCGCAAATGCTGCCTTCTTCGGATTTCAGTCTGCTTCCGTACGTCCACTGCGCCGAGCAGCATCATTACCCTCGAGAGCTGTTTCCGCTCCGTGGGAAGCAGATTACAAACACGCTCACGCGAGTCGGTCGCCACTGTCGTCGTCCTGTTCTTCTAAACGCGCTTCCAAACACGTCTCTTCCTGCCGCCTTTCAGCATCTCCCTGCTGCTCCAGAGTCACTCGAGCTTCTCATGCGGTCGAAGGAGTCAGAGCTGCAGTGTCCAGAGTACATCAAGCTGTACCTTGCGCTTGTGAAGAACCTGGTTGAGACGCATACCGCTTGGACCGAGCGGTTGAGATCTTCGTTCTACCCTCGCATGAGCTACGAAGCCTACATGTACAATCTCTGTCAGAACGACCCTATAGCGCGGAGATCTCTGTTTGCGTACTTTGACGAAGACGGGGTCCATTCCAGGATCAGTCCAGACGATTACTACAACCGGTCTCTGTGCCCGAGACCTCCTGCTCTTGACGCACCGCGATATTCGTCGTACACGGGATTCATGATGCCGGCTCCGTTGCGCTTCGAAGGTGGAAGCAGGTCGTTTGGCGAGTATATGTGGTATTTCTGCAGCAAACTCACAGAGATAGCGAGTCTGAGCTATAATAATTATGCCGGATATCAGAAGCGTGGGCCGGTTACTGCGGCCGCGGATGCGAAAGAAGAGGTTTTGGAGCTGATGCGCAAGCATTGCGCGGGGGCTTTACTGCGCAGCATGGCGGTTGTCGAGCACAAGAACCCGATGCATTACCTGTGCGGAGTCGAGTACGGCAAGGGTGGATGGACTCCATCTGCGGCGCTTGAACCAGTTCGTGGACTTATCTTGCGAAACCACAGGATTGATAGCGACTACTTTACGCACAGTCATGCGTTTACAACCACGAGCGTTGCGCACAGGGCTAGTCGTCATCATTACACGCCACACAAGAACGGGCACATGGCGAACGTCAGTTTCACCGTTGACCGGAATTACATATGGCGACGACGCGCGGAGGTAATTTTGTGTCCCGAGATAGTCCTGTGGGAAGACGACGAAGACGCGGCCGCGAGACAGGAACCGAGTCAGCTGGAGATGTCGGTCTGGCAGGATTGCGGGGAGAAGACGAGTATTGAGGAGTACGTGAGAGAGAAGTTTGGCGATTTTTTGGAGAGGAGACTGTCTGTTACTGAGATTATACCCTGTGAGCTGCAGAAGCGAGGATCGGCGAAGGCTGCGAGTTGCAACAAGAGTGATGCTGCAGTGGTGGAAGTTGAATACCCCGGGTCACCTACTTCTGTTACTGTGAGCAGCGCGACCGACAAAAGCGGTTCTGATGTCGCAAAGAGCGAGTACCGCTCACCTGGTTCGACTGCACTGACACGCGCGAGGATAGTAAAGTGGATCAAAGGCGTTGAACGGAATATTGGTCAAGACCGGAACAATACCTTCTGAGGCTCGTGTCGCTGTTTTTATTTTTAGGCATTGCTGTTGTGATTGCCGCTGCAGGCCAGCCTCTGAGTTTGTATATATTTGAATAAACGAGGAGTTTTTCTCATAATGTTATAGAGCGATGTAGAGGGTGGGAGGGGATGGCAAGTACGTCGGTACGTGAAGCGCCGCGCGATGAGCGGCCAAGGGTGGTAAAGTCTCGTGAGCTCTAGCTTTTCAACTGCACAGCTGTAGGTGTGTGTAGAATAGAGTGTATGCTACAAATCGGGATGAAATATACAGAAGAGGAGGATGCAGAGAAGGTAGTAGAGTTGGGGTGCTGGGGGCGGGCTGAAGAACATAGACATCTGGCACAGCGACGTCAGACGACCTAATACAGATCCACAACCACTCCAGAAACGACAGGTCATCTCCTTCTTCTCCACTAAGTCCGACCAGACGTGCGCCGAATCCTCAAGAACGCCAAATCTAGGCCCGTGAAGAGCGAGGCGGGTAATCAGACGAACTCTGAATGGCTGAGCCAGGGCCCGTTGAGGAAGTCGCCAAACTCCGAGGAGCAGAGAAAGGAAGTGGTCGAGGCCCGCGCCGCAGCAACTCTTCTCTTTGTCTCCGGTCCGGTCTCGACTTTTTTCCCGCAGCGGCAGCAACTTCTTCGCCGACGAGCGTGGAATATAATAATAGAAGTAAGGAGTTGTCTTCTAGACCGGTTCTGCTTGGTTTGGTATCCAGACCTGCTCTGTTTTCACCGCCGTAGCGCTCTGTTTCTGCTCTCCAGGGCTTCTTCTCCCTCGGCTGCACAACTTCTTCTCCGCTTCGCTCGCATCTCGCCATCCATCACCACCACTCCACACTATGACAGTCCTGCCCGCACACCCGCACCACCCGCGAACATCCCTCCTAGATGTACTCTCAAATGACCTCGTCCTCCGCGAGCTGACGCCCTACCTCGACCTCCGCTCTCTTCTCGCTCTCAGCGCGACGTGCCGTACCTCCCGCGCGCTATTGCGCAAGCCGGGATCAATACACTACATCGACCTCTCATCCTGCTCGTTCCACACCGTCTCCAAATTCCTCTCTCTCCCCCATATCGCACAGAGCCTGCGCGTGCTGTTTCTAGACAACTGCTCGCTCGACGACGAGCTGCTTACCTCTCTCTTTCTCGATTTCCGGCTCCGTCATCTCAGCCTCTGCAGGTCATTCGGATGGTCGCTCGAGCAGCTCTGCGAGATCCTCCAGCGGTACTACATCAACCCCTTGCCCGTATGCGCGGCATCTCTTGTCGCCCAAGAAGCAGCACGTTCAAAATCCGCTGCAGCTGCGCGGCACCACGCCGGCCGCACTAGCTATTCGACCTCTCCGGCGTCGTTCTCGCTATCATCAGCGCACTCCGCTGCCTCGCTAGCCTCGTCGCCGGCTACGGATTATGAATACAACAACAGCGAGTCCTACGAGTGCTTCAACGACCCCGAGATTGACTACGCCGCCGCCGCTGCCGCGGAAGACGACTACCTCCCGCCGCCCATCGACGGCCAGCATCCGCAGTGCTGCACGCCGATGTGCGCGCGCAGACCCACAATCAAATCCCTGTCCCTGCTCGGCGGCCCGACCTTTCCAACCGACTCTATCTCTGTCACGGCACCTATATTCCAGGTCATCGCGCGCGAGGCAGGCCTCGCAACCGACCTGGTCTCGTGCGAGGCGCATCCCGCCAACGCGGCCCCACTTCCTCTAATGCCCCTCCTTCCCGACGGCAGCGGCCCTGCTGACGGGCCAGCTGCGCCGGTCGGCTGGTTTTTGGCGGCGGATTCGTCGAAGCAGTGCGCCGAGTGCGGGAACGGGGCGCAGAGACTGTGTCTGCGGTGCTCGATGTTGCGCACGTGTAGTACGTGCCAAAAGTCATGGTGCACAAACTGCGATCCGCAGGCGTCGAAGGCGAGGCTGGATTGCTACGACTGCGGACCGACTTGCGAGGGTGCGTGACTGTCCAGATTGTGTTTGTGTATTTATATCTATTCTACTTCTAGTTTGCTAACGGGGTTGTATCAAATCTAGATTGCCGAGTGGGAACGGTCAGCTTCTGCAAGTTTTGCAAGGCAAAGTACTGCCGCACGCATCAAGAGGGTTCGACCGAGCTGTACTGCGACTGGTGCAGTTCCCGAGGAGGTCGGAACAGGCACTATTTCTAGATATCGAGGTATTTATGGAAGCAAGAGGTTGCATTGTGTCGGGAGCATGTTCAGTGCAGATATGACGTATTATTAAATGTCCGGGGCGACGGCGAGATTAGGAGTTTTCTGTTTTTTAATATACAATATCCACTCATTTCTAATATACAATATCCATCAAATAACTGGAAGAACAGCAAACTGTTAATCAATCAGTGAATGCGTACACAGAGAACTGAGAACAGGCCAAATATGGCAAAGTGGCGATCGACAGCCGTCTCTCTGCTGAGGAACTGATCAACAAACGATGACGTCGACTCCACGACAGGAACAGCAGAGAAACCCGCAAACCCCTCGCTGTTCACTTCCTCTGCAAACAACTTCAACTAATAAAAAGTTCTTGTATATTCGGTCGTGAAAGTGGCTATTTAAAACAGCAAACAAAACAGTGGAAATAAACCCGACCGAAGCCAGGGGGCGGCCTCGGTCCACGGCCGTCAACTTTACCTTTTTTAAGGGTTTCGAGCCCATCTCCATCCTTCTTTCCATCAAAACATTGCGTAAAAGTCAACACAAAAGCTCACGTACCAGCGACCCCGCCGCGAACACCAAGCAGGACACCGCACGCAACCGCTTAGATCACATTTCAGATGGAGGCTTCAGGTGCTCGCGCGATGAGCACATCGCCGACGAAAACCGCGACGAGCGACGCGACGCTGCAGCGCACTCTACAAAGCAGCTCAGACCACGCGCCTGAGGAAGACTACGCCAGCAATAATACAAAAAGCACATACACAAGCACACTCAACAGACCTCGCCCGGGACTCAGTCAACGCACGCTCTCGGGTCTCTCAGTCACGACGCAGAACCAGCTGTCGACGCACGAGTCCGAATCAGACAGCGGCTACCGATCTGAAGATAAGCCTGGATCGGTGCGCCGGCTTTTCGCGGGCTCGGGAGCTGCCGCCACCGGATCTATCAAGAAGCACGGCGATGGCTTGTCGAAGACTGTGCAGTCGGGCTCGGGGAGTAACGCAATGACTGTCGAGACAGAGACCGTCACTACCGTCGCCTCGGTCGCCGTGGGCGCTTCCGCCCAGGGGAGCGTCCGAAGTAGCAAGAATCCTGTATGGCTCCAACTCTTTTTTTCCTCCTTGATTTATGTGTGATACTAACAAGTCCTATTCTACTCTAATAGAACCCCAGAAACTCAGTCAAAGGCAAGAAGAAGAAACCAAAGCCACTACCTCATATCCAAGGCACTTCCCGCGCCGACATTTTCGCCGCGAAAATCGCCTCCGCGGTCGACGACAACGACTCTGACGACTCTGACGAGACGTTTGTGTATGAATCCAACACACGCGATATAAGCCAGTCCGCGCGGTTCCAGGACTCGAGGTCGCCTTCGTTGTCGGGTAGTGGCGGCGGCGGTGGCGGAGGGGGTGGTCAGTCTGGTCAGGGAGGGGGAAGTGAGCGTGTTCAAGGGGCAGGAGGCGGCGGAGCTGGTCTTCGAAACATGCTTGAGCCGCCTCGGTCGGGCGGGAGTATAAACGGCAACTCGATCAAGAACCTCGATCCGCGCTCGCTCAACAGTATCTACAGCTCGACCAAGAGCATGATGGCGCCGCCGGCGTCTCCGCGCCCGTTTCCCAACCGCGGGGCTGCGTCTGCGGTCGCGCACGACGGCTACGCGGACGACAACGACACGGGCGCGGACGGCGACGACGACTTTGACGACGACGAGACGGCGCTGCTGAGCGGGGCGAGTCGGCGGGTGCGCGCGCAGCGGCGGCGGAACGCAAGGAGCGAGGCGAGGAAATTGAGAAGGTCGATGTTGACTACGTGCATGGTGGTTTTGGCGTTGATTATTGGGTTTTCTTTGGGTGTCGTGTATGTTACGAGTTGAAGACGGGGTTTATATACATGAAAGTACGCAGCACTTGCTAGCTGCTGCCACGTCTCTTTGTTTCTTTCTTTATTTTCATTTGTACCGGCGTTGTCGACCTATCCGTTTCTGTTTTTAATGAATGATGCATACGAAACTAGTCTGTTTATAAAAGTGCAGGATGAGGAGGTGTCGTCCAGGGGCTCAGTTCCCTCAACCCCATGAGCGTGCGGCTCGCTTCTACATGTTTTTATTTCAAAAAAATTGATTTTGGTATCTAAACAAAAAGCAGTGCATCGTCAAAGAAATGAAGCAGCCGACTATGATTTCTATATATATATAAAGGACATAACACATATTTTAGAGAGTGTGCGCAGATGAACAAGAATAACCCACGACTAGTCCCCTACCGAGACAGGGCCGAGCTCGTGCAGCTTTTCAGATGGTTTTACGAGGTCGACGGGGACGTGGATAATCGGACCAAGGCGATTTCGCTCGTATGTATACCTTCTACAGATATTACAGATATGTTTGTATGTGCAGGAAGAGGACAGCTGACTGAAGTGTGTTTCAGGCCAAAGCGTATACTATCCGCGGCCACGTTCCCTACGCAATCGAATGCACAGCGTTCCTAACCTCCTCCTCCCTCCTCTCGTCCTCGCCCACGCCACACATCAACTCCTTCGCCAAACGACTCTCGCACGCGTCCGCGATCATCAGATTCGTAAACGGTTTCCTCGACAGCCAGCAGACGGCGCAGTTCGCGATGCCGCTCGTGGCGCTCGCGGCAAAAGTCGACATGCCGACATCGTTCGTCGAGCTGCGGCACGCGTGCACGCACGAAGCGTTGCCGGCGTTGCCGGAGTTGGAGAGGGCGGTGCGGGAGGCGCTGGAGTGGGTTAGGATCCATTATTGGGAGCCTGAGTTGAGGAGGTTGGAGGAGGTCGAGAGTATTGGGTCTGAGCGGATCAGTGAGTGTTTACAGTCCTACGCAGAGCTGTACAGACCTGGTGGTAATCGCAGCGACGACGGCGGCGGGGGAGAGTACGACGACGAATACGACGGCGACAGCGATATCGACGCGGAATTTGAAATGAACAAGAGCACGTTTGCAAACCCACTCTATCGACAAAAAGATACCTTCGAAGCAGCGACCGCGTACTGGCAAACCATCAACAGCCTTACCCGTCTCTGCGCCCTCGATCCCGAACTTTTCGCTCGGGAGTGCGTCGGTTTTATCATGCGATCTTGGCCGCTTGTGCAGGTTGGGCAGAAGACCGGTCGAGGAGGGCGGAAGAATCGCAAAAGGGCAGGGGTGCGGAGTGTATCTGCCTCTCTGCGCAGCATCGACTTCTTCTCGCCGCTGCTGCAGCAACTTCCCGAGACCGTGACTACCGCGTTCATCAAGCATTGCCTTGAACTCGTCGTCTCTTCATATAAAAGCTCGAAGGATGCAAATCAAGTGTTTTACCCCTCGCTCGCACACTCAACAAATCAATCAGCAAACGCCGAAACCGATCTCGCGACAATCTCCTTCCAGCAATTCTCCTCCACCTCCACCTCCTCAAAAGCAACAGATCTCACCCACGCCACAAACTGGCTCCGCCACATCCTCTCCTCCCACTCTTCCTCAATAATCCAACCGCTAACGCGCAAACGCAAGCTCTCCGCGTCGCATACATCAGACAATATCCCGGGCTTTTCGTTCTCGTTCACGGAGCTCGCGGGGATATGTGCGTCGCTGAGCGCGCCGACGCCGGTGTTGCTTGAGTTTTTGAAGCTCGCGAGGGCGAATCATTCGGGTCTGTCGGAGGAAGATGAGGGGTTCTATCGGATGTATTGTCAGCAGGTGGAGATGCTTTATCCGGATAGCGCGGCCAAGACTACAGTAAGTGCTGTGGAGGTGAACAGCAAGAGCAACAGCGCAGAACCGATTATCATAGACGATGACGATGCATGGGAACAGCAAGTGGAGGACATACAGACAGAAGTAGAACCATGGAGTCTATACCCCGGCGAGTGGACGCCGAAGCCACTAGGAGTTTTGTAAAAAGTTTTGTAAGATACGAATAGTAGAGAGCAGCCAGAAGTGTATTATATACAATGTATCCAATAGGATCAAAGACCAAGAGAAATAGAAAGTAAATAGAAAATGTCACACGATACAGATACACTCCCAATTGTAATAGCAAAGAAAGAAAGAAAAACCGTCTGTGCTTCTAAACCCCGCACGCAGCAAGAACGCTAGGCTTTATGAGAAATTTATAAAAAAGTCATTAATACAAGTCATCATTTTGAGATCTGCTTGATCCTGCAGGTCCAGCCAGCGGTGCCCTGGTCCAAGAGCGGCAGCGAGGCACCCAAGCACCAGCCGAGCTCGTTGCCCTTGAGCTTCTTTGCGATCTTGACCTCGCGATCGAGAGGGATGTCGTAGCCCGCGTGGAGCATGGCGACCATGAAGTTGAGGTCGAGGCACCACTCGGGTCTGTCGCCGAGCTCCTCGAGAGCGCCGGGGATGGCGCTGAAGGCGTCCCAGCTGGACTGGCCCTGGCAGACGCGGGAGGTGAGGTCGCGGAGCTCGGTGAGGGAGAAGCTGTGGGGCATGCCGAGAGGGTAGGTACGGTCGTAGAAGTAGGAGAAGATGTAGATGTCCTCCTTTGCGAACGTCTTTGAGAGCGAGGGCTGGTGGACACCGTTGAACGAGCAAGGCGGGACGGCGCACTCTGCTTCCTTCTGCAGGATCTGCTCGGTGAGGAAGCGGCACTGCGACGCAGAGGGGACCGAGGGACCGGTCATGTTGACCTTCACGAGCGTGTCCTTCGAGATCTCGACCTCGACCTCGCGCAGCATGTTGGGCGGCAGGCACGGGTTGACGACGGTCTTGGGGACGGTCTCCTTGTTTGCGGCGATGGCGTTCTTGAGCACGGTCGCGTGCACTTTCTTGCGCGCTTCCATGAGTCCGTAGCCGAGGTGAGAGTGCTGGTAGAGCGAAAAGTGGCGGCCGCCAAAGTCGAGGTCGTACTTGTGGTCGCCGGCGGTCATCTGCTCGGGCACGCCCGCGGACGAGACAGGGAAGGTGGGCTCGAAGACGATCTGCGTGGAGCCGCCGCCGAGGTCGAAGACGGCCGCGGTGGGCGTGTCGTCCTTTGTGCCGATGTTGCCGAGCAAGTAGTTTGTGGTGATCCAGGCGTAGACACCTTCGTCCTTGCCGTCCATGATGGAGACGCCGTCGCCAGGGACGACGGGGAACGGGTACTTTGTCTCGAGATGGGTGCGCACGGCCGCGAGGATGGTGTCGCTACGAGCAGGACCAAGCAGACGCAAGCCGGCGGTGGCCTTGACGGCAACAGGGGTGCAGGCCTTGATGTCCTCGGGAACCTCCTTCATGGCGACCGCGAGCAGGGGATCGAGCGATTCGGCAGCGCCCTGCGGGTTGTCGGGGTACGACGAGAGACCGGGCTGGGTCATCTCGAAGACCTCGCGGACGAGCTCGGGCATCTCCTGGCAGTTCTGGAACTCGTACACGTGGATGCGGGAGCCGGTGGAGCCGGCGTCGATCATGAGCGCGTACTGGGTCACGGGCTTCTTGCCGTCGTGGGAGCGCGTGCAGGTGCCGGGCGCACCACCAGCTGCGGCGGGCGCGCCGCTGCCTTTCAAGGACGATAGAGAGTGCTCTGGGGGTGGGGGTGAGGTTAGCGATGCAATTGAGTGAGCAGCGTGAGATTAGAGAAGGAGAAGGAGAAGAAGATACCTTCGACAAACTTTGAAACATTGGATGGAGGTGACAGGTAGAGCAGGAAACCAAGAAAGACGAGGAGACCAAAGACGATGGTCTTTCCCAGACGCGAGCGCAAAGCCTGGCCAAAAGAGACGGAGCCCTTGTATCTCTCGGGGCCCTTCTCGAGGAAGCTGGAGCCAAGGAAAGGAGGAGTGCTCATTCCAGAAGACGAGGCCGAGTCGGCAGGGTCAGAGCGGAAGGAGAGAAAGGAGAAGATGGTAGGACGACGACGGAAGCCGTTGTGGTCAGAATCCTGCTGTGACGGCGGAAAGGACATAGCCGAAGACCTCGCTGAACTCAACGTGTAGAAATAGAAGAGAATAAAGGGCGAGAGCAGGTAGCAGAGGAGAGGAAGTGGGAGAAGGCGGCGGTGAGGATGAAAACACGGCGACAGTGCGCGAACAAGGCGTGCGGCCTCCCTTAATCGACCACTGCTCTTCGCCTAATTTGGCGCGGCGGTACGGTGGCAAATTAGCAGCTCGGTGCAGCCATGCTCTTGGATGCCGCTGGTTGCTGAGTCTGAGTGCGGTGATGGTCGAGGCTGCTGAGATGGCAAATGTGACGGACAGAAGCTGATATGCGGTTTCGTGTATATTGCTCAGCACCACTATAGTTAGAAACAGAAACAAGCTTTATTATTTCCCCTTTCGGCGAGCACCCTGGCGACGATCAAAATGACATAATCCATGACTCAGCCAATTTACGGACGCGTGATTTAAGGTTGCTGCTGCGCGTGACACCCGCGGCCACCGCCCGCCGCGACGCGTCTTCCTTTCGACCACCGCAGACTTTTGTTTTGTACACAATTAACCTCGCCACCTGCTCGAACCCACAACACAGCGCGTGGAATCATCCAACTCCAAGCAAGTATACAACGAGCAACAAGTTGACCGAGATGACTTCAGAAGTACCCCTCTCCGCCGGCCGTCTGCGCGAGATTATCCGCACAAACTCGACCGAGCTCGCGCCGGTCGTCGTGCAGGTCCTGCAAGTCAAGACCATCGGCGGCGACAACGGCACGCCGCGGCGGTTACGGGTTATTGTTTCTGACGGCGAGAATTACATGCAAGTCATGTTCCAGACGCACTTGTCTGAAAAGCTCGAGCAGCAGCCGCTCGAGAGAGGGAGCATCATTGCCATCACGAGTTATGTCATCAGCAGTCTTGCCTCTAAGCAGCGATCGTATGTGTTTCTCATCATCTACTATCCATGAGCTACTTCTAACTTTCTTCTAGACTGATCATTGTCAGCGATCTCGATGTGCTGACGCAGTACGGCCTTCGTGAGAAACTTGGCTCGCCCGGCGCTCTCGCGCCAGATGTTGCTGACGGCAACTCCGCGGGCCAAGCTACCGGCGGCACTACTTTCTACGGCGAGACAAGGAATTCCCCTGCCGCCCCTGCTGCCCCTGTTTCTGCACCAGCTCCTTCAAAGTAAGTCACTACAATAAAAAACTAGTTGGGATATAAGAGACAGCGACTAACAGACTCTAGGAAACCCGACGTGAGCAACGCGCCTCTGTCGAAGCCCGTGAACACGATCGACGAACTGTCGCCCTACCAAAACAAATGGATGATCAAGGCGCGCGTGACGGCCAAGTCCGCGATCCGCGAGTACCACAACGCGCGCGGGGCAGGCAAGCTCTTCAACGTGAACTTTCTTGACGAGAAGGGCGAGATCCGCGCGACGGGGTTCAACAAGGCGGTCGATAACTTTTACGACCTGCTCGTCGTCGGCCAGGTGTACTACGTGTCTGGGTGCCGGGTGACGATGGCGAAGAAGCAGTTTTCAAACCTGGCGAACGAGTACGAGCTCATGTTTGAGGACTCGTCTGTGATCGAGCTGTGCGCGGACGCGGGCAGCGCGGCGATTCCGCAGGTGCGGTTCAACTTTGTCGAGTCGCTCGGGAAGGTAGCTGCGGTGGATAAGGACTCGATCGTGGACGTTGTCGCGGTCGTCAAGGAGATCCGCGACGCGCAGCAGATTGTGGCCAAGTCGACGGGCCGGCCGTTTGACAAGCGCGACGTGGTTGTTGTCGACGAGAGTAACTACTCGATCGTGCTGACGGCGTGGGGTGCGTCCGCGGTGGACTTTCCTGCGAAAGTGGGCGACGTGATTGCGGCGAAGGGCGCGAAAGTGGGGGACTTCAACGGACGGTCGCTGTCGCTGCTGCAGAGCTCGACGTTGACGGTCAACCCGGACATTCCGGAGTCGTTCAAGCTGCGCGGGTGGTACCAGTCCAGCGGGCAGTCTGCGGAGTTTATGACGATGCAGACGACTGCGGGGGCGATGACGGGGCGGCCGGAGAACTTGAAGACGATGCAGCAGGTGAAGGACGAGCAGATTGGGATGAACGACACGCCGGATTACTTTTCGGTCAAGGGCACGATCACGAATATCACTACCGACACGTTTGCGTACCCCGCTTGTCCGAAGGAAGGCTGCAACAAGAAAGTGATTGACGAAGGCGGCAGCTGGCGGTGCGAAAAGTGCAACGCAAGCTACCCGGAGCCGTCGTACCGGTACGTGCTGCGGTTCAACATCTCGGACCACACGGGGCAGCTGTGGCTGTCGTGTTTCGACGACGTCGGCCGGATCGTGATGGACATGCCGGCCGACGACCTGCACGCGCTGCGGGACTCGGACCATCTCGCGTTCCAGCGGCATGTGGAGAAACGCAGCGCGCTGATGTACACGTTCCGCGTGCGCAGTAAGGTGGACGTGTATAACAACGTGACGAGAGCGCGGCATTCGGCGATGTCGGCTACGCCGCTTGACTTTGAGAAGGAGAGCAAGACTCTGATTGATGCTCTGAGCGCCATGTCGGTGTAGGTGTTGCTGCTATGTTTTGCTTATTGATTACTTGGATTTGCTGATTTTAATTGTTATTGTTTGAATGTTTCAAGTTGACGTATAAATGCAGATATCAAAACCTATAGCTTACCCCAAATAAACCGAAGTAATTGAAACAGACGACAAGCAGAAAAAGAAGATGAAATGCCTCTTAATTTCCTGCTGCTGTTTTGCTTATTGTTTTATTTGTATTTGTGTTATTGTTAAATACATATGTATTAAGTTGAAGTATAAATAAATGCGAATATCAAAGTCTATAGTTACTCTTTAGACGACAAACGATAAAAGCAGATGAAACTGTTGCTTAATTTCCAGATGCTATATCTTGCTTATTGTTTATTATTGTTATTGTTTAAGTATATATGTATTAGTCGTATAAAATGCAAATATCAAAACCTATACTCTAAATGAAGTAATTGAAAAAAGAAGGCAGAAATGACCCAGAACGAACGACAAGCAAGAAAAGAAGATAAAATAGAAAATCATGGCATGCACATCTACAAGTCCGACCGGGTGACGTCAGGGCCGCTATAAGGCTTATCAGCCAAAAGGGTCTTGCGACCAGAGAAAGGCTCGCATGTGTCACGACCAGAAACAGGGCCGAGCTTGGGGACGACGCCGCTCTGGAGGTCTTTGAGGATGGAGACGACGCTGTCTGCGGTGAGGTCCTCGTAAAAGTCGTCGTTGACGGCAATCATGGGCGCGTTGACGCAGGCGCCGAGACACTCGACCTCGGAGATGGTAAACAGCTTGTCCTTTGTGGTCTCGCCGGGCTTGATGTTGAGGTACGAGGTGATGGCGTGCATGATTGAGTCCGAGTTGCAGAGCTGGCAGGGGGTGGTGGTGCAGACCTGGAGATGGTACTTGCCCATGGGGGTGCGGTTGTACATTGTGTAGAAGGTGGCGACCTCGTAGACGCGCATGGGAGGCATGTTTAGCATTTTCGCGACGTAGTTCATGACCGAGATCGAGGTGAAGCCGAGCTGGCGCTGGCCGAGGTCGAGGAGCGGCATCACGGCGGCCTTTTTGTACTGGCTGGGGTATTTTGCTATTATCGATTTCGCGAGCTCCTGGTTCTCGGGAGTGAATTCGAAGGGGATGGACTGGTTGTTTTCGGGAGTGTCACGGTGCTAGAATCTGTCAGTATTCGCACTTATATGAGAGGTCTAGTGAATGCAGTATAACATATGCAAGAAAACAGGAGACGTACAACAGCGAGGGCGTGGCCTGCTCGTCGGGGAACGATCTGCTGGCGACTCCGCAGAAGAGCGGCGACGTCTTGCCGGACGCCGGAGACGATGCGACGGGTGATGAAAGAGGACATTGTGTGGTGTAGAAGGAGAAGAGTATCTGGGGAAGAGCAAGAAAAGAGGAAGCCGCGAGCGGATCTGAGGCCTGGGAACGAATTTGGTTGGGCCCGTCGAGCATCATCATCTTTGCGCTTATTGGCTGACGCAACTGCATTTGTGTTGTGGGTGTTGTGGTGTAAGTGTGACAGCAGCTGTGCACATTGGGTTAGGGCTTTTGAACTCTGTTTGGTTTACAGTTTGGCGCGTCGCGTCGATCATCGATCTAACTATGACAACACTACGTGATAACTACGGATTATAGTGTAATTGATTGAAAGAGGCGACATTTTCATTACAGCAAAGCAAACAAAACAAAACAAAACATTCGGGCATCACAGAAACAAGAAACAAGAAACAAGACAGCACAGCTGCCTCACTTAATCACTTGCTAGTGTCCAGCACATATCTGCCCGCAATCTCACCCTTCTCCATCAACTCATAAACCTTCGGCAGCTCCGAAAGACCAACGATCTTAATAGGCGACTCAACCAGACCGCGCGCAAAGAAATCAAGGGCCTCGGTGGTGGTGGCGCGGTTGCCGACATAAGAACCCTTAATAGTGATGGACTTGATCACGGTCGAGAAGATCTCTGATCGGATGTAGGCGTTGGCGGGGAGACCGACGGCGACGACGGTGCCACGTGGGCGCACGTATCTGCACGACAGCTCGAACGGCTTCTCTGCGACGGCGACGTTGATGACGGCGTGGGGTCCGCCGTCGGTGACCTTGATGACCTCGGAGACAATGTCGGGCGTGGTCGCAAAGTCGATAAAGACCTCGGATCCGAGCTGCGAGGTGAGCTTGGCCTTGGCGTCGCCGGTGTCGACGCTGACGACGCGGAGACCCATGATCTTTGCGTACTGGATGCAGAGGGTGCCGAGACCGCCGCCGGCGCCGGTGATGGCGAGCCACTGGCCGGGCTTGACACCAGACTCTTTGATTGCGTTGTAGACTGTGATTCCGGCGCAGAGGATCGGGGCGACCTTTGCGAGATCGGTGCCCTTGGGGATGGGGGCGGCGTGGATGGCCTTTGCGATGGCGTACTGCTGGAACGAGCCGTCGACGGTGTAGCCGGAGAGCAGGGCGTGCGGGCAGTTGGGCTCGAATCCGAGGTTGCACATCTCGCAGGAGAGGCAGGAGCCGTTGAGCCATTTGATGCCGGCGAGGTCGCCGAGTTCAAAGTTGGTGACCTGGTCGCCTTTAGCTACGACGACACCGGCGCCTTCGTGGCCACCGACGAGGGGGAGTTTAGTGTCCTATATATCTGTGAGAAAGTGAAGGAGGAGAGGGAGAGAGAGAGAGGGGGAATACCAAAGGCCAGTCGCCCTTCCAGGCGTGGAGATCGGTGTGGCAGACGCCAGAGTACTTGACGTTGATGAGGATCTCTTCGGGGCCGGGGGTGGCGACGGGGATGTCTTTGTAGACGAGGGGGCCGCCTGATTTCTCAAAGACCTGGGTAGTAGATTAGCAGATGCATGCATTGACATTAATATTGAGATGAGAAGGGACATACGACGGCCTTCTGGGTGGAGGGGATGTTGACCATGGTAGTAGAGTAGAGTAGTAGAGTAGAGTAGTAGAGTAGTAGAGTGAGTAGATCAATTGAGGGCTGGTGATGAAGAGGAGACGGCGGGCAGTCTCTCTTTATATGCGCCCGCCGGTCTGCGACGAGGCCGAGTCTGAGTCGGGGTCGAGGACGAGCGGGAAGGCAATGCGGTGCGGCTCTGGACCGTTGACGTCAGGCGGTGGAGCCACGCCACTTTGTCCCGGTGAGTGTATATTCATAGTAAATAGTGATAGTATTGTATAGTTAGTATGAGTAGAATACTGTTAATACTCTCAACTCTCTCTAAACACGCTGTGCGGGGGAAAGCCGCAGTGCTGAAGGCGGGTGCGGGGCTTCATCGCCGTCGCGGGCGAAGGGAGTCCTGCCCCACGTTTATTGCCTGTTTAGGAACAGTTACTCGATGTGGACTTACACTCTGCACCAGAACAACCACCCAGATCAGGCTGTTCTCGGGCTTAACTGCCTGCTCTGTCTCGACCTGCTTCTGTTCTTCTTTGAGACGCGCGGAGAGGAGGAGTTCTAGACTGCGGTGCGGGGCTGTTTGCTGTCTGTTGCTGTCTGTTGCTGTGTTGCGCTGCTGCTGCTGCTGCTGCTGCTGCTCTGCTGCTCTGCTGCTCTTCTGAGGATTATCGCCGAACTGCGACAGGATCACCGAACGCCGACCCCGATGGATGAGGCCCCTCTTTACTCTGCTCTGCTTACTGTTGATGCAATGAGAATACTCTGCTATTACAGTCGAACAATCAACGAGAACGAGAATGTAGAACAATCACATAACTCATCAATCGGGATCGCCCTCAATCATGCCAATCTATATTCAAACTATCGTCATACCTCTTCTGTCCTTCCTCATCACATCTACAGCTCATCCCGGACCTTCCCCTTCCCCGGATTCACAACCACATACTCAATATACAGATCCCCGTACTTGCCCGCCTGCTGAAACCTCGGCATCCCCCGTCCCTTCACCACCTGGATCTCCCCGTTCTGCACCACCTCGCCCGCCTTGCGCATTATCGTCACGTTCTTCCCGTCCAGAAACTCAATCTCCCGCTTCCATCCTCCCTTGATCGCCTCCCGCGCGCTCAGCACCTCCACCCGAAACATATCCGCCTCCCGCCGCCGGAACCCCATGTTCTCGTCCTTCTTCTCCTCAATCTCCACATACAGATCCCCCGCCTCCCAGTCCGGGTCCTCGTCCGCCTCGTTCTCAAACACCATCCGCGCCCCCTTCGGCGTCCCCGGCTGCACTTCAATCGTGTGCGTCCGCGTCTCCTTCACCACCCGCGACCCCTTGCACACCGGACACAGATGGCTGATCACCGTCCCCGCGCCCTTGCAGCTATCGCACGGCACCTGCACCGTCTGGAACATCCCCGGCGCAAGCTGCCTTCTCACAACCCTCATCCCGCGCCCGCCACACGCTCCGCACTCATGCCGCTCGCCGTCCTCCGACCCGCTGCCTCCGCACGTATCGCATATCGTCTGCACCGGCACCGTGAACTCAAACTCCTTGCCCACGTAGATATCCTTAAGACTGACCTGCACGCGCGCCTCCATGTTTGGTCCTCTTCGCGCGCCGCGGAAATGCCCGCCGCCGCCAAAGAACCGCGAAAAGAGATCGAACGGGTCGCCGCCGTGCTGCCCGCCGCCGCCGCCGCCGCCGCCCCCTGTGCGCTGCTTCAGTCCTTCCTCGCCGTAGCGGTCAAAGATGCTGCGTTTTTCCTTGTCTTGCAGGACTTCGTATGCCTCCGCCACTTGCACAAACTTCTCCTCGGCTTCCTTGTTTCCACTATACACTTGTTAGCCTTGATTTGATGTAGATGAACAAGTTGCTGCTGCAGACACTTACGGATTCTTGTCCGGGTGGTACTTCTTACTCAGCTGGCGGTAGGCCGACTTGATCTGCTTCTCACTCGCATCTTTCGGCACCCCGAGGATCTACTATCTGTTAGCCAGTCGTAGACATACAACGCAAGCAATTAGTTCGTAACACACCTCGTAGTAATCCTGCCCTGCACACACAAGTGCCGCCAGCACGAGCACGCAGAATGCGATACAGTGTGAGATCAGCATTAGACAATTATTGCTGCTGTATGATTTTCGATCTTTGCTAGACCTTTCTGTTTCTGTATATATATCGACTAATTGCTGAACCTGACATCATTAATCCGTTAGCATTTCTCTTCATATAACCCCATCGCTCTCACACAGCCTCGTAATGAAGCAAGTGCACACCAGATCCATCTCCCTCTCACCCCCCTCCCATCAACTCCACCACTAAAGCACCCAGCAAATCTCTTCTTACCTCCTCAATTCTCTTCCGACCTCTTCAATCTCTTCAAAACCAACCAAAAATCAGTCAACCAAAAGACGACGATCGAATGTGTGCAGAGCTCTACAGGTCGTGGAATATCTGCTTCGGGCTCTTCTCTCTGCCTTGAAACTCAACACGCGTACTTTAAGGTTTCCTGCGACGTGGCATTTATCCCTTAACCTTCCTCTTCTACGACTTTCATAAAGACCCTCATTCATCATAATACTTGTTGATCATTATCCTTACTGTTACAGCGACTCTAAACCTTTCAACTCTGCCTATATATAAAAGTACACCTGACTTATTGTCTCTTGAACCCTCGTCCCTTCATGATAAGTGCATCGCTATAGAGTCTACAAAATTAGCATACATCCCCATCTCATCTCATCAATCATCATATACATACCCAAATCCCTTCGTGCCGTCTTGCACCACCGGCGGCGCTGCTCCCTTTATACGTGCTGCCGTGCTCGAAATGATTTCCGCACGAATCACTCGGCCTGTTATAAATAGTCAGCAACAATTAGCAGAAACACTAAAGAAAACCTCAAAAATACTCACCGTCTGCTAGTGCATTGTCAATCTGCGTAACAACCATATCCGCACTCGCCCGATCCAAAAACAACGTCTCCACAGTAACAGTATCGCCATCCACAAACGTCTCGCAGATCTCGACCTCCGCCCCAAGTTTATCCAGAAACGCGCCAATATCGTCCGTCGTCGTTCCCGACGCCAGATTCGTAATCTTCATAAACGCCTTCCCGCTCAATCCCCGAATATCAAACGTCCGGTTCACTGACGCCTTTGGCCTGCTCCCGCCAAATCCCTTGATGCCCACCGAGTTTAGCGGGGCTGATGGCGCCTGCTGCTGCTGCTGCTGCTGCTGCGCGGGCTTGGCCGTTTGTGCTGGCTTTGCCGGTGTCGGCTTTGTCTGTGCCGGTTTTGATTTTTGCAACTTTGACCGATCGCCCTGTAAAGCAGCAAACAGCGGGTTGGACGCCAGCTGATGTGAAATTGTCTTTTTCCGTGACGCCGCAGATGCATTGCTAGCATTTGCAGCAGGCTGCGCTGTCGTAAGCTGCTTCTTGGCTGACGAAGAGCCGCCTACTTTTCCTATCCGTTGCGCAAACGCGTTGGCAGCCAACGGGTCTGGCTTTTGTTGGAAACCGGGTCTGCTGCGATTCTTGTATGACGGACCGGTGGGCGGGCCTCCGCTCTGCAGCCGGTAGAAATCGTGGTTCCATGCTTGATCCCCTGCTGGTGCGCGAACTTCGCTGGAGAATCCCTGTTGTACTGTGAGAATCTTGCACACAAAATAAAAGCAAACAAAGATAACCACCACTTACTCCTCTGCCTCTTCCCCTTCCGTGTCTTCCGGGTTTACCTCTGAACCCTCCTCGTCCGTTTAAGCCGCCTGTAGGTACAGAGTTAGACACTCATCAACCGATCCGGATCACCCACGAGACGCAGAGCGCATCAGATGTAGACACAAAAACGTACCGGGAGCATCGATGTCCATTGAACTCATATTGTGCTGTATGTGCTATGTGTGAGATATAGCGGATATCGTTGCAAGAATCGAAGCCTGCTTGTCTTTTCGCACGGGCGAGATTGTAAAAGTACTGCGAGTCGAGTGAAGGTATCCGAGACGCACAGAATCAAACAGAATCTCAACAAACAAGCCAACAGACTAAACTTCAGACACGCGGTGATTGCAATTCAAACGAGCTTTGATTCTGTTGACTGTCGACGATGACTCTCTTCCCTTCTCCGACCAGAGGCTGGCACAAACAACGGTCTGACAGTCACATGACACGTCACATGACCAGCCGCGCATCCGTGTAATTAATCACATGACCAGTCACATGACTATTATACATAGTTACGTAATATTACCAAGCGTGACTGATTGCTGATAATTGCTGATTAGACCGCAGATCGGCTTCTTTAGCTGTTTTCTGATATTCGATAATCATTTATAATTCTTTTTAATCATCTTCTTTTGTTCTTCTCGCACTTTCTGCACTTTCGATTGTTTGTCTATAAAAGGCCCTCGTCGTTTCATGAAGTCGGTCTTTCTTCTTTTCTTGCTACCGCTAATCATCGCCTTTGTGATTGTCAACTACCCCGACTTTCTCAATCTCTTAAAGTCACACTTCACCTCCTCCACCACGAACTCCACCACCATTACCAACCCCATCACCACCTACACCTCTCCCGACATGTCGCTCTCGCAAATCGTCAAACCCCGTTCGCTCGCCAAGCTCTTCCTCGCCATCGAGCAGGCCGAGGGCCAGGGTGCTAAAGTGCGCCGCTCCGTCGGCACCGCTAAGCTCCGCAACTTCTCTCCCTTCCTCCTCCTCGACCACTTCTCCGTCGGGCCCAAGGCCGGCTTCCCCGACCACCCGCACAGAGGCCAGGAGACAATCACCTACCTCCTCCACGGCCAGGTCGACCACGAGGACTTCACCGGCAGCGCCGGCACCATCGACGAAGGCGATCTCCAGTTCATGACCGCCGGCAAGGGTATCATGCACGCCGAGATGCCCCGTCCGCAAAAGGACGGCACCAACGTCGTCGGTCTCCAGCTCTGGGTCGATCTCCCCGAGCGTCTCAAGAGCGTCGAGCCCCGCTACCGCGACCTGCGCAAGGGCGAGATCCCCATCGTCGAGCCTAACGACAAGCTCTCCATCAAGGTTATCTCCGGCGAGTCCTACGGCGTCAAGAGCGTCCAGGACCTCGCCTACACCCCCGTCTGGATGCTCGACGTCACCATCAAGCCCGGCGGATTCATCAGCCAGTCTCTGCCCACTGACTTCAACGCTTTCGCCTACGTCCTCGAAGGCGAGGCCATGATCGGCACCACCAAGATCCCGCAGTACCACAACGCCGTCTTTGCCCGTGACGGCGACGGCGTCGAGATCTCGGTCCCTGAAGAGTTCTCGAGTGATGTCCGCGTTGTCATCGTCGGCGGACAGGTCCTCGACCAGCCCATCATCCAGTACGGACCTTTCGTCGCTGTCTCAAAGGACAAGATCTACGAGGCCGTCATGGACTTTCAGGCTGCTTCTAACGGCTTCGAGCGTGCTCGCGGCTGGGAAAGCAAGATCGGAAAGATGATCAGATCGTAATCACGGTTGACTTAGCCTGGTGCAAACAGTAAAAATGATTATGTTTGAAATTTTGCAGATTTGTGGTGTTATTTTTTTTTTGTATTCTCTGTTATGCTCTTATGTCTCTGCATCCGGGTATAAATTTTCCTTTCGGTATAATTTGTTTTTATTAAAGTAATGAATAAGCAGTCTGCCGGTAATAGAAACAGCTGCGTTTTGTAACAATTGAATAAATACAATAACCTCTTATTTTCAACCAAAAGCAGAGTTTCCATGTAATCCCGACATGGCTTGCGAAAGCTTATACCATCCAACTCCCATCAGTCCTCCTCTCATCGTCATTCTCGATAACTTCACTACACCAAACACAACCGAACAATGCCGCCGCTTCCATCTAGTTTCGACGCATACGATGCGGAAGAGTGAGTATTTTTTCCGTATTAGTTCTGATGTCTGGGTTGTGGAGATCTTGAGGACGTCGTTTGAGAAACATATGCTGATGCCGAATCTCATCTCATCAGCCGAGCGAAGAAACTCACAGGCTTCCAAAAGCTCTGGTATAAATGCAAAGAGCAGCCACTCGTACCGCTCGGTAACTCCTCCTATTTCATTTCCGCGCACAGAGAAAATTCTAGTTGAAAACTGACAAGAACCCAGGCGTCTTCGCGACCATCTTCGCGTTGACAAAGTCCGCGCTGTCACTCAAAGCAGGCAACTCGCGAAAGGCGAATAAATTCTTCACCGCGCGTGTCGTGGCCCAGGGCTTCACCCTCGTCGCGCTCGTGGGTGGGTCGGCGTATATGAACAGTAAGGATAGCAAGACGCAGGCTGAAATTGATGCCGAGAAGGCTGCGAGAAGAAAGGTTTGTGCTGGGTCCTGTATTTCTCCTGGGGTTGGTTTCTTCTGACTAATTTGTGATTATAGAAATTGTGGCTTGAGGAGCTCGAGCGGAGAGCTGGCACTTCAAAGAGCTAGAGGATGCTGAATCATTATGTTGAATGTTTAGGGGACTCTGTGGTTTTGGTTGCACTCTGTGGCTTTATTTTCCATCATTTCATATCATACATTCTACTTGGAAGCCCACCTTGTATATATTCTAAATAATGAAAAAAAAGTTCAAATCGTCTACTTTGATGTATCAGAAAGGCTACCCAGTCTTTAACCGCTTCGTATACGTCTCCTGCACAGCTTCCAAGATCGCTCCCCGCGACAAACACCAGTCTACATGCTGATTCAGCGCCGAAGGCTCCCCCGAGACTAAATTCCCGCACACCGGACAAGCCACTTGCTCCGCCGCCGGTCCTCCTTCGTCCTTGATTCTGTCGTCGGTGGGCGTGGGATCGGGGACAGGTGGAGGCGGGGTAAGTGGGCTGGTGGGATCTGTGGGAGCTTCTGATGAAAAGTCCGGTTGCGAGCTACTGCTCCTCTTTCTGCTGCTGCTACCGGCAGAAGACTCGGTCGGAGCAGAGGGTAGATTGGCGGCCGTATGCGCTTTTGACCAGCTTCTGTAGTTGGGACCGCTATCCCCCTGCGAGTGAATCATAAACCCCAAATCTTCTTCGATATCCTCAGCAGCAGCGTCCGTCTCCTCCGCGCCACCTGACCCGCCAGAAGTATCCGCGAGTACCTGCGTACTCCGCCTACTCCCCTTCAAAAACGTCTTCATCGGACCCTCGACGCTCAGATCGACCAGCTCAGTAAGTCGCAGCCCAATCAGCCTGATCGTGATCGGCATCTCCTTCTCCAACATCTGCACGCCGTACTTATACAGATCTTCCGCCGAATTAATCGGTTTCGCCACCGGTCTCTGCCGCGACAGCGCCTCGTACGTGTGTTTTTTCATCTTGAGTCCAAGCTTGCGGCCCGCGATATTCAGACGCTTGCAGTCCTTTTCGAGGTCGGTGGCCACCTGCCACAGTTTCTGCTTGATCTCAGACGGACTCGAGAGGTCGCGGAAGGTGGTTTCGCAACTGATTGACTTGCGTTCGTATTGCTCGATCGGTTTGATGACTGTTGATCCCAGACCGAGGTAGCAGTCGAGTAGAAAAGAGAGGTTGATGTCGCTGAAAAGCTCGTGAAGCAACGGCGCTTTCTCGTATATATCACCGCACTTGATCACGCCGACTGCGTTTAGCTGGCGTTCAAGTACATATCCCACACCGGTCACCTTTCGAACTTCAAGCGTCCGCATAAACTCCATCACGCTCTCTCTGTCGTTTGCAATCACAAACTGCCCGTTCGGCTTGTTCATATTCGACGCTATCTTCGCCACTCGCGAGTTAGGCCCGATCCCGGCGCTGACTGTTAACTGTGTCTCTCTATACACTCGATCGCGTATCTCCTGAACGACGAGCTCTCTGTCTTTGCCAACTCGTTGGCAGTATTCTGTGATGTTCAGATATGCCTCGTCCAAGGTCATTGCGCAGATATTCGGGTCATATTCCGAAAGAATAGCCTTGATCGCGTTCGATTTTGCTATATATTTCGGAAAATTCAGAGGCAAGACAATCAGCTGCGGACAGATCTTGCGGGCCACAAACTCAGCCATCGCCGATCTCACGCCGAATTTCCGCGCCTCGTAGTTGCATGTGCACAGCACGCCGTTGCCGACCGCGAACGGCTTCTCTTTCAGTTCTGGGAAATCTAGTTCCTCGACACTGGCGTAGAACGCATCGCAGTCAATGTGCACGATCGTTTGGTCTAGGATCCTTGTGGATTCCAATTTATTGACCAACGCATCCACGAGCACTTTTGCCGCTGCTAAATCCTGCTTGCTGACCTTCTCGGCTTGCTTCAGAATCGCCTCAACCTTCTTTGTCAACTCTTTCTCTTTCTGCTTCTGGTGCTCGAAATATTTACTCCCAGCAGACGCCTGGTATATAATATCACTAACAGCAACCTGATCGACACCATCCTGCCCAGACTTTTGCAACGACGGCCCCAGCAACCGATGATGCAGCTCGCCCTCTCCTCCTGACCTCCCTGGATTCTCTGAATTCGTCCGCGACCGCGACTCAAACGGCGCAGACTCAGACCGCGCCCGGGGTAGCAGTTCGAGCTGCACAGATGTTGTCCGCGAGCGCGCTGGTGGCGGCGACGGCGGCCGCGCCCGCTCGCTCTCTGTCTTGTTTCCAACCGTGGCCATGCGGATAGACGTCCAAATAGACCCTCGTTCACAGCATTATCGAATGAAGCGTGCTGCCAACCTCAATTCTTCTCTTCAGCGTATATATCCAACCAAACAAATACAAACGTCATATCCTCCGTGCCCGAGTCATTGTTTTCGCCCACAACGCGTGCTAAGGTTTTACTTCACGTGACATAAACGCGTGGGACTTTAGAGTTTACCCGGCCCAGACACGCAATTAAGCAATCGCTCGGATCTCTAATTTTTTCAGCTGGCACAAGGACCGGATATTTGTAATATAAGCAGATGCTGCCGCTGGGGTGGTTCTGCTGAGTTGTACGTGCTTCGATTTACGTGTCATATTGTTTGAACTTGTGGATTATTGAAACTGTTTGCTGTTTACCTTGAGTGTGCGAGACATGGCTACTAGCGAAGAGGAAGTTGCTCGCCTGAGGGCTGAGCTGGCTCACAAGAACGAGGTAGGCGATTTCTATCTCGATGTTCTAGATCGGTGGCGGGGATGAGAAGGAGAAAGTATTAACGGATGACATACAGCTTATTGAAGCGTACCAGGGAGGATACACTGCTTTGAATCGGCATTACACGTGTGCGGTCTGCGATAACCTGATGTTTGAGCCTTGTGTAATCTCATGTGGTCACTCGTTCTGCTACTCGGTATGTTGCTGCTTGTTGCTGAGGATAGGAGAGGGTAGTTTGCTGACGGCTGTGGTGGTATTGTAGTGTTTGCTTGAGTGGTTTAAGAGACGAAAGTCGTGTCCGACGTGTAGAACGAAGGTTGAATTGAAGCCCACGATTTCCATTCAAGTATGCTCACCTCACTTTCTTCCTCGCTCGTTTTCCGCTTACACTTCCCACACAGATCAAAGAAAGCGTTTTTCTTTTAACAGAGAAGCGTGAGCTATTCGACCCTACAGAAGACAAAGAAGAAGTCATAAAGAGACGGAAGGAGGAGAATGATCTAGTGGCCGCGCATAAGCGCGACCACGGCGATATTTTCCCAGATATGTTTACGACGCCCGTCACTGATTTCCTTGTTGACAACGAAGACGGCGTGAGACGGTGTATCCGCTGTCATTGGGAGGTATGTCGTCCTGCAGACTTGCTGGTGATAGAAACATGCTAATCTCTCCATCTCCGCGTTTAGCTTCTCGGAGACTATTGCAGGCAATGCGGGAACTGGATGTCGGGAGACTACGCAGGGTCAGATTTCGACAGCGAAGAGGATGACGAGAGTTCCCTCGGCGACGAAGCAGAAGCTCGGCACCACAGACGGGCGGTTTTCGATATGCTCGCGCGCGCCGTGACCGCCGATGACGCGATAACCATCGACAGCGACGACGACGACCCGAGTTGGTTTTCGGAAGAAGACGACGGCGGGGAGGTTGATCGGATGACGGGCAGAGCTCATGTTGATATCACGCCCGAGCACTTTCTGGCCATGCAGGATGGGCAGCGGGTGCAGTTTCTTGATCTGGATGATGATGATTCGCAGGATGGGTTTTCGGATGAGGAAGACGCGAGACCGTACGGGGCTGGTGTTTATGGAAGACGTATTGGTAAGTGAACTTTTTCAGATGCTGATTTGTGTCTTCATTCACTAACGCGAGTTGTGTTTTAGATATAGGTCGTCGCAGATTACTAGGCGATGACCCTTCCGAAGACGAAGAAGACGAGGAAGAAGACGAGGAAGATCTCGCGTTCATCGACGACCGCGACCCCGAGCAACTAAGCGAAGACGACGACAGCAACCAAGCAACCTTCTTCGACGACGAACCGAGTGACCACGGCGGCAGCCCGAGCTCGGTGTCGTCGGAGGTTGAGGAGGTTGCTGCCGGTGGGAGCTCGGCCGCGGAATTGGAGCGGAACCGGGCGGTTTTGCCGAGACGACGGCCGGTTGTGAAGCAGTCTGCTGGTCCGGCTAAGAGGACTGAGTTGGTTGATATATTTAGTGATGATAGCGAGGGAGAGGAGGATGGCGATGGAGAGGAGACTAATAATGATCACAATATCGAGGTTCAGAAAGATGGAGCGGACAAAGTTGATGTGAGCGGCTCTAGCGATGACAGTGCTGATGAAGATCAGGATGAGCAAGAGAAGGATGAAGACGAAGCCAGATTCAGCTTCCAAGAAATCCCCGCAGAGAGCTCCTCGGCCGCTCCCAATCGCAAGAGACCACGAGAAGCCGACGACGGCGACGCTCATCAATCACGATCCGCCCGGCGCGCTCAGCGAAGGAGGCGGCTCGAACAGCACCGTGCGCGGAGAGCAAACAGGAATAACCGCGCAAACCGATAACGCAGTATGAAAGCTTTGCTCGCTCGCATCCATGGTTGTACATATTCATTTTGGTGTAGGGAGGGGGAATGTAGAGTGCATGCACTCAAAGATTATTAGGTAGATATTGGGAATAGCAAAAGAATACTTCAGATGAAAGTGCTCAGTTAAATAAGATGAATAAATACAGATTCAAATGCATTCATCGCGTGTTCAACGCGCTCTTTTCACAATCTAACCACATCCCCATAGAAAAATTAAAGATATTCAATATATGGACAAAAAAAAACGCCTAAACAGATAAATTTTGTAAGAAGGGAGAGGAGTAGATAATTAAAAGGAGCGACACCCAAAGACCAACGAAACCCCGAAACAGTATTATACAAAAGAAAAATGAAAGAAAGTGTGATCTCAATGACGAGTAAGTGAGGTTCTAGCGTGCATTGTCGTTTGTTTTCAAAGATGGCGAGGAGGGGAGGGCGGGATAGTACAAGGGTTTTGACTAGCTGGTAGGCAAAAGTGATGATGAGGAGATGAAGTCCTTCACCACTTGGCTTCCGGCAAAGACGGGGTTTAGCACGATGCAGGATAAGAAGAATTCTAAACCGCGCCGCCGTTCCTCCAGAAATGCAGGTCGAAACTTCGCTATTTTTGCACAAGGTGTTAGCATATACTGACTGAAAGTCTCGCAACCTGCTCGAATAGGCAAACTCACAGATTATGCTTTTGGGTGGAAGTCCGGGAATCGCCGCTCTCAGATGAGGGAACTCTCGAAGAAGTAATTGCTGTAATGAGACGAATTCAGAGTACCTGCCGGAAAACCGTTAGAACCCTCACGCCACTATACTTGCACTGTTGCTCCATAATAAACATACCGTTTTCTGAATCGAATAGATTGAGACTATGAGAGGTAAGAGTTAATGTTAGCAGTCTGGCAACGATAATTGAGAACGTAAAAGACCTTGTAGCTTACCTCCACAGTTTCGATAACACATAGCCAAGACACATAAGCGCCGGCCTTTCCGGCACCGGCGACGATAGAGTAATCGCCGACCCAAGCTGACCGGGCCCACATCTTCCCGTTCTCTTGATTGTCGTCCATTGAGTGATCTACCAAAGTTATAGGGAGTGGGTCCACGTGGGTGAGATCGTAGGGATCTCCCGGTGAGCCTTCGATGCCTGGTGGGACGGGACTCATGAGAGGAGGTGCATCGCTCTGGTTGCGATTTGTTAGCAAGAAAGAACGGAGACAGTTCAAATCAAATAAGTAAGCAATATCGTCGTTACATTTGTGCTAATAGAGCCCAAGGACGAGACGAAAGATGCAGAAGAAGGTAAAGCGGGCGCTGTGCCCTTGAAGGTGAATGCTGTTCTCAAGTTCTCCATCATCTGGTCGCTATTGTTTTTGTTGAAAGTGTTGGCGAACGAGGAGCTGATTGTGTTGTTGAAGTTCTCAATATTCCTGTTGAACGTGTCGACGTTGAAGACATCGCGCAGCTTCGAGGCCGCGGTCTCGGAAGCAGACTTGTTGAGCACCATCGTCGATGAGCCGGGGAGTGATATGACGTCCATAGCTAGAAGGCTACGCCAGTGACAGCAGACCCAGCACCAACTCCGTAGCCGTAGTAATAAGTCGGGTAGTTTCCACTCTTCGCGGTGTGTCTATCGCCGGTGCTGAGCGAGAGCGAGGAGATATCGAGGCCGGGTGGGGAACAGAAGGTGAGGATGCTAAAGTTGGATGAACGTCGGTGTGGCGGACTTGACAATGCGGCGGCGCCTTCTCCAAGTTTGGGACCAGCCGGAAACGAATACGACCCGAGCTTGCCGATAGCCTCGCTCGGTCGAATTGCTGCTGGTTTTGTGTAGAAGATGAATGTGTTTTATTATTCTTCAATTATTATATTTTGTAAGGTATTATTCTATATATCTGGAGTATACGGAGGTTAGCGAAGCGTAGCGAGTATCGAACGCCTCGGGTTGATGAACGGGTTCGGCTACCAACTAATCTGGAATCTCCGCTAAGTGGACCCTTGATTTTGGCCAGCAAGACATGCGACTGCTACCGCCAGCCCACCCTCTCTTGATCAGAGAGTCTTGGGTCCATCTTGCTGCTACTGTAAAGTTCTACTTCTGCTTTGGCGTACAAGAACAAGCTATGTGCACCCGTCTATCATCAGTATCAACTCAGTGGCTCGCGCACGGTGTAAAGAAAGCACACACAAATTCCCATGCCAATCTACAACTCCAACCATCTCAGGGTGTTTGATATTCACACTTGTTCATGTTCATCTACAATCGTATTGCTGCTGGCATATACATACTCATACATCTCCGCCAATGCTGCTCATGGCATATACCAATCCCGAGCAAACCCCCAACCTCTCTCTACTCATCAATGCCACCGCACTGCTCCCATCCGCCCTTCAAGTTCTCCTTCCAGAGCGTGATCTTGTTGTCTCCGCAGCTGACTGCTAGAACGTTTCCGGAAAGGGACCAGCTCACTCTCCACACTGTGTCAGGGAATGGCTCTGAAGAGAGCACAGTCTTCTTCCAGGGTCCATCGCTCCGGTCCTGCGTCCATATAAGAACTGTGCGGTCCTCGGACGCGCTCGCGAGATACGACTTTGGCAGAACGGAGGGCGCCCAAGCAAGGTCGCGGACCCAGTCAGAGTGTCCCTCGAGCACGACCTCGGAGGTGTATGTGTTTGTGGCGGAATCGAGGCTCCAGATCTTTATCAGCGAATCCGAGCCAGCGCTTGCAAACCGTCGCAAGGAGCCGCTGTTAGTCGCCCACACGGCCGCGTAGACGGCTCCCGCGTGCGCAGGGACAGAGATCGCGGTCGTGTTTCCGTCGTCGTTGAACTCAACGACCGATACACTTCCGTCAGACGAACCGCACACAAGGACCGCACCAATATCGGGAGGCGACCATTGCACGCTGTTGACGGATTCGGTGTGGACTGAGTGCGTCGCGATGTTGCTCCATGTCTTGGTCGTCTGGTCTTCACGCCAGATAATCACTTTGCCATCGAACGAGCTCGACGCGAGAATAACGCCGAATTTGGGGTGCGCCCAACTGACTTGCCATACTGGTCCCTCATGTCTGTAATTATGCTTTGCGTTAGGTCTTCATCGATTGATTGAGAGGAGTTGTAGTTCAAAATAACAGATAGGTGACTTACCCCGTTAGAGTCGCGACAAGCTTGTGAGAATCACCCTCGATTTCAAAGATCTTGATAGTTCCATCAGAAGAGCACGTCGCCAGACGCTTGCCGTAGTAATCTAGAACCGCATCGTGCTAATTGACAGCGTTAGCTTCTGTTGATTGCTTGGACCTCCAACATCGAGTGCACCAATCCTGAGCACGGATGGCACGACTTGAGAACAACTTACAATTGCATCATTGTGCAAACCACCTATCGTAGTCTAAAACCACAACACGCAAGCTGTCAGCATGATTGAACAACAAGAAAATAGTGGCCATCGAGATGGAATTTGAGTAGATCAAGAGACGACCACAGGCCTTCAGATCGCAATATCCTCCCTTCATACTCGCAACCACCAACGCAATCATCCACGCAATTTCCACAATATACATACCATGACTATCTAGTCAGAAAATAAGATCCGATGATTGATTGGACCTTGTAAAACTGCAATCGTCGGCGGACGGATAGATATGGATCTGTCTCTGGCTTGAGCTCGCGAGGCCACGTTAGGCGGCGCGATACAGTGTGAGTGTTATGCAGTTATGCCATAAGCTCTACCTCTACGTATCGCTGGCCAGCGTCGTATCTGATGGAATTACTGTCGATTTGGCGTTCGAGCAAAACATGTATATTTACGGGAAGAAAAGATTAGTACTGTTCTAGGTAAGGCTCTTCTGTCTATATAATGACGTGAAATTCTCAATGGCCGGAAAAGAATGATCTTTCTCAAGATGTGGCTCATCAACTAGCCATGTTCTGAATTACGAGAAATACTATCATAATTGATTAGAAACTAGCTAAATTAAAACATACGTATCATATACCACACTTCAAAATCTCCAGCATATTAAACTTGGCCATTAAAAATTAAAAATCTGGCAGCGACGACTTGAAACATCAAAACCTCCAGGGCTCACATCTACGAGAATTCACCAGGCGCCAAACCAAAGTATCCCACCTCTGGGATCTCGTACAGCGCAGTCGTCGTGCCGTCGATACCAGCTGAGCTGACAGTGTTACCCCACCAGTTGAGCTCGGTCTTTGTATAATCCAGCGCGCCAAAGATGACGATTGCAGAAAAGGCCGTGCCGGTAGTCAGTGCGGAGGTGATGATGAAGTTGTACTTTGTCCACCAGGCTAGATATCTGCTCTTGATGTAGTTCATGAAAAACCAGTTGAAGTAGACGCCGGGAATGATGTAGCTGAGGTTATATCCGTATCCCCAGAAATTGTTAATACCCGACATCATAACGACCGGATGAACGTAGCGCAGCTGCTTGGGGAACTTTGTTCGCAGGCCGTAGAAGATGAAGCCTAGCAGAGCACCGACAAGGAAGCAGTACTTGAGACCCGGGTAGAGCGTGTTGAGCACACGGTCGGGGCCGACAGCGCCAAACATGGTAACCGAGTTAAACATACTGCCCTCGTTCGGGCAGACGAATTTGTTGGCCTGGGTGGGCGTGCAAAGGCCATCGACGGTCTTCATGAGCGCCATGACGGCACCGTTTGTGACCAACACGTTGACCATGGTCGACACCATCTGTCCTCTAAACACTGCGCGGGGAGGCAGCTTGGCGTAGTGTCCAAGCTTGAGATCAGAAACGAATGTCTCTGCCTGCTCGTCGTTGTTGTATCCGTAAAATCGGGCCATCATGACACCGACGACGCCGGGAACCATGTAACCTCCGATGATTGCCATCAGATCGTTCATGACGAGCTGGTATCCAGACACGGAAAAGACAACTGCCGATGGGATCAGAAGCGCAGCAGAGATGAAGAAGACAACAAAAATCATCCAGACGCCGACATTAATGGGATAGACCTCAAAGCAGATGATTCCCATGACCAGCGACGCAACGAGGACAGCCAGATACCACCAACTGGGCACCTCAGGATACACGCGCATCATACGAGACATCGGGTCGTCGAAATCGTCGATATCTCTGGTCTTGCCAGAGCTCTTGATGTTCTTGACCATACCCTTGAATGTCTGCCAGAGAATCTTCCAGTCAGACAGGAAGATAAACACAAACGAGAGCGTGTACTGGCAGAACGCGGCGCCCTGGCGCAGCAGACTGCCGGCAGTATAGTAGGCAGGGGAGTAGGATTTGTACTTTTCGAGGTCGAATTTGTTGTTGGTCAGGACGCGCGACACGTTGAATCTGGAGCCGTCGTTTGCCCGCAAGCCGGACGAGTTGATGGGCATGTAACCCGTGTACTTGTAGTTTCTCCAGTACAACGCAATCATTAACAGACCGCCAAACAGGGTTCCGACAAAGAAGTTCATCTGAGAGAAGAACGGCGTGACCAAGGGAGTGGAGTAGTTAATCACAGCCCAGTCAAAAGTAGGGATCGGGTTGATACCCGCGCCAAGAGAGGAACCAGTGATGATGGCGAGCTTCACATTGTTTGGAGCGATCCATGTCATCCAGTTGAAAGTCGATAGAGCAGTAAAGAGGTAGTCGGGGACAAAGTAATACAGGAAGGAAGCAACCATGAGAATACACAGGAGCTTGTACTTGGAGATCGTCCATCCGTTGATCGATCGCTTCTCTTCCGGAAGCATCAAAGTTCGGTTAAGCATCAAAGTAGGCATGATACTAGGCCAGACTGCCTTTTCACTGTATACAGATACTCGTCGCAGAATGCCCGCCATTCCGAATCCAAAGTAAGATGTGGAGAAGTTCATCAAAAACATGAATCCAAAGTCTGCCCATTTCTGTCCGAAATAGGTGTCTAGACTGAGCACAAGAGTGTTGTTGATGATGTTTGAGAAGCCACCGCCGCAGTTTACCATGATTGTCGCAAACATCTGCTCTTTGTAGGACCACGGGCCAGGATTGAGCGAGTAACGGGTTCCAAAGAGAGTGAAGCCCCAATCGGGAAGGACCTGAGCGAGAAACTTGCCACACGGGTAGATGAGAATTTGCAGGACGGGGGTACCAATCGAGAGCGACGGCTGACGAGGTTGGAAGAACTCGACGATGAAACTGCCAACGCCTGACCAGATAATTCCCAAAAAGTACGCACGGAGGGTCTCAACATAGGCAGTTGGGTCGTCTATCGGACTCACGACAGCGCGCACCTCGGGATATGGAGAGTAGTACTTCATGAGAGTTGCCTCGATACGAGCGTCGAGCTCAAAAGTGTCATAGTCCAGCCCACTGGCTTCCACTCCGCTGATTAGATTCTGGATCTTCTTCATCGTTCTCTCCGGGAAGTTGTAATCGTCCTGGTGGTACTGCTCTGCTTCCTTCAAGATCTCGAGAGCCATTTCAAGACTGACGTACTGCATCTTGTCGAGGATGAATTCGAGCTGCACGTCGCTCTTGAGAATATCATTGAGGTCGGAAGATTGATCGAGATGCTCAATGACTCTTTCGCGATTGACCTCGAATGTCTCGAGTTTCTCATTGAGAGCCGTGGGGTCTACAGCCGTCGTTGTCTCAACGGCCGGGGCCTTCTTCTCTGTAATGTCATCCATCCTGAACGGCGGAGTTAGTATGTATATCTCCTGCACGGCAAGACAGAAGCTCATACTGAGTACTTACGTCAGGTCAAGATCGTATGCTATGATGACTCGGAAACGCCTGAACTAGCAATATCAGTCAATTGCCGACAAGAACGAGGACTCAGGGGACCTGGAGGAGTCAGAGAGGTCATATGTAGATGAGTCTAAGGGGCACGGCTGATAAGAAACTCGTGTTGATCGTAAACCCCGTTATCAGCTTATCTTGGTTGGTCATTAGTGTGGCGCCCTTTGATCAAGTGACAATGCTCCTGTCCGGCAGCTGTCAAGCCTTGTCGAGACATGTACCGTCAGAATACGCATCGTCATGTCCAAACAGAGTTATCAATGAGCCATAGGCTCTGCAAAGCCCATGGAGAGAGCAGCAATTGCTGTCTGCTCGACACGAAGCTACGCAAGACATGACAGGCGACCCCACCGCTGCAAGCACCAACTGCTAATCTCTCCCCGGTGGTCGGTGACAACGTCGCCGGGACCTCGTGGACCCTGCGCGCGGAAGGGCACTTTCTGATGCAGCCGAGCAAAGGGAGCGAACCCTAACCGGTCCTACCCGTAAGAGCTTAGAACGGACCCCCACAAAGACTGCCGAAGGAGTTGTCTGATTGATGGCGAGTAGAGGTTTTAATACCAGCAGCTATCGGGCACGTGTGGGAGGATTCAGAGTCAGAAGACTCGTCGTCGTCTGTTCGCAATGATAAGAGAGGCTCAGGGGCTGGCTGGCTTCCGGCACTTATATTATCGACCGGGACCGCGATTGTACCCGCCTGGCGGCTGAGTGGGGAGCCAGCGCTTTATCGGCCTCACTCTGACCTGGCCAGTGGAGCGCTCTGCATATCGAGCGAATCAGAAGGCTTGTCAGTGGCCGTGTGCAGATGGCCCGAGCCGAGATCCTTGAAAGCGTCGAGGTCTTCAACGACGGAGTCCCCGAGGTGACAGCCTGAGCTGGTCCATGACAGGCACTTGATAGCGTAGCCGTTCAAGCGGGATGCACTGACAGACACAGCTGATGACAGTCTGGTTGAGGGCCAAGCCATGCCAAACCGGTGTAAGGTTTCTTTGCTACCGGCCCTCAGTTAGGCTTTGACGTACACTGCTTTGCAGATGCTTATCGACTATTTATCAACAACACGCGATGCTGTTATCCTCATCGATTCATTCAATCCAGCCGTTTCGGGACTGTGCTCTAGACAATTCCTTCTGAGCCGTAGTCCGACGAGCGTTTCATATGAATTTATATCAAGGCTGTCATCCTCGGCTCGTTTGCTGTTCGGAGAATCGATAGTAAACTCAATTCCTATCAGCGATTATACGCAGAGACTGTGCAAAGCTGCGGCTAGGATGGAGGGTATGCTGAGGATTATTGTTATAGTTGATAAAGACCATCTCGGAGTCTTCAGGGGCATTGAGGACTTACCCCAGGGACGGACTAGCGTGCCTGACGAGCTACAAGAGCGTTCCCCGGATTGTGCCCATAACTACACTAAGCATGGCTAACTGATGCTCCGAGCCTTCCAACACAAATCGAGCTTGCTGTGCTCAATGAGAATGCTATAAATCACAAGAATTCAGCACTTACGCCGAATGTGCTCCCTCTGCGTGGTTCCAGACATCCAAGAGCACTCTAGAGCCTCGTTCATGAATACCCACTGGCTACACAGATGCATCGGTTCCGTGTGGAGCACACAAAGAGACTGAACGAGACCGCTAAAAACAGTGGCATACAATGCTAAGCATGCTGAGCATGCAGCCTCTACGCACAGATGCACCCCGATATTCCCTCGTTTTGAACGCAGGAAATCTGCTCGGTAGCTGGTAGCTCTATTCTCGTGATACATCAGACGACGGCTCTGTTCAGATACTAATGAAGGTATGATTCTCATGTAAAGAGTGCTGGAAATAACAATCAGCCTTGTTTGCACGGCTGCTGCTGTGAATGACAGCCTAGAACCCCGGTCGGCGAGCACAGGCACCAGGCACAACGCGCGTCGTCGACGCTATGGTATTCTGAGAGGGAGTCTCCAATTGCATGAAATAAATAAACGCAGTAGCAAACAGTCCGTCATTATCTTCACATAGCTGTTTGCAATTCGGAATATACTGATTTTGTGATTTTAGTAGATTCTGTTGATGAAGTAATGTCGATATCAGAGAGCGGGAATTTCGCCAAAGGGATTTATTTGTTCCAAGCGAAGGTGCTCACGACCTCGAAACCACGCCCGACAGCAATACCCACATCTGCTGCTCGAATATCTACGTAATTAACCATCCTCCTGTAAAAGCATTCAAACACATTCTGTAAAGAGCGAGACCGGTCGTGGATTTATATCTGCCGCGTTCTGGACTGGATGCGGGAAAACGGCAGAGAAGCAGCGCGGTGGCAACCAAAAACTTTCTTTTTCTTTCTCCGCCAAAAACGAGTCCATCGCTGCTCACTGAACTCTGGCTCGCGATTCTGTAACTGTTCTCGGTGGATTTCGACATTTCACGACTCACAGGATCCTGTGTTCGATTCGATTTACGGTATACGGACTATTGGCCCTCACATCAACACAGTTTTCACCATTCAACTCCAACCGACTGTTATCCACGATAAGAAGCGTGTTATGCGATCATCGCACTGTCAGCTATCGCCCTCGACTGATATCTCGTTCCCGAAGCCACTCGACTAGTAGGCAATTCAGCCTGAAGCAGGCTGTGATTATTTCTATTTTTGTGTGTGGCATCTTCATCGAATAAGGAATCCATCTGGTCTGGTCTGGAGATTTAGTCTGCGGGGAGAGTAGAAACGCAGAAGTGCGCAATTTAGCTATATCAGAGGTGAGTCGTCTTTGCTCGAGTTAGCGGGATAAGGAGGCAAGGAGACGGTGGAATGTCTTTTCCAACACGTCCCGTCGTCTTCTACGCTGCTTGCTCTCATTCTCTATCGCATCCCTTACTCACATTGATCAAATAGCGGCGAGTTCGTCCATAGCGTATTCATCTCGCTTCCGACATCGATACCTCGATCGACGAGCCTTCTGATACTAATATGTGGCGAAACCCAACCACAACAACAACCCGGGCCCCGCGATGCACTCAATACACAATTCCTGCCGGCGTGTTATTCCTGCCGTCGTCGACTACGCAGACGGTTCCTACCGGTGCGATATTTGCGCCGGCGTGTGAGACCTCGCAGAGTTCGTTGTTGGTCACGTCTATATCTGCGGATGAGCTCACCAATCCGTTTTATTCCTCAATCATTCCTATTGCATACACAGTAGCAGGCACGACTGTGCTGTCGTGGGTCCTGTTTTTACTTTTGGTGATAACGCTGCAGACGAGACCATATCTACAAAAACTGGCAACATTAACAGTAGCGATATCGCTTACGATAGCTTTGGCGGAAATCACAAACATCCTCAAGCGACAGTACGAAAACTCCTACGACGATGCAGAGGAGTTGCGGTCTTACATCGACGACGGCCTGGCGCTCAAGGTCATGCGAGTCGTCTCTGATGTCTTTCTCTGGCTAGCGCAGGTTCAGACTTTGATCAGACTGTTTCCGCGGCATAGAGAGAAGAAGATTATCAAATGGCTGGGACTGGTGCTCATTGTTATCGATACAGTTTTCTGGTCGCTAAAATCATTCCTCCCAGCAAGAGACAACGACGATTCGTTCCGCGACGCGATCCCGGCTCTCGCCTACCTATTCCAAGTCATCTTATCGGTGCTGTATTCGGCCTACGTCGTATATTACTCTGTCAACAAGCGAAGATTTGCATACCATGCCAGCAACCTCATTCTTGCGGTGATGTCACTAGTCGCAGTCATGACTCCAATCATCTTCTTTCTTCTCGATATCTCGCGGCAATACATTTCCGGCTGGGGTGACTTCGTTCGCTGGGTCGGAGCAGCAGCCGCGAGCGTGGTGGTGTGGGAATGGGTTGAGCGGATAGAGTATCTTGAGAGTAAAGAACAGGAAACCGGAGTTCTTGGTCGTCAAGTGTTTGAAGACGAGATGCTCGAAACCGGAACCAGCCGAGGCGCTCGAGCACCGCGCGACAGTCGAGTTCGAAACCGAAGACGGCGGCGGCGGCCACCACCGCCGGGCGGAGATGGAGCAGATGGGCACGATGATCGACGGCGGAGAGTGGCATCGAACGACGACGGCGCGAATGATAGCGACAGTTATAATTACCGACGCGGTAACGGCGGCGAGAACGGTAACGGTGAAACAGGCTCGAGTGCTTTCGGAGGGTCTCGTCGTGCGTCATTGGCTGGTAGTCAAATAGCAGGTACATCGGGGCGAAGAAGCCGGAACAGCGTATTGGCTCACGGCACTGGCTCAGCACCGGCGAGTTCGATGCGTTCACACTCTCCGCGGATATTGGAGAGCGGAGTGGCGGGGGATGTGTACGATGATGTTGACCTGGAAGCGGGGGCTGGTGGACGCCGGGCGTCTTCAGAGATGGACGAGGCAGCGCGGAAAGAAGGAGGCAGAAGTCTGGCTATACGACTACGATCACGGCGACGGCGGCGACATGACCACGCAGCAGGAGGAGATGGCAGTGGCGGTCAAGGCGGGGAAGGAAGTCGCAGTGAGAGTTTTGCGACGAGCGTGATGGAGCTGATTGAGTCTGGCCGGGCGTTCTTCTTTGGCGGTCGACCATCCTCGAGAGCGACGACGGGTACGAGCGCGACTAGTTATCGCGTGAATGGCGGGTCGAGTATAAATATGGAGAACAACCGGCCAGGAACGACGCCATCGCCGGCGAACGTTGGATTCAGCACGTCGAGCGAGGAGCCGCGAGTTCGACATATCCACCCGCTGAAGCGAGGACTGTCGCGGTCGATGTACTCCCATGCGCCATCGCCGCAGTCGTTTGCGCTCGGTGGTTCGCAGAGTACTGGGCCCAGTACAGGAGGGCCTTCGCCGATGCCGCCAGGGACAGCAAACACGCCAACACCGAGCGTGACTTTCCACGAAGACGTACTGAGACGGTCTCCTGCAGCTGTGGGAGGAAACTCCACGCTGACTAGTGTAACGGAGGGCGAACGGCTTTGGAGCCGTCAAGGTTTACGGAGTGCGAGCAGCGATAACGAAAGCGGCAACAACAACGCCAGGCCTGGCGAGGGAGTTAGGGGCGAAGTCAGCAATCACAATGTTGGATACGGTGGAGAAGTCAGTGATGATGACGAGTTGTACGATGACGATGACGATGATGAAGAGACGTACGACGTGGGTGGACCATCAGCGAATTCAGAAATCGTGATGAACAGTCGATCGATGCTAGCCGAGATCCGAGGAAATGCCGGAGAGGATGAGCCGCCAGCGTTCGAGCCTCTTCCGGGTTTCGACCGCGGCGACTACTGGGACGAAAAGGCCGCGGCGGAGACGCAGGAGCACACGACGAGCGGTGCCGAAGCAGCAGAGCGCTTGGCGGAATCAGAGGCAGGAGCAGGAGCAGGTCCGCGGGGCGCAAGGCGAGCGGTGCTGGAGCCGACGGAGCATGGTGTGCGGCGAGCGGTGCAGCGACTGACGGGGGCACGCGACTGGGTTGTGATGGACGAGGGCGAAGGCCGTGATGTGGAGTAGCAGAGAGCAGAGAGGCGCCGGTCCACGCGCTGAGGTTTATTTATTTATTTTCATTTATATTCATTTATTTTCGGATTCATTGTATTTGAGGATTTGTGTTTGTTTTGGATTGGTCTGGTTTCTGCTGCTTGAGGAGTATAATGGAGTCTTTATGTTTTCGTTTTGACTTTAGCGGTATATTAGAAATACAAAGCTAAAGAGATCAAGAGGAGGGTCGGGGACGCGTGAAGAGAAGTGGCGGAGGGGTTGTGGAGAGTAGGATACCGCGCAGTGCAGCAGCGACAACAACAACAACAACAACACTCAACTCACAACAACTAACAACAGCCAACAACACTCAGAAGCAGCCAACTACTCGACTGCGACCACCAACAACACTCAACAGCACCAACAATACTCAAGGATCCACTCACTGCTGGCTTCAAGAGCAGCTTTGGTACCAGAATAAACACAAACTTAACCGAGCACACCTCTGTGCAAAACTCTAAACTTTAGCATTTGCCTCCTTCGCCTCGGTGAGCCTTCATATTTGCGCACATCCCCCAAACACCCAACTCGGCCCCTCTGCGCTTTGGGATCGAGCACCCGAGCTGTTGTCTTTGTTATATCTGCTGCTCATCTGCATTCTCCCTCTTCCTCTTTTTCTCACATCTCTCTCTCTTCCTCTTTCGCAGCATGAAGCACACCCTCCTCTCCGCCGCCGTCCTCGCCGCCGCTGCTGGGGCTGCGGCTTCCCAGGTCGCTGGCACCCTGCAGTTCGACATCGGCCGCGCCAAACGCTCGACTCCCTACGAGCCCACAGTCGAGCGTATGCGCCGGAGGAACCATCTCCGCACCAGAGCCGTCGACGGCACGGTCTCGAAGGCGCTCGATAACGACTACTACCTCTACTACGCAAACGTCACCGTCGGTACCCCTGGTCAGAGCCTGCGACTCCAGATCGATACCGGCTCGTCTGACATCTGGTTCCAGTCTGGCGAGAACGAGGTCTGCCAAAAGTCCTCGGATCCGTGTGCCGACTCTGGCATCTTCGAGCCTGACGACTCGTCGACCTACAGCGTCGTGTCTAGCGACTTTAGCATCCAGTACGGCGACTACTCCTACGCCAAGGGTGTTTACGCAACAGAGACCTTCACAATCGGCAGTGCCTCCGTCACAAATCTCACTGTCGGCGTCGCGACTGACGCGAACGCTACCGATGGAATCATGGGCATCGGATACGCTGGAAACGAGGCCATCGTGGCCTCAAAAGGATCAAGCTACGAATACAACAACCTGCCTGATCTGCTGGTCTCCCAGGGGTTTATCGCCACTCGCGCCTATTCTCTCTGGCTCAACGATCAAGAAGCTTCCACCGGCTCGGTTTTGTTTGGCGGTATCGACCGCTCAAAGTTCTCTGGTGAGCTCGTCTCGCTACCGATAGACACTTACTATGGCGAGTCCTCGCCTACCGAGTTCTACGTCACCCTCGACGGCTTTGGATACACGAGCGATAGCAAAGAGACTCAGGTCTCTGACTCGCTGGACACCGCGGTCCTACTCGACTCTGGAACCTCGTTCTGCTACGTTGACTCTGAGATCGTGGCTGCGATCGCAAAGCTCACGGGCGCAGTCTACAGCAGCGATGTCGATGGATACGTGCAGACCTGCGACGTCATGAACGTCGACGCGTCGATTGACTTTTACTTTTCAAACCTCACAATCAAAGTGCCCATCGCCAACATCTTCTACCCGCTCACCGACACCGCGGGCGAAGCAATCACATTCACCTCGGGCGAGGCGGCATGCCAGCTCTCGATGATGGACAACAGCGACGTCGGAACTTCGATCTTGGGCGACACCTTCCTGCGAGCTGCTTATGTCGTCTACGATCTCGACAACGCCGTCATCGCGATGGCGCAGACAAAGTATAACGTGACTGACACCGACATTGTTGCAATCACCGGCACAATCCCTGCCTCTGCGTCTGCGACCGGGTCGGGCGCGTCGGCCGTCGTCTCGGCTTCAGCTAGCGAGACGGGTGACAGCACAAAGACGTCGTCGGTGACGGCCTCTATTATCATCAGTGGTTCTTCCAGCTCGGCGGCTAGTTCGACCGCGACCGCCAGCGGCTCCTCGACGACTGCATCAGATAGCTCCGCGACTTCGTCCTCGTCGTCATCTGACTCCACGGCCTCCGCGGGTGCCGCTAATACCTTCCTATCAGCGTCCACTGGCAGCGTAGCCACGCGGGCTATCCTTGGCTCGCTCGCAGTAGTGTTTGTGACGGTTGCAGGCGGAGTTTTAGTTTTGTAAGATTTCTCATGGCTTGATTATAGATTCGGCGGGATTTGCCAGCGATTGTTCTATAGCGATTTTGTTTCATAGTGATTATTTTCTGCTTTTGTTTGCTAAAACCTTCATGATGTAAAAGGGAGGGGAGTTTGAGTGTGTCTGTGGTGTGGTGAACAGAACTAAAAAGGTAATAATGGAATTTATTTATGCATTCTTTTGTAGATTGTTTTGAGAAAGGGATCTGCCAAGCGCACGGCTGGGTAAAACGGGGGCTTCGGAAAACTTGCTCCTAATTGAGCTGGAGCTTGGCGTGAAGAACTCTTGCCCTTTGCTATTGAGTGTACTGATGTGGATTGATTATTGTATTACTTACATATGTATCTATTTGTAAACCAGCGAGACGCCCTCGTCCGAGGCGGTGACGATGGTGTTTCCGCCATCAGCCAGCGCAAAGCCCAAAATTCCACTCGAGTGACCCGTTCCCTTCCACAGTTCCTCGCCTGTCCGGCAGTCCCATCGTCGCAGATATCCATCCATCGACGAGCTGACGAGGACCGACGAGTTTGGGACAAACTCGATCCGCGTGACTGCATCGCCGACCTCGAGCGTCCGTCGCACGCGCCACGATCCCGTGTCAAAAAGACAGATCACGCCGGCGACGAGGCCGACGGCAAGGATACCGACTGACTCGCACCATGCCATGCCCTCGACCGACTGATCGGGCTCCGACAGATCGTTCTTTCCCGTCGCTCCCAAGACATCCACGGTCGCAATCACAGACCCTGTCCGCGTGCCCACGATCGCGACCTTGCCGTCCGCCGAGCCGACGGCGACAGACGTGCCCGACGGATGCAGACTCAGATTAATCCACTGCGCCTCGTAGTGGAACTGCACCGGTGTGATTTTGTAGTTTTGTACAGCCGACGGCACGCTCCATGAGATCAAGACGCCGTCGTCGCCAACCGTGATGAGGTTGATCTCTTCCTCGTCGCCCTCGGCCGGCGCCTGCGCGGGCGGCACAAACACGCCCGCAGTGCAAACGCTGCTATGTCCGTACAGCGTACACAGAAGCTCGAGTTTCGGCGACAGCGAGTACACCCATGCGGAGCCGTCGTTGGCGCCAAACGCGAAAATTGGCAGTGTAGCATGGAACGACACCCAGGTGACTTCCTCGACCTCCTCGACAGCGTCCCAAAACTCCCACTTCTGCCCCCGCGCCCGCGCCCGCCACACGCGCACTCGGCCGTCCATGCCGCCGGTGACGAGCCACTCGCCATCGGCGGAAAATCCTCCAGCGATAAGAGAGTCGGTGTGTCCTGTTAGGGTGGTGACGAGCTTGGGAGGGACGGAGTGCGAAGTCCAGATGTATCCTAGATCGTCGCCGCCGCCGGTTACGACGAGCGGCAGTTTTGGGTGAACGCCGACCATGAAGATCGAGTCCGTGTGCTTGTCAAAGTAGGTGGTCGAGTTATTCGACATGTCTATTTCGTCGATGATCTCGCCCGGTCCGTCGTCCGCACCACCTTCACCGGCGTCGTCCTCGTCGTCGTCTTCGATGTCTGACATTGGCGCATCGCCGTCGTCGTTTGCGTCGTCCTCGACCACGTCGAACGCAGCGGATGGGTCCAGATAGGCCTCGTCCTCGTTCTCTGCTATGTCGGTGTCATTGATCAGGGCCTCGTTGGGATCCATCGTGTGTTCTGCTTCGATAAAGTCCTGCTGTATTATGGGAGAGCAGAGGGGATAAGAAGGCCAAAGTCGAATGGAAAGAGAAAAATTGGATAAGCAAACTTTAAAAAATAATAAACCTGAGCCGCACTGCGTCATCGCTTCAACGTCGCAATGGAGCTTAGAAGCAGCGAATAGCTCGGCGAGGAGCTCAGTGTATTGTTTCTGTATTTGTTCTTTATAATGAGCATTTGTTGATATCTGTAGCTTTCTTCTGCATTTATATCCTCGTCTTGCAGCGCCGTGCAGACATAAAGTAGTCACCTGTAGTATCTGTCACGTGACCTCATTAACTTGCCCTGACCCTCGCAAAGTCTACTGCTGTATCGAACTCCAGGCCCGGTATTATTGTTCGCAGCATTTCTCCTACTTTATTGAATCTGATCAATTCACGAAGAGGACTCGCAGCAAGAATGCCTTCTTCGTATGCGGTAGGAAGCACGGTGGCTATCCAGCCACTGCTGGAGAAGCTCTCGTCCGAGGACTCGGATTACCGATTCATGTCGCTTTCCGATTTGCATGGAATACTCGCAAACAAGACGGTCTCGCTCGCAAACGACTCTGTCAGCACAATCAATCGCATCATTGATGGTGTGCTCAAGAGCTTGAGTGATAACAATGCCGAAGTGCAGAACTTGGCCGTGAAATGGTGCGTTTGTCTATCGAGATCTTCCCACTCTCTCAGCTCAGCTTCTGCGAGTCCCCCGCCTGTCTCGCTACCTTCTCGATAGTAATGATCTCATGCTAACACTTATTCTTCCGGTGATTCAGTCTTGCGCCTCTAGTTTCTCGTGTCAATGAAACGCAGCTAGCAAACATTCTCAACCGACTCTCAGCCGTGGCCCCCTCCGACTCGGATCGCTCGCTCAACAGCACCGCGCTGCGCACAATCATCAGCAACGTCCCGGCCACCGCCTCGACCGGCAAAATGTTCGTCGCCCGCCTTCTGCACACCCTTCTTCCCAACCTGCGCAACTCGACCGAAAGCGTCGAGGTCCTAGTCGAGCTCGTCAACCGGTTCGGCTCCTCGCTCACCGAGGCTCAGATCGAGGAGACGCAGAACGCGCTCATCGGCGTCTTCGAGACTGGTAAAGGTCTTGTGCGCAAGCGCGCGGTCTCGGCCCTCGGTGCTTTATCGCGACACCTGCCAACGCCGCTGTGGGAAAACATGGTGCTCTATCTCACATCGTCGTTCGCGAGCTCTGCGTCTCCTGATCGACTTCGTATTCTTGTGCTAGTCTGCGGTACGCTCTGCAGAGCTGATCGTGCGCGTCTGGGCCCCTATCTGCCAAAGCTGGCGCCTAGCGTTTTCAAAGCGTTGGAGGTTGATGACGATGATCTACGAGAGGCGGCTCTCAGTGCTCTTGATACATTCGTCGTTCTTTGCCCGCTTCAAATGGCGCAGTTCAACGAAGAGGTCGTGGCCGCCGGCTCTAAATTCATCAAGTACGACCCCAACTATGCCGCCGACGAGGACGAGGAGATGGTTGATGGGGATGATGCTAGCGACTTGAGTGACGAGGACAATGAAGATGACGACGCCGGTAGTTTCGACGACGACTACGGCGACGAATTTTCCGACGACGACGACGTAAGCTGGAAACTCCGCCGTGGCGCCGCCAAGCTTCTCGCCTCTCTAATTCCGACTTTGGATCCCGAGGCGTTTGCAAAGTTCTACGGATCCGTGGCGCAGCTGCTTGTCTCGCGCTTCTCTGAGCGCGAGGATACCGTGCGCATCGAAGTGATTAGCGCGTTTGCGGTGCTCGTCAGCCAGACTGCGCGATACACCCTCCCGCGCACGTCCTCGCCGAACCCGTCGCTTCCGTTGAAGCGCAGTATAGATGATGTCGAAGACATGATTGTCGACGGCAACGACTCCTCGGCCGAGTCTGGCGGTGACCCGCGCGTCAGGCTGACCAAGCTCTCGGGACGCGTGTTTAAGCTTCTCGCGCGCCATTTGCAGAAAACGCCAAACTTGAGCACGAAGCAGGCTTGCTTGACCGTTGCCACGGAGTTGATGACCGTTCTCGCGAGCCTGCCGACTGAGTTTGGTGCGTTTGTGCCCGCGCTCGAGCAGTCGATGGCGCAGACTGCGCTGCGAATGGATGTCATTAAGTTTATCGAGACCGCTGCAGTTGCTCATGGCGCGCGCGGAATCGACGGGCTCGAGGAGTATTTGCCAAAGCTCGTTTCGATCGTACTGACGGCTGCCGACGACAAGTTCTACAAGATTGCGTCGGAAGCTCTGTTTGTTGCTAACGCGCTCGTCAAGACGCTCGCTCTGGAGAGCAGTAGTAGTCCTGCGTTTGCGCAGTGCCTGGATCAGATTCATGAGGTCGCGGTTCAAAAAGCTACAGGATCTGAGATCGATCTGGTCGTGCGCGAAAACGCGATCTTGAGCGTGGTGAGCATGATGACTCTTGCGCGCGGCTCTTTGTCTGCGTCAGAGTTTGCGACGGACTCGGCCATGCTGTTTGACCGGCTCAAGAACGAGACCACGCGACAGGTTGCCATCGGCGCGATTGAGAAAGTTTTCGAGGCGCCGAGTATCACTGTCGCGGATTTCAGCGAGGAGTGGGTGACGAACGTTGCCGGCGAGCTCGCGTCGCTGCTGCGGAAGGCGGATCGCGAGCTGCGCATGTCTGCGCTTACGACTCTCAAGGTTGTGATTGAGAAATTTGCGGCGAGTGTCTCGACCGAGACTGTGGTGTTGACTGTGAATATCCTGCTGGGAGTGTTGATGGAGGAGAATCTGCAGTTTCTGGCGCCGTCGCTCGCGATCTTGGCTACTCTTGTCCCGAGGGTCGACGTCGGACTGCAGACCGAGAACTGTAATTCGGCGATCGAGCTCGTGTCGAAGCAAATCTCTGCGTCGGCTGTGAAGCCACTGCTCTCGCTTCTTGACGTTTTGTCAAAGTGCGGTCACGCCAAGACGCTCTTCAGTCGACTTAACCAGGGCGAGCTGATGCTGACAGTCATGGGCGCGAAAGCACTTGCTGTCGTGATTGTCTCTGGCGGCCTGGAGGCGGAGCAAGTACCGCGCCTCAAGAGCGTGATTGGCAGTCCGGACGCTAGTGCTGATAGTGTGCGCGGCGTGCTGATGGTGTTGGGCGAGATTGTTGCGGTGAAGGGCGATAGTGGTTCTGCTGATCTTGTGCCGATTGATTTGCTGTTTGGTTGCTTTTCTGACCAGCGCGACGAGGTGCGCGTTACAGCTGCACAGACTCTGGGTGTCGTTGCCGCACGACACGTTTCTGAGTTTTTGCCGGTGATTCTCGAAAGGCTTGTTCTAGAGCCAGGAAGTGTCACCGCGCGATTGCTAGTCATTGCGTTGAACGAGGTCACTGTCTTCTGCGGCGCTATGAACGAGGATGAATCCGGAGCGCTGAGCAGCCGGAACGCCGAAAAGGCGAGCGCGCTCGCGGCCTACGCGCCCAAGATCTGGACCAGTTTGTTTTCACTGGACCTGGGCTCGTCCGAGACAGCGTCGGCTGCGAACGAGAAGGACAGCGTGAAGACGGTTATTGGCGAGTGCGTAGGCCGGCTCGCGCTGATGTCGCCCAAGAAGTTCATTCCGGATCTGCAGTCGCGTCTGGTGAACGGCGATGCGCAGACGCGGAGTATCGTAATCTCAGCCGTGCGGTTCATTTTCAGCCAGCCAAAGTCGAGCTCGGTCGAGCTGGTGCCGAAGATGTCTGAGTACCTGCGTCCGCTGGTGGGCGACTTCTTTGCGTTGCTCGAGGATCCGGATCTGGATAATCGCCGGTTGGTGGTGACTGCTGTTGCTGCGGTGGCGAGGAATTATCCCAGCTTCCTGGCGACGACGCTGGCGCATGTGCTTGAGCTGCTGTTTGCGAATACGGTGCCGCAGGAGGGTCTTATCAGAGAAGTCCAGATGGGTCCGTTCAAGCACAAGGTCGACGACGGGCTTGACGTGCGCAAGGCAGCGTACGACTCGATCTACGCGATCTTGCTGGCGTACACGGAGATTGGCGACGATCTCGGGACAAAGGTCGCAAAGGACGATTTGAAGCTCGATAAGACGGTTGAGCGGGCGATGGATGGGTTGAAGGATGATCATGATATCAAGGTTGTTAGCTGTTTGATGCTCGGACGAGTTGCGCATCTTGATTACCGCGTGATTATCTCTCGTGAGTTTCCACTTTCTTTTTTTTCTTTCATGACAGCTTTACTAATAGCATGTACTACAGACCTCGACGATCTCGCGAAAGCATTCACGGCAACGCTAACAATCAAGCTAAAAGACAACACAATCAAGCAAGAAATCGAAAAGACCGGCGAACTCCAGCGCCGCGTGGCGGCCACTACGCGCGCGATCCAAACCGCTTTGGACGCAGGCGATGGTGATGGAGGCAGCGGTAGTGTGCTTAATGTGGCGTGGGAAAAGTATTTGAAGGAGGTGTTTGCTGGGTTTAGTGCTGGGGCGGGCGAGCAGGCGGGTGCGAGTGCGGGGCGGCGCTGAGTGTGGTTTATATATGGAGATGATTGTTTAGAGAGTATAAATATAATCTGCTTTGTTTTTATTTATTACCTCTGTTTTGCGAGTATTGCTTAGTTTGGAGATTGTACGCATTGTTCACTGTCGAAATAGTAAAATAGTGAAATTGAAGAAGAGCTGCGGCGCAGGAAGAGTCGAGATAATCTGGTCCGCAGGTACGAACGAAATCGAATATTCTCCCACCGCTGATTCAAAATCCACCATCGCCACTCCACACTCTACGAATCTCTCCTGACAAAACAACTACACTTCACTAGAAACACTCAATTTCAAACAAAACAATGTCATTTCTTCAAGCAACCCGTTCGTCGTGGCGGATGACCGCCTCCGCCGCCACAGAACTGCTACTCCAGTCCTCCTCCTCCGCCGCGCGGACGCTCACCCGTCGCTCGCCTGCCGCTTTCGCTTCTTTGTCCCGCGGCTTTGTGTCGGTTCCGCCGACGACGTTGTCGTCGGCGGTTGGGAGGGGAAATGCTGCGGGGTACGGATTTGATAAGCTGAGGACTGGCTCGTCTGTGTTTAAGAGATTTGAGTCGAGTGAGTCTGGGATTCAACCGCCTGTTCAGTACGAGTACAAGGCTGTATGTCAATCCTACGCGATACCACGATTGAATTAAGATAGAATTGCTTTCTGACTTTTTCTTAAACTGCAGATCAAGGAGTTATCAGAAAACCCCCACCCCGACAAAATCCTAGTCGACGTGCGCGAACCCATCGAAGTCCACCGCGAAGGCTTCATCCCGACCGCGATCAACATCCCGTACAAGTCCGCGCCCGAGGCGCTCTCGCTCTCGGACGACGAGTTCGAGTACCGGTTCGGGTTCGAGAAGCCGTCGAAGGATAAGGAGCTGGTGTTTTACTGCCTCGGGGGCGTGCGCTGCGACTATGCGCAGCAGATCGCGGGGGAGTTTGGGTATCAGAAGAGGGGGAATTATGCGGGGTCTTGGGAGGATTGGGTTGCTAATGAGAAGAAGGAGAGGATTTAGGTGGTGGACGCTGCATATACGGAGTGTATCATAAATAACAATTCCATTACCACGAATTACATAAAACGTACAGCTCATGCATTCAAACAAAAACTAGACAAAAGCAAAGCAAAACGCCACCCAATAAACAAAAATGGAAAAGAGAAAGCAGCTTATTCCTCTGCCGACCGCGCAAACGGGATCTTCTTGCGCTCCTTTGAGATGTTTTTCTTGCGTCGTCGCTGGATGGCGCGGTCGACGTCTGATTTCTTCATTTCGCTGAATTTCTGCGTGAGTACCAGTTTCCGCTTGTCGGCTATAATCGAAACAGACATTGTCAGCAACAAAGATAAAAACGTAGAAAGGGAGATAGAATAGAAAAGACTCACACTTCTTCATATAGAACGGCTTCTTGCCCTGCTTCACCAGCTCCCTCTCCTTCCGCTCAGCTTCCTTGAGCACCTTCTTCTCAAACTCCTTTTTCTTCGCCGCCTTGAGCTTCGACTCTAAACTCTGATACTCCTTCTTCATCCTCGCGACCTCGACCGGATCCCGCGTCTTCGCCATGCGCTCCTTGAGCTCCGCCAGCTCTCGCTCGCGGTACTCGTTCAGGAAACCGTAGTTTTTGCGAAACTGCGTGTCGTCGAACTTGCCCGAGAGCGCCTCGAAGCGCGGGTCGCGGCGGATGATCTTGGGGACCTCGACGACCTCGCGGAAGCGGCCGACGGGTTTCTTGGCTGAGATCTCTTGCGGAGCGTGTTTTGACGATCGTTTGTGCTGCTTCTTACCGCTGCCGGTGTCCCCTTTCTCAAGCGCAAGAAACTCGTCTCCGTCATCGTCGTCGTCTTCACTGTCGTCGCCAGACTCGTGCTGATCCTCCTTGCGAGCCTTGGCCGGCGTGAACCGCTCTTTTGATTTCGCATTCTCCCTCACGCCAGGCTTCTTCCCGCCAGGTGCACTCTTCTTCCAGCTGCTGGTTTTGTTGTCGCCATTGCTTCTTCTATTTGCTTGGTTTGGTTTCCTAAACCGCTGTTCGGCCATGGTGTGAGAGTAATGGCGATGGCAGTGAGGACGGTGGTGAGGAAGGTAGTTTTTTTTTGCTTGGGAGTTTTGAGTTGAATCTCTGAGCCTCACAGGGACAAGCAGAAGAGACAAGTTCTTCTTTATTGTTTTACGACGGTTTGTTATTGTTTATCTTTTACAGTGACGATGATATTTTATGATACCTTCATTGATGAATAACTTATATAAAAATACAAATACAAAAACTGACTATAAATGAACCATTGCTTCAATCAATCGTAAACACGATCCGACCAACTCAAAAAAGCATCATTTACAATCAGTCTCCCAACCAACAAAAGAACACTATAAAGCACTCTTCGAGGTATTTGCGTCAGTTGCCGGTAGTGCAATAGCAACGACACGATGCGCACAGTCATAGGCAAGCCCAGCGGACTGCGCGCCGGGAGACAAAAATAAGAGTAACATTAAAAGACACGAATAGTGTCGTTTCAGTTGTTACACTGAAAAGAACAGATACTACACTTGATCTAAGCCAAAAGGCAAAGAGAGTTAAAGAAAAGAAAAAAGGAAAGCGGAGCTTTCGGGGCGGCGGCCTGCTTTTATAGACCTGAAGAGAGGGATGGGGGTTAGGTTAGAAGTCAACCCTACACTTAGGGTTCGGTGTTTACTTTTATCCGCTCTGGGCGAGGAGTGCTAACACCTTGAGATCAAGACCGTAGTTGCTCGCTCAGGACAAGACAAGTAGGTCGAATCTCTACACAGCAGCTATGAATACTTACATTCTCGTCTTCAACCACACTGATCATTGCAAACCCGCTGCAAAACCACCCTTCCATAGTGCGGCGCGGAGCATCTCCAAAGTCAAAGTAAAGTTTAAAGACAGAGCTATTCCTGCCGCAGCGTGGCGACCTGACCTCCCTCCGCCTCAGCCATCCATCCACTCTTGATACCAATCCAACACCGCCCATAGCTTGCCTACCATGACCTCCTACCAGACCACCGCCGCTCCCGTGGGCTACAACGACGCACTGCCGATCCATTTCGCAAACGCGCGCTCGGCGTCCTCGTCTCCGCTCGGATCGACAAAGTCAAGCGTATCGCTGCACAAGCAGCTCCTCCACGCGCAGCAGCAGCAGCCTTCAGAACAGCAAGAAAGTCTGATAATACCTCCCGCGAACCGGAATGCTGTTGTCTCCGAACCATCAGAAACTGCGGCGGCAGAGAAAATAGTATCGTCTGAACAGGTCTCTACTTCACTCGAGCGCCTGCTCGCCCTGCCAAACTCCGTATGTGCCGTGATCTCCCTTTGTCTCCACTTCTACTCTTCTCTAGACTAACACCTCGCCGAAGATCCCACCGCGCGAGTCAACACACTACACCGCCAAGCTACGGAAAGCGCTCCCCACGCTCTCGGAGCCGCACCTGCGCGAGCTCGACGAGATCCTCGCCATCGCGCTCGTGGCTGGCGACAAGGCCGCGTCGAAGGACAGACTGGTCAAGTACATGATGGTCGAGTCTGGCGTCGCGTCCGTGTGGGGTACTGCGCTGAGAAGGATTATAGAGGGTGCTGAGATTAGGTAGCGGATACTGGGGTGACTTGGAGTTATGTGTAAATAGAACAGATTAATTGTAAAGAGGACTTTTAAGACAACATAAACTGGTACCAATCAAAAGCAGCGAAACACATTTATTTTCAACACAAAACAATAACAGAGAGATAGATTACTCATCCTCCTTCTCCGGCTGATCAAAAGCATCCTTAGGCACATCGTACAGACGGATGACCGGTTTGTTCGGGTCCTTGACAATAACATACTTGCCCTCAGGCAAAGCCATGCACATGTCGATAATGGACCGGGCGATACCCCACCCGTTCGCCACGCTGAAGTTCATCTGGTTTGCAAACTCGCGCGGCTTGTATCCCACGACGCCGAGCACGACATGGCGACTCTTGTCCTTCGGGTTGGCGCGCGAGACAAAGCCGAGCTTCATCTGCTCCGCGCCCGCGAGGATGCTCTGCACCGTCCAGCGCGCAAGCTTGCAGCTGTTGTTCTTCATCTCGGTCGCGACCACCGCACCGCGCTGGCTCGAGAACTTGGAGCGCCAGTCGAGCGCGCCGCCGGCGCCCGGAGCACGCGTGTCGAACTCGTTGAGCGCCTTGATCGTGATGAACGAGTCCTCGCCCGTCGGGTTCTTGATCGCGCCGTCGACCTCCGTGCGCACAATCAGGTTCAGCGGCTCCTCCTCGTCCTGCGCCGAGAGGTTGAACTTGCGGTACCGGTATCCGCGCGACGCCAGCGGCTCGGTCTCTTCCTCGGGATTGTAGAACGGGTTCGGGTGCGCAAACTCGTGCTTCGCCTTGGCAGACTCGATCACGGCCTGCTCGGCAAAGTTGTGGTTGATGAACGTGGCCTCGAGCGCGAGCGACGACGGCGAGTTGATCGACTCCTTGCCGTCCGCCGACTCCACCGGCGGCTCCACCGCGTTCTCGTTCACAGAGACAAAGTCGAGCGGGCTGCCGTCGCGCTTGTCGAAAAACAGCTTGTCGCCCTCGCGCGTCACGACAATGTCCCACGGGTACACCGACCGCGGCGAGCACATGAGCATGCTCAGGATCGAGTCGGTTGCAAACACGGTGCCCTCGTTCTTGGCCGCGAGCTGCTGGATGACGGGGTCGTCCGAGGTAGTCGGGTTGTACAGCAGCGCGTCGATGACCTGCAGCTTCCACTCCGACGACGCACCGGGCCGGTCAAGGCTCTTGTCGTAGTAGTATGTGAAACCGTAGGTGTCGATATCGGCACCCTCCTTGATATCAAGCGACAGCTTCGCAAGCCGGATGAAATCAATCTCGTCCAGCATCTTCCACTCGGGCGCAATAACAACCGACGAATCGCGCAACCGCTGCGGCTTGTCGTAATCCTTCCAGCCAAACCGTCGGCCGCCCGCAGCACCGCCGCGCTGCCCGCCTCGCTGGCCTCCGCGCTGGCTATCGTTCCCGCCGCGGCCGCCGTACCGCTGAAACCCTCCGCGCATGGACTGGTTCCCGCCACGGGCGTTGAATCCGCGCGCACCGCCGCGGCCGCCGCCCTGCGATCGCAGAATGAGTCCGCCGCGGCCCTGGCCGAAGCCGCTGCCGCCGCGGGGCTTGGTGGCCGCGCTTCGGCTGTCGACGACCGAGAAGCTGGACTCGTCGTCCTCGTTCTGGAATTGGAAATTGGAGACAGTGCTGGCGCCATAGGCCTGGTATGGATCTGAAGTGGAGTTAGCGAGAGCGCTGATGAGAAGCAGAATAGGAAAAAAAACGAAGAGAGGAGAAGTGGATCAGTACATACCTCTGTGATTGCGTCCACCTTGACGACCACCTCGCTGATCACGTCCATCGCGACCAGACTCCTGCGACCAGTCAGCGAGCTTACCAAGCTTATCGCTCTTCGAGAACGGCGCAAACGGAGCGTCCTCGAACGAGAGTCCCTTGGTGCTGGCTTCAGTGGTCGAGGGACCCCATGCTGTGCCCACGGCAGGCAGGGGGGGAAGGGCAAACGGAGCCATTATTCAGAATTGTTTCGAGTGTCTTTGCTTGTTGGATGTAGCAAAGAAGGCGCTGATACAATTAGAATGTATGAAGAAGAGAAGGAAAGGATCTCTGTTCTTTGCAAAAGGGATTCGAGTTGTCTGTGAGGCGCGTGAAAAAAATTCTGTACAGGAACCTTATTAGTCATCGGTGCGGGTGTGCTTACTTGCCGAGCTGAGGAGACGTCTCGAGCGAGAATTACCGTATTGAGTAAGAGTTATTTATGTCAGATATATGTTGCGGATGATACGGTACGGATGATAAGTTGCTTATTTTAGTACCGAATCTACTAATAGTTCTAAATTTACTTTGTACAGTTTCTAGATGGGACGCAATTCGCATATATTTCTTTCTTATTTTCATCAAAATCACTGCATGGTCGTATATATACTTGAAAGATAAATGTCGTCACTTGCCTTAGAACGGCTTGGGAACCTTCGAGTCCAAAACATAGGTCTTCTTGTCGTAGCTCGCCGGCCAAATGCCGCTCTTTCCGGGCGCAATGATACCCTTGGGATCGAGCGCGTTCTTGATGGTCTCGTTGATCGTGCGCTGGATGTTGTTGTTGAAGCTGTAGGTGTCCTGGATCTGGTCCATGAGACCGAGATGGGTGCGGTACTCGCCCCAGCCCATCTTGGCGCAGTCGTCGATCAATGTGCGGATGAGCCAGACGGCGGCCTTCTTGCGCTCCTCGTTGCCGCGCGGGAAGATGACGGAGATGATGTGGTGCATCTCGCGCATGCCGATCGTGAAGGTGCCGACAAAGTCAAAGCCGGCCTCGTCAAACCGTCGCTTCGAGATCTCGTACTGCTTCATGGCGTCTGCGCCCGAAACCTGACTGATGGGAGCAAAGAACAAGTGCACTCCGTTGGGCTCCCAGTCGAGCCAATTGAGCTCGTCGTATGAGGGAATTCCGCGGAGCGTCTTTGCTCGGATGTGGAGAACACTGGGTTCCTGGACGTCCTCAAGCTTGAGGAACTTGGCTCCAGGGATCTTGAGGAAGGCCTCCTTGGAGATCTGCATCATAGCATCGCGGATCAGAGGGGGGCCGTAGGCGGCGCCGTAGAAGTTCCAGCGGCCGAGCCCGAGCTTGGTAGAGATGGCTGTCAGCTCATCTTCTGTCAGCGGGCCGTCGTGGTTGACGTAGTCGAGCTTGTGACCCATGACCGCGGCGTCGAGGGTGATGTAGCGGATGGTAGGCACGTTGGGGAGGATGTTTTGCAGGCGCAGAGGGCGGATGATGTCGACGAGTTCACTCAGCTGCTCTTCCTTGGGGACGGTGACGACGTAGTTTTCGAATCCACCGGGGTCGGGCATCAGCCACATGCCGAGCTTTGTGACGATTCCGAGCGAGGACTGGGTGAAGATGCCGTCGAGGTAGGGGCCGAAGCCGTAGTTGAAGAGCTGCCAGCACTTGTTGGGGGGCTGCTCATGCAGAGGGGCGTTAGGGTCGTAGCCGGGCTGGGTCGGATCGGGCATCGCACCCATGCCGGTTCGGTAGAGTTCTCCGTTGGGGAGGACGATCTCCATACCGCAGTGCACCATGAAGTGGTCTGTAGAGAGTTAGACAATGTATAGACGTCACAAAAAGTGAAGAGAGGACTGACCTCCATAAGGAGTGTAGCCGACACCACGGTCGAGGCAGTTGCCAAGAACGGAACCACCACCGAGATCGGGAACATCGATCCAGAGCTTGTCGTCGAGCTTGTTTTTGACGAGGTGGTCGTACAGATCCTGGAAGGAGACACCGGGCTCGACGAGGCAGGTCGCAGACTCGGCGTCGACGTTGAGGATCTTGTTCATGTTCTTGCCCATGTCGAGCACGACGGACCCGCGAACCCGCGGCGCGGCGCCGCCGTAGCCGACGTTGCGGCCGAGGGAGATGGGCCAGAGCGGGATCTCGTACTCGTTCGCGAGCTTGACGAGGGCCTGCACCTCGGGGACGGTCGAGGGCGAGACGACGGCGGAGGCGACGAGGTCGCCCTCGCCGAGGAAGGCGTGCATGTCGTGGTGCTTGGACTGCTCGAGGTACCAGCCGCCCTCGAGCTGCTTGTCGGAGTGGACGATGTCTGCGTTTGCGGCGCCGCAGACATCTCTGGCGGCGGCGATGAACTTTGAGAACTTGTCGAACGAGGTCTTGGGCGGGAGCGCGAGCGGGTGGGGGGTGACGACCTCGACGGACTCCTTGTGCTCGGTGTCGAGCTTGAGCTTGTCGGTGAAGGCGGACTGGATGTTGCTGAGGGTCTCCATTGCTGCGGATGAGGATGGGGAGCAGATAGCAGCAGCAGCAGCAGCAGAGTATTTATCTGGTCGCTCCCCGGCCGCGAACCACCGCCAAACTGCGGCAGAACCGGCATCGGGCCTCGGGCTGGTAGTGGGTATTTCCCCGCACCCGCGAGGAGGAGGAGGAGAACTCGAGTGACGTCCGTGTTGCTCGTTTGGGTAATCGCCAATTGCCCGCACTTATTATATTGAGCGCTGCTTCCCCGCATTTCGCGATGAGCTGTGGGCTGGGGTTATGTAAGGGCTTTGTCAGCTGTTCGCCCGGTGGCCGGAAGAACATCAGAAGGGTCAGACACCGAACTGGCCGATGTTTGATCTACGTGATCTACGAGACATAATTACTAGTGATAAGTGGTGATTGTAGATTAGGATCAGGCGTAATCATATACTCAGGCTGTCCATCGCTGTCAGGATCTCGCCCACATGCGAGCTCTCGTCCACGTCAACCTTGCCCGTCACCACCTCCACCAGCATAACCTGGCCATGCGTCATCGCATTCAAAATCCGCTCCGCCAGAACCGAGTACTCGAGCGCGTTTTTAATAAACCCCATGTTCCGCCGCTGCACTTCCGAAAGCGACTCCATCTTGTTCTCCCACAGCGTGCGCCACCGTCGCAGCGCAAGATGCATATTGTCCGGCGGACTCACCGGCTGCATCGCGCGTCGCGCAAACAGCATCGTGTTGAACGTGTTTATAAACAAAAACAAGTTTAGCGCAGACGCGTTCTCTAGCCTCTTCACAACCTCCTCTTCCGGCACGCTCGCGTCCAGCAGCAGCCGGATCGACTCCGACAGCGACGGCGGCCGCGCCAGATACTCTTGGAATACGTGCGTGTGGCAGTACATCGCGTTCGGCGCGTAAAACGACTCGTCCCAGCACGCCAGATCGCCAGTCATCTCCGTGATTGTAAACCTCCCCGGCGCGTTGTGGAAGATCGCGTGCTCGCAGTCAAGCAGGTATATATGCAGCAACGTGCGCACCTTGAGCTCCGACTGGATAAACGCCTCCCAGTCAAACTCGTCTAGCATCCCCGGATGAGGTTGCTTGAAGTAATCGTTTCGCACCGACGGCGTCGACAGCGTGCGCAGAGCACATACAACTTCGCCAAATCGCTGCCGCCGCACATGTCTCTGCGCCTCGACCGTGCCGTTGAACGACTGCACGATGCAAATCAGGTAGGCGGCCTGGATCGCTTCGAGGTGAGCGCGCGTCTCCACCAGCGTCTCGGACTGGCCGTACTTGCCCGCAAGCTCAAGGAACGCTTCAGAAGTAAACACAAACTCCTCTGCGCCATCGAGCAAGTTCCTCGCCGCCGCAATATGGTCTTCAGAAACCGAATACAGCGATCCCACGAGCGCAACCGCAAGCATCAGCGGCAGAGACGTAGTCTTGATGTCAAACGACGGCGGGTGCAGGATCGAAACATGTGGCTGCCAAAATTGGAAAAAATGCTTTACAAACAAGTCCACGTTCTCGACCGTCAAGAGCGATTGCGCGCTCGACTCGAAAACGTTATACGGAATTCGCATCAAGTGTTTTGGTGTACTCATGGCCACCGAGCACAGCTCAGTCACCAGCTCCCGCAACCGGTCCGCGTTCACGTCGCGCTCCTGGTTCAGTCGCATCAGCTCTGCGCGCTCTTCTTTGTCCGTCACGTTCAGCATATTTATCCACTCAGAGTCGGCCATCATTATGCGCGTAGTGTCAAAATATGCACTCTGAACTAGTGGGTGATGCTTCCCATCCTCGTCCTCGTCTAGCTTGATCTCTGACTGCAGATCAATCCCGCCCAGACCATCAAGACGCAAGACATCGGCCCAGTCTTCTTGGGGTTTGCCAGAAGAGCCATCAAACGACGACAACGATCCCGTACTGCTCTGGTCGTCGGGGATTTCCGAGAAAGTTTTGAGATACATGCCAGGACTGTTGCTCGCCCGGTCGGGGGTATTAAATAGAGCGGGCAAGGAGCGAGTGCGCGAGTCCATAGATGAAAAGTTGAGGAGAAAAGGCGTGTCTTCAGAAGCGCAGCTGCTACGCCGGGCAGAGGCAGCAGAGAGTGGAGGAGAGCTATCCGAGGCCGAATTGCTGATGCGCGACATGGCGAGAGGACTTGGCCACTCCATGTCGCCAATGAGGTCGGCGGAGGTCGAGAAGAATGGAGGTGTTGTTACAGATGAGAATTGGTTGAGGACCGACTCGAGGGCGGCGGGGTCGAGAGTGGCAGAGGTGAGAGTGGGTGGTGAGCGTGGCTGTCGAGCATCGGGAGAGGTCGCGGTGACGGGGGCAGAAGGTGGAGAGGAGGTTTTTGGAGAGGTCTTGAGGGCGGGAAGATCGACGGCGCTGGTGGGTGAAGTGTCGGCAGTCGAGTCGAGCGAGATGGAGGCGGAGGAGCCTTCTAGTTTGTAGTTGTGCAGAGTATGAAGGAGAGAAGTGGAGGAGGAAGTAGCAGAGGCAGCATTATTTTGACGAGCCAGCTGCTGCTGGCGGAGTTGTTCAGCGAGGCGGAAGTAGGTGCAGGGAGTTTTGCTGAGTCTGCAGTTTTTGCAAATGTCTGCCGCGTCGCAGCCGATTTTTGAGCGCGCGCAGGCGTCGCAGGCTTTTCTTTTTTTGCCACGTTTTTGCTGGGGAAGACCGGGTTGGTCGCCGCGGGAGGAGCAGGAGGCGGCGTGGCGACGGGCGGTGTCTCTGGGTGATGTCAGCAGAGAGAAGAGGAGTAGAGAGAAGAGGAAGAAGAGACGTACACTCTGAAGAAGCGTCTACCACAAAACTCGCAGACAAAGTTCTTTTCACCCGAGTCTGCGGAGAGAGGTTAGCGGTGGGATAGGTAAATGAGGTAAGGAAGAAGGGAGGGCATACGGGTAACTTCATGGCGACGGAGGTGGCCGCTGCGGGCGTAGGAGGCGTTGCAGACGGAGCAGCGAAAGCGCTCGTGGAGGGGTTTGTGGGGTGGTTGGGAGGAGGAGGAGGAGGAGGAGGGGAGAGGAGGAGGAGGAAGAGTAGAGGCGGTCATGATGTTTAAGAAGAGGGCTGGTCGAGGGAGGATGGGGGTGGAGGAGAGAGGAAGCTACGGGTGGGATGGTGGGAGTAGGAGGGCAGGCAGCAGAGCCGCGGAGAAGCAGAATCCCCGAGCAGCGAAGAGGAAGAGGAGGAGGCGGAGAAGTGAAAGAGCAGGCGGCGGAGTGGATGGGGCAAATGCGGGGAAGCGGGGGAGAGGAGAACTCAAAGGGGAATAATATGTGTAGTAGTAGTAGTAGTAGTAGTAGTAGTAGTTAGTAGTAAGAATAGTAGTAGTAGTAGTAGTAGTAGTAGTAGTAGTAGTAGTAGTAGTAGAATAGTAATAGCAGCAGTATTGAATAGCAGCAATAGTTACAACAACAACCTCATTGTCTTCTCATCAACATCTCATCCCCATCAGCACCATCCCCGCTGGCAGCGCACGGAACAACGCCTCGCCTCTTCTTACTTTCCTTTCTACTTCGGTGGGCAGGATGGACTGGGCAAGGGCACTCATTGAAGTAAAAAGAAGAGAGTTCATGACATAATCAGGAATGTGTGATACACCTACCAATAGCCCGCTCACACGTTAATCACTACTCACAGTCACAGCCATTCCACACTGCGCACCGCCCGCACTGTCTGCTTCTTCGCAGCCAAATCCCCTCCGCTCTCTCTCTCTTTTGCCCTTCTCCCACACTGTGTGTTTCTCTCCACACTAAACGCGTCTCCCTCTCCTCGCCCGCCAAAAAATCAGCGTATGCTCTTCCTCCTCCGCCCCTCCCTCTGATCTCTATCTCAATACCCTCTCGTCCTCCAATGTCTTCTCTTTCTTGTCTCTATCGGCTTCTGCCCGCGCTCTATCCCTCCGCGCTCCGCTATACCCTCCTCAACCACTCCCTCTCCTCTCGCCATACTCTCCTGCTAACATCCCGACGCGTCTTCAGTCACTCTTCGCTCTCGCTCGCAATGGCCAAGGAAACAAAGACCAGAAAGACAAAGGTCGGCGGCCGCCGCAAGAAAGGTATCTCTCTCCCCCCAGCCCCTTTCTCTCTCTTTCTCTCCCTGCCGCTTTCATCACAGCCCTGCCGTGGGTTTCTCCGTCTTCCGCTCTGATCGGCGACGCGTCTCCCAACCACAACAAACACACCACCACACTACAACACCACCACCACAACACCACCATCTATTCCTACCAACACACCATCACACCACACAACCATCTATTCTTCACACTTATGCTAAACATCTTCTCTAGACCCCAACGCCCCCAAGCGCTCCCTCTCCGCCTACATGTTCTTCGCCAACGAGCAGCGTGAGACCGTCCGCTCGGAGAACCCTGGCATCGCCTTTGGTTTGTATCCCTTCTTCTTTTCTTCTTTCTTCTTTCTTCTTTCTTCTTTTGACTTACTAACACCACCTCTCCAGGCCAGGTCGGCAAGCTCCTCGGTGAGCGATGGAAGGCCTTGACCGCCAAGGACAAAGTCGTACGTCTCCTACTTCTCTCCCTCCCTCTACTCTCGCTAACACACTCCCTAGCCCTACGAAGCGCGTGCCGCCCAGGACAAGAAGCGCTACGAGGAGGAGAAGGCCGCCTACCTTGCCAGCAGCACCGGCGACTTCGAGGAGGACGAGGAGTAATTTCTCCCTCCTATCTTGCAGAGAACAATGAGCAGCATCAGCCACTCATCTCTATTTTTTCCTTTCCTCTTTTGTGCTTTTATACTATACTATACTGGTCTTTCTATACGCTATCGGGCTGGACTTTGGATTTCGCTACTTCAAATGGGTACTGGTAGCTTGTGTGCTTTTAACTTGATTTTTTTTTATATTCGGTTGATTTATCTATCTCTCGCTTATTTATTATTTTTTTCTATCCTGCGCGCTTTCTCTTCCTCGAAGATCCTAGCCTGCACGTTTGTATTCTTATTCTTCTTCTTCTCAGAGAGATGTATCTCTGCTTTACTTTTAGTTTGTTTGTGTTAAACATCTCTCGTGTATTTGTAGTCTTATAAATATATTCTATTGTGCCTTATCTCATCTCCACACAGTAGCACCAAAACTCTCGTCGCCACAACACGAAACTGACGCGTCGAAAAATCTTCTGCTCATTCTTCACACGCCTACTTCCTCGTCCTCACACTGACGAGCCGCAGCCTACGCCTGCACAGACCGCCTGCTGCTTTCCTTGCGACTCATTTGCGGTCGAGAGTTAAGAGTTAAGAGTGATGAGATAGAGTTGTGTGGAGTCCTCACTCATTCTTGCTCTTGCTTCTCTTCTGCACTACTATCACTGACTCTACGCCCACGACTATCTCTCTCTCTCTGTGCAGTACCTTGCTTGCCTCTCGGCACCATCGAGAGTTGACTCTGTTAGCCGCTATCTGGAGCATACTAAGCATACTAAGCATACTGAGCATACTGAGCATACTAAGCATACTGCAGTCTGCAGCACTACACATCACCAATGCTGAATGAAAGCATGTTACTAACAACGCCTACTGTCAAGTTACACTTACAAATATACACTAAACATATAAAAAAACACTAAAGCGACGAAAGGAAGAAGACAACAAGACACTGAACGACTATAACCAAAATAATATATATTAATAATAATAAAGCAATACAATTGCGTACCCATATTTAACAAACGGAAACAACACTATAGTTTGTAAGACAAGCTGGGATAGACAGGCCAAGAGTCTCGAGGATCTTTCCTACTCATCTCTTGATCTCCAACATATTCTGTTCTCTAACATAAACGCGCGCAGGACAACCATTTGTAGAAAGATCGGAATAGAAAAGAAACATTTGAATAAAGCAGCTGCATATCGACGTCTAGCACTTATCAGGCCCCGACTCGAAATCATCACGGTTGAACCGCCAGACCTTCTCGTCCGCAGTAATGCCCGCGCCGCTCGCCAACTTCTTCAACCCCTCATCACTATCGACAAGCGTAAAGTACCTTCGCGTCCACTCGCGGCCTTCCTCCTTCTCCTGCTTGCGCAGCGCGCGCTGCTCGTTCTCGATCTTGGACTTTTCGACATGGATCGTGTCGTAGTCCATCACCGAGACCGCCGCGGCAACCTTCGCCCACGCCTTGCGCGTCTCGTACGGAGACTGCTCCTCCAGTGGCTTGATCTCCAGCGGCACAATCGTGTGCTCGGTGGCGTCGTAAAACAGTTTCTCGGACTTGGCGCGCTCGTCCTTGACAGTCGACTTGCCAGACCACTGACCACTAAACGTGTACAGCGGCTTCGACGAGCTGTCGGGACCAAACATCTTGGCCTTGTAGGTGTTCTTCTTGCCAGAAAAGTAGCCCTTGCCCGAATAATCAATCTTGAAGCTGTACCCGGACGACGACTGGATAAAAGTCGAGCCCTCGAGCTCGACGTAGGGCGCGCCGTAGAACAGACCTTCGATGTGAAGCGACGGCAGCGAGATGTAGTATGACTCGTCGAACTTTGTGATTTTGTACACCGCGTGGCCAACCTGCTTGATGTTCAACGTCGTCGTCGACACCGACGCCTTCTGCCCGTTATAGCCCGTCAGCTCGACGCCGTACACGTCGTTGTAGGTCGCGTACGCGGTCACGGGCGGGTGGTGCGAGACCTGCTCCGACACGAGCATCGTCGTGCCTTCGTCGTCGGTCTCCCAGCGGCCGAGAAACATCTCGCCCAGGAACGGGTTCAGCGGCTTCTTCTCCGACCCGAGCGCCTCGTTGCGCGACGTGTACTGGCCCTTGAGCGTCGCGATGAACCACCGGAACACCGCCAGCGCCCGCTCTTCGGGATCAACCACCATCGACGGCGCAACGAAAAGATCGGGAAGCTCGGCCCAGAATTTTGAGTACTCGGTCAACGACGTCGACGAGAGGATGAAGGGAGGCGCCTGCATGCACCAATTGTATCAGCATGCGCACACAAAACAGCACAACATCAAGAGAGCTTACAGTTATTGACGCAATATCACCCTTTGATGTAGCGAGCGACTTGAGAAAGGTCATCCACGGTCCGCGTTGCGACTGAAGGAGTTATAACAATGTCAGCAGGCCAGTCTAGAATCAGCACACAGCAGGACCGACGTACAGCAGGAACCTTGTCAATCTCGCCGCCTTGTTCTGGTGTTTGCTCAGCCATGTCGGATTATAGTATTGTAGTGTTGATGATCGAGTTTTGAAACCGGAGAGAAGCGGCAACGTGTTTGATGAGCACAAAGAAACAGCAAAGAGAGGCAAATCAGAGGTTCGCCAGCAGGTTGTAGAGGTCGGAATACACAAACAAGCAGTCTAGAGACAAGGCTTGCGAAATCGATAGCTCAAAAGCAGTGCAATTCCAGGCAATCAGAACCAATTCGTGGCCGCGATGGATGAAAACTGAGAGCACAAACTCAACCAGGCGTCCTTTCCTTGTCCGCTCGCTCTCTTCTTCTTCTGGCTCGGTTTTGCCGGCTGCGGAACGTGGTTAGGTTTTTTGTTGCTTAGTCATCGCTTTCTACACCGCTCTCTTACTATGACGACAGCTGGTTTGAGAGGATCAGCAGTCCTTTCTTACAAGAATCTCTGCTTAGTTAGCACTGTTTAGTGCTGCTCTATGGTGTTTCGATAGAAGTCCCCAACTGCCTGCACTCCAGATCACATCCTCCGGGTCACAGCCAAGCGATCCTTGCCCGATTGCGACCGCACCGCTCACCCATCCACCTCCCTGCTCCCGACGAGTGCTCGCCTGCGCAGGCCCCAGCTGCTCTGCTGCCGCCCCTGCACTCGGCCGCTGCTCGCTGCCGGTCCCGCTGTCTGGCTGTCGCCTGCGCCCGCTGCATGCGTAGGTAGTGGCCGAATTACCGCTTTAGGAAGTATATACACGCTGCCCATCGCTGTGCCCCAGACTCTCTCCGCCCTATCCCACTTCCTCCGCTCGGGACGTCAGCCAGGCGATGGGCTTCTGAGCAGTATAATGCGCTCCGTAGATTGGGAATAACACACCCGGATAAGAGCGAACCACGTGGACGAGGTTGGATGCAAATAGTTCTAGGTCCGCCTAATAAGTTAACAGTCGAGGCAATAATAATTATTCTTTCCCCGGCCCCGGAACTATTCTTCTTTCTTCTGCACTCATCACGCGGCGGCTCTATATAAGACCTCGTCCTTGCCCATCCCTTGCCGCCATCCATCGCTCTCTCTCTCTCTCTCTCTCTCTCTCTCTCTCTTCCCCGCACTACTGTATCAAAAACGAAAGAATGGCCGACTCTGCTTCCAATCCTACCGGTATGCTTCACGTGCTGACTGATCATTGAGTCCATTGCTAATAGCTACCACCGCAGTATCCGCTCCCGTCATAAACATGCCTCTGCCGCCTGTCATCAGCACGGCAGATAAAAAACCCGAGGACAAGACCTCATCTGCCGGTTCCGAGCCCGCTCAGACCGACAAACCCAAAGACGACAGTACTAACGGCAGCTCATCAGAGTAAGTAAGATTACCTGATCGGATTATCTTTTGCATTTCTCTGCTTGCTCTCTTCGCCTGATCCCTTGTTTCTATTCCATCTTTCTCTTCTCATTCAATTCGGTTGATGGCTGACGCACGAGCTGGCTATTCGCAGTAAGCCTGAGCCGGAGTCGGTCGCTCCACCTGCAGCTCTTGCAGATGGCAAGAAAGAGGATCTTGACACGGCCACTGTCGCATCTACCGTTACCTCCGAGCCATTGGACAAGAAACGGTCTCTCGAGGACGCCGAAGCTACATCTGCTGCTGCCGATCCCGCAGGGGAGAAGTCAGCAAATGAAGCATCCAAGAGCGGCGACGCTGGCGCTGACGCGACGACTACGACCTCTGCTGCGCCAAAGAAAAGAGCAAAGAGGGATTCAGTGTCCTCTGCGCCTCCTGATCCGGAGAAGATCGCATCGCGTACTAGATCGAAATCTAAAGTCGAGTAGTCTTGTTGATCAAGCTCGCGGTGAAGTATGAATCGCAGGGGAAGTATGTATGAATTGTCTAAGATTTGATGGAAAAGGAAGGGAAGATGGCGAAAATATGGAAAAGGGGATCAAAAAGTAGTTTATTCGCTGCTGGCAGCAAAAGGTCGGTTCAATGGGTTTAGGCAATATAATCGAAATCAAAATTATATATACAACAATCTAAAAAGCAGCTCAGCTCAAGAAAAGAGCTGCTCATAGCTTCCCTCTCGCCTTCAACTCTGTCACCTCCTCAGGCGACACCCGCTCGTAAACCAACAGATACGCATTCTGCGCCTGTCTCAGGACTTCGTCCACCGACACCTCCCAGACCGAGTCGTCGCTGATCCTCCACCATCCCTTTGGCCCCGTGAACTGGCGGTACAGTTTCCGTGCCGCGCGGGCGCCTAGTTCGCGGCGACGGTGCTTTCCCCGATGGCGGGTCTGCGCTGGGTGCTGCTGGTCGGGGATGCTGTCTTCGTCGGGCGTAGCGGCAAACAGGCCTGAGCTCTCACTTGTAGTGGGACTGACGTGCTCGACTTCATCTGGTGTCGAGATGTTACTGTGGTTCTCGACCGCTAGCTTTTCTTCAAACGCAGAGTCCTCCCTTGCGCGCGCAAAATAGTCTTTGAACATTTCCTTGCGTCGGTAGCATTCGTAATGTCCAGCAGAGTGTGTTCCGAGATGACGCACGACAGCAACCAGTCTATATGTCTTTTCCACTGCTTCAGAAGCGTCTTCGTCCTCCGCGCCGAGTGATGTAGCCAACAAATCAAGCCTCGGTGCCTTCGGCTGCCCTGACCGCTGGGTCAAAAACTCTGGAAACTGCACGCGGCAGTTATTCCGCGTCGCGGTGACGGATGAGTATATCGACCGCGAAAGGTGCAGGATCAAAACGTCTGGCAGATGGCCAAACGTCGTCGTTCGCGTGATTGTAGATTTGATCTCCCTTGGCAGCGCGGCCTCTATCGTTGGATGCAGATCGCTGCTTGGGTCGAGCGCTTTGAGATACTGGAGGTATCCAGCTGGATCGGTATTGAAATTAGGAGGATCGCTGCCGTCGGCAGGAGCAGCACTCGTTGATTCGCCGGCGGTCATTCCTTTCCGCGCGAGTGACCGCGAAATCGAGTCGATGAGCACCTTCAGTCTGCAGGACTGGCAGCCATAGTCGCTGATCGTCTCGCGCAGAAGCACAGACGACAGGCATTCGTCCAGCGTCGCGCTCCATGTCTGCGGAACGTTCAGCGTCAGGACTAGGAAGTTTGTGGTCTTGGGAGTTGATCTGTGGCCACAGAATTGACATTCAATGACGTCTACTGTGGTACCTTCGAATGGCATGAGCTTGCGTTTGACTGGTGCTGTGGACGAGGTCTTTTTATCGCTCTCTTTTTCTTGACTTGAGTCGTCAGACAATTCTTTGAGAGCCTTCTCGTGCTCGTCTGTGATCGTTTCGAGAATCAAGTGTAGCAGCTCGTGCGCGTCGTGCTGCTGTCGTGTTATCCGTCGCTTGAAGACGTACTCCAGTACATGTAGAAACGGCCATGGGGAGATTGCTTTTGGCCGCCGGAGCGGTGTATTGAGCTCTGTCAGATAAGTCGGTGAGTATGTATATATATATAAATGATATTGGCAAATGATCTCGTTGTTCTTACCCTCAATGATCTTTCTCAAGGCGGCCGTGAGCGGCTCATTCTGAACCTCGGGATTTTTCAAGTAGGCTCGTAGAGTCGGGCTGGAAGCTAGCGCCTGTAGGTTGAAGACGTCAGTTGATCTGAATCGCACGATCCTGATGCTCGAATACTGAGCCGTACCTGCAAATCGCTGTTGGCGAAGCAGTCATTGCTCGAGTTCAGCAGTCCGACAACGTAGCGGGAGTTTCGAGAAAAGCCCGCCAGAGGATTGTCAGAGGTCTCGGAAAAGTAGAAATCGTCGGAATCGTCAGAATTGGTCATGAACGACGGCAGCAGGGCATACAGCGCGAGCGAGGCGACGGTAGCAAGTCCGGCGTAGATCAGCGCTCTGTGGTCATGAGAGTGCGACATTTGACTGGGCAGCAAAACTTCTTCTCGCCAGCCATTCCACGGCGCAGCACGATATATTCCAGAGCAAAGAAAGTCGTCGTTTTAACAGATCAGACCGCTGTTCTCCACCGTCTGCTTCCCCGGGTCCAGAAGGCACGTGAAGGAACCGGACTGAGAAATACGTATTCCACGTAATCCTCATCACAGTCGTCCAAGCCCCTCAAACAGTAAAATTTTCGGAGAGAGCTCTCGTCACCACCATACCCCTTCTCTCGTCCGCATCCCTCCCTCTCTCACACTCAGCTCTCGCTTTCGCTAACTTAGGCTCTTGTGCTTTGGACTACGGTGATCAGGTGTGTTTTTTTATAAGTTGTTTGCGCTGCTTCTTTCTGCTGGCGCCGCGGCTGCTGGAATTAGACAGCCTAACTCGTTTGCCTTTTTTTTCGAGATCCTCAGATCTCTGCCCAGTCCGCGTCCTCCAGGCAGCCTTTCAAAGCTCAGTACATGGCTGACGTTCAGATTCGTCCATCACACAGAACTTCCAGAGGAGGTTTCCATTCGTCTCGTGGCCGTTCATCCTACACCACTCGTTCTTCCAGATCAGCCGTATCCGAGGCGTCCCCTGCCATCGACACGCCCGGTTTCTCCACATCCACCACCGAAATGTCTTCAATTGACGACACAACAAGACAGCTCAAGGCCCAGTTCGCTGAGGCCATTGGCTCATTGAATGAGCTTTTTCCAGATTGGTCCGAAGAGGACTTACTGTACCTGCTCCAAGAAACGCAAGGCGATGTCGAAGTCGCTGTCGTACGGATCACCGAAGGTAAATTTTTCCTATTCTCCATCGTCTCCCCGACCGCATCCATTCGTCAATCGTCTACGTCCCTGCAAAGTGCATCCCAATCAGCTCTCAGATCAGTTTTCTTCCTTCGTTTTGTTTGTTGGAACGTTGTTTTGCGTGCGTTCCTTGCCGTTCTGCTATCGTAACCCGGCCTCGCGATCACGCGAGTGGTCGCGAAAGCCTCTTTTGGTTGCTCTCGAGCATTTCAGATCTGCGCCTACATCAATTACTTCGCAGATTCTATTCGCCACCGTCCAATTGATCTGATTGGGCTCGACTTGCAGCTTCTTTTTCGAATGGATTCCGGTCTTGGCTCGTCAGTCTGCTAACCTTTTTCATCTCTGTAGGCCATGCTAGCCAGTGGGGCGAAGTGAAGAAGAAAACCAAAGAACGATCTAAATCAAAGGGTCCATTTACTGGCGCCGAAGGCGGAAGACCATCGTTCTCATCATCTACGCGCGGCAGAAGCCGCGGAGGAATTGAGGCTCGAGGAAGAGGCGGCCGAAGTGGTGAGTTTTGACGAGATCCGGTTTTTTGCTGCATCCATTCGCTAACTTGTATTCAGATCGTGGCCGAAGCCGCGGAGGCAGAACTAATGGTATTTCGATTAATTGTCTGCCTTCCTATTGCTTGTCGGATCTTAAATACTAACGCTATTCTAGGCCGGACCAGCGACGAGTCAGCTCCTGTGTCAACTCCAGCGCCAACCGACGCTGCCGCAAGCGCCCCTTCGGACCCTGCTCCTACTACTGAACCTACTCCTAGCGCGGCGGAGTCCGCTGCTCCAGCTACTGAGACACCCGCTGCCGAAACACCTGCTGAAACAACCAACGGATGGGCCTCCGCGGCATCTGCTGCTGCGCCAGAACAGCCTGCGCCCACAACCACCACCAGCACGAAAGCAGCGAGCACTGTCATCAAGCCCGGTACCAAGATGAGCTGGGCCTCTATTGCCAAGCCAGCACCAAAACCCGCTGAACCTCCCAAGCCCAAGCCTGCTGCTGAGCCTATACCCGAGCCCGCTGCCGAGAGCGAACCCGCGAGTGCCACAAACGCATGGAACAATGATTACGCTTCCAGCACTGCTGCTCCCCACATTGAAGAGTCTGCCTGGGGCAAGACATCCGCGCAGCCAGCTAGCGAATCGTACGACGAAGTTGCTCCATTAACCAAAGAAAACGTTGAATCCGTGGTTGACGATGCTCCGCCTGCTCCCACTTCCACCCTCGCCTCTACCATCGACACTCCCTCCACGACCACCAGCGCTACTGTTTCTTCCAAGGTTCCTCCTGGATTGGCGTCGGCCACCAAGAACGCCCGCTCGCCCGCCTACTCTCGCGTGCTCAAGCAGGACGCTCCTGTTGTGATGCCCGGATCCGTGCAGGCCCAGGTTTCCGGTCTGCAGTTTGGCAGCTTGACCCTTGCCGACAACCAGGACGAAGAGAGCTCGGCCTACGAATCGACTCCCAAGGAGCAGCTCGACAGCCTTGCTTCCCAGAAGACCTACCAGCAGGAGCCGGCATCCGAGCAGGCTCCGATTGCCCAGACCGCTCCTGCCGCGCAGGTTCCCGCCCCTGGTCTCTCTGGATTCGGCCAGCAGCCGCAGCCTCACCGGTACCAGCAGCAGCCGCAGGTTGCGCAGACGCAGCAGCAGAAGGCGTTCGAGCCCTTCTCGCAGGCGCCCTACACCGGCTACCCCGCGCAGTCGCACATGCCTGCCTTTGGTGGCTTCCCCAGCGATTTCCAGAACCCTTACGGCGCTGATCCCCAGCGTCAGGGATACGGGTACTACGCCCCGTACCAGCAGCCCGCGATCAGCGGTGCTGCCGCTCCGGACAGTCTGCAGCGCACTGCCTCTGCTTCGCTCGAGCAGCTCACACCCTCGAGCACCTCGACCCAGCCCGCTCGTTTCGGAGTCGGCTCAGAGGCCACCTCGGCTTCTCCGGCCACCGCGTCGCCTGGAATCACCACCCAGCAGAGCCAGTACAACATGCACCCTTACTACATGAGCCCCGCGTACACCGCGTACTACCTTAACAACTTCCAGGGATACTACGCCCAGCAGCAGAGCCAGGCCCAGCACTTTGGACACCAGCAGCCGCAGGCTCCCTCCGCGCAGGCCAAGTCTGTCTATGGCCAGCAGCAGCAGTCGCAGCCCCAGCAGTCGCAGTTCTATGACCACTACTCGCGTCAGCAGCAGATGCCCATGCAGCAGCCCCAGGCTCAGCAGCCCCAGCAGGCCGCTGGCCAGGGTGTCTCCTCGCTCGGTGGCAGCATCCCTGACTTCTTGCAGATGGAGGATGCTTCCAAGGGTGCCGGTGCCCGACCTTCTAGCTCGGCCGGTCAGCAGCAGCAGACTCAGCAGCAACCACAGCAGGGCATCCCGCAGCAGCCTATGCCTCAGCAACAGAACGTGTACGGCGGCTTTTCTCAGTACCCTCCTTACAACAGCATGGGTAGCCAGCAGGGCAGACAGAGCGGCTGGGGTGGCTACAGCCACTAAGCGCTCTTAGTCTGTTCTTTCTCTCTCTCGCTCTCTCTTTTCACGATCTCTCCACCTTCCTCTTCCATCGTCATCCTCTCCTCCTCTTACCCCTCTTTCTTACCCCCTCTCACCTCTTTAACCTCTATTACGATGAGAAATAGAAAAAAACTATTTTTTCCTGGGCTATGGGATTTGTCTTGAAAATCGTCTTTTGCGTTGGTTTATGTCGGTCGATCTTTTGACGGGTTTACGTCTGGAATTCAAAATTGTAGGTATATATGTTGAGCGTGAGGGGACCGTCGCGAATGAAGAGAGTGATGAAAAAAATCAAAAATAGTTTTTTACCTCCCCCCCTTCTCTCCTTCCTTATTTTTATTTTTTTAGCGAGAAAAAAAACTTGTTGGCTGTTGTCGGTGGTTCCGTTGTAGTTGCCTTTGTGTGTTGTGTTGTACGTCTGCTAGTTTTATCTGATGATGAAGAAGTGCAGCTATAAATATACTTTTTATTATCAGATTGTGGGTTCATTTGATATATGTATGCGTATATATCGACTTCGTATTGCTAGTTCTCGATTTTAGTCTTTGCAGGTGGTTATCATTTGAGTACTGCTGGTTTCTTTGTTTATCGTTGCAGGCTTATTATTCCATTATTCCCCGGGTTGATGAGGGTTTGTTTCAGCTTATGAAAACTGCGTGTGCCGTAAATGTCCTTGTGCTGAGTCTACGGTGAACAACCTTGAGGTTTGCAAAGCTCATATATCTCGTTGTGGAGAGCGTGGGGTCGTGGAGGAGAGAAGATGTAGATCTTGTAAGAGCATCGTCAGTCGCGTTGACGTGGTGGCCTTAAAGTGGCGTGCATGGCAGTCCCGCTAGTACGAACATTTCTGGTTTTATTTTTCTTTATTTTTATCAAAGGAGTGTATATACAACAACGGCACACGTGAATACACCGTCCGGTGTCAAGGTACGGACGGGCTCAGGCTTCACTAAACCTACTCATACAAGCCAGAACGTAACAGCAAAGATGATCCCAAGCGAGCCAAAGACACCGTTCTCGGCTGCCGCTGCGGGGCGCAATCCAGCCGCGGCCGCGCCGGACGAGGAAGACGATGCCGCGGAGGACGTGGAGGAGGAGGAGGAGGAGGAGGAAGAGATCGCTGAGCTCGACGCCGCGATCCCCGAGCTTGACGACGCGCTCGCGCTCGCGGTGGCCGAGCTGTGGGAGACGGTCGCGCTCGCGGCGGGCTTTGTGAGCGCGTCGAGGATGGCGTTGCTGCCGGCGTCGACGGCGACGATGTCGGATTCGGTGGAATTGAGCTTCGACTGCGCGAGGCCGATGACGTTGTTGTCGAGGTCGAAGACGGCGTAGGCGGAGCTGAGGAAGGTGTCGCCGAGGATGACCATCGAGCTCGCGGGCTGCATTGTGATTTGGCAGAGTTCGTAGCCGTCGGCGACGACGGCGGAGCCGTTGGAGTAGGTGAGGGGGCTGTAGAGGTCCTTGATTGGGGTTTTGATTGTGACGTTTTCAAACTTGAAGTTGACGGAGACGTTGAGCTCGCGAAGCGTGCATGACTGGACGTATACGCCCAGTGCGGGTTCGTAGATCGCGCCGGTGGCGTTCACGACCTCATCGACGATGTCGGAAGGTAAGTAGGTGAACGTGGTGCCGGAGTCGATGAGCGCGGGAGTGTCGAGCGAGTCGTCGAGGACTTGGATGTCTGTACCATCCCCGATCTCGACGCCTTCGAGAGTGACGAGGAATCTGGTGTGGTTTGTCTGTCCGTCTTCTTTCTGGATCGGAAGCACGACCAGGTCGCCGTCGTACTTTGCGCGGTTGATGCCGCCAAAGAGAACGTCGCCGGTGGGAGCGTCGAGGTCGTTCAGGTAGAGCGAGTACACGCGCGAGTTGATGTATCCCTGGTCGACCATCGAGCGGAGCAGACCAGAGTATTGGCCGGTGGTACTACTGTTGTCGCCTGCCGAGACTTCTCCAGACTCGTACCCGATGCCGAGCACGCCGTTTGTCAGGTTCGTGTCGGTTGCGACCGCGAGCGTTTGGTTCGTGAGCGTCACGCCCGCGATTTCGAGCGTGTCTTGCGCGTAGACGCCGTCGGCCTGTGTGTTGTCGCCGTAGGTGATCGAGAACTCGTCAAGATCAGACACGATGGTCGACGAGGCAGTGAAGTTGAAGAGACCAGACTCCGAGCACGGATCTTCCTCCGCGAGACAGAACTCGTTCAAATCGGACAGGAACCAGATATCAGACGAGCCGGTATCGATAGCAAGTCTGAGCTCCTGCGGCGGAGTGCCGACGCGAACGGGAGCGACGTAGTATTTTTGCTGGTTGTAAATCACCTCGCCCGCGGTGCCGTCGCCGTCGCGCTTGTGGAGGCTTGCGTGGACCGAGTCCGCGGCGAGGAGGTTACGCTCGAAGCCGATCGAGAGAGTGCCTGGCATGGCTGCGACGAGCGCCGTAAATGCGGTCATAGCCGCAAGAGAAGCAAAAAATCTGTCTGCCATTTTTTCTTAATTTTCCCTTTTTTTTGGTGATGTAAAGATGGATATTGACAGGGTGACAGAAGATCAGGATACAGAAGTAACAGGAACGGCACAGGCAGCATATTATGTATCCGGCGGGTTGACGTCGATGTCTCATTATTACAATGCACAAACCTGATCTCGGGCGTCCAACCGAGCAGAGAAAGGCTCGGTTCCAGAAATCCAAGAGGTTTCCTGGACGGTGGAGCCGCGAGGGTGAGAGAGAAGGGTGGGAATAATGGGAGAAATGGTGTTGCCTAAATTAGAGTAAAAGTTTCCCCTGCATGTCGTGACGGACGGGCTCCGCACCAGGCTAAATTTAAACCGACAATTTCACATCTGCCGGGCTCTACCTTATAGGTATACTCTGAATTTCCGCAGCAGTATATGGAAAGAATATCGACATAGTATATTTATTCCCCGAACGAGGGACAGGAGCCACTCGAGTCGAGCGAATGCGGATTTACCACATTCGTATGACGGTTTTGGTTTGGTTTACTGGATTTCGATTTGGACCCTGCATGGGGCACTTGGTCGGTGGGAACGATACAGGTGGTGTGATAGGGTACTCTATGGCTAGGAGGTGTGCGTTTGCGGAAGGCGAGTGGCGAGTCGAGGTATACGGATACAAAGACGATTCGAAAAGTCATTCTATAATTGACCACGGGCCGGGCATCTGCGGGGGGCATATATAAGCAGAGTAGACGAGACGCCTAGAGCCTACTTCTGAACCAGAAACAGAAAACATACAAAGCAGCAAAGCAACGATACGCGAATAGCTAGATAGTATTAGAGATTTTATCTGTGGGTAGATGCAAAATGAAAGCACTCTCAGTCGGTTGAGTAGCGACAGTTTAAGTTGATTTCTGAGTATTTATAGTATTGAATAGAGTCATAAGATTTGCAACGTAGCTATCGACGGCGAGATCATAACAGGAAAAGCAAATGAAGACGATGAGCGTATTGGAAAGCAGCTATAGAACAGAAACACGGTTGACATATACGATATAGAGCAGCAACAAAGCACAGAAGCAGAGGAGCAAAGCAGCAGCGCAGCACAGCAGTAGAACAGCAAAGCAGTAGAGCAGACGAGCAACGATAGAGAAGTAGCCGAGCACACTCAAGCTGTGCGTAAAAGAGTCAAGGTAGATGACACTGAAATCCAGATAATACACAGGTGGAATCTTGAGCAATATGAGCTCGCAGCAACAGCGCAGAGACTCCATGACGCGTATCCGCAACAGCAGCAGCACACGAAAACAACAGAACCACAGGACGAAAGAGGACCGGTTAGTTGACAGTATCGGCCCGGATTGATGCAGAGACTTCCAAAACCGGCCGGCAGCCAAAGCACGTGCGTTGACGGCCGAAGTGGGATTTGTCAGCATTCGAGGGATTTGTGTTTTGACGGAAGCTTCGTTGTTGTCCTTCGCTGCTGCTGCGTCGTCTTCCTCTGCAGCTTTCGATCGCTTCCCTGCACATCTGATTATCGATTCAATTTCTGCAGTTTCGAGTGTACTCACAGAACAGAATGCCTATCCAGACCGTCAAGACCACGGTTTTTGAGGGCCAGAAGCCGGGCACCTCGGGTCTTCGCAAGAAGGTACGTGTATTTGTGCTGTTTCAATGCGGGCTAGCGTGGCTGCGCCAGAGCCTCGAGACGCGACGCTCCTTTGTTTCGCGGCTTCCGATCTTCTAGGAGAGCGGGAGTAGCTACTCAATTGGGACAAGAGTGATGGCTTGATTGTTTTATTGAGATGATTTGGCAGAGAAAAGACTGTTGGCAGTCGATCGACGGACGTGTCTGCTAACTATTAGTGTTTTACGCGCATAGGTCACGGTGTTCCAGCAGGCCAACTACACGGAGAACTTCATCCAAGCTATTCTTTTGTCGATCCCGGAGGGAGCAGAGAATGCTACGCTTGTGATTGGTGGCGATGGACGATTTTACAACAAGGAGGTCGTGCAGCTGATTGCGAAGATCAGTGCTGCTAATGGCGTAAGTTGACAGTGAATGGAAGACAAAGAGAAGAGGTTATTGATTCAAAAGATGTACAGGTCTCGAAGCTTATTGTTGGACAGAATGGAATTTTGTCTACACCGGCCGCGTCTCATGTGATTCGCAAAAGAAAGGCTACTGGAGGTATTTTGTTGACGGCGTCGCATAACCCTGGTGGACCCAATGCGGACTTTGGAATCAAGTACAATCTCGCAAACGGTGGACCTGCGCCCGAGTCTGTGACCAACAAGATTTTCGAGGTGACCAAGTCGATCAAGTCGTACGAGATCTCTGCGATTCCCGAGGTTGATTTGTCTACGATCGGCGAGAAGACGTACGGAAACTTGACAGTTGAGATTATTGACTCGGTTGCGGATTATGTTGCGATGCTGAAGGAGATTTTCGACTTTGAGTTGATCAAGTCTTTCCTTAGCTCGAACCCTTCGTTCAAGGTTTTGTTTGACGGATTGAGCGGAGTGACTGGCCCTTACGGAACGGCGATTTTCGTGAAGGAGCTGGGCTTGCCGGAGTCGAGTGTGCAGAACTGCGTGCCACTTCCTGATTTCGGCGGCGGTCACCCTGATCCTAACCTGACGTACGCGCACAGCTTGGTTTCGAAGGTTGACGCGGAGGCGATTCCGTTTGGAGCTGCGTCGGATGGTGATGGAGACCGAAATATGATTTATGGCGCGAATGCGTTTGTGTCGCCGGGAGATTCTGTTGCGATAATAGCGCACCATGCGGACAAGATTCCGTATTTCAAGAGCGGAGTGTATGGGTTGGCGCGCAGTATGCCTACGAGTGGAGCGCTTGATTTGGTTGCGAAGGCCAAGGGGCTGAACTTGTACGAGGTGCCTACGGGATGGAAGTTCTTTACGGCGTTGTTTGACGCGAAGAAGCTGTCGATCTGCGGAGAGGAGTCGTTTGGTACTGGATCGGACCATATTCGAGAGAAGGATGGACTGTGGGCGATTGTTGCGTGGCTGAATATTATTGCAGCGGTTGGGAAGGAGGATGCGGGAGCTGCGTCGATTGCGGCGATCCAGAAGGACTTTTGGGAGACGTATGGGCGCACGTTTTTCACGCGGTATGATTACGAGAATGTGGACAGCGAGGGCGCGCAGAAGGTGATTGACGGACTTGCGGCGAAGGTTGCGGACAAGGGTAGTTTTGTGGGTAGCCAGGTTGGATCGACGACGGTTGTTGAAGCGGACGACTTTTCGTACACGGACCTGGACGGGTCTGTGTCTGCGCACCAGGGCCTGTTTGTGAAGTTTGCGGACGGGTCGCGGATTGTTGTGCGGCTGTCGGGGACGGGCAGCTCGGGAGCGACGATTCGGCTGTATATAGAGAAGCACGAGGCGGACAAGAGCAAGATTTTTATGGACGCGCAGGAGTATTTGAAGAGTGAGATTGCGAGTGCGGTTGAGTTTCTGCGACTAAAGGAGTATGTGGGGCGTGATGAGCCGGATGTGAAGACCTGAAGACGTGAGAGGAAGAGATGAGGTGAGAGAGATGAGTTGAATTGAATTAGTTGAATTGAATTAGTTAAGTATATTACATTACTACTACATGTTATATAAGAGTAGAACAGCGGGATGGTGGAGATTGGACATATACCCGCATTGCCGCGTTGCGGGATGAAGAAGAGGACGAGAAGGAGGAGGAGAGAGAAGAGGAAAAGGTAAACAAAGCGGGCAGAGGTCCGGAGGGAGCAGGCAGCGTTGTTTGCGGGGTGCGGTTGTCGGATGTCTGAGCTGCTGAGACGATGAGCCAGAGATGATACAACAGTAGTTGCAGTAGATATATCATAGATATAATACAATACACTACATATAGCACATACACTACATACAGTACAATACAATACAACAAGACACAATTCATACAATACAATCGAATACATCTACAACCCATCCCATCCAAAAGGCCGGCCGGGGCACCTCGACCTGATTGGGTTAGGGCTCAACAGGGCCAGGGTTCCAGGCAGCAGCCAGGCTCAGTTTCTTCTTGACGATTCTTCGTTTCGATAAATTCAACTGGAGCCCCGCCTGTCCTCGATCCGACGCTCTTCACCACCTTCTTCTATATATTCGACCAACAACCACCTGCTCGCTCTCTAAACCACCATCACCATGTCTGTCACTGATGTCCTCACCCGCAAGTCCGGCGTCATCGTCGGCGACGACGTCCTCAACGTAATTGATCTCCCCTCCCCCGCCTTGCTGCTCTTCCTGCCTTGTTCTCTTCCCGACCTCCATTCTAACCCACCACCCCCGCAGCTCTTCAAATACGCCCAGGAGCACAATTTCGCCATTCCTGCTATTGTAAGTAACTTCTTCTTCCTCTTCTTCTTCTTTGATTCCAACTCTTACTCCCTCCCGATCCATCTACTGACTTCTCTCTTCTTTTTTCTCACCAGAACGTGACTTCCTCCTCCACCGTCGTCGGCGCCCTCGAGGCTGCCCGCGACTCAAAGTCCCCCATCATCCTCCAGATGTCCCAGGGTGGTGCTGCCTACTTTGCCGGAAAGGTATTACTTCCATCTCCAGATCAATTGCCTCTCTTTCTCTTCCTCACACTTTTCTCTAGGGTGTCTCAAACGCCGACCAGAAGGCTTCCATCGCCGGTGCCATCGCCGGTGCCCTCTACATCCGCGCCGTTTCCCCCTCCTACGGCGTCCCCGTCGTTCTCCACACCGGTATGCTCTTCCTCCTATTCTACTCTCTCAATCACACACTAACCCCCCAGATCACTGCGCCAAGAAGCTCCTTCCCTGGATGGACGGCATGCTCGACGAGGACGAGAAGTACTTCAAGGAGCACGGCGAGCCCCTCTTCTCCTCGCACATGCTCGATCTCTCTGAGGAGCCCAAGGAGGAGAACATCGCCATCGTCAAGAAGTACTTTGAGCGTGTCGCCCCCATGAAGCAGTGGCTCGAGATGGAGATCGGCATCACCGGTGGTGAGGAGGACGGTGTCGACAACACCGGCGTCGACAACGCCGCTCTCTACACCCAGCCCTCTGACATCTACGACGTCTACTCCGCCCTCTCCTCCGTCGGCCCCTACTTCTCCATCGCCGCCGCCTTCGGCAACGTCCACGGTGTCTACAAGCCCGGCAACGTCAAGCTCCAGCCCGAGCTTCTCGGAAAGCACCAGGCCTACACCAAGGAGCAGACCAAGTCCTCGTCCGACAAGCCCATCTTCCTTGTCTTCCACGGTGGCTCTGGCTCCTCCAAGCAGGAGTTCTCCACCGCCATCAGCTTTGGTGTCGTCAAGGTCAACCTCGACACTGACCTCCAGTTCGCCTACCTCGAGGGTATCCGCGACTACATGCTCAACAAGAAGGACTATGTCATGACCCAGGTCGGCAACCCCGACGGCGCCGACAAGCCCAACAAGAAGTACTTTGATCCCCGTGTCTGGGTTCGCGAGGGTGAGAAGACCATGTCGGCCCGCGTCAAGACCGCGCTCTCTGACTTTGGCTCGGCCGGCTCCGTCTAAATCTCTTTTGTGTAAATCTCTGCGACGTGTTTGTTAATCTTGAATAAAAATAATCCAAATTATCTTGTAGTCTTAAGAACAAGGATAAGAAGAGGCCTGGCTAATATAAGAACACCGCTTAGTCAGAATGACGTAGCTCAACCTGGAGCCTTCCGCAGATCTCGAGGCCAAAAGCACACGCGGCGCTATAAAACTGTCCTCCTCCCTCAGTTCTTGAACAGTCTCTTCACCATCCCATTCATCCATCTACAGTTCTTAGCCAAAATGACTCTCTACTACTCTCTTGTATGTCCAGGTCTACATTTTGCTTCAATCCTCTCTGATCCGCTTCTAACACCACCGGACAACCTCACCGCCGCTGCCTGCTCGGTCCTCGGCTCGAGGGTGTGATCTGAGATCCTTCCTCGTCCAGGGCCCTGCATCGCATGCCGTGGTTTGTCCTCTGCTCTACAGGTCTTTGTTCTTCTCATCACCGAGATGATCGCGTTCTTCGTGCTCGTCACGCCGCTGCCGTTCAACCTCCGTCGCCGCATGTTTGCCTTCATCTCCCAGTCAAACATAATCGAAAAGACCTCTTACACTCTCAAGGTATCACATCGTCCATCAATCTCTTGTCATCAATCTAGGCTTTCACTAACAGTATTATCTAGATCGTCTTTGCTTTCATTCTCATCCTCTTCATCGACTCCGTCAACAGAGTCTACCGCGTCCAGACCGATGTCTCCGGCAGCTCTGACGTCTCCAAATTGCTCTCCCAGGGCTCCGATAGATCTGAGATCCAGGCTCGCAAGTTTTACTCTCAGCGCAACATGTATCTCTGTGGCTTCACTCTCTTCCTTTCGCTGTATGTTTCTTTCTTATTTGATTCTTTCTCATCAGAGAGCCTCATTTGAGGATCTGCTAGAGGCACTAAACTAACTGAACCTCACAGCATCCTCAACCGTACCTACGTCCTCGTCGTCGATCTCCTCTCCGCGCAAGACAAAATCGCCCTTCTCACCCGCGACTCCCACGAGGGCACCACCGCCGTCGCCGAAGTGTCTGCCAAGGATGCGGAAATCGCCGAGCTCAAGAAGCAGCTCGGATCAAAGACCACCGATCTCGAGACCTTGAAGAAGCAGGCCGAGGGTCTGAATAAGGAGTATCAGTCGCTGGGCGATAAGGTCAACGCCAGTGCTGCTGCGCCGGGAACTAAGAAGGATAACTAAAATTTTAAATAAATATACCTGAAACATAATTGGTTTCACATCATTTTAAGTCGAGAGGGCAATTGCTTAAATCAGGATTCATTGTATTAGATTTTTATCTCACAATCCTCCAAACTTTTTCTTACAGATCATTCTCATATCTAATCTAGACTAGCCCTGCTCGTAGGCATTGCTCTTGTGCTTTGGCTGGAACTCGAAATTCTCATGACACGGTCCTAAAACCATCTCACTGATCTTGATCCAATCCCTGTAATCTCCACTACCCAACAACGTCTCGAGCTCATTCCGGCCCTTCCACTTCTCCGGCCTGTCCTGCAGTCGCGGCGGCAGAGTCTCCAGAATTCCGACCGGAACATAGCGGCACGAGAACGAGAGGAACTCGCACAGGAAGCGGCGGCAGTTGTTGATACCGTACTCGTCTGAGCCCCAGTGCTCGAGGCCGAGGTGCGCGAACCGCTTGATCATCTCAAGGCGCTCGGTCGCGGTCTTGTCGAGGTACTGCTTCGCGTCGATTTCCTCAAAGATCCAGGGCTTGATCAACGCGCCGCGGGCAATCATCACCGAGTCTACGTTGTAGTTGTCGACTGCGTCCCACCAGTCCTTCCAGGAGTAGCAGTCGCCGTTTCCGATGAACCACACCGGCGCACGCTCGGGACCGTCCTTGTTCTTGTCTTCGACCTCGTGGAAGGTATCGCGGGCGATCTGCGCAGTCTCGGAAATATACTGCCAGTCCGCCAGGCGCGTGTATCGCTGCTGCCGAGAACGGCCGTGCAGAGTGATCGCCGCAACATCTCCCTCCCTCACGAGCCTCTGGACGAGCTTCTTTGCTATCGGTGTCTTGTCTCTTGTGCCCATCCGCAGCTTGACTGTGATTGGCACCTCGCCCGAGACTGCGTTCATACCCTTGAGCATCCGCAGCATCTTGGTTTGCGCGTCGAGCAGCGCCGACCCGGCTCCAGACCGGTAGACGAGATCGATCGGGCACCCGCAGTTGAGGTTGATCTCCGACAATCCTCCTGCGCTCACTTCGCAGTACTCGACGAGCGCCTCGGTCGCTTTGATTGCCTGCCACGGCTTCGGCGCCGCAATCTGCACACCAAACCCGCCGATCTCGTCCGTGTGCGTGCGCGGCAGCGCCCACTCGGGCTTCGTGCCTTGCAGCAGCGGCAGCGCGAGCGCCATCTCCGAGTACGTCACGTTCGCGCCAAACTCGCGGCACAGTCGACGGAAGGGCAAGTTTCCGACCGTTGTCAGCGGCGAGAGGATTTTGGCGTGCGAGTAGTTTAGTCGTTTTTTCTCGCCGGGCTTGATTGGTGCCTCGATGTACGTGGCCGCGTTATCGGCTCGCTCCTCGTTCGTCATCGGGACGCCGCCGTTGCCGCCGTTTCGCGCGATGTTGTCTTCTTTGACTGATTCTAGATAGGGCAGGATCAGATCAGATTTCGGGGTTGGGAATTTCTTGCGCTGAAGAAGGAGTTGCTCGGAGCGATCGATCCGGTTCATCTCTCGTCCTGCCGCCGCTTTCTTTGCCTCGTCTACTAAACTCTTGTTACTCTCTTTGCTCCAGTGCGAGTACATCCAGCGGCATTTGACGCCGGCGGGACAGTACCCGATTGCTTCGTAGACTGGACATGTTCCCGAGAGATCTTCTGGCTTTGAGGCAATGTACTTTGAAAGATCATGCTCATATTTGCACCTAAACAACTAGTTAGCCACTATACGGATGTGCTATATCACAACAAGAAAGACATACTGATCGCCATGTGAGCAAACCCCTCCGTCCTTGATCGCCTCGCACAGTCGAATCACGTCATGAGCTTTCCCAAACTTGCGGTTCTTATTCTGTCCGCGTTCGCGCTTCTGCCGACGCGAGGTATCCTCTCGTCCGTTCAGCTCGGACTCGTCGTCGTTGTCACGGCTAGGCACGGTGTCCGTGACTGTGTAGTCTGATTTCGGCACGCGGAATCTAGGATTTGTGGTCAGAAGGCTGAATAATGCTGGGGTAGGAGAGTCGACTTACTCTGCCTTCACGCGGGCGATTCCGTGATCTCTTGCGTCTCGCGCGTCGATTTTGACCTCTTGAGTCTCCGTCTGTACCTCCTCGCCAGTCTTTCCATCGTCCTCGATCTTTGCCTTCTTTGCAACAGGCGCTTCAACCATTATACCGTTAGCTCTCCATTAAACTACTACCACCGACTCTGATTGAAAGCAACTTACCCTCTACCACAGACACAGCTACCTCACCCACTGGCGCAGCGACAGCCGGGTCCGGAGACAATGCACGTTTCTCATTCGAGCTGCTCATCTTGACTAGACTGTAATCCTGCCTTTGCTCCAGAGTGAAATCCAGCAGTTATCAACCTGAAGATCTCCCAAATTTATGAGATTTTTTTCTTCATTTTTGGGAATTTCTTGTTAGTCTCGTCTGCGGCTCACTGAATCTTATTGACTAACCCATGACTAAGCGGAATACCCTTCAAGCCGCACCACGCTTCTTCCAACTGAGATGTCTTGACCGGACTACGAGCCAGATATCCCAGGCCTGCGTCCCCATCTCGTCAGCTCTTCAACTCACAAGCCACGGCTATTTGCTAGGGGTTACTTGAAAATAGTTTTGTAATGGCTACGCAGCAACAGCGACTTAGCTCGGAGAATAGACGACGAGGCGTGTCGCCTGCTCCGGAGCGGGTTTCTCTCGGTCCTTTGGAAGTCCCGGCGCCGTCTTCTACAGAGTACTCTCCCCTTTCTCTCTGTCTTGTTGGATCTGGTTGAGTGAAGAGTTGTATATACTAATTCTGGTGCGTATAGGTTTTCTGCGCAAGCGAAATCGATACAGACGCCGTCTGCGGAGGCGCCGCTGAGTCTGCAGGAGTACATCGAGCCACGGATATTCAAGCAGCTTCCGTCAATTGTGAGTTTTCTCCCACTACAACATTTATCTTTTTTAGAGAATGCAGGCGATTAACGTGCTGCTGTGATTTAGTTCTCGGCCGTGCCTACAATCACGTACGGCGACCTCGCGACATTCTCAACCATCTCCCTGATCTCGCGGCCGACGCTGTTCACAATTGCCTCGCTCACGCAATCAATGCTCATCAAAGCGATTCCCACAGACTACAACCGCATTCTCCACCTCTGGGCATTACGCATCGCCTCTGTGTCATTACTCGGCTTCCCCGCGATAGCCGAGAGCGAAGCCCACGCGCTCATCGAGCTCAACACGAACGAGAACTTTCGGACGAAATCCGGCGCGTCGATTATCCCCTGGGGATTGAGAGTGCTTGTGATTAAAGTGCAGACGCAGCAGCATCCGCAGGTCGGGGTTGTGAAGTACTATGCGTTGGCGCGCGAGGCGAGGGTTGAGTGCTGGAAGCTTGCGAATAAGATTGCTGCGAGGAAGGGAGCAGGAGCAAAGGCGGAGAAGAAAGCTGCAGCTGACGACGACGGGGAAGATAAACCGAGCGAGACCAGCACGAAAGATGAGACCGAGGTCGCACCAGCAAAAGCTGTACTTACCGACGCCGACGACGACGACGAAAACGACGCAGAGACAACGCTCGAAGACCTAGAATCCCAGTACTCATCCTGGTGCGACCGCCTCTTACAATGCGGCCTCTTCGTCTCCTCGATGCTCTCGCGCATGCGCGACTTTGGCGCCGCGTTCGACCATATCTCTGCCATGCTAGATTCGGCAAAGACCGAGCACGACCGCACGCGCGTGATCCAGATCATGGCACTGCTCTGCGTCGAGGCCGGGGACGCGAGTCGCGCGAGCGAGTGGTTTGCGCAGTTGCCGAATTTTACTGCGGATCCGATTCTCGATACGCCGACGACGGAGATCAAGAACGCTGTTGCTGATGCGGTGCTTGACGATAGTCTGCCGTCGGCAGCAGCAGCGACCCCTGCTATCAACATCGAACCCGCCGCCGCAAAGTCGCCTACCTCACCTACGTCCCGCCCCGCGCCAGCAGAACGAGACGCCTTGTTCGACAACAACCCGAGCTCCCCCACTACGCTTCCCTCCCCCGTTTTTTCCTCAATCTCAACCTTCCCTTCTCCTGCCCCAACCCCCGCCACCGCATCTTCTTCCGCAACTCAGCCACAAGACTCCTTATCCTCCACCACGACAGCAACATCGTCATCGCCCTCGCCGGCGCAGTCAATCACGTCCACGATCGCCGCGCCCCGCGTCAAATTGACAGATCAGCCGTCGAGCCAAATTGACAGTAGCAGCAAATGCAACCTCGCAATCGCAAACCTGTACGATGGAAACATCGACATGGTACTTCCCCCCCATCCCTCTTTTCCTGCTCTCTGCTTTAACGTAGCTAACATCATCATTCTCAGGCGCGAAATACGCTCTCGGAATTGCTCTCTACAGGGTACAGATTCACTGATCTGGTCTACAACTTTTGCGTCTTTTGTAACCTCAAGACCGAAATCGACCGCATCGCTCAGTTTAAGTGAACGAACTGATGAGAAATGTATTAACTACTTTGTTTGTTGCGTTTTGGGTCAGTTTTTTGGTTGCATTCGTTTGGTTAGCAATAGAATTCTCTACACCTGGCGGAGGACCTCTTCCACACCTGAGTTGCGATCTACACCTCTCACAGAGACAATAATGCATTTTCGCACTTCACTAATCGACAGAAACAATAAAAAACACAGGAAATACATAATAAGGAGCGTGTATATAACCAAAAATTATCACCTATCATTAAAAGAGATGTTCCAGACCGCCTGCGGCTGCAATCTGTACATCTTATCTTCATCAAAATGTCAAATATTCAAAACAAAAAAACTCAAAATGGAATACCAAAATACTAATAAATGAGTGACTATCGCGGACCTTCGTCGTCCAAACAAAAACTTTCGATTAGCGTCAGTTTCTTCTCTTTCTAAAGAGTACTGCAATGGCAGGACATGCTGCTCAACTAAATCGTCTGCAGAAAGTTACTGGGTGCAAGACCCAGCTGCGGCCTAGCTCTGGGTCCCAAAACCTCCGCCTCCCACCATCCGTCCTCCTGCATCAACAAAACAAGCATGACATCGCCCTTACGGAAGCTGACCTCCTCAGGAATCATAGCTCTGTAGTCATACAAAGCGCGCGCGTAGGCAATAGCCTCTCTTCCGTCTCGCGAGTACTGCGGAAGCTCGCCGGGGACGGGGTGTCGCACGTCGAGAGCCGACTTGCTCTTTGGTCTTTCGTAGGCAGCCTGGTTGCCGCCCTGATATCCGCCTCTAGGAGAAGCATCTTGCTGGTACTGACGAGACACCGGACGTTGCTGCTCAGGATGAGGCGAAACGCCTCTTGGGCTGTTTTCGTACCCGCCAGCCCGAGAGCGCGCCCGGTTCTGCTCAGGACTATACTGATTGGGAGATTCATACGCAAACGCAGAGCGGGGACGGCCCATCATTTGTGGACCGGGTGATGCAGAGCGCGAGGCAGCTCCCGCATGAGCTGCAGGACTTCCTCCAGCGTAAGGACCTTCTCTTCCGTAATCCGGTTCTGCACGCGATCGCGAACGGTACTGTTCTTGTTGCTGAGGCGACTGCTGCTGACCGTATCCCGGTGCTCCACGACTCATTGGTCTATTGAACTGCGACTGAGAAGAAGGTGGTCTCTGCTGCTGAACGGGACGCTGCTGAACAGGGCGTTGCTGGGGAGAGTATCCGCCCAAGGAAGACTGGCTTTTAGCATGGCGCGGTTGGGGTCCACTGCGACTACCTCCTTGGAACATCTCTTGAGTCTTGGAGGTATACTCAAGGGCAGTATCACGCATCTCCTGAGCGGTTATAACCTGAGCAGGAGGAACCAAGCTGGACTGCTGGGGCGCTGCGGAGAAATCAGGCTGCCTCATGTGAGATGGAGGAGGTGCTCCGTTAGCACTGCTCTTAACCATGTTGTTTTGGGGGCTCGTCGGAGCAGAGTACGACGGTACTCGATGTCCTGCTCCACCTCTGGCTGGCTTGCCGTTCCCGAGTCCGTACTTCTTCTCTGCACGTAGCTGACTAGCGGGCATCTCACCTCCCTTCAAATTTGCCAATGCTGCTGCAATAGGATCCTCATCGTCTGCATCTTCAAGAGTGGGCTGCTTTGCAGATTTCTTGCTGCTCGGATCAACATCAAACGCGTTTTCTCCTACAGACAACACGTAACGTGCTCTAGGATCTGAATTCTCGTACTGATTGTTTCCAGCGGCAGGCGAGTTTCTGCTATTCATCTGCGAGCGAGCAGCAACAGGCGTGACCTTGGACTCTGAACGACTGTGTCCAAAAGAGCTCGAGCCGTACTTGTCTGGCGAACCATAAGGAGTGCCGGTCGCTGACTTAGCCGGAGACGGGCTGCGGGATTCCAAGTTTGTGCGTGACTTTGAGAACTGACCTGCTCCATACGGCGAAGAAGAAGTATTAGGCTTGATATAGTCCTGATCGTCCAAGTCATTTTGAAGATCCATCTTGCTTTTGCGCTTGAAAGGGGATGTCCATCCGCCTCTTTTCTTCTTCTCAGCAGTTGGAGTTGGAGTCTGGTCCAACATGCTTGCCGCGTCAGGTTTGGCTTTGGTAGGAGTTGAAAGCTCATTCTCAGAAGATGAAGAAACAGTGGTTGCATGCGAGAAGCTGGAGTCGCCAGAAGGACTTCTTCCACGGTGAACGGGAGAGCTATGCGCACTCGAAAGCGCCTCTTCAGGATACTGAAGGGTCGGTACTCTCTCCATCACATTACCAGCGACAGATCTGGTATTGTCTGCAGCCGCGTAGGGACTATCGTCACCAGCCTTAACTGGTGTGCGATTACCCGCAGAAGCGGGAGAGGAGACAGAAAGCGAGGCAAGCATAGCGTCGATCTGGTTCGATTGTGATCGGACCATTCCTGACTTGGTGTTCTCACTGTCCTCGAGTCTGTGGTCGGCGGAGACCTCGAGATCGCTCGATCTGTACTGGAGATTTGTTTGTCTTGAGAACTGCGCGAGAGTGTAGTTGTTGGTCTCCATAGAGTAAGCGCTGCTTCCGTCCATGAAGTTGATATACTTTGGCGAGTCAGGAATCTCCTGACCAGTAGCTCTTTCCCTGACGAAGGCAACAATGTCTTTCTCAACGTCGCACCGCTCGAGAGAGACGCGAATGTTCTCGCAGTACTCGTCATCACTGACACACACAGTCGAGATGATATTTGAGAACGCCCAGATGTTGGACTTCAAAAAATCAATTCTCTCTTCCTCAAGGTCCTGGAACTTGTCGCAACCAGCCTTCCACTCACGATTCCACTTCTCAATCGTCTCGCTCAAGTTGCGCAACGAGGCCTGGTAATCTCTTCGGGACGCATTAACAGCAACCTGTGCTTTTTCCAGCTTGGCGTTGTTCTTTTCCAACTCGCGCCCCATAAGCATATTCTGCTGCGCAATATATCCATTGATCTTGTTGCAGTCATTCTCATAGCGATCCCGGTTCTTAGCCACGTTTGCCTGCTGGGCGAGTTTGGCTTTAAACAGCTTCTCAAGCGTACCCTGGACAATCTTTCGCCGCTCACGCATGCCGGCCGAGAAAGTTGTAAGAGGCTCGTCGAGTTCGGTGCGAAGCTGGAGACTGCTGTTATGATGCGCTTTTCCCATCTGCTCGGTCTCGAAACGCAGAGTGTCGAGCGAGGAGCGGAGGCTTCCGATTTCATGCTGTCCAAGGGGCTTACGTGAAAGAGCTAGAAGCTTGCGGGAGTACTCTTCTTCGATTGCGGTTCTGTCAGGACAGAGTTAGTAGACGATTAGATGTATATCAATTGGAGGAAACAGCACTTACCGTTCTTTGTAGAACGACTTCAATTCTTCACAAGTTTGTTTAGCTTCTCTCATACGCTGAAAGATCACACTGACCCCTTTCTCCTCCACACCCTAAATAAAGTAAAGACAGGCGTTAGATCCGGCAGGCACGATGATCCTCGGACGTTTTGCTATGACCTACCCAGAAGTTATTGGAGAAAGAAAGCGGCACAGAAGGGGGTGCATCGTTGGCCATTGTGAATGTCGATAGCCTCAGTTGGCGGATGTATCAACAAAAAGGGCAATGAACCTGCTTCCGCTGGCCTACTTCTGTTCAAAGCAGAGAATTCCCGATTCAAAGGAAGGAAAGGACCACAAAGAGGCAGCCGTGTTCGGTTAAGAGCAGCAGGAGATCGAGACGAAGACTGTGAAAGCAGCAGCAATAGATGCGAGTGAAGAAAGCAAGGGTGCTATCACAGGCTTGCGCGGCACGAGGGGACCAAAACAGGGTTTGGCAGGCCGGGCCTTTGTTTACCAACTCATCATCTTTCGGAAAAGGTAAACAGACTGTTAAATTGAGTTTCGTTGCCACAACAACCGCACAAATCTGACATCCGGGTAAGGGTCTTAATTGGAAATCTGATTTCGTCGCGCGCGCTACGCCAAAAAGTGGACAAAACCGACGCGCGCATCTTGTTCTCTCCTTAATCTGACACACTTGCGTCTGCGTTTCCTGCGTCGTAACGATTTCTGTAGTGCTTTTGAGAGAGAGAAGCTCATATTTGCGATCATGTCTGACCGAAGTTCAAGAAGAGTGAGAATTGTACGCGACTCCAACTATTAACGCGAGATGAAGCTACGACTACGCGTCTTTCTGTTCTCCCGCAGACGCGGATCATCCCGCCAACTACCATCATCAGCAGCATATATTCTAACTTTTTTATGATTAGGCGGACGACATTGCAACAGGCTCACAGCGACGTAAGCGGTCACGAAGAAGCGACGCTACGGATGTATCCCTTATTTCTGACGACGACGACAACAACAACGACGAAAGCTATAACGAGAACGGGGAAGATGCGGCGGTTGATCACGCAGAGCGCGAGAAGAAGGATGAAATTACGCGACTGGCGAAGAAATTGGTGAAACTGGCGCTCGAATTTGAGCATAAACGGACCCCACTTCGAAGAAGTGTTATCAATGACAACGGTATCTTACAACATGGAATTATTGCCAACATATCTTGTTTACTGACCTGATTATGTCCTACAGTACTTGACAAAACAAATCGACGCTCGTTTTCGGCCGTGTTCAAAACAGCTCAACAGATGCTGACCGACATTTTTGGCATGACAATAACCGAGCTTCCCACCCGTTCAATCTCACAGCGCCCAGCCGCCGGCAAGAAGAGAACGCGAGTAGTCCCGGACCGGAAACCGGCGCAAAGCAACAAATCATATATCATAACCTCGACCCTGGATCCCGCGTTTCAAAACCTCGACTGTCTCAAGCCTATGAACCAAGGAGAGAAGATCTACAACGGGCTTGCGATGACTGTATGCACAGTCTTGCACCTCCATGGCGGCAAACTTCACGACAACGAGCTGATGAGATACCTACGCATTCTCAAAATCGGGAGCTACACTCCTTACAACGACGAGCGGACAACAGAGCTTTTGAATCTGATGCTGAAGCACCAATACCTCGAACGGGAAAAGGACACCGAAGCAGAGCAACTAGGCGCAGAAGAGCAGAGCTTTACGTATTTCGTCGGGCCCCGCGCAAAAGCTGAGCTTTCGCAGGACGCGGTCCTGGATTTTATCATTCGCATCTACGGCGAGCATGCACCCAGAGATCTGCGCGATCGTGCCCTGCGTGCGCTTAGGAGTTCTCGCGATGACGGGTACGACGAACCTGCTCTTGACGAGGAGGACGATGCTATGGTCAGTATGACATTACCATCCGTTGGCTCATTGGATGCGAGAAACAAGCCAAAGAAACGGTTGAGTAAGAAGGATCGCCTGGCTGAACTCGCACGCGACGACAATGACGATACCATTGATGGCCTACAAGAAGACATCAGTGATTCCGACGACGATGATGAGGAGGAGGAGGAGGAAGACGAAGATGAGGATGAGGACGACGAAGATGAGTGATGAAGACAACTCACAGGAACGTTACCTCAGCAATATACTACACACTACACTTCATTTACAATACAATCTACGCTTCAAGAGATTATAGAAAAACAAATATATTACGGCTCGGGAGCTAAATCGCCCTCGCTCCTAACAATTATTTCCCTTCCATCACGCTAACATAACAAACAACCGATAAACCCAGTACCGATTTTTTATTTATTTCTTGGAGGCCTTGATGGCAGCCTTGGTGACCTTGCCGGCACCGACGACGGACTTGTCAACGGACTTGATGACACCGACGGCGACGGTCTGTCTCATGTCACGGACGGCGAAACGTCCGAGGGGAGGGTAGTCAGTGAAAGCCTCAACGCACATGGGCTTGGAGGGGATGAGCTTGACAATAGCAGCGTCACCAGACTTGATGAACTTCGGGTTGTCCTCCATCTTCTTTCCGGAACGACGGTCGATCTTCTCGACGAGGGTGTCGAACTTGCAAGCAATGTGGGCGGTGTGGCAGTCAAGAACTGGGGCGTATCCAGCACCGATCTGGCCAGGGTGGTTCATGACGATGACCTGGGCGTTGAAGGAAGCGGCACCCTTGGGGGGGTCGTTCTTGGAGTCACCGCAGACGTTTCCACGACGGATCTCCTTAACGGAAACGTTCTTGACGTTGAATCCGACGTTGTCACCGGGGAGACCCTCAACGAGCTGCTCGTGGTGCATCTCGACGGACTTGACTTCAGTGGTGACACCAGCGGGGGCGAAGGTGACGACCATACCGGCCTTGATGGTACCGGTCTCGACACGGCCGACGGGAACAGTTCCGATACCGCCGATCTTGTAGACATCCTGGAGGGGAAGACGGAGGGGCTTGTCGGAAGGACGGACAGGGGGCTCAATGGCATCGATGGCCTCGAGAAGGGTCTTGCCCTTGACGACACCGGAAGCCTTGGTCTCCTTGACCCATCCCTTGTACCAGGGGCAGTTGCCGGAGGGCTCAATCATGTTGTCACCGTTCCAGCCCGAGATAGGGACGAAGGGAACGGTCTTGGGGTTGAAACCAACACGCTTGATGAAGTTGGAGGTCTCCTTGACGATCTCCTCGTAACGGGCCTCAGACCACTTAGTGGTGTCCATCTTGTTGATGGCAACGATGAGCTGCTTGACACCAAGGGTGTAGGCAAGAAGAGCGTGCTCACGGGTCTGGCCATCCTTGGAGATACCAGCCTCGAACTCACCAGTGCCGGCAGCGATAATGAGAATAGCGCAGTCAGCCTGGGAAGTACCAGTGATCATGTTCTTGATGAAATCACGATGTCCGGGGGCATCGATCACGGTGACGTAGTAGCGAGGAGTCTCGAACTTCCAGAGAGCAATGTCAATGGTGATACCACGCTCACGCTCAGCCTTCAACTTGTCCAAAACCCAGGCGTACTTGAAGGAACCCTAAAATTTTCAAAAAATGACGTAAGCAATCTGTCCACCCACTATAAAAATATAGTTTCAGAAAATTTTCCATACCTTTCCGAGCTCAGCAGCCTCCTTCTCGAACTTCTCGATGGTACGCTTGTCAATTCCACCGCACTTGTAGATCAAGTGACCGGTAGTGGTAGACTTGCCGGAATCGACGTGGCCGATAACGACGACGTTAACATGAGTCTTCTCTTTTCCCTGTAGAGTGATGGTGATTAGTATGTGTTGGGTGAAGATGATAATATTTTGATTCCCATAAACAAGAATGATAGAAAGAGCAGAGAGAGAAGCAACAGCAAGACAAGAGAAGACAGGAAGGAGTAAGATCGCTACCTATCACCTTGTGTTGCTATGAATCGCCACCGCTCCATCCTATCACTCAACCCGATCAGGCCCCACAAGGGAGCTAACCGGACAGGAAGAGAAGGAGAAGAAGAATAACATACCATTTTGATTTATTTGTATATAAAGTAGTAGATTATAAAGTGAAAAATGTCCAGATGACTATGCAATTGATAAGTCGGTGTGGGCAGACAAGGAGAAAAAAGGGAAAGCAGGAAAGGCGGGCGGCAGAACTTATATATTGGCTTGGACCTGCGCTCGCAAAAAATTTTTTTTGCTTACAGCTGAGAAAGTTAACCGCCAACCCTGACGCCGCGACACGGAGATTCGACACGCCACTAAGCCGTAACAGGCAAATCGTAATCAGCACCGCAGCGGACTCATGGTCTCGCGGCCGTGCTGGCGAGAGCACTACGAGACTATCCCTTCACCAGGCCGCACTGCAAACAGCAGATATAGAGCATTTATACAGCAGCATACAGAGATCGAGCAAGGCGGGAGGGCAGCGGCCAGAAGAGGGCCTGGGTGTGACTGTCTTTCTGGACGTGTAGGGTTACATCTAACCCTAATACGACGCGAGATCGGCTACCTACCTTGCTGGGGCTAGCGAGACGCACGCGCGACAGAGGAGTCGACGCGGTGCTATCTCCCAGACTGGCTCATCCCACCTGTTGAGAGCGCACGCCGCTGACGCAGAGAGCAGGGAGACAAGCAGAGCGGAGCAGAGAAGGAAGCAAGAGCGGTGCCGATCTCGCAGCGTATTCTCTTCTCTTCCTGTCCAACTGTCTGTCTGCTTGGCAGTTGGCAGTGCGCCGTGTGCCACCTTCTAAGAGCGCTGCGAGGCAGGACCGACTGAGTCTGCAGAAGCCGGGAATAAAGCAGAGACGTGGCCATTGAACGGTGGCGAAAATCAGGGGCTTTTTTATTTTTTTTTATTTGAGCGCAGAAGAAGAAGAGCAGCGAAGAAGAGAAGGCTCCGTGCACGCTGATGGCTAATCTCCCAATGACCTTAACTCTCTGCTCTCCCTGCTCTCCCTGCTCTCCCTGATCTGCAGCGCTGCTGTCTGTCTGCTCCCCGTAGTCTTCTAGATCTGAAGTTGTATGGACATTACATCATTATCTTACGTCTCTCTGCACTGTCTGTGTGTCGTCAGAGATACTTCTCTCTAAATCTAAATCATCAGATCAAATCATGTCTAGATTATTCATTATATGCTCGAATACCCACATGCTGATCTCACCCACACTCCCACACTCCCACTTCACCGGTATGTTCACTGGTATGACCGCGCCGTAGGCTTCTCCTGCGCAACCATCTCCGGCCCCCATCCCGACACCTTGCGGATCAGCGAGAAGAACGCGTTCACAAACGCATGCACATACGGCACCCGCCTCCGCGACACCGCCAAAAAGTAGACACTTAGCATCACAAACACAATCAATGCAAACATCCCAAACGGTCCCAGCGTATCTGCTCCTCCGCCCTGCGATCCGGCCTTTGCGCACGCGTGTGGTGTCCGCGCTTCAAAGAAATATGCGCACTCGTGCACCTGCGCGATGAACTGCAGCTGAATGTCCGTCAGCAGCTCGCGGTCGCACACAAGCGTGATAATCGACGACTTGCGCAGATCCTGTGCTTTAGGACATGGTGAACCGTCACTGTACTCGAGCACTAGCTTACGTCCCCGGAACGCAGGCGGCTGCGCAACCTCGCCGATCGAGAACTTCTCGCCCTTCTCCGTCGTGTAGTATGCCGACACATTCGAAACCTCTTTGACGCCCATGATGTCGGTCGGAGGAGCCAGAACCGGCGCACAAATGTTCATAGTAAAATTGTTGCCATAATCGTGGCCGCGGATATGGAAATCAGATCTACACGTAGCCATGTTAGCAACCAGCAGCCCTTCAAACCCATTCAATTGAGCAATATTAAAGTCTCAACATACTCATGAACGCCCTTTTCCCGCGATAGTTTACTCAAGTCGTAGAAGTTTCCTGTTGTCTTTGAAATCGCTGTGCAGAACGGGACACTCTTCTTCGCCGATGCGCTCTGGCTCTTGTCGTTTGCGCTCTTCTCGCCGGCTTGCGCGTCCACCGCTGCTGCGTCGGCAATAAGTGGTAAAACCAGCAAGAGCAGGCCGACGACCATATACGCCGTCAGCTGTGAGATTCTGCTTCTCCGTTCCATGACTGTGGTTCTGATTTGTGTTTGGTCGTTCGTTTCGGTTTGCGATTCGGAGGTCGCTGTGGAGCTGTACGTATAGATGCTGTAACAAGGCTGCGGCCTTTTAAATCGAGCTCTGTCGCGTGCTTACAAGGTGTTCCTGATCGAATGAGCCGTACTCTGCACGCTGCTGCTCAACCGAAGCAAAAGAAGAAAGCCAGCAAGTGACCTACACCACTGACTGCCAGAATACAAAGCAAAACCTGCAATACAGCGATCGGAACGAGGGAATTGGAGGTGAGCAGCTTTTTATGCACTCTGGCTTTTGGTCGTCCTGAGAAGCTGGATCGCGTCTGCGGCAGCACCCTCGCAGCCATTCCATCCTATTCCGGCTAGTTCAAACGCTAATTCTGCTCTTAGGGCTCCCCACCATTATCGACCTGTCCAGCGATCAACACTCCCAATCTATACCCACCGCTACGCCTTGATCCAGTTATCTGGTATTTCAAACGGCCTCCACATTCCCGGCCATTGACCTTCATGACATGGCGGACCAATCGTTTTTAGAGGCATTGAACCGAGATGCGAGTTTGAAAGAGTCCATAAACCTGTATATCGGTCAGTATCATTGTCCAGAGTATCTGGTACCGCGCTGCTATAGGTGCAAGTCACATGTTAACAACAGTAATATCGATCTTCTAGCCCAACATCCGGACTCGAGCGACCTTTTCTCGCGTATCGTATCATTCTTCGCCTCTTCGTCTGCATCAGAAGATCCAGCGTCGAAAAAGCGAAAGCTGGAGGACACAGGATCGGTGCAATCGACCACCCCTTCATCTGATCCCCTGCTCTACATCCCAGCCATCTCGGTCTCGTCTCCTCAGCGCAAGAAGCTCTCGCTGGCTTTTTTCCAAGACCGCTTCATACTCGCTGCCTCGTCGCCAACCCCGGATCTATCTCCTTCTAAAATCATCTACTCGGCTGATATACCAGGCGGCATCAGTAATTTCTTCGTGTCCGAGACGCCTGGGCGGGCAACAAAGACATACACCTACATCATCCTCCCTAGCTCAAATCCAGATGCACCCACCTCATTTTCGGAAGCAGTCGTCTTCGTCACGCCCGAGACGGTCGCAGGCTTCCAAGGCAAAGCCGTACCTGCGATTGCCGACACACCAGCGCACATCTTCCTGAGCTCGTTCTTGGAGTCCAAGCTACACATCTCACCTCTCGATAAACGCAACGAGACATTCTATGTCGACGCGCACCGCGGCACGAAAGATGGATACCTGTTTTTCACACCGTCCGGTATACTCTTTGGCTTCAAAAAACCAGTGTGGTTCGTCCCTATCGACCTCATCGACTCGGTCTCGTACTCATCCATCACACGCGTCACCTTCAACCTCACCATCGCCGTCGCGTCATCGGACGACCCCTCCGCCGGCGGCGTTTACGAAGAAGTCGAGTTCAGCATGGTCGATCAAGAGAACTACTCGCGCATCGACGAGTACGTCCGGAACTGGCGGTTGAACGACCAGTCGATGGCGGAGGAGAAGCGCGAAAAGAGAATGCTAAAGTCGCAGAACGCCGACAGCGAGAACGGATTTGAGTTGATCAAGGCCGAACAAGAATGGAAAGCAATCACGGGCGAAGAGGGAGATGATGAACTAGAACAGGCGCCTGGGATGTACGATGACGAAGACGATGATGACGAAGAGGACGAGAATTTTGAGGCGAACTCGGATGACGACGATGGCGGGTCGCCTAGCGCTAGTAGCGATGAGGAGAGCGACAATGATAACAACTAGCTAGTATTTAGACCTGCCCCTTCTCTCCTAATGTACGATACTTCCTACGCTCGTAAATATTCGTTAAAATGAAGATAAAATTATTACTCCTCCAACTAAATGGCGTACTGTAAACCCGGACAAAAAATGCGACGCGCGCGCAACTCTGAATATGAAAAGATGAAAAAAAGAATCATACAAAATACTAAAGAAATAGCTTCAATATATATACAAAGATCGAAAGATTATCACCGCCAAATTACTGTATTAGAATCTTCGTATCTTGTTTCACCAAAAGCCATATTCAAACAGCTTTCTTTTTCTCGCTCTCTCTCTACCTCTCTGACTTTGGCAGCTCGGAATCAATTCGGGTCTTCTAGCTTGATACTAGACAGATCAGCGTTATTCGCCAAAAACTCGTCCCAATTCGAAAGAAAGTCCGAGCCTCCTGCAAGCTCGTCACCACCAGCTGCCCCGCCGTCTGCCGTCGTTAGCGGTTGCCAGGCCTGCTGTTGCTGCTGTTGCGGCTGCGGCTGCGGCTGCTGTTGCTGCCGTTCTCGTTGCACCGCTGGCTGTCTCTGCTCTTGTGGCTGCGGTACAACCTGTGGGATATCCGGCGACGTCTCTTGAGGCTTTTGATCACCGTACGTATATGACGGGAAATATCGACCAAACATCTGCGCTTCGAGCTTGTCGGACGCGTACTTTTCCGTACTCGGAATCAAGCCGTCGAGAGACAACCCGTCGTAGCTCGAGAAATCGGCCGTGATATCGTTGACGGGAGCCGGCGCCTGCGCGTCCGCCGAACTGTTCATCGGTGGAGCCATCGACTGGCCCATCATCGTCTCGTCGCCGGATTGAGCAACATCTCCCAGAGATGGAAAGTACAAGGTAGTGTCAATATTCGACGACGTGAACGTGCTCATCTCTGAGATATCCACATCCAACGGTCCAGGCTGCTGCGGGCTGTAGTTCACGGCGTTCTTGTTCATAGAGTCGGTGTACATGAGGAAGTCGTCGTACGAGCCCTGATTCATCGACATATTGTCAGGCGAGGACATTGTAAGATCGGCGGATTGGGACTGGTCAAATACCGGGAAAGTATTTGAGTGTGAGAGACCCCGCATAGGACTATCGTCCGAGCCACCGGTGGGCATCTGAGCAGTCGGCGACTCCGCAGGGCCCCGCGCCGGCAGTTTGAGGTCGGCTGGGAACCGAGGGACCGGATTACTACTGTGAGGTTGCTGCTCGTAAACCGACAACGGCAGCAGAGGAGGAGCGGATGATTGACGCGAAGACGACGACGCCATAGCAGCAGAAGAAGCAGACGGCACAGATTTCTTCTTTGACTTGTCGCTCGAGTTTGACGTCATCGAACTAGTGCGCTGCTTGGGCATAAACACCCCTCCTGATGCTGTAGACCCTTGCTGCTGTTGGGCGTTGTTTCCAAATCGCATCATCGACGGCTTTGCAAATGTCCGCTGGATCATCGTACCACTGGCAGTTCTGTACAACGGCTGGCCGTCGGTCTGTCGCTTGCGCTTGGTATCTTCTTGGTGCAGAATATTGTTCACTCCGATGGTAGCCATGTGCTGGTCTAGGAGCTGGAAGAGACCTGACAGCAGCTCATATGTTCGAGCTGCAGCCGTGCTGCGGCCCTTGAGGTGGTTGATGACAGTCTTGCCCAGTTCAGCATCGCGAAGAAACTCCTTGACATGGGGATTATAAGGATCTTCGTGTACATAGTAAACTAAGACCGCGGCGGAGAAGAAGATAGTATACACGCTGAAGAGATGGGCACCTCTCAGTACGTCTCTGCGGATCAAATCATCGGCCAAGTGTACGACAATTCTGGCGGTAGAGATGCAGTTTGCAGCACACGCATACGGCCGCTGATCCGTCATCGAGCTGCGGTACTTCTGACCGACGTAATGTATAAATGGCCGATAGAGAATGATTTTGACATAGCAGAACGCCATATTGAGCAGCCTGTTGGCTTGCAGCCACTGTGGCGGAGGTTCGACACCAGGTCGAAGTTCCATCGGCAACGCATCAAGCCACGTCTGCAAATCATTTTCGAGCTCCACGACCTTGGCGTAGCTGACGCTGTTGGCCGGACGTCCCTCTTGAGCTGCTGCAGAGCGGAATTTGACAGGATACACATCCTCCACGATGCGTGTGAGAATGGCCATCAGTTTTGTGTGCTGGTTACCAACAGTTTGCTTGGCCATCGTACCCACAGGATGAGGTAGGATCTTTGTCTCTGTGATGTATTCGTCATCGATCTCGAGCGGTTGCTCTTGATCAATTTCATCCTCAGAGATGCAGCGTGGCAGACCCAGCATCGCAGAAATATGAATATCCATCTTATATATCGCCCAAAACAACCGCTTGCGAACCTCGGCCTCGATGGGGTTAAACCGATATGATACCTTCCTATGTAGTCCTAGACGAAGGGCCGCACGCAAGGCGACGCCGATATAGGAGTAACATGTCGAGAGGCGAGCAGTTGTCTGTAAGAAGACCACCATCAGCCCGACAGCCTGGATAGCATCAGTATCACGGGCGTCGGTAATGTCCATCATATTTCTGGCGGCGACAAAGTACATGTAACCTTCTGAGAAATCAATCATCTCATCTGATGAAGGATCCCGTGTATCTCTGCCGAACAATACACCGACCGCCAGATAGCAATAAACAAGAGGCAGAAAGCTGATCTGGGTGGGCGTGTAGTCATCTGGATCTGTGGCATATAGCTCCTCTACTCGTCGAGTAAAGGATGGTCGATGCGCAAAATGCGTAATGATAAAAGCCTGGTCGTAAACGGCGTTGATGTATGTGTCGGCCACTTCTTTCGAAGGTAATATAACTTTGAACTCGGCCATTTGCTGGTAGTAGTATAGATCAGAAGGAGAGTCCGGGTAGGGGAATCCAGGCGGAGTATTTCCGACTGGACTTGTCGCATAGAGGTTCTGCTTCGGCAGATCGGCGGGAATAGCATCAGGGTGATTATTGAGGAACCTGGCGCGCACATGCTGGAGGAATGCGCGGCCCGAGGAGTGGCCCACGTAATCGAGATGACCGGTCTCGTCTACATCCAGTCGTCCGAGAGAAACCACCATAGACTCGATATTTGTATCCTGCGCGCTAGTGGCGGGCGTACCAGACGAGGTTGAAGAAATCGACGCCGGGCTGTCGAGCACGGCAGTAGTATTACCCATGATGGGCTCGACGGGTGCTGGTTCTGTATGCGGAACCTGCCCGTTGGCAGCTTGTCGAGCGGCAAGGGCGAGTTCGCGGAGAGTCGGTGAAGCTGAGGATTTGAGCCTACTGGTGAATGAATTGATGTCGAACCCCTGTGTGAAGATATCGACGCCGGGCATGAGGATCTGGAGCATGGCTGTAGACTGCTGCAGACGAGACTCGAGTTGGTTAATGTAGAAAGGGGCCGGGTTTCTGCGTCTATTTGAAGGTTGATCGTATGTGCACTCTATAACAGAATGTGGAGGTTAGCTATTGTTCTTCTTGTCGTTGATGCAAACCGCTTAACCGAGGTATTTCCTACCATAACTGTATACCGTGCAGTGGGTGCAGGGCTGTTTTCCGTCGCACTTGATTTTCTTTCGTCGACCTAGATGACAGTTAATGCGACTATTAGCTTCTATTGTCCCGAGCACTATGGGAAAAAAAGAGAAACACAGATGGGAAGCGTACATTCGTCGCACGCCCGAGTGACTCTGCGCCGCTTCTGGATAGGAGTGGCACCGTTGTCGCCCGACTTCTTGGACCCAGACGGCCCCGAGGGATTGTCGTCGTCGTCCGAGTCGTCTTGCTGGTCGTGGTCTTCGACGTTGTGCTCATAGTGCTCGTCGTCTGAATCGTCGTCGTCGCCGTGCGACATATTCGAGGCCATCTTGGACCCCTTCGAGTTGAGAGAGGACATCATCCTCACATTGGACGGCCGCCGGACAGGTTAAAGAGCTCTTCAATGCGGGGTGTGGTCGACCAAGGGTCCAGTTGGAAGCTGCGCAATAAGCGTGAGCAAATCGTCTGGCCGGAATGTGTGGGCGAAGGTCTGAGAAGGGCAGGCCCTAACCCCATCTGGACTTTTTCGGGCCTCTGGGACTTTCGCTCGCAGCTGAGCCTTTCGCGCGCTTCTTTGTCGTCACACGCTCTTCTGGCTCCTTCCATCCGGCGCCTGGGTTTCTTCGCGTATCTCGTCGTTACCGAGGTTCACCTCCACTGCTCGCGCCCCGCAATCAAGGTTTGATCTGCATGCATCTTGGCTTGCGCTTAAGCTCAGAGACTGATTCACCTCCCTTTTAATGCTTTTTATCCATTTCCTCTTATTCAACCCGTTCTATGCCCACCGCTCGTCCTCGTCGTCCGCCAGGTTTTCTTTCTCGACCTCCGTCTCCATCACCAGCCGGCGCTCGAGCGGACTCATCGTCGACGGCGCCAGTCCGTCTGCATCGCCGCCCTCGTCTTCGCCGCCTCTATTGCTGGACTCAACCGTATGCACCGACTCAAAACTGTCCCTTTGTCCCGTAGCCTCCTCCATCCGCGACGAGCCTCCACTGTTATATCTCTGCCGCCGCTGCGAACCCTCTCTCGTAAACCCACCGTAGCTGCCTCCTCCTACACCCGTCATCCCACTCTTCATGCTCGGAACACCCGTGCTCAGGCTGGAGGTCGCGTCTAGCTTGGCAACAAACTCTGGAGGCAATATAGGCGCGTGTTGCCTGGCGCGAGTAGTGTTAGTGCCTCCTATTCCGGCACCCCACACTACAAGCATTTCGGTTGATGTCGGCAGTGCAAAAGGCAGAATCAAACTGATGTCTATAAATATGCCTGACTGCTGCTTTGCCGCTGGCTGGTCATCATCGCTCGACGCCGCAGATGCTACCATCGCACTGCTGTTGGTAGGACCACTATGCCTACGATCCTGCACCACAGTCACCTTCGGGCTCGAGTGCGCGTTCTCTCGTGCTGACCCGTCATCCTCCATCGAAATCTCCTTGAACTCAGAATTATCCGCCTGTTCGCTCGACACCCTCGACGAATTTCGCGAATGCCCTAATTGTCCCTTTTCGTGGATAGATGCGGGCAGAATCTGTGTGAACAATTTCGATTTTCTCGCGGATGCTGCAAATATACCCAGGCTCACTTTTTGCTGCTGCTGTTGTTGTTGTTGTTGTTGTTGTTGTTGTTGTTGTTGTTGTTGCTGCTGCTGTTGCTCTTCCAAGCTCTTGAGATGTTTGAGAGCTACTTTTGACATTCTGTCTTCTCCGACCTCTGCACGATATTGCTTTGCAACATGCAGCAGTTGCTCTGCGCTCAGACACGAGAGCTGCTCTAACGTTGCTGTAATTGCCTCTGTATCGTTACCCAGACTCGACAGACACTGGAGCCATTGCAATAGCTGAATCAGAGGGGCGAGTTGCCGTCGAGCAATCATAGACAAACTGTCATGCATCGCGCCAGTTCCCGTCCCACCTCCCATATCCGGAGCGACGTTCACTGGTCTTTTGTCATTGGCTCTGGCCCAGTCCTCGAGAGTTGACACGTTCAGCCGGATCTGCATAGCTCTAGTACGCGAGAGGTATTTTCGGTTGCTCATCATCCGATTGAATATTGTCGCATCAAGCCAATAAAATATCTGTGCCATAATCTGCAGCGTGATCACTGGATGAACGTCATACAGATCGAGTACGAAAATAGTCGAGCTGAGCAGAGATGTCACATTGCGGGGAGACGGCTTGGCCAACTTCCCAGGGGACGGTGGTCTTACATCAGACAGACGAAGACCTGAAGACGGACTTCCGTGTGATCCTCCACCGCCGTGCATACCTCCATCACTGTGCCGAGTAACACTTTCACTGTCATGATCCTGTTTTTTCGAAGTTCGGAAAAAAGGCCATTCTCTTTGAAATTGAATATCATCCAACCCTGGTATAGTCTCGTGGTCCAAAATAGCAGCGTCCAAAACCCGATCGAGTCTCCGTTCAGCGTCGCGAATCAGCAGCACGAAAATCTCGCTCACGAGCTCTGTAAGCTCTTGCTGGTGCTCAATAGTTGCCTCCATCATTCCCGCATCTTTCCTTAAATAATACAAAAGCAACGTAACGTTCGAAAGCCAAAACGCCAAAAATGTCATATCATCTTCATGCGCCTCCACGATGTCATTTATACGCTCGATAGCCGGCAGCATCAGACCATGTAGTAAGTCGGCAGGTCCATAGTAGTGAGCAAACCGCGCAGATAGAAACAACACATTCGCAGGTACCGGCTTTTGCGACTTTGACCTCGTTGGCTGCATACGCGTAATCGCCATATCCAATATCTTTGATATGTCTTCAGCCGAAAACACAAACATCTGATCTGGTAAACAGTGCTCCCAGTCAAAATCAGAGTCTGATTCATCCAGATCTGGAAACGGATCTTCTAAGACAAGACTCGTAAGATCAACGTTGAGGTTTATCGCCGACTCTGCAACCAGCCGCCTGCGCAAATCATTGTCGTCGTCTGTAAGAGCTTTGCGCACTCTGTGAGGACTGTCAAATGACTCGTAGTCATTCATGTTATCCAACCCCAGGCCTTGAATTGTCCGGCTAGACGCACTTTTCACCATTCCTTTGATTTCCTGACTACTGTCGTTGGCAAAATCCATAGCTGTCCGTCCTGCGGATGACTTTACATCTGCTGAGGCACCATGATCTAGCAGGAATCTGACGATGCTTGTGTGATTGTTATTTGTAGCCCACATCAGTGGGGACCATTTGACTACATAGCGAGTTAGCACGTCGTCCACCGCAAAAAAATGTCGCAGCTCTGAAACACTCACATTTATCTTGCGCATTCATGTCTGCATCCGCTTCCACCAATGCCTCAACCACCTTCTCATGGCCAAAGCATGCGGCGTATATCAGAGCACATGTGCCCTCCTCATCTGGTTTATTGACATCAACGTACGCGAAGGCATCTTCGTGGTCCAGTATCCGTTTCAATGTTGTCAAGTCTCCATTACTTGCGGCGACAATCAAGAGATGTTGCAGGGCATCACGTTTTTCATCCTCAGTATTTGAAGCATCGTAGATCAAATCGTCCACAGAAGACGCCATTGCTTGGGGCAAGTCCTCGAACACACCGCTGTCGCTAAGCGCAGGGGTCGTAGGAGATCGCGCATCGGACAAGCTGACTGAAAGCATACGCTGCAGACGGCGAGTACTCTCCAGTACACGCTCGTCCTCTTCGTCTTGTGTCTCGGCTGTGCTTATCGAGGAGTTCCGTGCTGCCGAGAGCTCAGGCACCTGAGGGCGGTCGTTATACCAAACCTGATCTGAACTTTCGACCGGCGAGGGTACGGCGGAGTCGTTGCGTGAGCTCGAGAGAAAGTTTCCTGATCCAGGAACAGGCGCAAACATATCTTCTCCAGTGTTGTAGTCGCTCTGATCCACTCGGATGGCCACATCTGTGTCGTAGCTTGCGTTGTCGGTGTCCGCGTCGGTAGGCGTCAATTGCGTACTATATGCTCTCTCATCATCATTTGCTTGTAGCGAGGGCGGAAGATACTGGCCGGATAACGGACGCACATTATCAGGCAAATCAAGACCCGGACTCAGGTCTCCCATTGCATTATTCGCTATATCCACACAGCAACAACCTGGCCAAGACTGTCTTGAAGTTCTAGCCCTGATTGCACTTTGTAGTTAGGACGTAGCATATTGTACATTAAGCGACCTGACAAGCCGCACAGCCCCAGCCCGCTTACAGGTTCTTAAGCGGTTGGTGTACATCATCGGACGCTCATCAAAACACGCGAGGCTTCGTGCACCTAAAGATCCGCGTCCACAAAGTTCTAGCATCCAGCTGCTGCAATGGGTCGCCTTTATCCAAGATCGTCGTTGAGACGCATAGTGAAGAAGAACTCAAAGCATTGCAATATATCCAAACGTGCGGATGTATTGGTATGTCTCTCCCGCTGTACTTCGCTTAACCGTACGCTAATGCCTTTGTTTACATCATCTAGATCTATCTTGATTACATCCTTTTTCTCGAAGAGTAAGCTATTGCTCTCAGATCATGAGCTCAATATGCCAAGTACTAACCTGTACATAGACTTCTGAAAAGGTCGACCATCGAGGCACGGCAACAAGGCGACAAATTGCTTCGACAGCGTCATATTGAACGCGTTACAAAGGTATTATCATTCTAATGCGTTATTGATTGCATATAGTCATTCTAACAAACGCTAAACTAGACTACTCTGCAAAAATTCAAGGGTTAAATCATACCCAAGCCTCTTCTTCTTCATATGTACAGTTGTTACGGTTGTTTCGGGAGTTCTGGGTGTTTCGTGGTGTTTATCTTAAACGCGGGTTATCATGAGAGTAAGAAGCTCGAATGTAAGGACTAGTTTATTGAATATATTGCTATTATAAATATCAAATAAATCGCCTTTCGGTCTAAAACGCAAAACAGCTGAGCCAGTGTAGACAATCGTACAAACCACATCATAGATATAATCAAATAGAAAACCGTTGCGCAAATAAAAAAACAGGCACTTCGAGAATAAATAATGGAACAACTCGATTAGATAAATAAGCTGGAAATAGAGAAACAATATAAAATTCGAATACAGTAAATGAAATCCGGAACGCAATACCTCCCAATATAATAATGACACAATGGCAAAACCAGAATCCAGAATCATTCAAAAAACTGGCAAAAAACGCCTCTGTGGTATAAAGCTGTTAGTATCCGTAGACGAGATAAGAGATAACTTGGAAAACTTACAGCAAAGGCTTTAAATATTTGACAAGAAAAGAAAATAGTTGAACGATAAAAAAATATTAATCAGGATCAGAGGATGGATACCGCGGAATCACTCCTTTTCCTCATTTTCACTCAAAAGGTCGACAATAACACCTGTTTACTCCATTAGTATTGTGCAAGTTACTGACGCATAATCAAGACGACTTACTTTTGAAAACCGTGAAATCGATAGGCTTGGAGACGTATCGCGAGAACCCAACCATCTGACACTTTTCTGCAACGTCCGACATCACATTGGCGCTAAGAGCAACCATCGGGCATCTATCGAGATTGTTGACCTCCTCCCAGCGTCGAAGCTCAGCACAGGTCTGGAAACCGTCCTTTCGTGGCATGTGGAGATCACAGACAATCAAGCTGTAGTAGCCCGGCTCAACGCTGTACACTTTTTGCACGCACTCTTCGCCATCAGATACCGTGTCAACTTCCAGACCGCCCCGCTTCAAGAATTTTTGAAGGACTTTTTGATTGACTGGGTTGTCCTCAACAAGCAAAACACGATAGTTGTGCCCTTCCACCACACTCTGGAGATCTCTGAATATACTGCGCTTGCTATTGGTCGCCCGCTTAGCAGCATCAGCGTCCTCCAAGTTATCGCCGCGAGTACTAAGAGTAATCTCGCCAGGAGACTCGCCCGGTGTTCCCAAAGACTGCACCGACTCGGTAGCCGAAGATTTAGAGCGGGAGTTGAAGATAGGAGATAGCCTTGACACCTTCAATGGTTTGGAAACGCAGAAAAATCGAGTTCCCATCTCACGCTCGAGGATGTTGTAGTCCACCAAGCCGTCACTTCCAGCAGCCGATCCTCGTTGTCTATGCGAAGAAGAAAACGCGCTCGAGCCTGACGCACTAACTGAGCCACGACTGCTAGATGGCGCGTCTGCTCCATTCGCCCGCAAATTCTGCAGAATCGCAGTCTTTTGCATGGGCGTAGTCACAGCCACAACCTTGGTGTTTGCGTAAACTGTAGAGCTCAGGAAGACCTTGGCTGCGAGTGAGGCGATCTCCGTATAATCCGTCACATTGATCACAACATGAGTAAATGGAGTGCGCTCTCCCGGAGCCGGCAGTCGCGTCTGCAGAACTCCAAGCAGCTCAGAGGCAGCCTCGTAGTTGGAGACATGCGCAGTCTCAAGAAAACAATCATGCGGTAGCGCTTCTCGTATATGGTATATAATCGCCTCTGTAGCGAAATGATACTCACTCACGATTAACGCAAAGACATTGTTATCAGCTTGCCGACCGGACGTAGGCACATCGAGGGAAGAGCTAGGCTTGCTGGAGTCAGCTGTCTTGTGCCTATGCGGATCAGACGGTAATCTCAATCGCATCATCCGAGGATCTTTCGCCGGCTTTAACTGCGACATCTGCTCCATGGTCACCTCGGTGGCCAAAGGATTTTGAGACGTTGAACCAGGCGAAAGCAGTGAGATTGACTTTGATCCAGGAGACTTTGATCCAGGAGACGGTAAAGTATACTCTGAAATTGGAGACGGAAGCATAGGACCAGGAGTCTGAGTAGCACCAGGAATCTGTATGACTCCGGCTATAGCTCCAGGGCGCAAAGAGAACGGAGAGTGCTTATCGAGTGCCGCGCTATGAGAGTCCGAAGACGAAGATGAGACACTGGCGTATCGATGAAGGGAAGAGCGAGATAGAGGACTCATTGATGGATGATCTTCCTCAGTTGGCAGTCCAAACTCCGCGGAAAAGTAGAAAGTTGAGCCCTTGCCCTTCTCTCCGCGACAATGAATCGAACCACCATGCAGCTCGATCAGCTGCTTCGAGATGACAAGTCCAAGGCCACTGCCTCCATGTCTTCTCGTCATCGTGCTGTCAATCTGACTGAACGGCTTGAACATCAACGCCTCATCTTCTTTGTCAAATCCCGCTCCAGTGTCATGGCATTCAAAATGCAATGTGATCACATCGTTCTCGCGTGCCTTGACAGAGCATCTAGTGAACACCTCTCCATGGGAAGTAAACTTGATTGCGTTTCCGATGATATTCAGTAGCACTTGACGAATTCTGATCCGATCACCATTGACAACCGCCGGAACATCCTCATTCACAATATAGTTGAGCTCGAGGTTTTTGGATATCGCTAATGTCCCAAGAAGCTCGTTTGTATCCTCAACCAGCCAACGGATATTGAACCACTCCTTGTTGAGTCGCATTTTCCCGGCTTCCGCTTTCGATAGATCCAAGATATCGTTGATCACAGATAGCAATGCTTCGGAACTGCTTGATATGGTATGGCAGTAATCTAGCTGCTCAGACGTGAGAGTGGTATCCAGCAAGAAATTGACCATTCCGGAAATACCAATCAGCGGAGTTCTGATCTCGTGGGACATATTCGAAAGAAATCGAGCCTTGGATTCCATAGTGCGTTGAGCAGTGTCCTTGGCTTCTTGCAATTTTTCTTCAACCAACTTGTGATCGTTGATATCAGTACAAGTTCCAAACCAAACAGGATCTCCGCTAGGGCTGATGGAGGTATTTGGAAGAATATGATTTGCAATGTCCGGTCCCAGTCCTGTTCCAGGGGTACTTGACGTATTTGCCTGATCTTCGGATGATACACAGCGAACAAGATGCCACTTGTAATCACCTCCAGAATCTCGAAGTCGAACCTCACAAGAGAACGTGTGTGACTCTCCTGCAACCGGTAAAACGCACTTGGGCCGATCTTCTGGGTGTACAAACTCCAGAAATCCGAAGCGCTGAGAACTCTCGATCGATTGCCCTGAGTAACCGCTCCATTGGTTGTTTGTGTATATAATCCCATCGGATAGAGTTGCTGCGAACACAATCAGAGGACTGGACTCCGCCAAAGTTCGGTACTTTCTCTCGCTCGCAAGCTTCTCAGACTGCTTGATCGACTCTAGCTCAGCTATCCTCTGCTCGTGGATATCCATACTTGTGCCAAACCAGTGCACTATCGATCCTTTCGAGTCGCGAAGGGGAACTTCGCGCACCACGAAAAATCTGTAAGCGCCGTCAAATCGTCGCATCCGAAGTTGCAAGCTCAAAGGGTCTCCGTTCTTCAATGCCGATTTCCAAGCTCTCAAAAATGTCTCTCGGTCGTCAGGATGGAATCGCTGCTCGGGAGGTTGGCGACAAAATTCGTCTGGTGACAAACCGCAGTATGCAAGAGTGCGCGCAGACACCCAAGTGACGGTTCCGGTCTGGGGCTCTGAGATGTACAAATGCACAGGAATTGAGTCAATGATGGTTCTCAGTAGTCGCGGGGGTGGAGGAGCCATGCGAGCCACGCCACTCCCAAGCGAATCGCCTCGAGGAAACGTTGACCTAGCACCCCGATGGGGCGGCTGCATTGCTGATGACGATGATTCAGGCAGAGGCGATGTCGAGCTAGAGAAGGATGAGATGGGTGACTTCGGAGGAGGCGATGCATTTCTGAAATAGGAAGACGCGACAGATTTACTCTGGTTTCTGTATCTGAATTGAGTCTGGCTGGGTCTTGGAGACTGTATTTCAACCCCAGGGGATTCGGCAGGCGAAGGTTTCGCACTACTAGGCGCAGAGACGAAAGTACTTGCTGTGGGAGTACTTGAAATCGATTCTGACTGCTCGAGAAGCCCAATGGGAGAGTTAGCAACGGTGTTAGTCGCTGATTCCCATGTTGGTGTCGAGGTTCTCGATGACGCTTCAGAGCTACTTAGGTTGCTCAGCCCAAAGTAGTTTCCAGTCGAGGTCTGTGGTCCATTGTACGAGCGCGTGCTCGATGTACTTGACTTTCTTGAATATCCCGATAAAACGCTACTGCGGCTTCTTTGACCCCGGCGATGATGTAAAGCATGAAGAGACCTCGAGTGCTCCACCTGGTATTTCAGATTGGCGTGAGCCTCTGCTAGCGCGTAAGAAGCGGCTATATGCGGTGCAAAATTTCCAAGTGACTTGATCAGGTTGACCGGATACGGGATAACATCAGAAAGAATTGACACGATAGCAATGGGTACAACACATTGTTTACCCTTTCGGGAGCCAGTAGTATTTCTGACGGGATGAGAAAGAGATGGGTGGACCAGAGGAATGTGAATAACAGAATAACTCGACTCTAGGCCGATCGCGCGTACTGGGTAATTGAGGTCCGCGATTGGAGAGTTATCCTCACTTGCAGAAGGTGATGCAAATGCCTCTTCGACCGACGTCTGTTCCGACAAATTGAAGAACGGATTCTCCTTGCTGTCTTTGGACAAAGCTGGAGAAGGTGCGGGAGAATGTGACCAAGGAGAAAGCAAACACTGTTCATAATCTTCGTATGGTAGATTATACAGTGCTTGTGCTGAAACAGAACCATTGTCAAAAGGATCTCTGAGCATCGGCTTTTTCTTCGATTTTGTAAAAGCGTTCCGGTGTGGCAGACTTGGCCGCTGCTCGGTGATGGTCGAAGCATCACTGACAGTCGACACCGTTGAGTGCTTGCGAGAACCTGCAAGAACTGCTGGTCGTTTAAGCTCTTCAGGCTTGGATCCATTCGGCTGTGACTCCGGGGATCTCTGAAGGTTCCGATATTCGCGTTGCAGCACAGCCACTTTTCCCCGATGCAGCACACGGCTGACTCCCAGACTGTCGATAATCGGGTCAACGTCAGACTCGAGAGGTCGTAAAGAGGTGTAGATTTTGGCCACTCCTGACTCCACATTCTCCTGCTTCCGTGATAAGAACGGCAGGTTGTCAAGATCGCTACCTGCAGATCCGGTACGAGTGTGTCTCGGGTATTCTGTATCCTCATCAGTCAATTCTCCATCATTCTCTGACACCAGGGAGTTGCGGCTCGAATTTGGGGCAAATGAAGCATCCTCGCCATCTGAACCCTCAAACATATCTTCCCATTCGCTGTCATCGTTGTCTGTACTATGCGATGCATTATAGTCCTCGCTATGATCCGACACGCGCAAGTCACGATAATGCTGCAATCGAGAAAGAGTCCACGGGATATTTTTGGATGTCCATACACCTTTTAGACCCCACGGAGTGTTGGCAATATCGGTGAGATCGTTGGGGACAATAAGTGAAGCTCTTTTCGCCATATAAACGGATTCGAGAACCTCTGTGAGATTATTCCAAAACTCATATAAACCCGGATCTGAGTTGAGTTTGAGCGTAAGGTCATAGAGCTTTGGAGACGGATGCTCCATTTCAGCGAAATCGGGTATGATCTTGTGTCGCGCAGATCGTGAAGATGTGAACGACTGCGTACTATCTGTGGCCTCGGACATATTTGGCATAACAGCTCGCGAGGGAAAGTTCGTTGAATTTAGTGAATCTTCTGAGGCTGATAGGGTCCGAGAAGAATTCGAGAAAGTGAAATCAGGCGAAGCAGACACCGGAGATCCCATATAAGAGTGCGCGGACTGTTCTTGAGAAAGTGAAAGTGTCCTGGTGGAGGAGGCCCCGGCCGATACCGGCGATGCCATGCGATCGATATTCTGATAGCTCTGCAGTTGTGCAACATTCACCGCCTAGTGACATATGTGATTAGTAAAAGAGCTGCAATGAATTTCAGAAGCGCAACCTACTTCACGTAAAGACTCCAAACTTTGGCGAGTAGGATCGAGAGTCAATTTAATGGGCGAGTCGCTGCGAGGTTGTTTGCGAGTTTCAGACGATGACAAAGCAGGGAACTGAGTAGCCGTTAGAGTGGACGACGCAGCAGATGATGACGAGGAGCCGTTCAAAGAAGACGACGAAATAGAGGCATTAGAAGAGTAATAGGTCGATGCTGGAGACGCAGAATGGTCGTTGGAGTCTATATGTGCAAGGTCAGTAAGATAGATGTTCATATACGGAGATAGCAGGGACGAAAACAAAACACGTGCGTTTTAAACTGATTGCCGGAGACATCTTGCGCGAAGACTTCTTGGAAGACGATTCCAAGTCAGTAGCTATATTGTCTGACTCCAATGCTATCTGGGCAACGCTGTCCTGCTGGCTAAGAGGACGCGGACTCGAGCTCGAAGGGCGAACATTAGGACGCAAGACATGCTGCTCGTCTAGGTCTGGTGAATCACCAGGTGCCATTCTGAACGCCGAAGGGACGAGAATTAGTTGCTCTAGACGACAGAATTGTTAGACACAATAGAACGGTATAAACCGAAGAGATATCAGAAGAATAGGAATGCACCTTTCGGCTATAAAGCTGTCGCAACGAAACAAATTCGATGTTCGGTGTCAGGCAGTGGTAGACTCAGGACACGTAGACGGCATGTGTATGGGGGGCAACAGCGAACTTCCAGCACAATAATACAAGCAACAAAGCAGAGAAACTGAATCGAGCAGTCGGTTTCCCAGCCCGAACAATAAGAGAGCGTCGAATGGACGAGAAGATGCGGACAGATGACTAGTATGGAATGAACGGACCTCCGAGGGTTTGGGGGGCGGTAGTGTTTGCTGGCAGCCCGGGTAACATTACGTCATTGTGCTGCTACGAAATATGACGTCACAGAACTGTGGACCCTGTTAACGAGAAGCCGCACTACGGCTGCGAAGCTGCTGCTTTGAACACCTCGAACGTCTATTGATATCGTACAATTACAATCGTGGATTATCTTGCTCGCCGTAGCATCTCCTCTGCCCGGGCGCGTTCACGCCTCTCGCGCTGCTCCTGCTGTTCCGCCAGCCTCTGCAACTCTGTGCTCATTTGGCCACCCGTCTTTCCTTCCCCCGTCCTAGCCGGCGCACGTTGCCTCTGACCCTTACCAAAATCGTCTTCGCCTTCGCTCCGACTTCGGCTCCTACTGCGGCTCCGGTCGTGCCGGCGCCGCCGCCGATGCTCATGGCGTCCACGCTCTGGTGGTCCTCGAATATAATAATCAGCGGAATGTCTGTCGATCTTGCGCCATGGTTCTTCGGCCTCCCGTTCTTTTCGCTGACTATCTACTAACGCTTTTTGTTTTAAAAATCCCTGTACGGAGACTAACGGATCGTGCAAATGCTTTGACTTTTCGCGTACACGCTCTGCCCGCCTCCTGTCATGTTCTGACAATGAACTCTGCAGATACGCCTGCGGGTCCAGCGTCGCGTACCATGGCACAAGTTCACTATTAGAATGATCTAGTCGCATGTTTCTCAGCTTCGGCTGCTCTCGTCCTGCTTCCGTAGTCTGACTCTTCTGATGCGTAATCATTAATTAGCAAAGACGTCAAACCGTGTACCGTAAGTGAAGAACTTACCTTTTCTAAACTCTCGAATAAGTTGATGTGGCCATCTTTAGAAGTCAAATTCATACTAGCGGTTGCTGCCTCTGATCCAGAAAGCATCCTTTGGGCTTCGGATATTTCGTCATCAAGATTACGAATCTTCCGCTTTTTGGTGCCTTTGATATCCGAAGTAGCCTGCGTGGGAGCCTTAGTTGCCGCGCTGTCAGCAGCATCGTCATCTCGATCGCGTTCTTCTTCATTGGTCTGTAGTCTATAGAGTTCTTCAAATTCTGATGTGTCTTCTCCGAGCTGCTTCCGTCGTAACAGCTCTAGACGGAAAGCACGGTCTTTCTCTCTCAACTGCTCGTCTTCCTTCTCTGCGCGCGCTCGCGCTTCCTCCTCGTCGCGGCGGACGCGCTCGATATTTGCTTGATTGTAGACATGGTACGACTTGTGCTTCAGCAGCTTAATGGGCATTATTGTCGGCTATCGCATACAATCAAGTGCACTGACGGTATCAATCAAGCTGAACATGGAACCAGTGATCTCGGATCGCTGAGTGTAGCGGGGACTTGAATGGAATGACGCAGGATGGAATAATTAATTGTGTGGCGTGGGGCTTTGTGCGCACGTGATTATGCTCCCATCAAACTAGCTCAGCAAATATGAACACAGCTTCTCATTGTCTCTAGATTGACTCTCAGCTTATAGCACCTACTCTGGCCATGAGCTTCTGCAGGCTTCTTCTGAGATAAGACTTTTCGATTATAGAAGAAATGAATATGCGGAGGTGCAATACGACAGCGTGATACTCGCTCTACAATCATTTCTTTGGAGTATGCCCAGGTTTCCACCGAGCCAAACTTCCGTATAGTCGATCTATGAAGTCGCTGACTTCGACATCGACATCAGCCAAGGCTGATGTATCCGGGATATTTTCAGCTGTGAGCGACGCCGATGCTTCGGGCGCGCGAGTGCAGATCGGAGTTGCGGATCGAATATTCGCTCTCGGGGTTAGAATTCGGCATCAGATCACGCTCTCGAGCAGTGATCCCTCGAATACTTCGAAATCTTTCATTGAAATGCATCGCTTGGCTTGTTTGCCCATATCGGATGATAAAGCTCACTCCAATGATGTCGAGAAGTCGAAAGTTGCGATCTCATATTTGCGAGCTTTCTGTCATAATCAGTTACATGCCTATCCTTTCTCTCAGGTACCATTAGCATACATCAGGGGGTTTGTGAATGCATGTGTATTATCTGCACTATTCCGTCTCGAGTATGTATTGCTAAAACAGCCGAAAGAGGTTGGAGAAAAGTTTCCTGCAGACGCCGTTGTATCTGACTTGGACACTGCTCTGATAGTAGGTGGCCCTGCTGTCTCTGATGATCTGAGAAAGCTGGTAAACGAGCTGTTCATAATCCTGAAAGACGTCAAGATAGATGATCGCCAATCGCAAAGAAAGCTTGCATCCAAGTTTTTGTGTCCTCCAGGTCTCAAAGAAAAGATTCTAGCGAGGTACATCATCGACTCTCGATTTGCAGTTCCCTCTATTGACTCTGCCGAGAATTTGGAAGGTCAATTACAAAAGACGAGCATGGTGTCGTCAATTGAAGGATTATCAAAACAAGACCCGCAAACCTCTTTGCGGCCGGTTTATATACCTGGTTTGGCCAGGTCGTGGCCAGCATCTCAGAAATGGAACGACTCTGAGTACTTGCTGGCAGTTACCAATAATGGTATGAGGGTAGTGCCGGTCGAAATCGGCTCAAGTTATGTCTCCGATTCTTGGGGTCAAAAACTGTGCAAATTTGGCGATTTGCTACAAGAGTGGTTATCACCTTTGGATGGTTCTTCGACTGGGAGACCTGTCTCCTATATGGCACAGCACGATCTATTGAAGCAAATTGCGCCCTTACGATCTGATATTGCCATCCCGGATATCATTTATAGCACTCCGTCTTTTACATATAACCCTGACGAGCCAATCACTATTAATGCTTGGATTGGCCCATCCGGTACTATATCTCCGCTCCATACAGATCCTCACAACAATATTCTCACCCAAGTCGTCGGTTTCAAATATGTTCGCCTATATCCCCCGACTATCACCGGATATAGTATGTATCCGCGTTCAGAAGACGGTTTTGATATGAGCAACACGAGTGAAGTCGAGCTTGAGCTAGGGTGCTACGGCGCTCTATTTGGCGACGGAAATAGTTTTGATGATATAGGGTCCGTCCCGTCTGAAAGCGAGATGAGCCCTGGGGTGGGTGCTGAGTCACAAGAGACACCTACATTCAGCGACCAGTTGGCTGCAATTCGATCTCGAATGCGAGAGAAGCGGGAGTATAGGGATCAGTATGGCGACTTTTGCTGGGATCATGGCTATTACGAATGCATACTGAAACCAGGTGATGCTCTGTTTATTCCCGTAAGTGATATATATCTTATCAGATGGTCTTTTGAAAAGACGCTAACAGATATGAATAGGGAGGCTGGTGGCATTATGTTAGAAGCTTATCAAACAGCTTCAGCGTTAACTTTTGGTTCGGAGCAACTCTAAAGCCTACCACTACAAGCTAGTAGATGTTGATATATAATATTATATTCTCATGTGTTACTATTGTTATCATTTTGGCTGCTGCTCTTAAGTAAAAATCAGCTGCCTCGAGTAAGAAGTCTTAAAAAGATCTTTACTCGCCGGCGGCCTCAGCTTGCGCCTTGATGAACGCACCAGGCTCAGCAGGCATAAGCGCGCCCTCAGGAGGCTTGTTCTTGGACTTGAAGTCGGCGGCCATGTCACCCATAGTGCACCACTCGACACCTTCGTGGGAGTTGATGAACTCGATGAGTCGCTCGTGCATCAACAAGACGTGGGGTCGGCCAGAGACATCAGGGTGGATGGTCATGGGGAAAATGAACTCATCGTGCTCTCTGTAGAAGTACTCAAAATGATCCTTCCAGATATCCTCGATATCACGAGGGTTGACATAGCCGTGCGAGTTGGGCGAAGCTTTGATGAACATCTACACATTTGTTAGTCGCAGCACAAGCTAATGTAAACCAGTTAATATTATACGTACCATGGGGGGCAAATCATCAATGTACCAGTTACCGGGGATCTCGACAAGTCCGGTATCCTGGCCATAAATGAGCGGCTTCATCCACTCCTCGGCCTTCTTGGTGTAGTCGATCTTAGTCCAAGTATCGCCAGTACGCAGCCAGTAAGGCTGGCAATCGTGGTGACTGAGAGAGTGGTCGTACTCGATTCCGTACTTCAACAGAAGCTCGGCACCTTCCTTTGAGGTCTCCCACCAGGGAGCGACGGAGCCGCGAGGAGGCTTGCCGCAGAAGTCGGTGAGCAGCTTGTAGGTCTTGTCAAGGACATCAGCCTGCTGCTCGATAGTCATGTCCGCGGGGTTCTCATGAGAGTAGCCGTGAAGACCGCTAGGTGCACCAGGTTAGCATTATTCCGGCTGTCTAACCCAATCACGAATATACTTACATTTCGTGGCCACCGTCGCGAATCATACCGCACTCCTCGGGGAAAGTCTCGAGGGAGTGACCGGGAATGAACCAAGTAGCCTTGATGCCGTACTTGTCGAACATCTTCAGAAGACGACGGACACCGATGGTACCAGCCCAGAGACCTGAAAACATGTAAGCAATCAGCTTAGAAATATACAAAATAGAATGGCGATTGATGGGCGCACCTCTTGATATATCGTTGGAGGAGTCCTCTCCACCGTATGATCCAAGCCATCCGGCAACAGCATCGATATCGACACCATAGCAAACGAGAACACCTATGTCACCAATATTAGCATATTCTCATTCCCCCAAACTCTAGCTATTCAATTGACCGCATGAGCACTCGAGAGATGCTGCTATGAGCGTCTACTCGTCCGCTACTGTGGAGCTCACGCTCTTCAGTTCCGACTCGGCTGCCAGCGACCCCGCGGTGAAGTATGAGCCAATAAGAATATCGTCAAGCACAATACTTACGTTTCTTGCCCATTTTGATAAGTAATTAGTTTGCGAGCAGCTATTTGAGTCTTTGGAAGCGAACCTGGTGCTGTGTAAAACAGAGGGGATCGGTAATGGGGAAAGATAACTACTGGTCCCGAATCTCGAGGCGAAGGTGGGAATTTAAGATTCAGGTCTTTGAGGCGCCCGCCTGGTCCCGTCTTTGTCTACGGAGCATTGCTCTTTGCTTTTCGCCGAAGATATGGCTTTCTGTTCGTCTTAATGTTGCTCCTCAGGCTTCTATTTGAATCTCTTGATCAATGTCGAATCCGTAGCAGCTCCGTTGCTCATGATTGCCGAGTGACTCGTCGTAATCTTGGGACAATGTACACCAGCCTGGGAGTGGTTGCAGATAAGCTCCTTATCATATTACGCGCCCGCAGTCTGACCCGGCATTAGCTAAGCGGGAACAGCTCGCCATATCGGCTTATCAACTGTAGCCCTCGAGCAAGAAGTGATTAATGGATAGGCCCTTGTAGCATACAACTTTATAAGAATTACCGAGTAAGATAGAGCGTACTGAGAGCCGACTTCCTGTAGAGATCCTGGGCGCAGAAAGCCAGCGGGGAAGCCATTCGCGCGTCAAGCCTCCGACATTGTGCTGTGGTCCGAGAGTAATTTTTACGCAAGCCCGAGGCTTATTAGGACTTCAAAAACATAGAACAGCAGCTGCTCTTGTCGCAAACACCTCAATTGGGACGCGACTGCAAATTCGAAGCCAATAAGTGTCTATATATAATCCAAGGATGTCTACGTGGCAAGAGATTGCCGCAAAGAAGCGTGCGGACCGTGAGGTTCTGCTTGCTCCCTTCAAGCTTCCCGAAGCTGAACTCCCGCCTGCCGACCAATTGAACGTCTACGATTTCATCTCGAGCGGATGTGCGGATAGCTTGCTTTCTGCGAAGGACAAGGAAATCACCGAAATTGATGATATCGACGAGCTGGCTGCTAAGATTGCTGCTGGCACTTACTCCGCGACTGAGGTCATTACTGCGTACATCAAGCGTGCCACTGTCGCGCATCAATTGGTAACTAATAGCCGCGAATTTTTTTGCAATCAAGACAAGAGTTGGTGACGCTAACTATCTGCTTTGTGTAGACAAATTGTCTTTCTGAGGTCGTTTTCGAGCAGGCCATTGAACGCGCCAAGTTTCTCGATGAGTACTACGCTAAGAATGGAAAGCCTATGGGCAAATACCACGGTGTTCCATTGACATTGAAGGACCAGTTCAATGTCCATGGAGTCGATACCACTTTAGGATACGTCGGTCGCTCTAACAACCCTGTCACCGACAAGTCCAAGGAGGCTGTGTTGGTGACTATCTTCGAGAAGGAGGGTGCCGTTGTTATTGCGAAGACCAACCTGCCCCAAAGTATCATGGTACGTTTGCAAACTCTCAACTAGAGTCAGGCCTGATTGCTAATCTAAAATACGATAACAGTGGTGCGAGTGCAACAACCCCTTGTGGGGATTGACTGTCCACCCCCGCCGTCGTGATTTCACCCCTGGTGGATCTACTGGTGGTGAGGGAGCTCTCCTCGCTCTCAAGGGTAGCATCATGGGCTGGGGTACTGATCTTGGTGGAAGTGTTCGCATTCCGCAGATCTTCAACGGTGGATACGGATTGAGACCTAGTGTAAGTATACGAGAATTACCTTGCTCGTGCTACTTCTGATCCGATGGCTGATGCATAAAAATAGGCGTGGCGTATTCCTTACGAGGGAGTTCCGGTCACTATCGACGGACAGGAGCATGTTCCCAGTGTCATTGGTCCCATGACTCGCACTCTCAACTCGCTCACATCAATCACCAAGGCTGTCATTGACAATGAGCCCTGGAAGCTGGACCCCAAGTGTATCCCTATGCCTTGGCGTCAGGAGCTTTACGACGAGACTTTGAACAAGAAGAAGTTCATTTTTGGAGTCATGCGAGACGATGGTGTTGTTCGCGTTCATCCTCCAATTGAGCGCACTCTCAACCAAGCAGTTGAGCGACTTCGGGCTGCTGGCCACGAGGTTGTTGAGTGGTCTGCTCCTGATCTCCATGCTGAGCTGGTGCCTATCCTCAACAAGTTCTACATCGCTGACGGTGGAGAGGATGTCAAGAGCGATGTCAACAAGCTCGGTGAGCCACTGATGCCCTACGTTGACCGAATGGTCAACCGCGGCCCCCCCATTCCTATCACCGAGTACTGGCACAACATGGTGCTCAAGCGTGAGTTCCAGAAGAAGTACCTTGACAGGTGGAACGCTTCGGGTGCTCTCACTTCTACCGGCGAGCCCATCGATTTCATCTTGGCTCCCGGATGCCCTCACACTGCTGTTCCTGTGGACAAGACCAGGTATGTCTTTTTTTCATCTTCTGATTTTTATTTTGCTCAATGGCTAACAAAAACTGTCACTCATTATTAGCTGGGTTGGTTACACCCGTGTCTGGAACGGTCTCGACTACACCACCACGGTTTTCCCTGTCTCCAAGGTTGACAAGGAGATCGACAAGTTCAACGAGGAACAAGCTGCTTACGTGCCCCGTAACGACTGGGACGAGGCTAACTGGCCTGTCTGTACGTATCTATATCAAGTCGGATGATTGGTGTAGGACGTTACTAATTCGCTATTGATGTTTAGATAACCCGGAGACCATGGACGGCATGCCTGTCAACCTGCAGATCGTCGGTGGACGTTTTGCCGAGGAGAAGACTCTTGCAGTCACCAAGATCGTCGAGGAGATCCTTGCGGGATTGTAGAAAGAGTGCCTCTCGTGTTAATGTTAGATCCGGAAATTCTGTGCCTTCTGCGCCTAGACATCGCTGTCCTTTGGACCAATTCAACTCTCTAATTGATAAAATTTATTCTTGATGATTCCTTAATTGTAAACGTGCGGTAAAAATACATAGTCTCCTCCTCTCCTACAGCCCAATTTTGATTAAGACAAATCCATAGCATCGTTGGCAGTCGTCACAGCCGGGACGATAGGAGCATCTGCTACAGGTGCGGGACCCGCTCCACCCAAAGTCACTGCTCCGTTATCTCCGATATATCTATCCGAAAATTGCGATAGATAGTTGACACTGCGCTCCTTATCCAAAAACAAGTCATATGCGCGCTTGACGTCATCGACATCGACCGTGGACGACTTACGTCTCGCGGCAATCAGGTGTGAGACAGCAATCAGGTTCGCTGCGTATCTGAGCGAGGTTTCGCAGCCAATTTTTGAGAGAATCGCAAGCGCGTCAGGAGACAGCTCGACCTCCTCTTCCGATGCTCGGATAGAGAGAATATCGGTGATCTCCTCGGGTGAGTAAGGGGAAGTCGAGATGATGATCACACGGTCAAGAAGATCGGCTGGCAATCCGTGAGGCGATTTGTAGTTCGTGCCGCGAGTGCGTGATATTCCGCGGTTGGTAGCCATGATGACAATAGGGGCCAGGTCGTCTTCCAAAGCACGGTTGATGTACGAGAAACATTCGATGTCGAGCATGTGAACTTCATCAATGAACAAAACACCCGGGCAGATCTCAGCCTTGCCCTCTTCCCTCCACTCGCCAACCTTGCTGTTGATCTGATCTCGGACCTCCGAGCGAATCTCACCGGTATCGCCAGAGAAGAGAGCCAAGAATCCTTGTGTGCGCGAGTTGATCACATCGATCTCATGTAGCGACACAGTATGAACGGTCTCCTTGCGCTTTTGAATCTCACCCTCAGGGCACTGAACGAACTTGGTGTCGGCACCCATAGCGTCGTAATCACGGGCACGAGCATATGAGCGGCCGAGTTTTGAAATTGTGCCTGAAGCTTTGTCGATAGTAATAACATCACCGGCCAGCACCTTTTCTTTGCTCAACGCGTCTATCATTTTCGTTCCAAGATCGTAGACTGTCTCCATATCTGTCGTCTTCACAGTCAACTTTCCTTGTTTGTTGCCCTAAATGTCGACGTTAGATCTATATCGCGACTAGCAGCAATCAAAACAAACGTATACATACCCCCGTCACCGATCGATCGATTTGAATTTCAACGACCTCGCCCTCAATGATTTCGCTCTCCTCTTTGATTCGCACGCCGATGGATTTACGGAATGCCTGGGTCAAGGCCTCTGTTTTGCTCATCTCCAAACTGAAAATCTCTGATCCAGCAACCATAGTGAACGGCACATCCTCACCCAAACTCTGCGCAATTCCCATCGCAATAGCAGTCTTTCCCGTGGAAGGAGGACCTGCTACTAAAACTGCCCGTCCTGCGATTCGACCCTCTTTGATCATCTGCAAGATCACAGCGGCTGCCTTACGCGCTTTCAACTGGCCGACCATTCCTTGCGATGACGGGCGCGGGGTTAGAGAAGTCTCGCTCTCCAGGCCCAAGCCTGTGATGTGTGAATGCGAGGCAACTAGTCCGAGGCCTCGGAGCTCTTTGGCCTGCGCTATGCTTGAGAGTGCCTAGAGAATATAAGTTAGCACATCGTGATCGCTGTTCGCGCCCTCTGTGTACAGGAAATACAAACCATTTTGATCTAAAATAGATATAATCGTTCGCTGAAACGGGAAAAACAGGTCAAATGCAGTTGTGCTCTTAAACTATCAGATAAATGAACCGATCTCGTAGATAAAGATGCAACAAATAGCTGCGGATTTGGTATGTTGATCTAGATATGAGAGAGTCTCGAATAATAATTTTCGAGAGGCGCGAGGAGGTGGGAGCGTAACTCTCAGTATTAAGTAATATCTGTACCGCTGCTCTGCCTTCACCAAACCTGGACAATGAAAGCGCATAGTTTATTTATCTGCTCATTCTTCCTGCTGATTTGTAACTTTCTACTGAATGTTGAGCTCTTGATCGACAAAGATATTTGCATGGCTAAATACTATCGGTTTTTCAACTTCGCCTTATTGTGACTATGGTTGTGAACTCAAAACGCAATGTTACTGAACTAACTACACAGTCTACCCCAATAAACAATATATATATGACCCGCAGCCCAGTACCCATACTTCGAAAAAAAATTGCAACAAATGACAAAACACCAATGATAAGTTTCTCAAACAAAAATGTTACTTTCCGCTCTATTAGGTGATTTGTACGCGAACCAGCCCATTTTGCGTTTAACTGCCTTCCAGAACTCAACGACGAGGATAAACACAATCAGTCCAGAGAACGAAAGGGCCCATTCCCAGGTGATTGGCTTCATCTTAAAGACGTCGCTGTTAAGCTTGGGGATGTAGATCACGGGAAAGACGGATACCATACCAAGCATGACCGAGTAGAATAGGAACTTGTTTGCGTAAATGTCTCTGAAAAAGGGGAACCTCGAAGTGCTGTCGATATTCAATCGGAGCAGCGACCGGCGAAGATTCTTATACTCCCAAGCAGAGATGAGGATAAGCCATGTAAGAAGCGAAAACACAGCTGCGCGGGCCCTGAAAACGACGTCACAAGTATCATTGTATGACTCGTTGCAGTCGTCTCCCAGCTTTCCGTCTCCCTTTCCGTAGACAACGATACAAAACGCTCCCAAGCAGCAACCACCCATGACCAGACCATAGATAAATGTATCAACTATAATCTCATATGTAAACACACCTTTTCTTCCGTTATGCGGAGGGCGCCTCATAGCTTCCTTACTTGCAGGCTCCAAACTGAGACCGAAAGCAGGGCCCGGAGAGGTGAGCATATTGATCCACAGGATCTGCAAAGGCGCAAGTCCAAAAACCGAGAAACTAGTACTGTCTTTGAAAATCAAGCCCAGTACAAGGAGAACAACCTCTGCAACGTTGGAAGCTAGCAGGTGGAGAATGAACTTCTGGATGTTATCGAACATCCGTCGTCCCTCCTCAATGGCCGACACAATCGAGGCGAAGTTGTCATCAGTGAGCACAAGATCGGAAGCAGCCTTAGCTACATCTGAACCACCCATTCCCATGGCAATACCGACATCAGCCATCTTCAGACTAGGAGAGTCGTTGACACCGTCACCAGTCATAGCCACATATTTCTTTCGCCGGTGGAGAGCTTGAATCATGCGTACTTTGGTCTGCGGAGCACAACGCGCTATGACACTGGGCAGCACCTCCAGTTCGTCAATCTCTTTGTCGGAAAGTGCATCAAACTGTGAGGCAGTCATAACCAAAGTTCGAGCAACGCTTGGAGAAAGTGTGCCGAGATCGTTAGGAATGATCCCGACCTCTTTTGCAATAGCTTGAGCAGTGCTAGGGTGGTCTCCCGTCAGCATATGAATTTTGATTCCTGCTGCCGCACATTGCGCAACTGCGCCCTTAGTTTCCACTCGAGGAGGGTCACAAAGTCCAACCAAGCCTAGAAGCGTGAATTCCTTCTCGACAGACTCCCGAGGAAAATCTAGATAAGACGGTTTGGGATTGATTTCCACTCGTCGCGCAATAGCCAGTACACGAAGACCCTGATCAGCTAGCTCACTTGCGGTGTCTAGAACCTCTTGCGATATCTCCTCATTCAGCGGTCGAAGTTGGTCGCCCTCGCCGACGAACTGGCACAGATTGATGATTCTCTCGACAGCACCTTTGGAGAGCACGACAACTTCTCCGCGATCGCCAGATTGCGAGGGTCCCTCGAAGATCACTGACATTCTCTTGACGTCAGAATCAAATGGATATTCAGCTAGCTGAGTCCAGCCCTTCCTGATGAGAGTCTCTTTTCCGCACTGAAATCTATGTGCGAGCACTTGCAGAGCAATCTAAATTCTGTAAGTATTTATAATGGAGCTCAGACCATAAAAACGGGAGATCACTCACCTCAGTAGGATCACCGGTTGCAACCCATGATTTTTTCTCCGGGTCAAAACGAACGGTCGCCAGGTTGCACAGAGCGCAAGCTTCTAAAAATAATGCAAAATTCGGCGAGATTGGTGGCATCGACTGAGCAGGAGAGACGTGTACAAGAGAAGACTTCTTCTCGTCAAGCTCTTCTGGGTTTGTCGTTGCATCGGAGTCTCTGGTCTCAACAACATCCAGCCTCTCGAGGCCACCTTCTGGAATTTGATTATCAGAAGTGCTGCGCGAGCACTCACCCGACAGAGGCTCCAGGGTGACTGAACCCGATGTTGGGTCAAAAGGCGATTCGGACCCGGAAACATCATATCTCCCGGTTCCGGGAATCCATGCAGATTGTGCAAGCATATTTCCTTGGGTAAGTGTTCCAGTTTTGTCAGAACAGATGTTGGTGACACCTCCAAGGGCTTCAAGGGCATCTAGTTTGCGAACAATGACATGCTTCTTAGACATGCGCTTCATTCCAACCGCCATCGTGATTGTGAGCACAGCAATGAGAGACTCAGGAATGATCGCAATACCCAACGAAACAGCGTAAATAGTGACTTCAGCAGTTGCGTTGAAATCATGAGCAGCAAACACAATAAGTGCTAGGATGCATGCAATCACCAACAAGACGTAGGCGAGCATAGTGAGCTTGCGCTGCAAGGGAGTTCCAACGGTGAGGCCGAGAAATACACCGATAGCGTCCCATGTACGCAGGGATAGACCTTTGAAAAGAGCCAAGGGACCATATTTGCGAACATTCATGGATCGACCAGACTTGCGATTCTTTCCGGCAATGGAGGCGGCAATTAGACCGATCTCGGTAAACATTCCTGTTGTGATGACAATACCGCGCGCACGGCCTTTGGTGACAGTTGTTGATGAATATGCGAGATTGATACGATCACCGACACTCGCGTCCTGATCCGGGGGAAAGACGATGTTATGATCTTTCAGAACGGGAAGAGACTCGCCGGTAAGTAGAGCCTCATCGGCCTCGAAGTTCATAGTGTCGATGAGCCGTAGATCAGCGGGAATAACATCTCCCACTTTGACGTCAACAATATCGCCAGGCACAACGTTGAGGGAAGCAATGTGGTCGATAACGCCGTCTCGTAGAACAGTTGCGGTCGGAGACGAGAGCGATTTGAGTGAATCAATAGTTTGCTCTGCGCGATACTCTTGTACGACACCGACGACAATGTTGAGGATAATGACAGCAGTTATGACTCCGCCTTCCACGTAATCGTTAACACCGTATGACAATGCCATGGCGAGAATGAGCACGAAGCCCATTGCATTCAAGCATTGGCGAAGAATGACTTTGGTGAGAGAAACGCCGGAATCATCGTCGAGCTTGTTCTGGCCATACTGCTGAACTTTGCTTTCGGCAGCTGCAGCAGTCAGACCTGTAACAGGATCAGTATTGAGTACGTCTGGATAAAGAATGTCAATAAAAGTCTGTTCCGACAAACAGGAGAAGAAAGAGTGTTCGACTTACGTGCAAGGTCGGGAGCATCAAGCTGGTAAGGAGGGACAGAGTATTCGACTTGGTGTGTGGGGGAAGACTTCCTTTTACCCATAATCAGTGCATAAAGTTCAGCAGTGTCAAAGGGCTGAGTGGATAGAAGGCTATCAGGATAAGATATCGAGAGAAGCAGATAGGTAAGGGGGCCATCCGGGGTATTTAAGTACTCGAATACAGATGCAGTTCCGTGGAATAGGATGTAATTATTTGCCACATAAATTTGGCCAAGAAGAGAACTAAATAGTACAGGGCATGGCAAAGGAGAACACAGAAATCGGGATCAGAGTGGAGGATATCAGGAACCGTCACGTAAAAGAGGAGCAAAGCCCATGATCTCAAGGCGTAGCTGAGCTAGCGTAAAGAGAGCAGTTCCAGGAGCGAGTACAGTCAGAGCACAGATATACAACAGCACCATTTTAAACGTTCTATCTGGTATTTTCACGATCTTCTTGAAAGAACAACACCTTCTCAGTCTCGAATAGAAGGTCATTTGTTGCATGTCGCGATGTAGAATGCCCAGCAATGGAGTTTCCGCGTTGCTTCCCAGCGTTGCGCGCTAGTCCCAATAGAGCAATATGCGGCTTGGTATGGAGTTTAATATTATAGAGTTTCTGGACATGTGACTTGGGGATTGACCTCTTTAGATGCTATGACATCATAAGCCTTGTGGAGGAGAACTGGGGACAGGTTATGTTGTAGGCAGCCAGAGGCCTCGCAACACTGATTTCAGAGATCAATTATAAAGACTCTTGAAGCTGATAAAGATACTAATGAGCTATTGTGTGCCGGAACATCCGATGTAGCTCCGCTACTGCTGGAGCATTGAAAGATTTGCTACCAAGGTGAACCCTTGAAAGTCGTGATTGTTGCTATCCCTCCACTTTCCTAGAAAGATCAGGGTTCTTGGCCGCCCAGAATTGGCCGAGCATCCTGCGGGCAGATCCGATTCCGATCAGATCAGTCAACTCACGGTTCTGATTATCTTACTTGATCAAACTTGGCATTGGAGTAGCGGCAGGTTGGACAGCTGCTACCAGGAAGCAAGCGAAATGAGATATAGCTGATGTATAGTCTGGAATAACAGGCACTGCAGCTCTACAAGATGGTATAAGAGAACAATGGGCGTTAAAAGCCTTGACATCCGGTTATATTCAGCCGTTCGAGCACTCTGCATTGTTAATTGTTGGCTGACTTCCCTCTCGGCTTCCAAGACAAACCTAAGATCTTATAAGAACTTTGATCTAAAAGGCATTGTCTGCTGGTCCAGGATCGGCATATATTATCGGCTATACTAACTGCCGCTTCGACCAAAACCCGAGTTCCGAGGGTGCTTCAAGAAACATATCACCAACTGATGATATCACGCCTTCTAGGCATTGATTTTGGGATAAAGGCATAATTAGTCCCGCCGGCTAATGCAAGATACGCGCATTATGTTGACCATCTCGTCCAGCAAACGGGCATTCAGACGTTAACTCCGATGTAAGTGTGTATGATTTGAGTATATATAACAATGATAGATATTCAAATGTTAGATGCGTCTATCTCCTCGAGCTCATCTCGCACTGTACGGCTTCTCAGTCTCATAATTCCCAGATTGTAAAACACATGGCCTAAAACATGCGCAGTCTACGCATCAGAAAGTAGAAGACTGTACCCATAAAGGCACCACCGATATGGGCACCGTTTCCAATCTGTCGGCCAGACGGCGGGTAACCTTGCTCTGATCTGATCTCCTTATAAACCACCTGGGCAAAATCGAGTCTACAAAATGATCCAGATTAGCCATCTCGCTTATCACTCATCAACGGTAGAACACTAATAAGACTTACCCGACTAATCCGACAAAGAAAACCCAGCTGCGCATTGGGACGATTCCCATGAACAAAATTGGTCGGAATGGAGCCATCAAAGTCTCAAGGGCCAGCAAGGAGAAGATACCACCACTGGCGCCGCAGCTCCGACTTCTTTGCTCCATGTTGTATCGCAGAATATTACCTTTGGCCAGCGCACGACGAGCCTGATAGCTCGAGTACATCTCAAACAGAAACGAGCCACCGGCACCGCCTAGCGTGAAGATCGCGAAAACCGTAGCTGCTGATATGCTAGCGGGGAACATGCTTCCCATAAAATATATGAAAAAGCAGTTGGTGAAAAGATGGCCGAGGTCTGCATGGTCGAAAGATGATGTGAAGAGGTAAATGAAAGATTTGTCTTTACTGTATGACAGATCTGGAAACCCGGGCACAAACGACTTAAGAGCATACACCCCCACAAATGTAGCAATAAGCGCATATATCGCATTCTCTGATGGAAGGTTGAATCTGTCGTAGTACTGATACTTGTAGTATCTCCATCCGCTCTTTTTCTGATACCAATGCTGATAGAAACGCGTCTGATTCGACGGAACAGCCGGGGACAAAGTCTTAGAAAGTTGTGGTCTGCTCGCAAAACTTTGCGTCATCAAAGATCTATTCACGAGTCTGCTGTAGGCAGTGTTCGAAAGAACAGATGCCGACTTCTGCGGAAATACATCGGTCAATACCTTTTTGATACTGAACCGGCTCTGCGTGTGAAGCTGCCGACCAAGGCCGAATACACTGCTGGTCGCCAGGGAAAAAGCATTAAACCGACCCAAAGGTCGACAAAAAAGTTGGAACCGCATCAGGCTATGTGAACGATAATTAGTAGAATGCCGATACCCGTTGATCTTCTGGAATATCGCAAGTTGTAAGCTCGCTGAAGTTCTCGAAAGTACCCCAACCCTGGCAGTTCTCCCAGCGAGCGGAACATGTACAAAATATCGAGCACTTCCCCATATATCGTTTGCTAGAAATATAACGTCTACCATTTAGAAGCCAAAGATGCGCTCCTCTCCTTCTCTTCTGGCAAAAGCCGCCCGCCGCTCAGCGCGGACGATGATGCCGGAGGTCAATGTGCTCCCGCCGATTCCTCTCTACCGTCGCATACTCCGAGCCCACCGCCGGTTACCTACAGAGCATCGCTTTCTAGGCGATCAGTACGTGAAGAGCGAGTTCCGGCTCCATAGAGATACCGAGAATCCGCTTCATATTATTGGATTTTTGAGTAGCTGGCAACAATATGTTGAGCAGATTGAGGGCAATAAGTGGAAGGACGCCAAAATTGATATGCAGAAGCTGGAGAAGATGTCGGACCAGCAAATCATTCAGGTTCGTGCAAGACTTTAAATCCGGTTTCTTGTCCTCGCAAAGACTAACGTGGCTTTTTATCACTTCTAGTTCTACGAGCTTATGCAATCAGCCCAGGGAATGGAGTCCGAGTACAGTTCTCATTTTGTGGACGTCAAATCGGAAAAGCCTGATGAGTCGAAATAGAGGAAATCGATTATGATTGTAAGGTGGGGTAATGTAATATAACTGATTGATGGATGTTTCGTGTATATACAATGGGTTATTAAATGAACAAACAAAAAGGTTGGTGCGCATTCCGGCTGTAGCATAATCCTTCTTGATCCGACTACCTTCTCCTTCCTGATCCCGTCTTCTGCTCCCTTTCCACAATCTCGCCGATACCACCAAGCTCTTCGTATTGATCTTCGGCAGCGCGGATCTGCTCCCGGCGTTCCCACCATCTCTCCTCACAGAGTTCGAACGCATCCCGCTTGAGATCCTTGCCACGTTTGCCAGTATCTTTGTTATTCGAAATTGCCCATTCCATGAAAGCACTGCCAGTGCGGTTGTAGAAAACTCGCAGCGACTCGAACGGGCGTGGGTGAGGAAGATATGGGCGCGGGTCAGGCTCCACGACCGCCATGCCGCCTGCAGCTTCAGTGAGCTCTTCGGCTTCGTCGACGGCCATCTCCTCCGGTGCCTCCTCCGCGTTCGCTTCTTCCACCTCCTCGTCGTCTTCATCGTCGTCATCTTCGTCATCTTCATCATCGTAGTCTTCTTCACTCTCGTCATCCTCTGCTTCGGCTCGTGCAACTTCATCGACAAACGTTTCCCAGATTACACGCACACCATCCAATTTTCCAAGATCGATCGAGTACATACTATCCAAGGCAAACTCGCGGTCTCCTTTCTCCCACATACCTCCGTATATGTAAATCGTATCCTGCATGACCGCTGTGGAGCAATTGAATCTTGAGTGAGGAAGCGCCAACGTGATCGGGTGCTCGACCTTTGTCACTTCCTCGTCCGAGTCATCGCTATCAGAATCATTCATGCTGATATCCTGGGATTCGTCATTCGCATCTTTCCCATCAGAGCCTGGGCCATTGAGTAGAAGCTTCAAGTTTTCCTCGAGCTCGTTCGATTTGTTCTTCACGGGACGCTCTGCTGCGACTGGCCGCTTCCTTGGTGGCCGTAGAGTGAGCGGAAACCACTTGTTGGTATTGATCTGGTACGCGTAAAGATCATTATAGAAAACCGAGTCCAAGGTCTCTTCAGTTTCTTGCGTATCATAGACACCTCCAAATAATACACCACGACCTTTGTGATATACCATCGAGCATCCGACACGCGGAGATGGCGCCCAGGCACTTTTACGCCGTCGCTCCCATCTTATAGTCTTCAGATCTGGACTCAACTTCAGCATCCATGTGTCTGAATGCACTTTACCCACAATCTTCTTTTGGGAATTTTTGACTTTGGAGTAGCCGCCCCAGACAACTGCACCTTCCTCTGTAGTGACAAAAGAGTGTCCTGAGCGTGGCTCAGGCTTCAAGGAGTTAGGAGGGAACTCCAACTGCGTCCACTTCATTGTCGTTATATCGAACGCCCATAAGTCACCGAGATAGGTCGTTGAAGCTGCCAAGTCTCTGAACCCTCCATGCAGAAGTACATAGTTTCTCCACGGCGTCAGTCTGTGTCCTGATCTTGCCGACGGACCTTTCTTCAATTCTAGCCGGGTCCATTCGCGAGTTGAAGCGTCAAGTATCCAAGTATCGCCGTAATGGTAGAATGTGTTCTGCTTTGGCGAGGAAAACTCACCGCCAAATAGCACAATCATGCCCGATGATGGATGAACGCACATGGCGTGTCCGGATCTTGGTAGCGGAGTATTCGGTGAGGTCACTTGGCGCCAGATGTTTGTATCAACGTTGTAAATAAACAGGTCATTGTAGAACTCTGCCAGTCCGGCGTTGTTAACGGACTCGCCGCCAAATAGGAACAGCTCCTTGCGGCCATGCTGAGGAGGTGAGGCAACTAATGTCGGGTTCAGGCGTTTGCTCGGGCGGTCGCAGGGCACAATCTTGACAGCAAGGAAGTTTGCTTGCTGTATACCAAAGTAAGTCAGTAATCTTTATCATATGTTCTCTTTTTGAAGTTGAGCGCATACCTCTTTGGCATACTCTGCAAGGATATCGTCGATGTTTGCATCATCAGCATCCTCGTCGTTAGCAGCAAGTTTGCTGGCTTTCTTCTTCTGCTTCGAGGCGCCTTTGTTCTGAGCCTTCAAAGCCTTCTCGGCTTTGAGAGCCTTTTTGGACACTGCGTTTTTCTTGTCCTTCTTGCCCATGCTCTCTCTTCTTCTGTCTACTATTTCCTGGAATATCGAGATTTAATTCAAAAAATATTTCTTGATCTGCTCTTCGATTTTAAAGCCACCGCCGCATTTTAGTGGGGTGCCACACTGAGGCGGTGAATTTTTTTTGAATTTTTTTATTTTGTCCCTCGAGGCGATGAGATGGTAGCACGTTGTACTTCGGAACCAGCAGTTGCCAACGTAGACCTCAAAAACCTGTATTGATCTATGGATTAAAATACCATTGCTAACATAGAATAAGACGCTCAATACTTGTAGTCCGTCGTCTACAGGGAACAGTCGTGAAGCGCCCGAGGGTCTTGTTCCCTGACTCATCGGTAGCAATAAGAATATCGAAGTGTAAACCGCCGTGACGCATACTCTCTCCACAACCGTCCCGGTCTACAAAACCTCAGCTTTCTATATCGACGCTCACCAAGGACAACCGCAATGACTCGAACTGAAACCACTCACTACTTTGGAGCCGGCCCCGCGCTTCTGCCGACGTCGGTGATCAAGCAGGCTGCGGAGGACTTGATTGAATATCAAGGCTCTGGTCTCGGCCTGGGTGAGATTTCGCACCGCTCGGCACCAGCGGTTGCGGTTGTCGACAACACCAAAAGCAATATCAAGCAGCTGCTCAATGTGCCCGAGACACATGAGGTGTTTTTTTTACAGAGCGGTGGTACCGGCGAGTTCGCTGCTGTGGCGTACAACATGCTGGCCGCCTTTGCCAAAAAGACGGGGAAGAAGGGCAAAGCTGATTACATCGTTACCGGCACTTGGAGTCAAAAGGCCGCTGAGGAAGCGAAGCGGTTGGGTGTCGATGTTAACATTGTTGTGAACGGAAAGAAGTCCAGCCCGACGGGCAAGTACGATCGAATTCCCGAGCCCGAGACGTGGAATGCGTTTGGCTCTGCCGAAGACACCGCTTATGTATACTACTGCGACAACGAGACCGTCAACGGAGTCGAATTCCCCTATGTTCCCAAGGTTCCCGAAGGAGTTGAGCTGGTTGCCGATATGTCGTCGAACGTTCTCTCGCGCGAAGTCGACGTGTCGAAATTCGGTGTCATTTTTGTAAGTTTGTGTGCATATGATATTCCCATTCTCGTCTGCTAAAAGCTAATGATCATTGAAAATAGGCTGGTGTGCAGAAGAACATTGGTATTGCTGGTGTGGCTGTGGTAATCATCAAGAAGTTGCTGCTTGAGAAGCCTTCCGATGAGGAGCTTACTGCTCTCAACATTCCTCTTGCTCCCATAGTTTTCGATTTCCCCACTTTGGTCAAGAACAACTCGCTCTACAACACTTTGCCAATTTTCAACTTACATGTTGTTTACCTAACGACAAAGCTCCTGCTCGATAACGGCGGACTTGAGGTTCAGGAGGCTGTTAGCAACAAAAAGGCTGAGAAGCTTTATGCTACCCTGGACTCGGTGCCGGAAGGCGTCTTCAATCTCCTGGTCGAGAAGAACTCCCGCAGCAGGATGAACATCGTTTTCACCGTCATCGGAGGAGGCAAGGAGAAGGAGTTCCTGGATGGTGCAAAGGCTAAAGGAATGACCGGATTGTCGGGTCACAGAAGCGTTGGCGGTATTCGGATATCGAATTACAATGCCGTGTCCGAAGAGAGCATCGACTATGTCTGCAGCTGGATCAAGGAGTTCGCGTCATAGAACTGCCTACTGCCGTCCTCAGCTCTCATGGAGTGCTTCTTGTGACGAAAGAGGGACGATTAAGGGTTGAGCTCTTCAAAAGTAACTGTTGTTTTCTATAGAGTTATATAAATATTATATTTAATTACAATGATCTTCCATGTAACTATCGTAGCAAGCTAACTCCCAATGTGAATACAGATGCATAATTCTAGAAAAGCAAAACTCCAGTACACGTGTGCGATAAAAGGTGAAATTTGATAAACTCAGCTCACTGGCTGAAGCAAGTCAAGTAGTAGGTAACGTTATTAACCTCGTCTAAGCCAGCGACAGTAGCAACGAAATTGAGTAGGGTACCGTCAGCAATACCTATTTATACCAGTCAGTGAACGTCTTCTTTGAGGTTTCTGGAGTGAATCTTACATATGATCATGTTCATGACTGAATGCTGTATCCGAAGAACATTATGCAGTTCTTTGGCATCCACCCAAACACTGGCAAACTCTTCAGGATCACGTTGAGAGGCAGCCTCTTCTCTTGTGGTATCCTGAGCAGCAACCAAGCCTGACCATTCAGTGTCTACCTTGACATGATCATTCTGGACACCAATTTTCAAAACTCCGGCATTGTTAGCAGATACCTGAACTCTTGCTCCAATGTTCTTATATCGCTCGCACAGATTTAGTATGCTGGGTAGTTTATTGTTCATGAAAAGCACCACATCCGCGTCCTGCGTCTCTGGCTCTTTAATCAACCGAAACTGATCTGGTCGTAAAATTCGAATCGGAACCGTCTGAAATATACTGGCATGTTTCCCACCACCGTTTGCAGAACGATCATCCACCGAAAGCAGAAGATACGGAGCGCCGTGACGTTTGACCAATTTCATTCTCACAGCTCCTAAACCAAAGCTGCCTCCGGAGAATGATTTCAGGGCCCGCACAAATATCTCGGCAGACATCTCAAATGTTAGATGGTTATCATCCAGAGACTGGACTGTCAGGCTTTTGAAAAGGTCTGTGACTTCGAGATGTCTACATTTGGTGAAAGTCAGTATGGTTTGACCGCCGAGGTAGCAAGCAGTGTCACTTACGCCCAGACCTGTGTACAGCTGCCGTCAACAATGCATATGATATTCAGCATTTCGCGGCTGATCCTGAAGATACATATTTTCCTGATAAAAGACAACGCATATAGGATCTCTGCGTATCAAAAGTCAGCATCGTAGATCACGAGTAAGAACGCGCCCTCACTCACCTCGTAGAATTTCCGAACTCTCGAGAAGTCCAGAAAACCTCATTATTGCTCTATTCGGCCTAAGCCAAATTATTCTGCAATACTTGCACGTGTAAGGTATACAAGACTATAGAATCCTGAGACTGAAAGCGTACTGTTGTTAATATTGTTTATAGATTTCCGACATGACGCGACGCCATTGATCGTGCCTGCCACGTGGGCACGTGACCAAATCTACATTTCGCCTGCTTCATTTATAATATACTGATTATTTACGAAAGGCTCTTGTTTCCTGAGTTGGATGGACTAAATTTGTCCAGAGAATAAGCAAATACACGGAGAGTGCAAGAGGATTTTGTGTTATATCATTTAATCGTCCAAACTGACAAATCGCAATGCTGAGTTGGCTATTTTACATAGTTCGCGAAAGCTCGCTGACGCTGAATATCATTTCAAGATAGAAAGACTGAACAAGATAACTAGTGTACTATAGCTTCACGTCTTCCTGTCGGTAGTTATCGAGAACCAGACGATACATAAAGCTCGGCGAGAAGCCACCCCTATATAACAGTGTTAGACTGCGCAATCTAGGTTTAATCGAGCAAAAAGTGACACTTACAGATTAGTTATGTAGATATCCACTAGCTCAGGCGGCACATAGTCAAACAGTGGGTTCACGACGTCAACTTTCTCAACCAAATTTCCTGAAGCAAAATCGATTAGCATCCGTGATCAACCCATATGAAACAATTGTCTGCATACCTTCTTCAAAATTCAGAACTTTTCCCGTGTCACCAACCTCGACCAGGCTCTCTGTGTCAAATGGGTACATTGGTGAGAGTTTGTAAATGCCCGTGCAAACAACTACTGGTGTACGATGAGCATTTGCGCACTGGCAAATCATTTCCGAACCAGCTGTAGCTAAGAGTCCTCCGTTGGCCAGCACTATTTCGAGTGTTAGCTCTCTGCTGCCGTATTTCTGTAGTAGCGATCGACAACTTACCTGCACATGTTCCCAAGATAACTTTACCCACGCGGCCCATGATTGAATACACCATCGCATCGGTGATGACGGTCGCTTCAATACCAGCTTCGGAGAGCTTCATAGCAAACCGATGAGCCATCTCAATGTCGTTAGGAAACACTTCGGCAATCAGCACAGTGAATTTTCGCTTTTGTGCAGCTCGCAGTAGAAACTTCAGTACTGTATTCGAGTTGGGTGTCGCAGTAAGGATTGTTTCACTGGAAGGGTAAACAATGTTAGCAGTCGATTGCGGAGAATGTACACTTAGAGTGATAGGACATACTTCTCGTGAATCATCTCTACACTTTTTCCGGCGATACTCTCTGAACTGTTCCTTAGCTCGTCAATAAGCTCCTGTATACCTTCGATAATGTACGGTTTCAGATCTTTTTTCTCCCCCGGGCTGCTCTCACGGCTAGACTCTTTATCAAAGTCTGTTTGAAGTAAGCTGAACATGGACGTAATTAGGAGAGAGTTACTCGCTCCGTCTCCGGACTCAGAATCATCTGTGTCCTCCGCCTCCTCTCGAATCAGCGCCAGCACTCTTCGGACAATGTTCCCGCAGGTTAGTTCTAATTAGCGGGTCAGAATCAGCCGTTACATCTTTTAGTAAATTCGAACGCAAAGGTATTCGTACCACGAGGCTGTGCGCTCTGTAATCGCTTGCCAACCACCTTGATCTGGGTGATCAGCTGGTCAATATGCGTCCATCGCGCTGCAGATACAACACGCAAAAGCAGCTGGGCGGTGGCTAGAGCGACATCGTGAGGACCTTTGATCTGGCGCCGTTTCATTTGCCTAGAGTATCGTTGTTAGCCTCGCATTATTCCCGTGGAGCGGCAAGTCCAGCAGGCACATACGCCAGGAACGACTCAATATGAGTATTCAGGTCCTTCTCCTTATCCCTCCCTGTGTGTGCAGAAGACGACGACATTGCTGATTAAGGTCGGTGTGTATATACTATCGTCAGTCTGCAGACTCAACTGCTCCAGATGCCCGAATAGCCATCTTCTACAAAATTTTAAGGTTTCCATTTCGTGATCTCCGGGTAACTGTGCATAACAGCCGCGCTGCAGTTGCAGTTGCAGCCGTATGTCACCCGCCAAGGGGCTCGTGGTAGATGAGCAGCGACCTCGAGCAAGCCCCCTTGACGAAGACAGCGACCGATACAAATCATCGGACATCAACAGCTATGGCAAACGCAGCTCCACAGCCTGTATATGGAGGGGGTAGGTTCTTGCTTTTTTGATCCAAGTGACCGCGCCAGGGATGCGATTGACTGACTATGTGGCCTCTAGACGAGATATCAGCTCTGGTGATTGATCCAGGCAGCTCCTGGACCCGCGTCGGTTTCGCGGGCGAGGACTCACCAAAGGCCGTGGTTCCTACATTCTACGGAAAAGCAGGCGACGATGTGTATGTTGGAGACAATGAGCTTCATAGCTCGCGACCTGGGATGGACGTCTTCAGCCCGATGAGTGACGGATGTGGTACGCACTTTCGACAGTTTTGACACCAGGCACAGTTTGATGTGTTCTAATTCATGTTTTTGCAGTGACGGATTGGGATATGACGGTGAAGATCTGGGACTATGCGTTATCGAAGCGACTGTATACCGATCCTAAAGAACACCCATTGCTGATCACGGAACCGTCCTGGAACCCACAAAAGAACAGAGAGAAGACGGCTGAAGTCGCGTTCGAGGAGCTAGGCGTTCCTGCTTTCTACTTGGCTAAAGAGGCAGTTTGCTCAGCGTATGTTGGGGTATTGAGACTTGTGGTTATTCCAATTATTTCTGACTATTTTGTTGTAGATTTGCTTGTGGAAAGCCGACAGCTCTTGTCGTCGACATTGGCAGTGCGGTTGCCTCGGTTACTCCCGTCATTGATGGCTTGGTTTTGAAGAAAGGTACGGATCGGTATATGTTTTAACTAATGACTGGATCAAGACCTAACTCTCAGTAATCTAGCCACTTTCCACACCAACTTCGCCGGCGACTATGTCAACAGCCATCTGACTGCACTCTTCAAGTCAAAGAACATCTCTCTAACCCCTCACTTTATGATCTCCAAGAAGTTGCCAGTTGAGCCCGGTCAGCCAGCGCAAGCTACTCTGAAGACTTTTGAAGGGTTGGCCGATAGCTACATTGAGTTTGAGCGTGGAAGGATTCTGAGTGAGTTCAAGGAGAGCGTGAGTCAGGTTTTGGATATGCCGTACAGCGAAGTGGTTGCGAATGCCAGACCATCAAGACCGTTTGAGTTTCCTGATGGGTATAACCTGAACTTTGGAGGCGAGCGATTTGCTACTACTGAGCCACTCTTCCAACCACAGCAGTTTTCTCTGCCTGATTCCTCGGTCGATAGTAATTCGCAGGGTCTTTCCGAGCTCATCAATAGCAGTATTTCGGCCTGTGATGTCGATGCGCGGGCTAACTTGGTCAACAATGTGGTCCTGATTGGTGGTACTAGTTTGCTTACTGGATGCACCGAGCGTATTAATGTGGAGATGACGCAGGCATTCCCTGGCATGAAGATCAGAATACAAGCACCGGGAAATTCGTCGGAGAGGAAGTATGCGGGATGGATTGGAGGCAGTATCTTGGCCAGTCTGGGGACGTTCCACCAGATGTGGATTGGCAAAAAGGAGTACGAGGAAGTGGGTGCCTCGATCGTCGAGAAGAGATGCAAGTAGAGTACAGAATCTGCATATACTAGAATCTGTTGTACGATAGTTGGTTCTTTTGAGTGATTGTGTTGTTTGATAATACAATGTAGAATATCTATATGGCGGCTCAGGCAGTTTGCTTTGGCGATTTGCATCCGGGCCGGATCGTAATATTCTAAAAATTCGTAACCACCTCCCCGCACACAACCGCTCTTTGCGTTCTCTATAGATCTCACCTCTACCCAGCAATGCCCAGGGCGGAAACTTTCAGCGAGCTAAGTCTCGGGATTAGAGCATGTCAAGTTGGGTTGGCATGCTCTACCATGCTTGCGGTTATCCTGTACCTTCACGATCTGGTGAAGACTGACGACCTGTTTGCAGAGCCCGCGCTGCTGCAGTCTAGCGGGATAACTATCTGCAGCTGGTTCATTCTTGCTCTTGTACAAATCTACTGTATATCTACAAACGATCAGTTTTGCTAATTTATTCTATAGTCATCTGCAGGATTAGTAACCAGTGTATTGTTTGGAATCGCTCCTGTGTCTGGGATGCTTGATAGCTGCTTCAAGACCGGCCGTGTCATTGTGTCTGTTGATTTGGCGTTCATAGTTTTATGGGGATTCACTATGCCGGTTTTGTTAATAGTCTATCCGAATGATGAACAGATGGGAAAAGCGTATAAGATTCTATCGATGTGTTGTGGAGGAAATCTGTAAGATTTGTGTTTGTTGAAGATAGATAGCTCGGGGAAACGCTAACATTGTGTATCCAGGTTTCTATGGGCGCTCTCTGCTGGACTCGATTGCTTGTTTACGGACGATGAGACGGTCAATAACGAAAACACTTCCTCTGCTGCTGTGAAAATGAATGAACCAGGAGAGATTCGGGAGAAGTGGGAGTATATGCATGTGGAGGCACCCGAGCCAGCACTCCATCGGGCCGCTGTGGACCTGGTCTGAGATACCATACATCAAATAACTGTTCTGTGAAAAATACCTGTCTTATCCATGAATTTAATGAGCTGTCAGCTGCCGATTTCTCTTGCGTTGCAGATTTTGCAAAGTCGGTGGATACCGCGCAGTAGTTAGGTTGAATGTTTACGAATGAAGGATTGTATTCGTCGTTGCTCTGTAGCTTGCAACAGCACTTTTCCTACTCTGAGCTCTAATATACACAAGAAGAAAGAAAAATCTCTTCCTGAACTGAATCATACATCACCATGCCGCTGAAAGTAGATAGCCCAACTATATGTCGCGCGTAACATTTCGTAATCATCTTGCTAGCTTTTCTGTTCAGATCAATCTTCTTAGAATCCACGAGGACCTCCCCGTCCACCACGACCACCCCGTCCGCCTCTGCCGCCACCGCGGCCACCGCCACGGCCAACTCTGGCGGAAGCAGGACCGCCCTTTGACTTTGAACCCGGTTCGCCTCGCTTTTTGTTCTTTGGTTTGGGGCCGTCGTCGATCAAGAGGGTGTCGAGTGGTAGAGAATCCGGGAGGATGAAGTATCGAATTGTGTTTCCTCGGATGTTAATGAAGTCTAATGATAGCGGATCGCGGTCTTTTATGGTCATCTTGACGGCCTTGAGCGTTGTGTTCATCGTTGGCGCGACAGAGACGATTGTACCGGAGACGATTGTTCCTGTGAACGAGAGTTAACACTACCGACCCGATCCTGGATCGATCATCGGGACCTACCATTTTTCAGTTCTATCTGGACCGTCTCAGAGGTCAGTTTCATGAGAAACCTGGCAGAGATGAGTTAGAAGATGAGAATCACAGCTGCAAAAACTTCGTCGTTTAGAAACAAAGTCGGTATACAACGAGGCCAGCTTACCGAACTAACTTCATCGTGAGAATAAGATGCAAATGCCACAATCAGGAATTGACAAATGACTCTGTTGAATGGCAAACAATCGGGTTCTAAACACACGCGATATCCGACTGCTTATTGTAAGGGGCCCTGTCCTTTTTTGATCTGCTTCTTCTCCGGCGCCCGCTCGAACTGAGCCCTAACCTCACGTTCAGCATAACCCTCACAAACCCGCGGCTTCGGGATTGACGCAATTTAAGGTTTATTTAACTTCCTAATCCAGAACTAATCCCGGACTAAGTCCGCCAGTGGTCGCCGGCTTACGTCCGTCGTGTAGTCTGCCTCGCCCTTAAGTTGAGCTCTACGCCATTCGTGCGGGAGATAGCTTCCGCCTGAGATCGTCTCTGCTTCCATATCCAGGCCCTCGGTTTCAATCTCCAGAAACTCTTCTGTTTGCTCTTGTTGCATTTGCGGAAGCAGAGACTCGAGAGTCTAACGTCGATTGTGAGCCAAACGACCCCCCTACGTACTGCATCGCGCAATCTTATCGATAAAGTCGGAAGGCAGATCAAGTCGTCGCAAAGATGGGGCTTATGGATTATCTGTACAAATTTGCCGATGAGATCGGGCTGGTGACCCTCGTCAGCTCATCGCGAGACGTTCATCTCCTCTGCGCTCAGCGATTCGTTAGAATGTTTGCCTATGGTCAGGTTACTATCATCCTGGCAGTTTTCTTCACCTCTCTTGACATGGGAGAGAGCAAAACTGGTCTTTTCATGACGTGCACTCTGCTAGGAGACGTTGTGATCTCTTTTGTGCTTACGCTGGTTGCCGATCGGGTTGGTAGACGGACGATCCTCGCTCTCGGATCTCTACTGATGTGTGCTTCTGGCGTCGTCTTTTCCTACTCTTCTACTTTCTGGGTATTATTGGTAGCTGCCATCGTCGGTGTCATCTCTCCAAAGTAAGTATCTACATGTTTTCAGCAATTTGACTCAGAAGGTGCTAATTGTCTTTTGTAGTGGTAATGAGATCGGACCTTTCAGAGCAGTCGAGGAGTCTACGCTAGCTCATCTTATTGCCCTTGAAGTTCGAGCTGATATTTATGCCTGGTATGCCCTTCTGGGAAGCTTGGGCTCTGCTTTTGGGGCTATTTCCAGCGGCTGGATCGTGCAATATGCCCAAGATAAGTACAACTGGACGGCCATCAGTTCCTATCGGTTTATATTCGTCATCTACAGCGTCATTGCGCTCATGAAGTTTGCATTCTCAGTGATGTTGTCTCCTGAGTGTGAGCTGCAGCCGGTTCCACAGAAGCTGGAGCCTACTGTCGAACGCGATGTGGATGATGAAAACGCAGAATCATACCCGATGAGTCGATTGCGCTCGTCTACAGATCAGGATGAGGAATTGACTGGTATAGAAAGAGATGAAGCAAGAGATATTTTCGAGGAGATGGATCAATTGAGTTCCAAGAAAGTCAGACCATTTCTCTTGCGATGGATTGATTATTTCCCACATTTGTCGAAACAGTCGCTCAAGGTTGTGGCTCAACTTATAGTTTGGTTCGCTCTTGACTCTTTCGGAAGTGGACTCGCGACACAGTAAGAATCCCCTTGATCTGATTGCCGAATTGAGATTCGAGAAGGTGCTAACAACTGTCTATAGGACTTGGGTTGCGTACTACTTCATTAGCAGGTTTGACACCAAAGAAGGTGTACTTGGAAGTTTGTTTTTCACGACAAACATCGTCGCGGCAGCGTCGTCCCTTGTGGCTGCTGCGATATCAAAGCGTTTGGGCCCCATTTTGACAATGGTTGGCACTCATCTTCCCTCATCGATCATCTTGATGATTCTGGGATTTCCCTCCAGCTCCACTGCGGCTATGATCCTTCTTGTTGTCAGATACTGCACGGCGACGATGGACGGTGCGCCGCGACAAGCGTTCTTGAGCGCGATTGTCTCGTCTGAGGAACGTACGAGTGTCATGGGAGTCGTGAATGTGGTCAAGACTTTGGCCTCATCAGCTGGTCCGAGTTTGATGGGTAAATTTGCGTCGATCCACAAGATGCCGATTGGATTCTTGGTGGCCGGACTGTGCAAGGTGATTTACGATCTGGGAATTTTAGCATCATTCTTGGGAGTTCAGCTGCACAACAAATAAAAGGCATGACTTTGTATACGAAGAAGGACGGAAGTATAAAGGCTGGGTTATGAGAAGTCGATGAGCAGTATTGTGTTTTAGGTAGTTTGTAATTACGTCTTTAAGAGCTCCGATTGGCTGACGCTTAGCGTCGTTCTCACATGCGCATTGAGGAAGACTGTGGAGTAGCAGCCAGCGTTCGGGCATCTGCTGGACAAGAGCCTGGATTCCGAGCCGCGGCACTCCGGAACTGGAGATTCTGTTCCGGTGGAGAATAAAATAAAAACACGGATCAGTTCAGCTCAGCAGCTGAAGTTGGGTGAGCCGCGAAGTGCGCTGCGGCTTTGGCTCTACCTCGGCATCGCGTCTTTCTTCCCCACACCCAGATAATCCTCTCCCTGCGAACCTTTCTTCCAGCTTCCGTGACCTTTAAATATATTCAACCCAATATCCTCTTGTTGCTACGCTATCTCTACCGCTGGTTGATATTATTTAATTGCCTAAACATCGAAATCAAGACATGACTGACCACGATTACGGGTAAGCTCCGAACGTCATATGCTCATTCAAGCAACGTGCATGTGAAAACGCTAACTCCTGTCCTCAACCAGAGCCGTCGCAGCTGAAATCAAAAAGATAATCCCAAACGACGATTATGATGACGGAAGTACAGGTCCAGTGCTCGTCCGTCTAGCCTGGCACGCATCTGGCACCTACGACAAAGAGACCGGCACAGGCGGCTCTAACGGTGCCACTATGCGGTACAAAATCGAGTCCAGCGACTCTGCCAACAACGGGTTGGAATATGCTCGCAAATTCCTGGAGCCTATCAAGGCCAAATTCCCGTGGATCTCGTACTCTGATCTGTGGACGCTTGGTGGCGTTGTCGCAATCGAAGCGATGGGCGGTCCTAAGGTTCCATGGAAGCCAGGTAGAGTCGATGATGTTGACGACCAGTATGTGCCGCCAAACGGCCGTCTACCTGATGTGAGTATCTCATCACTAGCTTGTGCTTGATTAGAGGTGCGATTGAGGAGATTCTGACACAGTCGAAAATAGGCTTCGCAAGGTGCAGACCATATCAGATCAATCTTCTACCGAATGGGGTTCAACGATCAGGAGATCGTAGCGCTATCCGGAGCTCACAACCTTGGAAGGTGCCATGGTATGTGGACATTCAGAGTTTAACATGAGCATTGCTTTGAGATATACAGGTCTGGCTGACTACGCATTTTAAAGGTGATCGCAGTGGCTTTGAAGGCCCATGGGTGCCTAATCCCATTAGATTCACCAACACATAGTAAGCAGCGTCCTCCTTACCTTCTAGTAGCAGTTTTTGCTGTGGCTAACCAGGATTTAATTCCAGCTTCAAACTTCTGCTGCATGCGGAATGGGTCAAAGGAAAGAACAGTGTTGGTAACGAGCAATTCTACTCTGACGACGGCGAGCTGATGATGCTTCCCACAGGTAAGTTTCCAGACCCATGGGCAATTCATTCTAGAGCGCAGAACAATTTACTAACCATTACAATAGATATGTCTCTCGTCACTGACCCAAAGTTCCGCGTCTGGGTCGAAAAGTACGCAGCAGACAGGGATCTTTTCTTCAAGGATTTCTCTGCTGCATTCAGTAAGCTCATAGAGCTAGGTGTTACCAGAGGTCCCGAGGGATTGGCGCTTAGGAAGTACTCCACGGTTGCTCGGGCTAGACTATAAATCATCTTTGAATTCGATTCAATCTTATTTTTCTCGTGTTATTGCCGGGTTTAGCCGTAGTTCTTTTGTACATAATTACGGTGCGGATTGTGTGGTGTATGGTGACATAATGGATTTTCTACATATTTATGAGTACGTCGTAGTATTATACGAAGTAAGTGCGTAGATTATTGGTCTGGTTAACGAAAGACTTACGTATTGTTATTTTAATCCTGTGTGGCTGGAAATTGCTTGAATGAAAAGTGCCGACGCTGAAAGCAGACCAATTTAGAAGTGGCCCAGCCAGATTCTCAATCCAAACTCATCCACCTCTCCCCGTGCATTCCGTGTCCACCCACCTCACACCTACCAACAAGAACGAGTATGCGTCGAAATCTAGCTGCATCGATTCGGGTCGCCTGTATAGTCTCTGTCACCAGGCTGTTTCTCTTGCTGCACAATATCTGTACAATCTTTATTCTGACGCCGCTCGAGCTGGCGATTGCGCTGCTGAGACCGCTATGTCCACCTTCTGTGTTCAAAACCCCTGAAAGCGAGAGAGAGGCGGATGATGAGCAGGTAGATGAATCCACCGAAGCTCCTGTGCATTCTGACGCGAGAGCTCGCAAGGCTCGTGCTCGTGCTGCTACCCTCCCGAGTACATCATCTCGACCTGGCGACGACGCTTCGGTCTCTACATATCCGACAGCTCCTCAGCCGACTCCACGAGAAGACGCATATCTCTCTGACTCTGATGCGAGATCACAACGACTTCCGCTACCGATCATCGAGGACGCAGGAGATTCTCCTCACAACCGCATGCGCCGCTATCTCCGCTCTTCCTTTCCTCGATCGTTTCTGCCGCACTCTCGCTCAGATCCTAACGTCTCTACCCTCTCTCACCGTCGTGTAACTTCCTCGCCGATATCGGGGGTTGGAATACCGCTGCCGCCTAGTGGAGTAGCTACGCCTGCTTCATCTACCATTCTACCGCCAGGTCGCCGCTCCACATCTCACAGTTCCTCGACGGCCGCGCAAGAACTTCCTCCTTCTTCCCCTCGGGCGTCGGACACCATCATACTAACCGACAAAAAATTTAGCGCGCTTTGTCAGTCGAGCTTCCGCAATCTCCGCCATTCCCGCAGCGGCCAGTCTGACGATGGTGACTCTGAACATCCCGTCTCTGCTACTGCGTCGTCAGTATCGTCAGCAGCAGTTGAAGAGGTGATTGGTGAGGATTCGCAGACTTCGCGATTCGTCCGATTTTTTCAGGTTAAGAGCCGCCAGCCAGTTTCTGAAGGCGAAAGAAATGGCGGTAGTGGGGACGAGTCTGTCGTGTTTAGTATGAAAGAAGCTAGTAGTAGCACTTCTTCGCTCGGGACCAAATTGAGCACTGCGTTCAGGTCTAGGAAACAGCATGTTCCTCTCTGCGAAGATCCGGAACCGACCCGTTCGTCTTCTGGTACTCTCGATCGTGTTCCGGACGATGTCTCTAGTACTCCAGGAACAAGCTCACAGCCTGAATCCGTCGCAAGCTCGGAAGCTGCACAACCTCTCTCGCACGCTCATCCACTCAATGAAGACTCGGTCTCATCACCGTCATCCTCATTTTCACGTCGACATCTGCGTCGAGTAATCAAACCGCCTCGAAATCCTGTGTGATACCACTGTTGACCGTCTGTGTCTCACTTCTACTCTCTGTTTATTCTGTACATGTATATATATTTCTCTGTCACGCTGTGCCGGACGGTTAGTTTTCAGAATATTTGATGGGTCTCATTCTGCAAATCAAACTACGAATAGATACTCTAAATTGCTCTTAAGTATACATGAGCTACGCTGGATATCGTTGGACGACGACCCTCCAATAGATAGATTGTAAAGACTTCATATTTTAGAATAAATTACTTTTCGTCATCCTCACTGCGAACTCAAAGTAAACCTAGCAAAGGAACTTAAAGAGGAAATAAAAAAAACCACAAATTTTTATGCAAATGAAAGCATGAAGGCAAATAGCACGCTCGCAAACAAGGAAATCTCAGCCAAAACTAACACTCGACAAAATAAAACACAACAATATTTCCTTCACACACGCACAACACAAACTCTGGGAAAGGGGATATCAAAGGCCGCCGCTTGTCTACCTGAATCGCATGCTAGGCTGTCTCGACTTTGCAAGTTCTTTCAACGCAATCTCCTTCTGGGCTTCCTCGTGGATCTCCTGGATTGTCTTGGGTCCGGCCTCTGCGTTCTTGGGCTTCCAGTTCCGCTTGCGGAGATCAAAGATATCCATGATCATAAACTTTATCCGGCTGGACAGACCAGGCTGCTCCATGATCAGCTTCATGCGAGCAAAGTAGGTATCAGTGTGCTCCTTGTGGCCTCTGTTGCCGTCGATCTTGGCACCGACAGTTCTCATAAGACCACACAGCGACTCGACTTCTTCCTCGCTGGGCTCGCTGACTAGCAGACTCTGGATACACTTGTGCATAATCTTCTCGGAAATCATGTCCAGCATGTAAAGCTCACCAACGAAGCGGACAAGACCAAGACCACGACGCTTGATAACGACAAGCTCGTAGTACTCATCGGTAAGAACATCGGTCTTCTCGTCAGTCTTCTTCCCGTCAGCCTCGACCTTCCAGCCCTTCTCGAACTGCTCTTGACACTTGGACAACAGGTACTTGCGGAAGAGAAGACCGCCCCGAACAGGCTCGCCATCCTTGTCGACGACGCCATCTTCTGTGATGTCGTTGCCAAGCGAAAGCTGGACCTTCTTGCAGAATCGCGCATACATGTTCGACCAGTGAGCCTCATCAGTCGCCTTCTCGAACGTGAGAGTGATGACCTGTCGTAGAGTACGTCCGTCGTGCTCCCACTTGGACTGCGACACAATCTCAAGAATCTGGTCCGAGATCTTGTCGAACTTCTCAAGAGTCATCTTGTTGAGCATGGAGTTGACCTTACGTTGAACAACATCAGGCGGGTAAATGACGGATCCATCAGGAGCCTTCTCTTCTTCAACCTTCTCCTTCCGGCGCGGCTGCCATCTGTTCGCGGACAAAACAAGCGGCTCGGGCTTCTCCTCAGCAGGAGTCGAAGCACCAGAGCCGGGGCCGTCCATCGAGTGGAGATCCCGGTTGGAGTTTGTTCTATCCATGCGCTTGCCACGCATCGATCCACCAGAGTTACCACCTTGTCGGCCGTTCCGATTGTTGTTGCTCATGCTCGAGATCATGTTTGTGAACTGCGCAGAGTTCATCTTACCAAACGATGGCGTGCGGTTCATACCGGACATGGGGTTTGAGTCTCTGGCATTGCTGATCGCGAACCGTTGCTCGGAAGACATCTTTGATCCAAGCTGACCCATGCTACCAAGCTGGCCCATCTGGCCCATACCTCCAAATGGCATCGAAGACATGCTAGGCGTGCGAGCAGAGCCACCACGGCCGCTTCCACTCGCGCTGCGGTTGGCAGATGGTCGCTTACCGTCTTCGTTGTCCTGGATGGTCTTGATAAGAACATCCCAGTTCTCGGTTGGCCGCCCGGTGGCGACGTTTGCAAACTGGAGCAAGAAGTCGTAATCGTATCTGAACTTTCCGGGCGCAGAAGGACCATGAACGTTCCCTGGATAGGCAATCTCTTTGGGATCCTGGATCGGCTTCGCGTTCTTCAATGAGATGGCAAACGCATCGTTGACAGTATTCTTAACATCAACCGTCAAAGGAGCGGCCTTCTTGTCATCAGACTTGGGGAGGGCAGCAGGGATTGTGGGAGAGGTGCCATCTTCCGGAGTGACTGGAGTTCCGGTGCTCACAGGAGTCTCGTCATTCTTGGAGGCGGCTTCGGCTTCAGCAGCCTTTGTCTCTTCGGCCGCGGCAGCCTTCTCAGCAGCTTCAGCAGCAGCCTTAGCCTCAGCAGCAGCCTTAGCTTCTTCTTCAGCCTTAGCCGCAGCTTCCTTCTGCTTGCGCTCCTCCTCCTCCTTGAGCCGGGCCTCTTCGGCCTCCTTCTCCTTTTGGATACGTTCAGCCTCAAGCTTGGCCTTCTCCTCCTCCTCTTTCTTCTTGAGCTCGGCTTCTTCAGCCTTCTTGCGCTCAGCCTCCTGATCGTCAATGAGTTTCTTTCGGACTTCAGCCTTTGCCTTCTCGATGCGCTCACGCTTCTCAACTTCAGAGATCTCGATGGGCGTGTTGGAGCCAGTCCGATTGTGTCCGAGGCTGGGTCCAGGGCTGGCAGAAAGAGCGGGCTTGACGCGTTCGGCAACGACAACAGGAGCGACATGGGTAGCGGAGGGGGTCTTAACCTCCCGTTCGATCTTGACTTCAGTCTGCGTCTCAGGATTGATGATCTTGATAGCACGGCTCTTGGTGGACGAAGGAGTGACAGGAGCGGCCGACAGACCACCTGAAGGCACAGGGGTCGATAGCACGGCGACGGGCACGTGTGGAGAACCATCGGCCGCGGATGCGCTGCGCTCAACTGCAGGGTAGAAGGCTTGCGACTGTGGCGTACCAGGAGCACTGTAGCCTGGCTGGGGATATCTGGCTCCGTTCATGACGGGTGCATGTCCGTATGCCTGGTAAGACTGGGGATATGAGCCATTGTACATATCAGGAATATACTAAAAAAGAACAACGAGCCAAGTCAGCAAATCATGAAGCAAGAAAGCAAAGAGCGAAGACGCAGCAAGGGGTGGCGGGACAACGAACTGTCTGGGCAGGAATGTACGGAGGCGCATAGAATCCCGCGCCGCCATTGTAATAAGGAATTTGTTGCTGGATAGGAGACGATCCAACTTGTCCAGAGGCTATCTGGGAAGTGATAACAGGGGACGTAGGCCCGAAATTTCGCTGGTTACGACCATTGTGCTTGGTGCTCGAATGCGGCGAGAAGGGCTGCTGGTAAGACGGGTTGTGGCCTCCCCTGTTGGACAGAGCACCTCGCTGTTGAGTTCCTGGCGTAAAGGCGGTGAAGCCGCTGGAGTAGTTTCCGTTGTAGGAAAGCGGCTGGGGCGTCCGGCGCGGCGACTGCGGAGGAAGCTGAGAAGAGGTTGCTGGAGCGGCGGCTTCGGTTCGCATGTGACTGTTGCCCACGGGAGTCTGTGGGTTTGGTTGGTAAGAGGGCTGGTTTAAAAGAATGGATCAGTCAGTAATCCTCAGGGATTAACTGGATCCAGAAAAAAGGAGCTTGTCTGGGGAAAAGTGGTTTTCTGAGAAGAGAAAATACTTCTCAAGGAAAGTGGTGAAAGAAGGAGAGAAAAAAAATGCGGCGGCGAAATCAAAGTCGATGAGATGAGATAGGCAGACACAAACCGCGCGATGGTTGTGCCATAAATGTCACGTGCGGACGAACACCTTGTGAGGTCATAGATTGATTATCCACCAGCACCAGTAAAACATCGCTGATTAGTTCGCCGTCCGTATTCAGTAACTATATCGTGGCTGATCAGCCTTCGATTGAGCACAGTCCTGGGATTTGGACGGCGGAACTTGCTGGTGTTCTGTGTGGACCAGCGGAGTATTCCACATGAATTGCACTGCTTCTTTTTTTTCCTGCCCTCATATTGAATATCAGAGCCACGGCTAGGAGCAATTTCTCTCCGTCTTTCTTGTTACTGTCCCTTTCTCCTTGGTAGAACACACTCCCGGCAGCTCCTTTGACGTCTGGATCCGGTAAAACTATGTCAATAAACTCTCACAGATAGACACTCACTTTCGAGTCGACAGTTCCAAACTTGACCGACGTAGACCCCAGCTGGAATGAAGGCACTCCGCCGCTAATTACAGCGTGCGAGGGAACAGGGGACACCGAGTTCGACGGCGACTTTCCTGGTGAACCCATGCTCACCTGGAGATGGGGCGCCATCGGAGACATTGCGCCCGTGGGAATCGAGCCAAACTGAATTGGCGTGCTCATCGAAGCGTTGTGGCCAAACGTCGACGGCTGCTGGTTCTGCGCGGTAAATTGAACGCCGTTGGTGTTGTTGTAGGAGAACGTCCGACGGGTCTGGGGATGCTGTCCCGAATGCGAGTTCACGGCCGCGGACTTGCGACGCGCGTGGGTATTAGTCGACGCAGGAGCAGGCGCCGGGGCCGAGGTGTTCGAGGAGGGAGCAGACGACGAGGAGGCCGCCGACGAAGAATTCGACGAGGCAGTCGACTGGGCAGTGGGGACTGCCGCGGGAGCGCCCGCAGCAGGGGCGATTGAGGAACTCAGGATTGCGGATGAAGAGGTGGCAGCAGGTAACTGGAAAAACACCTTGCTGCAAGCTTGTACTATTCTCTAAACGAACAGATGCGCTAGACAATAAAAAAAACAGATAACCGACCGAATCTCGGCAGACTATGCAAATTCTTTTTTCTTTTTTCTTTTCTTCTGGGAGTCCGTCTACGACGAACGGGATGGGGAAGAAAAGAAGCAGAAGCTGAGGGCTTTGATTTTCGACGGTCAGGTTGGCTCTAATTTTTTTTTTTTAATTCGCCCTGAGGATTATCTAATATATTGAATTCACTTCACCTGGTAACTGAACAATTCCGATGATAAGAATGCCATTATTAAGCATATTGTTCTTAAAATAGAAATAGTGCTCTTTATTGTTGCCCATATTTCTCTTTTACCATCCACAGCTCTCGGGTTTCTCAATATAAGACTACCTGATCTATCGCTTGCGCGGCAGCCAGCGGCGCCCTTATCAGCGTCAACCCGCCACTCCTCCACTTCTCTGATATCAATTAACCACATTTAGCAAGATTGTATTATTAGTATTATTTAACATTGTTAGTCGCTCCAAATCTATATGAGCGCAACCTGAAACTCCCGAAATATAAGAAAAATAAAAAAGCAAGAAAAAAAGACAAAAAATGGATTAAAGTGACGAAAACGAAAGCCCAAATGTACCCCAGACACCCAGACATTGCTGGATGGAAAATTAGTAAAATATTATCGGCGCCTCTCTCTTCTCTCGCGAAAAAAATTCATTACTTTATGATGCAGAACGTCCCCTCCTCTATGCAAACTTTGGTTTTCATGCCCTCTTGCCGCTCTCCAGAACGTCATCCTCGAGAGCATCGTCTCTGAAAAATCGCCGACCGATATAGAGACCCGCAGCACTGACAAAGGCGGCACCCAGGAATAGAGTGTCGAACCATCTGTCAACAAATAAGGTATCCAGCGGCGCACCTAGCGCGGACGAGACAGCCGAAGACATATCTTTTGGCAAATTGCTTCGGAGCAGAATCGATGTGGAGATAGCATATGTGCCCAGCACTTCTGCCACCAAAAGAGCGACATTCGCCCGCTCGAGAGCTTGCGGAAGAGCTTTCGAGACCATATTGAAAGTCGACAAGACAGACGAAATACTGCACATGAAGATGATTCCCGAAAACAAGAAGCCAATCTGTCGAGCCCAGGACTGTCGGTTGAGATCAGGGTCATAGTATTGCGCTAGAAGAGCCAGCACGTGGGTGATTGGATCTGTTTGAGAGAACGAGGTCTTTGCGCGACGGAATGGGTTCCGAGAGATCGATGTGGCTGCGATTCTGTAAACGCAGTAGATGGCAAACAAAAAGTACAACGACTTGTGGATTTTCCCCAAGATCGTCTTTTCGTTTTGCTGCTCGAGATACCGCTTCGTCAAATCCCGCAGGTCACCTTCGAGAGATCTGCGCATAGCATACAGACCTTCAAGCTCTAGTCTCGCTGAAGCGTACTCTTTCTCATCCGAATCACCTCTGAACGACGACATCATCTTTGCGACCAAATTCGTCGTCGATCGCGTGGTGGTCTTCTGCTTCTCGAGAAGTCGCTGCTCGAGAGTCTTCAACGACGACTCTTTGTATCGGATCAGTTCTTCGGTGGTTTCGATTCCGGTGCGAACTCTGCTGATGTCCATCTCGGATACGCTGCGAGGTTTCGTGGTGAATGACGAGTAGGGAGCCGAGACGGCACCAAAGCCTGAAAGTACTCCCATTGCCGACACGCCGATCAGTCCGACTCGAGCTAGGCACTCTTCATTGAAAGATAAAGCTGCAAAAATTGAAGAGGTTAGTCGATCCTATTTGTTAAAAAGAGTTATATTGAGGAAGGTGAGAGCATACTGTATTCCCAGAATGAGCCCTCGACATGCTTTGCCAGGGGTAGGTAGTCTCCGATACGGTAGAAAAGGAACAGCCAGCATGCAAATGATATTATCGTGAACGGCAAAACCAGTCTCTTGGCCGGACCTACATACATAGTTAGAAAAAAGACTCGGGTGATATAGACAAGCATCATATGTAGAGCTCACCAGTCGAGTCGGCGAACCAGTTGTATCCGATCAGCAGCGGGATGATGACGATCAGCATCACCAGCAAGAAAGTGGTTGCAATCTTCCAGGCAATAAAGCGGGCACTAAGTATCCAGGATCAGCAAAGAACTTTATATATCATCGAGAGAAAAAAAGCAGCAGCAGATCATACCCAGGAGCAACCCAGTCGCTGATCTCGCAGAGCACCAGCTCTGAGATGACACCCGCTGTCGCCAGACAGAGGTCAAAAACGGCTCTTGTGGCAATGGTGGCGGAAGCAGAGGTGAAGAAAGAGAAGGAGCGGTGGGCGAGCACCATGAAGAGAAGGAACGATAGGAGAAAGGGAAGATTGCAGAGCAGGCCATATCCAAAGGACACACCGGAGACGACGGGAGGTGGCGTCGGGGTGCTGCTGAGAAAAGACATGATGCACAGCCGAGAGGAGCAGCGAGGCAGCAGAACAAGAACGACGAGAGAGGCGAGGCCGACGGAGGAGAGGAGGACAGCGAGAAGAGAAGAGCAGGAAAAGAAAGCGGAGGAGGTGGAATATGAGATCAGAGCGCGGAAGGTGCTGCAGCCAAAATGGATTCGCCTGCGCTGCGCTGCGCTGCTGTCGAGGCCCTCGAACGCTAAACCTTAATTGCTGTACGCAGCCCGCCACCGGATTGCTCGGAAGGATCTGCTTCTGCTGCTCTGTGGTGCAGAACACGACTGTCGGCCTGCTGTGCTATCTGCTCATATTGTCGCTGTCTCTGCTACTGTTCTCACACCCTTTGCTCCTTGTCTGGCTCTTGTGCGGGCAGCGCAGGACGGTTGGGATGTACGCACGTGACCGATGATCTACTCTCAGAGACCCTGGCTGCTGCAATTCTATACGACCACATAAAGACTGCAGCTTTTGAACAAGTCGGATCCTTATAGTGTGGTTTTACCTCAGATTCCAGTTGATGCTGCAGCAGTACGAGCAGGATTAGAGCAGCACATCCAGTTGCCGCGCCTGCCAAATTTAAAGCCTAACAACAGATCTGCTTTCGCTGGAGCAGGAGCGACAAACAGAAGCCTGAAAACAGTCTAATCATACCCGTATAATTCAAATCATATATCTATCGGAGGACTTGTAGAGAGAAGAACATTTAAACAATGACAGAGTTGATCGCGAGACCAGAAAGGTGCCAGTCTCATCCCCCGCACCCAGCTCTTCACTCAACACCAGTTCCACTCAAACTTGAATGTGTACATAATCACTCAAAATCTAGCTAGTCAAATCTCTTTGCTCAGGATCGTCTGAGATGATCAAATACTGCGAGCATTCTTCGATCATTTCAAGAGCCGAACACAAGGCCTGAACAAGGCCTGCAACAAGGACGGTGAGCCCATTGGGTTAGGGCATATTAGATTGTCCTTCTTCCCTTTTCGGCGAAGGCCAACCAGAATCTGTAAAGAATCTGCTTATCTGTTGAATAATGTGCAGGAATAGTGACGGATCAAATCCTCAGAGTCTCTAGACAATTATACAGACAAATGCAGATAAAAGCATCGATAAACGCGCATCGACCGGTTGGACGTCCGTTAATAGCGGCCCGATTCACAGCTCGACAGGATCCGCGAGCGAGCAATGTATTTGACAGAGTGAAAGTGATCGGGCAAACTCATGTGATACATAGATAAAAATCAAAATCCTCAATTGCAAGACGGAACGCCTGTAACTCTGAATATGGGCCAAAATAAGCTATGTCTGCTTCGATCTCTGATGTACAATCTCGAGAAAGATTGATGTCTCAAAATATTCCAAAACAGAGAGCTAGCCAGATAATATTCTAGTACTTCAATTCGATTGACCTTAGACTCGACTGAACTTCGTGAATCCAGACAGTTTGACAGGCCTGGGTTGAGCTGCGCAGAGAGAGATATACCGACGTCGATCGCTTGCCGATATGATGCTGTGGTATGATCATCAGATGGTATACAGATTGACATATAACTCGCTTGCCTCATAATCACAGAAAAATAACAGAAAGGCAACTCGGTCTCAGGGGTCTTATCTTTGACTGTTCGACCAGATAACTAAAGAAGTTGAGTGAAGAGATGATTAGTGCAGTCATCTGGAACTGATAGCCAGCTACACAGAACCCCCCCTCCTCCCATAACACCGTACAACAACATAACACAACATACAACCATCTAAAGACACTTCGTGCACTTGATTGCAGATACCAAAGAATAGCAAAGGATAAACAAAGGTGAAGAAGTTGAGACGAAGCCCAAGCCGCACGCAGTGTTTTGAAAAGCACACGTAATGGCTTTCTCCTTACCTCATCCACCCTACGCCTTCGAGAATACAAGCACAGCTCGATCCAGCATTGATCTACAACCCTGCGACAACGCAATTGCATATCAATTCACTAGAGCAGCAATCTACTCGGACAATCCATCGGCGGCCGCAGCATCAGTCTTTGTTTCAACATAAACAATGGCGCGATCAAGCATCAGAGTAGGCCTTCTCGTGCTTTCGAGCTACATCGCGCTGTTCATGCTGTTCCAGGCAACCCCTGCGCTCGCAGCAAAGAAAAACCTCTTCAAAACCTGCGAGTCGACGCCATTTTGTCGCCGCAATCGGGAGTTTGCGGATGCAGCTTCCTGCGTTAGTCCATCATCATGGGCTCCACCGTACGCGGTCGATCCCTCTACAGTTTCGTTCGAGAGCGGCTTGCTGCAGGGAACTATTCTCAAGACCGCCCCAAATTCCGAAACCCCGGTCGAGTTTCTGTTCCAGCTTGTGTTTCTCGAGTCTGGATCTGTCCGGTTCACGGTCGATGAGAAGCAACGCATGCAGGCCACGGCGCTCCCTGGCTTCCCCGACAATCTGACACAGCGACGATACAATGAAGCATCGAAATGGGCAGTTGTCGGTGATCTGACTCCGGATACTAGTGCCTCAGAGTCATCGACCGCAGAGGAGCAGGCAGATGGACTTTACAAGGTCAAGTATGGTCCCGAGAAACAGTTTGAAGCTGTGCTGGACTGCAAGACGCTTCGAATCGAGTTCTTCAGAGATGGCGAGGCACACGTGGTTTTGAACGATCGAAGACTGCTGAACATGGATCACTGGCAAGAGAAGCCTGCTCCTGCACAGCCCAAAGAGGAAGGAGTTGAGGAGGGTGCAGAAGAGTCCGAGGCCAGCGCCTCGGCTGCCGTACCTAAAGGCTTCCCTGATGCCAGTGAATGGACCGACAACTTTGGAGGATTTACAGATAAGAAGCCCAAGGGTGAGTTTTGAATTTCCCACGAACAATTTCTAGACAAGAACTTCTTCTGACAGCTATGAACAGGACCGGAAGCGGTAGCACTCGACATTACATTTCCCGGCTACGAACACCTGTTTGGCATTCCCGAGCATGCGGATAAATTCTCTCTTCGCGAGACCAGGTAAGACCGTTGTATTATCATCATCCGCACCAGTCAATGAGATTGCTAACCGCTGCTACAGAGGTGGCGAGGGCAATCACGACCAGCCTTATCGGCTTTACAATGTCGACATCTTCGAGTACGAAGTCAACAGCCCAATGGCTATGTACGGCGCTATTCCTTTCATGCAGGCTCACCGCAAATCGTCCTCGGTGGGAGTATTTTGGGCGAACGGCGCAGATACTTGGATCGACATCACGAAGCCCGAGGTGGCAGAGAACGCGTTCAACGCCAGAAGATCGACTGAAACGCACTGGATCTCCGAGTCTGGTATCTTGGATGTCTACGTCATGCTAGGTCCCAGCGCAGGCTCAGTCTACAAGCAGTATGGAGCACTGACTGGATACACTGCCCTTCCGCCAATCTACGCTCTGGGATATCATCAGTGCAGATGGAACTACAATTCTGAGGATGATGTGCTCGAGGTCGATGCTGGCTTTGACGAGCATGAGATTCCTTATGACGTTATCTGGCTTGACATTGAGTACACCGAGGGTAAGAAATACTTCACTTGGTGGAAATCTATGTTTCCGACTCCTGAGAAAATGATGCAAACTCTGGCGAAGCGCAAGCGGAAGCTCGTGACTATCATCGACCCGCATATCAAAAAGGAGACGGGGTATAAGGTGTACGAGAATATGTCGAAGAACGAGCTTGCTATCAAGACTAGTGACGGCAAGGAGTACAACGGATGGTGTTGGCCCGGCGAATCGGCGTGGATCGATACTCTCAACCCCAAGGCTGTCGATTACTGGAAGGACCAGTTCAAGCTTGGCAAGTTTTGCGTAAGTATTTTCCGCTATCACTACTAGAAAGATACATTGTATTAACATTCTCATCACAGGGATCGGAATCTAACCTTCTGATTTGGAACGACATGAACGAGCCGTCAGTTTTCAATGGCCCCGAAGTTTCGGCGCCGCGTGATACGATCCACTTTGGTAACTTTGAGCACCGTGATGTCCATAACATCTACGGAATGACCTTTGTCAATGCCACCGTACAGGCCCTGCAAGCCCGCCAGCCTCGTCAAAGACCTTTTGTGCTCACCCGTTCCTTCTACTCTGGATCGCAGAGACTGGGTGCGGTATGGACAGGCGACAATGCCGCGAAATGGGAGTACCTCCAGGTTGCACTGCCTATGATTCTCAGCCACGGCGTCGCAGGCTTTGGCTTTGTCGGTGCTGATGTTGGTGGCTTTTTCGGAAACCCGACCACTGAGCTTCTGACTCGATGGTACCAGGCTGGAGCCTTCTATCCGTTTTTCAGAGGACACGCGCATATTGAGTCCAAACGCCGTGAGCCGTGGCTATTTGGTGAGCCATACACGTCTTACTTGCGGAACGCTATTCGCATGCGGTACCAGCTGCTTCCTTCGTTGTACACCGCATTCCACCGTGCGAGCTTCGAAGGTATGCCAGTTGTTCGTCCGATGTTTTTGATGGCGCCGGAGAACGAGGAAGCGCTTGGTATCGATGATCAGTTTTTCTTTGGTGAGACTGGGTTGCTGGTCAAGCCGATTGTGGAAGAAGGCAAGGTCGAGACCGATATCTATCTGCCGGACTCTCAGGTGTACTACGACTATTTCGATCAGACGGTCTACCAGGGCGTAGGATACCACCATATGGATGCGCCTCTTGAGAAGATTCCCATTTTGGCTAGAGGAGGGCATATTTTGGTGCGCCGTGACCGCTACAGAAGGTCGTCTAGCTTGATGAGCCATGACCCGCTTACTTTGGTTATTCACCTCGATAAGGACGGCAGCGCGGCAGGCGTGCTTTACATGGACGACGGGGAAACCACTGCGTTTTCGCGTGGCGCGTATCTTTACCGCTTCTTCATGTTTAGCGCGGAGGACAACATTCTGCGCTCGCGCAACATGCTGCCGCCGAACCAGATCAGCAAGAGCTACGATAAGACGATCGACGCTGTGCGGATTGAGCGGATTGTGGTTGTCGGCTTTGACACGGCGCAGCTGAAGAAGAGCGGAGTGGTGGAGTCGTTCCAGGACCGCAAGTCTTGGCCTACCGAGATTGAGGTCACCGAGGCGGCAGGTGGTAAGGCGAGCGTGGTTGTTGTTCGTGATCCGAAAGTGCTTGTTACTGGTGACTGGTCTATTCAGTTTTAAAAGGGAGATGAGGGTCTAGTTGTATGTAGATGGTGAATGAGAAGTTAGTGATCAATTCTCTGGAATACGTAGACGGGATGGATGGTGCAGCCGAGGTACGAAGATGGGAATCATAAGCCGTCTGCGGCGCTGGGACGATATAAAGCGTGCGGACACCGAAGATCTGGTTCGATTACCACCTTCACCAGCTCGCAACCGGTCATTCTATTGATACACAGAAGATCTACAATCCACGATGCTGCTCAGATTCCAGATCAGTCGCATTGCGCCTCGAGCGTTTGCGTTCAAGCCCGCTTACTTCTCGACCTCGGCGCCCGCGGCGTACGACCACATCCTCGTTTCCAACCCCGCAGCCGGCGTAGGCCAGGTGACCTTAAACCGTCCGAAAGCGCTCAATGCGCTGTTCACACCGCTTATCGTCGAGCTGAACGATGCGATGAAGAAGTTTGATGCAGATCCTGAGGTTGGCGCGATTGTGATTACGGGATCGGAGCGCGCGTTCGCGGCGGGTGCGGATATCAAGGAGATGAAGGATAAGAGTTATGCGGATGTGTACGGCGAGCAGTTTATTCAGAGCTGGAGCGAGGCTACGAAGGTTAAGAAGCCGGTTCTTGCTGCTGTGAATGGGTATGCGGTATGTTTTTTCCTTTTTTCGGCTGAATTGTGTGGATATCGCAGAAAACTGACGGTGATTTTGGACACAGCTTGGCGGTGGTTGCGAGTTGGCTATGATGTAAGTTTTTCTGTTTATTACTCCTCTGCTCAAGCGCTGACTTTGTATCAAATGGTGATATAGGGCAGATATCATTTACGCCGGCGAGAAAGCTGTTTTTGGACAGCCCGAGATCAAACTAGGCATCATCCCCGGTGCGGGCGGAACGCAGCGTCTCACGCGCGCAATCGGCAAAGCGCGAGCAATGGAGTACATTCTCACCGGCAAGAACTTCACCGCGCAGCAGGCTCTTGAGTTTGGTCTTGTGGCTGCAGTGTTCCCGCCCGAGAAACTCGTGGACGAGACGGTGAAGACGGCGGGCGAGATCGCTGCGAACGGACGGCTGGCGGTGCAGGCTGCGAAGGAGGCGATCAATTATGGCTTGCAGGTCGGGTTGGAGGACGGGCTTGTTTATGAGCGTCGGTTGTTCCATGGGTTGTTTGCTACTGAGGATCAGAAGGAGGGGATGGCTGCTTTTGTTGAGAAGCGCAAGGCTGTGTTTAAGGGTAAATAAGAGTGGGATTGAGAGGTACAAAATGAACAATGGATACAAAACACTTTCAAAACAAGACTATGCTATAAACTGATACATCTACATCAACAGAAACAAAAGACAAATCAAAACATTAGAAAGAGACATCCAGACACAACACAAGACGCCACATAGTACAATGTAAATCCATAAGAAAACCAGGCTTGCTAATGTAACAACCAAACTATCTAGCAATCTCCTTTTTTTCCTGATCTTCAGTCATGGGTTCACCGACCTGTATCATCGTCGTCGTTCTGCGGACGTTTGTTCAACGGATCAGAAGTTTCTCGCGACGGCGTCTGTTCGTCCTCGGCATCATCGATGACAATCTCTGGCGGTGCCGCTGGTGCTGCGGAAGTGGCAGCCTCAGCAGGGGCCGTCGCAGTGGAATCTGTAACCGAGCTTTTCCTCGCGGCTGCCAAGGCAGCTCTAGCAGCATCCGCGGCGGCAAAACCGGTCTCTTGTGGACTATCGGCGGGAGATTGCTGGGACTGGTGGTGGTGGTGGTGCAGGGACATATGCCCCAGGCTGTTGACGAGATTAGTTGATGATGAATCAGGCACGCTATGGACCTTTTCGAGCTTGGAAAGATCCGTGACAGACGTGGCTGCGCTGGCGATATTTGAAGAGGAGCTGCTCGCGGACGGCGTCGGTTCGACTTTATTTGCGGTTGTCTCGTGGCCGGAATCTGTAAGTGTCCGGGTTGACACGGACTTTGAGTTTTCGACGATATCCATGTATGTCCGTCTCGAGGGATCAGCCTGACGTTTCAATTTCTTCTTTTCGCGCTTGCCGCTCGGGCGGACGACGATGACTGGCACGGGGGAGTGCTGAAGACAGTACTTTGAGATCGATCCGGGAAGGAGGCCTTGGAATCCGTTGAGGGACTTGCCGCGGGTGCCGACGATGAGGACGGCGGGCTCGTAGATCTCGATCATGCGCTGGATCATGTCTTGGACTTTTCCGACTGCGAATTCGAGAATGAGAGAGATCTGATGGATGAGTATGGCATGTCAGTGAGTGCGAAGTAGGAGGGAGAGATGAGGTGCGGTAGGCGAGTGATGTTACCTTCTTATCTTCATCGTTTTTATCCATAATGTCGCTCAACAACTTGTACGCTTCATCGCGGTACACTTTCTCCTGCAGAGAAGAGTCCGAGCTGGAGATTTTGGCATTCGGATCAACGACCCGGAGACAGACAACCTCGTCACCATCGTCGACTAGCTCGTCTAGCAGCCACTCGAGCGCATAATCGGAGTAATCGTTCTGATCGGTGCCGCAGAGGAAGGTACGCGAGAGACGGGTGTAGGTGTAATCGGCATGCTTGGCCTGTAATGTAAGAGAAAAGTCGGTCGCATCCTTGTTGTCGAAGGTGTCGAAGCCGACACGTTTCTGGAATTTCCTAGAGATAGCGGAAAGTTAGCCAGTCTGAGCTCGGCACACACGAGATCCCAGCGCGAGACCGAGCTGCACGCAGCGAAAGCCGAGAAGCAGATGAAACATACTGAGGAGTATCTGATCCGGCCGAGCTCCGTCGACGCGGCGCGCTCGGCGAGCGCATGGCCGAGCGGGAAGGCGAGCGGACGGTGGAGGGTCCTCGGGAACGTGACCGTGAGGAGGAGCCGCGGACTCCGAGTTTCCGGGAGCGCGAGGAGCTGCGGAGGGGTTCGACGAAAGAGAGAGACATTGTAAGTGTGTTATCAGAGCAGATATACTGATTCAAAGTCCAATTGCAGCAGGAAGAAGGGAATCCAGAGCAAGAAGACGAAGGTGGTGAGGACGAGACAGAGACGGGACATGCGGTCATTCGAAGCAGAGCTCGCTAGCTCAGCCCCAAGGTTTCGACAGCCGAACCAATGCGGCGCTTCATCTGGAACCGGCTCAGTGTCTGAGTTTGGGTTCGGGGATGCCTCGATTGGGTAATGGCACAACCTTATTCGCATCTGCCTCGGACGCGTTGAGCTGACATCTGCGCGTAGTGAAGATCAGACTCAGAAGAGCATATGCTGCTCAGACTCAGAAGCTGCTGTTGACCATGGTAAAGCACCGATACCCGCAGTTCTACTGCTGCTATCTCTTGCAGTCCTCTAAAAAGATCAACAGTTTCTACATCGGGTCCACGCCTCTCCCGTTGCGCGTAGGTCTACTCATATCTGCTCTCCTGTGATTTTCACTGATCTCTGTAGCTGACCTTCTTTCTCCAATAGCGACTACGACAGCACAACGGCGAGATTGCGAATGGAGCCTACAAAACCAAGCGTGGAGACAAACGGCCGTGGGAAATGATCTGCATCGTCTCCGGTTTCCCATCCAAAATCAGCGCGCTGCAGTTTGAGTAAGACTTTCTCATGTATATTCTCTTTTTTTTGTGTTAATCTGACATTTTGCATGCAGACACGCGTGGCAACATCCTCACCGGACTCGACACATCTCATCTGACGCCCGGCTGTCGAAGAATCGCCAAATAGGCCGGCTGCCAAAGATCTTGGGGAACCTTCGTCTACTGCTCAGTTCACGCTCGCTCTGTCGCTGGCCGTTGAAGTTCCATATTTTTAACGAGGACGTGCGCAAGACGTGGTATGCAAACAGACATAAATTGTCAGAGATACCGGAGCATGTGCTTGTGTCTGTGGAACTACGGACGGCGGAGGGGATTGCGAAAGATGCCGCAGCGAGAAAGAACGATGAGAGCTCTGCGACGGATCAAGCGTCACAGATACCAGTTTCACAGTCGCAGAGGACAAATGTACATGAGGGGGATGGTTTAGGAGGCGTCAGAGGACTTCGAATCTCAAACGGTAGGCTTCCTTCTTCTCCATTATTTCCACAGCTTATTAACTATAATTACGACAGAGATATATAATCCTTACTTCGACGCTTCGACTAAAACGTCCCACCCGTCACTCTGCGGGATCTGCTCAGAGCCAATACCCGAAACCACCGACCCCTCTAATCATTTACAATACCTCGTCTGCTCCAGCACCTCCTGTCTACAAACCTACCACACGACCTGCCTGGCAGAAGCGTTTCTCACCGCTTCGCCCTCTGCAGGGGATGAAAGTCATGTCTTGCCGACGAGCGGTAAGTGTGCGAGCTGCGACAGTGTTCTTAATTGGGGACTGCTGATGCGTAATGCGTATTGGCGCGCAGATGGGCAGAATGTGGGGAGGGGTGGTGCTGGTAGGGTGGATGAGGATGATGAAGACGGGCTGGGCGATGGAATCGATCTGGGTTTAGATGACGCCGAGATATTTGCTTCCAGTGAATCCGAGACTGAACTCGAAGCTGCGACTGCAAAGAAAACAAAGACGAAAGCGAAATCCTCTCGCGCGAAATCAGCAAAGACAACAAAGACGAAGCGATCAAAGAAAGCGAGCAAGAACTCTGCTCCCACGCCAGCCGGAGCTGAAACTCTTTCATCTAATAGCCTGCCGGTGGCATTGATCAGCAGTGATGCCGACCTCAGCTCGGATTTGGACGATAGCGATGCAGTGTCTGGCTAGATTACTGACTTGGTACGGAATTGACTCAGCATCTTGCTGGGAGTCGTCAACGATACCACACGCGAGGCTCGCCTGAATCGTACTACCCCAGCATTTTCCCTAACGAGTGTATATATATTGATTGGTTTTTGGCGTTACTGGACACAATATTGGAAAATGGGTAATTACTATGGAAAGAAGTTATCTGTATTATATCAAAGAAGAATAGGTGGAGTAAGATGATTTGTATTTGCACGTTGATCGGTTCCAATTCACGATTCAATGCAGAACCTTCCTAGTGAAGGGACTACCGACTGGGTGGATATATCGAGGTCAACCGAAGATGTCTGCGCAAGTTCATTCTGTGTAGTCGACGAGATTCTGGTCCACAAGCCCGCTCGGGTCCGATTAAAAGCAGCAGCTGCCGCTGGCGTGCGCATATTGCATCGGCGCCGCGACGGGTTGAACAGGTCTTCGGAAGCCGTGGTCGTAGACGACCGGGTGGGCTGTGGGGACGGCGACGAACACGGGCTGGATTACTCGTCTGGGCGGGATCATGACGACGGGGGGTGGGCGGCGCACGATGACGGGACCGCCTCTTCTGCGTCCTCTGCCGGCCATTTGCGAGGATTCGAGGTGTGAGAAGATGAGAGTGGAAGAAGCGGAAGAAGCGGAAAGGGTGGATAAGAGGAGGGAAGGGTTTGAAATGAAACCAAGTTGCTTCTGCGCGGGGAAGGAGAAAAGACCTGCTTTATGAAGGCGACGAATCAGCGGTTTCTAGAATAATTACGAACGACGAGAAACCCACGAATGAGGCGGAGTGGGCCGACGGAGGCTGCAAAAGTAGGCTGCCGAGCCTCTTGGCCCACGCGGTGCCTCATGCAGGCAATGCGCATGTTCAGCGGTGGCTCTGGCGATTGATAATGATAGCGGCGATAGCGGATAAGGATTGTGTTGGATTGCCGTAAGGGCTTACTAAGTTCTCTAGCAGACCCACCGTTATAGATACTGCAATTGACTACGGTTATGACTACGACTACATTCTGTGATTACTATTGTGTTTTGTTTGATAGTTTGTCTCGTTGACTAAGTACATCAAAAGTTGCAATAAACTAACAGAACAACACAGAAGGACAATTTCGTCCAATGCGTGAGAAGCCAGCAGAAAAGCACAGAAATGATTATTTTTTCGTGTTTGCTGAAATTGAGGAAGAAAACAGATTATTGTCGTATTATCCTATATATTGGCGACCTGAAACTGAACTGAAAGACTGAAAAGCAGGCTGGGTGTCGTGTATATCCCAGCTTTGTACCATAAAATCCATAAAATCCATAAAATCCATAAAATCCAAACGTTGCTGATTATAACCTCACATATATATTTCCATCATATTTTTTTGTTGAAAAGCATTTTTGTCGAAAAGCAGAAAATCAAAATTTAAGCTAAAACAGTATCCGTTGTTTGCCGACGTAGTAAAGCTGCACAGATATTCGGTCGACACTTTGGTGAACGTTGATACCAGAACAATTCTCACTTGACAGCAACAGCAACAATTACTCACTCAGTACCCGTGACCATGTCCTCTGTGACCGCGGTGACCGTGGTGGCCGCGGCGGTGAGGAGGTGGAGGGGGCATACCAGCAAGCGGATACTCATAGTAAAAGCGGCGATACCCGAACGGGGGAAACTCCCGGTCATGTGGCTCGTGGTATTCGGGACGACGATCGTGAAATCCGAAAGGAGGACGTTCAGGGCCAAAACGTCCGCGGGGGCCATGACCTGAAAACTCACCGTGCTCGTGGTGGTCATAGGGATCAAAGTGATCGCGCTCATGAGACTCGCTCATGTGCGGACGACGGCCGTGGTGGGGAGGACGGCCCATGGGAGGGGGGCCGGGAGGAGGAGGACCATGAGGGTGTCGTCCAGGGAATCCATGTGCCCCCTCAAACTCTCCGTAAAAGTGAGGCTCATGATCAAAGTCCGGGTGCCAGGGACCCGGTCTGAAGTAGTGATCGAAATCATCGTGGCGTCTGCGCTTGCCGCCCATGCCACGTCCATGGAAATCAAAAGGCGGCATTCCACCGTGACTGGGGCGACGATGGTGGCGCTTATGACAGTGTCTGCGGTGAGGGGGATGCTCGTCGTCAGACTCGGAGCCAGAAGACGATGAAGACGACGAGTCGCTCTCCGAGTCGGAGGAAGCCTCGCTGTCGTTTTCAGCGTCGGGATCATCGGGGGTCGCGCGGCCAGAGGTGCTAGTGGCATCCTCGAGCTCGACTAAGACGATTCGCTCAGTCGAAGAAGGACCGTCTGCAGCCTCTTCGGCGACAGCGGAGGGCTCACCAGCAGCGGTCTCGGTGGATGTGGCAGAGGCAGGCTCTGCTTCGGCATCAGGACGGCGATCGTGGAGGCCACGGCGGCCATGGCGGTGGCGTCCGTGTCGATGGGGACCATGGCGTCCTTCGAAGTGGTCGTCATGGCCGTGGCGACCGAAGTGTCCGGGAGGGGGGAGAGGTCCATACGGAGAGGGACCAGGGGGAGGACCGGGGCGACGACCAGGGAAGCCGGGGCCGTGGTGGCGGTCGTGGCGATCATGGTGGTCGTGGTCGAAGGGATGGGGTCCTCCGTGACGATCGAAGCCACCGGGGCCGTGATGACGGTCGTGGCGATCGTGGTGATCAAAAGGCGAAGGGCCGAAAGGAGGGGGTCCTCTGGGACCGAAGCCACCGGGTCCATGGGGTCCATGAGGACCATGGGAACCATGGTGGTAGCCAAAGGGCGGAGGAGGAGGAGGGCGGCCAAAAGGACAGCCGCGACCTTCAGAGAAAGAGTAGGAATAAGACATGATGATCAGAAGAAGAAGGAGTAGAAGGGAAGGGTGAGGATGAGATGAAAAGAAGAGCAGGAGGAAGCGGAGGAGGAGCAGATACTTATAGTTCTGCCGTCAGGTTGGGAGCAACGGCAACGCGTCAGCAGAGTGGCGATGACGCGCACAACTGTCCGCAGCAGCCAGTTCGCCGTAACTCAAATTGTGCACAGCCTACTTGTTGACGACGACGAGAGTAGGGATGATGTCATGAAGAATAGCAGAGATAACAGACAAAAGACAACAAAGAGCGTATCTTTGACTGTGTTCTATGACTCTTATTTGTTTGTGTAGGGGGCTTACGTCCGCTGGGTCTGCGTGGCGGCTTTAGAGCTGTGGAGGATGACAACGGCGGAAACCGACTCACTTCTACTTTTGTCGTTTATTGCATTCTGTCCGCGATTCTTCAGATTCTTATCTTTCATATTGACGTAGTAGCATCATCAGCAGCAACAATGTGGATCCGCTGTTCGCATGCGCACCCTGATGCTCGGGATGCTCGTAGCTTGGCATCTGCGGTCTTCTCGCTGCAGACAGGGTCTCTCTCTATTTCCTACTACGGCCAGGACTCATGCAATGGACGCCGTTTGCGATGGAACGCATCCCAGCTCTCGGGTTTCGGCCTCTTCTTATCAAAAGGGGAAGACCGTTGAGAAGCAGCTACGTGCTTAACCCTCCACTCGCTTCCTCCTCTGTGGGCAAGCGAGCTTCTAGCCTTCCTTCCAGACGCTTGTCAAGCAGACATGCGTTGGCTTCGTTCAAATACGAGGATTATAGCAGCGCAGACAAGAATGCTGTTTGTGACTCATTGCGCCGCCAACCGAATGCTGACCGATCTATCAAGACATCAAGAGAGTGTGTAGTTCTCGCGCAGGTCATATAATGATATTCCGTTTCACACGTGCTGTTCGCATCCGTACCGCCATGTCCGAACAGCTAGAAGCGAGAGCGCCCGGGCACGTAAATTAAATACCAGAACGAATCTCTGCCGCTGCAAGTGCGGTGGTTGGCCGATAGAACATGCAGGCAGGAAGCTGCAAGAGAGCAGACAACTAGCCTGCTCGTGCTTAGCCTTTGGCTGCGTGCATAAGTTAGCATTCCATTGAACGCGTCTGAGTTCAATCAGTAGATAGTCTAGAAGCAGGCTATTTGGCGCATCGACAATTTCACGCGATAATAGGCTGGTACCAAATAATGAGCGAGCAAGGGAGAGGGGGGAGGAAGCAAGAGCCGGTCCTAGAGTGCAATCAATATAAACCTGTTCTCGGGTTACCGATCCTGCTCCCGTCCCTGTATAGCAGAGAGTATCCTGATAACGGTAGCTAGCGATCGTCCTATAAGCCGGCGGCAGAACGGCATAGACACAACTTGTCAATGCTGGTTATATTAGTGCCTTTGATGTTCTGCAAGAAGATGTGAATACTACAGGTTTGTCTTGGTTAGGTCCGCCTGCCACCACACATATCGTGACGACCCAATTGAATGCACCCCCCTCCCCCTCTCATCTCTGCCGGCCGGGCTAAAAACACAGGCCAGAAACGCACTAAAACATATAACACAGTCAGGAATTTTGCATCCGTAAGCTTCTTCCTGCTGCTGGCATCCGGGAGCTTCATCGCGAGCAGGGGAGCTCCCAAAGTACAAAGCGCGCACAATCTAAACATTGTGCGACTTCCCGTTTAGGCTTAGCGTTTATTACCCTAACCACAAACGAAAACGTAAACAAACCGCGTCGCCTCGTCGCCCCTTTGCCCTTTTCCCCGCCCTTCGTCCGCCTTTGCCGAACCTGTCTTCTTTTTCCTCTTCTCATCTTTGTCTTCTCTCAATCCACGCAAGCAGATCCCACCCCCTCCACGCGCAACAAACCTGCATATTGGCGTCTTTCAGCAACGACCATCCTGACCCTGTAATGGCTCCGATGGCCGCTGTCGAGTCATTTTCGCCGCTGTCGGCTCCCGCGCGCACTCCTGGTCGCAGAGTATCGCCGACTCGCTCCTCCTCTCGCCGTGGCAGTGCTTCTTCTTCCGTTTCCTACTCGTCTTCGCCTTTCACTTCCGGTCGCGTTACAAGAGCAGCAGCCAAACACCCGCTCTCGCACAGCGTGCCTGCCGAACAGCTCTCGCCTCTCCGCCGCTCCACCGGCGTGCTTCATCTTGATCAGGCATCGCTTGGCTCGCCTGTTCCCAAGCGCTCGTTTCTCTCGCAATCTCCTGATCTCCCGCACCAAGTGAAACGCGTCCAACCTCCTCCTTCGCCCCTCTCCAGATCTGACGCGCCACCGTTTCCTACCTCTCCGTTCTCAGCTCCAACCGCCACCACCCCGGCCTCGCAGTCGAGACCACCGGCGTTTGCAAAGAGTAAACTCAGCAGCTTTGGTTTTGGCAAGAAGGATCCGCCTGCGCCTCCGTCAGCAACCCAGCTTTTCAAAGTTCGCCGCACTCACTCGGTCGAAAACTTGCTCGCGCGCGACAGTCCGTTTTCAAGTAATGGCCCGCTCCCGAGCGCGTCTTCTCACCCGCATCCGCTCTCGCAGTCTTTGACGCCGTCGAATATGAACTCTGAAGATGACGACGATGTTGATATGAAGTCGTCAGGCTATCGATTTAATTCTCTTGGTTTTGCGGCAAAGAAGAAACGACCGTCTCTTCCGGGCTCAGCATCGTGGTCGACTCTCTCCAATGCCATGTCCTCGAATTCAACATCGTCTACAGAAACGCCTCCCAACTACCGTCTAGTCAAACCGTTCCAGCCTGCATTCATGAGCACCGGACTTCTGTCTAAGCGTAACCGGCAGAGTAACGATTCATTTGAATCACGGCATTTCGCGACTCCCGAGACACCATGCAAAAGACCTGCTCAGCCTCAGTTTTCAGCTGCACCCTCGTCATCTCTCAAGCCTTTGTCAGATATCTCTGTTCCCGACGTCTCCGAGACTTTCGAAATGGCTAATTCAGGCTATGACTACGAAATGCCGCCTACGCCTACCAAGGCTTTTGGGTCTCAGCAAGAGCCTTCGATGCATTTTCAAACAGCTACTGTGCCTCAGGGTTGGTCGATCGCAAATCCAGTCAGTATGTATTCCAACGAGTTTTTTTGAAGATGTGCGGTTTGTGCTAATAATACTCTTTAGCTACCCCCGTGGATTCCAGTTTCCAGTCAATCTCGCCTACTGCCGGAAGCTTGCTCGACATCAAGACTCCGAGTACACCAGCAAAGCCGGTTTTGGGGTACTTCAATCCGTCGACCACTCCTGGCTCGATTGCCGACTCGTTCTTGCATGAGAAGTTCCAAGACGTGAGCGCCATTGGCTCGGGCGAGTTTTCGTCGGTGTTTTTAGTCACTGAGCGCGATTATCCGCACAACAAGTACGCGATAAAACGCAGCAAAACTGCTCTTATGAGTCACAAGGCTTTGAAGAGACGCCTTGAGGAAGTCGAGATCCTGAAAGATCTCTCGTCACGGACTGATAACGAGGACCGAGAGTACATTATCAATTATATCAATAATTGGGAGTACCAGGGATTTCTGTATATCATGACCGACTACTGCGAGAACGGAAGTCTTGATGTGTTTTTGGCTGAGCATGGCCGCGTGTCGAAGTTGGATGAATGGCGGGTCTGGAAGATCTTGGTTGAGATTGCTTTGGTAGGTTTTCTTCAAGACTGGTCTGGTTTTGCAGGACAAGAAGCTAACTAACTGTTTAGGGACTGCGGTTTATTCATGACGCGGGTTACATCCACTTGGATTTGAAGCCGGCCAATGTTTTCATTACTTTCGAAGGCTCATTGAAGATTGGCGATTTTGGAATGGCAACAAAGCTACCAGCGGTATGTCTATCTTTTACGATTCTTGCTTACTGTATATATTCTGACCTCATTAAACAGACCAAAGGAATCGAGCGAGAAGGCGATCGAGAGTATATTGCTCCCGAGGTGCTTGCGTTGCAAGAGTACTCCAAACCCGCCGATATCTTTTCGTTTGGGCTGATCATGCTCGAGATTGCCGCCAACATTGTGCTTCCTGACAATGGCGCGCCCTGGCACAAGCTCCGGTCCGGTGATCTTTCTGACGCAGGTCGATTGAGCTCTAGCTCGGGCGATCTGGCAAACGCGGGGAATAACGCTAGCGGTCCGAAGATTCCGTCGTGGGCGCCTAGCTTTATGGCTGATGACACCGACGCGCTAGATCGGATCGTGAAGTGGATGCTGCGACCGAATGCGAGCGAGAGACCGACGATCGAGGAAGTGCTGGAGGCACCTGAGGTTCAGCTCGTGGATACAAGGCGGAAAGCGGGAGCGATCATCTTTGAAGGAGAATACGGTCCCAAGCCAGATACGAATGCGATGAAGGAGGACGAAAATGGCAATATGTTGGATCCCGACGACGACTGGCGCATGGAGCTATAGTCCTCTCTATCTGCTTCTATCAGCCGTTCTTTTGAAACTTCTCAATCGACTCTCCAGTTTTTGTTTCCGATGCGATCTCCACAAGTTGTTTTGCGTCTCCTCCAGTCTGTTATTTTTGCCTCTTCTCGGCACTCTGCGCGAGTTCCTTACATCGGCCATGTACAATAGCATCCGATACTGTAAATTTTTTCTCTATTTCATTTTTTCTGTTTCAGTTTTTTTTTTACGTCACTTACTATTAAGTTATGTCAGTTTATGATGAGGGAGATGTGAAAACATGTTATTCAGATGTTTGTCTTTTCACAGTTTTGCTTTTTTCTTTATTCTTTATTTCCGATTCCCATGGAGTTTTTCCCTGTCGCTCACTTACCTCTACTATTATTTGTCATATTTGCTATCTTGTCGTTGTTACGAACCCTCTTTGCACTTTGCTTGACAATCACTCGCTTATGTCCTGCTATATGTTATCTTTACTGCTTTGCATTTTACTGGATCGCCAATCTTTTATCTTTATCTCTTTGCTCGTTTTTGTTAATGTCTATCCTTTCTTTTCTTTCTTTTCTTTATTTTTTCGTGTTTTCGTTGTTTAACGCTCTAGTTGCTCTGGAATGAATGTATTTGATGTTTCTGATCATGAAGAGAACGTCGCAAAGGAAGATGATTTAACGAGCGTGTTTCCAACTCGGGCAAAGGTGTCCCGTTTCTTTTCCTATATATGATGATGCTTCCTTTTTTTTGTGTCGCGATTTTGTGTTTTTGCAATGGTGTGTGTGCGTGCAAGAGCCGTCGATTGATGTAAGAGTAGTTTTCGGGGTACTTTTATGCTTGTTGATGTTGACATGTACAGACACGTCTTCTGTTTCTTTTTTATATATATGTATCTCGTTTTTGTTTTCATGTATACATTGCAGAATTTATTAGCTGCTACGACACTCGCTTTCTCTACACAATACAATGACTTTGAACAAATATCTTTTTAAACTTCTTTTACTTGATCATGGGTCGTACGTCGTGTTTGTGAAGCATCGTTTATTTTAGACTAAGCAGAACGCAGGACTACAAATGAAAGAATAGAGAAAGCAAAAAGTACACCCAGAAATATAACGTGAAGAAACAAAACGACGAAAGCGAAAGGTTTGAAGGAAGGACAAGTGCCGATTTTCAAAGATATGTAGCGCGTGTCTCTCACTAGCAGCACCTCACGACGTACGTGTGCACGTAACGAGCGTGGGTGGTAAGGAACAGACAATCATGGAACGATTGAAAGAAAGCAGACTAAAAGCAGCACGGGAATGATAAATAAAGAGGAAAAGATCAAAAATATTGAAATCGAATATAAGAGGAAAAAAAATGAGAAAAACGACCGGTACTCCATCTTTTGTACTTGAGAGTTAACTAACGACGCGTATAGGCTCGTGCCGAGTTTCATATAATCTCAAGAAGAAAAAAAACACAGTGCATGAATCAGACGGTCCCCGAGTACGATGAATAATATGAAATGCCGAGAGAAAGCACTTTCTGTTCTGATGAAGGAGAGGTGCTCGGCTCTGAAGCATGCATTAGTCCGGGAGTCGAGTGAGACTGTGTGCTTTTTTATTTCTCTTGGCGCGAATCATTTGCCGATTTTTGCCTTTTCTTTTTTCGACATTGTTGTGGGACGTCGGAGATGTTTGTGAGGAACGAGGAGTGATGAGGTGGGAAGAGTGAGTGGGGGTGGGGAAAAGTTCGTTTAAGCCATTGAAGCGGCAGCTTTGCCGGCATTGGCGGCGTTGGCGCTGGAAAGGATGGTGTTCTGCGCTCTCTTGGCCTTGTAGTCCTTGATGGCGGACTTGATGGCGTCCTCAGCAAGCATGGAGCAGTGGACTATATTTATGATGTTAATTGAGGTCATGACGGGGTGTTGAAGAAAAAAGGGGAAAACATACGCTTGACAGGAGGCAAGCTGAGCTCCTTAGCAATGGCGGTGTTCTTGATCTTTCCGGCCTCGTCAAGAGACATGCCTCTGACGAGCTCGGTGAGGTAGGAAGAGGAAGCGATGGCGCTTCCGCAGCCAAAGGTCTTGAACTTGACGTCGGAGATGATGCCGTCGTCATCGACGCGGATCTGGAGCTTCATGACATCGCCGCAAGCGGGAGCACCTAGAAAGAAGAGAAAGGAGGTTAGAATGAGAGATAGGGATGAGAGGCGAATGGAGAATCGGAGGGAAGAAAACATACCGACGAGGCCGGTGCCGACGTTGATGTCGTTCTTGTCCATGGATCCGACATTGCGGGGCTTGCTGTAGTGGTCGAGCAGTAGAGAGAACGCGAGTCAGTATCAGGAATTCGTGAAGAAGCAGGATGTGCTGTGGATAAGAAAGGGGATACATATCTTTGGGATGATAGGCTCGGGAGAAGGCGAGAGGAGTAGCAGGGGCGAGAGGTCTTGCGGCGCGGAAGGCAGCAGCGGAGACGAGTGGCCGCGAGGATCGTGCAAGAAAGCTCATGATTGGAGTAGTAGATAAAGAGATATAGCTGAGATATAGAAGAATAGAAGATATCAGAGAACAAAGATATCAGAGGAAGAAGAGAAGTGAGAGCGGATATTTAGCACGCGTGGAAGAAAACCTCTGTGGCGGGGCGCCGGCCCAGACGGCTGCGGGTGGGCGAGAGCTCCTGTGACTATGATTTGTCAGACAGAATTGTGGCTTAAGTGCGGAGGGTTTGCGCAGTTGCGGTGGTGAATGTGCTTTGACGTCATGGTTGCCACCCGAAGTCCACACAGAGCAGCAGGGTTCGGGCGCGATGGCTATTGGTGCTCGCTATCTCCGAGGCGACTACGCCGTAAGCAGGCTATAGCCCGGTACTGCCGCGGATGCTGTTTGTCAGCTTTTACTCAGAGCAGCGAGCAATAATGAGCAGAGCGGCGACTATTGAGAGCTGAGCAGAGAGCAGCGGGTGATGGGGATTGGCAGTCGGTCTCGAGGACATCCGACAGTGCGTCCGACGGCGGATAGGGGATTTTGTCAATTTCCTGTAGAGGACGGAGACCGATTCCATTCAGAACATAGAACATCAAAACAACTCACAAATATCATAAAAACACTTATAAATAACAGCAACTAAACAAAGCGCTCGGCAACATGGGAAGAAGACCGCAAACGGAAGTGCGCGCGTGCAGAGGAGGCGAACCTTCGGAAGGCGCGCCACTGCTTCCCTCCACCGCTTCCCCGGTTTGCTCTGTTTACTCTGTTTACTCTCCAGTGCCTCCTTCCTCCTCTTCGCTCTCTTATCTCTCCTTCAGTCAGTGATCCTCCCCTCACTCGACTCACTCTTGTTCGCATCTTCTCGCAACTCCTCCCTCCATTGCATGCCGCCGCATTCCTCCTCCTCCTCCTCCACCCTGCAACCATGAGCCTATCCTCCTCCTCCGCTGCGCCGTCCGCAGACCCTCCCGCCGCCGCCGTCCCTGCAGAGTCCCCTGCTGCTGCTGCGTCCGCGTCTGCCTCCCGTCAAATTGCCAGCGAACCCCTAATTGCCGTCGTTCCCACGCCGTCAGCCTTCCGCGAGTACTTTGCGCGTCCGACCGTCGCGGCCTTTGTGGCCGGCGGTGTCGCTGGCGCCGTCTCCAGATCTGTCGTCTCCCCGCTCGAACGTATGAAGATCATTATGCAAGTCCAGGGTCCTGGTGCGTCTAGCTACCAGGGTGTTTTTGGCACGCTTAGGAAAATGTGGAAAGAAGAAGGCTGGCGCGGTTACATGCGCGGTAACGGCATCAACTGCGTCCGTATAGTACCATACAGCGCTGTTCAGTACAGCAGTTATACAATCTATAAAGAGGTACGTTCAATTCCTGTCTTTCAACTATACATACAGGTTTCTAATCCAATCCTACTCTTCTTTAGTACATCATGGAGGAAGGCAAGACCGAACTAGACACGCCGCGCAGGTTATTAGCCGGTGCTCTGGCCGGCATTACCTCCGTCGTCGCAACCTACCCGCTCGACATTGTTCGCACGCGTCTCTCGATCCAAACCGCCTCGCTTGGAAATCTGCACGTCAGACCGGCTGACGCCCCTGGAATGTGGAGCACCACAAAGCATCTCTACCACACCGAAGGCGGTCTGCTTGCGCTCTATCGCGGAATTATCCCGACAATTATCGGTGTTGCTCCATATGTCGGCCTCAATTTTGCCGTGTACGAAAGTATGAGAGAGATGGTTGCCGACGACGACGGAAATATTGGTGCGGGTGGAAAACTGTTTTGTGGAGCTGTCAGTGGGGCCGTCGCTCAGACATTAAGTATGTTCATCGTCTACTCTCTTTCTAAAAGTTTTAGGTTCATTGCTAATTGTTTGCGGCAGCATACCCATTTGACGTCCTGCGAAGGAGATTCCAGGTTAACACAATGAAAGATCTCGGGTTCCAGTACAACTCGGTTTATGATGCAATCGTCTCAATTACAAAGAAGGAAGGGTATGTTTCTCTCCTGATCCAGGCATTTTGATTGTTACAGTATATATTGACGCGTACATCTATCTAGACCATTCGGATTATACAAAGGACTCTCTGCCAATCTCCTCGTAAGACTCGACTTGTACACGTGAACGTTTTCAGGACTTCCTGCTAACTCCTCCTGATTAACAGAAAGTCGCACCGTCGATGGCCAGCAGTTGGCTTAGCTACGAACTCGTGAAGGATTTCTTACAAAGATAGATCTTGTCTATTAAAGACAGATCTCGCATTTCTTTTCTATCTGTTTCTATTTTTGTTTGCGCTATTTGGTTACTAAAGGGGTATAAAGTATTTTCCATGATCTGTAATATTAATCGGTCTGTTTGTATAAAGAAATTTGGCTGGCTTAACTACCGTTTATAAACTGTTGGCGGGTGTCGACAGACTGCATTCTGTTTCGTTTCGAGTAGCATTTGTCAATTCAAGTTGATCATCTCCTGAACTCCCATCTGAGCCGCAGACTGAACGGCGCACCCTAACCTACTATGTAGCACAATTAACCCTACACTTTTTGAGTAGGGTTACTGTTCCTACGCGTGACTGCTTTTATTCTGGCCGCCGCCGAGGGACTGCGACAGAACCTGAGCGAGCGAGGCGCCAGGCGGACCGTGGCCATATCGAAAACTGTCGTCGACTCCCTCATCCCGAACCAACTTCCAGCAACCCCGTTCACTTTTTCAGCACCACCACACCCGGGAACGAAAAACAAATAGTCAGCAATGGGTATCGATTTGTTGAAGAAGCAGCACGTCAAGAGCAGCCATCGCGCTGCTCCCAAGTCCGACAACGCCTACTTGAAGTTGTTGGTCAAGCTCTACCGATTCTTGGCTCGTAAGTGACTCCTTGCTATTTGTCGTGAAGCAGCGGATGTGGATCATGGTGTGGGAAGGAGAATGCTGGTGTGATGCTCTGGTGTTTTGTTTGAGGAGGTTTTGGAAAAAGTGCACAGAGTGAGCTGGAGATAGACAGCGAGAGAAAGATTGAAAATTGTTCAAGAGCACGGAGAGTGATACCATGATTCTACGGACGACTGCTACGACTCATTCTCAATCAAAGAACAAGCACGCTAACAAGAACACCAGGCCGAACTGATGCCAAGTTCAACAAGATCATCCTCCGCAGATTGTTTTTGAGCAAGGTCAACAGACCCCCCGTGTCTGTCAACCGCATCCAGAAGGCCGTCAAGGTCGAGGGCAACGCTGAGAAGATCATCGTCGTTGTCGGTACCATCACCGACGACGTCCGTATCCTCAACGACTTCCCCAAGGTCACCGTCGCTGCCCTCCGCGTCACCTCGAGCGCCCGCGAGAGAATCCTCAAGGCCGGCGGTGAGATCATCACCCTCGACCAGCTCGCTCTCCGCTCGCCCACCGGCAAGAACACCCTCCTCCTCCGTGGACCCAAGAACTCGAGAAAGGCGGTCAAGAGCTTCGGCTTCGGCCCCCACAAGCACAAGGTCCCCAAGGTTCTGTCAACCGGACGCAAGTTCGAGCAGGCCCGTGGTCGTCGTCGCTCGCGCGGTTTCAAGGTTTAAATTATTCTGCATTATATATATTTATTGTTTGGGTTTTTTTAATTTTGCGTGCGTGTGTGTGGAATGTGTGTACGTAAGGGTCGGTGCGAAGCAGGAGTAGGAAGAGGAATATATATATCTCTCTACCTTTGATGGCTTTGTATCTATGTACAACAAACAAAAATGGATCTTAAAAATGGACTAAGTTTATTCATATGAACGCATGTAATGGGAACCAAGTACAAGTATATATATGTTTTAAAAAAGTATTGTACGATTTATCTGCTCGTAGACCTTGCTATATGTATAAGTATACTCGTCGTCGACAATCGCCCTTCTAATGAATGAAACGTAATCGATATTCAAGCGATAAATACATGAAGATAAATGAGACTATAGTGATTATAAAAATATATGGCAACAAGCACAAATACAAAACTCCAGCCTAATCCCAGCCGTTGACCTCTTCCCGACCCTCTCCCAACCATCATGACCATCATGAGGGAATACAATACTCCAGTGAACCTCCGAGAACTACGCCTTTGACAAAACATCCAAAAGGCTATAAAAACAAGAAATCAAAAGTGCGGGGAGCCAGACAAGAAACAAGTCATCTACGGTCTAGACAAAGAGCCCGGTGCAGAGCTCCATGCTTCCGTAGTCCTTGCAGTAGCGCATGCTGAGTTCGCGGCCGATGCGGGCAATCAGCCTGTCTTCCCAGTACTTCTTGCTGTTTGCCGAGCTGAGGATCGAGCTCGACTTCTCGCTGGCCACGGACGGCGCGCGGCGGATCGCGCTGGATAAAGGTGGTTGGGCTGTTGCTGTGTTGTTGATGGTGGTGGTAGTGGTGTCGTTGGTAGACATTGCGGTGCCGTCAGAGTCGATGAAGCGCTCGCCAAATAGGACGTCGAGGACTTCATCGTCGATGCCCATGATGTTGTGAATAACGCGACGGGTGATGCGGTGCCAGAACCCCTTGTCGCCGGCGATATTCGAGGCCGAGGTCGAGCGTTTGTGCGTATCAGTCTCGGATCTGACGGACGAAGCTGACCGTTGTCGCTCGACGCGCTCTTGTCTCTGCGACTCGAGCTGGCCGTAACGCGAGATGTTGTCGGCGGCGGTGACGGGGTTGATGATGCTGAACGCGTCGTAGGACGAGAGGGCTTCAATCATGCTGTTGTGGTGGCTCAGCGAGCGCTCGGTGAGTCTGAATGGGGTGCTTCTGAGAGAGGGAGCGTGCGATTCTGTGCTGTAGCTTTCGGTGTCGTCGTCATCGGCGGCGGCGGAAGGATCGATATCGGCATCGTACTCGTCGTTTTCGGCTTCTTCCTCTTCGACGGGTATTCCCCAGCTCGATATGCTATTCGACCTGCGCGAAGACGAGTGCCGGATCTGCAACTTGCGCAACTCGCGGAAAAGCTGCTCGGTGTGGTCTAGACGCCAGGCGTTCACGCGGGCGGTGATTTCGTCAGAGGCAAGCGAGGATGAGGATTGTGACAGCGGTGCGGCATTGCCACCTGCTTGGGCTGCTGCTGCTGCTGCTGCGGCGGCGGCGGCGGAGGAGGAGGGTTGTGCTCCGTCGCTGGTGTTGAAGGAGACGTTGCCATCGTGCTGGGGGAAGGAGTAGCCTGTGCTTGCGATCGGGACCGGGATCGAGTGTAGGTGGCGGCCGGGGGTGGGCTGTGAGGAGTAAACAGGTGATGTTAGTTCGCGTCACTGAATGCTTGTCTGATATCACGACCTAAAGAAGTGTAGTAGAAGCAGAGATGGACAACCTACGATTCCGCCGTCGTCATCGTCATCGCCTTCGTCCTGCTCAAGGCCGTCGTCCTCGTCATCGTCTAGATCGACAGTGTCATCGGCTATTTCGTCGAGCAGGGAGGACCCCTCGCCCGCCGAAAACAGGACCCATTCCTCGTCACCACCGGCAGCAGCAGCTGCTGCAAACGCTTCTGAGCTGGAAGAGATGGACGAGCCTAGAGAGAGACCCGAGACCGAGGAGTTTTGTCGGAGGCGCGTGTGCAGGGCGGCGGGCGAGGAGGAGTCAGAGCCGCGCTGCTGCTGCTGCTGCTGCTGCTGCTGGGCGCGCAGGAGGGGGTGCTGAGCGGGGTTGTAGAATGCCATGAGAAGTAGTGTGTATGGAGCTGCAGTAAGGTGATAATGAGAAGAGGCAGACAACCAAGACGAACGAGCAGAGGTCCGAAAACAGCAGAAGAAGGTCGCGGTCGAGGCTGAGGATGGGTCCCGGGAGCAATTTCGGGGATGGGAGTTTAGGCGATGAGCTGAGCGCGGCGGCTTATCGCTCGCTGAGCCAAACTCCCAGCACGCGTCTCGACCCGGTTTCGGATCGGGACCTGTTCCGATGCGCACGCAGTTTCTCCGAAAGGTAGAAGAAGAGAGAATAGTTCTTGTTGTTATTGCTTTATTAGTTACTATTGCTGTTTATACTGAGCAACTGGAGAATACAGAGAACGCACTGCTCGCATCTGCTTTGCTATTGCCCATTGTAGACCGCAATTGCTTGTTCCGGTGCTCATTTCCCGAATCGGAAAGTGACGTGGAAAGCGATGTGCATGACGTATGGACAATGGCATCTTCCCTCATATATAAACCATCGCAGTAGTTAATGTAATAGCTGTATATTTACCTTATTTACAAACACCTACATCACACAAGCACCCTCATAAAATAACTGTTGTCGTCTGCGACCAAGTCCTGGAACCTGCCCTGCTCGACAATCCTCCCGTGCGCGTCCAGCACAATCACGACATCGCTGCGCTTCAACGCAGACAGCCGGTGCGAAATCGATATCGTCGTGCACTCCCTGTCCTCCATCACCTGCATCAGTGCGTCCGCCACCGCGCTCTCCGACTCCGCGTCCAGCGCCGACGTCGCCTCGTCGAGAACAAGAATCGGCGGCTTCCGCACCAGCGCGCGCGCAATCGCTATCCGCTGCTTCTGTCCGCCGCTCAGCTGCGCTCCGCGCGAGCCAACCTGCGTGTCGAGCCCTTGGGGGAAACTATCGATGAACTGACAATTCGCCCGCCGGGCAGCCTGCTCGATTTCCTCGCGCGATACCACGCCGCAGAGACCGTAGCTGATGTTATCTGCGATCGAGCCTGAAAACAAAACCGGCTCTTGTCCCACGATCCCAATCGACCGTCTCAGCGACTGCAGGTTGAACCCGCGGATATCTTTCCCGTTCAGCGTGATTGCCCCGCTCGTGGGATCGTAGAACCGTAGCAAGAGCTGGCTGACTGTCGTCTTGCCTCCACCGGACGGGCCGACGATGCATACATTCGACCCCGGCTCGATCGAGAACGAGAGGCCGTTAAACACCGTCACGTCCGGTCGCGTCGGATACGAGAATCGCACGTCGTCAAACTCGATCCTGCCGCGCGCGTTCTCGCCCACGGGGATGCCGACCGTAGGGCGAATAGCTCGTCTGCTGTCCTCGAGCTCGAATACTCGGTTCGCGGCACCGAGACCCTTCATCATCTTGCTGTAGAAGGACGAGAGACCGATCATTGCGTTGCCGGTGTATGCAGAGTACATCATGAACGACGACAGACCGCCAATCGTCACCGTTCCGTTCATCACCAGGTGCATTCCCACCGACAGCACCGTCAAAACTGTAAGATTTCCTGCCAAATTTGTCTTTAACCGGTCAGCTTAAGTCTCGAAAACCAAGTACGAAATTAAAACATACCGCACTGAAGAAAGCGGCCGACAGCTGTGCTTCCTGCTTTCCGATCGAGTATATATTTCTGATCTCGTGGTTATACTTGCGCGTCTCGACCAGGCTGCCTGAAAGCGCCTGCACGGTCTTTATATTATTCAGCGTCTCCTCCGCCACTCTCGTCGACGTCCCCAGCGTCCTCTGCTGCTCTGTCGTAATATCCCTGATCCGCCGTCCGTAGTAAAAAGCCCCGACCGCAACCGGCGGCACGACCATCATGATTATCCCCGTCAACTCCAGACTCACCCAGGCCATCATGCCGAGTCCCGCCGAACCGATGACGAGCGCGCGGAACGCGTCGGCGATGTTTTGCGTGAGTGATTTGGCGACGATGTTGGCGTCGCTGGAGAAGCGCGAGAGGAGGTCGCCTACGCGGTTTGCGTCGAAGAAACCCGCGTCTTGCATTATCGTGTGCTTGTAGAGACGAGAGCGTACGCGCGCGACGACGCTCTCGCCGATGATTCGAAGAAGATAGACGCGACCATAGTTTGCCGCTGCTCCAATAACAAGTAGGGACCCTGATACTCAGAAATTAGAAAATACTTCTTCGACCTGGTCTTTCAATTGCATACGTACCAAGTCCGAGGTTGAACTGTAACAGCGTAAAGCCCAGTATCCGCGGTTGCTCCTTCTTTGTCTGAGAACTACCTGCAAGATCGCTGATCTCAACATGACGAATCATGTCTAGTATCTTTCCGATCGAATATGGGATACATAGCGCGACGCCAGATGCAATTGATAAGCACAGAAACGCAGCTACACGAGTCAGCATCTAAACCAAACCAGATATAGACGTAATCATAGAGACTTGATCTCACCTGCCAGCCGCCACACTTCAAGCCTGGCCAACGCAAAAAGCCGTCTGACGTCGCGAAACCTCACGCTCTTGAGATGCGGAACCAGTTCTTCTGCTTCTGTCTCTGAGACCGAGGACTGTAGCTCTCGTTTGGCGCCCTGATCTGCCTGTGTACTGACTGTTGACGAGCCCAATTCGCGCGAGTTGGTGATCTGTTGAGTCTGTAGTGGTGCATTAGCGTGGATTTGTCTGTTTGGGATGGTGGTGGGTGCTGTGGTAGATGAGATCCAGCTTGACTGCAATAGTGGTCTGTTCAGTCTTACTCGACCGTCGTTCCTGATCTGATCTGGACTGGTGTAGATCAGCCTGCCAATTCGCAGACTACTACCACCATAACACCCTCCAGCAAGATCATATACACTACCAGAAACTCTCGACAGCCGTGTCCCTCGTAGTATAGATCCTCGACCACCGGCAGCAGCTATCAGACTAAACGTCGAACGAATGGCTGTCATAGCATATTACACCCACACCCACTGCCTTTGAATTTTTCTTCTTCTCTCTCTGATTCCAGCTCACGCACGCACTCACGCACTTCTCTACTGCTCGTTCACGTCCTTATCAAACGTATCTAGCTGTACTTCCTGCTTCCTGCCGTGGATTCCAACGTCTTTCATTATGGAAAAAAAAAATCGTAAACTCCCAACTCCACACCATTTTTAAGGTTTTACATGAATTTTGACATGAAATCATGCGAAATGCATGGATTATCTTTCATATGACTACATCAAGTAGTTTGTAGTTCAATATGTAATTAAAGAACTATAAAAACACGATAATACGCAAATCCGAAAAAAAAAAAAAGGTGTTATTAGCAATCTCATTAAGATTAACAAATACCCCATATCAAGAAGCTTTTGGCGGACCGAAACCGCATTTCGCGGATTTCCCAGAGCAGTATAGAGTCAGTTAGCCACAAAATTCCGGGTTTCCTTTTTGCTGGCTTCGCTTTCGGATGTTTGTTTACACGGAGGATATGGTGGACTACAACTGTTATTCATAAAAAGCATATGTATCTGCGCTGAAGATGCGTTAAAGCGACTGTTGACTATTACTATTCTGCATACAGTCATAACAATGGTAACGATCTGGTACAGAACTTTCGCAATACAGGCAAGCAAACACGCTCCTGTCCACCACACCAGATGAGGGATGCCGCACAGTCGTCTGGAAATAGACAGGCAAGCGAAGTGTGGCTTACTAGTTCCTGCCCTAACGAGAGAACCTTCCAAGCTGCTTCTGCGCCTAGAAGTCCTTTTGCTTCAATTCAGGCACCCACATAAACGCGTTTTTGATCCCCCGTCCGAGGTAGTCCAGTGCTCGTAGCCTGTCAAAGCATACATCTTGACATGCACCGAAACTAATATGTTCATGTCGCTTCCGGTGTCTTGGGGCACTACCCGCCACCTTCATGATCTTCGAACTCCGAATAATAAAAACAGACGAAAATGAACAACCAGGGGCTAGAAAGGCTGGTGTCTCATGTACACATCAACTCATGATCAGCAGCCTTGACCCTCTCAGCCGCACACACTTTCAGGGTCGTGTAAACAAGACCGGAAGAGTAACTTGTGAGGCAGCCGGAGCGGTCCTGCAGAAAAACGGGAGGGATGGAGGCGTAGTTTCACAACAAACTAGAAGCAGTGGCAATGGTCTGATTCCATGCAGGAGCGCATGCACCTCCCTGATCCTGTCTTTGCGTTGGAAAATAAGAGTCGGAAAATAAGAGAAATCGGCATCTTTGAGGCGAGAGAGGCGTATGATGGATTCGAAGTTTACCCCAGCCAGCCGCAGTCAACGAAGAATCCGATTTTCGCTCATCAAGGAAATACGCCTTGAAAAGAAATCACAACAAACATAAACAAAAACCACGGCGGCTCGCTTGTTGATTTGTCTCACAAATGTGGGAGCTGTGTACAGCAGCAGAGATGCATAAGTAGGCACGATGAACGACGGCGGCGACAGTGCTGTAACACTCTGTCTACCATCTCACCATTGTGCGCGCACACACTCACCCTCCGAGACGGAGGTTCGTTCAAATGGCAAAATAGCTGGCCCGCCACCTCTTTCCTGAGGAAGATATAAGGTATTGCATAAATCCATCCCACATGTTATTACAGCAGGATATCGTTTGCTCTTCGATGAATGCTAAGCAGAGCTGCTATATCCAGCCTTTCGAGATCACAGACAGCAAGCAAGAAAGCCCTACACAGATATGTGCATCCGGCACTATTTTGAATGGCCCTGCGGTTTTCGAACAACGTGAGTACCATTTCCGTCTTCTTCCCGAGCGCATCAGATCCAGCTATTTTTTAACACTGCGCGGGCGTCATTCGTTAACCAGAGTCGGAATTAGTGCATGCACAGCAGACAGGATCCAGATGATGCAGTGCCATGGAACAGCAAAGGAAGTCACGTATAGATACGACACATGCCCGAAGCACTTGGTTGCGCACGGCGAAGCTGGGTACAGAAGTCGGTTGCTTTCTGGGCTTTAGAGGAGTAGCAACGGAAGGAATAGTGATAGATGAACAGAAGGGAAGGGTATACAGTTTGAGACTTATATGATATATGTACGATAGATAATAGACAGAACACAGAATACAATTAGTGCACATAATGCAAACATCTTGACTGAATTTAGCAGTAGAGATCAATGCTGAAATATTCAGTTGCTCAAAGTAGATCTGAGTCCGGCCTCCGACCAATCGCTGCCGGGCGAGTTATGCACTGCGCTCAACCGGGAACCCAACCAAACCACAACGCCATCACCACCCTTCTTCTCTTCCTACCTCCCTCTTCGTTCACTCGTCCGGATCCAGCAAATCAGTAACAATGCGTCCTACCGCTCTTGCCGCCATGCGTCCCACCTCGTCCGCCGCTTTCAGAATGGCCTACGCCAACAACATGCGCGCGACTATGGTCAACAGCTTCCGCACCAACGCTATCCTCCGCAATGTATGTCCCTGTATTCAACCGCCCGGCTGACCGTTTGCATTTCGGTCAGAGGAGCAACGGCAGCGTTGTTGCCCTTTGTCTGCGTGAAAGCGTGCGTGCTAACCAGATTCCGATTCGCAGGCCGCCCATGGAAAGTCCGAGAGCCAGCCTACCTCGAAGCTCGCCAAGGTCAAGAACATCCCCGCTGAGCTGTACCCTCTTTGTAAGTCTTCATACTTTTGTTATGTCTGTCTTGAGAAGAAAAACAATAATTGTGCAAGTTGGATCAGACCGGCTAACCTGTGATGTACAGTGTTTGCCGTCCTCGTCGCCCTCGGTGCTGCTGCATACGGCATCACCCGAAAATTCCTCTACGACCCTCAGGTTAGTACTCCACTCTTATCCACCGTCTCAATCTCTACGATTACAGTCCGGCACAAGAACCCTCTGGAGATCGAAACCAGCATTCCAAGATCGGAAAGTTCTAACATGTACCATTCGAATCTTATAGGTCAAGCTCAACCGCTCGAAACACTAAACTAGCCAACTTTCAATCTTACTTACAGCATTAGGAAACGGGATAAAACACTCGACAAATTTTTTGAGGAAATGAGAGGAAGCGGGAGATCATTGAGGAGCTGATTGGAAGAGGCAGGTCTGCAGGGAGGTGGTGAGATCGGAACTTGAGCAGCACGAAGAGATCTAGTTTTCTCTTTGGCAAACTGTCGGGTTCCTTTCATTGCCGTCTTTCGGCTCTTGTCTTTGGCTTGTATTTCAGCGTTCTTTTTATGTCTTTTTAATTTTTTGAGAAATCATTTGAAAAAATATCAGAATTTATAAGAAAAAAACGAAACTCAAACCTTTCTCTTTGGCGCTCCTCCGTTCCTATTCTTATCGATAAGTATTCGTCAGTTGATAAGTTGACTATGGTTTCTACTATATTTGTGATGTGGTGGCAGTTGTACTTTGGAGTCTGGATGATTTGCTATTTCCAGGTCATCTACAACTGACGATGCTATGTGCGACAAGCTCCTCGGTCACAGGTAGTCTCTAGTCATCTGCAGTCTTCTTTTTGACGTTTGTCTGAAACTCGGCGTAGACACACAGATTCTTCTGTACTGATCTTATGTAGTATGGTCGATATCCAGCGCAGGGAGATGACTTGCGCGTCCAGTCAGCTGCTTAACCTGGGACATAGCTACACAATACTTATTCATAATCACTCCACTATATCGTACATACACCAAACCCAAGCACACGCATCACAGCGCTTTCCAGAAACATTCAGAAAGTCTATTAATCCTGCTGAGGACCAGCGGCCGTGTTTTCCAGGCTTTGCATCGGATCCACGTCCGGTGCCGACGACTCTTGCAGCGCTCGCCGATCTTCCTCGTCCACGACGTTCTCCTGCATCCACGTCTCCTGATTCCAAACTACAAACACAGAAAAAAGTATGTCAGCTAGGAATGCACTTCTATAAACGATGAGAGACGACTGACGAACCTGCGACTTTGGATCTCGTGATATCGAAGCCTTCCTTTTGCGGTTTCGCAGCCGACACGTGTATCGTATGTCCGTTCAGCTGTGCGTAGTTCATATTGTCGACCGCAGCCTCGGCGTCGAGCGGGGTTTCAAACTCGACAAAGGCGTAGCCGCGGTGTGGTTCTTCTGTTTTGATCTGTTAGCTGTTGATTTTGACTCCTTGAGGAGCTCCTTGAGGAGAGTGGGTTTGGACGTACTTGACTTTGCTGGTTTTGGGAATTGTATGTCGATAATGTCGCCAAATGGGATAAACGCATAATGCAGTGACTCTTCAGTAACTGATGGATCTAGTCCAGCTGTATTGAGATACAACACCAGCAAGTTAGCGATCGCGGTCCTGTAGAGACAATCAAGTATGGGAGTGAGATACGTACAGACATGGACAGTCGACTTTGCTCTGCCTTCTGATATCGACATTATGATACTATCTCGCAGACACACAGCACCACTCCACTAGAACAGCAAGAACGGTAGTCGTGATGATGAGCAAGAAGACGATGAGATGCTGGCGAGAAAGCGAAAAGGTCCCATCTCGGATTTAAGGGTGCGTTCGCTGGCACCGACTGAATACATTCTTTTGTGGTTTGAATACACTTTTCCTGAATACACTAACCCTGGTGTTCAAAAGAAACAGAGAGGGCTGTTTCTTCACACAAACCCCTCAACCGAGACCCGTCCATCACGGAAATTGCTTTCATCAGCAGAGGAGAGAACCAGATTCAGCTGGCGCGTTCGCAAGCTGCAGAAGGTCTTTTTTGAATGCTATTCTTTTGATTGAAATTGCTAGCGAACTGAATCTATTCTTACGAAATTGCTAGCGAACGCGGCCTAACTTTTGCAATTCCTTCTCCCGCGCCGCATCTCCTTCCCAAACGAGTAAAAATCCCAAACTCTTGTCGCTCCACGCACCGCGCGCGATGAGAACACCGTGCTTTTCTGTGTTGTTTGCTTGCTAGAAGAGGTTTTGCCGTACAATTGCACAGAGAGAGCTCTTCTTTGATGGGAAGAAAGCGATACTGAGAGTGGAGCCATGGAGGTCTTCAATGAGGGCGTGAGTATAGAGTGCATGCGGAGAGATGATGAGCAGCCTCTTGAGGTGACGGCGGCAGCGGTGATGCCGGTGCTCGGAGAGGGAGCGGATGTTGCTGCAGGAAAATACGAGCAGGGATCTGGAAAGACGAACGTACGACCGAAAGGTCAGAAAAGGAAACGAGGTATGCAATTGACTCTCATGAAGCATTTTTGTCTACATAGCTGATCAGATGAGATACCAAAGCGCCCAGCAAAGTCGCCAATCCACCTTCCGCAGTAGACAGCCACTCGCAGTCACCGTCCCAACCACCCCGTCCGCGCAGGGTACGAACAAAGACCGCGGAAGAGGCGCAGCGCGACCAGGACATGTTTGCCGTTCTCAACGACCTGAAGCGGTTTGTGAAGATGGGCACGATCGACATCAGTAGGAAGGAGGTGCCGCGGTTGACCGCGCCGGGAATGGAGGCCCCCGACGGATGGCGCTGGATCTCGCCGCCGTCGAGGGAGGTTAAGTTGCCGAAAGTGCTGGAGATGGTAGCCTATCTGTATCGAAAACTGCTGGCGCGAGTGACGTATATGATGATTGACGAGCGCACGATGAGACTACGAATCTACATGCTCCCACAAGACGCCGAGGGCCGACGGTGTGTGCCGAAGCCGTCGTCGGTTGTGAAGAAGACGACGAGAGAAGTGCTTGAGCTCGTGAACTGCAATCCGGAGGCATGGCAAGGCACGCCGGACGTACCGTTCATCGCCCTGCTCGACGAGGCGCCAAAGTCCGCGCCGAGCCTGTTTGACATGTTTAACAGCATCACGCCGACGACGCGGTGCGCGCATCCGTCGCCGCTGGACGATATCGAGATTGACGAAATCACAAGGGAAATAAGGACCGGACGAATCAAAGGCATGCGCTCGACGCTTTATCCGTACCAGCAAGAGACGGTGGCCGAGATGTTGAAAAAAGAGCTGCTGCCGGAAATAGTCGCCGACCCGCGCTTCCGCGAGATGACCGCCGTCGACGGCACAAAGTTTTACCTAGACACGGTCGCACTCGAGGTATACTCGCAGACCTCGTACTATGACGGGTCGTTTGGCGGCGTGCTCGCGGAGGAGATGGGCTTCGGCAAGACGTGTATTTGCATCGCGCTCATATGCGCAACGCTGCACCAGGGAAGCCGCGTTCCGGAGCTCTACCTGCACGACCCCGTCACTTACACGGATACCCCGCCGCGGCTATCTCAGCTCTGCGTGTCGACGATTACAAAGTACGGCTTGCCATGGCGGTATTACCAGCAAGACATGAGCCCCGAGTCGATCCGCATGCTGGAATCGCATGTCGGGTTCTACGACGTGCCGGTGTCGCGGTACATCAGCACGCGCGCGTCGCTGAGCCGGCAGAGTCAGGAAATTCAGTACAAGCGGGTGGTGCTTTCAAAGACGACGTTGGTGGTGTGTCCTGACTCGCTCGTGCATCAGTGGTATAACGAGCTCGAGAAACATGTCGAGCCTGGGTTTTTGAGCGTGATGGTTTTCGTTAATGCGAAGAAGTCGGGGACGGATTTTGAAAAGTACGACGTCGTGCTCACGTCGCAGCGGCGGTTTGCAAAGGAGTTTGAAGATGGTAAGATTGCCTGTGCATGACTTTCTACTCACAAGAAGCTCTCTCTAACTGTGTCGCAGAATTCTCGAGAATGCACAATATACAATGGAAGAGAATAATCGTGGATGAAGGCCATTCGATGGGCGCAGGCCAGACGTCGGCCTCGTTCGCGGCCAAACACCTGACAGTCGATCGCAAATGGGCCGTGACCGGCACCCCCGTTCCCGGCTTGCTCGGACTCAACGTCGGTCTTGATGCGGCGAGCACGTCCGCGCGCGGAGCGTCGGCAGATAGCGCGGGCGAGGTTAACGATCAGCGGGTTGCGAATCCGCATAGCAAGGACGTGTCTGGTGATCTGGCGCGGCTGGGGCATATTGTTGTTGATTTCCTGCGGCTGGCGCCGTGGTGCGATAGTCCGGGGATGTGGAGCAAATACTGCACGATGCCGTTCTTGGCCGAGAACCGGCACGAGGTGGTTGAGCGGGTGCTGAGGCAGGTGATGGTGCGGCATCGGTGGGAGGATTTGGAGATCGACGTGCGGATCCCGGATCTGAGTCATAAGGTTGTGAAGCTGGAGCCGAGTCTGATGAACAAGATCGCAATTAACTTGTTCAACGCCAGCGTGGCCGTCAACGCCGTCTCGTCCGATCGCGTGGACCAGGACTACTTGTTCCATAAGAGCAACCTGATCTCGCTCCGACGGCTCGTGAGTAATCTGCAGCACAGTACGTTCTACTGGACCGGCCACGAGGTCGAGGACATTGAGCACACGCTCAAGGTTGCCAACGAGTGTTTAGTGAACGGGAAAGCGTACACGGACAGCGACCGCGAATTACTCAGAAAGTCGATTGATGCGATGGAATTTGCGCTGCGAAACGAGGAGTTCCACTTGTCGGTGAAGCACCAGGAAGTTTCGTACTATGTCTCCAAAGTGCCGCCGAGCGTGCGCGACGCGCTCTGCGACATCACATACGGCGAGAGCGACACGGGCGTGATTTCGGGGCCAAAGATCTTGCATCTCCAGCAGCTCGCGCGGAGTATCAAGACGCGCGACGTGGACGGCAACGTTGCTGATGCGGATATCATTCCTGCAGTGGTGGAGGAATTTTCGAGATTTAAGGCCGTGAACAGCGGCGTCCTGCCGATGAGCGGTGAGTCTGGGGAGGTGATGGAGATCGACACGGTGGTGACAGCGACACCAACCGACGACCGACGCGGTCACAAGCGGCAACGGACAAACAGTCTGAACGGCACACCAATGCCTTTGCCTTCAAGTCCCAGCAAGCTCAAGGCTGCCGCAAGGGGAAAACACAACGGCCACAACTCCTCTGACAAACATTACAACCCACACAGCCCTCGGCACGGCGGCAGCAACACCACTCGCAGCCGAAGCAATAGCCACAACAACCTGCCCGGCGTGCCAGCGACGTCGACGGCCGCGACGGCGTCCTCGCACGGCGGCAGCAGCGGCGGCGCGAGCAGCAGCGAGTACCGCAAGTTCTTCACCAATTACTCGTACAACATCGGCTCGGCGCCGCTGCGGATGACTGCCGACTCTGAGCTGCGGCGGATGCAGATCGACGCGTGCTTCTCGTCAAAGCTGACGTATCTCCTGTCTCGGCTGATGCAGCTGACGCAGGGCACGTCTGCGGGCCGCACGGATGGGGAAGACGACGGGACGTGGGAGAAGGCGATTGTGTTTTACGAGTACGACGATATAGCGTACTACATCGGCGAAGCGCTCGAGATCGCGGGGATCGAGCACTGCTTCTACACGACTGCGGTGCCGCCGGTGGACCGGGCCAAGAACCTGACATCGTTCAACACGACGGACGAGTACCGCGTGATGCTGATGGATCTCAATCTGGCTGCGCACGGGCTGAACGTGACGGCCGCGAGCCGGGTGTTTTTCATGAACCCCGTGTGGCAGCCGAATATCGAGGCGCAGGCGATGCGGCGCGCGCACCGGATCGGGCAGACGCGGAACGTGTATGTGGAGACGTTGGTGCTGAAGGGGACGGTTGAGGAGGCGATGTTTGAGCGGCGGCGGAAGATGACGAACGAGGAGTTTATTGCTGCCAAGACGGCGCTGGACGACGCGCCGACGAGCGAGTTGATCTCGCGGGCGCATTTTATTGAGATTGAGAGCGTGGAGGGGAGGGTTGGAGTGCCGAAGGGGGATCAGAGGGGGGAGGTTATGGAGGAGGCTTTGTCGGTGCTGAAGGCTTCGGCGTGATCAATTTTGTATATGTGTATGTATGTGTATGTGTATGTGTATGTGTATATGCTTTTGATTATGAAGGACACAGATCATATGCTAAAGTCGACGACGCCGTTTGTGGCAGCCCCGGACGCCTGGTAATCATAGAGATTGAAAGAAAAGACCAAGATGCCGCTCTCCATTCTCGCACAGACATAGTGCCCGTCGCCCTGGAGATCAAACATCTTCGAAGTCTGGTCGAGCGAGAAAAGGATGCCGTAGTATGACCATTTGTCGTCGACTTCGCTGTACGAGGTCAGCGTGAGCCGGGTGAGGTAGGAGCCTTCGAGCATGAAGATCGAGTCGCGGAAGGGCACGCCGACGAGGGAGTCGCCGGAGGTTAGGAAGCCGCCGATTTTGCGGGCGTCGAAGGTGGAGAGGTCGATTTTGGTGAGGGTGCGGATGCCGGAGCAGGTGATGTAGATGATGTCTGGTTGCAGGGAGCGGAAGATGCGGGTGTCGGAGGAGAACGGGAGGGCGGATTGCCAGACCAGGTTCTGGTCAAAGTCAAAGACGAGGACGGCCGAGCCCAGGTCGTGTTTGAGCGATTTGGACACGAGGAGGATGATGTATTCGCGGTCCGCGTGCAAGCCTATGCGGTAGAGTTTTGCGCCGGCACGGTCGTCTTGGATGTGTCGAGAGATTTCGTCGGTCGCGAGCTCGTAGTTGACGCCGGTGTCCCAGATCATGAGCTCGGTGTCCATCGAGATGACGCCGATGATTTTCTTGGAGGACGCCATGTCGCGCGTGTTGGACGAGAGCATTTGTCGTTCCTGGCAGGTGGATGGGTTGGCGATATTCCAGACCTTGCATTTCCCCAGCGATGTCACGCCCGCGCAGACTTCCTCCGAGCACGTGAGGTTGTACCAGCTCTCGCGGCTCTGCTGCAGCTTCCAGCGGCGGTCGGAGAAGAGTTCGTAGAGGATCGTGAACTTGAGATCAGAGCCGATCATGAGGCCCGAGACGACGAGGTGCCCGCCGTAGTAGGCCATGATGCTCGGGCGCAGATCGGAGATCTCCTTGCGCGTCGCGAGGCGGTTGGATTGCTTGATTGCGATGCTGCGGAACGTGCACATGCGCAGAGCGTCGCATTTCGAGATGTTTGCGTCCTGCGGGCGCTGCGAGGGGAGCTCGTCTGCAAACTCGAGCCGCTTGAGGTGTGTGCAGATGAAGTCGTCGGACAGACGCTCTTTCCAGCGCTTGGACACGCGGCGCCAGGAGAGGACTTCGCGCGCGGAGTTGACGTATTGGAGAACGATCAGGAGGATTTCGGACGGGAGGAGGGCGATGATGTCGACAAAGAGCTGGCGCTCGCCGATGATGGCCGTGAGATGCCAGATGTCTGAGGGGAGGAGGTTTGCAAAGAGACCGTCGAGACTGCAGATGTTAATGAGATTGTGTGGGAGAGATTGTGAGGGGATACATACATTCGTTGACGGGTCGCGACGGAGGAGATGGCTCTGAATTTTGCAATTGCGTCTGAAATATCTGAGAGAGCAGCGGCTTCTTCTTCTGAGACAGAAGGAGCGGGTGGTGACGGTTTTGGCGGGTCGACGATGGATATCTGGGTTGTTGCTTGGACGAGATGGGTGTCGGAGTCGGAGTCGGAGTCGCTGACGACGCTGTCGGAGTCGCTGCCAAAGACCGAAGACATGCTGTGTGATTAAAAAGCAAACAGCAAAGTAAGAAGCAGTCTCGATCTATAGAAGTAGCATGTTGATGGTGTGAATAGCACGGGAGGAGAGACGAGCTGATAGCGGGCGATATGAGGAGCAGACGGGGTTGTACGATCCCAACCTGAAGGAGAAGACCTAACCCGCAGCGACGGGCGATGGAGGGACAATTTTTTCGTGATGCAGTGCAGCATTGGATTTGAGAAGAAGAAGTGATTTGAAGATGAGCGAGGGAGATAGGACTGAGTACAGCAAGATTGAGGAGGAGGATGATGATCTCAAGTGAGTGTTGATGTGATTATGAGAATGAAGAGGAAGTAGGCTGACGAGAGGAAAATACAGGCTGCCGGCGGACACGTTAGCGCTGTTGCAGGATTTTCAGCAGACGCAGTCGAGTAAGCTTGCGATGTTTGAGAAGATGCAGAAGAGGGCGGAGGCGAGATTTGATGCGATTGGGACGGATGGGTTTTCGTTTGATGATGAGGAGGTCGAGAAGGCTGAGGATGATGATGATGGGGAGGGGGAAGGGGAGGATGAGGAGGGCGAAGGGGAAGAAGCGCTGAAGAGCATGGAGATATTTACTGAGGACTGGAACCTGTCACAATTCTGGTATACGGACGAGACGGCACATCGGCTGAGTGCGTATCTGCTAGAACCTCTGGTGAAGCTGGGAAAGTACGGAAGTGACGATTACGAGACAGTGGAAGGGTACGAGAGCAAGGATGATTTGCGGATTGCGATTCTGTCAGCGCCGACGGTGCACCAGTATCTGACTCGGGTGATTTTGCCAAAGCTGCCAAAGGGAGTGTCAAAGAAGGTGCATGCGGTTGTGTTTGAGCATGATACGCGGTTCGCGGTGTTTGGACCGAAGCAGTTTGTGCACTACGACTTTAATGCGCCGATGAGGATCCCGGCGGCGGTGAAGGAGCGGTTCGACAGCGTGCTGGTTGATCCGCCGTTTCTGAGCGAGGAGTGCCAGGTGAAGACCGCGATCACGGTGCGATTGCTGCTGCGGAAGCCGAGCGAGGAGGATGCAGCGAAGGGACGGAGTAGGCCGCGGGTAGCGGTGTGCACGGGACAGAAGGTCGCGGACGTGATTCTGCGGACGTACAGAGGCTACGGGGTGCGGTGCACGGATTTCCGGCCGGAGCACCGCAACGGGCTGCAGAACGAGTTCCGGTGCTTTGCGAGCGAGGCGGTTGAGGGTGTCTGGGGGTTTGAGGAGTGAGTAGTTGTAGTCAATGACCAGTTTATGAAGAAGCAGATCATAATCAGCAGAGCGTAGAAAGAGAGCAGAAGAGCATAAATTAATTTAATGAGAGTTTCGGCTAGGCCCAAAGCAGCAGCACAGTACGAGAAAGGGTGTCGGGTTAGGGCCCAGTAGGGTTCGGGCGATAAGGTTTGCTGACTGTGTGGGCCAATTAGATTACTCACCTGATCTGCGACGTCGGGCTTAGGAGCTTAACTGCGACTCGGAGCGTCGGCACCGGGCAGCCGCTGTTCCGGGCGATGGGCTGATTTGAGGGAGAACGGGGCAGATAGAGCAGGAAGAAGAGGAGAAGGAGTAGCAGAAGCAGATCAACCTCCCTCCCTCCTCCGCCCATGACATCACCGGCACTCGCGGCAGCTAAGATTGCCCAAACAGGCACTGGCCCAAAACAGAAGGTTTGGCAAAATCCAAACTCAAACCGCCGTCTCCCGGCCGCCTTCACAGATTCTGCGCCGACGTCATTTGGGAGTTGCTGACCTCGGACCTCGCGTGCAAATGAAATCGCGACGGCATGTGCCGGTCTCCGCGTCGCGCGTGTCGGCGGGCGGGGTTGGGCTGGGGACGGTGTGGATGGGTCGGTGATGTGTTTGCAACTGTTTAGGCAGGCTTTGCTCCTGTTATCACTGCTCCCGGCCGGTGGGGAAGCTCTGCGAAGGGGCCGGCGACGGTTTTTCAATTTGTTCGTCCATTTGGATTTCCGTCAAGCGAGTCGCACAGCTGCCAAACTATACTACACTTGTGCCACATCCGGCTAAATAAACTCCGCCTATGCTCGGCTACCTCGGGACCGAGAGGCCAATCTTCCGCGCGCTTCTGCGTCAGGCTTCAGACCGCGAAGAAGAACCAGCGGACTCTGCGCTTTTCGTTCCTTGCTCTCCTCGACTCCGGCTGCTTTGTATTTAACCCGCTTCCTTCCGCTTCTTCTCCTCCCCTTCCTACTCCTCCATATCCTCTCTCATCCTCCTCCCTCACAATGAAGTCCTCCCTCACTCTTCCCATCCTCGCCCTCGCCCTCTCCCTCTCCGTCGCCGCCCACGGTGACGAACCGGAATCAGACTCCCCTCCCTCGCCCGCGACAATGGGCGGCATGCACATGGCCCCCTTCAATGCCACCGAGTTCTTCAACTCCTACGACACCACCTCCTTCCTCAACACCCCCGACTCGCGATCCTTCCTCATCGCCCACATCGCCTTCATGATCCTCTCCTTCGCCATCCTCCTCCCCGTCTCCCTCATGCTCTCCATCGCCCGCTCCCCCCTCTACACCCCTGTCCATATCATCTTCCTCGCTACCACCGCCGTCGGCCTCGTCCCCGCCGTCATCTACAAGTCGCGCGCCCCTGATCTCTACCCCGGAAACATCCACTCTTCCTTCGGATGGGTCATCTTCTTCCTCCTCGCCATCCACTTCGCCGCCGGCTTCTTCAGCGATTTCTTTGGCTGGGCCCTGCGCAAGCCCTACTCCGCCCGAGCTGCCTCTGCCGCCTCTAGCTCTTCCGTCCCTCCCTCGCCCACCTACGAGCCTGTCGACGACCGTGCATCGTCCGACTCCGCCCGCGCTGGATCGCTCGGCGGCGAGACCCTCGACGGTCATGAGGATCTGTACTCGGACGATTACTATCCCTCCGAGTATGGCTACCGCTACACCGACGGCGACGACGGCTCGCGCAACTACGTGCTTGAGACCGCCGACGACCTCGAGAAGCTGAGCCTGCCGCACCACCCGCTCACCGTCGAGTACCGCATCCAGCATGCCATCGCTACCTACTTTGAGCCTCTGCGCCGCGCCATCTCTCGTCTGCCCGAGCGCGCGCTTACTTCCTTCTACCTCCTCTCCACAGTCGTCTTCTCTCTCCTCAACCGTCCTATGATCCTCATCGGCTTCTTCCAGATCATGTCTGGAATCGTCACCGCTACCAATCTCGGCATGAAGGACAAGATCTACGGACTGCTCGCGCACTTCATCAAGGGCTCGATCTTCTTCTGGTTCGGCATCCTCACCTTTGGCCGCGTCCTCGGTGCCTTTGCCGAACTCGGATGGGCATGGAACGTGCGTCCGCCTGTCGCGCGTTCTCGCCAGGGCCTCGGTGCGCGCATCTTCAACTGCTCGCTCGAGACTGTCGAGTCCGGACTGATCTTCACCTACGGCATCACAAACATCTTCATGGAGCATCTTGGCAACAAGGACGGCAAGTGGTCTCACAAGGACCTCCAGCACGCCTCCATCGCCTTCATGTACATCGGCGGCGGTCTCTGCGGCCTCCTCTTCGAGTCCTCCTCCGTCCGCAGCCTGTTCAACGCTTCCATCGCCAATAAGCTTCCGAGAAGCCGCACGATCCGCGGCGTCGCTTCCGTCTCTGCCGCCTCAGCCGCGGTCGCGACCGCCACGAACGCCTCGTCTGCCGCCTCTGCGCCGTCGCCGGCCTCGGCTGGAAAGCCTCTCCGTCCCGTCGTCGTTGCTGGTAACGACAGCTGTGCGGCTGAGCCGGCTTCCTACGCCGCCTCGTTCAACCCCTTCCCGGCCTTCACCGTCTTCTTCACCGGCGCGCTCATGAGCCAGCACCAGCAGGCCACCGCGCTCTCGACCACCATCCACATGCAGTGGGGCTACCTGCTCTGCATCGCGGCCGTCTTCAGAGCAATCACCTACATCACTTTCTTCCAGTCCCCTCCGAGCTCGTACCTCCCCAGCCGTCCCTTCACCGAGGTCCTGACTTCCTTCTGTCTCATGGCCGGCGGCGTCATCTTCGTCGCCTCGTCCGAGCAGGTCGTCAACGCAATCATCTACTACGGCCTCGACAGCATGTTCACCATGAACATCGCCGTCGGCTCCGTCGCTCTCTTGATGGCGTGGATCATGGTTCTCATGGCGCTCAAGGGCTGGGCTGTTCGTCGTCGTTCTTGATTGTTTATTTTTTTCTATGTTTTTATTCATTTGTTATCGTTATAAATGGCTGGTGTTGTGTTTTTTTATTTTATGACCGGATTTACTGATCTAATTAATTCTATAATTTAATTGCCTGGGTTGTCGGCGGTATGATTCATTATGCAATTGTATATATTTGGTTTTATTGTTTCCATCTCTTTGACCTACTTCTCTGTGTATATTTCTCTATTCCTTTACATGGTTTACGAATGAAGAAGAAGAAGAAGAAGAAGAAGAAGACAAATGCATGAAAGATCGAAATTGAATAGCGAGAAGAGAGTTAGCATGTATGACGAGGTTTTCATTGTCTGCATTGCATCGATTGCGGGATTTTCTTCAAAGATCTACAAAGGTTACTCTATTTGTTCTAGGTTTCCGGCATCGGTTATGGTTTCATCATAGCCTTTGAGATTGGAGCGGAGTTCTTGCCTGGCTTTGGTTTCTTTTCTTTTGTGTCTGATTTCTACTTCAGCTTTGTTTTCTGCACGCGGCTCGGGTTTAGACTGCTCGGTCTGGGATGGGAGATGAAGCAAGAAGGAAGAGGAGGTGGGAATTATATAAGCACAAATGTATTTCTAACTGTATCAATGCTCTGTCTTATCTGTTCACGATGTTAGTATTTGATAGTAATAATCTTCACGTATACTATTTCCTAATCGGGTAGTAAACTTGATCTCGAGGCCACATTGCGTGCTGCGGGTTAAGGTTTCGACCCCCCCCACAAAATCTCTAAACTCTCCCCCACTCGGACTCATCTCCTCTTCCTCCTCCTCTTCCTCCTCCTCTTCCTCGCTCTTATCAGACAGTCAAGGACAGTCGAGAAGAAGAATGGTGTTTAGAAACTCGAGAACCGTCGCCGTTGCTCGTGGCGCGCAGAGGTTCGCGCGACGATGGACGAGCAGTTCGCGCGCAAAATCGACGTCCCCCGCCTCGGCTACTTCCCCGTCAGGCACAACCCCTCCCCCTCCTCCTCCACCCAAACAACGACCAGCTTTGCTCTACGCAGGCGTCTCTGCGCTTGCAACCGCAGGAATTGCCACTTATGTATTCAAATCAAAAGTCTCCGACGCAGCGCCGATGACGGCCTCGTTCAGCGACCTCGCGACGTTCCTGACCTCCTCCGCGATCCCGACCTCGCTTCTCTCGCGGCCGCGGTACGCGAGCGCGAAAGAGACCGCGCAGGCAATTGCGGAGATCTCGGCCGTGATTGGAGAGGCAAACGTCACGTCCTCGCCGGGGGAAATTGAATCGCACTCGACAAACCCGGCGTGCACGCACCATCCCCCCGGCGAAGACCAGCATCCTGCCGCGATCGTGCTGCCGGGCTCGACCGAGGACGTGTCTGCGATCCTCAAGATCTGTAATCGCTACTCGGTCCCCGTGGTGCCGTACTCGGCCGGCACCTCGCTCGAGGGACATATTTACTCTGTGCGGCCGGGCGGGATCTGCATCGACTTTCGACGGATGAACGCGATCCTTGCCGTGCACGAAGACGATCTCGACGTCGTCGTGCAAGCCGGCGTGCCGTACGCGGAAATCAACTCTGCGCTCGCGCCGCTCGGTCTCGTGCTGGGCTCTGACTGCGCGCCGTCGGCGCAGATCGGGGGGATGGTAGCCACGAACGCGTCGGGGATCAACGCGGTCAGTTACGGCGCGATGAAAGAAAACACGATCGCGCTCACGGCCGTGCTCGCGGACGGAACGGTGATCAAGACGCGTCAGCGGCCGCGCAAGTCGAGCGCGGGGTATAACCTCACCGGCCTGCTCGTCGGCAGCGAGGGCACGCTTGCGGTCGTGACGGAGGCGACGCTCAAGATCCACGTGAAGCCAAAGGTTGAGAAAGTTATTGTTGCGCAGTTCAAGACTACGCGGGACACGACCGACGCGGTCGCGGATATCTTCCGCGCGGGGATCAAGCCCGGTGCGCTCGAGTTGCTGGACGATCGCATGATGAAGGCGCTCAATCTCGCGCACATGACGACGCGCGAGTGGCTTGAGACGCCGTCGCTTTTCATCCGCGTCGGGGGCGTGAACGAGAAAGTACTGGGTGAGTACACGAAAGCGATCAAGACTGCGTGTGATGCGCACGCCTGTGCTGCGTTCGTGCCGGCGCGGAATCAAGCTGAAGGAGAGGAACTGTTTCTTGCGCGCAAGAATGCGCACTACGCGTGCTTGGACTACGGGTACGAGACGTTTGGCCCCGAGTGCCGGATGTGGGGTACGGATGTTGCGGTGCCGCTTTCGCGACTGAGTTATGTGCTTGAGGAGACGCGCAAGGATTTCGACGCGCACGGCATTGTCTCGTGCGTGCTGGGCCACGTCGGCGACGGAAACTTCCACACAAATATCTACTTCCTATCCGATCAGGAGGCGCGCGTGCGGGAAATCACGGACCGGATGGTTAAGCGCGGGTTGGAGAACGAGGGGACCTGTACGGGCGAGCATGGGGTCGGGAATGGCAAGCGCGGGTATCTCGAGCTGGAGCTGGGGCCGAGCACGGTCGATGCGATGAGAAAGTTGAAGATGGCGTGGGATCCAAAGAGGATTTTGAATCCGGATAAGGTGTTTAAGATTGATCCTGAGGATACCGGGTTTTGAGTAGATCAATTCAGCCTCTATATTATATAAGATCGCGTCCATACATAGATTCACACCAAACTCCTAGTCCTCTCCCATCATTACAACAAAATCCTAAATCCAAAAAGAGTATCATACCAAAAAGAGAAAGAAAAAAACCATCAAAATAAACCAAACGACCATTTCCGCCTCGCCGGCTGCTGCTCCATCTTCGTCCTCGTCTCAACCTCTTGGACAACCGCAGTACCAGCACTATTACTCCTCCGCCGCTGCATATCCTGCTCGACACTGCTATACTCCATCTTCCAATAATTCCGCTCAAACCCGTACGGCTGAATCGACAGATCGTTGAAATCGTACGAAAGATCGGACCACGCGAGGTCGTCTGCGACTGCGTAGGCGGGTTTTAGACGGGCGGGGGGCGAGGGCGTGAAGTTGTGTGATTTGTGGCGGGCGTGGGTGCGTGAGGCTACTGTTTGTGGTTTTTGGATCGGGAGGTGGAGAGGGGTGGAGGTTGTTGAGGTCGAGCCGTCGTCTTTGGTAGGCTGTTGCTGCTGCTGTTGTTGTTGCTGCTGCTGCTGTTGTTGTTGCTGTTGCTGTTGCTGTTGCTGCTGCTGCTTCGACAGCTGCTGAGGAGAAGACAGGGTAGTAGAATACGGCGTGGTGGTGCTAGAAGACGACACACTCTCATTATCATCATCGTCAGCCGTAGCAGAGGTCGACGACACAAGCGAGGAGACGTCAGACTCTGTTGTCGCGAACGAGAATTGCGATTCGCGGCCGGGCGAGGAGGGCGAGGGCAATTCGCTCTGGTGACTATCCGAGACCTCGATTTCGGGCGTTGCGATTCCGTCACCTTCCTCGTTCTGTTCTTCTTCTTCCTCGTCATTTTCTTCGCCGTCTTGCTTCTGCTGCTGGTTCGCGTTGTCTGATGACAGTGGTGGCGGCGGCGGCGGCGGCGACGACAAGAGTTGCTGCTCAAAAATAAGTCGTCTATTAGCCGCCGAAGACGCCTTCGACACTGCCGCCATTTCACTGCTTTCCTCCTCCTCCTCAACCGTATCTTCACCCTGTTCTCGTTCTTCTTCTTCTTGCTGTTGTTCCTGCCACTGTTTCGCACCTCCCGCCGTCCGCTTCATAAGCAAAGGCGACGTCGCCGCCGATACTGATACTGGCGCTGCTCGTTTTGGCGATAACGCACTGACGTCCAGCGATGAGCTTGCGTCCATGAATTTTCCGTCGAGGTGTGCTTCTATCCAATTGGTATCGCTGTCGTAATCGCCGTCGCCATCGTCGTCGTCGTCGTGGTCGTCGTCGGCTTCGGCTGTGTTGAGGGATGAGGAGCGCGAGGAGGAGGTGTTTTGGAGGAGACGACAGCTTCTTGCGAGGTTTGTCTCTAGGAGGTGGAGTAAAGAGTCGTCGGTTCTGCGTGAACAATTAATTATAAGCAACTGAGTGTACAGAGCAGGGGGAGAGAAATGGGGGAGTGAGCATACGATTCAATTTCGAGGCGGAGATAAGTTCCTGGTGTCGGCAAGGGCAAAATGAATTTATTTCTTTTGATTTGCCAGCATCGTAGACTGTATATCGACAAAAGTCAGCATGAGTAAAGCCTGCCTGAGTAGAGAGAAGAGCAGGATGGGGAGAAGGGCGGGAAATACCGTTTGAGTATCGGGTGCACGGCGCTGCCGCATTGGATGAATGTGCTGTTGTGAGCTGCTATCCTGTATATCTTCAACGAGCCTGGATGATGTATACTTGAAGTCAGCTCGCAATCCCTTCAGCTTCAGCAGGTGGCGGCGACATCAACAAAAGGAGGCCACGGCAACCGGAGACGCCGCCGAGAAGAGGAACAGTACGCACCACGGGCTACGTTTCGTTCGCTGACGACATGTTTGCTGGACGGAGGAGACATAAACGACGACGCCGTCGCGGACGGTGAGGAGGTGAAGCTGACGATGCGCGCGCGGGGGCATTGCGCTAGAAGCTGTTCTTCGGCCGCGGGCGAGGACGGCGTCGAGGAAGGTTGCTGCAGCTGGGGAGGCTGAGCGTGAGCTAGCGGCGAGGAGGCCGGCAATGGGGAAGCAGAGAGCTGGCGCATCATCGTCGCATGTCTGTCTGTGTTGTCTAAGGAGGAGAAGGAAAGAGGAGGAAGGAAGGGCAATGGCGCGTTTGGTGAAGGTTCGCGCGTGCGGATGAGTCGCGCGATGAGCCGATGACGGATGCGGCGGGGCTGCTGCGGGAGTCAGTCGAGCAGTTCCCGTTTTGGTAACCCCTGGACTGTAATGCATCTTTTGTATATTTGTAGGTGTATTTGTGTATAGAGAATTAAAAACAACGGAATTACAATAGAATAAAACAAACAACACAAACTAATCTACAACTTGGACTTGAACGGCGGCGTCATCAGCTTGTCGTACGCCTGGTTCGACAGATTGTCGACCGGCACGTTCGTATGCGCGCTCACGCTCGACACATCCACAAACGAAGGATTGAGCTCGTTGATCTTGGTGGCGCCAATCAGACGCATGTTCATCTCGAGCTCGTCCTTGAGCAGCTGGATCGCGCGCACGACACCGGTCTCGCCGTAGGTCGACATCGCGTACAGGAACGGACGGCCGATGCCGACGCCCTTTGCGCCCAGGCAAAGTGCCTTGATAATGTCGGTGCCGCGGCGTACACCGCCGTCGATAAAGACCTCGATCTTGTCCTGGTAGTCGTGCTGCTTGAGCGCGGCCATGACCTCGACGAGCACCTCGATCGAGGGTTTGGCAAAGTCGAGCTGGCGACCGCCGTGGTTGGAAAGCAGGATGGCGTCGACGCCGTACTCGACCGCCTTGATTGCGTCCTCAGCGCGCTGGATGCCCTTGAGCACGATCGGCATCTTGGTAATGCTCTGGAACCAGGGAATGTCCTTCCAGCTGAGGGAGGGGTCGATGAACGACGAGATAGCCCGGGCCGCGCCCTGCGAGCGGTCGACGGTGCCTTCGTCGGACTGCACCTGGGCCGCCTGCTCGTCGTACTTTGAGCGCATGTCCTTCTCGCGCCGGCCGAGCTGGGGCGCGTCGACGGTGATCCAGAGCGCTTTGCAGCCGCGCTTCTCGGCGTGCTGCACGATGCGTTTTGTAATCTCGCGGTCCTTGTTCACGTACAGCTGCAGCCACTGCACCTGGTCGCCTTGCTTGGCGTCCACGATCTCGTCGAACGAGCACGAGGCCAGCGTCGGAATCATCTGGATCACGTTCTCGCGGTGGCCGGCGCGCGTCAGCACGACCTCGCCCTCGGGGTTGCCGAGCTTGCCGAGCGCTGTCGCGGTGATGTAGAACGGCACCGAGGACTTGCAGCCGAGCATTGTGGTCGAGAGGTCGATCTGGTCGACGTCGACCAGCACCCGGGGACGGAACCATATGCGGTGGTAAGCGGCGTGGTTCTCGCGGAGGGTGATTTCGTCGTCGGCGCCGGACGAGTAGTATGCCCATGCGGTCGACTTCATGGTCTGCCGGGCAATGTCTTCAAAGTCGAGAAGGTTGTAGCACTGCGACACCGGCGGCATGAGCTTGACGCGCTCGAGTCGCGCGAGCTCGGCGTCGTCGATGACTTCTTCGGTCTTGTCGACGGCGACGGTGCCCATGTCGACGGGGCCGAGGTGCTTTGCGGCAGGGAGGTACTTGTCGAGAGTGTCGGAGGGGTGGATGGGGTCAAACTCCTTGGTGGCATCTTTGCCGGCGTATTTGAGGATGATTTTCTGGCCACCGGGGTGCTCGGGAAGGAACTCGGTCACGTCGTAGGCTTTGCCGTGGACGACGACCCAGCACGAGTCTTTGCTGTTGTGCTTTGCGACTAGAAGTAGAGTTAGAAGGAGTAGTTGTAGTAGAAGAACGTGTAGACGTACTGTCTGCGCCAGATAGAGGAGCCATGGTGTGCTGTGTATGTGTAGATGTGCAAAAGTCGAGATATCTAAGCTGCGCAGGTGGGCAGATGAGGGAAATAGGGAGTCAAAAGGCTTTTTTAATACAGTTCTTCTTCTTGTAATGCAACTCTTGCTCTTCCAACGATCTTCCGCAGTACTTGTATCAGAACAACAGCGGAACAGAGCCAACAAGAAGCGGAAATCGCGGCAGAGATCAACCAGGCTGAGGTTTGATCAGTTAAAGGCGAGTGAGTCTGCGGGGCAGCGGAATACGCGGCGAGGCGGGGAAGCTGCCAAATCCACTCACGCCGACTGGTCGCCGAGGTTGGCTTAGTGAGGGATTAGGTAAGGATTATGTTATGCATGACTAAAAAGCCGAAAGGCAGAGCAGTGTGGAGGTAATGTGGATTGAAGAAGCAGCATCCGAGATATGAGAGTTGAATAGTCTGAGAGGGTGGTTTGGACAGAGTGGTCAGGACAGGCACAGCAGCAGCAGGGCAGAAGCAGGGCCGGAGCAGAGCAGAGCAGAGGGCGATGTTCAGGAGTCGTTGGCAGCCAAGCCAGGCGATGAGATAATACTTGAAGGACAGTCGAGGATCAGTCAATTGAGAGCTTTTTGTTTGTTCAAAGCTCAATTGATGTAGATGTTGTTCTTGTTCTTGTCTGTGATAAGAATTGAATATAGAGCGAGGGTGCTATCCGCACAGCGACGCGTCACATCATCTCATCTCATCTCCACGGCAGTGACTGATGGACGATGGACGACAGTGGTCCGTCTGGCTCAGACAGATCCCTCTAAAGCTCAGCACATGGCGGGTGGGGAAGCAGGCGGATATCTGAACATCAGCAAAGATGAACAACTTCTGCTCGCTTGTTTACAGCCACGGCAGCCAACGACGCCATCAACCTGCCACGTTGACATCTGCAGACTCTGCATATCCACCAGCATCTTCTGCTCTGTTCTCTGTTCTTCAACCTCTGTCTGTCTGTCCTATCATCATCATCTACTCTCATCTCATCTCTCTACTGTCGGCTGCCTGCTTGCAAACCTTTCTCCACTTGGCACCTTCTCCACTTGGTTCTAGCGTCCGTCTGGACCCCTGAGCCTCCTCCAAGCTTCCCACTTCCACCGTCTGCAAACCTTTTAGCTCTCGGCTCCTGAAAATTGCGCAATCGCTCAATCGATCCATTTATTCATACTTTTTACTGTTTTTTATCCTGCTCTGCTCTTCTGCTCTGTCTTCTGTGCCGCTGTCTTCCTCGACTTCCCCACCTCCTCATCGGCTGCTCCCAACCATGCTCCCGTCCTCGGTCGACCGTCGTCCACCCATCTTCCTTAGATGATCCACTATATACTCCACTATATATTCTGCCATACTCCTCACTCTTGATGTCCCTCCTCTAATATCCTTACTACATGCTACTATCTGAATGGCAGATCCCCTCTTCAAATTCGATCCCAACGCCGTCCCGGGAACGGTCCACCTCGTGGACCTCCACAATCATGACTCTGCAACATCAATCATCCCCGTCCCAAGACCCTCTTCCGACCCAGAAGACCCCCTGAACTGGTCCACCGCCCGCAAATGGCGCACAATGGCCCTTGTCCATTTCTACACCTTCATCGTCGGCTGGTGCAGCGCAGGCGTCTACTCGATCCTCGCCGACATCTCCGCCGCGACCGGTCTCTCCGTCGCCGATCTCAACTCTGGAACCGGCACAATGCTCTTGTTCTTTGGCTGGGGATGTCTGATCTGGCAACCCTTCGCGCTCACCTTCGGTCGCCGCGGCAGCTACATCCTCAGTCTGGCGCTCACTTGTGCAATCTCGGTCTGGACTGCTTACTCGACCAGCTACGCGACCTGGGTTGTCCAGCGTATCTTGCTTGGTCTCTTTGGGTCGCCTATTGAGTGCTTGTGTGAAGTCAGCATCACTGATTTATTTTTCACCCATCAACGAGGACAACAGCTTGGAATATATCTGCTCATGTTGAGCGGGGGTGCCTATCTTGCCCCTCTGTGCAATGGATTCATCAACCAGAGCATGGGATGGAAGTGGGTCATGGTATGAACCTGCACTTTTCAGCAATTTGTATCAAGATTCTTACTGACAATTATCCAGTACTGGTGTGCTATTCTATCTGCAGTGGCCTGCGTCCTATGCTTCTTCTTCATGGAAGAGACAATCTACTACCGCGAGACCTCCTTCGAGGCCACTTCCGACGACTACAGCTCCGACCACTCCACCGCAGTTGACGAATCTCTCTCGATCGAACTGACAAAGGAGGCCAAGTCCGCGGCCGCACCCGCCCCTGCGCCTACCCAGCAGTCTTTTGCTCCCCGCCGGTCTTATCTGCAGTCGCTGGCGCTCTACCGCGTCATCCCCGAGAAACCCAACGAGTTTTTCCGCATCATAATCCGTCCGTTTATTGTATCCGCCAAGCTGCCGCTTGTCGTCTGGGTAGGCGTCTACCACGGCGTCGCCGTCTGCGCGTTCTCGTCCATGAACGCCACCGCTTCGGTCGTCTTGACCGCCGCTCCCTACAACTTCAGCTCGTCCCAGGTGGGATTGACTTACATCTCCCCCTTCATCGGCTGCCTGATCGGCGCCATCTGGGGAGGCGAGGTCAACGATCGGATCTGCGTGCGTCTTGCGCGCCGCAACAGGGGATACCGAGAGTCGGAGTTCCGGCTGTGGGCGGCGGCCGCGCTGTGCATCATCCCGCCTGGAGGCATGTTCGTCTGGGGCGTGGGGACGAACTACGGCGTGCACTGGTTTGGACTCGTGTTTAGCATGGCGATGCTTGGGTTTGCAATGTCTACAGCGGGCACGATTGTGCTTTCGTACATGATTGACAGCTACAAGGAGCTCGCGGGCGAGACGTTGATGGCGGTGAATATCATACGGTGCACGATGGCGTTTGGGTACGGATACGCAGTCACGCCGTGGATTGAAAATCAGGGATATAAGAACGCGTTTGTGGAGATGGGGGTTATCAGCATTGTTTTGTTTTCTACGTTTGCGCTTGTTCTCGCGATTGGAAAGAAGGAACGGCGGAGGACGGCGCCTGTGTATTGGAAGTTGGTTGCGACTGGAATTAGGGCGCTTCAGGAGTAGTCGTTGTACACATTTATGAACGGCTTGCAACTGCATTAATAATATAGCACTTTAATACAATGATACTTGACACAAAAACAATAATGAATAAGAATCTCAAAAGACGTACTACCGAAACAGGTAAGGGCTTGAGGCGATGGACGCATGTAAACTTTATCCTGCGCGGCTTTGGGACCTTTCTTCCCACAACTTTTTTTTCTAATTCAGACAAGTCAAAGTAGACATTATCTCCCCGCGATCTGTTTAAAATCAGCAGTTCTCGAGATCGGATCCGACGTTACTGAGTAGTTTGGGAGATATCACCACAAGAGTAGGGAAAAAAGACACAGCATGTTTATGTCAGACAGACGACGAATCCTCGTCCCCCCCACGGCGCGGCCGTTGACGTTCGCACCCGCACCCACAGAGAGCTCACAAGATTCGAGCTCGAGTTCAAAGACAGAGATATACCTCCGAACGTCGCTATTTCCCGACGCGTCAGGGTCGGCCTACCTCGAGCACCAGAAGCACAAGATCCTGGTTCTCGTGAACGGACCGCGGCCACAGCGCATGTCGTTCTCGTCGACCGCGAAGTTGCTTGTCGACGTCAAGTTTCTGCCGGTGTCGTCTGACGCGCACGTACTGGGGATCCAGCAGGGTGGTGGGTTTGATACCGATCTTGAGAAGAGTCTGGCGGATTATATATACGCGTCGCTGGTGCCCGCGATCCGACTCGAGCGGTATCCAAAGTCTGGGATCAGCGTGTCGGTGGTCGTGGTCTCTGGTCCGCCGCGGTGGAAGGGGTTGGTGAAGCAGGTGACTGCTGCGTGTGTGACGACTGCAGGAGCAGCGCTTGTTGACGCCGGGATCGAGGTATTAGACGTTGTGACTGCGTGCGCGGTGAAGGTGTCGAAAGAAGGCGCGGTCTCGCTTGATTTAGACGAGACGAGCGAGGATTCCGAGTCAGTCGATACCGTCGCGCGAGGAGTCATAAGCTCGATGGCGAGCAGGGATGAGATCACAGGTGTCTGGGTCGACGACGATACTACTTCAGAATCAGCCTCGTCGCGGTCGATTGAGGGCGAGGCGCTGGTTGCGGTGCTCAAGGCGGCGAATAGTGGCGCGGTTGAGATTCGGAAGCTTGTGAATGCGGTGTTGGCGCGGAGTTTGGATGAGTTGCTGGTTGAGAAGAAGGGAAAGAAGAAGATTACGAAGCGGTCGGCTGAGAGTATGGATAGCTAGAGAGGGCTTTGAAAGCTGGTTGTGTACGATAGATTTGCAATAAGAAATATTCAGTCTATGTTTTTTTTCTATGAGCTTACGCTTTACATTGTTCGATTACAAACCAGGAGTATCAGCAATACGATAGACATTCTTATGTCCACTGACCTTATGAGCCATAAGATCCGCAAGTCCCTTTGAAACACTAGCAAGACCACCCTCGACCGCGACGTAGCTATGGGTCTTATATCTGCCCTCGAACAACCACTTGCTCAGTTGCTGGTAAAACACCCACGCAAAGTCGCGACGCGCGGGATCCTCGCTGTGCGCGGCGCCGACAGACTCGACCTTGATGTCGACGCCGAACTTTGCGAGCTTCTCGGGCTCGAACGCCTCGGGCAGGATATGCGCAATCTTGGAGCCCATGCCGGGTTCGAGCGCGGCGACGACGGCCTCGGTCGAGCCCTTTTCGGAAATGCAGTCCCATGCGTAGGTCAGCTTCTGGCCGGGCTTGAGGTACGAGCGGATGGCGGCGGGGATGTCGTCTGTCGCGGTGTAGTCGACGACAAAGTCGCAGCCGGCGTCGAGGGCGACTTGTTTTGACTTGCCTGCGACGCCGATGATCGGGTGGATGCCTGCGAGCTTGGCGAGTTGGATCGAGAAGTACCCGACAGAGGTCGAGGCGCCGTAGATGATGAGCGGGATTTCCTCGGTCGCAGGGCGCCAAGGCGTAGGCAGGCCGAGGATATCAAAGAGGCCGTAAGCGCCGGTGAGGGTCGCGAGCGGTAAGGTAGCGGCTGCCTCGAACGAGAGCGAGTCCGGGATGAGAAAGGTGCAGTAGTCGTAGGCGATTGCGTACTCTGCAAACGAGCCGTGGGGTTTGCCCATCTCGTGGAAGGCGGCCACACGGTCTCCGACGTGGAGGCCGTGGACTTCGGAGCCGAGTTTCTCGACGACACCGGCGATGTCGTCGCCCGAGTTCATTGGAGTGTTGGAGTAGACGGGGAACTTCCAGTCCTTCGGGTTTGATCCGGATACCACGACCTTGATGAGAACTTCATGGGGGCCGGGGGAGCTAGGTGGGGGATTGTTAGCGATGGAGGGGCAGGGGAACCGGACTGTAAACATGGTTGTAGACATGCGAGCACTTACGGGATAGGCGATTCGACGATCTTTGTCTTTTCGAGGTCGGGGTCGACGATGACTTCTTTCATAGACATCTTGCGGGGTTATTGAGCGGATAGAGAGGTGGATAGGGTGCGAATCTGGTGTCTGGACGAGGCCGATAAGCGGTCAGAAGCAGGAAGCGGGTGGAATAAGGATGAGATCGCAACCTGCAATTTGTTACCAGATTGGGGGAGGTTGTCCGTGCGGCGACTTATCAACAGGCTGCTGGTATCTTCAATCAGAGCTTTACGTTGTTTTACAAATCAATTGCTACTCTGCACCATGCCGAAATTGCTTTGAGGACTTATCTACAAGTAGAATGCAACTACTTGCATCTTTCCTATCGTGTTATCGGCATTGTGAAGCGTAGAGGTCGCGCCTGTTTGCAATGTACCAAGTCAGTCCCGAAACCTTATTACCCTCCCTCGAGAACCACCGCCGCTCTTAACCTTCCCTCACCAACTTTTTTCCTCTCAGCCTGCAAACGAGTCAATTACTACCAACAACCAGTAAGTCGTCAACCTCCTCTGCTTTTACTATACTCATACGAAAAAGAACGGCGCAGATTCAAATGATGAATAATCACGGATGTTTATATACCACCGAGAGTGCAAAACAAACGATGTGGAAATAGCCGTTGCCTTCCTTCTGATCATTCTCTGCGCTGAGCTTTCTTTTTCTTTTGTTGCCTATATGCCTTTTGCTAATCATGTACAGATTATAGGGAGATAAGGAGGTTCGGTTTAGGAACAGCTTTTTTCTGTTTGACTCTAGTAATACACAGAAGGTTTAAAGAAATAATGAAAAAGAAAAAAAATTACAGTCTGCGTGCGGTTCATGACTCAAAACATAACACAAAACGAAAATTCTGGACAACAATGAAAACAAAAGACCCAAAAAAACAAAAATCACACATCAAAATTATAATCAAATTCAATTCACTTAAATGAAAAATCATCACGCCTCAACAGCGCTCTTGTTCAAGAACTTGTTAAGTCGCGACATCGTCGCGTTCTTCGAGGACTCCACCTCCGCCGCCAACTCCTCGTTCTGACTCGTCAGCTCGGCAACCCTGCTCTCCGCCTCCTCCAGTCTGATCTGGTACTCCGCCAACTCGGTCCTCGCGACCTTGAGACGCTGCTCCGCCGACGCTTTCGCCACGCGCATGCTATCGAGCTGTTTCTGCAACAACTCAGCCCGCCGCGCAGAGTCCGCGATCGCGCTCTTGATCTCCTCCACGTCGGCTAGCATCTGCGTCTGCTTCGTCAGCTCGTCGACCTGGCTCTTCAGCGCGGAAATGTGTCGATTGCTAGACTCAAGATCGCTCTGTAGACTCTCGATATGCGACCGCGCGTTCACAAGCTCCGAGCTCGTGCCTGCGTGCTCCTGGCTCACGCTCTCGAGCTCCATCTGTCGCTGCCTGATCTCCGCATCCACATCCGCCGTCCGCGACTCCAGATACCGGATCCGCGTCTCCGCGGCCTCAAGCGCAGACTGCCCGTCTTGCAACTCGCCATGCTTCGCAAGCAGCTCCTCGTGCTTGGCGTCCAGCATCTCGCGATGCTGCTCGACCTGCAGCCCCGCGTCCTCGAGCTCGCGCCGCGCAGTCTCGAGATGCGTCGACGTTTGCGCGTGCTCGGCCTCCACCGCAGCAAGCTGTCTCTCGAGCTCGCGCACGCGCGCCTCCGCGCTCTGAACCTGACTCACGTACTCCTGCTCCATACCGACCGATCGCGTGGCCCTGTGCTCCTCTAGTTCCTTCAGCGCCAGATCCCGCGCTGCCTCAGCCTCCGCCAACTTTGCGCTCGCGTCCGCAGTCTGCTGATGCACGTTCCGGCGCACGTTCTCCAGCTCGGCCTTCATAGCCAAAATAGCCTGCACAAACAGGATCTCCTTCTTGGTCTCAGCCGCGTCGTCCTTTGCAAACGCGAAATCGTTCGGCGCAGTCGGCTTGTATCCAGCGTCGCGGGCGACCACCAGTTCAGACTCGAGCCACCTGTTTGTCCGACGCAGACGCTCGAGCTCGGCGCTCTCGGCCGAGCCGAGTGCAGTTCTTCCGTCGAACGACGCGCGCGGCAGCATCGTCGGCGTGCCGTTGGAAGATTGAGGCGTCGGAGCTCGTCGGGGGTGGGAAAACATTGTCTCGGAAGACATCTGCCGTTGCTGTTCCTGTTGCGGCTGTTGAGGAGTAAATCTGGCCTGCTGCTGCACAGCCGGCGAAGAGCGCATGGACACGACAGGCTCGGGATCATTCTTAGATACAGGGAAAGCACCAGGAACGTTCATAGTAGGCTCAATAACTTGACGTTTAGTAGACGAAGCAGACGACGCCGAGGACGAGGACGAAGACGAAGACGGCTTTGTAGCGGCGCCGTATTGCTCCACGGTTTCCCGCTCGGCAGCGGCCGGACGACCAGCCCGTCTGTCAGTGCTAGAATCTCTTGTCGCTGCCGCATACGGAGCCGTGATTTCGTTGCCGTCGACATCGCGCAATCGCTGTGCACTACGTTGATTGCGCAATTCTGGGCGCGCCAACTCGTTCTGCTCATATCTCTCAGAACGCTGGGCCTGCATCGGCTGCTGCTGCTGCTGCTGCTGTTGCTGAGCACCTGGCTCCTGTGAACCACCGCTGGTGGTGTTGTAAGGTGGCAGAGGGAAAACCGTACCGCCCTGCTGGGGAGATTGGCGCACATACGGCTGCTGGATCGCCGCTCGCTTTTGCTGGCGACGAGATTCATTAGGCGGCTGCATAGGCTGCTGACGCTCGCGTGGAGAGCCTGAGCGCGCGTGGTTCTCTAGAAATGGGCGCTGTTGCATCGGTGCAGTTGTCTGCTGGTTCTTAGGTCTCGAGGTCGGCTGCGATCTTTGCTGCTGCTGTGGCTGCTGCTGCTGCTGCTGTGACTGCGACTGTTGCTGCTGAGATGACGGCTCAGGCGGATATCTTATCTTGCTTGTATCTAGAATATAAGCAAGCGTGAGATCATCGGCCGAGCCCTCTCCAGGCTGCCCACCCAACGTCAAGATACGCGTGCCTGCGACAGACATCGAGTGTCCAGAGCGAGGACTTGGAGCTGGCCCCATGTTTTGGAACGTGTACCATCTTCCGCTCGTCAGTCTCAAGCTTGAGAGCAGGTTCAGGTCACGGCCCTCAGTAGAGCGTCCTCCGTAGATGTACATGAGATCGCCCACGATTGCGGCCTCGTGGCCCTCGCAGGGACGAGGGAAGTACCCGACGCAGTTGAGCTTCGTCCATGCGTTCTCGGCCGGATCGAATGACCAGGCGTCATGGAAGCACTCACGACCGTCCGTGCCACCGAATAGATAGAGCTTGCCTCCAAAGACGACCATCGAGTGATTGGTGCGCGCAGCGGGCGATACTCTGTGAGCGGGGCGTACGATTTCCCATCTCGCAGACTCGTGTCCTAAATGCCATTGTCGTTAGAAAAGGTCTCTAGCTATCAAGCGGCTCAATTGTGTGGAAAATAGATACCCTTGCTCAGGTCGAACGAATAAATATCATTGAAAAACTTGTCATCCCGCTGCCCTCCAAAGACAAAAACTTTTGTGCCAATGATATTCAACGAGTGGCCGTAGCGTCCACATGGCTTCGAGCCCGTTGTCTCAACACGCGTCCACTTCAGCGTAGCTAAATAACAGAAAGTGCATTAGAACGCCGTTCATGCGACAAAAAAAATACACAGTACACGTACAGATATTAAGTGAATAGAGATTATCGTCGAGCTGGTCGCCAGGGTTTACTCGGTTGTCTCCGCCAAACACGAGGAACGCGTTGCCGATGAGTTCGGACGCGTGACCGCAACGAGGAGAAATGATATCATTTGATTTTTGGAGCTGCTTCACGGAGAGCGTGTCTGAATATTTGGAAATGTCAGTGAATATTTCGAAAAAGTTGGTGGAACGCGTCTTTAGCTGGGTTTGCGAGGTGCGTCTTTTGTTCCCCTTTTAGATGAAACACACACAAAAATAGTAATTGCCCCGACAACAAGACGCGTAACGACAAAGAAAATCGCAATCGACAATAGTCTAACAAACTGCGAGCAATAGGAAGACATACCAGTTTCAAGAACCCAGAGGTCATTCTTCGGGTGCACACCACGAAGGCCGCCAAAAATAAAGACCTGGCCTAATTTAGTCGCGATCTTGTTGCTAGATTGACCGTAACGCGGGAACGGAGTAGTAGCGCCGTTGATAGATCGGCGAGACCACGGGTATTGCTGTTGCTTCTGCTGCTGCTGCTGCTGAGGTTGCTGCTGAGATTGTTGCAGCTGCTGTGGCTTTGGCTGGTCGTTGGGCTGCGGGTAGGAACTGCTGAGCTGCGCGTCGGGTTGCACAGTCTGCTTCTGCTGCTGGTCGCGTGTTTTAGAACTGGCTTCCTTTCCATTGTCCTTCGTAGACGCGTCAGGCACCAGAGGACTTTCAGACTCTGGCGATTGCTTCTCTTTCGCTGCGACCTCTGCGTCGGGGGACGCGCCTTCGCCTGCGTCGAGCGCGAGCGACGAGGCCGACGCGGCGAGGTCTGTTCGCGAACGCGTGTTCTTCGCACGCTTTTTGTGCAGGCCTAGGAACGTCATGCGCGAGACTGATACAGCAGTTTGGAAGAAGAGGCCGCGAAGAAGACACTAGGGACTGCGAGCAGTATATATCGGACAGCCAGGCCGGGGAGGAATGTGATGGTGTGGGCGTGGTAGGTGATTGAGGAGTGAAGCCGCTTTGTTCGCGAAGAATGGACAGAAGCCGCATTCCACCGCGCGGACGACCCCAAAATTAGCGTTCAGGGCTCAGGGCAAAATTTACGGTTTGGGCTGCAGCTCGGATTCTGTGCATTCGCAGCCGTTTCCTCTTTCTGGCAGCTGGGCTGCGGGATGACCTCATTCCAGGGCCGTTGGTCCTTAATTCTTACCGAAAGTGAATTAATGTTAGAGATTTCAAGCTTTGTTTTTTATTTTGAGTCGCTGTACGTGTATATAGGTGACAGACTACTTCTCTCTATGGCCGCAGACGACGCGGGTCACGAGGGAACAAGCTGGCACGTCTGATGTTCTTCAGGTCGAGGAAGAACATGACAACGCGCTCAAGGCCGATACCACCACCAGCGTGGGGAGGAGCACCGAACTGGAACGCGTCAATGTAGTCCTTGAAGCCAGGCTCGTCGGGGTTCAAGCCCAGGTCGACCATCCGCTTCTTCAGAAGCTCGACGTCGTGGATACGCTGAGCACCAGAGAGAATCTCTTCTCCGCGCATGAAGAAGTCGTAGGAGTTCGAGTAGTTCGGGTCCTCGGGATCGGGCATCGTATAGAACGGTCTCGCGGCCGCAGGGAACTTGTCGAGGATATAGAAATCGGTGTCGTACTTGTCCTTCACGAGCTGTCCCAACAATCTCTCGTTCTCGGTGTTGAGATCCTCAAGCTCGGGAAGGTCACGACCAGCCTCGCGCAGCATCTTGATACCCTCCTTGAAAGGAATGCGGACCATCTTGCCATCCTTGGGGAACTTGAACTCCTCGACAGGGTATTGCCGGCGGACGATGTCGATCTCGCGGCCGAAGCGCTCGCGCAAGCCGAGGAAGATGTGGCTGAAAAGACCAACCAAGACATCGATTGCCTCATCGTAGTGCTCCTCGATCGCCATCTCGAGATCGAGGCCGACAAACTCAGTCATGTGTCTGTGAGTGTTACTATCCTCGGCACGGAACACGGGAGCGATCTCGAACACGCGCTCGAAATCGGCGGCAATAAGCATCTGCTTGTGGAACTGGGGCGACTGCGCAAGGAAGGCTTCGCCGTTGAAGTACTTGATCTTGAACACGTTCGCACCACCTTCTGAAGCGGCACCCATGATCTTGGGAGTGTGGACTTCGGTGAAGTTGAGGCTGAGCAGGTACTCCTTGAACAAAGTGCAGACACCGGCCTGGATCTTGAAGATTGCCTGGTTGGTGATGGTACGAAGATCGATAACACGGGAGTTGAGTCTGGTGTCGAGGTTGACGACAGGAAGACCGGCAGCCTCGGCCTCGGCGTCGCTGCGAGAAGCATCCTCGATCAAGATAGGCATCTGACTGGGGGTCTCAGCGATAGTGTACAGTTTGGTGACCTGAATTTCCACATCCTGGACCGTTGCCGAGCGGATAAGCTCTGGAGCCTCGGCGACGATACCGTGGACGAGGACAATGCTCTCGAGAGAGATGCTGCCTGCCCACTTGACAAACTGCTTCGAGATCGTGTCCTTGTTCGCGACCAGCAGACCCTGAATGAGCGAGCTCTGCTGGCGGAAAGCAAAGAAGCACATCTTGTTTCCCTGCAATCGCGAAGTGTGGATACGGGCGCGGAAGACGACCTCAGTGCCAGCCTTTTGCTTGTTGAGAGACGCAATCTGGACACGCGGCACGCCGGTCTTGGAACTGCTCTGGATCAACGGAAGCTTGCCATAAAGACCCTCAGAGTAGTCCTAGAAGATCAATCAGTATTTCAAGAATTGCATGACACTCTCTCTGAATGGCATTGACATACAACTTCGTTGGCCGCCTTGGCAGCCTTCTCAGCCTCGAGCTTAGCAGCCTTTTCGGCTTTCTTGCGCTCCTTCTCGCGAGCAGCCTCAAGTTTCTTCAGAGCCTTCTTCGACAGGGGTTGGCCGTCCTCGCTAGTATAGAATGTTAGTCTATCAATGCTGGTGCACAAATCTGCTGATGAAGAGCATCGCAGATCAGACTAGCACTCTGCAACTTACCCAAGCACGACCTCCGCAAGGGCATCGGCAACGGTAGAGGGGGTGGCGGCAGGGGCCTCGACAGGCTTGGTTTCTTCAGCCATGGTTCTTGATGAATCGGGACGAGCAATGGGTTCTGGATGACTGAATAGCAGAGAAGTGTCTCGTCGTTCATAAACCCAGCAATAATTTTTCCTCGTCACGTGCAAACCACTACTGAGTCACACGTGTCACGAGCTTAGTCACCACGAAACCCTTGTTGACAGAATGACACGGAGCCGACGCCCAAAACACGAGCGGCGAGTGTTTACGGCAATGCAATTATTCGTCTGCGCCGTGCATCCACTGAACAGCGCTGTTGTTAACATTCGGCTTTCTGCGTCACGTATCTGGTAATCGCAAAGACAGACTTTGGAGTTCACTGCTTTTCTCTCTGAGCTTTGTTTCCTGCTCGTGTCTTTCCTGCTTTTGGAACCGGTAATTGGTCAAATCACTCGACAGCGTCCCCCTGTTTTGGCAGCCCTACGAACGAATTACTACTAGTCAAGTCAAAATGCCTCTGTGCGGTAGTTCGAAGAAGCCTTGTATGTATAATCTCTGTTTGATTATTGTGTATTTTGGAACACAAGAACTGACTTCTATAGTATCCCGCAAGATCGTGATCTTGGGCGACGGTGCCTGTGGCAAGACCTCTCTTTTGAATGTCTTCACGCGCGGTTACTTCCCGCAGGTTTACGAGCCGACAGTTTTCGAAAACTACGTGCACGACATATTTGTCGACGGTACTGCCGTACAGTTGTCGCTCTGGGATACTGCTGGTACGTGATTGCACTGTGTTTCTCTTGCGCTCTTGCGGTCGAGTGCATGTGATCGCGAACTGGTTGCTAATTTGTAATGATAAAGGCCAGGAGGAATTCGACAGGCTACGGTCATTATCCTACAGCGATACACACACCATCATGCTTTGCTTCAGCGTATGTCTTTCTTCATCTAATTTGGGCGCCAGGAACTGTGGCTAATATTACTCCTCGGGGTTGATAGATCGATTCGAGCGATTCGCTAGAAAACGTGCAAACAAAGTGGATCCAGGAAATTGCAGAGCATTGCCCTGGTGTCAAGCTTGTGCTAGTCGCGCTCAAGTGTGATTTGCGCAGTACTGCGAACGATACAGACGCGGTACAGTCTGCTGCTGCTGCTGCTGCCTCGGGCTCTCCGGCCGCGATCGCTGCCAGCACGCGAAAGTCGTACATTAGCTACGATGAAGGACTCGCGGTAGCTCAGAAGGTTGGCGCGCTGCGATATCTGGAGTGCTCGGCTAAGAAGAACCGGGGAGTGAACGAGTGCTTTACGGAGGCGGCGCGATGTGCTCTTAGCTCAAAGTCGAAAGGTTAGTTTTTGCTGTGGTGTTTGTGTCTGTTAGCAGTGGAGTTTGGTATGAATGAATCACTAACTTTGGGCTGTAGATGATCCTCCCGATGGTGGCTGTACGATAATGTGAAGAGTGTTTGGGTGGAGTGTATGATATGAAGTAAAAGCGCAGCGAGTGGCAGATGGTAGTGTAATGTGCACGATTGAGTCAAGCAGTAAATGTCAGTCAGCATGATAGGAAGCTGAGAGTATAGGAAATAACAAGATATCATTGTGGTGATGTTACGAGACGTCGCCAATACATATAGTACATAGCAAGGTAGACGCTGGATGTTTTACAAATCGGGCAAATTCTCATGCCGGATTCAGCCACGAATAAATGAAGGCCCACAGCGCATTCCATTCCTCGCGAGAACTCCGCTGCATCAGCTCTGCGCCGAGATGCCATGCGATGCATACGAAGCAAGGCTGCTGCTGCTGCTGCGGCTTCGCGGGATCTATCACCACAAGCCCCCCGCTGCTGACAAAATTAGCATGCGACCGAGCTCACTAAGAAAAGCGCCACAGAAGGCAGAATGTGCGCAGGAAGGAAGCCGATACCCCGGTTGCCACTAGCGGAAAGGGCAGATTGAGAGTAGAGGTAAGCAGTCGCCTTAGCCTCCCTTTGTTGCTGTCCACATGAGCGACCCGTCTTTGCTGGCCTCTCAATTCGCCGTCTCCATCGCGCAAACCAAGGCTCTTGTCTCTTCCTGGCTAGTAGAGGATTCACCTGAAAACACAAACGAAAAATCCAACAATGGTTCTTTGCATGGTAGTGTGCGTCGCGGGAGCGTACGCGGCAGAGAAGCTGGAGAAGCGCAAGGAAAAGAAGCGCATGCTCGCGGAAATGGCAGAGAACTCTCTGCCGGTGGAAAAGGACGGCAGCCAGCTCACAAAGGTGTCGAGTCAGGAGACGCTCGCGGCCGGACAGGAGATGGCCAAGACCGAGAAGGGCACAAACACCAGCGGCAGCAACTACAACAGCGAGACGATGTCGCTGGCAAGCACGGCGGTGGCTCCGTCGGTGAAGAGCAGCAAGAAGAAGTTTTGGAAGAAAAAGATCTCGGCTTAGGTGGCGAGGTCGAGTTTGCAAAGAAGTATACTGTTATCGTGGGCCGGTGGGTGTTTCCTGGTGATTTATTATTCTCATGTTGTCGCTATCACATACTGACGATAATCGACTTTCTAGAGGTGGCATAGGAACGCCCGCTCCACCTGACAGCACAAACACAGAGACTAATGGGGGTGGGCCAGTGAGTTCGTATCGGCAGAGGAAGACGATGGAGTTTATGCAGAAACAAATACAGAAGAAGGCTCAGCGGCAAGCACAGCCTAGGCCGGTGGCTACAAAAGCAGAGCCGGACGATGATGATGAAGAGGAGAGCAGGAGCTCGATCGGAAGGTCCAGTAATAATGTTGGCAAGAGCGATGTGTTTGGAGATGTTGATAGCAAGAAACGAAAGATGGGCTCTGTTCTGGATGACGTGCTGTCGCAAAGGCAACATACACCGAAAAAGAAGAAAAAACAAAAAAAAGAAGTCCGAAGAGGGTGCTGATGTTTAGTAGTTTTGACGTTAATGGAATGGAGTTTTGCAAATATTTGGCGATTGTGTTTTAGTAAGGGCGAAAGCTTCGTGAGCACGGCTGAAGGAAGGTGCAGAGGAGGTTTGTCGCTCTGCACACAGCACAGCACAGCACATCACCTCCTCACTAAAGAACAGTCTGCACCAATCCGCCTGATCCACACAACATCCCCACCCCGCTGTCTCTCTCCCCCAGCACCCAAACATCCAAAGACCCGGCCGTTGGATGCAAGCGAGAACAAAAGAACACGTCCGGCGCGCGTAGAAACCGAAAACCGAACGGCTCCAGGAACAGGCGTCAGACCCTAACCTTATTTGAAACCTTAATCCGCAGTCAGCCCGGCTCAGTTCGTGTCTGCTGCCTCGCCTGCAATGGCCCCCGCCCCCTACGCCTGCTCTCGTCTTTGCTGCACTCTTCTGCCTACCACGTCCACTTCTCTAAATGGCCTGCTGCCGACCAGACTCCGGCTCCCGGGGTGCGAAGAGCCTGCAGCACGCGCGGCAGTGCTCTCGGCGGGCGCGGTCTGCCGTTGACCGCGACCCTGAACGGTACGAAAGCTTGAATTTTATTCCGTCCTACGCGTCGCGTTCTTCTGCTTCTTTGCGGTTTCGTGTCGGTAGCTGTTATTAACCCACCCGTTCGTTTTTAGGACTCTCAATCACCGCGATTCTGCTTGCGGTGGCCCTCACTGCACCCGCATCGCTGCTGGCATGATCTCCCGTCGCAAGACAATCGACTACCCGCTCTCCAAGACCGCGTCGTCTCAGCCGCTTACTACTCCAGACGACTGCGCCCACCCGGTCGCTGGATTCAGCACGCGTCAGACTCAGACTCAGACAAAGATAGAACAAGAGTGCTTAGCTACCACAGTGCCAGCTGGTTTGAGCAATACGGCTTCTTCAGCTGCATCGACGAGCGCCAAGCAGGCGCAGAGGCGTCTTGCAGGACGGAACCTGGCGCAGTCAAACACCCGCATCGACGCTGATTCTACAATCCCATGTTTACTCTCAGATCGCGTGAATGATCGTCTTCAACGAATGCCTGAAATTGACCGCCCATCTACGTTGTATTTTGAACCGTCAGATCAGCACCGACGCGTCTTAAATGAGAGATCTGATCTTGAGAACAAAAGTTGTCTATCGCCAAAATCGACCGTCGCAAGTGGTCTAGAGAACGACTCGCGACTGGTGAGATATCCTGATTACAATTGTTTCTCAATCAATCATCACAATTCTAACCATCATCACACTGCAGCACTCGACCGTCAAAATTACAAGCAATACCCCGTGGTTCATCAAAAACAGCTATCTTGCCTCTGTCCGTCAAGACTGGATGCACAACAACGAAGTCAAGGTTTACTCTGCCCAAATAACTTACAGCGTCAATCACCCTCTCCCCGCCATCCCAACAACCGACGACGACGGCGACAGCAGTTTCGACGAACCCCTGAAAACGCCCGCGTCCGCTGCTTCGTTCCAGCGGACGCGGTATATGTCAGCCGGCTCAGATAAGACCGGAACGGACGTGGATTTTGATATGTCTTCGTTGATAGACGCCTATGGCGACGACAAGTCGATCAAAACAGCAAACTCGGTTCCGCTTAGTCAATACGTGCACCTGCCTGATCTATCTAGTGCTGAGCGAGTGTCATCTGCCGCAAGCTCGGATCGGGGGTCAGCTGTCAATCCGTCGTCTCCTGCCCGATCGTCACATCAAATGCGAAATGCGCCTGCATCCCGCTCATCTGGAAAGCCATATATTCCCCGGGACGAGAGCTCTGATGCAGTGCCAGAGATGCGCGCACCCGACCGCTCATTCACTAACTCGGTCTTGATTAACAGTCAACGCGATCGCGCCAGCCCAACTTCGTTCACGCATCCTCGCCGTTCAGTCACAGCTCCGGTGAATGGACAGGAGCCGACGTCGAGAGTTGATCTGAATAGAGTGGCTACCATGACTAAAAATTTTATGGCTGAGGAACTGGCGGTTTTGGACTCTATCGGGAACTTTGATTTCGAGACAAATGTCGCGGAGTCATTGAAGAAATTAGAGGCGCGCAAGCCGGAAAGAAACAGCGCGATGGCTAATATATCTGAAGGGGCCGCCAGTTCTCCCGACACGAAGCCGCTTGCGCGCACGCCTAGTGCTCCGTTCTCATTCGCTAGCTCGAGCCGTCGGACTACGTTAGAGCCAAAGTCGCCAGCGATTGAGAGAAAGTCTAGTACGAGTAAGTCCCCGGTGGTTGAAAGAAAGCCGAGTGTGATGCGTAGCTGGATGTCTTCCAGCTCACTATCGACTCTCTTGACCACGACTTCGAAAGATAAGGTGCTGCCTAGTGTTCCCGACCCTGTGGTCGAGACCAAGGAAATCTCGAGTGCTAGTCCTAGTCCCACAAGTCTCAAGTCTCCAGGGAATGTTGTTCCTCGGAAACAGATTCCTAGAAAGCCGTTACCGATGAGTTCGCCTGTCGCGCTTAATCCTCCAGGATCTGTTCTATCATCGCCGCAACCACAGCAGCAGCAGCAGCAGCAGCAACAGCAACAGCAACAGACTACGCAGACAATGACCCCCTCACCGACGCCTGTTCACTTGGCTGAGCAAGGCTCTCCTTCTCCGGGCGAACAGAAGACGCGTCGAAAGTTTTTCGGACGCTCGAGCGGGAAAGAGCACAAACGCTCTGCAAGCAACGGTCTCTCATCTGAGCAAAAGGGCTCCAATCAAATCAAGAGCAAGCTCCGGGACTTTATGCAGATGGATGCGTTGGGCGTTACTCCTGCGACGCGCGATCAAGTTCCTCATCAGCTACATCCGACTTCTACGCCAGAGACGCCCAAGCAGAATAATGAGCGGGGCAGTTTTGAAAAAGTTAATAGTCCGAGCAGTGGGTTGAACAAAAAGTTGGGACTGAAGGGCTTGCGGGGGAAGTTCTCTAAAAAGCACACGACGGATGTCGATGATGCTGAGGATTTGACCGTTTCGGCTTCGGCTTCGGCTTCGCCTGCTCCTGCTCAGCTTGGTGGCGACCTGGAGATCGATGGTTTCCAGCAGCAGCAACCGGAACAACAGCAGCCGCAACAGCAGCCGCAACAGCCGGTTCAGCAGCATGCTTTGCCTTCAGTTCCTAGAGCGGGAACGGCCTTCTTTGAAGATAACAAGCCAATCAGGCAGCCGGTACGGAACACTTCTTGGCTAGGAATAGATCTGGCGACAGAATCAGCTACTCCGTCGCGACAGCCTGACGCTACATCGCAACCTGCCTCGGTCCCACAACCGCGGCAGCCCGAGCCAATTCCCCAACAGCAACGACCTGTTCTCAAGACCTCTATACCGTCTTCCATGTATCTTACCTTGGATGATGAGATTGAGTACGTTTCTGATGATGGTTCGAGACCTACCACTCCTGCGGTCGTTGTGCCGCCGGCCAGTATTCCGCAGCGGAACGCATCACTGGCGACCACTAATACCGCTAGTGACGCCGGTGTCAATATGAATAGCTCGCCGAGGGCAGAGAGACTAGCGAGCATCTCATCACCGGAGAGCTACCGCAGCGCAGATTCGGGAAGTACAGCTACCGGAAGCAACGAAGCTAAAAAGTCTGCACCATCTCCGTCGACGACCGCGACGCACGCGTCAACATTTTCTATTGACACCAGGCAGAGTGATGCGCAGACAGATCCGAATTTGTCGGATTTGGGTGGCTATTATAGATCGATAGCTCTGAATGAGTCTGTCGTGCCTTCTGAAAGCTACGGATCGTTGGCTTCGTCGGCTGGAATGAAGAGTATGGCAGGATCAGAACGAGTTTCTGAGATTAGCGAGCAAAAATCAGAAGACGTGAGTTCTCCATTTATTCCATTTTCGAGCCATTTGACGTAACCGTCTAACATCGATTGTAATATTCTAGTTTTTGGATGCGCTTGAGGATCAAGCAAATTTATCATCCCCAGCAGTTTCGAGTAAGATGTCGCTGGGAGCTCAGACGCCGTCAGAAGAAGCGCCTATTGAGATGCAAAAGGATCTTTCTTCGCGCTCGCTGATGCGCAGAAAACGTCGTTCTTCAATGCCAGAGTGGTCTCCGATTGCAACAATGGTGAGTTGCTCTCTTTTCAGGTGTTTTTGTCGTGGTTGTATTTAGCTGACTCTTCTATAGTTTTCTGGTAATGCACCCGGGCTCCCTCTGCTTGACTTTGAGATTGAGCGCGCTATCGACCTGGATGCGGATGAGAGCTCTGAACAACAAGGTCCTATCAGCAAGTCTAGCTCTGAGCTTCCTGTTAGTGAGACAGAAGTGCCTGCTCAAGCTGCCGAAAAGCGAGGTCTACCTCCCTCTGCTGCGACGAATAGGTTGGCTCCCCTAGCCGACACCAACAAGTCGAAAGCTGCTGAATTTAAACTGGGTGATCCCTCACAGTCAGCGACGGCTCGACGAAGACACGAGAGGTCGAAATCAGATACTGAAGTCACTGCATTTGTACCCAAGGAGCTGGACGACGAGGAGGAGGAGGAAGAAGAAGATGAAGCTCTTCCTGTCCAGCCGGTGGTTGCTCCGCGGGACGTGCAGGCTCATCCTCGAATGATGCAGCCTGTGCGTGGTGTCATGAGGTATGATGCACCCGTGAACATGCAATATATGCCGCAGGGTATGCCACGATTCCGTGGCGGCGGACGAGGAGGTCGTGGTGGCATGGCTGGCCCGATGCCAGGTCGTATGCTACGAATGCCGCAGGAGGAGTACTATCTCCAGCATCCGGACTACGTCGCGGTCCAGCGTCCGCGACAGAGATTTCCCGGCCAGCAGCAGAGACCTATGACGCCCGGAATGATGATGGGAAGACCGATGTCACCTGCGATGATGCAGCAGCGTCCAATGTCCCCCACCATGCACCAGCAACAAAGGCCGATGTCTCCTGCTATGCGTCCGCAGCCCCGCCCGATGTCGCCGGCAGGTATGTCGCAGTTCCGTCCGAACTCGCCTGCGGGAGGCATGCGCGGCGGTCCGGGCATGATGCGGCCGCAGCGCGGATCTCCGTATATGCAACGCAATCCTAATTACCGCGGTCCTCCTGCGTCGAAACTCGGTGCCGCGCATGCGATGGACGGAGATTCTTTGATTTTCGAGCTGGATCAGCCGTATATGCCACCCGCGGCAGCAGGGCGCAGACCCGATATGGTGCCTCCTCCTGGAAGAGGATACAAGCCGCCGGCGATGCACCAGTTCCGCCAGCAGCAGCCAGTCCAGCAGTCGTCGTATGTTGACTACGATGAGTACGGGATGACCATGGCTATCGCGCGAGGTTCGGATCAAGATCGGTACAGCGGTATTGCGCGGCACGGCGCGGCGATGTCGGAAAAGTCTTCTGCTTCGTCGGTGCATAGCTCTGGAAGCAACGATAGCTCTCAAGTGCCGACCATGGGGTCTTCGGGGACCGAAGCAACTGATGGAATGATGAGAACTGCGATGACGCCTGACGTGGACGCGTCTGCGTTCAGGCCGGCGAGGCGGTATCCTAAGTATTGATGGGTACGTTAATTTTCCATTGTATTCTATTGTGTATTATAGTATTCTCCACTGTGTAGTAGCATTGCATTTATTTCCGCATCTTGGCTATGTCTTTTTGTTAATTTTGTTTATTTTGTGAAGTTCATTTGTGATAAGTTCATATATACAGTATATACAGCACGTTTATTATTCTGATGTGTGCTATGTCCTTTGCTATGTTTTCGAAATGAATATAATGCAGTTGTTTTTTGGTTTGCATTTTCTTAGCCAACCGCCAGCCATGTGAAAACATCGTGGGCCACCCGAATGCCCCACATGAAGACCAAGCTCCAGCCAGCCAGCTCAGGCCATGCCAGCCCTCGATAGCGCACTCACTACTGCGGTATCACTGCTGCAGCTACTATGAGGCGTATCGGCGCAATTTCTGGGTTCAGTCTTAGAGTTTCGGGTTTTACACTGGTCGGATAAGGAGGATTCTTAGAATACTCCAATCACGTTGTGACAAGCGGTGGGGATTTGGGAGGTGAGCGTGGGCATAAGAGATCTGCGCTACGGGACGAGAAAGGCGGTGGCGGGTATGCAAGTTGCAGATTTCTTGAGGTGACTTGGATTATTACAGTCTAGACGCCTAACGGTCCGGGTGTCAACTATCGTCGGGTCCTGCGACTATCCGTCTTTCCTTGACTTTTACGCGGAGACGCTACTAGTTGCAGCTAGTGCCGGAAAAGCGCGTCTTTCATGCTATAATCTCACATCAACTAGATGTTAGAGGTTTGAACTTTTGAATGAACAGCACAGTCGAGTGACGACCGGCAGCAGAAGCAAAGTGGCTGTCTGTGTTATCAATGCTGGTGGTTGACTCTCTGAGTCTTGGCGTAGTTGATACAGCCTATGAGGAAGACGGCAAATAAGGCGGGCCAGTAGTCTGCAATTCATTAGTTGAAACATAGCGCATATAGATAAGCCCTGCTCGTTATCGGCCCTCTACACCAGACACATGCTCTCAAGTTTCTTCACAAGCAGTCGATCTTTCAAACAACTTCGTTCCAGCGTTCAAGTCATCGGATAAAGCTGCGCAAGATGTACCTGAGACCAGACGAAATACCAAAAGGCGGTAGGTAAACGAGTGCCCGAGCGCGCGGCCCGGGCCTCTCTTATCGCGCGCATCAGCGCTTTGTTCGCCTTATCGGTTTGCACGGGCCTCGATGATTTTCTGCTCGCGCCGAACGCACAGGCCCACACTCCAGCACGCGCGTTCAATAGGTCGGAGCTGATCTCTGAACTTAAGCAGTCGGACACAAGAGCCGGTCTCTGATTCAATCAATATTGGTGACAGCTACAAATGAAAAGAATAGTCCAAATGATGGAATTTGAGCGGATGATAGCGTAGAGAAGAATAAGGTACCCGTGCTTATCGCCTACGGATCTCTGCTCGCCAGCCAGCCTTGTGAATGGGAGATAAGAGAATGCAAACCGGCTGGCTGGTTAGATACCGAGTCTAAGATGATGGGCATGCAAGTTTGCATCAGAGCAAGGCTCGAGCTTGGCGGCCATTGCGCGGCCATCGATCAAGCTATGATGCCAATCCCAGGAAAGCAAATTGGCAATTCTTGGAGACCATAGCTCATTATTCCTCGGAGGTCTTTTGCCGGGATAGCAAGAGAAATGTCTTGGTAGAAAGTAGATGTTGATGTAGCCGCTAGTGAATGATTGAAGAAGTTGAGGTTGAATCGGGCTTGACGTCTGTTAACGCTAGTAATCTCACCCCCTGCAATAGTTCTTGAACCCCAAAAGGCGGGCTACTCACCTATCCGCAGCCTAACAAAACGACTAGTCCTTTTTGTTCTTGGTGGCGTCTCTCCGCGTTGCTATTGCACATATTTTTAAAAAACAATATGGAGCAAAAGAGTACGTACTTCATCACGGTTATCGCGGCTACCTGGGTACTTTTTGACATCAATAGAGACACTCTGTTTGCCACAATCCTTTAATCATTCAAGTAAGGGCCTGATAGAACACCATGTGGAATAGAGCTTCTACTGCTAATATAATGAATGACTGAATTATATTGGGTCTTGGCCAGTGGTGTCGGTGTGGTTTCAGATAGCAGAAGAAGCATGAGCTGATGCGTCGGAAGTTACCTTCCTCACCTGTCAACCCGGAATCCTATTTCCTACATGTACTCATCCGTCCCGTACCGCAGGTATTAATTTGTTCATTTCTGATATGACTTGAGCCGATAAGCTCGGAAAGCAACCGATGCCCGAGGAGCTACAAAGGCAGGGCGTTGTCCTCCTTCTCCTGACCTGTCCTTTCGTGCTGTGCCCTGCCAATTGACTCCCCGCCCTCCTCAATTCTCAATAGCTTGAAGCAGTGATGGGGTATCTGGAGAGCAAAAAAGAAAACATCGTCGAGACCACGACTGAGGTCGAGATCGATAACAGCGGTTTGAAGGTTGACGGTCTTGTCGATGAGAACAACATCCCTATCCCCGTGAAGGAGAATGTCTTTGACGATGACCCAAACTACAAGCCCAGCAGATTCCTGCGTTTCATGGGCGTGTTTTGGGATGCGTTCACTTTGCCTCCTAAGGAGCGGAAATATATCCTCAAGATCGATCTGTTTGTGCTCAGTTACGCGCTGTTCTCGTACGGCTTGAAGTCCATCGACGTGAACAACATCTCGAACGCCTACGTCAGTGGTATGAAGGAAGATGTAAGTGCCCTCACTCTTGTGTTTTGTAAGATCCAATTCTGACGTTCACCAGCTCAATCTCTACGGACAAGAGCGTAACCTCTTCACCACCTTCTTCAACGTCGGCTACCTTGTCGGCTCCACTCCCTCCCAGCTCATCATCAACCGTGTTCGTCCTTCGATTTGGATTCCTAGCTGTGAGATTGTCTGGTCATGCGTCGTCATGTGCATTGCTGCCGCGCAAAACGCAAAGGCAATCTACGGTCTTCGTTTCTTACTCGGTCTCTTTGAATCTTGCTCCTACCCCGGCTTTGCGTACATCCTCGGATGCTGGTATGGTCCCGAGGAACTTGCTAAGCGAATGGGTGTCTACGATTTGGCTGGTTACGCCGCGAACATGTTTGCTGGATACATCCAGGCTGGTATTTTGACGAACCTGGATGGCGCTGGTGGATTGGCTGGTTGGAGATGGATGTTTATCATTGACGGCCTGATGGGTTTCCCAATTGCCTTCTGGGGATACTACTCCGTTCCTGATTTCCCGAACAACACCCGTGCGCGCTGGCTGTCTGAGCATGATAAGGAGGTGGGCATAATGAGAATGAACGCGCTCGGCAAACAGTCGCCAAAGAAACTGACGCCGACGCGGTTCTTCAACATGTTTTTCCGCTCGTGGCGACCGTGGCCGTTCATGGTTTCCTACGTGTTGCTGTGGATCACTGGCACGACGTCGTACTTCAACCTGTGGCTCAAGTCGACCGGTCTGTACACTACCGAGCAGATAAACATCATTCCTACCGGTGGATACGCACTTGGTATCGTTACCGGCTTCTGGTTTGCCAACTTGTCTGACCGGACGCATATGCGATTCCCATGGTTGGTTTTGGCCACTGCCATCCGATTCACTGGATCAGTCATTCTCTCGGTCTGGAACGTCGGTATCGGCGGTATCTACTTTGGCAACCTGTGCGGATACATGTCCGAGCCTACATGGTCGCTGCTGCTTGCCTGGGCTGCCGAGGAGTTTCAGGATGACGCCGAACTTCGTGGTCTTCTTGCAGCTGTCGGAAACACCATCGGCGCCTCCTTCAGTATGTGGACTCCGCTCGTACTCTTCCCCACGCCCAAAGCACCCCACTACCCGATCGGCTACAAAGTCCTCTGTGGTCTCAACGTGCTCGACTTCTCCGCCTTGTGCGCGTTCTGGTACCTCTCCCGCCGTGAGCACAAGCAGAAAGGTTTGGTTAAGAACTCGTACGGTCTCTGGGTTGCGCGTGACGAGTACCTTGCGCACTTGGAGGAGATGGAGAAGAAAGGAAAGTTGCTTGACAAGACGCTGTCGCGGCTTTCGTCTGCTTCGGGACCGAGCGGTGACGCTGTTCCTGAGTACAACGAGAAGAGAGAGTACGACGAGACACGTGCTAGTGTGGAGGCGAAGAATGTTGTAGATACCGATGCTGATGGAATTACTTCGATTCCAAAGTAGTGGAATGATTTCTTTGTCTACTTTTTGTTGCTTGAGTTTTTGTTGCTGAATTATTATACATACGATTGAGTCCTGTTTATGAAATGCATTTTCACTTCTGTTAACCTATATGAAAAAGCAAGCAGTGTACGCTTCTACAGTCCCATATTCTTAATTCCAATAGCTCTCCACTTAGGCCCAAACTTATACATCAAAAACGGAAGCGGCAAAAGTCCCAAGGAGATGAATCCGAGAAGACTACTTGCCCACGAAATTCCGAGATTCTCATACACTATAGATATTGTTAGACGTCAAGTACTGTAGAGATATTGGTTGTGTTGTTTGGGCTTGCTTACTGGTCTTTGCAAAAAGAGGGAAAGTGCAGGCTATGGTGTAGCGCAGAAGGTTGTTGGCTGCTAGGGCTGATGCACCCAGAAGAGGGCCGTAGCAGTCGACAAGGTAGGTTGTGATTGATATCTGGAAAGGTTAGTAAAAAAAATACACTATAGAAGCATGATCAATACGTACAAAAAGTAGCGTCAATGCAGCTCCGAATGGGACCGTTCCCAAGGCAGGTACGATCCAGTGCACGTCAGACCTCGCGGACCATCCCACCCAAAAAAGTGCGCTGGGCAATAACACTGCGCCAACAAACGCGCTATACAGTCTCCATTCTGCTGCTGGCTTTTCTTCTAGCTCCAATGCTTTTAGTGCTCTTGGGAAGTAGAAGAGGCGCTCGAGGATGTAGTGGATCAGCACTGAGAGGAAAAATCCGGTGCAGATGCCGATGAAGACCAGGCCAGATTCGGGGACCGTGAAGCCGTACGTTTTGATGAAAATGTAGGGAATTGCTTCAAAAAAACCCATCAAGACTGCAAATACAAAAGCCGAGTAAATGCTTAATGACGCGACAATGGGATCGCAAACTAGCATTCTCAATGGACGGGTCAGAGTAATCGTCGCGACCATCTTCAGCGCAACGCCAATCGGAAGTTTTGCAGGGAGTTCCTGTCCACGTTTAAGAGCACGTTTCTTGAGTATAATTGGCATGTATGACTCTTTGATGAACAGCAGCATGATCAAGGTCACACCGCTTACCATCAAACTGAGCCAAATTGTCCATTTCCAGTTGCGGGCGTGGGCCATGTATCCGCCAACGACAGCGCCGATAGCCGAGCCTATGAACGGGCCTGTAGCGCAAAAATACGCAAGCGCAATGCCCTGATCAAGAGGCTTGAATATGTCAGCAATTGTACCCGCACTAACGGCTAGGACGGGGGATCCCAATAGAGCGCAGAGAAAACGACAGATCAAGTGCCCGGCAAAGGTTGGACTGAGAGCAGACCCGACGGCCATGCACATGCTGAGCGGCAGGGTGGCTAGGTAGACTATCTTTCGTCCGTATATTTCAGAAATGGGGGCGCCCAGTGTAGGTCCGAGAGCAAGGCCGACTATGTAGAGAGAGACTGAAAGGTAAGACGCAGTCTCAGAAACGCTGTACGACTGCTGTATTTCTCTTATTCCGCCGGTGACGACCGCGGTTCCTAAAGTTCTAGACAGCCGCGTTAGTATTTTGTCATTGAGGTATATGAGCTGCGGCTTACATGGCTAGACAGAGAAATCCGGTGGTATTGAGAAGATAGAGCTTCTTCCAGATTGACCAGTTATGAGGATCCTCTGGGTCGTTGGGACCGTCCCAGCGGAGAGGTTGGGGAATGGTACTGCAGTCATCTTCCTTCTTCTCTTTTTCCAGATCGGAAGTTGAGCGAACAGATTCTTTGTTGTCTAAAGTTTCAGACAATGGTTGATTGTTGAGGTTATGTTCGAGTTGGGCTGACTCTGCCGAAGTTGAGGAAATAGTGGAGGGGCACATGATGATTCTTGATAGGCTTTTGCTGTCGATTTCTAACGGCGATATCAGCTCCTCTTTAAGCACGTACAGATTACTACATCTTGCAGTTCAAAGTCTCTATCAGGATGTCAGAATCTCTAGATACTTTTGATGAGCCCTCTAAATGCTCGATTATGCTGACCAGAGAGCGGATCAGAGAGCGAATAATATGTGATTATGCACTTAGACGTATAAGTGTATATTCCCATGTGTCAAAGAGCAGACGTCATAGATTTTCCTGTATAATATCCTCTTTGAGAGGCACAAAAGCAAGAGTCAAATTGATGCTGCGTCATCTGTCGTAGTGTGTATTATGGTGGTGAGCTTGCTCTGAATCTCTTGAAGAGTAGGTGGCGCTGAGATACGGCGATAGACATGTTGAGATCTAGAAGACTTGTCATTTTCTAGCCTGACTGCTCAGAGATCCCATAAATACTCTCTGGTATCCTTCCTCTGTATTATACCGAAATAGGTTTTGATCGCCAGTAGATATCTGTTGACAATTGGGGAGCAGTGTTGTGCGGCTGAAGAGATTTGAAGATACTTCCGTTTTCGGCAATTTCTCATTGAAGCCCTAGTAGTTCTGATAACCGCAAAAAATATTTTGTAACTTGCAAGTCATGACCAAAGTATGCTTCAGATTTCTGCTGAATTTTACTGTTGTTGTCGTGGTAGTTTTGCGATGGCGACAGAGAGGCTAGTACCACACAACAGCTATACAGCAAATCACCACGAACAGACAATGAACCAAATACGAACAAATGTGATACTAGTTATCACTCGATATTTCGCACTTGCCACAGTTTGCATTTGTTGAATTGAAACAGTTACATTCTTGCGAATATCGTTGGAATCAGCAAATAAGTGCAATGTCACATTCGCGGTCAGAGTGCTTGGGCTGCTCTGTGTTTGTTTACTTTTTGCTGTTTTGGGATACAAACAAATAAAATCCTTCCGATGGGATAGCAGATGTTTGAGGGGTAAGCAGATGCAGTCAATAAAGTACACAGAAGATTTTCATCTTAAAGTCTTGCGACAATCTTTTAAGACACAAGAGTAAAGTCGTGTTCGTAGGAGGCGGGCATAAATTTGCTCAGGTGCCGAGCAGAGAGCCGACGGAAGCCAGCCGGTGATTCGACCAAAGTGCCCGTGAGCTATGGGGAGCCACCAAAACTCTACTGCGCTAATGGTGAGTCTCGAGGAGATGATTGCTATCTTGACAGATTCAGTTGCACTGCCCCGTTCGCTGATAACGCAATTCTTGGCTGGCCAGCGTGGGAGAGAGAGCGGTCGGATAAGACGAGGTCTGGTTGTGCTGTTTGTTGGCGACGGGCTCGTTTGGAGAGGAGATTTGAGCCTAATTACGAAATTTTAAAAATTACACCATTTTGGCAGATATAAACTTCATAACAGACAGCTGTGCAGACTGAGCAGAGAGGATGTCATGCAGATGAATCTGAGGACAGCCTGCGCGGTCTCCAGTCTTGTGCCTTTGGAGAATTGTCTGCAGTCTACAGCACACACGTCACAATCCTGAGAGATGAAGAAAGCTTGGATGTGCTATCAGCGAACAGCCGTGCAAGAACACAATGAGGGAATTGCACAACAAACTCATTATGATATCAGACAAGACGCAATACCAAGACTTTAAAGGTGCAAAAGCGAATGAAGCTCTCGGAGCGGTGCTCGAAGCTTTCGTGAAGCCGCGATGTTTTTGTTGTTGTGCAGGAGGTCGCAATAATCTGCACAGCCCCGCTGTCCCTGTTAAGGGTCGAAGACACTCTGCGATAGCGACCGCGGGTGTGGTTTGGAGAGGTTTTGTCGGGATAAGAGGACGTAAAGACAGAGGAATGTCGAGAAGAAGTAACTGTGTATCTGTAGAGAACGAGCAGCTTCTATCCTCCCTTTTGCTGCTTCGACTGGGTGCAGACCAGCACTGGGCAAGGGGAGGTTAGGCTCGGCTCCGGCGCTGATCGATGCTTCAAGCGGTCCTCGCCCAACAACTGATATTCGGCCGTCTCCTCGACGCTCCTCCTACAAATCACCGTCCGGCGCCACCTCGCTCGTCGTCGCTCTTCCTCTCCGTAAGCAGGATCAAGCCCAGACCAGCACTCGTCGTCCCGTAAAACCTGTCCGTCTTCCGGTCTGATCATCGCCTCGTGCCTCGCTGCGCCTTCCTCAACTCGGGCCTCGCCATTGACCTTCTAAGCACACTGGCTGTCTCGTGCTTCTCCCGCTCGCCATAGCCGACTCTCCTCCAGCACTGCCCCTTCGGATTCGCCCCCCGGTCTTCTTGTACGGCTGCTGTACGGTAGCGCTACATAAGCGTCTGTTTCTGGCTCGGTAACCCGTTCCTGCGCTCTCATCATCTTCTATCACAATGCCGCGACCGACACCCCCCACTATCAGGATAGACACTTCGGTGAGTTGCCTGTCTTCTCTATTGAGGCCCATATTTGCTACTGTGCTAATCTCTGATTTTTCCAGGTGTCAAATATATCCCCGCAATCATCTCCTACTCTCGTCAAATCCGAGCAGACACATCTCAACCCAGAGTCACCCTCCACAAAGCGGCGGCAGTCTTCCGCCTCAAACACGCCTTCCGACTTCACAAACACCTCCTCCCAGCCCACCCTCTCTCCTACGCAAGTTCTGAAGCAGGCCTACGAAGAGGAGCAGCCGGGTTTACTAGACGGTACTCACTTCAAAGTTTCGCCTAAGCAATTGGGTCTGCTCAACCACCACGAGCAGCAGGCGCTCAATATCCTCTACGAGCTCGGCGGCCTCGAGGGCTTACAAGAGAAGCTACAATGCGACATCGAGACCGGTCTCCCAGCAGACTCTGATTTTTCTCAGCGTGAGCGTGTGTTTGAGAAAAATGTGCTTCCCGACAAGAAGACAAAGCCGTTCTGGAAACTCGTCCTCATTGCTTTGTCCGACAAGATGCTGATCCTGCTTTCGGTCGCTGCCGTTATCTCTTTCGCCCTCGGACTCTACCAGACCCTTGGTACTCCTCCCGAATACGACAGTCTAGGCAATAAGGAGCCTAAGGTGGACTGGATCGAGGGAGTAGCTATCTTGGTTGCCGTGGTGGTCGTCGTCAGTGTTGGCGCCCTGAACGATTGGCAGAAAGAGCAACAGTTTGCAAAGCTGAACAAGCGAAAAGATGACCGTGAAGTCAAAGTTATCAGATCTGGAAAGACCTGCTCGATCTCGATCCACGATGTTCTCGCTGGAGACGTCATGCTAATCGAGCCAGGTGACATGGTTCCCGTCGATGGTGTCTACATCCAAGGTCATGGTCTCCGATGCGACGAATCCGCCGCCACCGGTGAGACCGACGCGCTCAAGAAAATCCCATGTGCCGAAGCTATGGCGGTTGTCGAGAAAGCTGGAGGTTCGTCTCCTACTGAGAAAGTCGACCCCTTCATTCTCTCTGGATCCAAGGTCCTCGAAGGATTCGGTACCTTCCTTGTCGTTGCCGTGGGTCCCCATTCGGCGAACGGAAAGACAATGATGGACTTGCGATCAGACGACACCGAGGAAGCCACGCCTCTGCAAGGAAAGCTCAACGTCATCGCTGAGACAATCGCAAAGTGGGGTGGTGGTGCCTCCGTTCTCCTGTTTTTCGTCCTGCTCTTTCGATTTCTCGGTGAGCTGCCCACCAACCACAAGACGTCCACTCAGAAAGGTGAACAGTTCTTAAACTATCTGATTACTTCAGTCACTCTTATCGCTGTCGCCGTGCCCGAAGGTCTTCCGCTCGCAGTCACGCTTGCTCTCGCGTTTGCCACTAAGCGAATGCTGAAGGACAACAATCTTGTTCGTGTGCTCAAATCTTGTGAGACCATGGGCAACGCTACGACTATTTGCTCTGATAAGACTGGTACTTTGACCCAGAACAAGATGACTGTCGTCGAGGGAACTATCGGGTTGGACACCAATTTCTCTGCGAAAGCAGAGGCCGAGACTGTCGAGTCAGAAAAGGAATTACCTGTCTCGACAGTCACCGTACCTATCAATGATGTCCAGAATAGGATCAACCCGGTGGTAAAGAAGATTCTTTTGCAAAGCATTTACTACAACACTACAGCTTTCGAAGACGAGACTTCGGCCGAAGTTTTCGTTGGATCAAAGACAGAGTCTGCGCTTCTCAATTTTGCCCGCAACCACCTTGCTATGGGTCCACTCGCCTCTGAGCGCTCAGACATGAAGATGGCCCAGCTGTTTCCTTTCGACTCCGGCAAGAAGTGCATGGGTGTTGCTGTTGAGCTTCCCGATCCTGCGAATCCTGGTCAGACGTTCGTTCGCGCCTTTGTTAAGGGTGCGTCTGAGATTGTGCTCGCACAGGCGACCTCGGCCGTCTTTGCGCATGCCGAAAAGCGGCCGGAAGCAATTGTCATGACCGATTCTGACGGTGTTTTGTACACCGAGATGGATGCCGACAACAAGCAATATGTCGAGAATCTCATCAACTCCTACGCCGAAAAGTCTCTGAGAACTATCGGACTTGTGTACCGTGATTTCCCGAGCTGGCCTCCCGCAGGATTTGAGCTCAGCGAGGATGATCCCAAACAGATTAAAGATTTCGGAGATCTGACCTGTGATATGCGATGGGTTGGTCTTGTTGGAATCATGGATCCCTTGCGCGACGGTGTTGTCGAGGCTGTCAGAGACTGTCAGCGCGCTGGTGTCGTTGTGCGCATGGTTACCGGTGACAACATTGTGACTGCGAAGGCCATTGCCACAGACTGCGGAATCTACACCGGTGGTGTCGCCCTGCAGGGTCCTGAGTTCCGCAACATGGATCCCAAGGAACGCGATCTTATGATTCCGAAGCTGCAGGTTCTTGCTCGCTCGAGTCCTCAGGATAAGCGGCTGTTGGTCCAGCGTCTGAAGAAGATGGGACAAACCGTTGCTGTGACTGGTGATGGAACCAACGATGCTCCTGCCTTGACGATGGCCGATGTTGGTTTCTCTATGGGTATTGCTGGTACGGAGGTTGCTAAGGAAGCCTCTGATATTATTCTTATGGACGACAACTTTACTAGTATTGTGAAGGCTCTTCTTTGGGGACGTGCTGTTAATGATGCTGTGAAGAAATTTCTTCAGGTGTGTTACCAAAATTCTCTTGATTCCTATTTTCTCAGAACGTCTACTAATTTTTTTCTCACATATAGTTCCAAGTCACGGTCAACATCACTGCTGTGCTTCTCACCTTTGTCTCTGCTGTTGAGTCTTCTGAGGGAACATCAGTCATGACTGCTGTCCAATTGTTGTGGGTCAACCTGATTATGGACACGTTTGCCGCGCTGGCACTTGCGACCGATCCTCCTACGCGTTCTATGCTCGATCGTCCTCCTTCGCCCAAGAACGAAGGAATGATCACAGTGACCATGTGGAAGATGATGATCGGACAGGCCATTTTCCAGACCGCGGCCACCTTTATCCTTCATTTCGCCGGAAATAAGATCTGGGGAATCCAGGACGGAGACTCTGTGGCGACTGAGCGTATGTCTTCGGTCGTGTTCAACACTTTTGTGTGGATGCAGTTCTTCAATATGTTTGTCAACCGCCGGCTTGACAACAAGCTCAACTTTTTGGAAGGAATTTCGCACAACTACTTCTTCATGGCTATTGCAGCGATCATGTGTGGCGGACAGGTCATTATCATGTTTGTTGGTGGAAACGCGTTCTCGATAAAGCGTATCACTGGCGTTGATTGGGCTGTCTCTCTTGTCATTGGTTTTCTCTCGATTCCCGTCGGTCTTTTCTTGCGTATATGCGTTCCCGATAGTTTTGCGTACGCGGTCTACAAGCCATTTGGTGTTGTTTTCCGTTTCATCTGGGGCTGGATCGTCAAGTGCGTTCTGTTCCTCTGGCCTTTCAAGCGGAAAGGAAAGAAGGACGAGGAGAGCGACGACTACGAGCTCCGATCGCCTGGCGGATCAAGCCTTCATGACAACTACGAGTGGAATCCCGCCATCGAGAAAGTTCGCGAAGACCTCATCTTCATCAAGACGATTCGCGGAGGTCGTGCGAACGAGCTCAAATTCAAGCCAAAGAAGATGTACAAGCAGTGGAAGGCCGCGCGCACGTCGGTGTCCGGCAATGCTACTCCCGAACATCCGGGGTCTCCTGGTGTACCCGATATGAGAAGACGGTCCGGCAGTTCGCTGGTTGCTCTGGCGATGGTGCCGTCTATTGTCGGTGGTGCCGTAGCTGGCTGGAGTCCGGTCGAGAAACCTGCTGACGCGCAGCAAGGCTTCGGCACGGGTCCGGACGGACTTTTGTCGCCCACGAGCGCTGCTGCGCACGGTCGCAAGATCTCGTTTTCTGATAGCTCTTCTACTTCAGGAAACTCAGCGGTGTGAACGGAGATGTCGAAAAAGATAAATTCTCTGATGCACGTTCTTTTTTGCATATCTTCATTACTTGAACTCGTTTTTTTGATCTACATCCGTTTTCTCTTGTTCTGGTTTCTTATATATAGTAAACAAAGGCGTTATTGTTTTGTTTCTGTTTTGTATAATAAAGGATACAATCACTATACTCGAGACGGAGTGGATTCGTAGAGCTCGAATGACGTAGGGAAGTTAGAGTTTTGAGCCGGGACGAAATCAGGAGAGAATTGGGAGAATCAAGAAAAATGACCTGATTTCTGGTTTAACCGCCGTTTGCTGGTTTTATCGCAAACTGCCGAAGCTACTTGGTCTGAGATCTCGTGGCTTTGGGCTCAGCATCCAGGCCTGACTGAGAATATGCTCGAGTGTTGACTTTCTACGTGTACTCGTAGACCAGATCGTCAGTGAATTCGAGATGAAGTCTTCGACTTGTTCTGTGGTGCGCTGCGATGAGTGTGCGGCTGGATCTGATGCTGGGTTGGGCGGCGCGGGAGAGGTGGAGGATCCGGTTTTGAGAGCGCTGTATTCTATTTACGAGGCTGATGCGTATCGCAGGCTGGATTTGAGTGCGAAAGAGGGTATGCTGAAGTCTGGGGAATTGAGTGATGTTGGTACTTTGCTGACCGCTGTCGTTGTCGTTTAGAAATCGCACATCGATTGTGTTTGGTTGTTCCCGAATTACTCGATGTGGAATCGAAACCACAGTATACTCTCGACTCGCAACCAAAAGACCCCTGCTCCGTTCTGCCTTTCGAAGTCATTCTGCAGATTTTTGGATATCTCCGCTACGAGGATATCTGCGGTGCCTATCGCGTCTGCCGGCGATGGCGGCACATCGCGCAGGATCCGGCCGTCTGGCTTGGGTTGTATCGCGCGCAGGGATGGTCTTTGAATGAAGAGTTTGTGGGGTTGTTGAATAGGTATTTGAGGAGGAGGGCAGGTGTGGAGGAATTTGCGTATGAGGAGGTTACGGGTGCAGACGGTGAGATGTCGAAAGATGAAGCGCTGGAGCAACAGGTTGGGGATATAGGTTATCCGATTATCCTCTCCTCGAGTTCTTCTACTATCAACCAGACCACTTCAATTAGTGATCCCTATATTTCAAGCAATTCTCCGTCCCCTGAAAGTCAAGATACATCCGAACCCCGACGATATTATATCAATTGGCGATACATCTACGAGCAACGTGCCATGATCGAAGACTACTGGGAAGGAGGCTTCGGCTGGGTCACATCGTACCTCTCGAGCTCCAACGCGGAACTCACAGAGAATGCCGATGCTCAGAATGCGAATTTCTATTGGGCTCGGCCACCTCAGTCGTGGTGGTACAATAACCCGCAGAGCGCGAGTCTGGCTGCTGTGCCGTTTCAACAGAGTCGGCATGGATGGCAGGCACGGGTGTTCTACGCGGATGGTCGAGCTTCAGATCATGAAGTGCCTATAGCGCCCTCCGATGCTCTGGTGGAGGATAATCAAGCCAGCTCGCGGTCTGCGTTCATATACAAGCTGCAGTATGACAAAAACCTAATCGTGTCGGCATCCAAAGACCGGACCGTGAAGATCTGGAATCTGCACAGCGGTGTTCTCATTGCGACCCTGAGAGGGCATACCCGGAGCGTGCTATGTGTCCAATTTGATGCGAGGAAAAATATTATCGTCTCGGGGGCGATGGACGGGCAGATCATTATCTGGGACATGAGAACCCTTCGCGCTGTCGATCGTATCGAGGCTAACGACGGCGGCGTCATGGACCTCGCATTCGACGACCGCTACATTTACTCTGCGGGGCGAGACGCAAAAGTGCACATATACAGTTTCCAAGAGCCCCGCGTGCTTGTGCGCACGCTCGAAGGACACACGGGGGTCATAAACTGCATGTGCGTGAAAGACAACACGATCGTGACCGGCTCGGCTGATCACACGGTCAAGGTCTGGGACGTCGATACCGGGCGATGTGTGCACACTGTGCGGGGCCATTCGCGCGGGGTGGCCTCGATTGACTTTGACGGACGGCTGGTTGCGTCCGGCGGATCTAGTCGGAGCGTTCATATATATGACATTGTGACTGGCAAATCTGAGACGTTGCCGAACGTGCATGACGATATTGTTCGGACGCTGCAGTTCAGCTCGGATTCGTCGCGGCTGATAACGGGATCGCACGACGGCAAGATCAAGATCTGGAAACGGGCAGATGATAACTGCAAGCGCGGGGGCAGTCGATGGATGTTGCGGATGAGTTTCATGATACCGGAGAGTATCGGGTCTTTGAATATCTTTCATTTGCGGTTCGATCATCGACGGATAGTTGCGTCGGCAGGGTTGAATACGATTATTTGCATTGGTTTGGCAAAGGGAGTACGGGGGATGGAGCAATTGGATGGGTTTTTCTCGGCGAGTTGATCTCCTTTGTTCCGATAGCTGGTTTTTTTTTTTTTTTTTCTGGTCACGTTTTGCATTGTTGGTGTGTATTGTACAAAATGATAATCTCTCATCAGGTGGTAAACTTGGTCTTAAACGGCCTCTTCGGCTTTGCAAACTTCTCATCTTTCTGCCTCCGCGTAAGCCTCGGCGCTTTCCCTGTCCGACTCCAATCATAAAACTTCCAATTCCTCAACTTCCCATCCTTAAACCCCTTCGCGCTTTCCGCGCGTTCGGCGCGTTTCTCGGCCTGCGCTTTCAGCAGCGCTCGTCGCTTTTTGCTAGGCTTCGCTTTCGCTTTTGAAATCAGCCGCGGCGGGTTGAGAGGTAGGTGGATCACGCGCCAGGGCTTGTTCATTCCCGGCCAGGGCTGGGTTGATTGGGTGAGGATGTCTTGGCCGCTTATTGCGCAGGATTCGATTTGGCGTTTTCGGGTTTCGTCGCTAAGAGTTGTTAGAGAGCTAAGATAAAGCGGGTGATATGAGAGGGGGGATGGCATACGAGTCATCGGTGAAATAATAAGATGCAGGCCGCTTGTTATCCACAACAGCCGGAGCTTGCGGTATATCCTCAAGGCCGGTCGCTAAGATACTAGTCTGCGGTTCAGGTTCGTCGATCTTGACGACCGACGTCGCTGTCGAAAACAGACTAAATTCAAACTCGTCTGCAAGATCAATGTTAGAGCACTGCTGATATATGTATTTAGATAGTAGCAGTACTGACCATTCTCGACGTCCATCTCGTCGTCTGCGGGTGTCGACTGCGGTTTTTCCACAAATTCGAGTTGGATGGGTGGAAGGGTATCCGCTAAGCTATCGTCCTTCTCATCGCCTTGCGCGTGGGTTTCTTCCTGTTCCGCTTTTCCTGCTTTCTTTCGGCTCTTGCTTTTTTTCTTTTTGTCGTCAGAGTGTGTTGAAGTTGAGTCATGTTGGTTGTCGGGTGTTGGACTTTGGATTGTACTCTGGTTAGCTCCATTGCTGTATTCTGTCTCTTGGAAAATACACGTACCCTGCTGTGCTTTGTATTGACAAGTCAACCGCCTTCTTTTCTTTGTCTGATTTCGCCATATTTTCGTCGAAATATGATGTATAGACAGATTCAGGAGACCTATTCGAATAATATCAGGAAAAAAGATTGTCTAAAGTCCAGTGCGGCTCGCTCATCGTCAGATTGCTCCCAATTCGAAATCTCATAACCTCGAAATAAATATTTTCCTACCTGTCTGTTTCGCATCCCCAAGGGCGACGGGAGATGCTGTGAAGCACATTACACACAGAAGCGGACACAAATGACATGACGAGCATGACAACGCCCGGATCTGAAGACAACATGGGAGGCTTCAGCAGTACGCTCGCGCAGCAAGCGCGCAAGTCTAATCTGATCTCCGTCATTGGCACTACTGGCGTCGGGAAATCAAAGGTGTGCTTTAGCTCTTTTTACAATGCTTATTCCGACCAACTGACTGACTGACTGACTACGCAATAGCTAAGTGTGTCTTTGGCGCTGAAGCTGAACGGCGAGATTATCAACGGCGACTCGATGCAGATGTACAAAGGTCTCGACACAATGACAAACAAGCATCCGCTCGAGGAGCGATTCGGGGTCGAGCACCATCTTCTAGGGCACATCGATGACCTGACTGCGCAGTATACTGTGAAGCAGTTTGAAACCGAGGCCGAGGCCGTGGTAGACAAGATCGAGAGGGAGAGAAGGAAACTGCCAATTCTGGTGGGCGGAACGCATTATTATATCCAAAGTTTTCTGTTTACGAATAAGACAGTCGCCCCCGAGCGAGAGCTGACCAGCCAAGAGGCAGAGTTTTTGGAAACCGCAGAGACAAAGGAGATTTTTGAAAAACTAAAAGAGCTGGATCCAGTCGTGTCGCAAAAGTTTCATCCGCGAGATCGTCGGAAATTGGCGACGGCGCTAAAGGTGTGCTTTACGACCAGCCGCCGGGCAAGCGATATATACAAAGAGCAGAGTGCGCCTACGACAGTCAATCAGTCGCTTACGAGGTACAGGAATCTTGTGTTTTGGCTGTGGTGTGAGCCTGATACTCTTGACACCAGGTTAGACGCCCGCGTGGACACGATGCTCGAACGGGGAAATCTCCTTGGCGAAGTCAAGCAGATGAGCGATCTCTACCGGACGCTTGATCCTCCGCCTAGTATGGAGACCGGCGTTTGGCAGGTTATTGGATTTAAGGAGTTTCTTCCTTTCGTCTCGAGCCAGGCAGAGGACGACAAGGTGAATGGTCTCGAGGACATGAAGCGCGTGACGAGGAAGTATGCAGACAAACAGGTTCGATGGATTCGAAAGAGAATGCTTGCACCTGCCGCAGAGGCAGGGGATGATGCTACGATTGTGGTGTTAGATGCTACAGATCTTTCGAAATGGAAAGAGAACGTCGAGGACAAAGCCGTCGAAATTTCGCGCGCGTTTCTCAACGGCGAAAGTATCCCGCAGAGCGCACGGGCACCAGCCCATCTCTCTCATCTCTTACAGCTGGAAGACACCACGCAGCCCGGAAAAGGAAAGTGGGAGCCCGAGAAATGGAAGCATTACGAGTGCGATTTGTGTGTCGTCGACGGCGAGAAATTCGTCTGTCTGGGCGAGGAGCAGTGGAAAACTCACCTGAGGCAAAAGCGGCATGTGAAGCGGGTGAAGAGGATTAAAGAGCAAGAGGCGTTTGAGAGGTGGAAGGCTAAAAAGGCTGCTGAGGCTCAGACAACGGAAGAGTATAAGCAGGATCCATGAGAGGTAAATTACACAGGAATGCATTGTATATATAATAGAGCAAAACAAGACCATAAACTCCAAAAAAATTACATAAGAAAAACTCCAACTACCCCTACCGAGCTTCTGATTTCTTTGTCTTCCTTCTTTTGAGCGGCGGAGGAGCAGGCGTAGACTTCTCGCCAGCAGAAACACTACTTCCCCTGCCCTTCCCCGAGCTCTGCGACGCAATCATTACAGGCTCCTTCAGTTTCTGCGGAGCATCCAGATACACGCTCTCGCCCCCGCTTTCGAACTGGAACGCTGTCGTCAGTGCGCGAGCCATCATCTGATCCTGCAGCCTCAGCTTTGCGGACTCGTCGTCCTCGAGCGTGGTCGCGGAGTAGGAGTATCCTGTTGTCGGGGAGAAATTAGGCAGCTTGTCTGCCGCGATAGCGAGCGCCTCTGTCAGCTCCTTCGAGCAGGCCATGATCCTGCTCGAGACGACAGAGTACACTGTCGGCGCCATGTATATGTTCTCCTCAATCACAAAGTAAGTCGCGAGCGGGATCGCCTCGGTCTGCGAGATGCGGTTCTGCTTGCGAATGACCCAGAGCGCGGTGCCCGGGTTTGGGATCGCGATGGCGAATTCGATGCCGCGCATGGACTCGAGCAGCTTGTGCACGTCCTGCGGTTGCATCATCGGAGAACTGAACTGCGACTGCATCTTTAGCACTTGGTTGTTGCTTGAGCGGTCGTAGAACGGGGACTGCGCAAAGTATTCGAGAACTTTTTGATGAGATCAGCGTTTGTGCCATGCAGCTTCATGTGGTTTAATAGCCGATGTTCTCACCATTATCTGTCCGGAGACCCCATTGCGCTATCCACTCCGGGGCCCGCCATTGGAGCTCATCCAAGGGTGGCTCTGCTGCCGACATTGTGAATCCGTGATGCGCCTGATGGTGTCGAGTCTGATCGACTTTGTGAATATCAATGAAGGTAGAAGTGAGAACCCCAACCCCAGATCCACCCTCGAGTTCACTGTTTACACCTTTCCTTGAGCGGAGACTCGAGGTTTTAAAAACCAACGACTTTTGAACCCGTAGACGAGCCAAATACCATTATCAATCATCGTAAAATAAGACTATTATAGCACTTTATAGACTTCCAAAACATCATATATATCTATACCCCAGTTTTTAATCAAAATAAAGAAAGAAGCACTGCTTTCCATTCGGGACGAGCCAATCTCAGCCCCCATACATATCGACGACACCTTGTCCTCGTTCGTTATTGTTACAGCTTCAAAAATATACTGGCAGAGCACAACGGAAACGGTCAAATAAAAGAAGAAGAAAACCAAGCAGACATTTGTGAAGCAATATACAGTAATAATAATAAGAACTTCAAACACATATAAATTAGCTGCGCTAGGCCAAAATGCAGCATCGTACAACACCCATTGTCATTAGTTTCTCAATCGGTTACTCGCAAGTGGAAAGCCACTCGGTCGACCACTGAAAAACCGGCATCAAGAATCAGCGAGCAAGCTAATCTTTCGTTGATACAAATTGACAATAGAGAAGAAGAAAATTCAGGTTGATACCCATACAGCATAACCAAGAGAATAAAAAAGCTCTTAAATGATCGATAACAAAAGAAAAAATGAACGCAAACCTTATCTCCCTATACTACATCTGTAAACAAAAAATAAACCTCAAACAGATATTAAAACACATTATTAGTAATTACAAAACATATGATTAGAGAAAATTGGTGAAAAGATTGTTCGTCAAGCAAGTTCTGGATCATAGGCAGTCATAATCGATAACTGTCTTTGCGGCGCGAGCCCTCAACTCTCTTTCCGTCGCTTTCGGCTCGTCGACAGAGGCGATAAAGGCGGACTTTCGATCCGTTCCTCTTTTTCGAGCGGATTGAGTAGAGAGTGCACGCCCACTGCGACCGACTGGCGCAGTGGAGGCGGCGGCAAGTTCGCCTGCTGCTGTGGTTGTTGCGGGGGCGCGGTCTGTAGTTGAGGTTGAGGTTGGGGCTGTACCGAAGGCTGTGGGATCTGTTGGGATGGCTTGACTGACTGCTCTTGTGGCTGTTGTTGTTGTTGCTGCGGAGGTGGGGGAGGAGGAGGTGGTGGTGGAGGTGGGTGGTGCGAGTGAGGTTGCGTATGCGGCGCTCCCATCTGTAAATTCTGCTGAGCTGCCGCTTGTTGATCTTGATGCTGTTGCTGTGGATGCGGCACAGTCGTAGTCGGTGGTGGAGGTGGAGGAGGTGGTGGCGGCGGTGGAGGCGGCGGAACGCTTGTCGGACCAGAGTTCTTTGGTGCCGACGTGGGCGACATCTTTGGCGACACCGGCCGTAATCTATACTGTTGATTCACGCTCACAAACTGACCAGGGTTTATGCTGTCTTTCCGTCCGGACTGATGTAAAGGAGACAGCGACGCAGGAGACGGGGTGTGAGGTGATCCTTGCTGCTGCTGTGACCCGAACCCGTACATCGACACATCGCTTCCGTAGCTCGATCGGTAGTGAAGCTGAGCCTCACCGCTACTATCAGTCAGTGAAGAAACATCGCTCCAGCTCCTACTCGGCAGATCCGACCGACCGTCGCCAGACGTGTGCCGCCGCAGAACAGGCTGTTCCACTATCCTTGTCGAGTGCGACGGCGAAGGGTATGAGCCAGGCCGATGACGGAGATGGGAAGCATTTAATGGATGCGACGGGTATCCAGCCATCAACGGAGGAGGTGGTGGATGGGGATATTGTTGCTGTTGAGCTATGTAGTGCGGCTGCTGGGGCGGAGCGGATGTGACGTTATGCAGCGGGTGATGCATCGACTGAGGGGTATAATCCACCGAACCGCCGTACGGATGAGGATAGCTGACCGACGACCGAGAAGCTCTGTCTTCAGAATACTGACGGGGCGAAAGAGGCGCACCACTTGAATCTGATCTGAGATAGTACGTTGGGGCGACGTGGTCTTCAGCCAGAAGCTGACCTCTGCGTGTGATGTCGTCGTGGATTCGCCGCACTGAAAATGAGAAACGTAATTGATTAGAATCATCCAAAAATAGAAGTAAACAAAAAAAGAAGAGCGTACATTCAGCTTCAATTGCCTTAGAATCCGAGCCCAAAGGCAATCGCGACACGATAGAGATCACGCTCCGTAGCCACTAGAAAATGAGATTAGCATTTTTTTGTTTCTCAGATCTCAAGATACAACATAAATATAGCTTTACCTCCTGGCACGATCGAACAGACTCAAGAACCATTTCAACCTGGGGCAGTAACCGTAAATACGAGTCCTGTAGTTGCCACATCGTTCCCTCCAGAGCTGATATGCGAGCCGATTCACCAGACTCGGGTATGCTTCCGTCTCGGTTTCGAATCAGAGGTGGCCCGCTTATGCTCTCCCGAGTGGGACCGGAGACTGAACCAGCAGGTGTAGGAATAGAAGAGATGTGAGCTTGCTGTTGCTGTAGTTGTAGCTGTTGTTGTTGCTGCTGTTGCTGTTGGAGTTGCGCCTGAGCGGCTATGTGAGAAGAGGCGGAGGCGGCGACGGCGGCAGCGTTAGAATCGAGCATGTATCCGGGTGAAGCCGAGGGGATCATTTGTGAAGTTCCGTTGGGTGAGACAGGGGTTGCTGGCATCGACACCGACCCGGACTTTGATGATCCGACAGAGTCTCGATGGACGACGGATTGTCGCGAAGCACGACGTTTGATGGCGCGAAGGGAATCGACGTCGCCGCGGCGGAAAATACTTTCGCCGTGCTTGAACTCCCACTGGCCCGAGTCTGCAGCTGAGCCGGCATGGAAAACATCGTTGACTGGTGGTAGAAGATATCAGTATTTCGGTTCGCTTTAATGATTGTAGTCGAACAAGGACGAGTGAAGGGGGAGATCAAGAACAGGACGGAAATGTTGGTGTCGTTGGAGATCGGGTGACTCGCAGAAAAGAGGCTTACCTTTATGAAAGCCGTACATGTTGAGCTGCCGGACAAAAGAAGAGACGTTTGTGTGCTTGAAGTATTGACTGTAGTGAAGAAAAAAAAATAGGCGGGAAGGTTAACGAGGGATTGTTGACGCGGGTTGTGTCGAGCGGGGCAAGACAATAGCGGGCAGGGAAAAAATAATGGGGAGGCAAAAAAACATACCTCAGGACGCGAGAGAACTCCTCGTTTGGGGAGACGACGAAGGAGTCACCGGCGGTGGTCCAGGAGATGAGATGTTGGATGCTTTGATCCTCGAGCATGCTGGAGAGAGGTTGATTAGAATCTATAGAAGAGGGTCGAGGGAGGCAGAGAGGGGACGATGGACGCACTTGTATAGTTTGTGGATGAAAGCCGACTGGTTGACCTTCGGGGGCGGGACGGTGGAGAGCAGGGGAGCGGTTGCGGGCGCGGACGTGGTGGTGATCGCGGAGGGGGCCGAGGTCGGCGTCGGGGCGACAGGACGGGAGGAGTTGGCGGAGGAGGAGGACGCGGTCGAGGAGGAAGCGGCTTGGGCGGCAGACTGGGCCTGGGCGAGATGCTGGCGGGGCGAGAGCGGACGGTGCTGGACTACGAGGGCCGGCAGCCTCGAGGGCGAGGGCGGGGGGCCGCTGGAGGAAGACGGCTGCGACAGGCCGTTCATAGACATTTGAGGAGGCGGCGAGGGAGGGTGGGCATGTAGAGGCCGTCGCAGGAGGGGGAGGAGGGGGGAGCGGGGGGAAGGGAAGCAGAGGAGAGCAGACGGCGGGAAGAGAGAAAGAAGAGCGCCCGGATCTGGACGGCAGACGGAGGGTGGGAATATATAGCGAACAGGCCGAAAGGAAGAAGACAGACGAAACACGGTGACGATGGACGAGTACTTTTGGTGTGTGTCCTTTGCGGACGTGCACGCAGGCTGCAAAACCGACGAAGCGTTAGGGTTTATCTATCCCCGACCCACTGTGGCGGTGCCGGGCACGTGCGGTGGCGGTACCACAGTAAGCGAGCGCCGGGCATCTGTTGACTGCCTGCCGAATCCGGCTGTCTTCTGCTCAGCCAGCGCGGGCTCGGAATCTTGGTTGCAGAACACCGAGGATCTCAGAGATTCGCTCGAGGGCAGCCCGCGATCTTGTCTCGAGCACTGTTTGGGGTCGGTGGTCTATCATCGGGACGCCACCTCTGATGATGCTGCTGCTGTTGCTGCGACGGCCTCGCAGCCTGCGCGTGTGTGGACAGAATCACGAAAAACAGAATCACGAACTACCAGATTCCTTACTCCTCCTTCAAACCGCCCGCTAAACTCTGAGCCAGCTCTCAGCGCTCTCAGCGGCAGAAACGCAGAAACTACTCTGCGTCGCCTCGGTCTTGTTGCTGCTGGCTGCACTGGCGACGACGTGGCTGAACCGGCAAACCACTGAACCGCCCAACCACCCAACCACCCAACCGCTCAACCGCCTCGGACGACGTTGGGGCATTTACGCCGGCTGTTCGCGCAGCCGTTGCTTGCTATCTGCCCGTCTGATGCAAAGAATCCTCGAAAGTGCAATATTCCGGCCACCTGCTCTTGTTTCCGTGTTCAGATAGCGCTGGAGTGCTTTGTCCGGCGATGTGCAAACGCAAAGGGACATAATGGGAATTGGCAGATCCGTCAGAGCGAGCGCAGTAGTAATGGCCGCTAGTATACAGGACAGAACATCGGTCACCGGAACCGAATGAAAAAACTCCCACTGGAAATGGGAAGCCCAGACCTGCCAGGCTTTTGGGATATACCAGGACCGTGGGGTGACTGACAGTCGCTCATCGACCTCGTAGTCCTCGCTGTGACTTCTTAACACAACAAAATACTGCTTCGTAGTTGCCATTCATGGCGTCGACCGCATGCTCAAAGGCGCGGTTGCAGCAGCTGCATCTTCTCTTCGTCCCCTCCTCTCCTCTGACCTCCTCTTACCGCGGCAGACCAAGTAGCTCAAGCTCAGGACTTTCGCTTGCTGTTACAACCACGACGATGTGGTGGAGCCAGTCGACCCACTTTGCGTCGGTGTCTCTGCTTCGGGGTTTCCTCACAGACTGGGTCTCCCTGTTCTGGCACTGTGGAGCTGCTGCTGCTGCGTGCGCGGGGAGAGCAACCATCTTGCTGGCTTAAATTACAGATTGATGTGTGTCCTGCAGCAGCATCTTTGCTGGTCACGCTGCGCGCACTGCGCTGCGACGGGCGGCGGAAGGCCATGAACCGGACCGCGCCGTGGGTTCGCTTTCTCGCCCTCGCTCGCTCGCTCGCTTTACGTGTCGCAGCCGTCTGTGCTCGATTTTGAAAGGACTCTTTCCTCCGGCACCGAGCCGGATCGCCGACGCCACCGGTGCCAGTCTGGGTTAAGCTAAGTGAAGTAAGGCTCGTCTCAACAAGGCCGGTTTGCTTGAGTCATCGCACGCTGCCGAAGCACGTAGGTATACTTTCTCTACTCTCCCTCGCGCTCCTGTTACTTCTCTCTTTCTCGTCTCTGATTAATATCTTCCTTTTCTTGTCTCGGATTCGTTTTAATTTCGCAGCGGATTCCTTTCAAACTCGCCCTGCGTCGTGGCCTGCGGTTAACCGGCACGTCCGCGATCTCAGATGTCGGTGTCGGCTACGTTCCCAAGATCAGAAATGATGGAGAAACAACCAATCCTTGGATTCAGGTACCGTTCCTGATTTGTCCTGCATTGCCTCCTTTCCCCTCGCCCTCCACTTAGCACTGCTGCTGCTGCGCCTGCCTGCATCCTCCGCCGCTTGCACATACTTTCTGAAGTCTGAAGTATTTTTATGTTTGTTTTGTTTTGTTTTGTTTTGTTTTGTTCTGTTTTGTCTTTCGTAAGTGGGCAGCCCACGACACTGTATCTCTGCACAGCATACAAACTCGAGTGCACCCAAGGGCTCGTCGTGATTCCGTTTCCCTTCATAGACCGGATGAACCGAAAACCGAAATAGAGCAAAAAACCAAACCGACGAGAAAAAGAAAAGAAGCAAAAAAGAAAAGAGAAGGCAGACTCTGCCTGAAAACCGAGAGCAAGTACAGTTTGAAATACCGGGTACCCCAGCAGCCAGTGCTTTTAGGCTTAGCAACCTATTTTCTGCCCGCTGGCTCTGTTTGGTCGCCGAATGAAATAACCACTGGAAACAAACAGAGAAGGAAACATAAAAGAACCGAAAATAGAAATCTACGGCGCAACGGCGGGTTCTATCGCTGTCTCATATCGCTTTGCGAGCTCCTGGCGATACGATCCCACCCGTCTTTTGCCCTGACAGCTTTATAATAATCCCGCGAATGTCACTTTTTCTCGTTTGGTGTTCGTTCAGGGCCGCATGTCCTGCACTGCATTCTCCTTCCAATCCGCTGCAACCTGCCGCTCCACGCCTCCTTCTTGGCTCCCTGCCTCCCTGGCCTCCCCCATTCTCGGTTTGTGCACCTGCTGCTGCCAGGTGCTCTTGTAGAAACAAGCAAACCTAAATCTTGCCTCAACAAAGTAACGACAATAAAGAAAAACAACGAAAAAACGTAAACAAAACAAAACCCTCCGGCGAGCGGAACTGAGCACGGCCCCCATATTTTGCTACCTGGCTGCCTGCCGCCAAGTTGCCAAACTCCGCTTCGGCTCACCAGCCTGCCTTTTTTTGTCTTTTTTTGTCTTTTTTGCCCCGTTTCGCAGTATGAAGTCATTAATACTTTGGTAAACGCTATAAAGCGATTAATCTTAGGAACCGGCCTTGAAATTTAACTCAACCCTGCTAAAATGCTGTTTTTCCTCTTCTATACCTGGGTGAGCACTGTCCCCTGTCCCTGACCGCATACCTCACAAACTAAACCAGGAGACTTACGCTTTACGCTTTTCTACTCCGAATTCTTATCTTGTATAGATCTCTAAGCCACAGTTTGCATTGAACAACTCACGATCTCGATCTATGACCAATAATTACAAACAGAAAAATTGTCTTATGAAAATGTACGTACACGTGGTTTGCACCCCTCTAGCCGAGCAAACCATTCGGCTCTACCTTAATTCATCTCTATCTCCGGCCCCCCATGGCCCTCGCCACGTTCGACACCTTCTTTGAGCTCGCGTCGAATTTCGGGCCCGATCTTGGGATGCCACCGCACCTTGAGCACCTCAAGCAGCGCGTCTCGCTGGTCTTCTGTGATGTCGTTCTTATACCTCTGCGCAAACGCCAGAAACGCCTGGTGCCAAAGCACCGGCAGTCCTTCTGCGCCGACGCCTTCAGAGCTGTTGCGGAACCGGATAAAGTGGAAGACGACTCCGTCGATAACCTTGTACGGCAGCGCGTACTTCTTGTCGATGAGCACGCGCATGAAGAGCGAGTATGCGCCGCTGTAGTGCTCCATCTCCGCCAGCCGTAGCAGCGCGGCAGACGAGTGCAGCGCAGGAATGGAAACTTTGGTCAAAACCGAGCCGACGATGACAGCTTCTCGCAGCGTGCATGATCCAGACTAGAGCGGAAAGTCGTCAGTACATGGTTTGAGTAATATCGGTAATAGGATCGGGGAGCACTGACCTCGCATAGCGGGAAAAGAAAACCCTTGAAAAACGCCGCCGGCTTGTACAGTGCTTTCTTTAGCGATCTGTACAGATGATAGTTCAGAGTCTTGTTTTCTCTAATATCATCCCTAACTCTGTCGAGCAAGATGTCCGAAAGAAACCTAATTTGTTCTTTAGCTTCTTTTCTTTTAAAAACACAAGTGTTATTTAACATGCACATACCTTTGCGACTGCTTCGACTTCAACGCAGAGACAAACAGCTTGGTCGCCTCGTAGCATGCGTTCGGCGACCACGAATCGGGGTTTGTGAGAAAAAGCACGTCTTCCCAATTCTTGAGAGCGGGAATGATCTTGAACGCCCGCGGAAGTTTTCCTGATCTGTATCGCGACAGCAACAACCCAACCCTGCATATGGTGTTAGTGATATAGATCTTGGATCTGAAAGAGAATGTCTTGATCTCTACTCACTTTTCATAGACCTCGACGACCTTTGGCGGGAACTCGGGTTCTTCTTTTCTCTCTGCCCGTCTCTTTTCCATCTCCTGCTCCGCCAGCTTCTCCATGATCTTGTCCGCCAGCGTCACGGGCTTATTGGGGTCAGGAAACATGCTGCCACCACGGCTGGGCAGGAATTTCTCAAACAAAGCAGCGTCCTCGTCGTTTGCTTCAAGTTCTTCGATCTCGTCGCGCTGGAACTCTTCAAATGCTGCATAGTCTGCTTCGTCGTCGTCGTCGTCGTCAAAGTCTTCATAATCGTCGTCATCATCTTCGTCTTCGTCGTCGTCTTCATCGTCTTTTGTAGAAACACCCTTGCTGCCTCCCTTTTTCTTGCCCAACTCCTGCTCCTCCTCATCCTGCTGCTCTCTAGCCATCTGCAGAATCTTCCGCGACAAAGCAGAGTCGACAAACTTCTCGTCTTCCTCCTCATTCAACTCATCGTCGTCGCCGCGCCTCCGCTTCTTCTTGCTGCTACTCTTCAACTTGCCGTCTCCGAGCGCGGCGTTTTCGTAGTCCGCATGCAACGGCAGGTGCTGCATAGATTCAGCCTGCTTGCCTTTCGGCGCTGCTCCTGATTTTGCTGGCATGTCTTGTCTGTAGAGATGGTGTTTGAGGGAGCTGGGAATAATTTCTTGAATTTACAGGTTCAAAATCTTTTTTTCTTTTCTCCCAAAACTGTAAATGTCTAATCACGTGATATGGAAGAGGTCGGGTGTGGAAGTCGAGATCAGAGGGAGGATGAATGCGAGTTCTACACTGTGTTTTTTTTTTGAAAAGAGACTATGTAAAGAAAGATGATTGATACTACTTCACAGTCGGTTGCATATATTCCTCGACAAATACTAGCGGACAGCGACAGAACATCGACAGCGACAGCGACCGACAGCAGAGGAAGAAAGCGAATACGGTTTGGACGACACAGGCAGCAGTGGCTTCGCAGGCCTCCAACCTTATCTCGCCTTCACCTCGTCCCCTGCGCCCTGTCTTCGGTTGGCTGCGCACTTTTTCCACTTTCTTTGTTTGCCGTCCTGCGCGTTGCTCGCGACCGCAGCTGGTTCGAGAAGGAAACAAACAAACGGCGTGGAAAAGAGGTTGTTTCGGTACTCACAGCGCACTTCTTTGTGTGGTGCTGCAAGAACGCCGGCTCGCCTCAGGATCGCGCGTCTACTCCCTCTCTTTGTCTCGTCCTCTCCATCCCGTTCTCTAGCTCTGTCTCCTGCTCGGCCTCCTGCTGGTCGTCGGCAAGGTCTTTGCTTTTTTTCAGCATTTTCGCCGATATCCTCTAATACCCAAGGGCACGCGAGGAGCGAGCAGCGGTCTCCCCGAAAATTACAGCTGCCGTTCGCAGTGACCTACTCGGCTTTGTTCCTCGAGCCGAAATGAAATGAAATTTTTCTGGGCCCTGCTTCTCCCTCTCCGTCCGTTTTGCTTCGTCGTATTTCTGCCGTGCCGGTATCCGAACGCTTAATTACTTTTTTGAAATTACATGGCGGCCTTCCTATTCCAATCTTGGTGTCTGCGGTGGCTCGTTTAACGGCTCCTGGTCGACGGATGAGTTGGTTTCTAGGGCTCGGCTTCCTCGCCGCTGCCTTGCGCCTTTAGCGAGCGTCTCTTCCTTCCTTCCTTGGGTTGGATTCCACTTTCCTTGGCCTCGCCGTCAACCTTCTCTGCTCTGCTGCTCGTCGGACATGCGTCATCGTCGACACCATCGTCTTCCGCACATTCCCTCTCTCGCATTTTGTTCCATTTCCTGACCGTAGCTGTGGCGTAGCGGGCTCCCCGAACCTGGCACTTCGTACGGCCGCTTTCGGGCACCGGCACCGTGCGTAAAATACTCTGGAAGTAAACAAGTAAACCAGATTGTCCGATCGTTGGTCTTCTGTTCAAAATCCTTCGTCCTCTGCTTCTTTGCTGATCTGTTGTACTCTGCTGCTCCGTCGTCTCCAGCGTCCCGCTCTAGCGTCCTCGTCTTCAGCGAGCAGCTGCGGCCTCGAGCACCATGTCTGTCTATGACGGCTGCAGCAGGATCAAGGGACAACTAAGCTTGTCTCCATAATCACATACACATGCTATTTACTGCTCAGGGCACACGACAGCCAGGGCCATATCCCGTACAGAAAGCTGAGTAGCGGTGAGATTATATAATGAATGACATGCGTTTTCTAAGTCAGCGATCACATAATCCGACCTTTCTCTTTTGGTCACGGATCTACTCCTCTTGAGTCCTGCTATCGTCTCTGGCCGAGGGCTTCGTGCCTTCGCTGCTGCTCCCGCCAGGTCCCCAGGAACCACTGCTGCTGTGCGTGCGGTAGCTTGGACTATTGATACTGTTTGACTGATCAAACTACAACAATCAATTTACTCAAATATCCACCCATCTGCAGCTGTCTGGCGGCGGTATATCTCTGAGGGTCTCGTATCCGCGGGATTCGGAACCGCGGCAGAGGACAGGTAGCTACCCGGTGCGGGCAGCCGACGACGGACAGGAACCATAACCACATTCTCTCCCCTCCTCACCGTCTTTTCCCTCTCATCATCCCCCTCCTCCTCCCCCCTCCCCTCTCTTTCCCCATCTCATACCTTCGACTTTCACCATGCTGCTTAAGGGAGCCTCAATGCTATCTACCCGTTTGGCTACTGCCTCGCGCGCTGGCGCGCATAGACAGGTTCGTCTTCTTTCTTGGATCTGTGCTCTTTCATTGGTCTCCGTTCAGTGTGAAGCTGCGCGCAATCCATCATGCCCCACCCAAGCATCCAGCAAAGCCATCAATCCACCATGGAATCACCTTCTTGAGTAAGATGGATTTTGATGCGCTGAACAGTTCTGGATTCTGGAATTGATGCCGGATGGGTCTCTGTTTATTCCCAAAGGCCCGCTGTCGGCTGCGGCATCCCCGGTGTCGGATGTTTGGACTGAATTGTCGCCCGCTCAGCAACTATCTAGCATACATCGCGCAAATCAAACATCAATTATTACAAAGTAAACAGATTGCTGTTTTCTGCTGCATAACTGTGTTTTGGTGTGGTTGCCGATGTCGCGACAGAGAGCTCATCCGCGGTGCGGGGTCAGGCTCATCCGCTGGTTGGCTGCTGCCGGTAGCAGCCGACCGCGCTGGACAATCACTGGAGGAGAACAATTGAAAGAGCCTTTATATTTCTAGTTAAAGCACTAGTAGCTGACTTTTTTTCTTTCGTCAACAGGGTGTTTCTGCTGTGCAGAAGCGCTTCTTGTCGCTCCACGAGTTCCGCTCGGCTGCTATCCTCAGAGACGTATGTCTGCTTGTTACTTATTATAAAGATTCAATCCTAACCGATTTTTCTATATTTTTAGTACGGTGTCCCCGTCCCCGATGGTGATGCTGCTACCACTCCCGAGGGAGCCGAGGAGATTGCTGTCAAGCTCGGTAAGTAGCTGCGATAAAGAAATTTTCACTTCGATTACATCCAACTAATATAACTGCAATCCACAGGAAAGGAAGATATGGTTATCAAGGCGCAGGTTCTCGCCGGTGGCCGTGGCAAGGGCACTTTCGACAACGGTCTCAAGGGTGGTGTGAAGCTTATCTCGTCGCCTGTCGAGGCCAAGATCTACGCCGAGCAGATGCTCAACCACAAGCTCATCACCAAGCAGACCGGTGCGGGCGGTAAGCTCTGCACTGCAGTCTACGTTGTCGAGCGCGAGTTTGTCCGTCACGAGGCGTACCTCGCTATCCTGCTTGACCGTACGACTCGCGGCCCCGTTATCGTTGCCTCGAGCCAGGGAGGTATGGACATTGAGTCTGTCGCGCACGATACCCCTGATGCTATCTTCTCTGCTCCCATTGACATTCACACTGGTGTGACTGACGAGGTTGCTACGAGCGTTGCGGAGAAGCTTGGATTCTCGTCTGCGTGCATTCCCGAGGCTGCTGACATTGTCAAGAAGCTTTACAAGGTCTTCCAGGAGAAGGACGCTACGCAGATTGAGATCAACCCTCTTTCGGAGACTGTTGACAAGCGAGTGCTTGCTATGGATGCCAAGCTCGGATTCGACGACAACGCTTCGTTCCGTCAGAAGGAGGTGTGGTCGTACAGAGATACGACTCAGGAGGATCCGGATGAGCTCGAGGCTGCGAGCTACAACCTGAACTTCATCAAGCTCGACGGAAACATTGGATGTCTCGTCAACGGCGCCGGTCTCGCCATGGCGACGATGGATATCATCAAGCTCTACGGAGGAGAGCCCGCTAACTTCCTTGACTGCGGTGGTGGTGCTACCGCCGAGGCTATCCGTGAGGCGTTCAACCTCCTCCTTCGCGAGTCGAAGGTGACTGCGATCTTTGTGAACATTTTCGGAGGTATTGTGCGTTGCGACAACATTGCCAAGGGTCTTATTGCGACGACGCAGGAGATGAACATCACTGTTCCTATTGTTGCGCGTCTGCAGGGCACGAACGTTGAGGAGGCGCACCGTCTCATCAGCGAATCTGGACTCAAGATCTTCTCGTTCACCGAGCTCGACGAGGCCGCGCAGAAGGTGTGCCAGCTTTCGGCTGTTGTGTCGATGGCGCGTGAGATCGACGTGAACGTGTCGTTCGAGCTGCCTTTGTAAGGCACTAAACTAAATTGATTTGATTTGGATTTAGGGGTGTCAACGATGATGATTAGATTCTAGTAGTATTTGAGTTGTTGCTGTTGCCGCTTGTTCCTTATTTATTTCTTTCGTCCATATGAATTGTTTTATATATTTGTTTAGGGGTGTTTTTTTTTTTGTATTTGTCGGGCGAGTTTGGTTACCGGGTAACCATCGCAAGCTTATATAAGAAATACAGCCTATTAGAGTAGTTGTGTAAGAATTGATGTAGATGTGCAGTATGTAGTTAAGATGTAGGTGAAGAGAGATGAATCAGAGAGTTAAAGTTGAGTAGAGAGAGAGAGAGAGTGCGGCGGCGGTGACGGACGCGCGATAATTACGAAAGGGGAGTAATCTGACTGGTCGATTGTAGAATACAGCTACGCACTGCTACATAGACCGCGATAGAGAGACAGCCAGGCAGGGATTGTGACTTGGATATATAACCGACTGGATTATATATTATCAAGTCTTGATTGCTTGCACGCAGGAACGGGAAAGAATTGGCGTTGACGAAAGTCGTTGGACGATTGCGATACGCAGGGCGAGGAATTTTGCTGGCACGGGGTATAAGGACAAGAGGAGAGTACGGGTATTTTGAGGAAATAGGGACGGTGAAAAGGTGGTACAGTGCCGTTATGCCGGGAAAGATATTGTATTTGCACGGGTATACGCAGGTATGTTTCCATTGCGGGAGAGAGGGAAGGAAGATGATGAATTCTGACGGTTGAGATGAGGATGTAGTCCGGGGAGCTGTTTTACAAGAAAACGTCAGCACTGCGAAAAAGTCTTCAGAAAGCGGACAAGTTCGAGGCGTTTTTCCCGACTGCGCCGATCAGGCTTTCGGTGCCGGATCCAGCTGATCCGGAGGAGCGGGCGAGCGTGCAGAGTCAAGGGATAGATGAGGATAGCTATGGGTGGTGGACGAAGGATAGTATCACGGGAGCGTTTGTGGGGATTGATAAGTCGTGGGGGTTTTTAAAGGAGTATATTGAGAAGGAGGTATGGTGTTTTCTTTTTGATCGAGGAGGGGATGTGAGATGGATTGCTGACTGGAGATGTGTTGTAGGGTCCGTTTGAGGGAGTGGTTGGGTTTTCGCAGGGAGCAGCGATGGCGGGTATGCTGTGCACCGAGCTGCCGACTCTTCTTCCAGAGCACCCGCCGTTGAAGTTTGCGGTGCTGTACTCTGGCTTCCGGTCGACGCTGGCAGAGCACGAGCACAACTACCCGATCAAGACGAAGACGCTGCATGTGCTGGGCTCGGTGGACACGATTGTGTCTGAGGAGCGGAGTATGGCGCTGTGGGAGGCGTGCGATAAGGATACGCGGACGATGTATACGCATCCGGGAGGGCACTTTGTGCCGAGTTCGAAGGAGTCGTTGGGGGTTGTGACGGGGTTTGTTTTGGCGGCGGAGAAGGAGAGTGAGGTTGGGGAGGCGGAGGATGGGGATGATGGGTGGGAGGACGATGAGTTTGATGTTATTGGAGGGGGGACGAAGTTGTAGAGTAGATTAGAGATTATGCAGTAATCGCAGTCCCTGAACAAAGAAAGACAAGACGAGACAACAAAGAGAAAGACAAAGAGAGATTAAGCATCAACTAGCGAGATGAAGATGAATTAAGATAAGAACGGCACTGGAAGGAAACAGATGAAAAACAATCGAAAGAAGAAAGAAGAAAGGTTTGAGACAGCAGCGCGGTGAGCTGATTCTGGCGGAGAGAAGAGATCCGCACGGACGCGGCGGCGGACCGCACCGCACGGCTAAATCCCGCGTACGCAAAAAGACGTACGCAGGCGGGCTGGAGGGTACGGTTGAGTTTAAATGAAGGAGAGTGTATCATTTGATGAATGTGCTGGCAGAGAGTGAATAGCAGTGTAGTAACTCTCTGGTATAGTAGAGAGTAGAAAATAGCAGAGTAGTAGAGTATAGTATAGCAGATAGAGCAGAGTAGAGAGAGCAGCAGCACTCTCGTCCACCTCCACCAAACTGCCGGTTTGTGTCAATGCAGGCTTATGCATCAGATGATTCAGGAATTATAAATTACAGATAAAATTACAGATAAAATAAAATAAATGAAATAAAACACAAAGCAATTAAACAACAAACAAACAACAGATTTAATACAAAACAAACAAGGTTCGCAGTTGACGTATTTCGGATAGCGGTATTAAAGCTTAAGCGAGGCGCTTGCTAAATCAGGATTTCGTGCGGAGACCAGCAGCCCAGCCTGCGTCCGCCCACCGCCGCCGCTAACACCGGCTCGCAATCGGAGGCCCACCTTCTTCTCGTCTTTCTGTCTGTCTGTGTCTTCTTCCTCTTCTCAGGTTCTTTTGTTGTCTGTCTGCTCTTCTTCCTCTTGCTCGCATATCCGCATCATCCGACTATGTCTCCCCGGCCTCTGCTCTGAAACAAAGTTCGATCAGCTGCATTTTAGCCTCTGTAAATGATGTCTGCGGCGCAGACTAATCATGTCAGTCCGATCAACGCGCAGGGCGAACACCACCAGCATCCTCTCGCTCTCTACGACCGGCAGGACTTCTCCGCCGGCCCCGACCAGAACCGCCAGCAGAAGCTGCACCAGCAGCAGCATCTAGTACTCGACCAGCAGCAGCATCTGGAGGACATCTTCCCCAGTTCCTCCGTCCAGCTCTACGGCTACGGTCCACCCCGTCAGCAGCACCAGCACCAGCACCAGCACCACCAGCACCAACAGCAGCTCCATCTACAACAGTCCTCCCTCAACCAGCGCTACTATCCCAACTACCTCCTCCAAAACCCATCAATCCTCGCCCCCGACCCCGCCTTCTCTCACCAGTCCACCACCAACCCCCTCGCTCTCGGCCCATTCCCTCTCTCCCGCAACGATCGCTACTCGTCAGCATCAGACTCGATCTCCGACATCAGCCTATCCCACCCCGCAGACCCCCACCCCGCTCCTTTTTCCCAACCCCCGGCCGCAGAGAGCAAACCCCACACGGCCGACCTTGACGATAACATCAACGACGACGAAGACGACGACGACGATGCAAACGACGATAGCACCGGCGGCGGCGCGCACGCGGAAGACGTCAAGCGCCGTACGCGGGTCACCGCCGAGCAGCGACTGCGCATAGTCCAGCTCTGCAACGAACATCAAGCACAGTTTGTCAACTACGAGCGCTTCTTTCAGGAAATGAGAAAACTCTTTCGTGCAAAAACGGGTTCGTCTCCCCCTTCTTGTTTTTCTCTTTCGCTAAAACACTTTACTAATCCCTCTCCAGGCCTCAACGTCAAAGCAATGCGAAAATCAATGGCATACTGGTCCTCGCAGCACGAAGAGCGCCGCGCGCATATACTCCCCGACACACCACTGACAGAGTACGACAAGGAAATGGACAGATGGTGCCGCTTCATCGACTCGGTCCGCGCCAAAAAGCGCGAAAAAAAAGCATCCGCGGACGCTATGCGCATCGAGAGACTGCGCAGCAGACTCGGCGGCCATCAGGTTCGGCCGCTGTCGACTCTAACTCTGGCTCATGACGCAGCAGCCGAAGGGAGTAGTAGTACTAAAGAGAATAACGAAAACAGCAACCCCGACGCCGGGAAAAAACAGGCGCAGCAGTTTGATCCGCTCGGGATCGTCATCGTCCAGCTCGATCAGGTTAGCAAGACTGTGGTCGAGCTGCAGCGGAAATATGAATCGCTTGAGACGCAGTTCAATGGGCTTGTGGACCAGGTCACTAGAGCTACGTCTCTGCTCAACGAGCTTTGCGAGAAATTGCTATGACAGCTTGTTTCTTTTTTGTTTTTTTGTTTGTTTCAGTAGGTGTATTTGGTCATTGTGTCTGGTGTTTGTTTTCATTATGAGTGGGTTTTGTATTTACTTCCTGTAAGCATCTTCAGTTAACAATATAGCCATGCAACCCCTCCAAGTCTCTCAACTCTAGCAACGGACTTTAAACAGAGATTTATCATCATCATCATCTCTCAAATCTACACAGAGCTATCATGCTTTTTCGCAACCCGTCTATACGCAGCCGCAAACTGCTGGATATACGTTTCTGCGAAGAACGAATGCCGCTGACCATGCGAATGCTCGAGGTTATGCGCCAACTCGTGCGCCATCACCGGGAACCAGTAGTCCAGCGCCTTTGCCATATTAAACCCGCCCGCGCTCGCCAGCGTCTGCGTCGCGCGCACGTCCCGCACAAAATACCGCAGGTTGAAAAATAAACTGCCGTTCATGTTGAACGCGACAGACTCCCCGTTCTCGTCGTAGTACATGTGGATCGCGTCCCAGCGTACCTTGAACACGTTCACCGCCAGCTCGCGCAGCGTGTGTCCGAATAACTTCATATGGCCCTGCAACTCCCGCGGCACCTGCCTGTCCGGCACGCCACGCGAGACGTACAGCTTCGGCCCGATGTTCGACACCATCCCGGAGAACTCGAGATCGTGCGCGACAGTGCGGTCGCACATTTGCTCGGCGGACGCGGCCGCGGACGCGGCGACGTCTTGGCCTGGCATCCATTGCTGCTCGTCGTTCTGCAGGTTCTCGCCCCGGTAGGCGGCCGTGTGCTGGATTCCTTCCTGCAAAAGCTGCCGGGTCGCGCTGTCTGTCAGCGGCGCTGAGCCTGTGCTGCTCCCTGATGTGATTCTCTGTGGTCGCTGCTGCTGCTGCTGCTGGGGCGGAGGGACGTCATCGTCCCAGCCACCGGGGACCCGAGTCGGACTTTGTTGTCGTGGAGCAGACGTACCCTCGATCAGCGGCCTCTGCTCACGAGGAGAAGATGGCAGGCTCGCGCTCGATCTTCTTGAACTGCCTCGCTTCAACTTATTGAACACCCCGCCAAGGTCAAAACTCTTGTCTTGCTTCTGCGGCTGCTGCGGCTGTGATCTCGTCAACTGCGAGTCTGTGTTCTTACCACTGCTGGATCCATACGACGGCGGCAGATCAAGTTCTTTATCACTGCTCGACGGCGCAGGCTCACCCTGCAACGGCCCGGACGCCATCAACTTCTGCTTCAAACTCTCAAGCTCCGCCTCCTCCGCTTTCTTCCGCTCAACCTCCTTCTGCCGCGCTTCCTCCAGCAACTTATTATGCGCCGCCTTGGCCGCCTCGTTCTCCTGCCGCTGGTGCTTGATCAGCCGCTTGACGTTATACCCGCGCCGCTCGAGACTGCTCAGCGACGAATTCATAAGCGACTCGAGCACCGTCGCCGCGTCGGGTGTCGGCCGCTCGAGCAGCACTTTGACCAGCGCCTGCGCGACGTCAAAGTACTCAAACTTAGGCACGAGGTACATCGTCCACCCGCCGTCCGGGCGCTTCGTCATCGATGCGGTCGTCGACGTTATCACGGGCTCCTGTCGCCGCCGCAGCGCGAGCCGGATGATTGATCGCTGGATCTGGATGCGCGAGACAGAGGATATGCGCAGGTTCTTTTCAAAGTGCGGGAAGGGGACTTTGGTGTTTTCGATGCGGTCGTTGAGGTCGAGGTAGAGTTTGGTGCGTTCGAGGATGCGCTTGCGCACGTTGGATACGTCGGATGAGTTGATTGACGCGCCGAGCGAGATTGATTCTTGGACGACATTCGACATCTTCAGAGATCCAATTCTCTGTGGAAAAAGTTAGTAGATGATATTAGATAGTGGGGGGTTATCAAGACCTACCTGGTATAATTTCTCAATCTCAGGCTCAAACGGCGCAGATAAAATCTCCATCTTGAAGAAATTGTAGTTGACCACGTCGTCGTTAATCACAATCTCAGATGCACGAGCAAGTACATACTCCACATCCTCGTCCGCAAGACTATCGTCCTCATCGAAATCACTCTCGCCATCTCCCGCCGCCGCCGCCGCCGCCACACTCTTCTCCCCGCCCGGAACTGAAAACTTCCGCCCGACGACAAACGCCGAGAGCTTCATATCTGCAAGCAACTTCGCGTCCCCGGCCAGCTGCGCCCAGTTCCGCTCAAAATTGACCAGCAGCTCATTATACTTTGCGTATCCGCCCGCGTTGACAAACATCGCGTTCGGTTCCGCGACCGTGAGTCGCGCGAGCTCGAGCATGCTCGGCTTGTCGCGCGCGCCGCAGTAGCGCAGGAACGCATTTGCGCCGACGTCGAAACTGACAAAGTTGAAGAAGCTGCGGTAGAAGAGATCTTTGCTGCCGCCGCCGGAGGAGGAGGTTGTGGAGGACTCTATAAACACGCGCGATGGCGGCGCGTAGGAGGAGACGTTGCCGGTATTTTCGTCAAAGATTGGGATGAACGCCGAGCTGTTTAGTAGGTTGACGTCGCTATTGCGGAGATCAGAGATGTTGCCGGCCATGAAGGTAAACATCTTGTTCGCCTGCTCGAGCGATGACGGCGGGACCGCGACTAGTCTTGACACGACGTCCCCGATCGGCGGATAGATCTGGACGCCGAACTTCCACGCCTCGGCCTGCAGGTCCTCTCTGAGGACAGGGAAGCCAAACAGGGCTACCGAAGAGGAAGAGAAACACTCGCGTGGAGCAACCGTCACTTTCTTGATCTTTTCACCGCTGCCGATGGTTGCTGGCAGAAACTGCTCGTGAATGTTGGAGTTGTACACCGATCGGTACTTGTTTTGGTCAAAGTAGCGAATGAAGTACAGCAGAGCAGTGTCCCTCTCCTCTTCGGTCTTTGCTTTCGCCGCGAGCTCAATCACCGTCTGCACCGGCGGATGACTCTTCAACCCCAGCTTAAACAAAAACAATGCCTCCGACGAGCGCGGGTTCCAGTTCATATCCGACCACTTGAGCAGCGGAAGTCCCATCTCGCGCAGCTCGTCTGCGGGCTGATACAACTCGCTGACTCTATGCAACCTGTCGTCGTTCTCGCTCGAGACGATCTCGTTCTCCTTCAGGAACGTAAAGTCGGTAGATTGCATGTCCTTCTGCTGGCTCGCTAGGTAGACGACCATGTCCTGCGACGACCATTTCCCCGCTTTGGTATCTGAATGCAGCCGTTCCATCACGTACTTGAGCTCGATCGTCTTGCGCACGCCGAGGTACACCAGCAGTTCTTCCGAGACGCTGTTCTTGACGGCTTCGCTCACGATCGGCAGGTCGGGAAACATCTTGATATCGTGCAGATAAGACTCGCTGGGCTTCTTCATTCCCTTTTGCGTGGGGATACATGTCAGCTCGCGCAGCAGCTCGAAGATCGCCGTCTTGACTGAGGTTACTTGCGGGTACCACTGTTTTGAGATCGTCGACAGAACTTCCTGAGCAAAATCCGGCGAGACTGAGAGATTTTGCTCGATCGGTAGGGAGCCGGAGTACGTCCCGGTGAGGTGCATCACCCATGAGTAGATATCCAGCGGTTTCCAGCCACTATACTAATTAGTATTTTTACAATGAGATAATCACACAAAATGGCACTCACATCATCTCCAGATCGGCGTTTCTAAACTCCTTTGCAACAGTATATGGCAGGCACGTATACGGAACCGGCATTTTTGCAGGAATGATCGAGGTATTATGGTAATACATCAGCGACCGCATATCGATCGTCCCCATCTTTTCGTCCGCGAGCAGAGCGTAGCCCAGCATCGTGCCGAGTTCGGCCATCGACATCTCGCTGTTTTTCACTTTCTTGATCGCCCATTTGAGGAAGGCAATCATGTCTGCGGAGTCCAGCGCCCGGTTTCTGAATTCGGTCTGGATATCGCTTGCGTCGACGGTGCGGATGAGACCCAAGGTCTTGACCTGGTCGTGGAATTTGGGCGCACCTTCGTACATCTCCTTTGGAATCATAGCGACGTTTTTCAGAAACGTGATGTCTTCCATCGCACGTGCTTCGGTCGACGGCTTGACGCCCTTGGTGGTCACGAGCGGGACCGACTTTGCAGACTTCCAGAACCCGGTCGCGATGTACTGGCCGATCCGCGCGTCTGGGGTCGAGCTGCCAAAGTAGAATTGGCTCATGATAAACCCTGCTTTGTCGAAGATTTCGGGGTTGAGAACCGGTTTCTTCGCGTCGCCGGAGGATACTAGGCTGCCGATCGAGCTCATCTCGGTGCCGTAGACTATACGAGTCAAGATTCCCGCCATGTACATCATCTCCTTATTCCAGTCCTTGACGTACGCATTCGCAGTGTCGACAGCTGCACGCTCCATGGTCGGAATCGCCTGCGGCGTAGCGATATGCGACTTCAAAGCCGTAGTCTGCTTGGTGGGGAACCCGATAAAGACCTTTGCGTCCTCAAACTCCTTTGGGAAGATCTGGCTTGCGATTCCAGACTTGAGCTGCGACGAGTCGGCTTCGGCTTTGCTGAGCGCAATCATCGAGATCGAGGCATGTCTTGGCGGGGGTTTCATGATTGCGCCTTGCAGCTTCTTTGCAAATGCGGAGGATGGATAGGTTGATATGTAGCCTGTGATGTTGCGGAGGAACAGAACGGCCTCTGTGTACTCTGTCGGTTTTTCAGCGTCGGCGGTGAATGCATGGATAAACTTCAGCCCAAACGATACTATCCCCTTTGACTCGACTTCTGACTTGCCCAGCTGCGTAACGTTCAAGTACCGAGCCTTGATCTGCACGGACTCGGTCTCCACCCTATCCATCTGCATAGACCGATCGAGTGATTTCAGGTTGATTTCCTTTGGAATATCGAGCTTCGCCGGATCGGACTTTACTTTCTGGATAACAAGCAGCGGTATGCCGTCGACGGTGAACTCGATCTGCTGCAACTTGACAAACGTCAAGCTCTGCGCTAGAAAACTAGTGAAATGCGGCAGCTCCGGAAGCGGCTTCGCCGACGAGTACGGCAGATCTATCGACGTCCATTTCCTGGTCGCCTGCTTCTGCATCTCTTCCGAGATCTCAAATCGTCGGTAATGGAGCTGGTCGCCTTTGTAGTAAAAGTTCATTCCGGTCGCGCCGCTGAGCACCATCGGCTCGTCCGTCACCGCAAAGACAGAGTAGAACCCGACACCAAACGCGCCGATCTTGGTTTCGTCTGGATTGCCCTTTGCAATCTCGCGCAGCCGGTCCCAGTCTTCCGGGCGGAAGTTCATGCCGTCGTTGCTGATGCGCAGGCGTTTCACGGTTTGCTTTTGCACGTCTCTGTGGGTCATGTCAGCGTGGGCACGTAAACAAAGTTATTTGACAAAGTAGAAGATGTCATACACTATTCGGTCCATCTTGATAGGCCCCTTGGAGCCGTCGGTGAAGAACTCGACTTTAACAGTCGTCGCGCCAGCGTCAGCACTGTTTTGAATCAACTCTCTGAATAATGCGTGGTCAACCGGATACTTGGACAGCGTTCGAGTGATCAGTCTAGTTCAACCAACAGTCTCATAGTCAGTCTTTGCTCTTAGTCGCTACAGAGAAAGAACATTCACTCACGCTCGATGGTTGACCGCGACGGTCTCGCTCACGCCTCCACTGCCACCAACCGGCGCCCGTCGCAGCGCGTCAAAATCAATTGATGCCATCTCTCGCTTCTAACTCTTTCAGTCAGCCTGCAGCAGACTGTCTCAACACAATAACCGTTGCTGCAATACAAGTTTTGAGAAGAATTTCTCTCAGAGATCAGTATGAGAGATCGAGAAGGTCTGGCTGGGGCTGATTAGATATCTGACCGGCGTGTCTGCGCACCTTCACATCGTTTAGAGTTTCAATGTGCGGCTCAGGCTTGTGTAACGAAAAGATGTCGAGGATGATTTCGATTCAATATGGATCTGCTTATTTTTACGAGCAGGAAAGTGATTTATAATACAGCACATGCAGAATATCTATTATACACATTGAGCAGCTACTACAGCTCCCGGTCATCCTTTGCAGGCCTGCCAAATTTCTGCAGACAGATATTAGATCCGTATTCCATGTACTCCTTCTTCGTGACCTGCAGCGACCGGAGCCTGGCCTTTTGCTGACCCAGCCTCGCTCCTCCTTGCCATGCATATGTTATCGGGCTATAATCAACAGAAGCGGTTAGCTTTCTTCTTGTCTCTGTACCAACACAGGAAAATAGAAAATGGAGTACTCACTCGTCTGGGAATCCTAATCTGAGGAACGCATCGTCTGGTGTAAGTGCCTGTAGCTCGCTTGACACGCGTTCCTTAAACCCTTCAAACTTGGTACTCCCACCAACAAAGACGGTGTTCGCCAGCAATAAATTGCGAACATCGCGATCCGGGATGGTGTTCAAGCTCTGGGCGATAATCTCCGGGACACCAGCCTGCGCGATATCAATGTCGGACGGATGGAAGAGCACTTCTGGAATACTAAACCGCTCGTTTGCAAGGACCAGGATCTGATCATCTGGCTCGCTTGCTTCTGATTTAGTGCGGACGTGGCCTGCTCTGAATCCCGACGCCGACGCGCGAGGAAGTACGTACTCGATCGCGAGCGGATTTTTTGCGAGCGAGAACTTTTTGCAGATTTCGAGATCGGCAGCGAATTTCGTCGACACGTAGCAGCAGTGCTCTTTGATCTCGTTCACGATGTATGACTCGTCCATCATGTTGTAGTGGCGGTAGGAGATTGTTTCCTTGAGATAGTTGCGCAGCAGCTTGCCGCCGATGTTTAGCCGTTTGATGCCAGCATGGTATACTTTGTTTTCAATTATTGGCGTGACCACTGTCGCTGAGTAGCCAGAATCAATCACAAGCGTGGTATCTGACTTGAGAAGTTTTGTGTTTTTCTTGGTTGATTCGGCAAGAGGCTGTGCGTCGGTCTCCTCCTCCGTCTGATACAACGCCTCGTTGTGATCGTTCTCGTGCACTAGGAACGCAGACGGACATCTGAAATAAGTCGCGAATCCGTACTCTTCAAACACAATCTGATCTGTATTTGCCGAGCACACTGGTAGTTGCGCACTTGGCTCTCCCAGGATAAACGCCGTCTCTTCTGGTCTCACGCCGTCGCTGCTGCTGCTGCCGTCACCGTAAATAACGCGATCCCAAATAACCTTTTCGCTCTCCCAGTTTGTCAAATGGCCCTTTTCATACGGCCGACGATACACCAGTCCCGAGAAGTCCTTGCATTGCGTATACAGCTCGTCGGCTATGAACACTCTTCGGTCGCGGCTGCGTGTGATTGCGTTGGGGTATATCGTTGGCGAAGGGGAACTCGCGAGACCGGCTTTGATTTCAGACGCGCCGTTGTCGAGGACAAAGACTGACGTTGGCTGCGGCTGCGGAGCCATGGCAAACTGAGATTATTAAGCCCTGCTGCTGCTTTGTCGTCTCGTCGTCGTCGTTGTCGTTCGGCTGTGGTTTGAAGATGCGTGTAGAGCGTGGGTGGTTGGGAAGAGATGAGGTTGGGAGTGGGCGCGATCAAAGATTTGAGAAAGCTTGCTCGATGCGATCAGCTGAATCCTCCTCGGACTACACGCCGCCAGCCCAACACAAGGTCAGCAGCACATTTTATCAATAGAGAAATGGCTTATTACTTTTAATAGTTGTAGTAGACAGCCAAAAGAAGCAGCTACGCCGATAAATCGGTCAATAAATGCTGATCTATCTACAGAGCATGTCCGGGAAATTACAAAGATATGCTATTTTAACCCGACACTAACCTCTTGCATAGAATTGAAGTCGCTAAGTAAATACAACGACATGGAACTGCGCGTAACACACCAAGTATGATTGAGTAAAAAAGAGAGGAAAAAAAGCTGGAGATTAAATAAACAGCAGGACGAATAGACTAGACTACATTATATAAAGAAGAAAAATAGATGAGGAACAGAGAGAACAAGGCAACAACAAAAAAATAGATAAGAGGCCACGACAGTATTATTATTCGCAATATCAATCAAACTTATATAACAGTCTTGAAGAAGGAGAAGAACAACCCCGACAAGGACGACAATATAAACAGATGTCGACGAGAGGACCGCGTATGTATTGTAAGATCCCTGCAATTCAAACAGTCGGGTGAGACGACGACTACTGATGGTGTCGGTAGTCTACTAAGAGATAGAAGTGTAGAGATTGTACGTAGGGAAGATTAGGCGATGACGCAGCATGAGTTGGTCCTGTGATTTATCATCCGTTAGCTCTTGACTAGCCTCAAATAGAATATAGGAACTTGACGTACTTCTTTGCCTCCTTATAAAACATTTTCGAAGTCGTCGATAAAGCAGAAGATTTCGCAACCAAAGAATCCAGCTCCTCGCCTCGCTGCAGCACAGACTCGATAGCCTTGTGCAGCACGATCTTCGTCTCATCGAGCTCCTGTTGAACGCGCATGATGCTGTCTGCCTGCTGCGGGTTTTGGTACTTGACCAAGCTTGACTCGAGCTCCGGGAACGAGAGTGTAACATCGCCCTCGGCCCATTGGCCTCGTGGGTATTGCGTCAGGAACTGGTCGAGAAGCTTGTTGAGCAGACTGTAGGCCACTCTGATGGGGTACTCTTTATCAGCGATGACGACGCCTGCGACACCCTCGGACCGTGCGTATGTGTGTGCGATGTAGTCTGTAGTGGTAGGTTAGAGTCAGTGATGGGATGGAAGATAGAACGAAAGGGGTTGGAGCGTACTGTTCTCTTCCACACTTTGTCGCTGGCTTGGAGCAGTTCGCTCGGCAACTGTGTTTCCAAAGAAAGTCAAGAACTCGCCGACACTATGAATAGACAGATGAGTACGTTAGCTAGGTCGTCAAACAAGCCTGAGATAGACCCCGTCGGCCGAGCAGAGGAGTGCAGATCGTCACATGCAGACAATAGGTGCTCAGAAACGAGACCGACGCGGCACGGCTCAGGAAAGTGGTAGGTGAAGAGGCCACACGAACCTTTTGCGCTCAAAGAAACTGAAACTAGAGAGCTCCTTAGCAGAAGCAAGCTCCTTTGCGGGCTTGCTTGAATTTCTAAAGATGGCGATATAGAAGAGCTTCATTGCTGGTGTTGATGCTGCTGCTTGTGGATGAGGATGACGTAGTTTGTGCAGACGGTGTTGTCAACGATGGACACTTCTCCCAAGAGCGCGCGGGGAGGTAGAGGTTGGAGAGAACAAAGAGGCGCAAACAGGCCAGATGTGTTTGCTGAACAAGAAGAAGAGACAGCGGTTTTAGAGAGAACAGGTGCTAATATCTCGAAGGCAGAGGGGGAACGGCTAAGATTAAGTCGGGCAGTGCTATCGCTTGCCGTCGACCTTCCAAGATTGGCTCCAACCGCGCAGCCGCAGCGACGTTTACGCCGTAACTCGACCGCACGCGGCTGCCGCGCTCGCTCCTTCGTCATCGCCACTACCTGCTTCAAGCTCAGCGGTGCTCATTGTTGCTCGTCCTCGGTCGTTGACGGTGCTGTCTCTCAAGAATAACCACTGCACCACGTCTGCACAACAGAAGCACTGAACGGATACCAAATCACTGGACTGCAGAGGAACAAGCTGGATCCTGACTGCCTTTTTGGGTCTTCAATACCACCAACTACACACCGCCGACCCGGCTCGTTGAAACAATGTCGCAGTCTCTTGCAGCCGATCTCTCGGCGTTCAAAAACAGGCTGAAGGCCCAGCCCGTGTTGCAGAAACGGGTGATTGTCGACTCGGCCGCGAACTCGTCGAACAACTCGGAGGATGAAGGACGGAAGCGGAAGAAGGTCAAGACCAGCACTGGTATGGCGATCTCCTGAATCTGATCTGGAAGAGAGCAACTGAGCAGGGCTGCGCTGGGTGATCTGATCTTGAGTTTGAGCGCTTGGGCTAACTGACGTAGTGTTCTCGCAACCGGCTGATACCGGGATCGGAAGTCATATGCTGACGCAATTGCATCATGCGGTCGAATATGTTAAAGTACGGAGCCCAGACGAGCAATTAGGGATCTTGAGCAAGCAAAAGCTAACTTTCTGCTGTCGTGCAGGATCAAGACAGACCGGTGACGGTCAAGGACCTGCAGAGCTATCTCAACGGCGCAGGTGGTCCCGAGCTTCTGGTGCATCTGCAACACATTGAACGAATCATCTACGACCCCGTGAAGCGAACGTACGAGTACAGACCACTACACAACATTCGCACCGCAGAGGGTCTGCTTGCATTCCTGCGCCGACAGCAGACCTTTCGCGGGTTATCAGTCAAGGAGCTACAAGACGGCTGGCCCTCTTGTGGAGAAGCGATTGACAAGCTCGAAGCCGCCGGCGACATCCTCGTGTTGCGAACGCGGAAGGAAGGCACGCCGCGGCTGGTGTGGGCAAATATGGGCGGCGAGATGGGCGGCGTGGAGGAAGAGTTCAAGTCGATGTGGAACAGGCTGCCGATACCGTCTGCGGCGGAATTGCCAGGGAAGTTGGAGGAGGTCGGGCTGAAGCCGACGAGTGTGGATCCTGCGACAGTGAAGAAGGCGGGAAATATGCATGAGAAGAAGCAGAAAAAGCCGCGGAAGGGAAAAATCACAAATACTCATATTCCCGGTGTGCTCAAGGATTTTGGAAGGGTATAGACTGCATATTATATAGTTAGAGATCATTAGCATGAAGGTAATGAACAATTTTGTCGAGTCTGGGAGTCTGTCGTTGTCAGAAGATTCTTCTGATATGGCTGGGCCCAAAAATTTTGTATAGTATAGTAATAGATGACATGTTTGACCCTTTATATTATCCGATCAATAATCAGTAGCGCTGCTTGCTCTGATTCGACGAGAGGTCGAGAAGGACCCTGATCAGGATGCAGCTTATGAAATGCTATGCAGCCAACTCGAATCCTTTGATTATGAGTGCATATGAAGAGGGCGAAAAAGAGGCAGTGCTATAAATTGCAGCTGTAAACTAGCAGTCAGGAAATTAGAAGTTGTAAAATAGTAATCAAGGGAATTTTTGACGACTGAGTATGAAGAGATCGGGACAATGTGGCCGAGATGCGTCTGAATGGGAACGAACAAGGATGGTGAACAGAGGTGCTTTGCTGGATAGAGGTCAAGATGGAGATGTGGGCGTAGCTGAGGATGGGTTCGGTATAATGAGGTCTATCTGACTGAACGGTAGATCAAGCGTCTATTTCAAGACCGTGGATTGGCATCAAGCTGGACAGACAAGACGAACAAAGGGCGGAAGGGTAGATGATATACGCGCAAATGAAGCCCGTGAACAGGGGTATAGCAGATAGAAGTAGCCAGCTGGGTGTATACGGTCAAGCACCACAAACCTTGGAGGACCGGGTGCCAGGTGGACGTTGCTTGTAAGGGTATTTTGAGGACGGTTGACAGCGAAGAGCAGGCGAAGGCAAGGCAAGTGAAAGCGAGGAGCGAGGAGGAGCAGGCAGAGCAGCAATTGAACGAGCAGCTACTACAAACACGAACAAACAAGGAAACAACAAAGAACAACTTCTCGGAACAAAAATAATCTGAATATGAGCAGTTGGCACTCTCGACCCGAACTTCGAAGGACGGGGACGGTGGAGATGCGCGGTGACGCAATGGCGCAGAAGTCCCCTGAGCTCTTGCGGAACGTACGTGGCTCGCGGCCCGGGGATCCTGGCTGCGACAGAGCTGCGCCAGCCAGCCAGCACCGGGGCGTAGGATCCCTGCTGGTAGATAGAGGAGGTTGTAGATGAACGTCTGAGTATTCCTCGCCTTTCTCTTGCTTGTTTGCCTGCAGACGTCGCTCTGATCTGGCCGTTGTTAGCGTGCAGCAGGTCGCGACGGCGTGCCTGAGTCTTTCTCCCTTTTTATTCTGGTGCTGTTCACGCCGCTTGTTTATTACATTATATTCTGTACTTCTGTTACCACAACACTCACACTTTAGCCCCTGGAACCGTGCCACGCTAAACACTGGCAAAACATCTCCGCTGGCATGGCTCGCACTCCTCCCTTCTTTCCCGCTTCACCGTCCTCATTCCCGTCAGCCATCCCTCCCCCCCTCGCCCGCCCCATCCTGGCATCTTTCTCCCAATTGTTTGGGTTGTTTTATTTGCTCAGATGATTGCTGACGCAAAAGTCGTCCTTCTTGGCGCGCAAGGTAAGCTCGATCCGGGCTGGCGGCGGCAGCCTTCCCCGATCTGTAATCTTTTGTTTATCTACCGCAGCTCGCTGACTTTGTTCTCGTCTTTTTTCGTGCCACAGGTGCCGGGAAGACATCTCTAGTAGTCCGCTACGTACACAATACTTTCCATGATAGTATGTCTTCCACCTCTCGCTGCTGTGCCGAGTTTCCGTTGTTGTGTTTACTTTGCCACAACCCCCTACCCCCTCATTCGCGATCGCGTACTGACTCGTCGTGCTCTAGCCCAACCCACCACGATTGGCGCGTCTTTTCTCGCCAAAAAAATAGTTGTCGACGGCGTCGTCGTCCGCCTGCAGATCTGGGACACGGCAGGCCAGGAGCGATTCCGCTCGATGGCGCCGATGTATTACCGCTCTGCCGCTTGCGGCATTCTCTGCTACGATATCACCTCTGCCTCGTCGTTTGACGCGATGCATTCGTGGCTGCAGGAGCTCAAGGCGAACTTGAGCTCGGATATTATTATTCATTTCGTCGGAACTAAGCTCGATCTTGTGCGGGAGGATCCGTCGTGCAGGGCCGTGCCGTTTGAAAAATGCGTGCAGTACGCGGAGAAGTGGCTTCGTGATTCGGAGATTGTCGATAATCCGAATTGGACGGGTCGCGATTCCTGCCATGAAATTTGTGCAAAGGACGACGAGGGTGTGTTTTTATTATAACTGTGAAGAGTGCTGATCGGTTACTAACAACTGTGCAGGTGTAAACGAAGTATTCGAGAGCATCACGCGAACTATCATCCGTCGTCGGCCTATTCTCAAAAAATCACGGCGCAACTCTGTGCATTACGAATCTGACTCGTTCTCGTCGGATGATGAGGAAGGCGATGCATTTGGAACCATGCGTAGCATTGGGTCTGTCAATCTAGGCCAGCCTGCTGCGGTTCCTGAAAAGAGTCGCTGCTGTTGATTTCCAGCGTTCTCATCTGCTTTCTTAGTTCTGGGTCTGTAGTTTTTGTTTTTACGTGTATTGCATTCGTGATTCTGCATTTGTTTTGTCTTCTTGCTTTTGATTTTGTATGGTTTTGGTTAACATCTGAATGCTTTGTGTATTTTTTACGTGTATTTTCGTGTGTTTAGGATGTTTTTATTGTTATGTTACGTGGGATTGATTTGAATTGACGCAGCTTGCGAGCATGGCATTTGCAGCATTGTTTGTATTGTGCTCTGCTTTTCTGACTTTCTGATGTCTTCTAATGCCTTATTCTTGATGCTCTTCTATGATTGTGCATTGCCGATTGTTTGTTTTCGCGTTTGTTATTTTGTATTTAAGTTTCTGATGATCAAGATTGATAATGTTTACCGTTTTTGTGAAATAGTCGTTCGGATCGAGGTTTATGAATTTTATTATTTCCATTTTTTGAGTTTGACGTGAGATGCGGAGAATATGAGATACCAGCTATACAGCCAGCCAGCTTTGCAGGGCTTGATGGCGTCTACGAGTCGATGCAGACTAGAAAGATCTGAGTATTCTATGTTTATGGTACGAGACCAAAACCGGCGATGGAGATCGAGAAGATGAGGAGAGGTGACGTGAGATGAGATGAAGAAGGGGGTGATGACGACGACGTGATGTCATCTGGAGAAGATGATTGAGATGAGTGAGATTAGCGAGAATTTCCCGTTTACCGGTATTTTTATTGTCGGTGTTTCTTATTCCATGGCGCCATTCTGCGTGCCTGAGTGCTATTTGTTTCAAATGAAAAAGCGAAAAGAAAGAAAAGATCGCTGGGAGGTGTTGCGAGTGTTTTTTACTGTTAACTTATGACGTGTGTGCGTTTAGTGCCTGGGCTGCGACTCAGCGGGCTTTTAATGACTTTGCTTTGCGTTAATGATATCCAAATTCTAGCTATTCTAGCTCTTTGTATTTTTAATGACTATAACAGTGGTAATATGTCTATAGCGTAGAGTGCCTATAGCAGTGCTCGAAACTGTCACATGCTCGCAGGCTTTGCGATATTTTAGTGAACAAAAGTTTAAAAAAATGGCTGACTGGAAGCCGCTTTGGTGCAAAACACTGAAGACGCAGCCTGGAGACGCAGTCGCTCGCTGTTCAGGATGCCGACTGCTTCTCTGCCTCTTTTTTCTGTTATTGTTCTGTATATCGGATAAATACAATGCAACTAATACACATCGCTAAACACACCTCAAGGCCTGCTCCTCCCCCGCCTTGCAATTTGACTTCAGATAACCCGCTGGAAAGCGAGCGCTACAGCCCCTTCCTTCCCTGATTCATTTTCTGCCTGCTTCCAATCTGCCTGCTTCCTCGTCCTCGTCCCTGGCTAATCCTTCCATCTTCCTCCTATCCACCTTCCTACCATCCACATTCCCTGCATCTCTTTATACTTGTTCTTCCTCCTCCTGTAGATATACCATCACCACTCTCAATGATCCCCCGCCACCTGGTCCAGGCCCCTTCTAGAATCGGATAATATCGGGGGCCATAGCGAGGGTTAGGGCACTAATCCCGGCTATCACTGCGCCGGGCCACTCGTGTGCGCGCGTCCGTTGGTCCGCTGACTCTGCCTCGAGTCGCCCTCTCCTGGCCTCGCTCTTCCCCACCACCGCACCCAAACCGCCCCTCCTGGCAAACCCTTCATCCGTACCCCACTGCCTTCCCGCTTCAACAGCCCGAGCAAAGAAAACTCGTCGTCAGTAGTCTCTTCATCGAGCTATTCATCCTAGTTTTTCTGATCCCCGCACCGCTCTTTTTTCCCTTCCAGTTGCATTTCATACATCGCGTGCTCTTTTGGTAGACACCTTCATCTTCCTTCTCTAGACTTCTCATCAGCCAACCGCCTCAACCACAACCACCACAATCATGAAAAACGACTCGCAGATCCGCTCGCGACACTCGTCCCCCGCTGTCACTGACTCCCCCGTGCTCGTCGCCGACGCAGCCGTCCAGACGACCGGCACCGCCACGGGCGTCAAGGCCTCGCTGCTGTCAAAGTCGAAGCGCCGGCTGCTCAACAACAAGGAGCTGCTCGCGAAGAAGTACTTGCAGCGGAAAGCGGCCCTTGTGCAGAAAGGACGCAAGCTCAAGAAGGAGATCCAGATCAGCAATTATCTCAAGCCGGATACTTCAAAGGTTACCTATGGACGGACTCCTGATGGCACTGGTACGCATCCACTTCCTCAATGGTCGCGTGCCTTCATGCGGCACTCATTTTCTCGACACGCACTTCTCAATTGAGCAATCGCTAACCGTCTCTAGTCTTTGCGGTCCCCACAACCGAGGACATGGTCACCGCCCTGCTCGACCCTAGCAAGCCCAAGTCGTTTTCCGACTACCTCACGCTCACAATCCTCACCTTCTACGTCATCCTCTACTTTGCGCTTCCCAACCCGATCTGCAAATGGACCTTCCTCGGCATCTACGCCGTCTCGCGCATCGCCTACAACGGCGGCCTTGGCTTCCTGCTCTACCAGCAGTCCGTGCACAAGGCGCTCACCCGCTGGGCAGAGCAGTCGATGGTCTTCAGCAAACCTGGCCCCAACGCGTCGTCGTTCAAGAAGTGGTCGTACGACCTCATCAAGCGCGAGCTCTCGTCCAAGATGGGCTCGGACTACGACTTTGAGTCCGTGCCGCTCGAGTACAACACCTGGCTCTTGTACCGCCGCGTCGTCGATCTGATCCTCATGTCTGACTTCACCTCGTACATGCTCTTTGCCTTTTGCTGCGCCAGCATCCCCGAGAACCAGAGCATGACGCTGCACGTCGGCCGCTGGCTCGCCGGCATCTCGCTCTTCATCTTCAACCTGTGGGTCAAGCTTGACGCGCACAGAGTCGTCAAGGACTACGCCTGGTACTGGGGCGACTTCTTCTTCCTCGAGGATCTCGAGCTCTGCTTCGACGGTGTCTTTGAGCTCGTGCCGCATCCCATGTACTCGGTCGGATACGCGGGATACTACGGTATCTCCTTGATGGCCGCTAGCTATACCCTGCTCGCTGTCTCCATCGCCGCGCATGCCATGCAGTTTGCCTTCCTCTTCATCGTCGAGAATCCCCGTAAGTTCTTTTGTGCTTTATCTTCTTCGATCCTCTCTAATAACATGTATTTAGACATTGCCAAAACCTACGGCCCACCACCCACAAAGGCGAAAAACTAAAAGTCCTAACTTTTCATTCTCAAAAGTCACGCACACACCCCACCCCCATCCCTCCTTCCATCCACTTGCACCTCCTCCCTCCCGCGTTAAACAGATAAACAGAAGAGCGAAACAGAAAGCCGATAGGTAGACTGTCGACTGTGACCGTTTACGCGCAAGGAGTAAGGACGACAATTGCTATGGCGAAAAAACATCAGGTACTTGTACTCAAGATACAGCGGTTTCTTTTGGATACTATATACAACGCAGAAGAGACTGATTAAATAAACAAAATGCTGCATTATCATTACTCCGCTTCATATTTTATATTATACTTGTATTTTATTTATAAATATATTTTAGAATTAAAGTAATTAAACAGCGGGTTCGTGTGTCTTTGAGTAGGCGCAGTCTTGTTTCGTGGTTTGTTTGGTTGTAGAGTGAAGCTTTTCGCGGCATCTGATTAAAAAGACTTGAACGCGTCGCGTCTGTCTATATTTACTTGGAGTAAGTCGAAGTTCTATTCTTGAGAAATAGAATACGTAGATGTTTAAGATGATAATAATGTGCTATTCGTCTATACGCCAACCTGATGAAAGAATGCAAACCAACCGGAACAAAAAAAGAAACCAAAGACTACTTTTTAACAAAAAATGACAGTACACACACCCAAAACTGACTCGATAGAGTAACCCAAAAAAAAAAAAGACCAAACCAAACCTATCAAGAATCTCAGTACAGCGTCACATCAGCAAGCTTCTCCCTCATCCGCCGCAACTCGACCGCTTTTTTCTTCTCGAGGTCCTCGATCCTTATCCTCCGTTTCCGCTGCAACTCCGCCTTCGTCTTCACCGGCATCGGCGAGTTCAGCACGATTTTCTCGCGCGCGGCCGCCGCGGCAGCAGCGTCGACCGAGCTCTTGCGGAACGGCGGGTTGTCTGCCGGCGGCGTGAGGAATTTCTGCTCGTTGGCGTTGCAGCGCGTCCAATCGCTCGGGTAGCACGCGTCCTTTAATTCTTTCCAGCTGAACAGGTCCGCGAAGCCGAAGCTCTCCCACACGCGCAGGATCGGGCGCTCGACGAGCGTGATCCAGGTCTGGATTATGGGCGTGCGCGAAAAGTACGCGTACAGCCACCACCATTTGTAGTCGTATGCCACGACGACCGAGGTGTCGACTACGATCCGCGGCGAGACGGCGCCGTTGGAGGAAAGCCGGTAGCTGTTGATCAGGCTGAGCGGGAGCAGCGTGCATTCCGAAATGATGCAGGACTGCGGCGGTTGCGGGAACCGCAGCGGCACGGCGGCGGACGACGTGTCGTCGACTGGGGCGAGATATCGCTTCGCGCCGGGGGTAGGGCGCGGGATGTACTCGCGCGGCGGGGACATGAACGCGCCAGAGTGCATGGCGACGATGCCGTTCCAGCACGTGCCGACCTCGACGACGCCGCCTCGCGAGACCATCGTTCGGTCGCGCGGGTCGCTGAAGTACGGGTACAGCCCGTTGACGCTGTTTCCGCAGCGGTCGCGCAGCGCCCACTGGTCGTAGAGCGTGGATGCCTCCATGTCCATGCCGCAGGCCATCACCGCCGGTGTCTCGGGAGTCGAGAGCGGGTCGACTGAGGTCGAGGGGTCCTCGATCGCGGCGAGGAGTTTGAGCACGTCTGTGTGGTGGTAAATCACGTCGTTGATAAAGATAATGCGCTCGATGCGCCGGCCGAGGGCGGTACCCGACAGCTCGCGCAGGGGCTCGAGGGCTGTGTTGCGCACTTCGGTCATGTACTCGATGCGGTGCGGGGTGTCGATCCAGGGGTTTTTGTGCGGGAGCGGGTGGATTGCGGTGGTGATGTTGAGCGAGTGCGGGATGTTGCGGTACGAGAGGTAGCGCGTCAGGTGGAGTAATTGCGAGGCTGTGTTGTCGCGAGAGTCGTTCTCAGTGAACGAGAGGTAGACCTAGATAATATTAGCAATTGTTCGAAGTCTGTAAAGAGGGGGATATGTGAAGCAATAGTACATTTTTCTCTCCAAGCACATCGATAAGCCGAAGCATCTCCGCCGTCCACAGCGGCATGATCTTCTCCGTATTGTAAAAGTTCGCCGCGATGAAATACGCCTCGCCAGGCTGCTCGCTATCTACGCCAGCCACGTACGGCAGCGACGACGCGTCGCCACCTGGGAACGGGCTCGCGAGACCGAGCGTGTAGACGACCAAAATGTACGCGATGCTGAGATTGAGCAACAGCACATTGCGCAGCGTGAAGCGGTCAAACAGACCTGTTCCGTTCTGCGACGATCCGCGACGTGAGCGGCCGCGCGCGGGCGAGGAGGACGGGGAGGAGGAGACAGGGAGATAGTATTTCGGCGACTCTGTGAGCGCTTGGTTTTCGAGCGCGGCTTTTTCAAAGAAGTAGGCGGCGTCGGTGGACTCGTTTGAGTCGGACGAGAGGCGTCTGGTGGGGTATTCGAGGCCGGGTCTTGGCGGTCGTAGACGCTTTACTGCGGTGGATATGAGTCTGATGGGGAGGTAGATGAAGACGAAGGCGGCGAAGGCGGAGAGAGTGAGGGAGTTGTGGGTGAGGATGAGGAAGTGGAGTCTGAAGAGGAGGGTAGGCAGGAGCCAGAACAGGAGGGCGAGGCGGTAGTGAGAGATAAAGGAGTATATCGGCCACTGAGACAGCGAGTTGAGATCTATTGAGAATGACATGGCGGATGTGGATACCAAGAGAGCAAGAAGAAGCGAGCGGGGAGCGATCGCAGTGAGCTCGCCACGACGATGGGGAGTATGAGGAGGATAGAACGGGTGAAAGAGGAGGAGAGAGGGAAATGACAGAGAGAGGCTGTGAAGTCATCGGCGTCGAAGGTTGGGTATGTGAGCTAGCGATTGCCGCGGCCGAAGAAGAGCAAGAGAGATGAGAGGCTCACATTTCAGCTCCTCGGCCCGTCCCCCACATACCCTCTCTCTCTCTTCATCAGTTCCTACTACACTCTACGTCTCCCAAGATCACTTCTTGTTTGTTCTCTTCTCCTCCCCGGTGACCAACGCGATCAACAGCATCGGCAGTCCACATGCGGCGTGACAGCGCAATCTGAAAGCGGCGCAGAGGGGTTTCTCCTCAGGGCCACCACAAAACGAAGCGGACTGTGCGTGCGGCGCGAGCGGAACACGCGTCTCATATTTAGTTTGCATTCGTCGGCGAACATAGCCCGCATTCTTCCTAATATTAGCCGTTTGCCCTCGAAAGGCTTCGTGGCTGCGTCTGCTTCCTCGGAGAGAAGGGTGGATTCGGGCCAGGGAGACAGACCAGAGCAGAAGCGCGGATGGGGTTCGGCAGACGGCTCGTACGAACCAAGGCACCGTTGTGCAGAGGAGACAATGGCATTATGCTTGGGCGTGACATATTTTATTCTGTGAAACACCTGGCCGCCGGTTGGTCGGCTCAGTGCGGCGCGGCGTAGTAGAGTTGTGGCATAACCGTCATATGTTGCTGTTTCTCTTCATCAACTGCCTACACAAACGCAGCTTATGAAGGGCTTTGCAAGAAGTACTAAGTACAGGCACAGACGTAGAATAACACAGCTTTATTATATGATATATGTATGTTCCGCCGCCCACCCAAACAATTAAGCAAGGGCCAACAACGCACCCAAGGGTCGTGAATATTCAGCATCCTGGAGCGACAGAACCGACTAATTCTTCTAAATAGCAAAGAAAAAGTTTTAAATTTCTCTGAGGCAAAGCCTGGAGCACGCAGAGCCGCACATTAGGCGGCATGAATGACCGTGGTGTTGTATTTATCAGTACATTCCGTGACTCTAAAAGGCGCCTGTGGTAAAAAGACATTGAAGAGAAAAAGAGGAGAGGAAGAGGTGAGCGGAGGTGCAGATATGGGGGCAGGGCGAGGGTAGGGGTTGGAGGGAGTGTAGGGTTATGGAATTAGGGTTGGTATCGCGGAGCAGTTGGTGGTGGTTGTGGTATTGTGCCTGGACGGTAGTGTCGAGCGCGTGCTGATGCGCGGATGTGGTCGAGGAGAGGTATCGGTGGTGTGGAATTGAGATACCCGACTCGACGTACTAGATAAAGAGCGGAAGCTGCCGAGGTGGGCAGAGGCAGAGGCAGAGGCCGAGGCAGTTGAGTGGCAGTGGCAGTGGGCTAGCAGCAGGAGCTAGTAGTAGTGATTGTTTAGCAGCAAAGTTTGGTAGATTAGTATGGGATAGCAAAGGTCGATATTCTGTGATCACAGCAGGTTCAACTACAGACTCGGGCTCAAGTAGGAGCAGAGAAGAGCAGGCAGAGCAGAGATGGCTGTTTACCGCTTTCTTAGTCCCGAATCTCGGCTTGCGAATATATTATCCGAAGCGGCGGCTCCAGTATTAAAAGAAAAGATTTGCGTATGCATCTCCAAGGCTAATTAAAGTAAAGAAGGCCTGTCAACCGCAGCGCTGCTAATAATTCTATTTCGAAGCCACAGCATATCTGCGCTTTACTGCCACTGAGGATTGCCAACTGGATGCAGCAGCAGGAAACTGTAAATCGGGCGCAATTAAATGGTAATCTAACCGCGCACGTGGCTGTAAATAACATGATCCGCATTCGGAGATGAGGAAGAGTGACCTATCTCATGATTGATGAACGCGAGTATTAGCAGAGCGCGAGAGCGTTGACAAGGGCGATGCTGCACAGGGGGCAGGTGGAATGACAATCCGCCGCAGAAAGCTTTGCAAAGAGACCCTAATAAATCTGCCAGCAGCCAAACAGATGCTAAGCAGCTCGAAATTAAAACATCGCCAGCCAAAAGAAGAAAGGACAGGATGGATATGGAAGAGGAGGCTCGTGAAGGCGACCGGCATCCGTGCCCTCTGATATCTCTTCCTCACGAGCTCTTTTCTTTCTCTCTTTGTCCCCTTTCCTTCTCGTTGCCTCTGCTTGTTTCTAGACCGCTTCGATGGTTAATAAGAGTGCTCGAAGGGCGGTAATCCGCGAGCCGTTGACCTGGACGAAGCTTGTCGCCAACGACAACAACAACAAAAGGAGCAACAGCCTTTGTTTCCGTCGCAGCTGCTGATTTATTTCGTCAGAAGCTTTGGTCGTACCCAGCTCATGAGTACGCTGGCCACCCGCCACGACTCATACGTCAAACTCTTCCTCGGCTTTGCTTTTTCTGCCTGCTGTTGTCAGCCGGTCTTCATCGGGTCTCTGTCCGCCCTTCCCCGACCGAGCGTCTTGGGCGTCTTTTCGCTTTTGCCTGCTCTATTCCGCCATACACTCAACAGCAATGCAAGAACTGCAGCATTAGCTCAACACAAACGCGCGCAGGCAGACGCAGGCAGACTCCAGCCCACGCCTGCGCTCTCATGTCGGGACTAGCCCACTATCAGCATTAGCGCAAACCTTCCTCCGCTCGACATGAAACTAACTTGCAGGCAACCCAAACCCAATAACAGCCAAACCTAATCCGCCTCTCTTCTGCTCATTCGATTCCCTCCTCCTCCCTCGCGCGTCTTTCCGCCGCCACCGGCAAATTGTCCGCCATATCCGCCCCCACCTCTCTGTTGGATCAGAATGAGCCTTTTTGTTCGATGTGAATATTCTCCTGCCTCAGTTCGCCGTTTGTGTTGTAAAAAGGGAGCCTGAAGCGAGCTCCGCTCCCCCGGTGCTGGTTTTTCCGGCGCGGCCGCTCTCTGTTCTGCGGCGGTTGACTAATCGATTTGCCAATCCGTCTTCTAATCCGCTCGTGTTGCCTTTCTTCCAACACGAATCCGACGTAGGATCTCCTTCGCGCCAAGCCTATCCCGGGAACCAAGAATCGCGAACCTAGCTTATACTCTTGTGACGAGACCTCGGAGGCAGACCGAGAAGAAGGTCAGGCGGAGGGGTGGAGCCGAAGCAGGCAGAGAGGTGCGAGTCGAGGGCATCCGCAAAGGGCAGGAACAGCCGTTAAGGTTGAATTTCAAACAAGTCGGCTGTGCTACGCGGACAGTTTGGCCACGCGACAAACCCACGTTATCGCTGGTGCTTTGTATTTATCCGCCGCTGCTGCTTCCAAAGGTGTGGGACCGCGGCGAGCAAAGACGAGAGGTGGGCGAATGGTCTCAGAATAACTTCAGGGCAGGGCAGGGCAGGGTGGAAGAGGGGAAGAGCTGCAACCTTAACGTCCCTCGGTCGATGTCGATGAGCAGAGGAGGATGGTTGACCAGTATTTCTGGGCTCACTAGTGACTGACCTGCTCAGCCCTGATTCAATGAATAGAGACTACGTAGACTTCTTGCTCGCCACTGCTAAGTCCCTGCTCTTCAGTGACATGTGAGATCAGTTGATACGCAACTCACAGCGGTACGCCGATAACCCAACGTCTTCATCGTCTCATAATAACCTTTCTCGTGTCTCCATTCACACCCTCCTTGCTCTGTCTTGTCGCAGAGATAAGTCAGCAACCGAAATGTCATGCGCATAGACATAATCCCATGTTCCCAAACTATCGTCTCCAGCACTCTTGCCCTCCTGCGCTGCCACACCTCCGCCGCATGGCTAGTTCCGCAGGCCTGGAATCAGGAGCGCGCGCTGCACGCTTGGTGTTGTTGGGGGTGCGTCCACCAAGCCTTTTGATCATCAAGTGGCGAGATAAACGGCTGAATGTACGGTAAGTTCCGGGGGATCTACTGACTGTCTCTGCTCATGAATAATGGATTCATTGTGTGCTGATGGCGTAGAATCTCCTTATGATCTCCTTTCTCTTTTCTAATTCATCGCGATTTTTGCGAATCCCAAAATCAAAATATCGTAGCTCAATTTCATTTACCAATATTTCCAAAATTCTCCTATACTTCGAGATCATTAGTACACAGCGATGTAAATCAAGGCGGTCAACCTACAGTGGCGATCCGCTGCTAGCTCCATTCCCTCGCGCCGGGGGCGCGCAGCCACGTGGCGAGTTAAGTACTTTTTATAGAAAATTGCGCGGATGTTCTGTCTTTCGAGCTAATCAATATCTTGGTAGTCCAGCTAGCTGCACACTTGTTTTAGAATAAATAAATTATGAAAATTATCAGTCATTCTAGAAGAGGCGCAAGTCGATAAGAGGTCGGTTGGAGGTCTGCTCTTAGTGCACGTGTTTGCGTCTTCCTGATCCCTTACAACGGCTGCACGACTGTTGCTCAAACCCCCGCGTAGAGACGAATCAGCAATCCAGTCATCTGACGAACCAACGACCGAAAGCAAAACAAGGCCGGCGGTCACCCTCTGCTCTGCCGAGGCTCTGAGAACGAACTAGAGAGGGGGAGCGCGGAAAAAGCCACAGCACAAGCCAACACCGGAGGGGTTGCGCGCAGCGGAAAAACGTAATTGCGCGCGCACGCCCGTCTTCTCGTCTGCACGAACGAAAAAATCGAACAGCCTTCCTCTCGACCAACGCACTGCGAGCACGCGTGCAGGGGCCAATTATGCCTGAATTGACCTTTTTTTTGCTGTTGCTTTTTTACGTTTACTTTTTTTGTGTGTGTCTTGCCTTGCTGAGCATCGCGGATCCCCCGGATTTCGCGGGTGAGGTTGATGGCGGCCCGGGAAAATGCGACGCGGGTGATAGCCACACACCTGCTCGGTTTGCTTCGCCTCCGGATGGTTTTTCTCACCCACGTTGTCTTGAATGCGTGATCCGCCACTTCTACTTGGTTGATCGTTGTCGTTATGACTTGCGTCGGGTGTGAAATGTAGAGAGCAGATTGATTGGAGGCCTGCTGACTTGCAATCGCGGATCGGCTGGCATGAGACTGTTCATTCTCATTGTGATGACAGTACGATTTATCCGCACTACCGCGCGTCTCTGTTTAGTAAATAAACACCACATTTGGCAAATATTAAACAATGGATTAAATCCTGGAGTACAAGTAAAAATCAGTAACGCCGGAGTCGTCATCGCTTTTGATCCGAGAAGTTATCGATCTCGTCCACCTGAACCTCGGGACACC